GGAGGAACACATCTTGTCCGCTCATTACTCTCGCGGACTCGGATGGTCGCATATAGAGCGCAGCGACATACGTTTGAGGCTGAACACATATATAATATGAGTTCTGGTATGCTGAGGAGAACAGATAACAAGTGAGAGTACGTGTCACAGACAAAATGCACTACATGATAATAGTACTACTGGCTTTCGTGGCTCGTTGGGAGTCAGAGTGCTTGTCTTGAGAAATAGGCGGCAAGAGCCCAAATCAGGTGTAACGATATGCCGCTGTGCAAACAAGGTCGACCCCAAAATACATATGTGTTATGTACATAGTATCTTAAAAATAAACTTGTCCTGATGGCCAAAATATGCGACTTGCAAGTGTTACAATCCAACTTTAGTCCATCTTAAGTGTACTTTGAAGGGCAAATTGAGAACAGACCCAGTAGAAGTATCCTCGCTTAAGAAGAGTCCGGAGAAGGGAATACTTCAAGAAATAACCTTCATGTCAGTTTTGTGAGATGGTGGTATTGAGTCCTGAGGTTCACAAATTCGAGACTAAGCTAAGATGGCCCTGACGTAAACATAGCGAGGTGCCTATTAGACTGCTAGGCCCGGACCTATGTTCCCATATGACCATTGTCCCCAGGTTTCTGTGAATGAACGTCCTTTTAACGCTACTGCCTGCCCTCCAGAGTGGACTGCGCATGTTCCACAAACACGTCAGCATGTTTTCTATATTAGTGGATATGGAATACGTTAAAGTAAGTCAATGGCTCCATTTCCTACTTAGTTTACAGCGAGCAGGTTCATTAGATCCCCTTTCTATATCCTCAAGTTGACAGCGTAATCTCCACGTTCGCTCTCGACGAAGTGCGTTTATACCAGAAGGTGATGATGCCTCCTTATCTAGCTAACACTTCAATCATGTTGCAAGCATATTCCATCTCCTCTACGACACGGGTAGCTCATGCTGTATGAGAAAATCAGAAGAAAGAAAGGGAAGATTCCATGCCTCTAAAGAGTTGGAGAACTGTAACAAGAAATTAGCTTGCTTCGTCAAGAGAGAGCAAGTGTTTGAGCAAGTTTGCAATCTTACGCTGCCGGTTTAAGTGGTAACGAACACCTGACTGATGAAATCCTCTGTAGTAGGTGAATTCGTCGTCAGCATCCGCATAATGATACCCTCCTCCCATCGTGTTGCAGCTCCCCTACGATTGCGGACCCCTTCCTTCCTCATGTTTTGACATAAAAGCATCGAACAAAAAAAAAACCGGTCCAAATCATGGATGAAGTTTCAATATAGAACTGGCGGGGTCGTGCGTTTGAACACGCCAGCTATCCGGACCTGAATTTAGGCTCTTGGACATCTCAAGAACACTGTAAACAGAAATGGCGAAGTTAGTCTTGATCATCTGAGATGCCTGGTCACAAATGCCTCTGAATACTTCGTAGGTAGAAGCGGTGTAAAATCAAAGGGACAGTGAGTGGTAAGCAGTTTCTATTATCTCAAAATTCATTCAACTTGTTACCCTTCCGATTCCCCCTCGACTGCGCGAGAAGGATAGCCGTGTGTTGTTGTTCTGGCTTATTTATAAGATAAAGAGAATAAGACAGAGAGCCATCTTAACGTACGATTTATATCGCTTGTGCTTGGTGTGAATATCGTCTAGTTTACGGATACTATGTATAGTGAAGCTGAGCAGGATGGCGCCATTGTGCCCGTAATGCTCTCTTCAAGATAGTATGGCTCTGGCCAAGAGGCGTCGTATCAAGAAAGTCTTGGTTCCGCCATAATCAAGTAGCGAGGGACAATTATGACTCGGGCCACTATGTACACCCTGACGAGCCGAAGTCGTACGCTTCCACCTATTTGGACGCTAAGATATGTAATGTCAAACAGCATACGCGGGACCACGTAGACTTTCCAAGTATGGTAGCCTTCATGGAGGTCCTAACGGGAATGGGTCCAACAGCATGGCATATATAAACTTGATATGGAGTGCTAAGAAAATTTTACTTTGACCGCGGCCGCATCCATGCAGTTGATCTTTTACATTGACTTGAACGCGTATTGACTACTTATTTTTCGCAAAGCCACAAATGCTCCTCAGCCATAGCTGTACTATATGTCACGTATATCCCAGCGGCATTCTTGGCTCTGCGACTGTGGTCGTTCAATACCTGGGTATTCGGCGACAAGTCTGTCTTTGCTCACTGTTGACTCTTTGTATACTAGGATTTGCCCTCGATGAAAGGTTTTAGATACAGCTCACAGCGACCATCAGTTTATGTGCCAGGCGACTTCGAGTGATTTTTGTGCGCTCTCTTTTCTTACTGCCCAAGCTCTAGGAAAAATCATGTATGATATTCAACAGATGGGGAGGCCAGCTTGGGCAGAGGTGGGATCATGTTGCGAACAGGATATCAATTCATGTGTTTGACAACTTCTCATATATATATATAAGCAAAAACATTTGAATGAATTCTTCATGACTCAGCCAGCGCTATAGCGAAAGCTATTGTTAGGCAAGTTTGATCATCTTCGCGATATCTCATAGTTCTGCGGCATGTTCAAATATCAAGCAAGCATCATGATACTTAGCCAGGACTAGTAGATAGGATTTCTTTTTGATTCAATATTAGACGTTACTGGTGGATTTGTGACGAACGAGGTGCAGCCCATCCAGCAATTCAAATCTATTTGTGTCAGAGAGCTGAGCCAAGTAGTCGCCTAATTGAGTCGTATAAGACTATTGTCTTCCTTTTATAGTAAAAAGTCCTGAGATTTCCAGCCGGCGTAACGAGGTCAGTAGCTCAATCGTCGTATGGCCTGCTTGTAGTAAGAGCAGAGTTCTTGAAAGACTGCACATAAAACGGAGCGAATATGAGGAAGCTTGTGGCAATATGAAGTGCAGCGGTGTGAATCCCATTGCTACTTGCAAGTGACTGTCACCATTCATTCTCCATAGACTGAAAAGCCTGCTGCTCCGAGAGATTGGATTATTACAAGAACGTATCTCTACGTCGCATTTTTGAGTTCTAGGTATTGTCTTCCTTCCACACGCGAGATTAGACCGTTCAGCCCACCTTGATACGTCATCCTTACCGGGCCTTTGCGGTCGTACCTCTCTAGCCTCATGATGCAGCACGGGAGGGACGACTGAACATCTCCTATGCGTCAATTGGTACCTGAGGACGCTATCTTATGCAGAATGTCTCCAGGGGTTGTTCACGATATCGGTACCAGTTGAACCCATATAGGCAACACGAGTGCGCATATATTATATATAAGTATATATCAGCGGTGTGCTAGCATCGTGCTGGCACTTGCCATGCTTCAAAGGAGCTATGCTGGTTGAAGTTTCAAGCATCGTGCTACATAAACAGCTCTATACCCTATTTGTCATTAAAAATGATATGCTTCGCCTTGCGTCACACTTGACCATTCGTCATGGCATACAGCCATCCATCCATATACAGAGCCCGTGTTCCGACGCCGCCTTTAAAGCCCTTCATCCGGCGTCAGCAGTACTCCAAATCGAGCCTGTCACATAGATGGTATGACATCTGTTTCTGCTTGCAAATGTGGCTACAGGGACCCTCTGAGCGTACGTGCCAAACGTATAACATACTGAAGTAGGTATACATGAAAATGGTGTGCGCGGACATTGACTCCACTGTACGGGTTTTAAATCACCCAGCACGATATATTGCAGTTCCAAATCTACAACGCCCCTGCTCATAGCTGCCTGGCATTCATCTCAAAACTCGTAGCGCGAAAATCTGCCGGGGTGGACGCAAAACAAACGTTGGCCGGGGCTTTTCTACATGTATATACCTGCTGGCCGTGGCCGGGGATGTCTCAATTGCGACACAAGAAAGGAGGGAGTCATGCTTCCATTGATGGGAAATGGTGGGGAATCCTGGCTTCGCTCGGATGTCGAGTGACCAAGCGGGTTGGCTAACATTGCTAAAATTCCGGGTAGCTAGCGCTGCAACATTGCCCGAGCAGCCTCTTGCTTCTCGACGTGGTATGGAGATTGGACAGGCGCCTTACGAACAGTATGACAGCCGCCAAGGATGCAAGTGACTAGGGCATGGTAATACTCGATCCTAGCCACCATGCGCGAACAGGATGGGTATTCGAAGTATTCAGGCGAGGCAGGTCAGCCCTGCCAGTTGCCGAGCACACAAAATCCTGCGCGTGGCAATCCACTTGACTGACAAGCGAGAGAAGGACGCAGAATGCGGGACGGTGTGTGGGACGCCTGGAGAGGCCACTAGAAAGCTTAGCACGGTTAAGCCTTTACATGAACAGAATGGTGGTGTCAGGGGGGAAGGCGTGGCCAAAAAGTGGAGGGCAGGAAAAATCGACAAATGCCTCATAATGTGTTTGCATGGACGCGGACGCCGTGTCTAGTTGGTGTGATGGCGGTAGTGATTTGTCAGACGGTAGAACAGACCTGGTGATGCAGGCAGGGTCTACGCTGTGCGCGTGAGGAGTCTGCACTCTGGCTTTGTCAGACAGACACCAAGAGTGTCTGGCTTGCGGGCCTGAGGCCGTCGCTCGTAGTGAGCACCGTGATTGGGCGTCGCGCCTGTTGGTGCCGCCGCTCCCCAACTATGACCAACTAGGACGGCACTGACACGCTTGAACCAAGAGCCTCGTCAGCTCTCAGCCCGGCGCATTAGAGAACGGCCTGGAGAGTCCCAGAGCAGCATCATTGAGATGACCTGAGAGTTAATGAGGCGGCCTGGCCTGGGGAGCGGGGGCAGCTGGGCAGGGCAGGTGACGACGAGCCCACCGACCCCGCCAGAAGTAGTGCAGCCGCCTTTGAGGCGGCCACTGAAGACCTAGGTACCTTGAGGTACGTACCTTGGTACAAAGGCACTCGAGTACGTACACGCCCGATCGAGGCCGCTCCAGGGCTGTCCCCGCCCGCCGCCACGCCCTGCGCAAAGACGGCGATTAAATGCCTCCTCTCCTGGCCTGCGCAGCCCTCCTCCTCCCACCTGCCTCTGCTGCCACACACCCTGCGCACCGCCGGTCCCATCGCCATTTTGCCTTCTCCGTCCTCGTCGCCAGTACTCTCGGGCTGCTGCCCACCGGCGACCGCTCGCCAGCTCGCCTCGAGAATGTCGCCCGCCGCCGACAATGCTCCCTCGTCCACAAATTCCAAGCAGTCCTCGATCCGGTCCGTCGACGTCGCCTCGTCAAAGTCACCCGTCCTCGCGCCTCAACATGGCTCCGCCGCCGTCCCCGCTGTCGACAGCCTCTCTCGGCTTCCAGAGAAGGCGTCTATCAAGGACCGCCTGACACGCATGTTCTCACAGAAGGAGGACCTCCCTCGATCCGCCCCTTTGTCTGCAGATTCAGCTGCTACCTCGAAGCGCTCAACTCCCTCTGCTACACCTTCCACAGCTAACGGCGCGACTACCCCGCCAAAGCCCGTCGCGCCCGCCCGGAAACCCTCCACGACTGACGCGCCAGCGTCATCCCGCACTGCGACAAGCCAGCGCTACATTGTCAATCCAGATGTCCCCGGTGGCCACGAGCACCACTTGAAGGGCGCCAAGCGGCAGGAGAAGCTCTCCGACATGTGGAAGTCACTTCTTGGCAAGAAGCACGAAGACACGCCAGCTGCCGATCTCTCGCTCGTTTCCAACTGGGTCGATACGATCAAGCAGGAGAAAGAAGCCATCGCCAACGACCGCAAGGGAGGACCCAATGCGTCAACCACTCTCGTTGAGAAGTACGGCAAGTGTCAAGAGGTTGTTGGTCGCGGCGCTTTCGGCATCGTCCGCATCTCTCATAAGAAGCTCGGCAACGGCGAGAAGCTTTTTGCGGTCAAGGAGTTCCGCCGCCGCCCTGAAGAAACAGAAAAGAAGTACAGCAAGCGCCTGACCGCAGAGTTCTGCATCTCGTCGTCATTACGTCATCCCAATGTTATCCATACGCTTGATCTTCTCAAGGATCAGAAGGGCGACTATTGCGAGGTGATGGAATTTTGTTCCGGCGGGGATCTCTATACTCTTGTCCTCGCTGCTGGCAAGCTCGAGGTACTGGAGGCAGACTGCTATTTCAAGCAGATGATGCGCGGGGTTGAGTATATGCACGAGATGGGAGTTGCTCATCGTGATCTCAAGCCTGAAAATCTTCTCCTCACTGCCCATGGTGCGCTCAAGATCACCGATTTCGGCAATGGAGAATGTTTCCGCATGGCTTGGGAGAACGACGCACACATGGTCACTGGCCTTTGTGGATCCGCCCCGTATATCGCCCCCGAGGAATATGTCGATCGCGAGTTTGATGCCCGGGCTGTTGATGTCTGGGCGTGTGGCGTCATTTACATGGCAATGCGAACCGGCAGGCATCTATGGCGTGTCGCGAGAAAGGACGAGGACGAGTTCTATGAACGGTATCTCGAAGGTCGTCGTGATGAAGAGGGTTATGGCCCCATCGAGTCCCTGCACAGGGTATGTTTTCATCTCCCTTGATCTTGGAGGATGGTCATGGTTGCACTTCCGCCGGATTCCGCCCTTGACTTCAAGACTTTGCTTGTGCTGACATGTTACACTATAGGCACGCTGCCGCAACGTGATTTATTCCATCTTGGATCCTAATCCCTCTCGGCGTATTACCGCGTCGCAAGTCCTCAAATCTGAGTGGGGCCGTGAGATCAAGCTTTGTAAGGCGGGCGAAGAGGGATTGTAGTCGAGGCTTGGTTGGTGGCAGGAGTTTAGGCTCTGCCAGGACTGAGGGGGTCGAAGTTACTCCTTCGCCTCCCGTCATTTCCTATTTTACCTTCGCCTTATATGGCCCGTAGCATGACGATACCACGACACTTCTTGCGCGACTTGCGAGCGACAAGGAACAACGACTGGGTTGGGGAAACATGGCTAGGATTCATTGCAAGGAGTTTGGCGTCGTACCATTCGTTCAGATTTGCGCTTTTTCTCTTCGTATCCATATACTATTATTCTAGACAGTCCAGACTGTGGTTATTTTTGGCTCAATACTGCCGGTGAACACGATCGGCCTGAGTACGGACTTTACAGAGTAGCATCCATGCACACAATGATAGAAGACATGCCGGTGGAATGGAGAAGCCTACGTGCGGCGACCATCAAGAGTGCTGCGGGCGGGATACAACATGCACATGGGTATTGCGAATAATTCATCCTGCGCGGCAGGTTTCATAACCCAGAGGAGTGATCAAGACTATAAACTACTCTATACATATAGCTTCGGCTGGAAGCTCGGGTGGGTGGTGGCATCGAAAGGAACGCATTGGAGCAGGATCTGGAGTCATGGCCTTGAGCAATATCTCACCCGAGCAATTGACACCTGGAAGGCGTTCATGTTTCCGGTGTTTCGCCACATGAGGAGCCTCAAATAGCCAAGCTAGAGTTTGATCACGTTCTGCTACACTACAAGCATAGCAGCAGCCCATGTAGTTCAATAAGGTCAGATCAGCTCTAGAAAACCCTTAGGGTGTATATTATCTACACATCCCATTTAAGGTATGCATCAGCACCTTCGCTGTCGCACCAAGGTGATATCCTGCCTTTCATCCCCTACGGGGCCATAAACTCATCTGTCCCCGGTCGTACTGAATGCGCTCCTGTTCCACGGCCTCTATTGTTCCCGCTCAGAAATATCATACGAAGCACCATGCCAAGTACTTATCACGACAGCCGAAGGAGTGCCCATGCTCCTGATCCACCCATCCCGGAGGCCATTAATAGCAGCCCGGTTGATTTACACTTTGTCTCACTGCCCTTCTCTTCTGCCCCAGAACGGCAGATTTAGTGACCCTCGGCTGATATCACTGGCCACCTCATCCTTGACAGTTAGCAACATTGCTGCTCACGATCCGCTCGGATAGAGTGGTGTTTATTATGCCCCGTGATAATAGATGACAGAAGGACAGAGACCTAGCCCCCCTGCGGGTAAGCTTTTGCTCATAGTCGGCTATGATGATACAATATCGAGAGCTTCAAGGATCATTTCATTGCCCCATCCAAGCCAGACCTCGGTGCAGGCAAGGTTGGCACCATAGACGAATACTCACTTCTGGAGCCCCGTCACTGCGACTTGCTTGAGGGATGATGTTTAACTCGACTCAGCACATTTCTGCCGTTGCTATGTGTCTCCAACAAAGGCTATATGTTGCTTCATGCATTTTAATGATACGGGACTCTTCTTCTGTATCTGAGGGATCTTGTACGATGTACAGTGGAGCTGAGTCGCCTATCCACATTCTGATTCTGATTCAGTCGAGAACATTCTCACTACCATGGTCTGAGTGGCCGGCCAATGGCTGCGACTCTATCTCAACTCGCATGACCTGCCTTCAACTTGATTGACATGCCCAGTAGAGCTGAATCACACTGGAGTCTAGATTTTCTCTATACGTACCTAGATACTGAAACTACAAGTACTTCTCCTTTTAGCTAGCCACTACCTATAGTGAGTTCGACAACGAGTTCGACCACGAGTTCGGCAACGACTCGATTTTCTGGATCACCTACGAGGACATGCTGGAGAATTTCCAGCACGTCGATCGCACTCGCCTTTTCAAGGACAAGGACTGGAGGATGCGCCAGCGCTGGATTGGCGTTGAGGCCCCGTGGAAGCCACAGTGGAACGAGAAGTTCACATCACGCTCACCAAGGAGCCTCCCCTCGTCATTGTCTCCAGCAGCTGGATGGTCGCTACTTCAAGGGCCATCGTCCCATACCGAAGGGCTCGAATAGTACCATTAGCATGGCGCCATTGAGGACAAGAAGTGGCATGCGCGAGCCACACCACATTCGGGCGGAAAGGCCGTGAAAGTCGCGGTGAGGTCGAAGTGTTGGACAAGGCTCCATTAAGCCTTCTCATTGTCTCCAACTGTCTAGAAGCATGGAAGCCCACGATGGTAAATCATCAGCACACCGACGAGCATCGTCCCATGTCAATTTGTCAACCAGGGACAAATCCTTCCGTGGACAGCGAGGTCGTTCTGCCATGTATTCAGTTTATCTAGAACCCCTCCCCAATGCCTTGCCTGATGAAGACAGGTCTTCTATCATCAGACGCGGCAGATCAACTGCGAGTTGGGTAATCGTTGCGCGCTTGCCAATTGCTGGACCAAGGGCTCGCGTGCAAAATAGAAGCTAGCTCCTAGAAGCGGCGTTGCAATGGTCGAAGTCGGAGACGCCAGCGAACCCCCTTTTCTTATGTGTCAAGATATATTCCATGAACCTTTTAGTTCAACTTCCGCTAACCATTACGCCCCCACAACTCCAATGCCAGATGAACCATGTGCATTTTCAGAATTACCACCCCCGAAGCACCCCAATGACCCCTAAAAAACCATCCGCATGACAAGCCCAACGCCAGAAACCCCTTGAAAGAGCCAAGCAGCAAAATATAATGTAACAGGACTGATTGACACCAGAACATACGAATGAGAGCCTATTCGTCAAGCAGGAAAATTTACCCCATGTTCAGAAGAAAGCGATTGACATAAAGGGAGGCGGCGAAGTGCCATGTACAACCGAATACATGCCAACTCGAAGTAGTTCAACTCGGTGCTCATGAATGGAAGAGATCCCACGCTCGTTCGCAGAGCTGGAGGAACTCCTCTCGCTTCTGCCGTTGAGTTTCTGGGCTGTCACGGCCGGCGCCAAAAGGACCCCGTCTCGTAGCAGACCTGCCATGCCCAAGTGGCGGACTGGCACCGTCTTCGTACTCGGCACGTGTGCGGCGTTTGCCCATTCCATGGCCAGCATCATGGGCGGCGCTGGACCGTGGTGACGGTGGGGTTGGTGGTTGGTGGCCGGTGTAGTGTACAAGCTTGGGCAGGAGCTCTGGGCGTCCACCAGAAATCTCGTGTTGTGCCTCCTCAGCTGACTTGTACTCCCTTGGCCGCGCCGATTGTGGGCCTTGTGAGTGATGCGCAGGGGGCAGACCAGGCGAGGCCATCGGCGCATGGCTGGCTCCCGGGTGTAGTTGGCGCGAGCCGTTGGAATCCTGAGGTACAGGAAGCCCTGATCCAAAGACATCGGAAATGGGGGGCAAGCGGTTGGCAGTCTGGTGGGCTGGGTTGTGTTGAATGTGTGAAGCATTGGACAGGTGGGCTGGCTGCTGAAGTAGATGTCTGCTGAGCGGATGCGGGTTGTTGCGTCCGGTGAAGGTCTGGCCCAGAGGGGCGGATTGGATGACACGCTCATTGGCAAATTGCTCATGCGATGGCGCGACGATGCTAAGGCCTGCTGGGGCCTTGTTGCGACGGGACATGCCTGGGGTTTTGGCGGCAAACTGATTCGGATCGGAGTCCTTGGCACTGTCGAGCGAGTCGCCTTTGCCCGACTGCTGCTGAAGTCTAGCCTCGATGATCCGACGCTGCTGTTCACGCACATTCAGACTTTGCTGAAGATGTTCCTGCATGACAGGATCCTGGGTCATGAAACCGGGCGATAAGCAAGCCAAGCCGACTTCCTGAATACCGAGCGAGTCGCGAGCGCCCAGGGCGGGGCGGGCAGTGGCCGCACCGGAGCCGACATTACCCTTGGACAAGTCAAGCTTCCGCGGACGATGGCGTGTGGACGGCAGAACTGGCGATCTCGGTTCCTTTTTGACCACAATTCTGGGACCGGGCAACGCGCTTCGGGAGCTGCTTTGACTTGGGGTCAGGAATTTCCACTAAAGGCAGGAGGACCATGTAACAATACTAATCAGACTTACGCGCTGGGTGGAGATGACTTTGGTGCTTGGGCGGTTCTGGTCGGGCTACGACTGCCAGAAAGACGAGCTGGCCGAGGAGCAATGGGGTTGGGTGTGTTTGACGAGGCCGGAGTGTTGGCGGAGAGGCGCTGCGCAGCGGGCGAGGTGGAGGCGGCATGCGCAGGATGGTCGGCGCTGTGGTGAGGCGGGTTGGAGGGCGGCGCGAGCTCTGTAAAGGTGCGCCTGTCAAGGGCGGCCGGGGAGGGAGCCATGGCGACAGCAGCACTCATGATTTGAAGTCGGAAAGAAAAGCAGCAGGGAACGCGAGGCCCGTGAAGATGCTGGTGGAGGTGATGATCTGCCCAGGCCGCTTGTAGGAGCTAGCAAGAGCGTGATTTGGACGTGTGTAATGGCGCGAAGGTGGGCGGCGAGGCCAGGTTGCCTGCGGGCAGGCGAGCAGGTTGGACGACGTAGCGAAGCGAGCGAGGCGGGGCGGACGTTAAGAACGTCGATGCGTGCTGACGCTGTTGGAAGGGCAGGAAAAAAAAAAACGAAGAGGCCACGCGATAGACGGGTGGGAGGGGAAAACAAAGAGAGGGTTAGAGGCGACGGAGGAGTGCTTGACGAAAAGAGGTTGTCGGGGGTGCTGGGCGGGAGGACGGGCGGCCGAGGGATGAAAGTGGAAGTAGTGGTGGTGGTGGTGGTGGTGGTGGTGAGAGTAGCGTTGGGATGGGGCGGGCGCGGGCTGTTACAGAGTGAGCAGGGGCGTGCGGCAGGACATGTGGAATGAGCCAGGGGTGCGGCCGGCCCATGTCTCGAGGGACCCGACCATCAAACTGTCAGACCCGCAGACCCTCGCCTTCCAGGTCGGGTTGCTTCTTTCTCCTGCTCCTCCCTGCTGCCCCTGCCGCCAGCATTGGACGCCATGCTCGTGAAGCACGCCTGCGGCGGCCATTGCTGCCGTGGTCGTTCTGCCGGCCCGTTGCCTGACAGAGGCAGCACCCGAGGCATTCATCGACCGAGTCAATGCCCTGCCTCCAAGCCCGAGTCCCGTACCGATCTCTGGTCCAGCCTGGCCGTGAGCGCAACGAGCTGCACGAGCACGCGTTGCGAGTGTCGCGCGAGCGTGCGTGGCGATTGGTCGGCGAGTGCTCGACAGCCGCCGCGGGCGCCCCACTCGTCGACATCTTGCCCAATCACTACCCCTTCTGCTCAGGTGAATTCAGGTGGCTCCTCCCATTGTCACAGCAGGATGGTTTGACGGCTATTCACCTGGCACCTCCAGCCTGTTAATTAATTCTGCCGTCTTCGCTAACGAGCAGTGGGTTCTTCGTGTCCACTGCCTGTCTGGCTGCTGTCAGTCTCACAACGGAGATACGCGTGCACCTGGCGGGCAGCGCTGGCGCCAGAGGCTTGAGTGCCTGGCAACACAGCTTTGCGCGGACGACACTTGAAACATTGGATCGACACTCGTCCCATTGGGCCGTCGCGCGCCTCGCCCGATCAGACCCGCCCGTCAGTGACTGGCGGCCCTCGAATTCCCCGCCAGCACCAACAAGACACCATTGTGCCTTCGGCCAGAAAGACTGTGTGCCTGTTCAGCTCGAATCCTGGAATCCTTACCTGGGCGGGTCTGCGTTCTTGGTGGCAAGTGCTGGCTGATCAATCACAAGGCCATCACGCTAAATTCTGATGTGCGCATTTGACCTGGAAGCCTCAGCTCCTCCACCCAAGGCCCACGATGGGGAATCCCAGCCCTGAGCGACCCGCACATGAAACACTCGAGGTGCAATCTGGTGCATGGCCAGCCGCATCCCTAGCGAACCATTGGCGGGTGGCCTGCCAGCCTCTGTGAGTCACCCATCATCCTCTTGCAGGTCGCTGGTTCCAACATCCAGGCAAACTACATGTACTCATCAAGTCTGTGTTTAACCTGTAGCTAGCCAGTCCTCGGAAGTCTTCAAGGCTGCTCTATGACCAGTGAGCAGGTTTGCGACAGAGTTCCCCAAAGCACAGCTTACACACGGCAGGCCCTACCTGCCACGTTTTCTCCCAGGATCCGCGCCGCTTAGCAGTCCGTGCTAACCTGTCACTGTGACAGACCGCACGAGTTCGTGTCAACTCTGTCGCATCCCAACCTGCCCACCTTAGCTAGCTGAGACAGCTAGCCTCTGCTTCCGCGAGTCAACCACGTCGTGAGACTCGACTGGGACTGTCGGGCACAGCAATCGTTAATTGTTGTGCTGGGGTGTGCCTTGTGGTGCGATTTCAGATCCAGCAGGAGCATGACGATCAAATAGCCTCACCTCAACTTGGCACCAGCATGGGGCCAAGTCATCACCCCACCGCTCTGCGACCAGGCATTGCGGTCCCCTGGCGTCGCTGATATATAGAGATGGCAATCGATGCCATAACAACACAGATAATCAACCTGTTGGATGCATCGTGACTTTTATTAGTGGCCAGCCCCGCCAACGCGGCAGGTGCCAGCCGCACTATTGCACGCAGCAAAGAGGCGAATGCCAGAGCATTCACTATGGTAGACTGGTCAACGTCATCAGGCCACCATCTTCTATCGCTTTTGAATCTATCTGCTACTGTATGAAGCAAACGAGCAAATCTTCGCAGGTAACGAACCAGCACAGCGAGGGAGGGTTGGTTACGTGGGGGTGTTGAGGGTCACAAAATGCGTTGCTTATGCGCATGCATACTAGCCGTGCTGGAGGGTCTAGAGCCGAGAACACGGCGGCTCCGCCATCCGCCGCGGCGAGCAGAGGACACGCAAAGGTATTCATTGTTTGCTTATCGACTTGGCCCTGTGCTTTGCGTGCTTTGATGCGAATGTGAACGTGCCGCCGAGTGGCGTGGGAGATGGACAAAATCCCTAGAATCTCAGGGGCTTTAGCCGTTCAGAGGTTTTTGTCACTACCTTAGTAGGGATACAGCCAGGAATGGTAACATGACAATCAAAGAGCAGCAGCGCGTGGCAAACCGACGCTCTCGGACAAACGCAATCTGCTCTCCACGGCTCGCATGAAGCCGTGTCCTGAGCTCACTGCATAATGATAGTGAAATGCTTGTTGGCAGTAGTTGGACTGCATCCGTCCCCAAGCTCTTGGTGGTGACTCGAGCTCACTATGGAGGTGTTGTGCCTTGACACGTGAAAGGACGCAGCTGACTTATGCCTGCGAGTGAGTGATGGAGTCCTCGGGGTCTAGTCTGCCAGCTGCAAGCCAGCTGGGCCCCGACCCCCGGAAAAAAGTTCTGGCCGCAGCAGGCTTATCGCCATTTTTATCGTCATAGGTGCATCTCCAGAATCCCGCCGGATTTCAAGAAGTCGGCAACCACTTCAGTTCTAGAAAAGGACACTTCAAATCACAATTCTGAGAAACACCGTTCAGTAGCCGGGTGACACCGTTGTACCTATACAATCCCAATCTTGCCCGCAAACCGCGCAAAAAGGGCTACAAGCAGCAGCATTGCAGCATCAGCCAGTCAGCAGTACCTGGAAGACCCCACTAGCGAAACAGATCAGGCACGGCATCCTTGGTACTACAACTGTCAGCAAATATGCCGGGAAGGACGAAAGCTCGCGCCGAGCCCGCGGCCGACGCCGCTATGGAGGATGTACCGTCCTCGGCTCAGAAGGCGCATGAAGTTGTGGAGGACGGCGATGACGCCATGGTCGACTCCGCTGACGGACAAGAAGAGGAGGAGGAGGAGGAGGAGCTGCCGAAGGTTAAGATCGTACGTGCAACCATCCAGGAGCATCACCAAATGATGGCTCTTCCGCTGACTTGCTTGGTAGCTGCCCGGCTCCTCAGACACGGCCGCCTCGTTCGAGTTCGAGAAGGAGAGTCACACGCTGGGCAATGCTCTTCGTTACATCATCATGAAGAAGTACGTGCATGCTTGTCCAGAGCTCATACCAAGGACAGAAATACTAACGAAATTCATTCACAGCCCCGATGTTGAGTTCTGTGCCTACGCTATCCCGCATCCTTCTGAGCAGAAGATGAATCTGAGAATCCAGACGTACAGTGAGTACGGGGTGTGACTTGGAGTTCTCAAAAAGCGATCAAAAACTGACAATGGTCTGCAGATGACTACAAGGCCACAGACGCGCTCAAGAAGGGTTTGCAGGATCTGGAAGATCTCTGCGATGTTGTCTCTGACGAGTTCTGGACTCGGCGAAATGAGTTCAACGAAAAGAACGGCATCCTGCGTGACTAACCCGGAATCACGATGACGCAAGAAGAGTGTGGTTCGGCGCAGTCTGGTAGAATGGCGCGTGGCAGCGCTTTCACATCGCTCCCAATGGTGTTACAGGAGTTCTTTAATAGATGGGCGCGTTACTAGGAACATCGATAGGCTTTCTCGACCGTGTGGTTATTGTATCGCGAAAGACCTAGACTGCTATGTACAATGATCAATGTTTTCATGATGCCCGCGTTCATCGTATAATTCTAGTTCCGGCCCTATACAGTGCTACATGTCAGCTTGGGCTCGCAACTACATTTGAATAGAGCCTGAAACACGGCTTACCTCAAGGAAACCCTTCATAAAGGTGTTGGGAAGCCGTTCGGTGCCGCGGAAGCTCTCCTCGGGAAAGTATGACATAACATGGGTGAGCTGTTTCCAGTAGTTCATCATTTCCTATAACAAATATCTGTAAGCAGCCGCCTCGATCAATCGAACAGAGCCTCAGTCGTAGCACATTATCCTCGTGGCAATCTTTGCTTCGCGGAACCACAGGCCACCACTCTTTCGACCTCTTCTTTCACGCCAAGCTGTCATCCACCTCTCCTCAATCAAACCTGGTGCATACTGACCTGGTATTCGGCATTGTTTTGCATGAGCAGAACATCGACGACCGGGAGTTTGTTGACGTATCTGTGGCGCTCAAACTCTTGCCGCATCCGTGTGCGCATAACCGAGACAGGTAAAGGAACGGAGTAAAGCTGTTGGATCTCGGGTGCCTAGGATTGTTGTGATAGTGATGCGCGTGAGCTTCTGCGTGTCCTGCAAGGTAGAGTATCGATCATATCGCCGTGGATATACGTGACGGGGAGGGAAGGTCGGCTGGGTAACATACAGCTCGGATCCATTCTCTGTAGGCAGAGAGGACTCGCCGCCGGGCATCGTTCCAATTGGCAGCTACGGAAGGATTAGCCACATATATGTAGAGAGATCGGAGGTGCATGAACTGACAGGTGCGCGTGGTGCGCGCGAATTGGGTTGGTGTTACCGCCATGATGATGGGTGATCTGCTGCTGCTGCTACGTCGTCGTCTTCAGGCCAGCGAGGAGGGACGAGCTGTTTGAATGCGTGATGCTGGAGGTGGGCTCAGGTAGGGAGCGGGTCAGGGCCTGTGTAGCCACGCCGGAAGCCAGGCTGTGTGGCTTGTGCGTCCAGTGTCCTTGGAGCAGCCCTTCCAGGGAGCAAGTGGGGAGCAGCCGACGACGACTGGACTTGGATTGTTACGTCAGCACGGCTCAGCGTCGTACTGCCTCGAGCTGTTGATTCGCGCTACGCGGTTCACATCTCTGGCCCCACCACAGACTTGCAACTTCCAAGAGCTTTTCACGATCGTCTCGTAACCTCACATCGAACTACAACACGACGGCCCAGCCGTAAGACTTGTGCTCAAGACAAAGTCTTTGATCAGGCGACCAACGCCACGTCACAGTAGCACCCCTTGCTCCCGCTCCACCGACTTGGGATACCCATAAGACATGCCCGCCATCCGAACACATGCGTCACGAAACAAGAAACCGCCGGCAGGCTTTGACAACATACGCGATGATCTTGAAGTCTTCAACATCAAGATGAAGGATGCTCAGAATGCGCCGAATAACAACGTGGCCAAGTCGCAGGCGACGTGGCCCATCTTCCAAATCGCCCATCAACGCAGCCGTTATGTATACGAGCTTTATTACGAGAAGGAAGCGATCAGCAAGCAGCTCTATGACTGGCTGTTGAAGAATGGCTACGCCGATGCCATGCTGATTGCGAAATGGAAGAAGCAGGGCTACGAAAAGGTACAGTCGTCCTTGATATCCAGTCCATAACACCTCTGGCATTTCATGCTAATCGGGCGGTTTAATGTTACAGCTATGCTGTTTACGGTGTATCCAGACGAAAGAGACCAACTTCCAGTCGACTTGTATATGCAGGGTGCCAAAGGCCCAAATGAAGGACGAAGGCGATATCCAGTGCGCAAGCTGCGGGTGTCGAGGATGTGCCTCGAGTGATTGAGGCGGCCTTTATGGCAGAATACGAGATACCCATTGTTGCTTCTTGTTTTTGCGTGGCGTTCGTGGTTACATGGGCATAGAAATCGCGGTGCATAGCATGATACAGGCATACAGTAATGACGACCGGGACGACCGCTAGGCGGGCTTGGGAACATGTCGAGCTTGCAGCTCTGTCGAGTCGACGTTGCGTGGTCCGTAGTGCATGCCAGAGGCGCCGTGCGGTCGTCCTCGGGGGGAATTGCTTGCCAAGCAGAGCGAACGGGATTATTGAGTTGCCAGCAGTTTTGCCTGGCGTCCAAGGGGTGCCCATCATCAAAAGTACTTTTCTCTGGGCCATGACAAGTCGAGTTGACCACATTTCGCAGAAGCCTAGACACCGGTTGCACATGAATCTCGTAGACATTCCTATGACATATTGCTGTATGTCGCCGAAGACAGTAGTTTCCTCAAGCTGCATGTGGCAGGCCCTCATCTTTTCGCGAAGCCCGACCTCTTCCCTGATCGGCCAAAACGTATGCTTGTAGGAACGAACTGGAGAGAGGACATTGCTCCAGTGAGGTCTTCCATATCGTGGTCGGACTGCTCTACAGGATCTGTTCTAGGCTCCTCGCCATCACGGCTGGCTTGGGAATATGGTTTCCCACTCGGGCTTCGACCAGGTGCTGCTGAAGCGAGGGTGCTATTTGCGCCTGAAGACTTCCGTCGATGATGACCAGGACCTAGCAGGAGTGATGATCTGCCATCAACGCCCTCTTTCGTCACAGCGAAGAAGTAGTTCTTGGGGAACATGTGTTTGTCAATGGCGTGCAAGCGACGCTTCTGTGGCGTTCTGCATTTTCGACTACAGTCCTCGGCGAAGCAAGAATACTACCACGGCCACAAGGGTTCGTCCCGTTGATCATGTTAGCGTGCCTTAACGTCACTTTGTCCATGTGTCACCAGTGCTCAACGAAGCCCGAAACGAAATCGCCGCATTGTAGAGGAAAAAGTAGCGCAAGCCTCCGAACGGGCTACTCACAGTGTGTTCTCCCTTATCCCTCCTAACAGCAGCGAATGGGTCGTGGCATTCCTCGAAATGAAGTCCCAGGTAGTGGGCAGACGGCAGGTTCTTGTGGCACTCAGCGCATCTGTAAACATGCTCCTTGCTGTAATGAGCCTCGTAGTCTCCATATGAACGAAACGCTAGAGGCTCCTTGTGTGGGGGCAGAGTGCATCGCATTTCAGTGCTTGCACCTGAGGACGAGCCTGAGTTGGCCAAGCCGACAATCTTGCGAGCCGAACCTGAAGCTTCGGTAGCTTCGCTAAGCTCAGGTGGGCGGTGTTCGTCCTGAGGACTACGTGAGCGTTTCATCCCTAGTATCGCCCGGGCGGAGCGCGATCCAGCGCGAGGGCGGGGTTGGCTTGACAAAGCAAAACTAACACGGAGGACTCAAAAATCGGGCAAGGATGATGATTACGACTCAATGGGCGGTGTTGCCAGTGGTTGGTTTGAGGCCGATCGGACTCGGGATCAACGATGCTTGCTGACAATGGGCAAGCGTCGGATGGAGTGCAAGACGCCCAAGAAATGGCGACAGCTACGGTTCCAGTTGTGCAGGTTGGGAGTTTGTGTTGACGTGCGGCCTTCGTGATAAAGCAGATGCGGCCAAGGTCGCAGATCAGGAACAACGAGACTGGAGCAGGCCTCTGTGATGGCAAAGCTGGTCAGGAGCTGTGCCTGGGTGCGAGCAGGGCCATGTGGCGGTGTCGTCAAGAGTGGACTCTGAGTTGGCACGGTTGGAGACAGAGCAAGGGCCCCAGATGCGGAGGCAGTCCGGGCCTTAGCATGGCAGCGCTGGCAGGAAGAAGACCCTGAGCTGTCTTCAGCGTCACTGTAGCGTGGCCGCCTGCCTGTGCAGACTGGTCTTGTGTCAAGACCTCACCACTGAATGTGGCCATCGAAGTTGCCGTCATGGCCAACATTGTGGGGTGGGTTGCGCACCAGGCGAGGGGCAACGGATGGAGCCAGTGGTGCCAGTCCACACCCACCCAACCTTGGGCGCTGGCAGGTCCCTGGATTTTCTTTGTCGATAGTGCTACATAATAGCTGTGCCCCATTTCGTCAGGCCGCCTGCCTGTCGCACGCACAAGCGACAGCCTTGGATCCTCGAAGCGCTTCCTCCAGAGGATTCTTCCAGCGCATCACCACTGCTGCCGTCGCGCCTACCGTCAACCCTGTCGCAAAACGCTTGCGCATCCTGTCGCCGCGCCTTGCTGCGCATTGCTCAGGGTAGCTCTTCACCCACGCGCCCCAAGGACGCTGCAAGACGTAGAAACTCGATCGGCCTTTATTGTCGATCCTCCTTGACAGCCCGTCGCCAATGTTCGAGGCGGCCACTCTCCACCACGCCCGCCTAGATCTCGCCTGCCTCCTGAATAATGGGTCGCTCTTGCCTCCGCGAGTGCAGCCAGACCGTGTGTGATCTCGAGCTTGAGCTCTGAGCCCTTCTGCCGGGTTTGCTCCCGAGGTCCTGTCTCGGCACTCGCCATGGATGTGCCCACCGCGCGCTCCATGGCGCGCGCAAGTTGGGGGTAATGCCACAGCCATGGCCTTCGCCAGCTCTCTTATCCGGCCTGTTCCGAGCTGACCTAGCTCCAGTGACGTCCAGAAAACCCGGGCAAGCCTGCACGCACAGGTCACGGACGTGAGGAAGGAACGCGGCAACGCAACCTACATGGCCATGTTCGACGGCATTGAGCAGAAGCTTTCGCAGTACGTCGCTCCGGGCCCACCTGCGGCTCTCTTTCTATGCTGACTTGACCTCGTCGTTGCCGAAGACTGCGCCTGGCCTGCATGCAAGTCATATTCCATGACTTTGAGTATGCCGCTGATAAGAAAGCCGAGCACACCCTCTGGCAAGCCCACACCTCGGTCAACAGTGAGTATCGCCGAGTCGTGGGCCGTCTCTGTGGCCAGAGCCAGGTCGTCCAGAAGCGGAAGCTCGAGAGGATGTACAAGGACTTTCTGAAAACTTCGCAGTCGTTCTATTGTGGCTACATTCAACGCCTTGCCAGCCGTTTCTTCATCCCGGAACTTTGCCAGGCTGCGCAAAGGCTGAATGTTCAGCCGACCGATATGCCGTCTCGTGATGCCTCGGTCCCCGATCCGGTGCGCAAGCTCGTCACGAGCTCCTGCCAAAGAAGTCTTGTTCATCTCGGTGACCTCTCAAGGTATCGCTGTCAAATTTCGGACAAGTCCACAAAGACTAGCTTCGACACGGCCCTGGCATACTATGGGCTTGCGAACTCCGTAGACCCGGACAACGGGTCTGCACACCACCAGATGGCGGTGCTCTACCAGCTTCATGCCCAACACTTTGAGATAGTCTATCACTTCCACCGGGCCATCGCTATAGCAAAACCTCACGAGCTTGGGCTTGGCAATCTGGAAAGGGAGTATCGTGGCCTGCAGCACCCTACACCAGCTGCCCAGGCGGGGGCTCCTGCTGACGCGATGGTATCTTGGTTTGTACGTCTTCATGGGTTCTACTTCCATGGAGAGCCGTTTTCGCAACAGGCCGAGCTCGAAACCGAAGTGCTGCATAGGTCTGAGCAGGCTTATAAAGCACAGAACCCCAACCACGTTCTGCTCCGAATGGCACTGATCAACATCGCTGCCTACGAGATCGCAACCAGTAAAGTCAAAGGTCAGCCATGTGCGGAACATTCCATTAGGACGACTTGCTAACGAGCCGTGGTTGCAGAGTCGTGGACTTTGACCGCATCCCGCACCTGCCAGTTTCTCCTTCGCTGGACAATCCGCAGCATTGCTCTACTTTTGCGGCTGGTCAAGGCTGAATTTCTTGACAGCCGGGCCACATTGCCAACTTCGGTCATCTCAACTGGCAGCGATGAGTCGCCGATGTCCTCCAGCGCACTGTTCACGAGCCACCTTGCCCTCCTCCGCATGTATATCGCATGGATTTACACTGTTCGTTCAGATATTGTGGAGTATCGTGCGTTTTTAGAGCCTCACGCCAGTGATGTATATCGCCTGCTCGCCGATTCACTGACCCTTTTCAATGAATACGTCGACCAATTCAGCGATACACTCAAGTCAGCGTATCTCCTGCCCGAGGATGTCGAGGCCATCGGCTTGCGGCCGCTCGAGGATCGCAGGCTCCCGCTGTTTTTCCACGTCCTCGAAGAAAGTGACACCCGAACGTACAAAAAGTTCAAGGTCCGCAAACAGCGCAAGGAAGAATTGGGGGCCAACCACAGTGTGCAAACGGAGACGGTGTGGCGAATCCGGGACATAGTCTACTGCGGCATCCTTCTTGCTGGTAGCACGCACTTTCCGGTCTCGATCACAGCCATTCAGCGTCCCGACGGACGCACAACCGAGGGTTGGGTTTTTACAGATGAAAATCCAGCCGCCTCATACATTACTGAGATCGAAATGTCTCGTATGCTTAGGCGACTGGAGTTGCCCAATTCTAAAATCATACACGACCAACAGGGTACTCGGCCGGTTCAGACGCAGTCCGCGACCCGCGCTCTGACCCCTACGAATGCTGTGTCGCCTGGAACACTGCTGTCGGACAAGCAGATCGCCGCCCACCCTACGAACGACGCCACCCACAGCGAACGCATCTCTGCCCAACCCAATGCGAACAAAGCAACGAGCGCTGTTGGCGACTCTGAACTCAACCAGGACAGCGAAATGCTCGACATGGTCAACAAATTGCTCGATCCCGCTGACGACGGATCGTCGAAGCACAGCAGCGCCTTTCATGAAAGTAGCTATGGTATGAACACTTCTACGGCCAATGACATATTTGGTCACATTGGACATAGCTCGGATCAGCCGTCTCCTGTTGCAAAGCAAATCCCGAATCTACCGTGGGAATACTTCTACAATGCCAGCTGGAACGAGCCCAGCACACAGGCTCGAGGGCAGGCAATCATAGACAGGTCATACGTTCCGCGCTCTTCCGTTGGGAGTCGTGACGATATGCGCGAAAGCCTCGGTGGAGTCACCGGCCAAGTCCCGGGCGTTGGTGTCCGCAATGACCGTCGCTCCGCATTTGACAAAGTGGGTGAGGGTGCCGCATCTCCTCGTCAGTCACAATCGCAAAATCGTGGAGTCGAAAGATTTTCCCTCCAGCCACAGCATGAGAGCTCAAGACATGCCGTCCTTGAATCTTTAGCTCAAGCTTTGTACGCACAACACGGTTTACCTCCGGGCAGCCCCAGCGCCGGGTTGGCACCAGGTCTTGCACAAACAGTTTCGGGCGCCGCACCCCCTCGGCGGGCTATCGCTGCAGATCGTTCCGGCCAGACTGGTGGCTGGCCAGCTGCGCCCCGGTATGGCTCAGAGGGTTCATCGTTGCAGCAAATGACGCCACTGAAGACATATACACCAGCTCCAGGATCTAAGGCTATCTCAATTTCGCCGAACTCTAACGCGCATAGATCAGACTATGGTCTGGTCAGTGAGGGTCGCGGGCCGTATCTTGACCCAGGTCAGGGGATCACGCAAACGCCTGGGCCGCAATCACGTCATATTGGTCCGCTTAGCACTGGTTCAGCGCAAAGGCCTGCTTCGGCCTTCGGCCTTGCCAATACTGGTCACCCCGGCTCTCAAGTGTCACAAGAGTGGGATCATTTGGGCTCAATGGACCCATCTGTGATTTTCTCGCACCCCAGCAGCCTGTTCGGCGGCACGCCCGATGCCGTTTCGGCAAATAGAGCTCAGATCCGTGCTCATTCTCGAGGCAATATTTTACTTTCCGGAATCCCTGCGTCGGCAGAAAGCTTAGAGCTAAGCAGGTCCTTGGAGATCCAGCGCTTATCTCACCAAGGATCAGGGGATGTAGGGAACTGCAACATCTAGCTACCGAACCCGCTCTTCCAGCGTCAATGCTAATTTAGATCACACAAGTGGACAATGGTCAGATGTAATTCTCGGGATTTTGTAAATTGATGGCTTTCGATGCGGTAAAAGAACATGGCCAAGATTACTGAATCGATAGGCCGGGTTGTTGAAACACTTTTTCCTCAGTCCTTGTTGATTGTCTATATAATTCCTTGCAAAACGCCCAAACCCCTCTACTTGAACTTCAGTCATTCCAACATGCCGAGCTCTTGCGCAATGTTGTCGACAACCCGTTGAAGGGCCATACTCAGCTTGCCCTCACACCGCTAACCAAATGTTGGTCTTTCACGCTGTGGCCTTGTAGGTCTTCTTGGGGAAGGGGTATCTGTTACATAGTCAGCAATCATGATGCTGGGAGCAGTGGGGATCGACTAGGCCTTGCATAGTTGGATGTGAAAATGAGTGACTTACGAGGGTCCCAGCTCCTGGATGCTCAACCTAGCAAGCCATTGTCCCATGTCAACGGCGGTCTCGAGAGATTTGCCCTCAACCAGGCCAGCAACGAAACCACCGGCGAAAGCATCGCCAGCACCATTGGTGTCATTGATATCCTCGCTGGCGATGGCGTGCACAGGGTACTCCTTGACTTCGTCGCTGCCTTGAATAGCTACAAGCGTCGGCTCGGTACCCTGAGTTACGACGACAATACGAGGCCGCGAGGTATTGGCTTTGGGCAGGTTCGCGATGCTCTTGGCAATGGCTTTGATATCAGTCTTGGACTCGAGTTCATGGCTCTCAGCGTAAGCTGCAGCCTCACTCTCGTTGCAGATGACATAGTCCCAGAACTTGGCACTCTGATCCACGGGATCCTTGAAGAACTGGGGAATGAATGGGGCGCTGAGGTTGACAATGAAGATCTTGTTGTTGTCGGCAGCCTCCTGACCAAGGGTCATGATGGCGGGAACACAGACCGTGTAGTGGTATCCGCCAACATAGTAGAACTGGGCATTTTTGACAAGAGGCCAAATCTCGGGGGACTTGAGGTGGTCAAGATCATAGTGGTTGGCAGCAGCGAGGTCAGTGCACAAGCTGCGGTTGTGGCCGGTAATGACGACGCCACAACGACCGGTGGGCTCATTGGGATCGACACGGTACTCGACACGGAGGCCAGCCTGCTTCACAGCATCCTTGAGGATGGCGGCGTACTTGTCGTCACCGACACCGCCAAGGTAGACGACGCTGTTGGGTTTGAGGATATAGCTGGCGCCACGAGCAGTGTTCTGCGCAGCACCGCCGGCAATCAGCTTCGCATCGTAGTTGTTCAGGAGGTCCTCATAAAGGCCCTTGTGCTTGTCTTCGGCAAGAATAGCGTCGTTGGCCTTGAGGTCGTACTTGTCGAGGAGTTCCTGCGTTCCCACAGCCTGGATATCTGCGGAGACGCGTAACTTGTCAGTATGTCACCCTCAAACCGTGACGCAGAAGGAACTTAAGAACACGTACCCAGGAGGGGGTTCTCAAGACAAAGGAGGGTGAAATCGCTGGAGGAGGCCATGGTCAATTATTGTAGAAATAAGTGGTGAGAAAATGGGGAAAGTGAGTAATGGAAGCAGGTAGCACTATGCTATTGTAAAGACAAGCCAGCCAAAGTTCACAGAGCGAGTGGCGTTGGTGGGGGGCCTAGCAAGGGACCGCACGGAATTCTCAATGGTGGTGGGGGAATGGGAAGGGGCGGGCGGGTTTCTGCCATGACGAACCCTTTGGCGCCATTGTGCTGCTGGCCATCCCCACACCGCCAACACCTGATGGATCGTGTTACAGCAAACAAGTCTAGATCTAGAGCACATTCGTCTCGAATGAACTTCTGATTTCACTCAAAGCATGATAATGAAGAGGGACTCTGGGCAACAAGTACTGTGTGCCCCTTGCTTTCCATGCCATCCATGCACAGCTGAAGCCTTCGGGTGGCGGACAAGGTTACACAACGCTCATGTTCCGAAATCTACCAGGCATCAGTCCCTCGCAAAACAAGAACGCCGCCGTGGCGCTGAATCTGTAGGCTCATGTAACCAGTGCGCCGAGCAGCACGCTCCGGGTATGGCCAGCTAATCAGACACTTGCCCTTGTGCTTGTGCTCTGAGCTGAACTGCACCAAGAAAATAACATGCATCATGCCACTTGAACCGACGACGAAAGCATTCATACCGGGTACCTCCCATTGAGTCTATCTTGTGTCGACCCACCAGTACCTGAGTAATGCAAAGTGCAAATGAAGTAAACTCCAGCCCGCCTAGATGAACCATGACCACGGCAAACGACTTTTTACTCCTTCGTCTTCTGGGTACCACGCAGCAGACCTGTCCGTCTGGCAGCGATGAGACCCGCCTTTTGACCCTGAGCAGCGTATCTCGAAATGGTAGAAGCTTTACCAATGTGTTGGTGGTTACCCTAAGTTGAGATGCGTCAGCGTTCCGTTCGGTGCCAAGCCCGTCCTTTAGTGCATTCTCCGCAGCTTCGCCATCTGCATGCAGCGCGTCCTCCAGGATAGATCCATAACTTACACCACCGTGAGGGTGATCGACGGGGTTCATGGCAACACCGCGAGTCTTGGGCCAGCTGTTGCGCTTGACGGCGAACTTGTGCTTGGCGCGCGAGGCCTTGAGCAGGGGCTTGTCGGTACGGCCACCGCCAGCAACGATGCCGATCATGCCGCGGGCACTGCTGGGGACGACCTTCTTGGCGCCGGAGGGGAGCTTGATGCGGGTCTTGCCCTCGTCGGGGTTGTGGCCGACAACAGTGATGTAGTTACCGGAAGTGCGGCCAAGGACACCGCGGTCACCAGCACGCTCCTCGACGTTGGAGACGACGGTACCCTCAGGCATTGAGCCAAGAGGAAGGACGTTGCCGACAGTCAGGGCGGCGTTCTTGCCGGCGTAGATGAACTGGCCGGTGTACATGCCCTCGTTGGCAATGAAGGTCTCGGTGTGCTGCTTGAACTTGTAGGGGTCGCGGAAGGAGACCTTGGCCAGCGGGGCACCACGGCCAGGCTCGTGGACGATCTGCTTGATCACACCCCGGATGTATCCATGGCGCTCGGCGTAGTCGAGGGTCCGGAACTTGGCGGGAGCCTTGCGAAGGCGGGTGTTGGCGGCTAGAAGATATCGATGGTAAGCCAGACTGCGCATCAACGAGCTCGCACACGTTTCCCAGCGTTGCCGCAAAGTCTCTTCATCGTGATCCTCAATCTTCCTTTTCCCCTCTTCGACAAGACTTCATGTTCCAGCCCAGAGGCATCCTCTTCCGGGTGAGTCCATGACTCTCCTCCCCATTCCAGATCCCCTGTCGATATGGTCGAGACGTGGCGGCTGCGTGCGAAGCGGAGGCGTAGTGGAAAGGCCATCGGGTTCAACTTACTGAAGATACCGCCGTTACCCTTTCTCTGGTTACGAATCTACAAGACGGCATTGAAATCAGCATCGGGAGCGCGCAGAGGAGTCGAAATCGCTTCAATCGGAATTCGTCGAGAACATACCACGCGACCCATGGTGTCGGCCTAGTCGTGACGGGTTGTTGTGTGGTGGTTGGTATCCGCGGACTGTCTGGTATGGGAGTGTTCAAGGCGCAGGTGCAATGACACCCAGAAATTCCGTGTATTTTTTGCTCGGTCGCAGCCCGGTTTGTGTGTCGGACCCTAGCGAAAAACAGAAACTTGCAGTCCCGTGGTGGGGCTGCAAGAGGTGGCCCAAGCTTTCATTGACAAGCCAGCGCCACCACATACTCCAGCCACAGTGACACCAGCCACACGGATCAGTCAGCAGATCTGCTGGGGATGGGCCCCCACCTTCTTTGTCAGCCAAGTGGCCTTGGGCACCTGGGCAGGTCCGAATGTCAATTGAACGTTCTGAAGCTGACTTGGGGAGCATAGTAGCATTGTCTGGCTCCACCTTCGAATGATAAGGCACTGGCCCGGCGCCGGCGCGTCTCTCTGACGAATTGCTCTCCGACCGCGATCCTAGAAGCCAACCTTGGAATGGTCGTGACCACGTCGCTTGTAACCACCATCACAACCTTGGAATCAAACTCAACAGCACAACTTCCAGACAGCGCACCACCCCAACCGAGTCCTTCTCAGCTTCAATCACTTTGTCCGCCACTCAGGTCACCTCAGGTCACCAGCTTGTCGACACTACCCAGGATGGCCGCGCCCAGGCACGCTGTCGAGTTTGACAAGATCATCGACGCCGGTTCGTAACCCACGACCTTGATGCATTTTGGTGCTGCCAAACCCAGACCCTGATTATCCATAGGCCGAGAACGGAAAAAGAACGAGGCACTCGCTGCGCGCATCTTCAATCGCGACTCGGCTCGCCGTTCCAGCACACCAGCTAGGACATCCAGCCCTGGCGCTGGTTCCCTCGCCAGCCGCGTGGGTGTCAAGAAAGTATGTTCACTGTCCGGTGCGATTCTCCCAGGCATCTCTAGTGCTTGGGAATCTGCAGCGCTTCTTCGAGTACTGACCAATTTGGCCCCAACAGCGAGGATCGTCAACAGTTCGCACTCCTACCGGCAACATCAATGGTGAATGGGCGCATGATCTACACAAGGCCCACGAGACACCTAAGCAATCGGCGCCAGCGACCAATTCACTGGCCGCCAGGATACATGCACCTGGCACGGCCGCCCCGAAAGCGACAACCCAACCTCGACAGAACCGTGCTTCCAAGCTTGCTGATGCCTACAGCCGTACACAAGCACATGCTTACCCACCACCCGGTCTCCAGCAAGGCCAGGGCATAACCATTCGGGGCCTCGCTGGGCCGTTTGCAATCATGGCCCAGAACTTCGCCCCAGGAACGACGGCTGCCGACATCGAGAGTGCCATGACCCCCGTGGGGGGTCTCATCACGACATGCCGCTTGATCAAAACACATCCCATCGTTATTGCCGAGATTGTTTTCGAGAGCAAAGAAGGCGCGGAACGTGTGATTCAAACCTTCAACAACCAGACTGTCAGTACTTGCTCCCTTGCGCATGCATCTGCATCACGTGCCAATGATCTTCAGAGTCAGCGATTTCCCCGACTAACACTGTTATGTGCAGGCCGATGGTAGGACGTTGCATGTATACTCAAAACCAGGTGCCTCGTACCACCCAGCCCCTGGCGCCGTACCTGCTGGGCCTCGCTCGTCACGCATGAATGGCAGCATTATCGATGGCTCTATGGGCTTCGATGATTCGATGGACACAAGCGAAGCATACAACTCGAGGCCGACAAAGCAGGGCACGAGCGGGTCCGCTGGTACGAACAAAGGACTGTACAGCGACTCTATCGTACGGGACAACAGTAGGAACAGCGACATAGCGGGCTCGAGAAGAGGTAGGGGTTTCAAGCCGCGAGGCGGCGCAGGGAGGTGACCTTGAGATGCCAGAATACGCCAAAACCACAGGATGGGACTAGTTATTTGGTGGGCATTTTCTTTACACATAGACCCGGGCGGGATTCTGTCTGGTGGATCCTGGGCCTCGGCTGCTCCATAACTAGTAGATTCTACAACAGACGTTTCGAGATTGTCGTTACTACTGCATTATGAGGGATACCCATCATGTCAAACAGTCCTCTGGCAACGCACAATGCGCGAGCTTTACAACCTTTGTCCGACGTACAGATTCGGCCTCGTGTGTTCACGTGGTGCTTTGTTGTCGTCCTTCTTGGTGAGCGAGCTATGTTCATTCATACATACCGGACCTCCAGCCTATGCAAATGCTAGTTTCGAACAGCAACCACTTTATGTGAATGTTCCACCCCTTTTCAAAGCACTTGAGAAATCTCCAGATTGCCATCCCACGTGCCCTCAAACCAGGATACGTAAGAAAGCTACGGATACACAGAGGTGACAAGTTCCGCTTCTACAGTCTCCCGGCCGCTCCAGCTTTACATCTGATCTATCATCTTGCCTGCTTCTTTTCAGGCAGTGATCTCTGGTCAAAGCCCAGCAGTTTCCGTTCGGGGAGCGCCTTGCTCCACGTCCCCACGTCACCAGGAAATCTTCTTTCGTCCGCCGAGCGACGCAGGCTATAGCGCAATGCGCATAGTAGAGTGTTTCAATGGAGGGGCTTCTTGTGGGCGTCGCGAACTGCCATGGCTGTTCCGACCAATGTGTGGTCTGCCAACCTATGAAGACACCGGTGCGTTCAAGTGCCAAGGTAACCATGCTGTCCTCAATGCCATGGGTTTTGCCCATTGTACCCCTCCTCCAAAGTTCGTTCTTCAAGGTTCCGGATGAAATCTCTGTTGCCCCTTGCGCCGCCTCGTTGTGCCCTACTATCCCTCCTACCAGCAACTCTACTAGCACCTTGATCTCCCAATCCGAGCCCACTTTCTGACGGGGGAGGATAGTATGCTGGGCTTGGCTGGAGTCGTATAGGCTGGCTCGGGTCCAGATGACTAGCAACTCTCTGTATGGCTGCCGGGATACCGCTTTGCTGCTGATCCATGGTGGAGGCGCGCTGTCGTCCAGCTCGTACAGTAGCCTGCTGATAGAGGTTTGGTTGAGGAGCTCCCGAGTAATTGGCAGCCGGCATCTGAGCAGGTGGTGGATTCATGCCCATCTGCCCATACGAAGGCTGTTGAGCTCCGTATGCTGGAGGGGCTCCCGAATGACTTGCGCTTGGTGAGTACATGCCGTTGTTGGAATACACGGGGTTCTGCGCATGGGGCGAGGCCGGATACTGATTCGGCTGCATAGCATAGGCGCTTTGCTGCACGGCAGCCTGGGCTTGAGCCTGGGCTGCCTGCGCCCTTTGCTTGCTAAGCTCGGCAGCTTGCTGTTGCTGCTGTGTGCCGGGCGCCGGAGTGCGGTTCAGTGAACTGGACTTCAGATTCATGGGAGGGACGAAAGGCCCAGTATATTTCTGCTGTGTGATGAAGGGGTGCAGCTTGGCTTGTTGTGGAGACCACCTTTCCAATGGACTAATGGTGAGCAAGCCCCGAACAAAATCGATGAATGCCACTCGATTGTTCATTTCTGAAAGGATAAAAGAGTCCTGGTTAAGATACTTGTGCTGCGGGCCGCAAGTGGAATGGAAAGCTTACCTCGTTCAATCTCGCTTTGTTTCATGTTCTTCCGTGGCATGGGGTAAGACTTGATGATCTCCGGGAGAGTACTGGCCTGGAAATACTTCTTGCTTGGTTGTTCCTTGGTACCACGCTCTCTTGAATACTGCTCCATGCTCTTCAAGTGATACGTTTTGCGGCCAAATTCGTCTTGCCTTTTCTCGAAGAAATCGCCAGACTGCTTGCCAACCTCAATCATCCAGTTTGGAGGATTGCCAAGCATCTCATTGATTCTTGACACCTGGTTGTATTCGGAGGAGCCGGGAAAGAGGGGAAGGCCCAAGAACAGCTCAACCACGATACAGCCCAAGGACCACATGTCAATCGCTGACGAGTATGGCAATCCGAGCAGGACTTCTGGGGAGCGGTAAAAGCGTGACTGGATATATGTGTAGACAGTCTGACGTTCGTCACAGGCGGATCCAAAATCAATGATTTTGATAATGGGGCTTTCCAGATTTTTCAGGAGGATGTTTTCGGGCTTGAGATCGCAATGTATGAGACGTGCTTTGTTGAGGAGCGCAAGGCCATTGAGCAATTGCTGTGCAAAGACGCGGACAAGGGTCGTGCTAAGACCGCGGAACTGGTTCTGTTTGATGAGTTCGTAAAGGTTGACGCTGAGCAGCTCGAAGACCAAGCAAAGGTGCTGGCGGTGGATGAATGTGTCCTTGAGCCTCAGCAAATGATGGTCATCGTTCTTGTCCAGTTTTGTGTTCAACTATGGCCTGATGTCAGTTCAACGACGACAATTCTGTTGGAATTGAGGCGCACTCACCAGGTCGAGAACAGAGACCTCCATCATGCTTTGATTGAAATACGCGGTACGATTCTTGATGACTTTGACAGCCACGACCTCTTGGGTTTTGAGGTTCTGACATTTGACAACTTGGCCGAAAGTGCCCTGACCAAGGACATCGAGGATAAGATAACGATTTCTGTCTTTGTAAGAATATGATTGCCCAATTGGTGGGTAGGCGGATTCGTGAATATGACGTACTTGTGACCGGCTTCCTCCGAGCCAAGAATATCGTTCACGTAGAGTATATAGTCGCTATCTTCATTGTCGTAACCATCATTCTTGGTACCCTTGCTTGGCTTCGTCAAAACCCGTCGGGGGTTGCGGGACGATTCGTATTTGAAGTTGGGGTTGCAGATGCGATACGTCGAAGGTAGATGGCACGTCAGCGCTTGCAACGGCTATGGCCAAGATTGTTAGCTTCAACATCTTCGTACTCAACAGCGCCCAGAATTTGGGCGTACACTTATGAACCCTCCCTCTGGGTTGGCGCGGCGAAAGGGAGGTTGTGAGTTGACCCGCGGCCTCAACTCGGAGATAGCGCCGACTTTTTTGAATTGAGGCACCGGGCGCTTCTCCGGAGGCGGCTGCATCACATGCCGACTGGAATTAAGGTCCTTCATAAAGCTGCCGTCGAGTCCTCCCGAATTCATGATGGAGGAGAAGCTATCTTGATTACCAGAATAAGGAGACAAAGGGGGGAGTTGGGGAGCCTGGCGACTGCCATAGTAAGGGCTCTGCGCCGGATATTCTGCACGTGTGGGGGATTGCCGTTGGCTGAGTGGTGTTGAGTATTGGGCCTGGCTCGCAACACCCTTCTGGCCGTACGGCGAGTTGGGTGATAGAACCTCCATGGGCGAATATCTTTGTGCAGCAGCAGAAGGCTCCTGCGGTGAATGGAGTGTCGAAGCGCGGCTGCTCGATGAGTGAGATTGATGGTGTGGTCGGATAGGGTACTTTGTGGCGCCGTAAGGGTCGTGCGCGTCGTGCATTGGAACGTCACCGTTGCCGTCGCGGGGCTGTGATGCTGTGGTACTGTTTGGTGAAGAGAGAGGATTGCCAACAGTTTGGTACTGGTCGTACTTGTAACCAGAAGAGGCCTGTTGGCTGTAGTCGCGCCCAGGAGTGCCTTGGTTGCTGGCGTTGTACCGCCTGGACCCGCCTGCAGGATCTTGATAGCTCTGCCACTGATCCATGACGGACTATTGTGACTGACAGATTATGTGGGAGAAGACAGGCACCAGTAGCGGAACAGGAACGATGGTGGAGTTGACACGCAACGGGTGTTAGTAGCTGTGCTGTAGGGTGTCAAGAGCCAGGCCTGTCGTGGCTGGCGGGACGGGGCGCAGGCTGCGGGGGCGGCCTTTTGCTACCGTTGCTGTCCTCGAACAAAGGTGTGCAGCTGGTGACTCGCACGAGGAGTACGGCCTCGCCGAGAGGGTGCCCCAGACTTGTGAATGGTGTTGAGCGGCAGCTGTTTTGAAGCGCGAGAGTGGCAGTGAGTCGAACCAGAAGTCGTCGGAAGGCTGCGACGGGACCGTGGGGAAGGGCGGGAGAGCTTCCAAGGATTTGGCGCGACCTGGAGGCAGGCCTCTGGACGCGAGGTGAGGCGGCGCGGAGCAGGGCACAGGTGGCCGGAATGGCGAGGTGGTTGAGGGCGCGAATAGGCTACGAATTCATGGTTGAGAGCTGATGATGACAAGAAGGAGCCACAGCTTGAGTGCCAGTGGGAAGATGAGGCAGTTGGGCTGGCTGGGTACACAGGGTGGACGCGACCAGGCTTAACTTGGCTGGGCCAAAGGCGGGAAGAGGGGCAGCAAGTACGCTGCGGGTGGAGGAGGAGAGGCGGCGGCAGCAGCTGAGGGTGGAAGGAGGATAATCCCGTCAGAGCTAGTGTGGAGGAGACGACCGAGTAGGGGAGGGGAGGGGGCTTAGTTAGGGCCGCAGCGTGTAGCCTCAATCAAGCTTACCCAGGACCTGTTCCTGGCGACTCGAAGAAAAGTTCTCAAGGATGACGACGGGTGACTGTGAGTGTCGCGATCATCACGCAGGGTGCGGACTGCCAACATGTGTCGTGTTGGATGCATCCATGTTGCTGACATACACCACGGACCATCAATGGCAGCGGGAGCTGGAAGCGCCCGTGCATGGACTTATCTGCCCCGTCAGGCCTGCTGCCCACGAGCAGGGGGTAGACCTTGAGACGGGCTCCAGCACACTTGAGGATGCAACGAATGCAATCAGGGTGGACGCTTGCAGCGCTTCATGCACCTGGGACAGCGGCTGTCGAGGCAGCCCCCAGAAACACCCTCCAGCTGTGTTTCCTGCCAAGCCAACTGACGGTCTTTTGTATTGAGACATTGACTTTGCGCCCAATCGTCCTGACCCAGCGGCCATTCCCCAGGGTTGCTTCGCCCGACTGGGCGAACTCCAGTCAGATGGTCCGTGTCATGGGCGATTCAGACGACATTAGACTAGCCTGTCCTGCCGGCCGGTTGGGCATTGCTCTGTCGCAACCCAACTCCTATGACGCCAGGGGCAGTGGAACCTTGAAGCCCATGAATCTTGGAATGCCGAGCTGCGAGTGGTCACCATGCCAAAGGCCAGCGATGGATGTGGGATGTGCCAATTCTCTGAAAGCGCCAGCTGTATCTGCGCCATCCAAAGCGGGCGATAGATCGTTGTCGCGGTTGCACTTCTCCATCACCTGCTCTGGTTGGGCAGCGAGCATCATCAGAACCAGGCATGCATCGTGCTGGCACAAGTCAGCTCAGCAGGGCCGGCGCGACTCGGTCACAATGGCACGGCAGCATTTATGCATGCTTCCGCACCTCTAACCACGCGTAGATCGAAACTAGCAGACTATGGCCTGCCCGCTTTCTAATAGTATATGGAAGAAAGTAGCAGCGTCATCTCAACGCCGGTGCAATGCACGGCATGCATGATATTCCCGAGCCGTTACGCTTCGCTGAATTGCCCAAATACGCCATTTTGGTAGTGCCAGGCTGATGCGCTGGGGCGCAATGCTTTGGCATCTCAGCACTCCTACTGACTTTGCCACCAGCCGAAATCGAAATGCACAGCCAAGCGACGGATCAATGCAGACCGAAATTGAAATCAAAAACGCTTATGAGTTGTACGACACCGGTAAGGACAAACCCTGCTGCACTGAGACACTGGGGATAAGCGTCCCAAGCGCGATATGGCGGATCATATGCCGACCATGGGACAAAACAAACGAGACGAAGTGCTGATACTCAGATTCTGGGAGGAATGGCCGGCTTTAACGGTCGACAAGGGTGTCAAGTTCATAATACGTGACATATACGAAGGAGGAGAACAGTGATCAGAAAGCAGACGCTCCGAGAGGTATCAAGAAGGAACGAGACAGAATGAGAAAATAATGGAGAGTTTCTGAACTTTTTGGCAAGGACATGATATCAGAGGGGGGCACGCAGCCAAGACCCCGGAAATGAGATAGGCTGATGTGTCAGAATCCAAACTCAGAATGCGAAAGAAAACGTCCCAGATGAGAAAAGACGGGCGCGGCTTGATTGGGCATGCAATCATCTCCCGTCGTGTAAGCGCCGACCACATCTCCAAGAAGGATGTCCAGTATGGGTGATGAGTTGTGAGTCTGAGGGCGATGCTGGTGTCAAATCTGAATTGTATCGTAGACGTCGTGACATGATAACCTGTGTAGTCCGCGCGACCTTGTCATGTTGATGCCAATGGCCAGACGCCTAGCCCTGGTACCCACTATATCCGTTGTTGAAGTTCTGGTTTGGGGCAGGGCTCCATTGTTGGTTGGGCGGCTGGCCACGACCATACCCACCAGCACTGGGTGGACCACCATATCCCATGGCCTGGGCCCCGTAGCCAGCTGGTGACTGGGCTGGCGGGCCTCCAAAGCCTTGCTGCTGACCTCCGTATTGACCTGCGCACACGACACATTGTTAGTGATCTTGTATTCCGCCTCAGTAAGCAGAGACCGAAACCGCTTACCGCCATACTGGGGGACGAAGGTGGTAGGCGTACCGGGGTACGCCGAAGTGGGTTGAGCACTCTGGGGGCTGAAAGCCTGCTGGTTGGGATCAAACCCTCCTGCAGCGTTGGGTGTCTTGTCCTTGCCCCACTGTCCAAGTGATGCAGCAATATCAGTATACAGAGTCGCCGTACGCGCAGGACAGATTGGACTTACACTGCACTTTAGAGGTCGACCGTTGACCTGGTAGCCATTCAACTGACAAATCGCCATGGCGGCGTTCTCGTGGCTGTCCATCTTGATAAAGGCAAAACCACGATCGGCCTGGAAACGAGATTCGATCACGTAACCGAAGTTCTGGAACAGTGGGACCAGATCTTGAGCAGTCGTGTACGGCGTGAGATTCCCAACGTAGCAAGTGGTCTGCCATGCCGGAGTCTGGCTGACAATCATGTCATAGCTTTGGACGCCGTGCGTTGGGAAATGATGGTGGCCGTAAGGCGTGGTCGGCGTCATGCCCATAGCAGACATGGCCTGTTGTTGAGCAATGGAAGGCTGGCCTTTCTGGTTGGCCCAGTTGCAGCGTATGGCACGAGAACCTAGCCACTCGCCGTCCATGGAGCTCAGTGCCTTCTCGGCGTCGCTTCGGTCCCGGAAGGCTACGAAACCATAACCACGCGTTCGCCCAGTCTTCATGTCCCACATGACACGGGCTTCCGAAATGGTGCCAAACGCCGAAAATGCTTGGAGGAGTATGTCGTCGTTGACCTCGTTGGACAAGTCGCCGACGAAGATGTGGAAGTGCCCGGAGGTGTCCTCCTTGTTGGTCGTGTTGGACTGGTACGCCCAGTTGACGCGAATTTCCTGTTCATCAAGGCTGTCAGCCGCCTAGCAGCGGGTGAGCCAGGTGTTGCGACCTACAGATTGGTGGACGCGGCGCCCATTCAGGGTAGCCATGGCACGCTCGGCGGCACCAGGGTCATCGTATTCCACGAAGCCATAGTTGTATCCTTTGGCCTGAAATAGCTACTGCGTCAGTACTTGTTCCATCGTCGACCATAATGAAAGTCCCACGGAGGTCCCGCGGCAGGCCACTCCAAAGCACGTACGTTCTTGTCGGGAATGATCTTGACGTTCTGCACATGACCCGTGGTCTCGAATATCTGACGCAAGACGTCCTCGGTGACGCGCGGGTCCAAGCCGCCGACATAAAGCGCTCGCTTGTTAGGCTCGGGCGCGGCACGACGGGCGAATGCAGCTGCACTCGTAGGCGAGAGAACTCCTGGATCGACGGCAGACAGCGGCGAGGTGATAGCAGTCGGGATAGGGTTGGTGTTGGGCGGGATATGTAGAGGCGGGGGTGGCATGTGGCCTGGGTTTCCCTGGCCATTCTGGCCGCTCTCGAAGCCCGGAGCACCAGAGCCGGTCTGAGCCGGATTCATCTGCGCGCCAGTCGAGCCGGGGCCGTTGTCGGACATGGTTTTGATTCGCAGCAAGCAGTCGTGGAAATCGGGCTGGTGAGAAGGAGGACTGGAGCTCGTTGCGGTGCAACTTGGAGCTCGAGGTGGGGACAGGCGGATTAGGGGAAGCTCAGCGCGGGGTGCCTGAACGGTTCACGGATGTCTCAGGGTCCTACTATTCTGACGAAGGTGCGGTCAGCACAGCTAGCGTCGCATTTGCGCTCAAACGGCAGCGCGCAGTGGAATCTGTCGCATTTGCAGGCAGGAAGCTGCAGCAGTCGCAGCGGGGTACGTCAAACTGAATTGCGCAGGGCATGCGACAGGACTCGGGCCAGAGAGGGTTTGCGGCTTGGGGAGCAGGCTGTACGTACTGGAACGGATGCAGGCTGCACTTGGAAGCGTCCGAGCTGACCAGGTTGCGATTTGAGGCCAGGAAGCTCTGGGTGTCGTGCGTCGGAACAGCAGGACTGGCAATGTTGGACGGCGCCAGGAGGGGGATGCTGTTTGGGATGTGATAAGAAACAGGAAGGGAAGCACGGGCCGGCAATGGCAAAGAGCAAGGAGATGAGACAAGGAAAAAAAGGGAGCAGGTCGCACAGTGGACAAGTACCCCGGACAGCCCGTATCAGAACAACAAGAGGATGTGCAGCAGGGAGTGTGAGGATCTTGGGGGATTAGAGGCAGTTATTATAACACAATGTCGACCCAAGGTGAGCTGAGGACAGAACAGCAACGCTGAGCCTGCGGGGTCAGGCGTAGCCGCGCCATTGTCTGCGGGCTCCTTTTGAACGCAATCAACCACGGGCTGGCCTATCAGGGGCCAATGCCCATCACGCCGAGGTGTGACAAACATGACTGTCCATGTGGGCGCAACTCGCCCATTGGCAATCCCACTGCGCCGGCGCACCTGCGCGCCTTGGCCGGAGGAGTCCCTCCACACTGGCCACGATCCAGGGCAGAGTAGTTATGTTGCTGCCCACGAAAGATCAGCTCCAGCTCGAAAAGAGCAAGCCGCCACTCCTCGAAGCTCGCAGGTGCTGGCAGGGTGGTCGTCCATGCGGTGCTGGAGTGGGTCGCGTCCAAGGCTCATCCCCAGCTCGCAGTTTGCAGGTCCACTGGCAGTGCTCTTGCTTGACGTGCGCCGCATGTGGGCTCCACCTGGAATGCCTTCGTTCAACGACATCCGTCCAGCGACCCCGGCCTGCTGTGGCCATCACGTCCTTCCTGCCCAGGCCACCAATTCTGCATCCAATCGGTCGTGCGCCTCCTTGGCATAACCAGAAGCCTCGCGTTGAATGTCTTTCTCTGGCCCTGCAGCCACCCTCTCTACATTAGCCATCTGGGTACGCTAAGCAGCCGAGATGGCACCGTCCAGAGCAGAGCCTCTGTCTGTCCTTAATTCGACGCTCGCAGAAGTCGTAAGTGCTACAACCGTTCATGCTGCGTGGGACATTACGACTGACCTTTCCCAGCTTGTACAAACGGGCAAGGCTCTCAAGGTCAGCGCTAGAGATGACCAAGGCAGCGTCTCTGGTGCGAGCGGCGCGATTCGTCACCGATCCCAAGAAGCCCTCAGGGCTTACCACTTTGCCCTTGACGAGCTTGAAGGCGAGATTGTAAGTCAAGCTCTCCAGCAATCGGAGCGTCCTCTCGTCTCAACGATATCTAACCTCGGTGCAGCTTCAAGCGAAAGCCGCCCTCCTGCGCGATCTCGCCAAATTACAAGCTGCACGCGCCCCTCCTCCATCGCTCACACCTCCGCCAGAGCCTCAACGAGCACCAGCTCAGCAGGTGAAGCACGAGCCAGCTACTGCCGTCGCTGTGATGGAGGCTCCCATGCTTGAACTGCCTTCCACAGCAGCACATACCATCGCTCACCAGCCGTTCGCCATGGAACCAGCGAGCAATCCTGTGGCTCCGTTCCCAGACATGGGGTCGGATATGTCGTCCGGCATCCTGACTTTGACAGACAAGGGGACCAAGTCTGCACAGAGATTACCCACGGCTGCAGTGCAAAGCAGCTCAGTTGCTACACCCCCACTCAAATCCGAGGCCGCCGTCTCGCCAAATACTGTTGTTGGCACACAGCTCGCTGCAGACAACACGGCACACCCGACAAGCTTGCCAACAAACTCCAAAGCAGCTGTTGCTGCGAACGGAGATGTACAGGTCCCTCATCTGCTCGATATATCAGCTGATGGCACCGTCGGAGGCCACGGCGGCAGCAATGATGCCCCCGAGTTCACGAATATGCAGTTTTCACTCGACACGTCGGCTGCAGGCTTGCAAAACGCACCTCCTGCGCCCATGCCAGCCTTCGACATGGCTAGTTTTGCCACTAATGAGCCACCTGGAGACTTTTCGAATGAAGTGAACTTTGAACCAATGGGCAACGAGATAGGCATGAACATTCCCACAACCATGACTAAAGAATCGCAGAACGAGACCAGAAATCTGGAAGACGTGTTCGATCTTGACGGAGGGGCGGACAGCATGGATCTTGACTTGGATCTGGGCAACGGCACAGTTAATGACAGTACATTCGATGACCTGTTTCTTGATACGGGCGACAATACTGGCATGGGTCAGTTTGATAACGCCTTTTTCGGGCTCGATTAAGCATGAGATCAAATGCAAGCCAAGGGAACTCCAAAGACAGCGCCTCTGCCACTTTTCAAAGCGTAGGCTTGCGGTCTTCCAAAACAGCGTCGAGTTCCACTCGGTCCCAACGACTTTCCTGCAGCGGCACTTATGCACCAAGCAACCGTCCTACGAACTGATACATGACAAGGCGTGCGTCAAACTCAAGATGGTAGAATGTGTGTGTATATTATAAGAGGCTCTATCGGAAGCACTAACAGTCGTGTGTAGCCGTAGCCGAATCGCGCCTTCGTGATCTGTGCCGTCCATATATCATGGCCCTTGAGTGACCGCAAACATTGGGCCAAGAAGTTCGCCAATCTTAGGGTTGCGCGCTCCTGTCCAGTCTGCATTCATATATCCCCAGGAGTCATCGTATTCAATGATGCCCTCCCGGATATAGTATGTGCCCTGGAGAGCCCAGATCGCCCATTCCATGTCATTACTCAGTGCGTATTGCTTCAGGCAGTCGAAATAACGGCCGTCCTTGTCCGAAAGACCATCGGCCCGAGATCCTCCGGTCATTCCAAAGCCAAATTCGGAAAGGATTAGCGGCGCTGTGTACGGCTTGCCTTGCTCCAAGACAAACCCATCGAAGAAACCATACTGGTTTTGGAGGAAGTTGCAGTCATCGAAGTTGACCGAGAAGGTTACGGTGAAGCTGTATGCGTGCCATTCCCAGACATGCTTGTTTTTCCAAGCCGAAAAATCCAAGTTACTCTTCTTGATGTGCACCAAGTCGGTCGACGATTGCGTGCCGCCAATCAGGATCAGTGCATCTGGGTTCGATCCGTGGATGCGCAAGGCGGCTTGTGTTGCGAAGTTATACCAGTCCGACCTGCCATTCGTCCAGCCTTGCAGAAGCCACTCTCGTATTTCGTTTCGAATACCCATGCCTACGACGCCTGGTTGCGACGCGGACCACTTGGCCATTGCCTCGAGTCCGTCCAGCCATTCTTTCGTTTTGAAATAGCGACTGTTACCAGAGTTGTACCCGAAGCCTTCGTCCCACCAACCATTGCCATCGTCGATGTTACCTATATCAAACGATGATTAGATCACGGGTTGGCTTGTCGCGGATTGCAGTGTATCGTCACCACGGATCGACGCCCGGAGACAACAAAGATGCACTTACAACACCAACTCGCCCTACTGACATGGTTGTCGAGGATAGTCATGATACCCCTTTCCCAGAGTGCACCGATGGCGGCTTCAAATACATCTCGAGTTGTGGCATCAACTAAGGTCGGATTGGCCTGTGCGACACGATCGAAGAGTCCCATGGTCTGGTCGACACTCACGCCCGCTGCGCCAGCCGCTGCACGGAACGAGTCCGAGACTTTTATGTTTGGACTGAGAGCATGATCAATCGAGTAGGTCATGCGAACGCAGTTGAAACCCTGCGACTGGACGAAGTCGGCAATGAAACCGATCGACTGTTTGTGTAAACCTTCGGGGGTGTTGGTCTCCATGTGAGCGGCCCAGTTGATACACCTCAACTTGACCCTGTGGCCTTCAGCGTCGAGGATCCATCGACTCGACGTGCTCAGTGGCAGAGGTGTCAACGCAAAAGACGCTGTCGAGAACAGCGCAAGTCCCAATAAGGGTTTCATTTCGAATATTTGGTAGGCCGCCGTGAGTCTTCCCTATGTTTTCGAAAAATAAAATAAAAGGATAATGCCAGGAGGACAGGCGGATACTCATCTACCACCACTCAGTACAATGAGATTGGCGTTGGCACAGGCTATTGCCAGTACTCGACAGAGCTCAGCATAGAAGAGCGGATGCCTCTTTGGAGCCATGCTAGCGAAGCCTGGCATGGGGCGACCGGCTCTCTTAAAGGAACGTCGACCCCTAATAGATCAGACGACCTATACCTCCAACGCCTCATGTGGCCAACGGTATTCGGCGCCTGTGAAGCACTGCAAGGGCCCTCGAATTCAACGTGCCCATCGGCATGCCGACCGTTGGTCATCAGCTGCCACTCGGAAAAGACCCCAAGTAGTGTGAGCGGTCTTGGCTGTGTGGTTGCAAAGCCGAGGCTACATTGGCGAGAACATACACCATGCAGAAAGCTCCATCCCTGAACCACCTCCACCGCAGCTCTAGGGGCAGACCTCAGAACTCGCTCCTCACTCGTTGACTGCCGAATGAATATGTTCTGTAAGTACGGGTCGAGTGCTGGAAGAGGCAGTTACGACAAGGGGGCACTGGCAAGCGAGGCTGTGGACAGAATAAACCGCACAGGTGCTGTTCAGTGTGGATCTACATTGCCCGGTTTATTCTGTCCACAGCCTCGGTAAGCATAGCAATGATCTACGCGCCGCCCCGGCGATCAGGAACGGCAGGGACTTGCTCCAAGTGTTGATGTGGCTACATCCAACTTCTCATTGGAAGCTGCATGGGCAGTTTGGGGCATTGTGGCGCTCCCTATAATTCGGCAGGGAGACCAAAGAGGGAAAAGCACCTGGCGAGGCCTGTGAGAGCCAGGGTCCTTTGCTTGTGAGCGAATGATCAGGGGCCTGCCGGGCCTTGTGATCTCCCGTCGTGTGATTGGTCACGCCGAGCAACACGCGTAGCGAATCACCTTGATACGACCTGCTGCAGCCCTCACAAGATCATACAAACCCGTGCTCGCCACCAAGCGTTGCATTCTCTCGATGGAGGACCGAGCTCTAAAGACTGCATGATTTGGCTCAACATGCTTCTTGGCAAATCGGCACTCCCATGTGAGCGTGTCATGTTCAGAGTCAAGCTCACCGAACGACCCACCAGGCCCCCCCAGCAGCTTGTCAAAAGAGGTGAGCGAGAAGCGGCCTCTTCGCCTTTACACCGTCTCAAATGCCCGCGTGTATTGGGAGGTCGGAAGCGATTGTCATACAAGATACGAGCAGGGAAGCCCCGGCCTGCGTGTGGGCGATTCCCCTTTCTTAGAGTAGATTCATATCTAGAGTATCTCGCAGGCACATCGCTTAGTGGTCGACGGTATGGGAGGGTGATGGTACTGCTTCTGCATCTATTCTTCTGCCAGACTAGCCAATCACTGTGCATTATCACAAGTTGCAATGCTACTCTCCATCGCGTACAGTTAACGCTTCTTGCACTTACACAAACCGGCCCGATGAAGGACTGAGAGTTGAACTGGATCTTAGCTCGAAAGTCCAGGCCAAGGCCCAACACGACCACTCGGGCAGGACTGATCGACCTCCGTCTGATAAGTGCGTACCCAGTACCCATGCATCGTGAAGAACGAGATGGACCCCCTCCCTTCTTTCCCCGAGAGTCGGCATTTCATTCTAGCTGTACACACAAGATTATCGACTGTGACGCATGCGAACAGGGGGTTTGGCTTCAGACTCAAGTTTGCCACTATACTATTGCATGTTGCACATGCCTCGTGCGACAGGATACACTCAGAGCGAACTAAGGTCGAAGGATGAGTATAATTTACGTCACAAATGGTACAGAATTTCGTAAATTATTTTTGCGCGTGTTCCTCATCTCCCCCGGAGGAGGACCGCCCCGCTGCCCTGCCAGATATGACCACCAGACCTAAGGACGCTGGCGCAAGTCACGAAAAAAAATAAGAGTGCACAAGCCTCATCCAACCGACGGTACCGAGAGTGGTCAATAGGCAAAGAATAGTCTGGAAATATGTTTTGATCGTGCATAAAGTGTGTATCATCGTTATCATCAATGTCCCGCAGTGGACGAGGAAGTACAAGGTATTATCTGCGTATTCGTTATTGCCATGATATAGGGCAACATGATCTCGTGGTGACGATCGTGGCTGCTAGCTGCCAGTCTTGAGGAGAGAAAGACACACCCAAAGAATCATTTGGCAAGCGCACAGTATCGAGGGTGCATAAAGAAATCCATGTCGTGTCGACCCAAAAGGATATGGGTGATTGGAGACACCCCAGTGCCTGGTTTGTCTCGCAGGCCGGAAGCCGTTTATGTCGTCGGCGCAGCTGATGTGGCTGCCGTCGCAGCGGCACGCGCTTCCAGCTCCTTCCTCTTGTTGAGTATGCTCTTGAATGCACCGAGACATTGAACAAGGCTCTCTTCCTCATGAGCACAGAGCCGATAGCTTTTCTCGTCGGTGATGATCTGCATGCAGTGTGTCTTTGTCTTGCTCACGGGATCGATGTCAACAGTGTTGACTATAACCGAGAGAGGTAGAATGAAATATGCCGTGTACTCGGATTCGTCTTTGTAGAGAATGAGGTTCCGAGGTCGCAGGACAGCCCAGCAATCCTTCCATTGCCGTACGCCGCGCTTGCCCTTGAGAAACCATAGCCAGCCTTGCCAAACGACTCTGTCGGGGTCTTGATCGCCGTTGAGCCCACTAACCTGGCTCAAGTTCCTATTCCCGAGAACAGGTCGATTGAGTGAGCCTGGATCCAGCCGGATGCCAGACGTGGAGAAAGAGCCCACTGCCAGATTCTCCGCAGAGGCGCCAAACATACGCTGTGCCTCTGCATCCGAGAAATCAGAATGTGATGCCATTTCGGTGCCAGACATGCCGCTGGGCTCTAGTGGATGGGATGCGCGGCGAGCCGAGTGTGGTGCAAGATTCGGCCTCCTCGCCTCAAGAGGTTCGGGAGAGCTTGATGCGAAGCGATCGAACTCGGGGCGCTGAGGAGGCGTGTTTTCAGACCCCCCAGCGAGCATGCTTGTTGGCGCAAAAGACTGACGTCGAACAATGGGACTCGCGAGAAACATTTCTTCTTCCTCCTCCTCAATGCGTGCGTCCTGCCGTATTAGATCGATCCATTCTTGAGCATCTGCGGCAGTCCTGGCTTCAAAGTGGTAGTTCTTTGCAGGTGAGTAGAGGCCAAATAGGTTCTGTCTTTTTTGTTTGGGATCTCGGAGCATTGTAACAGCGGAAAGATCTGTCAGATAGATCTTGTGGCGGAGCTTGCTTTCCGAATCTGACTTGTAGATGGACAACGTATTCGGTCGGAGAACAAGGTATACAGTCTTCCAGGCCTGTTCAAGATCATGACTTGGTCAGTCTATGATTGTCTTCATCACACATTCCAAGGATTCGAATGGGGCAGTAGGGACAAGGGACAGGGGACAAGCGGGCACGATCCTCACTGACTTTGGTCTTCTGTGTGCGACGCTGGACATAGCCAGCCTTGATTACTCGGTCAAATTCGAAGCTGCCGTTTTGATTGACTGGGCTTGTGATTGGAACCGCGAGCTGTGCTTGCGAGGGCGGCGGCATGTTTTGGATGGAGGCTGAGGCAAGGGGAATATCGATCTTGGCCCCTCGGATGGGCAACGCCGAGCCCGGTGCCACAGTCACTGGGCGAACAGAGGTTTCAGCCATGATTCTGTCGGGCTCTGACGACTTCAAAGGGCCAGTAATGAGCAAGGGGAACGTGTGCTGCTCGGCTGGCTGCTGTTGTAGTAACATGTGATAGCTGGAGGCTGCCGAGGTGCGGCGAACCAGGCGACGGTGATCATTCGTAGAAGAAAACGCCTGAGAGCATCAGAATTTTGACAGGAGCACAATGAGCTGGAGCGTGATATAGCGATGCCGTTGGGACAGCCACAGACGACCCCTGGAATGCAGAATGTTGCGGGGTCTTTTGGCGCAAGGCGAGAATCTTGCGACCAATGAAGTGGCGGGATCGGTGAACGACGGCGCTGTATTTGAGTCAGAAATCGTGCTTGTTGAGACTGGAGTCGAGAGTAGCGGGCAAGTCGGGCAGTGAAGCAGGCAAAGTTGGTCGGGCGCGGAGCGACCGCGAAAGAGGACGTGTCGCGAGAATAAAGAGGGTGGTCGGCGTTGTCGCAAGCGTGGACAGACCCCTGACAGGAACGCTTTGATCGACTCGGCGACAGGTCGGCAGCGAGCCGTTGTAGGTCCAGGGGCCCCCGGCTCGACGCTGGGGTGGGGAGGCTGGCAGCAGGCGGTGGACCAGGTCGCAAGTGGAGGAGAGACGCCGGCGGAGCAAGAGGTCGAGAGGCCGTGTCGCTGGCAAAGGGCTGTGGTTGTATCGTGACGACAACGAGGGGGGAAGAGGCAGAGCGGGGATGCTGTTGTGGTGTGGTGTGTCGGGGTCGATGGTGGAGGGCTTCGAAAGGGAAGAAGCCAGTTTTGGGTTGATTGACCCAGCGGTTCCGGGGACGGGCAGCTCGCAGGCTTGGATGACGACAAACCTTAAAGGGCGCCGACAAGACAAGGCACAGAGTTTATGCCCGCCTCGAGCAGGGAGCCAGCCGCTCGGTCGCTTGTTCTGGCGGGTCCCTGGCGAGGGTTTGGCGCGGGTGCCAGAAATGCCAGCCTGCAGCAGCAGCCCATTTCCAGGCCGCCTACCAACCAAGCTGAGGCTGTCGACAACGTTACGCGCCGTGGAGCTACATATACGGAGTATGGTACTGACCATGACGAGACTCGCGTCTTTTGACACCGGTTGATACCATTCGGGCGCCGCGGCCTCGCTGCACAGCCCCCGGGGCCGCGTTTCAGTCCCAGATGCCGCAGCTGGCTGTCAAGCTTTGTCTCATGCGAGGCCGCGCCTCCGCCAGTCGAACACATACCATAGTACACGTGCTGGTGCACTGCACTCTGACAAAAGCTTGGTTGGCCCTGGCTGTCCACAAGTGGGACGAGACGAGACAGACAGATACAGTCCGCTACACGGTACCGCCGCACAGTGCTGGCGCCTTCGCTGCCCAGGCCAGGCACGCTCCCACGTCACACACCACCTGGCCAGCATCATGCTCCCAAGGTCCCAACGTCAGCTGCTGCTGTCACTGCCACACCCGCACAAGACCTGCCAGGTCCCGTGCCGCATGCCCAGCTGCCCTGCCTGCCTGCCTGCCTGTCTGCCTGCCCAAAGGGCCTGGTGATCCGGCGTGCCGATCGTCCACTGCGCGTCAGCTCCGGCTGCCATCGGACTCTTCCTCCGCTCCACCTTCTCCGCACGACGCCCGACCTACTTCAAAGCTTCCGCCTCGCCGGCTCCGCTCTCTCGATCCCTCAACCTCCTCCACCAGCTGCAACCCTGCCCAGCCTGCCCGTGACTTTAGATGACCTCGCCATTGCCCAGCCACCCCGTCTCTGCGGACCGCCTTGGCGCGTCTCCAAGCCGAGCATCTCTCGGGGCCGCGGCGCACGCCTCTGACGACCACGATGATACCATCGTCGGCAGCACCGAGCACTCGCCGTTGCTCTCGCCTGCGGGTGCCGAGCACGACTTCCACATCCATGACCACTCTGCGGGCGGCCACATCCCGTTTCAGGACCAGTCCCAGACAACCAAGAGTGTCTGGTACCTTGTAGCCCTCACCATCAGCATTGGTGGGCTCCAGGTCGCCTGGGCCTGCGAGCTGTCCAATGGCTCGCCCTATCTCCTCTCTCTCGGCATCAGCAAGTCTCTGATGGCTCTTGTTTGGATCGCCGGGCCTCTGACTGGAACCTTTGTCCAGCCCTATGTCGGCATGCTGAGCGACAACTGCCGTATCTCTTGGGGTCGCCGCAAGCCTTTCATGCTTGGTGGTGCTGCTGCCACAACATTCTGTTTGCTCTTCCTCCCCTGGACCAAGGAGATAGTGGGCGGTGTGCTTGGTCTTCTGGGTGCCGATGCGTCCTCTGACGGCGTCAAGGTTGTGATCATGGTTGTTGCCGTCGTCATGATCTATGTCTTGGACATTGCCGTCAACACAGGTGTGCTTCTAATCTCTGCGACCCACCCTTTCGAATTGTGGTTGCAACTAACACCTGCTCTAGTTCAAGCATCGATACGGGCATTCATCTGCGACTGTGCACCGTCTCATCAGCAGGGCAAGTCTCTATGCAGGACAAACTATGCTGTGTTGCAGCGCTGACCAGCATTTAGAAGCCGCAAATTCGATGGCAAGCCGTCTTGTCGGTATCGGCAACATCATTGGTTATCTCGCAGGATATATCAAGCTTACTGACTACCTCGGATTTCTCGGGCACACTCAATTTCAAATCTTATCGGCTATCGCTTCAGTCTGTCTTTGCTCGACGGTCATATTCAGTGTCATTGTCATCCCGGAGAGAGATCCGCGCCTCGATGGGCCAAAAATGGCCAACCAATCTGGCATCATCGATTTCTTCCGCAGCATATTCGCTGCTATCAAGCGACTGCCACCACAAATCACAAAAGTTTGTGTTGTCCAGTTCTGCGGCTGGATCGGATTCTTCCCCATGCTGTTCTATACATCGGCCTACATTGGCGACGTCTATGTACAGCCATATCTTGAGGAAAACCCTAACATGACCCCCAGCGAATTGGATGAGCTATACGAAAAAGCAACGCGTGTCGGCACTTTTGCACTCCTCATCTTCGCCATTACAAGCTTGCTTACCAATTTGCTGCTTCCTTTCTTCATCGACCCTACCTACGATAACAATCCAACCCTCGGTAAATCCACACCCCAATCGCCAGTGCTAACGACCAATGACGAAGGGCTGCAGAAGTGGCTTGCTCCCCTCGTCATTCCTGGCTTTACCCTTCGCCGCGCGTGGATGTATTCAAACATCCTGTTCGCCATCGCTATGACTTGTACATTGTTTGCGCGCTCAGTCGGCATGGCGACTGTACTCATCGGCCTGGTCGGCATCACGTGGGCTCTTACGCTCTGGGCGCCATGGGCCATCATTAGCGCAGAAATCAGCCGACGTGAAGTCATCGCAAGGGCACGAAAGCAGCGTCTCTCGGCTCTGTCGCAACGTACCATCGCCGGGCCCTCCAGCTCCACGGAGAGCATTTCGGACGACGATGAAAGAGAGCAGGCCGAACCCGAACCAGATAAAGCTGGTGTGATCTTAGGTATTCACAACATGGCCATCGCAGCGCCGCAATTCATCTCGACGTTTGGATCTAGTATTATTTTCCGCTTTGCGCAAAAGCCACGAGGCGTACCTGGTGACCACAGCATCTCTATCGTTTTCGCCCTCGGCGGTTTCTTCGTGCTGGCTGCGGCATGGTTCATCCACAAGATACAAGAGAGCTCGCCCCTCCCAGCGGATGTCATCTCCGTCGCGGAAGAGGGACATCTGACACAGCAGTCAGGCAACAACGGTGGGTTGTCGGACAAGAGCAGGGACGGGCCTCGCGGCAGCATGGATAGAGCATCGCTGGCTAGAAGCTCCAGCTTCTCTGGGGTGGAATACTAAAAGCCGAGATGGTATTAGAAGGAGGTTGGCATGGCTGAACAGCCTTTTGTGGCAGCCTCAAGATACCCTGAGCTGATTGCTCTGGCTTGTTCAGCAAGCCATCAAGTTCAGTGACCTTGCTGAGAATTTGATTGGCAGTACAACGCGAAGTCCACGTTCCGCGATTGTGGTGAACCGAGCAATGACACGTTCACTATGGTCGATGTCGATAGTGAGAGTCGAATAGCACGCCTGGTAGTAGCTGCCACGCTTCAAGGTGCGGTTCATTCCGTTCTGACTACAAATGCTTGGTCTGGGTTCAGGACTTCAAGACATAGCCTACATGAGTTGAGAGTGAACAATAATTATCATTAACATTATCTACATGACGAACAATGTGATACCCAGCGGATCACGCACCAGTTGTTTGCGCATGAGGACCCAGCGATAATGGGCGGTAGAACTCATACCATGTCAGATCCCTCCCTATGCTCCGACGGTTTCGTTGCCTCAGTAATTGACGAACTCCTGCACAATCTCCACGGCCTGGCATGTCGGGTTGTTCGGGGGCAGCGTCGTTGCGAAGCCGACAGACTGGTAGTAGTATCCCGAAAAGTACTGCCAGCACACGAACCAGCTCTTATAGTCGTAACTCCCCGTCGTAGGCTGGACGCCGGGCTGGAATGTTGAGGAGTCGACGTAGGCGTAGGTAAAGAGCTTGTTGCCGTCATCCTTGTCGAAGCCGACCAAGGTGCCGTCTTGAAACCCAAAGAGCGGTGCGGCAACGTTGCTATTCGGCGAGTACTGGAACGTCATGGGCTGCTCGGCGAACGGGGTCGTGGGGTTGATCTGCACGGGGAGGCGCCAGAAGAGAATGCCTGCGGGGGAGCCGTTGTCGAGCTGTGGCGAGCCTGTCGTGTTGAAGTAGTACTCGTACGAGGCCGCTTTATCCGCGGTGGGCTTGCCGCCAGGGCTATAGCAGAGACCCTCGATGGCGGCTCCGGCGTGGCAAGCGGAGACATAGCCTAAAAACACGTGTAATTAGTCACCTGCTGAAGCCAACACGGCGGTGACGGCCAAGATGGAGATTAACACGTACCATCTAGATCACTTCCACTGCCCTTGATGTGCAGATAGAAAGGACCTGACTGATCGGCATCCTGCTGGGCAACAACGACACCGCTGAAGGCAAAGGCCAGGGCAGCGAGGCCAGTGGCGATTCTCATCATGTTGTGTAGTGTAGGAATCTGTCGGGAAGGGGATGGATTTGGGCAGATGTCTTGGCTGGGAATATGTGGTTGTAAAAGTGTGGTTGGAATTACTGTGGTGATTGATGCCCAGACGGCCAAGAAGACGAGTCTGCAGCCGATATTTTATATACAGCCGGGCCAGGAGTTGCGCCTCCGCGGGCCTAATTCAACATGGATGCTCAAGTGGACGATGAGCGTTGGCAGACTACGCTAGGCCGTGTCACGTCACTGACACCGGACCCATTGTGGACAGACACGGGAGTGGCGCTGCTAGTGGCGCCTGCGGGGACGCCTTAGCGCCGCTGGGGGCGGGCGGGGGACCTGCTTTGGACGCTCGCTCAAGCCCTAGACCAGCCAGGTCTCATGGTCAAACTCCAGTAATCTGCCTCCCAGACAGCGATTCTTTGGTTCACTTTGCCATGTCAACCCCAAGCATCTCCAACACGACCTCGTATTCTGCAGCCTCCAGTGCCCCGAGTCGCCCTGCAAGTACATGCGGCCTCGCCCCTCGTGTTGTTACCAGCCTCTGCAGCGCCGACCCCAGCATCGTTTGCGCCAGTCCAACGGCAGCACCCGCCGCTATGCCCCCCAATGACGCACGCCTCGACCAGTGAGGTGCTTTATTTCGAAAGGTCGCGGGTGCGTCAGGTGAGACCTTCTCGTATCGTGGGATCTTACATCGTCCATCGGTCTGTCCTGGGTGACTGGCTGACACTTGGAGTTGTGTACAGTCTTGTCTGTGATAATGGCGCTTGGCCGTGCTAGCCGGCTGATCCAAATCTTAGTGTGATGATCCTTGACTGTTCCACCGTCGTGCCGCCGAGGCCAAGTTCCAGCGGTGCAATGCAAGGCCAAAATTCACAGTCGCAGCCCGCCAGTCTAGATGTCAACTGGTATTCATGGCGGCCGGGCGCCTACTTGCGACTTGCACCTTGGAGAAACCCTTATCGTCATATTCGCAATTGTTCCGGGCCCAAGAGGGCTACTTCCCTACTGGTCGGGAGAAGTGCAGCCGGAATCGCCTGCAAAGCTTTCGGCAGACCCGGCCAATGCTACACAACAACTGACGTGCGATTCGTCCGCCCGGACATCTATGTGCTTACGAGCTTCAACCACGAATGTAACGTTCTTCGACCCAGCACCTGTCTCACCGCTCGAGAAGGCCGATCCAGCACCAATCGACACCGCACCAATCGACACCGCGCCTTTGCGTTGTTGAACTTGAGAATGCCGTGGTGGTGCCGTCCAAGGGATAGGTTCGTCACCATTGACCATTTATCTGGTCCTTCAGATCGGGGAAGTGTCCGTGTCGATGCATCATCAATACATGCTCTCTGGGCGACACTTTGCCGAACCTCTCATGGCGCCGCATTTTCGAGGCTACCGGTGTACCCTTAACCCCTGGCAGCACAATTCGGACATATGATTCCGCATGGGATGTCAGAGAGTTGCAGCATGACACAAGCTAGTGTGGTTACCCAAAAACACCTGGGACCATAGGGCAAATCATTTCACGACTCAATCCATTCAATATTGGCAACCTGTTTACCTAGGCACGGTTACAAGTACCCCTCAGCATCTTTGGAGCTTTCAATCACGCTCTCGGGCGGCTCATAACCTTGCGCGGCAATGCTACCTGGCACGCTCTCAGGCGTGTAGTACTCGTCGCCAGGGAACTTAGTATGGCCCTGACCCGTCTTGCTTGCCATGTTGATGTTGCTGAACTCCTTTCCTTGCTGCATCACGTCGGTCTGGGCCTGGGCAGCGGAGCCCTCCAGACCACTTGAACCAGTGTTGCGATTACCGCGGCGATCTGCCGGGTCCAGCTCGTCGTTGCCGCCAAAATCGCGCTCCTGCCGGGCCAGCTTGTCCTCGGGTCCGCCGCGGCCTTCGAAGTGCTCGCCGCGAGTTTCTCTGGTAAATGAATGCGTGTCAATACTTTCTGGAATGTTCGGCGAACATGGAGGATCTGCGGTGTAATATAGAAACCCTCCAAGACTGCTACTTATGCATACCTGCCGCGAACATCGACGTCACCACCTTCCTCGACAGGAATCTTGCGATTGTAGCCAGCATTGGTCTTCAGATCATCGCCATATTCAACCTTGGCACCGGGAAACTTGCGCTCGACGCTCGTGTCGACACCCGCGTCGTCGTTTGATGACTGCTTGCCCGCTCCAGTCTTGGCTTGGTAGGTGTTGAGGTCACGCTCGGCTTGCTCCGCAATGTTTCGAAACTCCTCAGATGTTGGGGCCATTGTGGGCAGAGCTCTCTGCTGGTTCTGTGTGTTCTTTGCGCTCGGCTTTTGGAACACTGGATATAGAATGGAAAGACTTATGTGTCTAAATCAAGACAGTCGTAACTCGTAGCTCAGTGTATGTCGTTGTTGGTGCAGATAGAGGTTCGTAACTGGAAACAAACAGAGCAAACGATCATTCAGCGATAGCGGTCTTCAGGCATATAAATACCAGCCAACGTTGGTTTGGGTAGTCATTCAACCTTGCAAGTGGTAAGAAGCTGCAAATGCGCCTTGACGTCAAATAGCATAATCGTGATCTCATCCGCGGCGATGAAATCATCACCTCCAGTTTTGTTATCTGATAGCCTCGTTGCAGCAGTGCTCCACTAGCTGGAGCTGCATGACCAGTAAATGTCTCCAAGCGGAACAATTATCGAATGATGGCCAATTATCACTGCTAGGAATTGGCTGTAATGGAGACTTGGTGTATTGCAGGCTTGAAAAACAACTTTCAATCCCTCTGCTTGGAAGGAGTGGAAGCCAGGGCCGAGCCGCAACATGGCTGTCAGGCATCATGCATTTATCCTAACCTCTGGCGCTCTCCATGCTTTACGCGGCGAAGAGAACAGAGCTCGAGCGTGATACAGAGAGACTGTAGCCATGAGCGATCTTGGATGAGCTTGGTCGACGACTAATCCTGCTGGCGCTTGACGGCCTTCTTCTTCCCCCGCCACTCTAGCACAAAAGAGTCGCCTGGCTGCTGAGAATTTCAGACATCTACAGACAGGGTGCTTGCATATGCATAGGCGATGATCCGACTGATATCAACACGGAAAAAGGAATATTCCGCCAACACGGCCATGTTTGCCCCGAGGCGCCAAGGAGAATTGAGACCGGCTCGAACACCCTGAGCTCCTGTGGCGTTCAGTCCTCTGTAAGCCTCAGGATGCCACATCGGGCGATCTGAAAAGTGGAAGCGACAGTGCGCTGCGTTGACGAATGACTTTGGACCGGAAATTCCTCCTTACTCATGGTCGATTTGAGCAGTCGGCATCGTCTGCTTTCAGCTGGGCCTTTCAGACCGCCCTAGTATTGGATCACAGCGGCCAGACAACTGGGCGCGTCGTTGCGGAGGCAATGGTCCGAGACAGTACGCTGTCCAATACGCAGGTGGGGCCGGCAGCGGTAAGCCGTGAGCACAACTGGCGCGAGCCTCCACTGCCAGAACGTCACACCCACGCAGCGGTGGTTGACGGTGACCTCTACCTTGAGGCACAGGGCCCCGAACGACGTGTAAGTCCCTCATGATCGACCTCGGCTTTCGGCGAGGCCCCTCGACGGTCGAGCCGCCTGTCACCCAGCGATGCTATCGACCGCCATGCGTCATTGGCCCCGGAGTTAGCACTTTCTGAACCAGAAGGCGTGGGACTCGTGACCGCTCTAAGGCTCGACCATAAGCGCGATCTCCTGCTGAAAATTTAAGAGGACTTGGCTCTGTGTAGTCCAAGACGCCTCTGAGGCTGCCACGGTGCCCCGACATGGTAAATATTAGCGTTCCCATACGTCTGGGAGCTCTGCAGCATATGTCTTTCGGAAGAGCTCATGCAGCGGGTGTGCTCCGCCCCGCTTCCCGGGTGAGACTATTGTCAAAGTCCGCTCGGGCGTGCTGCTCATGCCTGCTCTCAGCACATGGCCTGTATTGTTGTCACCGGCCGCCACGGAATATGAGCCGCTATTCCCAGGCTGAACTGCAATATTGTCGGGCTGTGGATGCCATGGCTGCTGCACGAGCTTGGAGGTGTCGACAGGGATGTGCCCTGACCACGGCGCAAGGGTTGGCATTTGAGGTTGCTGCAATCAAGCGCGTCAATGTCTCAACATTCACGGTCATGCACGAGGGGAGGAAGAGCATTGTCTTCTCCGCTTATACCAAATCAGGTCAGTCCAGGAACGGCCGACGAGAATCGCGTGGTTATGTCTGAGTGTGGTAACACTCCAGTTGCCACAACACGTGATGCTTGCTCGCCCACCGCGCTGGTAGCAGCTTCTCACCTAGACAATGTCTTGGTCGACTGTGCAGTGCCAGGAGAGACTGGCCCGTTCGTCTTCTGAAGACTGGGGTCAGAACTGAGGCCGAGAAGGTCGGCGGCGGCGGCTGATGACGGCGCCTGGCATCGGGGATTTGATGCGCCTGGGCGGAGCAGGAAGAACCGGGTCCTCGGTTCCAGGAGAGCGTGCGCGGGACGATGCTGACAGTGACGAGTGGTCGCGGTTGGGTTCTTCGAGATTGCCACGCCGGAGCAAATGCTTGAATAGGCGACGTATGGGTGGTGCCTGGGCCTTCTCGAAATGACCCCTCGGGCGGGCCACTGGCGCGCTCGAGTCGCGATGCGCCGCCATCCAAGTACCGGCAGCATCGGCTGGTCTTGCCCTCTGGGCACCAAACCCTGGCATGTCTGTCGGCGCCGTCCTTTGCGAAGAGCCTCTGTCAGGTCCACCTGAATGTCCAGTGGATTCCAGGCTGGCTCAATGGACGATCGCCCGGATATCACCACTGCATTCTGTGCCGGTGCTACCCAACATCCCGGATGGAAGGCTTTCAGAAGCAACGCGCCGGCGGCCCCAACATCAGCGCCAACGCCACGGCGGCCAGAGAGACTATTAGACGCAGTGGCTTCGACGTAGTTCACGCAGGTGTGCAGTATGCACTGATCAACTGTCCAGGCAGGGCATGCAGGCACCAAGCAGGGTGTCAGGCAGGGCTCTAGAGGGAGGTGCCCTTGGTGCGCTCAGGAAGCTCACCTGGGCAGTTGCGCTGGCCAATCGTTCCTGCAGCGCACCGTGGCTTCATGCCCGACCTGCTTTATACACCCTGGCTGTGATGGATCCTCGCCTGCTCGACCTGCCTGGGGTGCCCCGGATCCCAACCATCGAGTCTCCCACAGTCCCAGACATGGGAGCCTTCCCACCTCCACCACCGTCTCCCTTCCGCGCACCGCACTCCAGCCGCATGGTCCAGCGCCAGCCAGCCCGGCCAGCGCCGCCAGGAGCCGCCCAGGGTTCGCAGATGCTCAGCCGGAGCAAACATGGGAGCTTCATGTTTTACGCTCGCCGCCCGCCGCTGCGCATGCCTCTCTCGAGACATCTTCTCCGCCCCTCTGTCTCTCGCTGCCACGTTGTTGTGCCCGCGCCGCGAGCCCTCACGGCTGCTTTCCTCAAGGGAGGGCCTGCCACCGCCCATTGCCCTTCCCGGGCTCCGCTGTCTCAGCCCGTCGTTGCTTTTTCGGCCTGCAGCTCACGGGCCTGCTCCTTAGCACTTTCAACTTATCTCTGGCTTGTCGACTCCTCGGTCTGACGACCACCCATTAAGATTATGCAACAAGGTTCATCGCTACCCATATAACCACCCTCTGTCCGGCTCCTCTCGACCCAGCGACCCTTGAACAGCCTTGCCCGTAGCCTTCTGGGACCCTGGAAGCCTCGGCCGCATGCAACTCATTACCACCTGTGAGACGGGGTACTCCATCCTTCGCTTGGCCACAGACCGCGCATCCTGACAAAAGTCGCCCTGTGAAAACGTTTGGTCAGCAAGCAAAAACGAGATCGATACTCGACGACACAAGATTGCCAGCGGCCGCAACTCACGCTCGCGCGAAAGGCCATGAGCAGACGTCATGCCACAGGCGCACAATACGTGGAGCGCGGAGGCTGGCATCCCGCCGCCGTATGCGCAACCTCAATATCATGACCAGAACCCGCAATCTTTCCATGAGGCGTATCCTTCGTCATCTCCCATCCCCTCAGGCACACCGCCCTCGTCGTATATACGTGAACGAGAACGCGTGCAAAGGACAGACAGTACTGTTGCACCATTGCCACACATCGGCCATGGTCTTCCGCCCGTCTATGCTCACTCAGGTGCAACAGTTGCCCCTTCGGCAACGAGGAGTCCAATACTTCACCCGCAGCCCACACACGGAGGGTTTGAGGCAGTTCATCCACGATCATCTTCTACACAGCAGGATGCAAAGCTTGCAGGAGAGCAGCCTCGCGGTTATGAGTCCGCAGCATCAGATTCTCATAGCCAAAGTCGTCCGAGCATTCTGGATCAGTCGCCAATCGCGCACTCTAGTGGCTATCATTATCCGTCCGCGGTTGAGAGACGTCTGTCTACGGGGAACTTTACAAGTTCGATGCAGCCGCCGAATTGGTCGCCTGGGGGCATGGCGCCACCTCTCCGCACCGCGCCATCCCACGACGCTGTTGCTACGACGTCCACGCGACACCCGCTAGGAGACCAACCCCGAGACATGGCTCCGGGAGGCTCAATGGCTCGAGGTGGCCGAACTCTGGCCATGGTGGCCAAGTACAGGATTTGTGTTCGGCAGCATCCTGTAGCAGCCCGATCGTGTGGTTTCGGTGAAAGAGACCGCCGAGTGATCGATCCACCACCGATAATACAGGTATTGATAGACGACCCCCAGATTCCAGATCCAGAACGCCAGCGTATCTTGAGATATCCCTGGGGTGTTATGCACTGCACGATATGGTCCGAGGATGGCCAACGCGACTGCTCAGGGATGCAGGACGATTTCCGCACAAACAAGAGATTGATGGGCACGCCAGTCTCGTCACCATTCGTAGGCTTCGATGACAAAGGAGAAGAGGGTTGCTTCTACTGCTTCCCCGATTTGTCAGTGCGCACACCAGGGGCGTTCCGGCTGCACTTCTCACTTGCCATTCTTGATCCATCGATGCAGAAGAATGTGCCCGTGGTTGCTGGGGTCATGAGCGATGTATTCAGAGTGTACAATGCCAAAGACTTCCCAGGGATGCAGGCCAGCACAGCGCTCACAAAGACCCTGAAGAAGCAGGGCTGCTTGATTTCCATCAAAAAGGGCAAGGAGCACACTGGCGCCCCGCGGTTATTGGACAGTGGCGATGAAGACGAGGATGAGGACGGCGGCGGCGGACCGTTCGCCCGACCAACCAAGAAGTACCGCACATGACGGCAAACGACCATCGCCCTTGACCGTGTCGCGCTTGCCACCAGCCTTACGCCATTTACGAGTTATGACTGTATTCTTTAGTGTTGGTGATTGCGAAGTGAACGTTCGCGCTGGACCAAATTCGACTCGTCGAGGAACCTCCACAATTCATGGCTTCTAGAGTTCCGACAGTGGGAGGCTCGCGCCAGGATTGGGCAGACAGCTCGAGGCAGGAAGTAAAACAGGGACCATGTAGATAATGTCAAAAGCAGTCTGTCCTCGCTCTGTGCTTGACCAGCGACCGCGCGAAGCGTGTGGGTATCTTCTGTGGCTGGCACAATGTCAAGACGAGGATCGAGTCTAGCCGCTTGCAAAGGGGCTGCACCGAAGGTCCCTCGACTTGGCCCCAGTATGTGCGAGGCGATCAGCCATGTTGTACGCGTGGGCAGGCCTTGGAGGGCATACGGATATATGCGTACGGGCTGCAAATGGGCAGGCACTGAGCAGGGTGGCGGGTTTATTCGAATAGACCATTCGTTTCGCAGCAGCAACGGGAGGAGAGCATGTTGCGCTTGGACCCTATCGCTGTCTGATATGCGCGTATTGCGGCTCAACAACGCGTGCGATAAGGCCATGACGGGGCGCCAACAACTTGGAAAGGGAAAAGCCGGGTGGGTGTGCCCCAACATTGACAGGATTGTTTTCAAGGTGAGCGATTTGGACGCCGGTGCAGCTGAGGACTGAAGTAGCGCAACACCCAACGATCTATGAGCGGGTACTTGAGTGAGGCCGTGGTGGGGCGCTAGGTCGGGTGCCAGACCTCGTCGAGCTGTCCACAGGTGGAGCTCCCAGGGCTGGCATAGGGGTTACTCAGGTCACTCAAGGCAGAGATAGTGCCGGACAGTACCTGTGGACTTGCCAGCGCCGCCCGCCTCTCTGCAAATTGGGCCCATACTTGTCAATTGGGACCCGGCGATTTTTCTCTCTCAACCTCCCAGGACAAGCTCGCCGCAGCTCCCCTTCAACGTCGCCGCCCTCTACCGCAGAGCTGCCCACCCGTGTGGCCATCACCATTCCTTCGTCGCCGACTCGTATCGCTCCTGCAGTTGCCGCACACAATCAGGCACCGCCAGCAACGCCATCATGTTCTCGCGTGCCCTCAGAGCCCCAAGGGCTGCTGCGCCCTTCCGCGCCGCCATCGCCCGCCGCCCAGCGGCTCTGCGCACCGTCACCACCAACGCCGCCTCGTCCCACGCCGAAAAGGCCGACGTCCCCGATGCCGACGACAAGCCTTTCCAGGTGACCCTCAGCGATGAGAGCTTCGAGACCTACGAGCTCGACCCCCCTTCGTACACCATGGATGTCACCAAGAAGGAGCTCAAGCAAATGTACTACGACATGGTCGTCACCAGGTATGAGCTCCTGCAACTGCAAACACATGAGTTCGTGCCCGACTTCTGACACTTCAACTCTCACAATAGGCAAATGGAGATGGCCGCCGACAGACTGTACAAGGAGAAGAAGATCCGCGGTTTCTGCCACTTGTCCACTGGCCAAGAGGCTGTCGCTGTTGGTATTGAGCACGCTCTGACCAAGGAGGACGATATCATCACCGCCTACCGCTGCCACGGTTTTGCGCTCATGCGTGGTGGCTCTGTTCGTTCCATTATCGGCGAGCTTCTCGGTCGCCGTGAGGGTATCGCCTACGGCAAAGGCGGTTCTATGCACATGTTCACCAAGGGCTTCTATGGAGGCAACGGTATCGTCGGTGCTCAAGTGCCCGTCGGCGCCGGCCTTGCCTTTGCCCACAAGTACATGGGCCGCAAGAACACCACTGTCATTCTTTACGGTGACGGTGCTAGCAACCAGGGTCAGGTCTTTGAGGCTTTCAACATGGCCAAGCTCTGGGGTATCCCTGCCCTGTTCGGCTGCGAGAGTATGTGCTTCTGTTCCGTTAATGTCTGACATGTTCGCGTGCTATTCCCACTCTTGCTAACACTCACTGCGCTTCAGACAACAAGTACGGTATGGGTACCGCTGCTGCCCGCTCGTCCGCTCTCACCGATTACTACAAGCGTGGACAGTACATCCCTGGCCTCAAGGTCAACGGCATGGACGTCCTCGCCGTCAAGGCTGCCGTCAAGGCCGCCAAGGAGTGGGCTGTCAGCGGCAATGGTCCTCTGGTTCTCGAGTACGTCACCTACAGGTACGGCGGCCACTCCATGTCCGACCCCGGCACCACCTACCGTACCCGCGAGGAGATCCAGCGCATGCGGTCTACCAACGACCCCATTGCCGGTCTCAAGCAGAAGATTATCGACTGGGGCGTCTGCGCCGAGGACGAGCTCAAGGGCATCGACAAGGAGGCCCGCAAGCACGTCAACGAGGAGGTTGCCATCGCCGAGGCCATGGCCATCCCTGAGACCACCCCTCAAATCCTCTTCGAGGACATTTACGTCCGTGGTACTGAGCCTCAGTACATGCGCGGCCGCACGACTGACGAGGACTACTACTTCTCCAAGTGAGGAGGAGGATAGTCCCCGCAGGTCGAAGAGGCATAAAAGACTGTATGAAGTGGATGGGACAATGTGCATCTGAAAGCATGGTTGCGGGAATCAAACTGGCGTTTCACTCTTCTATGTCTGTAGTATACCGTAGACGGGTCTGGCTCAAAGGGAAAGTCCCAACAGGAAGATTTTTAATATGACACATGAACTCAAGATCGTAGCTCTCGAGGCGCTGTAAAGTGGTTGTGTCCAGCTCACCCATTCCTTGACATTTGCAATTTTCCAACGGGACCTGGGCTGGCTCTCATCTGCTGTCGCCTGTCTCATACCAGGCTCGCACCGAATAGACTGTGACGCCTAGTAGTGTTCCAAAGACGACTATGTGTGCCCTGTCATAGCTGAAAGGCTGGCAGACTGTCTGACGGAACTCGTCGAGGTCTCTGCGTCAATAAAAGTCTGATGCCGTCATGTCCAAAATGAATGCTAGCTGTTTCCCCGACGCTCGACTTCCCCATTAAATTGATCACTGCCACACGGTGGTGGCGATCTCAAGCCCGGCGGGTATGTGGACAGCATCAGAGGGAAATAAAAACGGACGTGAGCAGGCAGTGACTGAATTTTATTTATTTTCTATAGCCAACAAGACCGGCAACCCAAGCCTGTTTTTTCTCGACCCCATTCAATGCTGTTCATACATTTACACTTCATCCTTGCCGCTCGGGGCACAAACGCTCTCATCTCTTCGCAGTCCAGCTCCCGAGCCATCTCGACCCCTGAGCGACTTTTGCCACGCTCTCCAGTACAACCCGCACCCGACCCTCCGGATCCCTGAACCTGTGGCCTTCGAACTCGACGAAGAATATGTACTGGAATGGCTCGACCTGGCTAGGTCGCGAGTTGATGCTCGTCAGATTCAGCCCGCCCGTGCGGAAGCAGTCGAGCACTCCCGCGAGAGCACCTGGTGAGCGGTGCGGCACGGTAAAGGAGACGAGCGACTTTGTGGCTGGGAGGCGGGTCGTGTTGGTACCCTCGTCGTGGTGTTGAACTGGCAAGGACACTGTCGATGGCGCCGAGGGCGAATCGTCACCAGCGTCCTGCCGCTGCTCAGCGTGCTTAGTCAGGACAAAGAACCTCGTGGTGTTGTCCTCGCGATCCTCAATGTTTGCCGCGAGGACGTCAGTCCCCGTGAGCTGGGCGGCGACGGCACTGCTGATGGCGGCGCTGGTGCCCGTGGTGTCATCCCGCGCGAGCTCGGCAGCACGGCTGGTCGAGCTGCAGTCGATGGTCTCGATGCCGCGCAGATATGCGTTCAGAAAGCGCGTACATTGTCCAAACGCTTGCGGATGGCTGTAGATACGCTGGATGTGGGAGAGAGGATGAAGCGGCCTCACTCGCGGCTGCTCCGGATTTGGCTGCTCCTGGGTTGGTGTGCATTGGCCCGAAGCCGGCACAGAACTCGTCGCCATCGCCGCCGCCGCCGCCGCCTTGGGCACGGGCAGACTGTTGGCTGGCGTTTGAGCAGGGCTGGCGATATGACCTACTAGGCAATGGTGGACGTCCTGATATATCTCGCCACAGACAGATATGTCTGGATAGACATTGGACCTGTCGGCAAAGTGATCAAGGGTGAAGACGACCGAGCCGTTGGTCGAGTTCTCAAATGGGGCGACACCGTACTCTGCGTTTCCGGACTGTGTGGCGTCAAAGACATCTATCCCAGATGGTGAGCAAGACCGAGCTCCCAAGCATAGGGCCACCACGAAATTGATCGCCTCTTGCTTCACTGTGGAATCACCTTCGTGGACATACCTTGTATCGTGACGACTGGCACGAGCTCATACTGATCGGGGGGAAAGGTCTGCAGCGTCGCCTACAGAGCAAACTGACATCAGAGGTGCACAAGAGACAGCAGGCGCGCGGAGCATGATATTGCACAGGTGGGCCGAGACGTACCTGGTGACTATACGAGGCAATGGGCCCCAGAAAGCACACCACCGGCTTCTTCACCCTAGTATCTGGCTGTTCTGCAGCCATTGCTTACACTTCGGGCCCCGGCTGCCGTATGGTGGTCCAACTGACTCGGGCGTGCGAGACACAGCTGAGTTGCGCCGTGGGAATCGCAGTTGGAAAGAGATCCCCTTCGCTCAGATGATGAAGTGCCTCTCGAATTGCTGCCAGCTTCCTACCGGCCAAGCTCGAAGCAAGGTGTTCTGGCTTGTTGTGGAATGTGGCGGGCTTCAAAGCGGCGGGTTCCGTTTGGTTTCGCGGGGTTCTAAGACCTTTTCTGCACGCCGGTCCTCCCCGGCCACGGCCCACCTCCGGCGCCGGCCACGAGTATCATACACACTGAGCTCCAAGGTACAAGGCCACGTCATATGGATACTTTCCAATGCTGTCAGCAGGCGATTCGTGCACTACACATCTCTCAGTCGAGTCTGCAATGGCGATAGTAGCTCCTGCAGCGAACAGGAGCCCCATATCGTGTTCAAACTACGCTACAATTTTGGCTGACTACCTGGACGGGATATGTACCAGCAAAGACCATCGCTCCCACCCTCACTTATACTCTCTTCTGTACTCGCCTGCCTCAGCCCTATGATGGCTACTGCTTCCTACGGTCTTCAACGTGCATGGAGACCCATGGTGGTACCCTGGCGAGCATGGTGTCAGTATGTGGAAGCGGTAAAGGCAATCAACATGGCTTCGTATTGGACGCTTACCCCTTTTCCGTGTCGCAAGTCAACTCAAGCGGTCATCATAGAGCGAAGCGGGCTTGGCGCCGCGACCTGTCGTGCGGTGTGCGCAGAGTTGGCAGGGCCGGTCTTCGCGAGGCGGCGCTCGGTGAAGGTCGGCGACGCAGACTTCCCGCCCAGCGTCACGGGTTGGGCGGGGGCTTGCGCATGGTGGCGCTCCGGATCGTCATGCTCGACAGGCGCCTTATTTGACTGGCTTGCTTGAGCTGGTCCCCCGCTCGAGAGGGACTCCTCAAGCTGTCAATCATCGTAATAGTCGTCATCGTCGTCTTCGAGATCGTTTAGTTGTTCAAAGTTGACCTTGTATCGCAGGATGCCGCCGATACCACCAAAGCCCTTGACGAACTGGTTGCCCTCAGTCGAACGATCCGACACGAACTCAAGGTTCGTACCAAAGTCCTTGTAGTGCTCAGCGATCCACTCAATGAACGAGTCCTGGGAGATGAGCTCCATCTCCTGGCCAGTCTCCTTGTCCATGAACATGGCGCGGTCCCCTGACTCTTGGGCCTTGGTGAGATGCAGGAGAACCTCGTTGCCGTTGCTGTCCTTCAGTTTCCAGCGTGTAATCTCAAGATTCTCGTAAACGATCAAAGTCTCAACTGCACCGAGCTCCAGAGCCTTGAGTGTATCGTCGATACCATAGCAGATCTTGCCAGTATCCTGACTGATCTCTTCAAAGTACTTGCCGATGAGCTTCTTCTCTTGGATGAACTTGACGTTACCAAGCGTCTCAGAAGACAACTCGATGGCCTGATTGAATCCGTTCTCACCCCCATACGACACATCGACAACTTTAATAACCTTAGTGGCAAGACGGTTGTCGAACATGTCGGAAGCATTGAGGTCATTCTTGAAGTCAGCAGAACCAGCCAAGATAATACCGGCGACGTTGACCTTGTCGTTGGTGATGAAGTTCTGCACAGCTAGCTCGGCGACCTTGCGGACATAGTTGTGACGCTTTTCTTCTCTGAGACGGGCGAAACGCAGAGCAGACTGTCCACCACGACCGTGCTTCTTCGGCAGGTCGACAGAGAACTTATGCACGATGTCACGGGTGTTGCCGCTCAAGGTACCGAACAGGGCGCCGTTGCCGTCCATGACGATGAATCCGAATCTCTGGTCCGATTCGAGCAGCTCGGAAAGAGCCTCGGTGTGGAACTTGTTGTCGCAAAGGTAAAGAGAGGTATTGATTGGCTTGAACGGCTCAAAGTCAATGTTGACCTTGCGTTCCTTGCCCTCAGACGTCAAGATTTCACCACAGTAAACGACTAGCCCGTTGGGAGGGACCTTGTTGTATAGCTTGAGCCTCTGCTGGGTCGAAGTGATGGCTGACAGCACGGACTGTCTGTTGACACGGGACTTGATGTTGGACGCAGTACCCTAAGCCCGTTTAGTTAGCCTGGGGTTTTGATCGTGAGGAGGGCGGAGGCCACGTGTATGGCGGGTGACGTACGTATTCTTCAGCCAACATCTTCGCGATCCGGGAAATCTGATCCTTGGGGGCTTTACTGTCGTGTCAGCTCGCGTCTCATGGATCCCCACAGGTATGACCGATATCGAAACCTCGTGGTGGAGGGGTAGTGGGGCTTACGGATGACGAGGGAAATCATGCTGGTGCCATTTCCGCGTGCTGCCTCGAGGCGCTTCACGAGCTTCTTGACCTTCCAAATCTCAATCTAGGCAGCCAAACTTGTGATCAGTAACATAGTCTAAAAGGTTGACCTGCTGTGGCATGGAGTGAGGTAGCTGCCTGGTGCTCGTGGAGGACGGCGTGGCCCTACGAAGGTGACATGTGGGAATTTTTCGAGTCTGGTGGGGGAGTGTGCTTGATGGGAGGGGGCAACGGCGGGACATACGTTCTTCTCGGCCTCGTTGCCCTGATCTTTGTCGGCCATGATGGCGGCGTGCTCGTGGCAGAAATGGAGACGTATGCGATGGCGGGCTCGGCTGTCTGCCTGCAAACCTCAGAGGGAGTTGTGGAATGACAGCAGGATTTGTACCAGAACACGGGGTGGTGGAGGTGCAGGTGCGAATAGTGGTGCTGGTGGGAGAAAAGGTCGGACGAGTGATTGGGCCTAAGCGGGCAAAAATTCACATGGGCCAGGTCGCATCGCCAACCAGTTGCCGTTCACTACCAAAATGCGGTGGGGCAGCTGGACCTCAGAACATGCAAAATGCCAGTGGCGGCATGCACCCGGATGCTGGATCGTTCGTGCCTCTGGCTCAGTCCTTTCCATGAAGCATGCCGCCTCAAGAGCCGCTCACAGCAGCACTGGCTGCGGCCTGCTACGATTATTGCAAAGTTGCTTCTGTGGCTCAGCTAGGCATCAAACGCCTCCTGCAGGTTGCCCACACCACACTGGGCACTTGGATCGTGAAGGTCGCCTCGCGGGGGTGCAGATGACGTGTGGTGGGGCGACGCCCGATTCAAGACAGGCACTGCGTACGTAGACACTCAGAGACGCAGTGGCAACTCGGGGACATGCTCCAGACACAGGGATTCGAACTGGCTCTGGTGGTTTACTTGAACACCAATCTTCTATTGTCATCTGCCTCGGAGCGTCATGGCCGAGTCCTTCTCGGGTGTGGAAGGAACAGATTGGACACGCACGCAAACACTCCAAGGCAGTATGCGTCGGTGGCAAGTCGAGTCTGTGCTCGGTACGCTCTGTCCAGCATATCGAACGGCAAGATTCTGCCTCTCAAGAAGTCGACGGTAATATGCGACGTGTCCCAACCTCTCACTGTCGACATGCTCCATGCAAAGACTGGCGTACCAGCCACCGAGCCAAGATCAGATGCCTCTCGGTACGTACTTTGAGTACTGAAGTATTCTCGGACCGACCCGCAACGTGGACGGCTCTGGCGCTGCTCTCCATCTTTGCACAATTTGTCGCACCAGACCTTCTGTGCAACCTTGGAAGGCGGCCCTGGTGTGGCGCCCAGGTGCCTTGTCGCGTCCGCCCCGCGTTGTCGCGCATGGTCGTGGCCAACAACCTTACAGCGCACCACAGTGCCTCGACTCTTCTGCATCATCCTTCCGGTCGCCTCGCGCCAACAGGCTTTTCTTTGTGAAACATGGTGAGCGTGTCTTTGCAGAGTGGCCTTGACCTACAGCAGCACTCGCCCCTCCCAGGCAAAAGTCCTCCGCGGTTGCAGGAGGGTTGTGCTTGGCCAACCATGCCATTTGTTGCAAGTGCGCTGTCCCACAGAATCGACAATCCCACACCACGAGGCCTGGATCATTCCAAGGTTGTGCTGTTGGCAGCTTCTGAACGCAGTTACCGCCACCTCGGCCACCACCATTGAGGCGCGCTGCTGGCTGCCCAGCCGAGAACCCATGGACGATGACGACAAAGCTCACCATGCGATGAAGCTCAGCGGAGTTTGACCTCGCAGCTACGCACAGCCATTATCATCTTATCTTTTCTCGACGAAGCCCAATCGCGCCGGCGCCGCTGCGGTCACCTCAGCAATAGCCATGAACGACTTACTTGTGCGGAGAGATTATGGCTGGATTGACTGAGCTGAGTGGATCCAGTGCGTGCAGCGGTGTGGAATGGTCATCTGTCGCATCGTCTACTTCACACAATCACTTCGTTCTGCCACTTGCCGATGAGACAAGCGTCAGCATCTCTTGCCATGCTTCTAGAGCCTATAGCTAACGCGCATGGACACAGAGACCGTGAATGGAAGCTGGGCCCCCCGGAACCCTCTCCGCCCTGCAGAAGGCAACGGCCTTTTCTTTCTTCCGATGGCCAGAGCACATATGCCTCTTGTGTCCGTCGTGCTGCTTGCGAAACAGATAGAGCAAGCGCAGCACAGTTTCAGCAGTTTTGTGGCCATGCTGAAGTCCTCGCAGCCCAGCGCTGACCGCGGACTCTTGCTGTGTCGTTTAAGAAACTCCCCGAGAGCCACTGTTGATGGACAGGTCAGGCATACTTGTGGTGGTGGCCTAATACGCTCCCTAAGGTCTGTCGTCTAGGGCCTCTCACGAAACCCATGTCAGGAATTACTGTCCGTGAAGGCTCGGAACTTGTTGTATGCAAGCAAAGGTTGTGGAAAGCTAGGGGGGCTTCTTCTTGCGAGCATGGACTAGCCAAAGTGACCATGGTGCTTCAAACCAGCCTCTTAAGATAGACGTGCATTGCCGCTGCCCTGGTTGTCTGGAGCGAGTGGGCAATTTGAGGTAGGCGGAGACCTAGTGCGTGCCAACCTTTGTCGTTGACGTTGCTCTGTCCACCGCGCCCCCAATCCACTTCCATTAAGCCACACAACTTCCAGCGCCCCATACCATAGGAAACTACGCGTCTTGGTGTGCACGTTTTCTCATCTTGTTCTTGTTCGAGACGTAAAGCTCGCGCAGGGGCATTCCTCCTGCCTTACAGGCTTGCATCCTCATCCTTGACACCTAACGACACCCCTCCGACACGCCACCGACATTTCACCTTCATCTCGCGCGTTCACCAGAGCATTGTCCTCGACCAACAACGCCGACGACACGCGCAAGCCTACACACCGGCACAATGAGCGACGACGATTCTAGTGACCTCTCGTCCCTCTCGTCCCTCTCGCCTGCCCCGCCTGACGAAGAGAGCGATGTTGAACTCAAGCGCGAGCAGGGGATCTTGAAATTCTTCCATAAGGTGCCCAAGGATGCGAAGCCAAAGAAGACCTTCAAAGCAGTGACTAAACAGAGGACACCATCGCCACCGCCGCCGCGAAGATCACCTTCGCCCCCTCATGACTATGTTCTGGCAGACAATCCGGACATCGCGGTACGTCCCCTGGTCGTGCGCGTGGCGCGCGAAGCATTTACACGTCGCGTCTCTCGAGACAACCAAAACGCTGATGCAGTGCTGGCAGTTTCTCGTCATGTTCCGAAGCCGCTTCAACGAGGCACTTCCCAAGTCATTAGCCAATTTCGGACCCCAAGAGCTCGAACGCGACATCACGGAGACGATACCGGGCGAACGCGTCGAACACTTCCTCTGCTCGATTTTGGGTCTGCTTCTCAATCGCAAACAGGATGTCAAGTATGGATCCTCTCCTCAACACGCCAAGATTGTCCCGCTGGGAGCCGCTACTGACTGCAGCGCGTCAGGCCTGGTCATTATAACCGAGCCCTAGAAGATGCTATTTCCACGCACAAAAGTCAATGGGCCAAAGACTGGGAGGAGAAGAACCCACTAGCCGGTGGCCAGAGTTTTGCCTCTATGACCCCTACTGAACGAGTAAGCGTTGTTTGACCCTGCAGCCATGAAAGGAGACAAGCTAACATAAATCCCGCACAACAAAGCTCACGCTGCTTCGAACTCTTGTCGTCTGGACCCTTGCGTCCTCGGACGTGGTCAAAGGAATAATCAACCAGTCCTACAAGCAGAACCGACACGAAGACGACCTCAACCAGCCGCTCTCTGTCCAGCCATGGGGTTCTGACAGCGACCGACGACGATACTTCCTCATTGAGGGGTTGGACGACACTGCCTTCCGGGTCTACCGCGAGAGCAACCCTGCCGGCTTCAACCGGACCTGGTGGAGTGTTGCAGGCACTATAGATGAGCTCAGTGCGCTGGCCGAGAAGCTTGAGACCAAGGATGGCGGACCAAGGGCAAAGAAGCTCGCGCAGCGAATGCTTGCGGCTGTGCCCCGGTTCGAGGCGACAGAGGAGAAGAGAAAGAGACGCGAATATCGATTAATGCGGAAGGAGCAGTTCAAGCGGCCAGAGCCCGGCTTTTCGATGTACGAAGGCCGGACGAGGGGCAAGCGGATGAAGTATACCTACTCTGACGACGAGGATTTCATGTCTGATTCGACCAACCGGCGGTCTACGCGGCATACAGGCACACATACGCCTGCAGAGCCTGCCGGTCCAGTGACCACCGCCAGTGGTCGCCAGGTCAAGGCCCCCTCGCGCATGACGGTCGACGCATCCAACAACATTGTCACAACTGGGGACGACGACTCGTTCATGGGCATGGCTGAAGGCACAGGAGCTCCGAATGGCCGCCCAAGAAGGTCCACTACGAATCGTCAATCATCAGCCAATGGCTGGGATGACGAGGATGAAGATCCTAGCGAGCCAGATCTGGGGGATGACGAAGGAGACGATCACGTTCCAGACGAGTCAGAAGACGACGAAGATGAAGAGGATTTTGACGGGGATGAGGAGATGGCTGATGATGATCTTGAGGATAGCCCAAAGAGCCTTGTCGTGAAGCTCAAAGTGCCTGACAAAAACGGAAAAGAGGCTGCTGCCGAGGCGCCTCACTCTGATGGCGTCCAGAAGACACCGGACAACAATGGGCAGAGAAGAGCGGAGGCTGATGCGACAAGGATGGATCAAGGCCACCGTGGTAGCCGAGCGACTCCGGATCCATCTGATGATGTCGAGGCGAAGAAGCAGCTCGATGGGGAAGGGCAGCAACCGCCTCTCACGCCCGCTTCGAACTCGACTTTGCCTACGTCGCTAGCTTTCCGGGGCAGCCCGGAGAAGACGCATTAAGTGGGCGCTACCTACCTCCAACAATGACGACGCTATTTCACGATGTCGGAGCGATACGTATTTGAGTAGTGGACTGAGGCCGCATCTGTGAAGGACAACTTATGGCTGCCCAACTGGTGGCTCGGTCATTGAGTGATGAGCTGTAAACAGTGTAGTTTACCGGTGTGTAGCGCGAGATATGTGCGCCTGCGAGTCGACCTGGAGGAGGATGCCAGTGACAATGTGTGTTATGAACGCAAAAAACACAAACTACTTGCTGGCCGCGACGTTGCCAGAGATCAAATTGGTCATTTCTCAGTGCGGAATGGGTGTCTTTTGGTGCCTCGCCCTTCGTGACTAGCGAGTGGTTCTGCGAGAGTTGCAAACAATGGTCTGGAACTGCGTCATTGGCCTCGCCGTGCTCTCGCTGTGACTCTTGCATCCCCGAGAATGGGTGGGCCAAGAGTCTCCCAGCACCCGCCAAGACGGAAGCAACTCATCGGGTGTGCTGGCATTGATCCAGCTAAAATTTGATAAATAGCTAACCCTTCGTAGCCAAGCGATACATGTACAAATAATATCCAGCGGCCCTCGAGCTTGGCTCTTCACTGCGCCATGATCATCACCGTCATCTCCTCGACCTCTGTCTTGAATCCGCAGGCACTGGCCAGTTGTTGACCTGGTACCACCACCTGCGTAACCTGGCGCCATACGAACTGCCGCTGATCTGAGCAGTACGGTTCCAATGCTGCCAGCCGCAGATGGCGAGGTTGTAGAGCACGCCTTGGGTAAAGGGCATGATCATCTGTGTGGGAATAGGGAGGCGGTGGTGTCAGCAAGAGGTCAGTGTAATTTGGGTTTATTCAGGACAGGAGATCTGCGGCTTACGGCCGCTCCCACTGAAGGAAACGAGCGTGACCGAGAGCTGGCTCACCTGGTCTCTGAACGTGATCCACGCGATGCCTTGCCACGACTGTGCCTTGGAGATGCTGTTGAGGTAGCTCTGCTCGAAGCGCAGGTCGGGCATGGGGGGGAAGTCTGTCCTGCGGGCGCGGGGGCGGAGAACGCTTAGGGGGATGTCGTCGTCATCGTCGTCGTCGTCGTCCGAGTAGCCCTCGACGTCGTCGTAGTCTTCGGACAGCAGGTCGCTCTTGCTGGCGGCCGAATGCAGGCTGATGGGCACTTTTGCGGACGCGGCGGTCGAGGGGTTCAGGTCGTGGCGCGGCGACGGGTTGCGCTGGATGTGTGCCGTCTGGACCGTCTCGGCGATCTGGGTAGGGATGCTTGCAGCCATCACGGCGGCGGAGCTGGCAGCAGCGGGAGCTGCGAGGAGGAGCTTGCGGTGACTCTTTCGGCAGCTATGGCTGTGACCGTGCCGGTCTGCCCAATGTGGCTCTCACCAATGTAGAAATGATGGGGGGTTTCGGGTGTCTCGCACGTTGGTATTCCTCCGTTTCGATGGCTGGCTGTGGTGGTGTCAATCGATGTAGACGGTGGGCAGAAAGATGGTCGATGTGGTCTGCCTATGCCGACGACGGCACGCCTGCATGGTGGGTCCCAAGATCGGAGGTCCTTAAACACGCCCGTAGTTTGACGTAGCTCCAGCTCAGCGCCTATACACAAGCGAGCAGTGTCTGGACCATTGGCCACACATTTCGCAGCCTCGTGGCCGATTATAGTTTTCCAGAGCCAGGCTGGGGTCTACCTAGGGAATAATCCGTGGCAATGTCAAGATCTCGTCCACAAACGCAAGGCGGCGCTGTCAGGGAATCCACATCCCTGCTCCTGGGAACATTTTCCAGAGTATGGTCATTCAGAAGGTCGTTACTCGATCCATGTATAGTACATCGCCACGCCACACGAGGGTATAAGTATCAAGTATCGTACATCGCTGTGTCCCCTTTAACCGCCCACCACACAGCTGTGTGTGTCAGCCAATCAACTGATTCTGCATCTTACAGCTCCGTCACTCGGCCATTGCCCAGAACTCCTCCTTGGACTGAATTTGGCCTTGACGAAGCGGCGCCTTGTCTCTGCTGCCGCCTGCTTGACCTCGTCTTGGGGATCTCGCTTCTCGGGAAGACGGCCTCCTCGCCCGATGGCTCCCCCTTTCAGACCTTCTGAACGGTGCCGGCTCGGACTCGTCCCAAGATACGCTTTGAGGCCGGCGAGGGTTTGTTGCTTCCGATTCTCCTTCGCCGTGCTGGGGTTTCTCGAAGTTGATTTGATGCATGCCAGAGTAGTATTTGCCTTTGCGTTCGCTGAAACCATGCGGTTTTGCGTCATTTCCCGCTGGCGTCTGCATGTTTTGCGGCATTGTATCCTCGGCGCCTGCGTCTTGCTCATCATCCTCCATCTCCATGGCTTTCCTATCAAAAGCCGGGTCTCGCTTTAGACGCTCTTCAAAGTAGGCCACAACAAGGCGGTTGAGTTGGTTGCGCAATGGCTTGATGGCCTCAGAGACCTTCTCAGGTACCATATCGTCAAAGATGAGCCTATCGTATGCTGCGATCATCTTCCGAGACAGAGCGACGAGATCGCCCAGAATTGTGGCCTTTTGTAGCCATTCTTTCGAGTCGGCAATTTGGTCGAGCTGCAAACCATCAATGTGTTTCCGAATAATGGCGTGCGGCTCTTGTAGATTGTCGAGGGCAGCGCCAAGCTGCCGTCCGTGGGCATATTTTGCCTTCTGATCAAATTGCCCGGCCTTGTTCTCAAACTGCCTCTTGCAAGCATAAGCCACTCGTAAATAGGTCTGCATGGCGGTTAGATCAGGAAGCACGAGCTTCGTCTTCATGGCGTTCAAAGCCCGTGTCGCATTAGCGAAAGCATGCTGGTTGAGACAATCGCGAAGGCAAGCTTTCATCACTGCACGAACATGCTTGCTTTGTGTCATCTCTGCGGGTAACTTTTCCAAGGCATTGGCCGCACTGGTGCTGTTCTTGCCCCTTGAGAAAGCATGGAGAAGAGCAATCCAGTTTTGAGCGTCAGGCACCACACCGTGTCCTTGGACAAAAGCATCCCAATAACGCAATGAGGCTGAAGTTTCGCCAGTGTCGGCGAGCGTCTCAAGGACAAGAGAAAGGGAGTTGTTGCCGGGGTGCGCGAATCCCATCGAAGAACTCAGGGAAGTCTTCTTTGACTGTGGTTGGGAGAGTGCTACGACACTCTTCGAGATCGGGACTCCAGATGGCATAGCTGCACCTGCAGGTCGCATGGGGGAGAGGCCTTCCACCTGTGGTTTGACAGATATTTGCATGGTCTGTTCAATCAATTCGGGGATGGACTTCCGGTCCGAGCGGTCCCCAAGCAAGAGAAGGCGGCCCATTGCACAAACTAACGCTTCGTCGATGACGATTGCACCAGCTCTCCAGCGATCTATGACTTCGCGCCATATTGTCTTGGCTCGTTGTAGGGCTTCTTTTGTCGCCGCTTCCTCTGCACTCCGCAGCTGCTCATCTGCGCTAGCTTGCCTTCGACTTCCCACCAGAGGGGCACGGAGGCCGTTGAGGATGATCGTATACGTCTGACCATTGGGAGATCTCATGGAATCATTGGCCGTCTCAACGATCATAAATAGCGACTCGAGGTCGCCAGCGGCTGCGCAGACTTTGAGGACAGCGTTGAGATGGATGATATTCGGTTGAACACGCTCTCTGGTGAGCATTGACTGATACAACTTGACAGCCTCACTAACGGCCGTTTTTGGGTGCTGCGACTGTGCGAAGCCGCGGAAGAGTATGGTGAAAGTTTGCGCGTTCGGGACCTGAGCACGCTTTTTCATCTCTTGGAAGAGCTTGAGTGCTTCTCGAAGTTTCTGGTTTTTAAGCGCATAATCGATCAGGTGGTTCCAGCTCACGACGAGCTGAGCATACTTGCTTGCCGCTCTTGTGAAAGTTTGTGCATCATCAAGGCGATCTTTGGATAGCAACATAGCGACATGCTGAGCCGCACGGAGAGGATCGGGCGCCGCGGGGGTGCCGTCCTCGCTTCTGGTCATCCATGGGAGGGCTAGGCTTTTCTTTTTCGTTTTCGCGACTGGACTTGGGCTCGAAATTGAGGGTTGATCTGCCTCGGGCGTTTCCCTCCCCGATGTTCGTTGTCTCCTGCATGGTTGACTTGAGAAACATCTCAAAGCTTGCGTGTGCTGTGGGACACCATGGCGAGACAGGAAGTTGTGCGCCCGAGCCGGTGAAGCGATGATATTTATCGAGAGGCAGATTGCTTTACGGTGCCTTGCAGCTTGTGCGAGCATGGTCGGGGGGCCTTGCTGGCCTATGAGCGCTGCTGTTGCGTCAGCAAACTTGCGACAGTACTGAAGCAAGAATCGATGTCTATTGCGGGCTGTAGGCAGTCGTTTTCGTAGCTCGTGTTTCGGTATCTTTGGTATCGCACTCGAGTGGTTGAAGAGTGTGCATCGTCCTTTGAATATGAGATTCCAGAACATTTCCAGTAGAGTCGAGCTGGGGCGATCCTGGACTCTATCTTATCGCTAGAACCACGCCCAGCGTAGGGGGTGTCTCGTTCTGCTAAAGTGGTGGGGCTCAGGAGACTCGGACACACGCCCAGGACGCGTCCTGACGCGAGTTTTGTCTACGCTTGAGCAGATACGCGTGCTAGTGCCTCGAATGTTCACTAAAACGTCCCCAGTCAGGGCCGCCAATGCCATACAGCACCCCTCGCTCCCACGCCGCAACTCCAACCACAACAACAACAACAAGACGCTACAAGGTCTCCGAGAAGACCCAGACAGAGTATTCGTGCATGTCTGCACCGCCAAAGTTTCCCGACAACTGCCGTATCCATTTGGAAATGAGATAACCACGCCTTGACGTCAAACAGCCTTCACGTCCCTCCAGCAAGCCTTTCAAGTCCGCAGGGGATTTTCGCCGCCAATATGTCGAAAGCGGCTAACAAACGCAACAAGTTCGCCGAGCTCCGGGCTCTACGTGCCTCGGGAAAGAAGGCGTTTGACTCGTACGAGGTCGCGCAAGAGAACGCCCTGTATGAAGAAGTTGACGAGAATGAATACAAGAAGATTGTCCGTGATCGGCTAAACCAGGACGACTTCGTCGTGGATGACAATGGCGAGGGCTATGCCGATGATGGGCGAGAGGAATGGGACAGGGTGCATACTTACGGCACCGATTCGGAGGAAGAGGAGGACCATTTACCTACTGGCAAAACCCGCAAATCAGGTTAGTTGCATCGCCATCCGCACTTCCATACAGCCACGCTCCAAAAACAGAATGGCTCACCAGCTCTCCACGCAGATAAACGCCAACGAGAAGCCGACAAAGCAAAGCGAGATGCCGATGATCGCGATATTAGTGCATACTTCACAAAAGGGCAAAACACAGCACAAACCAAGCCCAAGGCCATCAAGACTGAAGACGACGAGCGCTTCCTGGCAGACCTGCTGGGTGAGGTCGACGCAAACGTCCCCTCCGCTGCCGCTCGTACTTCGAAACGTCAAAGATCCCCTGAACGCCAGCGGGCGAGAGTGCGCTCACCCATACGCGAGACACGCCTTCCACTCAACAAGAAAGCGCGTTTGAGCGAAGAACCATCGCCGCCAAGGCCACAACCAGCCGTCAACAATGACGGCGACGATTTTACTCGATTGACTGATCCCCAGTCCCCGGGCCTGGATATCGTTATGAGTGATCCCGCTCCGCTCCCATCATCTCCAGTGACGAAAGCCGTCGCTCGCAAGACTCAGATAAAAGCCGAGCCCAAGGATGACGAAGAAGATGAAGAAATGCTGGAAGTTGCGCACATGGGTGCGATCAAGACGACCAGCGTCAACCTCTCCGCATCTCGGCCCATCAAGAAGATTCTCAAGGCAGAACCATACCCCACGCCCGCCAGCAGCTCACCGGCAAAGTTGGTAGACACCGAGACAGTGGATGCATCTTCTTGGAATGAGCTCACCAGCAAGTTATCGGTGGCGAGCAGCTCCCCTGCCCAGACCAGAAGTGTTGGGAAGATTGATTACAAGGATGCCGTTGAGGAAGATGGCAGTCTGTCCATGTTTTGGACAGATTATGTGGAAGTCAACGGCTCACTATGCCTGTTCGGCAAAGTTCTCAACAAGAAGTCAAACACCTACGTCAGTTGTTGTGTCAAGGTTGACAACATCCTGCGGAAATTGTACTTTCTGCCACGCAGAAGCCGCGTTGTCAACGGCCATGAGACCAGCGATGAGATTGGCATGAGCGAAGTCTACCAAGAAGTCGATGAAATCATGACAAGCATGAAGGTCAAGATGCACAAGATCAAAGCGTGCTCCAGACGATACGCCTTCGAACTTGCCGACATTCCAAAGCAAGCACAGTACCTCAAACTTCTATATCCGTACACCGCCCAGCCACTATCGGCGGAGATCAAGGGCGAGACGTTCTCGCATGTATTTGGCACCAACACATCCTTGTTCGAACAGTTCGTTCTTTGGAAGAACGTCATGGGGCCTTGCTGGCTCAAAATCCAAGATGCGGATTTCGGCAGCTTCAAGAACGCCTCCCACGCCAAATTAGAGGTGCTTTGTGACCATCCCAACATGATCTCGGTAATGAGCGAGTCGGACAACTTGGATACCCCTCCCTTGACCATCATGAGTCTAGCGATGCGGACTTCATTCAACGCCAAGGACAACAAACAAGAGATTCTCGCGATCAGTGCTCGAATTTACGAGAACGTTCTTTTGTCGGACACGACTCCAGCAGACAAACTTCCTTCTCGTACATTTACGCTGATGAAGCCCAATGGCACACAATTTCCGTTAGGGTTTGAGAAACTCGCCACGACCAGGAACAAGGGTTTAATCAAGCTCATGAAGCAGGAATCCGAGATTCTGTCCTTCTTCCTGGCTCAAGTGGATGTGGTCGACCCGGACGTCATCCTGGGCCATCAGCTAGAAGGCGTCGACTACAGTATCCTGCTCAACCGGCTATACGAGAGGAAGACCCCGCAGTGGTCCCGGTTGGGTCGTCTTCGAAGATCTGCATGGCCTTCATCCCTAGGCAAAACTGGCGGCAACGTTTTTGCTGAGCGTCAAGTCATGGCCGGTCGATTGCTTTGCGACCTAGCCAATGACGCCGGAAAGTCAGTCATGTTCAAGTGCCAGTCTTGGAGCTTGACCGAAATGTGCAGCCTGTACTTGGGTGAAAATAATCGTCGACGGGACGTGGATAATGATGTGGCACTTAAGACATGGGCCACCGAGAAGGGTGGGCTGATGGACTACATCACTCACATGGAAGCGGACACATACTTCATTGCGGCTCTCGCATTGAGCACGCAGATTCTCCCGCTCACAAAAGTCTTGACGAATCTCGCCGGCAATTCTTGGGCACGCACGCTGACGGGCACACGTGCAGAACGCAACGAGTACATTCTGCTGCATGAATTCCACCGGAATAAGTATATCTGTCCCGACAAGCAGCCTTTCAAGGGCCGCCTGAAGTTGGAGGAGGAGAACAACGATGAAGAAGCGACTTCCGCGAAGAAGAAGGATAAGTACAAGGGTGGTCTCGTCTTCGAGCCTGAGAAAGGTCTTTATGACAAATTTGTACTTGTCATGGACTTCAATTCCCTGTATCCATCCATCATTCAAGAGTACAATATTTGCTTCACGACCGTGGAGCGGTCTAATCTGGTAAGTCGTTTCCAAAAGGACTGCTCGATACGAGAAGCTGACTAGCATAGGCGGACGACGAGGACACTGTGCCTGAAGTTCCTCAAGAACAGGGCCAAGGCATATTGCCGAAGCTGATTGCAACTCTAGTCAGTCGTCGAAGACAGGTCAAGTCATTAATGAAGGATAAGAGCGCAACCCCAGAACAGCTCGCCACTTGGGATATCAAGCAACTTGCTCTTAAGCTGACGGCCAACTCCATGTATGGTTGTCTCGGATACACCAAGTCTCGCTTCTACGCCCGCCCTCTTGCCGTGCTCACCACCTACAAAGGCCGTGAGATTCTACGCAGCACGAAAGAGCTTGCTGAGTCAAGGTCATTGCAAGTCATCTACGGTGACACCGATTCGGTCATGATCAATGCGAATGTTGAGTCAGTCGCCGACGCCCTCAAAGTCGGCACGGAGTTCAAGAAGGCCGTCAATGAACGCTACCGCTTACTTGAAATCGACATCGATAATGTTTTCCGGAGGATCCTGCTCCAAGCCAAGAAGAAATATGCGGCTATCAACCTCGTAGAGGTGCCTGGAGGCAAGTTCATCGAGAAAATGGAGGTCAAGGGTCTCGACATGAAGCGGAGAGAGTACTGCGCTTTGTCGAAAGATATCTCTTCTCGCATCCTGAACGAGATTTTGTCAGGCGATGAGACCGAGTTGTCCGTGCAGCGAATCCACGAATACTTGCGCGAAATCTCGGGCAAGATGCGCGAAAACGCCGTGCCAATCCAGAAGTACATCATTTACACCCAACTCGGAAAGTCGCCCAAGGAATACCCCAATGCGGATTCCATGCCGCAAGTGCAAGTTGCGCTCAGAGACATTGCACGAGGCAAGAATGTACGCAAGGGGGATGTCATTTCCTACGTTGTGACTGGCGACAGCAAGGAGACGTCGCAGCCTGTTGCGAAGAGGGCGTACACGCCTCAAGATGTCATGAAAACGGATTCGGAGCTCAAGGTCGACGTTGAGTGGTACCTCGGCAAGCAAATCTTCCCTCCCGTGGAACGTCTGTGCGCCAACATAACTGGCACATCCACGTCCCAGCTCGCGGAACAACTTGGTCTTGATATACGTCGGTACGCAAGCAACCCTTCGTCTGGTCAAAATGGAAACCAGGACTTCAAGGTTCATCCTCTAGAGTCTCAGGTTCCAGATGAAGTACGTTTCGCTGAGTGTGCACGACTCTCTTTGCGGTGCCGCAAGTGCAAGACTTCGGCGCCTTTTGAGGGTATCTTGTCCTCCGGTCAGCGCACAACCGCACAAGGCATCACCTGCGGAGCATGCTCTGCTCTCATTCCAAACCTGAGCATCGTCGCCCAGGTCGACCATGCCATCAGAATACAGTCCGCCCGCTATTACGAGGGCTGGTTGTGCTGTGATGAACCGCAATGTGGCGCTCGCACTCGCCAGATGAGTGTGTACGGCACAAAGTGCCTTGGTCCACAAGGCCGTGCTGCTGGCTGCCTCGGGCGTATGCGATATGAAGTTGGCGAGCGAGAAGCTTACAATCAACTACTGTACTTTGCGTCCATCTTCGATGTCGAGAAGGCCAAGCTCAAAGCCTCCTCTGGAGCAACGGGCCTGGGAGGCGATGGCAATGCGGGGGCCCTGAGTGCTGCACAGCGTGAGCAAGTCCTGGCACTCGTCGAGCACAACCGCGTACGCTTTGGCACCGTGAAGGGTGTGGTCGATAAGTATTTGGACAAATGCGGTCGCCAATGGGTGCAGATGGACAATTTGTTTGGAAAGCTGGGGTTCACGGCAGTATGAACAAGGAAATTCTGGGCTTCGACTATAGCGAAGTGGCGTTTGGTGGTTGCTTTTGATACGGTTCACATGCTTATTGAGGTTCTGACTGCAACCGCTATTCTAGGCTATGAATGTTGTGAAGATGAATATGAACATGATAGCAAGCCGCCATGGCTATTCGCACGCAAAAGTTAATCATGGGGATGGATATGAAACCGGCGTGACAGCGTGACAGCAATCCAAACCACGGTGTAAGTGCGCAGGTGGGCCAGCTCGTTGATGTATCCCGAGCCCCTATTTATGGGGTTTCCGCCTCATTTCACATATCACGCGCACCAGTGCTCCTGCTGTTAGCATCGACTAAAGCCCAATGCGGATGTCCGTTCTCTCGCCTTCTGGGCAACGTCAGAATTGCCTCTGATATATCTTCAACAATTCACTTGCACCTCAGATGGAAATTATGGACTGACATTGGGAGGTTTGTAGGAGGGGACGAAGACGAAGCCCCAGGAATGAGTGTGATGCGTCAAAGCTCCAGCCTAACAGCACAGACGATTTACGTTCTGCTGAGCACACTCGCGCTACATGCATCGCACATGCAGCAAGTCAAAGTAGAGAAAATTCGTTACGAGTCAATTAATCGTGTCGGATGTGCCACATACCACTACGTGAGCCGTGGCTCTGGCACGGGGTCTATGTACTTTGACACACATGTGGTCAGAAAGTCAGGTATGTCAACCCTCCTTCCCTCCACGATCCTTGACCAGGATTGCTCCGTGAATGAGAGCCAATGATCCCCTGTTCCTTGCCAAACCTTCCTTCGTGCCCCACGGGTAGGTGTCCCAAACCAACTCCATGCGAGCAACCGAAGGCAAACGTGGCGTGAAGGACCGGAATCAGAAAGAGAGAAAACGAGGAACGCCAAGATATTGCCAAATGCAGATCGTGAACAAAAGGCGATAACTTTTCCTCCACATGATGCGTACCACTGTGTGGGATGTTTATGGTCAGCCGAGACCGGTAGATGCTCGTATCGCGTCCAGGAAGTCCCGGGGGTGTTCGAGTGTTTGCCACCAGGGACTATGAAAGCTCCGTCATCCGCGGACGAAAACACCAAGGTATTTTGACTGAGACGTCTTTCTAGCGGCAAGCCGTAGGAAAATCTATTTCGATGAGGTATCATGCATAGTAAAGGAAAGCCTGTAAACTTTTTGCAAGGCTTCTTTTCAGAACCCTCAAACCCTGAAATGCAAATGCGGCCGTCTGTAGGACACGCCAAACGATGCCACGCTGACCGAAGCGCAAGAATAAGAGGCCAGGATCAAGAGGTGCGGATCTAGCTGCTCTCCTTCCCGCCGGCAGCCTCGGGAGCTACTTTAGCCAAGGCGGGGGAAGCGGCAGTCGAGGGAGGCGATGTCGGGTGTTCCGTATCCAGACCAGCCAAAGCCCTGTCAATGAACTGTCAGCAAACTGCACGGAAACATCATTTGCAGAAGAAAGCGTCAACTTACTCGAAGGCATTGGTGCTCTTCTGCGTGACAGGGGGAGTGCCGTTGCGCGAAGACGCGGCAGAGTCCTCGTTGCCCCGTGTCATGGCTGATCCCAACCTTCTGCCGCTGTTGCTCCGGGAGTTCAGCATAGAGTTCATGGGACCCAAGGTCATGCCGGAACTCGAAGTACGGTTGGCACCACCCTTCAAGCGCCGTAGGTCGTCCATGCCAATTTGGTTCGGGGCCGTTTGCGGGAAGCCGGAAGAATAGCCTCTGGCGTCGCCACGTCCAAGTTGAGGTCGACCAGGACCACCACGCGTGTTGGAGCGAGCTGCCTCAGCAGCCTTCGCGGCAGCCGCGGCCTCTGCCTCGGCGCGGACCTCCTCCAGTGTCTTCGGACCCTTGTTGGCCTCTTTGGAGTGCCAATTGGCCCTGCGGAGATCGACAATGTCCATGAGCATGAACTTCAGACGGCTGTTGATCTCCGGATGATCGATCATGCCCTGGATACGAACAAAGTAAACATCCATCATGACACGACCCTTCTCGGTTGCGTCGAGGTTGCCACCGATTGTACGAAGAAGCTTGGAGAGGGACTCAATCTCAGCCTCGTCGGGCACACCGTTGTAGTCGACGAGCTTCTTGACACATTCGTGCATGATGCGCTCAGTCAGCATACCAAGCTTATAGAGCTCACCGATGAACTGAACAAGACCCAGACCACGGCGCTTCAACGCTGCCGCAATATAGTACTCATCGGACAGCATGGCGGCTTCCATTGACTTTTTGTCACCATCAGTCTCCTTAGGCTCAGGGAGGTTGGTCTTCCAGCCGCGCTCGAACTCTTCCTGACATCTGTTGAGCAAGTATTTTCTGAACAGATTGCCACCACTGACGACCTGACCTTGGCGGTCGATGATGCTTTCGTCGCGGATTTCTGGGCTCATAGTCTCCAGCATGCGCTTACAGAACTTGGCATACATGGAAGCCCAGTGGGCCTCATCTGTGGCCTTCTCGAAGGTGAGCTGGATGACCTGTCGCAGTGTCCTGCCATCCGTCTCCTCCTTCGACTGCGCAGCAATGGTGAGGATTTGGTCCGAGATCTTGTCAAAGTTCTCTGGGGTCATCTTGTTCAAGGCGGCCTTGACCTTGCGTTGCACCATGGCGGGATCCATAAGCTCGCCCTCCTTCACCGCGCTAGCGGCAATTGGCTTGCCGATGCTTGTGGGCTTCCAGCCAGTGGAGGAAAGCGTAAGTGCCTCAATAGGTTTACCAGCAGTGAGCGGCATGGTCTTAGCTGCCTGAGCTTCCTGCTTATGGTTGTGTTGCTTGCTCGGGTTGCGGCCACCGCCCTTGCTTCCTTGCCTACCGCTGTGCGATCCCATCGAGCCGGAACCAGAACGACCCGACATGGAGCTGGGGAATGCGCCACCCGGTCGCTGGAAGCTTTGCATAGGACCCGGGACTGGTGGTCGGGGCATGGTTCCTGAGGTCATAGCCAAACGCTGCTCGGAGGTAGTGCCGGGAGGTAGCGTGCGTGCTGGCTGAGGAAATCCTCCCATCGGGAAGCCAAGGCCACCCTTGCTGGGCTGCCGTCCAGAGCCAGCAGGCGTTCTGGCAGAGGCAGAACGGCCGCCGTCTCCATCGCCAATGAGCGTCTTGACTTGCTGATTGAAGTCCAGAGACGGCTGCTCAGTGAACACGCTCTTGAATTGCAAAAGGAAAGAAGGATCGTATTTGAAGGAAGTACCCTTGCGAGAAACTGCAGCGTTCAATGCTGGGTTCGGGGACTGGATACCAGCAGGGTATATGTCCGTCTTGATGGTATCCAGAAGTCTCGCAGTCTTGAGCGACTGTAAAGCAGCACTGGGCTGTGGGGGCTCGATCGAGTTCGTTTTCAGAGGAGCCAGGTTGAGTGCAGCAGGTTTGTTGCCACGCCCAACAGGCCCAGGCTTGGCTGTTGCTGCCGGGGTCGACTTGTCGTCAATGGAGAGCTTGGCAAGCTTGTCCGCAGCCTCGTCAGTCGAAGGCTCGCTAGGCTTGTCAGCGTCACCCTTGAGCAGGGCGTGCACATCGACCGAGCCTTGAGCCCGGCGCTTGGCCTCTCGCTCTTCTTCAAGACGCTCCATCTCAGCCTCCGCGTCACGCAACTTTTGGTCGTTGGCTGCGGCGTTGGCCTTGCGCTCCTCTTCCTCCTTCTTCTTCTTCTCTTCATCCTCGACCTTACGCTTGGCACGACGTTCCTCCTCCTCGGCCTCGCGCTTCGCGTCGGCCTCTTCCATCTCGCGGATGATGCGCTCGAGCTCTTCTTCCTCAGTCTCCTCAGCCTTGGCGGGCTCTTTGGCAGCAGGTTCAGGCTCTTCCTTCTTGGCAGCGTCGGCTTTGGCCTTCTCCTCCTCCGCGACCCGGGCGGCTTCTTCAGCCTTGGCTTTCTCCTCAGCCGCGGCCTTCTCGGCGGCAGCTTCTGCCTCCTTGGCCTTGGCAGCTTCTTCATCCTTGGCCTTATCAGCCATGGCCGCTTGCTTCATCTTCTCCTTGAACTCGTTGCGCACTTCCTCGGCAGTCTTTGTCGTGCCAGTGCTCTCAGTGCGAGCATGGCTGGGTGCCTTGGAAGCAGTCACAGGAGGCGGAGGAGTCGACGCTACTACCGGAGGAGTCTTCGACTGTTGCGTGCTGGGCGCTGGCGAAGCTGGGGCCTTGAGGTGTGCGAGATCCACAGTCTCACCTTGAGGGTTCTTGATAATAAGAGCGGCACTCTTCTTGGGTGGGCGTGTGAACTGCTGCGGCGATGACACGATCGCCGGCTTGATCTGGGCATGGTGCATCTGAGGGGTGCCTTGGCTAGGCGGGGGACCCTGGCTTGCGCTTGAAGCGGGCCGGTGCTCATGTGTAGATACCTGAGAACCCTGTCGGGACATAGGCTGGCCTCCAGGCGGGTTGTAAGGACCCTGCCCATAAGGTTGCTGGAAAGCGGGCGCAGGCGAGCCCTGTCCGTGCATCATGGGATAGCCTGGGTATCCTCCCATCTGCATCGTACCGCGCATGTTAGGATCGTAGTAGGGCGCCTGATAGTAATTCTGCTTGGTAGCTGTCAGCATTCTGTCAAAGTTGCCACTCTCTGGTGAAAGGTCAAGCTCAATCTTGTTAGAGTATGGTAGAAGTGGTTGCTGAGCCGGCATGAAAACCTCATGGAAGCGCTCAGGTAGGTTTCGAGTACTCTCACGATGCAGGACCGCTCGGTCCTGACATCTGTCCAGATTGTTGGCGGCATCCCAACGCTTGTCAGAGTGCGCAACGTATGGCACTGGATCCGCATGATGCCAGGTCGCTGGATCATCCCGGTAATGCGAACGATCAGGCCCACGTTTCAGAGGCTTTTTCTTGCCACTTCGGACATGTTTGTACTGACGCGAGAATTGAGAGGAAAGGGAGGGGGGAATTACTTGAGGTACTTGAGTCGGGCCCATCGGCGGGGGCGGGTAGTAGAAGCCGGGCATGTTGTTCGGCGGGACATTCGGAGGCTGTTGGTGAGGCATGGCAGGGTTCATCGCGGGGCTTCTGTGTGCTTGAGGCGGAGTCCCGAAAGGAGGCTGCTGGCGGTTGCCAGGGTTGAAGTTCGGCGGCATGCCACCGCGACCCTGGCTCGGAGCACCACGGCCGAAGTTTGGTCCCGGAGGATAGCCCATGTTAGGTTGGTTGTAGCTGTTAAAGTTGCCACGGCCACGACCAGCGCCAGGGAAACCACCACGGCCCATGCCAGGCTGGGGCGGGATCTGTTGCGAAGCCATGTCATTGTGGCTGTGGCTAGAGCTTCGGCGCATGTGGGGTGAGGCGTGAGATGCAAGGGCGTTGGGGTCCTGCGAAGCAGAAGCTGTCCGCATGTGTGGTCGCTGCGAGAGTTACGTCAGTAAAGGACAACAATAGAAGGGGAAACCGGCGACCGTTTAGGTCGGAGGCGATGCTGAAGAGGTAGAGGTGGACAACGCTCTCAAGAAACAACCAAGCGCAGTACTTACATCTCCCTCTCCGCCGAAGCTACCAAATGTCATCGCACTGCCAGGAGGGGCACCGGAAGGAGGACGGCCACCGCCGGTTGCAGACGGCTGAGGAATTGGAGATGGGGAGTTTTGGGGCGATGTGACACGGGGGTTGCCACCAGGGATGGCGATCGGAGCAGAACCAGGCTGCGGCGAGCTGTGGGACGCAGCGGGAGAGTCCTGGAAGCCGAACTGAATATTCTTGGGAGCCGATGCGCCACTAGGGCCGTTGGAGAGGGTTACCGATGGCTTGCGAGCGTGAGATTCGCCGTTGGCACTGGAAGTGCCGTGGGCAACGGCAGGGGTTGCCGTAGGGACGGAGGGGACAGCAGGCATGATGGATGGCCGGCCGTTCAGAGGCGTGTTGGAAGACGACTTTGCATGTTGTGGCACAGCGGCAGAAGATTCGGTTGCCACGACAGGCGTCGACACTGGCTTCTTGGCTGCTCCGGCAGCAGAAGCGTAGGACGGCGTGGCGGGGTTGATGGCAGAGCTACTGGGCACGGGAGCTGAGTTCTGCTGGCTGAAGGCGGACGTCATATGTGTCTCGAGACAAGCGAGTCGGGACAGTTGGACGAGAGCACGAACAAGACAGGTCGAATGTCAAATCCGAGTCTGCTCAAAGGAGACTGTTCGCTGGGACGGACAGTCGAAGTATTAAAAGAACACGAGGGGGTGGCGCCGACGAGCGCAAAGAGACCGACGTGCGAAAGAATCGAATCGAAACGGTTGATTAAAAGAGCGTCGTCGCGGGATCCGTGGTGTCCTGGCGGAGGCACAGCTCGGTCAGACAGATGGGGAGAGGAGCTGGGTCGCGGAAGTCACTGTGGGCGGCAGAGACTGGGCGAGGCGAGGCGGTCTTCTCTCGAACGCAGAGGTGCACGGCGAGGAGACTGATGAATCCGTCCTTGATGGCGAGGATCAAGGGGAGGGGTTCGGAGGCGCGGGTTGACCTTCAGAAGACGTGGTTCTGAGGTCGTCACTCGGATGGGTGGTGGTGATGGTGGGAAGGGAGGAAAAGTGGACTACGGCCTGGAGGCGTAAATTTTTTTCTGTGCAGGCAGGGTGCGGTGCGCCTCGCTGTGTGCGAGCGTGGGAGAGAGAGGGCGGCGGTGGTGGGTGGGTGGGTGGGTGAGTGAGCGGCAGCGGGAGAACGAGGGACGGCCAGGGTGAGCGCGGCAGCACTGGGCTTGCCCTTGGTGAGCAACAGCCCAACGTGCAGCCAGGTCAGTTAGCGTAAAGTGGGAGGCGGCGTGTGGGTGTGGATGATGGGGCACCAGCAATTGTGGGACCCAGCCAGCCAGCCGGCCGTGGAAGCAGTAGTGCTGGACGTGGGCGGTCTCTCAGAACAAGAAATGATGATTCGATTGCTCACTGTCTGCCTGCCTGCCTGCCTGCCTGCCTGCCAGTGCTACGGCACATCGGACGTGGCCAGCAAGGAAGGCCCAGTGCTGTTGTTGGCCCTCGGATAGTTATGACTTGAGAATCCAACTTCAAGGCACACGCAAACCAGGCACCCAAAACACTTCGCGATCCCAAAGTAAGCGTAGAAAATATGACCACCTTTTCTTCCACACTCGCCACATGTCTGCCGGCGCCATAACCCAACTCGCTCCTCAATCACGCCCGTCCAAAGCAACAGCACTGGAGCCCCTCCGCCGACGGTGGCCTTGCAGCGCTCGACCATCAGAATGTAGAATGCGATGGTAATCTGGTGGCCTCGGCCCTTGATAATACCCCTATGTTCAATGCCTACTCCCTGACTTCCAAGGTTGGGGAAGGGCACGTTCCCATTTTCCCGGGTTCCCCCAAGCAACACCACTCCTGGCTGTGATTGTCGCAATCAGTCTGGCCCTCGTGTTGGTCAGGGCTGAGATTGCCTGGCTCGACTCGCGTTTGACACGCGCAGGACTGCACGTGGCAACTGTAATAAGCCCAAGACGGCCCCGCCGTGTTTGCCCCGAGCCGCATCAGCCTCGACCAGGAGACAGACACTTGCTTGGGAGCCTAGAAACAACTTCCGTCCCTCAAATTGCCAGTGAGACACGGACGACCTCGTGCGCCGCACGCCAATCTGCTGCGCCCACGCGTGCCACCATCTTTGGGCACTTGAGACCCCGTGCCCGACTAACCTTGGCTCACTTGGGGTCTCACAATTCTGGAAGTCCGGAAGCCTGCCGCGGGCTGTTACGCCGCTTGCTAATTAATGCTGATAAGGGCCTAGCATTGCTGGCCCGGCAATTTCCCACAAAGGTGTATTTGCGTTGCTCACTCGCCACTTCCATCCCTATCTGTGAGCTGGGCACGCGAGCGTGCTGTTGGGCATGACGGCAAAGTGTCCGTGATGTCGCGTCAGTTGAGTCAAGCTCCACGCACATCCGCCCAGGAAAGTCTGGACAACTCTAAGCAGCTAGGCGAGCTGTGCCAGGATTGGATCCATCCCTCCCTGCCATATCGGACGTCCACAGCGCTAAATCACAATGACTCAACAAGGCCAGAGGTGATTGGCTCTGCCCCCCAATGACGTTGCTTGGTGATTGGCCTGGGCGAATGCCATCCACGGCTTGGTGCCGTTGGGCAAATTCGGTGGTCCCCAGCCGCAAGTGGCGGCAAACTGGCATCGACTTTTGAGTACGCGACAAGCATCAGGGACTGCCCGCACGCCTCACTAGAGGGCATTGAAACACCAATTCAATCTATTTTGGGTTGAGATTTTGTGACCAAGAATACGAAGAACGTCAAATCCATCCTTATGGGATGGTGCTGTCGGAACACACGGACTCATCATTAGTCGGCTTTAAGCTGCTCAACTCCGGGCATGGGCAAACTCGCATGACGGTGGCTGTCGATGACCATCGTAACACCTACGCTGAGTAGATGGACAGGACAGTCAGGGCGAGACTCCCAAGAGAGTAGTCACAGCTGACTTCCATGCTGACCTCTGTTGAGTCATACAGGCGTGGCTGATGCGGCTTGCTCTTTCACCCAGGCGAAGGGCCTTGCTTGCAATCTCGTTCCTATTCATTGGCAGAGTAAGAAGCCTTGGGGCACTTTGGCATAATGGGGAAAATGCCCAGCTGTTGGTCATGAACGTTTCTCGATCTGGCCTGGCAAGTCACTCTCCGCCATACTCTGGTACACGCGACGAAACAAGTTTATCATCCTGTCCGCAGCTGGGCTTTGCACTTTCTTCGAGTCCCCCTCTTTATGCAGGATGATATCAGTACCCATGCAACCGAAGCCCCTCGCAACTTCGACAGAGGCTGCAGCCCCATTCTTCAAGAGCCATGCATCTGGGATTCTGCAACAATCGCCCTTTCGCTACACCTGGCGCTCTGAGTGGCTAGTCAGCTGGCCCTGTGAATCCTAATTTACGTATGGGACCGCTATAACCACTCAGCGCATTAGCCTGGGTTCCAACTACAACCCTGATATGACTGATTTGTTTCCCACATCTGATATACTCGCTGCACTTTTTGTAGCCTTTCCCACGTTGCACTTTAGACAGTCCGATTCTGCTGCCAACACCAGCAGAACAACGACCCCGCACAGAAAAACCTCCAAGACCTGGTCTCAGTGACGTGCTTACTTGTATGGACCTTTGCACTACATTACAAGGTAGCAAGGCGAACTCCCGACATCCCGTCTTCCACAGCGATTCTTCTCTTCGCTGGAAGCCGCCCCAGCCAGCCCACGTCAAACACAATCAGCTCTCCAAGCATCGCCAGCACCATTCCATGTTTGCACGAGTTGCTCTGTCTGCCCCACTCACCAAATCCTCGCCTTCTGGGCTTCAGGGTCTAAACCCTTGAGGGCTCCCCATCACGCTTCCAGCGACGTACCCACTTTCCTTTTTCTTTCGCGATTTCCCCACCTCATGATCATGATTTAGTACAAGCACGTCTAAGTTCAACAAATGGTATCCGAATTGGTGTAGTGGCTAACATTTGACGCTCTCATCTCCTGCCTGTGTATGACTCAGTACATCCGGCTGAAATGTCCCGTCAAGCCCGGGGTTCGATTCCCCGATTCGGAGATGGAAACTTTCTTCTCTTTTGCCGTTCTATCATCTCCTGCCGTGGAAGGGAGGCGAGTGGTTTTTTTCCCCGCCTCGTGCCGCCCTGTCTATTTCCCCTCCTTGTATTTCCAGTTCACTGGTTGGTACTCTTGGGCGTTCATAGCCTGGTCCATTTCTCACATAAAGCCTCGGGTGGTCAGCCCGTTTGCGATTTGTTAACCATGATCGAAAGAGTGCATGGCTGACTTTTCTAAGTGATGTGGAGTTTGCAACTGCCTTGCAGCGTCTTTATATTTTCGTTGCAAGTAAAGGTATGCCGACCGCAAGACGCTTTCCAAAGCCCAACTTGGCTATCACGCTTGAGACGCTGGCGGTTCTTGAGCCTCGCCAGAATCGTGTGGCGTCTCATCTGCCACTGGCGCTGCCTCGCTTTCGCCCATCGTGGCGTCTTCCTCAGTCCCATTCGGAACGGCGCCGATCTCATCGACGCCATTCGCACCGTCACTGGCCTCCACCGTGGTACCGTAGATGAACGCCTCCAGCTCCTTGGCCGCGTCTTCCGTGCTTGCGTGACTTATCACCATATCATAGAATCCTTCCGTCTTCGAGTGCTCCACATCTGTCTGGGCGGCTTTCACGAGTCCCTGTATTCTTGTGTCGTCGTCAATACCACCCGTCTTGATGAGGCTCTCCAGATCTTCGACATTCGAGGGCGCCACGAATACGTAGCGAGCTCGATAGCCCATGTCTTTTGCATTGCTTGCGCGCTAGACAGCAAACACTTGGTCAGTCGTCTTGACGCGGCATGTGTTGGCGGGATATGCTGCACTTACCTCTCGGTCCAGCTCAATTATGGGCACCTTGCTGGCCTCCATGAGAGCGTCGGCAAGCTTCCGGTTGGTCCCGTACTCGTGCCCATCGCGGCTTATTGTTTCCAGAAAATAATCGCCATCGAGAATCTGGTTGAACGCCTTCATGTCGACAAAGTGGAAGTCCTTGCCGTGCACCTCGCCCTCCAGTGCACTTCTTGTGGTGTGTTGCACGACCCGTTCAAAGACGCCCCTCTTCAGCTCCATGAGGTGGCTTGTTAGAGCTGCAGAGTCAAGTCCTTGGGGCACGACAATGATAACAGGTTGACTGTCTTCAGGCAACGGATCCTTCTCCTCGTCCTCATTGGCGTCTCTCCCTTCTAGAGACTGCAGATCTTCGAATATGGCGTCAACTTTTTGCCACTCTTCCACATGATCCAGGTTCGCGAGCTTCTCCCGTCGGGCTAGGCGGAACGCTCTCCAGGTCTTGCTGGCTTTGAGCTCCAGAACATCTGCCTTCTCTTTTTCGGAGCTTGCGAAGCTAAGATCGAGATCGTCTGATGCGATCTTATCCCTGAATTTATCCAGGTCAGGCAGTTTCCACCTTGCTGCATCTTTCAGTCTCTCCAAGGCCGCCTCGCCATCTTCCTCCTGAAGGAAGTTCAAATCGAGAGCACCCATCGGTGTTGGTCGAAGTCGTTTGTTCGTAGCCAGTCTCCGTGCACCGTCCATGGCCTCGCGAAACTCTGTCGGGGTGACTGCAGGACGCTCAATGGGAGGGCAACTCTCAATTTTCCAGCGCACCCATCCTTTGTCTCGGGAAAGCACGCTTTCGACGACTCGGAAGAAGAAGTAACCGTCCGGTCCGGCCTGCAAATAGCTAGTAATGCGTTCCTTCATGGCTCGAACCCATTTTGCCTGGTACAGCTATTAGTGAGAATAGATCGGAGCGCAGGGATTGACGTTCTGCTTACGTCTTCCTCTCCGAGGGTGTGGTCTGCATAGACTACAGATTTATTTGGCGCCTTGATTCCAGAAATCTTTGCCTTTGCTTGTGGTGTGAGAGAAGCCAGAAACTCCATGACAATCAGAGCTTGAATTAGAATATGCCGTCGGAAATAAAGATCGCCAATCTGAAAAGGTCAGTCATTGACATTAGCCAAGAGGATGATGCTGGCGACACGAACCTCCAAATCGAAAAGATCTCTACTAGTCAGATATTTCGGGTTGTAAGTGCTACCGTCTCTTTCTTCTGCCGATTCTGGATGTTTCCGCTTCTGTGCCATTGTTCTGGTCTCATCTGACGATTTTGTGGATCGTTGCATCTTGTCGACTGTTTCGAAGGCTGTGAGGGTGGTTCCTAAAGCGGCCTGAAACTTTGCGAACTCGGCCGTGTCGAATAGTGTCAAAGGCTGACTGAAGTGATGCTGTAACGACCAGAATACCGGGTAGAGGCCGTCTGTGTCAAGGGGCTTCTCAGAAGCGGGCTTGTTCTTTGCATCGAATGAGACTGCCTTCGGCCCTGGCTTTACAGATTCCCTATCCTCCTTCTCTGTCTGGTTATCGGAACTGGGTTCATCCACTTCCATCTCGTCGTTGGCGAGTCCGTTCTTCTCGGGTATAGCCTCGTAGGCCGTGACATTGTCGACATGATATTCTCCCCGTAGGTTGACAGAACTGCGGTCTCCGAGGGAGAAACTCTGAAACATGAAGATAAACACTCGTCCGCAGAAGGCTGCGTCCTCGGCGCGGGACAGCCTCCGCAGCAGCTCATTGCAGGTTCTGAGTATCACAAGATGCTTCTGTTTGAGGTTTTTGGCTATTATGCGCTCCCTGCGCGATTCGAGGTAGTCGAATATCCTCCGGCACCCATCAATGGTCTGTGCATCCAGAAGCTCCTCCACGAGCCAGCAAAGCAGTGCAGGGTCGCATTGTTCGTTATCGGAGAGGACGCACAGAATGTCGAAAAAGTTCCAGACTTGCACGAACTCAGGAGCGTCTATCTGGGTGTTTGCCTTCCGACCTCGGACAGTTAGCATCTGGTGACAGGAAAAGAGGATTGGGCGTGCCGGAGACAGTGGAACTCACAACGAGACTGCTGAACAGATTGCGTGCTGCTGTCTCAACAATGGCGAACTGGCGAGCCTTGTCCGATGATGATGCGACAGAATCCGAGTCTGCAAAGATTTGTGGCAGAGCTGCCAGTAGGCCTTCAAAGTTGCTCTCTGTCAACGCCGGCTCGATCGAGGTCGACGGTTTGACAAGCCGGGCGTGCGCGAGTGCCTCGTTCAGGAGCGTGGCGACGCTCGAGACCTGCGCGACCCTAGGCTCGCTGTCGATTGCAGAAGGCATGGCGGCAGGCTCCGTGCAGGCAGGCTCTCCGGCAAGCTCTCCTCAAAGGCGCGTTGAGGGCCGGCGAGGAAGGTGTGGGCTCATGGGCACAACTGAGACGAGCGGCGTGATGTGGAATCCGAAGCAAGGCGGTGCATGAAGGCTTGTGTCGTCTGGCCCGAGGAACGCAAGGGCTTTGTTGTTTGCTCCAACGGCTTGTGCTCGCAGAAGTGTGTGGTCGTGTTGCCCGGAAGTGTGACCTGGAAATGAAAACACTTGACTCCCTGGAGGTGCTGCTTGCTATGGCAATGCGCTGCGCTTGCGACAACGCTCGGCTCGCACCCACGCGCGTCCGATAAGCGTCCGATAAGCATCACGCCGTGTAAGTCGAGATCCGGAGAATCCCACACCGGGCATCATGAGTTGGTCTCGACCACGAATGAATGAAAAGGCCAGACTTGCAAGAGCCCAAGTGATACCACCGCGAGATGGGTGCCATCGTGTTCCCGGGCCGCGTAGGCTTTTCCAGGGGCGTTTGCTTCACATGATGGTGCAATGACAGCCACGTCCTCTACGTTTTCTGCATTGGAGGATTAAGCCCAAGCCCCCTCGGCTCGGGGGTAATGACACGGACAGACTTCAATGGCAAAATTCAACCAGGACTGGTTTCAGCAAGAACACTGCGTGGATATGAAGTTGGGGTCAAAATGCTCTGCGCGGAGTGGCCATTTGATGTTATGCAACTAACCGGCACGGACCTCAGATTGTCGTCCAGCGCTAGCTCCAAGGACTGCTGGAGCTCACTGAGCACGCGCCTCAAGCTCCACGAAAAAACACTGGGCATACAGGCGCCAGTAGAGTGCACTTACATGGTGCGGCATCACACTTCTCGGGCCACCATATTCGAGTCGCAACACCAGCCTGAACGACGCGCCACGACCCATACGTTGTTTGCAGTGCCTGGCGTCTGCAAACATCGCGCAACTGGGCCTCTCGGTGTATGTTCAATTCATTGTGCGACTGCGCCGAACCTGGACAACGCTCGAACACGAACACGCCCATGCGGTAGCCCTCGGTTTCTACCCAGTCGTCCTCCCCCCGTGGAACTGGCAGCACCCTGCTCCGTCTCGATCTCTCGATACACAGTATTCGCGCATGCGACATGCCCACCGTTAAGCGCCTGCGGAGTGGTGCCGCCTCCAAATCCCACGATGCTCCTGCTGCCTCGAATAGCCGCCCAACCGTCGCCGACCTCGAGGGCGAGAACGACTTTGCCAAGCTCGCCAACAAGCATTGGCTGAAGCCGAGCAAATCGACGGCAAAGACAAAAGTCAAGAATGATGTGGTGAACAAGGATATCTGGGCAGTTCTGGAGAAAGACTCTTTCCCCTACAAATCCCTTGTCACCTTGGAAGGACTACAGACACTCGAAAGTTACCTCTGGCCTGGCTATTCAGAAGACGCATCCAACAATCACGTCCTTCTTCTCGCGCTTTTAACAAATGTCAAGGCGCGTGAGCGTCTGGCGACGTGGTCGCTCTTCGAGTCGCGCCCAATAGACTTCAGCAGTCTCTTTCGACGCATATTATCCCTCTGCCTGGACGGATCACTTTCTGTGGTGTTGCGCACACACCTCGTCTGCTTCATCATCCATGCCTTCCAAAGCCTTGATCTGGCAAGTGTCCGCAAGGAATGCGCGCCTCTTGTGTCTATCGCAATCTGGCACAATATTTCGACCGAAACGAAGCGGGATGCACTCATCAACCAGACTGCCCAAACGAAGAAGGCATGGAAGGCTTCCGGCAAGCGATATGATTCTTCGGACGACACGTCGAAAGCGCGGCTGCGGTTTGAGCGGTCCTGGCTGTACACATTGACTCTCGATTTCTTGAAGATGGTCCACAAAGGGAATGCCAGTCCTGAGACCTTGTTATACTGCCAACGATTCCTCGAATTCATGTCCGACTTGTTGAGTCAGCTTCCCACGAGGCGATATGTCAATGCTCTGTTCAAGGACCTTCACGCGCTGCCACTCTTGAAGCTGTCGCCATTATACAATGATGAATCCAATGGGCTTATCAGGGAACAGTACGGACTGTTCAGCCATTACATGTATTTCCCCGTGGACGACCAAACTGGAGCCCAATTCAACTTGTCCGAGACTTACGGCCGACACTGCGCGGAGCTTGCGAAGCTCCAGCGCGCTGCATTACGGCACTTCAAGGACAAGCTCACAGTGCTTGCACTCTCAAACTATGCCGCAATCGACAAGCGCTCTGAGCTCGCAAGTTTGCTCGCGCCGCTTACCGACGCTGAACTTGTGGAGCTCGCTCGGGTACTCCAGCTAAGGACAGAGTTTCCACAGTCGGTCGCAATTTCCGTGAATCGAGTCGTTCTGATGGAGGTCCTCCTGTCCACATTTGAGAAGCGTGCTCCATTCCAGGAGAGTGCTCGGCAGCTGAGCATTTTACCGACGGAAGAAGATCTCTATGCCTCGAGCATCCTACGAGCGGATGAATATGATGGCTCTCAGCCACTAGCTTTGCCGAAATTGAAGTTACAGTACTTGTCCGTGGGTGACTTCCTGTGGAGAGCATTCGTTCTCTACAGGTGCGAAGCGTTCTACGGTATTCGAAAAGACATCGACAGTGCTCTGAAGCGCCTGCGGCCGGAATCGAAACGAAGTGGAGAGACCACTTTCTCCGGATTCTCCAGGATGGCGCTGCCCATCCAGAAGCCTTCTATCGTCGAAGTTGTGCCCGCACTCGTTGGCGAGGACATTCCTTCAGCCGTGCGAGCTGAGATCAGCCTTGATGTTCGCCGACTCGCGGAAAATGTGCGGCGGGACTGGGACACCCTGCGTCCTGACGACGTAGTCTTTCTTGTGGCTGTAGATGCCTCGTCACAGAGGTCGGTCTCAAGTAACACGGCTCGGTATACATCAGAGGCGCAAAAGCTTGGTCTCGTTTCTGTTCGCGCAGCCGAGGTGATAGAGGTCATGGATGACAAAGGAAAGCAGATTCGCGATCCATCAGCCTACTACAACGGCCAAAGCCGCTCACACTCCCGACGCATCCAGCTCAAACTCGATGCGGCGACGTTTTTGCACGACCAGGAGCGCACAGCCAGAGGGAAACCGGATGTCTACGAACGAATCAATCTTGTTGTGCGAAGAAGTGGCCGTGAGAACAATTTCAAGCCCGTCTTGGACTCAATCCGCAGCCTAGTCTTGTCTGAAGTCCCACTAGCATCCTGGCTTCACGAGAACTTCCTGGGCTATGGCGATCCCGCCGGTGCGACCTACAAGCATCTGGCCAACAAGGTTTCAAGAATTGATTTTCGAGACACCTTCCTTGATTGGCAGCATCTTATCGAGGGACTGCCAGGCAAGACCATTGAGCCAAGTGAGGACATGTCTGGGAGTTTTGGCCCGCCTTATGTCCTCGAATCTGTGGACATACCCGTAGAAGAGTCCACTCCAAAGCCGTCCCGAAAGAGGAGGAGGGACGTAGAGCCTCCAGCCCTTACTGTTGAAGCTCAGAACTACAAGGTCTCCACCTACAAGCCACCGAACACTGGACCTTACCCCATCGACGCTCCCAGGCTCAACTCTGTACGATTTACCCCGGCACAGATTGATGCTATTATGTCAGGATCACAACCTGGCTTAACGGTGGTAGTCGGGCCTCCAGGCACGGGAAAGACAGACGTGGCGACACAAATCATCAACAACATCTACCACAACTTCCCTGAGCAACGAACGCTCTTGATTGCACACTCAAATCAGGCCCTCAATCAATTATTCGCCAAGATTGTAGCCCTTGACATTGACGAGAGACACTTGCTTCGTCTAGGGCATGGGGAAGAGGAGTTGAGCACAGAATCGAGCTTCAGCAAGCACGGCCGTGTGGAATCGTTTTTGGAAATCCGTGACAGGTACCTTCGAGAAGTCAACCGGCTTGCGGCAAGCATTGGTGCTCCAGGGGCTCATGGAAACTCGGCCGAGACCGCAGGTTATTTCAACTCTGTCTACATTCGGCCTGCCTGGACCAAATTCACGGAAGCCACCCAGGCTGTTGACGTCACACCAGCCACGATCGTCGATGTCTTTCCATTCACCACCTACTTCTCGGACGCGCCCCAGCCTCTCTTCCCCTTGGACGGCGACCGAGACACAATTCTGGATATTGCTAACGGCTGCTACCATCACATCTCCAAGATGTTTTCTGAGCTCGAAGACGTGTTGCCGTTCGAGATTCTGCGCCGAGACCGCGACAAGGCCAACTACTTGCTCACCAACGAAGCTAGGATCGTAGCCATGACTTCGACACATGCCGCGATGCGGAGAAGCGAGATTGCGTCACTGGGCTTCCACTACGATAATGTGGTCATGGAGGAAGCCGCACAGATTACGGAGGTTGAGAATTTCATTCCTCTCGCCATGCAGAAACCCAAAGACGGGCAGATGGCATTGCAGCGCGTGGTCTTGTGCGGTGATCACTACCAGAACTCGCCAGTCATCCAGAGTCTTGCCTTCCGCCACTATGCGAACTTGGAGCAGTCGCTGTTTTCGCGGTTCGTCCGCTTGGGTATACCGGTCATCACGCTCGATCAGCAAGGTCGTGCCAGGCCGTCGATTGCAGCACTCTATCAGTGGAGGTACCCGAACCTGGGAAATCTCCCGCATGTGGAAAATGCAGAGGAGTTCAAGGCCGCCAATGCTGGCTTCAAGTACGACTACCAATTCATCAATGTGCCTGACTACAAAGGAAAGGGCGAGACGGAGCCAACGCCGCACTTCATCCAAAACCTGGGCGAGGCGGAATACGCCGTCGCCATCTACCAGTACATGCGACTTTTGGGCTACCCAGCCTCCAAGGTCAGCATATTGGCGACTTATGCAGGTCAGCGTGCCCTCATCAAGGACGTCCTCAACCACAGATGTGCGAAGAATCCCATCTTCGGTTTGCCCAAGATCGTAACGACCGTCGACAGGTACCAAGGCGAACAGAACGACTGTAGGTTCAACAGCTCCCCCTCATATCAAGTCCCTGATCAAAAATTCACAGGTCGATGACTAACTCACAACCTTTTTTGCCAGATGTCATCCTGTCCATGACACGCACATCCCGCGTCGGATACCTCCGCGACGTGCGGCGTCTCACGGTCGCTCTTTCTCGCGCCCGACTGGGCCTGTACATCCTCGGCCGCCGCGAGATCTTCGAGGCGTGTTACGAACTCCGGCCAGCTTTCGACCTGCTGCTCCAGCGTCCCGACAAGCTGGCTCTGGTCACGGGGGAAATGTTCCCCACTCAGCGTCCGCACGCGCCGCTCGAGGATGCCGCCTCCTCCTCCTCCTCGGACGCCGTGGTTCCCGCGTCCACCGCTGCGGAGGCTGTCATGGAGGGCATCGAGCACCTCGGACAGTACGTCTTCGAGATGACCAACGCCAAGGTCAAGCAGCTCCGTGCGGAGCGCGGTCTTCTGGACGCCGAGGGCGGCGGCGGCGGCGGCGGCGAAGCATCCTCGCTGGTGGTCGTGGGTGCCGGCGATGGAAAGGACGTGCCCCTCAGCACGATCGGGGAGGATGATGCTGAGGAGGAGGAGAAGGAGGAGGACGTGGAGATTGCGGCTGCTGATGGCGATGCAGAAGACGGTGGAGAGGAGGATGAGGATGAGGATGAAGCAGATGAGGTCCAGGATCCCGAGCCTGACGTCAAAGACACTGTGTGAACGGATGCATGTATCACAAGATCGGAGCGGTAGTTTGGTTGTGACATACGCCGATGCTGCGGGAGGTATGACGAATACGTGCCCTTACCCTCAGAGGGAGAGCTGCGTTGGCAGCTCATATACAACATGTCCTACTTTCATCAGTCTCTGCTCACTAGCATGTGCAACTTCATGAATGAATTGACGGCCCGGCCCGATGTGGCAACAATAAATAAATGCAACGATTCTATTTGGAGCACAAAAGGTATTGCTTAAGGCCGCCCAAACAAAAAGCTATATACAGCGCCCTTTAAACGCAACTCAACTAGGTCCTGCACCACCGCCATCGTCGTGACTTCTGCCTCCAGGAGGACCACTGCCAAGAAGCAATTTCGGCTTGATGAATTCCTCATCGAGCTGACGCAGCAGCGCTTGCGGATCTTCTGCTGTAAACAATTGCCGGATAGCAGCGCTGGCAGACACGGGCGCTGCATCGCGATGGCCCGATGTTGGATAGTTGAAAACGTTTTCGTCCGCATGGTGGGTGTGACGAGAGTCGCCAGCGGACGACCTGATTGGTGGGCTCGAACGTCTCGCAGATCTCCTTGCTGGGGGTGGCAAGTCTGAGATGTCGATGTCACTCCCCAGATCTGAATCCGACATGTTGCCATTAGGATCGAGCAGATCCGCACGTTCCTGGTCGGCGGGCGTAACAAGCGAGCCTTTTCGGCTTCCGCTCCTAGGACGCGTCCCTTGTTGAGACGAGGCTTGCGCGGAAGCGTATCGCCCGCTGCCATCTCCATTCGCCCCGGAATCCACGTTATGCATACGCAGTGACCCATTCCGATTCCTGCCGCTGCGCGGAGTGTATCCGACGCCTGTACCAGAGCGCTTGAAGTATGGCCCTGAAGGCGCAGACTCAATGTCGAACTCGTCGTCGCTGTCAACCTCCTCAACAACCCCGGTACGAATTCCAAGGATCTCCAACATCCTGGCAGTGGTACCGCCGAAAATAATGACGGTCAGCACCACCACAACCAGGACCGTAGCCTTCAAGGCATACGAATTCTCGCCTGTGAGAAGCGCAGCCAGGGCGACACCGACAGCTCCACGCAAGCCGGCCCAAAAGAGCATGGCTTGGTAACTGTATGGCAGCTCGTCGCTGATGGTCTGACCACGGCGCCGTGCGCGGTAGTGATGGAACCAGTTGATGGCTCTCGACAGCGGGAACACGGCAACCCACCGTGCGGCACAAACTGCCACCACGGTGACAATGATGAGCAGGGGCTGGAACTGCAGGTCGTTGTCGGTGAATAGGGAAAGTCCGAGATAGATAAAAATGAAATTCTCGGACAGCTGCGCCAGAATCTGGAAGAAGTACTTCGTGCTCAGCTGTGTCCTCCGTGACATGTTGAAGTAGGCATAGTGTTTGAGCGTGATGCCGCAAAACAGCAGAGACACGATTCCTGCAACCAAGTTAGTGGTGAGATCAACCAAAATGATTGGGTGACAGGGATGTCGTACCTGACATTCTCAAGCCCTGCGAGAAGAAGTAGCTGACGTAGGCAATCAGGACGACCAAACAGCTTTCGATCTGTGGATATCTCCGGACATAGGTGAGTTTGAGCATGAGCGCAGTGCCGACACCAATGACAACGCCGATGATCAAACTTCCGAAAAAGACACCCAAGAAGGTACCAATGCCCTTGAAGAAGTCGATGAGGCCATACGAGTTCGCGTCGCCCTTTGTATAGCTATTTGCAGTTTCGAACATGACGATAGCAATCGCATCGTTTAAAATGGCCTCTCCGAAAATGACTGTGTAGAGCTTCGGGTCTACTTTGTAGGTGTTGAAGATTGCCAGAATGGTCACCGGATCTGTGGCTGATAATGTCGCGCCGACCGAGATCGCTTCAACAAACGTGAGGTCGAGACCTTCGAGAGGTACCCGAGTATATAGCCATAGCAGGGTTCCGATCACGACAGCCGAGAGGAAAGTGCCAGCGAAGGCGAAGGTGATAATGGAGCCGATGTTGCGGAAGAAATTGGCCTGGTGAAGCTCGTATCCGGAGTTGAGAATGATGGGCGGCAGGAGCAAGTTGAAGAAGATCTGGTAGTCAAAGCTGACAAAGTCGCGCAAGGAATAAGGGCTTGAGATTCGGATGATCAGGCCCACCGTCATGCCTGGACTCGCTCTCGTCAGTCCTGGCAAATTTCCCAACACGTACACGAGTTCCAAGGGAACTCACCTGCAAAGATCGATATCACGGTTTCGTGGACGGCCTGGACCTTCTTTTGCTGCAGCATGTAGCTGGTGAAGAACGCAACTATCAGGAGGACTATCTCGATGCAGAGCGCCCATGAGGCCAGGACCTCCTTGTCGGATGAGTTCTTGCCTGTATGTATGAGGACAGCAGTCAGCTCGCTGATCCCGAGGACCACACCACCGAAGACGGTGTCGCCATGGGGCATTGGATATTGTTGTGCGTACCATCGGGCTCGGTCTCTTCTTCGGCTCGCCCTGGAAATGTGAAATGGACCTCTGTCAGCTCTTTCTGTTTGGGTATAGTAGTATCGCGACGGGCTTGTCTTGTAGCAGAATACATACGGCGAGTGAACTCGAGCAGCGTGCCGACAGCTCTATCGAGCATACTGGGCGGGTGAGAAGCGCCGTTGGGCGATGCACTCAAGAGGTGGTCGAACTTGAACGGGGGCTGCGGAGGGGCTCTTGATGCTCGTGTGGGCTGCTCGCGGCGAGGGCAGCTACGCCAGCGCGTGCGTCTGCATGTAAGGCACAAGCTGCGCGGGGCGGAGAAGGCGATGAGGGTGTGTTCCGGGCGTACAAGGCGACGGTCGTGAGTCTGCGCATAGGGTTGTGATCTGACAACAACAACAACTCCTGCCAGTGACTGCTGATGGTCGCAGAGGTGGTTGGTGGTCGCGAAACCAGCTCCGAGCAAGGGTCGCGGAGGTGGTAACTAAGGCATGGCATGCGACAAGCAGTGGCACCTGGGCACGCACTGGCCAGTGCTCCAACGAACCCGGCGGGAAGACGACAGCTTTCACCTGCGGACCCACCCGCCGCTTGGCGGACATGGTGGTGGTGCCTGCCTAGAACTAGGGTGCTTACTGCGTACCATAGTAGAAACGGCACGCTCGTCTCCGCCCTTCCATCCCGGAAACGGCATCACCTGCCATTTTTCCAACCCAGACATGGCCCCAACTTCCTTTTCTTTTTGGGCCGCTGCCGCCCTTGGCACTCCTGCACATGCATCACTTTCCTCAACTACTCCGAGACTCGCCGTTGGAGGAAAATTTTCCCTACGATATTGTCCCAGTGCGCAGCTGGCCAGGGTGTTCCTAAAGTTCATCGGGGACGACCTACGTCATACCGCCCCCGTACCAGGATGCCCGAGCGCTGAAACGCCGGATTGAAACGTGCATTGATGATCTATCCTGAGTGGTGTTTTCACGTTTTCCATCATTAATTAAGAGTGGTGAAGCGATCCGCATTCTTCAGAGCTCACGACGGACGGGTTTCTCCGCGCATCAAGCATTCCTTTGGACAGTCATGTTCCCGCACTCTGGCCAGATGCGAGGCCTGATCTGGTTCATGTCTAAAGTTTCTAGGTCTACTTTTGTACTCTTTCATCGCCTGTGCTTCGACCTCGAGGGATGTCCCACCACAACCTCGAACCCCTTGGCACTGCCCCAGACGCTGTCGCTCACCTTCTGCGGGATCTTGCGGCCCCGAAGCCGTTGGTCAATCAGCCACATGCCAACAACAAACTCGGTCTTGCCCAACACCCCGCGGCCATCACGGTCCACAAGATCCCAAACCTCGGCGAGTTCGTCAAATGGAAGGCGGCTGCGTGACCAGATGTCCCGCGCCACCACATTGACAATGGAGTCGGCATCTTGCGCCGGGTTAGACCTCTGTTGCGAGTGGTGCTGCGACTGCAACAAGTGGCCGCGGTTGCTCGCCCAGACGCCCTCGTAGCGCTTGCGCTCCCTTGCCGTAATCTCGTCCCGCCACCGTTTCCGTGACCCCTCGTGATGCGAGTGCTTCTTATTGGACCGGATGCGGTGCTTCTTGTACTTTTGCTCATTTGTCTCGTCATCAGACTTGGACGGCGGCTGGCGCAACGTCTTCTTCAACCGTGGAGTCTGCTTCCGCGGAGGCGGCGGAGGCGGCGTCCTTGCCTTGATAGTAGGTGTGGCGCGTGCGGATGCCAGCGAGCCAGCCACAATGGCACTGGTCAGCGAGTCCAGAGCGGCCTCAGAGGCACGATGTTGTGGCCCGGCATGGGGTATATGCGATTGCGATCGAGGCGGGATCCCGGCAGTCGACAAGGGACTGCTTGCTCGGGGTGGAGAAGGAGTCGGCGGCCGGGACCTACGGCGAGGGGAGTCGGGGCCCGGAGAAGGAGCTGAAGATGCTGACACGAATGTGTCGTTCGAGGACGTGGAGGCCATTGACGCCCTTCGTGGCCCTTTTGCGGTCGCATGGGTAGTGTTGACGTTTGGCTTTACACTCAATGGCGCCCGCTGCAGACCAGGACTAAGTTTCGGAGGTTGCGCCGGCTTGGGCTTTGAGTACAGTGGTGCAGGTCTACTCTTCACAACGGCGCCTAGCTCTGGTTGTACCTGGGACAGCAGTGTCTGCGAGGTAACTCTCGTCGGTTGCGGTGATACTATCACAGTCTGTGACCTGCTGACTGTGCGTGGCGGTGGTGTCAAGGGGCGCGGTTTCGGCCGTCGCATGTCCGCATTGGCTTCGCCCAGAGTCCCTTCACCCGCAGAAGCACCGACAGTCTTGCTTCTGACCGGGGGCGGAGTGGGAGGTTTCTTCTTGTGAGAAAGTCTTGCTGGTTCCTTCAGGGTGGGAGATCGCGGGGCGGCAGACATCTGCGGTGTTGGCGAATTATGCCAGGCAATAGAACTGGCCTGTCTTGATGGCGACGCGCTTCCCTTGAGCGTAGGACTGGTCGCCCGTGAGGGCGTCTGTGGCTGCAGCAGTGGCCTGGCCGCCAACGGTGTCGTCTGTGAATTATGCCGGCTGTGCGACTTCTTGACGGGATCCCTATAGTTGTCCCCCTTCTCAAACATGGAGATCAGTGCATTGGTTGACGGTATTGACGACTCGTCCGTCCCGCCGACCAGGCTCAGCGAGGAGCTGGTAGCACTGGCATTCTGAGCTCCCACGCTGTCCATTCGGCGCCTCCGGGGCGTCTGCTGGGACTGGCTGTGGGCTGCGGGGTGTGGTTGTGCCTGGCGCTGGCTCGGGCTGTTGGATCTGCTCGCCGCGAGGGTCGCGGCGATGAAGGACGGCGACTTGACATCCGCCACGGGGGACTTTCCGGGCGGAGCCAACAGCGATGCCCCATGACTTGGTGTCAGCGCCTGCGTGATGTGGGATTGTCGTTGCGGAGTGATGGAGCCGTGGTCGTGGTCGTACGAGCCGTTCGCGCTGGCGCTGGGCTGGTTCGCATGGCTGCTCGTCCCCGTGCCGTTGCGGCTGACCTGGCCAGAACGCGGATGGGTCGGAGATCCTCGCCCACCCGTGAGAGTCTGCGTCGACGAGGTGGCTGCAAGCCAGGCCTCGTTGACAGCACCCGGTGCTGCTCGAGAAGATCCCGTCGTCGGCTGCGCCGGCTGCCGAGGGCCAGTGCGCTGGAAGGCAAGCGAGGCACCCTGGAGCGCCGTGCGGTAGGATGCGCCGTTGTCGCCAGTATTGGTGGCCGACAGCCTGCCAGGGGCCGGAGCCCCGGGAGCGCTCATGAGGCCACAAAGAGGTCAACCGTGGAGGATGGCATAGGATTGATGCCGAGGCGCTGGCGGAGGCGGAGATGGCGGCTGTTCGAGTGGTCGCTGGTGTCTGGAGCTCGCCGTGGATACGGGGCGGAAGTCAAGATGTACGTACGTAGACCCTGAAATCCAATTGTTGATGCTGGAAGTGACAAGGAGGCAACCAGCTCAGCCTTTCGTCATCCGCAATCAGGCGCTGCCCTGTCGACAGCTATAATTAGAGCCACTAGCCCCACCCGGGCACGCTCCAAGTCTGACGTTTGGGGGACAACCAGGTAGTCTCCTCCGTCTGCCTCGAGGACTGTTAACGTGACTATTCTGCGGGACGAAGACGATGCAGCAGTCCACCATGAAGGCCTCGCAGCATTCAACACCGTAGAGCTGTCTGTCTGTGGGGGGCTGAGACAATGACTTCAGTGGGTGGAGACGTCCTGCAGCATCAGCCTAAAGCCCGCAGGTCAGCGTCAGCAGTCTGGATTGGTCAAGCGCCGAATGCGTACTAAAGGCAGTCAGACTAGACCAGACTAACCACTTCGTACCTGACTATCAGTTCGACCTCGGCCATTGTGCTTGAAATGAAGATGACTACCAATCAATGACGGACCAGTGCCTCGGACCGCCGTGTTTTGTATCACGAAACCCACAGACGAAAATATGTTCTCAGATGGAGGGACATGGAGTCAATTATGCCTGAAGTCAAGCGGAGTGTTATGGCCAGTCAGAATAAAGCAGCCTCTCCTGCAGTGCGCCCATAACGCCATATGCCCGGCCCTTGATGCAAAATGAAAGGATTGGGCATCCACTCCAGCCTTCGCCGCTTAATGCTCCTCGGGATGGAGTCATTCCTTGCCCAGTGGACTCATCTCTTAACCAGTACAAGCCACCGCCCCCGTGCGCAAAACAAAACTAAAAAATGAAGAGGACAGGAATATGGAACATGGCGGGTAGAAGGTGAAAGGTCGACAAAAATGCATGTTGCGAAGATGCGTACACAGGGAGAAAGAGTATTCATGAGCCGTTGGTAGAGCAAGACGCCTGCAGACTTGCTTTCCCGGCATTCATGAGATAATATCCAAACAAGACGTCATTCGTTTGACATGGCAGACATCAAGTCGTGCAACGTGCCACAGTCAGTTGGGCACCCCAATAGTCTAAGCTCGTCGCAGCATCGTATGTTGTAATATCGTCGCTCAGAAAGCGTCCTCATCCGTCCACTCGCTGCCGGATATTATGCGGTTGCCCTCAATGTCAACCATGCCATTACCAGCATGCATGGCTGGTGGTATGCCTCGTATCCTCTTGGCTTGCGCTGCCTGCGGCCTCGAGTATTCGTCGTCGGGGGTAAATCGCTTGTTCCTTGCGGCACGGACCTTGGCATAATATGCATCAGATGCATCGGGCTCAGGTTCAGAGTTGTCGTCATAGGTCTCCCAGTTCTCTGACCCCGATATCGCCGTGGACGTGTTTGAGATCTGTCGCGGTGGTGGTGCCTGAGGGTATGCTGCCCGCACCGACCGGTGGGACTCCGGCCGCTGATAAGAGCGCTCGTAGCTGTTGTTGGAGTGACGGTCATCATAGACATCTTCTGGCTCTACCTGACGGACAATGCTGGACGTAAGACCAGTACCTCGGTACGGGTTCGCAGGGGTTTCCAATCCTGGTGCTGGCACAAGCTCCCTCATTTTCGGCGGCGGCGCCCTCATAGACGGTGGCGCTTGACGCAGCATGCCAGGGGCAGCGCGAGATTCTGGCCGTGGCCGTTCAGGTGAGTTGTTGCCATGCTTCAGATTCGACAGTGGAACGCGCGCTGGAATCCGCGATGGGCTGGCTTTGGGATCTTTGGGGGCCTGGCTGGTGACTTGCGGCTTTCGAATTGTGCCACCTGCACCTGCACCTGGAGTTTTTGGTCGGGCTGGTGGTGCAGCCGCGCGACTGGCGTTGCTGTTGGTCCGACTAGGTCCGGGCGTTCTTTGCGGGCGAGTCGCCGATGGAGGAACACCTGGGGTCTTTGGCCGAGCACCTGGTGCTGCCGCCCGTGGCGCCTCTACCTCAAGCGAGTCGAGATACCGCTCGCCATGGACGAGGAACGGGCGTCCATATTCTTCCTCGTACTTGGTCAGGATTTTCGCAAGCTCGGCTGCGACCTTTGGCAATTCCTTTGCAATCCTCTTGCGCATCTTCTCCTCCCTCAGCAGCTTGCCTGGATCCCGCTTCTCGCCTTTCTGGCCACGCATCATGAGGCGAGATGCATCCTGACTTGAGCTTGCAAGCTCATCTCGATCGTGTGTGAGGGTCTTGTGCTTGTCAACCAGGGCCAAGGTGGGAGCGCGCTGTTCTCGCAGGGACTCGAGTCTGGCAAGCTCGCGCTCGTGCGCCTCGAGGAGTGCGTCGCTGTAGACATCTGAGAAAGCAGGAGTGAAGTCGAGCATTTCGTCTTCGGAGAAGTAAAGGGCGTCCCAGAGCTCCTGTATCCTGTAGCGGGCGTCCTCAACGAAGACATGCAGGTTTTGTCTCTTGAGCTCGTTGAGACGTCCGAGCTCATCCTCAAACTCGTTGATTTGCCTAACGCCACAGCCACGGTTGCCGTTCAGGAACGCCTTACGCTCCGGCTCCTCGACGCCAAGCTTTTCCCAGAGAGCCTCCACCGCGACCTTGAGGTCCTTGAGGCGCTTCTCTCGGCTCTTCTTCTCTTCAGACAGCTTGTCCCTCTTGCTTCGCAGGCGCGCGATGTCGTCTTCGTGGAGGCCAAGCTGCTCAGGTGCATCTCGGTAGTACTTCACAATTGCGGCATCCGTCTGTGCTTGCGGCGTGCCCAGCTCCGCCCAGAGCTGGATCGTATTCTGCGCCAGTGCCTTGACCGTCTCCACGCGGCGCGTGTACTCCTCGTACACTCGTGTAAATTCATCGTCGAGCTTGTCCACATACGAAGGTGACAAGTCGAACGTGGGCGGAATTGATTGGTTGGGGCCCACGGGCGGGAGTGCGATCTTGACAAAGCTTGCTTCTAGATGTGAGGAGTATGACTCCAAAGCTTGGACGAGCTCTATATATGATGGTTAGCCCATGTGTGTGGCACTTGAGGACGTGCATCAGCGGTTCTGCTCGAGCTTACTGTTGACTTGCTCGAAGCGCTCACGATGGAGCTTGCTGATCTGCTGGTGCTTCTCCTTGAGCCCGATCAGACAACGAGACAATGGGTACGTGACTTTGAGGTCACCGTCGTCAGAGGGGTGGGATGTGCGAGGTTTGCTGTCGTCGAGCGACGCTTCCATTTGTCGGATTGTGGTGATGATGCGATTTGCCTCGTCAAGCATTTCTCGCTTCTCATTTGTGACTCCCCGCACATGATTGTGTAGAGTTTCAGACAGCGCAGCGAATAGCTGCAACGGAGAACACGCACGTCAGCAACGAGGTCTAGCTAGTCCGATAAACATATCGAGTCATGATTCAAAGGAAGGCTCACCTCTTCTTCGCGGCGCTCACGCTCGTGACTGGAGACGCCTATCTCGTCGAAGAGGCCATGCAGCTGGCCGATAATCGTGTTGACCTGCTGCGACAGGTAGCTGGCGTCCATGTTGGGCAAAGTGACACCGTGTCAGCAGAGTCGTGAGCAAATCTGCCGAGTGGTCTGTAAGGTCTTGCTATAACTGTTGTTGTTATCGTCGTGAATTGGGATGAGGTGCCGGCGGTCGGCACGCAGTTTGGAAAGGGGCCTGATGCGGCGCGAATGGCAGAAAGAATCCTTCACTCGATTCGTCAATGTTGCCGGAAGGTCGTGGTCGTTGATCGTTGATGCATCGCAGATCCGGCGCTGTCTGTTCCTGGCTGTGCTTTGGCTTCCTCGTGCGCGATCCTCGTGGCGTATGTTTGTTCCCGGTGCGAGCTGACTGTGGTGGAATTCAAAGGTGCGCGAGCGCGGACAGTGATTTAGTGAGATTATCTGAAGACGAGTGGGTGTGCGAGGCGACCAGGTTCATGTAGCTCTAGGAACAAGGAGGGGTGAGACACTGGGCTCGACTGATAGCGCAGGCTGTCGCATCATCAACACAGCTCCCCGTCGTGGCGCCATTGTTGTCATCGTGCTGCGCGTGGCTTATCGATAGGCCCTGCCCGCTTCTCAAGGTTGCCGACGGCATGTTGGCAGGACAACCGTCGAACAGGGTTCGGGTTTGTTTCACATTGACAACTTGCCTCAGCCTATCATTTCACGTCCCTGGCAATTCAGTCAGCGCCCTGGGCCGCCGAAACTCCACGTTACCTCGAGACACGAATGGGACACTGGAGTATTGTTCTGTTCATGTGGGCGAGGCGTTTGGATCCGTCTCAATTCAGAGTCCAGCACCATGCAAACATGTCCACGGGTGGCTTTTACATGGCACACAAGTGGAGCCCCCCTCAAATCATTTTGACAACACCACTTACACGTCTCTGGGGGAAGCCAGAGCAGACCAGCTGAGAAACAAGAGACGTAATGATCGTAAACAGTCACGGCAAATTCAAGATGATGTTGAGCATGAGAAACGATTGTCATTGTCATCACAGCAAAGATGTCTGTGTGAGCAGTAGGAACAAATAAGCTCATACGCCAGGGTATCCTCTCATATCGGGATCCTAGCGGTATCCCGATTGTCGGTCCATGATTCCCAAAACTCCTCTTTTCCATACAAGAGTCCTGGACCCTGACTCCCGGCCATGATTCCCAAATGTGTGGGCCCTCTCTATATGTTGATGTCCAAAAAGGAGGGGCAAAACTCCCGAGTCGTCTCCATGGACTGACTCCCAATAAGGTATATGTGCGTGAAGAAGTGAAATAAAAAGAAGCGTCAAGGTTCGCTTCGTGTATCGTTTGTCTCGTAACGTCAGAAGATAAAAGAAAGTGAAGAAGTGGTGGCTGCAACTAGACCGAGAAAGGGCCAATCTAGTTGTTCAGGAGCCAGCTACCGAGAGTGGTCCAGTCACCGGCGCTGTTCAAGAGCTGAGCAGCAGGGCTGACAAAGTCATCGGCCGGGACACGCGAAGCGCCGAAGAAGCCATACTCGAGAACGCTGGGGCTCGAGTCCATGTACTCGGCCATCTGCTGAGTGAAGGTCTGAACCGAGGTGGCATCGCGGCTGGTGCTGCCAATCTCGCTGACAACCAGAGGGAGGCCGTAGGTGGAGCTGCGGTCCTCGAGATATTTCTTGGCATTGGCAACCTCGGCCTCGGCAGCGGTGTCAGGGTTGGTGTAGAAGTGGACGCCAAGGTAGTTGGGCTTCTCCTCTGGGCTGAGTCTGCTCATGAAATCAGCGAGCCAAGCAGAGCCTTGGTCGTTGCTCGCAGGAGCCGGGCTGACGAGGAGGCAGCCCGTCGAGGCACGGAGAGGGAGAAGCTTGCTGCGCCAGAATTGGACGGCAGTATCGACGGAGATGCCAGCCCGCTCCGGCTCGTTGAAGTAGTGAATGATGCGCTGCTTGTTGTTGGTGGCCTGGTCGACAGCAGCTTGCCAGAGGTTACCCGAAAGCTCGGCCGGGCTGCGGATCATGGGTTGGAAACGGACGCCAGCAGGGATCTCAGCCGGAGCCTGGGTGCCCCAGTTGACAACGGCAAAGATCTTGGAAGCAGAGGCAATCGACTTGGCGCTGGCCTGGAGGCCAGGGTAGGAACCGGCGTCCCGAGTGTTGGTCCAGTCCCAGAGCACAATACGCTTGCCAGAGTCGTTGCGGGGAAGGGGGGCAGCAGTGGCGGAAGGAAGGGCCGCAAGGCAAGCCGCGAGGCAGGTGATGAGCTGAGTGTTGAAGATCATGGTGACAGAAGTGGTGGTGGTTTGTAGAGGTTCTCTAGGTGACCAGCAAGAGATAGACTGAGAAGGGTAGATGGTGAAGCTTGCGTCTTGTGGCACTGCCGGAAGGAATGTTTTTGCACGAGGCAGAAGGAATGTCAATGAACCGCGTCAAGCAGTGTTACTCACAGAGCACAAGACAGACAAGAGAAGGATGGTGTGATGAAGAGAAACTTCAGGTGAGCGGCCGGTCCTGGGCGGCTTGCCGGATTTTTAAACATGTTGGACGGCGGGCGGGCACGGCTCGGCCTGCCAGAACGGCGTCCGACGCACACCTTGCTTCTTTGAAACCCACTTTAGACAAGCTAATTCAGTGGACAATGCCATGTTTTCCAACAGGATGGGGCCGCCTGGACCCGGCAGCCACTGGGGCAGGCTCATGGAGCCGCCACGTCGTCGCAGGGCCGGCCAAGGATGTAGCGACCTGGGCGGCTTCTGGACTTCGAATAGTCGACGTGGTGGAGGCGCGCGAGTAGCGGAACCCCAGCACATCGACCCCAGCGCCCTGACGTGGATCGCTGTGGGCCGTCTGCTGGGCACAGAAACCCGCTTTACTTGCGCGTTCCTGGAGCCACTGCGAGGCTGGAACCCTGGGATCGTGCCGCCTAGCGAATAGGAATGTGTTGCACCCCATCCCGGACGGCCGGTGGCTTGCTGACGGCTTATGGTGCTAAGGAGAACCGCTTCCTTCGTTCGACTTCTCCGAGCGCGTGCATGGGTCCGCCATTGAGTTTACCCGAGGGTTCTGCCCGCCGGACTGCGCGCCAGCAAGCATCAACGACAGTCCAGCGGTCAAGCGGAGAGGCGGGAGCCTGGCGACCTGGTGGTGAGGCATGAAGCAGTGCTGGCACCACAGGCCATGACTCTCGTGGCCGGTGCCCTGGCCAGCAGCACAACCCAATGCAGACGGTCCCAAAGTCCCACATGGAGCCAGAGCCATGGGTGCTGCGCCCTTACACGAGCCGTGTTTTGCGTGAGCCTTTACAAGTACGCAGTACGAGGCGCGCCGAGTCGTGGGTCACTAGCTTGCGTGGACTTCGGCCGTTGCCTCGTGCGGATCACGCAGCTCGATCCCGATGGGTAGGGCGGACGAGCACAGGCGGTACTGCAGATCAGGCCGATCCGGAGGCATGCCATGTGTTGAGCAGCGCTGGCTGGGGTCAGGTCGAGGACCGTTGCAGAGCCCATAATACTGCGCGGGCCCTGTCGAGTCGAAGGTGTGGGTGTGGTGGGCAGCGGTCGTGGACAGAGACTTCAGGCCACAGACGAAGAGGTGGGGTGGAGCGGGTTGTGCTGCTTGCGCGGGTTCCTGAGTTAGGGCGCCGCCCAGAAGGCAAGACCCATGCTCGCGCCGCGGCTCGCGGGGGCTCTCCTGGCCAGTCGCACCGCCAAGAGCACCACTCACACACAAACCTTTTTTCTTCCTGCTGCAAGACCTTGCGCTCCACAAAGCGACGAGGTGGGTGGGAGGAGGGAGGGGTGCCTCGAGCACGTCACAGTCCAGATCCTCTGTCGCTCTTTTTCCTCCCCGGTCCAGGACCACAGCTGCAAGGCACAGCTTGCGCTGCCTTCCTGATTCGCGGGACCTGCAGCCCAACCCGCAAAGTCTTTCCACTTTGGCTCTGTTGGCATCGGTCCTGGCGGAACTGCATTTCAAGGCACCAGCGCGGCACTACGGGGCACTGGTCGGGGCGAGGCATGCAGATTCGGCAATATTCACAGCAGAGGTGAAAAAGACGCACCGAGGGTGGTACCGCGACGGGGACAAACACGTCGGGATGGCATAGGTGGCGACGGACCACCATCCTCTTTTGGGTTTTTTATTTATTTATTGGGCAACTCGAGCTCGGAGTCAGGAAGGCGACGATCTCTTGACAAGCTGCCTTGCTCCCCATGACATGGCTGCCCGCCAAGGTTTACACAACCATGGACTGCTGCGAGTTGTCGTGAAGTTTTTGGCCCCGCCAGACACGGAGCGACGCTTGTGTGGCAATGGGAACCTTGTACATTGTTACGTGGCTGCCACGGGAGCTGACATGGACCAACTCACGTTGCAGCACTGCGATGGTCCCACACAGGCACTGTTGAGTCCTGGCCAGCAAGCACTCCTCGTTGCCAGCTTGCGGCCATCGGCAGAGACGACATGACTGTTGGGTCGTCTTCTGCGGAGTCGAAGGACCAGGCAACAACTCAGGGTGATTGTGGCGCGGGCACTGTTGGGTACGGCTTGTGTGCAGAGGTGGTAGACTGTCTCCCTCCAACGACTACCAAACACCCACGGTCAAATGCTCAGAGGACCAAAACAGGTAATGCCAGCTGGCCCACACACAGGTCCATCGGCGTGGTAAGCAGCACAGACTGCTTCCAGGTTGCGTGGCCCCGAAGAGGAGCCACGCAGCACGACGGGGTCCGGCCAGCCATCTGGTCTTGGACTGCGCCAGAAACAAGGTACATGCTGGTTACCTTACTCATCCCGGCATGCTGCCTGCGCAGCCTGGATCAGCTCGCCTGCCCCTCGTGTAAGTACATACCTAGGTACAGCCGGGAGCCTCGGGCGGACGTGGACGCACACACACACGCACAGAGAATGCTCCTTTCCAACAACGGGATGGGACAGAAGTTGGCAGCTGTGCTGCTTTCAGCCGGGCAGGCTCTCCATCCGGCTGCTGGGCAGCTGCAGCAACAAGCGGCATACCACCCAGGTGAGGTCAGTTGTGGCAAAACACCTCTGCATCCAGGTGGGCACTCTGGCCTGTTCAGGACAGGCCCGCCCTCTTTTGCGCCTGTGCTTGTGCTTGTGCATGGCGCAAGGCTGTTTTTCCTGACTAGCAAGCACGGGCCACCTGTGGCCCCTTGCCAGGCTCCACCTCGACCGAGCCTCTCTTCCAAGGTTGTCCTCGACATGACGAATCATGCCTTTTGCAGTAGAATCTGGCCGGGAGCGCAAGTCCCGGCAAGAGTCTGCTCTGATCGGCGGCAGGCCGGATGGGGATCCTGCTCTTGTGCGATGCGTCCACGGCAACGCGCGTGGTGGTGTCTCGATGACGAGTCGTGGCAGGCTATGCAGGTCTGACGCTACGTTGATGTCGAGGGAAGGATGGCACACCGTACCATTGGTGTGGTGCCGCAGAGCACAACCGCAGGATTCTTTCCTGTGAAGCCCGGCCCTGCTCATTGGTTGAGGCGGTTACAGGACGCCTCCGTTCTGGGCCATGTTGCTCGTGGCAATTGGGGGTGGTTGTTGCTTCTGCGCATCTGTACGTAGCCCGTTCTGGATTCGAGTGTCGACACCGTCACGAATTACTGTGTACAGCTAGTCAGACAATCGGCCCTCGATGTTTATGGCCTGGCCGAGCCTCGCGCATCCCGTGCCATCTGGATGCTCGCTTGCCCTGCACTGTTGGGGACATCAGTTGGGTTTAGGGCTACTGCATGCGTGCCTCTTATCCCACTAGTGCTTGGATGCGCCATTCCCGCGCCGAGGACGGACTGGTTGGTCACGACTCCAACGCAAACAAACAAGTTTGTCCATGGAACAAACAGTGGGCGAGCCTTTTGTGAATTATGATGTTTTTATCTGTCTGCATACACAGTAGTTGGCGTACTGAGCTGGAAGCTGTCAACCCCCCGAAACTGCTTGCTTGCCATTTGTGTGCGATGTTGTCCTCGGAAACAACAAAGAAGCAAGACTGGAATGCACAGGTAATAAAAAAAATTGGCAAAGGTGAAGCGAGAGGTTATGATCCTGCTAGGAAACAAACTTGGAACTGCTGACACGTGTGGTTCCACACGAAAAGTATTTGGATCGTGCAATTGCACTTAATATCAATTTGTGCAGGGAAATGTCACATTAAAATTCTGACGGAAACGTCGACAGAATACAATACCCTGAAATCCCGAGTGCCAACGTATCATCATGCTTAGTTCTAGTGACTTGGCCGTACACGGAGTCCACTTCGGATTTGCAGAATCTCCGCCTAGTAGCAGAAGGACTGTTGTCGTGACTATTGTTTGTGTGTAGCACACGTGTCTTACATGTCGGCGTCAACGCGCCATGCCCTCTTTCCAAACATATCACCTATGACACGCCAGTACATATTCATCGATTCAAGAACGACCATTATGTTCATGCTCACTCTTTTGCAATCCCCACTGCTCTCACCCGAGGTATTGCGACCCTGGGAGCTGCTTCTGTTCGCCGGACTAGCATGCCACACCGTAAATACTTGGCTGCTTCATTCCAACACCCTCGAAAGCCGCTTCATACAAAACACAAACAGACCTCGTGGGCCTGTACAGAGGCGTCTCGCCGTCATCTCGACGTGACACCAGACCCATTTCCCCGCCCGGTGCTACTTTACTGTACTACAAAGAATATTCCGGTCTTGTGAGACAAGACATGAGCACCGCATTGGACCAACGCTTCCACTTCACCCCCAAGATTCCAGACTTGCCGGCCTCGCAATCGCGCCCATGCCCAGTTTCGTATCACTCCCCACGTTCGCTCCGCAGCACATTTGATTTTTCCCAGGTTCTAGACTGCGAGAAAGTCTAGAACACCATATCAGGTCCATAAGCCGGGCCCGAACGGCAACAGGTGTTTGGTGTGTGTATTATGTGTGCGCACATTTCGGCAAAGGTGACTCTGGAACCGAAGGGCGTCAAACGCCCACACCCCCTTCTTCTTCAACTCGTGATATCAAAAACAATAGCCAGCCTCAGCTCTCCACAAGTACCAGAAGCCTGGAACCCAGTCTTTCTCCCCACATTCCGGCCGTTCACATGTCTTGGAGGCGACCACCAAAAAAAAAAAAACCGCGGCCGATGCCAAGAGCTTCCCGACCCGAGAAAGTCCTGAACCCCAAACTCCATCCGTGAATCTGGTGCAAATTCTAGCCCTATTGTCCGGACGCGAAAGGAGACCTTTTTCTGCCCCCCCCCTCCCCCCCGGCCTCACTTAACCCTGTCCCTAGAGGAAACAGTCTTTGGGTCCGGCCATGGGCTCGCCCTGATCGCCTCTTTCGATGCTGTGTGGCCTCTATAGACAAGACACACAAGGGGGGGCCAAACCACCATGCTTGGTCTATCTCAAACTTGGGGCCGTGTCGCACGACAGGAAAATGACAGGGCCTGAGCCACAAGCGAGCCATCTTGAGACACAAGCCCCTGCCAAGAAGGAACAAGGAATCTTGAACGACTCGGGGAGCTATGGGCGTTTACTGAGGAGGCTGATACCATATGTCATACAGCAAGATATTGAGTAGCTTCAACACCAGTCAGTGTACACTGATTGTCTAGGGTCGAACCTTGCAACCAGCATTCACAGTAACAAGCCGTGGCAGATGAGATATTGACATCCCCAAGTCATGCAACTTGGTATGAGCACATAGACTTTCTAGGCTCAATGATTAAAATGCAGGGTCAGGCAGCATCTCTTGAGCAGCTCATCTTGTTCTACCAATAACCTCCTGTCACCGCGCATGAGACCACAGCTTGGGCCCGCCGTCAATTTTCGCCACTATCAAGCTGCAAGACGAGGTTTTTGTTTCGGCACAACTCGACTCAAATCATTCACAGAGCTCTCGCTGTGGCCTGGTTGTGGCACCTGCAGAGTGTATCACGGAAGCCCCGTCCTGGGGACCTGGTAGCTTTGCCGAGTCGGACAGCAGAAAGCAAGTCGATACACATGCATTCGTGCAAATGTATTCAGAGGTGTTACCCAAAGGCCAGGATGACTATTATAAAACTTCTCTATTTACTACTACAGAACAAGCTCATGGAACGAGCGGTCGCCGTGAGGGGGCTTGTCTAGTCCAGGACTCTACCAGCCGTGCTTGCAGTGCTACGATCCTTTGTTCGTGTCTTCTTCAGCGCTCTGCCAGCCTGGATCTCGCCCAAGAAGCCAGATGGTCTTCCACCACCAGACGACGGCGCTGCAGGAGCACCACCAGGAGGCGGCGGGGGTGGTGCGGGCGGTGCCATACCTGGTGCCATACCTGGAGCCGGGGGCGGCGGGGGCGGAGGTGCAGCGGGAGCTCCAGACTCTGGCATCGGCGGCGGAGGCGGAGGTGGTGCTGCTGGGCTGGAACTAGGCATGGGTGGGGGCGGCGGCGGTGGTGCAGCCGGCGCTCCAGTGGCTGACTCGGCCGCAGGTGGGCTGGATGCAGCCGGTGGAGGCGGCGGGCTGAACGGTGGAGAGGTGACGGCGGGAGACCCGGCAGCTGACTTGTTATCAGCTGCAGAAAGGGGTCGTGGCGGTCCCATCGACCCAAACAACAGAGAGGCCAGGTGTGCAGCGCCTGGGGCAGGGCGGTCATCATCCGAGTCGTCTTCATCATCGTCGTCGCTCGCGCCCCACTCGTCATCAGTGTCGGGACGCTTGCGGGAGATTGGACCTGTAGGTTGTGGAATGATCGGGGCAGCCGGCTTCGTCTCCTTGGTCATGCGATGGAATGGATTCGTAGAAGCATCGCCTTGCTGGGGCGCGCCGGGACCACTGGCAGTAGCAGGCGAGGTGCCCGATGCGGGCGCAGATGCGTCAGACGTTTGCGACATCATCCGGAAGTAAGGGTTACGGCTCTCGCTGTCAGCCGCAGGAGGACTTGTCACGATAGTCGGCGCAGCTGCAGGAGGTGGTGAGGACTCGCGCTTGAGATCCTGACTGCCCAGCTGGCTACCGCCATTGGTTGTGGATGCCTGGGGTGTGATCTGCTCCGGGCCCTCATCATCAGAAGACGAGTCATCGTCCAGTGCTTCAAGCTGCCGCTGCAGTTCGAGCTCGCGCTGACGAGCGGCTTCAATCTCTGCCCTCTGTGCTGCCAGCTTTGCCTCCTTCTCCTTGGCTTCAGCCATAGCTGCCTTTTTCTTTTGCTTCTCCTCCTGTTTCTTGAGCTTGCCCTGGCGAACTTGCTCCTCGAGAGCCTTGAGTCGTGCCGATGCCGCGTCTCGCTCGTGGTCAAGTTCGTCCTCTTGTTGCTTGGCAGACTCCCTGCTCACTATTAGCATATAGTATAGGTAGATCTGAACGACTGATGGGTTACTTACTCAAGTTGTTGCGTGGCCATGTGTTGAGCCTGTTGTTCACGAGCAATGCGCTCCTCCTCAGCTTGCCGGCTGGATTCATCTGGACGGGCCGTCTTGCGAGGAGCAGGTGCAGGTGGTGCTTTTTTCTGGGTTTCCTGCTTGGCTGCTGGAGGCGGAACACCTTGCTCCTCCGCGATGCGGGCCTGCCGCTCAGCTTCACGCCTTGCATCCTCTTCCTCGGCCTGGCGGAGCTTAGCCGCACGTTCGGCTTGTTCTCTTTCAGCACGTTGAGCAGGCGTTTCGCCAGACTTTGTGGGTGCTTTGATGCCGAGCGCAGCTAAGCGCTCAGCCATGCGCTGCTCGGCCTGTTGCTTGATGAACGCGGCTCGCTCCTCGGGGGTTTTGTAAGCAGAATAGGAACCCCCAGGAGCTGGCGATCTCGTGCTCGTGGGCGTCGCTGTCTGCGATGCAACCGCCGGGCTGTCGGTCCGCGCAGGCGGCTCTTCAGCTCGTACGGGCGCTGCGGTACTAGCACGACCTCCTCCCCGATCCTGGTTCCGTACTCGCGCAGCACGGCTAGAGCGCTGCAGCTCAAAGATAAAGTCTCGGACTTCGTCTTCAACACCAAGCGCGTCCTCCCAGCGACGGCGCTCGTGCTCGTTGGAGGCACTTGAGCTGCCTTCCTTGAGGCTGTCCTCAATGCCACGGGAAAATTCGTTCACACTGTCCTCAACATCACGAACCATACGTTCGTTGTTCTCCTTCTCAGTCCTGATCTTGAGATTCTCTTCTTCCAGACGCTTTGCGCCAGAATCGTTCTCACCAGCGATATCGACCTTCTTGCCGGTGAGAGCAGCAGTTCGCTGTTGCATCATGGCCTTCGCTCGTGCCTTCAGCCGATCAGCCTCCGTTACAGAACCTCCAGGGCCTGTCCCGACAATAGCAGATGCACTGTTGGGGTTGGCCTTGGCGTCTCTGAGGCGGAAGAGCTCTAGCCGAGCCTCTGCGATGGCGGCTTCTGTCTTCCTCACCTGAGACGCGATTTGAGGAATCTTGTCTACCAGGTTCTGAAGTTGACGCTTCAGCGCTCGGCGCTCGGCGTCCGAGTCACCACTGATGAGCGCCGCATTCGGGTGGGAGTCGATGTCGTCCTGAATGCGACGAATGCGCCGATACAGCTCTTCAGCCTCACGTCTATCACGACGATCAAGGATGTCATCTTCTTCGGCGGCTGTCTCGTCTCTAAAGTCCATCGCATCAAGGAGGACCTCCTTCTCCTTGATCTTCTTTCTTAACTGATCGAGCGTGAGGTCGTCATTCGACGTTACCGACGAAGGAGACTCGGGTCGTGGGGAGCTGGTCCCTCCAAGTCTTCTGCGGGCGCTCGACTTGTAGCCAATATTGTCGTCATTGTTTTTGAACACGGTTGCGTCCTTGCGGCCAGCGGCAGGGCCGGCGGTGGCGCCACCGCGGAACGAGTGGCTCTTGAGATAACTCACACCCGTCTTTTGTGGCAAGAGAGATGCTCCTGATGACTTCCGGAAGTCAGACTCCTGGTTGAGCATGTTCTTCATGGTGTCCAGTGATGCGCTGAAGTTTCTCGTAGACGGCGGAATGAGTTCAGCTGGCAGCGTGTTAGGAATTGGATAACCGTTGAGCTTGCGGTAGATGAGATGCATCGCCACCGCAAACTCGTCCAGGTCCAATCTTCCTTTATTGCCATTATCCGACAACGTCCAGATTCGTTCCAGATCGTTCTTGTCGAGGCCGCTTTGGCCCATGATTTCGATCGCTTGATCACCGCCAATGTAACCTTTGCCCAGTCCATCCCATGCCCGGAACAGCTCGTCGTATCTCTTCTTCTCGTCCTTGGTAATAGCCCAAGGGATCACTGCATTGCCGGACAAGCCTGCTGTGGTGTAGTTCTGCTGCTCGCGATGCTGGCCCGGCATCATCCGTGCCTGCAGGGCATCGATGTTGGGTAGTCCCGAGGCAGGAGCATTGACCAAACCCCACTGACCAGGTCTGCCGGTAGGTTGTGCATTGAGAGGTGCGATACCACCGGGAGTCAAGCCTCCACCACCATAGCCAGTAGGCATCGGCGGCATCGGCGGTCTTGGCCCGTTGTAGCCTGTCGGCTGGGGATTGTTAAGGCCAGCAGAGAATCCGGTTTGGTTTGCTTGGAGTCCTTGAGATATTCCAGGTTGTTGTCCACCAAATCCTGTTTGTTGACCTGGAAAGCCGGTCATCTGGGCCTGTAGGAGCTGAGAGTTGGGAGCAGATGACACGGGTTGTGGCTGTTGAATCGTCGGCGGCTGGGCAGAGCTCTGCCTCGTGAAGTCAGGCGTGCTCGACGACGGGCCTGAGTCGGCAGCGTTTTCGGCGACGCTGAAACTGATGATGTCGACCATGCTGGAGACCTCATTCTTGATGTTCTCTGGCAGATTGCTGGGGAGTGTCTTTCCAACTAGTTTCAGGTTGCACAGATACATGGCCAAGGCGAACTCGGGGAAATGAAGCTCGCCGGAGCGAGTGGTGTCGGAAAGCGTCCTGTCAGCCAGCTTATTAGTTATGATTGCCACTACTGATCATGGGCGATAATTGATTCTTACCAGATGTGCGACAAGGCCTCTCCGTCGAGCCGTGACCTTAGAAGCAAGTCTCTCGCTTTCTCGCCTGACATCGTGACTTCTTTCTCACCAATCGCGGACTTGAAGAGAGTCTCAAACTTTGACTGATCTTGAGCTGTGATGAAGGACAGCCTGATGTTTGGTATCTTGTTGACTTTGCTGGTTTGGCCTCTCCGCCCCTTGGGCTGCGAATCGCCGCCGCCTGTCTTGAACGAAGCTGCCATGGCGCTGAAACCTGTAGGCTGAGCCATTAGAGGCGCCGCGCTTGGTGGTGGGGCTTGAGCCGAGGCCTGAGGGGTTGGCGACGGGAATGCATTCTGAGGAGGCTGTTGTTGCTGCTGCTGCTGCTGCTGGAATTGCTGCGGAATTTGCGGGACAGGCGGCATTCCTGTTTGGAAGCTCTGCTGCTGTGGTGCTTGCTGTCCGGGAAAGCCAGTGTATTGAGGCTGGAGCCCCTGCGGCTGCTGCTGTGGGAAACCAGTCGCCTGGGGCTGCAGACCGGGCTGGCCAGGGAAACCAGTGTATTGCTGGGTCAGAGGAGCTTGTCCAAAGCCAGTCTGCTGAGGCGTAAACGGGCTCTGCTGCTGGCCTGGATGTTGCTGGCCGCCCGCTCCCATGCTGTACGAGCTGCCATACTGCTGCTGACCTGGTCGCAAGCTGTTGCCGCCGCCGCCGAGGTAGGAATTGGAATTCGAGTACATGTTCGCTGAGGCGCTGCTCTGCGTAGCACTGGATTGTGTGGAAGGGAAGAATGTGCAGGCCGGCGAGACCGACTGGCGCGGTGGACGAAGGCAAACCAGCACGCTGCCTGAGGCGATGACGGATGACGAAGCTCTCAGGAGCCAGGAACGGGCGCAAGCTGGAGTCTCAACTAAGGAGCTCTTGACCACGAGCATGCGACCAGGTGCACGGACCATACAATGCAGGCTGCCACGCTTCTGGTGCAGGCGCCTCCGGTGTTATCCTACCCGGCAGTAGCCCCTGAACTGCAAGCAACAACATCTAGACGGGCAACATTGGCTTTGGATTATCTTCTTGCCGTAGTATGGGACGTGCATCTTCATCCTGGACAGGTTCTACAATACTTGATGGAACTGATGGTCTGCCTTGCATCTACAAATGTGCGGCTGGCCGGGTTGTTTGGGTTTCTTGAGTGACAGCCTTGGGAGACTACGAACCATACGTCATGGCCCCAGAGCTGAGTGTGAGACAGCCCACCCAGACATGTGCTCCGTTCCGTGGGTCACGACCAGACGTCCAAGCTCTGCGGATTGGAGCAAACATGGATATCACGGGTTCCTTTTCCTTTTTCTTCTTCTTTCTTTTCTGGTCAACGCGTCCTCGGACACTTTCGCACTGATATGGATGATCGTGAAATTATTCCAAGAGACCCGCGTGCGTACCCCAGAACGTATGCTCCAGGGCAATATCCTGGTGATAATCACGAGATGGTTTTTGACGACGAGCCCCTTCGTCGTTTTGGTACAAGCTCTATTCTGTTTATGCTCTCAAAGCTCCTTTGTCCCCAGGCGTATTTCCAATTTGGCTGTGAGAAAACTTTGACACTGTCTTGCCCACCGCGAGTTTCCTGCGACTGTAATCTTGACATGTCGCAATTGAAACTTGCTTGCCACGTCGCACACCACGAAACAGGCCCTCAAAGTGAGCATCTGTTTGAGAGAGCTATGTCGTGTCGTGCAACTGAATATGTTGCAGACGGTACGGGACATACTGTAAATCGAGGCGCCCTCACTTGACCTTTGTACGAAGACGTTGGCATGCTTGTCCAGAGAGCAGCCAGAGATACAGCGTAAGGAGCCTCTTGCACACACGGGCGTCCTCATTTACGGGACGCGATATCACTGCAATCTGAGTGCTTATTATTGTGGCCGAGAATCATCGCCGGCTTCGCTGCTCATCATGCCGGTGCCTGTCACGGTCGCGATTGCGATCGCCACCCCGACGGTCGTAGCCGTCTCTGTGCCGTTCACGATCACGCTCCGACTTGTAGCTATCGCGGTGGCGGTCGCCCCTGTCTTGTCTTTCCTTGTCCTTGGTGCTTCGGTATTCTTCGAGGCGAGGGCGGCGTTCTCGATATCCGTGTCGTTTGGCCGTTTCTGCCTGTTTGATTTCCTGGTCTTCCTTGGCCCCGAGCCCCATATATTGTGTCCTGCGCTTGACTTCCTTGGCCTTGGGAGCTCTCTCTTCTCCCTTCCAACCCATACCGCGTAACATTGCCGCGCCAAACTCTCCGTCGGGTATTCGGTCGTACTCGTCTATGGTGGAGACTTCTGCGGCTGCTTCGATGGCACGACGGTAGGAATCATCCTCGCTCACGGGAGCAGATATCAGTGTTTCTGATTTGTCGCTCGGAATGACAATATCTTGTCCGATTTTGCGTCGCTTCCCCATCAGAGCATCGATAGCATCCTGGTTCTCATCTGTAGGAACTTGGTCATTTGGTGACTCTTTCGTTGAGACGTCGGCGTCAAGTGAGACCGAGTCACCCGTTGTGGCGGCGGCATGGTCCTTCTTGGACACGCTTAGGCCCCATTGTATGTCTTTTTCGTGGTCTGGCAGTTCTTTGTCCTGCACGGCGCTGCCTGGCGCATCAGCAGACTGCGCCGGGCTGGTTGTCACTGTCGTGTTGCGCGACCGAGCCTCCGCCTTCCAATCTCGATTCTTGTGTCCGCCGATTACAAGTGGTGCCTGGGAGTTCGCTGTCGCCGATTTTCCTGCTCTGCCGAGCCCCGACTTGTCCTTATGTTCTGCGCCATGTGCCCCGAAGCTTGTGACAGCCTCATGCTTCCCTAGGCCGTCGTCGTCCTCAGATTCGGACTCTCCTCCGAGGGCATGTGGTCGCGGTCGTTTGCCTAGCGTCGATGGCGGCTTCGTCTTCTGAAGTGTGCCTGCAGATCTTGAGGCTGCGGCGGCTGGCGTCGACCCAAACTTGATGGCGATGCGCGATGCATGGGGCGCAGGTGAGGACTCAGGCATGGTGTGCTGCCGAGCTGTCTGATGGCCAGTCGAAATCGTGGTGCACACGTGCAGTTTCTGCTTGAACACAGGTGCTCTGGGCTTGCAACAGGCATGTCACTACGTTGCCAGACTAGCGCGTGTGAAGGGGACCAGAAGCTCGCGACGATGCACGTTGATTCGTCTCAAGGTCAGGAAAGAAGTGGGCCCGTCGTCGTCCATTCCGAGTGGCTCGGACAGATGTCGAGATGAAGTGCGTGCATTGCAGATGCAGGTGCAGCAACGAAGCCGGATGCCGGGACGGGCCAGGAGAGTGTTTCCCAATCTGCTCATGGCCGATCGAGGAGCCACTGACCGAAGATCCCCTCGACGCAACCGCGGAGGGATCGTTGGATTGCTCATAGGATCACAGGAGATGAAGAACTTGCGAGAGGCAAAGAATGATTAACAGGGGCACCCAACCTTCCCTGACTCAAAAGCAAGGCCCGAGTCGTGCCCGCGCAGGCGCCGTCAAAGGAAGATGCAGTAGAACATTCTTGGTTGGCAGGCTGTGCTGTCAACACATCTTCCATTTCAGCCGTAGTCATGACGCCGATAGCAGGGTTTACTGACTAGCTCCTCCACCCAAAAAGTCTGATGTGTGTGACAAGGCAGGCTGCCGCGAGAGCCTGCTGCAGAGCTACCGTGTTAGTGACAGCCTGGCGCCCTCCTGAGCCTCGAGTCCATGGAGATCTGGTATGATAGTGACAACTGGACAACCTTTCCGAGCCAGCACTCGGGAGCAGGTGCTTCGTGGCACGAGCATGGCATTCTAGAGAAGCCGTCTGCACCGAGAGCCACAATTGCCATGGTTCCGAGAAAGCGGAGAGCCACATTCAAACCCCTGTAGCGCACTTCATCCTGGAAGGGCCGGCCCAATAGCAGTCCTCGTTTGCATCAGAACGATCCAAACTCCAGGTTCTACCCTTGCAAGCCTGTAAATGCCTCCAGGCCCACGCGATAGCAAGTGGGCATCATCTATTGGGGTTCGTGTCGCACTCCTCAACCAGATGGTTGTCGCGTCAGATTGACGTCGGCCTGGTACATAGCAGGCGATCGAGTGGCTAGCTGGCCTTTGGCGAAGTGTGGCGGGATCAAGCCTGATACTGTGCTCTACACAACAGGTGTAGGCGGCTGCAGGGGCAGAGATGCACCAACCTGCATGTCCAAGGCATTCAGCTCTGGTGCCTCCCAGAGCAAGCGTGTGAGTCGTGTGTCGAGGCCTGGGATTATCTGGTGACTTGCTGCGTCCATTGTCTGAGCACCTGTGGAATTTCTCGATGAATGCAGCTGGGCCCCACTGCCAGCCAAATTACCACCTCGCCCAGACTCCCAGAGGTCGCTGCCCCCCAAATCTTGGAAGGCAGCATCGCTGACAGGGCCCCCTCCCCCTTCCCCCTTCCCGGAGCAACAAGCCAGCAAAGCCTGCCAGGTAGTTCCGTCCAGGACCGCGAGCCCGCGAAAAATTGCACCGGCATCCTCATCAAGACGCCCTCACGCGGATGCCACGCATTCGAGTTCAATCCGCCACGCACCCACGCCGCCATTTCCATCAGGCAGAACCTCTTTTTTCATCCATCTGACCTCCTATAACCCTGTTGCGCCATCAGTTTTCGTGCGAAACGGATGTCGCTGTCGTCTGTGCCATGACTGAGGTCGTGCCCATCGACCGCACGAAGCTCTTGCACCAGAAGCGGCAAGAATGCACGTAAGACGACCATCATTCGATAGAGCTCGCTCGTCCGATTCCGACGATATGATTTTCGACGTGCTGACGTGCCATAGCTCAATTGTGCGGTCGCGCAAGCGCAAGCTTCGCGAACTCTTTGCGGTCGCGACCACAACTGATGGGGTTCCCAAACACAGCTTGGCGGATCCCGACGTGCAGCCCCTGACACCCGCCGAGCACGACTTTCTGCAACAATGCGACATACTACAGTAGGGCCAGGCCTCCTTTGCACTACTTTCGCGTCCTGCACTTCCACTTATTGTGCACCAGTGCCTCCATTGTTGTCGTGGTAGTTACTAACAAGGTGCTGTGCAGGGGCAAAAAGCTCAGCGAACATGCCATCCCGACGCGTCCACCGTTCCGCCTGGATTTCGCCTCCAAGCCGGCAAACAGGGCATCGCCGTTGTCCGGCAGTACACCAACATTTGCGCCTCTGAAGAGAGAACTTACACCTGATGTGCGGCAATCCGTATCCGGAACGCCGTCTCCGGCACCGGCCAGGCCATTCACCACCGACAAGGCCCAACCACCACAGGCACAGCCAGCCGATTCTCAAGGCCACGCGCTTCAGGGCGCACGACAAGCTCCTCGAGCCTCGCCAGCAATACCCAGTGGCCCTCCATCTCGAACTGCATCGCCAAACTTGCCCAGCAAACTATCGTCCGACCTAAAGGCCCAGAATGGCAGTCAGGGACAAAATGGCTCGCAGCCATCCGGCAGCGCTGTGTCGCCAGCAGCAACAGCAAGCTCGTTGCAGGCCACGCGTACGGCCGACCAAGCCGGTAGTGCTCTTGCACCTCAAAATGGCACGGCAAAGCAGGATACCACTCTGGCACCGAAGTCAGGCTTGAATACAACAAATAGTCCGACGATGGTGCAGCAACAACAACAACAACCGGCTACGACGACGACAAACGCAACAGCAAATACCGAAACGAAGGCATTTCAACACAGCGATGCAGTCGCGAATGGCGTCGGAAAGGTTGAGGTTCCTAAACAAGTTTCGCAGGCCGAGATGTCTTCGACAGGACAACTTGGACGCAAATCTTCCACACCAGCACAGGACAAGAAGGTTCAACAAGGGCAAAACAACCAGCAAGCTCCTGCCAACGGCACTATTCCGAACCATGCGCCTGCCTCTGCGTCGACCCCGGTCATCCAGAAACCCGCCAACTCGACTTCGACGATCCAGAGTAGACCGAGTCCTGTACCGAAGCCAACATCCACGCCTCACCAAGGTCCAGCAGTGAAAAAGATAGCGATGGCCAATACCCAAATGAAGACGCCAGGCGCCAACGCCAACACTGGTGCAGTCGTCGCTCCTCAGGACATGGCCAAGACGACGATGAGCGCCCCGCCACGACCGTCAAACGAATCGCAACAGCCGAAGCCTACGGATGTTACACGACCGTCGCCAGCTCCACAGGTTCAACATGTCTCTTTGAAGACTGGCCCGAACACTCATGCAACACCTGCATTGACAGAACGTCCATATGAGCCGATACAGCTGGGCCCTTCAGAAAACAGCCACCAACGATCCGTGTCCGAAGTACTGGCCTTGCCTCCATCTAACCTATCTGCAGATATCCAGATGGAATCCGGCGATTCGCATATCGGGCCTATTACACCGATTTCGCAGTCGTCAAAGTCAAGACCTCGCGGCGTTCAAAAGACAAAAGGCAAAGACCGGAGCAAAATGGCCATGGTTGTGTTCGGCAAGCAGTTTGGGCACAACCCAGACAAGAGCAAAGCGATCGTTCAAAGCAGAGCCAAACCAAGCCAGGCCCCCACAGAAGACTATTTTACGCCACTCTTTGTACAGGCCTTCGCCTCGAACTCAAAATGGATGAAACCCTTGGATCAGATATTGCACCAGGCCCACAAGACTGTCTCGACTCCCGATTCATACACACTGATTCTCGATAACCACGCGTGTCGCGTTTTGCGAAGGGTCTACCATTTACAGCACAGCGACAAGTGGTCGTTGCGACAGCCTAAGCGATGCCCAGAACCGACGCGCCCCCCGTCGCATTGGGATGTCTTGCTGAAGGAAATGAAATGGATGCGTACCGATTTTCGACAAGAGAGGAAATGGAAGATGGCGGCGGCTAGGAGCATGGCCTACGCCTGTGCCGACTGGGTTGTGGCCACGCCGACTGAGCGAAAGGAAATGCAAGTCGCAGCGATGATCCCTCCGAGAGACACCGCGGACATCGATATGGACATGCTGATGGGCGAAGGCGAAAACGACCAAATGGCCGAAAGTCAACCGACCCCGGATTTGATCCCATCCGCAGAGTCCGAGTCACTTCTCGACGAGGAAGAACCACATCAAAACATCTTCGAAACAGTTGCGCCGTCCGCAATCTTTGCGCTGCAGCATGATGACATTGTTTTCCCTCTGCAGCACTCGCCGAGCACCGACCGTCTCTTGGAGGAGCTACCGATGTATGGGTCGCCACTCGTTGTACCGAAGGGCGATTCTATCAATCCAGAGTTTGATCCCGACGCAGCTTGGAGAAGACCCGCCTTGCCGCTCAGTCGGTTTGTCGAAGGTGAAATCAAGTTGACTTGCACGGAGCCGCCTCGAAAGCGCAGCCGGTACCAGCACGCATTGGAGGATGAAGACGAGGACGAGGACGAGATCGTCTTTGGCGGCTCTGGTGACAAGCATCCACGGGTGCAACCACAGAACCCAGACGTCGCATTATTCCGCTCGGAGAATAAGATGATGAGAGACCGGCTGCACGCGGGACATCAGTTTCGACCACCGAATGAGCATTCGATGCCGTTCCAGACATTTTATGAGTCGAGAAGCCCTTCGCAATGGACGCAATCTGAGGACGACGAGCTCAAGAGCCTGGTGAGGGAGTACTCGTACAACTGGTCTCTGATCTCGAGCAATTTGGCGACAAAGTCAATCTTCGTGTCTGGTGCCGAAAGAAGGACACCTTGGGAATGCTTCGAAAGGTGGGTCATGCTCGAGGGATTGCCACACGACATGCAAAAGACACAGTACTTCAAACTGTGGCAGAATCGCATCGAGTCTGCTCAGCAATTGGTTCGCCAGCAAGCTCAGAATGCGATCCAGCAAAGTCAGCAGCAGCAACAGGCTCAGCAGCAGCAGCCAAACAGCTCCAACAGTGGCCCAGTCACGCCATTGCCACGCCGCCGCCAGTCTATTCCCCTCAAGGTCGAGCGACGACGGAACCAGAAACATCTCACGATGATCGACGCCATGAGGAAGCTGGCGAAGAAGCGAGAGACTGCACAGGCAAAGCAGCAGCAGGCTGCCTCCCTTGCGGCCATGCGGAAAGCACAAAGCACGGAGACAGCTCAGCCACGACAGCCAACCAAGACTCCTCGGGAGTATAGCATCATGCGATGGGAAAGAGATCAAGCCATGGCCGAGAGGCTTGCCGAAAGGGTCGCGCAGCATCAACAGAGACAAGATGCTCAACGCAGGGTAAGTGTGATTCAAATTATGCGAAAGTGATGGTTCCAGGCTCACATTTTGTGAATAGGCGGCTTTACAGGCTCGAGCACAGCAAGGTCAAGCAGCGCAGCTTGCTGCGCAGGCTGCTGCCCAGAACTCGCAAGCAGGACCTCAACTCGCCACGGCTCAAGCCAACGGCACCATGCCCCGTCCTAATGCCCAAGGCCACGTTGCTGTCAATGGGCAGGCGAGAGCGCGCATGCCCATGCAGGGCGTACCCAACGGTGCTGGAACCGTATCACATCCAAACGGCGGCCTTGTCCCACCTATGCATCCGAATGGAGCCGGCCAAGTGCAGATGCCGATAGTTAATGGACAAGCTCGTATGGCGATGCCTAATCAGCAGGCAAATATCCAATTATTGATGCAAGCTCAACGCATTCAGGAGCAACAGAGACAATCAGTGCAGATTCAGCAGCAGCAGCAGCAACAACAGCAGTCCCAGCACCCACAGCAGCAGCAGCAGCAGCAGCAGCAGCAGCCGCAGCAACCACAACAGCATGCACAGATGCACCAACAGCACCAAGGTCACCAACCTACTGCGCAGCAGCAGCAGCAGCTTCAACTACAGCAGGCTCAACAAGCCAACATGCAGATGCAGAACTCTCCTCCAGCGATGCGTGCGGCTGCATTGGCTAGCTTAAACCAGAAGAACTTTCTCAATAACCCACAAGCTCAAGCCCTAATAGCATCCATGAATGCGGCTAATGGTTCTGGCATGTCAACGCCACCAACCCCCGGTTTCAGTGTGCCGTCTGCAGGTGCTGGCTCGCCGCCAGCACCAAGTCCTGGCATCCCGCAGCAGACACATCAGACTTATATCTCGCAGCTCCAGCATATTGAGAGTCAGATTCGGCAGTCTCAGCCCAATGCGCCTCAAGATATGGTTCGCCAGATGGCGAGACAACTACTGCAGAATCGCCAAAATACCATCATGCAGTCCGCAATGAATGCCGCTGCCGGTGGAGCCACCGGACAAACTGCTGCTGCGAATGGGCCGCATCAATACGCACAACTTCTCCGGGCGCAACAGCAGCAACAAGCACAGGCTGCCGCCGCGGCTCAGGCTCAACAGCAAGCCCAGCAGCAAGTAACACAGCAGGTTCAGCAGCAACAAGGTACCCACCATGGTCCGGTTCAGAGTCAAGCGCAAACATCCCCAGCCTTGGCTCAGCAGCGGATGCCACAGGCACAGCAGCAAAATGCGCAGCACCAGCGAAACCCAAGCGGAAGCGCTACGCCCACTCCCGCTGGAAACAAGTAGAACATGAGCGCAACCCGGGTGGAAAGATTTCCTCTGAGCACACATAGTGGCTGTGGAGCCTGACGTTCCTGGATTGTTGCAAGCACTGGTCACATGGCCATAAGCTTCTTCGGCTTTGCGTCCTCCTAGGCATTTGCAGCGTGTCGCTGACTTAGTTAAAGATAATACCCAAATAATACCCAACTGATGTCAGGGTCTATTCCGTGTCCAACACAATGTGGTAGTTGTCGAGGGGTGACAGTTCGCATGAAGTGACGTTGCAACGACGAGCTTGCCCCGAGACTTTGCACAGATCCATTCCTAAGCATCTTTCTTAAGCCGGTAAACATACTTCTGTATGACATCGGGTTGGTTCGCCCAAAAGCTGTGGTTCTGTGGTTTTGTTCAACGTATACAGTCAGTCACTGCTCCGTATCATTCATGTGAATGACGACCATGCACGGTGCCGGGCAAGCAAGGTATACGCCTGGCGCGATAAGATAAGGTGCGTCCCCACTTTAACTTTGGAAAAGTTCAGGACCAAACTCACCCATTCTCAATCCACTCCTTGCGAAGGCTCCTTGTAGCCTCGACTTTTCATATCGTTGCACTACGGAATCCTACCAAATCACTCGCACAACACGGCAAACATGGCCAAGAGGAAGAGAAACGAGCAGGCCAACGGGTCAAAGTCCGGCGTTACAGCGCCCACCAAGAAATCCAAGGCATCGGCAGCTGCATCGCTGGCGCCGCCCCCGAGCAGGTCGCCCTACACGGTCCAAGTAGTTACGGGCTCCTACGATCGCATCCTCCACGGATTTACCGTCGCCCTGGACGGCGACCGCGCCGAGTTCGCCGACACATTCCTTTTCAACGCGCACAGCTCGGCGATCCGGTGCCTCGCGCTGTCGCCCGCCTCGAAGCCGGAGCCGGGCAAGGCGCAAAAGGTGATGCTTGCGTCGGGCAGCAGCGACGAGCGGATCAACGTGTACAACATCTCGGCGCACCCGCCGTCTGCGACGAGGCAGAAGGAGGACGACGTGTTGTCGCGCCTCGCGCCGCGAAAGATCCTCGAGAACCCCAAGAACCGCGAGGTCGGCACGCTGCTGCACCACGCGTCGACCGTCACCAGGCTCGCCTTCCCCTCCAAGTCGAAGCTCATGTCGGCGTCCGAGGACTCGACCATTGCCGTGACCCGCACCAGGGACATGGCGCTGCTGTCGAGCCTCAAGGCGCCCATACCCAAGCCCTACGGCCGGCCGAGCGGCGACACCGCCGCCCTGGGCGCGACCCCGTCTGGGGTCAATGACTTCGCGGTGCACCCGACGGGCAAGCTCATGATCAGCCTGAGCAAAGGCGAGAAGTGCATGAGGCTGTGGAACCTGACCACGGGCAAGAAGGGAGGCGTGCTCAACTTTGGGAGGGAGATGCTGCAGGAAGTCGGCGAGGGTCGCCACTCGTCGGGCGAAGGGAGGGCAATCACATGGAGCCATGCGGGCGACGAGTTTTGCGTGAGCTTCGACCGCAACGTGCTCGTGTTCCCCCTGGCGCCTGGAGAAGACGGAGGTATCCAGCCAAAGTGCAAGGTCATGGCCGACTCGCGGACAAAGGTACATGCGCTGGCATACCTGACACCGTCAGGAGGGGAGGAGAGCAGCAGGGACACGGATGCGGACGCCGCCGGCAGCAATGCGGAGGATTCACTGCTGGCCGTGTCTACGGAAGACGGCAGGATCCTGTTCTTCTCTACGGCAGACGAGGACCTGGTTCAGAGCAAGGCGGAAGCCGACTCGAGAAAGGGCGGCTCCCCGCTGCCCAGCGCCAAGTGCATTGGCCAAGTCGGCGGCAAGGAGATGGGTGTTGCGGGACGCATCAAGGACTTTACGATACTACGGGCGCCTTCAGGCACGGATGAGAACAAGGGAGACTTTGTGATTGCAGCGGGCAGCAGCGATGGCAAGGTGCGGATATTCTGCGTAGCGGTTTCGGAACTGGTGAAGGCCAGGAAAAGCAAGGACGACGACGGGAGCAAGCAGCGGCAGCTGGGCAAGCTGCTCGGTGCCTACGAGACACAGAACAGGATCACCTGCCTCGAGGCCTTTGTCATGATTCCCCGTCCAGATGGTGTCGAGGACAGCGAGGACGAGTTTGAGGATGTGTCGGAGGATAACGACGACGACGATGAAGCAGCGGAGGAGTAGAATGATGTTAATAGCGAACAAATGCACATGGTCTGCACATGCCACCTTTCATAACTACAGAATGCCTATTCTATCCCTGCGAGGGGGGATGATCCGCCATTGATTTCTGAGATGAAGTCACGAGCGCCTGCGGACATTACACCTGCTCCGTTGCCAGAGACACCAACGGGTTTTGGCTTGCGCCGTGTTGCCTGCTGACGGTATATCTAGCGTGGATCAGTGTCGGCCGGAACTATCGGAGCTTCTGCACGGGCTGAGAAACAAGGTGCGACATGGTCTCAGGCTAGCGTACCGAGCCGTGTCTCGAAACAGGCCAGCTAGAGCTGGCCTGCAGGCAAAGCCGCGATGTGGTTCACCAAGTGGCCACATATCTGTCGTGTGTTGAGTCGTGTTCTTGCCGCGGGTGAGTGGCAGCCAGGACGTTGAGGAGCAGCAGCAGCAGGGTATGCACGAGGGAGGGGCGCGGCATGTAGAATGACATAGCCAGGCAGCTGGGCGGCACAGGTGCTGCAGCTCTGAGTGGCTGCCCCAATCCCCACCAAACCTCGAGCACATAAAGGAGGACAAGGAGCACGATGCATGTGATCCTACAGCGGGACACGACGCAAGGTTGACGCGGCTTCTTTGGGACCGGGGAGCCTACCTGGGCGGGCTGCGCAAGGAATCCTTTGGTTTCACTTTGGTGCCTTTGCTGCATCAATATTAGTAGACTTTGGCGGATGTGTGAGCTGGCTGAGACACGCCAGCTGGAACATGTGATTCATACTCCAGCAGGATGGGAATTCAAGACTCGCCGGTGCTAGGTTTTGACTGTTGTTTTTTTGGTGGCTGTCCTGCACACTGGCCGATCGGAATCGCCATTTTGGCACGAGACACCCAGCGCGGGTGAGGGGAGAGACGCAGCCGGGGCTGGCGCCCTGCAGATCGCTTAGCACACTCGAGAGTTACAGTAGTTGGCTGCATGCTCCAACCAGACGCGAGGAGTCGACTCGGGACACTACGAGACGAGACACGACGGCGGCTCGCGAGCCGGCGAGCCCCGCAGCCTCTCGAGAGTTGTGGTCCTGCAGGTTGCGTGACACGAGACACGACACATGCTGTTGACTTGACTCGTCCTATTGCGGGTGCTGCTGCCTCGCAGTCTCGCCTACCAGAGTAGCTCCACGGCTCGCTCCAGGTCAGCCCTCAGCTCGAAGGAAGCTGATCAGCCTCACGAACAAAGTCTAACACCAAGGTATTTGTTGCCCTTGGGTCGTGGTGGTGCTAGACGAGACAGCCGCCTGTGGCTTCACCCAGTTCAGGGCCCGGCTGGACCAGACGACATGCCAAGCAAGCCACCTCCACAGCATGCCAGCTGCCGCAATTGCTGGGCTGTGGCGGACAATAATAACGTTAGTCTAGCCCCGGCGGCCACAATAGACCTCGAATGACCCCGGCTCCGCAGCCCACCTGGGCATCACCTGCCGCCCCAGGCACGGGCATCCCTGCTCGCATGCAACGGTCCCCTCTCGCGCGCCCCCAGATGATCTCCTCGCACTCGTCTCCCCAGACTCTGCTCCTCTGGCCCTGCCCGGCAGTTCGTCTCCGGCACCCTATGTCCCAGCAGAGGTCCGAATCGTCGTTCGTCAACCCATGGACAATCCTCGCTGGTAATAGGGCACGCGGGCAGACAGAAACACAGTCAGACAAGGACAGGAAAACTCCAAGTAGCGTATGCATTGGCGAATCAGCGTGGCCGGAACTGGGTTTGCGTTCTGTTTGCAAGCGGCTGCCTTAGGGACCCGCTAGCTGGCTCACTGGCTGGCGCGGACCCCTCAGCACCTGCAGAGTCCCCAAGTCGCGCTGCCGGCTCCACCAGGGAGCTTTTTGCCCTCGAGCCCTGCCTGGCCTGTTCTTTTCGCCTCGACCTCGAGCGTCCTCGGCGTTCGCCCCGTCCGTCAGGCACAATCCTTCTTGTCCTTCTTTCTCGGCCTTCGCGTCACTTCTCATACATCTTCGACCTGTGAAACGGGCACTTGGCTGAAGTGGACGACGCCTAATCCCAGCTGCATCGAGCTCGAACACCCATCCACGAGGATCAAGCCCGCAACCATTGTGGCACCACAGTCATCTGCTTCTGCAACCACCACATCCGACGCAACGCCCATGCGTAGCGTGACCCAAGCACGCAGTCACACATCAGACTATTCGCCTCGAACTCTTGCTGCACCGCAACGACCCCGACAGCCATAGTCCTTGCACTCGAACGTGTCCACCAACTACCTCAACTCTTAGCTCGAGATCCTCCTCCTACTAGTACTACGCCACGGAGTGCTCGGTGAAAAGGCTTGCTCAGGCCTCATCGTAGACGACTACGCATACGCCTCGAGGTTGGATAACCTCATGAGATAGGACCATTGGCAACAATACATTGTCAAGCAGTAGTCATTGTCTCGCCAAGCCGGCGAACCCCCTTACCACAGCCATGACCGACGCTCCTGACAATGGCCCGACACTCTTCCGGCCCGTTCCGCGTCGACCCTTTAATATGAACATCATGGCGGCAACTCCTCCTGACGACATGGCCGAAGCTCCGCGGCCGCCCACTCCCGACACCGAGGAGAATAACCAGCTCAATCTCGACGTCCTCAATTCCCGCTTGCTGGCCCCCAGCCGGCGCAACCGCTCCGACGATTCCAACACCATCAGCCGGGCCGAGTCCGTCATGAACCTTGGCGGCTCAACCCTAATGGGCATCTACACACCAAATACATACGGCAAGGACAGATTCTACGTCGACGATAAAGAGGAGGCCACGACCCCGTGGGGAACCGGTGCAGAGACTCCCGCACGGCACTTGAGCATAGCGGAACCGCACTTTGAGCTGCAGAACGATCGGTACCACGGCATCCGGCGGCGGTCATCCTCGCACGTGGTCCCACCTCTTACGACATCGTCGTACTCGACAATTGCCATGTACACCGGGTTGCGGACGTTGGTACTCGGCGGTCTGGGGGTGCTCTACGGTGTTGGCGTGGCCGAGGTACAAGACCGGCACAAGATTGCCCCTGTCCACGTGGATGGACTACTCTCCATGCTGTACAACGACTGGCGTTACATGGCATTCTGGGGTCTGTCTGGGGTGCTTTTTGGCAGCCTCTTGCCTTGGTTCGACAACGTGTGGGAGAAGGCGCAGAACCCGTCGTCTCAGACAGTGGTAGAATGCAGCGTCGAAGACGACGAAGACCCCGAGCGGCAGAAGGGCCCAAGCACAGACTGGGCACTGGCGGTACGGGGTATCGGGACCTTTGTGGGAATCGCCTTTGCAATTGTGAGTTTTGTGACGGAAGATATCAAGGCAGCCCCTGTGAGATACATACCTGGCTAACCTCTTTGACGTTCAGCGTAAATTGCCATGGAATTCGACCCTGCAGCTTTCATTGACGCTCGCCATGGTCAACCCGGTCCTATGGTTCCTCATTGACCGCTCAACTCCCGGCTTTCTCGTCTCATCAGCAGTAGGTCTGGCCGGCTCCGTGGTGCTACTCGGGCTGAAGCCCGAGATGGTGGCCACTCCAGCAGGATCCTCATACAACACCATGATGAGTTATGACCAACAGCAGAATGCAAGCAATGTGCACCTCGACACGCTTCTCCTCGGTGGCTGGGCGGACCAGCGCACCCTGGAGACGGGCATCTGGATGCTGAGCGTGCTCTTCTGCTGCGCGTTGTGCTTTGGGAATATTGGGCGGCGGATGGTGCTCAATCGCTCCGCGCCCGGCAAGGGCCGGTGGGCGAGCATGGTTGGATGAAGCTGATATGTCAAACGGTGGAAAATGTGGTTGTTTCTTTTTCAAGGATGGATGTGGTATTCAAACTCACGGCGGATCGTGCATCTTTCTGTTTGGATTACAAAAAGATACCAAAAAAGTTTTCATTTTCTGGGTGAGATATCAAGGAAGGCTTTTTCCCCATGCGCTGCGGCCTCAAGCCTGTTGTGAATGTATAGTTTTTTTTTTTTTTTTTTTCATTTTCGTGCCGTGTTGTGCTTCGAACCTACGAGATCGAGGGAAAGATCAACGGCGAGAGAGACATATGGAGGAGGAGAGGTGGTGGTGGTTGAGAAGCAGCCCGGGTGTCAAGAAATTATCGTGATTCTCAACATACCTAGTCGCGGAAATGGGACTGCGGTGTCTGTACTCTCTTGTGACAATTGTTGTTTGCCCCAGCTTAAAGCTTCAGGCGGGACTCGTCGTCGTCGTCGTCGTCGTCTGGAGGGAGGGTCACACTACTATCACCAACTCCTGCACAACCAGAGGTTTTGGTCGGCTACTTGTGATGATGATGTGTAAACGCGGATTGTGTGCAGATTGCAGAGCTCCGTGACAAGCAGATTATGGGCCGTTTACACGTTCGTGTTTTGCGTGACACGCCCCGAAGGAGATGACGCTAGTGCATCATCCATTGGCAGGGGAATCCTCCTTAAGTATGGGGTGTGCATATGTAATTACGCTTGATGCAGACAGATGGGTGCATTTCTTCACGATGGGACGAACATCGATATGCCAAGCAAGGGAGGGAATCCGCAGATGAGGTCGGTATGGACCGTTGTCTGGAAGTACCTGGTCGGCACGGAGGTACGCTCCTGGAGCAGGCGGAAGAGGCAGACTGAACAAGAGCTCGCGCATTTCCCCAGATATGGTCTGCTGATCTTCAGCATGAGCGCGCGGATTATTTGTTAAACCGCCTGGCTGGGTAGTGATTATGCTCGGCCGAGATCGATTAGCTCAAGATCCCTGCTGAGCCTCGTCATGGCGCTCCCCCTCAATTTGGGTGCCAGCGTGCCTGGCCTCGCTCGACCTGCCAACAACAGCAGTCCTTGGCAGTCGCTGATCTGTCCACGGACGGCAGACACGCAGGTGAGCCAAGGCGCCGATGTAGAATCTGTGGAACGAGATGCCAGATCTGGCTGCCTGCTTGTCTGTCTTGGCGAACAAGCAAGCAACTACGTACTTAGGTATGTATGTACGGGGAGCTGAAGGCAGGGATCGCCCACGAGACAACCACCCGTGGCCACCCTCACAGGCGACTGCGTCTGTTTGGGACACGAGGCGGCGAATCTTAGTAACTGGTGATGGTTTGTTTCCACGGCGGAATGGTGATTCTGGAAAACGGCCACAGTGCAGGTTGATTATGATGCTGTGCGGGCCGCCTTGACCCGCCACCATAGAGTTGTCCATGACCCTTACACATCGGGGCGGCGATGGTGGTGCCGTGCATCATGTGCTGAGGTGTGGGTGGCCAAACCAGCCCAGGGAGGATGTCCAACATGTCCCTGTATCCCCCAGACCCAAAGACATGTCCAGACGACTTTGCCCGGCGGCCGGGTGCTGCGATGCACGACCCCCGAGCGGAATGGCGGGAGTCGATGGAGCCACGGGAGGCCCGATCGCAGCACGCGCGTGGCCGGCAACGGCATCGGCGTTTCCACGTGGGATCTCAGTCTGGCGCCGGCCGCCCAGTGGGGGGTTTGGCCCCAAATGGTCTCGTCGCTCTCGCTTGCTTGCTTGCTTGTCTGAGCGCACTGGCATGTGGCATGGCGTACGCCGGTTGATGACAGGCAGCAAGCCAGCCGGCCAGCCAGCCAGAGAGGCAGGTAGGTACTTTTGAGGCAGCATGCAGGAGAGCGTGGGCGGCCACGGAGAGCGCCCCGGCGACTTTTGCCCGGCTCCGACACGACATGTAGTAGGCCCGTGTCTTTTTGAATTGCGTGCCTGGCATCTCTGAGCGTTGGTCAGCAATTTGGAACACGTTGGATGTGCAGGCAGGACGAGCTGGACTGGAAGCGGTTACAGGCCCGGCCCCACTTGCTGTCAAGGTTGCGCCTTCCAAGCCCGCGGATTGCCCAGACGAGCTCTAGCAGGTCCCGAATGGGCGGATGCTCATGAGCAGTCGAGTCCCCTCAGCTCAGCTTGTTGCGTCCGACTGATTCATCACCACCATCTGCGGACCACCGCCACCCACCATCCATGCCACCCTCTCCTCCGGACTCTTGACCAGCGCTGTTGCGATCTATGACCCGCCCCATGGCCGTGCGACATGCTCCCACACCCGCCCGAGTCAGCCGAAGATGCATCTCGTGACCGGCAAGCTGGGCAGGCCGATCAGAGAGAGATTCGGGCGGTTCTTGGATTCCAGGGTCTTTGCCAGCTGTGCAGCTGCCCCGCCTGACTCGCCCGTCCTTGCCTCTTCCAGGCCGCCCGCGTCCCTGCGCCCGGGTCTTGTCTCATCGCGATGTGTTGGCCCCTGCCCAATCACAGCCCCGCGCGCCCGCCCTAGGGCCGTTGCATTCCCCTACGACGTCAGGACTCTCTCCCGACCGACCTCGGGAACCCGCGCTGCCATCCTGGTCCGCTCATTCGGCACCCTGGCTGCTCCCAAACCCGCAGCGCATCTTGGGTCATCAGGCTGCTTTCAGTTCCTGCTACCGAGCAGCTCTTGCTCGCGCCTGCTAGCTCCCCTGTAGCCTGGCCGCAGGGCTCCACGGCTACCCTGGCTGCCGGCTTTGCCCCAGAAATGCATGATGACTTCTACGTTTTCGACTCCCGCCGGTGATGCCCACCCTCGCGCCTAGGGCCTTACTTACTGCCTGCTATTATCACTTGAGTCTGCGCCCTGTCTCGTCCGGGCACCCGAACAAAACTAGACCCCCTCCCTCCGTAATCAGATTCTTTTTGTTCCCTCTGCACTGCAAAGTCAGTCCATGGCCCGTACAGCTCCGCCTCCGTCGCAACATGCCATGCCATTTGTCGTGCCTCAGATTCCATCAGCATAGGTCAGATGCTCCCGATATAACGTCAGATAAAGCCACCACATCATAGGACATAGCATTGGGCTGGACCCGACTACCGCATAGCGACCATTGATACCCGCGCCTACAATAGACCTTGCCGAAACAACACCCGACGCCAGGGATATTGCTACTCTTACGCACAACAGACTCAATCTTGGCAGCTTTCGGGCAACCTCACGCGACCTCGCTCCCTTAGACGGTCGGCCTCGCGATCCGACGGCGACCGGCATCAAGCCAAGCCTGTCCCTCATGTCCGCCGTTGTAGCGAACGCCTCCTCGCCCTCTCGCTCGCCTTCTCACACGTCGAACAGCATTCGGTCGGGACGAAGCTCTGGTCAGGACTCAGACCACAGCTCTGTGCACAACTCCGCCCCTGCGCCGAATCTGGTCGAGTCGGGCGACGTGGCCGAGATAGCGGATCTGACTCTTGACGCTGTCAAAGACTACCGGAAAATCATAAGGCTCCTACAATGCAGGGTGTGCTCGGGCATACTGCAGAAACCAGTCACAACCCCATGCGGGCGAAGCCTATGTCAAAGCTGTCTCCCCGAGACACATGTTCGGCACAACATTTCATGGCCCGCAACGACCAACTGGCTTGAGGGCTTCACCTGTCCGTTTGAAGACTGTGGGAAAGAGCACGCTCTCGGGGCCTGCAATCTAGACGTCACGCTGGCCAAGGCGATTGACCTGTTCGACACAGCTCTAAATGCGCACCAGGGGCCCTTGGAGCAATCCGGCTTCTCAGTTCATGTCACAGCACTCGACGAGTGGCAGGTTGCTGGCATCCCCTCGCTGGCTGAAAGAGATGGCAGCGAAATGATCCACAGTGGCAGCCGGCTCTTGGCAACTTACATGTTAGTCAAGGCTGGACAACTCAAGTACGAGACAGAAACGAGCTATGCCATATTGCAGGGAGACAACGACGCCCTTGACGCCGCGGAAAACACAACGTTTACCAAGATCAAGGATTCCGTGCGCACGGAGATGGACTGCCAGGTCTGCCATGCTCTGTTTCTGGACCCGCTGACCACAAACTGTGGTCACACATTCTGTCGAAGTTGTGTGCGGCGGTTCCTCGACCACTCTACACTCTGTCCGATTTGCCGCCGCTCACTGGCGCTCCAAGCTCAGGCCAGCGAGGAGAGCACGCCACCGAACCTATGCCTCACCAAGATGCTCAACGGCTTCTGGGCTGACGATCTTGCCGCCCGGGTTCAGGCGCTTCGGCTGGAGCAACAGGCCAGCCATGGCGGATTCGACATACCAATTTTTGTGTGCACATTGTCATTTCCACGTATGCCTACGTTCCTCCACGTCTTCGAGCCCCGCTATCGCCTCATGATGAGGCGTGCGATGGAGGCAGATCGCATTTTCGGCATGGTGCTCTTCAAGCGACATCCCGTGCCAGGTGGTCCCCATTTTGAAGAGCTCGGCACTCTTCTGCGCATTGTTAACCTCGAGTACATGCCCGATGGCCGGAGTCTTGTGGAGACTATTGGAGTGTCGCGATTTCGTGTCACACGATCGGGTCTCTTCGACGGCTACATTGTTGGGAATGTCGCTAGAATCGACGATATCAGTGTTGAGGAGGAAGAAGCCATGGAGATTGCTGAGACGACGCGGGGCCAAGGGGTTCGCAATTTCGCTCAGCATGATGTCCCGTATGACCCTGAAAATGTCGAAGATCAGCCGCCGCCGACGCCGATATCTCTGGAGGAGTTGAATTCAAGATCGACGCAAGAGTTGGTTGATATAGGAATCGCATTTGTTCGCAGGATGCAGCATCAGAGCGTCTCGTGGCTCGTCCCTCGTATCCTTGCGATCTATGGGGATTGTCCCACCGACCCGGCGACCTTTCCTTGGTGGCTTGGTAGCATACTGCCCGTCAGGGATGAGGAGAAATACAGGTTGCTAAGCACCACCAGTGTGCGAGAGAGGCTCAAGATATGTTGTCGGTGGATCATTGAGTGGGAGTCCAGCAGATGGTCAGTATTTCGCAGGCACTAAAGAGTAATCTTTCAGAATGACTTGGGCACCTCTACCGCGGGGGGCAAACCTGCTGCCCAATCGACATTGCCCAGCTGCCACTCTACTGTCCAATATCCTGCAGTTCAATCAAATTCTAATTTTATCTTTTCTCCAGGTCCTTGACAGACTGTCTGGTGCTATAATAAGTATTCGTCTGCAATTCTGACGTACGACCGTTGCATCTTTGGGGTCTCCAGTTGTGGAGGTTTCAAGGCTCGCTGTGCTGCCATTGCCGCACAGACTGCTGAATTTTGGTGATTCTGGAACGGCCAATCCGTTCTCCCATTACTCCTCGTTGCTTTATCTTGCCCTTTACCCATTGATAACCCACGACAACTGCTCTCCGCATCAGCATAGCGTCCGTAGTCTTGCATGGAGAACCTCGCGAGGTAAGAAGCTCCGGGGGCTTTCTCTTCTAAACACTTTCTAGAGTAGAGGCTTTGATGGTATCCGATCGTATCTGAACAGCCGTTCGTGTGTGCAGGAGTGGTCTCACGAATGAGGAACTCGAAGCACTCCAAAAAGAATTATGTGTCCGCATGAGCGTGTAAAGTGCAGCGGCAAAGGGCCTAATTACAGTACAGAAGACCTTGAAACTGGCTTGTTTAACCATGTGTAGCCCCTTGGATCCAAGGCAGCTGGGGGTTTGGGACTGGGCAGCCAAGGCGCAAGGTGGGGCGCCCCCTGCACCTCCGCATTGGAATCTGGATACACGTTACCAGATAACCAGCGGCTCCTGATGACCTAGGTAGAGGCCCATCATCTTCCTTGGCAAGCAAGTGGCATTGCGACACAGCTCGCCTCGAAGGCTTCCGAACCCGACCGACCTTGCAGTGGGCAGTGCAGCACGCCCCTATACCCGACAACGACCACACGACCAACTCGCACAGGAACAATGTCTCGATAGACGGCGCGGCGGCCCCCGTTCAGACCACCCCTCCACCTCGATGCCGCATGTCGTCGAACCGTACTCGCTCTCTCCTTTACCTGCTCGACCAACCATCGCGAGCATCGACCCCATCCCGCATCGACTGACCAGTGCCCTCGGCTGAACTCAGGTCCTCGAGATGGCCTCCCACGGACACAAGTTGCCGGGCATGCACCAACGCCATGGGCAGCAAGCAATGTACGCAGCCGCTCCTCAGGGGCAGCAGCAGCCGGTGCACCTTCCGGCCTCGACAGCCCCTGCCGGCACCTTCTCGCCCGGCACAAAGATTCAGGTCGGCGAGCACAAGGTGGTGATCCAGAAGTACCTGTCCGAGGGCGGTTTTGCGCACGTCTATCTGGTCAGGCTCCCGCACCCTGTTGACGGGACCGACCAAGCGGTCCTGAAGCGGGTGGCGGTACCGGACAAGGAGACCCTGCGTGGGATGAGGACCGAGGTTGAGACGATGAAGAAGCTCAAGGGCCACCGCCCCATCGTCAAGTATATTGATTCGCATGCTTCCGAGCTCAAGGGCGGCGGTTACGAGGTGTTCCTGCTCATGGAGTTCTGCAACGGCGGCGGCCTCATTGATTTCATGAACACACGCCTGCAGCACCGGCTGACCGAGCCCGAGATCCTCAACATCTTCACCGACGTCGCCGAGGGCGTCGCCTGCATGCACTACCTCAAGCCTCCGCTACTTCACCGCGACCTCAAGGTCGAGAACGTCCTCATCACCAACAATGGCTCCCGCAAGAAGTTCAAGCTCTGCGATTTCGGCTCGGCCGCGCCGCCCAAGCCAGCCCCGCAGACCGTCGTCGAGTGCCGCCTGGTGGACGAGGATGTGCAACGGCACACGACTTTACAATATCGAAGCCCCGAGATGGTCGACGTATACCGTAAGCAGCCCATAGACGAGAAGTCCGACATCTGGGCGCTAGGCGTGCTCCTGTACAAGCTCTGCTACTACACCACGCCATTCGAGGACCAGGGCCAGCTCGCCATCATGAATGCGAGCTACAGGTTCCCCAGCTATCCTGCCTTTTCGGACCGGTTGAAGAGCCTAATAGGTGCGTTGTGGATCACCGTTCCAGAGATGCTTAGGCAGAGGAGAAGCCGAGCTGACTTTTTTTGCAACAGCGTCAATGCTGCGAGAGAACCAGACTTCGCGACCAAACATCTACCAGGTCCTCCGTGAAGGGTGCTCAATGCAAGGACTGCAGGTACCAATACATGATGTAAGTCGTCAGATACCTCGCAAACGCGTGAGCGGCTCCAACTTACACTTTTGGGCCCATCTGCAGATATACGCAGGCAGGTCGCAATCAGAGCCACGCAAGCCAGAGCACCAGCCGCCACCGGAGCAGCGGGCATCCGCCAAGCCTGTGGTTGGTGCGGTGTTCTCTCCTCCACCTCAGCAGACCCAGGTTATCCCGGACATTGTGCCGATGCGGCGTGGCCGACCGCAAGCTGCGGCCTCAGTCACACCTAATCAGTCTTCTCGGCCGAGCCCTTCGCCTGCGCGTGTGACGCAAGGCGATCCATTTGCCGCGCTTGACTCAAAGCCCGCCGTACCAGCTGGCGACATGGATGACGTCTCTTCGAGGTTTCCCAGCCTCGACCAGTTCTCACTTCTTCACGACAAGAAAGGATCGACGTTTGATTTTGAGAAGCCTGCCCCAGGTACAAAGGGGTTGAATGTTACAACTCAACGGGTTGCTGATGATGATGACGACGACGACGATGTCAACAATGCTTTCGCTATTGCATCCGCCATGCCCCCTGAACTACCGTCCGAGCGACACATTACGCTCGAACAGGGTCGCATTCGTGGCACAGTCCCCGGCGCACAGCCGCCGGTCGCTTCGACTCCCAAACCAGCGTCTGCACCGCCAAAACCTGCATCCGAGATGAGTCGCGCCTCAATGATCATCTCGAACAATCCCGAGCTGCAAGCCATCGCATCGCCGCCTTTGAAGCAGACGCAGGTTCCGCCGCCTCGCACGTCTAACACAACGCCCAATGTGATCGGCAGCATATCCCCCCCGGCAAGAATCCCGCAGGACTACCCTCCGATCCACAGATTTCCACCAGCAGATCAATTCAAGGCGCCGAGCTTGCAGCGGCCTATGGAAACCAGAAGCAGTGGCCAATTGCGTACCGATGCTGCGCAGGCTGTACGCGGCTTCCAACCACAGGGGGCGTCGCCTGGCTATCAACCACAACATCCTTCGTCCTCGCGTCCATCTCTCGAAGGCGGTCGACCAAGTGCAGACAACCTCGAGCTGTTGCAGAAGTCCTCATCCTCATTGGGAAGACCTCGGCCATCAAGCACATACTTAGAATCGAACCTCGACTATCTACGTGAGAGGGAAGCAGCGCCGAGGCCACTGAAACCCTCTCCATCGCCTCGTCTGGATGATGGACCGATGGCGGCTCCCGACTACCAAGATGAGAGCACGATCGAGTCCAATGTCGAATTCTTGAGGTCTATGGAAGAGCCAGACGCAAAGAGCAAGAAGGACAAGGCTGGCAAGCATGGGAAAAGAGGCAGCTTGACGTCTCTCTCTGGGACTAAGAACATCCTTGCTGGCAAGTTTGGGGATGCCTTCAAGAGATTCGAAAGCAGTGGCTCTACGTCCGCGGCCAAAACGCCTTCGCCGCTAAAGGAGCACGACCGGTTCGATCTGACACCCATAGCGGGCTCTGAAGCCACCGACGGCCGGAGCGATGATGGCATAGTACACGGCGAGGCGGAACTGACCCCAGAGATGCGGCGGGAGCGCGAAGCACAGAGTTTGGCCGAGGAAGAGAGACGTGTTGAGGCCGCGGCGGCTGAGTACAAACTTCGTGTCGCTGCACGGAGTACTGGGGCTGCTGCTCCTCCAGCACTGCCAAAGAGTATCGGTGGGGTGTCTCGAGCTGTGAGTATCCAGAACCGAGTGCAAGCCCTACTCGACGAGTCACAGAACTCGCCCATACAGCGGACCGCATCTGGATACGGGCAGTTCTCAGACAAGGCAACTGCAGTCAGCCGACTTGACAAGGAGCTTCCCCAGCTCCCTCGCAAGCCTGTCACGGGTGCGATACCGCCACGAGCATCGACGCTGCCCAACGAGATGCCTATCCGCGGCGGCCGTCCGGGCTCGAGCAACACCGATCCGGGACTCTCTCAGCGGCCCACGCCGCCGCCCAAGCCGAGTCTCGCTCCGAAGCCGACACACCTGAACAGCCTTGGAACAGGTGGTAGGCCCAAATCGCCGCCGAAGCCGCAGAACATGCAGATCCCGCAGGGCCGGGCCCAGAGCTCAGTCGCAGCGGTGCCAAATCCGGCTCTGATGTCACCTCAGGAAAAGGAGGACTACATTGAGGATTTCAGCAAGCGTTACCCGAGTCTCGTGGCGATTGAGAGTGTGGAGCAGGACTTTGGCGCTGACGCCCGCCCCAAAACGGGACGATGAGGGTGATCAGTCTAGAGTTCGATGTGAGCTTCATGTCTTTGTCATAACTCTATGGTGGGTTTGGATCAGCAGCGATAGAGACGGATGTGGGATATAGGTGGTTCATCATGAAAGCACATTCGCACATCTTGGGTTGGAAAGAAATCCATTCATGTTCAAAGCGGCATAGCGAACAATAAATATACAACATTCGAAGAAGAAGCTTAGCATATATCGAGACACATTCATACACATTCATGCGTTCTCCCTGCCGGGTGAATCACGTAGGAACTCGAGGTTTAGTGCGCGGCCGCTGTGCATGTGGTTGGCATCATCGCGCCGTTAGGGATACAACTGCTCGACCGGGCGAAATAACCAAGGTTGACGTTGAGGCAGGCGACGTGTTTGTCTCCTCTACCCCTCCACATTCTCACTCTCTCCTTCTCTCTGGAAACTGATTGCCTCATGCAGAAAGCCGGAGTGGGAAGGTTCAAACATTGAGTGAGTTTTATGTATCAGAGTAAAGGTTTAGAAGTCTACTACTCGACCATATGTGGTTCATGCTGCGCGCACAACTAAGAGACACTTTCTGTTCATCACCCCGTCCAGACATTGCTGTTGCACACTTGATTTTTTGAATGCTACTTTGATTTGTATAAATAAGTAATCCGACAACTTTTTATCATATCCTGGCCCTTGAGACAACTATTTTCATCATCATGACAAAAACTCCCGCGCTTTTCTCATTCGTGCACACATGCCAGATGTATATTCAAACGCGGCCGGGCCAAGGGGGTTGCCTCTTTTGAATTTAGAAGAAAGCCCTGAGGATGCGGAGGGGCAGGTTCGCCCAGGTCTTGGGGGCCTCGCCAACCTCCTCCTCGTCGTAGATGCGGATGCCCGTCTTGAGATCCATCTCGGCGAGCTTGACCCAGAGGGACCAGTCGCGCATGACGATCTTGTAGCCGAGGTAGAGCGCGAGGACGATGGGCGCGGCGAGGAAGGACATGAAGAAGTCCTCCGCGTTGGGGACGGCTGACGGGGAGGGGTATAGCGCATTGTAGGCAGTGGCGATGAGGCAAATGACGTTGAGCGCGAGGCCGACGGCGCTGCCCCAGATGCCAAAGGGGGCCTGGTAGGGGATCTGGTTGAGGGTGTAGCCCTGCTGCGCCCAGGCGAGGCGGAAGCGGATGTGGGCAAGGCAGCAGGAGCCCCAGACGAAGAAGTAGGAAAGGCCAGACAGGGCGAGCAGCCAGTACAGGACAGTCATGCCGTTGGCAGCAAGGGTGAGGTAGCCGAGAAGGCCAAAGACGAGCTGAATCAGGACACACCAGAGGGGGCGGCCAGCCTTGTCAACGTAGGACATGAACTTGGGAGCCATACCGCGGGCTGCCATGGCCTGCATGGTGCGGGTCGAGCCGAAGGTGCACGAGTTGGCAACGCTGATGACCGAGATGGTGATGACGGCGTTGAAGATGGAGGGCAGGACCTGGACACCGGCATCCTGGATGGCGAGCACAAAGGGCGAGGCGGCCGAGTTGGCACCAGAGGAGTTCTTAAGACGCGGGTCGTCGCTGCGGATGATGAGGCCGAGGATGAAGAGGTTGACAATGTAGAAGAAGGCAACGCGGAAGAAGACCTGCTTGGCGGCAAGAGGGACGGCCTTGCGAGGGTTCGCCGACTCGGCAGCCGCAAGACCGACAAGCTCAGTACCACCAAAAGCAAAGGCGGCGACGACAAAGACGGAGCAGAAGCCGTTGAAGCCGTTCCTGAAGGCACCCGGGTCGTGCCACGTGCTAACGCCCATGTATCCCTTGTTGCCAACAGCACCGACGTTGACAATGATGCCAAAGATGATGAAGCCGACGCAGGCGGCAATCTTGATCATGGAGAGAACAAACTCGACTGCAAAGATGACGTTAGTATATCTAGTGGTAGATGTGCAAAATCAGAAGAATCCAGAGGACGGTTGCCCATACCTTCTCCGTAGCCCCTCACACCAAAGATCTGGATCAAGCACAGCAGGCCGAGGAAGAGAGTGACCCAGGCAGCCATGGGGATCGAGTCGTTCCAGAAGTGGATGGTGAGGCCGGCGGCGATGAGTTCGAAGGGGAGGACAATGAGCCAGGCGAGGGCATAGTCCCAACCCATGGCGAAACCCCAGGCAGGGTCGACGAATCTTGTGACGTAGGAGAAGAAGGCACCGTTGACGGGGTACAAGACAGCAAGCTCGGCAAGGGCCTGCATGGTGAGCAGCAACATGCAGCCGACAATGGAGTAGCCGATGATCTGTCACTCACACAAGATGCAGTTAGCACCACGGCATCTGACACCACCATGTTCCAGTCCTCGACCACCCATTTGACTTACCAAGGCAGCTGGGCCACCCTTGTAGAGAGCACCACCAGATCCAATGAAGAGGCCGGCTCCAATGGCACCACCGATGGCAATCATCTGCATGTGCCGACTCTTGAGGTCGGTGTGCAGCTTGTTGTCGCCATTGCTTTGTGTGACGGCGCCGAGCTCCTCGTCCTGGCCCTGCTGGTTGTAGGCAGGCTCGACGGCCACCTTGGCCTCGTACTTCTCAGAGTCCGACATGATGGGCAACAATGACACCCGCGCGAGGTATGGATGAAGTGCGAAGAAACAGAAGAAGCGCACTGCCGCTGACACCAAGCTCGCAAGACTCGTGATGATGAGAAGCCGAGCAGCAGGGGAAGACCTGGAGAGTTGTCTGGATTCTTTATACCCCCTTGACGGGGCATCGTCAACCCCAGATTCGGGGAAGCCTATCTGCTCCGGACACCATCGCCGTAGCTCCTCATGCGACCCAACCTAGCCCCAGGCCTGATAACACACGTGAAGCTCATTTACCATGGGCTGGACAGCCCACGTCCTTTGGTCCACCGAAGCCCAGAACAAACTAGCGGCCCGAGTCATAAAGCTTGTCCTTATCAGGGTAAGGGGAGGGAGTCCTCTGCTTGATCTGCTTGTGGGCTATCACGGCGGAGGCCGTCCCTCGCTCCTCTCAGGAGGACTGGGCACCTGGCCGCTGCAGGTACCAGCTTGCGGGATATTTCCCACCAGGGCAAGTTCGCCCGCACAGAAGCTTTCGAAGCCTTGCTTGGGGTGCTCTTGTTTCCAGGCTAGAACCCACATCTGCCGGTCTAAAACGTGGAGTCCCCTTGTAAAAGAAGGCTTATCTAGGTGGCAACGGTCTAGACCACCAGGACTCTTAGCCCATCCCTCGAGACAGTGCTCTCTATCATGGCGGAACCCAGCCACTAGTCGCCACTAGTCCGCATTGGACCTTGCTCCGTTACTGACCCGACGCATAGCCTCGGCGTAACTCTTGCAAATTTTTATCCACATCACGGACTCGATTCCACATTTGGCCCGGTTCCCAGCACATGAGGGGTGCATGTGGCACGGCTAGGCCGTTGAGGCGTCGATTGCGTCTTGACAATACGTTTTATGAAACGTAAGTTGAGCATTCTATTCCGCGCCAGCTCGAGGACTCCTATCTTGGTTGGCTCGTGAGCGATCCACTCCACATGCAGCCTGCTTGGATGGCGTTGATGGTCCATCCGAAGAAGGAAAGTCCTTCCCCAGATTATGATGGTGCTCGGCCGTCCCACTCCAACCACGACAGTCAAAGCTCAGCTCGCTGGCGGGGTGGTCTACCTTCCTTCGAACTAATGTCTCTCAGCATCATCTCCTCTGCCACGTGCATGTGGTCGTACTCCTGGACAGCACACGTTGCTACGACCAAGGCAAGCCGCTGCTCAATCGACAATGTCAGCCGCTGGTGCATTAGTGCTGTTTCTGGCGGCATCCACTTTGGGACATCGTTAAACGCTGATGAACTCTGATAACGCCATGTGCGGCTGCTGTTGGGCCCCGGCAAGACCGTGCTCGTGCATCTGCAGCCACACAGAATCCCCGTCCACTGCTTCCAACGCGTTCCTCAGCCCAGTATCGATCGACAAGTCGTCAGCTACCAACTTGAGGATAGCATCGAAGATATCGGCGTCAATTTGGACGAATGATACAAGTGCTGTCAAGAGCACTCGCGCTGCTTCCCATACTTGGGTCGCGTGTGTAAAATGTGCATACGTGGAGCTCGCCGCCCGCTCGTCCGGTTCGGCCAAGCCGAGTTGGTCTAATTTCGAGTGAACGGCCACGAGCATGCCTTGCCCCCTGGCTGCATTCTTATCTGAGTTGGCGTTAGTGATTCGGCGCTGGGTAGCAGCTGACTTCTTGCTTGAGCACCATCGGCTCAGCTGATCCCACCATTCAGTCTTCACCCTGGAACTGAGGAAGTCGCCTGAGCATTCGAAAAGAGCAGCTAGCGCCTTGCAGGCTGAGATTACCACAAACGTCTCTGGGTCATACAGCCGCTCTATGGTCACAGGCCAGATGGCGTTAACCAAGGGTAAGAATGCTTCCTCGTCGGCGGCGATGGCGGGGCTAACCACACAGAGGAGGTCTAGTAGGGATTTCCGTAGTGTTGGCGTGGGTGAGGTCATATAATGCTGCGTGAAGGTCGTGATTCGAGCGAGGATCTTGAAGGTTGGGGTTTTGGGTGGTGGTGGCTTCTCCTCCACATGGGCCGCTTCCTCCCCGCTCGCATCACTGCCTTCCTTGTCTTCCCGCTCGTCTAAAAGTTCCTTGGCGGTTTTGATTGGGGTCTCCTTCCAAGGGCGCTTAGGATGGGACGCGTTGACATCGCCATCCCACTGTTCGCTCCGGATGCGGTCTCTGCGCTCTAGGATTGCGTCAAGTGATTCCTGAACATCGTCGAAATCGATTTGCTTGGTTGCAATCTTCCGATGTCTGTTGATTCGGTGCTCTTGGTGTTCTTGGTGTTCTTGGCCTCGGGCTACGACAAGGCCAGTGGCCGCAGCGCCTTGTCTGACGATCTCTCCAAGGACACTAAACAAGCCTTCAACGAGGATTGGATAACCGTGATAATTATCCAGGGCACCAAAGATCGATGCCACAACATCGTCAAGGTAGGGGACAAGTTGGGGCCCAGTGAGTTGCACCATCATCCTCAGAACTTGTGTCGAAGCAGGCGTGATGTCAAATGTGTTCAACCGCAGTGAATAAGAGTTGAGCATGTAGTCGACATTATCCACAACGAGCTCAGTCACGCTTGAATAGCCGCACGAAGTCGCAATGCTGTTCAAGCTAATCATTGCATGCTCTCTCAACTTTGGCGTCGGCGCACCCAGGAATGTCGTGATAGGGTACAGAATGTCAATGAGTTCTGGTCGAAACTGCTTCTCAAGTCGAGACGCTGCGAAAGTAGTGACTTCCATCGCGAGTGCTTGCAATCTCCAGTCCGCGGTCTCACCCTCCTCTGACGTGTCTAGTATGGACACTGAGAATGTGTACAGGTCATCAAAGACCGCCTCGGTGTCACCGTCGCTTTCGCCAGCCATGGAAAGGTCAAGGAAATCGTCGATGCCTGACTCGTGAGCGAGCCGAGACTTAAGCAGTTCAAAGGAGAGCCAGAACGATGCCACTTGTTGTTCCCCAGTGGATTCACGGCTGTAGGAGAGCATCGTTCCGGGGAGCCAGGCATACTGAGAGCTAGCGCCAAGCTCTTTCAGAAAGCCTATCAGTGCAGCCCGTGTCGACGCTTCTTGAGGTTTCGGAAAGATGACTGGAGAGAACCTGGCCTGCTCCTGATGCTGTTCCTGCGAGTCTCCAATCTTCAGGAGATCAATCCCATGCTCCTCTTCTAATGCTTTGGCATTGACAAGGGCTGCTGCGGCAGAATCACGCAGAGAGGCGGCCAAGGAGCTATCTAACACAGAGGAAGTAATTTGAAGGCTTGCGACAATCTTGTGTCCTTTGGAGAGATTGGAAATCGCCTGATCCTTCAACTTTTGATCACTGGCTTGCATCTGCCGAGCCAAACTGGCCTCCCAATTGTACACGACAGTCTTGATCGTATCGCATAGTTCTGGGTATATCCTCGCCAGATCCTCGAGGCTAGTTTGGAGAAGCTGGGGCTCGCTTTCGGGCTCTGACAAAATGATGGCTGTCTCGACCAAGACTGAGGCGCAGTTGCTTAGAGACTGATGACACTCGTCGAGCAGTGACAAGCACATTCGTGCCACTGCGGAGCGGACATCGTCATCGGCATGGTTTCTTAGCTTGAGCACATGTGCTAGGGCGACTTGTACCTTTGTCGATGTCGCTTTCAGCCATGGAGCCGTAAGAACTTTGTTGTTGTCGTCGCCGCTTTGTTGCCTGTCAAGGTCGGTACCAGTAACCTTTGGAAGGAGCGCTCTAACGTGGAGATCTCCGAGCATTCCCGTCAAGACATTCTTCATTTCCTCGAGGCCCTGTATCAGGACTTTGCGTTGAGCTTTGGGCGAGATGGGAGGCGAAAGCAGCTTACTCAGGGCAGAGACGATTCCAGGGAAGAACGTCGCGAGAGCTGCCCGGTCTTTGATGGAAGCAAATAATGCAGTTATGGCCTGCAGCGCTTCAATCTGAATTTCTGCTGTCCTCCCATCTGTGATGCCGTCCAAGACGACGCTTATAGCATGGCCTAGTGTAGGGATAGCTTTTGTGTCGACCAGAGCGGCGGCACCAGCAGCGGATGACCCGGCAGCGTTGAGGAGAGCATTGAGCGCCCTGAAAGCTTCGAGTTCGGTTTCTTCGGGGACAGGACGCTTGGTGGCCTGGCCCGGGCTTCCACCGATGATAAAGGCCAGCAGAATGAGAAGCTGCTGACTCAGGTCTGCAGGCAGTTTGCTCCTCCATCCCGATTTGATCAGGATTGTGAGACACTTGATCGTGAGCTCGATCAGACGGATGGGGAAGTCCTGCTGGTTGCGAAGGACATTGGAGAGCGGGAAGAAGACATAGTCTGCCAACTTGTGGTCAAGAGCGGGCGTGCCACTGACTGACGGCCGGTCCAGTAGCACGTACAGCTCTTCAACCTCGTGGATGAGGTCCTTGGACGCCGCTTTCTTGTCTGTAGCGCGCACGGACAAGTTGTTGATTGCTATGCAGTGGGGTTTGAGCTTTTACACCTGTATGAGCGCAATGCAACATGACGGTGCTCGGGCGGTATGACTGACCTCTTGGAAGTAGGCATTCCGGGCTGCCGCCTGTGGATCACTCATCTTCGCGCGCTGCCAAGCCTCGTCCGGTCATGTTGACAAGAGGCACGACTCGTGGTATTGTACTGGCGGGCAGGAGCAGTGTTGCGAGATGAATCTAGAATGGCCGTGCAGCAGTGCTGTGCTCAGGGAATGTCCGGAGACTGGTTGCTTGGATGATGGATATCGCGAAGTTGCTAGCCCACTTGCACTTATCGAGGGGCGTTCTGCTTGCGCTGCACGGCTGCTGCGGGCTGGTGGGGAGCTCTCAAGGTTCCCATTTCAACCCCAGGACCTGCCAGTCAGCACACTTGACACTCGTACTTTGGTCTCGCCCAACTTGCATCCGACATCTCAGGCACAGTTTAATCCAGGAAAGCTGTCCTGTCTTGATTCTCGTCACTGCACCAAGAGGTACCAGCCTGCGAAAGAGCTTCTACGTGTGGTGCTCAACAAGGCTCCATCCACGACCCTGTTGCCGTCGTCTCCAGCACGCATCAGCGTGCTTCCCACAGTGTCAGAACCATGCCACGCTCACAAAGTCCCTTTACGACACGAGTGCATCATTACAGATCGCCACATACGCCATACGCCACTGCCTATGAGATAGGCCTCCCCGATGCACAGAATGCATACGTGTTCATCGGCGGGCTGGGGGACGGCCCGCACACAGTCCCTTACCCGCGGGCTGTTGCCAAGCATCTGGAGAGTCTGCCTGACCTGAGCTACTCCGTGTTCGAGATCCGGATGAAGAGCTCCTTCGACGGCTGGGGCTGCTCCAGCCTTGTCCATGATGTAGAAGAGATCTCGGCGCTCGTCAAGTATATCCGCGGGCTCGGCCGGCAGAAAATTGTACTCAACGGACACTCTACTGGTTGCCAGGTCCGTACTCTATCCCAGAGGCAATGACTATGCCAATGTTCTGTCTAATGGCTTGCGACTCTTGCGGGCAGGCGCTGACTACGTAGACAGGACATCATGGAGTACAACTCGCCTGTCCACAAGGGTAAGTTGACCCCTGTGGATGGCTATATCCTGCAAGGACCAGTATGTGACCGTGCAGCGCTTGCGCTCGAGATTGGCATTGGCAAACTGGACGAGAGTGTTGCTGCTGCCAAATCCCTGATTGAGAATGGCCGAGGGCTCGAATGCGTGCCTCGCGACCATGTACCCGTATTTATGCGGAACACCCCCATCTCGGCAGATCGCTGGCACGCTCTCGCGGCTGTAGAGTATGCACACCTTTCTTCCCAACTACGTCTTCGCGCTTTGCTTCAGTACTGACGGCCGCACAGTGGCGCGGACAACTACTTCGACCCCGACCTGCCGCAGGACGTTGAACAAAAGTACTGGGAGAGTGTGGAAAAGCCTGTTCTGATCCTGCATTCTGCAGAAGATGAGTTTGTCCCGACGTCCTTGGATAAAGAGGCGCTGGTGAAGCGCTGGATGGCCTATTGCAGTCCTGGCATTGCCAGCGGGCTGTCAGGAACTATCCCTGGCGCTAGCCACCGTGTCGGAGCGCCGGAAGCCGAAGAGTGGTTTGTCAAAACTGTGGCAGCCTTTCTGGGAAGCCTGGAAGTCCGCGATAGCAAGATGTGAGAGGTTCTGCCATCACAGTGTCATCCCTGGGCAAGATTTAGCGGCAACATCGCCATGTTTGACTGAGATGCGCTAGCGCAGCTTTCTACCGAGCTCATATCCGCCCACCCAGGGTGCTACCCTAGATGCGCAGGGTAGTCCCCGAGCAAGCTGCCAGACTAAGCTAGACTTTGAGCGCGTCTCCCGCATTACGTACTTTATGAATGGCGAGGCTGACTGCTCTGTTGCTTGTTTAAAACGGCAGCCCTTACCTAAGGAGGTATCGAGGCCCAACCTTTGAAGTCAATCGCTCAATTCACATTTGACCACGGGCTATACCGCGGCAAGTTGAAGTCAAGACCTTGCAGCCACTCTAGTCGAAAGTAAAGTGACCAGTGAAAATGTGCTACGGCGCGACCTGTCCCACCTGCTGTAAGTGTCTCATTCCATACTCTGGGCCTCTCGCTCCCTGGCATTTGCCCTAACGACACCTCATAGCGAAGAAGTCGTGGCGTGGCTGCGGCAGCCACATCCCCTCGGCTCTTTCAGGGATCCCCGAATCCAAGTGGTGCGACTGCGAACCTCGGGTCGTCGTCAACGGCAAGGCGTACCCTCCAGCGGCCAAATTTGAGATTCCCGGCGCATCATGGATTAGCAGCTGGTTTGGAGGCGGCTCTGCGGCGCAGGGAAAGGGCAACAACAAGGATGACCTGTAGGCTCAGATATCCCCTCATCTGATGCAAGAGAGGACTAGAAGAGGAGCCATTCCGATCCAGCAATGGTAGACGTCCGCTATGGGGAAAAGACACAGCATTACGACAGGAGTCCCGCCAAGGCTCAGACTGATAGGAAGATAAGAGACTTGAATTACCGACTCGAGCATTGTGTTACGTCCCAGAATCGAGGTGGAGATGGGCGCTTGCCAAACGGCCATGCGAGCAATGGTCAATCAATGGCTGCCACTGATTGGACCCCGCTCCCTCCTCCGATAACCGCAGCTGTGGTTCTGTCCGTGATTCGGGCCCAGCGGCCGCCTGACTAACACAACTTCATTGTCTTGAGCACTCCCCCCGTGGTAACTCGACATGCCACTAATCGCCCGGACCTAGCAATAATTTACCAGAACAGTTCTGAATGATGAGCCTATATCCCAGACTCGCGTAGAATGCTGCTCTTACAACCACCAGTGCTGGCAGCCGCCACCGCGGGCGGCGCAGCCTGGTACGTCTGGAGTTGCCTCGCCTCGCCCCTGTGGAAAGTGCCAGGACCATGGTACTCGGCCTTCACCAGCCTCGTGCTTCGATATCGCGAGCTCAGAGCCGAGAGGACCACCTACATCCACCAGCTGCACCTGCAGTACGGCCCTGCGGTCAGGATCAGCCCCAACGAGGTCGCGTTTGCCTCTGTCGAGAGCATCAAGGAGATATATGCTTCCGGAGGCAGTGGCTACGACAAGACCAGTTCTACGACCTCTTTATGGTCTATGGCCGGCGGTGAGTCGACAACCGAGGGTTTTGCGTGAGTCTTGTGCGCATGAAGCAAGCAGCGACTGACGCACGGCAACAGGACAATGTTCAGTACACTTGTGAAGGACGACGTAATTATGCCACCCAAATTGTTCCCTGTTCACTATTTGCACTCGAGACTCAGCACGTCTGACCACTCTGGATCACAGCACGCAAAGAGGAAGAGGATTCTGGCCGATCGGTATGCCAACACGAATGTCCAGCGTGCTGCCGCCATCGACGGGATCCATGAGAGGGCCGGCAGGTTCCTTGACCGCTGCACAGCATCTGTGGGAAAGAGTATCGATATATTTGTGAGTATTCTCATCAGATGAGCTTGCTCGGGGGGGGAAACTATCAGACTAACGCCGACTTGCCTTGAACAGATCAGTATGTCCCGGTGGCATCTCACGTGCATTCTCATGTGGACTTTGAAAATCTGATGTGTCTTTGCTACAAATGTAAACAGACCTGCACAACTACGCCTTCGACTGCGTATCACATCACCTTTTCCATCCGTATGGCTCGGACTCCCTGCGCAACCCACAAGACGAGGAGATCCAGAAACAAGTGACCTTTGATGACAGCCTCCAGAGTATGTATACGTCGCCATACCAGAAAGGGGGAGAGAGAGAGAGAGAGAGAGAGAGACGCACACTGAACTCCGGCTCGCGCAGACCGCCTGATTAAACACCACTACCCGACGATCCACAGAGCCATGGGGAGCGTCATCGCGCTCTTCGCCAGCCCCCGCGAGACGCCGCTGGCGGATGAACTGGTCCTGTCCGCGGCGAGCCGCTCCGACCCGGCCCGCTTCACGGTGGTCAACCGGATGCAGGAGAAGGCGCACGGCCTGGACCAGACGACCATCGCCGCCGAGTGCCTCGACCACATGGCCGCGGGCATCGACACGACGGGCGACGCGCTGTGCTTCCTGATGTGGGAGCTCTCCCAGCCGCGCTCGATGGCCGTGCAGCGCCGGCTGCAGCAGGAACTCCGCGAGAACAAATCACGCCTGGTGTCGCCGGGGGAAAGTGGTGGTGGTGCTGAGCAGCAGCAGCAGCAACCCAAGAGATTCGACGAGCTGCCCTACCTTGACGCCGTGGTCATGGAGGGCCTGCGATGCTTCCCCGCGATCCCAATGTCGCTGCCTCGCTATGTTCCCCGCGGCGGGAGGACGATTGACGGGTACTTTGTCCCCGGGGGCGCGGTGGTCAGCTGCCAGGCATACTCGACGCACCGGATCGACCAGGACGTGTTTCCCGAGCCCGAGGTGTTCAGGCCGGAGCGGTGGTTCGCGGGCGAGCACGAGATGGAGCGGAAGAAGCTGTTCTTCGCGTTCGCCAACGGCGGAAGGGGTTGCATCGGCAAGCAGTCAGTCTTCATTCTCCTTCCTCCTTCTTCTTCTTTTCTCTTCATTCGTGATTATTCCTCCCTATCACGAGATATCTGGGACCTTGCAGCTCCAAGATCCCGTCCGCGCCTCAAATTGGAATGACTGTTTTATATCACGTCTGGAGGGCATAGCACTAACGACTGATTCTCTTCCTTAACGACCAACAGCCTCGCCCTGGCAGAGATGAAGATACTCCTGCAGGAGATCTATTCCAGGTTCACGACCTTGCCTGATTACACATGCATGTCGGACGAGGACATGGCCATGGCGGACCAGATCATTTCCTCCCAGCCGAGGGCGAAAAAGTGCCTGCTGACAATGGTGCCCATCGACGTGGAGTGAAAGGGACTGCAGTGCTGGTCAACCACCGGGATGCAAGCCTCATGAAACCATCACGGAGGATCTTCACTATTGCACGGGGTGTGCATTGGGTTGCAAAGTCGATGTCCATGATTATTATTTTTGGGCGTTCTGAACTACACGATGATCTGTCCATCCAGGATGACGTTTGAACGATGGGTATCCATCACCAGGGGGTGAAGATGCGCTTGTCTGCACATAGCTGGTAGAACAATCAACATCAGTCCTGCCAGAACTGTCAGCGACGAGGACACGACAGCTAAAGCTAGGCAGTCGGTCGAGACAACCACATCTACTGCGGACTGCATGGATTCTTTGGCTCGGCGACTTAGTCACTCGGAGAAGAGGGCAGCCCCGTGTCTACGTGCGTGCGAATTCGCTAAATGTCCTCCCCAGCCCGGGGCACCTAGTGACTCAAATGACTGCCTGGGATCCCTTAGCTAGGTTGATGAGGACAAATAATGACCACAGTTAATCTAGCCTGCAAATATGGCGTCCCTCCACAAGGATGACAGCGAGAACAATTGCTGGTTGCTCGTCTCTAAGTCGAGTCCTCATTTCCGAAGAAGGAGCAGGATCATCAATCTATGCGTACTGGACATCAATCAGCCAGGCATAGTTTACGATAAGCTTCGGCCGGTTAAGCGAGGAAAATGCGGAATATGTCCAGTTTCCGGCACCAATGGGAAGATCGGCCGAGAGCCGGGTCTCCTCAGCGCGGACGGTAAGGGGGTACACTCGAACCCTTGTATGGCAGGGATATCTCGGTAGTGGCTTGACACATGCCCCTAGATATTGCTGGGGGTGCCCTGCGTTGGAGTTCCAGCAGCGGAGAAAAACCCGGTGGTGCATCGACGGATCCAGGCCTGAAACATAATTGCTCGTGCTGGAAATGGCCCTTGCCGTCCATAACAGGACCACACTGTGTGTGATCAGCCGCTTACCAAAGAATCAACAGGCCTCGGAGCGGCAGAGGTCGCCACATCAAGAGGTTTCTCTCAGCACGGGTCGGTAAAAGTGCTGGTCAGCTGGGGGTGTGACATCAAAAGCAGGTGACCAAGAAGGCGAGACCAGGACCTGCATGGACCTCGCAGGATTCTCCTTACAAGCACTCAAGCACATCACTGGACAGTACAGGCTAGATCTCGTCCATGTCCACTTTTGAACTGCATTCTTCATCTGTTTCGAACTATGGCGGGTCTATTTCTGGCCAAATCACTATTGCAGGTGACGTGGTGGAACTGTCTGAATAAGAAAAGACGAGACGGCATGCCACCCGATGGGCCATGCGGTGAATGCGAATACGGCCATGTTGCACCTGTCATATCAAGTGGGGAAACCTTATTCCTATAGGGCCCCTGAGCTTAGCGACAAAGTTCGGGTACATACTTTTCTGCGCCGAATGGCAGCAGATTGACCGCACCGACTAAGTATCGAGCCTTCCGAGAGCATCCGGCCGTGTCGCCAGGTGATGCTCGTGCTTCCTCTACAACTGCAGACAGCGCCCTAGCCAAAGACAACCCATGTAGTACGGGATTAACGTTTACCCTGGGAAGCATGTTGACGATCATGGATCGTCGTCGTCGTTCATGGGTCGACGCCTCTGTGCGACGCACTTGATACTGCTGGCCCAGAATTTCTTGTCGGTGCCGCGTTTGACGCTTGCAGAAGGTGATAGTTTTCTGGAGCATGCCCCGACTTGCACGTGACGTGCGGCGAGTTTTGACGATCCCACGGCCATGAGGTCCATGACTGCTTCATTTGGTGAGCCGTAGGGGCCGGCGAATAGAGAGACGACACCATCTCCTCGGCCGAGAGCAGTACGGAGTACCCGTACACTCACCACGAGTAGCTGACAGACGAATAGTCGACGGCCCTGCAATTAATTGGCGAGCAGGAGATGGTCAGCGTAGTTTGGTACGGGACGGGGAAGGAAGCCGGGGAGCGGGCCTGGGCCATTCAGCTGGGCCAGGAGAATGGACAGGCACGCCATCATTGATATTACAGGCATGAGGACGAGACAGGCTCGCCCAAGAGTAGTAGGCGCCAAGATGATCTGCCGATTTGCCCATGGGTGTTTATGGGTGACTGGGATTGCCCTGGCTCGCTCGCTTGTTGCTCCGGACAGGGACGGCGAGCGAGTCCTGTACGCCGGATCCTGAGCAAAGTTGCGAAGGGCGGGGACCGCATCGTTGAGTGATTACAGGACGGGCAGGCAGGCGGGCAGGCAAGCAAGCAAGCAAGCAGCAAGGTCCCCTGGGAAGGTGTGTCAGCGTGGCCGGCCCTTGCTGATGCTGGCTGGTGCTGATGACGATGATAATGATGACGGCTGGGCGGCCCACAGGTGAAGTGTCTGTGCCAAGGAGAGACGGGCCACGAGGAGAGGAGGGGGAGATGATGGAGGAGGATGAGGAGGAGGACGACGACAAGGAACATCAGACGGCTGTGCCTGGCAGCTGGAGGCAAGGCACGGAAGGAGCCGTTCGCAAGCCTACCCGAAAGAGGCAAGGCCTCAGGCAGGGGGCATGGGTGCCTGCCGGCAGCTGCATGCGCGGCCCAGGAGTGCCCAGCACTAGTCCTACGTTGTTGCAGGTGCATGCGCGGGTGTGTGCCTGCACGAGCAGGGGCGCAACTCCCCCGCCTGCGCCTTCCCAGCTCCCAGGGTTTCGGGTCCGTCCTCCGACCTGGCCCTCCCTCTCGGCTCCGCTAACGTCCCCCCCCCACCCCCTGGCCCCGCGGAGCCCTCCCGCCTGCACCTCCAGACGCCACTCATGCTCGCCCGCATATGTCAACGCTCATCACCGCCACCACCACCAACACTACGCACCACCAGCACCAACACCGTGCTCCCGGGCCGGTCCCGTGACGTGCCGGTCCCCTGGGTCCCTGGTGGCGTCCTCCAACGTCCGCCTCCAAGGGTCGTCCCAGGCGCTCTTACTGCGTACGAACCTCTCTGTCCCGTGGCCCCTGCATAGCCCAGCCGGCGCCCAGCTCGGCAGACTGCAACCTTCTCCAATCTTGTCTTGCACCGTCGTGGCGTCCAACATTGGTTAGGGTTGGTAGTTGCCAGCAACATGGCAACTCAGCGCCCTCCGGACCACACTGGAGATCAACAATAACGGCTGCCCGCCCCGCCTTGGACCCCCTGCAACTCAGGCGGCGACCACGACGACTGTGGACGCCAAGGTCAGCCTCATGCCAGGGCTTGCAACACTTCCATTTACCGCGCCGCGGCCTCGTATTTACCATTCCGCACCTCGCCCGCCAACACAAGTGCCAAAGCTCCTCAACCCCAGCGGTGCTGTCCGCTCTGTCCTGAACCGTGCGGGGCGGCCATGGAAGGGGGAGAGAAAGCAGAAAAAGGAAAAACTCGTAGTCCACAGACCTTGGTCCATGATGGTGCGGAACAGGACTTCCGATCCGCATGTCGAAGAAAGACGAAAAAAAACAATGTGCCTGTTTCTGTGTTGCCAAGATATGCCCCCAAACTCTAATTTATTGATCATCCAAACCACACACGTCAACTACTCGCCAGGTGGGGACAGGTAAGACAACATAAACCCAGCTCTCTACCCGGATCTCCATCAGCCGCGGGGTTTCAACGGCCAGACCAAACGCCACCTGCATCGCTCAAGACTCGCTGGCCCACCAATCACAGCCCAGGTTCGGAACAACATCGACTTTCAGCCGCCATGAAACTGTATCCTGGATGAGGGGAACGACAAGAAGCTGCCCCGGCGGCGCCCCCCTACCTCCGGCCTGTAGCGAGTGTTGGTGGAGCACACAAGAGCCAGAGAATGGCATGTGCTTGTCAACGTCAATGGCCGCCGCCATCGGCTCCCCCAGTCTCCACCGTCACTCTTCGGAGCTTCGTGGATATGAAATATTGGAGAGACTGTGGTCGAATGTACCAGTACTTCACACACCTCATGGCGACAAGGGCCGGGTCCAGCTACCGCATCTCGCGGCCGCCTACCCTGACCTTGATCCGATGCAACTCGAGATCCCCAGCACCCTCGTGGCAAGCAGGCAAGCTTAGCTTCGCAACCAGACATGTGATGACCGGACCGACGCGGGAATCACGCCACTTGTGTGGAAATCTTAAGGATCTGATATTCCTATCTGGACCTCCTATGGCCAATGACGGCGGCGCGGTTGCCATCGCTTTTTGTTATTCCCGAGCTCCCTGTTCTCTCTCCCCCTTCCCACTTGACCATGTGTCGCCGAGATCAAGAATGCCTGCGTACTGGAATCCCACGTTTCCTGCGCTAATACGCATGAGAATGCCTTTTTGATGATAATGAAAAGATAAATAACAAAACAAAAAGAAAACTCGTTTCATACATGCTGGGTGTTGTTCTGTTGGAAACAAAAATAAAGGTGCAAAGAGCCAACCTGCGCCAGTGCTAAGATGATACCATGACGAGCAAAACAAAAAAAAGCATGCCGTCCAACAGCAATCTAGTAATCGTTTGGAGTATCTCCGTCCCCGCAAGGAGGCAGGTAGCCTTCCTAATCCGGAGGCTCGCAAACAGGCACCCTGCGTGTCATTGCGTAGCCCCAGCATGATCCGTCGAAAAAACCCATCCCTGTAAAAAGTGGTGGTGGCGGTGGTGGTGATGGTCGTCGTCGTCAAGTCCTGTCAGCCCTCGACACCTGTCCCCACCCGCTCGTTCTCTAACAAATAGAAAAGCAAATCAAGATGTTTGATGATACCCATGGACATAAAACACACTACTTATTACCAAGGGCTTCCAAAGGTCAGAAAGAGAGAGAGAGAAAAAAGACACATAAGAAAAACATCGAGGCCTCCAGGGAGGGCCCCCTTGAAAATGCATCAGCGCTTGCCGCCCAGAGTTTCCGGTTTTGTTTCTTTACCGTGTCGTCATCAATGTCGCGCAAAGACAGAAGAAGAAGAAACTTCAAAACTACTGCCCCCTCCTGCCCAGACATGTGCATGCTGTCCGTTTGGAGTGAGTAGTAATCACAAGTCGTGGCACCTGCCCAAAACCATGCCGCTGTCATGGTTTCAAACCAGGGGACCAGACCCGCCAGGTATTGCTCCTTTGGTCGATAGGGGTGGCGTGGCCACGGCCCCTGGACTACCGCCCACTCGTGTGTTGGCCAAGGCCCGCGTGGTGAGTCTCGAGCTTGATAGGCCCCGCAAGACCAGGTCCATGGTGTCCGGCATAACCCGAGTAAGTAGCTTGGTGCTGAAGAGACATGGCTTCCATGCTCGTGTCATGGAGTTCTCCGCCGTGAGTGGGATGTTGCCCAAAGTTCCTGGAAAAGTCGTCCATCCCAAGTAGATTGTGTGAGAGAGGCACCGCCTGGTGGCCGTGTACATGACCCGAAGGCACAGAGTGTATGCTGTACATTGTTGTTGGGTGGGTTGCAGCCGCAGTATACCAGGATGTAACGGGCGTAGTCGGACTTGTAAAGTCTGTGTTTGTCGTCTGGAAAGCCGAGTCCCTCCTGGTTGATCCTTCCGAGCCGGCATAGATGAATTCGTCGGTCAGGTCGAGCCCATCATGTGGATGCATTGTCGATGTTAACCCGCCATTATCAAGCGGCCCGATTTGGTGATAACGAGGCTGGTTGTCCATAAACGTAGTTCCGGAGAAGCTAGTCCGACCAGCACTTGCCCCTGTTGATAATGTATCATGTGATACCATAATCTGTGGCGGCCCATGCTGCTTTGGTGGCTCGGCCATGGTGGAGTAGACAGGGGGCTCGTCATCCTCGTTCTGGGATGGCACATCTTCCTCGGTGCTCGCGCGCTCGTCGGGTCTGACATGCACGCACACGGATGGGTCTAGAGCTGTGTAAGCAACGCGCTTGGATTAGACGGGAATGTGGATACCTACCGATTTCGCCTCGCTGGAAGCGTTCTTCCTGTTTGGCAACCTTGAAGATGTCTCTGAGGTAGGGTCTCTTCCTCTCGTTGTTGGGATTCTCCTTATCCGTGAAGAAAGTCGACAACGCTTCCATGGTGATTTCATCCAGTTTCTTGACGTCGAGGTTGACCTTTTGGATTGCCGGATGTTGTGATTCGAGAGGCTGTATCACGAGACGGAGAATGTGGCACAGCAAATAGACCCGTTCTGTGGAGAAGTTAGTCTTTGCAAAGACCATGCAAACTGTGAGGTTCTCGACAAACCTCGCTTGTACAGATGGTCCGGTTCTTTGTGTCGAACCCTCTCGTCTTTGGAGTTGCCCCAAGGTTTGGGCCACCAGTCTGGTGCCTTTTCGTCCTTTCCGGTGTAGGGATGTGTTGACTGCTTTTTCGGTTCGACCGCCTTCACCCAGGCCTTTGCAATAAGCTTACACGCTGTTTGTTGGCAGTTCTTGAACTGCTGCTCATAGAATTCCCAGATGTCTTTGCTGTTGTCGATTCGGATGCGACGCCCCTTGGGCGTTGGCGCCATCCTTGGTGTTGTGGGCCGTGACTCGTCGTCATACATGGACGACTGCCGCATTCTTTTTCTTGCAGTTGGGAAGTCATCGCTTTCAAGACCGCCTGTTTGATAGTACTGATCGCCATTGCCTACGCGTTTCAGGGCATTGACAGAGAACGGTGTTGTTGTTGGAGGGCTTTTCCCATAAGCCGGAACACTGGTGGGCGACAATTCTGTGCCTACCCGACAGCAATGAATGAGCAACGATCACACATGCCGAGAAGGCTTCGCGACGACTGACCTTGAGCTTGCGTGCTGTTCTTCAGCTTGAGTAGATGAGCCTTCAGGCTCTTCCTGTCGACGAACCGATCAATTTCCGATGGGCAGTTCGCTGACTTGAAGACGTGGGACTCATAGTCCTGATCGATAGCAACAACCAGAAATCCACGACCGGGTATGTTGCAGTAATTGCGCAGAGCCTCATCAATAGGCTGTCCCAGGGTCAGCCAGTGTCCACCTAACACGAGGGTGTACTTACCATTGGCGGCCCACGGCCACTTATAGCAAGATCTCCGCACCGGTTGTCACTCATGCCCATGGCGATGCCAACTTGTGCTGGAGTCTTCCCAGTCCACCCGTACCGGTCGATCCGTGGCCGAGCTTGGTTACCCATATTAATAGATATATCGGTTGCTGCCTAATGGCTCATCTGTGTCAAGCACGATGTTTCGTAGCCAGTCCGGGGTGCAGGACCGCGAGATTCTCGAATAAGAGTTTGTCGTTGCCTGAAACTGGGAACTTGAAGTTGCTCGAGATTCTGGGTGAGATGAGTCGAGGGGTAGTTGGAATGTTGAGGCAGCTATAGATGAAGGGGGGAGTGGAAGCAGAAGTCAACACAGAAGAGTGCAATCAGTTGAATCGGACCGAGTCAAGGGTATCGGGTCGTGTCAGACCGTGCATGGAATCTCGCATGGGTAGACTCATCCGGTGGCAGTCGAACGTCAGGAGGGACTGTGCTTCGAGATTGACTGGTGGCGGAAAAGTCCCGTCACTTCGTGAGCAAACAGCTGTGTGCTGCCGACGGCGGGCCGATACAATGTAGCCAGAACGAACGCACAGACTTTGGATGCTGGCTCGGCTGCGCGAGAAAAGCGACGGAACACACTTGCAGAGGGGGGAGTGATTCGTCTCTACCAAAAAGTCGAGGCAGAGCTTGAGTCGACAACTGTCATTAGTGTAGTGAAGACCTTATGGAAGGCACACCGGCAAATACTGCCAGTGTACAGGGTGTTTGCGTTGTTGATGGTCGGACAAGATCAAGCCTTCGTCTTTCGCCGATGGCCTGAGTACGACTCGATAAGGCGGCGTATGTGCACACGGTGATCCACGATTCGTCTGGAGGCCCGGGCCGTACGTGTCGGATGCTCCAGTCAAGCTTGGACAACGGCCTTGTGCAACCTTTGGTGGACACCGTCGTTTGAGGGGCACCACTCGAGAGCAAGGGAATACCGACAGTAACGAGCGAGAGGACTTGCTGCCTCGTATCTGCCGAGCGATGATGTGTGATGTGGGACAGGCTTGGGCGCTGCTGCTCAACTGCTGCAGGACTGAGGTGTGTGTAATCGTTGGCTCACACAGGGAGCAAGACTGCTGAACAAGAAGGCACTCAAAGCCTTCGGTTGCGGTAGGTTTGCTGGAACCAGGTGAATTGGAGGGAGACGGGAAGCCTCTCTGTCAAGCACTAACACATGGGCCTCGTCATGTGTATATACAGTCTAAGCAAAGCAGGCAAGGATCCGGACAGGGACGGGTGCGAGACAAGGGCCGTGGCTATTGGGCAGGAAGGCGACGTTTCGAGGCTTTGCAGGGAAGCAATCACAGCAGGCAAATGTGTGCGGCGGCGCTGTCTGTCGAATGCCCCTCGCCCATCACGGGAGTTCCGCAATGGGAGAAAAAAGAAAAGGGCGGTTGGAGAGCTCTATCGAGCATGGCGGAACCACTCAAGGCTGTACTCTGCATACCGTGTGAGCCACAGAGACGCCAGAAGAGAGCGCCCAGCTTGCTCTACGCAAGTATTGGTACCTCTATTGCCAGAAAGGCTGGGGCTGATGCATGGTGTGGGCAATATCCTTGCATTGTACTTGAAAAGACACCACCCTGGACCACCACCCTGGACCACAGGGTAGTCCAGATAGATCGAGGCTCCTTGGTGGATGGCCGATGCTAACCCTTGCCAATCTTGCCGTCAGGGGCAGGAAACAGCCAGCTTGGAGGAACTGCAGCCGCGCCTGGCAGCCATCATCATCACCGGGGGCTACCGGACCTGGAGGCCACCTGGGCGAGGAGGCAGACCTTGGTGACATGCCTCCCTTCAGAGTCTATCCACGAGCTTGCCGAGCGTTGGAAGGGACGGCTTGCTGCAGCGAGGGCGCAGGCCGGCAGATGGTGCCACCGAGCACGAAGAACAGGCTGCACGCCGGAGGGCGATGATTGTGCTTGATTGATGGCGAGTACGGCGCTGGTCAGCCAGCTGCATTCCGTAAGGGACTACTTACTCTGACTCCGTGTATTGAACCCTGCAGAGGTGGATGGTGCCGTGAAGAAAGACAGAACCTCTGCCAGGGCCCCCAGCATGCGGCAGTCAGGGTTGCCGGTGGCCTCTGAGCCGATCTCATTCTCACCACTGGGGCATGGCAACGGGACCAGGCAGGCGGGCAACAGGCGCGAGACGGGCGTGTGGGACGTCTCAAGGAGGGCTGAAGGGGTGTGAGCGAAAGAAGCAATGGCCATTGTCGTGGGCACTCATTGATGGCGGGTTGTGGTGGTGGTGGTGGTGGTGATGCGCAGAAGCGAGCCTGTGTGGCAGCCGACCCTAGGCGGCGACCAGGGGGCCACCCTGCTGCTCAACGCCCTGTCAACGCCTGGGAAGCTCCCCGCCGCGGGTGAGGCTAGCGCGCGGGAGGGTGTGGGTGGTCCCCTGCCTTGGCGGCCCTTTGACAACCTGCCCCAGCGGGTCCCGATAGCCCCCCCGTCTGAGCTGGAACCAGATCCTGCAGCTGCTCGAGTGCAACTGCGCATCGGCGGGGTCAACTTGCTCGACCACTACTTCGCCCAGCGCCAGAGACTCGACGGCGCCAGAGACTCGACTCACGCCCCTACTTTGCTGCTCATCATCCTGCCCTGCCCTGCGCCGACACTCGGCCAGGTCCGCCATGTCTGGGCGCTCCCGCACTCGCCCCTTCCCGCCTGTAACGTGTCTGGCATGCGCCGAGTGGGTCTGATAATCTCCACGGCACGCTGGCCAGCAAATCGCAAGTTTGGCTTTCCTCATGGACAGTCTCGCTAAGCAATCTATCAGTCCGCAACATCATTCTCATAAGCAACACGTCGGTGGCTCTCATAACACGGAGGTTCTGGGGGCCAGTCGCCGAGAGCACCGTAGTGGGCATGGAACGACGACGGTCATCCTCGTGCTGGCGGCAGTGCAAGGCACCACCAGAAAGCCGATATTATCTAGCCTGCAAACACTCCATCCAATTAGTCTGGCACAATCCGCTGCCCCGCGCTTCGCGATGCAGGCCAAAGCGAGGACGAGGAAGTTCCTTTTTGACCAAGGAGGAGCGTATGGCATGTGATCCATGAGCTTCACAGGGTTGGGCAAGTCTATCAACCACAGACATGCGAATCGACAAGCATGATAGCCGACAGACATACGCTGGCGCACGGCTCTTGAAACTAAGCAAAGGTGCGGTATATCACAACTTTCAAGGTTGAAAATGAGAGAGCGGACGTCTAATCGCGGGCCTGGTAGCTTACATTGGTGCAGAACAAACGACAGGACAATAAGCGGAAGCTTTTCCGATGCGCAACCCGCCAACTCGACGACAGGCTATCTCCAATCAATGTTGCGGAAGCGTTTGCACAAACCTACATCGGGCAAAGAGACAAAGTCTCAACAAGGCAGCTCGTCCCAAGACTGTCTTCCCTTTCGCTGACAGCACAAATGGAACAGAGATCTGCAACAGCTCGGCAGCGTCTCGCTTTGGCACTGTCAGAGCTGGGAGCAAGCGCCGGAGAAGATCGCATCAACGAAGATGCAGCCGCGGCGCACAGCACGGCGTCACACCTCTTGCCTCTTCTGAAGGGTTATGACACCAGACGAAGACTGCTGCCTTGCGGCAGTAGAGTCTGATACGAGACAAGGAATATTCTTCAGACGACAAAATGAAGAACCGATGGCAATAGGATCTACAGCCAGGCATCGTTATGATTCAACATTGACCCCCCATCAAATCCTGGATTGGGTCATACTTGACGCAGCGCCGGCGGCACGATACTTCCAGATTGGACTCTAAAGCAGCCACGCCTCGGCGATCGAAGTAGCCATCGGATGATACGCATTCTCGTTGCACCCGTCGCCAATCGCAGTTTTCAAGTACCGCGTCACACACCCGAATGCGGCAGCGGCTTGTACTCTCAAAAAGAACGGCTTCATGGACACTCCAAGTGCACAACTAAATGAACGGGACAATCCGTTAAATGCCACCTGCAAGACCCCTGCGGGCCCACCTGCACCTGCTGCTGGAGCAGCGCAAGCTTTGCCCGAGTTGGGCAACCACCAGCTCTCAGGTGATCGGCGCGGGACCTATGGTCTACTCCCGGCCACGTTCGCTTGCCCTCTGCATCAAATCGGCTTGGCAGGCAGAGTTGGCTCGACAGATGCGGATTGATAATTACGATACCCGACCCGAGTAAGCACTCTACGGATCGAATCCCATGGCACGACATTGCCGAAGACCGGGCCTTGGCAGACGCAACGCAGCACCGAAACCTCTGGGACACGTGCCAACCCCCATTCCCGGGCTTGAATTTGCTGCAACCACATGACGTGCGTTGTTCTAGATGAGCACCGCGCCCCCAATTCTGTGCATATGCAAGCCTGTGCATATCGGCTTTGGGACTGCCAAATTGCCTCTCTGCCCCGCCACGCCGGTGGCCGGCGGCCAACCTATGGGTGCTGTGAAGCGGCACTGGCGTCTGAAGTATCTTGCCATCCTGCCAGAGCCACGGTCGGGTCGGCCATGCTTCTTTCCCAAATCGAGTTTTGCAGAGGCTCCGTCAAGCGCAGTCCGTCCTCTAGGAGTCTATATCATGTGTGGATTTCGCGGCCTCAATTCATTCCATGCATGCTCGATATAGGCCGCGCGACCCAGTACCGAGCCTGGCATGCAGGTCGTGAGGTCGCTTGTCCACCGCAACCCCGTGGCCACGATGGGAGCGTAGCACAACTTTGCCCTGCCCGTCTGACTCCGTCCTTCAGGCAAATAAGTTACGTGCGAGCATGGACAAGATGCTGTCGAGTCTACCCACGCACACAAGGGGCCGTCCCTGGAGGCAGCAGGGCCCTCGACCAGCCCTCCGGAAGCCGGAATCACTGCCAAACCCTGCTTGCCAAGGGTTTGCTAGTAGCAGTAGCTCCAATCGTGCGTAAAAAGTGCTGCAATAATGCTCCGGGATCACAGCGCACATCCATGCATCCCTCAGAAGAGTGCAGTCACAAACAAGCCAGAAAGGGGATCGAGGCGAAGCACAGAAAGCAACGGAGGGCGGCCCAGCCTGCAACCTCTGCATCTCGCAAGCGCCAGATCCCATCCTGTCGAGGTTACGTGCAGGGGGACTTGCAGTTGCAAGTTGCGCTTGCAGCTCTGGCTGGGTTGCTGTGCAGGTGTGGTTTCCCACAGTTGCATGCAGGGGTCGGGGGAAAAGGATCTCAGATCCCGGGACACGGGGATCTGGTCGAGGCGGGCAAGGGAGCTTGTGAGGCTGACAATTGCGCAGCACGTGAACCCAGGCAGAGATGCGAGTGGCATGATGCAGAAGGAGGAACTTTTCTGGCAGGATGTGTGCCGGCACCGATTTCGTGCGTCAAAAGGGCTGTAGGAGCAAGAAAAAGCAGAAGCCTCTGCTCGTACGGCACCAGAGGACCACCTGATTTGGTTTTTTTCCTCCGGATGACGAGCTTTGGCGATGGTCAATCGCGCCAATGCAAGCATGGGAAATCTCTTCGCGGCAACATCAAGCTTGCATGTGGGCGTGGGGTGGGTTGAGTAACATAGAATGGCACATTGTTGACCCTCAGATATTGGGCTTGCAGGCCACGTTCTGGGTACCTGGTACTGGGTTACAGCGAGACGGGTCGAGGGTAGCCAGCTAGGATATCCATGCTGGTGACAATTCAGTCGGCTGTGCACATGGCAAGCCTTGTCTTATCGACCAAGTTATCGTTCAAGATGGACGATGAGGATGAAGGCGTTGAAGGGCACTGTGGAAAATGCGACAGTGGCCAGCCGAGGCCCGGGCGACGAGTAACGGCGCGCCGGGCGGGGTACATGGCGGCCTAGGCTGCCGTAAGGCTAGAGGCATGTCAACTAAGGGCCGGCCCGCAGCCATGGCAAACTCTAGCATCCACCGGGCAAATCCCCAGGGATGTTTCTTCTTTGGTGGAGTTTTTCCCTGAAAAGCCCGCCCAGATACATACAATGCGAGAAAATATGGGACTGGCCAAGCGGGCCATTGATGCTAGCCACAGCGGAGAAAAGTCCGTGGCCGAAAAACTCGAGACAACGACTTGCAACGGCCGTGGCGCACCGCGTCGTCGTCGTCAGCTCATGCTGCCATTTTACATTACACAGGGCAGTCAGTGATCGCCCCCCGCCAAGCCTCGTCACACAAAAGGGCCGGTATACCGAGACGTGAACAAGGTGACGATGACGGCCCCATGCACAGACAAACGGAATTTGGGGACAACGCGTTTGGCGGCCTGTGAGGTGGTGCGCAAAAGTCCTTGATGTCGTTGGGCGAGTTGCTGAAGAAGAGCCAAAACGCGTGCACACACAACCTGACTTGCATCAGGCGGCCGGGCGCATTGGATCCGCCTAGCCGCGCGTCTGGGCGACATGATAGAAGACCTGGGGAAGAAAGCTTGGATACTGGTGGGCCGGCTGTTGGCTGTTGGGTACAGTGAGTGCTCGGTCGTCAGTCTGGTAAAGGACGAACCACCTGGGCGCGCGGGCGGCAGTCTGCAGCGCGGCATGCGACTGGTGGTGCTCCCGTTGATTTCCTCGCCGTTGGGGGGAGTACTGGACGGGTGAGGAGGTGTGCTCGCAAACGGGCCGCAGCGGCGGACGGAGGTGTCGTGTTTGTGCCGGTCGCTGGCGGCGGCTTGGCGATGCAGAACAAAGTTCCGGGCACCTGGGCCATCACATTCCGCACCGATTAGATCGTGCAGTCGACTTGACGGATGCCCTGGGCAAGGAAGCGTTTGCCGCCGACCTAGCAACCAGCCATGTACGTCCGCTACGGCTGGCTGGCTGGCGAAGGACCAGAGATGGACGCACGCCCACCACGGACAGGCAGACATGACAGTGCCCATCTCGTGTGAGCGTCGTCAGAGGCAAGTGCGTCTGATGTCGACCGTCTGGGTGGCCGGCACGCGGCGTCCATCCCACCTATCGACGACCTGATCCTTGCTGCCCGCTCTGTGATTAGATGGCCGCGTCGCAGGCATATCCCAGACATCACAACCGTCACCGTCGCACCACCCACGGTTGCTTTTTCCGCCGACGGACGGCTCTTCCCCGCACCAATTGCCCGCGACGTTGTCTCCCTTTCTCGCCCGCACAGCCCTCGGCCAGCCCTCCATCCGTCGTCAGCCAGAGTGCGCCTCCTGCGCAAGCTAGGCCGCTCCTCCCGCGCTTGCGCACCGGGGGGGGGGGGGGGGGGGCAATTGCGGTTGCGCTTGCCATCCAGCACGCCGCACTGACAGGCCCCAGCATCGAGTCCAGCATCTCCGGCGCCGGCACAAGACAATCGCACACAGCAGTCGAGCGGCACGACGCGGCCAGCAGCGCATCCGTCGCCATCCATGACAGCGGCGAGTTGAGAGCGAAAGAGAAAAAAAACACTGCTGCACGTAAGGCATCCGCCGGACCACCACCAAGGTGGGCAGGCCTCTCCCCTTTCGTCGACGCCTGCATGAGCATGTCTTACATGACGCGAGTATTTCAGACCTCGTTGCAGACCACGCGCGGGCACATTCTCCATGTCTCAGAGACGGGAGCCACTGTCCATCTCGGCTTCGCACAACCTCTCGGAGCGAGCGGCTGCTGTCTTCAGTCACGGACTGCGCCTCCGCCCCAAGACCCTGCATCGACCCAACCATACCCCAGGACTTCAGCGCAAGATATTGCGGTTCCCTGGGAAGCTGGACCAACTCGGCTTCGTCTTACCATGGAAAGTATTACTCAGGGGAACGGTTGTGGCTGTTGTCGTGCCCTGAGACGACGTTAAGGGACAACCCCCGTCATTGGCGTCTCCAGCTCAGGAATTATACGCCACACGCCAGGCAGTATTCTGCACTGTGGTCAATTCACGGAGGCGAGCTAAGGTTCCCACCAATTGCGTTGCTCAAGGAGGGCTTCGTCTGTCTCTGCCTGCTTGGTCGTCTGACTGGGCGGAATTCTACAGGCTCCTGTCGGACCGTGCCACCATATCACTGTCCAATACAGTCCAAAGGGACAGTGTTGGCACATCCCACCGTGGTCGCACAACGGGAAGGACTTGCGCGCCTCCTGTCAGAGTAGTACCCAGCAGACTGCGTGGCATCCAGCCGGGCATTCAAGGCTTTCGCATCCACCTGCACGATTCCATTTCCCCATCAGGGCACGTTTTCGTTCTGATGCTTCGTGAACCCCAGCAGCAGATCATGCGTGTGCCCAGCCCTCTGGCCACGGAATCCGCCAAACCAGCCTTGTGTGAGCCACTCGGCTCGAATCACCCTGGACTGCCGGGTAAAGTGTGGTTACATTCCACGGATCCCCGGGGGATCTCATCAGGACAAGGGGTAAGCACATGTCCCATCGGAGCAATGCGAAACACCCTGGGTATTTCCTGTTCGCGACATCACTGTTACCTTGTTGATGCCCAAAGTCGCAGGTCCAGCCTTTTACTCTGCACGCGGGTGTTGATCGATTTATTGCCCGGTCATATATTGTAAGCAGATACGCCATGGGTGTACGGCCTCTCCCGCGCCCCTCATCAAAGGACATTCAACGCGATCGAGTCCATGCAGCCTCGATGTCCCTTCACAACGTCACAGTGTCCGACATCGGCCGACAACTTGCGTAAATGCTGCGGGGGGGTTTTAGGACCATTCCACGATCAAACGGGAAGGATGTGACTCTGTTCCTGCATATACCATTGGCTTCCTCATCGAGCTTACAGAAAATCGAGCCGGGGGGATATGATTACCCCCACCCCTCATGAGGCGCGCTGCAATGCATTTTAGAAGAGGGCGTAGATTGTGCCGCGCTGCGCAATTGATGAAAAATACGGTCAGATGTTGATATCGCGTCGTTCTTTTCGGAGATTAAATCCCCGGACGGGGTGGAGTCTTTTTGTCCGGCTGTTCGACATCGACCGTGTATGAATTCGAGATCTGCCCAGAACTTGAAATGCGGTTGGGCTTACGGATAACGTCTTTGATGGGCATTTTGTAACCTCACAGATCTGAGACGACACCGGTGCCGAAAGTTGACCGAGCCGATCACGAGTCTATTGAAAAAACATCTGCACATGTGTCCAGCAATTCTTACTTGCCGTTTTTAGGGAAATTGCATTTATAGCGTTTCAGGTTGTCGCCAAGCTGGTCACGCGGACAGGCCCGGGGGGTCACCAGAAGTTAGTCTCCTAACATCGCGCACTATCAACTAGTTCGACGTAAGATGCCACTTATGTATCGTGACCTGACCGCCCTTGTCAAGAACGCTGCGGTGGCCAGAGTCTGCCAAGAGTTCCCGTACTCAGATAATCCCGTGAAGTCAACTTGAGCCAGAAAGCAACGTACGCCTGGCTGCTCTGTGCGAGCGGGAACTCCACGGGCCACTTTGGTGAAGACATTGGTCCAGTCGGGCTTGCGAATGCCTCACAAGTCCGCTTTGATAAACCCCTCGCCGATCTGACTACGGTCAGGTACTGGTCCGCAGGAAACATCATCCTCTTTCTTCGACATGTGAATCTGCCCATCTGCATCTTGCTTGGCGTGCCTGCTCTGGGTTCTCAGTGACAACTTGGTCGTCGAGGAGGACGTGCTCATGGCAGGGCTGTGTTGTCTCGTCCAAGTCGAGACAATTGGCCGCAGGTTCTCTCCACGCGTGCCAGTTCCAAGGCTGCCCGTGGGAAAGCAGCCACTTCAGGACCAGTGACCGCAACGGGGCCGGTTGAAAAATGCCAAACGCGCCGGTGTAATTAATGGTCAGCCTATGCAAACGGCGCAGATTTTAGATGTGCCCATCATCGGTGCTAGACGTCTGGGCTCACCCGAGGTCCATATCCTCGAGCCTCTTTTGGCTTCCTGCTTTCTCAGGTCACAGGACCACAGGGTCACCAACCATATGAGCCGTCCTACCATTTGTTCAAACTTTACGAGCTGATATCACGTATAAAGACGTCAGACTTCTTCACCAGGAGAGACCCCCGTGTCAGGAAGGGGGGGGGGGAGATAAGCAAAACGCCCTATTGTCTGTTCACGGCCGTTCCATGATCGACTCGACCTCAAAACGGGAGGCAAAGGCGGGACGCGAGGTTTGCAGAGATCGCAGAAACAAGACCTTATTTTATTATTATTTTTTTCCCTTCTCCTGGGGGAGAGAAAAGATGCAATGCGGCTGCCCTTCAAAGAGCACGCGGTCCCCGCAATGCACACCCGAGATATCCCTTTCGTGCAACAACAACAAAAACAACAAGGAGACTCAAGAGCCGCCAGTCCACGCTCGTAAGTTGTACAGAAAGCCGGGGAGAGAGGCATGCCTACGTAACCACATAGGCTTTACCTCGCCTTGGTGATCCCCCCCCCCAGGTTACAGACCTGCAAATCGAAGACCACATTCGCCGTTTGCTACTCAACATCCCTCCTCTCTTAGTCTACCACGAAAAGCCGTCTCAGATCCCGACACCAAGAAACAGAGTCGACTCAACATTGTATAAGGGACGACTCGTTCAACCAATCAGAACACAGGGCTTGTGGTTTAGTGGTATAATACTCCCTTAGCATTTGACAACTTCCTTCTCGCGGCCTCATCATCTTCCATGATGAAGGTTAAAGGAAAAGAGTGAAAAAATCTGGGAGTGGTCCAGGGTTCGATTCCCTGCAAGTCCAATTGTTTCATGTTTCTTTTTTGTCATATATTCTTGATGACTGATGCCCGAAGGCCGGGCGGGTTCACGAACGAAGAAAGATGTTTGATGATGCCTGTGGCTGTGGCTGTGGCGTGGGACGGGTCAATTTCAGTGTGAACAATCGCGCTAGGAGCTGGGGTCTGCTTTGGGCTTTGTATTATTGATTTTCCTGTTGAATGGAAGCACCGAAATTCTTCGGATGTTTGCCTTTGATTTCTTTCATGCCCAAGACGAGGAGTAAGAGAGCGGTCCAAATACAGCCCGGTGGGTTCAAAATGATATATTTATCCAGATGTGTCATTCCAGATGAACAGAAACAAGAACCAACAATAAAAAACCCCCCCAAACCACTCATAATTTGCCATACACTCGGTGTTGACAAAGGTAAAAACTATGTTCGGGAACAGACGATCGATTCCGATGGTCTGATCAAAATACGTTCTGGTCCCTAAGCATGCTGCCCTGCCCACGAGGGGGAAAGAAAGGTGTTATCCCACCGACGCCTTGACTGATTCTAGGCTGGCACGCACGCACGAGTAAGCTGGGCGTCAAGCGGTGACATGATAGCACACAGCTCCGGCTCTTTTAAGAGGTACCCGACCCAGCCACTGTAAAATTGTTGACCTCGACAGAGTAAGCACCGAGATCACTCAGAGGTCCTGTTGTGCTGCAAACATGCTCAAGTGCTTGGTATAAAAAGTATTAAAGTTGACTTGTATATACATGTTATACACACGTGTATCCCATTCTATTCTTCCGACTTTTGTGTAAGACAAAACAAATGCAGAGTACACCGGCCCTCTGCTGCCTTTTGTGCAGCACTGTTCGAGGGCTAGTGTACCATTCAGCGCTCTGTACGTGGTGATCTGATCACAAGGTCACCAACAGCGACCGGACGAGGCACAGATCCCGACTCGACTCGGCATCACGTGAGCTATCCCGTGTGGCAAAGCCGACGCGTGTGAAGTGACACGCGGCCGCGGTCGTCCCGCCCACATCGGGAAGCTGCAGGTAGCCGAAAGGCCTTACTCCGTGTCCAGGCCGGACTGTTTGACGAGCCCGTAGAAGATGCCCTTCTTCTGGATAAGGGCCTGGGGTGTGTCGAATTCGACGACCTCGCCTTTGTCGAGCACCACGATGCGGTCGCTGTCCAGGATAGTATTGATGCGGTGCGCGACTGTGATGATGGTGCGGTGCGAGAAGAGCTCCGACCGCAGCGTGTTCTGCAGCATGGCATCCGTCTCTACGTCGACGGCGGCCGTGGCCTCGTCAAGCACGAGAATGTTGGATGGTGTCAGCATGGCCCGGGCCAGGGATATCAGTTGTCGCTGTCCTTGTGAAAGGTTGGAACCTGCAGTGGTGACAACAGCCGACGGGTTAACACATGCCAAGCACGAGGAATATTCTGACCATGGTCATGACGGGCACCTGCTGCCCCGGCCATCTTCGGCTCAGACAAAGGCATGTTGCACAACAAGCCAGTGCGCCACGAGGGATCGTGGCTATGCATGCGGCTAACCGCGCTCCACCCAGTACAGCAGTGCTGTCGTGCGGACAATATGAGTTTCGCGATAAGACAGAAAATAGTGGCACTTACCGGCTTCATGGACCTTTGCGTCCAGGCCGCCCATGCTGGATACATGATCTCTCAGGCGCGCATGTTCTGATGCAGATGATGGTTAGCAACGTCGGGGTGACCAAGTGCAACCCATGTGAGATAGACAGAATACGCACCCAGTACACTCCATAGCTCAGTGTCGTCATGAATGTTGCCAGGATCCAGGTTGTCCCGAACTGTGCCCTCGAAAAGGGCAGCATCCTGGGGGATAATAGCAAGGCGCCTTCTCAGGTCCAAGAGCCCAACATTGGAAGTGTTCAAGTCGTCTATACTAATGTTGCCCGCCGCGGGTTCGATCAGGCGGAAGAGGGCCAAAGTCAGAGACGACTTTCCAGCACCCGTCCTGCCCACAACGCCGACTTTCTCGTGAGATTTGATGTCCAGGTTGATGTTCTTGAGGACAAGGTCCAGCCCGGCTCGATAGCGAGTGCTGTAGTTCTTGAACTCGACAGAGCCGTTTGCCGGCCACGCAACTGGCGGACGACGGCCGGGGATGATCTCCTCCGCCTCACTCGGCAGAGCAGCATACTCCAGGACACGCTCGACAGATACAATATTGGTCTCGACTTCCACTGTCTGACGCACAATCCAGTTGAGAGACCCTGTGATCTGCAGCGCATATGCCATGTACAGCCCGACAAGTCCAGAGTCAAGTTCACCGCCACTGACGACGGTGATGACAGCGAAGCCAGCAGCGGAGAAGATGACGATAGCTCCGAGGAATTCGAGGCGGACAGCCAGCCATCTGTTCGCGCTGATGGAGGGGAAGTAAGCCTTCATGTTGGTATCGACCCTCCACTCGTTTTCTAGCTCAAACCGATCCTGCTGGCGGTATGCCCGGATCGTGCTAATACCACCAAGAGACTCTTGGAAGTGGGCGTAGATGGGACTGCGGCTGACACTGTCCAGTCGCTTCAGCTCCCGCGAGGTCCGGAGGTAATAACGCTGCACCCAGTAATATGCCAAGCTCAATGGGATGATGAAGGCGACAAAGGGTGGGACGCCGACGGAGATGACCACCAATGTGAAACCGGATCGCGCAAGATTGACAAACAACATGTTGAAAGTCCTTGCGAGAACCTCGTCTACACGGTAGATGTCGCTCGAGAAGCGATTGAGGATTCGTCCCGCAGGTGTTGTGTCGAAGAACGACATTGGCGACCGGAAAATGGCAGTGGCCATAGCCTCATGCAGCTTTCTCGAAGCCTCGATAGAACAGAAAATCCAAAGAATCAAGGTTTGCAATACCGTTAATAATGCGGAGCCGACACCAAACCCGAGGTAGCCGCCGAGCCACTTGCCCACGTGGAGGTTTTGACCCGTCCGCTCGTTCTCTTTAGCCCACGACCGAAGCCACACACTGCCTCCTAAAGTGGGAAGTCAGGTTTTCCATCATACTCCGCATACCTTGCTGTGCGATAATGAACGTACCGATTTGTGCTGTCTGTGCAAGGACCAAGGTTGACAGATAGATCGCAACAGCCAACAAGTTGCTGCTCTTTGCATATGCCTTGTAAACTGCCTGGGGAGTTAGCAGAACCATCCTGTGCTGGCGCATACATGCCACCCATGACGAATGACTTACCATCCCATTTGACTTTGCCCTGTTCAGAATGCTCCTTGGCCTGTCTTGTCCTCGCACTCGGATCATCGTCATCGCCGAGCTTGCCTCGCGGCCCTTTAAAGCTGGCCCTACTAGCTCGCCTAAGGGTCGACATACTGCCTCTGCGCTTCTGCGTGCCCGAAGGTCCGATCCTGATGGGCGCAAGTTCTGGCAGGGTCTCTTGAGCCTCCTCCATTTCTTCCTTGTCCTGCGTCGTCTCGGGCTCGATGTATGTGGAAGTCTCGCTACCAGAACCCTCGGGGCTAACCGCAGAAGAGGTCGCGCCAGAATCATTACCAGATGTCTTGAGGAGTTCGGCAATGCCGCCTTTCATAGCCATGAGCTGGCGGAACGTGCCACTCTCGACGATCTCGCCGTCCTTGAGTTGGCAAATATAGTCTGCCGAGGTCAAAACAGAGATAGCGTTGGTAGCCAGGACACGACATTTCGAGCTGAGCAGACCTCCGGAACCGAGGACATTCTCAATGATGTGTTTACCCACATGAGAGTCCACGGCGGAGAGGACGTCATCCAGCAAGTAGACGTCGGCTCGAGCGTAGACAGCTCTGGCCAAGGCCACACGCGCCTTTTGGCCTCCACTGAGAGATATGCCTCGCTCGCCAACCACGGTCTCGTCTCCGTCTGGTAGTTGACTGAAGTCGTCGAGTAGAGCACATGCCTTGACGGTCTTTTCGTAGAAGGTTGAGTCGTATCGATGGCCAAAGATGATGTTCTCCTTGACCGTGGCATTCATGATCCACGGCGACTGGGCAACATAGGCAACCTCGCCATTCAGCTTGACTTGGCCCTCAACCTTCCACAGATCGCCGAGAATGCTCTGCAGTAAAGACGACTTGCCCTGGCCAACTCTGCCGACAACACAAGTGAGCTCGCCCTTGTTAGCGGTGAAGTTGATGCCACGCAAGACATGCTTCGACTCGTGCCGGTCCCAGGAGAAAGTGGCGTGTCGGATGCTCACACTCTCGTCGCCAATCTGCTCAGCCGGGGGCCCAACAATCACCGCATCAGGTTGGAGCTCCTCGCAGAGGAGGAATTCTGTGAGCCGGCCCGCTGCCACAGTAGCTTCGATGATGGAAGTGATGACCATAGGAAGGACCGACAACGGGAAGGTCAGCAAGTTGAACAGAGCCAGAGCAGGGAAAACGATGCTTGTGCTCAGCGGCGCGTTTTCGGTCCATAAGAAGATGGCAAAGGTGGAGCAGGAGACGAGGAATGGCGTGGTGGACCATGTGAAGTTGGCGAAAGCCTGAGCAGCACCTATTCTACGAAGATTCTTCAGCTCGAGGTCGTTTCTGACGTAGTTGAGCTTATTCATGAAGGCTGTGCTCCAGGCATAGAGCTTGATGCTCTTCATGTTGTTGATGATTTCGGCAATGAGGCGGCTTCGGGAATCCTTGTTCTTCATCTGCTGCTTCTGCAGACGCTTCATGAATCTTGCAATGAAGCCATTGATGGGGATCATGATGATCATGACACCGATGCCGGCAAGCATCGACCAGCCTACCAAGTTGTACAGCGAGATCATGCAGATGGCGATCTGGAAGGGAGCAGACCAGAGCTGCTGCAGGAACTGTGCAAGGTCCTGAAGGCGCTGAGCGTCTACCGCCATGTAATTCACGATATCGCCCGTAGTCTTACTGGCACGACCCTCATTCGACAATTTCAGAGACTTCTTATAGATGGCGGCTGTGAGACCAGACTTGACCCGCATGCCTGTCACGATGGCGAGTTGAAAGTATTGGTGCTGTGGTTTGGCATAAGTTTGTGGCCTCTGGGCGGTTTGGCACGGCGCATTGTACTTACAATCATGGTTGTCTGCAGGATAGCGACGAAGAACATCGCTAGAGCAATAGCGGCGCCCTTGATAGGCGGCTCGGGGGTTTTACCAGCTTCATAGGACGCAACAAAGGTGATCAGGTACCGCAGCAGCTGGGGCTGTGAGAAGTTGGCGATGTCGCTGAGAGTCTTGAAGACGGCAGCAAGCAGGTACGGACCACCATACGCCTTCGCCAAGACCAACCACAAGTTAGGCCGGCCCTTCTTCTTGACCTCGTCCTGCCAGATCCGGTCAAACTTGGCGCCAGTATTGGCGACCTTGTCAGTCGTCGAAAGGCCCCACAAGTCATCCTCGGTGAGATATTGTTTGTAGCCGAGCTTCATGAGCGGTGTAATCCACGAGTATGTCAGCTTGGAAAAGACGGTCGCGTACTCCTCGGGACACTCCTCCCCACTTTCGTCCACGACGGCCTCATATGCGCTCGTCTTCTTGGGCAGCAGCCACTCCATGAGGAATTCGACAACAGACAAGCCAAACCCGACAGTGAAGGCCACAAAGTAGGCGAGGTTGTGGTGGTACATCTGCTGAGCCACAAGGGAGCGCAGCTTTACGGAGTAGGCGATGAGAAGCAGCAGCCAATAGAATAAGACGACGCCATTGGCGTTCCGGAGGCGATCATGTTCGAACCATTGGATAGCGAAGATGATACCGAGGGATAGGAATGCAAAGAGTGTTGTCAGGACACGGAAATCGCCAAACCAGACGTTCGGTAGGTTGGCGATCTGGATGGCGAGCTGGACGGCGATATCGGCAGCAATGGCGACAAGCAGACCCTGTTGAGGCGAGAACAAGACAGAATATTAGCCGGGTTCCACCATGAGGCTGTCAAGAAGTCGTTACGAGGCGAGAGAGGGCTTACGAACCTGCTTGACCCAGAAATGCCAGTCCTTCGGGATATCGGCAGCCTTGCGCTTGCGCAAGACATACCATAGGGCGAGGGCGCCGCCGAGGAGGCCGAACGCGGCGACGGCAAAGACGCCGACATCGATGAAGCACGGGGTGAAGTCGTAGCGGAAGGGGCTCAAGGGGCCCCAACCCTCTTCGTTGCCGCAGAGAGGCTGCTTGAAGGAGTCGAGGGCGGCGAGATAGCCATTGCCGAGCTGTGGGAGGCGGACGGGGGAGTAGCCGGAGAAGGAGCCGGAGGCGAGGACGCGCTGGGCGCCGTTCAGAGACTGCATGGCCGCCAGAAGGACCCAGGACGGGGGCGCGGGTCTAGCAGGCAGGGCAGTCAGCGAGGAGAGAGAGGCATCCGTAGGCGCATGGAGGAGTGTGAAAGGGAATTGGAAAGCTGGAGAGACCGCGGGATGGAAAAGCGAAGCTGGAGGCGCGGGTGGGCGTGCTTTGTCAGACTGGTGGACTGGTGGATACGCCACACGCGAGTTAGTCCCTATGGGCAGCAGGCAGGCAGGCACAGAATGATGTCGTCGTCGTCGGCGGCCCATGGCTGGCTACGGCTGTCGCATAGGCTAGGCTAGGCCCAGCCAAGCTCCCCGGGAACCACGCCCAGCGGGGACCGAGACCGGGGGGGTCTCACAGGGCACTTGCATGCAATCCGCCCGTTCTTGTGGGTGGACTTAGCAGCTGCGGGGCCTGCTGCGTCGGCCCTTATCCCCGGGCCATGGCACCCCCCCAAAAAAGTCATGATTGCATGGCACCGACGGCACTGCGTCGAGCTGCCCTTATCGCCCATCTCCACCCCAGAAGTAGAGGTGCTTACACGACCTTGCCTCACACAGAACAGTAGTACCTATTTCGCGGGCCCAGAGTTGACACAGACCTGCCCTGAGCCGGTGTTCTTGGGAGAGATCGGAGTGCTTGCCGGAGCAACGCACAGTAGCTACTGCAGTGCAAGCAGATCCTAGTGTACCAGACCTTTGCCTACATCAAGACAGCCGAGGAGCTCCAGCTCCAGCTCCAGCTCCGCACCAGTCCCGTGCCAAGCGGCGGCTCCCGTGCCTGCGAGTGCATCCATGACCACTTTACACGCACAGCGCGTCCGCCAACACTCCTTTGTCCTTGCATCATCCTGACTCTCCGCTCTCACCTCTGCCGTGCCCGCACACGCTTCGCCGTTTTCGCCTGGCCACCACAGCAGCGCACAAAGACCACCACCCCGCCCTGCCCGCGGGCCACGATTGGTCTCGCCAGGCCTCCACCACGACGTCCGGCTTGCCTTACCCCCAGTCGTTCTATATATGCATCAGCCTGGTGCCGCCTCCTCGCCTGCGGGTTCCTCCTCGGCCCCGTTCGCCCTCCCTTCGAAGCGCAAGTCCTCGGTCGCCTCTTCAAACCCAAAGCGCCCCAGAGCCGGCAGCCCTCCGGCCGCTGCTCCCTCGTCCGCCTCCAGCATGAGCAAGCTCCTCACCCGGCGGCCAGACCGCGTCGACCTGACAAAACCTCGAGTCTCGATCCAGCCGCACCAGGGGGTCAGGAAGCTCACCATAAAGAACCTCCGCCCTGCTGCCCGTCAAGACAGCCTCGACCAGTACTACGCCCGTGCCTTCGGGGAGCTCCAGGACGCTCTGCGGTGCATCCTGGAGCGCAAGCAGCCAAAGCAGCCCCTCGAGCGCCTCTACCGCAACGTCGAGGATCTCTGCCGGCACGGAAAGGCAAAGGAGATCTACGATCATCTGCGCATGATATGCGAGGCGCATCTGCAGCATGAGGTCCTTGCCGCCATTGACCGCGACGCCGGAAACGTGCACCTTGGCGTCCCCAAGCTCAAGAGCGTCCACAAGCATTGGGTCATTTGGCAGACACAATCTACCACGATACGCTCAATCTTCAGCTATCTCGACCGTGCTTTCCTTCTCAACCAGAAGGACCTCCAGCAGATCAACGACATGACCATCTCGTTGTTTAGGCGAGCCTGCTTCAAGCACACCGAGCTGAACCGCCATGGGCGATTACCCGGGCCCGATGCCATCTCAGGCATGTGCGACCTCGTCGAATACGATCGGAGGGCGGATGCGCGCTTCGACGCCGCACTGCTTCGCGACTCCGTGTCCATGGTCAACGTGCTCAACATCTATGGCAAGTACTTTGAGCCCAAGCTGCTGTCCTGCTCACGAGCCTACTTCTCCGAGTTCGCCGAGGAGCATAGCGCGGCTAGTCTCAAATCCTACATTACCGCTTGCGAAGGCCTCCTTGCCAGGGAAGATTTCCGGTGCAACGCATATAACTTTGACAGCACCACGAAACGGCAGCTGATGGACGATGCCCACGCAACACTGATCGACGAATACACCGACAAACTTCTGGATGGCGAGAGCCTGAGCAAGCTGCTCGACGAGAACGAGGTGGAGGTGCTGAAAGCTCTATATGAGCTCTTGCGGCTGTCCAGCATCCAGAAGAAATTGAAGGAGCCTTGGACCGCGTACATCAAAGTTGCGGGCAGCGCCATTGTCAATGACACGGCCAGGGGCGACGAGATGGTTGTACGCCTGCTGCTCTTCAGGCGGACTCTTGATGTCATGATCAGAGATGCCTTCGACAAGGATGCAGACTTCTCTTACAGCTTGAAGGAGGCGTTTGCGAGTTTCGTCAACGACAAGAAAATCCTAGCGTCGTGGAAGACGGGCACATCCAAAGTGGGCGAGATGATTGCCAAGCACATCGACCTCCTCCTGCGTGGTGGACTCAAGACACTGCCTCAGTCGCTCCTGTCGGACGTCCAAGACCGCGCGGATGCCGAGAAGAGTGGTCAAGCCAGCACTGGTGACGAGGATGCCGAGCTCGACCGGCAACTCGACCAGGCTCTCGAGTTGTTCAGGTTCATCGAAGGCAAGGACGTCTTTGAAGCCTTCTACAAGCAAGACCTTGCAAGGCGCCTGCTCATGGGCCGCAGCGCGAGCGCGGACGCCGAGAGGAGCATGCTCAGCAAGCTTAAGAGCGAGTGCGGCTCAAGCTTTACACACAACCTCGAGCAGATGTTCAAGGACCAGGCACTGGCCCGAGACGAGATGGCCTCGTACCGGGCGTGGCGCGAAGGCAACGGGCACAAGACTGGCGGTCTGGACCTGTCGGTCAGCATTCTGTCCGCCGCGGCGTGGCCAACGTATCCCGACACCAATATACTGCTGCCCGACAATGTGGCCTCCCAGGTCGAGCAGTTTGACAAGTACTACGTGAACAAGCACACTGGGCGTCGTTTGACATGGAAGCACTCATTGGCTCACTGCGTGGTCAAGGCGCGGTTCAACAAGGGCCCCAAGGAGCTCCTCGTCAGTGCCTACCAAGCAGTCGTGCTTACGCTCTTCAACCAGGTCGAGGGCCGTGGCGGCGACAACGAAGTCCTGACCTACCAGCAAGTATCGGAAGGCACGGGCCTGACTGGCGGCGACCTCGACCGGACGCTCCAGTCATTGGCATGCGGCAAGTCGCGCGTGCTGACCAAGAACCCGAAGGGCAAGGAGGTCAACCCCACCGACACGTTCACCGTGAACAAGGCGTTTGTCGACCCCAAGTACCGCGTCAAGATCAACCAGATCCAGCTCAAGGAGACAAAGGAGGAGAACCAGGCGACGCACGAGCGCGTGGCGCAGGACCGGCAGTTTGAGACGCAGGCCGCCATCGTGCGCATCATGAAGAGCCGCAAGACCATGACGCATGCCGAGCTCGTCGCCGAGGTCATCAACCAGACCAAGTCGCGCGGCGCTGTCGACACTGCCGAGATCAAGAAGAACATTGAAAAGTACGTGGCCCCGCCCTACTCTAATTTTCCTCCCCGCAACCTCGGATTCTTTTTTTCTTCCTTTCTTTTCTTCTCCCATGCTAGTCGTCCGTCTTCTATAAATACTTACCGTGCTAACCGATGCTCTGTTCGTGTCGTGCAGGTTGATCGAGAAGGAATATCTAGAAAGAGAGGGCAACTCATATGAATACCTAGCATAGACAACAGATCACCCGGCTTCAATGGATAAATACAACATGTCCTCTCCGTCGTCTCCTTTTCTTTTTCTTTTTTTCTTTTCGTCCTTCAGCTTGTCGTGAAATTGGGTAATCTTGTTTTTGCCCAATTTCTCTCTTGGCCTCCGGAGAGGCTCTCACTCACTCACACAGAGTCCGGGACTGGATGGAGAGCTGTTTAGTCACCGTGTGTGCATGCTCATCCGCATTTTCGACTTTGTGTGTGTGTGTGCGTGTGTGTGAAAAGCCTGTCAAGCCGTCATCCGTGCCGTATGAGAACAGCTTGTCGCGCGTTGCACACCTTGCATAGAAATCCAGCCAGCCAGCTCGCTCCTTCCTGGTCTGTCAATATTTGTTGGACAGAGTCACATCTGGTCTCTAGGGTATAAGCGAGCGGTCTCCCCATGACTTGGAGCATGCTGACAACATTCCAGGCGAGTACAAAGCACCACGAGACACGTACAAATAGAAACAAACACTCGGGATCATTGATTCAGCGTTGTCCATGGTATTTGGTATTCGAAATGGTAGATAAAGTGAAACCTCCAAGGCTTCGCATGAGACTCTCGTGGATCATCGGCAGGGACAAATGATACTTGGCTCCAAACTCTCAAATAATCTGTCCCAATAGATACGACTACCGCGCAAGATGGGACGGGTATCATGGCGGTCTTGATGAGCTGTTAACAACACAAGCGACCAGATTCCTCCAGGGAGTCTTCTAAGAAAATGCCCAAACGCCAGCTCCAATGTGTGCAGTCGCCAATGCTGCCGAGCTCGCCTGCCTCCACATTCCAACGGGACCTCATACAAACAAGACGGCACGGCTTTTTCGTGTTTGTTCCACCTCTTCCGGTTTTATTTTGGCGCATCCTCCTCCTACGCAGTCGTATTGCTCGCCCCATGCGTGGTCTGGGTAGGTGGCGGTGACATTGGCAGTGGAACGCTGTGAGGATCTTCTTTCTGACTTGACTCTGTGGTATTAATCGCGGGAGGAACGTGATCGGCCGTCGTTGAGCTTGTCTGTGTTGGTGCGGACGTCCCAGTGGCATGCTCTTCCGGGTTCCGCTTGATGTCAATGCTCTTTCCCCTGCTAGGCAAGAAGTGGTGGTGGCCATGCTCGCCAGGGGGCGACTTCGTCCGCTTCTGTTCCGCATTTTCTTTGGCCTCTTTGACCTTACTCTTGATCCAGCCGAAGGGATTTCGAGAGCCGTCCTTGTCCCTGTTGGCGGCGTCTGCGTCGGCCAGGGCTGCCGCAACCTCGTTTGAGTCTCCTGTCCAGCTCTTTCGTGGCTTGTGCCCACTGCTACCGACGGTGGACGTGCTCATTTCGGCATGGCGGTGTACGCCGAGACTTTGCGAGTTCGACGCAGCGCCCTCTTCTCGCCGTCTCGATATGGGCCAATGCCGCTTTTTGTCCTTTTCGTGGCTTTCCTGAGAGCCAAGAACGGCGCCTTCCTCTGCCCCATGCTCGATGTCAGATCCCTCATTGAAGGAAGAATGTAAGGAGCCTGGGGTCGATTCCTTGGGTTTCAGCAGCTGCTTGCTGCCTGGCGCGCTCGTCGCAAGTTGAGGGTCTGTAGCTTGGGTGGGCACTTGCGATGCTCTCGGAGTCGAGTCCGCGGTATGTTCAGTGCTTGTGGTGCTCTCTTGGCGCGGAATGTCTCGACCCAGGTTCTCAAATGGTGGTGGCGCTTCCACTGTTGGCGAGGGAGCCCCGGAATGAGGCAGCGATGTTGTTGAGCTGTGTGCACTGGGGTTTGCACTGCCCGGCAAGCGCTTCTTGCGCAGCTTGTTAGGCTGACGTTTATCAAGGTCTCCACCAGGCGAGCGTTGAAACAACGTTTGTATGCCACGCTCCTTTCCTGGCGTGGTCACCTCTGAGTTGCTGGGATCGAGGAATTTTTCTTGACTCCGACCAGCTTGATATTGGCTAGGTCCAAGTCCAGCACTGGTGGGTGCTGCAAAAGTGCTGGCCTTTGTCGGAGATTGCGGCTCGGGAGACGCGGGTTCTTCTGTGACAGTCGGTGGCGCCGCAGCGGCAGCAGCCGCGCCAGGCGAAGGTGATGTGGGAGTCATCGCGATCGAGGAGTCCCCTTGTCGAGGGGGAAACCGGCTGGGTGGCATGTGTGGCGACTTTTTGGAGGGGACAGTGTTGCTCCTGCCCAGAGCACTGGACGGCGTCGACATCAGAGCCGGGCTATTTGGGGTCGATGTGCCATTCGAGTGCCTTGATTGTCGAGAGTGCCGGGAAGAGGTTGATCGGTTCCGTCTCACCATGCCATCGCGGCTAATACTTTCGGCGGCGGCACTACTCGTGGACGCGGATCGGTGCACGCCCACAGAGCGGCTGACCGGCTGGGCCGGGACACCCTTCTCAATCTCTCGCTTTGTCTTCTCGTCTGTCCCTGTGCCTTGCATACCAATCAAGAAGTGGTCCTGGTTCTCGATCAGGAAGATGATGACGCATTGGTTCAGGCGGTATTCTTCCGGGGCCATCGCATGGGTCGGATGCGAAAGCATGCCGGGTTGAAAAATTGCTGCGAGGTTCTGTGCGGTCATGCGGTTCTCGTCCGCCTTCGCGGCAAAAACGGCCAGTAAATCCAGAATGTAGAGGAGGAGCTGGCGATTCAGAGGTGGAAGCTCCTTGATGAGCTGCTGGTATCTGGCAATGGCGGCTTCCTCGTTGAAATTGTCAATAAGCTGGGCGCCTTCAGCGTCCCCCACAGCTTGACGTGTACTACCTCGCAGAGGGTCGCGAAAGCGCTCGTAGAGGTCCAGTGGCACGACTGGCTCGGGCAAGTCATTGAGATAACGCCTCAGCACGTTGGCGGCATCGTGGACAGTGTAGCCGTCCCAGACCAGACCCTTTCCGTATCTGTCGGGCGAGTCGAACTGCAGCTTGAGCTCCTTGATCCGCTTCTCTGAGCCGCTGAGCCGGAAGATGCCTTCAATGCCAGTCGCTGCAGTGGTCATAATGTAAGTTTAGTGGCCCATAATGGTGCCGGAAGCCAATCGACTCGTACCTTTTTCTTTCAGGAACACGCCACACTTTGCGACCACGATGGGGACGTAGCCATAGATGTAGCTCTTGCCATCTTCATCGACTAGGGAAATGGCAACGTTGGCATATGTAATGCTCTGCCGAAGTGGTACACCAAAGATGCCTTGCGGCCGGGCTTCAGGGACTGTGCACCCAGGTGGTCGAGTTAGCAAAACAAGCTAGCAAATAACGAGTCGTGCAGAGGCAGAGAGAGAGGGGGGGATCGACAGGAGTGTAGATTCCGTGCTCCGGGCTGTCATGCCGCCAGGAGCTACCGAGAGAGAAAGGGTTTACCTGGAGCATCCTGCGGCCGGCCCTGGCTCTGGAAGCGCTTCCACCACGATTTGAGGTCGCGCTTTGTGGGTGGCGAGGCGGGATTGGAGGCTGGCGTTGCAAACTGCTGGGGCGGGCTTATGGGGGCCTGGCGCTGCTGGGCCATGATGAAGCCGGGCGCGGAAGGCCGCGACCTTGAGGGGATGGGAGTTGTATGGCGGGTGAGCTCAAGGACTTTCGGGCGCGAGCTGACGGATGACGTTGGCGGAGGTGGGACGGTGCGTGAGTCGTGGCGCCGCCTTGGGGGGGAACCGTTGTCGAGACGGAGAGGGAGCGCGACGCAGTGGACAGGACGGCTTGCGAAGTCGTCGAGAAGACGCAGATGCAGATGACTGGAGTGAGCAAGCGAGCGGCAGGTGGGATGGAAGCTTTGGTCGGAGGAGGGGGTTTCAAGAGTGAGAAGGGCAGAACGGGCCAGCAAGTGGAGAGAGGCAGCTCACGGATGGCTGATTAGATGATGGGCAGTTGGGACAGGCTTAGGCAGGATCGCGGGGGGGCAAGAGGGGGCCTAGGCTGGCGGTCTCTGCTTGGGGGGAGACAGGTGACGGGCGACTCTGGGGAAAGCTCAAGAGCCCACCAGCAAGCAGCACATGCAACAGCAACAGTAGCAGCAGCACTGGCAGCACAGGGCACCAATCGCAGCCCCTGGCCGCCCGCGCTCGACCAGCCTGTAGCGTCACTCGGGACAGGCAGGCAGCCTCAATCCCACCACGACCACCACAACAGGCGGCACGTCGACACAACAACCGCACAGCCACGGCAGCGGGCTGGGCTGACTTCGTTCTGCATCGACTGGCATGGACAAGGTAAGCCTCGGTGAGACCCAGGATGCCTCCATCTCTGTCCCTGTCTCTCTCTCTGGTGGGCCATTGGGACATGCTTGTTCACGTCAGAGCTAACGTACGTACCCAGCCAGCTTGCAGCGGGCGAGCCAGTCTGCCCTGACGATCACCACCAGCTCCTCCTGGCACTTCGGCAGGCCCTGCCTGCTTATCGCATCTCGTTTCGTCCCATCCCACGATGGATTGCATCGAGTAAAAGCGACCTGAAGCTTGCCAACCAACCCTCTCTTCCATCAGTGGACGACAAGAAAAGAGCTTCCTCGTAGCTTCAACGACATCAGCAGAGGTCCTCCCGCGAGTCAAGCTGTCAACAATACCACACAAGTCTCAAAGACCCCAGGCCCTGCATCGCCTGCCCGGGCGACACTTGCTGGCCCAGGCCCACCCGTGCCCGGGAGCCACAACACACGTCACCCTTTCCCACTTTCGGGGCATTTTTCAACCTTTCACGACCCTCTTCCCCTCCCGCACGCCGCCCGTGCTCGACGCAAGCCACCACGGCAAGCAAGCTCGAGCACACACCCAATCCCCACAGCGCAAGGAAACCCCTTCCTCCTCGGTTTTTCATTGTGCAACATTGTCCTTCTACTCGACAAGCCCAAAGGCCGGCGGGCTGTCCTGCCTGCTGCATAGCGGCGCGGCATGTGGATCACCGCGTCACCAGCAAGGGTCGTCCCGCCCGTCTTGATACACCACCGCAACGCGCCATTCAAATGGGCTCCCCCATTTTCAGCATGCTGGCTTTCAGTCAGTCTGGTCCTTACTTAGCGCAACTAGGAGGAAAGCCACAAAAAGACCCTTTGCGTGGCATATCCCCAACCGTTCAACTCCAAAGTCAAACGCCCAGCCAGCCAACCAATGCCTTCCTTGCTCCCTCTCACATCCTTTTCCCAATGCATCTTTTGCCGTCCCCAAACTTAGTAGGTACTTTCCAATTGCTTCCCGCAGGACAAAACAATGCATAATACAGTGTGCATAAGGTACATACAGGTATGTACATTGATCGCACTGGTTACAATAGAGACAGATAAGTGTCCCCCCGTCCCGCGCAAGGAAAAGCGGCCCTTCTTCCGCTACCCGCCACGACGGCGCAGGCGCAGGTGCGCATAACGCAAAAAAACGCACAATGACGTCCCTTCCCTAAGCCCCCCCCCCTCTCTCCCCCCGTTTTGCACTGGGCATGGGCCATGATGTATGTATCGTATCCCGGGTTCTTTCTTGCTCTCTGCACCCGGCCTAGCCACAATGGCAGAATGCGGCACGCAGGTTCACAAATTGGCACGCAGCCTGCAGCTCCCGAGTCCAAGCATACCAAGCCCCTGACTGCTGCAGAGTAGCTGTCCACATACCGTAAGGTGTGAAGAGGAAGAGAGGACTTGATGCGGCCATGCGGTGCTAATTGACTGTCAATGGTATCTGAGTACCTTCTTAGGTGGATATCCGTGGCCAGCCATCCCTGCCTGCAAATCCCACCTGCCTACCGCACGCAGGCGTGGTGCTTCAAGACAAAAATAGCATCCCAACTTTAACACGTCATGGTTCGTATCGCGACAAGTGCAGTTCCTGCAGAGGGGAGTCGATTCTTCAATTTCATGCATGTCCGCGCATTTGCTATGACATCCTGCAGCGGCAGGCCATGCCATCCATGGGGCGCACTCCCCTACCCGCCAATCTCTTGTCCCGTAATCCTCCCGCAATCGCTACGTGTGGTCCAGTCTCATCCCTTCACTTTTCCGCCAACGCTAATGAAGGACAAGAAAGAAGGAGAATGGCTGCCAGTGGAGTATCATGATCCCAAGCAGAACGCATATCCCGCCACAAAACTTCCCAGGTTGGCGAGGGCAGTACGCAAGACGGAGGCAAACAAAAACAAAAACGCCAGATATCCCTGATGAAAGATGAAAGAGGAAGGAGAGAAGAAAAAGAAAACGCCGGTAAATGTGAATGCTGTGCGAACCAGCTCAACCCAAAGATGATTGTGAAGGCAGACCATGCCGGCATTCCCAGTGCAGCTATTGCCTCGCAGAATAAGAAACAAAGAGAGGAAAGCAAGAAACAAAATAAGAGCTGATACTGTGAAACTCTTGAACCGTGAGGCCCCAACATGTTCTCCAAGACAAAAGACAAGAATCTCGTAACGTGTCATCATAGGTCGTGGTCCGCATATGTTGTGTTTGCGACTCGGTTGTCCATGGCCTCATCGTGCTTTCCTCACGAGACGCTCATGGGGACACTTCGTGGCGTAACATCGCCACTCCGCCGGTGGGTGAGGCTCTGTTGCGCCTTGGAGGCGTTCGCAATCATCTGCATCTTCTTGCGGAGCGCCGAAAGACGGCCAGATATCATTTGAATCACTACACGGAACGTATTAGTATAAGAATCAAGGATACAGGGTACAAATGAGGGCTCACTCTTTTGAACAGCTTGCTGGTCATCCTGGTTCATCTCTGATGCTCCTTCACGACTGGAGTCGCGCTCAGCCAGGGGACTGCTGGGTGTTCGCGGCTTTGCACCGATGGGGGAGTCTTCATGATCCAAGACTGCCTCCAGCATTCTAATGGCTGTAACGTAGGAGATCTCGCAGCCGGCAAGATCCTCATTTGCAATCTCGTTGATTGCTGCGGCGCGACTCATCTCCAGAGCTCGCTCATACATCAACTTCTCGGCACTTAGGCCAGACGACAGCACAATGCCATCCGCAGTCGTCGAGTTAGCACCGACGCTGTCTGCTGGCAAATTGTGGTTGTCAGGATGGCTGGGGTGGTCCTCGGGAAGCTGCTTCTGTGCATCCACAAGCCGAAGCCGCACCAGTTCGGCTTTCTCCAGCGTCTCATTGAAGCGGCGCCGGATCCACTGCACGGCCGAATTGACCCTGTTGATGAGGTTTTGCGCTGCAGCTGCCTCCCGGGCAGCATAGTGTGTGGGCGAGCCTGCCATGTCGAAGCGCGTAGCTTTCCGACCCCACCAAGAACTTGCGATGTCCATAGACTTGGCCAGGAGAGAAAGTGCTTTAACATACAGCACAAGCGCCTCCTCTGAAAGCACAACCACAGCTTCAGGCGTCAGCCCATCCTCATCCTCGGAGCCGAGCTGCTCTGCTGGCGTGCCGCCTAGGCCGTGCTCCATCGAGGGTGCAAGTGGCACAAGCTGCTTGTACTTGACCTCGGCAAAGCCCCAGACAACATCACTGCGCGTCGCATAGTCTTCGATGCATTGAGCAACCCTGGCGTCTTCGTCTAGCAACCCGCCAAGCCGCCCGTCTGTGAGCAGGGCAGTGGTTGTATTGAGTGTTGGATATGTTGTTGGGAACGGACTGTAGAGATGTGGTGGTGATGCGCCCTTCCCGAGCAGGTGAGAAGGGTACTTGAAGCCAAACAACCGAACACTTGCGTCTTGAATTGCTTTTGAAATAACAGAGGTTGTCGAGCTGGGGCTTCCTGATAAACTCTTCTCGTACGAGCCCCTGCGATAATGATCGACCTGCTGCCTGCCCTGCGCGATCTGCAACGCATTTGAGGGTTGCGCTGGAACAGCACCCGTTGTTGAGGTCGGAACACCTTGCTGAGTCGCGCGGCGGACGACATGGCCGGCTCGCAATGACTGTGGCTGTGCTCCTTTCGCGGCCAACTCATCTGCAAACGCATTGACCTCTACATGCTTCTTCTCCACGACGACATAGTCTCGCTCAAAGGCGATATCCTGAGCAGTCTTCTCCTTCTCATCCAATGAGGTCTGGTTGGCCTTGGGCCGGGCTCTGCCGACTCCATCCGGTGAGTACGATGTTGATGGTTGTTCGTCCCTGGAGTACCGGTTTAAGGAAGCATTCGAAGTTCTCCGTCGACGATCCTCCATCAGAGCTGGGCGACTGGGTGCAGATGTGGAAGGAGCTGGCGGCTGTGGTCGCCGGATGCCTAGTCCTGGTGCTATGTCGTCTCGCGGCGACGACGATTGGTACGACGTGCCATGGACAGCTTGATTGTCATACCTGTCGGTAGCATGTGCCATCCGGGGTGATTGCCGGCTTAGCTTTTCTCGTGGCGAGGACGAGCCTGGGTCCTGCCGGCCGGGGTCCTGGTCTCCTGTATATCGGCGATGTATGGAAAGCCTCCTAAGACTCGCTTGTGTCTCATCTGTCTTTGGAGGAGTGCGGCTGACTGTGGATGGCTGGCGTCTGACCTGGGGCACGTCATCTTCGACCAAGCCAGGAATGTCACCAGTAATGGCCGGATGCGCAAAGAAGTTCTCAAAGCTCATCCGTTCAACAGGGTTCCGCTTCAGCAGTGCCCGAATTAGTGATTTCGTCTCTGCAGTGACTTGGCAGTCTCGCGAGAATTTGATTTGGTCCTCGGCATTCTCGATCTTCCTAAGGAGTTCCACGTGGTTGCTGGCGCGGAACGGCGGCCTGCCGGATACCATCTCGTAGAGGACTGTGCCTACAGACCACAGGTCGGCCTTTGCATCATAACGTTCATAACGCAGGATCTCAGGCGCCATGTATAGGGGAGAGCCGCACAGAGTCTCGGCGAGTGAGGTAGCAGGCAAGACACGGGCAAACCCAAAATCCGCCAGCTTCAGCATGGGAAGAGACCGCAAGCCTACCGCAGGGATCAAAGAGTCCTGGCTGGCGCTGAGGATAGGTCGAACATCTCGGTTGGCCTCTCGGTAAGTGACTGAAGGTAGCAGGAGGAGGTTCTGCGGCTTGACATCGCGATGTACGAAGTTGCCCTCGCGAAGGAACTGAAGAGCGCTGGCCAGTTGTTTCATGAAATGACGAATCACGACCTCGTTTAGTCCAGCATTCGGAACGCTTGGGTATTTGCGGGCCATGTCGCACGTAGCTGGATGCGTGATGAGTTTCTCCCTCTTCTTAATGAACAGAGAAAGATCACCGAGCTCGCAGTATTCCATGATGAGGTTGATATGGGTCGTCGACTCGAGGCAGTCGTGGAGGGCGACAATATGTGGATGCCGGAGGCCCTTTAGGATCTTGATCTCGCTGTACAGGTTCTCCTTGAGCTTCTTGTTAAGACGGCCCAGCTCGACTGATTTGATAGCGACCGCATCACCGGTGACCTATATGGAGGCGACGGGAATGTCTCTGTTAGCTCCTAGTAGCAGATCGAGAGATAGGGTAGCGGCTGTGCAGGTTCTCCCGGGGCAGCTTGGCATACCTTGTGCTTGCCCATGTAGACCTGAGCGAAACTTCCTTTGCCTATCTCGGACCCGATGACGAAGTTGCCGACAACATCGTCACTGGTTTTCGAGCGCCGCGAGGAGCCCGAAGAGGTCCGATGGTCGGCCATGGCTTCCTGTGTTGGGGTTGACGCGCACAGGTTGGCGAGGTTGAGGTGTTCAGCCCGAAGGCTTATGAGGGCGTCTGGGGGTTATCAGTGCCGCGGAACGTCGTCATGTAAGCGACTGAGACAACCTCGAGTTATCGGGAGACCTTGGCGGTTTTTGGAGAGGGCGCCCGCGGAGTGGGACAAGGTCGGGACGCAAGGCAGACGCGAGCCAAGCTTGTTGCGAGCTGCAGGTGAGGTCGAGGTTGAGGTCGAGGTTGGAAGTCGAGGGCGAGAGGTCTCTGGGGACGAAGGAGCACCAAGTGCCGGAGCCTGGCCTAGCGAGTGATGGCAAGGGCCCTGGGGAACGACAGGAGACAGGACGGGACCGGATCGGCCAATGCGCTCGTGTGTCGCCAGGGTGTGTGGTGTGTGGTGTGTATGGGGGAGGGCGAGCGCGGCGACAGGACAGGCGGGTACCTAGCCCAAGTGGGGACCTCGACCTTGATGGCGATGTGCCGACAGCTCCTCGAGGCCGCACTGGCGTCGCGAGTGGGCGCCTGATGCGCAGTGCGCTGCACGAAGCAGCAACAGTGCAGGCGGGGACGGTGGGTGCTGGTTGCACAAGGCGGGACTATGAGGTAAGCAGTCTCGTGGCAAGGTCCGGTGTCTCGAGCCGGGGCGAGGACACTGGCTGGGCTGGCGCAAGCAGGACGGGTGGGAAAAAGGAATGACAGAGCAGGCGTGGTGACAGCAAGGAGAGTAATATGACGATGACAGTCCTGTGCCGAGCACGACGACGGCGAGGGAGCAGAAGAAGAAGAAGAAGCATCGACGAATGCCATGGCCGTCCGCCCAGGGCACGCCATTCGAGCGGAATCGCAGTCATGCACGAGGTGCCAGGCCAGGCGGGTCACAAGTATCGTCAGGGGGGCAAGGTACTTGACGGGTACGCGCAACGCCTCGAGGAAGGCGCGCGATCAGGACAGTCGATTGCTCTCACAGTGCTGCACCTTACCATGTACGCGTGTTGACGCTGGTACGCGAGAAAGTCATGCACTTGCACTTGCACTTGGCGCTTGTGTCCTGCGTCCTGCACGTCGAGGATGACCACGACAACTTTTGCTGTCCATGGAAGCACCTAGCAGCCACGATGTCTGTCGCAGGAACGTCGTCGACGACAACCTTCTCATCGCCTTGTGTGTCCGACCCCAGGTCGACTGACTGTGGTGTGTAAGTAAGCGTGTGCAGCCGCCATGAGTGGTCTAGGCTGGATGCACACATGGCAAGGCAAACGCTGGGTCCACCCAATTCTTCGATGACTGCATTATCATCCCGTCCTCCCAGGACCAGATTAAGATGACACTGACCTTCTGATGGCCTAGCCTCTCCCAAAAAAGGGTCGCCACGCCCGCTAAACAAGCTCCTTCTCAGTCTTGCTTCCTGGGCGCCTTCAAGGCTCTCTGGCGCTAAGGCAGACGAGTTCTCTGGACGGGGAGGAGAAGCCAGTCATGGTGTCCTGCATCCTGCCGCCATCCGTCAATGTCCAGCCCGGGTCGGCGCAGACTTTGATGGTGCTTGCAGACCACTCGAGACACGACTGGCAAGCCATGGCCGCTGGTACGAGGACAGCACCTTACACGCCCACAGTCGGCCCAGTCACGAGACAAAGGGGGCCAGAAGAAGAGGGCGACGGACTGAGTGGACGAGAGAGTCACTGGACCACTCGAGGCCGCCGGGCAGATAAGGCACGACCTAGGAGGCGGTCGAGGAGGTAGGTCTGCGGACATAACCATGCTATGCACTGATATGCCTGGCAGTCTGGTGATCACGAGTCCAGCTCGCGCCAGCCCCCTTCTGGCGCAGGCGACGAGGGGGGGCGTCAACCATCTCGTGATCACGTACCCTTCATTGGCAACGGTACTTTGCTAGTACATGGCGCCGATACATCCAAGGTTGGTCCTGCATCCTTCCGTGGCCATTGTCGTCCTGACTCAACCGGCCCTCCACCAGCCTCCGCATGGCGCCCTGCATGCTGGCAAATGGGACGGATGGCCGTACATACTGTGAAGACTGGCAGCAAACACTGGAGCAAAAGTCCTGTTGAAACACGCCAGGCAGGCAGGGACAGCGACCCAGCCAGCCGACGACGATGGCTCCGCTGTGGATGCACAGGTACGCATCCGCGATGCAGGCAGCCCGTGCCTCTCCCCACCTCCATATCTCAGCCTGGCACGCCCCTGCAGTTGCCTTGCCTGCCTCTGTGATGCAGCTCCATCCATCGTGGCAGACTCTGGGGCGCGCCCACAGGCCCCTGATAGCAGGGTGCCAGCTGCATGCCTTGGCAGCCGCGACAGGCCTGCTGCGCGCGACGTTTGTCGAGTCACAACCTCCTCCGCCTTTCGTGTCCGATTGCAATTCGACACAGCCTTGTCCGGATCCTGCCGACAGGCTCTTGTCCTCGAGACCGACAGGCCAGTCCCAACAGTCTCTCTCCATGCGGCTGTTAGCTGTGGCGCGTCCGCAGGCGCGCGTCCGCAGGCCTGGTGATGTGTATAAGCTTCGCAGCAGTCGATATGGCGTCATAAAGACACAATGCCGCGGCGCTTGTCTCGCCCGCGGATCACCACACTGCGCCGTCGAGCTAAGTGCAAGCAGGCGATCCCACAGCGGCCGGCGAGTAAGTCACGTCTGCTCACTGACTCGGGAGGACTGGTGCACACTGCCCGTTTTGCTGCGACGGTCAAGAAGGCCGTAGCCAACGAAGCACCTCCGCCGAGCCGGGTCATGCAGCCCGGCATAGCGCCACCGCAGCGGCAAGCCCGTCTCGATCTCGTACCAGAGACTACTCTGTATGTAGCAGGCGGTCTTGCAGTCGGCTGCACTGATCTTGCTGACGGCTTCGTGGCCGGCTGCTAGTCGAACTGCGATCCTTCTGGAAGGCAGCCTGCTTCGAAAGCTCATGTTTGGTAAGCGCACCGTGCAATTGCACCCAGCATTCCAGCGGGTCTTTGGCAGCCTTGGACATTTGCCTACCTCTCCTAGGTAAGCAGGTATTGTCTGCTTTGTCTGAGGACGGCCATGAGGAAACACGCTCGTTCTGTGTTCTGCTACGTCACTTGCTCCCGTGGCACACTGCTCAGTCTGTTCGCCAACGATCCCCATATGAAGCTCGTGGACAAGAGCCAGGCCCCGTTGTGAGAAACACCATGACTGATGAGTCTCCAGAAACGAATTCCAGGCTTCCTCCAGATCGCCAAGGCTGGTTGCCCGCAAGTCATGGCACACCCCATACACTGGCCCACGACACCATGCAGGGGGGGGCCGATGGATGGAGCCTTTCCCCAACTCGACTCCGTCTTCGGGGGGGCCAACTTGGGCGGTTGTCTTACTATGGTATCTGCGCCTGTCAGTCCTCCACACCACACCACGCAGACACACAGACGCTAGAGGTGGCCTTTATCAGGCCAGCGATGCGCTTCAAGATAAGAGGCCGAGGAGCACTCAGGACAAGTTCGGCAGCTCGAATGCGACCCAAGCCGTCCCCGAAGGGTAACCCGGCCAGACACTGTTCTCACTTTGGCCATGCCAAATCAGATCATTGCTCATCGTGTTCCAACCCGCCAAGTCAGCCATCCATGTGGCACGTGCAAGGAGCTGGCTAGTCGTGTGAGCCAGAGCATGACGGTCCAAAGACCCTGAACGCACGCACCCCAGACTGGACTTGAAGGAACCTTGGCGCAGAATGTGGTCGAGATGCGCGTGCACTTCCTCGGGGAGTTATGGTAACACCGTGTTGTTTCGAATTGTATTGCTTTCGAGGTGATTAGGGTGCCGCACCTGAATGACCAGCCACACAACCCTGCCTGGTACTAGCACACCAATATTGGCTGCTCATGCACAGGCTTTGACGGGTCGACCGGCTCAAGTCCCGTGTATTGTAGATTGTGGGCTCAATTGTGAGTGGACACCCGCCATAACATGAGATTTACTCATTCCCGAGCCTTCTCGGGCTGTCAAGCGGAAAGCCCAAGCATTCAAGGTTGAGAAACACGGCAACAAGACCTGATCCACACCAGGCGGCAACTTGTGGATATGGCAATGGCAGCCAGGCAGCTCTCTCGAAATTCGAACGAACATATGGCCAACCGCGTAAACCACACCGGCAAGATTCCCTCTGGAGGAGCAGGCAAGCCAAGGGACTGACCAGGCAGCCCAGCCAAACAACAAGCAAGCAGACTCGCGAACAAATCCCAAGCGCGAAGGCCCGCTCCCGTCCTGCAGATCAACACCCCAAGCCCAACTAGTTGGCTGTCTGCCTACCCGCGCGTATGTCCTATGTAGGTACCCAGTCACAGCCCAGAACAGGCCGGGAAGATGCATGCACGTACATGTGATAGACAACTGCCTGGACAGAACCATCATAGGCAGCGGCGGACATCCATGACATCCTCTCTCTCTGTCTCTGGAGCCAACGAGGAGGCGTTCACGGGCCACGCAGATGCTGTGAGTAATCCGCCCAGCCAACTAGGTAGAAGTGCCAGCCGGGTACTCGTCCCGTCTGAGTAGCCTGCGGCGTCAACTCTCGACGAACCAACCACCTCTCAAGGGGGGGGGGGGGAGAAAAGGGTAGATGGAACTGGATTGAACCCCCCCGGGGGTCCTGCCTGCATTTCCAGAGCATAGCCCCGATCCCGCGCCATGTATGATAGCTATCAAGAACCAACCAAATTCAGAGTCCCCACGATGTCCTTACTTGTGATGTGTGACTTTGGGGGAGCAGAGGGAAACACCTGATTTAGACGACAAGGGGGAGGGGTGGTGTATAGTGTTTCGAGCGTTACCCACAACCCGTGTCTGCTTGAGATCGCGCACACACACATACACACACACACATCCACTTCCACTACCACGGCTACTTCCACAGCACACACCGTGGGGGGTACGTAAAAGTCAGGCATGATAATTGATCATCTCTGTCTCTGGGCTCTGTCTGCCACTGGGCACAGAACCAGGCCCAGAGAGTATAGTATCACATCAAGCAAGATGATGATTGAGCAGCAATCTAGCCGAGCACGAGCCACAGCCGAGGGCGGGATCGGCCCTTTGATATATCGAAGCACCGTGAAGCCTTAAAAGTAGCCAGGGTCCATCCCGGGCGGCGACTTACGTCCTGGCTGCCGCGTGGTCCCGGCTGTGCTGTACCAGTATTAGCACGGTGTGTCCGGAACGGGGGCCGTTGTTCGTCCAGAAAGAGGGGGTTTGTCCACATATTCATGTGCATGCACACACACCTGCAACAATGTCTGCTCGGCTCACAGCTTCGTAGACGAGTGGGGATTTCACTATCGTCGTGGTGCCGCGTTCAAGCACCCGGACGGGCAAGATGCGGGAATTCGACTACTGTCGATCCATCGTGCACGCCGCTCCTGTGACAGGAGGGCTAGATTTCATTGCAGCAACTTGAGTCAATATCATGTGGTATCGAAGTCCTTTTTTCTCAATCTGCATGAGCCAAGTCTATGTCAACCGCGCGGGCGATGCGTCTAAAACCCGTCTTTGGACCAACAGATGAAGCGTCCAGAGGGTCAAAACCCAGAACTGACGCGGGATATGCAAGGAAAAACAGAACCCCAGTAGTGGTATCATTGTAACTCCGATTCCCAGTAAAGCCCAAAAATGCTAAATGTTGGTAGCCCGATAATGTTTAATGCAGGATGGCTGGGGCTCAATGCCCGCCAAAGTGTGCTATGTCATGCGTTGCAGAGTTTTTGAGCTTGGTTTTGTGTGAAATAGGCGAGGTCGTCGTCCATTGTGGCAGCGCTCGATTCTAATGAAACGAGGTTGACACCCAGCGACAGAGCCTTTAGTGGTGCGAGTCTGTGCTTGGAGGCAAGTTTGGCAGCTCCTTGAGGGCTTCACCGATAATGCTGACCGACTTGCGCAGCTGCTCCTCGGAGATGACCAGAGGCGGAGCGAAGCGGATGATGTTTCCGTGTGTGGGTTTGGCCTGTTGTGGTCAGTCAGCCGAACGTCACTCAGTCAGTTCGGTTGGGGAGAGTCGGCACTTACAAGCAGTCCTTTCTCCTTCAGCAGCATGCAGAGGTCCCAGGCAGAATGGCCATTAGTCTGCTCCTCATCAATGACGACCGCATTCAGCAGACCCTTGCCACGGATGAGCTTGATCAGCGGCGAGTTGAAGGCAGCCAGGCTTTCACGGAAGAGATTGCCGAGCTTCTCGGCTTTCTCTGTGAGATTCTCCTCCTCCATGATCTCGAGGGCACGGATGGAGACCGCGCAGCCTAGAGGGTTGCCACCGTACGTAGAGCCGTGCGTGCCGGGCTCGACTACCAGCATGATCTCCTTGCTCGCGAGAACACAGCTGACGGGGTACATGCCACCCGAAATGGCTTTGCCAAGAGTCACCATGTCTGGCTTGATGCCAGCCCACTCGGAGCACAAAAGTCTGCCCGTTCTGCCGATACCGGTCTGGATCTCGTCGCAGATGAAGAGGACGTTGTGCTTCTTGCAGAGAGCCTGCACCTTGGCGAGGTAGTGGGCATCCGGAACAACTACTCCCGCCTCGCCCTGAATCGGCTCGACGATGAAGGCGGCAGTCTCCTTACCATGGGCCTCAAGGACCGCCTCGAGGTCCTCAAGGTTGTTATAGCGGATCGGCTTGCCAGTCGAAGGGCATGTAGCGCCAACATTGGGAATGTAGGGTCCGTAGTTGTCCTTGGACTCTGGGTCTGTCGACAGGGTGACGGCAGTCATCTGTGGAAACAGGGGTTAACAAACCACGCAGACAAGCCAGATGAATTGGCCTTGAAGACTTACTGTGCGGCCGTGGAAGTTCTCCTCGGCTCCAAAGATCAGGGCCTTGTGCGCAGGAATCCCCTTGACCTTGTAGGCCCACTTCCTGGCGATCTTGATGGCAGTTTCGACCGCCTCAGCGCCGGTGTTCATGGGGAGGGCCATATCGTAGCCAAACATGGCATGGACCTTCTCCGCCCACTTGGGGAAGACATCGTTGTGGAAGGCCCGGGAGCTGAGGGTGAGCCTGCCGGCCTGTTCGGTGAGGGCCTTGACGAGCTCCGGGTGGCAGTGGCCCTGGTTGACGGCACTGTAGGCAGAAAGGAAGTCGATGTAGTGCTTGCCTTCAGGATCCCATACGTCGACACCGGAGGCCTTGGCAAAGACGACTGGGAGCGGGTGGTAGTTGTGGGCAGCGTACTTGTGCTCCGCCTCGATGGCGCTCTTGGTCGACGGGGCGTGGAATCGCGAGTTGCTGGGGGTGCCGTCGCCGGCCGCGGGGGCGTTTGCGTGGGGCGCCATGGTTGTGGTTGTGCTCTGGGGGACTATATATGGTGAGTTGCGGAGGTGTTGGAAGCAGGATGAAGATGGAAGTCTAGCGGCGGTCGGTCTGAAGAGCAGGGGCTTTTTAAGAATGGAAAAGGATAGGAAGCCGGCGACCTGACACGACCGAAGGCGGACCCTAGTAATGGAAGGGCGTGTCGACTCGGCAGAAAAGGACGGCCAAAGAATGGGATGGAGGCGGGCGCGGGGCCCGGCCTGCACCGGCAGGGGCAGCGGCAGGCGACAGACAGACAGACAGGACGCCAGGTTTTAGGTAAGACAAACCTGGCAGTGGCAGGCATTCCCGCGACACTAGACCCCTAAGTGCAAGTCGAGACGGGCAGGAGGCCACTGTTGCTAGTGGCACCCAGTCATGGCTGTCACATGAGGGCCCCGTGGCCTGGCCAAGGCTGCATCTGGCGTCAGAGTGTGCCGACGCAAAGCGGCCGAGCACGGTGTTTGTGACGTTGTGTCCTTGTCAATTCACATGGTTGCGGGATTCGAACGACGAGGCGGCACCATGTCATCGCACTGGGTGGGCGGCACGAGGGGTTGCCCGCTCTCTTCGAGGACAGAATCCGGGGTAAGAAAATGGTCCATGCTGCGTGTGCACTGGCAATTGATTGCCTGGCAGGCTGATTGGCCTGTGCCCCTGTGATCGATTGCCTGCCTCGAGATGTTCATCTTCAACTTCTGGATAGTGGCAGAGCCTCATCGGCCAATCTGTCCCAGGGGCTTATCAGCCTCGGGATGCACGTTGCGAGGCAGGCACTGGCGTGCTTGGCCAATGGACTTGGGCCCATTGGCAAATGTGGAGGGACAGGACAGGCCCTTGAGCCTCAGGACATCTGGACATGTCGACACTGACGCAACGTGGGGGTGGATCATGCCTGGGATTGCGCTTATCAGGCCTGGCTTATCGCAGCTCACGCCAGAGTTGGATGGACAATGAGAGGGTCGACAGACAACAACACTCCAAGTAATTAAAACGTCAATGCATCGTTGTCGCCTATCGAGAACCGCCTCGTCCAGTTGACCAATTCACTCTTGTCATTGCCGGGGAGCCTCACAAGGGTCCAGACTCGGCGCCGTCCCAGCCTCGGCCACCTCCGCCGTCGCCCAATCTCCCCGGACCCGGTCGAGCCCCCCTTTTCCTCCAACCACGGGGCCGGCCAACTCGGCCCGCATTCTCAGTTCAGGGTCTCCAGCTGAGATTGCGACTCTTGCCGTTCACCACACCCTTCCTGGAGACTACCGGCTGCCTACACGATGGCTCCAAGCAGGGCTTCCAAGTCCAGGACCAAGGACAATGCGGTCGTGGCAGCTCCCGCAGAAGCCTCTGCGGCTGCCGAGGCAGGTGCTAAGGCTGAGGAGGTCGCGAAGCTCGTTGCCCAGCAGGCCAGAGAGACGCTCTATGTCATGTTTGCGTGGCGATGCATCAATGCCTTTGCCTGTCGCACATTCTTCCAGCCCGACGAGTACTACCAGGCCCTCGAGCCAGCGTGGCAAATGGTGTTTGGGCCAGACAGCGGTGCCTGGCTCACCTGGGTATGTCTGCGTTCGGTGCTTGGGCGGCATCCCAAAAGTCGATCGACGTGTTCAAAATGTACTGACAATTCGCAGGAGTGGACATACGGCTTGCGCTCCTCGCTGCATCCCGCCATCTTCGCCATTGGGTATGCTCTGGTGGATAACTCGATAGGGGACCTTTACTCCGTCAAGGCAAAATGGCTGGTTGCGGTGCCCAGGGTGATGCAGGCAGGCTTTGCTGCCCTGGGTGACTGGTACAGCTGGAGGCTGGCCGAGAGGCTCTTCGGACACAGCACATCGATTTCGTGGGCAGTGGTAGGTCTCATCTTCTGAGGCGAATATGCTACGCGCCGTTGCTAATCCCAATCTGGTAGCTTGCCATGACCATGCTCAACCCGTGGCATTTCTACACGGCAACTAGGACGTTTTCAAACTGCCTCGAGGCCACTCTGACTATTGCCGCGCTCTTCTATTGGCCCTGGGAGCTTCTCGGTGTCGAGAAGACGGCCGAGGGTGCTTCCAAGGACGCTGATGCTGCTCCGTTGGCCACCTCGAAGCAAGTCAGCAGGTACGACAAGTCCCTTCATCGTCCGCGATTCCGACTCCAATACTCACAGTTTGCCATCTAGTCTACGCCTGTCTTTTTTCCTTGCCGCTCTGGCCATTCTACTGCGCCCAACTAACGCCCTGATCTGGTTCGCGGTCGGCACCTTGATGCTTACGCGTGCCACGCTAGACGGCGAATCGCCCTTGACACAACGCAACCTCCTCGTCATTTTCCGTGAAGCCATCGTTGGCGGTGCGGTCGCGATCTGGCTTGCTCTCCTGGCGGATCGTGCGTATTTTGGCGAGTGGACATTCACCGCGGTCAACCTGGTACGCTTTAACGTCGCCCAGGACCTGGCCAGCTTCTACGGGCAGAACGACTGGCACTATTATCTTTCGCAGGGAATACCCCTAACATGTACGACACTTGCGCCTTTCGTACTTACTGGCCTCTGGAAATCGACCAGTTTCGGTACTGGCGAAAGTGACGTGGCGATGCCCCTCAAGACCAGGAATGCTCTCAAGACTCTGAGCTTCGCAGCCCTGACGAACATTGCCTCGCTGTCCCTCATCTCACACAAGGAAGTCCGGTTCATCACGCCGCTCATGCCCATCTTCCACGTCATCGCCGCGCCTTACGTCACCTTCTTCTTCACGAACGCCAAGGCCGCCGCAGCCATGTGCCCTCCGCCTCGACTACAGTGGCGCCGCACCCCGATCCTCGCCTTGGGGGTGATCGCAAACATTGTCATTGCGGTGTATCTGTCCTGGTTCCACGCCGCGGGCCCCAACCTCGTCATGAGCTACCTCCGCAACGAGTTCGACGAGATCCACCCGGAGTCGCTAGCGATCGACATGGACCGCCGGCTTCCCAACGTCGCCGCGCTCGAGACCAAGGACACAGGGGCGAAGCAGGACGCCGACAACGAGCTCTTTGCGCTGTTCCTGACGCCCTGCCACGCGACACCGTGGCGCTCGCACCTCGTCCACCCGAAGCTGGCCGCGCGGGGGCTGACCTGCGATCCGCCCGTGCACACGCAGCCCGGATCGCCCGAGCGCGCGGCGTACCAGGACGAGACCAGCCGGTTCTTTGCGGACCCAGCGGCGTGGCTGGACACTGAGCTGTGGCCCGTCGTCGTCCCTGGTGCTTCCGACACGACTAACACCGCCGCCGCCAAGGCGCCCATGGCGCGCTACATTGTTGTCTACGACGGCCTGGAGGAGATGCTGGTCCGATACTTTGAACAGAACTGGCAGCGGCTAAACGTGACGGGCATCCAGAAGGTGTGGACCGCGTGGAACGGGCTGTTCACGGACGACGACCGCAAGGCCGGGAACCTGAATGTGTGGCGGGTGAGCGGAGTGTACGAGGAGACGGACCGGGCGAGGAAGGAGGCACGGGAGAGGGGCTTCGAGGAGAAGCGGAGGGCGAGGACGGCGCTGCACGCCAAGAACGAGGCGGACAAGGCAAATAAGGCGAGGGAAGAGGCCGCTGCGGGGGAAGCAGAGGGTGGGAAATAAGTGAAATGATTCCAGCGTGGACCATGTGGAGGACAGCCGTGTACGAGCTGTTGTAAAACATGAGGAGCTTGCAATCTGAAAAGTTTGGTGTTCAAAGAACGCGAAATACGTGCCCCAGCATGCATGCATGCATGGTTGGTTGGTTCGCCTGGACTGCCACGGTTTGGGGGACAAGACCTCACGACTATCGTCAACATGATCATCATCGTCGTCGTCGTCGTCTCTTCACATGAGTGCCGTGGCCTGGGGGGACTAGAATTGCATCATCTCGTCCGCAGGAGGGACAAATGACAGTTTCTGCTGGACCCGCGTCCTGGATCCCGAGGCTTCGGCAAGCAAGCGAGGGGGGAAGCTGAAAATGCACCAGCTTTCCCTCTCTCTCTTCATTCCAATATCGTGTGTATGTGTGTGTCGTGGCTTACGAAAAAGACATTTCGCACCTTCCCAAAACACGCAAGCACGGGATTGTAGCAGGGGGCACCTTTAACTAGCGCAGCGCCGCCAGCGAAGACCATCGCACTATGAGCAGCAGAGCTACAGCCGCCTCGCCTCGCCTCGCCTCGCCTCGCCTCTGCAGCTGACGACTGACACGAAGCCGAAGCCCCAGACTAAAAAGTCCCCCCCTTCCCAAGTTTGAAGGAAAGGGGAAGCTTGTCAGCGCGGGGTGGCGGCGGTGGCGCTGGCGCCGGCTGGGGTCTGGCTGGGAAAAAAGTCTGGGGGTGGGAGGGGCCAAGATGCAAGCAAGTAGAGAGAGTGCGGAATATGTCCCGTTACCACCGACGACAACGCCGCCGCCGGCGCCACCACTACCGGTACTACCCTCACTGAGGGTTTTGACCTGTCTGACAGGATGGTGCCGGGGCAGGCCGAGGTGTGTAGATTGGATTTGCGCATATGCGATTCGTGTATGTGTGTCGAGCTAGGATTAGTTTGACTACTACGGGCTCGATAGGATACTTTGGGGCGCGATAGGCTGTCAGATTGAGTGTTTTGCGTTGTTGTCGATTGGATGCGAGGCGAGGGTCTCGGTAGGAGAACCCTGCAGGGACTACCAATGTCAGTGCTTGCAGGGCATTTGCCGTATGGAGGTCAGCGGACGGGGAGAGATCGTCGGCTCCGCTGGGCAGACACTGGAAGAAGGATGCCCAGAGCCGCGACGGGTCCTGGAAATGTGGGAACGGCCGAAGCCGATGTATGACAGGCCAGGTCCGGCGGACAAGGACAGCAATATTCGATGCCAGGAACCGGCAGGCATTCCCCGACCCGACGTCCCAAAGATGGGCCGTTTGGTGCGAGGTTCGGGCAGAAAAGGTGGGTTCCGGTGCTGGAGACGGCGAGGGCAGTTCCACTTGGCGCCTGCGGTACCGGTGCTGAGGCATGCCACGGTGAGGCAGTCCGATCTTTGTCATAATGGATACCTCTTTCTACATTGAGTGGCTTCTGATGTGTAGGAATTACCAGGAAATCCCAAGTCTGTCAGCACTGTTTGTTGGACGGCTTTCGTCGGTCAGCCAAGCTGGTGATTGGGTGCGGAAACAATCCATTGCCAGAAGACGGCGGCACTAGTGAGGACAGAGTTTGGCCATGCCAAGCCTTGGGGGCAGAAAACCCCTCCCCGGGAGGTCCGGCAACTGAGATGCGTGGCTGCGCTGGCGCTGATGCGCTGCCGAGGTGGTTGGTGGTTGTTGATGACTGGGTGCAGTAGACCGATCTGGGCGCAGTGCTTGTCAGACGCCACCGGGGCACCCCAGCTCAATAGCGACGGGGTGTTGCGCGTCGCCCGCGCTGACCAAGGACACCAAGGACAAGAAAGCGCCTGCCCAGCGATCACTGGGGCAACTGCAACTCGGAGGCCGTAGTCGCCGGTAGAGTTGCGACCGCCGGCAACCTGGGAGGTGGTGATTGTAAATACATTGAGTGGACTCTGTATATGCGAGGAGATTTCTGGTCCGGAAGGCGCCTCTAGGGCCGCCCCATGTGGCCCCCGCATGTGGGGATGGGCGGGATAGACGGGGGCATGGGCCCCCTTGACTCAACCGACATCGGGCAAGCGCCAGTCCAAGTCGCAACCTACCAGACGTAGCGTCCGCGCAAACTTATAAACCAATTTGCTCCGCGCTGGTTTTCCTCTCCTTCGCCCTCTTGCAAGCTTGAATCGCCCTGTCGACACTCGTCGTGACCATTTCCAGCGCGGCCGTCGCAAATCAACCCAGATCTCCGCGCCTAGACCCAGCGGCCCACCATGACAGGGACTAAGGAGCACGGTACGTCGTCAGCTGCCCTTTCTCACAGCAACAGCCTTGCTGACTGCTCTTCCATACAGTCCCGGCCTCCGACAGCTTCGGCGACGGTGTCGGCAAGTTCGACGAAGCGAGCAATGACCGCTACGATGTCGAGAGCCCCGACGTGGGCCCTCAGTGCCCCCCGCACACTACGCAGCGCAAACTCATGTCCAAGATCGACAGCCACATCCTGCCCTTCATCATCGTTCTCTACCTCCTCGCCTTCCTCGACCGTGTCAACATTGCCAATGCGCGGTCCTTCAGCCTGGAAGCCGATCTTGGCATGGACGCTGGTGGGACACAGTACAACACTGGTCAGTCGCTGCCCACTCTCCCACCATCCCAGTCCAGCTTTCAAGGACTCTCAACTAACTGAAAGACAGCTCTCGTGATTTTCTTCGTCCCATATGTCTTGGCGGAAATCCCCTCGAACATCTTTCTCAAGCGATTTTCTCCAAAGGTCTGGCTGCCGGCGTGTATGCTGGGTTTCGGTGTCGTGACGACGTGCCAGGGCCTGGTCCAGAACTACTCGGGCCTGCTCGCGACACGCTTCTTCCTGGGCCTGTTTGAGGCTGGCCTGTTCCCTGGCTGCTTCTACCTCCTCAGCATGTGGTACAAGCGCGCCGAGGCGCAGAAGCGATATTCCCTCTTCTTCGCTTCCACGTCCCTGGCCGGTGCCTTTGGCGGCCTGCTCGCGTCGGCCATTGGAAAGATGGACGGCGTTCGCGGTTACCACGGCTGGCGGTGGATCTTCATCATCGAGGGAGTTCTGACCTGCGTGGTTGCTTTCTTCTTTTACCCCTTCTTCCCCGAGTTCCCTGAGCAGGCCAAGTTCTTGACCGATGACGAGCGCACGTTTGTGAAGCTTCGCCTGCAAGCCGACCAGGGCCACAACGCCGCTGAGCGCAGGACGAGCTTCCGCGACGTGCTCACAGTGATGAAGGACTACCGCATCTACCTCGGCGGGTTTATGTACTTTGGCCTGATCGTCCCGGCATACGGATACGCCTACTTTGCGCCTGCGATCATCTCGACCTACAACTACGACCCCATCCAGACGCAGCTGCACTCGGTGCCGCCATGGGCGGCCTCCTTTGGCTTCTCGCTCCTCATTGCGGCTCTGTCGGATCGCTTCCGGCACCGGGCTTTCTTTGCGCTCGCGCCGCTCGCCCTGGCCATCAGCGGGTTTGCCATCCTGCTGACCATCCACAACAACACGCCTGTTCAGTACATGGCGCTGTGCTTTGTCACGATGGGCTGTTACGGGGCCATGCCTATCATTATTTGTTGGTAAGTTTCCGCCCACTCCTTTTCCCGAATAGCAGTTGCTCTCCCAGTCCCTTACTGGCTCGGACATATCATCAAAGCAAATGCAAAACCAAAACAAAAACAAAAACTGACACGACTCTCGCCTTCAGGTTTGCGATGAATCTTGGCGGCCACCACCGGCGAGCCATCGGCACGGCGTGGCAGGTTGGCTTCGGCAACATAGGCGGCATCATTGCGACGTTTGCCTTCCTGGCCAAGGACAAACCCTTCTACCGCCCGGGGTACTCGATCTGCATCGGCTTCACGGTGCTCAGCGCGGTCGCGAGCACCATCTACCTGCTGAGCATCATGCGGGAGAACCGGCGGCGGGCCAAGACGGTGACGGACGTGGGCATGACCGAGTACGACAAGTCGGAGCTGGGCGACCTGAACCCGGACTTCAGGTACATGTACTAGGTACGGCGAAAAGGCTGTGCGTGCAGACACAAAAGAAAAAAAAGCCCACTCTGGCGGCGTTGACTGATGTCGAGGCTGCTCGGGTTGGCCTAAAAATGCTTTTGTTGTTTCTGTCTCATGGGATTATTGTCCACATTCAGAGGAGGTGTGGCGGGCTGAAGTCGGGCATCTATGTACAGAAAATGAGGTTACGACTTTTTGATGATGAGAAACTGCTGAAATTTTTGGACACAATATACCCCACGATCAAACTTGATCAGTACATTGTACAAGTCATCGATGCTCTCTCTCTCTTTGTGTGTGTGAATAATGAGCACATGCAGCATTTGCAAAGTGTCGAGATGGTGGTGATTGATGGTGATACAATCATCGAAGCAAAGTATGCACACATTGTGGATCCGGGGATCTTGCCGAGAACAAAACAAAGCTGGGGTCGATTCTGACACAAAAAAAAAAAAGGCCGGGCCAGCAGCCCTGGAGGTCACACTACTGGAGCCATTCCATTGGCGCAGAGGTACCTTCGTACCCTCGTAGGTACCTGTACCTACATTGCCCAGCTCAGGGCAGCCGACGGAAAGGGCTCCGATCAGACAGAGCGAGCAGTGGGAGCAGGAAGCGGCGCTGCCGAAGCAAGGCCAGCCCCGCACAAAGGGGGTTCCCCCATCGGCAGGGACTGTCCGAGAGGGAGGGAGGGGGAACACAACAAGCAAAAGGATGTGGGGTCAGTCGTCATTCCCGCTGTGTCGTCACCCTGTTCTGATGAGGATGATGGACTGATCAAAATAGATCAGAGTCAGAAACCACGGGGAAGAAGGCGGAGCGGTTGTCTCGTTTCGCCTCTATATTGACACTGGGGAAATAAAAGAGGCGATGACGGAGATGATGCTGTTGTTGTTGTTGTTGTTGTTGTTGTTGTTGTTGTTGTTGTTGTTGTTGTTGTTGTTGTTGTTGTTGTCTGATGTTTGTCTGTCTTGTAAAGCCTCGTCGGGTTGGTTACCACAGGCTGCCTGTGATGTCAGGCTTCGGTGCCTCGGCTACACAGTCCGTGCTTTTGTCCTTCGGATACTCGACGACTTGGTTCGAGTCGCACAGCAACTCTGCCGTCTGAGGGTTGGATCGAAAGGTATAGTGTTGTGCTTGTCTGAAGCCCCGGAAATATCTGGGAGCAGCTTGCAGCAGGATATCAGGAAATTCCTTGTCTGTTGCTTCCTCAGAAACGATACAAGAAATTCTAGGAATCGGGGACCTCCGTCGGAGCAATCCCACCTGTCCCAGTGTTGTGCAGTGCAGGCCCCGTCTCCACAAACGGGGGCAGCAGCGCGCGCCGCGAGCAAAAGGCGAACAGCAGCAAGGGAAAAGTGGCACGGCACCATACTGATGCTCGGCCGCACTTCCTTCCGACAACGGAGCCGCGCCGACCCGCCGCCCGCCGCCGCCGCCGTGCTGCCCGGCAGCACAAGGGCTCCTCGCAGTGGCGGCTTATATCTACCGATCCGTCTCCGGGAGGGGGGGAAGGGACTTCTTTCCCTCGCCCTACGGCTCGTCAGAGACAGTTTGCTTTAAGAGGCTACATATCCCGGTTCCAAGCGGCGTGGTTCCGTTCGATTAGACATCCAGGCACCGAGACCACCATACCTGCGTACCATACCACTACAACACGTCCCATCCAGGACGACGACTCCGGCCGAGGCACGAGCTAACGATTGCTACGCCGCAACCAACACATACAGCAGACTTTTCGACATATCAAACCAACGAACAACGTTGCCATGGCTGTGTCCAGGGGCGCCGCCAAGCTGCGCGAGTACCTCGCCGACCCGGAAAAGGTTGTCGTCTGCCCGGGCGTGCTCGATGGCCTGACGGCCCGCGTCGCCCTGAGTGTGGGCTTTGACGCCTTGTACATGGTGAGCTCTCTTGCCCTTTCTTGGCCACTTTTTTTCCTTTCCCTCGTCTGGCATCGTAGCAGATTGTCATCGTCGTCGTCGTAGTTTTGTGCCATGTACACTTTTTCTCGTCCATCATATTACTGGACTAACCTCCTGCCCTCCTCTTCCAACCCGGCTTCAAGACCGGCGCAGGCACAGCAATCTCCCGCCTCGGCCAGCCAGACCTGGGGCTCACGACAGTCGACGATATGGCCACAAACGCGGGCATGATCGCAGGGCTGGACCGCAGCGTGCCCGTGATTGCCGACGCCGACACGGGCTTCGGCAGTCCCCTGATGGTCGCGCGCACCGTCGAGAAGTACATGCTTCAGGGCGTGGCGGCATTCCACATCGAGGACCAGGTGACGACGAAGCGGTGCGGGCACCTGCTGGGCAAGGAGCTCGTCGACACGAGCGTGTACGTGGCGCGGATCCGGGCCGCCGCGGCCGCCCGCGCGGCCATGCCGGGCAGCGACATTGTCATCATTGCCCGGACCGACAGCCTGCAGAGCCTCGGGTACGACGCGGCCGTCGAGCGGCTCAAGGCGGCCGTCGCGGCGGGCGCCGACGTCGCCTTCCTCGAGGGCATGACGACAAAGGAGCAGATGGCCCAGGTCGTCAAAGACATGGCCCCCACGCCGTGCTTCCTCAACATGGTCAGCGGCGGCGTCACGCCCCTCGTCGACGCCGCCGAGGCAAAGGCCCTCGGCTACAAGATTGTCATCTGGCCTATGGCCTGCATGACCAGCGTGTACCTCGGCATGCGCGACATCTGCCGCGAGCTCAAGGGCACCGGCAGGATCGAGGAGAAGTACGAGGACGGAAAGCTCGTCGGCGGCGTCCGCGAGGTCTTTGAGTGCGCGGGGCTGTCAAAGTGCTCGGCCTTTGACGCCGAGATGGGCGGCACCTCGTTCAAGAACGGCGCCTAGAAAAAAATCGAGGTTACCGTCGCGGGCATAAAGAGATGGAAATAAGAAAGCTTTGAGTTAGGGAAGATACCATGTTGAAGAATCAGAAATATTCACCTGTCGAAAGCCATGTTTCGTGGTCGCATAATGCCGAAGCGTGGGTCAGCCCTTGCTTGAGCAGGCATGTTTTGCACGGTCATGGTCAAAAGAGTGTGTAAAGAAGAATGAGCGAGAAGTACAGCCGATTGATCAAACGCTGTTGGCGACTGCTCCGCTCTGGTACAAAGATCGAACTCTGACCAGAGGCACACGCTTCACGAATCAGCCTCTGTGCTTCCTGGCGAATTTGATCTTACTGCTATAACTATAACTGCAAGCTTTGAAGATCTCAAACGATGAATATCACAGACCAAGCTTTGCCATGCAACCGCCAGTCTCCTGTAAATGCATTGTCTACGCGGACGTTGGGTAGACATTTTATCAACCGCAAAGTCCTCCATCCGCCCTGAGCGTGGTTGTGCCTTTTTGTGCTATTCCCTCCACCGGCGCGGATCATAACATACAGACAGACGACCCATCCTCCCTCCCCGTTCACGACGGACGTGCGGAACTAAAAGTGTATAAAGCAGCGGCGATTGTCGTACGCTGGTAAATGTATTCTGCCCTTTGGCAAAGCATGATCCGAGCTTCTGAATAAACTCGATGGTATGTACAGTATGCGTCATTGGCTGAAAGCATATGCGCTCGCTTGCCTCCTTCTCTCACACTTGACTAGCATCACCTACCTCCGCGCCCGCTGATACCGCAGCTGTGGGAACTCGAGCGGTAACGACAGCGTCGCGACCTGCTTCTGTGTGCCCTTTTCGTCGCCCTTGACGACCTTGACCTTGCCGCCAATCTCGCGCCAGTACTGTGCAAACTCCTTCTCGTCCACGCCCATGTCGTACCGCAACGCACTCGTCTCGATCGAGTAGTTGCCCACAACCGCCGCCAGCGCGCACGTCCAGGTGCGGACGAGATCGATCTCGAACTTGCGCATCTCGCCCTTGTTCGAGAACCGCCGCCGGATGTTCTCGACCACTGGGGAGGGGACCGGGTCCAGCAGCTGGGCGAGCTTCTCCTTGTGCGGAACGACGAACAACCCGCGGCCCTGGGGCTTCGCGGCCCGCTGGAACTTGATCAGGCAGTCGAGGTACCGCAGCACGCGCAGGTGCTTGATAGCATTGGGCCCGCTGGCCACCGCCTGCAGCCGGTGCGAGACGTAGACGTTGTTCCCGCTGCGGATGTCCTGGCCCTTCTTGACGCTGTCTTGCCAGTCCTTGATCGGGATCGAGTTCAGTATGTCGGCACCGATCATCTGCTCTGGCTGGTACACGTCCTGGATTTCCTCGGCGTTCATGTTGCACGGCGGCACAGGCTTGGCAGCGTCGGCCGCAGCCTGCAGGTCCTCCTTGGTCGCCATGCCGCTCGTGACCTGCTGTATCGACTGCATCACCGCCAGGGACGTGGCATTGAGCTTGCTGGAGCCTTCGCCGACGGCCTTCTCGGGGGAGATGGCGTTTTCCGTTATCGCGGCGAGCGCCTTCTTGGCCTTCTTGGTTCCAAAGGCGTGGCCGAGATCGGTTCGGAGGTCGTACATGGTCTATTGTGTGCGTTTTGGTTAGCAAGAGCCCACCGCCACCGTGTCAGAGAAAGCCCGATAACCCTCTCGTACCTTGGACAGATCCCGCTCGTTCTCCTTCTCCGGGTCTGGCTGCTGCGCCCTCACAACACCTCGGATCGCCATCTTGCGCGCCTCCATGACCGCGAGCTTTCCGGTCGCCGGGTCGAAAACACCAATGTAGTGCTTGAGATGTGATTCCCGGCCCCCAGGACCTTCCTCCCTGCCTGTGTAGTCGAGCTTCTCGCCCGCGGAGGAGTGCAGCATCAGGCTGTTCGGCAGGACCTTCGACTTGCGCGTGCCCGCCGGCGCGGGCTTAGAGTAGGCCTGGAATTGTATCGAGGGCGGCAGGCAGAGGCCTGGCGTGGTGGCTATGACGGGCGGGCATTCTGTGACGCTTCGTACGGACGCGACCTTGACTGTGGACAGTTGGGACTGCTGTTGTTGTGATGACTGGCTGGGCTTGGGTGTCTTGCTGGACGACTTTTTGCTCGACTTTGACACATCATCGGTCCGCTTCCGCTTCTTCTCAGTCGAGACACCCATGGCTGCTGGGGTGTAGTGAGTTGGACCCTGTGTTTGGGAAGCGATGCTGGTTGGGACGGTTAAGGCAGGCCGCCTGAGTCCGACTTCTGCAGGTTTTTCGTTTTTGTTCGCTGCTCACTGGTCAACGGGAGCGTTCTCTCGAGTCGGTGCGAAACAATCGCATCTGCTCCTCTCTGCTGCCTAGCAGGGTCACGGTGCCAGCGAGGGCTGCTGCAGGTACTCGAAGTGTTGTGTTGTTTTGTATGTTCAATTGCAAGACAGACAGCCCCCCGGGTCGGCGCGGCTAAGAAAAAAGTTTCGGTATCTTATCGCCTGGAAAGTTGGGGATGCGCCACTCAATTGGGGGGACCCTTCCAGGTCGTGACCACCACCCCCACATGCCTACCAGAGCTTCCAGGTGCTGCGCGCTCGGCCCTGCAGGTGCAATCACTGGGCCGCGACCACGAGACCAGCTCGCTCGTGGTTTCAGAAATCAGTCACACACGCCAGATGTGCTCAAGTGAGTGGACGCGTTCTTCTCACAAGGTTGATGCCCTTGCGATTGGGCCTGATCTCGCTGTTCATGGTGGCCTGACTGCTATACCTGATCTCGACGTGACGGGGCCTTGATGCATGCCCCACGAGCAGCTGTGCGTCATACTTCCAGTGCAGCTGCCGCGGCCTGAATCCTTGGAATGCATCACCCGGAGACACATGTTAGCATGAGCACACGTCATATAGGATGAGGACTTGCAGAGCGCGGCGTAAAACCAGTCACGTGTTTCTCGGGACGCAAAATTCATTGGGTTGCAGAGACTGTCAATTGACTAGCAACTATTTCATCGCATCATCAAAAATCGTTCCTAACAGTGGCTCTGCCACCAGGCGTATTCATAAACGTCATTCCAACTCGATGAAGGTTGACCATCCCATTGTCCTGCAGAGCGCGAAATTCAACATTGGTTCAGACCGCACGCCGCCGCATTGTTCGTGTCCATTGCCCGGAGGTTTCTCACGTGGTGAGAACGACTTGTCGATTGGTTGTGTAAATCATTTGCCGGTGACTGCTTGCGTGCGCGCGAGAATGTGTGATCCGAAGGGTAGATTTGCCATGATCATTCTAGTTGCTCAGCACTGATGGGTTGAGATCGAGGAGGGGCGATTCGTTTATTTGCTGTGACGTGTTAGTGATATGATGTACGGAACAATCCTATTGAAGCTGCCAGTGAGTCCTTACCTGCGCGCCCGCATCTTTCTTCTCTTGCGCTTGAGGCGTCTGACTCTCTTCTTTCTCCACTTGGCTCTCATCTTGGCCTGTCGTTGGTCATGTCAGCGAGTGTTGCGTGGTGCGGCTTGCACCCAGTGGCACACGAGCAGCCAATGGCGGCAGATTGGTGGTCGGCAGCTGCTGCCGGCACTTTTCTGATGGCCATTGACGCCCGCGCGGCGGCACGAGGGACGGACGGGGTTCTTGCGGCTGCACTTACGGTTTGCTGTGATGAGAATGCTTGGTGTTGCAAGTGTCAGGAAGGTGGGAGGGGTCTTGAGTTTGACCAGAACATGATGTAGGACGCAGTCCCGGCGCGGGCGGTCCAGTTTCGGCCTAGTGCCAAAGGGCCGGTGTGCCCTTGCCCTCGCTTAGCACAATTTCCAGCGCGTTGTGCCAGCCGCGCACTGCCTGGCGCTGGGCAGCGACAGCCAGGTGGGTCGCTTGTGGCCGGGAGGCGCACAGACCACATGCAGCTTGTGTCGCCACCCATCGGCAGCTCCCTTGCAACCATGCAGCACCACCCAGAGCTCTTGCTGCTTTGTGTGGGGTAGCTCCGTGGTGCAGGTCTGGTGGTGCAGTTGGCTGCTCGAGACTGGACTGCCCCCCCGGCGTGCCGGCCGGGCTGACAGCAACCACCAGACTCTGTCGACCTGTGATGTTTTCAGGCGGCGCCGTCTGGACTCTTGCCGGCTCCTGGTGGCTAATCTACAGCCATGCATTCGTGTAGTGCCCAGTGATTTATGTTGTTCAGCACCCAGACACCTTGATTGGGGTTGCCTGGAGAGCTGCGACGATTGTACGGATGCCCACGTGCATGTGTGTAGAGGCAGCACGTTGATGCATGACTTTCGATGGTAATCGCATTTTGAATTTTCCAAAACTGGCTGGATGCTCTCTGTCAATCTGACAGCCTGTTCCTGCATTGTAACCTACTCGCGCACGCATCGCGTGTGAGCTGCATATGTGAAAGCTGTCATTGTATCACGGAGAGTTGTAAGGCTGGCCCGCGCAGTGAAAGAGCACTATTGCCGTTGCTCGACCATGACCTCGGGACTTTGGCGGTAGAGTGCTCATGTGTAGTCGATGGAATGGTACAATGTTCTCCGGCCAGCCGTGGCGTTGGACGCTTCCTGCGGGCGTATGCAACACACAGCAAGTCCAGGTGATTTCACAAGGAAGGAGCGAGGCCTCGGATGTCATCACAGAGACCAGGCCGGGCACTTGCCGCTGTGACTATTGTCAACCAGCTCTGGAAGCCAAGCAATATGAGCAACAGAGAAGCAAGTGCTCGTGGCTCAGATCAAACAACATCTGGCACGCTTTGACGGCGGATGTGCCCCTATTCTCAACCCGCTGTGTCGGCCTTCTCGCAGCAGCCATGGCGGACAGGAGAGTCGTCGCGGAACTCGACTGCTCCCAGTTGCACGACGCACTGCCTGGGTTTGCCCCAGCTGGTGAGCTGTCCTTTCCCTCTGGCCTTCCCTGCACTCGGTCACTGACCTACTCAATCCCCATCAGGAAACGGCCTACTGCGCAACAGCTCCTCCACCCAGCTGCATGACCTCCAGTTCTGGGAGAAAACAATCAATCTCAAGATCCGAGAGAGAGAGATTGTGTCGGTCGGCCGAGATCCGGCGTCAAAGTGGGTTCATCTTGAGCTGCACCGCAAGATCACCTGCCGGACTGACCTCTTTGGTACCGCACAGCAACCTGATAATCGACAACCCATACGTATCTCGAAATCACTTCCAGATCTATTCTGTCATCTACGATGAAGACACCCAATACGGATATGGAGAACTCCCCATGGTTTACGTTCAGGATTGCCAATCCTTGGAGGGAACATTTGTCAATGAACGGCGTATCGGATCTAAGGCCCAAGGTCACACTCCTGGCTACCTTCTGAACCATGGAGATAAGATTGAGATTCGGCCATATTGGAAGTTCCACGTCAACTTGTGGAACATGCCAGTCACGAGGCGCGCATGGCCCAAGATTCAGATCAACGAGACGCATGTGAGCGGGTCCATCGCAATCATGACAATGAAACAGGCTGCTGACGATACAGATATTCCGCGACCGCTACATCATATTCGACCGACGACTGGGAAATGGTTCCGTTGGCACAGTTCATCTTGCTCTGAAAGTGCGCAGCAATCGACAGGTTGCCTGCAAAATCCATGACCTCGACAAGCTCAGATCGCTCAAAGGCCAGCAGCAGACGGTTCGGCGTGTCAATGATGAGAGCGATATTCTTGCAAAGCTTCATCATGTTCGTCCCCAATGCCTGTTGCCACTCCGATGATGCTAATTATGCTACACACTGCTACAGCCGAATATCCTAAGATTCGAGTATGCGTACAGGTCCCGACACACGCTGTACACCTTCATTGAGCTAGCCACAGGCGGCGATCTGTTCTCGACTGTGCTCTTCCATGAAGACAGCTTCCCGGCTACACTTGCACAGCTGATAGTGTATCAGATTGTGCGGGCGATCCGGCACTTGCACAGGCAAAACCTGACGCATCGCGACCTGAAACCAGAAAACATCTTCTTCGCAGATGGTCCTTCGGGTCAAGGACGGGTCATTATGGGAGATCTCGGCTTTGCGACAGGTACTGATTAGGGACGGCACTTGAGCACGGTGGGAACGGACGCTTACATGGCACCGTAAGTAGAACCTGGGCACAACTATTGCACAGAAGCTGTATTAACTTGACTCTAGGGAGGTGTACAGAGGTGACAGCTACTCTTCCGCTATTGACATGTGGTCGATTGGGGTCATCACCGTCTTCTTGCTGCTCCCTCAAGAAAGACAGGGTCTACACAGGCTCAAACGTCACAGCGAGCTGACCTTGGAGAAATACCTCGAAGACCTCTTTCAAGACCACGCCCAGCATGACGAGCCACTTACTGCCTCTGCAGTAGACTTCATTCGCCACTGTCTCAAGGTCGAGCCTGCGCATCGACTTACAGCTTCACAGGCAAAGAAGCATGCCTGGTTTGACGGGATTGAAAGCAGAGAAGACTACCGGCGTGTTCGTGAGCAGATGGCAAGCTTGCACAGACGAAGCCATCATATCGCGCCACCAATCGAGGAACTTCCTGATGTCGAGGAAATACCACGCCCACGCTATGAGGTCTGTGCATCTCCGGCCGAAACACAACCTCTGGAACCATGCGAAGGGGCTGTTTGTGACTCGCAATGACTCAAGCCTGAGCCGATGCCTTCGCCCTACTTCCACACGTGATTGGCAAAGCTTGTTCAAGCGATGTTGACTGATCAAGGACCATGAGGCTCCTTTACACAAAGCTCCGCTGATTGGCTGAGGACACGCAGTTCAGCCGAAAAAGGCAAACTTGTAGAGCCCCACCCAAAATGGCTCCAGACAATGTACGATGAAGACAGTGACCAGGCAAGCGCGCGGTCTAATTTATAATCCAGGGGGGTCGGTTTTCGAATTTTGGACGTTGTACTCGCAGACCGATGGGACGTTCTGCAATCATAGCTAGCCATGAGCCATCACAATCACAAGTCGCATTATGACATATCTGCATGCACATGTCGAGCAGAAGTCGAGGTTTTCTACTGGTCTGGCATGGGCAATATGGCCCTTGCAATATTAGGCGCACTTCATTTGGTCAGCTCATTGATCACCATTGTTAGCATAGGGTTGTTCTCAAAGTCCGAATAGCTGCTCCGTTAGTACACCATCGTCAAGGTTACGAGGTTAGTAAGTACAAGATGCGTGCTGGTCGATCGACCGTCTGGCTCGCTGTGAATGTTAGCAAGTACTGTCAGTTGTGAAGTGCTTTGACTTTCTCAGTAGCCAAGTCTTTGTCGACGCATTCGGTCGACTCTCCATGGGGGCAGGGGAGTTGATTCATCGGGCTGGGTGGCAGTGTGAGTATTGTGGGGTGCGTCGGCCGGTGTTCCTTGAATGTCCTGCATCATGAGCCTGTACTTGTCATCAAGATCGGTAGCGGGGGGGACGACGAGGTTGTTAGTATGGTTGTCCAGGTTGCCTTGACCCGTTGAATCTTTACTCTCGTTGTTGCCGACACTTGACTCCTGAGCAGTGTCTTGACGCTGGTCGAATCCGATCTGCCATCCGCGGCCTGATGAGCGAGCGCGAAGCCCTTCATCGTCACGGAGCGTGCCGTTGGCTTCCGCGAGGCCGCGCATCTGCTGCAGCTTGCGCTCATTCTGCCAGTCTGGCATGGCGATGGCGTCGTTGATGACTGCCTGGACGAGCTTCTTGGCCATGTCGACTTTATCCTGGGTGTTAGCGGTGATGAGGACGTGCAAAGGTGAGTCGCTGCCGTTGCCGTTGCCGTTGTTATGGTCTTCTCCTCTGAAGCCTCCAGCTTGCTTCCGCGCAACAGTGCTGTCTTTGCCTTCCTTGATCGACCCTCTGCCGCGGATGACTATGGCGGCGTCAGTCTGTTCCTGGAGCTTCTTGATGTCTCTGCCACGAGGGCCCAGGATCTGCCCGATGAACTTGATGTCCGGGTGCTCCTTTTGCGGGATGAGCAGTTGGCAAGTGTACTTTGTCGGGCGGCGATAGTCCGCTGGTGCCTGGTACCCGGGCGCCGAGGCGGTTAGTCTCTCCACCAGGCTGTGCCGCTCGCGCTCGAGGGCGCGGCGGTGCCGCTGGATCCTGGTGTTGGTGCGCCGGCCACGGGCGTCGTATTCTGGTTCGGGGGATCGGTCACGAGGTCGTTGCTGGCGCTGCTTCAGCTGCGGCTCGAGGATCGTGTCGGGGATGCGCAGACGGGCTGATATCTCCTGGACGCGGAAGTGGTCGACGTACGAGTCCTTTTGCTCGGCGGTCATGGTGGCGCGGATCGCAGTGGCAAGGACCGCGCCGCGGGGGTCAAGGAGAGGGAGTTCTGGGGACGTGGTGGAGGGCGAGTGCCATCTGGTCAATCGTGGTTGCTCCATGCTGGGATAGATGTGTCGGATGGCTGCCGTTGTAATCAATGCCTGTGTCTGGTAAGTGTCAGGGTTGTCATGGATAGGTAGTTCTTGACATGATTGAGCCAGGGCGAAAAAAGAGCGCGGGCTGAGCATTTATGTGCTGAGCATTCATGTGCCTTGCGCGAAAGTTGTGCAGAGGCATCTCCGATGGCTACGGAAGGTTTAGGCTCCCAGGCTAGGACATGCTGGTGACTCAAGATGCAGGGAGTTACGACCTGTGGCCTTTCCGGTAGGCCTTCGTGTGATTTGTTGTGCCAGCCGTGGCACATTCATGGTAGCCTCGTCGAATTCTGTGCCTGGCACCATGCACAACCTTGACGGAGAAGCACACAACATCAGTGAAAAACCCATTTTGTCACATCCCATCACTAGCAGAAGGCTTTCTCGCAAGTTTTCCGAATTCATAAGCTCCCCATTGTCCATAAATGATCCCTTCAAGACCTCGCCACTTTTGCAACTGGCAGCAAGACTTGGGACAGCTCTCACCAAACAATCACCAAGTCCTCAGTGTCGCTACTAGTCTATCCAGGCAAAAGACATGGACAAGAAAGAAAATCAGCGTCCTTGGCAATCACCTCGTGGTGATGATGCCTCTGGGCATTCGAACCGCCGCGAGGCTTCGCCATCCAAGGATCCAGGAGCCCCCAGCCAACCAACTCAACAGCTTGTCCTTCGGGAAAGATCGTCGATCACAACCACGCCTGCGAACCCCAGCGAGCCAAGGTCACAAGAAGATGTACCAGCCGGAAATGGATCACCTCAATTAGCAGGCTATCCTCTACACGTCAAGCTCCCATTCGACCTTCGGGATCCCAGTGTTGAGATCGAAGGTGACGTACTGGACGCCCTAGCCAAAGTCTTTCCTCGCACCAGGAGCCTTGGCGAGTTTGCCAATCGCTCGTACCTCAATTTTGAAGTGGAAGAGCTCCCTCCCGGACCATGGCCATTGACCATCGCGGGCGTGCCCTACACTATCGGCGACATCAACGGCAGGACTGGCAGGGGACGTCTGCTTCCTCGAAAGGCGGCTGGCAATATGCGAGTCCGCATCTGTGGGGATCTCGAACGTGGAGCACCCAGCAGCCGCCAGGCATTCCGCTTGTACGCAGACACCATCACCAAGGCATTCTCGGCGCTTCTCCCAGACATAACTGTGGTAGAGTGCATTGCTACAGCAGATACCCACATGTATGTTGTCCTCGGTGATCAGGTGGACATTAGTGCTGTGATTTCTCGGCTTCCCGGACAGATTGGTCGGATGTGGACCATGTACGTGAATGACAGGGACCTTGGACGTCCGGAGCCCGATGCTCTTCAGGCACTCCTGCTGCGCACCACTACGCCAGATCCAGCGAACAAAATCGTGGACGATACAGCGTCTGTTGTCCTGCGACCTGGTGTCCTGCTGTGCTCCTTTGTGGACGGAACACATCAGACCCACAACTTGATCACCTCGGGGGTTGCTGTACAGAACGTGGTAGGGGATTCGTTCATGACAACAGCTGCCCACGGAATCGGAATCGACACTATGGTGTATGCAGGACGGCCTTCCATCACCAGCGACTTTCGCTCAGTCGGCGAAGCGGTGGTAGAGTTGGCATTCACTGATATTTCACTGGTTGCGTTGAAGTCGAACGTGCAGTTCCGCAACCGACTCTTCGACCAGCGTGAGGAAGAATCTGTACGCTTAACCAGCATAGTGGGTGAGGATCCCAACGACGACAAGGTCAAGATTGGTGACTGCGTGTCAATGGACACTCCTTTTACAGGGGCGATCTCAGGCTCCATCATGCACAAGAGCTGGAGATTGATCAACGAGCCTCCAGAGCATCCTGTTGAGAAGAGACTTCAATATGTTGTGTATGACTGGGTGTACAATGGAGAGCGGCCCCCTGATCAGAAGCTGGTGATTCCTGATAGCACCTGTGGATCAGCGATGTATGACGACAGACGGCGCATCACGGGCTTCTTCCACATCGCGATAGTCCGGGGTCTCATGGAAGGACACTATGCATCTGTGTCTGGAGACGAGCTTGTCCGAGCTGGCTACACGCTTGTGCGGCCTGAATGAATAAGTTCAAGACGGAACAGCATTCGTACGTCTCTGAAGGCTAGCCGACAGGGAACAGCAGCCATCACAATCGGGGTTGAATGATCAGGAGGTGTCTGTCCCTGGGATGGGCCGTTGTTGTCCAGAGTAGTTTTGCGTCGCGTGTGTTTAGGGTCATCACCTTTGGCCGTTTCAGCCTTCACTAGATCTGTGGGTAGCAAGTAAATGGGCTTCTTAAGCAGGCCGTGATAATGTGTCTCTTCGTCTGCTTGGCTGCTCGTGCTTATAAGAGTCGCTAGGCTCACCATAGTCCAAGTACACAACGATGCAGCAAACCTCCATACTTCTAATACCTGTTCCTTGTTGGGCATAGGCGGCTGTCGAACAATGGCGGTTCATCAGAACGTCATTCAGGTACACGGCGGGAACATGTTTAGCCTGAAGTGCCACGCAGAAAAGTGGGCAGGGTCATCAACATCGTCATGTCAGATGGACGTGCAGAATGCGGACCCTGGAAAGAGGAAATGGCACGAGCAGAACCCACGACCCCCCACCCGAATGACCAGCGTGGCGCTGCAGCAGGTGGAATCGTCGCACAGGCAGCGCTACGTGCTCGTCGTCTGGAATGATCTAGGAACGGGTTCCATACCTCCATACCGATATCTGAATCTCTAAGCCTCTGACCCTCTGAACCACTCAGAGCACGCGAGATTCGTGTGGGGTCAGCGCACGAGGAGTCATGTCTGGCCGGACCTGGAGAAAGTCAGTGCCGTGAGACGGCCACGCGTTGGCAACATGGAATTACGTGATAGCACGGCAGCGGTGGAAAGTCTGAGTGAGGGTGGCAGCTCTGGGGTGCGCCGTGCCCCGAGACGTCACAGGCCACCACCACTCGTTAGCGACAGGAGTAAAGGCGAGGAGAAAAAGGCCCGACAAGTGCTTATCAGTGGACAGGGCCGCCCAGCTCCGCCGAGACGCGCCGAGGAGGCGCTACAGGCGCGAGGCGGCTGATGTGAGTGGCCAGCAGGCGGGAGTCGGATGGGGAATGAGGCGTTTTTTGTGGGCGTGGATGAGTGAGTGAATTTGGTCACCGAAGACCCGTATCGCGCGCGTGATTGACTGCTCAAGTGTGTGCTGGACAGAGCTGGTGGGGCACAGCGATGGGAGGTGCATTGTGGGGGAAAAAGGGTCCAGCACGGCAGCATACAGAGGGGACAATCTGGACTGGGGCCTCGTCCCGAGGTCGCCAGCCAGTTCACGATGCAGAAAAGAGGAGCCCTCACGCTCGAGTCGACTTCTGTTCAATGCGCTCCTGTGGCCGGGTGATACAGGAGGAGACACAAGAGGTAGAGTTTGATCGTGCATGACATTCCCCGTATGGGGCAGCCTTGATGGACGTGGAGGGACGAGGAGAAGAGACGGAGGGAAATTTTTCGGGCAAATGGCTTCCAGGTCGTCCGCGTTCAAGGCTCCGGGGGATGGAGAGCACGGCACATCAGAGTTCTCTTGGCGGCTAGAACCTGCCATCCTATCGGGGGCGACGGGCGGGAAAATTCTTACGCATGTGAAGCAGACTCCCGGGTCATCACAGGGCGAGAGGGTGTGGGAGAGCCAAGGGACTGGCCGGGTCGGTCGAGCCGAGCAGAAAGCTGAAGCGGACAAGCTGAGGTACAGAGCAGAGCCTCCTGCTGCAGGGGAGCAGCGAAGGTTTCGAGAAGGCTGCGGTGCAACCCGAAGCAAGACAGGCGGGAAGAGCGCTGATCGACGGCCGCGCAGGAGGCGGAAGCGGAACGTTTCGACGCTAGGAACGAAGGGGGCGACACGGTCGGCAGCGGTAAGAGCCGGGAGCTGACAGCAGTCATCAGGAAAGCCTCTCGGAGGTAACGTTGGGTCCGCATGGGAGGCGAAAACGAGTGGATGGCTGTGCGCTGGACTGGAATAGTCAGTCAGGCTGGCCGAAATGGTGTCAGACGATGCTGCTAAACGAGGCAAAGAGACAGACTTGAAAGGGCATGTTCAAATGGCAGACAATGCGGGTGCGTGAGAGTGAGAGCAGCTCCAAATCAGGCAGGAGCAACCCACGCACCGGGCGGCGGGCCGAGTCCAGACCTGCCCGCCGCCCACGATAGATGCATCCATGGATCGCTTTATCAGCTGGCACAGCAGAGAGGCGAAACGGGGGGACAGATGGCTGCACCAACAAGTCGGCGGCGGGAGGAGTTCTCGGCCAAATACGACACGCGAGTGACGTCGATCAGCAGTTCCAGGTCCGCCGGCGACCCCGCAAAGCCCCGGCCCTCCCTGGCGAGCCTGGCACTCACTGCAGCGCCCTCGCGCCTCCAGCGCGCTGTGGCCGGGCCCAGCGGGCTTGCAGTGGAGTGGGGCCCTCCCTCAAGTCCCTCGAGGCGTCCACGGGTCCCTCTCGCCCGACCCACCCTTGCCCCGTTCCAAGACCGGCCCCTCCATTGGCTCGTCTTGGGTCTGCCCCAGACCACTTGGCTCCGCTTGCGTGCCCCGGCCTCCTCCGGACTGTCGGCACCTCGCTCGTCCTCCATCCCCATCGTCTCGTCGGGACCCTGCCACCCCTCCCCTCCCCGTTGCGGTCGCGCACCCGCCGAGAGATAAAGAACGGCCATGGCCCCGGCCCCTCCGCGACGCTGCCCATGCGGCTCGCTCGAAACCGTTTCCATACATATCATCGACCCTTACCCGACATCTACGTTTGTTTGAAGCCTGTTGCTCAACATCCTGCCGATCAGTTCTTCCCGCCTTCGATGTCACACTAAGACTGTCTACGCCAACCCAACCGGCTCCTGTCGCGTCCCACTAGTCGCCTTCGACTGCGCCTTTCCCAGCGCCAGGCCGATCCGCAGATCTCGCGATACACTCACAATCAACACAACATGTCGTTCTTCAAGCGATTCGGAGGCAGCAAGACCTCACAACGGTCTTCTGGATCCGACAACGAGTCGAGCGCAGCCAGCTCGCCAAAGGGCAGCGGCGAGGGCGCCGGCCTCACCCTCACAAAGACCACATCCTCCTCCAGACTCGGCCGTGTGTTCTCGGGCGGCTTCCGCTCAAGAAAGCTCTCAAACAAGGGTGCATACGCCCACCTTCACAAGCCATTCACCCCCGAAAATCTCGAGCACCAGAAGATTCTCAATGCGTTCGAGTGGAACTTCGGCACCAAGAGAAATAGCTTCGACTCAAGCTTCAGTGGCATCAGCCCTTGCACATCCCGACGAGGGAGCATGTCAGACGGCGAGCGATCACTGCCACCGTTCGACTGTGCCGACCTGAGCGCCCGCATCAAGAAGAGCTCCATGGACGACGAAGATGTCGCCCCTGACGCCATGCCCTCCAACTAGACTGCGGCCATGACGACGAACTGTCCGGTTTTATACTGAGGCTTCTGTCAACCCAACAAAGACAGACATTCCAACCTTTTACACAAGAGCGACCTACTTTAGGCGGAAGACGCCCATGCAAGCATTTACGACGGAGTTATTCACATACATCGGGATACGTGGCGTTCGGCGCCAATTGTTCATCATTTACGACGCGGCCGGTCGGCCGCCATACATAATGCACCATCACGACCAACTACTACATCACGCAGCGACACATGCGGCGTGGCGGGAGAAAAGTTTCTTTCATTCTTGGAATAGACAAAAGAATACCTCATTCCCCTTTCGGTGTGGGAACAATGGGGGAGGACGGAGAAAACGCGGCATTGAGACAGAGTTGCCTAGACCCAGGGCGAGCGGCGCGCCACCTGGCGAATCTCGTTCCTGATGCCCACACTTGTCCTCTTAGAGAGACGCCTCCATGCATATAGACATGCTCGCGAGCGAATCAAAAAGATACTCCTACCACACCAACCATGATTGACCAATGAACACGTGCGCGTCCCCTTCTCTGAAAACCTTGTCGTCTATGGTAGTCACGCGGCAGCTTCCTGGTCAATATCTTTATCTTGCGATATCGGACCGACATGTGATGCACTTCGGACTGGTATCTATGGTACTAGGCAGTCTAGTAATATCTGCTATGGAGAAGATAAGAAAAGGAAAGTATTGCCTCAGCATTTTCAGTGTAAAGATGGTACTCCTTGGGATAAACCCCCACAATAGGAGGGAATACACCTCATAGACTGTGTAAAATGGTGTCATCATCGGCAGACCTACCGTAAGAGAGAACAGAGAGAAGCAGTCTTGCGAAAACTCTCTTCCGTCGCCAGCGACGCGCAAACGCACTGCGTAGCGACGACTCTTGTTGCTTACTTTACCTGGTCCTCAACGCTCAGAGACTCACTTGAGTCCAGAGTGCAGATCAGGTAAGAGGGCCCTGTGGTAACTACAAGCCCGGCGGCCATTCAGGTAGCCCATGATGCGCGCGCGGCTGTTGGAGATGCAGTGCATGCGAACAAAGTGGCCTTTCAGTGAAGGCGCAGGTGAATGCAGAGGATGGGAACTCGCGGTGTCAGCCTCTCCCGTCACGCGTCTTTTCAATGAGGCTCCGTGCGATAAGACCACTCCAGGCAATCGGCATCCCAGCAGCCTCTGATTTCCAGCCGTCTTGGTCGCTGCACGTGACCGATCCACTTTCCAGATCACCACTGGCCAATCACAGCCTTCTCGAGAAGAGAAGGAGCGCACGGGCCAAGCACTTTCCCACAGCTGCCCTAATTAAGCGAAAAACCCAAGGAAAAATCCTGGCTGGGGCTGGGAGGGACGACTGGCACCATCGAAAGTGGCCTGCTGCTCCTGCTACTCAAGATCCCGTCACTCCACGACATCCCCTCGATCGACAACCAAGGTAAGGCAACAGTTCGACAAGACAAGGTTGCCCATCATGTCGCTCGTCTCCAGTGAGAAGACGAACTTCCAGTTCGTAAGTGCCGCCTGCCACGCATCCCGAACTTCCCCGACCCGAGCACGATTGCGCGCATCGCCGCATTTCATCCCGCGGATTTTGCATGATGCATCCGTAACCGCGACGAGGAGAGAGGAGGCAGTTCAGCAATGATGAAATTACAAAGCGTGCTAACGTTCCGCTCTAGATTCTCCGTCTCCTCAACACGTAAGCTCATCACCTGCACCGCACGATCTAGCAACGATTTGCAATTGCGACATACCTGATCTCGAGAGGATTTTCACCATTCTAATTCTCATCAAATAGGAACGTTCGTGGCGAGGAGAAGGTTATGTACGCCCTGACCCGCATCAAGGGTGTCGGTCGTCGCTACTCCAACTTGGTCTGCAAGAAGGCCGATGTTGACTTGAACAAGCGGTATGCACACCCCCTAAACCACGACGACACATGACCACATTGCGGGAAGCGTCTTTGAGCACGACCGGGACAAGAGGGAGCGGACGTGGAAATATTCAAGAACCAACCGTGGTGGCATGATGTCGAAATGTTTGGGAAGGTCACCAGGCTAACAGGAGGTTGTGTCATTACAGTGCCGGTGAGCTCACCTCGGAAGAGCTCGAGCGTATCGTCACCATCATCCAGAACCCCACCCAGTACAAGATCCCCGGCTGGTTCCTCAACAGACAGCGCGACATTGTCGACGGCAAGGACTCGCAGGTCCTCGCCAACGGTGTCGACTCGAAGCTCCGTGACGACCTCGAGCGCCTCAAGAAGATCCGCGCTCACCGTGGTCTCCGCCACTACTGGGGCCTCCGCGTCCGCGGCCAGCACACCAAGACCACTGGCCGCCGCGGCCGGACCGTCGGTGTCTCCAAGAAGAAGGGTGGTTAAGCGTTTTCGCCACACATCATACAGTACCGAAGGGCGTTGGAGTTTTATTACATCTTTGGTTCAGATCATTCATCAATGCGGATGAAACATCACAACAACACATGGCGTGAGGGCTGGACTAGGGAACTTGAAAAAAACAAAACTCTTTTGTTGGGACTTGCAGCGGAAGAAGAATACTGGTCAACACAAATCAAGAAAAGTCTGGGAATGCGGCCTGCTCGCTGTATCCTGTCCCGCACTGGGCGGATGTGGCAGCATGGTCATGCACAGCATGGGTGCACTAGGGTGTGTGCTCTTCCTACAATTACGAGTCCATCGCCTTTATGAAAAAAATACAAAGAATCAAAAACAACCTGGTCGATGTGTGAAATGCATTACTTGTGAAAGTCGCGTCAGACGTTTCGCGCCTCTGAATACTGTAAAAGAGATCTCGTCAGAAGGGAATACTCATCGTCTCACTTAGATCAATTGAGACGCAGACTTGGTGGGCGTTGCTCAGCAACACTTGCAGGCTTTGGCCTTTCTTAGTCACGCGGATACATGTTGTTTGTGGCCACAGACCAGCGAGTGTAGACTTTTGTCACGTGTGATCAATTCTGTAATTCTTTCGGTTGGCAATATATGAAACTATGAGGGCATGCTATGTCTTAGTAAAAATAGAAACACCGAAAAGGGTATCTTCATCAACCATTTTATTCTTGTCCCGCTCCCGGACGCCTACTCAATGTCCTCCTCCGGACCTTTCTTTTGCGCACTTTAATCCTCATGAGTAACAGCCATATCCAGCACTTCGACTCTGCCCTGTCCTTTTGTATGCGTGCCCACAAAGTCAGAAAGCCCCTTGAATGCTCCCGGCTCGACGAATCCGACAACCTCCCACTCGCTGCCCACCATGTCCTGATTCTCGATCTGCTCAATATAGCTGAGGATCTTGTCCTTGACGGTACCCGGGGCCTTCTGCTCGGCCCCTCCGTCCTCGGCGGCATCAGTGGACGACTTGGCCGCGTCGCCTTTGACGGCCTGCTTCAGCGCGCTCGTCGTGCATGTCACGCGCAGCCGCATCCGCGCGCGGGTTACAGGGATCGGTTGGTGCGCGATGAGTGCCTTCATGGCGTCCAGCGCTTGCGACTTGGCGGACTTGGTTGTCACCACACCTGTCCATGTGTGCTCGCGAAGCTTCGAGGAAGGTATTGGCTTGGCCTCGCCGTCGTCGCCGGTCGCCGGCGTCGCTGTGCCGCTACCCGTTGCGGAGTTCCCTCCTTGTGACGATTGTTGCTGTTGTTGGTGCGCCTGTTGGCTGAGCATGTCTAGCGCCTTTTCAATCATGCCTGTCGTGTATACCCGCTTCGTCCGAGGGTCGACCAGTTTGCTGGCCACTATGCTGATGACCTCGTTGTGTACCCTGTCCATTTGCGCTGCTCGTTCCTTCTCGCCGACTTGCAGCTCTCCCTTGTTGAGAATCTCGAGGATGATCTCGTCGGTCGTGGTCTTCTTGCCAAACGCCTTCTCAAGGTCTGCCGTCGGCGCAGTTTGACCCTTGGACACGTTGAGGAAGACGTTGGGGATCTGAAGCACCTCATCAAGATCCTTCTCAATGCCGGATCGCCACTCAAGGACCTTGTTCTTGTAGCAAGCGATCTCGAAGCGCTTCTTGCCCTTCTTGAGCCGTACCAAGGACACGTTGGTCAGCTTGATCTGATTCGAGGGCTGGTTGATCATGCGCGACATGGTGGTCGATAGAAGAGGCACAGGCTCTTAGGAGGTGGTTGTAAATGATCTGGGAAGTATGAGGAATGACTTCGGAAATGCTGAAAAACCGTGACAAACTCCTACTTGGGGGGATGCGTACAGGGTATGGTGTTTAATCAACGTCTAGAAATGTGTATGGTGGTTCCGTCCCTTTGGAGGGTATGACGACTTTTTCGCGTGCTGTGTCACCCCGCCCCCACTCGAACCTGGCAGTGCCGATTAGATAATGGGCTGTGGTCCTGAGGCCGGCGGAGGACGATGCTGACGCTCAATCACTCTGATTCATGCTTAAAGCTGAGAGACGGAGCTGTGTGCCGTGGTGCTCCATAACCCAAAACGCATGTCCTCTGGAATGCCCTCCTAGTACGTGTAGCTTCTTCCTTTAGGACGGCGCTGAGATGGGACTTGAGAAGGATCTCATCATCCTAGTCGCAGACCTGACTGATGCAGTCCGAGACTAGCCGCGACGACATCGAATTTGTGGCCCGCCCGCACCAATCTGTCAGTCATGGAGCGAGCCGTGGTGATCTGCAGTATGTGCTGACTCTGAAGCAGGCAGCAGCAGGTGATGCTTCACGACAACACAGACCTGACATGCGATGGCGAGTAATGCATGCACAAGACGCGCGCCGTGCCGTACCTGCATGGATCTGTATGACGGTCGTACAGTACACAGATACCCTGGCGCACGAGGCCGCGGGAATGCGATGCGCAATGGGCAGGCCGTGGCTGAAACCACATGACTTGTTGCGTTGGGGGCGGGTTGCTGTGGTGAGTGGGGAGTGCCTGAGCGGCCAAAGCCGCAGGCGGACAACAATAGGCGGGCGGCCAGACGATGACGCATCTGGGATGCTTATCGCGTCGAATCAGGCAGGCACGGCCACGCTACTGGTTGTCCTGGCAGGCACCCTGTGGGCAGCTGCGACAGCACGAGCCCGCGGACCGGGGCCCGGCGCACCAGCGTCTGGGGCAGCTCTGCTAGCTCTCGCGGCGCCCGCCCGACCTTCTCCAGCTTCCGCATCTCGCTCTCCATCCTCCTCCATCTCCCCGTCTCTCCCTCTTCTCTTTCCTCCCCCATCATCACCAGAGCTGACGGCGTCATACCCATCTCTCTGCTCATCCATTCCTACCATCCCATCCATCCCCCCATCTACCACCTGACCCTCGTACCCGTCATCGTCATCATGAAGGCGGCTACCTCGGCCCTCCTGCTGGGCGCCTCGACGGCCTTGGCCCACCAGGACCAGCATGTCCTGGGCGGCCACAACGTCCCGGCGTTCGACTACAACCATCTTGTCAACACTGCTCCTGAAGCGGCCAAGCCCATCGTCGACGCCGTCAAGAAGCCGTGGGAGGCCATCGAGAAGGCCCTCGGCGACGTCCCTACCCAGGCCAAGGATCTGTGGGACGAGATGTCCCTCCTGGTCCCCGGCTTCATGGAGAAGGCCGCCAACATGATCTCGCACCCCAAGCCCCACACCCGCCGGCCTGACAGCCACTGGGACCGCATCGTCAAGGGCGCCGACATCGAGAGCATGTGGGTCGAGACCGATGGCGTCAAGCACCGCAAGCTCGAGGGCAACCTTGAGGCTTACAACCTGCGCGCCAAGAAGGTCGACCCTTCTGTGCTTGGCGTCGACGATGTCAAGCAGTACAGTGGTTACCTCGATGATGAGGCCAACGACAAGCACCTGTTCTACTGTGAGTTTTGTCTGCCTCTCCAGACCAAATCTTGAACCGACCTGCTAACACATCCGTCAGGGTTCTTCGAGTCTCGCAACGACCCCAAGAACGACCCCGTCGTCCTGTGGCTCAACGGCGGCCCTGGCTGCTCGTCTATGATGGGTCTCTTTATGGAACTCGGCCCCTCGAGCGTCCAGAAGGACGGCACGCTCAAGCGCAACCCGTACGCGTGGAACAACAATGCCTCCGTCATCTTCATCGACCAGCCTGTCAACACTGGTTACTCGTACAGCAGCAACCCTGTCTACAACACCGTTGCCGCTGGCAAGGACATCTATGCCCTCCTGACCCTCTTTTTCCACGACTTCCCCGAGTACGCCAAGCAGCCTTTCCACATTGCTGGCGAGTCGTACGCCGGTCACTACATCCCTCAGTTCACCCACGAGATCCTGTCCCACAAGAACCGCAACATCAACCTCCAGAGCATTGCCATCGGCAATGGTCTGACCGATCCCTTCACTCAGTACGCCGAGTACCGCCCCATGGCTTGTGGTAAGGGTGGCTACCCTGCCGTTCTCTCCGAGAGTGAGTGCCAGTCCATGGACAACGCTCTTCCCAGATGCCAGAGCCTCATCCAGGGCTGCTACGACTCCGAGAGCGTGTGGAACTGCGTTCCCAGCGCTATCTACTGCAACAACGCCATGATCGGCCCCTTCCAGCGCACTGGCTACAACGTCTATGATGTCCGTGAGAAGTGCAAGGATACCGCAAACTTGTGCTACACCGAGACAGCTTGGATTGCTAGCTACCTCAACCAGAAGAAGGTCATGGATGCCATTGGCGCCGAGGTCAACGACTACGAGAGCTGCAACACCGACATCAACCGCAACTTCTTGTTCCAGGGTGACTGGTCCAAGCCGTTCCACCGCCTGGTTCCCAGCATCATCAAGCAGATCCCCGTCCTGATCTACGCTGGTGATGCCGACTACATCTGCAACTGGCTTGGCAACAAAGCCTGGACTGAGGCTCTTGAGTGGCCCGGCAAGAAGGCCTACAACTCTGCCAAGCTTGAGGACCTCACGGTTGACGGCGACAAGTACGGCAAGGTCAAGACCAGCGGCAACTTCACCTTCATGCAGATCTTCCAGGCTGGGCACATGGTCCCTTTCAACCAGCCCGAGGGCTCTCTGGACTTCTTCAACCGCTGGATCGGTGGTGAGTGGTACGCCTAAATGGCTTGCCGCAGTGAGGGACTCATATCATAGTACTGCATGTTTTTTGGGCCTCGCGGCGTTTTAGTGCTTCAGCAGCCAGCTAGGACAGACAGCGCATTGGCCAGTAAGGGGGCCTCTACAGCAAGAGCATACGGTGCTGGCATGCACTTTTGGATTCGGATACATTGACAGATTGAATGATCAGCATTATGAAAGTACAGCTATCGTAATGTGTTCGCTGCAGAAGATTGTGTGTATATATGCCAGAATGTCACAACAGATAAATTACGAAGGCCTCGATGCAACAGCCAGGAGGTTCCGTACTCAAAAAACATTGTGAGGAATCAATCTTGTCAACCAACGCACCTGACGCCGTGTGGCGAAAGGGTCCTGGGCTCAAGATCCACGCGTGGAAACGCTTCGTGGACCGAGCAAGGCGGGAGACCGGTTGCGAAAGCTATCTAGTGTGATCGGACTACCGCGCCGGCGTGTTCTGATCTGATCGATGGGAACCTACTGTGACTGCAGAATGGAGGGAACTGTCTGAACAGAACCCGGATTGTCTTTTGACGATATCTGAAGACCCATCTGCTCCTGCCGCGACATCGGAGTTTTCATTTCGATGACGTTGCTGCTAGCTGGTGTGCGGTTGGTCTGCTTCACGGCGCTGTGTCCAGGCGCGGGAATGGCGTGTAGCCAGCCGATCGTAGCTGCGCGTGCGCGCATAGAAGGAGAGATGGAAGAGGAGGGAGTGTCGTGTACTGAAGAATTTCTCGTGAGAGAGATTTGGGAGCGGAGTGTTTCCACTCTGTGGAGCAGGGGGGTTGGGGGCGGAAAGGAGATGGACAGCTGGCAGGCACTTTGGCACTTGTCAGGCTCACTTACACAGACCATCACGCCGGCGTTGACGCAGCACCCGCAGCGATAATATCCAATGCTGAGGTAGACGTTCGGCAGACAAATAATGTGAGCGAAGCAGATTGTCAATTTTGGTAAGCTCAAGCTAGCATGAGCTTATTCCTTGCTTCTCTTTCTTACTGAGGAACACCCGTTGGCTTTTTTGAAGGCAACTGGTGCAGAAGCTCACTCTCCAAACTGAGGATGTATCGACGATAGAAGCGAGGTCCTCGCAAGAATTAGAGACATGCGGCCTTGGCTGAATATATGAATAATCAATCGTATCTCTTCCCTGTTCATGAGGCTGTTGCGAGGTGGAATGTTGCTACTTGCGTTATGCCTGTATCAATTGGCTAGGAAGGAACGATGGCGGGATGGAGGAACTCGCGTGGACGAGCACTTTGGACGACAAGAGTGCCATCACGCTCCAAAAAAACTATCTTGTCTCCGTCAGTCAACACAGACTATTGACGCGATTCTGCGGCTCCGGTCCGAAAAAAGACATCCCCACGTTCCACAGTGAGATACACTTAACGAGAGTATTGGCGCTGGTTGAATAAGTACCGTTCCACGCACGGCCTCTTTGGCCGCTCCCTTGCTTGTCTTTTTTTGAAATTCACGTCTCACCAAAAGATAATCCAAGAAGACCAAAGTATTGTGGCCCAGAAACATTTGGTGCCCCAAGAGTTACACTATGGCTCGAAAGCATTGCATCACGTCTCTCCGCAAGAAGCTCCGTCGCACTCCCAGTGACAGATTGCCACTCAAGATCATTACTTTGTTTTGGCCGTTTGCCCTGATCTTTGCCCTGCTCAGATTGCCCCTCGGTATGTGCATCATCTCGGGACGGAGTCAAGTGATCGTGGCTACTTAGTGTATTGACAAATCTTTGTGCAGACTCGCTCGACCCGCACCGATGCAATGCATTGCTCAAGTCCGGCACTTGGGTGCGGCATCCATCAGGTCCTACTGAGATGCAGCGTTGGCAACCAGCTGGGTGTCAGACGCATGATTACAAGACGGATGAGCTTCGCCAGTGTTTCGATGGCCACAAGATTGTGCTTGTCGGTGATTCCACAGTGCGTCAGCTGTACGTGGAAATTGCAAAGCGGTTCGACATCCATACGTACCATAAAGCTGCCTGGCACCGTCACCAAAATCTGGATTTCCAGAGTGAAAATGTGACCGTGGAGTTCATCTGGGATCCGTGGTTGAACAGCACACAGTCCTTGTCCAGAATGGCTGTCGACTCGGAATCACATTCTCACAAGGTTTCCGCAGATCTAGCAGATCCCAGCGCAAGAATACCTATTTCGCTTTTGGTCGCCGGCAGTCCAGGTCTATGGGCTACTCGCTATGGAGGAGAACAATACATGGATATTTTCAAGGACCGTCTGGACCAGGCGCAGAACCTTTTTGCAACAATTTTCGGTCAATCATGGGCACCAAATGAGCTCGGTTACAATATGCGCATACCTCTCGTCCTGTTGACACCAGTCCAAGTCCTCGACCATCAGCACCTTGAGGACGATAGAGCAACAACCATGACATCTCAACGCGTTACAGCCTTAAACGACTACCTACAGCAGACAGACATATCTCCTCGTGTCCTCTGGGCGCACAATATGATGCTTGACGGCATCCCAGGCAAATACCAGAATGATGGGCTCCACGTTCTCCCACATGTAGCGAACGAGAGAGCTAATCTTCTGTTCAACGCCGTGTGCAACTGGAAGCTCTTGAAGAACTCAACTACGGGCGACTCTTGTTGCACAATGAACAAATCAGGGTTATCAGCGGTTGAATTTGGATTAATTGTTCTCACACTTGGATTCGGCACACTCTCGGGCAAGAAGATTATGGGCCAAGGAGTGAAGGGAGCTCTTCAAAAGCCATATCAAACATTCCTTTGGTTTTCTATCATCGGTGTCATCGCGAGACTCATGAATGGGACCTCATTCTTCCTCAGAGAGCCACGTCAGCCCGATCCCATAGCCATCGCTTACCTGATCGCCATCTGGCTGGCCACGAGTTTGTTGTCCTAGGACGGCGGCACCAGAGACAAGTCAATCTCGAAGGCGACTCCCAATCGCAAAGCGACAACGCTCACTGGGTTTCTCTCTTCCCAGCAGTGTGAAGAACTCAAAGGTTTTATGCAAGGTGTCATCCTCGTATATCATTACTACCACGGATCACAGGTTCTCTGGATATACAAAGGTATCCGTGTGCTTGTGTCGACCTACCTCTTCTTGTCGGCATACGGTCACACGACCTATTTTCTGGCGACTGGCGATACGTCATTGCGACGCGTCGCTGTCGTGATTTTCCGGACCCACGCACTTGCTATACGCTTGATGTTGTCTGCGGGCACTACGTATACTGACTATTACTTTATACCCGTTCTGACATTCTGGTTCCTTATCTGCTGGATGAGCTTTCGTCTAAAGCAGCACAAAAATCGAATCCTTGCGCTTTTCTGTATCAAATTGGCGTTGTGCGCCTTCGCCACCGACGTATTGATCCTTACACCGGGAATCCTAGAGAAAGTTGTGGGGGTTTCAAACATGATCTTGCCTCTGCGCATCGACCATCAAGAATTGCGGTTTCGGCTGGGCTTGGAGCGCTACATTGTATACGCCGGCAGTCTTCTGGCTTACACTGTTCACAAATACCGTGGAGTAGACGACCACGAAGGTTTCGTGCCGATGAGGAGCGATTTCTTTGTAAGCTCAGAGCACCATCCGGCGTTCAAGACCAAATTTCGCAGACATACCATTGCTGCTGCAGGCACACTTATACTGCTCTATGGTGTTGTCTTATGGTTCACCACGGAGAAAGGCGACTATAACCGGGCCCACCCCTTCATCTCTTGGATCCCAATCTTGTGCATCGTAGGCCTACGTAACATGCATGCGTGGGTGCGAGGCTCGCATATGCGACTGCCAGCTAAGCTGGGGCGCCTATCACTTGAGACATACTTGTTGCAATATCACATGTTGCTAGGGGACAATGCTACGACACGGCTGCGCATTGGACTGTTCGACCACGCCGAAAATCGCTGGAGGCTTTCTTCAACTGCTCGATGGGCGACGAAGCTTGAACCGGTCGTCCTAATTGCTAGCTTCCTTGCCTGGGCTATGCTTGGTCACGAAATTACCAGAAACCTCACAGAAGCAATCTTTCGGTTCTGGCCGAAGAGCACGCCAGCTCGCGCGCCAGGTTCGCAAAACATCAGGGCAGAGTCGTCCAAGAATACGCCATCTGCGCAAGTGGCAACTGATCTTCACGGCTGAGCTGCATCGCTGCCAAGCTCGTGATTTGGGGTAGCACTGGTTTTGGAATCAAGGCGACCAACCAGGTCGGCGTCAACCACCTCACCCAGTCGCCTTCTGCCCTGTAATCTGCACAGATAATAGTGTAGGGCGACCAATCAGGCAATCGACATTACCCTGTGTGTCGTTATTGTGGTAAATATGCACGGTCAACTCCCGAATGTACAGCACTACATGATCCTCGTGTTGGCCCAAGCAGCAATGTGCTCCGTCCATGAATTTTCCACATGACACCCAGGGCTCCATTAACTTGACGCCGATCTTTATTATCGCAACCGACCTCCTGCTATTATTTTCTGAACTCCCGAAAAGCCGGCGCCACCTCATGCCCTTCAACTTTTGTCACTTCAGAGATTCTGACATTGTTCAAGCTGGCAACGAATTGCCTTAGTTGTGCGTCATCTTCGTTACGACCACTATCACATCTGTCAGCTCGCACTCAGGGTACATGATGAAGTCACCTCGCTGGTACCACCATTGCAACTGTGCTCCCTCCATTATCGCAATTTTACGCTACTCTCGAGCGCCCGCCGCGTGGTTGCGACTTGCCTGTCGGAACGGACTGGTGCAGCACATACCATTATGGTCGTACATGTGTATGTGGGATATTGGGGTTGGACTGAAGTGACCCTGGCTGCAATACAGCTTGTGTAGGTTTGGTGTGGCAAAAGGGGACTGATTATTGGGCGATATCATGTGGTTTGTCGCCGGGAATAGTCAGATTGTTCTAGCGTCACACTGCATATGCTAGACGTTTTGGTGCCCTGATGCGAGTTCCGGCAAGTATTAAAACTACTGCAATAATCCATGTTGTTCTGATATGCCGAAGACTACTGTTCCCATATTACCCGGCAAGACCTTCAGGTTTCTTTACAGCCCAGTAGGCAAACCATCCAGGCGCTCTGACAATGACGGAGGGGTGAGATCAAACAGCCAAGGCAAAACCTCAAACCTTGGCTCAAGCTTTAGAGACTTGGACGGACTTGAGAAAAAAGCAAATCAAATAATCCCTGTTTTGCAGGCCGGACGCTGGAGCTAACGATGCAGAACGGATGCCCGCCCGGAGACTTGCATCTGCACAACGTGTGCCCCCCTTGCGACCGACCCCAACGGAACAATAGCGAATGAGAATAAGACCAGACAAACGTGGTCAGGCTCAACAAGTTGTTCCGGGATATGCCGAGCGCGGCAGACGCTTGTGGTGTAGAGTGGCACTGCGGCGGGAAAAGCCTCTGTCGGACGGGAGATGGATGTTTGACGAGACACTGACGGGAAGATAAGATGCCTTGTGAATAAGTAAAAATTATCATGGCAACAAATTATCTTGTCAACGATTACGAAATTGTGTCTTCAAAAATCCACTTCGCTAGCCGGGATCCCAACAGTACAAGGCTATCCGAAGCTGTCCCGAGCCCAGCATGGATACAATAGAGTTGAAGGCTAGGCGAGCGACATGAAATTGGGGGATGAACGGCAAAATCGAATTATTGCTGCACCTAATAAGAAATGATCCCCCCTTTCAAGAACGGCGACAGGAAGAACACCCTTGTACATGGCACGCTTGAATGCAGCATGGCTCGACGATTGGTACGGCTGAAGAATGATCAACTAGCTCAGCCTCGCGAGAGCATACATGCCACGCCCGCCCTACTCTCACAGATCATCCCGGCTATTGCCGAATATGAAAGGACTCGCTCTCGAGAGCTGCTCCTACCAAACCATGACCTCCAACAAGGCAACTCATTGAGCCTATGCCGCGATTGTTTACACGTTTAGCGAGGCACTCTGCTTGGCCGTGGCCACACGGCTGATGAGTCAACGACAGCGCAAGCCGCGCACAGAAATTGGAGCATGGGACTCACCGACAAGCCTCACCAGAACCCCCACGTGTTCGACTTAGGGACCATGCATATGGCTGCTTCAGCACAGCACATCACGAAGGCGTCCAATTTATGAGGTGATAATTTTGAAGTCTCCAAAATCTGGCACCCTTCCGATTGTTGGTGTCCACACCCCCACGAGCGAATAGTTTCTGCATGTGTTCCATATCGAGAACCGGTGAAGAAATAAACAAAAAAAAGCTCATGTTGACAAGTAGCACACCTGCGGCCATCATGAGCATGACATGAGCCTGCAGCTGACGCTCTTTCTCGGAGGACCGATCAGTGCATGATTGTAGCGTCGGCAGAGCGGCCGGAGAAGTCAATGTCGACCTCCACGGTTGGAACCTTGCCCGATTGCGAGATCATGCGGAAGAACGGAGCCAGGCTGTCACCGCTGTATGCTTTGACGTCGTATTTGACCGCCGAGTCACCGCTACCTGCAGAGCGGATCTTGGCCGTGAGGATGCCGCCGTTCCACCACACCGTGACGCTGTGCCTCTGCTCGTACGGGCTCGGTCTGGGCATCCCCGCCGCAGTTGATACAACAGCACTGCCCTGCAAAGTCGTGCCTGCTGCTACTTTAGCTGCTGGGCTACCGCTGCTGCTGTCGCCGTTGGAGCGTGCGCCACCATCATCAGCCAGGGTTGACCCGTCTTCGTGATCCATGCCCGATGCCGTGGTCGTGATGGGCATTTTGGGGCTTTTCTGCTCGACGGCCTTTGCGGGGGTGACCTGCCCAGGGAATGCAGTCGGATACTTGCGGCAGTAATCTAGAACAGCAACTTGCAGCGCCTTGATGCCGGCTGGAGACCGAGCAAGGAACTGATGCTGACCTCGCCCCTCCCAGTTTGCGCTGAAGACTATATCGAATACTCTGTCTTCAACGGACAGCGGCGAAGGGACAACTGCGTTGGGCCGGTGAGAAGGTATAGGAAGGGGCGGGCCTTGCGGACCTCTGAATCCCGTGGGTTTTGGCGGCGGCTTCGCCAACGCCGTGTGAACGCGAGCCCCTTGTCCGTGAAGCTGAGTTTGCTTGGGCTGAGCCGGCCCCAGCAAGCCATGCCGCTGTGGCTGGCCGCGATGTTGCACTCCGGACCCGGGGGCAGCGGAAAACAGTCCCCGTAGTGCGTGTGAATCGCGACCAGCATTGGGGGCGGCCGTGGCTACTGCAGGAGGACAGACTAGTGACGACACCATCGGCCGTGCTGCAGATACCGGAGTCTGCAGTGTCCTGTGACCTGCTGGCGCATTCACCGCAGCCGTCATTCGCTGAGCCGGACTGCAATTAGCTGTGGTGGCTGCTCTCTGCCTCGTTCCCGCCTGCGAGAGGCGGCATAAACAAGGCAACCCGTCTGCAGCTCGCGCGGAATGGCTGCTTGGGCGAGAGGCGGTGCCAGTGGCCAGCGTTTTCGATCCGTTGGGGGTGCTCGCCTCGCTTCCCCGACGGGTGGTAGCTGGCGTGGACACTTGTGCGGCATCGTCATCAGTGTCGCTGCCCTCTTCGTCTTGCCAGTCCGCCATGGCAGTGTCGTCAGATGTCTCGGACAGCACATCGTAGTCGCTGAGCCAGTCTTCATCGTCGCTGTAGTCTCGTGGAGCAAGCCTCGGGCGACGATTTGAGACATGATGCTGCACACCGTGACCACCCCTGTGGCAGTGTACCGTCCTCATCGACTTGTCGTGTAACGACGCCAGAGCACTGTCCAGATCGCCTGACGGGTCAGAGCAGACAACCGTGCCGGGAGCCACGCCTCGAACCATGGCACAGGCAACGATCTGCCCCGCTGGGCTTTTCTCTGTGATGATCATGATATGGCTCGGGGGCATCTTCATGAATAGGGCACAGTTGTCTATTTCGGAAACCACGTAAGCATGGACGGACTTTGCGTAGAGAAGAGCTCGCTACTGGCAGATGACTTACCTATGATCATCTCCCGAAGTGGTGAGTAGTGCCGCAGGGGGCTCATGGTCGTGGTTGCTGCCATTTCGCTGTTTCAAGGGCAAATGCAAGTCGTCGTGATTGTCTGCCACAAATTGGGGGTGCCAGGTTTCTCCCCAAGGCGCGGTCGAGAGAGCTGAGGAGGGGGGAAGAAAGAGTTGGAAAGAATGCATTGAGCCGTGTAGATATCGTTGTCCATCTTTACAAAGTACTTATACTCTCGCTGCCGCTGAGTACGTCTCGGCAACGGCGACTTGCCGTGAGGCTCTGCTCGCCTATGCAGGTCCCCATGATAGGCCGGGAGCGGCCAGCCTCGAGAGTGCAGGCTGCTCTTGCATCGAGCCTGTCCCGTTACCGTAGATCTACATGAAGCCAAGCTTCCGTCAAGCTGTCTGCTCAAAAAGGCTGCCCCAACCAACCAGCCTTGCGCGGTTCAGTCCAGGCGAAAATAAGACGGCACAGGGCGGAAGTCGCGTGTTGCCCAAGTCTCATCCCCGTGGTCATGCTGCCGAGTCGTGGGTGATTTCCATTGGCCAGTGTTCGCTTGAGAAGGAGCGGCCCAACCAGAGTTCCTTATCGAATGGTGAGGCGAACCGCTGCAACCTTGCGAGACACTTGGGTGCTTCCGTGCCGTCTGGCAGCTTTCACTGCGAGATGCCACGCGTACGACAATGATATTCGTGTTTGTTGGTTTGGGTGCCCAGTAGCACTCTGTGCTCTCGTCTTCTACTCTGCCTCGTAAAAGCCCCATCACATTGGTGTCTACGCCCGCTGGGATGACTTGCTGTTCCCAACGCCAAGGTCGCCGTCCTCGCCATCCTCGCCTCGATTTGGGGGATGCCGTTTATTCGTCGAAGCTGGTCAAAACATCCTTGCGCAAATTGGAGAATTGAGATGGGCAGTGGATCGGCAAGGGATCTGCCAACCCTATAAGGTCAGACTTGTTGGAGATCATGAGGCCATACAGGGCAAGTTGCCTTGCTTGCTTCCATGGTGAATTTTGACGTGATATCTGTTGCTTCAACTATGTCCTTGATTGGTTCTGCAAGCCCCCCCTCGAATCATGCGCTCCAGCCTTGCTTTTGCTGTGTTCCAGAGAGTGACAACTATTCTACAACGCCAACTCAGTTTGTTACCGTCAACCTTTCCAGTCGTGACTTGACCGCCTCTAATAGCATGCTCTCTCTTTCGAGCAGGCTCTTAACTTGGGTGACCTTGGCTTTCCGCAAGTCCGATGGGACACGCAGATCGCCCTTCGCTGGGCTTGGTGCAGCGTCGTCCTCGGTGCCATTGCCGCCTAGCTTTTTCGCCTCGTCGCTCAGCTCCTCGCCCAGAGCCATGGCATCATTGTACCTCTGGATTGTTTGTCTGAGTTTGGGAGGGCCTTGGGCCGCATCGTCACCGCCCAGTATTGTGGACCCGAGCGTCCTGACTTCTGTGACCCAGGACTTCTCCTTGTCACTGAGCTCTCGACTGGTCGCTTTGCTGACCTTGCGACGCATAGCCTCCAGCCGGGCTTGTAGTTGTTCTCCTCGAGCCTGTGCTTCCTGTATCCTCCTCTGAATGGCTTCATCATTGGTCTCTGTGGCGCCGTCCTCATCCTGCTCATCGTCGCCGGTGACGGCCTCAACCCTTGTCTTGACTTCATTCGCCTTGATGATCTGCTGCTTGAGCTCGTTCTGGAGCTTCTCGCAGCGCCTGAACAGTTCAGCCGCGGCAACACCAAGCCTGTATGTCTCATCGCTAAGGATCTTGTGGCTGTCCGTAAACACTTGCAACGTAGCAGGCGAGCAGCGCACCTCCTGGTTCACAAGCGCCTTGTAGCGACTAGTCCGAAGTTTCTCAAGCAAAGCAGGCAGTGTCGAGCTCTCATCGAAGACGTGAGATGGTTGAAAGACTGGACGTGGCTCGTAGAAGTCGAGCGGCTGTACCTCGGCGTCCTTATCAAACGCCGGGGACACTGAACGAACAGGCTGGAACTCGTCTTCTGGGACGTCAAATGCCATGGCCACCGGCTCGTACGGTGTGGCTGACAGGAGAAAATAGCCAAGATCCGGATCGCGGATGGCAACCGCTGCCGCCAGAGGAAGGTGGGAGTCGCCACGTCCTTGATTGGCATACAAGCGCTCTCTGGTGGAGCTTTGCCCGCTCACAAGAAGGTCGATCCTGAAGTCCGATCCGGCTTCTGAATCGCCCTGCAGTTCACTCTCCAATCGGAAAACCCAGGGCGAGAGTGAGACAAGAGTAATCGAGGATGGGTGCGTGACGTAGAATGAGTAGCGAGAAGTGACATCCGGGCTGAACACTGGCCAGCCATTTTCGGCATCATCAACCGCAGTCAGAATATCCATAGTCTGGAAGGTTAAGAGCGAAGGTGGTATCGTGACACGTCCCATGATCTTGGATTTGTTCTGGGGAGGTAGCCATTGAGCTTGTACGCCTTGCACGTCGAGGCAAATCCGCAACTGCCCGCTCGAGGACAGCAGGCAGATAACGGACAGAGAGAGGCCCTCTCGTTCAATATCCTCGAGCTCCAACTCTTCATCCTCGCCCATCATGAGCTCGTCGGTGTCAAGCTTCTCGCCGATAGCAAAGATATCGCTCAACTCAAGATCAAGATCCACCTCCGAGTCCGGGCTCATCTCGAGCTCGAATGGGCCTTGCAACCTTGGCACGATGCCGGGACGGGCGGGACGCTGGTAGACCTCAGTCGGCGGCTCGCCGGGAGGCCCCTCGATGATTCTGGGCTCCTGATTGTCAAGATCGCCCATCCAGTCGAGCTGTTGCTGTGCAAGCAGTCTTGCTTGTTCCGAGACTGCCGGATCGTCTTCGTTGGCTGCAAGATTTGCCACGATCGATACGGACAGAGATGGTATCAGTGTAGGAGGTGGCGCCCATAGGGTTGGCAGCAATGGACACAGCGCATAGACGTCGCCTTCACGCATTGCGATCCACAAGGTCATGGGCGACCAACCCCCAGAGCCCCTACCGGCAAAGCAAGCAGAAGCCACCTCCATCTCAAACGAGTCTGGGGTGAATCCTTTGGTCGTCCCGTCCGTTGAAGCTGAAAAGTTCTGGTCGAGGGATGTGCCGTCTGCGAGTTTCTGCAAATCGATAGTGAACGAAGGCGTATCAAAGCTCCATCGGTCGTTCTGGGAAAGTTCCCACACGCGTACAATAGCGTCCTTTGTGACCGTGACCAAGGCGGAGCCATTAACTCCCAAAGGATGCCACAGCACGGAAGCAATCGCAGACCTGTCGACGACGTGCGTGGTTGGGCCGAGCGTCCACGATTTGGGCTTGATGACTTCGATACTCGGCGCTGTCAGGTGGGACGAGTCTGGCAGTAGTATAACGCGCACGGTGTGGGTGGTGACGACCGCCATGAAGTTGGCAAATGGCGACATGATGAGCTGTTGGATGTCTCCACCAACAGGCACTTGAAGGGTCTTTCAATTCCAGAACACGGTTAGCAAGACTTAACAGAAATGGCACAGGTGTTCCACCTACACGAAAGCCCTCCGCATCATCCGACAGAGAAGGTTGGGAGATATCGTCATCGCCTGGAGCAAGGGAGCTCTCGCGCTTGAACCGGCCAGTCTCTGGGTTGCGATCCACGCCATCTTGCCATCGTTCCTTTAGGTAAACCAGATCTGCCCAACGAATCTCTTTTCCAACAGCGACGAAGACCTCTGTGCCACGCCGAGCAATCGTGCGCCGTGGTCCTGGTGGCGTGCGATTCTTGGTTGTCGAGGAGCTCCTCCCGTTGTCAAGATCCGAAGGAGCGAAGACCTCGTGACCAATCGAGGGCTTTGAGAGCCACGGGGGCGTGTAACTCTTGATTTTGACCATGGCTAGTATGCCCGTCGCGGGAGCGAATCGAGTCTTGGAAAGAGTGAATGCGTCCGTTCCAGCTCGGTGGGGGCGCAATCGTTCAGTGTCGCATGACAAGCCCACAAAGCTTTGCGATTGTTGCTGCCTCGGGGCAGGTCCGTGGTCGAGCTATGCTGAGAGCGCTGCCGAGAAGGATGCAGCGGGATGAGAGCGCTGTGAATTGTTGTTTTGGATACTTGTTGCCCCAAGCTCGGAGCTGTCGTTGACTAAGTTCTGCCAGACAGCTTGAAGCTTGCCTAGCGCAGCTGGGAAAAAATGGCTGGGCTGCCCAGTGGTTGCTGCCGCGACGCGTCTGGTAGTCGGTACCTGCCGCGCAGCTATGCCTTGGCCCGCCAGAGAAGTACCCCTTCTGATGTGTAGGGTCTGATGGGTCCAAGCGTCTCTCACTGCGCTTTCATCTCAAGCCATCTCTCATGCTCCATTCCGAGACTCACAAGACATCATATTCTGGCTTGAACGACAGGAAGAATCCACTTTTGCTTCACCGTCCCATCACAAGGCAGAACCAGATCTTACCATGGCAACAACCGCCCCTCGGCCAACCGTCGACCGGCTCGACCGACCCAGTGCATACTACAGCCAGAAGGTGCCTTCGAGCCATTCCTCTCACTTTATCAGTATGCTGACTGCTTTTCACCCGGACAGAACAGGCGGAGGCGGCCAGACCCTCGCGATCAGAGAGATGGAGATGCAGAGATGGCCAATGGCGCGGCCGAGGAGCCTGAAGACCCCCTTAGAAACGCCACCACACTTTACGTGGGCAACCTGTAAGTCGCACGGCATACACAAATCACATGATGGACAGCGCTGACGATCCGGGCACAGCTCATTCTACACGACGGAAGAGCAGGTGTACGAGCTCTTCTCCAAGTGCGGCGAGATAAAACGTCTCATCATGGGCCTTGACCGCTTCAACAAGACGCCCTGCGGGTTCTGCTTTGTCGAGTACTACACGCACCAGGACGCGCTGGACTGCATGAAGTACATTGGTGGCACAAAGCTGGACGAGCGCATCATCCGCACCGATCTTGACCCGGGTTTCGAAGAGGGCCGCCAGTATGGCAGGGGCAAGAGTGGTGGCCAGGTGCGTGATGAGTACCGTGATGATTACGACGAGGGCCGAGGCGGCCTGGGCCGGGCGCTCCAGAGCGAGCGCATGCGCGACAACGAGCGCCATAGGGAGAGAGACACCGAGTACGGCGACGACACGTATCGGCCGAGGTGAAGGGACGACGATTTGCCTATTTCGTGTACAGTATTCTGCCACAAGAAGCGAGGTCGGATCATGACAAGTTATGCGGAGGGTGGCAGGGAGGACTTTACCTGCAATCAAAATCTGAATGACGCCCCGCACACGCACTTATGGGACAAGCCCTGACATTGTTGCAACTACCGCCGAATCAAAGCCTTGAACTCCATTTATATTGATTGCTGTGGCCCTGGAAGATACAAAAGCGACCGCATCGCAGAGCACGAACGCTCCCTAGGTGTTGTAGTGTTACACCTGGCAGCCTTTTGGTTTCGCCAGTATATGTTACATGAAAAGACAATATCTCGTTTTGTTCCGCTCTCCATCCATCGACCGCCCACAATGACAACGACCAATGCTCGCTAGCCACGGCCTTGCCAGTTTAGTAACCAGGAGGATTCACTCTTTGTGACACTCTCGTCCACTTTGGTAGTTCTGTGATGGGAAAATGTGTCAGTCTCGTCCTCTTCCAGAGCCCATCCACCAACGGCAGAGTGTCCATGACAGTCCGTCGCCTTCCTTCCACACAACGCAACCGGCCTTCCACCCTCAAAATAATACCAAGAGAAAAACAACATACTGTGAATGCCCTTCCTGTATTTCTTTTCCTTGCGGTCGAACATGGTGTACTTGTCCCGCGGCAGCATCTCGGCCTCGGTGGGCATCTCGGCCTTCCACGTCTCGAGCGCCTTGAGGGTCTCGCCCTGCCGCGCGAGGGCCTTGTCGAGGGTGTCTACCACCGCGTCGACGGCCCGGAGGCGCTGCCGCTGGCGCGCCTTCTGGAAGCGGGACAGTCTCCAGGGGATCTTCCTATATCGTGGCGCAGTTCTGGTCAGCCGGGTTCCTCCTCGTATCGTCCGGGCGTGGATGGCGACAAGTCTGTAGCGGGGCAGACTTTCGAGGGGACGCGCTCGCTCAGTCCGCACACAGCATGTCATGCTGCTATAGACTGGCGAGGCCGAAGCTCCTAAAGTTGTCGTCGGGCTAGGTCGATGCATGTTACGGTGATGCAATCTGGGGAGGATCTGCCGTACCAGAGAAGACCTCCGGAGAGGCTGTTTGTCGGCCGGAACGCTCCAAACATTGTGTCTGGGGTTTTGTCGAAGGGCGTAGGTCGCTCCCTGCCAGGTGTAGTTGATCGTTGATCGTTGAATATCAGGCACGCGGTAGCCCTTCCGATGTCGACAGAGCTCAGCACCCTAGAAAATCAGCGATGGGTTTGCGCCACATGGATGCTGGACCGACTGGCAAGGTCGTGTGTGGCTCAGGACTGGGTGAGCGCAAAGACAGAAGTGGGGCCCTTTCTGGGTGCTGGACTGGAACCGCCCAGGTGCACGTCAGGGGCCGTCGAGTGGATCCGGCTCCATGCCCAGCGGGGAGCGGCCGTGAATGGCGACTTGCGACTCCACGTTCGAGGAGCTGTGATCGGGAAGCTCGTGGGATGTCCAACTTGCGCCGCCGCCGCCGATAACGACGCCTCACACAGGGCAAGACGATCCAGCAATATCCTCGAAGCTCTTCACGCACGCCAAACCACATACGAAACCTCGCGCATTCCCACAGGCACAGCATCGCCTAAGAACCTGCCGCCCCCAAAGCACACAGCACCCCTCCGGCGAGGGCACCCGACATCAGGAGCCACGACCGACCAAGACACCACCACAACCAGCCGGCAGTTCTCCCTCCCAAGTCACAATGTCATATTACTTCGCGATAATAGGCACCCAGGACAACCCGCTCTTCGAGCACGAGTTCGGTACCTCGAAGCAGGGCGGCGACGGGCAGTCCCACTTCAGCGAGCAGGCGCGCCACATGAACCAGTTCATCCTGCATAGCAGCCTGGATATCGTGGAGGAGGTACAATGGGGTAGTGGGCAAATGTAAGCACGGGGGAACCCAAAAGATGGAAGGGTGAAGCACACGGCTCGTGTGTCTTGACGAGTACATTCACTAACTTACGGTCCCCGGCCCATGGGGAGGAAAAACACAGGTACCTCAAGATTGTCGACAAGTTTTTCAACAACTACGTCTCGTGCTTCATGACGGGCAACAACATGAAGTTTCTGCTGCTCCACCAGCCCACCAACGCCGCCGCCGGCGCGGGGACCGCAGGCTCCTCGTCGCGCTCATCGACCTCGATCGGCGCGAACCCGACCTCGCCACAGGCAGAGGAGGCCATCAAGAGCTTCATGCTGGAGGTCTACGAGAACTGGGTCAAGACTCTGATGAGCCCTTTCTACTCTGTCAACCAGGAGATCCGGAGCCCCGTGTTCAGACAGAGGGTCGCAGCGGCAGGGCGCAAGTATCTGTAAGATCAAATCCGCCGTTGGAGAACGTCAATGGAAAGGGATTGGCAGTATGGAATAATTAGACAGTGTCTGTCTGGGAATAGAGCATTGCATGGCGTCTGGCGTCCAAGGATATACATTTACCTCAGGAAATTACACAAAACATTGAGTCGGCCTCGGTCGAATCATATTGATCTCAAACGACACGGGACAAGGAGCCGGGCTTGTAAACTTTGTATACAAATCCTACCAAAGACAGAAGAATCACGTTGTAATTATCACGTCATGCGAATGCAACATTGATAGCAACTGTGGTAGCACGCCCGTTCATGGGGCTGATTGTATTGTTGTAAAATTATCAAACACCAACGCCAGTACTGAATGTGTGTATCATGCCATAATGTCAAACGTCCCAGAACCCAAATATCCTCATGCTGCGCCGTATCTCGTATGTCTAGTTGGGTACTGGTATTATGTTCAGTGCCAAGGCAACCAAGTATAGGGCGACGCGATGTTGTATTGCGCTTAACCGCCGAAACCGTACAGGGTGCGGCCCTGGCGCTTGAGAGCGTAGACAACATCAAGAGATGTAACGGTCTTGCGCTTAGCGTGCTCAGTGTAGGTAACGGCATCACGAATGACACCCTCGAGGAAGGACTTGAGGACTCCACGGGTCTCCTCGTAAATCACTGGAAAGGGAATTAGCGGCGGAGCACAACAAGTAGACTGGGTGCGTTGGGAACCTACTGGCAGAGATACGCTTGACACCGCCACGACGGGCGAGACGTCTGATAGCGGGCTTGGTGATGCCCTGAATGTTGTCACGAAGAATCTTGCGGTGACGCTTGGCACCGCCCTTGCCGAGACCCTTGCCGCCCTTGCCGCCTGTGCAGAAATGAAAGTCAGCAACATGCCCAAAACCCAGTACCTTGAACTGGTGATGGATGAAGAGGTGTGTCGACGAGTCGCAGCTGACAAGTGACGATTCGAGGCCACAAAGTCACGTCGAGTATGTCTCGGCTACGCCCCGCCGCCGGCAACACAACATGGTACATGCGCCGTGCAGTGTGAAGATAAGGAGTGCGGGTACGAGATGCCAGACATGGCTGATGCGAGAGAATGATGTCACTTACGTCCAGTCATCTTGAGAGATGTGGTAGTGTGGTTATGTGATGAAGGTTGGGATTGGAGTGTGTGATGGTAAAAGTCGCGTCGTGTATGGTGGAGAGAGGAATAGGCGGAGAAGGCAGCGGAGGGGGCTCTGGGGGAATCCGGTTATATGTGACAGGGCGGTGCGGGTTACTGATTGCAGCAGGCACGCGGTGTGAGCAAGGAAGGAGCGTGCGTGACGGGAAGTGGCGCTAGTCCTGTTTGGGTGGTGCACCGGTGATGTTTGCAGACCAGCCGGGTGCAAAAGCGCACTGCAACTTGCGCCTGCTGTTGTTGACTCGCAGATGCGCGGGGTGGGACTGCTGGCGCGTTGCTTTCCAGCACGTCAGGACTGGGCACTGCGGGTGCGTGTTTTGGCTGCGCTTTCGAGCTTTCACCCGCTAGGTTTGGCTGGCCCCACTTGCAAGATCCAGCTGCGCACCCGTTCCTGTGGTTGGCTCTGATCCGGCCGCGAGCTGCCCCATCTGAAGTATCTCTTTTTTTGATTGGCTGCTTCAGGCGTGATCCCCCTGTCCAAATCGGGTTAGCTCCAATAAGCTTCACTGCTTGTCAGCTCAGCTTTCAAGCTTCCAAGGTTGGGTGCCGCTGCATTCAAAGTCGAGCTTGCAGCACAAATAGCAAGACGGCTCATCATGTACCAACCTCAGCAATGAATGCGCACAAGTCCAATCCCTCTTATGGACAATCCCTGCTAGCGGGGCGCCTGCCAAGGCCTGCCCTGTCGCAGTTCCGATTCGAAGTCAGCCTGGGTGATGCAAACATCCTGCGTGCTACGTCCAGCGCTAGCGCGGGAGCATGCCATCGGCATAATCTGTAACATGGACAATCCCATGACTACAAGAAACCAGGAAAAGAATGACACAATCATGGGAGCGCCTCGACCTCCAAAATATATTACACAGGCACAGTTGACTTGGCTGCCCTGCTTAAACCTATTTTCGTGAAACAGTCATGCTCGTTGTCGTATGGCCCGGTGGAGCATCATCCAAGGGCGCTTCCAGAAGACATTTTAACCTGAACGCCTATGCAATGCCAAACCATACCATGCTTGTAAGGAGCCCAACGGAGCGGCAGAAAACCAAGGATCCTCCAATGAGTCTCCTTTGCTTCTTGCCATAAGCCAAAAACACCGGCGCCTTGCTCAATCAACCATGCACACGGGCGGACCGCAATCACCAGGAAAAAAAACCCGCACCTTTCCAAGAGCACATGCGGTATGATTCGTGATCCAGCCAAAACCACTCATCCCATCATTGAGTCGTCGTACCCATCATCGTCGTCCTCGAGGCTTTCGATAGCTTCCTTGATCTGCTGGCTCGCCTATGGTAGTGTGTCAGCTTTGGCAGATTACGAGGAATCCTCCCTTTCGGGCGGGCGAGAACATACCTTCGGATCCAAATTCAGAGCTATCGTAAAGTGCCGCACGGCCGAGCTCTTGTCATTCTGAGTCTTGTACAGCTTCCCCAGGAGGAAGTGTACTGTTGCCTCGTCAGGGGCCAGATCCTTCAGAATCTCCAACTCTTTCCGAGCGGCGTCGAGCTGGTTGAGGGCCAGCAAAGCGCGAGCTTTTTTGTATCGTGTCTGCGCAGCATGGGGCGCAAGCTCCGTAGCTTTGCTGAAGTACTGCAATGCCGGCACAATCTTTCGCTGTTTCTCGAGAACGTTTCCAATGCAGCAGATGAGCACAGCATTGGTGGGGTTGATGTTGGACGCGGCGTCGAAGTGCGTGTACGCCATGTCGTAGTTGCCGAGCTTCTCATAGACACGTCCTATGCCGTAGTAGGCATTGTAGTGCCGACGATCCGCACTGATGGCTCGCCTGTATGCTGTAAGTGCCTTTTCATATTCCTCATTGGACACGTGCTCATGGCCCTGTAGAGTAAACGCGTAGGCGAATTTGGGATCTAGTTGAGTTGCCCTCTTGAAGCATCGTAGAGCTTGCTCATGGTCACGAGCCAGGGACCACGCATTCCCGAGAGCGCACCATGCCTGAGGGGAACGCCAGCAAGCATCCACCAATTCATGGGCCAGGAAGGATAATTCGGTCTCTCGCTTGAGAAACCATAGGATGGTCGAGTACACTTCCATGTCCTCGAAGCGCGTGGGCGCAAGGATGCGCAACCTCCGGTAGTACTTTTCGGCCTCAGCATACGCGGCCTGCTCATAGTGTGCTTTTCCCATTTGAGAGAGCACCCATGGTGTATCTTGTTGCCCACGTGGGAGCGAGGCATAGGCCGTGAGAGCCTCGGCGCCCTGAAATTGTGACTGAGCATGATAACCCGCAGCAAACTTCCGAAGAAGCTCAAGCACATATTTGAGCGCCTCCTCTACTTTAAGATTATCCGGCGTGCTTTGCTTGGGAGCTGGCTGTTGCACTACGGGCTCTTTCACCCGCGGAGCTTCCGCATGATCAACATCCATGCCGCTATCCTCAAGAGGCTTGCGATTGCCGCTTACTGCCCGTCCCACGGTGGTGTTTGCAGATATTGGACGAGCCAGTCGAGGAATCGGGGGCCTAGCCTTCTTCAGCTCTCTGGCGGGGGCGACTGACGTCGTAGTCGTGGCAGGGTGAGATTTGATGTTGGGGTTTCTGGACATGTTGATCCTGGCACTTCGTCTCTGTGGAGCGCCTGGTTCCTCTGAATGTTGCCTCGGCTGTACCGGGTGCCCGGAGACCGTCCGCTTCCTCTCAATAGCAGCAATGCCTGTTGCCGAGGGGACGCGCAAGCCTCCTGGCGCGCCATCTGAAGGCGCGTCTTCTTGGACCTTGTCGTACGCGCGGAGGGTGCGCTTCGTCCCGAGGCGATGGCCTATCTTAAGAGGCGGATCTTGAAGACCGGTATCTATGGGGAGCGTTTTCGCTCTGCGTGTCGGGGCAGGGAGCTGCTCAGAAGGTGCGTTTGGCACTCTTATATTTGAGTCAGAGTTCGACGTTGTTGGCGTTTCAGTAAGGTCAGATCCCATGTCCAGTGTTGACGTAGCCATCCTAGAGCGTGCAGCGGCAATCTTGGACAGGAAGTCGTTTTCCCCAGCGCCAAAGGGGGCCGAGCTGTTGCCGAAGAGGGAATCACTTGACGACACAGCTTTCTGAGAGTCGAAAGGATCTGCCATGTCGGCTGCCGCTTGCTGTCGCAAGTAAGAGCGCTTGCTGGCCGCTTCTGTCTGGTGGGCGATTGCGTTGTCCTTCTGTTCTGCCAAGACGCCGTTCTTGTTGCTGTCATGGCTGCAGCAGTCCAGAAAGCTTTCATTCAACTTGAAGACGTTCTGTGTGCGGACATCGACACCCATGTCACACAGAGCTGTAAACGCATCCCACATGAAGGGGTTCGCTTTCAGAGCCTCCTCGAAGCTAATGACCGCCTTCTTCTTCTCGTCGCGTGCTCGGTACAGTTTGCCAAGAAGGCATAGGATGGTGGCAGCATCCGGATGCTGCGACCGGGTCGTAGCTCCGTGCTTACCGAAGCCATTCTTGCCGGACCAGGACGCTCGAGCTCGTTCGAGGGCTTGGATGCCTTCTTTGTGATGGTCAAGTGCAAGACAGGTCTGCGCAAACAGAAAAGCGCAGCTGACGTGGCTTCCACGGTGTCCGACTGCTTTGCTGATCTCATATGCAGTCTGGTAATCCCCAAGCCGAAAGTGGCTGAGCGCTAGCAGATATACCGATTCGCTTGTGCGAGGATCGTGGGCGGCGAGCCTCTCGGCGAAGAACAAGGCGTTGTCATACGCAAAGTTGTCGAGGTGGTAGTGCACGACCTGCCTGAGCTGGGAAGAGACAGCCGAAGATGACGGCGCCATGCTTGCGGTGTCCCAGGCGAATGGGGCAGGTGCAGGGACAGAGCGTTTGGTTGCTGTCAAGCCATGTGAAGTGCCCCATCCAGCGAATGGCCCTGAGAAGCGTGCTGTCGCTGTTTGCTGCTTGCTTCGCACTACGCCTCGTCCTTATAGTGCCAGGGAAGCGTAGCTGGAGGTGATGGGCTACAAATTCAGTCGAAGAGGCCCGCTCTCGTGAAGCACGGCGATGACGGCTACAAAAAGATTCCTTTTTGTTGCTACGTGGTGCTGCACGCGGTTGGCCTCTGTGGTCGATTCGCTCGGGCGGGGGTTTATGACTGGCGCGAAACCTCAAGTTGTGATGTCAAAGATTGCAATACGCGCATCCTGAGGTGTGAGGGTGGCGTGATCGATACAGTGTGATGGGAAGGATGTTTTGCTCTCAAATCGGAAGCTCTCCAGCGCACGGCAGATGTCTGCGACCGTCAAGAGAGTGTGGGGAGGGTCGTCGGTGAACGCTCTTTGTCGACGAGGTTGCCGGGCTATGGTCGGATCGAGAGTGTGGCCTTTAGGCACCGTCGTGCGTAGGCGAGACAGCGAGGAAGCACGAGCCGAGCATCGACTTGTGGGAGGTTGCAGCTTCGCGGCCGATGTTATGATTGTGAGTCGGAGGTTGGGGCCATGATTGGTCTGGGATCGCAAAGGCACCGCCCCACCCGCACGGCGGGCGCCTGGCCTAGCAACAGGGCAACCTCACCTGGGCATTCACACCCTGTGCACTTTGGGCACTGAACTGGGTCCAGTCCCGCTGGCGCTTAAGGTAACTCGGCTCAGAGTCGCCGCAACCGCACACATTCTCATCCTGCAGCATTCCACGCATTGCAGCCACGGTCTGTTCGCAGAGCAGCTGCCACAGCCAGTGACATCATACCTCTAAGCCACCAGGTCAAAGACGTGCGGCAGCCGCTTTTGGTCTGCAACTGGCAAAGTCCCCGCCTCCAACAATCTTCGTCGCCGACACACCCGCCCATCCGACATGGCTCAGAAAGCCCGCAAGGACAGGGCCAAAGCGAACGCAGCAGCCCTGAACAACCTGCACATCGGCACTCTCGCGGTCAACGTCGTCTTCATCCTGTTCCACTTTCTGCTGAGGAGGCGCTCTCTACTTGCCTATGGCATCCTTTCCGTGCCCAGCTTCATCTGCGAGTACATCCTGGAGACGACAGGCCGGCCCAAGTATGATCCCGAGACGAAACAGCTCAGGACCGCTGGCGAGGACCTAGCTGCTGCCGGCCTGACAGAGTACATGTTCGACATTATCTGGGTCACTTGGGCTTCCACCGTGCTCGTCATCTTCTTTGGCAACTGGGGCTGGCTTCTATGGGCGGTCGTTCCTGTCTACGGTACTACTAAAGGCTACAGCCTTCTTGGCGCAGCACGTGGAATGGCCGGCATGCAACAACAGGCGGGTGATGCTGCTGCGGCACCACCAGTGGGGAACAGGCGGCAGAGACGCGCCGCCTAGTCTATCTGATTTGAAAGCCTTCTTTCAAGTCTGTGCAACGCGAGTCCAGCCGAAAAGGCTCAGGACTGGCCGATGTGCTCCCTCAGTTCGGGAGGCGATGGCATTCGAGCTCCATAGTCCACTCGTCCACGATCTCTTCGGGAACATCGCGCACTATTACGTGGATGTGTTCAAGCGCCCTCACGCTCTGAAGGGCCACCCAGTTCTTGAAGAAGAGAACCTTGTCCTCTCCGCCTGGACCCAGCCGATCAATGAAAAAGCGTCGGACGAAGTCCGTCACCAGGCGGCGACTCTCTGGCGTCATGTCGCCCACGGTATTGTCCGTCTCGATGATGGTCCTGGTCCAGACCACGATGTGTCTCATGTCGCTGGTGATGCCGTACGGCCAGTCATTGATGAGGACGCGATAGTCCGAAGGGTTCTCAAACGGAACCAAGGACGCAGGAATGAAAGGTGGTTTGCCCCATGTGCTTGGGAGGCGATGGCAAAGTAGATAGTTGGTCATGCTGCCGTACTCTGCCTTGGTCTCTGCGGTCCACTTCATATATCTCCGCAGATCTGACGGCTTGCGCTTCAACTTGGAGAGATCATTCCGGCCTGGCTCAATTGTGAGATGTTACACCTTTTGTGACTTTTGGTGATAAGTGAGATGCAGGGGCATGGCTACCTACGAACAACATCGGTCATGTCTGCCCAGTCATGGTATGGGAATTCTTCGTCGGTGAGCGACAGAACCCAGCGGTCCACCTCGGTGAGGGGGAATGGGGCATCGTCTGCAGACATCGCCGCAGAGGCCGGGTCTGCCTTCGTCGGGAGCTCCTCGCCCATGTTGCTTGGTTCGCTTGTCCTTGCGGTACAGTGGATGTAGAGGGTGAATGTGTCGCGCCAGCGGTGACTGGGAACTCGACTCAAAAACAGGGCTTTCTATGATGTGTGCACTTCGCGGGATTCTCAACCGCGCAGCAGACTCTATCGCTACAGAAACAGAGACCTCTCAAGACATTTGGAGGGCGTAGAGGGTCAGGGAGCTTGGGTTCACGAAGCATTAGTGCATTTGAGGCAGCATCCAGCATCCAGGAGTCTACAGGGTAAGCACAGAATTCGCTGCGCGCGAGTTCGCGATTGCGGAAGCGGAACATGGAAACCGGGGATCAATCAGCGCCAAAGCCGGCCTTAGGGGTCTTGGGCGACCCAAGCCAAGTCATGTCCATGCCGAGTCGACTGGCGTGTCTCTGTGTTACGTGCGGCTCTGCAGTCGCCATAGCAGGGACCATGAGAACCCAGTAGCTTGGTACATTCTGTACATTCTGGCAACCGCTCGGGTTCCGCGGAATGGTGCTGGAACCGCAATCAGAGAGACCCTGGATTTCTCGTCTGTCCCTGAGCTCACTCACGGTGGAGAGAGGGGGGTGCCCAGGCCCATGCAGGGTCGACCGTTATTGCTCTCGGAATCGGCCCATAATAAACCCCCAACCAAAAACCCTCGGTCTGGCGACGTCCCTCAAAGCTCAAGAAAGGCCCCTCCCCAACACCAGACAGCTTGATCATCTCTCGGCGCAATAACAAACTGCACAGGACAACTACCGAATACCTGGTCGCGACACACGCAACTCAATCACAATGGGCGTCGAGGACCTCGTCATCCCCTTCACCAACAGGGTGTACCTAGACGCCATCTTCATCCCAGCTGGCCTCCTGGTTGCTGGCGTGTGGATTGTCAAGCCCGACTACATTGTCCACGCAGCTGCAACCGCTGTAGCCCTGTCTGCCATCAAGTTCAGGCGCATGCGTGAGTATCCGCAATCCTATGCCCATTCTGTTGCGCACAAGCTCACATTGGTGTTGTCCCTACAGAGCCCAAGAAGATCCTCAAGCCCGCCGAGTTCCAGGATTTCGAGCTGACAGAGAAGACCGTCCTCTCCCACAACACGGCCATGTGAGTTCCGCCAGCCCCAACCGCACGCGTACGATTCCGAATTCTGACATGCCTGCGCCTGCAGCTACCGCTTTGCCCTCCCCTACCCGACGGCGATCCTTGGCCTCCCCATCGGCCAGCACATTTCCATCGGCCAGCACATTCCCCAGCCCGATGGTTCGTCCAAGGAGATTGTCCGGTCCTACACGCCCATCTCCGGTGACGACCAGCCTGGCCACTTCGACCTGCTCATCAAGTCGTACCCCACTGGTAACATCTCGAAATACATGGCCTCGCTCGCCGTCGGCCAGAAGATTCGCGTCAAGGGTCCCAAGGGCGCCTTTGTCTACACTCCCAACATGGTGCGCCACTTCGGCATGATTGCCGGCGGCACCGGCATCACCCCGATGCTGCAGGTCGCCCGAGCGGTGCTCAAGGGCCGCGCCGACGGCGACAAGACCGAGATTGACCTCATCTTTGCCAACGTCACCGAGCAGGACATCCTGCTCAAGGAGGACCTCGACGAGCTGGTCAAGACAGACCCCGGCTTCCGTGTCCACTACGTTCTTGACCGGCCGCCAGAGGGCTGGACCGGCGGCGTTGGCTACGTCACTGCCGACATGATCACCGTGAGTGGCACTGCCTTGTACTTGTGTGAAGAAGAATATGGCTGATTCTCGAGGGACAGAAATGGCTTCCCAAGCCTGCGGACGATGTCAAGATCTTGCTGTGCGGCCCGCCGCCCATGATCAGTGGTCTTAAGAAGACCACGGAAGCTCTTGGCTTCAAGAAGGCCCGCCCTGTAAGCAAGCTCGAGGACCAGGTGTTTGCTTTCTAAGCAAGTATACTGGGTCGTTCCGAGCGGTACAGCTGTACAAAGCACGGAAGTGGCGCGCGGACGGAATGTCCTGAGAAACTCATGCCACGGCCACCACCCGCCATTGGGCATGGCCTTGACCTGTTCGTAGCAGGATGTCGCGCCTAGAAAGGGAGGGGCGGTCCCAGAAGCTCTCAGTAGCCGAGGAGGGTTGCCGCCGGGAGTTGGGGGCAACACAAAGGCATGTATTCTAGCGTCAGGTGTTGGCCTGGAGGGCCTGGATACCTACCAGGGATTGATACAATACAAGCATGGCCCCCTGTGGTCAGGATGATCGTGGAAAACATGTTGCAAAACTCGGGGCAGCCGCGAGGCCGCGATCTTTGAACATAGCCGCCAGGGGCAGCACCTGACATCATCGAAGCACAGTTGGCTACACGATTCTACAGATCACACCCACACCGCCATGAAGCCTCTTCGTGGGCAGTTCGCAACGTTCCATCTTTTAGGCACACGACAGCGTCCGCCAGCACAGGGCGAGCTGGCTGGGCTTGGGCCCAGTCGAATGGAAGCTAGATGGGGCGGTGTGTAAGGTTTGGCTTGTCTGGCAAGGCCATCCCCGATTGAGCCCCAAACATACCTGCAAACCATACAGGAGAAGGGGATAGGCTTGCTTGGGTGCTCGAAAAGTGAGATTAAGCTGTTCTCTAGTTCTTTAGGCCCTTGTATTTCTACTCTCCCGGCGTGTCTTGTTCTTTCTCTCACAATGTGTATATATGTTTGACACAATCGATCGATCGATAACGATTTTGGTCGCATGGAAAGAAACAGGCAGGTCGATTAGAGATAAGGCTCCTACCGATATGGAGTCGGGGGAGGGGGGGGGGAATTATGGGGCGGGGTTGGAGAGAGCTGGAGGTCTGTGGGCGCGCGCGCGCGTGGTTGTGCGACCAGCCTGCCGATCTCGGATGCTGGAGCGTCACGTAGCGCTAGAGCCCCTCATCCTTCCCCCTCAGTGGTCGTTGTAACCCGATAAGGTTTCTGTGCACGGGATGTGACAGCTCTGACTTCCTACCTAGGTAGTTTCGGTCACACCTTGCAGCACTTGAACGGCCTTTGAGGGATAAAGAGAGAGAGTATTTGCTTTACTTTCCTTGCTCGGCACGGATTTGGGTTTCTGGGATGCTCAGGTTTGGTCAGGCACGCGGATGGAGTTGACGAAGGGGTGGGCGCCCGGACCCTGCTTTGGTTCAGCGCCGACCCAAGAGTCTGGTCATGTGCAATCGGAAGACGAAGCGACACACACAAGGCGGCGAGCTGTCTATGGGTGTGTCCCGGCCGCGGGACGCTCCCCCTGCGTAGTTGTCGGGGACTGGGATGCTGCCATTATCTTTGTGCCACGTGCCAGAGTACGTTGAGCGCGGAATCCAGAGTTTTGCTGAGCTTCTGCTGGGTGTAACGGAGCCAATACGAGGTGGCAACGGAGCTTGCGACGCACGGCAGGTCGGGACGCGCAGGCAAAGCCAGCGGCAGCCCACAATGCAAGTGGCAGACTGACGCGGCTGGGATTATGACCGGGAGAGTGTTGGGCCCTCGATTTGCAGGTAATTAGGGAGTGAGGATGGCTCTAATTGTTGACATAAATGTGTGGGAAAATGCTATCATCTCCTAGACCAGCGGGCGCTGGTGATCGTCGGGGCTCGCCCCTTGCCCTGCCGGGCTGGCCGGCCGGGGCTGCAGGAGAACGGGGGTCCCACGGGCCTGGGATGGCGTTCTAGAAGCCCTTGGCCAGCAGCGGCCGACAGGCACCGCCTGGCCACAGGGGCCGCCAGAAAACCACACAAAATATTCATTCCCGGCTCGGCGGCACACGCTCGTGCATGCGCGCATCATCCCTTCCTTGTGCCTGCGCTCCATCCAGCACCCGTTTTCGCAGACCGCCCTCCGTACATACATCCCACCGCTGTCCGCCTGTCCGCCTGTCTGTCCTCGCGGCCCCATCAATCATCGGCGATCCGGCCTTAGCGAACGCGCAGCTCAGCGACTCGGTCGTGCCTTTGCTGCACCCAGCCAACCAGCCGGCCAGAGCAGATCCCAAAGCAGCCAGCAGTCAGTCGCCATCCCCCCACATCCGGCGCTCGCCGACCTGTCGCCCGCCTCCTCCCCACTGAGACACCACCACCACCACCACTTGCTTGCTTGCTGCTGGCACGCACGCGCTTGCGCCCTTGGTCGCATATCGCCGTCTCTGCCCAGGGCCACAAGTCCCCAGCCAAGACCAGACCGGCAGACTGCTCGTCTCCCAAGGGCCCTCGACTCGCCAGAACAGACACTGCACTGCTGCAAGGCTGCCACTGCCAGCCCGGCCAGAAGCCAGACATAATCTTCACGTCATTGCCCGTCCACACAAGCTCGGCAGCTCGACTGACTGACTTACTGCTTGTGCATGCGCCGCCGCCCGCATTTCACTTTCTCGATCCTCAGTGCATCGACCTCCGGCCTCGCTCCTTCTCCGCGTCCTGCCTGCCTGCTTGCTTGCTTGCTCCCCCCTCCATCACGCAATCCACCAGTGAAGCAGCCGTCGTCGCCCGGGCTCGAATTGGGTCACCGCTTGGGAGGAAAGAGCCTGTGGCGCGCGTCGGACTAGGTGTTGTTTGTGGTCTTGGGTTCGAGGTGGCTTTAGATTCGAGGATGCATATCCCCTAAGCATCCCTTCATCTCAGACTAACAACGATCGGCGCTTCTTGCTCGCGTCCGCCCTCCTGCCTGGTGTGGTCTTATACTTTTTTTTTTGGTTCTCTCACGACGGACGCCACAACCACCAACAATGGCTGCAGATACGGACAACGTCTCTGCGCTCGTGGCCCAACTGCTCGACAAGCTCGCCTCGCTCGACAACCAGGTCCAGCTCTACCGCCAAGACATGGCCCACGAGTTCCAGCGGCACTCGCGAGAGCTGCTCGAAGACGTCCCTCGGGACGTGGCCGCACAGGTCGAGCAGGCAGTGGCGGACTCTCTGCACAACTATCCGGTCCTTAACCCCGGCTTCTCTGATCTCGCCAGCTCCATCCAGGCCGACCAGCTCGCCGACCCTCTGGAGCGCATCGAGCTCGACAAGAGAGCCCGCGCGGGCAGCCGGTCCCCACCGCCAAACCTGCCGCATACGTCTGGGGTGCCGCCCGAGCAGAGCGGCAATGGTCCGAGGAGCCCACATGAACGAGAGCGCGAATTCCATGGTCTGTTCACACCGAGCTATCTCCCCTTGCTTGAGGCTGCACCACGACCCGGTCCCGAGAGGAGGAGCGTCATGTTCAATGCTTCCACCAACACCAGCACATCCCCTCGTACCTCGTCGTCGTCCACATCACCACTACCCAGAAAGCAGCGTGACCATATCAACGATGAGCCTAACAGTTTCAAAGATTCGTCTGCGCCCTCGTCATCATCTTTAGCTACTGTCTCGACGCTTCGACCTCACCCAAGCCGCCGCTATACTGAGGAGACACTATCCTCCGTGACATCAGACGATAGTGCCTCGCGATCACGACCTCGGAGTGCTCTGCGGCGGTCTTCGAGCTCCTCCACAAAGACGCAAAGCCCAAGACGAGTGCGTTTCGAGGTCGAGGGCACCGAGGTGCTGCCGACCATGTCGCCCATGCTCTCGCCCCGTCTGTCAGATCTGCCGCCGTCACCATTGAACAGCGCCGATAACATATTGGGTCCATTTGAGGAGGACCCCTCGTTGCAAGGAACCCTCGCGAGTGATTACAACGACGACGATCCAGTCACTGAATTGTTGGGCAGCTCCCCACCAAGACCCAAAAAGGTGTCCTCGACAGATCGGTTAAAAGCCCTCGCACGCAATTCCACAGAGGACACGTCGAAATGGACAGTGGTCGGCGACATGCAAGGCAGCGATGACGACGAGGATGAGTTGGTCATGGGTGGGCGGAGTGCTAGGCAACGAGGTGCATTGGCCCAGGCAGCCGCCCCAGCACAGCCTGCTCAGCCGGCCGTGACTCACGATTCTGTGGCACATCGTATAAATGATGCACGCTTGCCCAGCCAGCTTAGTGCGGGCTTGCCGGTCGTGCAGGAACATGACGAGACTTCTAATGCGGAAGAAGAGGGTTACGACAGCAGTGAAAGCGACGAGCTTATGATGCCCGCGCGACGCTCAAAAAGTAGCCCGCAGCCAGAGGCTTCCTCCGCCGTTGTGGGCGCATCTGCGCAAACGGTCCCCAACGCGCTGAACGCAAGTATGACAGAGACATCAAGATTAGAAAGAGCCTCTCATCCTACTCCTGGTGTTGATGAGGAGGACTTGTTTGACTTTGACGATGAAAATCAAGCTTCGCCAAAGCCGTCAGATAAGAAAACGCCAACCAAGTACATTGAGGAGGAGGAAGAGGAGGAGAATCCCGAAGCGGCCTCCCCTACTGTCACACCATTACGCAGGGCCGCCGCTCCTGCCAGTCTCCCTTCGGCATCGCGGAACGTCAACATTTCGAAGCCTCCACCACCACCGAAGTCCCCCACGAGCGCCATGGCCAGCGCGCTGATGGGAACGTCAATGGGGTCATACAAGGGAAGACCTATCATTCTCGGAAGTGTTAAGAACGAACAGTTGCACGAGCAAGTTAGTCGAATGGGCAACTTCGCCTCGTTCGTGGGTAGTGTGGACGGCCGCACGGGTGTCGACGAGAAGGGGAGCTACCGACCTGAGGGTATGTCCTTTACCGGCACGCCAAAGAGCCTCAGCGAGCGCATGCTCAAGGAGGAGCTCGAGGAGGAGGAGGCAGCTCGCCGTGGTGGGTCAACCACTTCCTAAGGCGTTCTGTCCAGCCCCCCATTGCAAAGCAGTGGCGTAACCCCCTCTAAAGGGACGCATCCACGACACTTGGACTTGGTTCTCCTGGGCTGCTGATGGGGAATCGGTCAAACCTTTTTCACGCGTATCCGGCTTGGCACACAAGATTGCCAAAGTCCGCAGTCATCTTGGCACACACCTACATCTATAAAGCGCACCTTTTGTAAGCGACATTATCAGCATGGATTAACAGCGGATGGCGGTCAGCATAATTGTGAGGGCACGGAGAGGAGTGCACATTGCACCGCGCTTGTTTGTTCGAAAGGAAGGCCACGGAACGCTCTCCATACCCCCCGGCTGTACTCGAGCCAGCTGAGAGCGAGTGGCTGGCGTTAGGGAGTTGTATGTATCAACGGCGTACGGCGGACAGAACAGGGCATAAATTACCTGCACAATGAAAAGTTTTTACATTCTCAAACATATGCTTGTTTCGATACCTAGTAATTAGCGTTGCAACTGTTCCTCGGAAATCGTTCTGTTTCGGAACATGTACCTGCCTATCATCACGATATGTCCGCTTGGCAAGATCCTGGCGAGCCATATAGATAGCCTAAAGTATAGAAGCACGGTCAATGCGTCTTTGCTGTACGCCTAGTATCAACGACCAGGTTCGCTGGCACACTCCCTCCGCCTGACTTGGATTTCCAGTCAATCTTGGCCGTGCATGGCCCGGCCTCTTCTGATTCCCAGGTTGGGGTCTCTCGCCGTCGCTCGTGCGTCATGACGGGCTGGCCAGCCTGGTCCGGCATATATGTGGTGTACTATTTGGGCCACCTGTGGGTGGTGAGTGGTGGGTGGTGGCGCACAACTCATGCTGATGATGATGATGATATGAATGAGAGAGAGAGAGAGAGAGGGAGATGTGAGTATACTTGGAAAGCCATGGCTACAAAGCTGGTAGGTGCCGGAGATAGGACCGTGGCATATATCGCTGATGAGCTCCTAGTAGGGGCTTTGGGGGTTTTTCTTTTCTTCCTTGCCTTTGCCTCTCTCTCCTTTGGTCAGCCCAGGACCCAAGGAAGTGTAGTTCTTTGTTGGTCAGGAGGAGTGATGGCGACTTTTACAGGGAAGAGGGTCGGGGCCTTATTTATTTTTTATTTCTCTCTTTTATTTGAAAGAATTCTTTTGTGGCGTGGGTATCGATGGATGGGTAGATCTCCTGTTCTCAATACTCTGGGTCTATCGTGCCGAAAGGAGGTGACGTCGCAAAGTTAAAGGGAAAGAAGAACTCAACGGTTGTCCTAGAGGGGTCTGGTCGGTCGGCGGAACGAGTTAATCACGAGGTTACCACTACCAACGCTGTGCGTTTCCCAGCCCTTTTCCGCGCCTCGTGGGGAAGTCAGTCATTCTTGGCAGGTCCAGAACTGATGACAAGAGGGCGGACGAGCAGCAGAGACAAGAAGCAGAGACAAGAAGAGGAAGATGTGGGAACTAAAGGGGGGGTGAGCAAGGACGCACTACAGAGTGTCGGGCAGTAGCGAGCGACATGTGGTTCAAGATGGACATGAGGATTTATAAAAGTTACCAGAGTCAAAGTTACAGGTTTCTACTGCCATCAACTTGGCATCCCTCCCGGTACGAAACTTCGAGAGGGAGACAGGGCCAAGCAAGAACGAGGGAAAGAAACAACAGCCGATCAATATCTCAAGCAGGACACAGCAATGTCCAGTGGAACCTAGTCACACAGCCACTAAACACAGACAGACAGGCTGGAACAATGGGATGATCACCTCGGCCATGTGGTCACCTCCCTATCGCGGAGAGAAAAGAAAGGGTTCCTGCATCGCAGGATGGGGAGCATACGTCCACAGGCGATATCTCTCCAGAATGCTCAAACCCAAGCTCTCCCGAAAATGGGGGATCGCCCGAGAGAGGTTCTGGTCCGTTTCTTTGCACATGCTCTGATTTAAGCGAGGTGCGTGATGTCGAGCGAACCCGTCGCCATGATACCACGGACACATGTATTTTCACTTATTCCCTTTTCGCCCCCTTTCTGTCTCGCCGGCAGGCACGAAGGGGTAGTGATTATGGGCGAATTCTGATGCTATGGCTTGGTCCTACTTGTTTATAATGCTTGAAAAGCTTCTCCCAAGCACAAGAGAGGATTCTCCTGTAGCCATATCACGCCTTGTCGAGACCCCCATGAGCATTGTTCAAGCACAAGCGAGACCCGACGGGTTTCTTTGGAGGGCAATATAAATTGTTGAACGAGGCTTCAACGTTCAGGAAGTCTTGTGTCGCATGCCCGAGTGGCCAAACCCAAGCCTCAAGGGTATCTACCTAAGGTATTCAACTTGCAACGCATCCATATCGGGCATCATCCCAAGCGAGGCGAGCGATTGCTGGTGAGATCAACCGGCGGATACGCCGGAGCGCGTCGTAATAGTACATCTATCGCAAATGTTGAGAGTACATCTCTCCTTGGTATTTCTTTACCGATCTCTAGACGAGGGAAGGGGTGTAGTTGAGCGTGCAAAACTCTTTGACCGTCCTTTGACTACGGTTAACCGAGTTTCTCTGTCTCTGTAAGGCATTCCATCTCGTCTAATTCCCTGTGCAATTCAGTCTCCCTTTCCCTGGTCATCATACGACCAAATTCCCGTTCCCGCTTTATTGCCTCGCATAAGTGCCTCCTGTCATGGCGTGAGCACTACATACTCTGGTGTCCCTGGAAACCCCCTGAGGGAGGGGGGTGGTCAAATCAACGAGTTGCCACACAGTCTGGGAAAACTGGGCCGCGAATTCGTGTTTGGATGTCCCAAAGTCATCCAAACTCCCTTCGCCCATGAGTTGTGGTGGTGCCTGCCCCCCCACTGAAGTAAACGACCCCCGGATGTTTCGTTCTCTCTCACCTGTCACAACCTGTTCCAAACAGGGAAAACAATCGTGTAAACGCAGCCCCCAAAATCCCCCGAATCCCCCCGAGGAAACGCCTCCCACAGTCACCCCAAAAGCCCTTTTTTATTTCTCGGCAAGCCCCCTGAATCGGCCTAGACCATGGATGATCCCAGAGGAGAGCTCGCGAGGCCATGAAACGGGGGGCGCAGTTGCAACACAGACAGCGAAAAAGCACCGGCACCAGGGATCTGTCTCTCGCCTCGTTACATCCCGCTCTTGCGACACCAGCAGCCCGCCATTCGAATAAAGTTCCCTGCAAGACAAGATGTCACGCAACAACGAAATGTACCGGGATCGTTCGTCTTGACCAACCATGCCAGTGCCAAAGTGGCACAGCATACCAACTACTACCGGTACTCAGGACCCCGTCTGGTTTAGATATTTCCTCAACACCGGCAAACACACAATCCGCCGCCGGAGCACCGCGGGCCTCCGGGGGGGGGGGGCGAGCAGCGGGTTCTCTTTTGAGGCACGTTGCTTTTTTGCTCATTATTGACATGGTTGCCCGCAAAGATAGGGCTCGGAACAAGGGCTGTAGTTTGCCGGAGACATCACCGTCCGGAACTTTAATACACGTGTTGTATGGTTCAGGGAAGTGCCACTGAGCTCTGCTTGCACTAGTCTGGCGAGTGGTCCCTTGCATGTACATAGTGTTGGCAGCTGGCTCACAAGGACTCCTCTGCGCAGTTGAGCATGCGAGACGTGTGAAAGCATTGGCATTGGTTGAGTTCTTGATGTCTTTGACGCCCAACGTCTGGCTCAAGATGGTAGATAGCGTCCACTTGGTGTCGGCCAAGGTGGTCCCTCCAGGAGAGACTTGATTCCCGTTGGCTGCCAGTCAGAACTTGTCAAAGGAGAAGACTACGCTCCCTACTCCCCCTCTTCGCAGCTGTCATGTCTGGTTAACGCCCACGGAGATCAGCAAGGACCGCTACCTGCCGTTTGTGATGTGACATCGCTTGTGTGGATGGATCACGACGGGTGGCACTACCACCACTGTCCTTGACCGTGTGGCGTGTACACAACCGTGTGCGGCTTCCATTACGCGTCGGCGGGACCCTTTGACCTCGGGTAGGCCCTTTTCTTTCCTCATTGGTGCCGCCACGCAGGCGAGGCCCGCCGGGAGGAGCAGGTTTTCCCAAGACTGAAGCAAGCAACTGGTACCGGGCGTCGCCTGTCACTGTTTGTTGGTACCCTGGTCGGCCGTTTTGGTCGTCGCCACCACCACTACCGCCATGGTCGTCGCGCCAGGCTCCTTCCGCCGCTCCCCGCGGAGGGAGGAGGTGTGGTGGTGTAGGCTATAGTGGCAGCCCCCTGGCATTATGTCAGTTGTGAATCGTGCAGGCGCGATGCGACGCTGCGTGCCAGCATGGAGTGGGTGCCAACGGTGATCGGTCCCTACGCAAATGAAGAGCAAGCGGCGCCGTTTCAATCCAGTCCAGACCTTGCAAGGTATGGCCGGATATTCTCCGATCACGCGTGAGCCTTGCTTGTCCGCCTGCTGCGGTGCCAAACGACCCCCCCTCCATGATCTCAAAGTCCGTCAGCTCGAGGCCGGAGACTTCTGCCTCTTGCCGCCAAAGATTGGACTCGAAAAGCTTGTGACCCTTGCAGACCCTGGGCGGCCTGGGGGCTGCCAAGTTGGCAGTGGTGTCGCACTCCCCCACACCACATCGCGAGTGGTGGTCGGTCAACCACCTTCACCATGCTGACAGGCCACAAGCGATCGAAAACAGCCGTGGTCAGGGTGGTGAGGTCGAAAGATGACTCGCGTCTGCAGCCAGCGGCCTGGTCCTCTCGGGCGTATGTCATTCGTCACACGCAAGTTTTGCCCCTGCAGTGCCTGGCCTGAGCCTGCTTCCCAAAACTGTGAGCCACACCTAGTCTGTTGGACGGTCAGGTTGGGTTCGCTGATCAACCGACATCAAGTCAGCGAGCTACTAGCTGGACTGGGCTAGTTGTGCCACCTCCAAAGAAACAACGGGGAGCTTCTCATCACGGACTGCCTCACCACACCACAAGAGAAGACCGCTTGCACTGTTTCCACGACTCGAGAATAGTCTGCTTGTTTCATCGATTGTTTCGAGAGAGACCAGACCCACGGTCCAGATTCGCTTTGGCTGATCAACCCCGGTGAGACTATCAAAAGTTCGCACATGGTCCCCGTCAGCGCGACTGACCGCAGCCCTTACCAGGGCCATTGTCTAGCTAGAGATGCGGAACGTCCTACGCACGCCGAACGACCCAGGGACCCACGGATCCATGCTCGGCTGCATGCTGATCAACGCACGCTGGTCTCGACTGGCTTATCGATTGCCGGAACGTCTCTCCGCGTCCAGGTGATGGGCCAGGGGGCTTGCGTGATCATGCACAAGGAGTGTATTCCGAGAACCACGTTTCGAAAGCCCCAGTTTTAAAAGTGGTTGACATGTCGAAAAGTTCCCGCCGCAAGCCCCTGCTGTGGGTTTCCCCTCTCCTCCAAGACTGAACCTGGCCAGAACGCGAGGCTGGCGCATTCGCAGCCCACTCGAGAAAGTCCCCTATCACCATGACGAGCCGCTGACGAGTCTAGGGCTTTTATTGTTGTCGGCAAGGGGAGGCTGAGCGGACGCGCTAGACCATGGCGGCTCGATCGATGAAGGTTGGAGCACAGTATCTTTTGGGGGGGGGGAACAGCCAGGTGGAGTGCTCGGCATGGGCAATTGTTGAGCTCACCCGGAGGAATCACATCACCGGATCCTGAAAAACAGGGTGGCCAGCCGTCCTGAGATGATTGGTGATCACGGCGCAAGTACCACACTGGTAGGGATCTGTGTGCATCTGTACTGGGTTCCAGCATTCCTGGATTTGATGTCGCTCGAGTTGGCAAGAAAAGTGGAACATGGCCTCGTCAACTCCTGGCTAAGTGTTTTGGCTGGCGCTGGTCAACCAGGCCATCCCCACCCACCCTGCTGTCACTTGAAAAGCTGCGCCCACGGCTGACACACACCCAGCCATCGGCAGCCGCCTTGCACATCTACCGCTGCTGCAGGATGCATGCATTTGCTCAAAGTGGCAACCGGTAAAGAATGCTGGCCTGGGATTGGGGTTGGTGGCGCCAGTTCTCTCCTCACCCCAACTCGATGACGGCTCCTTGTGTCGTCACCTGCATGACTGTCTGCCAGGCCTGTAAGCGGGACATATTCCGAATGACATTCGAGAGACGTCACGCTGTTGTTGCTGTCCAGACACGGCACTGAAAAAGCAGTCTGGTGCGTCGCCCCCTGGTGATGGGACGCGAGAATCAAGTCAGCTGGCCAGTTTCCGCGAGCAACCCGATATCTGTGCAGACCACGATTTCGTGCTCGGTTGTATACACAAGCCAACCTGCGTTCACGAGGGAGATTCCAATGGTGGATCTTGCAAGGCCGTGTTCGCCATCACGTGGTCCGAACATGCTGCACGAAATGTAGGAGTCCAGTGCCATGTTCTTCAAAGTCACGAGCTTGACGTTCCTCAACAGGCTGGAAAGGAGGCCCGATGCGTCCCGTGCAATATGCACCCAACAGTGCCAGCCAGGTATCGTCATGTTGAGCGCACCAGGCGTCATTCATGGTCTGGTCGGATGGAGACAGCCGTTAGACGCAAGTGATGCATCGGGGTGTTTGAGTTTCAGTGATGCTCGCCTGTGACTGAGCGACTGGAATTCCCCCACCCAAATATCTTCACATTCTGACTCTGCTGACATTTTAAGCTTCTGGGCCGCTGCATGGAAAGGTCATTGCCTGCCTCTGGCGTTCGTCTATTGACCTGCTAATGCGTAGTGTCCAAGGAAGAACTTTGGATGGTATGAAACCGGAAGGCATCGCTTGCAGCACCGGAAGTCACATTTCCGACTAGGGGACCCGTGCTGGGGACAAAGCTCGGTTGCCGCAACCCCCCTTGGCTGTTGGCAATGCTGGCGTCCTTGTCAACTGGTGCTGCTCGGCCCTTCTGAGACGATCAATGCTAAGAGTGGAAACGTTGACATATTGCCGGCGCGGAACAATGTGCGTTGACGGATTCCATTGATGGGACTAGCACGGCGATGTTTCAGCAAGATGTAGCTGAGAGGAAAGGCACACTCGGGGCTGGCTGCCCGGCCGGGTGAAGCGCGCAGCGTCGAGGTGGAGAGAGTGCCGATGCAAGGTTTGTGGGGTTGACTGGTTCGGCTCCGATGCCAAAGACTCACGCACGGCCGCCAGACATGGAGGCAGTGCGGCGGGCAGAGACAAGAATGGCGTGGTTCCCCACGCCTGCACAATATAGGCGACAACCCCTGAACCCAGATGAGAGTTTGTGGCAAATGGTTCGGAGCCGGTGTGTGGGCGTGAGGGCGGACCCCTGAGCTAGCTAGCGGTGGCTGTTGAACAAAGATCGGGCTTGCCTGGGCCAAAGGCTCTTTGATGGCAGTTGCAGGGTGTGACGCCATCATGAGAGGATAATTTGAGTGTTGTCAAGGAGAAGCCCTGCGCATGAATGCTGTGGGCAGGAGTCAGTCCACGTCGCCCTGTGGTGTTAGTGGACTGCTAGGCCGCCTGAGGATAGGCAGTCCATCTTGGCCTCGGGGATGATGGCTTGAATGGGGTTGGTACGGCCAAGGTGGCACCGGAGCTGACGTCTAGTCCCGGAGACCAGGGGACCAGGGGGTTCCTCCTGTCAAAGCCCTGGGTGGGATTCCAGAAGGGTTTAGTGGGCGTAGAGGGCCGACCCTGGTCCCTGACGGTTCCTTCGATGATGCCAGGCATCGCATGCCCTGACGCTGCTGCGCTGGGGGTGGGTCCCAGCCGACGTCGATCGTTGTCATGGGGCTGCAAAGTTCCAACAGGCGACGATGCGAGCTGACGCCGAGGTGGTGCGTGCCCAAGGCAGAGTCATTGCTGCTGGCTGGCTGTCCTCGCTCGCAACAGGCGTCAGGTCCGAACATGCATGGGCTGCCAAGTTAGTGTGAGTAAAGTCACCACAGGCATGGTGTCGTCGACAACTTAGAAGTTCCACAATGCTCTGACTGATCTGATGAGAGGACGCGATTGGGCGTGGGCAGTGAGTGAGTGGACTCGACAATGTCCAGATGCAGCAGCTGCAGCTGCCCTGGTGCGTGCCGGCGCAGTCGCCCGGCAGTTGCGATCCGCGTCCCCCAGCTCCATCCATCCTCCAGTCACCACCATCGTCGGGCCTCGCCATCAACGTCAAACTTGCCCACAGGCTGGCGCCGGCCCCGTGGCCCCTCTTCGTCGCCCGCTAGACAAGTGCCGCTGCTGTCCGTTCAGGGTCCCCCCCAAAGCACTTCAGACGATGCTGGGTCGCGATGCGCTGGGTACCAGCATCGCAGCCGCCCGCCCGCCTCGCCACTTTGGAAACACCGGCGCTGGCTCGAGCAAAAGCCGAAAATAAATTGATCAAGCCCTACAGTCGTGGGACGGGACTAGCCAACCTGGTGGCCCAAAGCCCAATCGTCCCGCCGTTCCGGACCAATCGCAAGTGCAGAGAGCGTTGATATCGACCAGCAACACCAACTACACACAGACGTGATTGATGGCACAAGGTCGCACGCGGCTCATGTCTCGGGACGTGGCCCCCGAATTCCTCTTCGAAACTGCTTCGGGCACTTGAAGCAAATGAATAATGTCGCTCCGCGCCTGCCGCCGTGCGCTCACCACTCGGTGTGAAAGAGGTCAATCAATCCCCTAGTGCGACGCTGCCCGCTGTACAGATGCGCTCGGGTTGCGACAGAGCAAGATGCGATTGGTGGGTGACAAAGGCAGCCAGCCAGCGTCGATCTCTTGGACGGAGTCTGCGCCAGCAAGCCACCCGCACCAGTTCCAGTGTCTCGGGACTCAGGCCAACGTCCCATCTCCGCGTGCTGGAGCTACGCTACTACACTGGAACGTACCTCGAGGCACGCACCTGGTGTGACCTGGCTTGTTGTGCTTCCCTGCGAGGCAGGCGACATGTTGCTGTGCAAGACATCCTCCCCCGACCGCCTGCACGATTCAAGGGCATTGCGCACACCGGTCGTCGGGTAAGCCTGGAGACTTCAAACCTTGGTGCTCTCCTTGGTCTCGAGAGGAATTAACGTGAAAAACCGAACCATGCGTCCTTGTGACCATGCGCACATATCGGCAACCCTCAACCTTCGGAGAGCAGTGCAACGTTCGGAAATGCTGTGTTTCTTTACCCTGGAGACACTAGACACGACTGCGGCGCAGCAGCTCCCTCCAGCTTGCCTTTCTGATTGTAGGCAAGAAGACCCCACTTGGAGAGGCAGAGACTTGTTCATCATTCAGAACTTTACGCTAGACTGGAAGATGCCGGTCCTGAAGACCAGTCCCGCAGCAAATGTTTTCTGTTAATTCGCAGTGCAATTTGCGCCGCCGCTACTGTGGACCAAGAGTATTGTATACCCCGTGTCATATGGACCAAGGCCGAACTAACAGCTCGTGCGGCGTAGTGAGCCTGACGACGGCTCGTGATCCAAGTTCCCACTCGAAGCTGTCAATGGGCCATCCCTGCACGCCACGCATTTGAACGGAACAAGCCTCCATGCTCAGAGGGGGTTCCCTGAGGCAGTACGCTCTCTAGCCTCTCCAGGAACGGGGGTGTGAGACCAGCAGGGAAGCAAGGGGCACGGCCTGCCACGATGAGATTGTCGACATGGGTCTGTCTTGCTTGTACTGCGTATGCCGTTCGAAAAGCCACACCCCTCCCCCCTTCCCCGTCGGCTGGACCCCTACGGAGTGCGCCTCGATCCAGGCAAGGTGATCTGATCTGAAATTCCTGGCCTGTAACAATGCCCTCGGCGTAGTCTGCAGCAGCCCTGTCCTGTCAGTGGGCACCAGCCGGTCGATCCGTCAGGTATCCTGGTCCAGCAACATGCTTATCCACGCGTGCGCGGGCGATATTCAAGCAGGGCCTAGCACAGAGTGCTCCCCACCCCCCCAAGAAGAATGGTGCGCGAAACAAGAATTAAACTACTCCGTGTTGCAGTCTGCCGGAGATGCCTGTCTCCCACGCATAGCATGGCGTCCGGAGTCGTGCCCAAACAAAGACATTGCATTGTACAGTCATGATTGCCTAATTTGTTGTACGACGGCAGGGTTTCTGGTCGTACTAACAACCGCAAGGACGGTCTCTATTCTGTCAAGGCAAGATGACCTCTGCCGGTCTGGCGCCTCGAGTTGGAAACTTATGACGGTGTTAAGATCACGCTCCTGCGATGCAACCCTCCATCGCCTCACTTGTTTCCTTCACCCACGAATGTCACGCCGGCCTGCCAATCAGTGCGACTGCCTGTTTCAGAGTGTTTATAGCTGGTGGCGATAAGTGTACCGGTTCTGGCAGCGCTCATCCGCTGGGTACCTGACCGAGTTTCCCCGGAACCTTGTTTCTCTCCAGGTTGGTGCAGCCGAACAGTTGCCCGTCGTGATTCTGGGATCCGTCATTGTGGTGGAAAGTTCCTCGCCCACCTGCTGCAGTTCCCCCAAATGAGCCGATCGTGGTGATCTTGCAATTTGGCTTGTGATTCTCAACAACTCGCATGCAGCAACCACGGCTGTGCAGCTCTCCTCATTTTGCGCGGGCCCCACAACCTGCCATATATGTCGCCTGAATTAATACTCGGCCGACCGCCATGGATTTCTTTCTCTCCCACCAGGTTAACCCAAGCTCACTCACGGCTTAAAGGACTTGGATCAGCTATAAACAATCACAAGCCAGAACCCGCACGCTATTACCTCATCCCCCGAGCCTCTCTCGGACAGCACGTCGGCAGCAGTGACCCCCAAGCCAACACTGTCAGCGGTTCCTGGCCCATCAATAACAGCCATAACATAAGACAACTATTGCACAGCCCTGCCCTCCTCCCAGCTCATGCCCGCAACAAAATTCCCCGGATCATCCCAGTTCCTCGTCTCAGCAGCACACCCCCTTCCCAAGGATACAAGCCCGGCCCCTTTTTGTACACCAGGTGCTCTCACCTGGCTCGCTGCGACAACTGGCGACGACAGCGTTCCGTCTTTGGTGGGAACCTTGCTCCTGGGCGTCTGCTTTGGGACAGCGTCTCGTACGCTCTGGCCTAATGAAGCATTAATCACAAGGGACTCTCGTCCCAAAGTGAGCATCAGGGCAGAGCCAAGACAGGAGTACGCCCCCTCTCCCCAGCCCGGCTTGTGACTCTGTTCTGAATCCGTGGGCGTGCATGACACATGTCATGACTTGACATCGGCGGCAAACCCCTATTCCGTCGACTGCCCGCCCGCCTTCTGTGATCGAAGTCATGCACCGCAGAGTCAAGGTGCTAGCACTCTCAATGAGCCGGCCATGGAGCGTAGAGGGCATCCAGGTACATGCAGGGACTCATCGAGTTCCTGACGAGTCGATTCCACCTGACAGCACGATGCACATGCACGTGCACGTAGGCAAGCACCCGCTCACGACGCAGCATGACAAAAAGTGCCAGGCCATACCATACCATTGTAAGGACAGGAAAGATGCTTGTGACAATCTGGCAATCATCTACCGGCCTGGCCCTGCCCTGTGGACCTTCTGGCGGCTGCGTAAGGCATGCCGCTCCCTGTGACAACACACAGGACACCACCACCACCACCAGGACATGCATGGGACCTGCAGCTGGCCCTCGATGTCTCCTCCACCACGGGTACTACCTCCCCCATGATCGGTGGCCAGGTACCTTTATATTTCCCTTCCGACCGGGCCACTGTCTAGGCACCCCTGGCCCCTCCCTTGCAATTTTGCGCCTCAGGAAGAGCAACAAGTTCAGCAGCAAGGACTGGCAAGTGGCGGTGATGGTGGTGAGCCACATGCCAAACGGCCGCTTGGGCTTCGCATGACAGGCCCAATCAAGGCCCCCCAGGGTCGCTCTTGTTACTTACTGGTGGCATTATCGCCACTGGGGCAGCTGAGGCTCGTGCAAGCCTTGAATGTGCGCACCCTAATATCTCGACGCTCGTTTTTGAGGTACTTTTAATGCTCATGACTGGTGGCTATTGTGGCGCGCGAAAGCCCCAGTATATCGACTTGATCCCAACTTGGTATACACAGGGCTGGCAAGGCGAAGGACGCCACAGAAACACCGAGCACCAATGAACCGGTGTGAAGACTGGTCTCCGAGCATCGGCCTCTTGCGCAAAAACATAGTGGCTGCTGGAGGGCGTCGCCTTGTGATCCTGAGGGAGAGCGGGCATGCAAGCCACATACTAACACAATTATTTGTGCGGGATGCGACTCCCGTGGCCGTGATAGGCAGGCCGTGCCAATTCTGCTGTCCTTGACTTTGTGAAAGCGCGGCTGAGAAGGACGGCAAGTGCCGCACATGGGAGGCGACTTGCCTAGGAACCTGCTCCCACGCTGGCAGCCAGGAGGGTGTTGCGTCGAGTTGCTCGTGCCAAGTATCTCGAGGTCTGGCGGACGTTGTGAATTTACTACAGGGGCCCGCAAGGGAAATGATGACTAAGGCGAAACCGGTGAAGAGGGCGCAGCGGAAGTGCGTTATTTCTGCACGCATGGGCCAAGAACGACCCATTCGCTTAATACCATGCAATGCATGTGTTCTTGACGGCCTTTTGGTCTTGTTGGCAGTGTAAGAAGCGTTGGGGAATCCAGGCTGCCGTGGTTGGCACGTTGCAACACCTGAGTGAGCGGTCACGGAGTAGCAACAACAATAACAAGACAAGACTGGAGCCATGCGATTGGCGAGCGCGGGCCCTGGGCCAGTTGGGTTTGACACATTTCGGGTTGCTGGGCACACCTTCTGGAACCAAGTGCGGCCAAGGAAGGAACAACACACTCCATCCCCTATGTGCGACCCCACTTTCAATCCTCAGACTCTCCATCCGTATGACAAAGCACCACAAACCCACAAACAGAGGTCCACGCGTACACGCAAGCTGCCCAGGTGTCCAGTGGAAGCATCCGTCGCCGACTCCATCCTTTCCTAATCGACGGATCACGATGACGGGTGCCAGCATGCTAGTCGGAACCAAGCGTGTCTGGGGCGCGGGACATGCACTCCCCTTTGATCCGCAAAGGAGATCCCGCGATCCTGGCAGGCGGGAATCGTGTCTTGGGAAGCGCCTCCTTGCCCGCCGGCCCATTCCGTTGCCTCGGATCCTCCATCTGCCGGCCGCCCAGCAAGAGAGAGAGAGAGACTTCTGAACCTGACACATCCGGCAGAGCTCAGTGACAGGCGAGACAATTCATGACACGGGCAAGACAAAGTCGATACAGCGCACAGCCTTCGTGTCCGGATATCTGGGCTGGGTCTCAGACACGGAACAAGGAGCACAAAAGACATGAAGGCGGACATTTCCGCGCCTTGCGTCCTGTCAAACCTGTCAGGTGCGTGCCACGCGCCCCCTCGGCGCCCGCTCCCAAAGCCGAGACACAAGATCGAGTACGTGGCTTGGATCTCCTGCCAAATTTTGTTGTCTCTTGGACAGCAGATGCCAGTGCGAGAGCTCTTGAAGCGGTGTCCCTTGCCATGTCTCACTGTCCGCGACTACTGATCAGGCTCCTGGGGGGGGGGGGTCGTCTCCTCCCTCGACGCCCTCTGTCCAGGTGCTTGAATCCAGTGACCTTTCTCAGCCTAGCACAACCCACAGTTCGAAAGCCCGGAACTGTCTGAGATCCCGCAGTGGCATAATGCAAAGTCTCAGATCTAACTTCTCCATCCTTCTCCATCTGACACGTCTGCATATGTCTGCATGTCTTCAGCACACCCACGACCCACTTGCTTCATCTGTCCATTCCATCGGCACCACCAGGCTCTCTAGTCTCACCCGGCCGGTCATGTCTCTGTAGGTTCTCCCCAAGCGGATGGCATACGTGTCTGCTTACACTGAGCTTGGTTACCGCCGTTTTCTTCCTTTGACACAGAGAGATGGAGTGGGCCGTGCTCACGTGGTCGCTCAGTTATGCACCTGGGCAAGCCACTCAAACCACCGTCCTCCAAAGGACTAAGATACGTCCCCACTCTGCCTCCAGCATCTCGCTTCCCAACATCAGTGATAGGTCATCGCGCGCCTCGGACGCGAGGTGATCCAGGTGCGATTTCCGAGAAGAAGAATAAGAATAAGAAAAAAAGTTCCCGGAAAACAGATACATCAACCAACCATTTAGATCCGAAATCCCTGAAGAGATGCGGGAAGCGTTGCACTCGACAGAGTGGTTACAAAAAAGCAAGCAAAACTGACAACCAGTCGCACCCTTAAAACGTCGATATGTCGGACTTGTCCATCCCAAACTCATCAAGGGACCCGACTCCGACTCCCCGGAGAAAATTCAAGACCCTGCCAGCATGCAAGAGATAGGCTCTGTTATCTCCGTCTTCGCTCAAGAATTATCGCCTCGACTTGTCTCTATGGGTAGGAATGGTGTCACGGCGGCGGCACAGTTGCACTGGCGTGGCTTGGGCGGGCGCCGGGGTTGTCTCCGGCCAGCCACTCAGGACTGCCGCCGTGCACGTCGAAGCTGCGTGGTGCAAAAGTCAAGGTCATGCCAGAGAGGCGAGCTTCTTTGTGTGGGGGAAGGGAAGGATGACCAGGGTGATTGCTCTCCCGGGCCCAAGGATTCCGTTCCATCAAATCTCGCAAAGCGGTTGCAACTCAGGACTGCCAGAGTTAATTAACCTTGATGACCTCTAAACAGCCCTTTTTCTACACCCTGGCCTTCTCCCACCAGCACCATCGTATCCGCATAGGCAATTGCCACATGTAAAGTGTGGCTGCCACGGCCCTTGACAGGACCCCTGATCCTAAAGGTTCCTTGGGAGAGAGAGCACGGAGTTGCATGCCATTCTCGGACTCCATAATAAAACTGCCTCGCCAATCACCGCGCACGATTAAAACCCCTTTGCCGATCCGAAGAGAGCAACCGCCCCACCCCTGCCTGCCCACCATACATACATACACGCATCGAAAAGAGCTGAAAGAGAGCCAGGCACACACAACAGGGCAGTTTGGGGGGTGGGAGGAGCCTTCCCTGCAAAGTCAGGTAGCTGCACACCACGATTTTTGGTTTAAGATTTTCTTTTTTTCTTTCTTTTCTTAGGGATAGCCCACCGGTGCGCCTCTGAGCCGGGAGCCTAGGGGAATGACGTATCAACATGCACACCTCGTTCGTCGTCGTATTCGCCAATCATTTTTTGTCGTCGTTGTTGTTGTTGTTGTGTCGTGTCCCTTTTCTTATGCCTCTCCTCCAGTTTGTCCTATTTTTTTTTTTTTTTTTTTTTCCCCCGGCGGAGCCACGGAACTGTCCGTTACTTGTCAAGGCGAGGTTCGGGTTGTGTGGCTGAGCCTCTCTACGCGTAGCCCCATCCATGCCCTGCCGCCGCCGCTGCTGCTGCACTTGCCTAACCCGGTAAAGGTCGGTCTTCTCTCTACGCGCGTGCGTGCGTGCCGGACGAATAAGTGAAATTTCAATTCTAATCACTCTCGGAGTGGTTTCATGTAGAGCGAAACACATAATACACTCGCAAAGTTTGGGCGACCGAACCAATGTGCAGAATTGACACAAAAAATTTAAGCGTAGTAATAACCGTCGGGTTCGTGGACGTTGTGTGGTAGGGAAACGCTAAGGTGGTGACGCCCTTTCCTCAAGTACATCATCATTTGGAATCTATCTCATCATGTGATCAAGGGGCGGGCGGGCGTGGTAAAGAACCAAGAAGAAAAGAGCGCAGGGGCGATGGGAGCATTTTCAAGACAGCCCACCATACAGACATTGCATCCGAAGTATGCGAGCGAGATCTTGGCAAGTCCCGAGGTGATCGACCCGAAAAAACGTTTCAGTGGCTGTCCCAACTCACTTTTCCCGAGGTTGCATTTTTGACAAGCCCTCGACCAGGGGGGAGAAAGGCTGCTGCTGGGCAGGAGGACGGACGGTGGGTGGTGGGGGGAGGGCGATCCCGCAGGTCAAGCAGAATCAGCAGACAAGGAGCGAGCTAGGCCAGGGCCCTGCCCAATCAGGCGACGGGAGAGCGAGGTTCATCCCTGCTGCCGCGCCGTACTTTTGGCCTTAGTAAGTAAACTGGGGACGGAGGGCCGACTCGGTCGACGGGCCTCGCTGGCACCTGAAAGAGCCAGATGGGGACCGCAAGCGAGAGGAGACCCAAAAGTTCCAACGGCACCCGAGCTGACACTCCGCAATGACGGGAACGACGACGACGACAACTGTGGACCGGTGCCTTGCGACGACGACGAGCCGGCGAATCTGACCTCTTGAGAGCGACGATCATGGCAGCTTCGAGGAAATAACTAGCCGACCTCTGGCAAGACGACCTGTTAGCCGAATCTGGGTTGGCGTCGCCCTAAGGTCCGTCTGCCTGCGACTGGAGAAATTGGCATTCGTCAATTACTTCCCTTTCACATTGGTCCCCCCTTCAGAAAACGAGCGTCAGGCTGGGTGACTGGGCCGCCCGTTGCTGAGATTGGCGACGCACGTGCTGATGGCGTCCGACTATTTGCTTGCAGGCAAGGCGATCAATTGTTCAGGCCGCCGCACAGACCAGGCACAGGCGGGAAGAGATTCATTCCTTTACGTATCCAGGTCTGCACGACGAGAAGATGGGCCCCTGACTGACACCCGGCCTTGCTGGCATTGACACGGTGGGGCCAGCAGCTGTCATGGAGGATCGAGGCAGGCTCTTGTGACCACGGCGCTAGGTCCGGCTGCCTTGTCTTGTGCATATGCGACTCGCACGCGGCAACTGTTTGTGGCTTCCCGTATTGATGGCACAGCTAATGGCGGAGGATCATGATTCATTCAGCACCTGGGCAGAGGTGAATGCGACCGTAAGCTTCCGGGTTTACCATGGCATTCGGATGCAGTGTCTGTGTTCTGGGTCACAGATTGCCTGTCTGTCGTCGTGGCGCCATGACCGATGAGGCTAGGGGAATGACAGGGCCTGGACTCTGCTTACGCACGCAGGCGTTCCTGACAGATCGCGCAGAAATAGACTTTTGACGGCTCTGTGGAGAGTCTGGCACGCCAATGGCAGCAACGGCGTCTTTGTTGGATGAGCTGGCCAGGCATGGTGTGGAACCATCCCACGCCCGCACCACGCCAACTGGGCCGCTGTCTGCAATTGTGGCAGCACCGGGCTCCCCGGGCTGCTGCTGCTGCTGCGCGAAATCCACCACGTCGGTCAATGTCTTTGGCCCTGGCCGGCCTGTCACCGTCGCCGTCCTACTACTGGTCAGGACTGGGATGCCGGGCCCACCACCCGCTGCCAATTGGTGGTCTTGAGATCTGATCGGGCGCCTCCTCTGCGCGTCCCGGCTCCCCGAGCACAGACTGCAGCCTTTTCTGCATTCTGTCAAGTCTAAGCGTGACACTTGACGCGCTGCCACCTCTCTGTCACCACCAAGCAGGCTCGAGAGAATTGCGGATGGATGGATGGTTCGGTCATTTGCGGCCGTGGTGATGATCACTGCCCTCGCAGACCACACCCCGCGTCATGTTTTGGCAGCGACCGTCTGATGCGCCGAGCCGCGTGGCCTTATTTCTTCTCTGCCGGGCCTTGCTGTCTCGTGTCATCTGGCCGATCGCGCCCGCTCGTGCGGCAGGCTGCATGCCAGATCTGTGGTTCTCGGGTCGACAGCGCTCGAGACTTCTTTCTTTTCCTGGACTAGGGCCTGGCTGGCAGGCTGGCTGGCCCGTGAGTCGAGGTTAAGGGTGGGTGTGGGTGTGTGTGTGCGGGCCAACGCCCAGCTGCCGCAGGCAGGCTGCTGGTTCCTTTGACGTGGCTGGCCTCGCCTGATTCCTTTGGTGGACGGCAAATCATGACACGACAGAGACGTAACTCATTCGCGCTCGTACATGTTGATGTGCTGAGCTGTGGAGCGGAGAGCAGCAGCCCGCCCGCCCGTGTAGCCCAGCCGGTGCGGTGCCAGCCAGCCAGGCGGGGACGGCTGCTGCGGCTGTCCCACAGGCTAGCCAGAGGACGGGTTGCAAAAGGGGACAGGCAGCCAGCTGATGTCAGAAGTGCCGCAAGGGCTGGCCGTGCATGAGGGAAAGAGCAAGGCAGGCACTGCGAATAACCTGGTCGTGGGTTGACTCGCGGGGCGTTTTGTGTGACGGGCCCGCAACCGCCTACCCACACATGTGTTACTCGGGAGCCCCCTGGCCCTGTTGTCTGTCAATGCCAGTCCTGTCCTCGATGTGAGAGATGATGCAGGCTCTGATGGAAACTGCGTACGTAGTGTGCGTCTCGACGGCACAGGCCTTCGCCGCCAGACTTCTGCGTGCATCCGTCGACGTGGATCTGGTCTGGATGCAGCTTCACATCACACCTGACCTGTCCCTCCCGTCAACCGACTGGCCGTCCCGCCGTCGTCAGTCAATGTTAGGCTGGGTGGCCGGCCAGCCAATCCCGGGACTCGCGCCGGGTAGCGCACGTAAGCAGGATGCACGCAGGCAGGCATGCAGAACAAGACCCGGCAGGGGCCGATCTGGGTGCTCACACACACATTCACACACTCTCTTTTTCTTTCTCTCTCTTTCGAGTCTTCGTCGTTGACCGGTGCCCCGCCCACCCACAGTCGAATGACATGTGCATGCAGCTGGGCGCTGCTGCAAGCCCTCACGCACTGGCGCACTGACTGATCGATGACAAGTGCGCCCACAACGCAGCCAGTCCTCGGTAGCCCCGCCCCCCCAGGCTTGTCACCGTGGCTCTGGGGGTCCGTCCCCTCTTCCGCTACGTAGCGCAGCTGTCGTGGGGTGCGGCGACGTCCGCAACGGGCCAGAATCCTGCGAGAGCTGGTGACTGCTCGTTCGTCTTGGTTGCTTGCCATGTCCAAGCGGCGCAGGCAGGCCCGGCCAGCCGCTGCAGCGTCCAAGGTTGTGACTGATGGCAGCAAGTCCGCTCCTGTTAGCCTGTCCACGCGGAGCCGAGCCAGAGGCAAGGAAAGGGCTGACATGCAACCTCCTCTGGCTTCGGGGGCAAGTCGCGTTCGCCCCACGCACAGACAATGACGCAGTTGGCTGAGGCAGGCTTTCAACTCGCGATTGCTTGCCCAGATCATGTCGACGGCGACCGCCGACGCCCAAGGGCTAACTCGCAAAAGGGGGTTCGTTCGAGGCAAGCCCCCAATGCTCTACCTGTAGTGGTGGCGGCACCATCTTTGCCAAGGAAGAAACGAAGGCGAATCTCGGTCATCTCGAAGCATCGTGGAAGGTCGGTGTGGAGAAGGGGTCCTTCTTGGTCAAGGCGTGGCTTTCCGCCAATCTCGTCCTCACAGTTGTTGTCGCAAAAGGCCGACACCCCATCGTAGGGAGCCTTCACTGCACTGCACCCCAGGCAGCTTGCCAAGAAGGGCTGTGTATGGCCTGGGTTGCCCAAAGATGTCATACCTGCTGCGTAGAGTTTCGGCAATACAACCTGTACCAACAGGGTCAAACGGTTTCCCTGGTTCCGCCCTCCAAGACTCATGACGCTGATCTGTTCTGGTCCTGAGACTAGCTGAATAGACTTCGCTGGTAGACAAAGGCACAGGACCGCACGGTTCCACGGGGCTGGGACTGAGCTGTCATGTCATGCCATTGGCTTGTAGAGATGGCCCAACTTGTCCCAAAGGATAATTCTTGGCGTATATAGCCGCCAGCGCTTGTTGCCATCTCGTCTTGACTTGCAACCCGCACCCGAGCGAGGAGCCCTTCGGCGGGCAAGGTTTCAGTGGCTGACCTGTCCGCCCAGTGGCACGCTGATGTCAATCTCAAGTCCCGCAGGGTTCACCTCGCCGGATTGGCTTTCCGCGATTCGAGAACCTTTCGAAGTCTCGCACTTTACTTTCCCCTTTCACACTAGCCTGCCCACGGCTCTCCAGTCAGACACGCTGGCCGCCTTTGCTAGAGTTGGCCCGGAGACGTCAGCGCACGGGAAACAGGAACATCCTGATCGAACGGTTGCCGGCACGGCGGTCAGGCGCGTCTAGAGCGGTAGTTGGCTCGACCGGTAGGGCCACCCAGGCTGTTGGGACTGACGACGGCACATTTTGAGTTTCTCTAGAACAACTTTGCGACGCCTTCGTGCCTTCTATCCTGCATCGGCATGAGAGAGTTCGCAATTGCGTGTGTCGCCTGGATTGGTTTGCACCACGGGCTTTGTGTAGTAGCGCCCCGCCAGTGACCCCAAGGTGCGGCCTCCTCTGTCCGCGACGCCAAAACGTCGTCGTCATCACTCGCGACCTGAGCACGATCAACTAAGCTGTATCATGTGGTTGAATAGTGAATGAACCATGGCCGCCTAGAAGTGAGTCCGTCCTGTGACGCCATGTACATTCGGATATTTCCGTAGGCTTCGCATGCTGCTAATGCACCAAAGGCCCATTCTGACTAGGCGTTGCTTGCTTGATTGCTTGCCTGCCTGCTTGCACAGCATCCACACGCTATGCCAGATCTTAGCACCAACGCACCTACACATGCACGCACCAACGGCCGTGGTGGCTACTTCGGGGTAGGAACCTCCGTTTGGCCGACCTTTGCTGGAGATGAGATGAGGACTCATTCAGGCGGACAAGCCTGCATCCAAATATCATAACTGCAGTGCTATGATACTGGCCCCACGGATGAGACCCGGCATTCAAGGACTCGAGTGCCTCCAGACGCCGAGGTTTAGTCGACGAGCTTGCACTGTGGCAGTTTCGCTTATTCGTCCTCCAAGACTTGCTGCACCGCTTCTGGTTCTGACAGCTTTTGTTGCTACGCGAACTTATGCGTGGGCAAGGGTCGGTAAGATCGATCCTGGGTCCCCGTCGACACGCATGGCCCGCCATCGGGGCATTTCATGCCTTGCCCATCTAGCATGCCACCCGAGGAGGAGCGAGGGGGCGCATCGCATCACGCATCGCGTCACTTGCAGGGTGCAAAAGAAGAGACTGGGAGGGGGGCGTGGTCCGACGATGGCTGGTAGGGGTCACTGTGCTGCTGTCAGTCCAGCTTCTCCCTGTGTCTTGTGGGCGTGCAGTGCAATGCCATGTCGTATGCCCACCGACGGTGGTTTCGCTTGAGCTTTTCCATGCTGTCGCTCCATCTTGGTGCACGTGGGGTGGAAGAGTAATACTGCGGACACCCCACCACTGGGGTCAATGCATCATCAGCTCCGTGAAGCAGCGTTGACTGACATGACATGAGCTCAGGACAGCGTACCGCACCAAGGAAACCCTGCCCTTGGATATGCCGTGAGTTAGGGTTTCTGGCGAGCCCGTGCACGGCTGTCTCAAGCCAGCAAGGCGGCAGGCTGTCGACTGTGTTCGTGTGTAGCACATGCCTCACGTCTGCTACGTTTTGCGAGATCCAACAGAGCGGCGGGTTGCCGGGTCTGGAGAAGAGTGGCAGTTGCAATGTACAGTACATGCCCCCTCGCACAAGCTTGGGGGGGGGGGGGCTCTCGCACCTTCCTGCTGTGCTGTCCGCAGCCGCTCCTGCGCCTTCTTCCGCCGCGATCTTGGAAACGAGAAAGGGGCGGCGCCTGGATCTGGACGCCACCGATACACAACGTTTGGCCTGGTACTCTCTCTCTCTCTCTCTCTCTCTCTCTCTGCTGCTTCTCCTTGACCACCAGCTCTTGTGCTAAACGTTGAGACTTACGACGATCTACCGCACAACGAACGGCTCCTCCGCCCATCTCCGCGTCCCAATGCCGCCACACCCAGATTGAGGCCCGCAGGCGTCGATGCAACAACGAACCGCTGCCACTGGACCTGGAGACGCTTGTCGGTGTGCATAACCTCACGCCCCCTGGCTCGTCGCGCCCCTCTGTCCGTTAGCCTGCATGAGGAAACGCCACCGGCACCAGGGCGCCATCGTTGTGGGGAGGTGGACCGCCCGAGGGAGGCCCTGTCCACAGCGCCGGTAAAAGTACCAGAGCCCCTGCTGCCGCCCCGACGAACTTTGTTCCCTGGCCTGGGGCCGACGGTACACCACGGGGCGCCGCTGCCCATACCGCTGGTACGAACACGGCAACCGTTCAAGGCCCACGGCCGCCCTTCGAAGTTCCTCGCACAGCAGGGGATCGATGTCATATCCCAGTCGCAGCGCTGTCCCACGAGCACCTTCGCAGCGTTTAGGCCCGGAGCCCCATCGTGCGCAGGCCATGCCCTAGTCCACGCCCACGCCCTCACCTGCTCCCACGCCCTCTCGGCCCACCCCTGCCCCCCACCACGCTTCGTTCGTGCATCGTCCCCTAGTGAGGTTCCAACCTACTTGGGACCGTTGATGTAGCCGCTGCCCAAGCTGGGCCAGGGCGGCTTCGACAACTTCATTCAAAAGCACTCGGCCGCCCGACGCTTAATTCTCTGTACTGCTCCTGCTACACCTAGACACGCCCGTCTTTTCATCACAACAAGTTCACCGTGAGACATTGACGCAGTCCTGCTCATCCACTTCGACAGTCACCTGTACTTGACGCTTCCTCCTTGAACCAGAACACACACTCGGCCACACCAACAAGGAAGCATTCGACACCTTTACCCATTATATCGACCATCTTCACGCCGCCACCAGCACTGCACATCTTGAGAAAGACTTCTTCCCTCCTGGACGACACGCCACGGCAGTAGTTCGCCGCACCCATTCTGACGTTGTGTCATGTTATGGAATATCGCCCACAATTTTTTGGAATAGACACGCACCACCACCTTCACAACCACCTCGCAACTGGCAAGATGTCCACCCTCACCATGTCGGCGCCCCACCACCACGTTGGCTTTCACAGGGAGTTTACCTGGCAGGAGCCTCGCGTTCAGCAGGCATACCGCCCACAGGAAGAGCACAACAAGATCGCACTGCCATCTATCCGACAGGTATGCACTCTCACTTAGACGCTGGCCTGAGCAATTTGACTTGAAGCTGACCATCTCCACAGGCATTCCCAGAACTGCAACTGCAGATCCAGCAAGAACCACCGTCGAGACCTTCGACTACCGCCGGCATCTCTCCTGCTACTTCGCCAGGCTACATGTACTCCACAGGCAGCACCAAGCGCAGAAGATTATCGATTGAGACTGAGGATGAGGTTTCGAGCAAAGTTCCCCGGCTCTATGAGGCTACCCAGGTTCTCCCTGCTCGCCACAACTCTCCCCCACAGGCCTGGGCCGACTCGCATCCGAGTGTATTGAAGAGTGTTGTCCCTGCTTCTCAATCAGTCATCACTTCTGAGGCGCGCTCTCCCACCGACTCTCGCCCAACCCTGCCAAGCTTGCCGCACCTCAACTTTGATCGCCGAACAAGCGAACTGCCTCGCATGGGAAGCATGTCTAGTGAGGACTACGCTGTTGACCCTGCGAGGAGAGCAAGCATTGTACACGGTATGAGCCAACGCGAACCCTTGCCTCCCCAGCAAGAGCTGCGCTCTGTCAGTGCCAGTTATGATTATCACTCGATTCACCGAGGCCAGCCGCCTGCCATGCCCTCAAACCACGTACAATATGAACGCACCCCTTTCACTTCCGGGGTGTACAGTCGTCCTTACCACCGCGATCCCTACATGCGCATGAACGAGCTTGGTATGGGTCAAGGGGTTGAGAGTAAGCAGCGCAAGCGTCGTGGCAACCTCCCTAAGGAGACAACAGACAAGCTGCGGGCCTGGTTTGTGGGTCACCTGCAACACCCATATCCTACTGAGGATGAGAAGCAAGATTTGATGAGGCAGACGGGTCTGCAAATGAGTGAGTACATTCCACCCCAGGTGCTACATGGCGCAAACTTGTTCTAGAATCCTTTTGTGGGATCTGGACTCAGGCGGAAAGTCAAATTGTCGTGACAAGCGCCAGAGTTTCCCGTGGCGCAAACCAGGACTGACCATTTCTGCACTAGACCAAATTTCCAATTGGTTCATCAATGCACGACGTCGCCAGCTGCCCACAATGATCAACAACGCTCGTGCCGAGTCCGATGCCACGAGCAGCCGGGAGAATGACGACAGAATTCTCCCCTCCACTGAGAGGGACGCCTACGGTAGTTCCAAGCGCGCCACTGGCCACCTCAGCGACGGGGAGGGCAGTTTGTATGACGAGGAGCTTTCCCATCATGCAAGAGCATCCCACATTCAACGTGGCAGTGTTTAAGACCCTACCAACACATCTCAATAATTCCGCATACCGTCTTCGTGTCCTACACAGTCTTGGACCGAGTTTCTTAATACCCCGGCACCGATTCATATTCGCTGCATTGTCCAAAGTTCGTTTTGAGACGACTGGGCATTTTTCTTTCTCCCTTGTGGCATATGTCCATGCCTTTTTCTTTTTTTCTTTCTTTTGGGCTGTCGTCATGTCGACGTCGCAAATGCAGGGACTTTTACCCTGCACTATACTGGTCTGGTTTACACTTACATCAAGCAATGGCGTTCTGGTGGTTTGGGGAAAAAAGCGTATGTACAATGGAGCGTATACACATAGAGTTGGACCATTTCTGGGCATACTTTGCTGGTTCGAGCAGCCGACACGGGCAGGCTAGCCCCCAGTTTAAACATTTTGGTCAAGACATACCATAAAGATAGCATGGTGCTCCGCGGCGCCTCCACTCAATGAAAGGTAGACATTACTTTCGAGCCACTCCTTGTGTTGTGTTCACGTGGTTTGCCTTGTTGAATCGCAGTTCGCCCATCGTGACGGTTCTCAGCCATGTGGCGTGCCCCCATCCCGCAAGTAGAGCTTGCACACTGGCAGATTGTCCCGCTTCCCACCCAGTTGGAACGAGAGTGCCACTACAACCCCCCACGAACAAACACATCTCTAAATCTCCGATGTATGAAACAAACACGGACACATGCACGGCCATGCAGAAATGGTCACAGTAATTGAGTAGCAAGCAGTCCTTCATCCGACTGTTGTTACCTGTGCGGCGGCTTCTTTTCGAGTTGTGAACAGGGATGTCCTTGTTGTCGTCGTCGCCGTCGCCGTGGGTGTCATGTGCACGAATTCTGGCAGACTGATGCGGTAAGGGAAAGAGGGGTTTGAGAGAGCCGGGTAGGTACGAATCCGAGTCTTTCCGTACCAGACAAAGGGCAACGACCAAATCTAGTCAAGCGCTCTCTCTCTCGTAAGGGCAACTTTCTTGGGTCCTTGAAACGACGTGCACATGCTTGAAGTCGGCACCGAGTAGAATATCTTTGGGGACCGCTGATTGGTGAGTGAGTGCAAGATTGAGCATGGGCTGTAGATCGAGCGGCATATTTGACACTTTTGCAAGCCAAAACGATGCGGCTTCTTCTCCCTGGGACTCGGCATTGACCAGACAAGACCAGAAGGGATGAGGAAGCCTTGCCTATTTTGGTAACAATTCAAACTCTCCAGCGTGTTGGCTCAGCTGGCTGACCTGTCCGCCAACCAGCCAACCATGCGACCCAGAGATTGGCGTTGCCAAAGGAGTTTTGTGCTGCGATGGGGCGTCGTCTAGGTTTGGGGGCTTTGTGCGGAACAAATCCGGGCTGACACATCGGGCCAGTCAGGTGCTGTCTCCTGCTGTGCTTCCGATCCAGGGTCGTCACCTATGATCTTGGCTTGGTTAGGGCCCAGTACTTGTCAGCGCAAGCGGCGAGACCAGCAGCTGCGCGGTCGGCCGCTGGGGGCGCCAAAAGTTCTTTAGCGCGGTGCCGATTACTAAAAGTTCCTGGCTGGCTTGGCCTCGCTCCGGTGGATGGCAGACATGACACCCGCACAGAGCAGCACTAATGCCACAGCGAACACCCAACGTCGCGTCACCCTTGCCTTAGAGTCAAACTCTAATTCTGGGAAGCGGCCGGGCCTCCTCTCAGGGCGGGCTTGCTGGGCTCGATTGGTGACTTGACCCCACGTCGCTGGCTGTGGGGCACCCTTCGTCCCAACCTAACGTGCGTACTTAGGAGCACAAGCTACTTGAAGTGTCAGTTGTTTGTTGCGCGCTCTGTTGAGCAGCTGGCCATAGAAACCACTTCGCCGCCCGCCGTTGCCGTCGGCACTCGGGAGAGGAGATCATCACCACTTCTGGGCTTCTGTTCAAACCCTGTTAAGCCTGGTATGTCTTTCTCCGCTGTCTTTCGTGTTCCCGGCCCCTTAGGTCAGGCAAAGCGAAGATCCTCCTCGCGTCGCGAACGACGTGGTCGCAAGTGGCGATCGCCTGCGAAATGGCGACACTCTTCTATGAGCAGGCTGAAGGCCATTTTGACCAGCAAGTGGGTAACAGCTTGTGCAGCTGTACGCCGCACCAGCTGTATGCGGGCAACCCCATAGCGAGCCTGCCGAAACTCTGTTAGGCGCTTGGATGGCGACGCGAAAGCTGATGTCGCCCCAGATTGTGTGTCAAGTTCTGAGCCTCTGTCTGGAGTTGACCCGACTGCCCGCAGGCTGCTGCCCGCGCTGACGCCTGCGGTGTATTGTAGGCTGCAAAGCCCAATCTGCTGGCAATCTTTCTTCCTGGGAGTGTGTATTGCGCTGGTGTCTGTGAAAGCTGAACGAACATCACACGATTGGTGGTGCGTCGATAGTAAGGGCAAGCCCGACCTGCCGTGAGATCTGCACAGCCGTGCGTACCAAATCCTTCTTTTTCCGAAACCACAACACGCTTTGCCAAATATCGCGAGGCTCTGCCAGGGCAGGACGCCACCACAGACTGACCGAAGGTCAGGAAATCAACTAGCATGTAGTGGAGGACATGCTTGGCGTCCATGACCATGCTCTTACAGGCAGATCCGGCAGAGGAGCTGAACGCTGCCACGCGGCAGGCAGGATTAGCGGTCTTGGACAGGCTTCGGCCCGCCTTGACGAGCCACAGGCAATGCTCAATATGCAGCGCTAGTAGGCACGCACTTGCAGTGGCCGAAATTTGCCCGTCACTATTATACTTTCCTCGCCTGCAGATCAGTAGCTTTGACAGGACGTCTCAGCGAACGATGGAGATTTGAGTGTGGACAATTCCCCGTCAGCCGCGAGTTTGGGTCAGTCAGGGCATGGCAGTCGGGTGAAAGTGGGTTGCGAGGAGATGAGGCAGCGAAAGCACGTCGAGAGGACGGTCCACAATTGACTTGCACGATCATTGCCAGCAAGCGTCGATCAAAGAGACCATGTCTTACTCCCGCAGCAGTGGACGATGACCTGCCTGGGGCAGCCTATGACTTGTCTAGTAACCGTTTTGTGTGTACGGTCGGTTGTGTCCCGAGGGAACGGGCGATTGGGGGGGGGGTAATTGTCATCCGCGCCGTCGCGACAAATCGGCAAGGGTTGCCCCGAGTGGTGTCCATGGCAGACGCCGGGTCCAAGCACAGTTGGCAGGCGCAGAAATAGGCATGGTAAGTGACGTGGGCGGCGAAAGCTGGCTGGCGGGCGGTCCAGGAACCACTGGGGCACACGGTCGGAAATGGCCGAGGGAGGATTAAGGTTGTGATCCGGTCGGCGAGGTCGACCTTAGCCTAACACGGCAAGCAACTGCGATACTAGACAGGCGAGGGATGGTGGAAGCGATGCGATGCGATGCAGGCGACTGCGCGGCGCCGGCCTGGTCTAGCCCGGCTCGCGCCATGACAGTGTCGCTGATCGTCCAAGGGGTGTGTGCGTGGCAGGCAGGCAGGCGGGCAGCATGTCATGACTGCAGCCGCCATCATGCCCATTCTGGAGTAGGACGCTGTTGTGTTCGCAAAGTTCGGCCGTTTTGGCCAGCGACGCCGCGCGTGTCATGTCATGTTGACATTGCTCAATGGGGCAGCTGCAATGGAAGCGCCTCGGCGGAGGCTGCAGGGCGCCATTGGCGTCGTGGGAAGCTGCGATTGAGGGCTGCTGGCAATGTATTGCTTGCACCAAGTTGACCGTGCTTAAGTAATCATGAGCCAGCCCAGCCTCGGAGCCAGCCTCGGCCTGCTGGTTCCTGCAGCACCCGTTACGCACGCCATGACAGTCGAACGTACAATGGCCTGACGATACGCGTCACGCCCAAAGACTGCTACGATACCTGCCGCTTCCAGAGGCTGTAGCCTGCGCGACTCAGGCACTCAGAGCACCGCAACAGGACCCCGCCCCGGCCCCGGCCCCGGCTTCGGCTCCCTTGCCCGTCTTCCTCCGCCCATGTAGAGCAACATCCCGGGTCCTGGCTGCGCCATGTCGTCCAATGACACCGGCCCGGACGGGCTCGCCTCCGGCGACTCCCTGGTACGACACGAGGACAATGGCATACATGCTCGCGGCCGCGTGCTAACTTTGATACAGGCATGTGTCGCTTGCCGATCCCGCAAGCTCAAGTGCGACCGCACCAAGCCCTCATGCACACGATGCCTGAAGCTCAAGGCCGATTGCATGTACCCAGAGTCACGGCGGAAGCCAACCTTCAAACGCCGCAACGTTAAGGAGCTGGAGGCCCGCTTAGGTAGGTTGTGAGACACCTTGGCAGGCAAGTCGAGAGACGTGTTGACATGCCGTCGCCGGAATCCGCCCTTTTGTTGTCGACGATATCTGACACCTCAAGCAGCCCAAGTCGAAGATCTCCTGCGCGAGGCGGGCAGTGGCAAGCCGCTCGGGGACTGCCTTGGTGAAGATGGCACAATCGTGGAGCAAGTCGATGTTGATCTTGAATCTGCTCAACTGCCAGCTACCGAAGACGTCTTCCTGCAGGGTCTCGACTATGTTCCCAGCACAGGTCTTGGCGAAGCACGAGAGGATCCTGCAGTGTCAGCTTCTCTACCTCAGGACTTTGTATCAGGACTGCCCAGCAAACCATCTTTCGGACCCGACCCAGGTCTGGGGCAATTGATGGGGCTAGGCGGGCTTTCCGAGGCTCTGCCGCCGTTTGAGGTGATGGAAGAACTGCAAGTTGCACTTGGCGCGCAGGTAGTCTCGACTCGTGTACTAACTGTGTCACAGTCATCGCCTGTTCTTCACACGACAGCAGCATTTCATCCCAATCCTCCATCCAACCCGATATCTGTAGGTTCTTGGCATGACGTTAAAACACCATCTTCCAGCACTGCTCAACAGTTCCGACGAGATAGGTATCTGGAAACCCTGCGACCGAGACTAGCTAACTCATACAATCAAGGCATGCATTCTACTCGGCCCCGCATATGAAACCGCCAATGTGTCTGCAGTACGCAATCTGGTGTCTGACTTCCAACGGTGACGCAAAATACCATAAATATCACGATGTCTTCTACCATCGTGCGAGGCAGTATCTAGAGGCTGACGAAATGAAGGTTGGTCTACAGCTACATACCCGTGCTTGAATCATACAAGGAGACTGATCCGCGGTGGGCAGGGTCATGGAGAGCATTTCATCACACTTGCACATGCGCAAGCTTGGTGTCTGGTGGCTACCGACGAAGCCAAGTCGATGCTTTTCATGCGGGCAGCAATGAGCTGTGCCCGAGCTACGCAGCTCAGCTACATGATGGGTCTACGTATGTTGCTTGTGTAGACTCGATTACATGTCGTTTCTGAGATGCTGACACGACCACCTAGATCGGCTCGATTGTGGTCCTGAAGATACAAGCCCAACACTGGCTCCGCCCAAGGACTGGGCTGAGCTCGAAGAGAGACGTCGCACGTTCTGGGGCGTCTTTTGTATAGATAGCCATAGCTCCATATCAACTGGTTGGCCTCATCTGATCGATGTCGCAGAGGTACGGCACAAGCAAGCAAGCCACACTACGGGGAGACGCAGCTGACACATTCACTACAGAGCGTAACCACTCGCCTGCCAGCTTCCGAGACTGCTTTTCAGACTGGTGAAAAGGTCGATTCACCCATGTTGGTCGAAGCTCTCCAAGGAGCATCATATTCTTCATTTGCCGGCGCCGTCATAATCTGCCACTTGTTCAACATAGTCAACCGACATGTCCATCGAGGGAAGCCGACCGATAACCCTGAAAATTTCGAGTATGGTGGATTTTGGACGAGACACCGCGACATTGACAATATCCTGTCCAGCGCATTCATGTTCCTGCCCGAATGTTTCCGACTCCCAGAGAACAATAGAGACCCAACAGCAATACATACAAACCTCAACCTTCACGCAGCTGTCATCAGTCTACATCATGGCGCAATCGACAAGATTGAAAGACATCAGCTCTCTGATGAGGCCCGAAAAGCCAGCGAAGACAGATTGTCGTGCGCAGCTCAAGAGATTGTCAACATAGCCAAGCTTACCAGCCACATCAACAACAAGATGGTTCGTATCTCCTCTTGAACTGCACAGAAGTGCGATTGTTCGTCACCGCTGAGTGCTAACGTCGACTGCAGAAAAGCCCGCTTGCCGCCTTGTCCTTGTACTCGGCTGCGTCGGTATACATATACCTGGCCAAGACCAGACGAGAGCCCGTCATGGTCGGCAACCTTGACTTTCTTCTGGCGGCAATGGAAGCCATATCTCGTGAACATGCCATCACTGGTGGCTTTCTCAGACAGGCAGTTCTGGACATACAGCGCAATGACGTTGCGAACATCATCCGGCTATCTAGAGTCGATACGCTCTCGAGAAAGTTTGGCCAAATCCAACCAAACAGTATACCCCTAGTTGCGCGCTCTCATGTGTCTCGCCACACCGAAGGCGCGCCTCCTCTGCCGGGGAGACTTCCTTTGGGCAATCCTGTGGGTCGCATCAGCACCAGGAACATGTGCGAGGACAATGAGACAGTACCCATCTCCCATGGGTTCGTGCCCGTGGTTGACAATTCTAGCAGCCAGACGAGCCGTCAGGATCGCAATGGCGGACCCGCTGGCTGTTCGGACAGTGTTAGCCTCAAGCGAAGGCGGATGTCTCCATCTACAGCGCCTGATCAATCAGACGACAGACCCAAGCCGTTCACGTCTCCGAGCCAGTCCTGGAACACAAACAGCGCGCACAACACCACAATGAATCAAATGCCCATTCCTCACCGAGTGGCTTCGCCATATGGTGGCACATATGTGGATGGGGGGAACTCACGAGGAAACAACGGTCCCAGCACACGGTCTGCCTCTACTACTTCCTCGGAGCGCATCTTGTTAGGCGTGACAGCATCCCCCCTCGATGCGCAGAACACCATGCGGCCGAACCCATTTGGTGCTGCAAGCCGTGGGAGTGGCAGTGACGCCCAGCAAACCATGGCATCGGGTTTTACTGGGAACAGCAGGGGTTGGGATATGAACTCGCCCCCAACCTCCAGCTCGGCACATACATTCACCATCCAGGGCACAAACGGTCTGGTAATGAGTGACATGAACGCTGGCTCCACGAGTCAGCACAATGCCTGGGACATGTCTCTAGCCATGGACAATGCAGAGCTAGACTGGGACGTCATAGCTGCTTCTCTCGGCGTCGACAACGGTGGCAACAGCGGTGCACACAGCACCTTTGGAGCCCCCAAGAGTAACAGCAACAACGATGACACCAGCACGAGTAACATGTCTGCGAATATTAGCAGCAGCATCGGTCACGAACCATGACCTTGTATACATCTCAGCACGACTTGTAAGACTATAGCATCACAGCACCTTAGATACCCAGCAGATATGGCTTGATCCGATGCCGGAACGTGGTCAATCATGGAAATGGTATGTAGTTTGAATATTCAGCCACGCGCGTGTGTATGTTCCTCCAGAAAATCAGACTACAATACAGTACTTTTTCGAAAACCTTCCTCAGGGGGTATAAATAAAAGTGACCATTGTGTGTGCCACAAAGCTCCTGCTCAATGTTGCAGATAATGTTTTCACGCTCTAGTCTTACATTCCCGACATATGGGTATGTTGAAGGTCCAGCGGGTCGTTGAGGTTCTCGATCGAGGCCTCGCCGCTGGGAAATATGCCGCCAAAATTATCAAAAGCGCCCGATCCGCCCATTTCGCCGCCGGCAGCAGCCAAGTCGTGGGCGAAATTGGCCGGATCGAGGTTAAACGGCATGAACCATGCAGAAGACGTCTCTGGCGCAAAGCTAGGTGGAGCCATGGATGAAGAATGGGGATGAGGTGGGATCGTGTTTGCGTTGACCCTCGGTGTCGGCATCGAATCGTGGACGGCAGCTGGGTCATTACCATTACTGCTCGTACCCGCAAGCGCATGCCAGTCGATCTCGTCCGGATCCGCCATCGCACGTGGATCCAGATCGCCATACGCATTGAAGACAAGCTGGCGATCAAGCTGTGGTAGTATTGCAGAAGGGGCGTTCGACATGGGCAGTGCAAGCAGATCCTGCGATGTGTAAATGTGACCACCGCTGTGTTGTTGCAACAGCGGCGGGACGCTTGCTTGTTCAACAGGACTGATAGGTGAAAGCCCGCTGAAGCCAACTGGCAGCTGACCCGGAGCCTGTGCTTGCATGCTTTCCCGACCAGCTTGTCTTTGAGTGGGATGCAGAGACGTATTTGTTTTTGGCACTTGCTGCCGTAGAGCTTGAGCCCCGTGCCCACTCGACTTAATAGCCAATACCTGCCCGTCGACGCCGGCCAGCACAGCTTTCGTGCTTGCTTTGCGTTTGTTTGGTCCAGTGCCTGGCCCAGGCTCCTTGTTGTCGTGAGACTGGGCGGGAGACAGCTGCGTCATGTATTCCTCCACTGTATGCAGCTCAGGCTTCTGCTCTAGCACGCCATCGTCACCAGACTCGCGTTGTTTGGCGGCCGCAGGGTCCACAAAATCTGATGCCGACACCCCGTGTGGGTAGCGTGAGAACCAGTCACCGTACTGAAAGACCGGCGACGTTGTCGTGCTGTCGGTAGGCGGTGCTCCCCGGCTAGCGGCGTCCATGCAAGTGCGGTATTGTTCGCGAAGGTTTTCTAGCATAAAGTGAAACATGCCCCAGTAGCGTTTCATCCTCGAGAGAAACCTGATGTTCGTTGCAAGATGCTGTTTGGCAGCGTGCTCCAGAGCAGCGTTCCCAGAGAAGATGCCGAAGATGTGTACTGTACCCGACAGGAAAGCGCAGTAGCCCACAAATGGGGCGGATACAAGATGTCGTTCGGCATCTTTGAGCACTTCAGACATCCTATTAGCCGCTGCGAATGCCTGCGCGCCAGCCCGGGTTACAAAGTCTTTCGGGGCATTAGTTTGTGAACTACCAGTAGGCGACGAGACAGCGAAACGATTCAGGAAGAGGATGTTCTGTTGTATGGTGATGTGCAGAAACAAGAACTGGTTCGCCATGCGTTCAGTGTTGTGGAGGTGAAGATTCTCCCGGGTGTATTGCAACTCTAGGGGGAGCTTCCGCGGGAGGTCTTCAGCTTGGCTAAGCAGTTCGGTATATCTGGACGAACTCTCCCACATGTGATGCGAGTCGTCCTTTTTGCCACCTTGATTCAGGTACGATATGATTCTGCCCCATAGTGCAATCGAGCGTATCATGTATGCTGCAACGCCCATATTCTCCTGGGGATCTGCCAGTTGACCGGCGTCGCTAGGAACCGGGTGCGGAGTGCGGCCGTGCAGATCTTCAGTCGGGCCCGGCATGTCGAGCTGAAAAAGCTTCTCTTTGATGGGGAGCTGAATTCTGACGTCCTCTTCTTTCACAAACATAGGTCTGTCGATACCGGATGATGTGAAGCGATCCATCAGAAAGCTTGCCCACATGGTGCGCCGTCGGATTTCACGGTCAACAAAACTCAGGGGCGTGTTCGACTTCGGACCTTGTGGGTCGTGCTCGAGATCGCGATGTAGTTGTAGAGCAAATGCCATTCGTATGGCATCACCGCCAAGCATCCAGCTTCTGCCGCCTTGGCAGGTGCCGAACTCATGCAAGGCAAGTATGAGATAGCAAGTCAAGATCGTAATGTTGGGCCAGTCGTATCGCCGTTTCACAATTTCGCGAGCTGAACTCGCCCAGTCCTCTCCACGGAGGAAGTGTACGGTGTTCGAGAAGAAGGTATGCTGAGAGAAGCGTGCAGAGACAGCACAGACGGACAATATCAAGACAGGAGGCAAAGTCCCCGCACTGTGTAGTCCGAGTTAGCGACGAAAGCTGCGGATTGGATGTTGTGGCTGAAACCTACCGGAGTTTCCTCATGTAGCTGGGTTTGTGCAGCAGGTGGTAGGCCTGGCCGTAGACGACCTCGAAATACACCTCGGCGAGATGCTCCTGGAGCTCTTGTGACGGAAGCGCATCTCGACCTTCCGCCAGAAGCTTGCTTTCCTCCTCCTCTTGCACTTTGAGGGCAACGGATCTGTTGACATCATTGGAACCGGATGCACTCCGAGCCCATTTGTTGAAATCCGGAGCAAAGGCCTCCTCGGCCTTCCTTTTCTTCACGCCTTGCTTGAGCGTCCCTGGCAACGATGGCTTGACCACAGCACGGATTACAGCATTGGCAGATGCTTCTTGCTCTGACTTGGGCAAGGTTTTGATGATGCGATCCTCCATCCTCCTTAGCCTTTTGTCGAGCATGGCCATGTAATCTGTCCTCGGCGCAGCCTTGCGCGTCGTAACTTTGTATACGCATGGCAGCCTGGAACGGATGCAATGCTTGCAGGCGGGCTTCTCCCCGGAGCACCGGATCTTCTTCCTTCGGCACGATGCACAGGCGAGGGGCAGACGTTTCCGTTCTTTGCCGGCCTTGGTTTTGAGCTCACTCCATGCGGGTGCGGCGTCGTCCTTGCTGGTCATTTTGCGCCGGCCACCAAGCTCCACGCCGTCATTCTCGCCACTGTTCGGCATGCTGAAGGCGTCCATCGTCTGGTCGTCAATCTGATCGTCGAATGGATGTTGCCCATCCTGACTTGCTTCATCAGATTCAGCCGCCATGGCTGCCTGCTCCTGATCTTGGCTCAGATAGGCTGCGGCCGCAGGCAGATGAGTCCCCGTTACGGATTGGGAATGCCGCTTGTTCGTCTGAGCTTGCACATTGCGATTTGTCACTTGGGCGTCCACCACATGAGGTTGATGCGAAGGGTCAATGGTGCCAAAGTCGTCGCCGAGAGCAGACATTGGGAAGCCGAAGTCGAGAGAGCTGTTTGATGGGGTGACTACCCCATGCGAGGCCATGTCGACAGGCCACGCTTCCTGGCCACGAGGTTGTGGGCGTTCTCGGCCGTCTAGGCCTGTGGCTTATTGGCACGCAAGGTTGGAGCGCCTAGACTGCGGCTCTGACGATGTAGTCCACGATGACATGGGCAAGCGGAGCCTGCGGAATGGTAGGCGGCAGCACGAAGCAGGACCACTGTGGAAGCAACGCGAGGAACGGCAGTGGCCGAGAGTCATGGTCTCATGACGTGCGGGCGCGGCTGCGAGCACTGCAAGTCGTGACCTGGCAGGCACCTGTGCTCTTTGAGAAGTGACGGCGGTAGCGTCGAGACTGGCGGCGGCGGCGGCGGCAGCAGCAGCGTCAGCAGCAGGGCGACAAGACTTGGGCAGCAGTGTGTGCAGCCGAGGATGTAATCAAGTGGCAGCTGGCGAGGGCGACGATGGTAGGGGGGGCCGCTGGAGAAGGTTGGGGTAGCTGGCAAGGACTTTCTCAAGGGTGGGAGGCGGCGAACCCTTGCTGGGGGGGCCCAGCGACGGGTGTGGGGTACAGTCCGATGCGGACATGGATGCGGAGAAGCGCGTGTAGCGTCCACCTGAGCACCAGCAGCGCCTCTTGGTCAGCATGACTACAAGAGGGTATGGACATGGGGTGCCATTACCTAAGCGTCGGCTTTCGTACCTAGCCTTAGAAGCCCCGTCCCATCAGGACTGCCCAACAGCCAACTGGCCAAAGCTTGATTCATGCAGCAACAGGAGGCTTGGTTTCGAGTTTGATGTAGGATGGCTGGCGCCTTGTGCTGCGATGGGTTGAGAGCAGATCTGCAGGGCCGTGCGCAGCGAGCGGCAGGACCTTGCAGGAGGTTGACTCGAACCGGACTCGTGACAGGCAGGCCAGGTGTACATAAGGGCCGAATGCTCAAATGTCACACCATCTCCCTCTGGGCCCGCCCCCTGGTCGATGCGAGCAACGCCGGAATCCTTGTGAGATGCAGCAGAGGCGCAAAGCCCTGCCGGCACTTGTCTGACAGCAGTTGGGCGACGCCCGCCCTGCATGACCAACGATGGCCACGCCTTGGCCTGGACGGATTCATACTTGACCCAGGGACCTCTTGAAAAGGAAAGAGGGAAGCGACGTCGTGGCCTGGTGACAATGGGGGGTTTGTCTGTTCTCGAAGGTGTGTATCTCGAGTGAGCACGCAGGAGCTGGCGAATGGTGTATCAAAGTCAGAGACGCGTGTGCGGCTGGCAACATGCGTGCCCGGCTCATCGGTGGCAGCAACGACCAACTGCTATCTCATGGCAGGCATCGCCAACGTTCCTTCCCACGTATTGACGCCAGCAATGGCACGGCTGCACCAGCATCTGCTTGTGGTATCCGTGACGTGCACCACTGACTGCCCTGCATCTTGTGCATTCAATACATCGTCAGCTTGATTCACTGCACATCAAACCACTGCCTACATGAAAACCCTTGCCACTTACAGCAAGTCCCTCGAGCCAACAGCTCCTCGGACATCTCCATAGAAGACAGCCCGTCATCTGCCAGTAATCGATTGGTGTTGCTCTCGCGATATCTGAATTTGAAGAGGCTTTCCATCCCAGTCTTGCCTCCGCCGCCGCCGGTGCTCGAAATCTCCAAGATGTCGACGTACTACGAATTCCGTATGCTAAATCTACCGGCGCGGTATGGTCTGTCAGCCAAGAGCCAAGCCATGCTCAAGGCCCACGACGACTTCACGACGAGCAGGATCACTGAGGCCGAGCTCGGACGCCTGGTCAGACTTTCCAAAGACAATCGTACTGCGATGGTCGAGACCATGGTCAAGGTTTCCGAGATCATGGCCAAGAAGCCAGAGGAGTCGACGCACTGCCTGGCCGTCATCAAAACCTGTGGAGAAATCATTGCCATTGCAGACAAACCAGTCCCTACGAGCGGCTTCCCATATTTCTTCAAGCTCCCACCCGAGGTGCGGCAAAATGTCTACCAGTACTATCTCCGATCCAACGAGACAACCAAGGTCCTGATACCACACCCCAAGAAGCCAGGCGGCTGCTGGTGCGCACCACACGACAATGCGAAATGGATGACCTTTACGAAAAAGTCGGTCGCGGCACTCGGTGCCAGCAAACGACTGCGTGAGGAGATACACGCGGCGTTGTATCAACGATATGTAAGATGCGCTGATCGCTTTCAGGGACCAGAGATCCGTCTAACCCGATGTGCAGACTTTCCACTACCCCTGCGCCTGCGAGATGGGGCGTAGTCTTGACCGGGACATCGGCCTGATGGAGAACGTCCGCAGCATCAAGTTTCACTGGTGTGGCCCGCAGGCCGATACCGCTATCCTCAAGCTGAAGCAGTGCACCTCTCTAGAGTCGCTGTGTGTCGTCATCTCGAGAAGCACGACACGACACCTCACAAAGCGAGAACAGAGCTTTCGCCCGTACTTCGGCCACAGGACGAAGGCCCTCCTCACAGATGCGCTGGGAGTCGATGAGCTACTCCAGCTTCGCGGCCTGAAGAAAGTCGAGGTCTGCAATGTCGACCGGAAGCGAGCTGATCAACGCAACAGCGACGACCGGGCTTGCCTGGCTGCCCTCTTACTTTCCAGACTAAAACTACCGCGGAAGGATAATGACGAGACCGCACTGTAGATCATCTGCGGATGTGGCATTCTAGCACGATGCAACTCGCAGAGTCCCGCCCCCTGGGCTTCTCGACGTCATGATATAGTGGGTGGCTCGGGTGACAGGGGTCTTTGTTTCTTTGCCTGCGGTCTCGTGGAGCCCGTGGAGCGAATTGTGAACCGTCTTGACTTTGACAACTCGCCATTTCCCGATCCACTCGAGTCGGAGTATTTTATGTCAGTCGACGCCTGCTCGTTGGTCGTGTGGCCCGGTGGCCCTACCTGTAGAAGTGCCAAAAATGATAGTTATATGCATAGAAAGTTCCTACATGTTAGAAAATGACTTTTACAACCCCATGCACTTCACCATTGTGTTGCAAAGCTGTCTGAGATGAAGAAGGATGTCTCATTTCCATGTCCCTCAACTTCAACTGCGACGTAATCTATCCAATATGTTCTACAGGCACAAAATCGCCAATCCCGTAACCTTGTCTTCTCTTCCGCGCGAGAGAGAGAGAGCGAGCACTGTCGTGCACTCTCAAACCCCGATGTAAACGGGTATGCCATAGACCACGACTGCCGCGGCAGTCAGATATCTGAACCGGCACGCGCCCCTGGCCCGCACAATCGCCTCGACCAAGCTCGCCTTGTCAGTTTCCTCCGCCGTACCGCTTGCGCTGCTGGCCGTGCTGCGCGAACGGCTCGCCGCGCTGGCCTTGCCTTTCTTACTGCTGCTGCCACTGCCGCTACCGCCGCTACTATCGCCACCAGCGTCTCCGCGCTTCCGACTGCGCCCTCCAGATCGAGACTTGCCGCCATCCTGCGCACCGCTGCCGCCACTTCCATGAGAAGAGGAGGAGGAGGAGAATGTGCCTTGCGGCAACAGGCCCCAGTTCTCAAACATGCTCCCCGCGAACCGATCAATGTCCCGGTCCGTCACGTCCCACAGCGTGCCGGCCACCGCGGGGCTGCCGGCGAGCATGTAGTTCCACACGGGGCCGTGGCACTCAAACTCGCCGACGTCGGCGAGGCTGGCGGAGCTGCAGCCCAGGAGCAGCGCGACGGCGCGGCACTTGGGCATCCTGCGCACCGTGCGGCCGCGGATGTACTGCGCGCCGCTGCCGTGGCCAAAGTACAGGAGTAGGTCCTTGGACAGCAGGCTGGCCTCGAACTCGGCCTCGGTCGGGGCGCGGCCCTCGACGGACGACCAGGTCGGCGGCATGCTGGCCAGGGGCCGGCCAAAGGTCGACTGCGTGTTGCTGAGGTCCGCGCCCGGGTTGAGGATGTAAGAGCCCGACTTGATTGAGATGTGGTGGCCCTGGCGTGGGTGGACGTGGTTGCCAGGTGAAGGCTCCGAGTCGACCTCCATGTCGGATTGCTCGGCGGTGTGAGCCGTTTGCGTCTCCTCTCGCGCTCGCGGCCCTGCTCCAGGTATATTCTGCTCGAGTATGAGCCTGCGAAGATATGCAAGCGAGGGCACTCTCGACACAGGAGCGCCTTCCATGCAAGGAAGAGACTCCCAGGGGAAGATATGCAAGGCCTTGTCAACGATCAAGATGGTGTGCGGCACATGCTCGTCGGGTGTCCCGGCTTTGACCTCGTCCTGATATGAGTGGATGGCGTCGAAAGTATCAACCACCATCGCGTCAAAGTCAATCTCGTCGTACGCGTTGCGTTCGCCATTGAACTGCAGGATGTCGATCACAAAGTAGAGTAGGTCATTCAGAGGCTCGTCCAGGTCTGCCTCTGGAGCAGTCGCGTCTCCAAGACTGACAAACAACTCGTAAATTCTCGGGTCAAGCGTGATCTTGGGCCCTGGCGCTGATTTCGGCTTCTTGCCTCGGACTTGGCGCCTCGAAGGAAGATGCTTGTCGAGGATGTCCAGAAACGATCGCTGGAATCTGGCGAGGAGCTCAGGTTGTCTTTGGCTCGGAGCGAACACTCCCTTGAACCCACCGAGCCATGTCTGCTCCATGTTGTCCAAGAGGTCCCTCATCCGCTCGTCCAGAGCTTCTCGTTCCGCCCACCATTCGGCTTTGGCGCCTTTCTGACTCATGTCACGGGCATCGTGGCACGTGCGATTAATGTTCCTGATGATCTCCAGCAGCTCTGAACGGCCTTGGTGGAAGTCAAACACATCAATGTCGGCATCTCTGGAGTTTGCCCGCTCGAGGGGCAGCCGGATGGCGAAAGGACTGTGGCCAGCCTGCAGTTTCGTGATGCACAGGTCATGCTGGCCCGCCCCCAGCGATACAGATACGACATTCCAGTCGCTAGGAATGATGTCGACAAAGTCGCGCTGAAATCTCGCCATATCGGTCGCCGGCTCAAGACTGGATCGTCGGTTGCTGTCCGAGCTTTCAATGAGCATCGGCCACGCAGACTTGGCGAGCTTCCTGGAGTCTTGTGCAAGAGTCTTTCTCTCACGGCCCCAGATAAGATTCCTCGCCATTTCCACTGAGCAAGTCGCATGTGCAGAGTGGCTAGAGCGGTAGCTCTTTGTTGAAACGGTGGTGGACAGAAGTACCGCCACGTTCTGCAGCAGTTGAGCCACGCGGTGGACAAGTGAAGCGTTGCCATTGCGGGTGGCAGTAGAGCGAGCCTCAAAGAGATAGTCTTGGGCGCGGCGCAAGCCGTCCTGGAAAGACTGGCTTTCTAACACGGACGCGCGGGATCCTGGAGACTTGGTCAAAGACAATCGGTCGATGCTGGCTCTGTCCTTGGCACCGGCGGCAATGGCAGGAAACGACAGGGTTGACTCTTGGATGACGGAAAAGACGGAGTCATGGCCCATGAGTTCTAGACTATGACCAACCAGGCTGACAGCCTGAAGATATCGGACCTCGGGCAAATCCATAGGAATGGTTGACAAAGCTGTGGTGGACTCGAGCAGCTTCGTGGCCGCAAGCCAATCCTTGTTTTGTATAGACATGAGAGATTGCTGTTGATACACTGCAGCTCGCAGTTGGCCGAGAAGAACATCGAGGACAACAGGCGGCTTTGCCGTTTGGATGGTCACTTTAGCTCGATTAGCAATCGCCTTAGAAGCTGTTGTGTTAGCTCGCGTAGATTTGGTCGCCCTTGGTGCCTTGATCTGTCTGGTTCGCGCTTTTGTAGTCGAGGTCTGAGTTATGCTGAGCTTCGCCATGTCGTCCTCGAGCTGGATCTCTGGTGGATATGCTGTCGCCTCCTGACTTTCTGCCAGCACTTTGATCATATAGTCAGCCTTGGCGACAATCTCTGCAGCGGCTTCGGGATCAGTGTCGTGGTAGATCTTGCTCAGCCGACATAGAGCGCGAACATTGGCGTACGTAGGCTCAATTGCATTCATAGTTGGCAGCAACGTGCCTGCTAGGTGCGCGGCCTTTTCTGTATCCCCAGCACTGCGGTGAATGAAAGCCAGCCAAGCTGTCGCCTGCAAGGAGTAGACATTGGAGCGAGTCTTGGCCGCAATCTTCTGAGCCTGCTCGGCGTAGTACAGGGTTTCTTGATATAGCCCAAAGTGTGCGTATATCCACGACAGGCGGCACGTAAACTCGAATAACGCGCATGCGATCTTCCAGAAGCGAGGTCCCGCCATATCGACAGCAGGGTGTACTTTTTCGGCTACAGACTTTTCAAGACCATTGCCTTCTTCCGTCCTTTCGTGGTGGGATGTGTCGGCTGTTGTCTCGTCCAAGGACTCTTGGTTCTCAAAGCGTACCCAATCGTGGAAGACACTTTGCACGGCGTTCTTTGCAAGGTCGAGTGCGTGATGTAACTCGCCACGCTCGAGTGCAATCAGCGATGCAATAGAAGACGCCCGTGCAGCGAACAATCGCTTCTCGATGCCGCTAACCATTTTCGCCGACAGTTTGTTGGTACTCGAGGCAGCGTGTTGGGCGGCGTGGATGTGCGCGTCTGCTTTTTCGTACTCTGCAACTGCCAGATAGTACTCAGCCGCAGCCAAGTGAAAGCCAGCCGTTGCATCCGAAGCGATCTGCAGCTGAGCGATGTCATGTTCGCCTTCTGCCATGACTTTCTGGGCCCTGCCAGACTGTCCTAGCTGGAGCTGTTGGAGTATCAGGGCGGAGGCATGGACGAATTGTCTGTCCTGGTTTCCATCCGATGTAAGCTGAGCCACCTTGCGTGAGAGCTCCAGTGCATCCGTAGCCAAGAGCGCCAATCCTCTGATCCTTGCAAGATCGGACAAGGACTGTAGCATGGTGAGAAGCTGTTCGGGATCGTCTATGTGCTCGAGAAGGTGTTCAGTTGTGGCGCATTCAGATAGGGCCTTTGTCCATTGGCCCAGTGCTTGCCTGACCGATGAGACATCTAGATCGTCTCGGATGAGTGCCAACGTGCATGCCGCGAGGCTAAGCAGATGTGGAATATATCCCTCCAAGCCGGCGTCCTCTGCGAGCGGCGATTCCGAGATCGTTGCTGTGGTCGCATGGAGCTCTTCTTGCCAGCAAGTGGTGTCCGTTTCACGTCCGAGACTTCTCAGAGTGACTCGCAACAGCGTTCGAAACCTCCTGACTGGATATTGTTGTGCTTCATACAATGCCAAAAGGGACTCGACGAGGGAGGTGAAGGCTTGTTCGTCTTGTGATACCCTGGCGTCGTCGGTGTACACAAAATAAAGATCATGCTCAAGAGCGACGAACTTGTCCGAGCCAGAGAAAAGCCAAGTCCAGTCTACAGGCTGCTTATCAAGCTTCGCCAGGTTGCACACTGCTCGTGATAATGCCTCAGCCTCGGCGGTCTTCCTCCAAGCTACAACAACAGGCCTCGTGGACAAAGTTGTAATAATGTCCTGTGCGATGTCTTCTCTAAGCAGGTGGTCTCTGATAGATCTGATCGTATCAGCCGCATCGTCTTTTCGGCCCGACACTCTGCAGAGCTCCGCGAATCGTTCCCATTTGACAAGCAACTGCGCACGCACGCGCTCGTGGTGAGATGCATTCTTGACAGAGTCGATTGACCTCCGCAGCGCGCATAGCGATACCTTTTCGGTGGATTCCGACGCAGATTTGCGAAGGATGAGGTGCTGTTGGTAATAGAAGTGGGAGACCTTGACCAGGTACGAATTCGAGGGGTTCTCTTGCACGCTCGATCGGAAGGTGTCTTCGAAATGCTCCAACAGGCCGAGGACATCCTGCAGCACAGGGTCCAACTGCTCCCACTCCAATGCTGCCTTGTCGAGAGCAACTTTCAAAAGCATAAGGGCAGAATCGATGACCAGATGAGCATACTTTTTTAGCAACTGTCGACGCTGTTCAAAACGGAGGAGGTCTTTTGTTGATCCTGGGGTGGCTGGGGGTTTGCCTAGCCACCTCAAGCAGAATCGTGGTAGGAAGAAGATGAACCTCTGTAATTCTTGTTGCACACGGTGGTCCGTCAACCTCTTTGGCGAGCCCACTAGCATGCTCATTACAGTCTTTCGCAGATTGCAGACACTGAGCAGCAGTTCATCGAGTTCTGCTGTGCTCCCTCTCAACGGACCTTGCAGACCCTCCAGGACGTCGGCAGCCAGTTTCTCGTGGTTCTGTCCAGCAGTCCTCAAGCTGAGAGACAGCATTCGTGCAGCTACAGAGCATTGTCGTGCAGGTGTATCTTTGGCAGTGTCGCTGTTGTCCCGAACCTTGGTCATCCACTCCAGTGCTTCTTTGAGCTTGCCGGCTTCTTGAGACACAGCCGCAAGCATTTCGTAGATTGGGATTGGCGCGGCATTTGACGCTGAGCAGCCAGAAGCTTGTAATTGGTCGAAGACTTGTGAGCATGCCCCAGTCACAACGGTATACGTTGCAGCTGCCTCAAGTTGCGTCCGCCGGGTGAAAGCCTGTAAGCATTTCGAGAATGGCTGCAGAATATCCTTATCAGCATCACCCCGGGCATTGGCCCACTCCCATGCGTGCAGCTTCAGAGCGAATGCGATGGACTGGGCCTCCAAGCAGGTCTCAGGCCGAGAGCTGAGTTTCGGCTCATTTGCTATGCCGTCATCTTTCATCGACAAGCTGCACGTCAGGGAGAGAATCGTCTGCGATAGAGTTTCCAGCTGTTTCGAGCCCTTGTTACGATCTGCGGTGCCCTTCTTCAGAGACAGCCTGATATACTGGAACGGTGATGTCGCATTTTTCAGTCGTAGGAGAGGCAGTACCGCCGTCAGCAGAGGCGTCTTGTTCATGCCATGTAATATGCGTAGTGCTTGCAGTTGAGTCGATATCACTAGATTCAACAACGGACCAGCTGCGTTGTCCGGAGGGAAATCGAGCAGGTCAGAGAAGACCTTTGCGGTAGTTGTCGCCGTTGCATTCGCGCTTGCCGAAGTCGGTCTCGTTGCTTGGCCCGGCGGACTGACGAGGAGGCTCTCGAGTCGTCTTTTAAGCAGGCGTATCTCCTTGAATGCATGTTCGTAGAGCCTCAGGGCGATCAGTTTATTGATGAAGGAAGACAACCCGGATTCGAGCTGCAATTCGGGTAAGGCGACCGTGCCTGCCGACTGCAAGGTCCTCAGACAGTTGAATGCGACATGAGCGCATTCAACAAGGGCGAGGCAGCCGTTCGAAACAACCCCGGGCGAAGAAAGTGGCAGCTTCTCTGACTGTTGCATGGGCGATGTCGAGACTTTATTAACGGCGCGAGGTTGTAAGGGTGCCATTGGGGTTGATATTGATCGCCGAAGGGCTTTCCTTGAATTCGGGCCGGCAGACTCTGCGGTGTCTGAAGTACTGCCAGCCTGGGCCGGTTCTGTGTTCTTTGCCGCATCGCCAAGGGCTTTGAGGGACGCGTTGATGACCTGTGTTGCGAGGACAGCCCTCTCTTTTGGTGGGAGACTTCCATCGTTGTCGGCCTTGGCAGTCGTTGTCGACTTTGACGTTCGGCTTGTCGTGGTTGTCCGCCCGGCCGTTTTAGTTGTCGTTCGTGATGATGTCGTCCTTGTTGTCGCCTTGGTTGTACGTGTGCCGGTCGTACGCTTGTCTGTGGTTTCGTGGCTCTCCGCGGTCATGTCCTGCAAGAGCTGCTTCAGGGTCGCTGAGATGCTCGAGTTGCAGGCACTGGCTGAGGCAACCCCGTCGCGGACGACGTCGACCTGGGCCCTCGAGGGTGCCATGCTGGTGATGCTTGGTGTCGGAAATGGAGCTTGTCGTGTATCGTGTCTGAGGGCGAGATCCTCACTGAGGCATCATCTGGGTGTGCGTAATTCGTGGTTGGGCGAGCCGGTCCTGGACACTGCCCTGTCCTTTCTGTTCGGGTGACTCCAGAACGCCGCGCTGAAACAATGCAAAGTGAAGATGCGAGCGACGCCAATGCAAATGCGATATCGTATCCCGGCTGCTGTGCGTCGAACCAAAGATGAAGAAAATGCTCCCTAATCCCGCGCTCACAAACATAAACTGGAGCTCATCGTCACGATCCTGGTCCGCGGCGCTCGGCTCCTAATCAATATTGACAGGGCCCAAAGCATCCCACCTGGGGCCGCCACCATTGGCCAGAGGCTGCTCACTTCCCGGGGTGTGGACGGGGATGCACCCAATGACGCTAGTCCCGGAACGGGTAAGTCTCGTCGACCAAGCAACAAGAGCAGCTCACCAGTTGCCATTGGCCAGAAATTCATGGCGGGCATGAAGTGGATGGGTGGAGGAGGTGCTCTCAGAGCCAAGTGCCACCCTTTCGATTTCGAGATTTCAAGGTCAAGCCAACCTCGCACAAGTTCAATTCACCACAAAGGCCACAACGGCCACAACAGCGTCGCACTCCATGGACAAGTCACTAGCGCTTGCTCGAATCGCGCGGGGCGTCCGCAGCAGCCGTGCTCAGCGCACCGTCGCCTCTCTCCCCAGCCTTCGACCACAGTGCAGGCCAACACAACCGCCAGTCCTTGCTGGCCGGCACATGAGCTCCGGCCCCTCCGTCGTTCAGCCCTCGTTCTGGAAGTCAATGATACCAAAGCCCTTCCGCCGCAAGACGGGCCACCACCCAGAGTTCCTCGTCGCGCCCAAGAAGCCCCGGTCCAAGGAGTGGAACCCGGCGACCTTCTTCATCGTCATCTTCCTCTTCATCGGGTCCATGTCGATCCAGATGATTGCCCTGCGCAGGGACTTCAGCGCCTTCACCCGCCGAGCGGACGTGCGGATCGGCCTGCTCCGCGAGGTTGTCGAGAAGCTGCAGCGTGGAGAGCCTGTCGATGTGGAGAAGGCGCTGGGCACGGGGGATGCGCAGAAGGAGCTCGAGTGGGAGCAGGTGCTGCGCGAGATCGAGCGCGACGATATACTCAAAAACACACAGAAGAGCAGTCGGTCGAGATCAGCGCCCAGCTCGTCCGGATCTGCTGCTGCGAGCCAGTCCCAGTCTGCACCTGCTGAGAGCAAACAGGATGCGACGCAGTCGGAACCGACCTCGGCCACGGACAGCGGGACAAAGACCAAGGCGGCCAGCTTCTCTAGCTTCTTTTGAGTATGTATTTACATGTATCAAGATGTACCAACAAGTCCACCAAAATGTATATTAGACCGGAACGCTGCCCAATGCCTTTTCGGCGATGCTGGAGCGCAGTCGTTTCGCAGACGACATCACGACATCATGTCCTTGAACACAGACGCTCCATGGGCCTCTACTCTGTGGTCATGGCCGTCCTCCAAAGTTGCTTCTTTTCTCGAGAGCCGAAGCTCCTCGACAAGCGCAGGGAGCAGTTCGTCGGTCGGGATCTCCACCCTCACACCCTGCGCGCCATTCTGTGACGGGTCCAAGTTTGTGAAGAATGCATCCTCACCTCTCACTCCTCCAAGATTGACAATCGCAATCGGGACGCCTCGGTCCTGCGCCCTCTTGACCAGGCGCCACGCAGAATATGTCGCAAGCGACGTGCCGAGCACCAAGACTCTGGCGGCGTCCTCGATCGCCTGCTCAGCGGCCGCTTTTGCTGCGGGCCGGACATTCTCCCCGAACATTGTGACCGCCGGCTTGAGGATGCCTGCATTGCTGGTAGTCTTCCACCCACCATCGGCGTCGGACTCGACCGTCGCGCGACTCCCATCCGCCAGGACGGGGGGGCTGCTCAGACACCGCGGGCAGGGCGGGTAGCGGAAGGTGGTGTATGGGGCATTGGGCACATCGACATCGCCATCCGGGTTGGCACGCATGCCCCTGGCCTTTCGCTCGTCCGGGTCTTCCGTGTCCAGCGCGCCCGTGGCCATAATCTCCTGCAGGAATGCCGCCCAGGCCGGGTTGAGGCGGGCGAGCTCATCCTGGAAGACGTCCCGAGGCAGCTCCTCGTGGCAAGACGTACATGTAGTCGCCCTCAGATAGCCGTGTAGCTCGACCGTAGGTAGCTGTGGGTGCGCCTTTGGGTGGAAGGAATCTACATTCTGCGTAATGACCGTGTCCACGAGCCCCAGCTCGCCCAGGTGCTTGACCGCGAAATGTGTGGCATTGGGCCGCGCCTTGTGCAGCGTCGTCCAGCCCAGGAAGCTGCGCGCCCAGTACCGCTTGCGGGCCTCGTGGCTCTGGAGGAACTCGTGATGGTAGATGGGCCGATATGTCTTGTTGACGCGGTACGTGCCCTTGGTGCCCCGGTAGTCGGCGAGGCCGCTGGCCACAGATATCCCCGCGCCCGTCAGGACGACCGTGGGCGATGCCCCCGCATTCGTTGCTACTGGGTGGTGCTGTCGTTTCGTGATGAGCCCGGGAAGTCGTCCTTGGCTGCCCTGGGCCGCCTGATGTTGCTGAGCGTCGTCACCACCAAAGAAGTTGCGCAGCGCGGCGAGGGCGCCGGTCTTTGAGGTTGCGCTCGCCGGGATGATTGTCGGCGCCGCAAGGATGTCCGTGTAGGGGATTCGGAGCTTTGAGCTGCGCATCTGGGGCGACGAACCCGGGATGGGGGATGTCCGGCAGCTGAAAGTGCGGCCGGAGCGGGATTGTAACGGAGCTCGAAGTCGTCGGCCTGGTCCGGTTGGGATATGGTGGGATATCAAGTCGTTGGTGATTTGTGAAGTGCAGCAATCACATTGTCTCAATGCCTGCACTGCAGGGTGGAATTCCCAAGCGCCAATGGGGTGCATGACGACACGCAGAATATAAAGTGGACTACGCCGAGGGCTGCCAAGCCGGGGCTAAGAGCTCCTGGCAAACACCCATTGTGAATTCGGGTCAAAGACAGCAAGGAGTACATAGAAGCATGCTTTCTACGCAACGATCAAATGCCATTCTGCATGATGTCCCTTAGGAGACGTGGGGAAAGAAGATCGTGAAGATGTCGGGTCTTCAAAGTGTCCAAGCTGGCACGGAGCTGTTGAAGCAGATCGCTGTCAAATCGCGTACATCGGATCGTTGGGCCTGGGCACGGCCACAGGTGGTCTCCGACACCGGGGATCTGGGGCTTCTTTGGGTTCTTCCACCTCTGTTAGAATTGCTTTCCCGGTTCGACAGGTGAGAACGACGATGGTCTCTGTCTGGCCTTGGTAGTATGGAGCCAGGATAGAAGTAGCGTTGACGATTTAACCTCGAGGTACCTGCGTGTAGAGACCAGAGTCAAACCCCAAGCAAGCACTGCGCTAGACGAAATTCCCCTTGTGGACGTCCTGTGCCCCCAGCAAGGGCGCCCAAAAAGCCCCATAACCGGCTGGCATGTATCACCAATCGTCCGATTCAGGGCGGCCGGTTGTGACGGGAGGGGAGCCCGGGCTGGCCGCTCGACGTAGCGGGCATGAAGCGAGCGGAAGGCTCGGCCTGCGAATGTCGGCTCTGGTCATTGTTCCTGAACCGCGCGGGCCATAATTATCTCCGTCCTCGACACTCCAGCCATCTACCGAGTGAGTTGCCCGCCGCTCGGCCATAAGTACTCGACAGCCCCCAGACACCTCGCTCACATGGTATGGTGCCTTGGATGCGCCGGCCCCAGATTCTCGCCGCCTGACCGGACCGGACGCTGCCGCTGCCGCTGCCATGCCTCCGCTGCCGATGACCAGGTCCTGCCGAGGCCGCGTGCCTGCAACGCCGGCCTTGCTCAGCTCGACGTGGACACGGGCGCTGCTCAACCGGTCCTCTGCATCCTCCTCCTGCACAGCCGAGCCACGTCGCTTCCACGCGGCCTCGCCAGCCCCTTTGCGCGCGCGTCCTCGCTCTAGCCGCCCTGGCCCCTTGTCCCAAAGGCCAGATCGACTCGCCTCGCATCCACAACCACACCACCAGCCGCCGCCCCCTTCTCTTAGCTCGCGCCCCGTCCTCACCACCACACCAAGCACGTGCTCTCCCACGCCCGACCGTCCTTCTGCTCCCTCCTCCTCGATCCCGACCTCGCCGCCGATACAAGAGCCAGTGCTCAATCGCACGACAGCTCAGCACGGTCTCCCTGCACGACGGCCGCCCCGCCGCTCCTTTCCAGCCATGGGCTCGCTCCTGCACACGAGGGGCCACGGCGGCCACCACCACCATCATCACGACAATACTTACCTCACCTCGGGAAACAAGAACGATGCTGGCGTGCGAATCACCCGCATCGGTCTCTACTCGAACCTGGGTATGGCCATTGTCAAGGGCGCAGGCGGCTACATGTTCAATTCGCAGGCCATGGTCGCCGATGCCATCCACAGCGTGACGGATCTCGCCTCTGACGTGCTCACCCTCGCCACAATCTCTTGGAGCATCCGCCCGCCGACAGACAAGTTTCCAACGGGGTTCGGCAAGATTGAGAGTCTCGGGTCCCTCGGTGTGTCAGGAATGCTGCTGTTCGGTGGTCTGTGGATGGGCTACGGCAGCCTGCTGTCCCTATATGGCCACTTCTTCCTGGACCCCTCGGCGGCAGCCGACCTGCTTTCTCACGTTCACTCGCACGGCCACAGCCACAGCCATGGCCATGGTCACGACGACGGCCACGGACACATAATACCCAGTCTGCATGCCGCCTGGTTAGCAGCGGGCACAATCGCCATCAAGGAATGGCTATACTATGCGAGTACGTGTCACCACTCGCGAGGGAGAGAGAGAGTCATGATATTGCTTACTGACACGACTTTCTGTGCACAGCTATGAAGGTTGCCAGAGAGCGCAAATCGTCCGTGCTCGCCTCGAACGCTGTCCACCACCGCGTCGACAGCTGGACCGGATTCATCACACTGGGAGCGATCCTAGTTGCCAACTTTATGGAGAGTGCCGCTTGGGTAGACCCTGTGGGCGGTCTCTTGATCTCCATCATGATTGTCAAAGCCGGCCTCGAGAACACGATCGCAGCGCTTTTCGAGCTTGCAGACCGAAGCATCGACGAGGACGTGCAGAACAAAGTCGCCAAGCAGGCGAGGCAAGCGTTTGCCAAGATCGACGGCGGACACGAGTTGGAAGTACGTGAAGTGACAGGCGTCAAGTCTGGCCAAAATTATCTCATCGACGTTGAGGTCGCCATGCCCGGGGCATGGACCATCGCCGACACCCGAGACATTGAGCGGGAGATTCGCACGCTGGTGGGAGCCAAGGTCCGGGGTGCGCGCAGAGTGCGCGTGCGGTTTGTCTCCAAGGACGACGAGGTCAATTCGAAGTTTGATGAATTCATCCCTGGCGACATGAGCCCGAAGTCGAGCCCGGAACCAGAAGATGCGGACGAGCACGACGACCATGACCATGACCACCACAATGGCCACGGCCACAAGCATTAAACGGTTGAAGACTATAGAGAAGAAGGGTCTTGGTGAGCAGAGGCCAGCCGCATCCTGACTGACCACCAATGATGGCATTGAAGTCTCTTGTCAATAGAAAATATCCTTGGCTTGCAGGGCCCGGAAACAAGACTCGACCCATAAAATAACAATATAGATGGAGCAATAACGGGCTTAGACAGCATCTTGTCTGTCGCCATGACTTGAGAAACCCAAAACTGCTTCAGACCAAAAAGTCGTCGTATTCAACAACAGGTCCGATCTGCTCTATGTCCTGCTGGTGCTATGAACGGACCGCCGCAGCGAAAATGTGTGTGCATCTGACTCAGGCTCTTGTCATGTGTTGAGGTCCTCATTTCACTCGTACGGCCGTCAACGAGTTCGGAGGACGGCCAGACGAAGTGTGACACTGCCATATTTGAACGAAACTCGCTTCGAAACTGCATCGTCGGAGCTCTACGGAATTTAGGCTAAATGCTATTCTTGGTGGGTTCGGCGGTCCACTTTCCCATTGTTTCACGGGTCCTTCAAAACCACATGCTGGGGTTGCCCATCATGACTCGACTCAGTTGTACTATGCATGCTGATGGTTACAATACTATCCAAGGAGTTCTTCTGGCAACTTGGCATGACCTGCGTATGATCACAGAGGAGACCACGTGTACACGTGCTGCTGTTGCTCAATGGTGAGGGGAATCATTAAATTGGGGGTGGGACCCCTCTTCCCCACACGGGCGGATTTGGGGGGGCACGTCAAACCGACGTAATGCGGGCGTGATTCGTGCGGATATCATGGCGTTGAAGTAAAGTTGGTTGCACCGTCGCCTAGAAAAAGCCCCCGAATCCAACCGCTCTCAACGGGAAAAGCGCATGTTTACTACCTTAGCCGGGACAAAGAAATCTATTTGTTTCAGTCGTCTGCACGTGGCCTTCACCCGGGTTTATTGTGTGCTTTTTCTGCCACCTGTCGAAGACCTGCTCTAAGACACACTTATTTCCTTTTGGACCCCGTCGACAACCCGACTTCGGTGTGATCACGGAGATACCGCACGCCGCTCTTCTTTCGAGACGCCAGAACCACCACAATCACTGCTTTCCCCTGAAGACTTTGCTCGGCCACAATCCGCTCGACTTCGTGATGGCCTCTGGGCCATTGTACCTGGGCTTTGACCTGTCGACTCAGCAGCTCAAAGGTGAGACCCGATTGCCCAAATTTGGGCCAATTACTCAACCCACCGTTACTCAATGAACACAACTGACTTTGGAACACCCATCTCTTCATTCCCACAGCCATCGTTGTCGCCTCCAACCTGACAGTCGTCTCCGAGGCGAAAGTCGACTTCGATGCCGACTTTGGCGCCAAGTACAAGATCAAGAAGGGCGTCCTGACCGACGAGGCCGAGGGCGAGGTCTATGCCCCCGTGGCTCTGTGGCTCGAGAGTCTGGACCTCGTACTCACGCGGCTGCGCGACGACGCCAAGTGCCCGATCAGCCGGATCAAGGGCATCAGCGGCTCCGCACAGCAGCATGGGAGCGTGTTCTGGAACGACAAGGCGGAGGCGGCGCTGAAGGGGTTGGGCTACAGCCAAGGCGGAAGTGGAAGTGGGAGTGGCCTGCTGGAGCAGCTCGATGGCGTGCTTGCCTACCCATTTGCGCCGAATTGGCAGGACCATAGCACGCAGGCGGAGTGTGACTTGTTCGACGCCCACCTGGGGGATGAGGCCAAGCTCGCCGAGGCGACAGGCAGCTCTGCCCACCATGTGAGTGTTCTCTCCCTGGACCGTTGCTCCGAGACCTCGTTGCGAAATCTGGCTCGTGTTCTGGGAAACTGACCCTCGCGTGTTGTAGAGATTCACGGGCACACAGATCATGAGGATGCGGCGGAAAAGGCCCGAGGTCTACAAGAACTCGGCTCGCATCTCGCTCGTCTCGTCTTTCCTCGCTTCCGTCCTCCTTGGTGACATCGCCCCGCTTGAGATCAGCGACGTCACCGGCATGAACCTTTGGGACATTGCGAACGAGCAATGGAACGAGCCTCTGCTTGAGCTTACGGCAGGCAGCAAGGACGCCGTGCCCGACCTGCGCGCCAAGCTCGGCGAGGTGCCTCTGGAGGGCGCGGAACCTCTCGGAACCATCAGCCCGTACTTTGTCGAGCGCTTCGGCTTCAGCAAGGACTGCAAGATCGCACCATTCACCGGCGACAACCCGGCCACGATCCTCGCCCTGCCCTTGCGTCCCGGCGACGCGATTGTGTCCCTGGGCACCTCGACCACGTTCCTCATGAACACTGCGACGTACAAGCCGGACCCGTCATACCACTTTATGAACCACCCGACGACAAAGGGCCACTACATGTTTATGCTCTGCTACAAGAACGGCGGCCTCGCGAGGGAGAAGGTACGGGATCACCTGCCCAAGCCGCCGGCGGGCCAGGATCCATGGGCCAACTTCAACAAGGCCGTGCTCGACACCCCGCCGCTCGACGTCAAGCCGGGCGGCGACGCCAAGACCAGCAAGGCCAAGCTGGGCCTGTACTTCCCGCTGCCCGAGATCGTGCCCAACGTGCGCGCGGGGACGTGGCGGTACGAGTGCTCCGCGGAGGACGGGTCGGGCCTGGCTCCCGTGCCGGAGGGGGACCCGCGCTGGCCGCCCGAGGCCGACGCGCGCGTCATTGTCGAGTCGCAGGCGCTCTCGCTGCGCCTGCGCTCCCAGAGCCTCGTCGCCGCCCCGCCCGGCGCCAAGAGCCAGCTGCCGCCGCAGCCTCGCCGGGTGTACCTCGTCGGCGGCGGGTCGCTGAACCCCGCGATCGCCCGGGTCATGGGCGACGTGCTGGGCGGCGCGGACGGGGTGTACAGGCTCGACGTCGGCGGCAACGCCTGCGCGCTGGGCGGTGCGTACAAGGCCGTCTGGACCCTGGAGAAGGGCCCCGAGGAGAGCTTTGACGAGCTGATTGGCAAGCGGTGGAAGGAGGAGGAGGCCATCCAGAAGGTCGACGATGGGTATCGCGAGGGTGTGTTTGAGAGTTATGGAAGGGTGCTCGGGGCGTTTGAGGAGATGGAGAGGAGAGTGCTCAAGGAGTTTAAGAACTAGATGGAAAGGCCGCGGGTAATATCAGAACATGTTGCATGTACAAGGTCGAACGAAAAGTGAATTCCAGATGTGTATTTGCTCACTCGGAACGAGAGAAAGAACAAGACCTCTGCTCGACTCGAGCTCCTCAAACGCCATACGCCCCTACTTCTCGGCTCGCGTAGCTCGCAACATGCCCAAGCTCGAGAGACCCCAATCAGCCTGAGGAATGATTCAGGCACGTTGGCTTTGAAGAAAAAGATGTAGATGCAGTTCTCTCCGCAGGGTTACCTGCAGCTGTGGAGGAGGATGGGGAGCGGGCTAGATCTGGGTTTAGATCGTTGGGGTCCGCCAGGGCTGGCGCCAGGGCCCCGGTAATGTAGCGCACGCAGATCACGTACGTCACCAACCTTGGAGTGCAGGCGCGGGATGTTACCACACCACTTGCACATCACAAGCAGTGTCTTTGCTTACCTTAGCTCTGGCGCACCGACAAAGTCATTGTCGGCCTCATTGACTCTGTCGGCTTCCATTGGGCTTGTGCTGCTGGTGGCAGTCACATGCAATTTTGCATCTAGACGAGGCACGGAGGGGGTCGATTGGTCTCGTTCAGGACAACACTCGTTTGCCTTCATTCCTCCCTTTCGCTGCCCTTCCATCTCGGCTTCCCCGGCTGTAGAAATCACTCGACGCGATTCCAGATTGTGATATCAGAACGGATACTGCACACAGATCCATACTTTCGCTCATTAAGCCAGCCGGATCCAACCATTACCAGGTACACCTGCATGTCAGCGTCTCCGGAGAACCGAGACGAGCACACAACGACTGTTTCTGGATTCTTGGAGGGTTCGAAGCGAAACGACGAACAAAAATGTTCATGTTGGGCCCCGTCTCGGCGCTCGACTGCATCGCCTTCTGCGTCTTCCTGGCGATCCAGCTGCCATTGCAGGTCGGCCTGTTCGAGACGCTTGGGGTCCTGATCCCATGTCTGCCGTTTCTGCGTAAGTTGTCCTTTCTCTCTCTCTTTCTCCTCATACAACTCCCACCACGATTGGAAATGTGCTTCGAACTCATCGACATATACATATCCGCGTCATGCATGCATGCATGCATACCTCACGCCCAGCATGACATTTCGAATATGCCTCCTCTTCGGTAAAACAGCGAAAAGCTAAACCTCCAACCCGCCAAACCAACCATAGTCCTCAAACTACCGTTCCAGTTCCTCAAGACGCGCTTCCTCGTGCCCGCGCACCGGCAGCCCCCGTTCGTGGCCGTCGCGAGCCCCTTTGAGGACTTTGTCATCCGCTGCGTGCGGTACGCGTTCTCCAACATCCCGCCCAAGATCGGCAGGGTCTTCTTCTCCAAGGCCGTGGCGCTCCCGTTCCTGAGGTTCAGGCTGCTGAGGCACGGGTTCCTCAAGACCCCGTTGCATTGGAGGGAGTATGGCGATGGTGAGAGGGCAAGTCTTTTTTCTTTGTTTTCGTTTTCGTGTTCTCGTTTCAATGTCTCTTTTTTCTTTTTTTTTTCTTTTACGAAGCTTCACTGCGTAGTTGCGCGAAGCATTTTTGCCTATTTCATGGTGTTCATATCCAAGTGCTAACATGTGATCTTGGGTTCAGAAACGATTCAAGGGGATATGGATTATCCAGGATCCCACAAAGAGGCCTGATTGCTGCATCTTCTATGCTCATGGTACGTCGACTCTGGTGGCCAAACACACATCACACCAGGCCTGCCTGCGATCCAGATTGTTGACCACGTCTCACTATGGACAACAGGTGGCGGCTTCATGATGGGGTCGTCATACTTCTACCTCGAATTCCTGCTCACCTGGCTGAGCCTCCTGTCGGAGAGTGGCTACAAGAATCCGGCCATCTTCTCGCTCGAGTACACTCTGGTACCTGACGCGTGCTTCCCTACGCAGCTCAACCAGTCCATCGCCGCCTATGAGCACGTCTCGTCCATGGTTGGAGACGCCTCCAAGATCTGCGTCGCCGGAGACTCGGCGGGCGCGGGCATCGTGCTTACACTGCTATTCCACATTGCCAGACCTGACGCAAAGCCTAGGCGGGTGTCCTACGTGCCGACCTATTCTCTGCAGAAGCCTGGTTTTGCCGTGCTCATCTCACCATGGGTCACCATGGTCTCGCCGCTGCATAGGAACACGGAGAGCGACTACCTCGAGGCCAGCCATCTTCATGGATATGCCAAACAGTATGCCGGCGGTGCACAGTTTGTCCACGACCCTCTGATATCTCCGGGCAGCTGTCGCGATGTCGATTGGTGGAGCGAAGCGCTCCCGAGTAGGGGCGTTCACCTCACGTATGGTGCCGAAGAGATGTTGGCGGCAGGAATAGCTGACCTCGAGGATTTCCTGCGGCGGAATAGCTTCAGGGTCACTCAGCATGCGGAAGCTGGGGAGATCCATGCCTGGCCAGTCGCCAGTCTATTCTTGTGCAACACAATCGACGCGCGGAAGAAGGGCTTGGCCGATATTGTGAAGAAAATCAAGGAGAACATCACGAGCGACGAGGCCAATGAGGGAAAGTAAAGAGTCATGACAGAGACGACGAGAACCACGAAAGGAGAAACATGCGGGGTGACACAGCCATGTCAGATTAGATCAAGTAACGCCTTCATCGATCGCTCCAATGCCCTAGAAACCTTGACGCCATGTGTGATACACGGCGACCGGCTTCTTGTTGGGCTGGAGAGTGTGATCTCCGACAAAAAAGCTCTTTGAAACTCATCATCATCCGTGGCTGTGGTATAAAGCGTGTTTGGGTCTGTTGCGAACACATCAAGAGGCAGTCATGGCTCTTGTGATGTACAGCGAATGTGCGACCAAAATCCAGACTTGTCTGGTGGTCTGACCTACCTGCGCTAAATCTTGACTGATTGATTTGTATAACAACCGGGCATGCTGCAAGATGACTTGATGAGTGCGAGACACGACAGACAAAGCTGCAGTTGTCGCGCAACTTGATGCTGTGGACGCGGCGGATGCCGATGCCCAAAGGCCACCTCTTCTAGGAGAATATCTCATGGTCGCAGGGCAGGCGGGTTTGATTGATTCAGCGAAGCAGACCTTGGAAGTTCTGGCAGGAGTCGAGAGGAGGCCATGACACTGGCCCTGGCGTTGTGTGGGCAGGAGGGAAGTGATCATCTGTGAGCACGTGGGGCGCGGCAGGACGTGTCAGATTTGGATCATCGGCCGCGGCCCCCGACATCCACCATGGCGCGTTGTCGAGACCACGGGGAGGTCCGCGTGCCCAGCCGTGGTCATTGTTGCCCAGGTATGCATGCGGATGCTCGGAGTCATCGAACTCTCAATCATCTGCCAGATGGCCAGACGCCCAGAGGCAGAGACGACCATCAAGAAGATTTGCGCAAGAGCGGGCGACCCAGGGAGGTGGGCGGGCAGACTGCCGTTGAGGTTGAGGATGCAATGAGGCCTGCCTGCTGCCTGCCTGCAAGGCTGGCCGCTAAAAGAGGGTTGGTGTTACACGATGACTTGCGACACGCCCTCTGCCCCACTGTGGGATGTCTGCAAGCCCAATCGAGGCCGGAGCGGAAGCTTTATTTTTTCTTCCTTCTTTGCTCCTGCCTCGAGCCAGCGCTGCTGCCCAATGGCACAGCGTGCCAGGGCGGGTACTGCAAATCCTTGCCAGGGTCTACCCGCTGGCGCACCCGCGCCAGGCACTGCACAGGCGGATATAAAACCACTGGCCCAGCCGCGAACCCGCCCGTGCTGCCAGGCACGCACCCAAGCGCACCTCCCGGCACCCGCCCAGTCGATACGCGCCTTGCATAACGAAACCCACCACCTGCGTCACAGGCAATCGCGTGGGACTGTCGCGACAAGTCACCCTCGCCTTTGGAAACCCACACACAGGCCTGAGTATACGCAGTCCCCGCTCCCAGCACTGTTAGGTCAGGCCAGCCATTCAACAGAGCCAGGACGAGCCTCAGACTTATAGAGCCCCGAGAGCGATCCTACTCATCTCATCACCTCGCTCCAAACCGATCCGAGGCTGCAACACCAAGCCAGAAAGCCAGCCCCACTTTTGACAGCCTCGGGGTTGCATCACAAACCACCACGACATATCTAAGTACGCCTGTTACGTTCGTATTCTGTCCCACTTTTGGGACGGCGTCTCTTGGGATTTTGTTTCCCATCCAGGTGTGCAAACCGGCGCCATGGCTCCCATTGACGGGTCCTACGCGCCCAAAAGCCCCGACCTTTCATTCTTGGCATCCTCTGGGAGCGACCAGATATCCTTGCCACCACCGCCAACATCACATCAGCAGCCATACGGACAACATGCTCGAACACCATCTACGGACTATTCCAATCAGTATCGTAGCGCGCCAGCGCCTCTGCCGAACGGTGCCGGCTATGGAGGCCCTCCTCAGCACGGCTTCGTGGCCTCGCCCTCATACGCTTACAGCAGCCTGCCCCCTCAAGCCCAGCCCCACATAACTTCCCCTCCGCCACAAGCCTTTCTCCGTCAGGCTCCTGCGCCGCCAACCAGCCAGCTTCATTCTTACCATGATGGTTCTTCCTACAACAATCCTGGCCCCCCATTGCCGCCATTCTCGCCCCAGCAGCACCATTCACCTTACCAAGCCGCCAGCAGCTCACACGATCACAGTTCTGTGACACCACCGCAACAACACCAACATTATCACCCGCTGCATCACCCACCACAGCAACTCGGTTATTCACCGCCGCAGCAGGGACCGCACACGCCCAACCATCTCCATTCACCGCCGCCGCCGCCGCCAGCAGGCTATTCGCAGACCGCATTTCCTCCTCTCAACTCTTACGGCCAGCACGCGCCTCATATACCCTATCCGTACAGCCAGGCGGGACAACAAGCCGTGCCAGCAGGCAACTACCAAGTGGCGCAATACTCCAACCCTCCCTCCGCAGAGCAAAGCTTCCCTCCGCCAGCTCACAGCTCGCTGCCCGAGATGGCGCCCCCGAAGCCGGCGGCTCCAGCCAAGGAACCCGAAATCATGTTCTCTCCAGTCAAGACCAAATTCCCCACGGCGCGCATCAAGCGCATAATGCAGGCCGATGAAGAGGTCGGCAAAGTCGCGCAACAAACACCCATCGCCGTGGGCAAAGCGCTCGAGCTCTTCATGGTACAGCTTGTGACGAAGAGCGCCGACGTCGCGCGGGACAAGAACTCGAAGCGCATCACAGCACAGATGCTCAAGCAGGTCATTGACTCGGGGCAGGAATGGGATTTCCTACAGGATATCGTCGCCAAAGTAGGAGAGGAGAAAGAGGGCGCAAAGGGCTCCGCAAGGGCCAAGGCGGAGAGCGAAACAGACGAAGACATCGAGCCTGCCGAACCCAAGAAGCGGGGAAGGACTGGCCGCAAGAAGAAGGGCGCAGAGTGAATGGTGTTTTTCGCGACCAAGAACATCATTGCTGCACTCACACCTGGAGGCGGCGGGCACACGCTCAATAACGACGGGCACAGTAGCCCCATGACTATAACGAAATCACGACATCCACCATATCGTCATGCGGAAGACGACGGCATCTCGCCAATAATGCTAATGGCGTGGCCGCCGGTTCCCCGCTACGATTCACGTGAGCGCAGCCATTTTCGCGGCCTGTTGCCTCAAACTTTGTGCATAGATGATTTTTGGGACAATATGGTAAATGGCCAGTTCTGACAGCCCATGCCTAAATGTGATTTCCGGGAGGGATTTTACGGAGCAGGGAAATAGGAGGGACGGACACGCGTCCACGCATATATGGCGTCACGATAATAGACGAGGTGTCTCGGGAAGTTTTTTGACAGCGAGCAGTGCATACATTATGGCGTACCTTGGCGGCGCACACGTAAACACAGGTGCAGATATCGATACTTGTCACGGGATGGCGCCTGTTTTATAATAAGCACAAATGCAAGGGATACGATCCCGCTCTTTAAGACGTTTGGCAGTGTTTGGCACGAGGGAGAATTTGTGATGTGATGAAGCTTGCGGGAGAACGCGATTGGCCCCCACCTGAGGGTCGGCAGAGCTGGTCGTTGTTCTCGTGTTGACTAACATGAGCCCCGCCCCGAGAGCTCAAGGCTGTGGCCTCGCGTGTGAGCTTCCACACAAGATCTGTCAGTCTCAATGGGAGGGCTCTGCCGCTGCAAGCCACGCAGTTTGTGACCTTTGTGTGCACAGGTCAGGCTCACGTACTGTTGGCCTGTCTGTTCCATTGAGGTACAGTCGCTCGCAGCCGCACATGACCGGGACGATGCACGCTCGAGCAGCAGCAGCAGCAGCAGTGCCGGTGCCCCCGAGGCTCGAGCAGTGGATTGGCCCGGGTCTGGCGGGCGGGCCTCCCCTGTCCTGTCTGTGCCATCCGGCCTGCCTCCTTTAGACCCTGCCGGCCCGCGGAGCGCTACGTAGCATGACCTCGAGTTCCACCACGGAGCATCTGGGCAGTCTCGAGATTGCATGAGCTCCCGGGCGCTCGTTCAAGCATTGTTGTCCCTCTCGCGAACATCGACTCCCACCCGGCCGTGACGTCGAGCCGCAACCCGGCACCTCTCGAAAAAGCGCCCTTTCTCAGCCCATTGCAGCTCCATCACATTGCCCAGCCCGTGGCGAGACCCCCCCCCTACAGCGCACGCGCACCCCGCCTCTCTGACCGTCGACGCCAAGCCCCAGCCATGATAGAGCTCTGTCGTGCTGCTGCGGCCAGTTAACGCGAAGCGACACGACTAGCAATCGCCCACATAGGGAGGGCGAGCCTCGCGGGAGACGCCGACAAGTGCCACTGCCGAACACATCCCCTCGTGGTGCGACCCCGGGCGCGGACGTCGGGCCTGCCGATTTAGTTCGCCATGTCTTGGGACCTGCTCCAGCGCTTCATCGAGAGTGATGTCTTCAACCAAGACCCCTTCCTCTCCGTGTCGTACCTCTCGTCAGTAGCGTCTGCCTCTTTGCTTCCTGCTTCGGGACGCGCCGCCCCTTCCGCACAACCACAACGCCTTGCCACATGCTGCCACTGGACTCTGACTAACTCGGCGTCTTTCTGGTCACAGTCGTTACGCCGACCATGTCGGAATCACATATGTGCTCTGCTCGAAGCTCCGGCAGTTTCCTTATGAGGACGTCGAGTTCTTTCTCCCGCAGCTATGCCACCTCATAATAAGCGTTGACAATGAGTCAATGGCCCTGGAAGAATTCCTCCTGGACCTGTGCGAGGAGTCGGTCTCAGCTGCGTTACTGGTAGGACTCTGGTGCACCCTTGAAGGGAAGCTGTGCTTTACCTGACTAACCACTGTTCTACTTTGTCCAGACATTTTGGCTCTTCCAATTCTACCTACACGACCTCGCCCGAACGCCCCAGACGCAAGCCTTTCGAACCTGCCGACGGGTGTACAACAAGGTCCAGCACATAGTGTTTGGGCTTTCCGACGCCCCACGCAACGACAAAATCAAGGAGAATACGCTGCCCGTCACTGTTCTGGCGAGCTTCGTCCTCGCCAGCGTGGGCGTGCCCCTGCTGCCGAAATGGGCAGGCCCGCTGGCCATAGCACAGGCACGCAAGGCGCAGCCCGACGGCGATGTCGTCCACGAGACTGCGACACCGACTATCAAAGTGGCCAGGAGCAAGACGGTGACAGGAACCACGACAACGGCAAAACCTCGCCGGCCAAGAGAGTCGCCGGCACAAGCGCCTCCAGCAGACCAGGTGGCATCGCCCAATGGCAATGCCAACCCTCGGACGCCCATACACCGGTCTTCTTCCTCCGAAGCCAAGCCTACCGCCTCTGCCGAAGGGCGAAAACCAGCCTATCTGGAAAGTAGGCTGCTGGAAGCGCGCCTGAGCTCGGCATCACTGCCACTACCAGAAGCTCGCTCCCCGAGGGCTGTGTCGAGGCCCTCGACGCCTATCTCGGCAGGAATTCCACGGCCAGGCGGAGATTCGATTTCTAGGCGCCATTCCTCTCATATCAAGACGATGATGAGCAAGGCGGAGCTCACGCCCAAGAAGAAGGCGAGACTCTTGCGGCAGAACTATTTCCGCAGCCAGCTCGCATTCTTGACTGCACTCGAGGATATCTCGACAAGGCTGGTGATCGTTCCGAAACCGGCACGGCTCAGCGCGCTGCGTGCTGAGCTGGCTCTGATCGCGAGGGATCTGCCTGCGGAGATAGACGTCCCCGTTTTGTCCCCGCCGACTCTCGTAGATGGGAAGCCCGGGTCGAGTCGCCATCACCGAATTGTCCGGATCAACCCGGCGGAGGCTACGGTCTTGAATAGCGCAGAAAAGGTCCCCTACCTCCTCATGATTGAGGTCTTGAGAGACGATTTCAACTTTGATCCCGAATCTCCTGACAATGAGAGATTGTTGTCGACGCTTATAGCCGAGCAGGGCAGCCGCAAGCGATTGTTCGATCTGACTGATGCCCAGAGATTACCTGCCAGCGGGAGACCATCTGGAGTCGGAGATGAGCAGCCTGACAGTGTCTTTGAGCCAGTGTCCGGTGACCTTGGAAGCTCTCCGATGCTGAAGCCCGCTGAGCCGGGGACGCCTCCCGTCGTTCCGCAGCCGTTGAAGTCACCCCTGAACCCTATGCGATTCCCCAGTGGAGCGACAGGCTCAAGCATGGCTGAAGTCATGGGTACTCCACGAACCTCTGGTACTTCCACGTCACGGTCAAGTAGTCCCGGCCCCTTGCGGAGAGGGCCGATTACCAGTGCGAGGAATGCGTCGGTTGATCAGCCTGACTTTTCCGCTTTAGCAACGCATATGCGGACGGCTTCTCAAATGCTGGCCCAGCTGGAGGCTACAAGCGGCAAGCGGCCGAAGCATGAGGTGGCTGCGATTCGGACCAAGATCATTGCGAGCATGCAGAGCCTGGAGGAGCAAAGCTTTGATCTGGACGACGGGCAAGGGCCGACTTTCGACCTGATTATGGCCAAGAACGCCGCTTCTGCCGCCGCCTCTGTCGGTGGCGAGCCCGACAGCGAGACTGCCGACATGGACGACGTCGAAGCACTAGACCCGGCGAGTAACACATCCGCCGGTGCGGCACGCATGGAGAACGACGCAATGACGGGTGGTGTGCAGCGTAAGGGCGACCGTGACGACCCGAGCGCCGCCGTCTTTGGCGAGGCATGGCATATGAAGAAGGAGCGAATCCGACAGTCGTCGCCGTATGGGTGGATGAAGAATTGGGACTTGGTCAGCGTGATCGTCAAGACGGGCGACGATCTGCGGCAGGAGGCATTTGCTTGCCAGCTCATCAAAGTCTGTCACAAGATCTGGACCGACGCCGGGGTGCGCGTATGGGTCAAGCTCATGAGGATACTGGTGGCGGGCGAATCGGCTGGCCTGATCGAGACCATCACAAATGGTGTTTCGCTGCATTCATTGAAGCGCAGCCTGACGCTCGCATCCATCGAGGCCGGGATCAATCCGCGCCGGCGTTTTGCCACCCTTAAGGACCATTGGGTAAAGACCTTTGGCAAGCCGGACAGTGAGCCGTACCGTGCGGCCGTTGACGCGTTCAAGCGGTCGCTAGCAGCGTACAGCATGATCTCGTATATTCTGCAGCTCAAGGATCGGCATAATGGCAATGTCCTCATAGACAATGAGGGTCACATTGTGCACATCGACTTTGGCTTTATGCTGTCCAACTCGCCTGGCTCCGTTGGCTTCGAGGCTGCCCCCTTCAAGCTCACGTACGAGTATGTCGAGGTTCTTGGCGGTGTGCAATCCGAGGACTTTGCGGATTTCAAGGCGTTGTGCAAGCAGGCATTTCAAGGTATGCATTTGACTTTTTAAAACTACCCCTGCCCGTTTAGTACTCCTTCTAACGACCACTTTTCACCCCCTGTGCAGCCCTTCGTCGCTCGGCAGACAGCATTATCGACCTGGTCAGCATAATGGGCCGGGATTCAAAGATGCCGTGCTACGCGGCGGGCGTAGGCCAGGCGACCACTGCGTTGCGGCAGCGCTTCCAGCTGCACCTCAGCGCCGACGAGGCCGAGGCGTTTGTCGAGACAGACCTCATTGGCAAGTCCCTGGGCAGCTACTATACACGGCTGTGAGTAACCTTGAACTTTTCCCCGCCTTGATGGTGCTTGCCTTCCCAGGTTCGCTCAGCTGAGCCATGGGGCTGCACTTTCTCCGTTTGTCTTGAGTATTATGATGAACTAACTGATTGGGTTTCGTAGTTATGATACTTTTCAATATCGGACTCAGGGTATATACTAGATCTCGCTTCACATCCCTTCTTCACTGGATCTGTGGGGGGGGGGGGGTGGGGGGCGCAATGGTGGTAGGACGCTTTTGAGATGAACAGGGGGCATTTCGCGACAGGACGGTATCGTGCGAGACGGCAAGAAGGCAGAAGCGCCAAACTAAAACCCCGCGCCAAACCAAGCATGCCAAACATGTTGACGCATTCTCACATTATACACATATGGCATCATATATATACCAAAGCATAGCAGTAAATCAAGAAAGCATATATCGATCTCTGCACGGAGTAGGAATACCAAAAACAACTTGTTTTTTTTTTTGTTTCCCGTCCCAAAGTCGCATGGGTGCGTCTGGATCATGGTGGAGGTACTGAACTGAGCACAAAAGTTCTCCTCTCAAGGATTCTCTCTCCTTTATAGTGATAAGGATGGCACGTGAATCGGTAACCCCCTGATCGCTGATTCTGCTCGTGGTTGACAAAAACAAACTCTCTCCGTACAAACCTTCATCCGCACATGGAAGAGATATATAAAGTCCCATCACAGCTGACATGCGTCTCTGCCTACTCATCTCGCAGTGCACTCGGCTCCAAACACGCCCGAGCTCGCCGAGCCCAGGCCCAGAAGTGCAGTGAGGCCCCATGCCAGAGCACCCGCTTCCCAGTCCAGCTCTTCGGCAGGCAAGATGTCGCCTTCCTGGAGGGCCGCGGCCTCGGCAGGACTGGGCTCGTACGCCTGGTCGGCGGTTTCACTACTGACATCGCCATTGCTGTTGTTGCTGTTGTCGTGTGGAACGCTGGCCAGCGCTCTCTGCGACGACCGCCCTTTTCTTGGCCGGGGAGCGCCGGGGATGTGAGCTTCTTCTTGAGTGGACTTTGAGGTGCTCGCCCGCGTCTGCCGCCGACGTCGTGCAGGAGTTGCTTCTTCTTCATTGTTGTTGCTGTTGTTGTCAGAGCCCTGGCTGACAACGGCATCGGGGTTGCTGCTGGTGTTCGCGGCCGGCACTGGCTCCTTTCCGTCATGCCCAGCGGACACACCGGGTATAGCAGAAGCAAGAATACGTCGCACGTCTGCAGCACGTGTTGCGGCCCAGACGCCGAGGCTGAACGCACTAACCAAGACATCGAATCCAACAGCTTGAACTGCGGGATGGTCGCTGATGGACCCGAGAATCTTGCCTATGGCCGTCGTGCCACGCTCCCACTTGCTCCGCTCGTCAATGTCCCAGGGCAGGAACGCGCTGTGTCTGTGGTAGTGAGAGTCGGGTGCATTGTGGGCGAGGCCGACTGCAGAGGCTTTGGCGTGGAGGATGAGTGACATGGCAGAGATGAATCTGAACATGGTCGTCAGCGAGCTGTAGGCCTCATGCGGCGTTGCGTAGACCTTGCCCCAGCTTGTGGGAACCAGGTACGGTGCCAGCACCGGAATAAATGTCGACGCTCGCGAGAGAAGGGCGACTGCGGCAAAGGACGGGGTCCCTGCTGCATATGGGAGGAGGAAGACGGATCCCAAGCCGAGAATCAAGCTGCTGTAGAAGATAAATGGGCGTGGGTGCCAGGCGTTGGGCTTGGAGGCAAAGAGTCTGCTCCTGATTCGGCGCCATCTAGGCAGGGGGTTGCTTGGGAAGACGAGATCTTGGTGGTTCGTCGCCAAAGGTGATGGAGTCACCAGCAGAGCAAGGTAGAACAGATTCTGAGCATAGGACAGGTTGACGAGATGGGCCAGAGTCAGGAACGATGGCAGATTGCGAATGCCACGACGGCGGCCTTCGACAGCAACAAAGGAACTCCAGGCCACCGTCGCAAGATCGATCTGCTGGCCCCACCAGAAGCGACGACTACGCTCGGCCACGATCTCGAGGGTGTCCCTGTATACTGGCGTGTCGCTGAGCCACTGGCCGAGATAAAGCTCGGTGTCCTTGTGGCCGAGGCTATTCTTGTGCGGATACCAGCTGTGGTACATCATGTGAGCCAACGGACTACTTTCTCTTGGTATTCAACTTCTTCGCCACAGAGTCACATACCTCGGCGGAGCCTTGAGCCCACGCTGGTCGGCCCATACTCTGTAGGAAAGAATGGCACCGTCGGCAGCAGAAGAGGATGCGACGGTGACAGCGAGGACTGCGAGGGCGGCAAAGACGGGGACCAACTTGGAGCGCCTGCCTTGGCGCGATCGCGTGTCCTGAGGGGGCCCCAGAGCTCGATATGAAGTGGCCAGGCTGGTAACGACAGTATATGTCAAGTATACCACGGCGGCAACGTGCAGAACCGGGGCGGCCACGGCAACGTAGCTAAACGGAGGTGAGTGGCTGTGTCAGAAGGTTGGTAGACGACATTTAGCGGGCAGGGAGAAGCTACCTGACAGGATTGGGGAACACGACGGGAGCCATGGCGGAGAGTTGGTGATGGCTGCAGCTGGAGTGTGTAAGTGAGGAAGAGGATACCAAGTGATGGTGAGGCTGCGAGAGGTCGCGACAGGTGACTAAGACACACAAGGCGCGGTCCCTTGCGGCCGTCGCGGGAGAGCAGTGCAGGCGAGCGAGGGCAGCGATAAAAAAGCAAGCCGGTGGTTGGTGTCGCTCAAGCTGGCACGGGTTGGAGTCGCAACTCTATTATTGTTGTTTGTTTGCACGCGCCTGCAGGCCCAGCCCAGCCAGTGATGTCACTCTGCGGCAAAGTACTTTGAGGCAGGTACTTTGCAGGTGCTGCTTCACGACATCCATGGCCTTGGCCAGACAGAGAGACTGGCCCTGTCGCATCAAATACTTCACTCTGGGCCAAAAGATACCAAACCCCCGCGGCTGAACACCACACATCAACCATCAGACAAGTCCATCCCAAGGCATCCGAGACAAACACACGCTGGCCTCCCTAGACTGCGTGGCTGCCAGGGCAGCACTGCCGGCCAGGGCCAGTCGTTGCCATGACTGCTACCTACTAGTGAATGTAGGTACTTAGTGTAGGCATTTCAGAAACAGCAAGGCAGAGAGCTCTGCACCAATACTTGACGTTCTCAAACTGCTAGGGCTCCCCGCCCGTTCATGCTGATGTCAAGTTTTCCAGAGCCCAAAGTCGACCGCTCCGTCTAATTAACATTAGAGACGACCCCTGGCAAACTGCCCCGCTGCTGTCAGGCAAGCTGTCAACCCTGGGCCCACGCCCCCGCACGCACTCCAGCGCCGCGCTAGCAAGGACACCATCGCGCCCGAGTCTGGCGGTCCGTCGGCTTCGTTGTGTTCATCTGCCGTCCCTTTCGCCCTCGACTGTCCCGACCATTCCAATTTTCCACCCAGATCCTTCGCGGCCGCTCTTCTTCGCCCGTGTCGCCATGTATCACCTGGCCAAGGGCCTCTATCGCCTCGCGACAAGCAAAGAGGGTCAGTGTCCCAATCCACATCAACCACGCTCACATGCCCCCCTCCTCCTCTTCCTCTAAACACGCAGCTAACCTCAACTGCGCAAACTCTTAGAGTATTCCGTCATCCTCCTCGGCCTTGACAATGCCGGCAAGACAACCTTCCATGAGCAGGCCAAGTCGCTCTTCCTGCCAGACCGTCCAGACCCGAAGCTCAATACCGTGCCCACCGTCGGCCAGAACGTCTCCACCCTGACCTTGCCCGACATGTACCTCAAGATCTGGGACGTCGGCGGGCAGCACTCTCTTCGCAAGCTCTGGCAGAGCTACTACTCGTCCTGCCACGCCATTGTCTTCATCATCGACAGCACAGACATTGGCGACGGGTTCCTCGACCTCGACGACACGGCGGCCGGCACGAGTGCAGGCAGTAGCAACAACAACACCAACGGCAGCGGCAGCAGTGGCACAACCGGCAAGAACAACCCGGCCGCGACGAGCTCATCCACAACAACCGGCCGCCTCGAGGAGTGCCGGCTAGTACTCGAGGACGTCCTGCAGAACTCGGAAACCGAGGGCGTCCCGCTGCTCATCCTCGCCAACAAGCAGGACCGCGAGGACTGCGTCGAGGTCGTGCGCATCAAGGAGGGGCTTGTCAAGAAGGTCTTTGAGGGCGAGAAGGCCAGCAGCATCCGCGATTCGAGGGTCCTGCCCATCAGTGCGCTTACCGGTACGGGTGTGCGCGAGGCTGTGGACTGGGTCAGAAGTCGGGTCAAGTGGAACAAAGAGTCGCGGCCACCAGTCATGAGGTAGCGCGAGCGGAACCTGGCAGATCTGGTAGGGCGAGATTGGCGGCCGGTGCGGAAGGGGCCGAATCGCCCGGGCGACATATATCTTCTCTCTTTCGAGCGGGCATTTGGACGGCGTTACGGAGTGATTCGCATATGGATTGGGCATCTTCTTGTGCGTGTGTGCGAGCAGCACCATTTCAGTGGGCTCTCGTTCCTTTTTATTTCCACTTTGTGGTTCTTCTTGGTCTATATCTCGACGACTTCTCCGTTCCAATCGACTTGTCGGTCGATCCAATCAAACCATGGGTATCGTGTTCTCATTCTCCGCGGAAAGCTCCGCCAGGAGCCCGCCTTTATCCCTCCGCTTGCTGTCCTCTGCGAGCTTCTGGTCCAGATAAGAAGACAGCTCTTTGCTCTTTTGTAACGACACGCTCGCGCACTGGAGAAGGACCGTGGGCTCGACCGCCGCCCCGCCCAGCTTGGCGATCTGGCAGATCTCGCCGTGCCGGTTCAGACTGATCGTGCAGCTGCTCGTCTGGAGCTGCTCCTCGAGCAGCGTCGCGTCCAGCAGCACAATCTCCCTCTCGGTGCCGTCCTCCTCGCCATAGAAGCTGAACGTCACGCAGAACGGAGAGTGCAGCCAGCTCAGCGGCACCGGCTCCCTCTCGGCGGGCGTGTATATCGTCAGCGTCTCCCCCTCCATGCTGGTGTCTGGTTTCCGGAAATGGCGGAGGGCCGCGACCACGGCGAGGCACGCCGCGTCGATGAGGTTACCGTCGTGGCTGAGCACGTGCAGGTCCGCGCGGACGGACCAGCACTTCTGGCCCGCGACGAGGCACAGCGACTCCGTGTCGAGCGCGTTGGACCGCCGGATCGTCTTCTCGAGCAGGCGCGAGAGCAGCACCTCGGTCTCTGTGGGGCGGTTGACCTCGAAGGCTGGCGACGCCATGGGGCTCAGCTCGGTGCTGATTGTGAAGATGCCGTCAAAGGGCCGGTCGGTGTAGGGGACTGTTACTTCGGCGGAGACTTTTGCGAGGACTCTGTAAGGGTTTTCGGCAAGCCGAACATTAGCAACGAACTGGGTGGTGGGAATATAGAGGAAGAAAGTTGGGCGAGGGGAAGGGAGGCGCACCTCGTCTTGCCGAGTGTCACATCTGCGACGCCATATTGATCGCCAAAAGTGAGTTCGAGCTTGCGGAACTGGTCGAGCGCGCGGCCGTCCAGGCGGTGGCCCTCGTGGAGTGCCTGCACTACAAAGGCCCTCTCGTTGAGAGACGGCTCGGCCTCGCGAGGCATGTCTCTTGATCGCTTGTGTTGTACGGGCGGCTTGTGGGGGTGCTTGGGAAGTCGGGCGTTGTCCAAGAAAAACTCTGTAGCTGGATCCTCTACTACAATGCCAGAAGAGACGATCGTGTTCCGTTTATTAGTGAGTGTTGTAAGGCTTGTGTTTGTCCTTCACATTTCTCAGTGTTGAAGGTCGGGTCTATGGTGGGGCTCGTTCTGCAGAATGGAGCTTGTCAGTTTTCCCAATTGGCGTCGATGAGCGCATGGGGGCTTTTTTTGGAGATGTTCTGCCGGGCGGTAGGGGGTGTATCCTTGTGGTTCAAGCCAGGGTCCGCTCGCCTACGAAAGTGTCCCCTGCTGCTTAAGGTTGCCGCGGTGGTTCTGCTGCGCAACGGCTGTATCTTCAACTTCATACACTCGTAGCCCCCCTGGCACAACCACTGCGAAGCGCAGCATCCGCAACAAGCAAATAACCGACCTTCATTCTTGCGGTAACGCTCATTGCAGACATTGCACCAGTCATTGCAGACACTACAAACCCTCTGATCATTCCGACCTTTCAGCACTCCAGCCAAGATGACGACGGCTCACAGACCTACCTTTGACCCAGTCAGTCACCACCACCCCTTCCGGGGCCTTTTTTTCTTCTTTTTTTCTCTCCTTTTGCTAACCACCAGACCCCTTGACACAGGCACGAGGCAAAGAAGCCCTCCGCGGCCCGGCCTACCACCAGCGCCTCGCGCCGGCCCACACATCCCTCAAGTTCCGCAAGCCCGGCCAGGGCGGCGCCGCGGGCGCCCAGAAGCGCGACCTCCGCGCGGAGCTCCTGGCCGCCGAGGCCGCGCACCTGGCCAAGCGCAACGGCGGCGCTCTGCCGTCCGCAAACGACAATGACGACGAGACTGCTTCTTCATCGGGGACGGCGACGGCAAAGAGACCGCTGGCGGCGTTGGCGTCACGGGGCGGCGAGAATGGACCAGACGGGGGAGAAGAAGAGGCGGGCGTGGAAGATTTCGAGGCGAAGCGGCGGCGCGTGCTGGAGGAGAGCAGAGATATAGATGCGGACTCTGAAGACGACTCGGATGACAAGGACGGCGACAATGATGACGATGACGATGACGACGACGACGATGACGATAGCGATGATGATAGCGACGACGACGACGCCGAGCTTCAGAGAGAACTCGAGAAGATCCGGCGGGAGCGCGCGGAGAAGCGCGAGAAGGAAGAGCGCGAGCGGCTCGCGGCCGAGGAGGCCGAGCGGGAACGGGACATAGCGCTGGGCAACCCGCTGCTCAACAACAATCGCGAGCTGGCGAAGCAGGACTTCAACATGAAGCGCCGCTGGGACGACGATGTCGTGTTCAAGAACCAGGCGCGCGGGACGGAGGACAAGGGCAAGCAGAAGGAGTTTATCAACGTGAGTAACAGGCTCTGAATTGGGGCATTGTGCCCCCCCCCTTCGACTCGAGCGCGCCGCGCAAATGAGTTTGACACTAACGGTTTTGGAAAAATTAGGACTTGTTGCGGTCCGACTTTCACAAACGCTTCATGGGCAAGTATGTCCGGTAGACAGCAAGTAATGGGATTAAAGCCGCATGAGAGACTCGATAGAAGCATTCCTCCCACACAAGAAATTCAATACAACGATACCCGGCACCACTTCGCCCCCAAGGACGTACATGTCAATAGTCAAACGGGCTCCACGTTCTCTTTTTGACCCTCCATCCCAACATGCCAACGAAATCCACACAGCAGCAGACACGCCAGCGTCAGACTGCAATCTTCTTAACCTCGCCCCTCACCCGCATGACGCCGACCTGCTTGTCGATGAACCGCCTCTCGTCGGGCTCGATGACGGTCTTGTAGTACTCGTCCTCGAACGCCGCGGCGAACTGCTCAAACGAGTCGATCTCAAAGAGGGCGCACCCGTCGTAGTCGTCCAGCAAGGGGGCGCCGTCTGGGTTCTCGGGTCCGATGGCGGGGACGTCGTCTTTGTATTTGGGCTTGAGGTGGACCTATTTTGGGAGGGCAAGGGGTCAAAAGAAGTGAAGAGCAAGTAAGTCCATGAGAATGGAGAGAGGCTTCTTTTTCTTCGGGCAGGACGGGAGGAAGGAAGCTGGTCTGAATCCCGGTCTCACCCGTGGGCAGGCGCAGGACCAGGCTTACATGGTTTTGCAGCCAGTGTAGGCATTCAGTCGCCATGGCATCACCCCCTTCGTAACGCAAGGAGACTGTCCGGCGCATACACTTTTTCCACCTATGCAACAGTCTCTGCCCACAGACGCAAGGGGTAATGGTTCACACGAATCTCACTAGTAGCATGAAGCAATTCCACCGATTTCCAACAGGAAAACAAGTGAAGTACAACGGAAGAAAGTGGTGAAAAGGGGGGGATGACAAACCTGCGTGTATATAAGCCCGTGCCGCTCAGCCCACGGCTTGACAATGACCCCGTGCGTGTACTCCCAGTGCTCGTAGAACTGCTCCGGCGTCATGTCTGGGTGCCGCCGGATGTACGCTATCGACATGAGTTTCTGCTGCTGCTGCTGCTTCTGCTTCTGCGGGAGAGGCGGCGCCGCGGTGGTCGTCGTGGCGTTCGTGGTTGCCATTTGATCTTCTGGTGCCTTCTTCTGTGTGAAGGTAGGGGTTATGTGTGTATGTCTCTGCTAGCTCGGGATTATGAAGGTAGTATAGTTGCGGCAAACAAGGGATCTGGAATATGAAAGCCCCGGGTTTCTCTGGGGAAACTTTGTACGCGCAGCGGCCGGCGGTAGTGTTATGCTTTTTATAAGTACAAGCAAGGGTTGTCTTCAAGAACCTATGCGAGAAAGGCTACTCGACGGTGCATGTGTTGGCTGGGGAGTGTTGTCTTGAGCATGCTGCCCCCCCTCCCCTTCTTGATCTTATGAATTCTGGCACGTGAAAGCAGCAGGGGGGGTTTGTTATCGCGGTGTTCTCAGAACGAATGAAATGTCAGTCATGCTTGCAGGACGTATCCATGAAAATCGGCTCAGGGTCCAACTCGGCATGGCAATCGACTTATACTGACAGACACGGCCAGGATGCGGAAAAGGGCTGCCGGGTTTGACCCCCCCGACTTGCACGTCTGCGCTAAGCTCTAGACTAGGTTCTCCACTGCCAGAATTAGGGAAGGGCCACTTTCCCCAGATTCTGCACATCACCCCGCCCCTGTTCCTTTGGGTGGGCTCGCGATAGGCTATCTATCACCTGGGCAATACTTGCAGTATGCATGGTCGAGCAGATCAACCCTACCAAAGAATGTTCTACGAAAACCCCAGTAACGCCAACATATAATAACTCCGCGTTCTCCTGAAGGACATTGTCCACATCTTTGCAGCGTTCTGAGGAGTTCACGAAGCTGCTCGTGCTGCTTGTATTATGGAGCCCACGGCGTCTGCTGGGAGGGACGATGCCATCGGCCAGTGCGGGGGGGGTATGGATTCGGTAAAGATATCGTAGACATGTTCCCAGATCTCCTCATCGGTTTGCTGGCGAGCACTGCGATCAAGAGAGGCCTGACGCAGTCAAAGTCAAATTCGTCAGCGGCAACGCAGAGATGAGTTTGAGGACGTCGCCTCGAACGCTGTCGTGATGCGTCTTCGGACGCAGAAGATGCGTGGCTGGCAGGTTTCGTATAGCAGCTAAAACGTCGAGAGTGAGTTTTTGAAGATCTGTAATAGTTAGTTAGAAGAGTACCGGTAAAGCTGGTAATTTATTCTGTTTCCATTTCCGAAAGTGCACATGGCTTGTGAGCGTAGCGTTCTTAGCCAAGACTGTTGCAAGGTAGCCACGTCGCGACGAGACGGTCACCGTGGCCACGTGCTCCTGGAACGTTTGCGTACGCGTGCGGTGCCTAAAACAGATCTGCGACCTCCTTCTCCGTTGGTCGCCGAGTAATTACCAGGCCATTGCGTTGATTGCTGACCTAAAGCAACTTTTCAGCAAAGAGCGAGTCGTGGTATCGTGACGACTGGGCGATATTGACTCCCTGGTGAAAATACAAGTGAAATACATGGCTTTCGCCACTGGGAAACTAAGCGCCAACAATGTCATAGACTCAAATACAGACGACACGAGCGCATACATTATGTCTACCCACGCTATCCTCGGCGCAAATGGAGGTACGGGCTCGGCGATTCTGAGATACCTGCTGTCCTCGCAGATACCCGACCTTCATATCAACATACTGGTACGCTCAAAAGCCAAGCTTCTCGAAGCTTTCCCACGACTTGAGTCCACCTCGTCGGCCACCATCACCATCTTCCATGCCCCAATTCCGGACGAAAGTGCCCTCCAAGCCTGTCTCAAAGGCGCCTCAACTATAGATGCCTGCGTCGCTACCAACCACGCCAGTCGCAAGGTCGACATTCCTTTTACGACGGCAGCACGTGTTACCGCAGCTCTCGGCCAACTCCGCCGAGACGAGGGATCCGAGTACAAGACACCAACCGTCGTGTTGATTCGATCCTTGTCTCTGAATTCAGACGTCAAGATCAGCGTCCCCGGTTTCATGAAGAGTTTCTTCATCTGGGCGATCTGGTTCGTCTACGAGGATCTTATAAAGGCCTGTGGGCTCTACGCCGGAGCCGAGAAGGATGGACTGCTCACGCCCATCACCGCGGACCCGCCTATGCTGATGGATCCTGAGGGGACCAAGGCCACTGGGTATGAGATTATGCTCAGTGGCAAGGCGTCGTCCACGTTGAGCTATGCCGACTTTGGCGTGGCCATGGTAGAACTCGGACAGCGCCGCGAAGAGTTCGGAGGCAAGATTGTCGGCATTAGTGCAACCGGCCCAGTTCGGATCACTGTCTGGCCCAGCCTCGTAACCGTCTTCATGGGCTTGAAAATCCGGCTGTTTCCATTTTAAGATCGGGCAAACAGGCCGTGGTTCGCGGGTAGGTGTATAGGATAATAGGTTGACGATGTTTCGGACGTCCTAGGGGAACTCAATATCCTGCTGGAGCTTCTGGAGTAGGAAGCAATTAACATTCGCTCTGTAGTAGATGAGCTTGTCGTGCTTCTCAGGAGACGTAGATTTGTACTTCTATGTTTTTTGATATGATAGAGAACAACGATAGTGTTACTAATTAGCGTAATAATATTGCTTTCAGAGGCTTGAAGTTATTACTTAAGGTATACGGTGATTTAGACATAATATATCAATACTCTGAGATATCACTTAGTTGCTACTGTCAGGAGAAGTCTTGCAAGGACAGTGTAACGGAACCAGGTCACAGCGAGAGCATAGCGTAAGCGTCACTGAGGGGTTAGGAGAATGTAGTGCAGTCTTTGTTGTTCGAGAACAACTGATCCCTGACCTTCTTCCTTCTTTCCTTCGACTTCCCTTTCCCTTTAACTCTCGTCAGGCCGCGATCCACCAGCCACACGCTTCCCAGCGGTCCTTTAGAAAAGTTGATCGAAGGTGATGGGAATGGCCGCATTAACCCTGCGAAGCTTCCTGGAAACCGGAGGGGTTAAGTGCATCACATATCAAAATACATTCATAGGCAGGGCTGATGATTCCTATTTCGATTGCGTGCGGAGTGGCTGGGTTATGTACTCACAAGACAGCCAGTACAGGTCTCTACGGCGTAGGGCTGTCCATTCTCTTGACAAGTAGTAACCGGACAAGTACCACGCTTCTACTCCGCCTTCTTTTCCTCAAGTTCAGCTGTCCCCTTGCCGTCGCGCAGGCTTTTGCTCTCATCCAGGGTGACAGCCATGCGCTCGACCGCCCTAAGCGCAACAACGACTGACTTGATGCTGTTGTTCAACAGGACTGATATCAAGGGAAACTAGTAAGCAGGATGGACTCGCACTATCTGCACGGACAGGAGGCAGCTATGAAGCCAGAACTCCTTGCCCGCTGCCGGGGCTATTCGACTTACCAAGGGGAACTGCGGCCCATGGGAGGTTGAAGCCAACGTAGTAAAGCCAGAAATACTGGGGCTCGGGCCTGCTGTCCCACCGACCAGTGAAGTAGCTCTCGGTCAGAGAAGTGGAGTAATACAGAGAAACGCTGAAGAGGTGTGCTATGCACACGATCATGCGCAGCGGGTGCCGGAGAGGGCTTTGCAGCACAGTCGAGGCGGCGCTGAGGAACGAGAGTGGGCCCAGGACCACCTTGAGAAGGTAAAGGTATCAGTAACGCCAAAGTGATTTTCTCCTTACCGCAAGCTTGTGAGACTTACCACGGTGATGGCTTCGACACTGAGCATGAAGGGATCCGAGATCAGGTAGCGGGAATCAGACAAGGCATATTCCTTCCACAGCTGGGAGAAGAGATGCTGAGACGAGACAATGGTGGCGTGATTGGCGACGAAGTATCCTGGCAGCGCAAGAGGTGAGAAGGTGCTGGGTTAGATGACGGCCACGGTGATAGATCTTACCTTCGAAGAAGCAGTGTAGACAACCGCCTGTTGGGGAGTATGTGAGCACAAGGGCAGATAGCCATGCCAGGGGCCAGCTGGAAGACGTGGGGCAACTCACACATGACGAACCACGACACGACAGCCAGGCTCGAAGCTGTCAGCTGCGGGTTGACCTTACGGGCGAGCACGCCGGTGGCCAGGATCGTACAGCCCAGCATACCGGCAAAGGATGCCAGGAGCACATGCAAGGGCGTCTCATTCTCGACATAGCCTGAGAGGACGAGGTCTTGTGGAAAGTAGGGGTGCTGAGGCGGCAAGGGCTCCAGAGGCACCGCAGCAGCGGCGGTGTCGTTGACGCGCCCCTGGGCGGCAACCCACCAGGACACGATATTGTCGAAAGCACCCATGGCTGACTGCGGAATGATACACTGGTCAGAGCCGAGTGGAATGGCGTGGCAACAGGCAAGTGGGAGTCGACGAGTCTGCGTCTGAGCTGACGATAGTTAGTCGATGAAAGAAGTCAGGGGCTGCCGTCCGGACCGCTTACTTGGGCCGGTATTGCCTGATTTCCCCAGGCGTGCAGTGATTGGCTGCACACATGCACAATTGGCAGTCGCTAGCGCAGCGGCAGTTCAGGGCCCGCCCATCAGGGGTCCAAGACATCCATATGATGACATCCCATGCGTATCCTCACAATCGATTCGTCCTCTATGGGGAACTGACTGTGGCTTTGGAGGAATCTATCACCAACTGCGCAAGGCGATCCGATGGATGAAGCAGCGGTGGCACACCTCCAGTCTGGCTTGGCACCAATGCCTAGTGAGACGAGGATTTGAGGAAGATTGCGATAAGGGAGGGCCAGCTGCACATGTCCCACCCGACCGACTTGCCTGGTGGGCCAGGCCATAGCCCGTAGGGCTGGCCGGGTGGTGGCTGTCCATCGACCTGGCGGCGGGAGATGCCTGCCCCTTGCGTCATGAGATCTGCCAGTCCCCATGATGGGCAAGCTCTTGCACATGTTGGCCAGGACACACGGGGGCTGAATGGCTCCCGCCGTCGCAGCCGCTGGGCAGAGCGTACGTAGCGTACCTTAGGTACGTAGGCTCGGTCACCAAGTTGGGTGTTGGCCTAAGAAATGGTGGCCGGGCGTGCCAGTTGCTTGCTTCTGGGGCACGTTGGTGACGCTAGGCCCGTTTGGGCGACCGAGGATGAGGATGCCTCCCAGTGCTGAGCTGGATTGGAGGGGCCTGCCCTATCCTATCGTCAGCGCCGTGGAGCCGGCACCCTGCTCAAGCCTCGCCTGCCCCCCGCGGACGGCTCAAATCGACCGGCCAACCTCTGTCCATCTCGGTTGTCGCCAGGGCCAGATAGCCTCAAACTCCATACCTCTCGCTCGACTTCGTATACTGTAGCAAGTTGCAGTTGCAAAGCCAGGCTGCGCCCTCACGCCCAGTCCTCACCTCCGCAGTCCACAATGCCGGCCACGGCGTCGCCCCGCCACTCTCCGTGATCCGTTACCCAAGTACCCGCCCGTGACAGCCTCACCTGCCGGCAACAATGTCGTCCAGCGTGCCCTTTGTCACGATCCAGTCTCGGCGGCCGGCCGACAGCTCCAGCCTGAGCAGCCGCGATTCCACTGTACGTCGCGGCACGCCCGACGATGCCATGTCTGCTGGTCGCCTTGCTCTAACCCGCCCCTCTCAGTACGGCTCCTCTGCCGGCGACGACAAGATCGCGCCCGCCACCCATGACACTAGTAGAGTAAACTACCATGTCAAGGACATCTCGCATTTCGCCGCAAGTCTCGAGGGCGTATGTGAATCCTCCAGCTTTTGCTTCGGCTTTTTCCCGGTTTGCAACTGACCCGCCAGCCATCACAGTCTGCCGCGAGAGCATTCCCCAACAGAGGGAGCTCCCAGCGCTACTCAAAGGTCCACGCCATCCTTCTGCATTGGAAGTGTGACGATCTCTTTGTCCTGCCTGAGCTTGAGGATCTTGAGTGCTGCTTCCGCGAGGACTACAGCTTCGAGACGGAAACGTTTCCTATCCCGTCAGACAATGCCCATCTAGAGCTCATGTTGCGCATTGGAGCCATGATCAAGGAGCACGAATCGACCGAAACTCTCTTCATCGTCTATTATGGCGGCCACGCAAAGATTGACGACTCCAGGCAGAGCACCTGGTGCGCGTAAGGGACCATTGTTACCGATGTATCGCACAATCGCAGCCGCTGACAATTACATCTAGGACACGCTCCACCGACTCTCCTTGGTTACAGTAAGTTGGCGTTGGCTCATTTATGATAAAATACGAGGGATGGAGACTAATACGCAGCAATCAGGTGGTCAGCCATTCAAACCCTTCTGGAAAGATCTCTCTCGGACGTCTTGATCTTGCTAGACTGTTGTGCTGGTGCCGCCAGCGCCACCTTCCCGAGCGGAAATAGTGTCACCGAGACCATCTCCGCCTCAAGCTGGGATGCCATCGCCCCGGACCCGGGCCGGTACTCTTTCACAACTGCTCTCATTGAGGTCCTATCCCAGTGGAAAAGAAGAGTGTTCTCGGCCGCCATGCTTCACGCGGAGGTCTTGGCTCGGTTAAAACATCCCCGCCCAGTCATGATCAATGGCCGCCACTACGAAGCCCGCTCAACACCTGTTCATTTCATGATGACCAACAACCACAAGGTGCCAAGCATTGAGCTGGCAAGGATAATGTCAGACGACCAAAGGCCGCCCTCTCCACCAGAAGATGCGCAACCGGAAGATATCGCACTAGCAGGTCGGTCCGCGGCGCCTCAGGAAATCATCGGGTCTTCCCCGAACGAAGATATCCCGCATGTCATGATCTCCCTTGCTCTCGAGGATAATCAACGGCTCAATATCAGTGAATGGCAGCAATGGCTCTCAACCATCCCCGCGTTGGCCAAATACGTCAAGGTCCAGGGCGTGTTCAAGAGTCATTCAACACTTTTGCTCCTGTCCATGCCCGTATCTATCTGGAACGTCTTGCCTGACGATCGGGCATGCAATTTTGTGGCCTTTATCCGGTCAAACAACCTGGCGATAACGGATGAGCCTCTGGAGAAGCAGGAGGCGGACCAAGTGGAAGTCGGCAATGATGATGTTGACGTAGAGGTGGGCAATGAGCGGCAGTACGAACCCAGTACCCGCGATTCCGTGTGGTCTGGGACAACCGCCTTTACCGTATTCGACGGCGCACCGTCCGGATTTGGAGGTCGACGGCGACCGTCGGCGGATCACAGTATCCGGTCCTTCCGCCCATCACCTTCAACAAGATCCCGGACAGGAAACACGATCGGCTTAACCCCGTCCTCTGCGCGCAATCCCTTTGCTTCCGAGGCTGGATCAAGTAGATCAGCAGGCGTACCAATTTCGAGGAAGGTGGCCGGCTTGGCTTCAATGTCTGAGCTGAATAGGAGTGCATCGTTTGACAACATGACGCCTGTTCTCAACAAGCACCGCAGTGGGCGGCGGACTTATTTCCCAGATACCGAGGCGCTGCCAAGCCGTCCCGCGTTAGCGACGCACGTAGAGGCTCGCCTGGAGGAATACTTTCTCGGCGAACCGTATCCAAGCGTGGCCGTCAAGGAATTCTTAGCGTCAAACCTGGGGATTGAGACAACGGACATCGATGTAAGCTTACACCCGGAAGTCCAGCATTGGCTCTCTTGTCCAGCATCGTATACTGACATTATACCATAGCTGTGGTTCCACCACCGACGAGAACAACAAGAAGTCGCCGCGAGACTGCAAAGCCTGCCCCTTTTCGAAAACACCCCTGGCGCATCGCGAGAGAGTGTGCAGATGCTTTTACCTGGCAACCTCAAAGCACTGCTTGAGGAGGTTCCCACGGAAGACGTATTGATACTCGATCTGCGATCGTCAGAAGAATTCCAGAGATCACACATAAATGGAGCGCTCAACGTTCGTGCCCCAGCTTCGTTTGTCTCCAGGGCTACATTGGAACTGCTGGAACGAGCGCTTGATGAAGAAAACCAGAACAACTTTGGAGAATGGCAGACAAGCAAGTGTATGGTATGCTATGACCGTCATGTGGAGTTCCCATGGGAGGCACCAGTTGCAGAAGCTCTTTTCAACAAATTGAGGGAAAAGCAATGGCCAGGACAATGCTTCGTGCTCAAGGGTCACTACAGGGAATTTTCCGAGTCCTTTGATAAGCATATCATGGGGACGCGGATGACGGACGCCGCCAAGGAGTATATTGCGAGTCTCCAGGAGAAACCGAGAGACACGCAGGTAAGCTGTTCTCATCACGACGCAAAATCAACCAACTGTGCCGTTACTGACTGCCTATGAAGCAGGGCGACGATCCATACCACGACTGGCTGGAATTGCTAGAAGAGGAGAACACCATACATTATACAGACTTGGCCGACACGGCCAAGACCGAGAGGCTGGAAGCAATGGTCGCACATCAGAAAGAGCTTGGAGTTGATTTTGAGCAGAGGCACCCGTCTCTGGCCCGCAAAGCGCGGGATCTCAGCCCCTCTGCAGGCGATTGGAACCTAAAAGCTTCCATGGTCAAGCATCTCGATCGTGGACTCGAGCTCATGCGCAAAGCAGAAGGCAAAGCAGCTGTTACCTATCGCGATCCCCAGGACTTGAAATCAGCATATCATGACTACCCGCGCACGACGAATCTCAGCAAGCTAAACACTTACGCCGGACCCGACGGCCATCACCACAAGTCAGTTGATGGCGACGAGGATATGGGCATCGAGCGTAGGGCTAGCGATGGGTTGTCCAAAGGTAGCGGCGGCGGCGGGGGACTTACCACGAGATCGTCAACAAACAGTGGCGAAGACATTACTCTCGATAGAAAGGCACCTCGTCTCGCTGGTGGGCGTGGCCTGATGAGCAGGTTGCTTCATAGCAGAAGGTCTGACGGGCCTAACTGATGATGGCAGACAGACAGGGCCAGCTTTCACAGTCTGTGACAAGGACCGGTCACCCGTCACGTAGGGGGCAGAGCGCAGCTGCTTAGAACATATCATTTCACGGATAAGGCGTTCACTGACATTGAGCGGCGGACATCAAGTGTTTTTTGCCATTTTTCTGTTGGGAAACTGGAGTTTATTGGTCTAAGTCATAAAGAGCGCCATCTTGTTGTATATATGCTCCGCTTCGAAATCAAACCTCAGAGTTCACAAGACCTCTCTGTCCATTATTCAAATAGGCACTCTCTTGATAGCCTGCGCGCTTCGATCGTGCGTATCTCGCTCCTTTATGTCCTCCACCATATCAACCAAATAACCACCGTGCTAGGTTCATTGAGTGCACCGAGGCTCTTAGACGAGCAAATCATCAGCTACAACGGCAGCTTGCAAGTTATGGGCGGAATTCACGCGTTGTCATATCTGGCCAAACCACTGAGCGGCAAGCTGGCGGTTCGGAGTACCGACTAAATCTGAGATAGGTCTTCCGTGCTCAACCAAAATCGTTAGATTTGGAAAAATGTTCTTGTGTTTATGTACGATGCAGAAACTGTCTATCTACAATACTCTTCGCGACTTTTTGCACACCACAAACAGCCTCAAACTCGCAGGATCAGAATGAAACCACCATTCCAAAGATTATAGCGCAAGTCTTAAGCAGTCGCCTCGGCGTTCTTCTTGCCCTTGCTCCTCGTGCGCTTCTTCTTGCTCCCGCCCTCGATAATGTTCAACTCGCCAGCCTCACCTTTCTTCCCCGCCGTCGCGGTTTCTTCCACGGGGTCTGGCCGGCCCGGGTTGAACGCCGGGGGCTCCCGCTCGAACTCTTCGCCGAACGTCTCCTTGCGCCATTGCCGCAGCCGCGCCTTCTTGCCGAGCCGCTTCTTGTCCTTGGCCTGCTTGTCCTCTGGCCGGAAGTGCGCGAGCTTCTTGAGGCCGGCGTACTGGTTGAGCGCCGAGTCGGACGCCATGAGGATATCGAGCGTCGTCAGGCCGAACGACTCGGGCTTGGTCTCGCGGTACCGGAACCCGGTCTGTTTGGGCTCCGCGGATGTGCTGGCAGCACCGCTGCCGCCGCCGCCATTGGCGAGGATCTCGGGGTCTTCAATGTTCATGTGTGCGTCGACTATGGCCTCGAGCTTGGCGCGCTCCTTGCGAGCTTCCTTTTGGGACTGCAGGCGCTCCTTCTTGCGATCCTTGGTGGTCTTTTGCCGCTTCGCGGACGGCCCGTCTTCTTCGTTGTCGTCGTCGTCCTCCTCCTCGTCGTTGCCTGCGCCGACAGGCGCCGCCGCAGTCTCGTCATCAAAGTCCGGCACCAGATCCTTGATATCGATGTCGTCATCCCATGTGGGCTTCTTCGGCTTCTTGGATTTGCCTTTCTTCTTCTCCTCTCCTTCGTCGTCTTCATTGTCTTCGGACTCGGCGTCGGACTGCGCGGCGCCCATCTCCTCATCGGCCTGCGCGTAGTACTGCTCGTTGAAGTGCTTGGCCATCTCCTCCTCCCATTTGTCGTTGTCGAAGCCTGCGTCCAGCAGCTTCTGCCAGTCCTCGTCGCGCAGCGCATTCCCGGACAGGCCCGCGGCCTTCCGGATCTTGTTGAGCTTGTTCTCCGCCTCCTCGATCTTGAGCCGGCGCAGGCGCGCGCGCTCCTCCTTGCGCTGCTGCTTCTCCAGCGCCTTCTTCTCGGCCTCCTGCTCACGTTGCCGCTTGCGGCTGCTCTTCTCCTCCCTCCTTACTGACCGCGCCGCCGTCACGTCACGGGCATAAGTCTTGAGCACTTCGTTGCTCTTGGACGGGTCCTCGAAGCGCAGGTTGTAAGCCTCCTCCCACGCGTCGGCCTTGTCGTCGCCGGCGTCGTCGCCGTCGTCAGACTCGAAAGCCTCCCACTTGGGTCCCTCATCCTCGACCCACGCGCGGCTGGCCATGAAGTTGGACAGGAACAGCTCCGGGTCCTTGTCGGCCAGTGTGACGTCGGGTTTCGGTACGGCAGGCGTCTTGACCCGTCCTGCGCGAGAAGGATGTATGTCTGTGGTGGCCGTCGCGGACTCCACCTCGGTAACTTGTCTCTCGGGCTTCGACTTGGCCTTGATGAAGTCGTCGCCGTCGTCTTCGCTCACGTCCTCGTTGAACTTGGCAATCTCGTCGCGGATAGACTGCTTGATGTCGGCCTGTTCTTGCACATAAGACTTTTGTGGAGCAGCTTCGTCGTCGTCGTCAAAGTCCTTGCCCGTGTCACCCTCGAGATAGCGCTTCCTGTGGTAGTCCTGGATCGTGACGGGCTTCTCCTTCTTCTGCTTGGCGGCGGCGGCGGCAGCATCCGCAGCAGCCTGTGCTTCTTCGATCGGCGAGTAGAAGGTGACGGAGCTGTCGTAGACTCGCGGGTCCTTCTTCCTGATGGCCTCGAGGGTGGCGTTCAGTTGCGCATCGAGCTCGGCGGTCGCGAGGAAGCCGTCCTCGTCTTCGGTCTCGTCATCGGACGAAGAGTCGTCCGAGTCATCGTCGTCGTGAGTGCCATTGGTCTTGCCGGCCTTCTGCTTCTCCTCGACTGAAGCAAGGGGAATAATAGTTAGTTGGGTGGCGGGCTCTGAGGGGTGAATAGCCTGGCGGTTATTTGTTGACATACGTCTGTGCTTCTCCTCCCTCTTCTTGTTGTGTTCAAATCGCTTCGCATACTCCTCGTTCACCTTGAGCTCGACGCCGCCGCCAGTGTCGTCGTCGCTGTCATCGAAGACGCTTGGCTTCTTCGCTTTGTCCTTGGCCATGGTGGTGGTTTCAGTGAGAGTGAGTTTCAAAGCCAAAAGGAAATTTGTCCCTGCTCAGGTTTGGCCGTGTGCTGGGACCTTTGCCGTGGTGTAGATGGTGGAACAATGTTCGTACGTATCTGCGACTGTGCCGCCTGCGTAGTTCTGGGGCTGCCAAGTGAAGAAATGATCCAGGACGAAGCTATCGCGACAATCTGCGCGGCCAGCAGCGGCCTGCCCTGCGCCCGTCTGTACTTTTTTTCTCTTATCGATTTGGCGCAGCGGAGTGGCCCCGCCCAGCGCGGACCCTGCCGCCACAGTACAGATCTGTTGAATGCACTGTATCTGCCTGGGCAGTGCTGGCAATGCTGATGCCTGCACTGTCGCTGGGCGGCGCTGCCTGCGCCTGAGGCGGCGGGCACAGAACGCAACAGGAAGCAGGGCGGGCAGCTGTGCAAGGTGGGCCGCGATAGCTGAGCCCATGACCTATCGTCGCTGTGGTGCCGTCGTCGTCATTTCCTACCTGGGTGCTCTACGCTCGTGAGCATCTCTGCCCGCTTCTCATCTCTCGCCCACACCCTCTCCGCCCACATCTGCCTCGACCTCTCGCAGTCCTCCTCCCCAGCAGGCTGCCACATAACAGCATCACCACCACCGCCTTTGCGATCGGTATCGCCATCCTAGTCTTGAAATACCTGTGCCTGCCTGTGCTCTCCGCCAGCCAGCAAGCGTTCGCAGCCAACACACCTCCTTCCCCATCCGACCATCCCAATCAACCCGCCCTCCGCCGAAGCGTCCCATCACGACGTCTTGGGCTTCGAAGGATCGCATCCATCTTTCTTCGTAGGAATTCACACAATCCACATCATCGAGCGCCGGAACAGCCCCCAAAATGGCCGACAACGCGCCCAAGCCTAGCAGCAGCGTCAAGCTTGTGCTTCTCGGAGAAGCAGCCGTCGGCAAGGTGCGTTCCCTGCCGCCAAAGCCGTCGTGGTGTGATGAAATGCTAACACAGAGTGCCTGTAGTCGTCCCTGGTCCTGCGCTTTGTCAACAACGACTTCCAGGAGAACAAAGAACCGACTATCGGAGGTGCGCATTCCTAAAACCAGTGATCCTTACTATTTCTCTACCAGCACATCCCGGCTAACTGTACTCCTGCTGCTGCAGCCGCCTTCCTGACCCAAAAGTGCAACCTCCCCACACGCACAATCAAGTTCGAAATCTGGGATACCGCGGGCCAGGAGCGCTTCGCCTCCCTTGCGCCGATGTACTACCGAAACGCCCAGGCCGCCCTCGTCGTCTACGACCTCACCAAGCCAACGTCACTGATCAAGGCCAAGCACTGGGTTGCAGAGCTGCAGAGGCAGGCATCTCCCGGCATTGTCATCGCCCTTGTCGGCAACAAGCTCGATCTCACCAGCGGTGGCGACTCAAACGGGGACAGCGAAGGCCTCGAGGGCGACGACGCGGGTGATGCCCGGAAGATCTCTACCGAGGAGGCGCAGTCATACGCCGAGGAGGAGAGCTTGTTGTTCTTCGAGACTAGTGCCAAGACCGGTCACAACGTCACGGACGTCTTCACAGCGATTGCCAACGCCATCCCCGAGACTTCCCTGAAGACGGCACGTGGGCCTGGGGCTTCGAACGCTGTCAACCGTGGTGGAGACGAGCAGAGAGTAAATCTAAATGGCCCACGGGAGGCCGCGAAAGAGGGATGCGCCTGCTGAGCTTGTTGCACGCGCCGTGGAGGTTGCTCGTTAGTTGTGTTTCCTTGTTGCTACATCGTTGTCGAGAAGGGCTGCGGTAGTATATGCATTTCGACCTCGTTTTTGGGAGTCCAGGGATTGGGAACTTTGTTGAGACTATGTTCTCGGATCTTACAATCGAATCATGTTCATCATGCGTTACTGGCTTTCTATTAGAGACTCTCGCCGGGAAGCTATTGCGGTTGCTACGTTGTGCGAGACCCTACTAGTTCATGCATCATGGTTGAAATCAATGAACGCCACTATCAACAAGAGCTCTCTGATGTGTCCCTTTACAGCTTGCATTAGTATGTTCTGATCAAGCCATATCGATTCTCAAATACAATGATCAGCCACCATAAGTAGTATGAAGCCACATCAATCCCATGGGCATGGTGGTTGAGATAATTTGGAGCTTTTGAATAGTACTTAAACCTACAGTGCGGAAGGCGCACCACTGCGCACTGTCTATGTGATGGCCGCCGGACGGTTGCTCCGTCTCCCAAAATCCTTTCCTCCACCTGCCGCTGTAGCTTTACATTTCCGCATCGCCTGGATGGGTTCGCTTTGTACCATCCACGAACACGTGCAGCCGCGCAAACCCAGCCGCGCCGCTCTGAAACACGGTCAGCCTTGACTGCACGATGCAAACACGCGACACCTGACGGGAGTGTTGCACCGGATCTTGTCAGCCCTGCACAGGGGACTGCCGCGCCAACACGACGACGCCCGAACGCCTACCTCTTTGCGCCTTGCGCGTTCGCCCATGACTCGTCTCTGAGTCGCGCTCGCGAACTTTTCGCACTACGTCTGGAGCCTCACTTCGTCTCAGACGTAACGGAGGAGAACGAATCTTCACACCAATTGCGACTAGACGTGCCCAGGGAGCTGCTCTGCCCAATATTTCGCCATGGCAGCACTCACGGAGGCTCAGGTCGAGCTGGCGAAGTACGTCCTACGCAACGACAGCTCTGCCATGAGATGATATACTGACGGCATCATAGTTCCCTCACCCAGGATGAGCTCCCGACCAAACTGCGATGCGCCGTGTGTAGCAAGCTGGCGATTAATGCGTATCGTCTACCGTGCTGCGAGACTGCCATCTGCGAGACTTGTACGTCCCACTCGCTCGACTTTTTCTCGTCCTTACTTGCAACTAACGAGAGCTTCCAGGCCAAGCGACGCTGCCATCCTCCTGTCCTGTCTGCGAGCATTCTCCCGTCTCCGGCGCCGACTGCACGGTGTACAAGTCGCTACGAACCACGATTCGGGTCTTCCTCAAGACCGAAGAGAAGAAGCGCGAAGCCTCCCGACCAAAACCATCCGACTCGGCCCCAGCGACCCCTGTGGAGAACGCACCACCGGCTCTAGCAGCGCAACCAGCAACCGACGATGCAGCCCATGGTGCGACTGCTAAACAGTCCCAACAAACAGCCATCTCAGACGATACGGGAACAGCTGTCCCGGCACCACCGTCGGGCGAGCAAGTACTCGGTGATCCCGCTCAACCCGCCGACGGGCGACCGCAGGAGGTGAGGGGAGCAACTCTAAACGACTTGTCTTCTTGCGCGTCTAACGAGATCTCCAAGGGTGACGCGACCGTCGCACGAATCGATGCGGACGGCAAACCGACCGATCAAGATTTGGCCGAGACTACGGAATTCACCCCGGAAGGTGGTGATGCTGTGGCCGGCGACGACGCGGACGAGGTTACCGAAGCTGCCGATGATGACCAAAACGGTTACCAAGAGAACGGCATGGGCTATAGTTCTGGGCCATCGGGCGGCAACTTCAATGGCATGAATTTCGCTGGTGCAGACATGAACCAGATGCAGATGATGATGGCCATGCAGAACGGCATGAACCCGGCAGCGTTTGGCTCATTCTCGATGCCAGGTAAGTCTTCAGCAAATTCACATTGCAAACGGACAACCATGATACTAATCAATGGCACGCAGGCATGGATATGAACATGAACCCGATGATGATGCCAAACATGTTTATGAACGGTGGCTTCGGAGCGCAAGGTATGGGCATGAACGGCATGAACATGAACATGGGCATGAACGGGTTCAGCGGTGGCGGCAATGACTGGAACGGACAGCAATCATGGAACGTCGGCCAAGATAATTTCAATCCAAATGCTCCTGGCATGGGAAATGGTGATTTTGGCAATTTTAACTCAGGAAACTATGCTGGTTATGGCCATCACACTCAGTACAATGATTACAACCGAGGCGGCTACGGATTCCGGGGTCGTGGACGCGGCCGAGGTCGCGGTTTCTACGGCGGCTATGGCCGCGGCTACCACAACGGCTACAACAACGCCCCCTCTAGCTGGGCACAGCAGAATGGACAGTACTACAACCAGGGCGCACAAGGAAATGGCTTTAATGCCGGCCAGGGCGCTCCCGGTGGTTCCGTGGACGACAACAGCCAGACCACCGACCAAGCAGGAACTACGATCCAGACAGAGGATGGCGAGACGACCCAAACAGGCAGAGAAGGAGCTGTAAACAACACCAACGGCGCAGGTTCCAGCTATGGAGATGCCTCTCAAGCCGGAGCGCCCGAAGGAATGCAGGCTGATTCTGGATCTGGACCACTCCCATCTGCCACCGTTCCGGATGTTCCTCTGAATGCTCCCACAGGACCAAAGGCTATGCGCCAGGGACTCCCCAATACCAGCTTCCACTACTTGAAGGCCCGAGGACTTCTACCTGGAGACGCCGGATCCAATGGCTCCGTCGTGGCCAGTCCTGTTGACGAGCGTCATCGATCTCGCAGTGGATCTGTACATGCCTACAAAGATGAGAATCGGCGCGATAGTGAGCATGGCGCACACACGTACGGATCAAGTGATCAGAGGCGGCCTCGCGGCGACGACGACGACAGGCATGAGGAACCAAGACCTTACCCAGCAAGCAGGAGCCAAAGTCGTGACCGCAGCCACGAGCGCAAGGAGTCTAGGAGACATCGCCGACATGGGTCCGAGTCGGCATCCGATGGTGGCGATGACGATGATGGCCGCGACGTCGATGACGAAGACCGGCATCGTAGCCACCGGAGCAAACGAAGGTCAGCCAGGGATGAGGATGACTCCAAGGGACGGTCGCGAGACAATGCGCACGACGACAGGTCGCGATCTGCATCTCCTGATGACCGTGAACGTGACAGAGACCGGGACAGCCATCGGGATCACGATAGAGAGCGGGACCACAAACGGTCGAGCCACCGCAGCCGCCGTGATAGGGACGACAGGCGGCGCGAACGGGACCGCGACCGCGACCGGGATCGGGACCGTGAGAAGGATAGAGATCGTGACGGGGATGACGACCGCCACCGACGTTCTGGCCATCGGTCCTCGCGCCGTGACCGCGACTATGACCGCGGAGATCGTGACAAGGGTCGCGACGACCGGCGGCATGAGCGGCGAGACCGTGACCGTGATCGTGACCGTGACCGTGAGCGGGACAGAGATAGAGACTCTCGTCGTAGCAGCAAGGTCGCGAGCAGTACCCCGCTGACGCCCATCGAGGGCTCCGAGTTCAACCCGCCCAGCGGGCCAAAACGGCACACGAGTATCTTCAACATCAAGGGCAACGCGACCGGTAGTGGCGGCACGTTGAACCACAAGCGCAACAGCGAGTCTGCCTCTCGCTCCGGCGGTGGCACAAAGGGCAGTGGCTCCTCGACGCAGCCGGCCCCATCTTCCTCGACTGCTGGCAAGGATATTCACACTCTCGAGCGCGAGGCCAGAGACCGCGAGCGCCTGCTCAAAGAAGCCCAGCGAATTGCTGGCATGGCTGGCTTCGCGGGTTCCAAGCGGGGCCGGGACGACTCGGACGATCGTGGCAGCGGCAGCCGTCGCAAGAGCCGGCGCAGCGAGGCCGTGAATGCCGATGAGGAAGAGTCGCGCATGAGGCGGCTCGAGGCTGAGCGAGAGAGGGACCGCTGGGACTGAGATGGTTCTGATGATTCCCGGCACTCGATGCCACCCGGGGGGGGGGGGGGGGGTACGGAAATTGTATAACACGAGCAATCAATGGGCAACCCTCATCGGGACCCTCGGCGCCTTATGACATGGGGAAGGAAGCATGTGCTAGTCGGCAACGTTTTTTTGCCTGATCTACAGCCATGTCTTTTGTCGAACTTCAGGACAAGAGTACAAAATCAAAGCGCGCCAACGCGCGTAGTAGCATGTGGAAAATAATAGAGTTTGTCTTGAGCAGAAACGCGCATACAAGTGCTCATTGTCTTGTGGAAGATGTAGGTGCGCATCGTACCGCGTGCTTCGAATCTAGCAAAGTCTTTGGTAGTGTCTTGTAGAGGCATTCAGGATTACTTTTGCCAAGTCAGATGCGGCTCCGCCAGATGTTCCCAAAGTGGCGTTCGCAATGTCTGCCTCTTCTTCTTCTTCTCCCTGCCCTTGTCCGCATGAGTCGACTATGACGAACTGCGCGCGGTCCTCTGGCTGTTCTGGGTCTTCCTCGATTCTCCAGCCGCCACGACGTTCACCGTCGCTCGTGGCGAGGTGAGATTTGGCCAGCTCCTCGAAGAAACCCTTGTCCTCCTTGGCGACCACGAAACGCCGAATCCTCAGCAAGCTTCCAGAGACCCCTTCGACATTATGGACATCCCTCAAGAGCGACGGGGAAAAGGCCTCGACGTCGGCGACGTGGAAGTAGTCTATGTCGGTGAGATCGATAAAGTCGAGCAGCGAGCCGAACGCGCTCTTGTTCTCGGCCGAGGCGATCCAGGTGTGGTGCTGTTCCACCGAGGCCCAGTGCGCGGTGATGAGGATCTTCCTGGGGTCTTGGGTCTGCTGGAAGAACGCGGCACCTCTTTCCTCGGCCGAGGAAGCTGTGGGCTGTAGGTTTGCCGTGGTACTGTTCTTTTCGAACCATCCGTCTTGTATGGGGAGAGCCTTGCGGGCAGCACTCGCAAAAAGCTCCAGGGGAAGAGACGAGTCCCGGAGGGTGATGTGAGCAATTTCGGTCACCGGCATGTTGGACAACTTGCTCAGGAGATTGGGGTTTGGCGCTTTTCTTTTCTCACTCTTTGTTTTCCTTCTTGCAAAGGGGCAAGACTATTCTGAGAGTCTCTTGCTGGAAACATGTCCGTCAAAGCGTCTACGGTGCAAGTGAAGGTCATCTCGGGGACCTGCAAGGAGGCTTGCGTATCCTGCTGTCTGCCTTGGCTCACCAAGGTGCGGATCGGGTGCAGGCACAGGGACCGCGTAGCATGTAGATTCCTTATCGAAATGTTGCAGATCCCCCGCAGTGCGTCAGACCTAAGAACGTCGCGTACATGTTGACATCAAGAAATGGTACTCCTGCCAGGATCGTCTTGCGCAGTCGGACAAATAATGTACCATATTCATCAATTGTCGAAGACGCCCAGGAACTCATATAATATAAGCCAGACGTGCACGTGTAGTTATATGCCGGAACTGAAATTAAAAGCTTGCAAGGTATGCAAAACCAAGCATACCAGGGCATTTCATTCTCTAGGTGACCAGACTTCTCATGATAGGGAGAGGGGCAGACGACATTCCAGTCTGGAAGCCGCCGACGCTAAATCAGGCAGTAGCGGATGTTGGTGTGCAGGGGTTCCAGGGGTCGAGGCGTCAGCAAGCACCTTCCCTGCCTGCCTGCAGCACTTTGCGTCACAGCTGAGCCCAGGGATGGCTTGGAGGCTGCTGCACCGCCAACACATCACTCGGCCACGTTCAGCTCCGATTTCGAGATATCGGGACACACAGGCACATTCCCTACCTCGGTAGATCTCAAAACCACCACGACGGCGCCCCCCGAGACAGCGACAGACCGTATACATACCATCTCGGCGACAGGACTATTCCAGAGCGATCCAAGACCCCTCCCCTAGCATGCGGCAGCGCACCACCTTCTTCCATCACAACGACGATGGCGTCGAGCCGGCTGACCTCAAGATCACGAGCGATTCCCTCTCAGGCCCAGACCTAGTCGCGATCCGCGAGGACAAGATCACCCTCGACCTTCAAGAGCTGCCGGGAGAGCTCCGCGAGCTTCTCGCCAGGTCCTCAGAGCTGCATCTGCGCTGGGAGAGCCCCAGGCGGCGCGATGCGACCGAGTTATGGCCATCTCGGGTGACCCCGGGCCTGCACGTCTTCTATACGCCACGGAGCGATGACAAAGCCGAGACGTGAGCCTTCAGAGACGCAAACACTTTATAGGGAGGCCTCGTGTCCTGACAAGAGCATAGTGGTCATATGTGTAGGACTCTCCGCAACACATTCGGGGTCATGGATTGTCAAACGCCGAAGGTATGTACAACGCTGTGCCTTGGCTTTCCCTGATGAGCACTCGTTAAACTAAGCGCAAACACGCAAACACGTGTAGGACTCTTTCACGAAACTGCCAAAAAGTGAATTCAAGCACTCCGCGGCCTACCACTATTATCACCCGCTCAGCGATCTAAAACACTTCGGCTTATATGCAGGCCAGTACGCTTGCGGCCCATCGGATTCTGCCTGCGCAAAGAAGTTCGCCAGCCTCGACTCCGCAACCTCATTCGATTTCTCCTATGATGCGTCAGTAGATACTGTCAAGGCCTCAATAATGTGGCCCAGAGGGAAACAACCGCTATCCCTGACCGCAGTGCCTGGCCATAGACTCGAGGTGGGCATCATGACGCCCGATGCGCCTCCATACGTCGGACCAGACGAGCTAGGAGTGGCTGGTTTATTAGTTGTATTGGGAGAGCACCAGAAGCCTAATCCAACGCTCTTCGCGTTCCCTGCTCGGCACAAGGCCTCTCGTGTCAAGTTTGCGTCCCGCTTCCTCTCGCCGGCAGGCTTGCATCCCTCGCTCCAGTTAAAAATCAGCTCAGCCAAGCCGCCCATCAACGATGAGTCTTGTTCTATGTATGCGCATCTTACGCTGCCGCGCACAATATTTGGCGACAGATACCAGCTGCAAGATGATCTCTTTCTGGCGTCCAAGAACTTGACCGCGCTCCGCTACATGAGCGAACCTGTAGATCTCGAGGCTCCAGACTATGTCATGAAGCTTTGGGGCTCCAGCATATTGCTTGAACTAAAACCACCACAGCCAACAACAGATCAGCCGTGGACCGCGGAAGTCCCACTTCATTTGCGATACTTGGCTCCCACGCCTGGCGGGTATCAGACAATCAGCATCCCATACCCTGCTCTGTTCTGGGCCTGCGAGGCAGAACAAGGGATAAAGTTCACCAACAGTCCCTTCGATCGCCCCCACGTTGGCTATGATTCTCTGTTCAGCGCGGAAACTCTCTTCTGGCACATAGACCCTCAGCCAGAGAGAACCAATCTGCTTACCAACGACATCAATGTCCCGGTACTGAACACGGAACAAGCCACATGGGTCAACGCCGGGACGACTCTCGTCGTCATGCTCGGCTTTGGCTGGATACTCTGGAAGCTTGTTTGGGTGGCTCAACGATCTGGCCTTTCAAGCAAGACCCCAAATGAACTTTTGGCAAAGAAGCAACAGTAAAGCTAAAGCCAAAATGTCGCAACGAGCCCTCTTCGATGTCCCTGCGATGATCTTGACACAAAGCGCGTAGCAATTTGATAATGTTGGACTGTGCCACGATCAAGACAGGGTTGTGGCCTGTGCAATCTCATCCAACTGTGAATACAGTTTGTTCTACAAATTGGCGGAATATATGGTACCCTGCAAACCAGCGAAGTACCGAAACACACAAGACAATCATTTCCGCAATCGTGTAGGCAGCGCAACAACTTCATGAGAATCATTAGACGATCGCCTCTGTCTGTCAGGCCATGCTTCCGTATAACAAGGGCTACCTTGCCATTGACACGAGGCATTTGTGTCGCACAATCCATTGCCATTTTGCAGCTGAAAGGTTCAGTCAGAGCCAATCATCTTCAATATGCGTCTGAAATGCATGTCAGGGAGGACATGCGGCATTGCGATCACGACATCCCGGGCGGGATGGCGTGCGCTGACCGGAGGTTACCGACCCGTCAATCGTTGTTCTAGACCACGAGCACATAAAGCACTGACTGCTGCTGTTCCGACTCTATGCCAGGATCTCTCAATTTTTCGAAGTTGCACTGCCGTACCTCGCCTCTCGGATCTCTGCCCGACAGCCTTGGCCTGAGCCGCCCTCAAGTTCGATTGCGTGGCAGTCTTGGGTGCATGGTGAGCACTAGTGGTGGCTTTAATGTCTCGCTGTCGCGGCGGGAGCAGATTGGCTTCTCGGATACGGCACGATCGATATCTCCCCGCCTGTGCCATAAGTCAACGGAGCGAACACTGCCAACCGCATGCAACCCCTGCAGGAACGTACGACCAAACAATACAGCAGAAAGACGACTTCTGATTCGTAGACGCTGCGGCATGAGATACGAGACTGTATCGACGCAAAGCTGCTGGTGTTCTTGTTGGTCTCTTAGGCTCAGACGGAGTGTTTGGAGTGCTCGGACATGGCGAGTCACGACTGCAATATAACGTTTGACGACTCTCCTCTGCTGCACACGGCGCACTGAGGTGCCATAAACTGATCAAAGGCTTTGTGCCAGCAAGGGTGAGATGCAATGGAAGCTCAATGGTAACCTTGGGTTGCTACAAACCCACAACATCACTGAGAGCTTTGAAAACGTGCAATGCAGCAGTCTCACGAGGAAGACGGCACGCGCCAAATAAGCATGACACACAAGACCACACGCGCGTGTGTTCTTTGGGCCACCCGACGAGCGAGGTGGGAAGTGGCCCCGAGGGAACAGCCTCTGAGCAGGGCTGTGAAGGAAGGGGTGGGATGATGTCATGGCTACGGAAAGCGCCATTTCCATTATGTACATCCATGGCTAACTAGCGTGGGACACAACAAGGCAATCAGAGTCTTTGCAGAGACTTCCTAGAGCCGGGTTGCGCCCCTCCCCCCTCACCAGGTTGTCAGAGGCCCCGGTCCGAGTTGACAACCCGGTGCAGAGCTTCTTGAGCTTCTATTGGTCGAGCGCAGGGCCCCGGTCCTCTTTTAGCACAAGGATCAAGGAAGTCAATTGCCGGACTCGACTGCTGTCGTTCTTGCCTCTCTGTCCCCCAGCTCTGCTGTCGTCATCTGGCAGGCTCACAACCGAGAGGATTGCCACAAAAGGGGATCAAGCCGTCCTGTCCAGACGCACTTCTAAGCAGTCATTTGGGGTCGTCGAGCTCGCTCAGCTGAAGGACAGGCAGGGGCTGGAGTTGATGACTTGGGGTTTGCAATTGGAGAGGCCAGCACTTGGCCGGCTAGTCACCACAAGCTCCCCACCCGATCGTCTTCGAGACACGCCACATCGAGATGTCTTTGCCTCCGGCAAACCTTGTTGCGGGGACGTGAGGAGCCCATGGCTCTCTGTTGCACACTATGTACTCCGTACGCCAGTTGCGCCGGAAGAGCTCCTACGAGCACCGGCTCGCACCGACGCCCGCGTGGCCCGGTAGCCGCGATGCCACTCCCTTTCGCCTCCCCTGCCGTGGCGCCGGAACCCACCCGTCCCAGACGCCCGTGGGTGTGCCCTGCGCCCGCTCCAGACCTTGGCTCCGCACCGGCTCCAGCCGGAGTGGTTCAGGTACATTGTGGGCGTGGCTTCTCAGCACGGCGACCCGGGTCACTCTACTTGATGCGGTTGTGCGCGGCGGGCGGGCTGCCCAGCCTGGTGGGGACTGGAGATCTCCATGTGCGCTCATCATGGGCTTCTGCCGTCACACCTTCCTACCGGTACCTAGGGCAGGCCGCTCAGGACAACCACATCGCGGGACCCCACCGCTGACAGCGTGGTTGTCGGCGTGGCTCGTCCCTGGATCAGGGTCCCGACATCCTCGCGCGTGTAGATTCACGATGGTATTTAGGCCGCCCGGCGCCGTTGCTCCTCGGTCGTGTCTGCTTCCTGCTTCTTGTCCTCGTATACATCTCCTCGACCTCGTCCTCATTGTCACTCCCACCACACCATATCACGATTACATGATCTGGCACATTCAATGATCCTAGCTCTCAACTACTTTATGCGCGGTGCCTACTGAGCGACACTCCTTTGATCTCCCTTTTCGACGACCGAGCCGAATCCCAGGTCTTTTGCGACACCACGCCAGTTGACTGTGACGCCTGCCAGAAGTTTGCAGGTCCCCCCCATACATCAGCGCGCTCCAACACTACGCAGCCAACAGAGACATTTACCCTCTGCTGTGTGTGATCAGGGCCAGGTTTCATTGCCCAATCCCTACAATCCATCACCCGGAAGAACCCCCCTTCAGGCGCACGACCACGATGTCGACTAAGCCTATTTTCGTGGCGACGCACCCACGTGCTTGCTCCACGGCCTTTGAGAGGGTTAGTCCACCCCAGCATCAGTTATTGGCGCAAAGTAGCGCTTGGTCCGCAGCCATGGACGCGCCGTGATTCCTGTTAGACTAACATCAGCCCACTTTCGTATTTTCCAGGTCTTTATGACCCGCAGGAAAACACTCCAGTGCGCCCACGAGCCCTTCGGCGACAGCTTCTACTACGGCCCGGAGAGGCTGTCTGAGCGCTACGACGAAAAAGGACGTCAGGAGAGTGGTTTTGCCAACACGACCTACAAGGATGTGCTCGACCGGCTCGAAAGAGACGGCAGCGATGTATGTATTATGCCCATCTCTCCACTGTCCGGACACTGGTCCTGCATGCTGACTTGCAACCAACAGGGCAAGAGAGTGTTCGTAAAGGACATGGCCTACTACCTGATGGCCCCCAGCGACAAGCCCACCACTCTGGCCCCGTCACTCACACAGGAGAGCAACGGAAGTGCCGTAAATGGCGAGAAACACGCCAACGGCACGACCAAGGGGCTGGAAATCCCCACGTGCATCCCCCTCGACATCCTCAAGAAGTTCCACTGGACTTTCCTGATCCGCCACCCCCGTAGCGGCATCCCTTCCTTCTACACATGCTGCACCCCGCCGCTCAACGCCGTGACTGGCTGGGACAGCTTCATGCCCAACGAGATGGGCTACCTCGAGCTGCGCAAGCTCTTTGACTACCTGCGCGAGCAGAAGCTCGTGGGCCCCCACATGGCCGGCGAGCAGCCCCAGAGCGAGGGTGATGTGTCCATCACCGTCGTGGACGCCGACGACCTGCTGGACAAGCCCGCCCCCGTTATCGAGGCCTTCTGCCGCGAGACCGGCATCGAGTACACGCCCGAGATGCTCTGCTGGGACGACGAGGAGAACCATAAGTACGTCGCCGACGCGTTTGCCAAGTGGAATGGCTGGCACAACGACGCCATCAAGAGCACGAAATTGACGGCACGGACGCACGCCAAGGTGAGTACAACAAACATGCGCTCTGCCCAGAGCATATTCATTGATACATATGCCCCCCCCCCCCCCCGCGGGTTCAACCTGTTTCATAATTTGGTCTGTGGATACTAATTCCGTCTTCTCTCTCTCTTCGCACACAGAAAATCGCCACCCCTGAAACTGAGAATGAACAGTGGAGGCAGAAGTTTGGCGACGAGGCATCCAAGCTCATCCGCAAGCTCGTCGACGAGAACGTTCCGCACTACGAGTACCTCAAGCAGTTTGCCGTCAAGGTCTAAAAAAAAAAAAAAAAAGGCCTACTGGCAATACTTTTAACCCAGCTCCGCCTTTGGTTGTTCTTCTGTTTTCCTTGCGTGTGTGACAGGGGCAAAGGGGGGCGTCCTTGTCGGCTCTGGCTTGTCGGTAGACAGTCGACACTCACTTACAACAACGGGGGTTTTACGACCCATGGAATATTGGGTCGTCATCCAACCTGGGGCTTTGCACACGTTTAGCATCGGTGTGCCGCGCCGAGCTGTCTTGTCCTCGATTGCATCTTTTTTTCTTATCCAATGGTTGAATGACGTGGATTTCCCACGTACTGGGAGTCATTATAAAGGGGAAGATGAGCCACAGCTTCATCTTGTGTGGAATACCGGAGGAGAAACCCTAGGGCTCTGGGTTTGCGACACGCGTTATGACCAAATAGTACACTCGACTTCTCAAAATGAATAAATACTCGGGGAGTGGGATCTGATGTTCGCTGCAGGTGCAACTGGATTTGCTAATAACATGAAGACCACTTGCTGATCGTCTCGTGTTCACATGCACTTGGGAGGGGCTTGTTTTGTAACTCACGCTCTTTGCATTCTTCCTGATTGATCCCAATGCCGTTGGTGGTTGTACATGGTTTCTTTCTTACGAGAGTACAAATATCTACAAATATACCTACACGCTCTGCGTGCTTAGTGAAGGGTCCCCCGGCATCCTGAGGTCCTGCCAGCGACGTAGCGACGGAGCCACACCATCTCTCCTGGTACGTCCATGCTTTCTATATTGTTACATCTTCGTGCGGGCGTGTGCGCGCACCCGGTATCCATGAGACTGACGATGTGTGTGTGTGACTCCTCCTTGACCATGGAAAACACAACGAGACCGTATTGAGACCCCTCGCCGCCGCCGCCGCTGCTGTTGTTGATGCTCCCTATTGCAATCACTTCTTTTCCTTGGGTGCTACATCCGCCGCGTCTTTGTCAATGCTGTGCGTTGTTGTTGCCGCAAGTTGGGGTGCGTGTGGCCCCGAGCCCTGCTGCTACCCCAGTCTCTTCCTCCATGCAACTATCCATCTCCAAGTTCATATTTTGGAACATTGCGGTTCGCTCTGATCTGTCCGCTCTGTGTTGGTATGCATCTCCCACTCCGCGCACCATCCTCGGCAAGACTCTTCTTCCTTTGAAGGAACATATTTTCCTGATGCTCATACTCCAATATCGGCCGACTCTACAAGGTGTTGCCTTGGGGCAGCGGCTGTGGAGCGAGGCGTTCAGCCGCTTCTGCGGCGTCCACGTGTGTCACGTTGTCGGGCCATGCGGCCGCGTAGTCCTTGTGGTTGGGGTCAGCCCAGTAGATGGTCGCGGGGACCCGGACGCCGCCCGACTCGGACCCATCCTCTGCCGCCACCTCCCCGGGCCGGGTGACCCATATCTTGTTGCCCTTGCCGAGCCCGCCGAGGACGGCGGCCATGTCGGCGATCGAGTTGGGCAGCATGTGCCGGTTGAGCTGCACGCCGCGGCCGTGCTTGTCGAGCGTCGCGCCCGTCTCGGGATCCCGCACGAGGCTGGGCTGCTTCTTGCCGTCCCACGTGTAGCTGTGCAGGAAGTGCGCCTCGCGCAGCATGTGGTACACCGACAGGCCCACGAGCCGGTGGCCCTCGGGGAACTCGACCATGGCAAAGGGCTCCCAGTAGTCCTTGCGGATCTTGGATGGCTTCAGCTTCTTGCCGTTGTAGGGTATGGTTCTCATTTGTTTGTTTGCCTATCAAACTCGGGGGAACATGAAGGGTTAGTAATATGCACTTGACGAAAGATTGAGCTGTGAATTTTCGAAGGGGATTTCCATAGCGCAGTGGATGCCCATTCAGGCGGACATGGGCATGATGTGAGATCCACCAGGACTCGCAATTATGTAGTCGTGTGACGATATGAATGTCTCTGCTGGGACGCACCTTGAAGTTGCGTTGTAATGAGAAAATGGTGAGGCCATCGAGGAAGTGCCGGAAGAACCATATCCGGTCGCCATGGCCATGCGGCCACGAGGCAGGCCGGGGGGTGTCGTCTGGCAGAGACTCTTCGATCGATTCGAGCTCATCTCTGGGTACCATAGAGGCAGGCAACTCGCTTGTTGGTGAGGAGGAAGAGATCGTCGTGTGGCTGGACTCGGTTGTGAGGCTGCGAATGGCGGGCCTGCGGCTGGCGATGGCGCAGGCAGCCCGGGCGGATGGCCGCAGGCTGCTGGCCGACAGCTTGGCCAGCTGGGCGGTGACGGGCTTGAGTCGGAGCGCCATTGTCGTCTTGCGGGATTGGCGCTGTAGGGCGAGGAGGGGGTATCGCTCAATGCGAGGCTATCGCGGCTCGATCCTGGCGTGTGATTTTGTTCCTCAAACGCGGAGGGACTCTGCGCTGCATGGCTGACCCCAGTTAATCGATAAACGTGGATGTGGAAGGGCAAGCAACGTGCGACATGATTGGCTACGGTCTCTGAGCTGACCCACTTCTCTCTCCCTCTCCCTTAGAAACTTCAAGATGCACCTAACTGTTGGCATATGGCTGATTCTTGGCTCTCAAAGAATGCAAGCCATAGTGGGCTGATTTTGATGACTAGTTACATCGGTACAGCAAATGGATCGTCACAACGGCCTGAATACATGCGACCTGCAGACGATTCAGAGTTGGTTCTCCAACTCTGCCCAATTCGGGACAAGGTTGTGAGCACGGGGCACTGGAAAATATCAGGCGCTGACGTCTCAATGGGACGTGGGCGACACGCGCCGCTTGCACATGGCCTCGAGGTGGTTTAACGCCTGAGTAACAACAGACAAGTCTACTACGTCGGCTGCTTATACCAGGGCCAACAATGGTCGATGTCCAAGGAAGTCGAACGCTTGAAGTAAGACTGAACGGGTTTCAAAGTACTCGAAGGGACTAACACCTATACTTTCTGGGCCTGAATCGGCCGAAGCTATGATCCCCCGACTTGTGATGTCGGCTTGAGCCGCCGTTGCAGTGTGTAGTTGCCTCTTCCAAGGTTGAGCATATGCAAAGTGGTACGACCAGGCCCTGGTGGGCTGTCTGCACGACAGGCACCTCTGATTGGCCTGGCAGGCAGCCTAACTCACACAGGGTACCCCGCCTGGACAGCAGACATGCCCCGAAAGGTGGGCCCCACATTCTGAGCGCAACCAGTAGAAGCTTCTCCAGGCGGGGTGAAGCTTCGCGAAGGCCCTATGACATCGTCTGGCAAGCTCCAGCACACCCGCGAACCAGCAAGCTCCTGCCTGCTGCTTCGTGCCCGAACAACGGCGGCCCTTGTGCCTCATGCTCCACCACCACCTCACAAAGCATAAAACTCGCGTCAGTATCCCGCAACCGCCGCATCGGTGCGTTCCTAGTTTCCTGTCTCTGCAAAGCTTCAAAGGTCACACAAAGTGTTTGACACACTCACTGTTACAGCCTACCACGTCAACCCATCGACACATCGACACGCAAAGCACAAGCCTCGCACACACATACATACAGAGGCTCCAACCACAACGCACGCCGTCGTTTCTTGCTTCTTTTTTGAATCCTTTCACAGCAACAAATCTAATCCAACCTAATCGACAGGTGTGAAGCTACACCACCACACAAGATCCCAACATGACTTCACGCATGGAGTTCACAGACCGGGGCAAGCAGGCCCTGGAAGACGCCATGACTCTCGCCGAACAATACGCCCACTCACAACTCCTCCCAGTCCACCTCGCCGTTTCCCTCCTCGACCCCCCGCCGGACCAGTCCAAGGACCAGCAGAACGCTCCCCCGGGGGCTCACAGCAGTCTTTTCAAGCAAGTTGTCGAGAGAGCCCACGGTGACCCGCAATTGCTCGACCGCGCCTTGAAGAAGAACCTGGTGCGGCTGCCCAGCCAGGACCCTCCGCCCGAGAATGTCACAATGTCACCTTCATTCAGTGCCGTTCTCAAGAAGGCCAACGAGCTGCAAAAGACACAAAAGGATACCTACATTGCTGTCGACCACCTCATCACCGCGCTGGCAGAGGACACCTCCATCGCCAATGCCCTCAAGGAGGCCAACATCCCCAAACCGAAGTTGGTCTCTGATGCCGTACAATCCATTCGCGGCACGAAGCGGGTCGACTCCAAAACGGCAGACACCGAGGAGGAGCACGAGAATCTCGCCAAGTTCACGATCGACATGACCTCGATGGCCAGGGAAGGCAAGATCGACCCAGTCATCGGTCGTGAGGAGGAGATTCGGCGTGTGGTTCGCATCCTCTCAAGGCGAACCAAGAACAACCCGGTGCTCATTGGTGAGCCCGGTGTCGGAAAAACCACCGTCGTCGAGGGTCTGGCCCAGCGCATCGTCAACGCTGATGTTCCAGATAACCTCGCCGCTTGCAAGCTGCTGTCCCTCGATGTGGGAGCCCTCGTAGCTGGCAGTAAGTATCGTGGTGAATTCGAAGAGAGAATGAAGGGAGTTTTGAAGGAGATCACCGAGTCCAAGGAAATGATCGTACTCTTTGTCGACGAAATCCACCTGCTCATGGGCGCTGGCGCTTCTGGAGAAGGTGGCATGGACGCCGCCAATCTCCTCAAGCCTATGCTTGCGCGTGGTCAGCTGCACTGCATTGGTGCGACCACCCTCGCCGAGTACCGCAAGTACATTGAGAAGGATGCCGCGTTCGAGCGACGCTTCCAGCAGGTCATCGTCAAGGAGCCCAGCATTCCCGAGACCATTTCCATCCTTCGTGGTCTCAAGGAGAAGTACGAGGTGCACCATGGTGTGACCATTGCTGATAGCGCCATTGTCGCCTCTGCGAACCTTGCCGGTCGCTACCTCACTTCCAGACGCCTGCCAGACTCGGCAGTCGACTTGATCGATGAGGCGGCCGCTGCCGTCCGGGTGGCTCGTGAATCTCAGCCAGAAATCATTGACTCCCTTGAGCGCAGGCTGCGACAACTACGCATCGAGATTCACGCACTTTCCCGCGAGAAGGATGAGGCCTCAAAGGCTCGCCTAGAGATGGCCAAGAGAGATGCCGAGAATGTCGAGGAAGAGCTGCGGCCATTGAGAGAAAAGTACGAGAGCGAGCGACAGAGAGGCAAGGACATCCAAGAGGCGAAGATGAAGCTTGATCAACTTAAAGTCAAGATGGAGGACGCGGAACGCATGCGCGACCACGCTCTTGCGGCCGATCTCCAATACTACGCCATTCCTGAGCAGCAAGCCCGGATCAAAGAGCTCGAACACAAGAAGGCCATGGCGGATGCCGAGCTTCACCACAGCGAGACAAGCGGCGCCATGGTGACTGACGTTGTCGGCCCCGATCAGATCAATGAGATAGTGTCTCGCTGGACTGGCATTCCTGTCACTCGCCTCAAGACATCTGAGAAGGAGAAGCTCATCTACATGGAGAAGGCACTCGGAAAGGCTGTCGTGGGTCAGAAAGAGGCCGTCACGGCCGTGTCCAACGCCATTAGACTCCAGCGGTCCGGATTGAGCAACCCAAACCAGCCGCCGAGTTTCCTGTTCTGTGGTCCTTCTGGTACAGGAAAGACTCTGCTCACAAAGGCTCTGGCCGAGTTCCTGTTCGACGACCCCAAGGCCATGATTCGCTTCGACATGTCCGAATATCAGGAACGGCACTCGTTGAGCCGGATGATTGGTGCTCCTCCAGGCTACGTCGGCCATGATGCCGGTGGTCAGCTCACAGAAGCCCTTCGTCGCAAGCCGTTCTCCATCCTGCTGTTTGACGAAGTCGAAAAGGCTGCCAAGGAGATTCTGACGGTCCTCCTCCAGCTCATGGACGACGGCCGCATCACGGACGGACAAGGTCGTGTGATTGATGCCAAAAACTGCATCGTTGTCATGACCTCCAACCTTGGCGCCGAGTACCTGGCCCGCCCCGCAGGGCGTGATGGCAAGATCGATGCTACCACTCGCGAACTTGTCAACACCGCTCTGCGCAACTACTTCTTGCCCGAGTTCCTCAACCGTATCAACTCAATCGTCATCTTCAACCGTCTCACGCGCCGTGAGATTCGCAGGATTGTGGATCTCAGACTCAGCGAGATCCAGAAGCGGTTGGCGGACAATGATCGCAATGTCATCATCGATGTGAGCGACGAAGCCAAGGACTACTTGGGCAATGCCGGATACTCACCAGCATATGGTGCTCGGCCACTGCAACGACTTATTGAGAAGGAGGTGCTTAACCGCCTGGCCGTTCTCATCCTGCGCGGAGGTGTACGGGACGGCGAGCGGGCACGTGTTGTTCTGCGCAACAACAAAATCACAGTTGAGAACAACCATCCCGACAGCGAAGCGGATGATGAGGAGGATATGATGCTTGACGAGGAAGACGCAGTGGAGGAAATTGCGCCTGAGGATATGGACGAAGACATCTACGACTGAAATGCCTCGACGGGGTTATTATGAAAGACGTGTGACGACTGACGAATGAATTTGGATCACTGCATGTAAATATTTAGCGATTGTATTGATCAAATTAAATGAGACTAAGAGTTTCATGCTTGACCAACCTAAAAGACCAACAATTTGTGAAGCTTGAATCTGAAAAAATGCTCACCCACGCTTGTCCGTCAGCTGTGGTCCACAGACGGGTAAACTACTGCATCGGCTGTGAGGAAGTGGACTTTCATGAATCATAACAGTCGTAGCAACGGCTTCTGCATGACACTACGTCATCGATCGCGCGCGGTTCGATCTGCAAGCGTAGCGTTGCGCCAGATGTAATGCGGAATAGGTACTGGTCTCGGAGTCTAATTTGCTGGGCCCCAGCAAAAAGCAACCAACTCTACATTGGCTGCCTTTCCATGCAGAGCTACTAAGACATGCGCATGAGCAGCATGCGGGAACTGGTTACATGGAGCTAGCAAGCACGGCGGTATGGATCAGATTGGTTGCCCAATTCGTGTACATATATATATCTTTCCCAAGAACCCACAGAGAGACTTAAGAGACAGGCCAGTTCCAATTCCACGACGTCCAAGTCCTGGGCATGTTAATACGACGCCCATTCACAAGTACTCGCACACCTCGTATTGCTTGTGATACGGTCGACAACGTCGCCGCATTGAGAGCGTTCATCACTGCCAAGTCTACACTGCTGGGTGGGCAGTCACCTCGAGAAGGGCTACGCTGCCGGTTGTTCCACACAAACACCACCGCCTTCCGGGTCTGGCGAACTTGTTTGCCTGAGGGAGTGTTGTCGCGGTCACGCCCGGCGCAAACGAGTTGCGTTTTCCGTGGCACAGACACTGCGGAAGTCTTGGGGAGGCATAAGCTGCAGCGAGTGTGGTATACAAGCATAAGGTCAACGACGGCACGGAGCGGCGACACCGAGAAGAAGAACAACAAGAAGACGACGACGCAGAATAAGAAGACCAGCACGCACTCAAGCAAGAGCACGAGTGCAACCGGCCCCAGCGACGCGATCAGCAAGGGCAAGGAACAGAAGGACGTCGCTCGCAGGGAGAACAACAACAACGACGACGACGACGACGACGACGACAAAACCAAGGTTCCACCTGGGGCCGCAACAAAGACAGCGACCGGCCCCAAGATGACGGCCAAGAAGAAGAACGGAGCAGGCAGTGCGAAGGGTCAGGAGGAGGAGTCCTCGCCAAAGGCCGCGGCGGGGCACAAGCACGAGCGTGCGGCCTCGACGGACGACGTGCTCAAGCATCCATCGACGAAGCGGGCCAAGGAGATTGACAGCACCGAGAACCCGAACGACGAGCTGAGGCAGCTGATGGAGAAGCATGACACTGACGACAACAACAATGACGACGACAACAATGACGGCGACAAGGTGCGCAACGTCCTCCACTGGTTCCGCAGCAAGGACCTCCGCGTCGAGGACAACCGGGCGTTGCACGCGGCTGCGGAGAAGGCGGCCCAAGGTAAAGGAGGTGGAGGAGGGGGTTGCCTGCTCGCGTGCTTCCTGTACTCGCCCGAGGATCTCGAGTGGCACGGCACCAGCCCGGCCAGGACGGACTTTATGCTCGAGGGTCTGAGGATCGTGCAGGAGCAGCTCGCGGACGACCTCCACGTCCCGCTCGTGTTCCTGACGGCAGAAGAGCGCGGCATGAAGACGGACCGGGTGCTCGAGTTCATCAGGGACAACGACGTCAGCCACGTGTACGCCAACATCGAGTACGAGGTCGACGAGCTCCGGCGGGACATTGACATGTTCCACCAGCTCGACGGGCACGGCGTCAAGCTCGTGCTGCACCACGACCAGACAGTGGTCGGGCCGGGCAGGCTCACCACGGGCGCGGGCGGGCCGATGAAGGTCTTTACGCCGTACCACAAGGCCTGGCTCGCCGAGGTCGCCAACGAGCCGGAGCTCATCGACACGCTGCCCGCGCCGAGGCCCAACGACAAGGCCGTCAAGAACGGCGGCAAGACCAAGAAGCTGTTTGGATCACCGCTGCCCGGCATCCCCGAGTCCAAGCAGTACGCCTCGGACGACGAGAAGAACCGCCTGCGCGAGCTCTGGCCCCCCGGCCACGCCGCGGGCATCAAGCGGCTGCACGACTTTCTGGACGCCAAGGTCGACACGTACTCGACCAACCGGTCCAACCCGGCCGCGGACAACGCGAGCCGCATGTCGGCGTACTTCTCGTCCGGGATGGTCTCGGTCAGAGAAGCCCTCGACGCGACCCGCCAGCGCAAGGGCGGCGGCGGCGGCGGTAGCGGAAAGAAAGGCGGCTCCGCGGTCGACTTTTCCCAGTCCGGCCCCGGCGGCGGCGGCGTCGCGGCGTGGGTGCGCGAGATTGTCTTCCGCGAGTTCTACCGGCACATGATGGTCGTGCTGCCGCACAACAGCATGAACCTGCCGCAGAACCTCAAGTTCGACTTTGTCCAGTGGGAGGATGACGAGGAGGGCTGGAGGAAGTGGTGTGAGGGGAAGACGGGGATGCCTTTTGTCGATGCCGGGATGAGGCAGATCAACCACGAGGTTAGTCTTTCTCTCTTTTGTCTTCTTTGTTTTTTGTTTTATATTTCTTTTTCTTCTTTGTCTTCTTTCTTTCTGCTCAATGGACACTCGATGAATTTCTCCTTGCTTCAATGTTGTGTCTCCTTTGGAAGGCCACAGATCACAACTAAACCAAAAAATTGTCTCTCAAAAAGGCATACATGCACAACCGCCTCCGGATGAACACGTCCTCGTACCTCTCGCGCAGCCTGCTCATCGACTACCGCCGCGGCGAGCGGTACTTTGCCGAGCACTTGATCGACTGGGATCTGTGCAACAACACGCAAGGGTGGGAGCCCAGCTACACCGTCTTCAACCCGGTCACGCAGGCCGAGAAGAACGACCCGGGCGGCGACTACATCCGCCGGTGGGTGCCCGAGCTGCGCGGCGTCGAGGGCAAGGCCGTGTTTGATCCATACAACCGCCTCAGCAGGGATGAGTTTGACAAGCTGGGGTACCCAGCGCCGCATGTAGACTTCAAGGAGAGCAAGGAGAGGTGTGTGCAGCGGTACAAGCAGGACATGGCAGATGCTGATCCGTGAAAGGGCGGCGCGTCACGATCAGAGTTGGAAGCACTCGGGCGGCGTGCGTAAGAGTCAAAGGCAGTGGCCAGCTCAACCTGAGAAACAGCCCGGGGAAGGCATTTTCCATAGTCAGCAGGCTTTTGTGTCGGGAGAAGGCCCATGTGACGCCATCACGGGCAAACCAGGTCTCTAGACCAGTATGTCTATCCTGCATAGAAAGTCTGTAGACAACGTAAAAGAGCCTGGATGGTCCCAGGCACATAAGTTCCACTCAACGCGATGCAAATGCCTTTCAAACGTAGCCTTGAATCACTCCCTGATCCAGGCACCAACCACCCACAAACGACCCATCATAGGTGGTGGCTCAGTCATCAGCCATCCATGGTTCACGCTCCTTGCGCGTTGTTCGTCTACATCTTCCAGAGATCATGCTGACACCCCTCGTCTCCTTCTTGCCCATGCTCACCTACTCCTGAGTGCGCCTGACGCCTCTCCTGGTCCCTTGTTATGAACTTGAGCATCGTCATGCCGATATTCCGCACGACCAGGTCGCCACGGCGGTCCGCGTTGGCAATCACCCACCGGAAGTGGTCCTGCGCGGCGGCCTCGTCGCCCACGCGCACCCGAGCCATGCCGAGGACGAGTATGATCCAAGTGATTAGGTTGGGCACGCTGCCGAGCTTGAGCACCGGGTTCTTCCCGCGTTTGTCGTCGACGCCGATGTCGTCGTCGTTACTGCCATTGTCGTTGCTGCAGGTTGTGAAAGAGGTGGTACCTTGTCGAAGGTCCTCGTCATCTTGGGGCCCGCTGCTGGGGCGATGTGAACCACTGCCCTGCCCCTTCTTTGAGGCCTTTGAAGGAGCCATTTTTGAATTCTGCTTGCCAATCCGCTCCTGCTTCTCGAGTACCTTCCGCATGCCGTCTTCCGCCCTGAGGATCCGACCCACGCTGAGATCGTCCAGCGTCTGCGAGACGATTGCCGATATGTCGGCGTCAAAGTTGCCCATCGTGGCTTGGTACTGGCTCCAGCGCTCGTGCATGTCCCGCCAGTTGCGTATCCGCTCCGTGATCCAGGGGCCGTCTTCGTGCGCCGGGGCAAGGGTAACCGAGTCCTTGCTGCTATTGCTGCTGCTGCTGCGGCGGCGGCGGTGATCGTAGCCGTCTTCATGGTCACTTGTCGTGATTCTCTCATCGCCAACATCGTCATCTTCGCTGGAGAAAGAATGCGATGTTGAGATTGACGAGCGTGGCGTCTTGGAAGGCCAAGATCGAGTCGCCCCTACAGCACTGGTCGTCGTCGGCCCTTCCGGTGTCCCGAGGCCAGTGATGTTCCTCGCCCTCAGGGCATTTACCATCTCAGTCTCCGACGCTAGCATGACGGCTTTGCGGAACTCGTTCATATTCTCGTCGCCCTCGCTCATGTGCCATCGCCTCATGGACGCCCAGACTACTGCCATGGGGTGGTTCCGTGTCAGCGTCAGCGGCGTCATCTCGAGCAGGTAGTTGTGCACGATGCGGGCCAGTTCTGGCCGCTTCTTGGCTGCCATGTCAAGACTCATCCGCATCATGCTGGATATCAAATCAGGGTGCTGCTGCTGGAGAAGTGACTGTATGCGGTCAAAGTGTGGCTGTAGAAGCTGCGCGACCGCCGGATTGCTGCCACAATTCAGTGCGTCGGCGACAAAGCAAAAGGTGTCGTGGAACCTGATCAGGTCTGCCCCGAGATGAAGCACAGGCTTGTTTGGGCTATGGCCGAGCATAATGCGCCGCCATTGTGTGGAAGGGGTCTCGGATATGACCTTGTTAGTCTGGATGTAATACCTCACAGCCAGCAGAGTCCTTTCCAGGTCTCGAGTTGAGGCTGGAGCGCTCAACCGAACCGCCAGAGAGTGTGACATCGAGGCACTGCAGCACATATCCACACTGTCGAGCGGAGTCGTCGTGAGGGGAAAATCATCCGACGCCGCTGGTGAGCCCGGCGAAGCCGGGGGGCGATGTGGTTGCGCCGTGGCACCAACCTGCCACAGCAAAAACGGGTTGCGCTGCAGGTAACGCTGGAGTTTCTTGTCTGAGCTCTGTCGCCCGCCGAGTCGGATCTGACCAGCAGTATCCTGGGCATTCATATGCCTCAGCTGGTCTATCAGCAAGCTCTTTGCCTCGCTCTCTTGTATGTTTTTCGTGAACCCCCACGCCCGAAGGCGCTTTTTGTACATGTTGATCCTTAGGAAGAGGTCAGTGCAAGTCTAGAAAGCCGCCAAAGAGCATTTCGGGCAGGCTTGATTCGTCTGCGCCAGAGACACTCACGTCGCATGAAATCCATAGTCGGTTTCGAGAATAGCTCGAACCTCGGGCAGCGTCTGGTTCTCATCAAGGTACAAACGCTTGATGGTGGCCTTTTGGGCCTGCCATTGCGAGGGAGTCGCATATTGTTTCTTCTTGAAAGCGGTGTTTGCAGAGGCCGGAGAGGAGGATGCCGTCCTGCCCTTGGTCCCAGGAAATGCGGACACCTGGGCCGGAGGAGACTGCATCTTTACGTACACGTAGCTCTCTCTGGACTGGAAGGATGCATATGCACGGCACCAGGCCTCTCGAAAACATGCAGGATCAGCTTGGACGTCAGAGAGGAGAGGAGGGTGGGGTGTTTATCGAGAATCGCATCGAGGAGATAGCGGCCCGAGGGGTGTCGGCAGGTCAGCGTGACATGGCAAGTGGTTGGACCTTGTTGGCGATACCGAGATGCAGCGTTGCACGTAGCGAGGCCAGGGTGACACTATACGACAGGGCAGTGCTGTCAGCAGAACCACCGCCCGGTTGCACACCTCACCGCAGCCCCCAAAGATGGCGGCAGCCTTCTGGCCAGCCGAGAGAAGCCAAAGCTGGAGGATGACAGAGACTCTCCGTAGGGCTGTATTTGGGAACGGCACCCCTGCCACCCCGCCCGGTGATGAGCCCCCAGTGCTGATCGCCGTCCTGGAGGTAAGCCGGGTATAAGTGGGAGCCACTCCCCGCCGCCTCTGCGGGGCCGGCCTGGATGGAAATAGTATCTGTGGTTGCACAATCAGGACTGGGCATGATGCTGTAGCTGCGACCATGCACTATTCATAGTCAGACTCGTTCCATCAAGCTTTGTGTCTATTGCTTATCCGTCGTGCCCTGAGTAGTCATCCACACGCACGACTGCCACAGGCTCTTTCCCCCACTGCAGCTCTGGCCTTTTGACTTGCTGTTGAGGCAGCTGCTTCCCATTGGTGGTATGGTGCAGTGAGGTATTCCCACAGCACAAGCCGAGATGCTTTGACATCGAGTAAAGCCGGCAGCTTTCCTGCTCCCTTTGTGCCGCAATCATCCAAGTAGCCGTGGTCGCACAGCCACCTGTCGGGCAAGCCAAGTGATCTAGTAGTAGACTTCCCCCTTCATGAGGACTCGTGCCGTGCGCAGCAGGTCTGCAGACACAATCTTGCCGTTCTCGACTGTCGTACTAATCTCGACTCTCCCGCTCGGGTGGCCGATGACGACGGAGCTGCTGCTACCTTTGTCGTCATCTCGCCGGCGGCGGACCTCGGCTGCCAGAGTACCCGGAATATTTGCCGCCGCACCCAAGCAGAGCGCCAATGTCAAGGGGACGTCCTTGTGCGGCTGGCCCATGGAAAGTGCCAGGCATTGCACGTCGACTCCATCGTCTGCAGTCTCGTCGAACAGAAGGACAATCTTTGGCACGCTCTCGGTCTTTGGATCGAGGCCCATCCTCGTCGCGCCAGCCTGCCGAATAGCTTCGAGCCTCGCCTTGAGCTTCGCATCGGCATCAACGACAGCCGGTGTGAACTTTTGGGCCGTCACATCCTGCCCGACCTCCAGATCACTGACCCGAACAAAAACGCCTGGATTGGATACGTCGACCAGCGAGGCCGGTATGCTCCCCGCGCCGCCTGGCAACTCGAGTATATCCACCGCATTGCCCGTGGGCAGGGCCTTTCCCGTCTTGGCGCCGGCCGGGTCCAGAAAGCTCAGGGTGATGCATGACTGTGTGCCCGGGACACCGTCCATCGCATAGTCGCCCTCGGGACAGTACCGTGGCGGGTCGCCGCTGACTCTGAAGCGCGAGTGCACCACCTTGGACGTGTTGGTGTTGAAGAACCGCACCGTCGCTTCCCGATAATCTTCTTGGTCTGGGTCTCGGTCTTGGCCCGTCAGGTCCTGCTTCACCTTGGCCGGCGTGTCCCCGACCAGCCCTTCATCCCAAGCCACCGGCCCGACAGCAGAGCTCATGTTCCCACAGTTGCTCGCGAGGTCCAGCACGCCATCCTTGATGCCGACCTGGACAAAGGTAAAGTCGACGTCGACGTCCGGCCGCTCCGACCTGGAGAGTACGCAGATCTTGGACGTCGACGAAGTGCCGCCCCCCATGCCGTTGAGCTGTCGCGCGTGCACCGGGTCGGGGCTTCCCATTGCGGAGGGCAGAACAGTGTTCCACTGTTCTTGATCCTGCGGCAGGGCGTCACGCATGATGACGAGCCCCGTGGTGGTGCCGCCACGGACGAAGAGGGCCGGAAAACTCCGTGGAGGAAGTGTTGAAGATACCATCCTCACTGGAGTATGTGACTGAGTTAAAAGGCCTCGTCCACGAGACAGAACGTCAGCTTGTGAACTGAGGCTACTGCGCAATGCATTAGGGGCGGGCGATTGGCCGCTGGAATGCAGGGTAACCCCCGCCGATTTGACAGCATTCAGCGCCGTCTAGGTTAAAACGCCAACAGCACGTCCAAGCCACGATTCTACATATAAAGGCCATTCCACGAAATGAACAAGCATAACCACTATCATCCTCAACACTCAAAATAGCTACGGCCCATATATGCATTGAACGACGAGGAATTATACAGCAGTGGCAAATAGAGGCTGAAAGGATAAGAACTCCATCTCCAAGTAGTGTTTACAACGAGCATCAGTAGGCGATGCAAGCATTTCAGTCTTGTCCGCACTTCAGCCCCCTTCACTCGTCGTCATCCTCGTCTACCATGCTCGTATCCGCCTTGCCGCCATTAGCCCTTGGGCTACCACCACCTTCATCCTCATCTTCATCACTGTCATCCAGGACGCGGCCGCGGCGCGCCCGCTTTAGAGCTCGCTTGGCTGAAGCGCCGCCGACCTCGTCGTCGTCATCATCCTGGTTGGCTCTGTGGTCCACCTCCATCTTGTCGTCAGCCTCGTCGTCACTGCCACCTCTAGACGCATCGTCCGCATCCGACTGGTCGGAACGGCTCCGCTCGAGCGCCTTCTCCGCACGATCAAGAGCATCATAGTCCTCGTCGTCACTGCTGTCGACGACCAACTCGGCAGATTTGTACTTCGAGTTCTCCTTCTTGGCGGCGAGTCTGCGCCTCTTCTTGGGCTGCGTCTCGTCCTCTGAATCGCCATCGTCTGCGGCAGCCTTCTTTGACTTCTTCGAGCGGCGCTTGGGGGCTGGCTCCCCGTCCTCTGCCACTCTCTTCTTGGTGGAAGTCTTCTTCTTGCGCCTTACTTGCTCGCCTGTCTCACTGTCTGTCGTCATCTCGGCAGCGGCGCGTTCTTGATCCTCCTTGAGGCGGATTTCGGCCAGTTCCCGGTCGCGAGCAGCAATCTCTTCGCGCTCCTTGGCGATCTTCTGTTTGCGTTCGAGCTCCAGAGCAAGGGCCTTCTGTCGTTCTTCATCGCGCTTCTTGAGCTCCGCTTGCCGTTGCTCGAGAGCCGCGGACAACTTCTCCTTGTTCTTCTCCTCATATTCCTTCTGGCTCTCGATCTGGCGAGCGAGTTGTTTTCTCTGCGTGTTGCGAGCCATGCTTGCACGTTGCTCCAGTTCAGCCTTGGGGTACGGGGGTTGCGGCTGGCCAGCAATCTCGTCAAGCGCTAGGATGGCAGCCTCAAGACCGTCCGAGGCCTTCTCAAGCTGCTCGAGCGTGCGTTGTGTCTCTGGCACGTGCATGATGATGTGCTGGACCAGCTGAATCTGGACGAAAGCGACGTTGAACTTGAAATGGACTTGGTCAGGCGCAGCAGCAAGGGCCTGTTCATTTCGCTTGTCAGTATTGTGCCGGCTCGAATCATGTTCTTTGAACACAACTCACCTTCTGAGCATACTCCAGCGCAGTGGCGTGCGCATCTAGACTCTTCTCGTGGCGACCCTTATTCAGCCACGTCCGGCCCAAGCAGGCAAGGATGCTCGAATCGTTCTCCTTGCCGGATTTGGCAAGCGCTTGCTCGTAGTTCTCGATGGCCTTGGAGAACTGGCGGAGCTCGGCATAGATGTGACCGATATTGACATTGACATTGGGGTCCTTGACCGTCTCTCTGACCTTCAGGAAAATCGGCAACGCGGTCTTGTAGTCCTTCTTATCCTCTACAAGAGCAATGGCAATACCTTGAGCAGCATATGCGTTCTTCGGGTCCAGCTGGAGAGCCTTGTCGAAAAACTCGACTGCACGCGTATACTGCGCCGAGCGCTTCTGTTTCTCCTGATCCGTATCGCGCCGCATCTCGCGAGCCGCCATCAGGTAGAGGTTGCCCATGCCCACAAGCGCATACCGATCATGCTTGTCGTAGTTCTGCAGAGTGTGCTTGTAGTGGCGGAGCTCTGGGTCCTCGTTGACATTAGGATTTCTCTTGCGGGAGTTGACCTTGCCAAGATACCATCCATACAAGGCACGGACATCCAGATCTGATGGGTTCTCCTGGTACAGCTTGGCAACAGCATCGGGGCCTTCCTTGCCAGAGCTTTTGCGCAACTTGATGTAAGCGAGGCGTGCCTGCGCATCAGTGTAGTCATCATGCCTGGCAATCAATTTCTCATAGACACCCTGGGCTTCGTCGGTGCGGTCCTGAGCCTCGTAGCTCCGGCCAAGGTTGAAGCTGATGGTGGTGACCAGGGCATCTGTATCTATCTCATCGTCCTTCTCACCGATGCGAATACATGATCCGAGGGCGGCTTCAAACATTGCGCTCGCCTGCTCATGTTTTTCGGCCTGTGAGTAGAAGCAGCCGATATTGTTGAGTAATTGAGGGGGCAAGTTTCTTCGCAGCGCATTGCGGAGCGCAGTCTCGTCCTGTATATCTGTAGGGTGTTCCGAGGCGGGAATTTGATCAAGCTCGAGCTGTTCAACCTGCTGGAGGCATTGTAGGGCCTTCTCCGGCTGGTCGTTTTCGTAGAGCCGCGCGAGATTGAGAAGAACAGCGGCGTCTGGGGACAGGTTCTTTTTCGGGTCTTTCCAGGCGGTGCGTACTTGCTCAAGATTATCGATGGCTTTCTTCTTCTCCGCACTCTTGTCCTCTTTGGTTGCCGCAAACTGGCTCGCAGAAACCTCCTCTGCGTACAGTGCGCCAAGCAGAATCATGGCTTCGTAGTTGCGCTCCTTCTTGCCAGTTGGCTGGACAATCTTCTCAAGCCGGAGCTTTGCCTCTCCCAGGTCATTGTTCAGCACTGACAGCTGCGCAAGTCCAAACTTGGCAGGCAAGAAGCCACGGTCGACACCACCACGCGCCTCGTCAGCACGGCGGTAGTAGTCTGCCGCAAGCTCTGTATTGCCATTCGAGTGCTCTTTGCGAGCGAGGAGGTACCAACCATCGCTAGCAATGGCGTTGACATCAGTGTACTGGATAGCTTTGTTCGCGAGTGATTCCACGTGGGCGTAGTTGCGCGTAGAGAGGAAGTAGCCCGAAAACGTCGCGCAAGTCAGAGGCTGGTTCTTGTCGAGCTTGAAGGATTTCTGGGTGTATTCGGTCATGGCCTTCTTGTACAGCTGAGCAAACTCGGGGCTGTTCACTGGCACATTGCCACTGGCATCGAGATAGTACAATCCGAGAAGGATGTTTGACGTCTTTGAATCGGGGTTGATCTCTAGAGACCTCTCCCAGGCCATTCTCGCGTCATCCTTGTACCCAAGCTGCCAAAAGCAGCAGCCAATGCCAATTCTCGGATCGGGATCAACGAGATCTGGCATTCTCCTCAGAACATCCTGGTATGCGACGAGCGCTTCGCGGTGCTGGCCAAGCGAGAACATGGCTCTCGCCTTGCCGAGCAGTGCCAGCATGTTCTTGCCCTGCGAGACCTTGCTCGCCTGGTCGAAAGCCTTGATGGCATTCCGCAGTAGCTCGACCTTGTCCTGGTCTATCGCATCAGCACCAGACGACTTGGACGGGGCTTGCAGCGAAGCCTTGAGGAGGAGCAGAACACCACGCGCGAGAAACAGCGGCGGGAAGGCCGGGTTTATCCGCGAGGCCTCGTTCAGCGAGGCTGTCGCAACCTGAATATAGTAGTCCTTGGTCTTCTGGTCGTCGCCCTTGGCGATACGGGGCGCCTCACGGCTCTTCCATAGGTTCATCCAGCACAGGCAGGTGACAATGCTGAGCTTCTCCTTGGGATTGTTATCCTGCATTGAGCTGCTGCCGCGGTTGAGAATGTCAATGGCGTGGTCGACCTTTTTCTGCTTGGCGTACGCCATAGCGACCGTCATCCAGTATGTTCGCGCCGCGCGTTCGTTCTCGAAAAGGGTGCACAACTCGGTAGGGTCATCCATCAACGCTTCGAGGTCGATTTCGACAGCCTCATCCTCCTGGTCGCCTTGTACCGGGACATCGATGGCTGAAGGGATGTTGGAAAATCGTTTACTGGTCGGGTGGCCGTTCGCGGCGCCATTGGCGCGACCATTCTGAGAGGACGACATCGCGAGACAGGTTTAGAGTGATGGCTTGATGTCGAAAGGCCGCGGTTCGGTGTCAATGGAAGGGGCGAGATCGCGGCGGCAATCGGGCCTGCTGTCGTTGCTACCGTTCTGAGCAATGGCTAGGGGTGAGTAGCCGCGAGAGCTCCAGGGGTGCAGCTGTCACGACAAGCTCACGGGAGCATTTCTCGTGTCGACGTGTGGTGAGATGGAGTATGTGGGTGATGCGAGATTGTGGGTGATGCGAGATTGTGGGTTGCTGTTGGCTGGCGCCCTGCGCGTTGCCGAGACGTGTCGCGCGATGGAGGGAAACGGCGAGGTTTTGGGTAAGTGACACGCCTGGTATTAGTGGCCGCGCATCACGACAGTTAGCTGCGCGAGGCTGAACAAATTCTGGTGGACCTTGCAGGCACGCATGCGGCTCCGACAGACACAGTACGAGTATCGTTCCTCGTGTCCGGATACGCACGGCCCAAAGCATAACCCTGTGGTCCATTCACGATGACCAGCCTCTTCCACCACAGCTTCACTTTATTCTGTTTATTCTAAGGCTGGCATTCCAATATTGATAGCGAGCATTGTGCCCAACATTTGGCCTATGAACAAAGTCCTCACCAGTGTGGTTTCATAGGACAGTACTGCAGGTCGATTCCAGTCATGCACCTTCACGTGTTGCATCATGGAGACCGGCACATTGTTCCAGACATATCCATCGAAACAGCACAAATTCGTGCTTGAAGCAACTTCCTACGCTGCAGCTCTTCAAAACGATTATTTTGGTCAACGCAGTATATGTTCTAACAGCATTTCTGGTACGCTTGTGATGTCTCTACACAGGCATTCTACCTCCCTGCCCCCACCAGACCTACCCAGAAAACATGTAAATGACCTCCAAAACGCCTGATGGAAGCTCGAAGTCTGCCGACAAGAGTTTCTCGTTGAGTAAACGCATCCAATTCATTCATCATCATCTGCTCTATGCAGTAGGTTCGCTAACGGAGTAAAGAAGTGCCGTGCAGAGGGTATATGACGTGATTAAACATGCACACGCCTTATTTGGCGTGCTTTCGGAATGCGAGGAGTTCTGAGAGGCTGGCCAGCGGGCAGCCGTGCTTCAGGAAGTCATGCTGCAGCAGCTCATCCGCGGAAGCACGGCTCTTGACATCGACGCAAAGGCAGACGGACAGGAACGCCTTAAGCTCCTTGCTCAACTTCTCTGGCTTCTTAAGCCGCGGAGTACCGTTGGTGGCGATGAGGTACAGAGCCTTCAGGGGCTCCTCGTTCAGGTACGGCGGCTCAGACTCGATCATCTCAATAGCCATGATACCGAGTGACCAGATATCGACCTTTGGACCGTACTCTTTTTGCTTGACAACTTCAGGAGCCATCCAATAGGGAGTACCGACCATGGTGGCGCGCTTGGACTTGGTCTCAGTGAGCTTGGCGCAGAATCCGAAATCGGCTGTTCATTTTGTTAGCAACGGCATCTTACATTCAAGGCTTTGTCGAAACGTACTGATCTTGACATTTCCGCGGGCGTCAAGGAGGACATTGTCACTCTTGATGTCACGGTGAATGATGTTCTGCGAGTGCAGGTGCTGCAGTCCCTGGCATGTCTACATTGCGGTGCTGTCAGTCTGATGTCCCCGGCCAAAACTTGTGCGGACGGGGCAAAGCTTACCTCCAAGCAGATGGTTGAGATCTGCTCCTCGGTGATGACGGGGTTGTTGTCGATGACGTCTGTCAGAGCACCACCCTCCATGTACTCCATGACGACCCAGAGCTCGGCATTGTTATTGCGAAGGAAGGCGTCCAGGAAGTTTACTATGTTCGGATGCTTGCTATCCTTCATTACCATGATTTCGTTGACGATGAGCTCCTTGCGCGGCTGGTGGGCAAGATCCATCTGCTTGATCGCAACTTGAGCTCTGGCGCCCTGTTGCCGGAGGACCTCGCGAGCAACTGGAGAGGTCGCTCCCTCCTTGACCTTGGCTACATATACGGAGCCTGAAGCACCTTGACCAATCTTCTTCTGTTTGGCGTACGAGATGTTTGGATCCTCCTTCGAGACTGCCTCTATCAGCTTGGTCATTACCTCCTTCTCGGTCATTTGCGACATGCGGGCATCCTTGCTCTTATCGGACGGCGGCGGCTTGGCCGTGAGCGCAGCTTCGGCGGCCTTGATACCATCGTTCTGAGCAGGCAAAGGCTTCGCTGGCACGTTGAGCGGTTTGACAGTCGGCGGCATGCGCTGTGCTTGCGATTGTTGGGGCTGACCATTCGAGCGAGGCTGCGAGGAGCTGCTTGGGTTGGTAGGGTAGCGTTGCTGCTGTTGATCGTTGCGAGGCGGCATCCGTTGTCCAGACTGGTCACGAGGCACAGATGAGCTGCTGCCAGAGGACGGGGGCATATTAGGCCTGGCAGGTGAGCTGGACTGGCCACCGGGCGTCGGCGGTGCGGGACGCTGCGCCCGAAGGTTGTTGGCTTGTGAAGCGCCGACCTTGGGCGCTGGAGGAGCAGCACGGGTAGGATTGTACCGGTCGGAAGAAGCTGGCGCACCGCCGTATCCACCGCCAACTTCCTGTTGTGCCAAGGGAACCTTCTTCTTGGGCAGGGAAGCCTCGTAGGCCTCTTGCTCGCGCCGCTCCATCTCTCGCCGGTTCTGCTCTTCGATCTCGCGCTGTCGCTGCAATTCGAGCTGCCTCTTGCGCTGCTCTTCTCTCGCGGCATCGGCGGTGGAGTAGCCGGCGCCAAAGCCGTTCGAGCCATCAGGGGGTGTAGGCCTCCGTGGAGCCGAGCTTGAGGACTGAGGAGGCTGGTTGGGGAAACTGTTGTTGCGTTGCCCCGGAGGCATGGGACGAGGCGGCGCGACTGAGCTGCTCCCGGCGCCATAACCGAGCTGCTTGTTCTGAATGCTTCCTGGAGGAGGGGTAGGAGTAAGGCTGGGGTACTGTTGCGGGTTCTCTGCCCGCTTGGTCAGGTCAGAGTAGAAGTCCAGGACCTCGAAGACGGCCTGAGGGTTCCGCTCATAGTCTTCCTTTGTGATGGCGGACGAGTTCAGAAGCTTCGACCACTCAGGCGGCAGACCAACAAATTGACCTGTTGAAGGGTCGAAACCAACATGGACAGCGTGTGAGAAGTTGGTGGGGTTGCTCACACCACCCATGGTCGGGCAGCGGCCATAGATGAGATCGATCCAGTCGTACAGATCATCGTCGCTCTTGACCTTGATGTGTAGAGTTTTTGTGTTACCGTCGTCATCACCAGGGCTATTTGAGGAGCCGCCAGGCTGCCTCTTGATCTCGAAGATGGTTCCGGCCGACTCGACGCGCCCGACATTGACGACATCCTTGAGGTAGAGTGTGTACGAGACCTTGCCGCCTTCTGTCTTGTGGAAGTCGAGAGCCTCCTTACGGAGGATCAGATATTTTTGCTTCCAGGGCTGGATGAAGTTGCGACTCTCTTTGACCTGCGCCCAACCCTCCTTGATAATGGCCACACCGCCCATGCCATCGGTGGCATTGGACCTCTCGCGGGCGAGAGGGAGTGATATGGTGGAGCCGGTGTAGGTCGATGTTGCGGTCCGCGTGATCGGCGAGATGGTCATGTTCGCCATGCTGCCAGGCAGGTTTGTGTTTGGCGTGAGGTTGAGACGGGGACGGTCGCCAGGCGGCTTCGGGGCAGGGCCTGGGTTCATGAACTGCCCCGACGAGTACATGCTGCCATTGTTGGCCATGGTGGAAGTGGGGGAGGACGGCTCTTTAGAGCGCGGGCAGAAGTGGTGGCCGGAAGTCCCAGGGCGTGTCGCTGCTCACATCTGCAGCACTGATGATACACAGACCAGGCCGGGGGTTGCGTGAGGGAGAGGCGACAGAGCGGCGGCGAGCAGGTCGAAGGCTCGAAATGAGGGGGGTTGTGCTTTCGCAGGCTGTGTGGGCTCAGGGGCCAGTTGATGGAGACAAGCAACCTTGGAAAGGGAGGGGAGGGGGGTCCTCGCAGTGGCGGCGTGGAGAGCCGGACCCCAGCCAGCCAGCCCGGCCCAGCCCAGCAAGCAAGCAAGCACCACTCGGCGAAACAACCACTCAGCATCAACGTCCTCCCGCTCCTTGCCTGGCGCGCGCAAGCGAGGCGAACAGCCGGCCATATCCCATCCAATGACTACGAGCAAAACAAGTGGACAACAAGACTGCTGTCTCCCTTGTCCCGTCATACTGGTTGAGGATACTCGCCGATCACATTCGCCCGGACTGTCGTCCTCTCTGCACAAAACGCTGCCAGGAAGAGGGTAATCTATGCTTGACGAGCCGTGTTACTCCTTGGGACCTTGGAAGCCAGTGCCCCATCCCTTGACGACTGCACGGCCGCCACGAAGGAGTTGTCTACCACGGGGTTACTTCAACGAATCGTGTGTGGCGTCCACCAGTGTGGCTATTGGTTCCCTAATCTCAGAGATATGCCTCACGTCCGATAGCGCGTGAGCGCAACATGTCTCTACGCAGGTGGCAACTGTTGGGATGCATATGGGCTGGTGGTTGGGTATTGCGCGCACTGCCCTGTCGATCACGGAGTGTTTGGCTGTAAGCAATCCCCTAGGTGGCATTGGTTGGGTGCATGTGTTTCGATTCCATCTCCATGACCAGTCTCTCGTAGACACATGACCCATAACGCTCCTCGGCATGGACAGATCTTCTGGAAGTCTGGTCAGGATTCCTCCGCAGCAATGCTCATGTCGCCCCGACCGAATAACAGCATGCATGTCGCAACGTCGTGCAGAAGCCTGCTGGCTCCGTTGATGTTTCACGCATGGGGTTCATCCGCGTGTGTCGATACGGCGTGCTTCGCAGCTGCCAAGTACGGCAAACCTACCTCAAGGTACGCTTAGGAATGCGTGCGGCCCCTGCCAGCCTTGTGCGTTCGTTGTAATTACAGCAAAGAAGCATCCACTTCTCTCGAGGCCATCTGCCATGTTCTCTCGCCCGGGCACACCTCGCCCCTTCATAACAGGCCTCTTTCTTCACCACGGTTCAAACGGACCAAGCCAGCGTCCAACAGCCTTCCGGGCAAGGATGGAAAAGACAATGGCGGCACGGGAGCGGGCTAGCCAGGCGCCGTGTGGGGTCGCCTGAAGCATCAGCAGGGATACACGTGCGATTCCCAAGGGTTGGTCAGCCAGCGATGTCACAGCAAGGTAGCGGCGGCGACATTACTGTACTCTTGCGCATCCACTGTTGGGTTGTCATTATAACCAGGTAGCGTACTCAGCACCCACGGCAGCTGGATTCCCTGCTGATCCCTGCGCCGGGCCCAGGAGTAATTAAGGCCGGGCGTTGTTGGGGGCAGTCTTTGGCCGGACCGCAGCACCGTCCGCCTGCAAGCCGGCGCAGGGCCCGGAGATGAGAGGTGCCTGGACGACCCCACTGGACTGGGCACCACACCGGCGGGAACGGCCGCAGGTCGAGGCGTGGAACCGCTCGTCGGTGGCCTTAGGACTGCATGAAGCAGCCCGGCGGGTTTTCGACGATCCGCCGCTTGGCTGCGAGCTAGCCGCCCCTAGGTGTGTTTTAGCACGGACGAGGCGACGGGCTTAAAAGATCAGCACCCCTGAAAGGCTGATGGCCAAACTCTGAAGGCTGTGGTGACAGCCGCTGTGGGTGTCATCTCTGCGGCTCGGAGCCCAAGGGGCACAACACAGACGTGTGTGGGAGGAGGCATCGTCCCCTGATCTCCACCGCACATCTGTTCTGTTTCATCGTTCTACAGCATCTCGGGCCTGCATCGTTTCGCAAACCACGTTGCACCCTGGCTAGCATCGACACCGCCACAAGTCTTGGGCGATTCGCGCCTTCACACAAGTCCCGCTGTTGACACGCCTGTCCCTGCATGGGTTTCAACACCACAACCCCACGACCCTACAGCGGCTAAGTCGACGAGTTTCAGATTCTCGGCTTCGCTCCCACCTAGACTGCCCCACCTGTTCTAGGGATTAAATCGCCTGATGCCCCAGAAGGAAGGCAACATGCAGAAGCCACTCTTCCGCTCGTCATGAAACAACGACGTCACGAGCGTGTCCATCTTTAGGTCACCAGCTCTTGGCGTTGTCTCGATCGACTGCCAATCGCTATATGCATGTTATTTGGCAACAACACATAAACACATATCATGGAAATACATGATCGCGGTCAATGGCTTATCTTGACGTGCCCATCAGGAACTCATCATTCGAGAAGCCAGGCTTTTGGTGGAGATATTCTCCACGTCCGACGGGGGTATTTCTCTGGCTTCTGCCTGAGCCTACGATATCACATGTAAATGATGTGCAATGAATGAGCGATGTAAACACCCGTGACTATTCGTCTTTTGTAATCGTCTTTTATTGCTTGTTCTATCTTGACAATATCTTAGCGAGACGCGACCTCAATCTCCTGGCCCTCGAAAGCGGGCAGCTCGGCCTCAATATCCTTCCACTCCTTCTCGCCGTCGGCAAGTGACTTGATAGCGGCGATGATCTTGTCCTCATCAGCGCGGACCTGCTTCGTCGAGTCACGGTCTCTGAGTGTCAGCGTGCTGTCCTGCAGGGTCTGGAAGTCGATAGTGATGCCGAGTGGAGTGCCCAGCTCGTCGTTGCGGCTGTACCGCTTGCCGATGGTCGCGGACGAGTCATCGATGCGGCTCGACACGCCTGCCTTGCGGAGCTTCAAAGAGAGCTTCTGGCAAATGGGTGTGAATTTGTCGTTGGAAGACAGGGGCACGATCAGAACCTTTGTAGGGGCAACTGTGGGAGGGAAGGACAGGACCTAGAGATTGTATTGTTTAGCCATCAGTTCCAACGCGGGTAGATGTCTGCTGAATGGGAGAGCACTTACCAGGCGCGCCTCGTCGCCACCCTCGCTGCCGCGAGTCCAGAAGCAGTGCTCCATGAGAGAGTACAGGATTCTCCCAATGCCAAAAGATGGCTCGATGACGTTCGGAGTGAACTCCCGGACGTTTTCCGTCCGCGTCCGTCTCTCAATCACGATGAGCTCCTTGGGGATTTCGACCTTGCCCTCGCCAACGCCGGCAACCTCTAGAATGATGCTGCCCTTCTCGTTGAGCTCCTTGGCGAGCGACTCCCTCTGCTCCTGGGTCGTAGCCTCGACAGCCGCCTCGACTGTCCTGCCGTCCTTCTTGAAGTGAGGGCCAAACTTCTTCTTGTTCAGGTCCACCTGCCACTCCTCAATGACGAGCGGCTCTGGGAGTCTCTGGCGCACGATCAGTGGCGAGCCAGTCTTCTTGGCGTGGACGCTCAGATCGTAAGCGCTGCGGTCGGCGCAGCCAACACACTCGATCCAGCCGTATGAGGTGAAAAGCTCAGCATCCCAGCAATCAGCAGCGTAGTGGGCCATCTCGTTGGCCATGTGCTGTCTGAAGCGGATCTTGGATTGATCAACACCAATCTTCTTCAAGAAGAGGTGGATGCGGGCCAGGAAGTAGCCCAGCGTCTCATTGTCGACAGTGCCGTCCTCGACGGCCTTGCCAATCGCGACCCTCTGGATGTCGGTCTTGCCAGAGAGCTGAGTCTCGCGGTTTAGCAAAACAAGCTCGATATCCTTGACCTCGGAGAAGCGGGGGTGCTTCTTGCCACCCTCGGGATCGACAAAATGCTCAATCTCGGCCATGAGGAACTCGCGGACACGGAGCAAGCCAGATCGAGGGGAGATTTCGTTTCTGTAGGACTTGCCAATGGACGCGGAGGCGAAAGGCATCTGCTGCTGGTTGAACTCGAGAAGCTTGGCAAAGTTGAGAAACTGACCCTGGGCCGTCTCGGGTCTCAGGTAGCCAGGCAGGTTGCTACTGGGGCCGATGGCAGTCTGGAACATAAGGTTGAAGGCGACAGGAGGCGAAGGCTGGACACCGGTAGCCGGGTTCTTGAGGTCGTACTTCTTGATGAGCTCGCCGAGTTCGGTTCCGTTGTAGTTGTCGATCTTGGCGAGGATCTCCTCGTACTCTTGCACAACGGCGTCGTCGAGCTTGATGGCCTCGATGGCGCCCTTGATCTTCTTCTTCTTCTTCTTGGGATCCTCCTCCTTCTCCTCAACCTTCTGGCCACGAGCCTCCTTGTCGCCCTTGAGGCGGGACTCGAGGATCTCCTCGACAAAGTGATCGGCACGGATGATGTCGCCATTCTTGGGGTCCTTGCACATCCAATCGGCGAACTTGTCGACGTGGCCACTAGTCTTGAGGACTTCGTGGGGGGTGAGGACACTGCAGTCGACCTCGAGCATGTCCTCCTCGAGAACAAAGTGCTTGCGCCAGGCGTCGATGACATTAGCCTGAAGGGAACAGCCGGGCGGGCCGTAGTCGTAGAGACCGGCGACACCACCGTAGATCTCAAAGGACGGGGTGTAAAACATGCGCCGCCGGAGCATGGAGTCGAGGGCGGCCCGGTCGAGGGGCTTGCCCTTGAGGGTGGTCGCTTCGCTGGTCATGATGGGCTTCTTTGACGACGACGACCGTGGGGGAGGCTGGATTCTGGAGAGTGGACGCGAGGTCACAAAGTACTGTGATCGCACGCGAGCAGTCGGAGCGGCAAGATTGACGGGCAACCTGATGACACGAGGCGCGAACGGCCTTTTCACAACAAGGTGAGGGAGCTTCATTCACACAAAAGGTGGGGGAGGGGGAGTGACAAAAATGAGTCAAGGTCCACCCGTCGAGGGGCAGTTGCGGCTTCCAATCGGAGCGGGTGTGCCTGCAGGTACTCGTCCGAATGGGGAGAATGGCAGAGGGACCGCTGTGCGACAGCTAGCTCAAGCAGAGAGGGCTGGGCTGGGCTGGGCCCCTAGCCAAGGCGGTGGTACCGTACGTAGTTATCGCAGTCGGCCACGGCCGCAGAAATCGGTGGGCGGACCAGGCTCTTCCGCTGTGTCAGTCCTGTGTGCTTGGGATTGTGAGGGCGGCCGCCCGAGTGCGGAGGGAACCTCTCTGGGCGTGAGATTGGTTTGACTCACACCTGCTCTTGCTGCGCAGGACACGGCCGGTCCGATAAACACTCAAGTAGGTAGACTTGGCAAGTGACTGCTGCCACACAAGTACGAAACCACAGTCTTTTTCCGGCAGAGCAAGAACATGCAAGAGAGAATACGTGGTTTGGAGATCCTGGGTCTTGAAGGCTGGGGTTGGGCCACGATACCTGCAGGGCGCTAGAGCCAATCATTCCTTGGGCCCGCTGGGATGGGTTCGGGGCTGCAAGCTCCACTAAAATTTTCTACAATCGCAATCGCAAGTGACCCTGGAGAATGCTGCACCGGCTTTCCTACCTACAATCAAGACTCTCATCCGCGACAACTGCCTCCTGTGTATATCGATCTGGGTGCTGCCTACTGCAGTGTATCTCGTCACAATCTCCAGAGCGCACAACTCCCCCCCAGATAGCAAGCGAACAACCACTCTTTGACAGGTGATTGACCTCAGCGGTCTCGCCAAACACCATGGGCTCAGACTCCATCGTCAAGCGGGCGCCCAACAAGGTCCGCCGCCAGGAGCTTCACGTCAGACACAAGAGACAGAATGAAAAGGACAAGCGCGAGGCCCGCTTCCGGCGGAAGAAGGAGGAGGCCAGGGATCCTGAGCTCCGCCGAGCTCGTGTCGCCAAGAACGTACCGGCTTCAATCGACAAGAAGCGAGTCTGGGACGATGTCGACGACGACAGCCTCGGAGCCAATGTCGACATGGCACAGCTCATGAAGAAGCGGCGGCTACAACAAGAGGAGGCCGAGGAGCGGGCGGCTGCAGGTCTCGGAGAAGAGGACGACGAGGCTGAGGCCCAAGATGACGAGGACGAGGAGAATGATAGCATGCTGGGCTCAGATGAGGACGACGACGACGGCGAAGAGGATGAGGAGCTCGCCGCCAAAGTACGAGCGAAGCAAGCAATGCGGGAAGATAGCACCGCCGCGTCGACGACATCCACCAACCTCGACATCACACCCGACGCGCTCGTCGCCCGTTTCCCGACGCTCTTCTCAGACGACCGGCCCGCCGAGCCCAAGATTCTTGTCACCACAAACCTCAACTCGACTCTCCACGACGAGGCCCATCTCTTGTGCACATTGTTCCCGAATTCACAGTACATTCCCAGGTCGGCGCACAAGTACGCCCACAAGTACTCTGTCCGGGAAATCAGCAAGTTCGCCAGCAACAGAGGCTACACTGCGGTCATCGTGCTGCGCGAGGACCAGAAGAAGCCAATTGGCTTGGACATAATGTAAGACTATGCTGCCATTTCGTGTCCTCCCGCGTCAGACATCACTTGCTAAACCTACAATGCAGACATCTGCCTGCTGGCCCGACCCTCCAACTTAGCATCAACACGTGGATTCCCGGCAAGAAGCTGCCAGGACACGGCAACCCCACCAACCACTATGTACGTAACCACCGACCAACCAGACACCCCCTTAGCCACTCGACTCGCATCACGAGCTAACAAGACTTCCTTTAGCCCGAACTCCTCCTGAACAACTTCCGCACGCCACTCGGTGTGCTGACCGCCAAGTCCTTCCAGAACCTCTGGCCGCACAACCCGGAGTTCCAGGGCCGGCAGGTCGTCACCCTGCACAACCAGCGCGACTACATCTTCCTCCGGCGGCACCGCTACGTGTTCCGCGACAAGCGGGCGACCGAGAAGAGCGTCGTCGGCGCCGACGGCAAGGAGCTCAAGGGCGTCGAGGACATCCGCGCAGGGCTGCAGGAGCTGGGGCCCCGCGCCACGCTGAAGCTGCGCCGGATCTACAAGGGCATCGGGCGCGCGGGCAGCGAGGGCGAGGACGCCGTGCAGTGGGAGTGGAAGGCCAAGATGGAGAAGGTCCGCACGAGATTCAACTTGTAGACAAAGAGAGAGAGAGAGAGAAAGACACACCCACACACATTCCTGGCCCTGCTGGCCTTCGGACTCTCCACTGCTCAGACCCTCTGGATCTTTGTTTGGCGAGCTGAACCTTTTGTACGACTTGAAGCCTAGTGACTACCGTGTTTATGACGTGGGTGTAAAATGAATTCACTGTTTCGGCGAAGTTCTGAACAAAGACAAGAAGATTCGGCAGTCTACCTAGCACGAGACGCAGGGGATGCACATCTCGGACGGGAACGCCACGCAACATCGTGTGCATCGGACAGGGACCATATCAGCAGACTGATGGATGTACCGTTGTTGTTGCCCAGGATATTCATTCACTCGAAGATAAAACAGCTCCAGTTTATATCTATCAGGTATGCGCTCCATCGCCCGCGGAGCATATATACAACACTGAGCGAGATCGGTCTCGTGAATTATAGCAGGTCTAGGCTCAAATAGGCCAGGAGGTGATGGTGATTGTGATGACCAACAACCAACATCGAGAACGCTCGAAGCGACTGGTCCAAAAGATTACTTCCTCGATGGCTTTTCGTTCATTGTACAACTGCATGGTAATTCAGGCTTGTGAACAAACGCATTTCTAGTAAGTCGACGGGGGACTATAAGGATGATTTGTGTAGGACTGAGAATTGGAGGACGATTGAGTCCACGAGCCATCATTAGTAGGCACGGGGCTCGTGGACGGATGGCCGCGCGTGTCACCTGCATACTGAGTGTGAGGGCTACCGTATGGAGGTTGCCCATGCGGAGGATAATGAGGGTTTTGGTATGCCCCGTTGGCACCTGCAGGCGCATAATCCTGATAGCCAGTGGTATTGTTATTGTGGTATGCCATGTCGCCCCCGAGCTCGGAGAGCAGAGGTTGCTCGGTTGCTGCCGGGTTCCCTGGCGGGCGCCACGGTGTCGCGCCCAGCTCGACGGCGTCTGTCTGCTTGTTATCGTTTGCCCATTCCGAGGGCGCCGGCGTTGATGACGAGAAGGCGCTTGATCCTGGAGGATGCCAGGAGCGATGATCCTGATCTGACGAGGACAGTGGCATGGGACCCTGTCTCCGCCGCGAATAAGCCCATATAAACCACGCTGCCAGTGCAAGTGCAATTGCGCCAAACCCAACGCCCACCCCTATGCCGATTTTCGCGCCCGTAGACAGAGCATCGTCGGAGCTGGCTGGGCTCGCAGGCGACGAAGTCGTCGGAGAGGCGCTACTGCTTGCTGTGGAAGCACTCGTCGAGGTGGCAGCAGTGGGAGTCGTCGAGGAAGTTGTCGCAGTTGCCGCCGCAGCAGCAGCCATGAAGGCATCTTGGGAGACGGCGAGAGTCACGCCCGTGCCCTGACAATTGGAGACGAGGGTGGCATAGACGGTGTTGAGGTCGCCGGGGCTGTCTTTGGCGACGCACGAGGCCGTGTTGTAGACGAAGTTGCCCTTATTGGTGCACAGGCACTGGTTCAGCTCGGCGCCCGTGCTGCCAGTACACGCAGCGCTGTCTGCCGCGCTGTAGAGACAGGCCTGCGACCCCTGAGGGTATGCGCTGAAGTCATTTTTGAGGGCGGCGGCGAGATCGAGGGGAAAGAGGGCGACGGCGACGGCGACGGCGTCAAGCGCCAAGAAACGGGTACGGGGGAGCCCCTGGCCGAGGAAGGATCTCATCGTGGGGAAGCCGATCGGGGGTGGATGCGTGGCGTCAGCACGGCAATGTCGCGCATGGCAACCTGGGGTTGCATTGGGTGTCTTGAGCGTGCTGATCGATGCGCGGGTCAGTGCACCGAGGACTTGGTTATGCTCAACGATGTAGTTGCGGTTGCGGGAAGGCTGGGAAACGAAACGACGGCGGTGGCGTGTGCGAAACGAGCGGCAGCCGGTCTGTGAGGCGGAGGAGACCAAAGAAATGGGAGGAGGGTATCAGGAGGAGAGGAAGAGGTCGGGAACGCGGTAGTCCTCGATCCTGGATACGAGTAGGGGAAGGTGAGGGACAGGCTCTCTCTCACGGGCGGTTGGTTCTCAAGTCGTCTAGAGTAATTACTGGCTGGCCGCATTCGTCCGCACTCATCCATCCACCCAGCAGCAACACAAACCAGCTAAGACTCAACCCTGGCAGGCACACTGTTCCTCTGCTCACAACGGCACACACTCGAGTCTTCCCTCCCCCCTCCCCTGCCCCGTCATTGCACAATCCAGTGGCTTGGCAGATCTTGAATAGCCCTAAACTTAAGTGTCGGATCTTCGCAGCGCATGGTCAGAACTAAGGAAGTCCGGCGTGGGGCCCAGCTCGAGGTGCTGTCGTCATCGCTAAACATAGCAAATACTATACCCGCCCTTCCCCCTCGCTACTCCATCGTCAAGAAATGGCAGCAGTGCGTGCCATCTCAACACCGTTATTGGTCACCCAAAAGGTGTGATTTCCTCCTGGCTCAGGTTCCGAACTCGGGCAGCTACGACAAGGCGTTACTCGGGCTTGGCCGTATCTCGAAGACTGGCTTCCGCATGGCTACTTGTTATGCCGGCGACTGGGGAATCTCTTGCTCTGCTCGATAGTTGCGTCTTGCCAGTTGGCCTGTCCAAGCGGGCATAGAGACACAAAAAAAAAACATGATGCCCGCGGAGCCATGGCACAACAAGAATAGGGAGATTGTCTTCAACGACAGCCGCCACATTGAACTGGCCCGCCGACGAGTTGCCCCTGCGCAAAACCAAAAAAAGAAATGCCCACAGGCTGGATTGAACAACCGACCTTTGCATATCATCGGGACTGGGGACCAGTCTTCCGCATGAGTGTATTAGGTAATACAAGTGCAACGCACTACCACTGTGCTATGCGGGCGAATGGGGAGATGTGTCTCAACATTTCTTGTTGCCAGTCGCTGGCTTATTGGTGTATATAAGGGATCAGGAGTTTTGGTGCAAGAAACCCCATCTGGTCGACATAACCACCACTCTGATACTGCTTAGAATTGTTCACACTTGTCTCAGGCAGGCTCACGCACGACGACACAACATCACGCATACTCGATGCACCATAAAAAGGGAGTGTCATCCTCATCAGAAGTGCCCAAAGTGAACTGACATCAATCCCAATATGCACGCTACATACCCCCTCATCGGCATGATCCAAAGAGCGGAAACCCAAGACACAAACGCCAATCGCCGTTGCTAAGATCATCTCGTTTCCTTCGTTCTATGCCAACGCGCCAAAAACACACACAAAGTGTCCCTCATCTGCCCTCATCGCATGACACTCTGGTCAGGCCTTTGTCATGCACGGCGGCGCCTGAGGACAATGTAGAAATCCGTCACAAAAATGTTTCTTTGGCTAATCAAGAATTCGGCTTCTGGCTAAGACCTATGCAGTTCGTACGAAAGAAGACGTCATGCGTGAGTGTGTAGTAGTAAATGTAATGCGGTCATGAAAACGGCAGTAGTCGTCTACTGCGCGAGAGGCGAGGTAGGCTCATTCGCACTACCGGCCACGGGTTTCGTTGAGCTGCGCTCCGATGGCGACATCTGTTGGCTCTCCTCGACTGCCTCATTGGAGACCATGCTCTGCGGCGTGAGATGAGCTCCGGCGAGGGCAGCCTGTCTCTGCTCCTCAGTGAGGAGGTGGCCAAGACCTTGCTCCAGACAGAGCCGCGCGTAGTCGGGCTCCTCTGGCGTGACTGCAATCAGTCCACCACGCCTTGGCACACGGCGCTCGGGAGGCGGGTCGTGGCTGAGCTTGTAGCTTTTCGGCCGATCTTCGCCGGCGAACTGCCCATTGACATAGTACTTCCATCGCGGCGCAAAGTAGCCCCGGCTGCTGGCATCGGGGTCCTGCTTCCACTTCGCAGGTGTAGCGCCCCAGGTGTTGAGCGCGGACTCGGTCTCGGGAAGCTCGCGGTAGTCTATCGAGATCTTGACATCCTGGAGGTGAGGAAAGTTGGGGACCATGAACAGAAAGTCAGAAGCTTTGACAAACCATAGGTCCATGTCAAAGAACAGCTTGGCGGCGTCGCCACGCAGCTTCTCGAGCTGCTTGTAGCCCATCTGGAGCGGATTCCCCTCAAAGTAGTCAGGAAGTTGCATGCCAAGTCCGTACAGCTTACCCTGTGTCAGGGCGTAACGCTCGTTCTCAAGCCTCCAGATGACTTTCTTCGCAATGTTGGAGGCCTTGACTTTCTCCCATGCGGTGTCTGACATCAAGGTTAGCAGTGTGATGGGGACGCATGCTGGTTTGCCGGGACAACTTACATCGTGAGAGCGACAGATCCTTGTCGCCCAGCAGAAGCGCGACCTGGGTGTTGAGAAGCCACTGCTCCCGACCGGCTGCTGTGCCAGTCGCTTCTGGGTTGATCGTGTCGTAGCGGACACCTTGTGCCATGGCGAAAAGTTCTGCATACTGTCGCTGCTTTGGATCCGGGCATGTGTCGAGCCAGCGCAGGACGGGAGGGAGTTTGGACAGCCGGGCGCGTTCCTGCTCCTGACGGATGCGCTGAAGCTCGGCTTCCCTCTCAGCTTCGCGTGCAGCCCGTTTCCGCTCGCGCTCTTTCCGTTCCTCTTCCTCGCGAAGCTTGCGGGCTTCCTCGGCCGCCTCACGCTCGCGACGGATTCTGGCTTCTTCCTCGCGCCGTTTCTCCTCCTCAGCGGCCTCTCGCAGCTTCTTTGCTTCCTCTTCCTGCTTTCGCTGCTCTTCCTTTCGCTTGCGCTCAGCCTCTTCCTTCTCCTGCCGCTCGCGCTCTTCACGCTGGAGACGCTCCTTTTCGACACGGGCCTTTTCCTCTTCCTCGAGGCGCTTCTTTTCTGCCGCTTCCTGCTCCTTCTGTCGGCGTCGTTCTTCTTCCGCCGCCGCCGCTGCACGTTTCCGTTCCTCTTCCTCGGCCTGCTTCTTCGCAGCCTCATCTTGTTGCCGCTTCTCTTCTGCAGCACGCTCTTTCTCCAGCTCTTCGCGTCTCCGGGCCTCCTCCTGTTCCTCGCGCCGCTTCCGCTCCTCATCCCTCTTCTCCTGCTCAGCGATCTCGGCCTGCCGCTTCTTCATGGTCTCTTTCTTTGCAGTTTCCTTGGCTTGAAGGTCGTCGGTGATCTCGCCTTCGGACATGTGAGCGTCGCGCATCTCGATTTCAGGCACATCTGACGCAACAGTTATGCTGCCGCGCTCTGACGTCGTCGACTTGACGGAGAGTGCTCGTTCCCGGTTCACCTTTTGCACCTTGTCTTTGCGCTCGGGCTCTTCAATTCGAGGACGTTTGTGGTTCTCTGGAGATGTCTCCCGTTTCTTCTTCCGTCCGTCGGGAGATGCGCCTGCCACGTGTCGAGGTTCCCGGTTATCGGCATCAAGCCGCCTCCTCTTAGAGGGCGCTTCACCGTCATCCTTCTCGCTTGTGCCGTGACGTGGCGGAGTAACACTGGCACGATGGCGTTTGCCGTTACCCTCGCCGCCTGAGTGACGGTCCCTCGAGTCATCGCGCTTGAGAGCCTTGGTACGATCGTGGTATTTTTCGGATGGACGCTCTGCGCGTGGCTTTTCGTGAGCATCGTCAGCCTTGACGTCACCTCTGTCGTTGGAAGCCGTGGATGCCATGCTCGACCGGCGTTGTCTATCACGTTGGCCTTTCAAGTCGCGCCCAGAAATGAGCTTACGGCGCGGCTTAAATGCCTCGCCATCAGATGAACCAGCGGCGAGATCTGACTCTGCCCGTTTCGGTTTCGGTGCTGGAATCTTTGATCCGCCGGGAGTCGACTCTCGATCTGAATTCGTGTTGACTATTACCTCGTCTTTCTTTGGTCGCGCAGAGGCGCGCTTTGGTGAGGATGGTTCTTCTTGATGACCAGATATGTCGGCACGGCGCTTCTCTTTGGGACTGCCGACCAACTTGGCCGACTGGACCTTCTTTTTCGGCTCCCCCTCTCGACTAACACTTGACGGGCGTCGTTTGGGAGGCCGAGATGTTTCTGGGCTGGATTCTTTCCGGGTCATCCTTTTGGGCTCGCCCTCAGCTTCGCGTTCTCGCCGATTGCTTGAGCTTGCCTTCTTCCCCAGACCTTTCGCTTTGCGGTACTCATCATATGCATTTTTCAGCATGTGCTCTTCTTCCTTCCACAAGGGTCCTTCGCGGCGCCTTGCGATCTCGTGATAGCACTCTCCTTTAAATCGGCGTGTGGGATCAAAACCACTTTGGTTGAGTAGCAATTTGATGACTTTGGCATTTTCCTGGCCGATCGCTGCCAGCATCGGGGTGCTGTATTGCGGAGGCAGGCCCTTCACAGGTGCCGGGTCAGGGTTAGCGCCACCCAACGCCAGAAGGAGCTCCATAACCACGTTGTGCCCACCACGCGCTGCACCAACCAAGGCTTCTGGGTCATCGCAGCCTTCCCTGACTTGAAGTACGCGCGTAACAGTCTCTTCATCACCTCGGGCGGCGGCGTGCCGGAGCGTCTTCTCATCCAAGTTCATATACAATAGATGATTACTGGTTTTTGTTGACCGCATGGTTCCGCCTCGTCGTTGAGCTGCTGCCGAGGCCTGAGGAGAACGACGGGGACTGTCCGGCCCTTGAGAGGACACCGTATCGAGGTCTTGAGGTTGCCGGTCCTCTGATGGCCGTAAATCTGCGGACTTTTCCTTGGCCTCACGCAACACAGCGCGGATCTCTTCGGCGTTATCCAAGTCATCCGGCACCTTCTCCAGTGGCTCGTGACCCTCCGCATCGGCCTTTCTGGGGTTGACACCAGCATCTAGCAGTAGCTTGACCACTTCTAGGTGGCCATTTTCGACTGCGTCCAGCAACGGAGTTTCCTTGTCACTGTTGCGGCAGTCAATGTTGCAGCCGGCCTCGATGAGTAGCTTGACGATATCTTCGTGGCCATTCAGCGCTGCCACTTGAAGTGGGGTGTTGCCTGCGTAGTCTGCAAAATCCAGATCCTCCGGTCGCTCGCCAAGCCGCCGTTTAGCCACTTCGTACTCGCCCTTTGCGCAAGCTTTAGCAAACTGTGTTTGCCCGTGGTTGTCGACGTGTCGTTTGTGTCCGGTTCTTGTGGCTGGGGACATGGTAGAATCTGCTGTCAAAGGAGTAGCCAGCCGTCGCACCTTTGAGTTCCGTGGATGAGAACTGGCGCTCGCGGACGAGTCATCAGAATGATATTCGGTGGCCTGTAATGGCGCCGGCAAGCGGCGTTTTTTGGAGACAAGCCCATTGGAGGATTGCGAAGGGAGCTGTGTCGAAAGACTTCGTCGATGAGGCCGACCATGCGGCGAGCTGGACCGATCTCGGGTTGCGTTGGCCGTCTTGTCCCCTTGGTGATACTTGGCGGATACGGAACGCTGATCACGATCCTTGGGTGTCACAGAGTCAGGGTGTGCATCTGACACACGAGGACGCCTTATTTTTTTGGGCTCTTCGTCATCAGACTCTACCTTGGCTGATTTCCTCTTAGTGGGGAAGTTCTTGTCCCCATTCCTGACCCTCTCCCGATTCAACCCACTGCTCAGTGCTCGAGCTCTAGGTGGCCCCTCGGATCCTGATTCGGATCGAGCATCTCCTGAACGGCGACGGCGATGAGGCGGTGGTGAGGCTGGTACCGAGCTCAGGCCGCTGGAGATGTCCTTGTTTCGTTGCTGCTTCTCGCGATCCTGGGGGCGTTTCTTTCCGGCAGTCAGAGCTGTCCGTCGACGCTCCTCTTCTTCTCCGCGAGTAGTGCCGTTGCGTGCAGCATCAGGGCCTGACTTGAGCGGTTTCCGAGGGGCGGCTTGGACGTCCGCAACTTCGCCATCGCTCTTGTCCTCGTGCTTGATGAACTTGCCCTGACGTGGCTTGGATGGAGAGATGCCATCTTTGCCAGCAAGCACTATGGTCTCAGCATCGGAGTTTTGATCATGCCAGGAATCCACATCTGCCGGGGGCGATGCGCCATTGCTTGTCGTCGTGGCCTTGGGCTCTGGGGAGATGCGACCGTTCACTAGGGTGCTGGCGTTGTTGATGGCAGCAGCTGCGTGAGACGCCGCCTTGGAGTCAGCGGGATTCTCCGCGCGCCGCGACGGGGAGGTCGCCTGCCCAGTGGTTGCGGACTCGACAGCATTCTGCGCATCCATAGCAATCGATTCAACAACCAAGCCCTGCCGCAGTGCACATGGTCGCCACGCTGCGAGAGGTGTGGCGAAGTGATCGAGCTCCAGGCAGTCTGGCCAGTAAACCGGTCGCGCCAGCCGGGTTCGCGTCAAGTGATGTGTGTGGGTAAATGATTGCGAGTCCTAGTAAGGTTGAACGTTCGAAAACTCTCGATGGCCGGTGTCGTGACAATCTGGGGAGGTTGTTGGTTTGGTGTTGTTGTGTATCCGGCTGCGGGCGTTGCAGGTCGTGATCGGAGCGCGTCTGCGCTGTGAGAAGCAGGGTCTGGAGGTTATTCGCGACAGAAATCGATGGCCGCAGAAAAGTTGGCTAGATGCCGTGCTGGCGACGGGAGGAGAAAATGGATGCAGTAAGCCCGCGTGAAAGGCCAGAATGAGGGTGAGGGAGTGCAGGTGCAGGTGTGTGAGGGTGCGAGTGTTTGGGTGGTGCGGGAGACGGCGAGGTGAATTGAAGATGGGCCCAAGCGGCGGCCGTGGTGCGCAGCCAGAGCTGCTGTCCATGGAGGCAAAAGTGGCACCAGCAGGAAAGCACGCTTGGAGGACCCCTGCTGTGAGGAGGCTGCCTTGCACGCTCTGCTGCCCCTACCCGGGAGCACAAGGGGAGGCCCCCCCTGGGTGCCGGCATCAGTCACCACCCGCATATTAGCGTCCTGGCCTTGCTGCAGCCGTTGAGAGACACGGCGGGCCGGAACAAAACAACACATCGTCGTCCAGCCTCTTTCGCGCACGCCACAGGAGCATCATTCCCGCAGGCATTAGGAGGAGTTGCCCGGGTGCTCGACACGCCGCATTGACTGGATCTCCGTGGTGAAACGGAGGCACATCTTGGTCGAAGACTCTGACCCTGCACGAGCAGGGAGCCATCGCCCACCTGGACCTAGTGGATACAGTAGTGAGATTGGCTGATCACCGCCAGCTGCGCTCGTGATTCGCTCGCCGCGTAGGCCCTCGAGCCAAGACAGTCAAGCCTGGCCAATTGCTCCCCTGCCTGCCTTGCCATCGACTCCACCACGGCCACAACGGCTGTCGACACAAGTGACGCGGGGACGCGCCTCGACATCCTCAACCACAAGAGACCATCACAGCCTCGCTTAGCCGGCCCTGGAGCTTGCGGTGATTCGACAGCTGCTGTTCTGCTGCCGGCTCCATCTCCTTGGTTTCAGTTGCTTCCATCTTTGTATCTCCGCAGGCATTACTAGATCACGAAATGGCAGCGTACACCGGCATGGATAACGGATCCCCAGCACTGCCACGGTCTCTCGAGGATGTTCGGATCACCGGCCTTCCACCAGTCGCCTTCTACATTTCTGATTTCATTACCGCAGAAGAAGAGAAAATCTTGCTGGCAAAGGTGCGAATTCGTCGTCCTTCTCGCCCGCTGCGTTTGCTGGGACTGACGTCCCCGTCCGCAAGATCGCTGCTGCCCCAAAACCACGCTGGAAGCAGCTCACACATCGAAGACTCCAGACATGGCCGTCAGATCTTGTCAATAACAAACTTGTTGACGCACCACTGCCAGTGTGGCTTCAAGAGCCTGTAATTTCAAGACTCAAGTCCATTCCCATCTCTCGAGACCAGGCATCGTCTCATGTCTTCTGTGACAGCCCTCACGGTGCCCCGAACCATGTCCTGGTCAATGAATATCCTCCGGGAATAGGCATCATGCCACACAAGGTAAGCGCCATTATTGCCTGCTTGCTCTATGTTGTCGACTTTCTCACCCACACGGGCGTAGGACGGGTCCGCGTATCATCCGGTCGTCTGCACGGTCAGTCTTGGCGGCAGCCTGTGCTTGAACATTCACAAGACCAAAGTGGACGGCACGCTAGACACGGAACCAATATGGAGGATCTTGCAAGAGCCCAGGAGTCTCCTCATCACATCTGCCGACTTGTACACCGAGTATCTACACGGCATTGCAGACATTGCCGAAGACATCGGCCTGTCTGAGCACAGCATCGCCAACTGGGGTCTTCTTCGTGATTCGGCAAGCTTTGCAGAGGGCCGCAGTCAACGCTTGACCCGAACAAGTTTGACATATCGCGATGTCATGTCTGTAGCGAGGCTGGGGAACAAGTTTTCGTTCCTGCAGAAAAGATGAGGTCAACATGAGAAGCCGGCTAGTACACCAAGGGAATCATCCTCCACTTTCCCCGCACCTTGTCCGCGCCAAATTTCTCTTCGTACCATTGCTTGGTACCAGCTGCAGTTGCGCCTAAGTTGATGGCAACAAACATAGCCGCACATAGCAATGTGCGGTTGATTGGCTTGCCTGCTGGTGCAGCAACGATGGCCAAAGCCAGGTATAAACAGCATTCGCAAGTGTAGTGCGGAGACACTATGAAGCGGAACAAGCCCCGATCCGGGAGCGAGTATTTCTTGAGAGTGGACAAGTACACATGACATCTGTTCTGCGACAACCACGCCACAAAGAATGCGAGTGTCCCGAGCACAGTCTTGAACGTCGGCATCTCGAGATCCGCGATTTGGTGACGAGAGTGCAGTATCGCTCCTGTGGGGAAACCTTTCAGTATCACAAAGATATTGTGCCCAGCTGGGTGTGCTCATACGAGGCCTGTACTTACGCGAACCCTCCGCCCACACAGCGATACTCGTGGAAAAGTAAAAGGCAAGTCCCAGCGCCCAGTGTACGAACCACATGCGCGATGACGACGACCGCATAACAAACAAGCTCTCATACAGTCGTCTGCCGCCTTGAAGACTCATCAGAATCCATGTCAAGACAACCTGGTCCATCGTCATGCCGCGCTCACTGGCTGTCATTGCAAATGATCCTTGGGACACTGCAGACCGCAATATCCTGCCGTTTGTGAAGAATTGTGTCGCCCAGAAGGCCGAGCAGACGACCGAGATAATGTAGAAGTGCGCGAACCACGAGTGTGGCACCTTGCCAATCGATGTGATCCAATCGAGAAGCTGTATGAACCAAGCATCGCCATTTGCATTTTGCGATTGTTCAGCACTCGACACAGACTCAGTTTCATGGCCGACGGCGTCTGCCAATGGTCTCTGAGTAGATGTTGACATTGGTTTTTGGTCCGTCTGCCTCTGCCTCTGCTTCTGCTGTGATCGCGGCCCGTAAGAGAGCAACAGGCCCTTAGCCGAGTCGGGCATTATCGTGATTCCTAGTACGAAAAGTGATGCGACAACATAAAACAACTGGCAGGCAGCCGCTGGTGTGAGGCTCTGCAGCCAATACGCTGCCATAGTCATCGAAGTCGCGCTGGTTATTGCCGGCTCTTGGTTATCTGCTGCCATGCTTGACCACAGACCAAGGGGAGGCGGTGGCGGAATCCCAGGCTCAGGGCGCTCAGAATTGGCGTTGACGGTCTTCTTCGAGATGATGCTATTCAGGTCGCAGGGATACCTCGCTTGCTGGTTCTCCTGATTCCGCAGGGACTAGATGAAAGCCAAAGTGGTTGTTTGGGCAAGTTGTGATCTTGTTGGAACAACTTATGCCTTTCGAGGAGTTGCTCTGGCACCAACCGACACGGCAAGCGTTAGTATATACTGCATAAGCTCATATAGATGCACTAAACCGACTCCATGTGGGTACTCTCTGGCAACGCATCCATTGATGGAACAAATGAACCAACAACTTCGTGGTGGCTACACTACGATAACATGGAGCTCGATGCTTGATCCTAATCTTCGTCATATATCCTGTGCAAGGAAGCGTCATCAGGTGCTCCGACACATCGTTATCAAGATCAAAGATCCTAGGATTTGATCGGCCGGATACTACCCTTGACTATTTCGTAGTTTATCACTCCCATTCTCGTTTGAAGTTTATCCAAGCGACTTCTAATACACGTACGAGAATGCTCAGAATGGGGCTCGGTGAAGCTAGGTTTTTTTTTTCTTGAGATCACGCTGGAACATGCAAGTCGCAGTCTCTTCTTTCAAAAAACACAATCCACAAAGGAAGCAAGAAAAAAAGGGGGAATTAATCGGGAAGGGAAAAAAAAAGAACATAAACGGGAATAGACCCTATTTTTGTCGGCGGATGTGCGCCGAAAGATGTTGGGGTCTTCTCCTACAATAAGTACTATGCCTGACACTGGGAATACTTTTTGTCTCTGGCCGTGAGTAATTATAGACGTATCCCCCCGTTATGGAACTGCCTTCCTCTAATAGAGCTGCTCAGTGAAGGCACAAAACCTGGAGTTCTTATAAAGGAATCTTGAACAATAAGATGCGTTGGTTTCTATTGTGCCTGTTCGTCCTTTCTCAATCGCTTGGGGCGAAGCTTGAATCTATCCAGTTCCAGAGTTATTCCGCGGCCCCTGAATCAATTATTGCGTATGGCCCTACTACATAATAGTCGCGGGAGAAAAGGACGAAACTCGCGATAGCGACGTGGAGAAAACGGGCAAAGACGGGCAACGACAAGTTTCATCGCGCCACAGCATAATTCCTGAAATCCTAAACATGAATATTCATGGCCGATGTCACGCCTTCGCGGTAGCTCTTCTCCCCGTCTGACCTACCACTTGTCTCCCCCAGAGTGGTATTACACAGCATTCTGGTCCCATATGCCGATGCCGATGTATAATGTTCGATTTTCGAGACTGATACACTATCAACCAAAGCATCCGACATAAGCGAGCCTGGCCACCTGGGCTGATACGTAGCGAACTCAACCAACGACCGGAAAGACACAAATCAAGCTCTCTGCAAATCGAGGTCTAAATCCATGACGTCCGACATGCTGCATTTTAATCTGGACGTGCTGAAAAATCTGTAATGCTTTTCCTGGTGACACTGGAGTTGCATCTATCCGGAATATCTGTGCACCAAACCGAGCATCATGCACAAAACGAGCATACCATAAACCACGGCGGAAATTCTTCGGTGCCCGCCACTGCTAGCGCGGGGCTGACATCATTTTCGGAGGGTCTCGCGCGCCCGCTGGAGGAATCTTTTTGCCCCACTGCTGCGAATGCTGCGCTGGTGTCCCAACTTTTTTGTGATATACACTCGGGCGGACGACGACAACAAGCGTATCCCGAGACTCGGCCTGGCCAAGATTGCTGCATAGTAGGTTAACAGGACGGAAAAGGAACCGTCGGAAGAGACACGAGAACAGACTGTTAGAATCATCACAAGTCCCTCAGAAAGCGTAGCCGAACCGGCAGGCTCCAAACCGCAAAGATGTCGACGACAGTAGAGAAGGTAAGTGACCGCCCCCCTTATGAAGAAAAATCCGAGCATCGGGGGCCCCCCAGAATGCTAACGCACGAGAACAGATCAAAGAGATCGAGGCCGAAGTAAGTCAAGGCTTAGATTCAGGACAATGCCCAGCCGGCCAGGACCAATCCCATACCAAGGTTACCGCGGCACGGCACGTGTCGTTTCTCCTCGGCAGAGTCCCCGAATCCTAAGCTGACGGGACATGTTCCCCTGTATAGATGGCCAAGACTCAAAAGAACAAAGCCACATCATACCACTTGGGACAGCTCAAGGCCAAGTTGGCCAAGCTCAAGCGTGAGCTGCTGACTCCCAGCAGCAGCGGCGGTGGTGGCGGCGGAGCTGGTTTCGACGTCGCACGCACAGGTGTCGCCAGTATCGGCTTTATTGGCTTCCCCTCCGTGGGCAAGAGTACGCTCATGAGCAGGCTCACTGGCCAGCACTCAGAAGCTGCTGCGTACGAGTTCACAACCCTGACGTCAGTACCCGGTCAAGTCATGTACAATGGTATGTTGCCCCGTGTCTCAAACCTCAGCTGTCTCTTGGCGGAGGAAAAATACATCCTTCGTGGTTTTTTGGTGATTTGGATACTGACAGGTAGTTCAGGCGCCCCATTACAAATGATTGACTTGCCCGGTATCATCGAGGGAGCCAAGGATGGCCGTGGCCGTGGTCGTCAGGTCATTGCAGTCGCCAAGACATGCCACTTGATCTTTATCGTTCTCGACGTCAACAAGCCTCTCACGGACAAGAGAGTCATCGAGTCCGAGCTGGAAGGTTTCGGCATCCGCATCAACAAAGAGCCGCCAAACATCACTTTCAAGAAGAAGGACAAGGGCGGTCTCAACATCACCAACACGGTGCCAATGACCCACATCGACCACGACGAGATCAGAGCCGTCATGAGCGAGTACCGCATCAACTCGGCAGACATTGCCATCCGCTGTGACGCCACCATTGACGACCTCATCGACGTCCTGGAAGCCAGGAGTCGGAGCTACATCCCCGTCATCTACGTCCTCAACAAGATTGACGCGATCAGCATCGAGGAGCTCGATTTGCTGTACCGGATCCCCAACTCTGTACCAATCAGCTCCGAGCACGGGTGGAACGTCGACGAGTTGATGGAGGCAATGTGAGTAGTCCCTCTTCACACCAATCGCCCTTTTAGATCCTGGCCGATGGGGTTTCGCGATTCTCCACACCACGACAAGAACCCTTGCGCTGACCAGATTGCCATTGTTATCCACCAGGTGGGACAAGCTCAAGCTCGTCCGGGTCTACACCAAGCCCAAGGGCAAGCTGCCAGATTACTCGGCTCCTGTCGTTCTCCGCTCGGGCCGATGCACAGTTGAAGACTTTGTGAGTGGATCATCATTGTTTTCCCCCTCGCGGGCCCAGTCCTGCCCTTATTACTCGTTCAAGCTTCAAGTCTGTCCCCTGTTGAGCGGAGACTGACCCCTGAGACCAACAACGCCCGCAGTGCAACGCAATCCACCGTAGCATCGTCGAGCAATTTAAGACGGCCATCGTCTATGGCAAGTCTGTCAAGCACCAACCGCAGCGTGTGGGCCTTGCCCACGAGTTGTGTGATGAAGATATTGGTAAGTGGAAGCAACCAGCAAGCGCCGAGAGATAGCCGCGGCTGCTCATCCCCGACCCTCCTAGCGGCAGCCCTTGCCCGGTCACCCTGGTGTTTTCCGCGTGAAGATGGTAAAGAAGGTTGGAGCAGTTTGCTTACTATCTCCCCAATGCAGTAACGATCCAGAAGCGATAGAAAGGCAGGAAGCCGAGCTGCTTTCTGCAGGAGACCATGGGCGCTCTCGACTTCTCTCTTGTCTGGTCATAAGCAACGATCTTGTGTTGGCTACATCCCGGAAGCCTCGGCGTCTAGGGCGACTAACGATAACGAAAAGAGCCTGTTGGTGGAATAGTTGTTGGTTGCGACATGAGAGCCGCCGTAGAAGTGCGGCGCCAAGCTGAGCCAGCACTGGGGATGGACAAGGGCCCGGTTGTCGACCACCGCAATACCACTCGTACCATTCATTGTCGAAACCTCGCATAGAGAGCGGAATGCCCGAACAGCCTCACCAAGCCGGTGACGTTGCGAAAACGATCCACTCCTGTAAGCCATGAGATGCACCGAAATAACCGAGCTTCGCACATCTTCTCAGGGATGGCTCCCTCGCCCATGGAGAAAGTGAGGATCTGAGAGAGCCGATCTGAGGGCCCGTGACCGGCCGTCCGCACCCATGCTCGCCGCGCGGTATTTTGAGTGAGCGATCTTGGGGAAAGGAATCAAATGAACACGCTTGGTGGAGAATGTCTACATGGGACGATGGTCTTGGCGTTGTTGGTTCTCTTGTCGTGGCGATGACAGAAATCGTGTTGGCGGGTGATGGCAGGGTTTACCCTGGATTGGTAGAAACAGGCAACTCGGTCCAGCATGGGTGCAAGCAGGCCAGAAGAAAAATTCGTCAAGAAACGTGATGCCTGTGACGTTTCTGCAGTATTCTGATACTTTCTCGTTGGCCAAGTCGCAGGGCGTGTTTGCTTTGAACCTGGCAGGCGCACACCGGGAGCAAATCCCCCGGAGCCGTCATGTAGACGTGGGCTGGGCATGTGCATGCCCAGCACACAGACCGGAAACCAAGGCGACCTACCCCGGAATATGTCTGCACGCGAAAAATGCGACGTGCATTTGCTGCCACCGGTAAAGGTGCATCCAGGCCGGCAGTGACCGCGCCTGTAAATGGTCTCGCCTTATGCGGCCGCAGAATCCGAGCGAGGGTAGGAATGTGAGATGGAGGGGGGGGATATGCAACCAGACGCCGTGCATGCCCGAATGTTGCTCCGCTTGTCAAGATCCATGTCATGCCGCCAACACCTGACGCTAAAGAATGGGATGGCATGGGAGCGAGTTTGGCGCACGAGCGAGACAAGCGCGGCAAGCAATTGCGGGCTGGATCCATATCTTTGTCAGCCTGCCTGGCGGGGCAGTCGGTGGAGCGGCGGCGACCATGGCAGGGATCTTTGTGTTTGGAAAGGCCGATTCGTGTGGCTCTGATGGGCGCAAATCCTCGAGACTTGTTCTCCAGTCTTGCACTGACAGGACCCGGGAGGCTGAAGTCGTGGGCAACCATTGACGAGGCGCGTTCAAATCTCGGCAGTCCAGTCGCTGGCGGTCTGGGGCCAATTCAGACTAGCAGGGTGGGGAAATGCGGCACCTTTGTGGCGGACCTTTCAGAGCTCGTCTCTTGCCGCCGGCAGCTGTGATTGGCCGCCAACTCTGCGCAGATTAGCCTTTAGCATCCGCAGGCCCTCATGATTGTCACTGTTGTCATTCGCAAACCCCGACAGACTGTGATTGCTAATCGGCAAAGCTGTCGAGCCCGCTCGGGGGTCGCAATCGCTTGGCTCGTCGTATAACAAGTGTCCGGGCTACATAGTACGGGTGCGTGGCTTCAAGGCATTTCCCTACGGCATTGCCCGAGTAAGTGACAGCCTGCTAGTAGACATCACACAGGCTGCCCGGCCGACCGACGAGCTGCGCCCAAAGTTCTGCGCAGGGCTGTTTGCACGGTGGCGTCGCGATCACTGCGCATGCTCTGGTCGCTGTCGCAGTTGGCCTTGGGAGTTGATCTGACGCGCAGCCACGCAGACACAGAGGACAGTCCGTCACAGTCGTGATCGACCCTGCGAGATCTTAGCCTCGGAACTCCTCAAAGATTCAGACAAAATTGGACGGTGGCGTTCAAAGGTGACAGACATGCTTGGGCAGCACGGGAGGCCTAAACGATTCCAGACCCTGTTGAAGTTCGGGCAGGGGATTGTCGAGGGCAGAACGGAGGAGGGCAAGGCCTGTTAAACGGTGTCAGGTAAGGCACCGGTGATGTGACCAATAGGATATGAACCGTGACAGCCCCAGCCGGCTCGGAGTGCTGTTGTGTTCCACTCTAGTGGCATTTCCGCCCCTGACCCTAGTCGCATCTTGGCAGAGTTGCCGGTGGTGCTCGATAGCCACAGCCAGGAGGGATCGGCATTGGTAGTGTGGTTGCTAGCTCTAACATGCTGGCACAGGTAACTTATGGTGTGGCCAAAAGTGATCGTTCTGGCAGTCTCATCTCAAAAAAATTGATCTCTCGAAGACCGCCTGAGTAGCTGCTTGCCCAGCAACATCCAGCTTTCTTGTCTTGCTGAGCAGGCCAAGGAATGAAACGGGGACACTCGAAAGGTTGCGAAGCTCGAAGGCCAAGTTGCCGTCCTCGATGCGCGTGCATGCCCACTACGTCGCGGACATGTTCGTTCACTTATGCCGCTTCTGGACGTTCAATATATTCCGGTCTATAGGTGTGATCGACACAGCCACCCGCTCACAGCCGAGCCTGCGTCATGAACATCAGTCGAGAATATGATGTAGCAATGTCAGGAGGTATATGGTCCACGTACACACGCAACGTCGACAGTTTCAAAGTTGAAGCGAGATGCGCTGCGAAAGGGGCAGAATGCTCCTCTTCCGGTTTGCCCTTTCTGACACGAGGATGTCCCGTTTGTTGACAGCATGCAACCTCACCCCAGCAACGTTGGAGGACAACATGTAGGTTTTCATGAGGCTTGGTCGTGCTCCAAACTGCCTATAAATAGTGCATTGTCGTGAACCACGAAAGGTTTGGTCCTGAAGAAGGGGTGCGTTTTCAGTCAGAACAAGAAGTTCGAAAATTCTCGAGCACTGATTGCAACAGGGCCTGTCAGCGGACATGGCGCGAAGCATTGGCTGCTGGAACCTCGCCGCGCTCGCTGCGAGACGGGCTGTATGATTTCCATGTGCGAAGTGATGAAGTGCTTGCAGACGTTTGTCGGATAGATAGTAAGACCATGGAAAAAATAATAATTGGGATGCTTTCTCCAGATGGCATTGCTTGAAATGGCGGCAATTGCTGGCCCACTCTGGCATGATCCGGCTTTGTCAATGACAAATGAATGTCGACCTCAGCTGGAGCGTCTGAACACTTTTGAGCAGCCAAGGTGACCTGAAGCTCTTTGGTATATGCCTCTGTGACGCCTGCCCGCCCCTGCCGTTATTTGAACGCCTGCTCCATAGGATGTAACGCCGTGTGATCTCCTCAGACCCAGCTAGACTGATTGCGGCAGGGTCTTCGTGCTCGTCAGACTGGTTAGGCAGTACTTCCCAGTGATCCTTGTCCCCGTGGACCAGGGCTGGCTCGTCTTTAAGTCCGCGGGGCCGTTGATATGCGGATCCTCCCGAGCCGAAACGGGCAAGCCGATGAGAGGTCTTCATCCAAGTTGACACTCGCAGTCAAGGTTTACCTCGTTGTGGTGGTTGGAGGAAATGAGTTCCATTGCCGGCACACGCCACTTTCAGCATTGCAGAGGCTCCTATAGAGTTTTTGGATATAGCAAAGGGCGCAACGATTGGGTTGCAGTGCTTCAAGTAGGCCAACGCATTGAACTTGAAATCGGCTGAAGGCGCAAGACCTGCCCAGGGACATTACTGAAGCATGCAACACAAGCAGGAGGGTGATACCAAAGAAGTGTCTCAACTGGGGATGTTCGCGACTGCCGCTAGCTGGAGAGCCGCGATGATTGTGGCGGCTTGGATTCGAGGGCGAACAGCGACGCCTGCTAGCTTGGCGTCTCCGGCTGGAGGCCTGCCATGTCACAGAGGTGTCGCCACTGGCTGGCGACGCTCTGATGGAGTTGTTGTCGTCGTCTTCGTCCTCATCTGTCCAAGGAGGAAGTCGAGGGACCAAGTTGCCGATCGTAGACGACAAGACACGGCGCCACACGACTAGGATGTGCGTGCCTCCCGCGGGTGTGTGTTGCTTGGATTCAATATTGCCTGACGTAAATTTTCCGGCGTAGTAGCTGCGCTATGATATGCTTCCGGACCGTGCCCAGCCTTACACTGCTTTGTGGCTCACTGGGGGAGCGAGCAGGGCCAAGCAGCTGGCCTCGGGAGTTGCTGGCGGGCAGGAGGAGCCTGATGAGCCTGATGAGCACGAAGGGGAAGGATAAAAAGACGAGGGTGTGGACGGGAGGTGGTGCGCGGGCTGGGGTCGGGACGGGCATACCCTAGGCTCAGCGGCTGTCTAGCAGTGGACGGGACCCGCTGCCAGATCTCTCCATGGCCAGGGGAACCCTGCCCGGCCAGTGAGTGTGCACTGCAGGCGCACCTCATGGGATCCTCGCCGCCTCTCCTCCTCACTACCTCGTCTGCTGCTGCTGCTGCTGCTTGCAAATCATGTCACTCCCGTGCCCTCCGCGACATCTACCCGCCCAGCAAGTCAGATCACCGCGCCCGCTAGCGTCGGAGCGCAACGCTGGCCATCAGCCAGTCGCCCGCGCGAGGCACTGCCCCTCAACCATGGCTCTATTCCTTTATCGGCCATGGCAGCCCGCCCCGGCCCCCATGAGCCCACCTCCGCCGTCCAAGGGGTCCGCTTGCTCGCTCCATGCAGGCATCCGCGCGCGCTCTCCAGGGTCGCTCTCGAGCCCAGTTGGTGATGATGATACAGTGCCCTCTCCGCTAGGCTTCGGCCCTTGCCGCATGGGGTATCCTGCGTCTGCTCTGCTCTGCTATGGCCAAGGTGTGTGGGTGTACAAGACTCTGGCTGGCTGATGGTGTTGATCCCATGCTAGGCACCGCTCGCACAACAGGCTTGGGCAGCTAGGCGAGGACCCTCGCCAGGCATCCTGGCATTTATTTCCTTATGCTGCATGGCAGCGTCGACGATGATCTGCCCGGGACTCAAGCACTCACAGGCACGACGTCACATACATGCTGAAGCGAGACGCACTTTGCAGCGTGGCCTGCATGGACAGCAGCACGACTGCAACTGACTGCCCAATGCCTTGCAGAATCACTGCGAGGCTGCCACGCACCTTGCGCGCTTCAGACAGAGGTGTACCCGACCAGCAAGCAAGCCCATCCAAGGCTGGCTGGCTGGCTGGCTGGCTGGCCTACAACGGCCGCCCGAGGTCATGAGGTACCTCCCCTGCCCAGGCCCGGTGCCGAGTCAGCTTCTTCGAGCCACTTGCGCCAACGGCCTGACATGCTACAGTCCGCCGCCCGCCCTCGTCGGCTCGAGCCAGGGCCCTGGTCTTGAGATGGCCTCTGGTCATCATCTCCGCCCGGAGGGACGCAGTAGTGTTGTAGTCTGACCGTCTGGCAGCTACCACCACACCCCCTTCGTGCTCGTTCTCGGCCACTGGGCCCAGTCGAGCCCGCCCACACCCGCCCGCACTCGCCTTTCCTCTCGCACGCCCCGGGCCCTGCGTCCGCCAGCTTCAACCATGCAAGAGCTTCTTACAACATATGTACTGTCCACAGCTCCTCCCCATGCTCCCCAAGCTACCGTTGCAACTGCCTCCCTTCTGGTCTCGGCCTCGCTTCTCACCGTGTGCTTCAGGTTGCCGTCCGTCGAGTGCCCAAACCATCAAAACGGCATCGTAGCCTCGCCCGGCCTTTGCCCAAGTCTCCTGTCTGGTCTCTGGCTGAGACTCCCGACGCTCTCTTTACCTCTTCTGCCTTTGTCTTCCTAACCCTGTCTCTTGGACCTGGCTGCTGCTTCTTCTGCTACTCCATCACTTGTCGATATTGTCATTGCGCCGCGGTATTGCAGATATTGGGCCTCGCTTTCAGTCTCATCCGAGACTGCCATCTACGCGTCGGCACGTTCTTTCCTCACCACAGCTAACTTCACAACCCCACGGCTTCATATCTCTGGCACATTAGTTGCCCTGTTCTTCGCGATCTTGCGCCAGAACTGAACTCAAGGTTGTCTCGGTTGATTCACTACGTACTCGCGAAGCTGGTTGTCCCGATTCGGACCGCATCCAGGCGGCCGCCCAAAAACAAGTGTCACGACGACACGGCGACTATTTCTCTACGACCGATGACTGGCGACTGCCCTTTGCCACAACCAGCATTCCGACGTCGGGGGCCCAAGCATCTCTTCGAGGCCCGTTGAGGCTCCCGTTCCCCTATTGGAAGTGAGAGTTGGATTAGGACTATTGCCATTTCATTTTGTTCTCTCATCTCTCCTGCGTACCAAATTACTCTGCCTGCCACCTGTAAATCCGCAGGATAGCCAGAGGAGAGCCATGATTGCTCCCAGCACCATGGAGCAGGACAGCCAGGCTGATCATGACAACGCTTATCAGGACGGAACCTGGGCACACTTACACTCATATAATTCGATGCCAATGTCTTCCTTCGAAGACGAATATTATTCACAGCCTGGAGGACAGCCATTGTCGATGGAAAGCTTCAACATGCAGATGGCGCCCCCACCGCCGCCTGCTATACGAGCACATCCGCAGGGTGTCTACTCGACACAGCTGCCCCATGGACTGCTGATACCCTCTCAGCCGTCGCAGGTGCCTTGGCCCAGCCTGCAGACAAATCCCTCTCGCAACTTCTCTGCGCCTCCTATTCCGATCCCGCCAGCCTCTGCTCCCCCACGCGTCCCTCAGACTAAGCTTCCCTCGACGACCACGACTGGACCGCGCAAGACCCTCACCATCGAGGACCGTCGAGCCATGTGCAAATATGCCGAGGAGAATCCGCATGTCAAACAGACAGAGATCGGTGCCAGGTTTGGCGTTGAGCGAAGGTTTGTATAGAGACCTATTCAATGAATGCAGCTTGATGGCTAACGACGTCCAAACCAGCACCGTCTCCAAAACTCTGCGTAACAAAGACAAATTCCTCAACAAGGCCGAGGAACAGAGCAGTTCTCCCACGCAGCGCACTAAAGGCAAAGGCCCCCCGGACATTGAGCGAACGCTGGCATCATGGGTCAAGTCTGCGCAGAAGTCAGGCGCCCCTATCCATGACAAAGATTTAGAGGAGAGGGCACGCTTTTTCTGTGCCGGAGCGCACTGCGATGGCTCAAAGTTGATCACAAGGGCCTGGATCGAAAAGTTCAAACAAAAACATGGCATAGGGCCCAGAAGACGAGCGTCTGAGACGGCACTCTCAGACACGCGATACAAGAGCCAGCCCGCCTTGTTGGCCGCCTCGAGTACGACCGGCACAATTTCCCCAGTCTCGCCAAAGACCAAAGCGTCTCCTCTTGTGCCTGCGACTGCCAGCGATCTCAGATCATCGCTCTCAATATCGATGGACTTTGAGAGCGATGGAAAGCAGCATCACCCGCGCAGCGCATCAACCCTTCCTAGCGCTATGAGCGATCCAGCCAGCGCATCCTTCTCTGGTAGTGCGATCAGTCCAACTTCCGCTTACACCTTCTCGCCCAACCTCACCAACAGCCTGTTCGACGGCCTCGGTCCTGGCCAACACCGTCATCGCAGCCAAACCTTGCCAAACATTGACCCTCTGGAATACTTGGACCAGTCACATAATATGGACTCTCTCACTCCAAAAATCAACAACACTGGAACTGGATCATCTTCAGCGATGGCCTCTCCAGCTCACGAAGTGGCAACCAACCCGTTCACCTTCGAAAGTGCAATCTCGACACCTGTCCTTCGCCATACAAGCAGTAACAGCAGCCTAACCGGCCGATCGACGGCCTCGGCTGCTGTGAGCGGAACCCCAATCTCTGCGCCCAACTCTCCTACGCAGGATGACGCGCGGAGAGCCGCAGACACCCTGCTGTCATATCTGTCCAGTATGGCAAGCCCAGGCCTTGTCGACAAGCAAGACTACGACGCGGTGGTCCGCCTCACCGACAAACTCCGCCTCCATCAGCACTCGCAGATCATCCCTCAGCAGGGCCTACTCAGCAAGATGAACATGACAGGCCAAGGGCTTGGCATTTTGTCCAGGATACCAGAGGGCGATGCAGAAATGCTGCATTCGCCTCTGCACCAACTAGAAAATTCATAAACAGCAGCTCGCGCTGCTAACCAGACGACAGTGCTGCACACGACGCAAGTCCCAGTCTCACGACTTTCATCATCATACCATACGCCATACTATACTCTAGCGGATCACATCCAAAGCGTTCTCCACAGAACCAAGTTTTGCGCAACCATCTACACGCAGATGTTACTACTCCCCCACGCGAGCAGTTACAAGCACTATCCCCATTATTACGAATAGGCACAGCTACCGGACCACATTCCAAAGATCTCTAGGCGCTCACGCGAACTCGAATACCAATATCTGTTTATTTGCCGACTTTTGTTTTCATATTTTGCCCTTTTTATTTATTTATTGATCATTTGGTTGTTCATATTGTTTGATTCCTATCATATATTTTGCTGTTCTTAGGGCATAAAAGCGAGGCATTGCTACAAGCCGAGGTCCAGGGTCTGGATGGAAGTTTAGGTAGAGGGACTGCCCGGACACATGTCCTCGGTTGTCTGATTTATCCTCGCCGTCGGTACTTCATCTCATTTATGTGTTGAGGACATACAACAAGTCAGTAATGATATCGCAAATATGATCTGAAAATTTACCTTTCTACAACGTTCAAGCAGGCCGTGAAAGCGAGAAATGTTTGACAGTATTTGGTGGTATCTACACTACTAGCTCTACTAAATCTGGCATGCCAATATTGCTAAGCCAGACGCTCCTCGAGCAAGTCAACGACACCCCTTTCGGTCAGCTCGGGCATCAATCGTACAAGGATAAGCTCGAGGACGCCGTATAGCAGGTGCTTATTGCAGTATGGGTCTGAGAACAGGTCCAGGATGCCGGACTCGATTTCCATAATGGCCCGCTCGGTCTCGGGGTCCTCTTCCTGTGCTTCCTTTTCTGCTGCGGCTGCCGATCCTCTGCCACTCCCCGCGTGATCAATGATCTTTTTGCTGGGATGTGCCATTCCGGGCGTCGGCCTACCAGGGGTGTTGGACGTCGGCTGATTGGGGCTAGGGGTCGCTTCAGCGGTAGCGGAGGATGAGATGGAGGACTGTTGGCGTGTTGGCCTTGCCCGCCGGTGTGCTGCTGCGTTATTCGCCAGTGTCACATGAGCGGTAGCAGCGCCTGCCGCAACTGCGTCACCTACATGCGCGATGCCATGTTGCTGCTGCTGTTGATCATTGTCTTGTGTCCGTCCTGATCCCAGTCCGAGGTCGACCCTAGTCCCATTGGGATCGACTTCTGCTTGAAAAGCACTGTTGGTTTTCTGGAGCGGATCGGACCGCATCTCGTTGGCGGCGGCTACGGCGCTGGGCTGCTGGAGCTGACCACCGCCATGTTTGCTGATGCTAAGCGGTGAGCGCAGCCAAGCCCACGCACTGGCGCCATAATAGAGCCTGCCTACCCTTTTCGGGACGGCCCCCCAGATCGCCCTAGCGCATCTGCGCTTTAGTGCAGCAAGTTCCTCATCGGATGAAGGGGGGGTCAAGGTCGATGTTCCTGGGGCATTGTTAGGGAAGAGTGCGCCGCGGATGGAGCGCAGCAGTGGGGGCAGGTGATCGGGCGCCAGCATGTATGTCTGGATACAGTGTGACATGAGCCTATAATGGGTGTTAGTCAAGTTCACAGGCTTGCAGCCAAACATGCAGAAGAGATTGGGTGACGACGTGGGGGTTGCCCTGGAACCGGTGTCGGATCTTTGTGAGCAGGCCCAATTGCTCTGCACGAGACCCCGATGAGGCGCCATGTTTGATGGCGCGATGGGGCTGCAACACATAGCTTGTCTCCACATGACTCTGAGCTACTCCAAACGAAATGATGCTCTCGCCGCGGTGCAGACAGAGCCAGGCAGCTCGCCTGATATGCTCTGAGACCAGCATGTGTGGACGTGATGTAACACAAATAGTGTGACTGGGAGGACGAATCTGAAATCAGCTACCCCAGCAGAAGACCTGGGGGGTGATCCAGGCAGCTCTCGAAAGAAGAGAACCTAGGTTCTGATGCTGAAAACATCGGGGCAGTCATGTCTGTTGACAGGGTTACGGCTCATGATCTCACTAAGATCAGACCCTCGAGGACGACATGAGGCGGAGACCGGACAGAGCTGCCCCACAAGATGGGACTGGGCATGTCCGGCACGAAAGGACAGAGTCGCAACACGAAATGTGCTATGCCAGATTGGAATGGAGAAAAGTCTGTACAGGCTTGCCGGTTGGTGACGCCCCTGGTACTGGTTTGTGGTCGGCGCGTAGCGACGGCTTGCGGCTGGCTCAACTTGAACATCCCTGTCAACTTTCCGTGCAATCGGAAGAGCAGAGGCCTAACTCGTCTTGTCATTGGCTCGACGGGATGCGATCACGGGGAACTGTCCGTCGTCCTGCGGGCCACCAACTTTGGATGCTTATGCGCCACTTTCAAACAGGACTGGGTTGCTCAACTACAACCAACTTCACTTCTGATGAAGTGAGACCTGTGTGACGGAGTGCAGCCAGCCACGTGGACCTGTCCTGCAGCCCTCGTGTGCCTGGCTGAGGGCGTGTAGACAGTGAATATCACGGTGGCCAAATGTTTCGAAACCAGTGAGAACGAACTGACGCGGCTACACAGGCCATACAGCGCCGTTAGGTCTCGGAGCAGAGTTGTCCTGCAGAAGCACTTGCTGCTAACGCATTGTAGTGGGACCAACTGGACACGTAAGGGTACTGATGTAGGAGATGATTCGCCTACCTGTCCAGGACTCCGTCAACATTTGCGACTTTGCCCGGTCCACTGAGTCCACCCCATTGCAAAAGAGCAAGGGCTCCCCCGAGCCACGGCATGCGTGTTTGAACCTCAATCAGGTTTCCGAGGCAGGACCAGATGGCGAAAGAGGCCACAGGAACGTCAGGAGTTGCTGCGTAAACGTCTGACGATATCGAGGCTGCATATGGTTTTCCGTCGGGTCGAAGCGTCGATTTAGGGGTGTGAGATTGGAAAGAAGTCCTTGGTGGTAAAGAGCGCGACAAAGCCACAGTGCTGAATAATAATCTCCCGATGTTGAGCATAACAAAGAGACTTTGCATGATTGACCAGAACAGGCTGGTCAAGATCGAGCCGTGTCGCTTGGACTCAGGTATGTTTGCCTTGCCACCACTCCCTGGCTCGAGGTCCTGTTGCCGTGCCGAGGACTGCTGCTTCTGTCCCAGCCTGGTCAAGATGATGAAAATCTCCCATAATAGCCATGGCTGGGAGAGTTTCGCGATCATGAGGTTGCCGATGATCAGCTCTGAAAGGATCTGCCCGACGATCGCGACCAGGCACTCATTCTGGAGATCTTCAGTTGGCAGCAACAAGGCCAGTACGCCCTGGACTAGTAGTTGGCGGTAGGCGAGCTCATTTTCGTTTTGCTCTTGATCACTGACCCCGTCTTTTCGATGGGGCACCGGAGACAAGGCGGGCAGGGGCCAGAGCGAATGATAGACCTCACGCAGGCTTGACTCGAGAGGGGGTCGTGCTGCAGAAGCATGCTTCGCAATCCGATAGGCTGCGCCACTTGTGTCAGCTCCATGATGCCTGGCGGTTTATCGAGCGGACGACCTACAGCGAACATGGGCATCGAGCAGATCAGGCAGCTCATCAAACAAGAGGCTTTCGAGATCGACCTTGCGAAGCCTCTGCTCCAAAGCGCGCGTGACGTGCGCGATTATTTGCACAATCTCGGCAACAAAAGTCTCGTCTGGTGTGATCTTGCCATACCAGTTCTGGACAGACTCCCGAAGTATGATGGAGATAAGGGCGTACAGTTGGAGGTCGACATCGTTGCGACTCGTGAGTGGCGGAAGGAGATCCTCGATCGGAGCAGGCGCGGTCCTTCCTCTGTCCAAAGAAGCCTGAGGGCACAGCGTACGACGTATGAGCGCCGCTGTGGTCTTGTCGGACAGGAAATCTGCCGTGGGTGGGCGACTTGGCCGTGGCTGAGGTCTCGCAGCGCTCGGGTTTGTGGTTGTAGCTGCCGCGGCTTGCTTCATGGGGCTCGTTGGTTCGTATCCAGGGGACGGCGGCGCTCGCCCGTCTTCGCCTCCATGGTTTGCGCGTAGCCTTGTGTGGCCTTTCGCAGTCGACGTGCGGGTGGTAAGAGGAGGCGGTGCGACTGGTGCCGCTGCTGCCATGACCCCTTTGATCACAAAAGTATCCTGCTTACTTTCGTCTGGTCATGGTTCACCGTCGCAGGTGCGAGCGGGGTCGGAGTTGAGTGTCTGGTGGTTGAAGCTTGTTGCGAGATGACTGTGTACTCCATCCGCAAACTATCCTGCTGTGGAAGGGCATGCCGCGGCCGCACCTGAGAAGCAGCTCGAGGACGGTGTCGTGATCCTGTGCTAGCGAGTGGGGATGGAGAGGTGTCGTGGAGGGGGACGTCACCGCACAGCTCCACCTCCAACCAGGATCATTGGAGAGACCCCAGCCGTGCAAGGCACAATGTACTCTCCCACGTTGCACGCGATTCTGACCTGGAAGGAAACGGAACATCACACATCGCGAGAAGCGACCAGGACATAGCTCAGATACTGCCGCGCTTTACAGCTTCATTTTTGTACAAGTGATTCACGAAGAGACTGCTCTTGTGGAATCTTTATTGCCTCGGTGACCGCATCGCTTGCTCGCGGATCCTGCTTAATATCAAGCACACCACGACTCTCCTCTACTGCTTACAGAAGCAACGCAACAATGGTGATCTCAGAGCTGAAAGTTCCTTCCGATGTGACTGATCTCGGAATTAGACATCACTTCCCCTCTGTGCGACTGGGTCGGCAGAATATGTGTGGCTCTATCGTAATGTACACAAAGTACTATACATATACTCTGATGGATATAGGCGGCTAAGCCAATGTTACAAGTAATGCTACAGTTGGAAGACCTCTTCTCGGCCAAGGCAGCGTCACTATGTTGATCTTGTCGTCTCCTCTTCGGCATCCTTCCGCATAGTCTCGTATCTACGAAGTTGTTAGCCATACACCGGGATTGATAAAGTATTGGAAAATAGGGGGCGAGACGTACCTCTTGCCTCGGAAGGCCCAGACTCCCCAGTTTCCACACGAGATATCCTGCGGATCGAGGTCGTTAAGATCCCATCGCAGACTGCGGAACTTGTTCTCGCCCGGCTCAAGGAGCATGTCGAATTCTCCACGACAAGTCTTGTTCACCCATTCAATATCTCGCTCCATGTCATATTGAGTGTATCCGGTCACGATGATGGGTGCCTTGGTCTCAAGAAGCAACGGCACAGTCTCAGCCCACTCGTGTGAGCTCGCCGGGTGGCCCATGCCGGGGTGAAACATGACGAAGCAATCAAAGTACGGATCGTATGGCGCGAAATGGCCAGTCTTGTGAAGGGTGTGGTAGTAGTCAACAATCGTGCTGATTTTCATAGTCGGCCAGACACGATCCTCCACAATGGCGCCAAAAGGATTGGTCGGTGTGCGTGGTGGTAATGGGAATTCATCGTCGCGATTGCTCATACTTTCAGGTCCGATGAAGATGAGATGGAATTTGCCACGGGGAAACAGATGGGAGAGCTGCACCCAGACATTGCGAGGAAGCGAGGATTCAGCTCGGGCTCCCAGGATGAAGATGCGCACAGGCGGTGCCTCTGGCCGCAGACCCTTGATTCCAGCGCCACCTCCGGTCTTTGGAGGGTGCAGTGTATAGCGTAGGGCACTCATGCTCTTGAGGCCTTCAGGAGTGAGTCTGTCGCCCTTGCGAACACCATAGGGGCTAAGCTCGTGCAGAATGCTGCCAATCGTGACAGGATAAGTAAGAAGCCGCGTCGCCTGGCGCATGCTTCGGTCGTCGTTGATAGCCTCAAACTGACGTGTGTATAGAAGTGTGTCCCAGTTCAGCAGGTTGACTGGCGCCTCGTCCATCTGAGGACCCGCGTACTCAAACTCTGGGAAGAAGCGACCGGAACGGAGATCATGGTCGTCCTCGTTGATCTGCTTGAGTGTATCGCATATTTCGAGATGGCGCTCATAGTCCTCTGCCCAGTGCTGCTCACTACAGTAAACCGGGATGCCACAATCGGGACACTCAAAGTCGACATGGGCTGGCGGTTGAGTGCCGTTGCTTTCGACGGGAGGGGCCTTGCCATCGCTAGGAGCGTGAGCAATGCGGTGGTCTGGATGAGGGCAGGATGCATGCTGCCGTATAAACGCAGCACGCCGCCGCATATCGGGAATTGGCGAGTTTGTGTACGAGTGGAAGAGGTCGTCGGGATGAAGCACGAGCTTCTGCTTCTCGCCATCGGCTGGGGCATTTGTTGTCACAGAATGACCATCGTCGGCGGACTTTGGCTGGGCGCTGCCAAAAAGCGAGAAGGATTTACGAAGAGGAGAGATCGGCGACGATTGGGCTGTGAGGTTCGTTGAGCGCCGCCGGCTGTAGGCAAGACCGGAGAAGTTGCGGGCGACGTGAGTCGGGGCAGTGGTGCGGCGGGCCGATCGTAAACAGCTGCGGCAGACACTGGACGTCGCCAGGCGTATTGATGGTTCCATGGCGATTTGGGCCGAGGGCAATCTGCTGCAAGCAAGTCGTAATGTGCCGAGACGACGAGCTGGCGTGGCTGTGGGCAGGTCAGGCCTGGATCGTGCCACGATGTCGAGGCCCGCTGCACAAATTGTTCACCAGCTCCGGAGCCTGGCGGAGCATCGGGTCGCTGGGTCCGCGCCCGCCGGGAGCTTTGGCGCTTGAGGGGGGGGCTCTGCCAGTGAGCAAATCCCAGCACATCCACCTAAAGGCGGCCTTGAGCCACAATATGGCTTCTGATGGCTGTTCGTTCTGCACTTCACTCACATCCTTGCTAGATTGCGATGCCACTTTTACAAGTGAATAATTGAAGCATGATTTGCATCGCACATCATTTGGAGTGCACCTGCGCATATTCCTTTTTGGTCCTGTGCAGCAAAACAAAGTCTTTGTCGAGCCTCTGGCGGGCCACAGCACCAAGTCCCAGGGACGTCCATCGGTGCCTGTGGCGCAGTTGCTGTATGCGGCTCCAATCTCCAGCTGTCGGGTGGGTCGCGCGCAGGTCCGCCTAAGAAAGCTCTTCCAAAATTTGGAGCTGCGCTCGCTGCCTGCATCACACAGCTTTGCTCCTACTCAACACCACTCGCCCTGCTTGACCGCAACGAGTACCCAACTACAACCTTCCCCCGCTGCAGCGCGATCCTCGCGGTCGACTCCTGCATACACACATGGCGTCGTAGTCTCACACCTGCGGATTGCATTATTTCAATCAATCCTTGCCCGACTCCTGCCTAGTCGTCATTTTAGGCCCATGGTCCTCGCTCAGCGCGTCGTTCCTCCATAACCCCCGACATCAGGGACGAAGGCGCGCAGGGAGCCGTTCCCTCCCCATCAGCGACCATGGCGACTACTTCGAACATGTTCCTGTACTCCCTGACGATCCAGGCACCGACTACGGTGACGCAGGCGATCCTGGGCCAGTTCTCGGGGACCAAGGAGCAGCAGATTGTGACCGCATCGGGTTCGCGCCTGACGTTGTTGCGGCCAGACCCAGCCCAGGGCAAGGTCATCACAATCCTGTCGCATGATGTCTTTGGTATCATCAGATCCATTGCGGCATTCCGCCTTGCTGGCAGCAATAAGGGTAAGATCTTCCGTGTCCTGTCTTCGTGGCTGTCACTGAGAGATTTCAAAGCGCGGTTGGTCTAGCGCGACTTCAAGGTTGCGTGACCTTGGTCTCGAAGTGGTGCGGTCCTTGAACACTCTTTTGCTTCCCGCAACACTGCACGTCTCACATTGCGCACGCGCTAACGAACATTGCCGGATAGATTACTTGATATTGGCGACCGACTCGGGACGGATTTCGATTGTCGAATATATCCCAGCGCAGAATCGGTTCAAGCAGCAGAAGTTGGAGACCTTCGGCAAGTCTGGTGTGCGCCGGGTCATTCCCGGGCAGTATCTTGCCAGCGACCCGAAAGGAAGGGCTTGTCTCATCGCCTCGGTTGAGAAGAACAAGCTGGTCTATGTGCTCAACCGCAATGCACAGGCTGAGCTCACGATCTCTTCCCCGTTAGAGGCACACAAGGCGAACACTATTGTGCTGTCGATGGTCGCGTTGGATGTCGGGTATGCAAACCCCGTGTTTGCCACTCTGGAGGTCGATTACTCCGAGGCGGACCAAGACCCTACCGGGGAGGCTCTGAAAGAGGTCGAGACCCAGCTAGTGTACTATGAACTTGACCTTGGTCTCAACCACGTTGTCAGGAAGTGGCATGATGTTGTCGACCCAACAGCCTCGATGCTCTTTCAGGTTCCCGGCGGTAATGATGGGCCCAGCGGAGTGCTCGTATGTGGCGAGGAGAACATCACATACCGGCACTCGAACCAGGAGGCGTTCCGCGTGCCTATCCCAAGGCGGAAAGGTGCTACCGAAGATCCCAATCGCAAGCGCACTATCGTCTCCGGCGTGATGCACAAGCTCAAAGGCAACGCGGGGGCGTTCTTCTTCTTGCTGCAGTCAGAGGATGGCGACGTGTTCAAGGCCACCATTGATATGGCCGAGGATGACGAAGGAAATCCGACTGGCGAGGTTCGCAGACTCAGAATCAAGTATTTTGATACTGTCCCCGTATCGACCAGCCTCAACATCCTGAAGAGTGGGTTTCTTTTCGTGGCCAGCGAATTCGGTAACCACCACTTCTATCAGTTCGAGAAGCTTGGTGATGATGATGAGGAGCTGGAGTTCTCCAGCGACGACTTCCCTGCTGACCCGCTCGCCTCGTTCTCGCCGGTATACTTCTATCCACGACCTGCTGAAAACCTGAGTCTTGTGGAGAGCGTCAATTCGATGAATCCCCTTATTGACACCAAAGTCGCCAATCTCACCGAGGATGACGCCCCTCAAATCTTCTCCATTTGTGGAAATGGTGCTCGCAGTACTTTCAAAACTCTCAAGCACGGCCTGGAGGTCAACGAGATTGTGGCGTCTGAGTTGCCTGGTATTCCTTCGGCCGTCTGGACCACAAAGCTCACTCGGGAGGATCAGTACGACGCATACATCATTCTGTCTTTCAGCAATGGCACCCTAGTTTTGAGCATTGGCGAGACCGTCGAGGAGGTCACCGACACCGGCTTTCTTTCTTCTGTTCCCACCCTCGCCGTCCAGCAGCTGGGCGATAACGGGCTGATTCAGGTTCACCCCAGAGGTATCCGGCACATCATTAATGGCCGCGTTAATGAGTGGTCGGCCCCGCAGCACCGCACCATTGTGGCCGCGTCCACAAATGAGCGTCAAGTCGCAATTGCTCTCAGCTCTGGCGAGATCGTCTATTTCGAAATGGATACCGATGGGTCCCTTGCTGAGTACGATGAGAAGAAGGAGATGTTCGGCACCGTGACTTGCCTAAGTCTCGGACAGGTGCCTGAAGGGCGGCTGAGAAGCTCTTACCTCGCTGTCGGATGCGACGATTGCACGGTACGAGTGTTGAGTCTTGACCCTGATTCCACTCTTGAGAGCAAGTCTGTCCAGGCTTTGACTGCGGCGCCATCTGCTCTCTCCATTATGTCAATGGAGGACTCCTCTTCCGGTGGCTCAACACTATATCTCCACATCGGACTACACTCTGGTGTATACCTCCGAACTGTTCTCGACGAAATTACCGGAGAGTTGACAGATACCAGACAAAAGTTCCTGGGTCCCAAACCAGTCAAGCTCTTCCAGGTCTCTGTTCAAGGTCGTGGCTGTGTCCTTGGGCTAAGTTCACGGACATGGCTAGGCTATTCGGATCCAATCTCCAAGGGCTTCATGATGACACCTCTGGACTACAGCGACCTCGAATGGGGGTGGAATTTCAGCAGTGAGCAGTGCGAAGAGGGCATGGTAGGCATCCAGGGTCAGAACCTCAAGTAAGTCCGGCGTCTTCGCATACCCCTGATTGAACCTGCAAGAGGCCTTTGCCCCTTGACCCCCTGGACGGAAGTGATGAAGAACTGGGATCCGATGCCAAAGTGCAATGAGGTCACCAAATATTATTGTACCAATTGTTCCTACTGATCCGTCAACCCATGTACCACTCGTGTTTCTTCACAATCTTATTCAGAAGGAAACTAACAAGGTGGTGACAGGATCTTTTCTGTGGATAAGCTTGACAGCACCTTGCTGCAAGAGTCTATCCCTCTTACGTACACACCGAAGCGGATGGTCAAGCACCCGGAACAGCCCTATTTCTACACGATAGAGTCGGAGAATAATACGCTCCCCCCGGAACTGCGCGCGAAGCTGCTTGCCGATCCCGGCGTCGTCAATGGCGACGCAGCCGTGCTCCCTCCGGAGGACTTTGGCTATCCCAGGGGCCGTGGGCGTTGGGCATCATGCATCAGCGTGGTTGATCCATCTATTGAGAAGAGGGTCTTGCAAACCCTTGATCTTGAGGATAACGAAGCAGCTGTGAGCATGGCGACGGTATCATTTGCGAGCCAAGACAACGAGACTTTCCTTGTTGTCGGCACCGGGAAGGACATGATCCTGAATCCTCGCCAGTTCAGCGCTGGCTTCATCCATGTCTACCGATTCCAGGAGGATGGTCGAGAGATTGAATTCATCCACAAAACAAAGGTTGAGGAGCCACCAATGGCCCTGATTCAGTTCCAGGGACGACTCCTGGCAGGCATCGGCAAGACTTTGAGAGCTTACGACCTGGGTCTGCGTCAGCTTCTCCGTAAGGCTCAGGCCGAGGTCGCGCCGCATCTCATTGTCTCACTACAGACTCAAGGCAGTCGCATCATTGTGGGAGACGTACAGCAAAGTGTCATTTACGTTGTATACAAGCACGAGAGCAACAAGCTCATCCCCTTCAGCGATGATCAGATTGCTCGCTGGACGACTTGTACTACTATGGTCGACTACGAATCTGTTGCAGGTGGTGACAAATTCGGCAATGTCTGGATTGTTCGCTGCCCGGCCAAGGCCAGTGAAGAGGCTGACGAAGACGGCGGCGGCGCCCATCTTGAGCACGCCAGAGAGTACTTGCATGGCACCAATCACCGCGTGAGCTTGATGACGCACTTCTTCACTCAGGATGTACCAACCAGTATCACCAAGACCAATCTTGTCGTTGGTGGCCAAGATGTCTTGCTTTGGAGCGGCATACAAGGCACTATTGGCGTCTTCATTCCATTTGTCAGCCGTGAAGATGTCGACTTCTTTCAGAGCCTCGAATCCCACATGCGGACTGAGGACCCCCCACTCGCTGGGAGAGATCACCTGATCTACCGTAGCTATTATGTGCCTGTTAAGGGTGTCATAGACGGCGACCTGTGTGAGAGATTTGCATTGCTCCCCACAGACAAGAAGCAGATGATCGCGAGCGACCTCGACCGTTCAGTCCGCGAGATCGAGAGGAAGATTTCGGTAAGTTTTGAGTGGAGTCCTTGTCCTCATCAGTCATGTGCTAACTGCTAACGTCACCAAACAGGACCTCCGCACCCGATCAGCGTTCTGAGCACACTTTCTTTGTGTAGTCCGAATCGCTCTCGCCACAGTGACAAAGCGACAACCCTTGGCGTGTGGATAATGCTGGGATATTTTGTTCGAAACTTGGCACGACACCATCCAGCTGTTCAGACAGCCTCTCACTGGCTGCACAGCCGACAAGCTCGGTCATTTCATGGCAACACGTACTTCTATGTACTAGCGTCTAGTGAAGCCTGGTACCCGCGTCGCGCCACGAGGTCGTGCTGCCGTTTTCCCTCGCTTTGTACTTTCGAGAGGATGTGCGCGCTCCCACTCCTCATCTGCCAGATAGGCTTCTACGGCGAGATCCATGTCATAGTCGGCCTGCTCCAAGTATAGTACCGCCAAGTCGTACTCGTGCACTTTGCAGCTGACCATCCACCTCCGAATCTTGGCTTTGCGCAGCTCCTCCTCCTCACCTTCAACCGGACGGGGAGACAGTGAGATACCTGCCTTGTAATATTGGCCAGGTATTATGACTGTCCGGCGCGCAAGTAATAAATGGTCTGCATTGAGGTTATTCGCCCTCCGCAGCGCATCCGCTGGGACACCATAACGCAAAGATAATGAGGAGACTGTATCATCGGGGTGATGGAGGAAGTGCAGGGTATCCTCCGCGACGTCGTCATCCAGCGGCACCGACTTTTCGTCGAGAGGTGAGGACGAATTGCGAAACGGTCTGTGAATCGTGGGATATGACGTATATGGTGGCGGCGCTAGAGATTCGACGGCGGCTGGATCAGATGTTGAGGCTACCGCGTCATACGACGGTGGCTCTTTGAGGCCCGGCGGGAGGCTACTCGTTGTTTGAGAAATTTGACAATACGGGCAATATGTCCTAAACCTCGGGTTGCTCTTTAGAGAATCACATTAGCACGCAAGAGTGTTGCGCTTGCGATACAAAACCAAACGAAAGGACTCGTGATTTTTCGTGATGATGATAACGTACGCGAATGCAGGCGCCGCATATGACTCTGGGGCAGCACTCCAGCCGATGATCCGGAGGGAGTGGCTTCTCGGAAGAATCGCTATATCGCTCGACCTGTGACAGGAGCATGGCGCAAGTGCAGCACGCCTCCATGTTTGAGGCTGGGCGAGGAGAACCTCTGGCGGACGCGACAGTCATTCTGCCCGGATTCTGTTCGCTGATGCGCGGATATGCAGGGTGGCCGGGCAGAGCGGTTGTTCTTTGTGGCTGTCGGATCTGGACGCAGAGAAGGGTATTCTCGCGGGGAAGTGTTGTGATGGCGGCGGAGGCAGTGGTGACGGATAAAACGTCGTGGGGGTCGAACAAGCTTGGAATTTGGGCCAGCCTAGACACATTTCGGATCTAGATGTCATGGGGCGGCGGGTGCGCCTACACAGCGGCGGCAACGCTGCCTGTTGCCCCCCCCCCCCTACTGATCAGGTCCAAATTAATCCGGCCCAAGCCCCCCCACCAAAATTGGCTGCACAGTACTTGCACACGACAAAAGGCCACAGAACCGTCAAACGAGGTCAGAATCGAGTAGTAATTATTGCATTTTGAAGCTGGCGATGGCGGCTTCAATATTTGGTGTATCCTCCGCGCGCACGGGCCACTGCGCGAAGGCGACGGTCCATTGTAGTGAGGACCTTTGTGATCAGCCGTTCCGGCACTGCTGCCCACGCCGACTTCAAACACTCCTCAAATTGGGAGGTATCACCGTCGTTTCTTTTGAGGGCCATAATGTTTGGAAACAGTTTTACTAGCTGGCGCTTCATTGAGGCCCAAATGTGCTCAATTGGGTTGAGATCTGGCGAGTGTGCTGGCCAGTCTGGTAGTACCGCAATGCCCCTGACGGCGAGCCAATCCATAGTACTCTCTGCGCAATGAATTGCTGCATTATCCTGCTGAAATACCTGCCAATCGTCGTATATTGGGATGAAGCCATCGCGTAATGCCTTCTGATAACTCCAGGCCGTATAGCCCTTCTTTCGCTTGTTAGGATCTGGCTGCGGTTCGCGCTGCATTATCACCAACTCTGACCGGCACCCCACGCCGTTCTTCAGGTATATGGCACCCCAAACCATAATGGATAGGTTCGCCTTAACGTGCGATTTAAGGTTAACGAACTGGTCGTCCCATTTCTCGCTTGGGAAGCGGAATACCCATTGCGCGGGTGCGTTCGTGGAGTTCTGGCAGGACGACTCATCCGTGAAAATCACCTAGATCAAGTCAGGATAATCCCACCAACTTCACTTACACGTACCTCCTGCAATTCGTCGACTTTTGGTAGCCACTCTCTTGCAAATGCAAGCCTAGCTCTTCGTGCTTCTTTAGATAGCGGAATCCTCTTCTGAGCTTTCCACTTACGTAGCTTAGCTTCGTGAATGATGCGCTTTATAGATGTCTTGGAGATCTGGAAGGGCATGGCTTGTATGATCTCTGGCCACGTCGCTTTTCGCTTGCGTTTGACGATAGTTAGTACGCGCCTTCTCTGGGCATTTGTGAATCCATTGCGACCATTCCGAGGCGATTTGGCTAGGTTGCCGTTGTTTTTCCAGTCCGAGATAATGCGGGTGATTGTTGACTTGGAGGCCCGCGTAAGCTCGGCAATGCGGCGGTGCGTTACACCTGCGAAATGGGCGGCGCAGATAGCTGCTTTCTTCTTAGGAGTGAAATCCTGCTTCGGCAGCCTATCGGCGCACACTCCAGCAACAAAATCATCCATGATAACCTCAAAATGCGCTCGAAATGGTGGTTTTGAAGAAGGGAGGGTTTGCAGGTGGCGCGACGCGTTCGCGTCGGTGGGGTGGTTGGGCCGGATTATTCTGGGCCCCAACTGTAATTGCTGGTTAAGTCCGGCCCAGGTACATGTGCTCCGCTGACTGTACGGGACTCTACTTCCATCATCACCACTGCGGTCCTTGCTCTCGGACTGCTTGACTTTCTGGGCGGCCAGTCCGTGTCTGTTGTGCAAGGGAGAACAGTTGTGCTATTTCATCGCATCGCACAACATACCTCTTTCGGCAGATCAGGCCCTGGCGCTGAGCTGCATGGGTTTCGTTCTGAAATAACGGCATCGAGACTGCAAGCAACAATGTCTCAGGGAGGAAATCCCCTAGTCCCCGAGCTCCAGTCCACGTACCAAGAACAGTTTGAAGACACCTGGCTGCTTTGCATCGATGTCACTTGGTGCACCGGAACAGCTCGTGACGGTAGTCGTTGTCTGTGGTCAAGCACCGATATTCCAATCGGCCGGTCTGGTTGTGGTACCGTGACTCGTGCTGGGGTTACGTCACGATGCCCAAGCGCCGGTGGTAGCGTGCATGGGCTCGGCGTTAGCTTAGCGGGCAGGTCCCTTGGGGACGCTGTGGAGCTCTCGCTGCCAGCAACACCACTGAGCAGCTTGAACGCAAGTCCACTCGGCAACTCGAGCTGTGAAACAACAACTGCCACGACAACGACGAAAGGCAATCTGCCCGACAGAAAAGCCGATACACTTCCACGGCAGACCTGCTCGCCAACTCACCTCGCCACTCAGAGCCACCTACCACCCCTCGATGCATTCTCGCCTTGCTTCTTCTCCCGACTCGTGACGACGCCTCGCCCACGATGGCTGACAGCGGTTCACCTGTCAAAGCCGGGTTGGCAGCAAAGGCAGCCTCGATGACGAACCATACATTCAGGCCTAGTGGGCCATCGGTCGCCGTCATGCTCAACGAGGCCGGCCTCGACTCTCCCTCGTTCCGGGCCACAGCTGTCCACTTCACCGAGCAGGTCGACGCCATCGAGCGCTGGCTGGACGGCTATGCCAAGGCTAGCGCAAAGCTGTCGCACGACTTCCTCGCCCTCGAGGACCACGTCAATGCCTACATGTCCCGCATCATCCCGCCAGTCCACATCACCGCCATCGACCATGACTACTCCGCGCTCGCGCTCAAGCGATTCGGCGACGGTGCACGAGAATGGTGGTCCTCAATGCTGGGCACGGCCAAGAAGATGGAGACGCTTTCGACCGAACCAGTACGCAAGTTCCTCACCGAGGAGCTCAGGACGTTCAAAGAGGCCCGCAGAGTCCTCGAGGCGACGCAGAAGGCCTTCGACACCACCCTCGCCCGCTACGTGGCTCAGTCCAAGACAAAGGAGCCCTCGTCACTGCGCGAGGACGCCTTCGCCGTCTATGAGTCTCGCAAAGTATACTTGAAGGCCTCGATGGAGTTTTGCCTCTTCGCGCCACAGCTCAAGAACGCACTCGACAAGCTCCTGGTCCGCATCTCGACCGACATGTGGCGAGAGATGAAAAAGTCCAAGTCCGCTGCGGGCAGCTTCGGCAAGTACGGCCAGGAGATGGACCGGGTACGCGGCTGGGTGAAAGAAATGGAGCTCAACGAACCCGTCTTCAAGCGTGAGCTGCTCACCTCGCGCCGGGATATCGGGGAGACCGCACTGGCCAGCTTCAAGCCATCTCGGGAAATTGACGACTACGGTACTTCGACCGTGCCTTTTCTCGGGTCTAGAGGGCCCATGAATGTGGCTACGGACGGTCAGGCAGCCGTCATCTCGGAAAAGCAGGGCTGGCTATTTCTCAGGACGATTTCGGGCAAGCCAGCACGGCACCAGTGGATCCGCCGGTGGTACTACTGCAAAGACGGGATATTCAGCTGGCTTGTCAATGGGCCGCAAGGTGTTCTGCAGGGCGATGAGATTGGTGTTCTGTTGTGTAACGCCAAGCCTGCTGTTGGAGAGGAGCGCCGCTTCTGCTTCGAGGTCAAGACGAAGAACCAAAGCCTGATGCTCCAAGCTGAAACCCAAGCTGAGCTCATTGAATGGCTGGAAGTGCTTGAGGTTGCCAAGAAGAAGGCCTTTGAGGCAAGTGTCGGCAGGAATGCATCTCTGCTGCCTGGAGGCGTCGACCCAGCCTTTGCCATCGCTCAGCCTGCCCTTCCCGAGTTCTCCGCCAAGTTCTTCGATGCGCAGATGAGCTTCGGAGGCGGCGACGACGGACCGCTCGCCATGGACCGCACAGGTACGCTCGCTGTGCCAGGACAGGAGCTTGGCCCTCGAGCAAGCACGGATGGCACCATCACCTTGCCCAAGCGGTCTGCGACTTCAACTCTGGTACGCGAAGAAGGCGAGAGTGGCCGCGAACACGCCGCTAGGATCATGCAGAAGCTCGATTTGCACCGCAAAGCAACATTTGGCGCACCCGAAACGGCCAGCACGTCCGCCGCGGCTATGCCTACAGGCGGCATAGCTAGCTTGATATCGGCAAGCCACAGCCTGCTGCCCAGTCACCAAAGTCCAATGCTTGCGCAGCAGCTCAGTTCGAAATCAGGATCCACGGCAGCACTCACAGGACCGGAGATGCACCCCGGAACACTGGCCCCCACGACGCTGGCGCGACCTCCCGCCCCTACCAGTCTTAGCAAGACAGCGGTCGTCTACAGTGGTGACAGGGCATTCACGGCAAATCCAACTCGGACCATGCCAACTGCCATTCTTGCAAACTACTGGGGTAGTCATGCCTGGTCGCAAGAACAGACGAGCAAGATTGCCAGAGAGATTTCGGACCCTGATGATCCGTTTGGGCCGAACTCGCCTACTATCATGATGACACGAGCGAACGACAGTGAGACGGGCACGCCGCTGTCGGCGCACAAAAAGTCTGTCAGCATGGATGCCAAGATCTTGCCGCCGTCGGCACAGGAGAAGCCGCCACAGGAGACGTTCCCTACCGGCTATCCGATTGAACTCAAGACCAATTCTGCACAGTTCCGTCTCTTGTTCCCGTCGGTGTCGATAGATGAGAAGCTTGTCTTGGTTTTCCGAGCCTCATGGAACAGTACCGCTGACGGACAGCCAAACACTCCCCAGATGGCAGGGAATGGACGGATCTATGTCACTTCAGACAACATGTACTTCTATGGCAACCAGATGGGCCTCGTCGTTACGTATGCGTTTAGTCTTGATCGCATTACCGAGGCCACGGCTGCTCCTGGGAAGGACTGCGATTTCATCTTTCTGCATCTGGATCAGGATGATGAGAATGCGTACAACAGAATCACGATCAAGGTCTACTTGGAGAACCTCGACTTGCTGCACGCTCGTCTGAACCTGCTCATCGACGACTTGCAAGCAGAAGAGCCTATGGACACCTCCGAGCTCGTACAGATGCTCATAGGCCTCGAGGGCAATACGAGAGAAAAGCGCAGCCCCAGCGCGGACAGCTGGGAGAATGTATCTGCGCACGAGCATGGCAATGAGAGTGCTTCTGGCAGCCGTGCGGCGAGCCCGAGATCACATGACTTTGTCTACAAATCTCGCTCGCGAGCCGTGCACAACCCTTTCCCCAAGATCCAGCTTCCAACTCATCCCGTATTCTTTGAGCCTGAAGACATGCAGAGAAAGGTGGCTGAGCGGAACTTTGAGATCAGCGCCAAGGCATGCTTCCACGTGTTGTTTGGCGACAAGAGCTTTGTTTTCCCCAAGATGTACTTCGACCGAAGGGCCAAGGAAATTGCTCAGGGCCCTTGGGTCAACATCCCGGACTTGGATCGCCTGCAACGAAAGTTCAACTTCAAGGTAGACTTCTCCTCTGGACTGCTCAAACAGACCAAGGCCTTGGATGTCACCGACTATCAGACCATCGAGGTCTTTAGCGACCACGTTACATACGTCGTCACATATGTGCGAACACCATGGCACCTGCCCCATCCAGATAGTTTCAGGCTGGTTACCAAGATTGTCATTACACACGTGGCCAAGTCCAAGTGCAAGCTTGCACTGTTCATCAAGGTAGCCTGGTCGAAACCACCAACACTTGGCCGCGCCATGGTTGAGCGGCAAGCCCTGGATGACGCGGGGCAAGATGCGGAGGAGCTCGCGGATGTGGCTACGGACCAGGTCAGGAAGCTAGGCCACCACAGCCGCACCAAGAGGGCGATCCAGGTGTACGGAAACGTCGGGCAGGAGCCTCAGGTCCTCGTGTTCCGACCAGGCGATACGGGCGACGCCTCGAGCAAGAAGTCGCAGGTGAACCCGCGGACAATGACATCCATGGTCTTTGACACGACGCGTTCTTTCATGGAGAGTGTGGCGACGTCACTGATGATGTGGGCGTTTGCCGTCGTCAAGAAGGCATGGGACGTGGTCACGGCGCAGCGTCTCCTGCTGACCGTGCTGGCCCTGAGCGTGATGGTCAACATGCTGCTGTCGTCGCAGAACACAATGGAGTGGTGGGGCGAGCGCCGAGCTGCCAAATTTATGGGACGCATGGGCATCACACCCAACGTGGTGATGAGCAAGGCGATATACCTCTCGGACCTGGAAGATGCGGCACGCGGCTCGAGGGTTGAGTACTCGTTGCCGCAAGGGAGCACCTGGTGAGCCCTTTCTCCCCTCCTTTCCCATAACACGATGCATGTTCTGCATGGGCTCCCGTGGCTAACGAGTTTGTGAACATGACAGCTTTGACAAGTACCAGGCCATCATGAACAGCACCTCGGTCGAGGCGCCTTGGGATGATGCGGGCGCAGGCCTGTCGCTTGCGAGTAGCCGATCCGCCGCGCGCCGGCTGCGGCGCACTCGTCAGCGCTTAGGCACGTACCGGCACGACCTGCTTGTCGCTATCCGCATGGTCAACACGGTGGAGCGCGAGGCCGTACAGGCTGAGTGGGAGAACTGGCTACTGGACGAGAACGAGCGGTGCGACCAGGCCGGCACGCTGCTCAAGGGCATGCAAAGCGGCGGGAACTCGACTACCGCGACGACCACCAAGAGCAAGAAGGAGAAGAAGCTGGCGCAGCAACAGAAGCAGAAGAAGGACGAAGCAGAGCAGGACAAGGCGAGAGCCGAGCTAGAGGCGTGGTATCAGGAGTACTGCGGGAGCTGCCGGGCGGATCGCGATGCTGTGCTTGAGGCCAAGGAGGTTCTGTCGCTGAAGTAGAAAGCTAGCGAATCGTGGCGAAGATGTGGTTTTTTTTCTCTGTGAGAGGGACCAGTATTGGTTCATCTCAGCATCTATACATGGATACCTTAGGAGGCAAGCACAGCGGCAGCAAGAGTATTCCTCATATTGTGTATACACGAGCGGAGTGTCCCGCGATGGTCACAAACCCCACTTCTCGCGCGTTGTGAGTGTACACTAGGACAAGACCAGGGATGTGATGAGAAAGGGAAGCTCGGATCGTGACTGGCGCCGGGTGTGAAGGAGCAACTCATTCGTGCCGACAAGCTCCTCGGTGGTCACGTTGACGTATGTGTTTTGGCCTAAGCAAGGAAAACCCCCCACCCACCGCCTCATACCCGGACGGAGCAAAGTATCCGTTAGTCTGCGAGTTAGCCTCGCGGGGGAGACGCAGTATGTAGACGAGGAAAACCGGAACACTGTCGCGTGTCACAGCCCAGAAGGGGGCAGTTCCCACTTGAGCTCTCTTGAACATGTTCCCCCCTACCGCTGCGACAGGGCCTTTGAAGAGGCGCCTGTCATCATTGCCCGGGGGGCCTCCCCTCAGTGCCCCATGCCCAGGAACAGGCCAAGCGGGAGGCGCTAGAAGGATGCATGCAGCTGTGACGTCAACCCCCCCTGCCAGCGGGTTGGACGCTGGACAGCCCACATCGTCGTCGTGCGCGAACTGGCAGAACCCCGCGACTCAGAGGCTCAAAAGGCTCAAAGGCTCAAAGGCTCAAAGGCTCAAAGGCTCAAAGGCTCAAAGGCTCAAAGGCTCAAAGGCTCAAAGTAGCACGCTAGCACTCTCTGTGAGCAAGCAGTTGAGCAAGCGTCGCAGCTAGTTCAGGAAATTTCCAAGTAGTGTAGTCGGGTGCTGCAGGCATGACGGGGTCATCGAAGTCGTTTTTTTTGTCCCGTGTGAGCCTCGGGCTCCATCCCCGCATTGAGTGTATGGGATCGCCCTCTCTCTGTCTGGTGCCGTCTTGCGTAGACGCACTACTTGGCGGCATGTCGACACTGACACAAACCAGCAGGGGCTCCCTGCCATGCTAACGACCTTGCAGACTGGACCGCCCGGGGGTTGATCGACATCGCCGGGCCTGAGGCCATCATCCTAATCGCCGTCTCTGAAAAAGAAACCGGCCCTCTTCGCTCCTGGAGGCTCGCCGGCACACCCATCTACTCCTGCTTCAAACATACACGAATTGACCTCTTGCGGCAAGCATCGCAACCTCTCAGGCTGGCCGATCGATTGTCTCCTGTCGCCTGCCTATATCCAGTGCATCTGCTGCATTCGCGTCCATCTCGCCCCCATTGCTGTGCAGACACGTGCATAGCCCCAAACCGTTGAGCGACGATCTCTGGGAGGCAGCCCGGCACTCTTGATATACCTCTGGCGTAGACCGGCAGACCTTGGTCAACGGCATATCCATTCGCAACCACCAACTACTACATCCATACCATCACTCGGCAAATACCACGTGCCGTAGATTGAGCCGCATCCTGTCTCGGCTGCGTCGGCTTCCTGTCTCCATCTCGGGACCCACGGCCGGCTGCTGTCAACGCCACCTCTCTGGCTTGTAGCAAACAAACAAATAAACCAAGGCGACAACCACTTCCAGGAGTTGTCGAGTATCCCCAATCCAGGCTTTCACACCTTTTGCCTGCCACGATCAGGACCGCCGTGCCATCCCCACACACCAGACCGCAGCAGTCATGGGTGGCGGCGGCCCCCACGAGGTCTTCAAGGCCCTTGGTCCGGCGGATTGGGCCAAGGACATCACTCCAGATGGCAGCCCCGACGGCCTCCGCGACTTTATGCTCTCGACATTCAGCGAGGCACAATGCATCATTGACTCGATCCCGGTGGCCACCGGTATCACCGCCACCTCGACAGCGGCAGGCCGGCCCCGCGCGTCCACAGACTCGAGCGTGGCCCCGGGCTACTCCAGCGCCCTCCCCGGCCGGGCGCCGCAGACTGACGATCGCGCAAAGGCCCTCCGCAAGGACTGGAAGGAGGTCAAGGTCAACCCCAGCGAAAATCCTCTGGGCATCCACGTCTACAAGATGAGCGGCAAGGACGGCAAGGGCGCGTGGTTCGCCCGCCGCAGCCTGCACGAGGGCCTCTCCTTTGAGCGCTGGAAGTTGGGGATGGAGCGCGAGTTTGCCGAGACGATGAAGGTCAAGAAGGACCCGGGGAGCGGCAACATCCGCGGCATCGGGGCCGAGCGGTGCGTCGAGAACACCATCGTCGATGGGTGTGGCAAGGCTAAAGGTATGGTGCTTCTGTATGACCGGGCTGAGCGGGACGGATACTGACATGTCTTTGGTTCAATTTAAGTCTACCAGCTGTCTGCACAGTTCCCTGGCCCTACCACACCACGGGACTTTGTCACGCTGATGCTCACATCTGACTCGGCACTTGAAACACCAGTGCAGGACGGTCAGAAGCAAGCACGGCATTTCATAGTCGTGTCCAAGCCATGTGTCCACCCAGAGTGCCCACAACGCTCGGGGTACATCCGTGGATACTACGAGTCTGTCGAGTTCATTCGCGAGATCAAGGTCAACAGGCCGCTGCGGAGGACCCAATCCTCGACCGACACCCGGCCCAAGAGCGGCGAGCCCAACCTCGCTGCGGAGGCAGCCAAGGCTGCCCTCGAAGGGTCGGCAGCGAAGGAAGGCGAATCGGGCCGGCCCCGTGGCAAGACCATCGCCTTCGCAGGGGCTGACGGGTCTGAGCATCCGGAAAAGGATGCAATGCAGGAGGACGACGACTCGAACACCATGATCGAGTGGCTCATGGTCACGCGCTCCGACCCCGGTGGCAGTGTGCCGCGGTTCATGGTCGAGAAAGGCACGCCGGGCGGCATCGCGGGCGACGCCAACAAGTTTCTCAAGTGGGTGTCGTCCAAGAACCTGCAGGACTTTGACGAGGCGGATGAGATGGACAGCAAACTCAAGGGCGAGGCGCAGGACGCCGAGGAGACGGCCGTCATGCACCAGAAATCCTCGGCCGACCCCACGGCGAACGTGCTCGACAAGCCGACCGTCCAGCCGAAGCCGAGACTGTCGCAGACTCCAGCACCTCGATCTACCCGTATGCCCAACAAGAACAACAACAACTACAACGGCTACACTGACGGGGGAGAAGAGGATCCCTCCCCACAAGGCTTCTACGGTGTCATCGCCAACGCGCTGGGCATGGTTGCCTCGCACCTGCCCAACCCATTTGGTACGTCGGCCAAGGGCGGGGACACCGATGCCAGCTCGTCTATTGCGTCGTCGGATATCTCGGACGACACTGCCTCGTCGATCCATAGCTTCCACAGCCTCGAGAGCGGAGACGAAGGTCTCGGCTCTTCCTCGCGGGCAAGAGACGACAGCGGCGGGACGGGCACAGGAAGCGCAGCAGTCTCGGTACGTAGCATGGAGTCATCGTCCGCAACCGCGGCGGCGGCAGGTGCGGGCAGTCTGGCGGGAGGGGCAGACATGACGAGGGCAAAGCGCAGCGCGACGCAGCACGAGAAGGAGCTCCGCAAGCTCGAGCAGCGGAAGAAGAAGATGGATGAGAGGCACGCGCGGGACCTGGCGAAGCGCGCAGACGACTCTACAAAGGACGACAGCGCGGTCTTGAAGCTCAAGGAGAAGCACGAGCGGGACCGCCAGCGCCAAGAGGAGAAGTACCAGCGGGAGCTGCGGAAGCTCGAGCAGCGCCGGGAGAACGAGGAGCGCAAGGCAGAGCGCAGGAAGGCCAAACAGCTCGAGAAGCAGGAGAAGAGCGACCTGGGCATGGAGCTCGAGCGGCTCAGGGCCGAGCGCGACGTTGCCTTGAAGCAGATAGAGATGCTCAAGGAGCAGGTTGGCGAGCTGCAAGGGCAGAACACCCTGCTTGTTGCGAGGCTCGGCAGGGAAGGCATCACCATCGCAGGAGGTGCGGATGGGGTCTTTTCGGATCTGAGCAACGGGCGCAGGCCGGTTGGTGGCAGTGCTCGGGGCCCGAGTCGGAGCATCGGATCGGCGTCGTCAACTTCGATAAAGGCGGCATCGGTCAAGAGCGCAAAGCCTCTGGATCCTGGTGTGCAGGTTGACGGGCCGGCTTGTGTGAGAGAGCCTGTCAAGGGGTGATGTATCAACTTTCCAACATGGGACAGATTTCCCGAGCCAAAACGTGAACAAGCGAATATCCCTAGTCTTTATACTGGTGGTAGTGGTTGAGGTATTTATGGTGTTTCATAGCTGCGATCATCGGTAGCGATCTTTTCTGCATCTCAATATCAGGCTCGTCATTGCATGCACTTTCAAAAGAGACATGGTACAGTTCTTCTAGAAATGGTTTTAGGAAACGCCAATTTTCGGAATGATAAGCACTCCCCCTCAACTGCCAAAAAACCCATCTATCGACGGCAGTCGTGCAACAAGGCCCCCAGGAAACGCACTCGCCGAGTTGTCCTCAGAACCCCTCACAGAGCGCAACTAAAAGCCCGTGGACCTCATTCTTCCTTCCAATCTCCGCGAACCGCACGAGTTCCCTCCGGATCAACTCCCTCTTCTTGTCGTTCCTTGCCTCCTTCTCAGCCACCTTTACACCATCGCCCGCGCCCGCGCCCGCACCGGCACTACCGCCGGTCTCGGGCTCGGGCACTGCAGAACCGACGAGAGATACGCCACACGTCAGGATGCGGTAGCAGATGGCGTACACGGCGGGCTTTGACGTCCATCCCAGCGGGCCGTCGCGGCCCTGCTGCCGCTGCTTCTCCTTCTGCTCCTCCGCCTCCTTCCCTTCCCCCCCCTCGTCGTCGCCGGCGGCGATCCGATTCAGTGTCTGCAGAGCTTCCAGGGTCCATGTCGAGAGCGCCTCGAGGACCGGATGAGACTCCAGACTCGAGGACGAGGACAGCAGCCGGGGAAAGCACGCGATGAGGGCGGCCCGCCAGCGCTGCGCCTCGCGGACCTCGTCGACGTACAGGTTCTGCTCCTCGACGACGAAGAGGGCGTCGTCGAAGCGCATCGCGAGGCGGAGCTGCTCGTCCGCGGGGGGCCAAGAGGTCTCGGTGTCCTCGTAGCCGCCCGTGTTTTGGCCGACCGCCAGCCGGCAGGCGACCTCGGCGCGGAACTCGATCGCGCTGCTGCTGCCGCTGCCAAACTGCTCGCACAGCCAGGCCAGCAGCCGCGCGGCGGCCTCGATCGAGGCCAGCGCTTGGGCGCCACCATGCCCCGGGAGGAGGATGTTGCCCGTGGCTGCAGCTGCGACGGCGCGGACCTCGTCGTCGTCGTCGTCGAGGCTGTCGTATAGCGCCAGCAGCCAGGGGAGATGGGCTTCGTCCAATGGTGGTGGTGGGCTTGGGTTGCTGGTGTTGTCGTTGTCGTTGTTGGTGACAGTGCTATCGGGTAGGGCTGGTGAGAGGCGCATGGCGGTCGAGATGGACAGCATAGCACTGGCGGCAGCGAACCGCGTATCGAAGGTCTGGTCGGCCGAGCCGGCGGTCGTCATCATGAAACCCCAGGTGCGAAGCCAGGTCGGCAGCATCCTTTGGTATACTGGCTCGTCGCGGGCAATGACGACCGCTAAAATGCAGCCGCCAACCTGCATGATGGACTCGGAGAGGCTCGGCGTGATGGGGAGTCTCGTGATATTCTCCCAGAGCCGGACAAGCTCTTCAGTTGCGGGCAAGAGGGAGAATTCAGGCGAGGGAGCACTGATCGCCTGGTTCAAGAGCGCGCCCAGATTCTCGAGTGCCAGTGAGACTGGCTCAGTGGCCCGGGTCTCGAAACAGACACTCATGTTGGCATCCAGCAACACCACGAAGGTGTCTTTGTCCATGTCCGTGGGTAACCTTGACAGGCGCTCGAGCATTGCACAAGAGACGTTGATGTCGGTCTCCAAGGCGTCTTTCAGTGCTGCTTTCAAAGTGTTGTTGGCGCTGCCTGGCGCGATCTGCGTCACTGCCTGTGTCTGTGCCTCTCCAAGCCTGAGGTGAAGAAGCGCGGACGTTCGGTCTTTGAAGCCGTCGTCGAGTATCGCCTTCGGTATTGCGATATGTGATAGCCCTGTCCTTGCTGATTCTTGTGACGCCAACTTAATGATGGTGTTGACGACGTCAATGTACACTGCTTGTACCTCCGAACAAGAGCTGCCATCAGAGACGATGTCCACAACCGAGGAAAGCATGGTGGACAGCGATGTCAGAGTCATGGCTGTGCTGCATTAGTACAGTGACACCGTCAATTGCGTGGCCAAGGCTCAACATACCTGAAATCTGCTCCGGCATGACTTCCGATAACCGTTCAAGGAGGAACCTGAGCGTCATGAGGGCTCCGTGGAGCTTGTTCGCAGACGAAGTCGACTTCAGAACGAGATCTTGCACATCCTCGCTCCACCCAGGTTGGAGCAAGAAAGAGCACAGGGTGCGCGCCGCAATCTCGCGAACGTGCCAGATCCGGCTGCCGAGGTACCATGAGATCAACTCGTACAGTTCGTCACGGGCTGCCTCAGGAGGACCGGCGCGGCGGATGATGTCCAGGGCGGGAAACACAGACTCCGCCGATTGTGAGCCGATGAGCACCCCCTCGGCCTGTTGGCCCATCTGGAGCAGGTTGACCAGGACTGCTGGAAGCTGAGCGAATTTGTGATACGGAATCCTGGTGGTTTTGCCAGCCCAACCTGCTTCTATGGATGCCTTGCTCTCGTTGGTACCCAAAAGGCAGTCAATCAGGCTGCGAAGGAGAATCAAGCCACAGTTTCGTATCGCCCAGCTAGAAATGGTTAGTCGTATGTTGTGGTTGTGGTTGTGGATGTGCAAGGGAAGGACAGAGATATCTATACTTACACCTCTGACTTAAGACATTCTGCTGCAAGTTCCAAACATTCCGTCAGATAGGGTTCTGCCTTCTTGCTCAGATATGAGCTCTTGAAGATGTCCTTCAAGCAATTCAGAGCATGGACTTGAGACAGATTGGATCCGTCCGTCTCCGCCACTCTAGCTGGCCGCCGCGATATCCGCTGCAACTCCCGGACGACATCATGGAATGATGGCTCTTCAGCGTTCGACGACAGGACCCCGACAATAAGGGCTGGAATGCCAGCCGACCGGCGAGTTGTCGATGCTTGCGTGTGTATACATTCCAAAGCCCCCTGAGGCTTCGTTAGTGAAGGAAAAGAAGTAGTATGTGCGTTTAAGGCTCACCAGATACCACTCATTCAGGAGATTCGCCCCGTTGCTTTCAACCGGAAAGTACTGAACAAGCTGGCAACATGTAGCAAATGTTTGTGAAACTGTGGTGAAAGCACCGCGGTGTCGCAGATTTGACAGTTCTTGGAACGTCAACCTGCCAATGATCTCAAAGCTTGCGCGAGCATCTGCACTTGGCTTTATTTTTGACTCGCTCGCAAGACGGCTGGCGATGACTCGCAGAAGATTGCTTTGACGGTCGTCAGAATTCTTGGCTTGCACAGTAGATCACTGGGGCTTACCTAGACTCATGCACCGCTCGGAAGCTATAGCTGAGCAGATCTTTGGTGTCCAGTCCATCGACTTCCTCAAGATCTTCGGGCAAGTGACCCTCGGGCGAATCGTCACAAAGGATGTGCTGGACAATGTCCCAAATCTTGCTACAGCACTGAATCGTCCTGTTTTGGATCGCATAAAGTACTTCTCTGTCTTCAACTGAGAGAGAAGACGTGCTCAAGGAGCTCCAAAGATAGCTTTTTGCTGTCAGTATGTCGTTAGAGTCTCATTCGCCGGGTTGACATACCGAAGTGAAGCGAAGTTTCCGTGAACTGGACTTTCCAGGACTGCCGCCGCCAAATCCTTCTCCGCCGAGATGATCTTCTTCTCCAGGTCATCTAGTATAAGTTGGGGGACCTTCAAAGATTCACCACACTGGGATCTCCACAAGTGAAGCAGATGGTAGGAGCGGGCAGCTCCATCAGAGTGGTCAGCACGAGCGGTCCTGCTGGCAAGCAGGTCGGCTCTCTTGCAAAATTCTTCCAGTTCTGTTGCCATTTGCGCATCACGATCGCCAATTCGTGATGGTGTTGGAGATTTGGTACTGGTCGATGCCAGAGACATGATCAGGCCTGCTGCAGCGTCTCGGACATCGTCAAAAGGGTCCATAACAAGATCCAGCACACATCTCAGCCAGACTGAATCGACAAAAGGGCTGCTAACTTCTCCAAACATGGAGATCTCTGACTCTTGGACCAGAGGTGAGCTCAGCACATAATTTGTCGCCTTCAAGGATGTGATGTGGCGTTGATAGGATGCCGTAGGACTCATCTCATTTTTGAGGAAGTCGAAATACCAAAATACGAACTCGCGGTGTTGTCTTAACGTCATTTCAACGTGGCTGGCACCAGCGTTTGAAGCCGTACCCTGTGATGATGTGTTCTTCGCCTTCTTGACGGCCTTCTCATAGTCGCGTCGCACGGACTCGAGGGCCCCATGGATTCTCTTGATCATGTTGCGAGAATGACCGAGAACTTCGTACCGAAACTTGGAGTTTGAGTCGGAGTGGAAAGATGGAAGGTGTTTCTTGAGAAGATTCAGAACCTCTGGTGTGTACGGTCGCGTAGTGGAGGGTGAGGCGATCAAGATGGCGACGGCAGAGGAGCGTGCGTCATGAGAGTCATGGCATAAGACCTCCTCCAAAACATGGGCGTCCAGCTGTGTCACGGCACCAGGCTTTTGTTTGAGCCCTGGGAAAATAAGTCAGCAAAGGTGTGTGACTGTCTCTTGGTGCTCTGAACCTACCCTGGCCTGGCTCGTCCACAACACCAGCTTTCTTACCCGCCTCTAGCATAGACAGCCACAGCATGGCGTTCAGGTTCCAGCCCTCGCCACGATCACCTGTAAGCCCCTGAAGACTCGTGAGCCGCTGCAGATACTCGAGCGCGCCTGCCCGGTCGGTCTTGAAGAGCGGCATGAGGATGTACAGCCGCACCGATTCCAAGAGATCGGCATTTGCTTCGAGTGGCGGGTAGATAAAATCATGCCAAGTGCTCGGGGGATGTCTCTCATCACCATCTTTGCTCAGCGACGCTGTCAATATCGTGACTATGAGTTTTCCTGCGGCGGGGCAGACGTAATGCAGAACCATCCAGTCAAATATCTGGCTGACAAAGTTCTGCCATGTTGTTCCCTGGCTCATCTTGGATTGATGTATCTTTTTGTATGTAGCCAAGACATCGTCCAGATATATCAGCTTCTTCTGCAGAATGTGGTCAAGAGCAGTCAGTGCCGACTTTATCGACGGCCGTGATGATTTCTCAGTAATGATTGATACTGTTTCGTCGAGAATTTTCGACTTGATCGACAGGCCAACTTCAAGTGACGGGTTCTGCGCGGCGGAATAGGTGAGGAAGTCGAGCACAAGCCTCATCGAGCGGTGGGCGTCCTGCTCATTCCATTCAATGAAGAAATTGAAAATCGTGGCCGCGGTGTCTTCTGTGAAAGCAAACTCCCTAAGTCTGAGCGAAGTCGACCTTGCACATAATTCGACCAGGCCACAAAGCTTGACACAGGCGTTGCCAGACGACTGTTTTGGCTTAGACGCGCTGAGGAGTAGTGCTCGGAAGAGCTCTTGTACTTTTCTGTCGATTGATGCCATCAGTCATGTTTCCTTGTAATTCGAGGGCTTCTTCATGGGAACTTCTCTTACAATGTCTGCTCATTTTCAGGTTGTTGTTCCAACCAGATGAGAGCATGCCTGGGGTTGAATGAAGATTCTTCAATGCCCCTTATGATCTCTGACAGGTCATCGGACGCCATGACGGCCAAGAAAATTTTCTGGGCTTACACCCTTTACAAGTTGTTCTTGTCTTGCAACCCACGATCATCCGTTTTCCAAGGTGGGGGTTTTGCGATGTGTAGATGCCAGCCAAAAGCGCTCGGCGTGGCAGCAGCTGCCTTGACGTGAATGATTGGGCCTTTGTGAATGGAGAACAGACTACCCGAGGCCTGTATAAGCAACTTGTCTTGCCATACACATCGCCAAGTCGATCAAGACCATTCCCATCGAAAAGTTACAAAGGTACAACAACAAGAGCAGGTGGGATGTGAGAATTTAATGTGGATCCCGCCAGTCCGCCTCCGGTCTGGGGCCGTGTTGCAATTTTTAAGCTTTGCGACAGCTTCACGTGCTGGCTGCTTGAGTCGTCCAGGGCTGTTGGGCCCAGAGCAGGTATATCTTGACGAGAAGCTAGTACAGGCATGGCCACATCCTCATTGATTGAGGCGACTAAATATTCAAATCACGAGATGTGACTGTCTATGGGGAAGCGATGTTCAAGTACCATGGTACGGGGGATGTTTAAGAGAATACCCCTCACGAGACTGTTCGCAGAATGCAAAGATGGATCGCTCTGAGAAATCCGACTTACACATGCACGGACGGGTATAATTGTATCGGCCAGCAAGACGCCGCCATCTTCATGGGCTAGCAGGACTAAAGGTGTGATGATGCGTGCGGCGCATACGGTGTGTACGGTGCATACGGTGCGTGCAGAGAAAAGCACTTTCTGGAATGGCGCACGGGCCATCCGGCCGGTCGGCCGCCCAGTTTGACTCGAGTCCCGCGGCTCCAGCCTGCCTGCCTGGCGGCGGCGGTTGGAGATTTTTTATTGTCAGCCCTCCACCCGCCAGACTCCTTGCACGCCGCATCGTCACCCTTCGCCTCGATCCCGCTTCCCCCAGCACATCCGTCCTCGGACCTCGACCGGCCCTCTCCCGTCCCGGCCTTGCTCTCGCCTTTGAAAGCGGCTCACACCTGCTCCTGTCCTCAAGGCTCTCCCTACCCGCCCGCGACGCTTTTCTCCCTCATCGTCCTCGCACGGCACATCTTCTATACGGCATTTCGCGCACCACCATGTCGATCTGGGACGCCCTCCTCGGACGCAAGTCGTCCTCTCAGCAGTCGTCGTCCTCGTCGACAACGACGCCCTCCACACAGACGACCGAGATCGAGCCGACGTCATCCACCACCAGCTACAACCCCAGCCCTTTCAGCCCCTCAGAACCCCAAGGCGTCGATGCCTTCCTCAACAGCTCCGTGTTTGCGGACCCCTCACAGCTGCACCCGCTCGCCGGCCTCGACAGCGACAGCTTAGAGTACCTCACGCTTGAGGACTCTGCCCTCACCGACCTTCCCGGCGCTCACTCTGCCATTCCGTCTCGTGGCTTCAGCGACGATCTCTGCTATGGCACCGGCATCACATACCTTACGGCTTTGACCATTGGTGGTGCGTGGGGTCTGCAGGAAGGCCTGAGGAAGTCTGTTGGTCAACCGCCGAAGCTCCGCCTCAACTCGACCCTAAACTCGATTACCCGGCGAGGCCCTTTCCTGGGCAACTCGGCTGGCGTTGTCGCCATCACATACAACTGCTTCAACTCGGGCATCGGTTACATCAGGGGCAAGCACGATTCAGCCAACACCATCGCTGCTGGCACATTGAGTGGCATGCTGTTCAAGAGCACCCGTGGTCTTCGGCCCATGCTCATCTCTGGTGGTGTCGTGGGATCTGTGGCTGGAGCCTGGGCGGTAAGAATCCCTTCATTACGCGATACTTTCCGGTCATCCTTGAGCAAACAGCTGACTAGATTGATATCCAGATCGCCAAGAAGGTCATGGTACCTGACACAGATGCTTCGCCCAAAGAGCTGCAGCTACAATAGATGGCGCAGCCTCGACAAGTGAAAGAGAACAGCTCGGCCGTTCAAGTTTGAAACGATTTTTCTTTTGATACCACGAGACGTGCGCCACACCACCATGTATACTATCCGGATCAGTAGCGACGTCCACGCCACCGAGCGAAAAATAATCACGCGGCGATATTCCCTCGGTTTTGTTAAGCATATAGGCGAGGATGTACTTGTGTAGATATAGAGGGCATTGGCTAGAGGGCGTGGGTTATGCGACGATGGGCAAGTCACGATCTCTCCTCCAACTGGACATTGCATGTACAATACGGCGAGCAAGCACATAGAAGTGCAGCCTGCAGTTGCAACTCGGACGGCGTTTGGAAGTTTTGGGAAGGCAGAGGCCATTGCACCTTCTGACATGTAGCACAATATTGATTCCATCTTACATTGCAGATGTCCTTGCTGTTTGGTCGACTGTTTTAGCTTTGTATCGTGGTTCGCATTATTGCGACCTTCTCTCAGCCTCGAGCTTCCTGCTCCTGCCGTACTTGTACAGCATCTCCGATTGCTGTGCCAGGCGGAACGAACCTCGCGGTAGTCTCCCAAGCTAAAAGCATTCACGGACGATACTGTTGGGCATATCTGCGACGACTGGCCGACCGATGCGCAGACACACCACTCAAGCCCGAGGGTCAGTCGCACGAGGAGATAGCTGCTCTGCAGTGCACTGTTTCTCAAGAGGCGCAATCATGCTTCGCCGCAACTCACACGAGTCAACCTGCGCGGTGAAACCAAGAGCCTAGGACAGCAGCGTGGTCAGCCTGAGCAACCTCAGTCATGAGTTCTCATGCTGTGGCTTAAGATGACTCTGTAGGAGAAATTCAGACATGGAAGGGCGCACTACTTGTGTCCAGAAACTCCCTGACAAACCCGTTATGCAGATGGTCTATCTAGCTCGTCACAAATTCGCCTGCAGTCCCACCAACACCTGCGATGTCTTGGACAATTCTCCCGCCGATAGGAATTTCGAGCAGCAATCGATTCGGCTGTGGAACTGGATCCTTAGCAATGAGTGGGACCACGGCATGGCCACGCGGATGCTCACATTAGCTACACAAAACTGGCCAAGGAGAGGTTGATATGGGACGCGAAGGGTCTGCGGGGGTGACACTGCGCCGGAACCAACGTTTGACCCAACGGTCACGGCATAGTCATACAAAAGTCTCAACATCAAGAGGACAAATTTACATCGTATCACGTCAACTCTCTGGATGTCATTCGACTCAGAATACGACCGTGATGGCCTCCTGAAGTCGATATCGGGCAACTTATTTATTTCCACCTTCATGCTTGTTAGTCTTAGGGGGGGGGAGGGGGGGGCGGGCTGTGACATACCACCCAATGGGGGTTGTCGTTTGCTGGCGTGTCCGTACCTGGTGTCTAATAGTCTGAGAATATTGCATATGCTCACAACATTGCCGTACTCCTAGCCAAAGGGCCTGCTCATGCTTCTCATCTCCACGTTCCGAAGCCTGCATAGCTCATATCTAAGGTTGTGTGATGGATACTGGACTTCCATTTGCATGCGGTAGGGTCTGAAGCAGAAGAACTCGAGTTTCGAATCGCCCGGGAAACTCGCAAAAGGCCAATTATTAGTATTGTCAGAGGTGCAATTAAAGCGTTGTCTACTTAAGTACGTTTGCAATAGTGCGGACATCACCATAATCCGACATCTAAAGAGTGTCCAACTACACGGAGAAATATTTCGGTAGAGAGGGGCAAAATGTGTATCTGTATGTGCCTGCCTCTTGCGTTGATATCAAAGCCGCCGACCTCTGCTTCAACTTTGACCTACCTTCCCAAATATCATCTTCACTGCCCTCGTTTGACGACACCCAACTTTAAAGTCTGCTCGACCGCCGGCCTGACTGACACCATTGCGTTGTCGCCGCGTACACGCCATATTCGATCTAGTTCAAGACAGCACGGCGACTTTACTCGGTCGAGATGTGCCTTCCGTGCTGGCCAGTCAAGGATATCTACCTCGAGGACGACCCTCCCAACCAGTCAGTGCAATATGTCTGGGACGGAGGCAAGTGGGTGCAGACTGTGAGACCAGTCTCTTCGGTAAGCATGTCAAGTTCGCCTCCCGTCTTCTCTCTTCTTGTCCCTCTTGAGCACGATACACATCAACCATGGAAGCCCTCTTGCCCAGAAAGTTTTGCCTCTCTTCTTCGCTTCCCTCTCCCTCTCTCGGAAGATGCGAAGCCAGGCACCAACATCTCAGTCCGACTCGGAAGCATCACCAGGGCAACGGCTGCCTAGTCGTGCCACACTGGCCGTGCTTGGTCGAACAATTCCTAGTTGCACCTCACACCGGACCTTTGTTCCTGAGGTGCGCATGACTTGGCAGTGGTGGCTCTGCTGTCCAACTGCGCGTCCCCGTCTGTTTGCCTTCAAGGCCGCCCACTCTCCTCCCACATCCTCTCTCGTACCACCCACCTTCGTACAATACATGGTCGTCGCCAGCGAACCATGACCCCTCCTCTTGCAAACGACCAGAAACCCAGAGCTACTGCTCCTCACCCGGCCACTGTCAGCGACCACATTGACGACGACCGCCCTCAAAATAAGAGAGAATTCTCTGCCGCTCCTCCGTCCCGCCAGCCCGGCATCACCAGCACCCACAACGGCAGCAACGACCAGAAGCCACTCCCCTCAGAACCCACTCCAGGCAGTGACGAGGCCCTGAAGCCACCTCCCACTCCTCCTTCGCAGTTTCAGCAACCCGGCCCCGGATTCGAGAACAAAGTCTCCGGTCACACCACTGGTTGGAACTGCTCTGGTATCAACGGCTTCAACCCGTCCACAGGCCACCAGCCCATCGCACCTCAGCACCAAACCACGGGCTTCCTCGCCCAGGCTGTGCCTCCCTTCTTTTCGCATCCTTTACTCGGCACCGCCACTGTCGGATCTCGTCCCGTCGCCATGGCCGACTATTCCAACAGTGCCATGCCCAACCAGGGCCAGCATTTCCAGCCTCCCGTCCCCGATACCACCTACGGTGGCATGGTCCACACCTGGCATCCACGCTTCGATGGCGCCTCTGGTCCGCAGTTCATGATGCCTGGTCACCCCGTGGCATTTGGTGCTGTCCCCATGGCAATCCCACAGGTACTGCCCATCCATCCTGTTCAGACTATGGTTCACCTGTCGGGGTTCATCCCACAGGCGGTACTAGTGTCAACTGCCTCGTGCCCCAGCTGTCTTCACAATGCAAGTCCCCATACATGTCTGATGGTGTGTCAAGCACTTCATCCCACGCAACATTTCTTTCTGGCTCGTCTTGATACTGGGAACTGGTGACAGCTCTGAAGATTTGATTCTTGATTCTCACCTGGAGCTCACATGTTACTGTCCCCAAGATTTGATAACGATGGGGGATGGCGCTGACTCTTAGTGGTTTTAGGTCCATCCCGGCATCGCCAGCGCACCTGTCGTCATGCAGCCCATGATGAGCCCTGGTCACCATCCTGCCTACTACAGTCCCGGCCAGACTGCGCAGTACATGCACCCGGCACAGTTTGTCAATGCCCAGAACCCGGTATTTGTAGGTCATGCCGGTGTTGCTCCTCCTCCTCAGGCTCCTCCCGACATCATGGGTATTGGCAAGACCGGAGCCGAGGCCTGGTACGAGCAGTGCTATAATGCGCAGAGCGAGTCCAACAAGATGAGCGAGCCCCAGGACTTCAAGCCTGCAGACCCTGACCCTGGTCGCATGTATCCTTGCCGCGAGGTCGATGGTGCCTGGACCCAGCGCAATCTCGTCACCATCGAGCGTCTTGACGATGCTCGCTGGTATATCGACAGCCATGGTCGCTTCTATGCTGTTCGTTCCGCTGACTAACACTGTGCACAAATGTTCAGTATCGGTAAGTTTCAGGGGGCGTTCTGGGGCTCGTGTAGGACGTTGCTGATAATATCAGAGACAATGAGAAGATTTTCTACCGCAGTCCCACGAAATAAGCGGCCAATGCTATGCTCTCGTTGTAAGTGGCCCACTGACAAGGGTGCCTGGGATGAAGACTGACGTGAGGGAAAGCTCCGCCTTGCAGCCGTTTGCCACTGCTGGAACATACACTGAACTTGGGCTTTAAGCACGACGGTCGTGATTCTTACGGTTTGGCAAAACCACTGCGGCGCCATTGAGAAGGAGTGCGGGATATTGTGGTTACTATCAACACTAGATGCACGGGCCCGCATCAATGGCACAGAGAGCTCATTCTCTTCTTGTTTTCCTATGATTTCTTCGGGGGTTTCTGAACGATGACGATCCAGAACGCGCACTGCGTACCAATCCGTGCATGTCAATCTGAATCCACCGTTATCCTACTTGTCATTTTTCTTGAAGTCATCTAGTGCACCTTGACTGTGGGCTTGTCAACTTTGAGTAAATCAACAAGACTGGCCATAAGGTGTTCCTCAATAAAATGTAAAATGTAGAAGATGTCGATGATGGCCATTCAGATTCTCCGAAGCGAGCTGGGGAAACCCTCGGTGGTCTCCATACAAGCCCATATTTCAAACTTCATCACAAGTTTGATCGGGTCGCATGCAAGGAGCAGTCTCCAAATCTCGACATGACGTTCAGACAAGTTCGCGAAACCCAGGAGTCTCCACTTTATACTGCCCAGTCTCACGGCATGATTGGCGCACATTGCACAGTCTCCAGCGACAGGCCCACTGAAATTCTTCGAGGGCAAAACCACATTCCCTTCAAACCTGCGACTTACACGCCTCAATGCTGCCTCCAAACGTGTCGTGTCACCTTGACTGCTCTGGCGAGCCACGGAATTCGAGGCGCGAGCTACCAGGAAGCAGATTATCAGACCATGTAATGGTTGGCCAGTTCTCTTGAGCTTTGGCTCAGGCACACATCTTCTCACGCCGTCGCAATTTGCAATTCAACCTCCCATCATTCATCCATTTCAAGCACAACCCGCAAAGCATCACTAAGACAGGCCCCTGGTCCACACACTCATGGACGCAACCGCCAGACCATCCACGATGGCCACCAGCAACGCCTACCAGCGCGCTCTGGACCAGCTCGCCCCGCTGGAGCCCATGCTCGCGGGCTTCGCGCGGCGCAACAAGAACCAGCACCGGCGCGCGCGGTGGTGGGCGTCGTTCGGCATGCTGCGCCGCGACGTCAACAAGCTGCTCGTCGAGCTCGTCGGGGCGGCCGGGTCCAAAGCCGCTCGTGCCTTGAGTGCTACTACATCTTCAGCACCTTCTCCGGCGACCTCCGTGTCTTCTGCGGCCCCCAAGGCCAAGAAGACGGCGGCGACGGCAGCAGCAGCAGCAGCAGCAGCAGCAGCAGCACCAAAAGCAAGGAAATACGAGGACCAGCACCTCCTCGCCACCGCGGACAGGCGCGCCGCCTGGATCCGCGACGTGCTCGTGCCCAAGTGCTACATCCAGTTTGGCCAGCTCACGGCCGACAACCAGTTCGCCACGCTGGGCGTCGTGCTGCTGGGCGTGCTGGCGCAGGTCGACGGGGCATGCTGCGCACTTGTCGGGCAGCGGCGGCTGTCTGTAGATCAGCAGCATCAGCATCAGCAGGAGCGGGAGCAGCCGGAGATCGCGGAGAAGAGAGGTACAACAACAGAGATGGTGGCGGCGGCTACTGCTGCTGCTGCTGCTACCGAGGGCCGCAAGGTCTCCAGACCTGGCTCTGCGCCCGTTGACGGCGTGCCTCTCGCAGGTAGGGCGATTACCCGCGAAGAAGCAGGAGGCGTGATATCTCGGGAAGCAGCAGCCGCTGCCGCTGCTACCGCCTCGATTCAAGCCGGCAGCAGTGGTGGGCGCGCGAAGATTCCGACTTTGGCCAAAGCGGCTCCGTCGCCGTCAAAAGGGGGCACAGGTACAACTGCGGGTCTAGAAGACGTTTCCGACCTGGAGAAACGTCGCGTCGAGGTGGCACAGAAGATGCTGAAGCGCAAGCGGGATTCTGCTGCCGTCGATACACGTTCCCCTGCTTCGGCCGTGCATCACGAAGAGGATGAGAAGGAGCCACAAGACAGCAAGAGCGATGGGGGCCCCGTGGAGCAAGTCCAAATAGCTGGCGAGACGACAAAGAGATCCAAGGTCTCGACGAGCACGGCCGAGTCACCACAGCCTGCATCAAAGGCTCTCATTCGTTCGCAAGGGGACGTAACGACGGGCACAAGCACAGGGTCACTCCCGGACAGGAAAATGACGAAGGAGAAGAAGATCAGGCCGGCGGAAATGGATGGAGAACAACCAAGGAAGAAAAATTCGAAGAAGAGCTCCGGAAAGGACGACGACGACGAGGGAGAAGATGCGGGCAGAAAAGAGAAGAAGAAAAAGAAGAAGAAAGGCGGAGGTGGTCGCGACGAGTTTGATAGTCTCTTCAGCTCTTTATTCTGAGTCGTTTTGCGCTTTTTTTTTACAAGTTCACACTCGTCTCCTGAGTTAGAGACCTGTGGTGTGGTCTTTTGTCTTTATACAGGATTTGAGCAACGCAATATACCCCCAAGCTTGCCCATTTGCAAAGCGCTACCAAGTAGCCGTCACGAAAGCCCTCAGTCGCGTTTTCTGTATTGGTTAATGGGGTGCGTGTCAATGTGCTCCGTCTGCCGTATGAAATTCCACAGCCTGATGGGAACAGGGAGCCCAACTTCGCGTAGCTATTGCCAAGCAAGGTGAAGGCTAATTTCGTTCATCATGATTGGCTGCCTGGCGTTATTGCTGACATGACCTCCCGTGAGCGATGGGCAAGGGTTAAAACTAAGTATGCCTGCCGCATGGAGCCGAAAAGGCGACAACCTAATACAACTTCAGGGACAAGCCAGCCAGCCATGCCAGCCTGACTGCCTGCCTGAGGTCATACATGATAATCTTCCTCCGCTAGCTGCACGAATGCCTGGTTTGAGCATGGTGTGTGACTAATGCATGCAGTCTGACACAACTTGCACCTCGAAGGCGTGTGGGGTGAACATCTCAGCACGCATGCGTTCTCTCGTTTACACTGCCAAGCCGCCCGGGCGGTGGATGGCTGGGCAAGGGTTGTAAACAGGCTCTGGAGGGTGTAGTTAGTTCGCGCTGGCCTCCACGCGCTCACGCCCTCGCCAGCAGCTGGCAAACACGCCCAGCCAGCTCGCGTGGAACTGTCCCGTCGGCGGGCGACAGTCCCTAGATCCTGCGTGGGATTCAAAAAGAAAGGCAGAGAGTATTGTTTACCACTCCTCGCCACTTGCATGCTTTGGTCGCTTGCGTGCCGGATGGAAGCTCCACCAGCGCGAAGGGGTCGGACCTCGCAGGGGTGAGAAAGAGCCTGATGGCATCCACAGGGGTGTGTCGTCGTGGACTTTTTTTTGAATCATTGGGGAGATTCGTCCGCTGTGGAGCAGGGATGCGCGAGCGAGCGACTCAGGTGTGTGAGGAAAAAGAAAGGTGGCTCCCGAGCAACTAGCTGTGCCCACGGGATAGGGTGGTGACGGAGCATACATATCGCCGAAACTGCGCTTATCTCCCCTCGTCCCTCTGCCCAGCCCAGCGAGATACCCTAGACCAGCCATCTTCCAGTATCGCGTGCGAGGCCGTTTGGCAAGGTGCTCAACCCTCGATGAAGTCTTGGCCTGAGATACGACAATCCTGAAAAGGACCTCGATACAATCGTGATTGTGAGGTTGTTGGAGCTAATATTTTCACAGTCAACATCTGAACAAAATCATATCCTTGTGAACTACTCATCAGGACCTTGAACTCGGCCGAGAGCAACAGGCCTTCGAATTCTCTCCATCCTGGCCGGCTACCATGGACTGTCCTGTCCCTGTGCAGCACAGTACTGCCGACATATCACAATTCGCAGCCGGTCTGACAAAGGCACCCATCGCACCTCAAGTATCCCTGCCTAGGATTCATGTCTAGTGTGCTCATCTCGTGCAAGACTACAGGATTCTGAAAACGACGGAAACGTGCTTCTTGTTCCAACAGGTGTGGCCTCTGTCAGCAAAGCAAGCGTGATGATGAGAGTGGCAAAGAGAGTGCTCTTCCTGCCTGTCTGCGCGAGGCTGCGATGCCTGGGCGGAACCATCTGCATCATGTGCCCGAGCGTCAGTGGCCACGCTGTAGGCAACCTTGGAAGGCATTGTGTGTCGTGCGGGACATGAGATCATGGCGCGGGTGTGTGTCGAGCGTCGGAACATGCCTGGCATCCATGGATGGTATTCCACCATGCCGGCCTGGGGTGAGGCTATCCGGCCTCGCGCCTGTGGGTCTGGGCACACGCTATGGGCAGGAGCGACATGGGGCCTTCTCCAGGTGTGCAAGTGGGGCGTGGCCCCCCTGCCGGGCGGACAGCACCGCGCTAGCGCCAGTGCTGGTGCATCCCAGTGGCCGCTGATGCCCCCCGAGCCCCCCATGCTCGCCTTTACGCAGGGCTCCACCCGCCCACCCACCGGCCCCCTGGCCCTGCAACTGGCCTTACCCTGCCCTGCCTGCCTGCTGCATCGGGTGCAGCGTGTGGCTTGTGGCAGAGAGAGCTCCTGCGGCTGTTGCTATTACTGCTGCCCTGCCAATTCTCTGCCGTCCCGCCGCCGCCTCCGCCTCTTTCGTGCGTTGGCTGGAGCCCGGCCTAGACGACTGCACCTGCCACCACTCACGCCCAGCTCGCGATCCCAATTCTTCACCCGTCCACTCCCTCTCTCACCCTCCTCATCCTTCCCCTTCACCCCCATCGCCGGCTTCCCCGCCCGCATCCTCTCTCCCATCCAGCACGCGTCTCGCGCATCTCTCTGCGCGTTCGCGATCCCAATCGCCCTCTGCGTTCGTCGTTGGCTTTCTCTCGTCCCTCGTCATCGCGCAGCTTTGTCGTTGACGCCCCCGACCCGACCCCTGAGCCGCCGCAAGTCCATTTCGAGCTCAATCCGCCGCGACAACTACTGCTTTGGTCGTTTCCACGACCACGATTCAGTCTCTGCCTGCAAGTCCTAACTTGGCAGCACGACACACGATTCGCGCGCCAGATCGGACAGCCAGGACGACCAGCTTGCGCTAGCGCATTGCCTCTCCAGCATCGCGCCCACGCCCAGCAAAATCTCCGACCACCTCAGCGGCCAAAGATAGCCTCTTGCGCGTCGACATTTTCACCATCAAAGGCCCTCGTCGCAGTCGGTCCACCATGTCCATGTACCCTGGCCACCGCGGCCTCCCCCACCAGGGCGGCTCGTCGCGCCTGAACGAGCTCCTCGAGCAGGTTCGCGCCGAGTTCGACAACCAGGTCCGCGTCAATGAAGACTATGAGCGCCAGAGTAAGTGGAGCCCGCCCAGGGAACAAGAGGGAAACGAATGCAAAGACTGACAATTGTCATCAAACAGTCCAACAACAAATTCAGGAGGCTCAAGTCATTAGAGAAAAGGTCTATCAGCTCGAACAAGCGCACATGAGCATCAAGCAGAAGTAAGATATCCTTGGAATTTCAACGAGGCGATCTCCCAAGCGACTTTGTATCCAGAAATAGGGTTGTCTCGCATCCCTACTAACTTGTTACACTTGCAGGTATGACGAGGAAATCGTCCTTTTGCGCCGCCAGCTCGAAGGCACCCGTGGAGGAGCGCCTCAGCCACAAGGCATGCAGGGCCCTCCCCAGCACGGCGGCCCCTCGAACGGTCCACCGCCCGCGATCAATGTCGGTAACAACCTTTTCAGCGGCATCATGACCGGTCAGGGTGGCCAAGGCGGCGGTTTGCCTCCTCAGCCTGTCCCTCAGGAGCAGCAGGCTCCCGGACAGCACCACCAGATGCCTCAGGCCCCGCCTGGTCTTCAAGGCCCTCCTCCGCCTCCGCCGAGCCAGCAGCCGCCATTCCAGCCGCCATATCAGCAGGGCCCTGCGCCCAACGGCTTCCCCGGCCAGGCGCCGTCGAGCACTGCTTCCCCTGGACCTGGCAAGCGCGGACTTGGTCGCCCGCCAGCCGGCGGCCCGGCTACCCCCCAGATCAACACCCCGATGCCGTATCCCGGCCCCGGAGCCTCGCCCCAGGTCGCCAACCACCCCACACCCGACCACCGAGCGATGCAGCCTCACCCTGGTCCTGGCATGGTGAACAATGCCCTAGGCGAGGTTGATCTTGAGCGCCTCCCTGCTCACTTCAAGAAGACCCGCGACGACTGGTTTGTTGTCTTCAACCAGCAGGTCCCGCGTACTCTTGATGTCGACCTTGTCCACACGCTCGGCCATGACAGTGTTGTGTGCTGTGTTCGCTTCAGCCACGATGGCAAGTTCATTGCCACTGGTTGCAACCGCTCCGCCCAGATTTACGATGTCAACACTGGCGAGAAGCTGTGTGTGCTGCAGGACGAGAACGCCGACGTCACTGGCGACCTTTACATCCGCAGTGTGTGCTTCAGCCCTGATGGCAAGTACCTGGCCACTGGTGCTGAGGATAAGCTCATCCGTGTGTGGGATATTCAGAACCGTACCATCCGCAACACTTTCGCGGGCCACGAGCAGGACATCTACAGTTTGGACTTTGCTCGCGATGGCCGCACTATCGCTTCCGGCAGTGGTGATAGAACCGTTCGCCTGTGGGATATCGAGACTGGCAGTGCCATGTTGACGCTAAGCATAGAGGACGGCGTCACCACTGTTGCCATCTCGCCGGATACCAAGTACGTTGCTGCCGGCTCTCTGGACAAGAGCGTGCGCGTCTGGGACATCAAGGGTGGATACCTCCTCGAGCGTCTCGAGGGCCCTGAGGGACACAAGGACAGTGTTTACTCGGTTGCATTCTCGCCCAACGGCAAGGACCTCGTCAGTGGCAGTCTTGATAAGACGATCAAGATGTGGGAGCTGTCAACACCTCGTGGCATGCAGGTACCCAACCCTAAGGGCGGTCGGTGCGTCAAGACCTTTGAGGGACACAGGGTAAGTTTCTGGCCTAGATTGAATGAATTGCAGAGAATGTTGACCAAAGCTAATTGCGATGTTGTAGGACTTCGTCTTGTCGGTTGCGCTTACGCCCGATGCCAACTGGGTTCTGTCCGGCTCCAAGGACCGCGGTGTGCAATTCTGGGACCCGAGGACGGGGTACACCCAACTCATGTTGCAGGGACACAAGAACTCGGTCATCTCGGTCGCGCCCAGCCCTGCTGGAACTTTCTTCGCCACTGGTTCCGGTGACACTCGTGCCCGTATCTGGTCGTACCGCACTATCGCATAGGTGCAGAATGGCAGATGACAGGTGGGAGGGGCTGAGAAGCATTGTCAGCCAGATGATGTACTGGAGCCGTGACTTCGTATGCATGATTCGAAGCCGGCAAGTGAGCAGCCATCATCGTGTTATACTAGGTCTTGAGAGGTTGAGCTGTTAGAAGCAGAGAGGAGCCGGTCGATTTGGATGAGAGAAGAAGAAAGCTATGATACTCAAAGGCAAACGGCGTATAAGGTAACGGGGCACAGCGACATACTTGCCCACCCAGGCTGGGGGGCTCGTGCTGTTGCCCGCGACTTTTTATTTTTGTTTCTGAACTTTTCCAAGCCAAATAAAGATATACTCAATCACGAAACGCCCCACGAAATTTATGGTTAACCGCACTTATTGTGAAGTGGCTTGGGGTTCCATTATGCAATGCCTCTGCTTACCACAACTATGGGCTGTGTACAACATCAACAACACCAGCCAGCACCTTGGGACACTCGGCTATTCAGATGGCAGAGAGCATTTCATGTGTTGCAGTACGAGACACCTCAACGCAGCGATTCTGTTGTCTGTGAATGCTGGCCTGCACGTTTCAAGTCGCGCGGCAAAAAGACAACACAGAGATCAACGAGAATGCCTCCTCACGGCAGTGCAGTCGAACGGGTGTTGTGGCCGAACGATTCCGAGGGGGAACCGAGAGAGAACCGGGCGAAAAGCCTCCGACTATGGCGTATGTTTTTGAACCCTGCGACGCTGACTGGTGATGAGTGGTTTGGATGTTGTATGTGGGTATGTGTGTTGCTCGATGGTATTACTTTTAGTTGGAGGCGGGGGGGGGGGGGGGGGGCACTGTATAAGGTTTCCCAAGATGTACTACATGGTATTGTACTTTGCCGTAGTGCTTTCAGACGTAAAAAAACATCATTTCGGCGATAGTTCCGGGGTGCTTTGCTTTTGGCTCCTCCTCTTGTCCAGGGCCGGAAGTCTCAGTACATGGCCTGGACGATCAATCTGCCCACCCTCGCGCAGAAGAAACGTACCGAAACAATCCCCGCCCCCGCTGATCCTGGAGTCCTTGTACGAGGATGAGCGGCTGGCTGGCTGGAACCAAGGATAAAGTGGGAAGACACGAGTCAAGTGGCATCAACAGGGACAAAAGCACCGACGATTCTGGATTTGAAGCAGGGAGGGTTTCCGGACTTTCCGTGTTTCCCGGCCCAGTGCCGCCGCCATTTCTCTTCTTGAGCTGGCAATGTTAGCGGTCAAGTAAGATGATAGGTCGTCTCATTCACCCTCTTGACGCGTGGCTCCGGCAGGTAGACGATTCCGCTGAGGCAGACCCAGAGGCGCCGTGTTGTCCAGTCTTACACCTTTGGGTATGAGGTCATGCAGTCACTTTAAAACCACGGGCTCAAAGATTCCGATGGCGGCGGGGGCTTCTATGCATGGCCAAGCAGATGAGGTACAGCGAGCGTTGTTTGTCATTAAGTCTAGTAGTGCTGGTTCACTGGGAGTCGGACGGGGAGAGACACGTACTATGGGTTACGAACACGAGTACGCCGGGGGTTGGGCTCTTGATTTCCCCGGCAGATAGAGTGCGGAGCGGGAGCGGATTCCAGAAGGGCGGCCGTCACTGCACTGTTATCAGATCGAAGCCAAAGGCGGAGCTTTTGGGGGGCAGTGCAGCGGCACTTGGGGCGGGAAAACAGCAGAGCAACCAGAAGCTGTCCGACCGAGTGCTGAAATGGGGCACACTTCACTAGAAAGGTATGGTGGGTGTGGGCGCCGGCTGGTGTGATTGGCTCGGAAGCTGGAGTTGCCAGTGGTGCCACTCTGAGGGAAGAAAGAGCCAGCTTTCTCGTGGAGCTTGCATGTTTGTTTCGGGGTGTGCCAAAGTGTTTGTCGCCACCCACTTGATCGCTCGGGGCGGCCGCGCGGAATCCCTTTTTTGCCTTGCCCGCGGGGGTGCCGTGTCTCTCTCTCGGGACTGCTGTGATTGAGTGGTGACTCGAGGATGTGCCCATTGTCGTTCCTGAGCGAGCGCGCCATCTCCACAGAAGCAGGGACCGGTCGGGTCAGGCGATGGTCGTGCTGTCAAAAGGCGCAAAGGGCTTCCGCAGGGCCCGCAGCCAATGAGACCGCTCGCCGGTAGCGCCACTGCCTGTTCGGTCCAGTGCCAAGCACGCGAGATTGCCCTTGAGAATTTCCCAGCAGATCGGTTGCGGCCCCTGACTTGCGCTGCGCTGCCAGCCCTTCTTCCCTTGTGCAAAGTGCTGTACCTGGTGTAGTCTGTGCTGCCGAGCACAAACAAGCCCACTGCTGCACTGCTGCGGCATTGACGCTAGTCGCCCTCCTAATAACTTAGATCCCGGTCCCTCGCTCCTTCCACCTGCTCATATTAAACAATCAACAACGCCGCCTCCTCCGGCCCCTTCTTTGCACCACCTCCACGATCTTGGCCTCTCCCTCGCCAATTCACCAAGCCACCGACACCGCCACCTACTAAGTCTCGCCCACCATGGATGTCGTCCTCGAGGTCGCAGAGACCTTTGTCGGCGACTATGTCTACGCCTGGGCCCATCCTGCCCGCCCGGCGCCCTACGACTTCCCCAACCAGACAAACCAGACCGCCCAGCAGGTCTTCTCGACGTGGACTTACAAGCCCTCGAGCACCTACTTCACCCTCGAGCCCTCCCAGTACGCCTACATGAGCGCCTGGGATCGCGACAACATCTTGCGCCAGGCCATCAGCCTTTTCTTCATCACCTGGTGCGTACCCTCTCTCCCGCAGATGTCAAGCACTTTGGCCCAACTGACTTGTCTTGTTATCGTTGCAGGGTTTTCGGCACGCTCCTCTACTTCATCTTCTCGACCCTCTCTTACTACCTCATCTTCGACCATGCCCAAATGAAGCACCCCAAGTTCCTCAAGAACCAAATCTCCCTTGAGATGAAGCAGGCCATCACCTCTGTACCCGGCATGTCGCTCCTCACAACCCCCTTCTGGCTCCTCGAGGTCCGCGGCCACACCAAGCTCTACGACACCTCGGCCGATGGTCCAGGTGTGTGGTACGACTACTTGCAGTTTCCCTTCTTCCTCCTCTTCACCGACGCCTGCATCTACCTCATCCACCGTGGCCTGCACCACCCCTTGGTCTACAAGCACCTCCACAAGCCGCACCACAAGTGGATTGTGCCCACGCCTTTCGCCTCGTATGCCTTCCACCCTGTTGATGGCTGGTTGCAGTCGCTTCCCTACCACTTCTTCCCCGCTCTGTTCCCGCTCAACAAGTACGCCTCGGTCTTCCTCTTCGTCTTTGTCAACTTCTGGACCATCCTCATCCACGACGGCGAGTACATGGCCAACAGCCCCATCATCAACGGTGCCGCCTGCCACACCCTCCACCACCTGTACTTCAACTACAATTACGGCCAGTACACCACCCTCTGGGACCGCCTTGGTAGCAGCTACCGCCAGCCTGATGCTGCGCTCTTCCAGAAGGAGGCTAAGCTCAGCACTGCTGAGTGGAACAAGCAAACTGCCGAGATGGAGAAGATTGTCAAGGAGGTCGAGGGAGAGGACGACCGCACCTACGACCCCGTCGACACCAAGAAGACGAACTAGATCCACTCATCCGGAAATCTGTCTTGGGACACTGCGTTCTCAGGAATTCCGGTAGGATATGCTGAGAGTCCCTGTCTTCACCAGACGATGATCTTGTATATATAGCTGAATGACGAGTGATGCGGAACTCGAAAGGGACTCGTCAGTGGGCCCAATGGTTCGAAAGTGCTTCGACCTTGGTGCATACCGAGAGGCCCTGCAGAGACCAAATTCTTTATTTGGCATCTATGTGGCGAGACTGGCAGCATCCAACATGACCAGATGTGCCAGTCACGCAGGATGAAAAGCGAGATAGAAAAGGCCATTTACGACAGCACACACTTATTACCCACCTCTATGGGCATGTTATAGATTAATGATAATAGTGGGATTTTCTTGCGTAACCATGAGCACCTGGGAAACGAGGCACTAATGCCATTCTCGAGTGAAAGTGTCGACTATGAACTGCGAGCTGCCAGCACTCCCAATAGCTGCGATTGAGCGATTTCATGATCATTGAAGGTATTACAGGACCTAAAGATTCTGGAGTAGTCTGAGTTGAAACGGCATTCTCTCCAGTACGCAATAGTCTAGAAAGGGGCACGTCGTTCTTCGCATGTCTTGAAGGGTGTGTAGTAGAACGAGAGCACGCAAGCATGGCATTAATCAGCAGATAAGTAATATAGGTAGGTGTCTTATTTAACTATCGACTAGGCTAAATAACGCTGCACAGAGTCTCCGGCTAACCGCCTGGAGCAGGATATAAACTAACATATGGACGCCAGAAGAACGCCTGCAAAGAAGACCATGGTGTGTGACTGAGGGGAGACCAAGGAAAAAAAGTAGTGACAAGTGAGGAAATGAAGAGAAAACCACATGGGAGGAGGCAATATCGAAGAATGGCTGTGTTTCTGTCTAGGCTGGGTGCCCGCCTGACGAGGATGCGCTGGGACAAAGGTATCAAAGGTGGTGATGGATGGTGCGGTTGTCAAGGACCGGAAAAGGACCAGGAAATTGTTGGGAGAATGTCGTGTAAGAGTGGTGCGAGGTCTGCCCACCTTGGGACGTTTCCTGGGAGATTACGAATAAGAGACTGTATATGTGTGTGGCGCAGACGACTGACTAGGATCCGGCCTGGTGTCGCTGTCCGCTGATATCAAAGGAAGAAAAGGGCAGGAGAAGAAGCCGAGTCACGCTGCTGGTGGCAGAGGTTCAAGCGGCGCGCGGCGGCTGTCCTGTCGTGCTTCTGCATTTTCTCGAAGTTTTGGATTCCCCGCAGCGCGCAACGTGCGTCCGTACGACTGCCACCTGGAGCTCGCCATTTCAACTCTTCTCATGAGAAAGTGACGAGCTTGGGGTCTCTGGGCCGACCGTCCGGGCCAATGTTGTTCTGGCTGAACCGGCGCTCCATGTAAACCCTGCGCGCCTCGTCAAACTTCATCCGCCGCTTCTTCATGATCTTGAGGATCTCTGCTTTCGCGGCGTCGTCCAGCCCCGCGCGCGAGTCGCCCGAGTCGACGTTGCCGGCGAGGCTGAACGTGTCGCTCGATAGACCGGCCTCGATGTCGCCGCTAAAGGTGGATGGCAGGCGCTGGTACAGGGCCGAGTTGGTGAACGAGAACGGAAGGCGCTCGTAGAGGATGGACCCGGGGCGCGGGAGGCCGATGTAGACCTCGGGCACGAGGTGTAGCCATCGCTGGCGGGTGAGGTAGAGACCGGTGCCGGACGTCAGGACGAGGAAGACCAGGAAGAAGAGGACGTAACCCATGGCGGCGGGTGGGCTGTCGACGGGCGGGTCGCCGTCGGGGGTGGGTGGTGGTGTGCGTTTGGAGGCGAGCAGCCAGGTCAGGCGGTTCAGCTGGCTTCTCGAGGAATGCCGGGAGGAACGTGTTGTTGATATGACGGAAGTGTGACTTTGCGCTTTGCGCACAGCTACAGATGCGGATCGCGCGCTCAGAGCTGGGTCAGGCAACGGCTCTGAGCTGGCTGGAGACGGGTCGTCGATGTAGGTTGTCCGGATATTTCGGGACCAGGGGCTCTTGGCGCTAAGCCGTGGTCATAATTAGTCGGTACCTGGCGTTTCGTCAAAGTTGCGCGGAAGAGCTACGCCACATGCACAAACAATGTGACTGTGCAGTTCAGGCAGCAGTGGTTCTTGTTTTGCGATGGCGAAACGGTGCTGAAGGTTGAGGCTGTAAAAAAGCCACGACGATCTTGTTGCGATGGGCTGCCGCTCAGGTCAGCTCAAAGGCCAGCCGTCCCTCCAAGGTGCTTGACCTGATGGTCAGGTCAGGGACTCCTCCTGCAAGGGGGTCCTAGGGGAGGGAGGACCCGCGACTGAATGACATGAAGCATGCGGTTGGGTGGGTACGCCATGAAAGGGGCTCCACCCATTGCTTGAAAGTGCTTGCGCCACAGGCTGACGTGCACCTCGTTGTCCAGGGCTGCTGGACCTTCCAAGGTTGCGCGAAAGCCACAACCACGATAAGATAGCCACGAGCCGCTAGTACTGATTGGGCGATTTTAGCGATCACTCACACATTTTGTGGTGGGCTGTGTCTGTCTCGAAATCGCAAGTGAACGGGCGGGCGGGAGCCAAGCCGCGCAGTCCTGAGTATTCCGCTTCAATCCAACGATATCGCATCGACGACACATATCAAAATGGCCTCCACACCCGCTGACCTTGTCTGGGAGATTGTCCGTACGTCGAGCTCGCCCAAAACCCGCGAACTTCTGCGATTCCGGCCGACAATCCGACAGAAATGCTGACGAAATAATTTCTTGGCCCGTTTACAGGCAGCCAGAACTCCTACCTCGTCAAGAGGAAGAGCGGCGGCGGCGTCCAGTTCTCCCGCGACCCCCTGAACCTCACCAACCTTCACAGCCGCAAGGTGCGTACCTGGGACATCTCTGGGACTTGTCCGTCCGTCCTTGGGAAGAAAGAAAATGACACTAACAGCTGCTCTAGTATGCCGGTTTCGTGAACGACAAGGTATGACAGCTACGCCAAGCTCAGTTTGACGATCCTCTCGACGACGCTATGCACCCAATAAATGGAGGGAATATTGACAGCTTTGCCCGCAGGCCATCGGTGTTGTCCCCAACGAGAAGGGTGGCGTCAAGGTCATCAGCAAGAAGGCTGCTGATGTCCAGAAGCCCGCCAAGTGCACCACCTCGACCACCTTCCACGGTGGCAAGACCTCCCGCAGGTTAGTCCCGCCTATTCGGCCGCGAGTGACATCGGTCTTTCAGAATACTGACGTGGCGCGTCTTGTCGTTCAGCACCTACAAGGCTATTGCCAACCAGACCGCCAAGAACGGCTACCGCCCCGACCTCCGCGCCGCCGCCGTCTCCCGCGCCTCTGCCATCCGCCAGTCCCAGCGCGAGAAGAAGCCCGAGCCCGAGAAGAAGGTTCGTGGCAAGAAGGCCGCCGCTGCGGAGTCCTCGTAAGCGCGACACAGAAATGTGTGGCGACCATGCGGACGGGAGTCAAGGACAAGACGAATTAGTTTGGACGAGGATCTAATGCGCCGCAGCCCAAAAGAAAGGGCCAGCATGCGATACAAAAGACCTGTCCCGGCGGATAGTCAAAATAAATGAATACGCTGAAATATCGAAGCAGACTCCGTGCAGCACGCGATTCGTCGATCTACAATCTGCAACATGTCATGTGCTGTGAAACACTTACCTGCCTTTTGAAAGTATGTGGGTTGTGGACAAGGATGAGTGTTTGTGAGTGCGCTGCGGACATTGATCTGAATGGTGAAGCCTCTGCCAGCACTGCCGCGGCCCACACCAAGGGCCGAGGACAATGACACCATGCTTGCGCCATACAGAGCAAGGCAGCGTGCCTATGCTGTTCTGCCAAAACTGTCACGGACGCGTAGTTACGCGCTCGGAGCTCGGAGATGACCACCAGGACGTGTTGTTCGTCACAAGCGCGGTGCCCGATCTCGCCCGAGGCTCACGGCGAACCTCGGGGCGATACGGATGGGCAGCTTGGACCGGCACCAAGACGCTAGCGCTCGGCATCGCATGTGGGATATGACGTCGCCTACGGGATGACCCGACGAGGTGGTTCACGACAATTCCACGCTGTGCTCGGGAGTTGTCGACGGCCATGGGGCACTGGCAGGTTTGGGTTTTCGGGGTGTCACAAGCCTGGCTCCCGGCATGGCCACACGGCACGGAGGACGCCGGGCCGGCGGCCAAGCAGGTAGACCGATGAGAAGCTGCCCGGGTGATTGGCCCATTCGCTCGACTTACACCACTGCAGTACTGGCGATGACAGCGATCAAGTCAGCACACGTCCCGCTTTGCACTCTGGCACAATACACGAAGCTCCGGCCCAGATGGAAAAAATCTTGTGACAAGCCCCAGACACACAGTGCTATCCTGCTCAGCGGCCGTCCTTTCTTTTGTTTCCTATATATAATTCTGGATAGAGATCCCCCGCCCCCAGGACACAAGGATCCAACGGCCTGAGGGTTGAAACAGGCGCTGCTACAGACCTCTGGCGGGAGCCGTCTTGGGCCCGGATGGGCAAGTGGGGCGCTCGCAGCACCCGGGGCCGGGCTACCCCGCCCCAGTCCAGCAGCGGCGGCCCTGGAAGCAGCACCAGGGCAGATCCCAAAGTCTGGAGCACCCGCCCGCCGAGGAGGGGTAGCTAGCTCCCTGCACGTACGCGACATCCATCGCGACATGCATGCGGCGCCTCTTGTTGGGTGGAACATTGCTAGCGCGCAGAGGAAAAAGAGGGTCACGCCATAGTTAGCAGCTGCTCAGTGTCGAAAGCACCTGCATGGCCCGGCAACATGGAGCCTGAGGCGTCTGTTGTCTGCTGCTCGCCACGGCCGCTGGATGATCCCGCCGTGACAAGTACCTCACCCGCCCAGACTGTTAAAACACCCGGCTCCCCAACCTTCTCACGGCCCTGAGCTGCCTCTGCTTCTCTCCCCCATTCCTCATCCTTCCCACTTCCAAGATACCCAGAGCTTCTCCAGGTTCCAAAAGACATCCAGACACCCATTGGCAGACCTGTAAGTGTCCCGTCGCCCGGCCCTGCCGGACTAATATCCTCCACGCTTTCAGCTGCTTGCACCGGGGCGGCCCTGCTCCATCCTCGGAGCTCTCTGTCCCCCCCACCTTGGGGCCTTAGGTGCTCGGCTCAACCCCAACATTGGCCTGTTCTGCCGGCTCGTATCTGCCCTGCTCCAGTGCCTTCCTCGCAGACCCCTCCTTCTATCGTTTCGACTCTCTCTCGTCCGTCCTCGAGCCTTCGTCTTCCTCAAGCATACCATCTCTCGCGACGACTCAAAGCCGCACTCTGCTGACCATCCTTCAGCTGCTCTCTACACCACTTCCTACCCATTTCCCCGCCGACCCTTCCACATCAGTCAAGATGGTCAAGGCCGGTAAGTCACAGAGCACCCGGCAAGCCGCAAGCTCCTCCGTTGATCCGAGACTAACGCCCGCTTCCCCGAACTTTCAGTTGTTGCCGGTGCTGCTGGTGGCATTGGACAGCCTCTGTCCCTGCTGCTCAAGCTCAACCCCTTGGTCGATGAGCTTGCCCTGTACGATGTCGTCAACACCCCCGGTGTTGCTACTGATCTCTCCCACATCTCCACTGCCGCTGTAAGCACACCTCAGAGGCTTGTGATGAGCCGCTCGACAGTCCAGGTCCTCATATCTCCTGACACACATTGCAGAAAGTCACAGGCTACCTCCCCAAGGATGACGGTGGCAAGGCTGCCTTCAAGGGTGCCGACATCATTGTCATCCCCGCCGGAGTCCCCAGTAAGTCATGCTTGGGCTTCAATCGGAAGCGCCGGCCCTGGATCCGCGACCAAAGCTACTGACACCAACTATAGGAAAGCCCGGCATGACCCGCGACGACCTCTTCAACATCAACGCCGGCATCGTCAAGGGCCTCATCGAGATTGCCGCCGAGGTCGCCCCCAAGGCATACATCCTTGTCATCTCCAACCCTGTCAACTCGACCGTCCCCATTGCTGCCGAGGTCCTCAAGGCCAAGGGCGTCTTTGACCCCAAGAAGCTCTTCGGTGTCACCACCCTCGACATTGTCCGTGCCGAGACCTTTGTCGCCGAGATCGTGGGCGAGAAGAAGGGCCAGGACTTGACCATCCCCGTCGTCGGTGGCCACTCTGGCGAGACCATTGTCCCCATCTTCAGCCAGATCTCCTCGGGAGCCAAGATCCCTGATGACAAGTACGATGCGCTGGTCAACCGCGTCCAATTCGGTGGTGATGAGGTCGTCAAGGCCAAGGATGGTGCCGGCTCGGCCACCCTTTCCATGGCCTACGCGGGTTATCGGTAAGTCCCCTTTGTGAGGGTAGCTATCAGAGAGCACAGCTGACAGCAACCCTACAGCTTCGCCGAGAAGGTCCTCAAGGCCGCCAAGGGCGAGAAGGGTCTTGTTGAGCCCAGCTATGTCTACCTGCCTGGCGTGCCCGGTGGTGAGGCGATCGCCAAGGAGACCGGCGTCGACTTCTTCTCCGTCCCCGTCGAGCTCGGCGTAAGATCATATTCACCCAAGAAATTTTCAAGATCAACGTTTCATGCTGACGATATGCACAGGTCAACGGCGTCGAGAAGGTCACCAACCCTCTTACTGGCATCAGTGACAAAGAGAAGGAACTTGTCAAGGTTGCTATCGAGGGCCTCAAGGGCAACATTCAGAAGGGTGTCCAGTTCGCCCACAACCCTCCCCAGAAGTAAATCATCCCCGCGGACTCCTTTGGTGAAGCTACTACCATGTACAGCAAGGCGAGCGTAATTTCTTTAGCCGTACTCAGTCATTCTGCATTCAGGAGGCTGCTATTGAGCTGGAGGCTGTGAAGTTGCACAAGCCAGCGTGGCGTGTAGTGATACGCAGAAAATACGCACAAGCCAAAACAGTAAAATAAAAGTACTTGTGACTGATACATAACCATGTGTTATCTAGGTTGTAAGAGCCGCTCTGAGCACGACTGGGGGGTTGAAGTCAAAATGGCCCGTCGGAGGGCTTTCCGTGCGCGCAGCTGGCATCAGATCAGGATGTTGCGGCAACTCCGAACAGGCCGCTGTCGAGGAATGAGTTTAGGCTAAATTGCCACGGCGCTACTTGGGCGGCGCCGTTCCAGAGAACTCGCCGGTCTCATCGACGCGGTGGAAAAGCACGTTTGTGGGTTCAGTGCGCAGACAGCACGGAGTTGGCAGTGTTTCTTTTGCGGTATGCAAGCATATGCACCGGGAGCTGCACGCTGCAGCAAGAAAACCCGAAATCTACCAATAGGACACAAATCTGGCACGGCATGCTCCCTTATGCGTGTGATTAATATTGTTGCCTCTAGACCGCCAGTTTTAGGTCTGGAGGGGCTCTATCATATCTTGTCTATCTCATCCGGTGATATTCGTGGACATGTTCGGCTGATATCAACCCGATCATATCTGCTTATCTTCCGGGCATATAATGTGCCTCGGAATGAATCGATCGCAAATGCTTCTTATGCGCCAATGCTGTGATACCGAGGTGGATGATTTTAACCCAATTCGACCCCATTACATGCTAGTCACTCACCATCCCACGAGCTTGACACGCGTATAAGAGGTCGGTGATGTCAAGGAGCGGCAGCGGCGCGGGCGGTTGCCGGGACCTGGTAAGTAAGTTGGGGAGTGAGGAGGAGGGTAAAGGGGGAAAAGGGAAAGCAATCAGGACTGCTTGGCGGGTATCGTCTTGATCTGGAACACGGCGCCGGGGATCTCGTTGGACTCGGCCTGCACCGTGGCCTGGATGCCCATTGCCGCCAGGGCGCCGCGCAGGATGCCGCAGGGGAACCATAGGAACTGTATAGCACGGTAGGCCACCGAGAAAGAGGTCAGCAACGAATTTTTAATGAAGAGGATTGGAGGTAAGATTCCGCGCGCCACGGCTGATGGTCTGTATAGACTGACGGGTTCAAAAGCTGGCAATGGAGGAGTGGAGGAGTGAAGGAAGATCTGGCTTGTGACGATGAAGACCGGAAGAAGAAGAAGGCAAAGACACATACCGGCTGCGCCCGGACGACGGCCTGGCCGCCGGCGTCGGTGCTCATCCTCGCGAGCGGGCGGAAGAGGTTGTCGGTCAGCACGTAGACGCCCCGGTGGTTAGTCTTGAGGTTGTCGACCTGCTTCTTGAAGACGAGCGTCCAGAGGTCCTTGCAGACGAACTTGATGGCGTCGAGCGTGTCGTTGAAGCGCGGCCGGTCGCGGGAGAATCTGGATGGCGGTGGGTTCGATTCCGTCCCTTTGTTAGCATATCCTTGTGACTGATTGAGGCCATTCTGGCCGGAGGACAAAAAGAGAACTGACAACTCACCTCTCCACTAGCCCCAATCCAACACGATAGCCGAGCGTCTCCAACCGATAAAAGACCGCATCCCGCTCCTCGTCCTCGTCCAGTCTCCTCGTCGAAGATGACCCCATCGTCGTGCTCCCCGCCGTGCCGCCCCGATCCGACTGCGTCGGCGGTGGACTTATTACAACCCCCGGGGCCACCACGCCGCCGCCTGCGTTACTTTGTTGTTGCTGTGAAGATGACTGCTGCTGTCCGCCTTCCCTGCCTCCCGTCCCTGACGACGCTGCTGCTGCTGCTGCTGCCGCGGCCGCCGTGCTCTCGAGCTCGTTCGCCACCCGATACGCCATGGGCACCAGCTCTATCATGAGGAAGTCGAGACATGACGTGCTGAGAAACGTCGCAGTCGGGTCTGACGCGTTGTACGGCGGTAAAGGCTGGTCAAAGGACGACATATTGTGTGCGTCTCTCTCCCTCTATTCTCTGGCCACGTCGGACGGCCGTGCGGGCTGACTATTATACTCCTCAAGTGCTGGGCTGCGGAGGGCGCGCGCGCGTCTATGTTGGAGCAGACTAGCACGATTTGCGGCTTATGTGCCTCCGTGTGGGAGGTCTGTATAACTCTTTCCCCCGGGACAGTACCTCTCTCGATCTGCTGGCTCCCAAAACGTCCCTGTCCGCGTGGTTTGCGCTTCGCTCGCTCGTCCTAGAGTGTCGCCTCTTGGGAAGTCTGGCTCTATGCTGTCTCGGGACCGGATTTGGACCGTCGCAAGTCGTCCAGAATGGCCGAGCTTTGTCTCTCGCAACCGCGCACAAAAGGGTTCGCCGCCGCCGGGTTGACTGTCGTCGTCGTCGTCGTCGTTGCAGCTAGTCGCTGTAGCACACGGGCTCCGAATCGAAGCCGGCGGTCAAGATTCCCCAGTGGGGGCGTCCGGAGTAGCTCGATGCTTGCTTGCCCTCCGCTGCGATAAGGAGCAATGACAACCGAACGTGCGCCCTCCAGGATCTAACCGGTTAAGTGTGCGTACCAATCCCGGATCTTTCTGCTCTCGTAAAGTACCGAGGTGCGATTGCGTGTTCGGGAGGGTGCGATGAAGCTCAGCAGACGTCCGTTGCTTGGGCTCGTGGGGCGTTCTTTCGCGCACGCGGTGTTTTCCTGGATATCTCTTTGTAGCGCGTCAAAGCTTGGCTGGCTTGCTGGTCCGAATCATCGGGGAATGATGAGGTTGAAGGTTGGCCGCCGTGCTGCGTTGTGGTCCGCTGCGCCCGCCAGGGGAGCTGTCGACGAACCCCTGTGGGGTCGGATGTGGGGGGTTTCTGCGTGCATCTCCATCAACGGCTCCGGCACATGACAGACGCCACAGACGACAGACGAGGCTCTGTTCTTTGCATTGAAGAACAAGGTGGACTCATTTCTTCTGCATATATGAGGTACGGCACGTCTATGTTTTATGCGCTTCGCGAGATATGCAGTAGTAAACTCACGTTTGGCTCATATGAACAAGCCTATGTAAACCTGATGGTATCCGTCTCCACGAAAGCAAGAGGTATTTCCGCAACTCCAGTCGTCCCATGGCCCCGAGCTCAATCAATGCAACGCCATGCTCCAGGCCGCCAATGGCAAATGGACATACCACAAGTATTATGTACATGAATCCTTGGGGCGTTATGCCCACTCAAGGCCCCTCACTCGGCTCCAGCTCAAACAGAGAGCGATATCGCTATATTTGGCGGACGGTCTGCCTCTTCTGGTGGCACCCATACACCAGACGATACGCTGCCGCCCATGTTCGCTCTGTCTTTAGACTGAATAATTATTGGGAAACGGCAGAGTTGACATGTGTTGCTCAGTGCCGAGGTTTTGCCGCTTCGCTGGTCGCATGACTGGCTCTTCGTCGTCGCTGCTGAGCGTGAGGTCAATAACCTCCGCTGTTCGCTTGGTCCCGCCTCCAGAGCGCGGAGGCACGGGCGGCTCACGAGCGCCACCATTGGGCGTGCTGACTTCAGTCGCAAATTGCCGCATCGGCGTCCCAAACGTTGAGTCGACAAATGGATTGTATGACGGGGCATTCGATATGATCAACAAGTCGTCATCGTCTTCGAGCTTGGCGGATTGGTCATTGTGCCCGTTGTAGCGTGTGCCCTTGTCAGAGCTCTGTGGTCTCCACGAGCCGTCCGGTTCTATCGTGACTTGCTCCTCGGACTCGGATGTCTGCTCGAGGATCTCCTTGGCGTATTCGTCCACCGCCAGTGATGTGTATGGCGCTGGCCCGTTGCAAAGTGGACAGAGCCATTGTGGTCCTTGTTCTTGTAGCTGAAGATATGATGTGGCATCAAAGCATGTGATGTGTTTGCACTGCGTTCCTCTGCAAGGCGTTCGCAATCTTGTATAGCTGAGAGGGCACTTCAAGGACAGGTTCAGATGCGTGACTCCGACATCAGGATCATTTGCCTTGTCAGAGACTGTGTAACTTTGTGTCAGTTTTGGACCTTGTGAGATGGAATGCCGCGACGTACTCTCTCTGATTACCGTCTCCTTGCGGATCTTCCTATTCTTAATAGCTGCGACAAGATCCGAGATCGGTGTCGTCTTGCAAATGTAAAGTCCCACGTAAAATTTCTGCGCCGAATACAGTCAGCACAGCACTGACGAGACGGGACTTCTCGAGGAATCTCACCTTTGATGTGAGGGCATACGTGAAGTCGACGGTGTTGGCATAATTGTACTGCTTGAGCCGCAGCGCATCTGTGATATCCACAGGTCTAGTCGAGCCAGGCTTCCCTTTGAGACCACGGGTATTTGCCTTGATGTCACCCCCATTCACCTTGATCTCAGATTGGTGGGGAAAAGAAATGTCCTGAGCCCCTTGGAGATCGCCAGCGCAGAAAACCATGACTCTGTAGCTTTTGTCGTCGACACACTTCTGCAGCGCCAGCATGTCGCTGACTCTGACGTGGAGCTGCACAGAGTTTCGGTGCTGGCTCATAGCTAATGATGGTCGATGATGAGTTAGTGGTGAGTACAAACGGCCTCGGGCCGCATTTACATCCGGGGGTGCTTACCCTCGCACGTCTTCACATTGCCAATTCGCTCCTGCCGTGAATAAAACGGACTGGGCTTGTACTCGATGTCATTCGGCGAAGGCGGCCGGAACATGGTCGAAGAGTGGTGATTAGAGAGGCCGTTTGTGCTATAGCCGTTCTGCTGCTGGTAGACGGAATTCTGGCCGTGATATGGATAGCCAGGCGCAGCAGATCCTCTAGACTGGGCGCTGTATGAAGTCGTTGCAGAGCTTTGCGGTAGGGCCTGTGGTGTTGCAATGGTTCCCTTACAGACAGCCAAGATTGAGCTGCGAATGTGCTGGTACGTGGCTGGATCTTTGCCACAGCTCTCGTGCAAAGCTGGTTGTGTTCAAGTGTTAGTATATGTGGTCGCGTGAGAGACGGGCAGAAGTGGAAGAAGCTGAGCAGCCGGTGGTGTTGTGGTTAGAGTCGGGGCAGAACCAGCAGCCACCGGCGTTCGAACGAGGCCTCGCGTGCTGATGCAGATGTGGCATCAATGTCGAGATATGCGCGGCCTAGGAGCCTCTGGCGCCTGGAGACAGGTTCTCGGCCAAGTCCAAGCGGATGCCTACGTACCATTCTTGATGCGATTCTGCAGACTGGCCTTGACGCCGCTTGTCGCAAGCCCGTTGGTTGCGCAGATCTGCTGGAGCTGCTTGTTGAGCAGCGTGTTGAGGGACCGCTCCAGCATGCGGATGTCTGCGCGGATGTCCGCAGTTGGTGGAGGGGAAGCCATTGTCGCCGCGCTGTGTCGTGTCGTGCTGTGGGACGAGAGGCACACGCTGTCGTCTTTGAGGGTTGCAAGAACGTCCGACACGGGATGGGCGCCTCATGGGAGGCAAGGCAAGCACGACCGGCAGTGGTGGCAGGGGCAACCGCAGAGGCGGCTCGATTTCTCAGTGTCGTGGCTCTGGGCTGCGCCGGTTGGCGAGAAAAAGTGACGACCCGGTGCAGCTGCTCTGTCCGAGCCTCTGCGCCCTTCTTTGCGCTTCCGCCCACAGCCACTCTATCCGCAGGGTTCGTGGGTCGCTACCGCATGGGCGATGTGTTGGTGCTGGTTGGCGCTGACGATGGTGCGAGACTGCGTCGGTCGTGAGGCTCGGTCAGGCAGGCTGTTGGCGTTTCAGCAATGCGGATACGAACGAGCGTGTCCCCAGGTGGGCAGCAGTCTGAATTGCGCAGGCGTCGCCTACAGTTCGAGAAGTGCGCAGTGACCCGATGTGCCTGGCATGGGCATCGAGCGACCGTCGAGAAGAAAGCGCTGGCTCGTGGAGGAGTCATGGGCAGACCCAACCCATCGGACAAGTACGTACATTCATGGCTTTGCCAATTCTGCCCGGCGAGGCATCTCGCCTCGGGTCGCTCCGTCACTCTGTTCCGGGCGGCAAACACCAGGCTCAGGCTGGGCTGCGCCGCGCCAGGGCAGCTCGGGCACGCGCGCAGCGGGTCCCTGAAGTGCCAGCGCGGGAGCCCATCGCCATCGCCGCCCGGAGCCAGCTAGGCTGCTTCCAGCGGGCGGTCAGGCACTTTGCCAACCTCAGCGACCTCACTCAGCACACCTGAATCCCTTTGCAAGGGTTGGTGGACCCCTGCCCAGCAATGCACTCCCGCCCCACCAACAATTGAACCGCTCTCCAATCTGGACCTTATCGCCTGGCCTTTTTTTTCTGCTGGCATTCTCGTCGCGCAACTCCAAGACGTACGGCAGCTAGCTATTCACCACTCGAAGGTTGTGCGAGACAAGGTTTCGAGTACACAAGTCCTCGACGCTGTAAGTTTGCCAGTTTTCTAGCGCGTGCTCATGTTAGGCCTTGTAATGCTACGGGGCTTGGTCACTGTGGCACAGTTCCAGGCCCTCACATCCGCCTGTTTCCTCATCTGCGTCTTCCTCGAGGCAGACCACCGCAACTTTTCCCCGCCTGTCGCTAACACACCCATCCCAGAAGAGATATCCCTCCAATACTAAAACCCGAATCTCGTCAAAATGGCCAAGAGCTCCCGTTCCAGCACGCGCAAGGCGAACAACCAGCGCCTCAAGGCCAACGTCTTTGGCCCCGTCGAGTCCGCCCGCGCCGAGCGCCTCTCCGCCAAGCTCCTCGAGATCGCCGCCCAGCCAAAGCCCACCAAGGACGATGACATGAAGGTCGTGGACGATGTCGACGCCGAGGAGGATAATGATGGCGAGCCCAAGGCCGAAGGTAAGCGCAAATCTGGCCATCCCCGTTCGCGCCACACGTCGTCAAGAAAGAGACTGGTTCCCTGTGAACTAACCAGAGTGGCCCCGCATAGCTTCAATGGACGTCGATGCAACCAAGCCTGCCGCGAGCTCATCATCGTCCAAGAAGAACCGTGTCTCAAAACGGAGAAAGACGAGCAAGATCGTGTTCCCCAAGTACAAGGACAGGCGCACGACTAAGAAGGGCAAGAACTAGACCGCAGGAGAGCTCTTCTCTGTTGCATTCACGTAGGCATTGTACGGCGTTCAGGGTCTGTTTTGTCTTTCTTTCTGTCCTCGACGATTACTGTCAAGATAGGACACAGAATATATTTTATTTGACACACAATACCGGGCTTCCTGCAGTGCGGGTGTGATACTCATATCTTGGCGGTCGGAACTGTGTGAGACGGGGCCGGCGTCATCCCCATGTCTTGTGCTGTAGTGGTCGGTGCCATTTCAAGGGTCGCTGGAGCCGGCCCGATTGGATGTTGTTCCTGGGCCTGGGACGTTCCGATGGTATCTGCTTGAGGGACCATGGCGGGAGCTGGCAATGAGGCGGCGTCTTTGCTGACGTCGGCAACAGGCATAGCAGATTGGCTCGGCGGCACTGTTTGGACTGCTGGAGAAGGGGCAGGTGGTGGCATAGGCACTGGCGTGGTTCCAGACAGCTGTGGCTGGTTGGCGGAAGCAGCCCCTGAAGCCGAGGTCGAGCCCGGCGCAGTTCCATCAGCAACGGTATGCGCAATACTGCCGCCTCCGGTGTTGGTTGGGCCGCCAGTCGGGTTCGCAGCCGGCTGCTCAGCCACTGTAGCCGCGGGCACAGGTTTTGGTGGTCCAGGAGCGGTTGGATCAAGGAAGCGAGCTGGGACTCCAAGAGCAGCAGCCGAACCAGTCCCCATCCAAGTTCCTAGCAACTTGCTGAACTTGTACTCGCCCTTCTGCAGCTTTTGGATCTCCTTGTATGCAAAGCTGTTGTAATATGGCAAGCCCGTTTTGGGGTCCTTGTAACGTGCCGGCTGGCCTGTGATGACGCATCGAGGGGCCGGCGCTGGTTTCGGAAGCTTGTTCATCTCTTTGCCGAACAGGATCTTTGTTTGCACCGCCTTGTCTTTGATGGCGTTTTCGTTGAAGTTCTGCAGGATGAAACAATTCCGCGTGGCCTTGCCGTCTGGCGGTGGTGTTCTTGGAGGCGGAGGGGTCTCTTCTTTCTCCTTTTCCTTCTTCTGTCTTCCGCCACGGGCAGGCTTCGTAGGCGGTGGGGGAGCTAACGGCAGCCGTTGTTGCTCTGGCATGCTCGGGGCTTGCATATCAACTCGGCCATTTTGAAGGACAGGTTGTATTTGCTGGGACTGAGCTAGTGCCACGGAAACTGCTGGCGAACCAGGTGGTAATTGCGGACCTGAGTCTGATGTCTGCTGACTTCCATTCATCGGAGCTGGAGCGGGGAAAGATCCCGGCGCGCCTGCTATTGGCATCTGGCCAATCTGTGGTATCGACAGACCTCCAGGACTGATCCCCGCAGGACGCGCAAGGAAGCTTGACCCCATCTGTACTCCGTCTGGAGGTGGTACCGAGACCAGCTGTGCGGGTGGTGCAAAGCTCATGGTGGTATACGTGCTTGTTGCCGATGCCGTAGGTTCTGAGGACACGAGCTGTGAAGGAGCATCTGAATGTGTTGGCGGGCGTTGAGATTCGGGTTGAGCTCTGACTGGTGCAGCGGCGTCTGGAAGACTGACAGCCACGTCTTTCATCTCTACATCTGGTTGAGCTTCAGCTGTCCCTGAGGACAAAGGTTCTTGCTTCTGTATATCCGCAGCCGACAATGGCTTTGGACTTGTCGTGGTCGTGGGAGATTCAGCGGTTTCTATTGATAACGAAGGTGCCCCTTGTTGTGGCGGGTGTTGCTCCAGCGTGGCGTGTGGCACGGGCTGGGTCTGTGAGTCTTCTGTTGCCGTTTGTGCTGCTAGATCTGGGGCAGGTCGTCCATCAGGAGTCTCTCCATTAGCCTGAGAATCTGGCACTACGCCGATCGGGTCTGGGTTCGGTGCAGCTGTGTTGGTGGCTGGGATTTCCGCGTCGACGACAGGTGGTGAAGGTGATGCTTGTTGAGAAGAGGTTGCTGGCTGTGCTGCTGCTGGTTCCATGCCTGTTTCAACAACCTGAGATGGCTGCTCGGTGGCTGATGGCTCTGCAGCTCTCGACTGTGTGTCCTGCTCTACACTGAGAGTTTCAGCTGGATTCGATGTTTCTTGATTCGTTGTAGAGGTCATTGGTGGTTTTTCTGACGAGGTTGTTGATGCCTCTAGGGCCGGGTCTGTTGTGGGATTCAGGGCTGGGATATCTGGCTTTGGCGCGGTTTCGACGACAGTTGGCTGCTCAGAAGCAGCCTCCTCCTTCGACACCCCATCAGCCATGGGGACATCTTCGTTTGTACCTGGCAGCGTAGCGTCTCCGTCCAGTGCCGATCCTCGCTTCTTCTTGAGAGGCTTCTCTTCAATGGTGACAATCTTGCCCACATACTTGAGCTTGCCGTCAACCCACTCGCCCACACCGCTCCAAAACGTGACCACGGGCCCATCGAGGGTGCGATTATTCAGTGCAGCCAGCTTCGCCCGCCGCTCCTCCTCCCTCTGCTTTTCGGCCTCTTCCCAGCGATTGAGGCTCTTTGCGTTCTTCTTCTCTATGACTGCGGCCTCAGCCAGGCGCTCTGCCTGTGTCTTGGGCGGTTTGCGTAGCGCCTCCATTTTCTTTGCCTTCCGCTCCATGGCCTCCACCTGCTTGATTCGCTTCACCTCACGCTCAATCATCTGCTGGTGGAGCTGCTCCTTGCTCAGCATGGTTGTTTCACGCCGTGAAGCGCGCGTCGGCATTTCCGCCGGTGTAGGAAGCCATGATGTCCGCTCAGACTTCTTCTTGGGCCTAGGGGCACCACCTGGCGGTCGCGTGCTGGTAGTTGGAGTGGCCGCGCTCGACGAGGTCACGGAACCTTCTGCTGAAAGTTGGGGCCCAGTTGCAATCTTGACCTTCTTTCGGAACTTCAAGGGTATGGCCTCCTGCGCCTTGCGCTTCCGCGCGGCCTGTCTGTTTTCGCGTGCCTTCCTCTCGAGTTCTTTCTCGCCTTCCAGGTCGTCGCCCTGCTCCTGTGCGTCCTCGTCATCGGATGACGAGTCCATGTGTAGATCGGATCCGTCCTCGTCGGCTTCGCTGAACGCCGCGTCGTCGCCGTCTTCGGCGAAGAGCAGCTCGAGCTCGTCGTCAGGCTCCTGTGCCGCAAGCATGTGCTTCAGCCGGTTCCCTGCCGTTGAGCGCTTTTCGCGGCCAGTCGCCAGCCATTCCACCGCCGGAGCTGGCGCGTCCGCCTCTCTGTCTGACGCGGCATCGCTCGAGGATGAGTCTGTGTCACTCTCGTCGTCGTTGTCCGGAGCAGTGTTGTGGTCGGCCGGCTCGTTCGCAATCATGGTTTCCGGGTCCGTCGTGTCGGGCGGGTTCTGAGCGAGCGCTGGCTCCTCTTCGGGTGCTGCTGCCGGCTGCTCGTCTGCCGGCGACTGGGGTTCATCTTCTGATGTCGCCATTCTAGTCGAATGCGGCCTGGGGCACCGGACGCTAGATGCGAAATGCCGAATATGGCGAAGAGTCGCTGCAGCGCATGTTGTGCGCCGCGTATGCTTTCGTCGTCGTCACACGTCAGAACGCAGTCCAGGTGCAACTTCGCCGTGAACCGTGGCAGTCTTGCAGCGGGAATGTGTGTAGACAAGCTATGGGGCCGTGAAAAGGTAATGGACCACTTTTCCTCTTGCCGATGAGCTGGGAGCAGGCGCGGCTTAACGCGTCGGCGTCATTCAGCGCCAAGCAGCCAGGACAGGTGTGGATCCACTTTTCGATGCTCCCCAAAGACAAAGGCGCAGCACATATGGAAGCGACCTTTTGAGTTGCCTGTCCACAGAAGCTCTGGAACCGTCCACAACATCACAGTCAGGCTCGGCGGCCCGGTGCGGGGATTGCCAGGGTTAACGCTGATGGTAAGCTTGAGGCGGAAGAAAGAGGCGAGATACAATCTGGTATTGAGCAGGACCTACATATTCACCCGGACAGTCCCCAGGCTTCATTACAGTCACAAATAGGAGCATACAAGGGCGCGAAGAGTGCAAGTCGAAGAGCATTTTTCCGTGTTCGATTACTGAATGCGAGACACATGGCCACGGCTCTTGCCATAATGCCACAGCGAGGACGTTCCACGCGCACCAATGCATGTGCTGTCGGAAAACATGTCGCTACTGCAAATGGTCTTCATGGTTCGTGAAAGTGCTAATCTGATGGCATAAATTCGCCGCACGGGTCCATCAAGAAATCTTCTTTGGATTCTGTATGGATACTATGCAACAAGACCTCGTCTTCTGACTACAATAGGTAGTCTGCCTTCCAAGAATTTCCAAAACGCCGCCCACGCACCCGCTCCAGGGTGTGGTGTATGAGAGAGTATATATGAGAATAAAGAAACGCCATGCGAATTGAGTACAGCTGGAGAGGAGAGCTCCCCAATGGAAGACGCGGATGAAATCAGTGAAAAAAGGCCCGGAGTCTTGTGGAGATGATGTCTATGTTGAATTGTGGCGCAGGTATCCCCTGGGATTGTTTGAAAATTCGGTCCCATGGTTGAGATTGGAATTTGCGCGGTAAAGGTGTAGTACATGCAATGGTGTCATAATACGCGATTTGGCCTCACGATGGTGGTGGACTTGAGGTGGTCCTCGCGGCGCTCGACAGACCCTGACCAGGAAGCTGGACTGGGAGTGGCGCCCGTTCCCCACGTTCTGTCTCAGCTACGCCGCTGGATCCCTGACCGCTACCCCGGCCTAGTCATCCCATCCAAGGCACTCGGGCCCCCAAAGGAACCCAAAGGGGGAAGCCGACCCCTCACAACTTTTGATTGGGCAGGTCAGATGGCAAGGACTTGCGGAAGGAGACCAGCGAGTTTGGGGGGCTTGTCAGCCGTGCCGCTCTGGACTCATCGCCCGATCATGGGGGTAACGAGCTCGATGCTCTTGGGGCGTGAGTAGCCAGTGGGTTTCCGTGAGGGCAGCGGACGTTCTGAGCCAAAACCGCTCGCTGTTGGATACACATAGGCTGATGAGTATCCCCCGTCATAAGTTGATGAGTAGAAGTTGGACGGCTTTGTGTAAGATGTACTGGGGCTATTGGCGACGCTACGGGCGAAGGGCCAAATGCTTGAATGGGTCGACACGGGTGAAGGAGGACTTGGCGGGCGAATGTTGAGAGACTTGAGCGCCGAAATAGCACTCGTGTACTGGGCGGTGTTGGGGGTACTTGGAGGAGAGAAATACGTCGAGCTTGGGCGGGATGGTGAAGCACGTGGAACGATGTCTCGCAACTCGGGATCTCCGGCGGCATGAAACGGCAGGTTGTTGCCGAACCCATCGAGATCGTACGCTCCCAAAAAAGACGGACTTGTACTCTGATCATGTTTGCGACACCTACGATGCTTGTTAGTATATCATTTGTGGGGAGTTTGAAACGTGACCAAAAACCTACACATCCGAGCAGTACAGGGAGGTCTCATCGGCGGATAGAAATTGTTTCTCGCAAGTCATGCTACATTAAAAGGGCCAGGTTAGCAATCTCAAGGGCTCGTGAAACAAAGAATGCGGAAAGAGTAGCCCTTTGTCCCCTGCCACACGTGACACCACAAGGAAGCCTCCGCGAATTGCCCGTAGTTGGGATTGGTCCAAAAAGCAAGCAAGAATGGATGTCTTGGGGTTGTTCTCTCAAATAGTGCGGGGGTGCTCCTCAGACATGTCTGGGCAGGACTGATGGTCACACAAAGCGAGGAATGCGGTCACTCACCAGAATTGAGGGAAGCATTCCCGGTCATTGTCCCATAGTCTCTGTTCTTCAGACTCGCGCTCGCGAGTCTTTGGGTTCTTGCCGAGCTTCTGCACCGTTTGAGGGGTTGCCCTCCTCGAAAGCTGCGGCCGGCGGCCTTTCGAGAGGTCGGAGACACCCACGGCTTTCCGGACGTCTGTCATGGACGTGTGAGCCGAGATGTGCCCGGACTTGCGGCGAGTGTGATGCATGGTGGACGGAGAGCGGCCACTTGAACGAATTTGGTGATTTGACGTGCACTTAGGGCACGGGCGAGGAGAGCGACCAAGCCTGGCGTGTTGCGGCTGCGATTTCCTGGAGAGAAACCCGAGATTGCAGGCGAAAAAGCGCCAGGATGTGAAGTGATGGTTGAGCTGTATTGCCGTGGGCGGACAAGAGCTTGGTCCAACGTAGCTGAGAACCAAGACCCAGAGAGAACAAAAAAAAATTGAGTTGCCCAAAGAGCTGGCACCTCAGAATACTGCTCGGAGCAGGGCGTGGAAGCTTCGGGCGATGATTTGGCTAAGAACGGGAGCGGCGTCCTGGAAGCGGTGCTGAGGTAGAGAGTGGCGGAGCGGGAGAAGAACTCTAAGCCGGAGTGCTGTCAGGTACAAGCGAGGAATTGCTTGAGCCAGTGGGCAAGGCGGACGTTTAGTTGATAGATAGAGTCTGTCGTGGCAGGTAGCGTCACTTGCCGCGTGTATAAGCGCAAAGTACGGCTGGGATCAACGGGATGTCAGGACGATGGCGATGGCAGGGCCAGAAGGAGCGGAGGCGAGCAGGGCAGCGGCGGGAAAGCAGCGACGAGGCCGAGATATACCACGGACGAAGCACCCACCGGGTCGACGAGGCCCACCAAAGAGGCAGAAGTGCCCGGCGATGTGCACATGGGGGTGGAACAAGGCCCATGGCCGTGGCTGCTGGCGACCCCCGTGCGCCGTCTTTGTGCGAATGAATGGAGCACGATGATGTGGGGAATGGCGTACGCCCTGCTGCCCCTCCCTGCTGCCGCTAGCAGCCCCTTCGAGCAGCAGCAGCAGCAGCGGTAAAAAAGAGCCCTGAGGCACGTCGTGGCCAGCGTCTCACGCACCGCAAGGGTGGCACCGGCCTGGCAACTTGTGGGGAGGCCGTATCAACGTTATCTGCCGTGACTCCTCGTCCCAGCCGAAAGCGGAGCTGGTGGGGCCCTCCTGCCTGGCCAATCGCACCTCGTCCTGCCCGCTGCCCATGGTCCCGGACGAAGCGCTTGCCAGGTCCCTGCAAGGTGCGGCCACCCTCACCAGGCCTGTCCACACACACCCGCCAGCCCGTGCAAGCAACACGACTTGGATGTGGACAAGCATCGTCGTGGTGCACATCCCGTCTGGCTTTCGGGCGGCCTATGAGACTGGGGGTCCCTCCCGTCTTCAATGGAACCAAGGGAAAAAATTTTCTCCCGCCGTCTGACATGTCGACCGCTACACATCCCTTGCCGTCCAGAACCCCTTGGACACTGTTGTCGGCGAAATAGAACCTGGTGAGCCATGGGTGTCGGCATCCACAGTCAGAGCCCAGATCGCCAGAGTCGACGAGAATGGCATTGACTTTTCAGGGGTTCCCATCAACATCGGCACGCCATGGGCCGCTAGCATGACATGAGGGGCCAGCTGACGGCTAAACGCCCCATCAAGGTACCTCGGTGGGCGTGGCTCGAATGGTACCACCGGGAACAAGACGGCATGTCGCAATTCTCTGTACAGGGAGCGTTCGTCTTGCGCTAGAGCACGTTATGCTGACGCAGCCCAGAGGTGACTAACACGTTTCCACCACTGTGTGCCTTGTTACGTTGCGTACAACTCATCGGCTCTATACACGAAACGTGACAAGTAAGCCGCGTTTCGCCCACAAGGCGTTGTTCCGGAACACCATGCAGGATGCACACGAAGTTGTGCAGCGCATCCGGTACGCGCATGCTGGACGATGCTGCAGGTTGTGTGCCCTCGCATAATGTCCACAGAATGGTCCCCCAGTGGGTCTTATCAAGGGGAACTCTGGGAGCGGCCCCATTGTGAGTTGCGGCTGGAAGGCAAGACAACGCCACCGAACACGACCCTTTCCGAGCACGCCATTCGACAGGGTTTTTTACTTATCAGAACAAGCCGCACAGCGTCTCACGAAGGTTCTCGGTGTTCATGATGATGCTCCGCAAGGTCACGGCTCTCCTTGCTGAATCGAGGTGACTCGCAAGGTCAACAAGGTTGTGAAGCCTTCACGCCATTTCAAACCGACAGATTGCCAGCCGGGTGTTCATAAGGAACCCCGAAGCACACCTTAACGCGGTGTTATAGCGACACCACCACCGCCCTGCCGAAGATGGCACGGTCAAACTGTTCATGGATGTCTTCTCGCTTGGACCATCAACTGTTAGTGAGAGCCACAAATGATTGCCGCGGTGGAACTTGTGGGTGTTCAGGAGGAGTGGAGTTGAGTGAAATTTTTCGATTGTCCCTCCCACATTGGTTGTCAACTTCCCCGGATTAGCCCTTCCCGACGGCTGGACAGGCGTGTGCAAAATATGGCACCGCCACTTCCGCCTCTTCCAAATGCTCGAGGTCCAGCAACGCCAGGAGACACCACTTAGTGGGAGTAGTATTCTGGCCAGGAAGATTTCGTCCAAGATGTCACAAGTACTATTCTGGCCTCTACTATTGCGGCACGAAAGGATACACGTGTGACCGTCTTGCAGAAGTTTCCTGGTCGGGTGGAATTTTTACACAAATCGAAACGCACGCACATTTTGATGAAGGCTCTCACGATACGCCGCCCACTCCTTACGAGCACGTTCCTGGTCGTCTGGTGTTCGGTGTCGAGTTCCACAGCGACACCCCCCTGGTCCGCGGCTCCCACCCTGCACCCCGTTCAAAACCCACTCGACCTAGCGCCGGGGCTTCTGACAGAGGGCGTGGTTTCGAGATCAAAATTTCGACATCACGTTGCTGGTGGTGAATGCCCTCTCCAGGTCGGCAGGTACAATCCCTGCGTCTCTAGTCTTTATGCGGTCTGCCCGAAAAATCTACAACTTCGTCTGCTCGGACAGTCGTTCACGTCAATCTCCTACCACGAGGCGAGAGTGAGGCCGAGGCAGCCCCCCGCGCCGTGCCGTAATTCTTGGGGCCTGAACTCTATGAGAAAGGCTAAAGTTTTAGCGTGATCGTCAAGAGCATGTCAAAGACGCACGTTCCCGTCTATGCCCTTCCTGTGGGGAGCCCGGCCAACCAGATAACGATTCAGCCTAATTTTCCCGTGCTCGCAAGCTAGCGGGAGCCGGACAACTTTTCTTGCCCTCAAATGTCCCTGCCCGTGGGCGCTTGGAAGCACACTAGTACACGAACAGCTCGATCGACTGGAATGGAATGGCCCGGCGAAGACGCGTGGAAGTCGGTTAGCCTGACGTGACCAGTGGCGGGGTGCTCTTTGGAGGCTGTCACCGCCATTTCAAGACGTCCTCGAGGCTTTTGTTTAAATCTCCCACGATCGTGCTTGCAGAATTTTCCTACCGATTGTGCGGCATCATCGCGATCGTGGCAGCCAAACGGACCAATTCCAGGTCCACCTCGTAGACAACGAGGCGAGACAGCATTCGAAACAGCAATCTGCATGCCCGAGCAATGCACAGGAGAATGCCGAGATGGGACACTATTTGCGCACTAACAGCAACTAGACGTTGAGACGATTGGACTCATTTGCTATAATCTCCAACTAATCATGCCGACGCGCCTCGCGAAGATGCGTCACGAGAGCTTCGAGAATCATCTACGGTCTCTTTCTCAATCTTCCTGACCGCCATGACCACGGCATGGGCGCGACCTATGACGTATCAAGCCCGCATGTGGCGCAAGTTGGTTTGCTCCAATGAGGCACGCTCGGGAATGTCTCTCCATCGCACACTGGTCAATCTGGTTCGAGTTTAGGCGCACCTCGAATGTCGAGAATTGAGGAACAGGTTGGGATTTTGAGGCTCCAGAGGTGCCGCATTCACTCGGTCCGAGATCCTGTGCACAGTCAACCTGGACACGCGAGGTGCTCGTCTTGGCCATTGGATATGTCACCATGTTGCAAGCCGCTTTGGTACATCAGACCGACTACTTCACTGCCTTGCCCGATCCTGGTGGCCGTCCTGAGAAAACAAACCTGGTCCTAGACTTTGATGTGCGTCACTTGCATTTAGCATCCGCACAACCCATGCATACAGCAGGGGGACCTCCTGCCCCAAGTGAAGCAGGCGGCTAGCTGTCTTTACGCTGTGCAAGGTCTTGGAGAGTGATGTTTCTTGGTCCAGCCGTGAGCTGCACAGCCAAAAGCGGCACGCATCGCAAATGCACTCGAGGGAACGTTGATTCTTCCTTCCGGTCTGGGACGACGGCAGTGCGTTTTCCCGTCTCGGATGACGGCCCAGGCAGCCCTATCACGCAGTTTGATAGCTTTTTGGGGTCTAGAACTGCCTCACGCGTTTTGGGTTTGTGGGGGTCAGTCATCTCGTGGGGTGAGGATCAGCTTTATGCAAGGAGAGAGCGTCACAAGGAGCACCGGTGATCTTTACTGTGTCCAGGAATGCATTTCACACAAGACGCTCCTCGGCCGCTTTAAGCCCCGAGACGCGCAGCCCTGCAGCAGTCAGGGCTGGCTTTTGAAGCAGGTTCTTGTGCATTAGGAAAGAGCCGGAACTGCCTGATCTCGAGTCCCGTAACCAGGTGGTACAGATGTTTCGCCGAACAGTATTTCCACCTTGCATCCGCCCACCTATCCGCCCTGTCCTTGGTGTCGTTTCGTCAGGGAAAAAAGAAATGGGGAATACTACGACGATGACGACGACAACGAACCACATTTGGGTGCGGCCATCATACGAAGATTCCATACATCTTTCGACACACGAAACCTCGAAGCGAGCTGTACGCGCGTAGCTTACCTAAGAACAACTCAGGACAGAGAGTACTAATTACTGGTGGACCAGTATGTACCGCTCTTCGACTTGTATGTACGGGTAGCCACGCACGCATCCACCACATCATGCATGGTGGCACAATATAGCGTGTGAATGTCGGCCCGGTTTGCACTCCCCACAAGCGCGCGGCCCTGGTTTGAAGGTGGCCGCCTGCAGCAACAGTGGACGAGACCCTGCAGGCAGGCAGGCAGGCAGGCAGGCAGGCAGGCAGGCAGGCAGGCAGGCAGGCAGGCAGGCAGGCAGGCAGGCAGGCAGGCAGGCAGACAGGTCTGCGCTGGACATAGCAGTCTCGTACCTACCATGTAGATAGAGAGGTGCATGCATCATGGGACTTTTGGTAACTTGCTCCCTGTGGCATGCCGCGAGAATAACCCGGAGATAAATGACTGGATGCTCCAGTATCCCCCCCTGGCGGCTGTTTTGGCCTGCTGGAGCAACAGCCTCGAATAGCAACAATGGAAGATCCCACGGCTGATAAGCTGGCACCACGGGTACCGTCGGCTCTTGAGCCTGGCGGGTTGGGCAACGGCGGCTTCCAAGCTCGCACCCCGGAAGCCACTGCGGCAGGTACCCAATCTAGGGTATCTATCTGGGAGGGAACCCCCACGCTGCACGGCCGGGCTGCCGAAGATGTGCCAGCATCCTGTGGAATGGGGAAAACAGGGCCGACACAGGCACAACAAGCACCTGTTGCTGCCCACGACGACAGGCCCTGGACGCACCGCTCGACGTGTGCGGTGATGGCAGGCTGTCTGTCACCCTTCCAACCCCGGACAGACGTCATATCCCGCGCTCGTGTGTGCTTGAGATTGTGCTCGGCTCGGCTCGGACCACAGCAACCAGAATAGACGCCAGGCCGGCGACCCAAAGCACATCACCTGTTCACAAGCCCCAAATCCCAGGTCCCAGGCAATCTCAGAGTTGTCAGCCACTTGATCCGTCTCGCAGACGTCAATTTCTCGCCTCCAGGGCTACGACTCAGCAACCTCTAGCATCCACGACTCGCTTGCTCCCACATCTCCTCCCTGGTCGACAATGCGATATGCCCAGCGCTTTCTGGGAGCCAGTGCCACACCCGTTGTGGGAGTGGCATCGTCGCCTCGATAAGTGGCGCCAGTCTTTGCCTGCATGCACTGCAACTGGGACCTACCGTGAAAGTGCTATCTTTCCATCGCCAATGCTGCGAACCCCGGCATCGGGAGTGTCCGCTGCTAGGATGCAGAGATGCCCACGATCCTAGGCCCCACCCTGAGCGATCCAGCACAGCGTCGGCGGTTTCCGCTCTGCGCGTGTCAGGAGCACCCTCCCTGGTCTATCCTCGAGGCCGCCTGGCCACGCGATATTCATCTCCAATGGTGATGGATGAGGACCAAGACATGCAAGATGCCTCATAGATGCAAGCATGCTGACTCGTCACGCACCGCTGAGCGTTGAGAACGCCGGCACGTGCCTTGACGTCGTTGGCAACCACACACACTTTCCCCCTCGAGAGAAAGAAGCAGGTGGCTCCCCATCCATAACATCACGATAACGCAAGATCTGCGCTGCCGCCGTCAATCCCCCTGTTCCCCGCACACCACCCGAGAGATTGACATGCGCGTGGCTTTCCTGACAACACAGCACCCGCGCGCTAGACCTGCCGGCACGAGTCAGTCTGGGTTTCAGGGTTCTACACAAGGAGAGGCTGGCTTGAGGGAGGGGCTTGCCCTCAGATCGACCATCTGCCGCGAGCATCGAATAAAGTCGTGGCCGTTGGGAACTATTGTGTGCATTGTTCTGCGGATGGACGACTACCGAGCCTGCCTAGCCCAGCTTGCGTTAGCGTGCTGCTTCTCCTCCCTCCCCCATGGCGACTGTGCTTTGCTCTCGATGCCCTCTGACACGAATCACGAATATCACATCATCGGACAAAAACATGTGAGCAGTCTGACGCCTAGCTAGGCCCAGCCGGTGAGCCAGTGATCAACGGTGTTCGAGCGTATCACTCATACACCACATCTCCGCTCGCCTATCTTGTCGATCCTTCTCGGTCCTTGCGAGTCGAGAGATCTGCTACGGTACGGTACAGAAATGCCCCTCGTGATCCTCGTAGGGGATCGTCTTGGCAGTCTGGAGTCTGGGACACGCCATTCCGCCCGGCTTGCCCTTCTGGGCACAACGCCCGAGACACCCGCGCTGCGTCATCTGGTGTCACAGGCAGCGAAGGGGGGTTGCTGTTGTTGTCGTTTGATGCCGCACGAGCAGCTAAGCTCGGCTCAACTTGACCTGAGAAGGACAAGGGCCGAAAGAGCAAGGTTGCCTGCGCTACCTACCGTTGAGGAGTGCATGTCAGGGGTCCTCTGCGCATAGCTCGGGTCTGTCGTTGGTTCGCGCTGGTTGCTCCCCCCTCGCATGACGTCGCCGAGCACACCATCCCATCGACTGGGCACGATAGGAGCTTGCCCGAGCTGCGCAAGGCGATGGCTAACGAGCTGCAGGCGGCTGAGGGTGTGTGGCTGGGCGCATGGCTGAGTGACGACACGGTCACGAGGGCCGCGTCCGCCTCCGTGGCTGATTGACCGCCTGGCCTTTGTCTTGGGTTGCCGGCAGAGAGGGAGTGGGTGTGCATCGGCCACTCAGCTCCTTGCCCTGGACCAGTCCGGCGTGGCTGGAATCCGGGGTTTGTGGCCGGCCTTGACCTTGACCTTGACGCCGCATCCACACAGTACCTGTCAGTGAAGGGCCGGAATCCGGGGTAGCCGGTATCGGATGCGGGTCATCCTGCCTAGCCATCCATCCCCCCGTCACCTTCGCCCGCTGCTGGTGGGACACGCTCGACAGGGTCCTGCTTATCTTGTATGGGACAGCCGCGGCGTGCTTGATACGACATCTTCCGGCCCGTCAGCCTGGGGCTGCCTACACCTCACGGGTGACGTCGAGGGTTGGGCGTGCTATTTTCGAGCACAGCTCCTCCTCTGTCCATAAGGGCATATGCTATAGGGCCATTGCAGAGCCCGGGCATTCGAACCAAGACAAGACGAGTCTTGGGTCTGGGAGACGAGGTTGGATCAGAGGCCCCCGCCTGGCTTGGAGGGTGCCCGTCTGACACAGCAACACGCGCATTCGGCCATGGACAGCCAGCCACAGCTTAGATCAGCCAATATCACATACCATATCCTCCTCAGGTTGCTTACACTGGTCCCCCATCGTCACCACACCATACCACACAATACTACGCATCACTGAGAATGAAAATAAATGAACAAGAGAGCCGTCCGTCTGCCTCGGAGGACCATGCTCCGACGACCTTGTCCTTGCCCTTCTTTGCCCTATCATCCAACACCTTCGGCCAAACAACCGCCCCCAATCCATCTATCACTTTGCCTGACACCCCCAAAGCCCTACCAGCCAAGCAAGAAATAGCGTCGAATGACGGGACAGTCACGTCCTACACGCGTATGAAACAGCGCGCCACTTGCACATGCAAGCCTTCCAGCCTTCGAGCAGCCTAAGCCAGCAACACGCACCCAAGTGGACGGTGTGGACGTTGCAGCCATCTAGACCTTATTCGGGCATGACAGCTGACACCCACACACACGCATACACGACACCACCACTACCATTTCCAGAAAGCAGGAGCATGCATGAGGCGAGGCTTTCTAGACTCGATTCTCACAGGTCGACAGACGGACAGGGCAGCCAGCCAGTCAAGAAGGGGGTGTGTGCGTGTGTGGGAGAGAGGGAGGAGGGAGGGGAGACCGTTAATTCTTCCGCCCCCCCCCCTTCGTTCCATCCCCTTCCCTTCCTTCCTCTCCCCAATTCCCCTATGTGGCTTGGGCATAGATGGGAAAGCGGCCAGAAATGGCATCGGCCAAATTCTCGCCCATTCAAACTTTTGCCTTGCGCGAGAGAGAGTGAGAAAGAGGGGATACAGAATGCAGGATGTCCATTGGATGTAGCCACGCAAATGCAGCAGCTGCAGGATGCAGTTTCAGAAGCACCTACACACATATTGAATCACACGGCCGGTAGGTTCCTTCCTTTATTGTCATTATTATCCTTTACTCTTTCGCTATTTCTGCATGCCTTGCGTCGATGCCCGAGGATGTAGACGGCCAGCTTTGGCGGTAGATGCTGCCCATGCTTTCACGGCCTGTTATAGTGTTTTTTTCCTCTCCTGCCACAACTATATACCTACTTAATGTGTTAGTGTAGATAAGTGCGTACATCCCTGACAGCAGTGGCGGTCGGGCGTGACTGCAGGAGGGGGGGGGGTGGATCGCTATCTGGTATTCTCATCAGCATACGTTCCCCAGCACACGAGTCAAGACTATCAGTCGTGCTCACTGCATGGGTTGTTCATTGTTGTTGGTGTTGTTGTCCGTGGCTAGGACAGGAGGGGAGTTGTAGATGTCGTGCTGTCGTGCTGAGATGGTGTAGTATGGCGAATCGGCAGGTCTGGATCTCCGCAGGGGGGTGGAAAAGCCTACCTCGCCCTGCTTTGTCTGAGCAGGCGTGATTATGTGAAAATAATGCGTCAGCCTTTTCTCCCTCACAACTTATCTCCCATGCATGGATCTTGAGCACTGGATCTTGGGCGCTGGTCTTTTTTGGGCACATATCTCTATAGGTCGAGAAAGCTAGTCATGCCCCTGTGCCTTCCGACATGTAGGGCGAGCACATCCATATCTTGTTTGATTCGAGCTGGGGCGAATCAAAAAGTCTAGAAGAAGGGGGTACCCCCCTGGAGAGTCGACGGCATGCTGGTGTGTGTGTGTGTGATGTGCACATGGGTGAAGGAAGGAAATTGGTCGCGTGGACACCCTTTGGACACACACCACCACATGAGACGCCACTCTCCAGAGGACTCGGCTCGTTCCGGCTCACGGTGTTCCGTCTAATTGCCATTTGTGCGCGCCACTTGTTGGTTCATGAGCCAAGAAAAAGAACTTGACTAGTTGTCGTTTTTGTTTGTTTTGTCGACTCTTAGCGCCGTGTCGAGGGGGGTTTCATCGAGGGCTCGACCAAGTGATGAAGTCCTAGACTTTGCCGCCCTTCGTGAACACCAACAGGGACTCTAGGATGACTCTGAAGGAAAGACATCGTAGTATCCGCTGATTCGTGTCCGGAACTTTTCCCAATTGTCGTCCGCTGGGACGACTGCGCTGGCTACGCCAAGGATGATAATTCTGCCAGATCGAGGCCAGGGCTTTTCCCCCAGAGGTGGTTTTGAGGTCTGACCTCAACTCCCGTCATAGTGGGAGGCGTATCGCGAACCTCGAGTTGTTTTTGACAGTTGCGGGAAGGGTCAGATAGTGCATTCTTCCCGCCGCCATTACTTGTGGTGATCGTTTCGTGGGGACGTGGACACACGACCGGTGCCGGATCCTTTTTGAAAGCGTTCCAATCATGAATAACCGTTTGAGCCTCGCGTGATAGCTCATATAAAAGAAGTAGCATCAGAACTAGCCAAACAGCCTGCTGGACCATTTCGTCGGTAATTCAAGCTGCGCCCCGCGTGGGACAGAGGTAGTTTCAAGCACTCCCAGTAGCTTCAAGGGAGGTGTCCATACCCTAATGTGAAACTTGCGGCTGCAGTCTACGATCAATACGTAGTTGTACGCAAGCCTTTTCAAGTTGAAGACTCAATGCTGTGATACAGGGCTAGTGAAAGTCAAGTCTGGGCCGAGTTCAACCTGTATTGAGCTGCTACTGTCTCTTACATAGAGCGTATCGACTGAGAAGACCGACACCATCCGGCCCCTTGGATCCTAGCTTAACCTCCCAATTCGAGATGCTAACAAACAAACTGCCAATACATGCTTAACAACCAATACTCCAGGTCCTCATTCTCATGAACCAATGCTTGACGCAAGTTCTGTCCATAAAGGATTACATATGGAACTCCATCGTGGGAGCACTGTGCCGAGACTACGTCTGTTCGCTCAAAACCACAAGAACCGCTACTTCATATGGGGCGGGTTCACACCCAGGGTAAACTTGCTTGGGATTTCCGGAGATGGAGGTCCTGGGTCAAAGCCTTTCATTGCTACTGGCACTCGGGATTTTGGACCAGTATGGTATAACGTAATCCACGGGCGAGTGGCCCACTTTCATTCACTATACCGAATCCAACTCTTCTTCACGCGTTTATTCCACCACGAAAGATGGAGACGCCTTCTAAAGAGAGTCAATTGTTCCTTGCTATCCAAGCAATGGAAAACGACCCAAACTTAAGCACCCGACGCGCTGCCGAGATGTTCAACGTCCCCCGAACAACCCTACGACGCCGAGAGAAGGGAGTACCTGCCCGACGCGAAAGCCCTCCGAATTCTACAAAATTAACCAAGCTGGAAGAGGAGAAGATTGTCGAATACATTCTCGACTTGGATGCGCGAGCATATCCTCCTCGGCTAAGTGAGGTTAGAGAAATGGCGAATCAACTACTCGCGAAGCGCGACAGGCCAGGTGTCGGAATCAACTGGGCCTCAACCTTTGTTAAACGACGACCAGAGCTCCAGACGCGTTTCTTTCGCAAGTACGACTACAAGAGAGCCCAGTGCGAGGATCCCGACGCGATAAACGCGTGGTTTCGGCTTGTGCGGAACGTAGTTGCGAAATACGGTGTCGCGGACTCCGATATTTACAACTTCGACGAGACAGGCTTTCAGATGGGCGTTATCGCGACCGGGATGGTCGTTACAAACGCGCAAAGACGTTCGAACGTTAAGATGAAGCAACCGGGTAATCGGGAATGGGTTACGGTCATCCAGGGCGTCGGCGCGACCGGATTTTACGTCCCGCCGTTCGTAGTATTTGCCGGCAAATATCACCTCTCGACCTGGTACCAAGACGACGCGATTCCTCGCGACTGGAGAATTATAACGTCCCTAAACGGCTGGACTACAAATGAAATTGGTCTAGATTGGATTCGGCATTTCGATCAGCATACAAAGTTGCGAACAAAAGGCGATTATCGCCTCCTCGTCCTCGACGGCCACGAAAGTCACCACTCGGTCGAATTCGAGCTCTACTGCAAGGACAGCAAGATTATTACGCTCTATATGCCTCCTCACTCGTCTCATATACTCCAGCCTCTCGATGTTAGGTGTTTTGGTCCGCTGAAGAAAGCATACGGTCGGCAAATCGAGCTCAAGATAAAGGCGGGTACAACGCATATCAGTAAGGAGGACTTCCTCCCCTCGTTTTTAGCAGCATTCCAACAGATAATGACGGAAAAAAACATCCAGGGAGGCTTTAGAGGGGCAGGACTTATACCCTATAACCCAGAAGCAGTCTTATCTAAGCTCGATGTAAAGTTCAAGACGCCAACGCCCCCAGGGACGCCTCGGAGGTCACCCGAGCTATGGACTTCCCGAACGCCTACTACAGCTATAGAAGCCCGTTCACAGTCTGATTTTATTAAAGGTCGAATCTCTCGTCACCAGGGAAGCTCTCCAACGTCAATTATTGAAGCAGTTGAGCAGTTCACGAAGGGGGCAAAGGGGATTATGCATAAGTTTACCTTAATGGAGGCAAGGATGAAAGCCCTTGAAGACGAGAATGCAATACTTAGCAAGCGTCGTAGGGCGAAAAAAACACGTCTTAGGAAAGGCCAAAGCATGACTCTAGGCGAGGGACAAGATCTCGTAACCCAGAGAGAGGTAAATGCTCAGGTAGTACAGGAAATGCAGGAAAACTCTGGGGGTGAAAGTCGATCTGCACCAAAGCAGCGGTGCTGTAGCGTCTGCGGGAAACCCGGTCATAACGCAAGAACTTGTTACATAGTTACTCTTGGGTCTGAACTAGAAGATAGCGATTGAGCTTAATTGATTTAAGGCGTTGGGGCTGTGTTATCGAGGGTGATACCTGCAAGACTTGGTTGGGGTGGGCCACTCGCCCGTATGGGCCACTCGCCCGTGGATTACGTTATATGTAGAATATGTACTTGTATTATCCCTTTATGTGGAATGTAGGATCCCGCTCTCTAGTATGAACATAGCCGAATTTGCAATCTGCCATCTTCCTTGGAATCCTAGGCTTGGAAGACGTACGAAGTCGGTGGGCGGATAGAGGATGTTACTGGGGAGATGCCTCGCTGATGATAGGTCATCTGCGCAAAGATGAGACTCTGGCTCCGTCGCTCCCGTAATTATGTGTTGCTGCACAGCATAGATATCTCGCCATGATAGATAGCTTGCCTTGATTGCAAAGCTCCTCCAGGGAACGGAACGGCGTTGTCTAGGACCTCTTTGTTCACCGAGACAGGTCCTCCGTGAATGCCACAGGATATCTCCTGCATGACATCGTCATCCAACCGACACATGCCGCTCCGCATGTTTCGGTAACGGGCGATCTGGGGCTTGTGGGACTGTATACTGGCCCGCCGTCGAGCCCGCAGTTCCCGCAATTCTTGTATGCCTCGCGCGCTGCTCCCATACCTGCTCCCACGGCGACATCGCCTGGCCATTGCCCTGCCTTGTCGGTTCCAATTGAATACCGCACTTTGCAGCGAGCACCGAGGCCAGATTCTGGAGGTCTACGGGCGGAGGTAGCTTGCGGTGCCGAAAGTTGATGATTAGGTTGTTGGTGAAGCACAAGATGTGCGCATTGAGATGGCGCCAAGCATTCTCAGACATTTTGACTGGCTGCCTGACGAAGCTCTGGCACCTGTCGGCAACGATTTTGCCCGCGGTGGACACCAGCTCCCGACCCTCTGAGGTCTGCATGGTGTTTGTGATTATCCTCTCGAGCTCCTCAAAGTTCGTGGTTGACTCGATAGCCCTCCGGAAGCCGGCTGCGTCCTCGTGTCCTGGCGTCGTCCGCCAGGAGAGTTTCTGTCGGCGCAGCATGTACTGCATGACGCTTGTTACGTTGTCACGGATGCTGAGCTGGACTCCGTTCTGGAGGAGGACATCCCACAGCATGCGCCTGTACTTGTCCTTCTTGATCGGCCACCGAGTCAGCTGCGGCGCATCGCCTTGCGATCCGAGCAGAGCGGCGGACAGCACGTCAAAGTCAGACATGCGCCACGGACTGAAGACGTTGGCGGCGACCTGGGCGAAGCGAGTTTCCAGCTGAAGAGACTTCTTGTTGAACTGGTTGATGTCCTTGTTGAGCGCCTTGAGGGCGAAAGTTCTTGGCTTCATCGACTTATGGGGGGTTCCGTCTAGTAGTGGTTCGTATGGGCGCACGGCTCTACAATCCTCGGCATCGAGGTCTATGAGCAACGGAGATGCTTCGAAGGTTGGAAACTTTTGGCGCATTGGGATCTTGCGGGTTTTGTTTCTTGGCCAGCGTGGCCGCCAGTGGACGAGACGAAGCTGGCGCGTCGGGCACTGGGCTTGGGCAGGCAGACTCGTTGGTGAGAGGTCGGGGCGTCTTATGTTGGCGGATAGAGTTGTTAAGCGTCGAGCGGCATTCGGCTGTGCTGTCGTGTCTGTGGCGAGCCGGCTGTGCCGACTCGGAACACGCCTCGGTATCATGGTCTCGGCTGAGGATCTCACAGCCGCCAGGACTGCAGATGGACGCTGAGGACAGATCAAGGGGAGGAGGGTATTGTGGACTCGCGCTGGTCAGCCAGAGAGTCGAGGAATGCTGCGCGCTGGAGGAGCTTGGGTGAAGGGTTGCGGGGATCTGTCGTGTGTTGTTGCTGGGGAGATTGCTGTTGGAGAGTGGCACTATGCCGGGTTGTGCTGAGTTCGGCTTGTTAAGCGACCGTTTGCCTCCCTCCAGGTATGCTCAGTTGGTTACCCCTCCCATCCTCGGTGACTCTAATTATGGCCCGACCGAAAAGCACCGCCGGACAGATCACAGAGGCAACCAATTGGCCTTCCCCCAAGGTCGTCAAAGATGGCACTCTGCTCTGTACATGTCATGCTGTCACGACCCAAATCCCAGTTTGAACCATGTACGTCGCTTCATTATGGGTGACTTGTCCCTCGCGTCTTTGACATGGACGGGAGCTTGTGGGAGCGCCAGCACTTCTCAGGGCAGAGACGGCGGCGCACTTGCATTGCTGCGGGCCCTTCCCCAGGAAAAGGGACGGGCGACACTGGGGCGCTGGGGCCGTCGCAAGCGGCGCGGCAGGCGGATTCTGGGGCACGGCAGGGGCCGCCCCTGCCTTTGTTGGAGAAGGCCTGTCGCGTGCTCTCTTGTCGTCGTTGTCGCCGTCGTCTTCCCAATCTGCCCTCGCCCCGTCCTCTCGAAACCAGATCACACAGTCCACCAGGCTCAATCTTGATTGAAAGCCAATCTTGTGCCAATCTCGAAGCTTCATACGAATCAGACGCAGGTCCTCGCAGTGCTACCACCCAGGCTTTCGCCTCGCACGACACCACGAGATGCAGCTTCACTAGCGGAGAAAAGGCTCACACCACCCATCGCAAGTCCCAACCAGACCCGCCACGCTACTGCACTGCGTTGCCCTGCACCTGCGCGCTTCCCCCGCTGCCGATCCCCCGGTGCATCCAGTCCCTCGTTCATTTCAGCGACGCAATCCCTCTCGCGCTGATTCAACTACTTCGACGGCCAAGACTGGCTCTTGAGATCCAACTCGAACTCGGGCTGCAGTGCAAGAGAAGCAGCATATACGTCCCTCAGGTGCCGCATTTGGTGCAAGGATTCATACTCCGCCATGGCAGCTTGGAGCGGAAGAAATATCTCCAAGCATAGGCGGTAGGCCAGGGCTCAAACAGAGAGGTGGCAGTAATGAAGGCGCCAAAGGGCAACGTCTACTCTTCCTAGACAATCGCCTCTTGATGAACGATGGAGATATTGTTCCTTTCAGCGAAATACGTTCCTGTGAACAATTGCTCCGATGCATCAAAGGCGTGTCTGTAACCAATCCGTGTCCAAGAGCACGTTCATTGTAGGCCAAAGCACTACTGTGATCGATGGCTGCTTATGTAATCAGTCCCTTATCAAGATCAAGATCTCCTTCGATAAGACCGGCCGCCCAACTCGCGCCTGCGATTCTCACTAGCGTCATTGCCGCCAACCAAGAAGCACGCCTTTCAGGAGCGACGACAGTCTTGAGCGGTCTCCCCCACAAACGACTCGTCAACACGACTACTGGTGCTTTCAATCAGCGACATAATAACCTCACTTTCTCAATTAATCAGCCCTGCCGCGATGCCTCCCAGGAAGCGGAAGACTGCCGCTGCAGCGCGCGCAGAGGCAGCAGCAGCCGAAATCGAGAAAACACAAGCAGAGGAGGCACCTGCGCCGGTGGACGCCGCTACAGAGCCCTTAGACACAAAGATGGACGACGACGCTTCACAGACACAACAGGCTGCCGCTGAGAGCTCAATACCATCAGAAGCCGGCGCGGCATCAAACTCAAAGCCCGAACCATCAGCGGAATTGGAGCCGACCGACACTGCTGCTGCTGCTACTTCATCATCATCAACAACATCATCAAAACCTGAGACGACATCAAAACCTACGCCAACAACATCAGCCGCGGACCGTATGGCGCGCTTCCGCGCGCTCCAAGCCCGCGCCAAGTCCTCGAGCGACCAGAACCTGGCCGAAGCCACCAAGGAGACGCAGCGCCTGGCCTCGGACCCATCCGCGCTCACAGCCCTAAACCGCCGGCGCGACATCGCTGCGCACAAGCTACTCAAGGCGGACACGGAGGATGCGGGCGGTGACTTTGAGCGGAAGCGCGCGTGGGATTGGACGGTCGAGGAGTCGGAGCGGTGGGACAAGCGGCTCAAGAAGAAGGGCGCGCGGCGCGACGACAATGCTTTCCAGGACTACCGCGCAGAGAGCAGCAAGGTGTACAAGAGACAGGTGCGCGAGATGGCTGCGGGTAGCAGTGAGAACATGGCGCGCTACGAGAAGGACAAGATGGCGGCCATCGAGAAGGCTGCGGCCAGCGGCGGGCTGGATATCGTGGAGACGGACGACGGGGAGCTGATCGCCGTCGACAAGGACGGCACATTCTACTCAACGGCCGACTCGACAGGGTTCGTCGAGAACAGGCCCGACCGTGCAGCCGTGGACAGGCTGGTCGCGGATATGAAGAAGGCCGAGGAGGCCAGGTTGCGCAAGAGGAGGGAGCGCATGGCGCAGAATGGCGACGACGGCGACGTCACGTACATCAACGAGAAGAACAAGCAGTTCAACCAGAAGTTGAACCGGTTCTACAACAAGTACACGGCCGAAATCCGCGACAGCTTCGAGAGAGGAACGATGATTTAAAGGATCAGGGAACTGGCTGGACGGTTGAGAGCGACAGTCTTGCATGCTCATGGTTTCGGGAATGGAAGAAGGCTTGGCGACATAGCGAATCATATTGCTTTTCTGGTGGTAGACTGGTAATTTCTGTTGAATAATCATACAACTCTGTCCTCCTTGCGACTTTTTGATGTCTATGAACGATGTCGCTTAAACATTGGGAAATAGCAGTGCAATGCATTGAAGAGGACAAAATGGGGCCCGGCTGACAACACAGCCTCCCAACGTGATGTGACACTTTCGAGTGTTCTCGGACAATGTCATTGTAACCGAAAAACCCTTGTGCACCATTCACCACCTTACAGCATTTCCTTCCTCCATGCCCGTGTAGCCAGGTCCTCAATCTGCGGGACTTCCACCGGACCCCGTACACTCTCGTCCTCGAGCGCCTCCACGACGGCCTGCGCAACAAGATCGGCCTTGAGCGGCTTGACGCCCGCCGCACCCATGAACCCGCCGAGCACGCCGCCGGTGATGCCGTTGAAGAGGGCGCCGCCGGCCGTCATCCCGGCCATCGCCATCGTGATCGGCCTGCTCGAGTCGTACATGAACGGTGCGCGGATGTAGACCCCCCTCACGGCGGGGAACTCCCTGGTGATGGTCTCCTCGGCCTCGCGCTTCGTCTTGATGTACCGCGCGGGCAGGACGGGGGCGCCCCCCGCAGCGGACATGTACGCAAAGGCCTTTGCGCCAGCGTCGGCGGCCACCTTGGCCAGCATGATGGCGCTGTCGCGGTTCATGTTCTCGTAGGTGAGCTGCTCCTTGGTCTCGGGCGGGCGGATATCCTGGGAGGCGGCGGCGGCATCATCGTACCGGACCTTGCGGTCGAGCGGGTTGCCCGGCCTCGGCGTCGAGGAGAACGCGCGCTTAAGCCCCGTGATCGGCGACTCCTGCCCGCTGACGGCCTTTTTGTAGTCGGCCTCGAGCAGGATCCCCATGCTGTGCACGACGTAGTCGGCGCCCTGGAGGAGCGAGGCGTACGTGGCCGGGCGCAGCAGGTCGCCGCGCTCCCACGAGACCTTGTGCGCCCAGCTCGGGGGCGAGGCCGAGGACGTGATGCTCTGCCACACCGGGTTGCCGGACCGGCTGATCGAGGTCACGTCCCAGCCGCGGGCGACGGCGTGCTGGCATATCCGCGAGCCGACGAAGCCGTTGCCGCCGCAGACAATGAGGCGTTTCGCTGCCGCTGTCGTCGTTGACGATGTCATGGTTGTGTAGGTAGGTGTCTTGTGGTGGACGTTGTTTACAAGGGGCTTTTTTTTTTATGTTGCAATATTATTCTGCGAGATCTGGTGGTGGTGGTGAAGCTCACGCTGTCGTGAGAGGTCGTTCGATGTGGGTGAAAGTGGGCTGAGAGAGAGAGAGCTCTGGTTTGTGGTTGTATAGGCAGACAGACTCTTTTTGCCTCTTCGGAAAAGAGAGGAAGCTCAATGCTTTTGTATCATATAGTCTAGGACCAAGATACCTGCCCGGTAGTCAGACTGGCAAGCTTGAGTGCCGTTGTCGTGGTCCTACAGCGTTATCCCGTAGTTGTTCCTGCCGGTCGACCGCCGTGTTGGGGAAAACTGGGGTCCAGGATGAACGACATCATCACCCATCACCTCTTGCATGTGGAAAGCGTTATGCTCAGATAACATGGTGGGGCCAAACTGGCTTCTGATTGGTTACCCTGGTAGCTGTCCAGGAACAGGAACGAGCTCTGCCAGAGAAATTTCAGTGGGGCACATCCACTCCGCCATCCAATGCTGCCTCAGGTCTTCGTTGTCGCGACACCTCACTGACAGTCACCCGGCACCGCAGATCTCCGTCTACAGCAACCGTAAGACGTCGCCACTTGTCTCGACTCGCCAACCCCTCACGGCTCCTCGGGCCACAGCGGCGGTCTGAACATCGCCAACCGAAAGAGCAGGTCACTTATCACTTCGTGCGCTTGCGCTTCCTCGCGGCTGCCATCGCCGCCTTCACCAACAAACCACAGCACACCCATCACCAGGCGCTCAAGATGGCACCAGTCCAGGGCAAACGCGTCAAGGGCGTCCAGGTCTTTCGTCCCTTCATCTACGGCACGACTGCGCGCCCGTTCAACGACACCGACAACCCCAAGCCCCCAGGAGTGCCTATCGACCACACGCACTCCTGGCAGGTCTTCGTCAAGGGCGTCGACGACACCGACGTCTTCTACTGGCTTCGCCGCGTCCAGTTCAAGCTCCACGAGTCCATCCCCAACCACCTTCGCACCATCGATGCCGAGACAATCATGCGAGACAACGAGTCGAAACCGCCCTCGAAGCGGCAGAAGGGCTTCGTCGTCAACGAGACGGGCTGGGGCGAGTTCGAAATCACCATCAAGCTCTACTACGACAGCAAGAGTGGCGAGAAGCCCCAGACCCTCTACCACCATCTCAGGCTCCACCCGTATGGCCGCACCGAGGCTGAGAAGGAGGCCATGCGCAATGGCGGTGAGATCGTCGCGTGGGTCTATGAGGAGCAGCTGTTCAACGAACCTTTCGAGGAGTTCTTCAAGGCCCTGACCTCGGGCGTGCACGACAAGGGCTCCGCGCCCGCAGCGACCGGAGGCAAAGGCAAAGGCAAGGGCAAATCCGTGGCGCCCCCGCCCACCCTGACCCAGGACGGCGAGGTCAAGGAGCGGAGCGCCATGATTCCAGCGACAACCCGCCCAGGACAGCCGTTCAGCAAGGAGACCGAGGCCCTTGAGATTAAGCGCATTAAGGAAGCCGAGGACAAGGTGCACCAGATGATCTCCGAGGCCAACAGAGCCGTCAAGGCCAAGGAGGCCGAGCTGATGAGGCTCAAGGCGGAGAATGCAGGCGTCGCAGCCTCGGGAGCATAGGCTGCATCTGGAGGTTCATGCATTCCTGCAGGAATGGATAAGGGGGCAAGAACTCTTAGTGCATACAGTCGCAGGGCCGACACCGTCACTGTTGCCAGCATGACGGAGCGCCCCTCGTCAGACTCCAGCAGCGACGACGAAAGCCACAAAGGCAGGACTCTGGTCGTGGGCAAGCCTCGGCATCGCCAACACAGCGCCGGCGATTTCTCCGATGGTATCGACAGTCCTGCCAGCAGCCGTACCGTGTCGAGCACCAGAGACTCCGTGTCGCAGAGCGTGCCGGACCAACAGCAACCCACTTCCTCGCACATCGTACATCTCAGAGTGGACCCGTCGGCCTTGATTCAAGTTATCGACGAGCGAGAAGCGCCGCGCGAGTTGTAAGAATATCCCAACTCCATCCTCCGCTGTGCATTGGCGACGTGGAGGCACAGGTTTCATCAATCTGCAGCCATATGTCCCAGGCACGCCGAGGAGAGAGCGCTTGGGCGCCGCAGTTAAAAGAAAAGCCAGCCGAGATTCCGCGGATATGACAAATCTACAAGATGTGAGCGCCCTGCCGCGCAGCCCATTGTGTGTTGCTCTTGCACGCACACACGAGGCGTGTTTCCAGGACGAACTGCCCTAAAAAAGGGTTTGCGGATACAGGTGAATACGAATGTTGAGCTCCGAGTCCATTACTAGGCATGGCGAGGGCACTTTTGACGAGCACGAAATCGACAACTCCGCCAAACAGTACTCAAGTGCTCAGAAGGACGGTTTCGTACATGACATGGGGGAAAAGCAAAGCTGGAAGAAGTCTGGAAGAATACGATTACTTCACATAGCCAACGTAGCAACAAGAAGTTATACCAGAGTCAACCAACCGGACTGTGAAACAAGAGTAGAACAATTGCAATGTCTCCGATACCTTGATTGGTTTTCGTCGTGTTCATCGCACGCGACAAAATCACTTCGATTCTAACTATTTGGGTCCACCATGGTCACCACGTCACTTGATTTGCACCTGACTCCCCCATTTCTTGGGAGGATCAAACTTTTGTGACTCGATGAATGTTTTCATTTCATGCACTGGTCAAATTAAGATCTTGTGCGTGTGTGCCCTAAGCTATCTAGGGCCTCGGTGCTGGTCTCTTCGAGTTTGTTGCTTGCTTGCTTGCTTTTTATAGCTTCTGTTGTTTCCAATCTTGTACTGGAGATAAGATATACGTAGAGTGAGAGAGAGAGTGTGTGAGTGAGTGGTGTGTCTTTGTGAGGGTGAGCTCCCGGTATATAAGGAGGAAGCTCCATTAACCAGCCATTGCCGCAGATAACTTTTGCGAGAATGTTGTGTGATCGTACAGTGATCGTTGCCCTGGCTGTGGAGGCAAGACCAGAAAGGATTTCCGAGTCTGCGCCGCGTCCGTCCGATGACAAAAGAGATGTGACAGCGTCAAGCTGTGCGTCCTTGCTGTTGGTGAGTCATGCAATCATTTTTCGTGATTACATAAGTCATAGCTCTCTCCAGTGAGCCTCAAGGACGAAATCAATTCCCCAATCCCGCTACCAAACACCGTCGTTAGGTAGAGAGTGGGGATATAAAACCTTTAAAAGCAAATCCACATCCACCAACCGAGCTCGAGAACGAGCTTTCCATGAAACTTTTTAATGCCAAAATCGCTCCTGAACGCCAGTGCTGAATGTCATAAATGAAAAAGAAAACCGACAAAAAACATTAAAAGGGAACGAAAGAATGAATGACCACGATGGTCTCATTGTGTGGCCTCATAGGCAGGAGGGGGCGCATCCTCGCGGTCGGCCCATGGATCACCCCCATGGCGCTGCTTCTCGTCGTAGACTCGACGTGCAATCTCGCCCGCCATTTTCATGATCCATGCTTGTTCAAGAATGACGGATGACTCGGAGCCCGCCGGCTTGTGCCGACCCGAAACCATTTTGGCATTGGCAGCAGCTTCCCACGCCTTGGCTTGGCGCGCCATCACTGCCTCTGATGCTTTCGAGGTGGCCTGTACCGAGGCCGTTGGGCTTACAGCAGGCTCCTGGTAGATGTCCATGTTGAGCGGTGGACGACGAGGAAGCTCCTTCTCCGAATGGAAGCGAACCTTGCTTCTGGCTCGCTGCTGCGTCTGGGATTGTGTTTGCACGACATCTTCGTCCTCTTCGGGAATCGAAGCGGGCATGAGTGGTTCGGAACTCGGGCCCGCGACTGACGCCGAGTCCGAATTGGTCGCCATATCACCCGCCTCGCTCGTCGTCTCGCTAGCCGGCTGTTTCCGGAGGTTGACAACCCGCGTCTTCTTCTTCCTAGTCCGCAGATTGCGAGCTCCGCCCAACGAAAGACCAGCCGTTGCGGAGTGCAAACTAACCAGCGATGGTCTTGAGGGCAGGTTTCCGTCGCCAACACTACTCGTGTCCGTAAAAGTGTACGTTGTGGACGACCCAGCCAACGACTGCATGCGCACCAAGCTTGGCGTAGCCAGCGGAGTCGAGGTGCCAGTTGACTGACGCTCAGTAGCCCCAATCCAAGCCCTGAACATGGTGTTTCTGATACCCGGTGTAAAGAGAGACAGAGTGCGATGTGATTCGCTAAGAGCTGCAAGTCGCAGCAAGTTTCTCTGTTCGAACAACGAGTGCAACTCAGAACCACCGTCGGATGCCAATGACGCAATCTGGTTTGCATCGAGGACTTGACCGGTCGAATTGACAGGTGTCTGTGGTAGCTTGGCGAGAGCATCAACCTCAGCATCCTCCTCAGATCCGTCCTTGAGGGACTGCTCTTCCGTACGAGGCATCTGATCTGGACACCATAATTGCAACGACAGACGATGGATGATGGCAGGCAACTCGTCCATCATAAGGTTGCGCAGTTGGGTCTCGATAGTCTTCTGGAGATAGTCTCGCACAAACTGAATCGAGTCAAAGGTCGAAGAGACCTTGAGGGACTCCAGAGGATCATTGCGAAAGACAATGGTCAAACCCTTCTGCTTCGAAAAGACGAGGATAATGAAGGCAGAGAGCTTGATCTCGGATAAAGTAATGGACAGAGGTATCGTCAGACCATCAGCAGCTGCCAGGGGCTGCGGCGAGGTGAAGCTCGGCTTGGCAGATAGATACGTGTTCAACGGGTTTGCCTGTGCTCACAGTCAGATATGGCTCTACCAGATAACTAATGACGGCATCGTGAAGTAGGATTGTGACAAGATAACCAGGGTCCCTGGGCCCAGACCCATGTAAATGCAATCTCGGAGATGATTCATGCAGCAGCCGGCGAAAAACAGGCCCATCCGTTCCAGAACAGAGCAGAAACAAGCTCTGAGGAACGCGGTGCCAGGGTCTCGAACACAAAAGAGAGGGGCTCTTGGATGAGGTGACGCGTGATTTGCGCGAGATAATTGCATACCTGAACTCGTGTGCGGAGCGTGATTCGCGCATCGCCAGTATAGCACATTTTGAAGATGCCACGGAATCTGTCCTCGGCAAGGTCGCCAATCTCGAGGATCTCAAGGTCCGGAGGCACAGAGCCTAGGTTGAGCTCTGTGACGATGATGTCGTCGACTATTATTGGGGGCTTTGGCGACTTATTAAGCGCGGCCGTCAAGAGGTCGGTGGCGCGAGCGTAAAACGAGGCGTCGGCCGCCAAAGGCGACCAGTTGAAGTTGAAGGCCATGATGGAGGATGCGATGACAGGAGCTGAGGGGGAGGAAGTCGGATATCCTATCTAGTCATCGTTTTTGTTGATCCGGACATAGGTACTGCTGCGCTTTGGCAGTGGCGTGTTCAAAGCCCGATACAACGAGCAAAGGGCCAAACGGCGAGCAGCTCGTCGTAGGATTTGTAGAGCTGTTGAATGCTCTCCAAGTTGGTGATGGTGCGGGCCGGTCCGTAAAAGTCTGTCGAAAGGAGAGTGGCTGAAGCGAAGGGTGACGAGGCTGTCGTGTGATGCCGCGGGATTCGGCGGGCAAGGGTGAAATCAGATGAAGCGGCGGAAGAGCAGACGAGTCGCGGATGTTGCAGGCAGGCCGAAGGCGGGAGCGTCAGATGTTTGAAAGGGTGGTGTGATACGGTGGTGCGCTGCCTGAGCCGGGCGTCTGTGGTGGTGATGCAGGTCGAATGCGGGTTGTGGGTGTTGGTGGTGGTCGAGAATGGGGATGGATGACACAAGGGGACCAGGAACTGGTGGAATTTTCGGCTCGACGACTTGTTTTGGAGGCGGGAGCTGCCAGGGCACAGCTCTGCACCAAAGCCGTCACGGCGCCACTTTTTTGGAGGCTGCGGGCAGCGAGGCGGTATGCCCGGCACCCGAAAAGACTGCGCGGGTCCTGGCCTCCGTTCAGCTCCGCGAGCCGCGACCGTCGCCAACGGTGCGCACACTTCTCGAGACCATCCCAGCTTCCAATCGGCACAGGCACCACGGCATGGATGTCACCCTCACGTAGCAAAGCCAGCTTTCTGCTGGCAACGTCCACGTCGAGGTACTGCCGGGATACTCCCAGCTGCGCTGGTGTTCTGCGCTAACTTGCCCGTACATTGACTGCACTGCCCCCCCAGAATCCAGCACACCAGATTCCAGCCGGCTCTCCAGCAACCGCAAGGAAAAGTCGGTCTGCTTCACCGCTGGAGCCGTTTCTGCAACCTCTTAAGCATGTCTCGGTGTCCTTGCAGCTGTGGTTTCAGCAGCTGTTCTCGACCCCCAATCGAGAGAGTATGCTCTGTATCTAAGGAGCGACACTGCAAGCCAGCATCCTGGTATGACGAACCCCTCTCGGACAGGAACCCTCGTCCATGGGGTTTCGAGGCTGTGAAACGAAGCATCGTGACCGGGGCAGCCGACCTGGGTGTCCCAGGAAGACTGTGTGTCAGCTGACGACAATGCTCCGGAAACATGGAGAAAGCCTGTGCCCGATCACTGCGCGGCATGGGGGGGGCAGCTGGAAAAAAAGTCTTCGCGCCCACCACCACTGATGCCGTTTCTCTCCACATTGGCGCCGGGGAAAAAGGCGATATCCCGTCCACTTTGCTTCTCGCTGCGTTGGCTGGCGCCCGTCGCGCGCGCCGGGGACCACCCCCCCGGCCCCTCACCGCCTCAATAGCGTCTTCACATTGACGTATAGATTGCCGCAAATGACGGACCGAGGGTCCTCCATGGTCTTTGTTCAAGCACAATCGGCTTTAGCATTGAGACCTATAAGGAGTAATAACCAAAGGCCGAGCGCGGTCGGTGTTGTTGACAGGGACTGTTTGCCGACATCCACATCAAACAAACGAAACCGTCCCGTCCCGTCCTGTCCTCGCCGTGCCGTGCTCACGATGGGTTGAGGGCGCCATTGCGGCGTACTGCTGGCCAACCAACTTCTACTGCGTGGGCTGCTCTCCACCCCCGTCGAGAACCACCACTGAGAATGGATGGGACTGGACTGGCGTAGCCAAGGCGCGCATCATCTTTGCGGGGACGCGACCGGGGCACGCGACCACACACAAAGCAGCAGCGTCACACCCCGCCGCCCGCCAACCACCGAGAGCCCGAGAGCTCGCCATCCGATGACTGCCCGATCTCGTCGTACCTTGCTTGAGCCGGCTTTCCCCGACACGATGCTACCCCTCGGCCTCTTCTGTAGAAGGGGCGCCCCTTGGATCTGCCTCTAGGTGCTGGCCAGCTTCAAGGCTGCCGTTCACGGCTTTGGGACCTGTTCTGGCATGGATGTACCCCAGACGCTCAGAATGCCATTCCTGATTGCCAAAGGTCCAAAAGCGAAAGAGGCTGGGAGGACAAAAAGAGGGTCGGCCGCATCTCCTGCTCTGCATTGCAGTGCCTTGCATATCATGGCCTGCAGTCCAGAAAGCGCTTCAAGCATGACTGTTGAGTGTGTGTGTGTGTGTGTAACGCCAGCAAAGCAGGAGATTCGCAAGGAGGGACCCTGATCAGCGCTCATGCGCTGCCGCCAGTGCACGACCAGCACAGCGGCAGCAGCACCAGAGCCCAATCAATGCATGCCAATGCATGCGCTAAGCAAGTGTACCTAACCTTGGAATTGTTGTTGTGTACCGTGGAGCAAAGGAACGCTTGGTGCGCATCTGGTGCAAGGAGGTAAGCAGCTTGGCTCTGCGTTTTGATTCGCAGGCGTGCGATTTTACAATGCGCGAGATCGTGAGCCGGCCTAGAATCGGCCGTCCGGCAGGCATAGGAGTTTGCAGATATACCAAGTCCGACGGAGTTGAGCGAGTCAGTCGCCCGTGCCGCCAACTGTGCCCTTTCTGGGCTCGGAGTTCTGTTCCTTCACTCCGGCAAGTGATTGCTGGGCAACACGGGATACAACGAAGCATATCTCCTAGTTTGCAAAGCAAGCCATTTGGCCACTTATGAGTGGGATTGAAACACCGGCAGACAGGGGCGGCAGGGCGGAACTGATGACTATAACATTTAACACAGCCTCCTCATTATGACTTCACAGGTCTCGTCCCTATCTATGCCCGTAGTAGTTGCTGTCCATTAGCATTATGGTGATTAATCCACTCTCGTCCCGCTTGCCCCTGTTGAATGTGATTGTCCATGCCCGCCATGATCTCGCGATCGTGCCGTCTAAGACTGTAATGGCGTCAAATCATGTGAAGGCTGCCATAACTCGCATATGCCATCACACATGCCTTTCGACGATAACAGCTCTCTTTCCACCCCACCTTGACTTTGCAAGTCCGGAGAAGCATCTCATTTACCTCCCATCCTGTCTAATACAGAAGTACATCATCCTCCTACTCGTCCTTCGGAGCACGAGCGAGGAATGCGGCGAAAAGCTTGTCACGTGAATGATCGTGATGAGCGCGTAGGCGATCCAGCTCAAAGATGCAGTTTGTCTCTAGTCGCGGCTGCTCCTCGCCAGTATACCACCCGTTGTCAACGAGGTTGTTGTGCGAGTCCTGCCAATATGTCTGCTTGGCTTCCCAGTTTTTCTTGTCGACATCGGCCAGTTTGATCAGAACCGGGGCGTTTTTGTCCTTGGGCATGCGCACAAAGCAAGAACAATCCCGCAACGTCATAGTCAAGCCGAACTGTGCATCGGACGGGTTGTCGAACAGGGCGCGATCTGGATCACCGCGCACTTGAAGCTGTCGTAGGCGCTCGAGCAGGCCAGATTGCTGGAGGGCCTCGGCAAGCCGCTCACGGTCATGTTCAGACCACGAAGGAGCCAGGCGGTCAATGGTAGCCATTCGAATCCACCGCTCTGAGTGAAGAAGCCCCAGCGGGCAAACAGGAGGACCTAGTTTCGCCGCCGACTTGCCCTCGGCCACCTTTTGTGCGATTCGGTAAGCCTCACGGGCGCATGTTCGGCACCGGATCGAAGTCTTTGGCGCCAGGGGTGATTGCGCGAGCCACTTCGGCTTGAACTCAAGGGAGAGGTACTCTGGCGATTCGCTCATGTCCTGGATGAGCATGGCGGAGCCGACACCGATGTGGGTGTCTTCTGCAGCTCGTGCTTTCTTGCTGTCCCGTTTCCGAAGTTTGTCGAGCTTGTCTGCAGTCTCTTCCGTGATCTTAACAAGGACCTGCGGTACCACGTGCTCCTCGCCCACTTGGGGGACTACAACACCATCATGGAACTGCTGCAGTGTGTCGTAGTCGCATGGTACGATGCCGTCCGTGACTTTGGGCACACGCAGCAACGTCTCCGCAAACGTCCCCTCAGGCAAAGGCCAGCTGGAGTCGCGCTCAGGCTTCTCTCGGATGACAAAGACCGTGTTGGCCCTCCCTTCGGCGAGATACTCGAAGTCGTAGAATTTATTCAGTGCTTCTGTCAGACCTCCGGGCGTCTGCCCGTGCATAAAGGAAGAGGAGGATTCGACCATCGTGCTGAGTGCTGGTATGTGCAAAGAACTGCGAGAGTAACCGCAGAAATGGACAAAGCAGTCTGGAAGCGTGCAGGACAGATGTATATGACTATCTTGGTGTAGCGATGTTGACAGATGGATCACGCTGACGTCGCCAGTCGGGGACAGTTAGTCCAGATTACCGGCTTGGGATATGCAAGGCTGGCCAACGAGATCGCGCGAAGCAGGGGGTCGAGGTTGTTTGGAGTATGACAACTGGGGATGCGGCCTGGGACGGGAGGGATGTGATCCAGCTAGACCCTGTCATAAGAGCTGAACTCGGCGCCGTGCTGAGTGGCTGCTGATAGCGGGGATGCCTTTTAATCGAAATGGGACGTCGAGAGAGCGTGGATGACAAGGTGCTCAAGGGCGATTCCACGAATCTCGCAGCACGGCTGAGGTCGAGATGCGCTAGTGATGCGTCGTTGGTCCAGTCCAGTGTAGTAAAGGGGCTGGGCAGGACGTGACGATTTGTGGGACTTCAGGAAGGAGCGAGTCGCAATTAGAAGAATGCAGGAGCATGAGCGTCCGGATTGGATGCAGAAATGGTCAAGCCAGCTCAAGCGTCAACTTTGCCATTCAGCCTCACACGGCGTCTGGAGCAACGCTCAATTATAGCACAGGTTTGCTCCATGCCAAGCCTGATTCCATTTCCTTGGAATAGGTTGCCATCGCAGACCTGCTCACTGGTCCCGCATTACGCGGCCATCGACCCACGGCAGGATACGGGACTGTTTCAACGTCACAGCCAGGCTTGCCTCCTCCCGGCTTCACAAGACTGAGCACCCGTGGTTACGGCGCCTTACAAGGCTCTTCGCATGCTCAATGGAGATCCCACTGGGGCGCAGCAGACTCATCCACCCCAAGAACTCCCGTGGTGCAGGGTCAAGAATCCTCACGCGACGTCTGAAGCCGCCTCTTTTGCGGCACACGTGCCCCTCCACGACTTGGCGCAAGGCGCTACCAAGCCGAATAACAGGGTCATGCATCCACTTCGGCAGATGATGACCACAAGCGCGCCCTGCTGAGGGTCTTTGATGTATGGGATTCTGGTTTTCCTACATAGCGCTACTTGTGGCAATGTGGCATCACCAGCAAACAGCTTATTTGAGTCGGATCTATACCCCCGCCACCGTGAAACTGAGCATGCTGCCAGCAGCGAGGCCAGCGACGAGGCACATGCCCATGAAGCCGCCAGCGGCCTCCCGCTCGCCCTCCTCGACCCATTCGCTTGACGCCATCATGCAGTTGGAGGCAAGCCACCCGTTTGTAAGCCCGTAAGGGAACTGGACCAGCAGGAGAAAGAATGCGTCACTACTGATCGCCGCGCCTTTCCCGTTCAGGTTGCAGAGGGCATACAGCGGCAAGAATAGGAAGCGGGCAATGCTGAAGACGAAAAGCACCGCTGGCCGGTCGCGAAGCGGCAGGACGAGGGCGGCGGATCGTCCGCTCAGATCCCCGAGGTTCCAGAAGAAGAACGCCAGGGGAATGAACGCATATGGCTTCAGAAGTGTAGGCGCATCCTCAGATGGCACCACTGACAAGACCTTTGGCGTGAGAACTGGGAAGAACATGGCAACCACAAAACACATGAAGACTGCGCCAGCCAGCCAGTGCAGCTTCTTGAAGAGTGTCGTCATGCTGACCACCTTGCGAGCGGCTCGCTCAGCCTCCTCGATCGAGTTCATCGATGCTGCCATGTGCTCAGCCATCCGGTTTTCAACTAGTTGATCGTGACGCCGGACCAGGGGCACGAAAGCCACGAGTGCCACAAGGGACACAACGACGGCAGTGACAAAGTACAAGAAGGCAGCCTTGCCCTCGTCGTTATCTGCAGCACTGGCGTGAGTGCTCGTGTCTGCTGGAGGAGCCACAAGCACCGATATGACTTGTACCAGTGGTGGTAGCACGCCGGCCACGCCTTGGCCTGCCATGATGGCCTGAGTGTACTCTGACCGACCGAAGCTTGCAGCGAAGGCGAAGGCCCCGTTTTGAATCAGTCCGGCGGCATAAGCCGTGCTGCCGACAATGATGAGGATAAATGTCAAGTATGCGGCTGGTGCCAGGTCGAGGAAGATGCGTGTAGACAGCGCCAGTAGGGCGAAGGCTGCGACATTGATATATAGAGCCAAGTTGATGCGGAACGGGTACGATGCAGAGTACTGGATATTGCTGAGGATGACCATGGCGCCGAGGTTCGTGAATGTCGAGACGGTAAGAATCGCGGACATGAAGTTGTCTTGTACCCAGGGGTCGGCTTGAAACCGTGCTTGAAAGTACGGCTGCGCGGCGAGAAACATATTCCTGCACGAGAAACATATTGTCAGAGAACTGGCACACGACGGCAAGCGACAAGTATCACTTACCATGCCCAAAGCATGGCCACGCCTAGCAACGCGAATATGCCATATTCTATCCATGAGAAGGTCGGTTCTGTAGAATCGTCGAGGTCCGTAGACGGGTCGTTGATAAAGCTGGTATCTGCAGTCAGAGGCTCGTACTCGGCAGCCTCCTCTTCCTTCTTCGAGAAGAAGGCAAGTAAGTCCCGCGTGGGACGGAACGAGCGAATGCGGTCCATGATGCTTGGGAATATGCTGCGCCGAGGATCGTGTCTAGGCGAAGGGGGGGTTGTTGCGATGCTTGAAGTTTGTTGGCAGGATGCCCCGGGATGGGTCGAGGACGATCAAGCCTGAGTTTACTTTTCGCGGTCAACGTCAGTAGCCATACTGGGCGCTGCCGATGTGCACGACGGGCCGGGACGAGGCGGGACGGATGGATGTCGTGTGATAGGATGCTGGCGTGAATCAGCAGGCATTGTCATGAGGCTTGCTGGCCGACCACGGAAGCGTTGCAGATAAGGCGAACACACAGCGGACCCACAACGCGTCCAGTGTGGGGGCCACCGTCAGAGTGCCGTCTTGTCTGACCATTGGTTGCGGGCGGGAAAGGTGAGGGCCTCAGCAAACCGCCCTCTGCAATTATGTTTGTTTGACTTGCTGACAATTGTCCGCCTGACGACGTCGCTTCATCCCCTGCATACGTTTGGAGCACGATGCCCCGCCCGCAGCGCAGGATCGGTCGCTTTCGGCCTCAGGATGACCAGGATAGAACGAGGCTTCAAGCCATCGATCGTCCCGGTATCAACACCACCTGCTTTATGCCGGCTGAGCCAAGGAGGACGCATTCGTCGCGCAGCCTACACCTGGGCATTACCGATACAGCTAAACGGACCGCCCCAAGGGCAACCTGGTTCAGCGTCGAAAAAAAAAAAGCATGCATGATATGACTACACCAGCTCACGATCAAGCCGCTGGGAAACAACATCTCAGATTCAGAGCAACCAGAGTAGCAAGCAGCAATGTCCGAAGCATTCCATTACACTCAACATATATTTCTTTCGTATGGCTAGACTTGAGTCGCTCAGGGCCTCGCCTTGTGGTAAATGGTTTGCGTGTTGCACCAGCCCTTGACACCCTCGATACCCCATTCAGTGCCGATGCCACTGTGCTTGTGGCCACCGAAAGCAGAAGTGGGCGACAGGTTGGCGTGCTCGTTGATCCACACGTTGCCAGCTTGAAGCTTCGAGGCAATGCGCTTGGCCTGTGTGGTATCGTTGGTCCAGACAGAGGCACCGAGGCCATATATGGAGTCGTTTGCGCGACGGATGACATCGGCCTCGTCGGACCACTTGAGCGTCGGGAAGATAGGGGCTGTGTCACGTCAGTACAAGGTCGTCTTACACGGTCGTCCGCCTGAGCTAGGAGGGATGACTTACCGAACGGCTCATCTGCCACGATCCTCGAGTCCTCGGGCGGGTTGTCGATGATGGTTGGTGTGACAAAGTAGCCCTTGCCACTACCATTGTGAGCAGCAGTACCACCAGTCGCGATCTTGAGCTTCGTACTCTGGATGTCTTCCAAGAGGTTCTTGACCCGCTCGAACTGCGGCCCGTTGGCGATAGGGCCCAGGAAGACGTTCTCCTCAAAGCCGTCGCCGACCTTCAGAGTGTTGACATAGTCGACCATGGCCTTGAGCACGGCATCATAGACCGACTCGTGGATGTACATGCGCTTGATGGCCACGCAGATCTGACCAGAGTTGAGCAGAGCAAAAGTAGCCAACTTGGGACCGACCTCGGCAGGATCGACATCTGGGCAGACAATGGCAGGATCGTTACCGCCGAGCTCGAGCGTGACACGCTTCAGCGTCTTGCTGGCGCTGCGCATGACGGCCTTTCCGGTGGCGGTGGATCCCGTGAAGCTGATCTTGTCAATTCCTTCGTGCTCAGTCAAGATTGGCCCGAGGCTGTCGTCACCACTCAGAACCTGCAATACTCCAGGTGGCAGGAATGGCTGTGCTATCTCGACGATCTTGAGAGCCGAGTAAGGTGTGAAAGGAGAAGGCTTGATGATGATCGCATTGCCGGTCAGAAGGGCAGGCGCTATCTTGCCTGTTCCCAGCGCAACTGGAAAGTTCCACGGCACAATGCCAACAGCGACGCCGATGGGGGTGTAGCGAGTGATGACGGTGTGCTCCGGGTCGGCATCCACAACATTCTCAGGGATGGTGAAGTTTGCAATCTTGTGAAAGTTATCGGCCCCTGCCGCCATTTCGATCTTGGCGAACATGAGCTAGGACAGAACATATGTCAGCAAACGAGGTGATCAGCTGCGTCCCAAACATCTCGACTTACAGGCTTTCCGTTCTCCTTTGTCACAAGCTTGGCAAGCTCATCAAGGTTTGCGGCGACGGCGTCGCCAATTTTCCGGAGAATGTCGGCACGTTCGGCCCAGGGCACCTCTCTCCATGCCTCTTGGGCCTTTTTGGCAGCCGCAACAGCCCTGTCGACATCTTGCTGTGTGCTCAAGGGCACTGGAGGGTTCTCCTCGAGCGTGGAAGGGTTGAGGGGTCTGAGAGTCTTTTCGGTGCTTTCAAGCTTTCCATCGATGACGTTGAAGAACTTGGAGAAGTCGACGGGCGGGATCCCGTTGGAAGCCATCTTTGGGATGCTTGTATTGATATTTCCTATGTGGAGAAATCGTCTTACTTCGCTCTACTTGGTGCTGATCGGGGAGGAACCAAGTGTTTGCCACGGGCAGAGAACCGAGATCACACAAAGTTGGGGGGCACCCGCTGTCATTCATATACAACCGCGTTCTCGAACGACATCGAGCACATTCTCGCCCCCTTTTCTCCAAGAGGGGCACATGGCATGACGCATCTGCCGGCCGCGTTACCCGCACCTTGTGGGTTCGGGAGTTAAGAAACTCTGGAATCCGAGCTGCCCGACTCCTTCCTCAGATGGGCAATAGGACCCTGACAGGTGCTAAGAAACCGATTGGGGGGCCTGTTGCCTCTAGCGCCATCCTTGACCGACTCCATGTGGCGGCGGGGACGGGGTCTTGAGAACTTCTCAGGAGTGGAGAAGGGCCGTCTAGCGTAACGGGGCGCGAGTTTCAGTGCTGGTTGGGGATCCTTCTTGATTGATATGGTCGGTCAAGAACAGCCCATCAGGCACACAAGGCAAGCCCGGCACGTATAACATGACGACATATTTGTGCGATACTTCTCACCGTCAGTCGGTCTCCACAGAACCCCGGTGTAATATATGCTCGTCAGCGGGATCCTGCCAGGTGCGCTAAGTACACTATCCTCCCGCTGTTCTGTTGAATCCAACGATGCTCAGCAAGAAAACTAGAGTGGTTCGAGGACTATGCAAAACTTTAGCGAACTGCCGAGAAAAAGGCCCTGGCTGCCCCAAATGTTTCGTCACGATACAGGGGATCTGGCCTCGGTTGGTCGCCACGGAGCGGGGCATCTGCAGGCCAAGGGTCGCATGTTCTTGTCGTGATGAACGGACAGGGGCATCTACCGCTCAAACGTGGCAAGGGTAACGATGTCGAGCGACAAGCTTCAAACGAACATCGACCGATGGTCCGACTGCAGCATTTGCTCGAGGCAGGCTCTGTTGCGGGGCACCAGGGATCTGCCTGGACCTGCGGAACGGCCTCCGCTCCTCAAGGAAGCCCGCTATCCCCGTAGTGGACACTGGCAACATAACGATGCCCCAAATGGGAAAACCGCCGTTGGCGATATGCACACACGTTCCAGGGAGGTGCAGTCTTGTCCACTTATTGCCGTCCTCAGAACCCGACCCACGGTCCAGTCTTGGCTCCGTGGCTATTGGGCAGCCCAAAGACTGGCCTCGCGGCAGTTGTGCAAACCTAATTTCAGCCATCAACTATGAGCACCAGGCGACAAGGCACGCTTGGCCTTGGGCACACCACCAGTCACCCGCGCATCGAGTCTAGCCTTGTCTTCTTGGAGAGCATGGCAATGCCATCTCGTGCCCATGGCCAGGAATCGGACCCCTCGTGATCGTTCCCCGCGGCCCATGGAAGAAGATGCGTGCCCTGGCGCCTATATGTTGGGGTCCCCCGCAGGGACATGCTATCACTGCCATTATCTATGGAGATAACATCATTCGACTCGTATCACGACTACCTTGCAGCATTCGACCCACCCTCTGAGTGAACATGTCGGTCAGCGATAGCACATCCTCCTACAAGGCGGTCATCTATGCAGACCCGCCCTCCACCAAGACTGAAGTCGTGGATCTCGACATCCCTGAACCCGATGTTGGCCAGGTCCTTGTACGGCTGTAAGTCCCCGCTCCCGATCATTGTAATCATGTTGGTCTCGCCAAATCATTGCCAAAAGACACCGTAGTCGTGCTATCCAATGATGAGCCTAAAATAACCATGATCACGGCGTGCCCTATCAGATATGAGACATGGTAGTAGTGACTTTGAGCTAACAGATACACTGCACAGACACTACTCTGGCGTTTGTCATACAGACTACAGCTTTTGCACCAATGGCTTTGTTGGAGCACCGCCTACGATGAAAGGTAGGCTACATTCCACAGCACAACCCATCTATGTCACAGGCACTACTCACACGAAAGTGATGAAAAGGGCAAATCGGCGGGCACGAAGGCATCGGCGAAGTAGTCAAGCTTGGCCCTGGAGTAGTGCTTCCAGCTGTCGGCACAAGAGTCGGCATCAAGTACGCGGCTGATGCCTGCCTCAACTGTGGTAAGTCCCCAACCACGCTTAATCACACGACGAGTCACCAATGTTCTATACAAATCTTGAACGCAGCCAAATGCTGACCGTTGTGCGCTAGAACCCTGCCTCCTCGGGGGCGAGACTTCATGCACCCAGGTCAAGATCTCGGGCTTCTACACCCCCGGCACGTTCCAGCAGTACTGCCTGACGAGCGCAAAGTACGCCACCGTCATCCCAGATGGGTTGCCCTCCGATGCCGCCGCGCCACTCATGTGCGCCGGCATCACCGTCTACTCGGCCCTGACCCGCGGCGGCGTCAAGCCCGGCGACTGGGTCCTCGTCACCGGCGCGGGCGGCGGCCTCGGCCACCTGGGCGTGCAGTACGCCCGGGCTCTGGGCGCGCGCGTGCTCGCCGTCGACCACGGGTCCAAGGAGGACCTGTGCCGCTCCCTCGGCGCCGACGAGTTTGTCGACTTCTCCCAGTTCCCCGCCAACGAGCCGCCGGGGGAGAGCCAGATGGCGGCTCGCATCCGGGAGCTCACCGCGGGGGGCGTCAAGATTGCGCTCATGTGCTCGTCAAACAGCGGGACTTACGAGCAGGCCGTCTACTGGCTCCGCTTCAGGGGCACCATTGTCTGCGTTGGCGTTCCGGACAACGCGGCCGTCATGGCGGGCAGTCCGATGATGTTTCTGGAGAAGGAGCTTCGAATGATTGGTGAATACCCTCCCCCCACCCCCTCCACTCCTTTGTCTAGTTTGTCCATTCGCCCTCTCTGCTTTCCAACAAAGGAACCAAAAGAAAGGGCTCAAAAAGCGCTAGCTGCTGGCGGCAGTCAGGATCTTCATGTTGATGACTGGGAAAACTTGACTGACGAGCTGGTATTACGCCAACGAATTTACAGGAGTCAAGACCGCGAATCGCCAAGAGGCTGTCGAGACACTGGCCCTGGCAGCCAAGGGCGCCATCAAGACGCACTTTGAAGTCCGGCCGATGGGAGAGCTCACACAGGTCAGTACTGTTTCTCTCGCCGGCTTCGTTTACCATAGTCTCTTGCGGATATGAAGAGAGGCCGGGGTATAAAAAGAAAGGGAAAAGCGCGAGTGGCTGACAACATGGATTATGGTGTTTGTAGATTTTCGAGGAAATGGAGAAAGGCATGCTTCGTGGCCGTGTTGTTCTGGACTTGCGGTAAACTCAAATCAGATCTGGGGACGATTCTTGACCGGTCAAGCAAGGGGCTTGTAGATATGGTGTATATTGATACGAGCTTCTTCCCGCATTCATGAGCGATGTTGGCTGGGGATGTGTAGCTGGCACTTCGTGGCGGATAGCGAGCGTACTAGAGCAGGATGAGATCGAATGACCTGAGCAACATTGGGCACTCGAGAAACGTACTCCTGATCAAGCCTGTGCTCAATCTCGTGATTGGAGACCGAGCTGAATATTCTAGACTGAGCGAGGTGCAACAGAACTCCAGCTCACGAAGAGATATCTAAGCTTTAAGCTCGCGACCTCTTGTATCCAGCCCATGCCCAGCACCATCCACCACAGCAACACAAAGACGACCGCCTCGAGCTCTCCGGACCACCGCTTCCTCTCTCGACTCTGTGGGAAGGGACGCTCTCGCTTCGCACTTTGCCCCTCCCCTTAAAATGTACCACAAGCCATACGTCCCCTTCCACTCCTCATTTCCTTTCAACGTCATGGCGAAGTGATGGCCGCTCAGTGGGAGCACACACCGTTGGTGCAGATGAAATCCTCGTCGCAGTCATTAAAGGTCGCGCAGGAGCAGCCTGTGTTCAATTCGCATCATCAGTCAAACTCGGTTGTTTTGATCGGCGCAACAAAAAGACAAGCATGGCATCATCATCGACTTACCCAGGCAGTGGCCCTGCCAAGCACAGTCGGTCTGGCAGCCGCCGCCGGGGTTGCTTCCGGTGGAGCAGTACTTGCCTAGATGGGGAATTCAATGTCAGTACGCGTGGAATCCTGGTGTTGTCGCGTGACACCTTCAACCTTTCAACCGCCCAAGGCGACGGAAAGAGAGAGGAGGGGGGGGGGACAGCACTTACTTGCTGGGTTGTTCAGGTAGACGTGGTTGGTGTTGCAGGTGCGTGGGTTGACAAACAGCTCCGTCACTTTTTACCCCCCAAGAAAGCCCAGTTGTTAGCTCTTGTCTCTTGTCTGGAGAGGTTCCATGGTTCGCAGTCTCAAAGTCACATAAGAGGGCTTCATCACATACAGTCAACCTCCAAGTTGGGCGAAGGGTTGCGGATAACCCACTGATCCGGGCCTGGGGTCAAGCTGTTCTCGCACTGGACCTGCGTGTTGCCGCCGTTGACGTTGTTGCCGGTCCAGATGTCGATGTGCCAGCGGCCCACGGCCCAGTCCTCGGCTGTTTCGCGAGATGGGTCAGTTACAAGTAATCTTGGATGCTCCCCGTCCATCTAGGGACATTTGCAAGGAAGCATATCCCCACAACAATAAGGGAGTGGTGTGATGGGGAAGGGGAAGAAACCCACTGCAAGTTTGGCAATAGTCCTCCATGCGAATGTACTTCTTGATATAAGGAAAGTACACAATCTCGCACGTCTTGAACTCGCCCTGGGCAGTGGCAAACGTCAGCGGGTCGTTGTAGCTGCCACTTCCGCCAGCGTTGAAGTTGCGCCCCGCGCCGCAGTCGTACGCCGTGGCAGTGCTGCCGGCCGGGTCGTTGTCCGGGTTGCCATAGAAGGTGATGTCGAGGTTGCTGGCGACGGAGCAGGACTGGGCCGATGCCAGCAAGGGCATGGCGGCGCCACCGAGCAGAATGGAGAAGAGTGCCTTTGAGAGCATCTTGAACAGCTTGGAACAGGTGTACGGAGACTTGAGGAAGGGTTGATTGTTGCGGTGGGTGACACTCCCCTTGAACTGAAGACGGAGGCAGCTTGCCAAGGCCACATATATACTGCCGGTTGACTTGCTGCTCGTAGTTGTTTGCCGTCCATCCCGGCTACGCCCTGAATAGCTCAGTGGCTGCCCACGGCACATTCCGTTGTTCAGAACTGCCAGGCACAAGTCAGCCATACCCGGGGGTTCGGCCATGACTGAGCATCGCCAGGGGCATACGCAAGTGTTGTCAGTATACTTTTGATCCTACGGCAACGTTTCATGGCGTCTGTGCTCGTTTGTCCCGCTCTTCTACCATGGGCCCCGAGTCCTACGGGTCGGACTTGCATCGATGCTGGCATCAGCAATAATATGTCCTTAGTCATGAACCGGCAGTTGACCCCAGATCATCCACTTCCGTTGACACCCCGGACGGACCCTTGGCCAAGCAGGTGCGCACGCAGCATTGGACATAGCCTTTCATGTGGCCTGGAAGAAGCCGCGAAGATGAGTTTGGCCGAGGGAGGGACTACTCAGCTGATGCTCTTCGGCTAGGAGAAAGTATTTCTTGTGCATTCTGTCCTGGCCTCAAAAAGCTGCACAATGTGTAGATTTGAGGATCCAGAGTTGCATCGTGGCAGGGAACTATACTGTCGCTCTGGCTTGGCATGGTACGGAATTGGGTCGTTCTAAGCCTTTTGGGGGCAGCTGGTCAATTAAGGTGTAACGATCCTACTGCATATAGTCGAAACAAGCTCCCGGAGGAATCGCCAAGCCTGGTTCCCGCGGCGATCGTAAACGGGGGATGTGTAAGCCAATCGAAAAAGGGTGCCATCCTTTGTTGATTGGCTCATGATGGCCATCCTCCTCCACAGAGGAGAACTGTGTGTTACCACCTGGTCGAACGTGGGTGATTGCATGATCCCATCCTTCCCGACTGTCAGCCTGCAGCTACCTATGCTGTCTTGATCCACTTCCTCCCCTGGAGCACGCGGCGCGGAACTCGCGCCACTTGACAGAGACGCCCCAGTGGATGGCGTCATCCTCTGCAACGTAATCATGCAGTGGGCACCACCGCGAAGCGGGATACCCAGGCTGACACAAGTCGATCCGCAATGAGGCGCGCTTCAGGTATGGATGCGAGAGCAGATCCAGCAGAGACTCCATCGCTGTGGTTGGGACGAAGTCGTGTATGTCCCAATTGCCGCGCTTGTGCGGCTTCGGGTCCGGCACATAGCTGGGGAAGAATATGTCCAGGACGTCTCTGGAGTGAAAGTTGACGTCCATCTCGAACCCGAGATATCTCAGATCGCCGTGCTCGATCAGGCTGCGAAGCAATGGAAAAAGATCACGTTCAAGTTGCAAGCTATCGCCGACTTGAACGATGCGCATGACGAGATGGCGAACTTCCATGATTTCAACCAAGTACGTGTCGGTCAGAGACCTGGTGTCGACGTGCTCAGACTTTGGCGTTCTGACAACCCAGACAAACGTGTTGAAGATGCGCCAGGCCCTAAATGCCTCCTCATACATTTGCCTGCTGGCGAGAAAGAGGTTCATGGGGTAGAGGTCGCCCTTCAACTCCATACGTACGGTATCCTGATGTTGTTTTCTGCGGAGGAAGGGTATTCGGCGAGATCCATAATGTGGCGGAAAGGGAAAAACGACGAGATATCTCAAAACAGCCTCTCGCAACTCTGACGGCAATTGAAAGAATGGGAATGGCTTGGTGTCTGTATAACCAGTGTTTGAGCTGATCTCGAAACTTGACGAGGGCTTGCATGGCCCATCTTGCGAGTCTCCCGCACGCCGTGTCGGAAGCCGCATTTCCATTTCGAAGCGAAATGCGGTATCTGCACCGCGAAAGGCCCATTGTCGTTTCGTTGTGTTTGACCTGGAATGGCTGGGATTCGCTGGTACTTGTGTGCTTCCGCAAGGTTCGAGCAAAGGACGATATGATTGTCTTTTTCTTGTGTGGCCCAGACTGCGACCTCTTTCCAGAGGCCAACACTCAGAGGCCATCCATCTTGACGAAACGTCAGTGCCTAAGCGAGTACGCCCTGGTGCGGCATCGTGCCAGCGTCGATCGAACACAGACCATGGGGCATTCTTCAACTTTCTTGCATTTGCCATAGAGAGGTCTACCAGCGCTACAGGCCAGATGATCGTTGGCTTTTGCCGCGTGCGAAGAGCCAGAGCACAGACAGGGGTCACCCACGTCACCGACTCCAATTCCCTGGTCTCAGCTACCCAGATCCTTCCTGATAGGTGGTTGCCAATGTTTGCTAATGCCCACGCGAACATCACGAGCCGAGCAGAGAGAGGCTTTCCTGGAGGGCACCGATGGCTGCTGTCTCGGCTTGGGCATGCTGTTAGGCGCCTTACCGGGGTTTGTCTCCTTGCCCGCAGACCTGCAGCCCGTCTGTCACGGCCATGTGGCATGCACAGAAAGGCTTGTTGGTCGAGGCGGACAGCGCCTTGGCAATTGCAAACGGCCCATGTGGTTCTCCAACGGGTCATGGGGGCGGGCTGGTGGCCTTTCCTCCACGGCGCTGACAGCACTTGAAGGGAAAAAGAGCCCATTCATTTCCGTGGTGGCGGCTCAAGCACGATCCAGCGCCCCTGCCAGCCGTCGAAGCTCTGTCGGATCAGATCACTGGTCTTTGCCCATGGCACCTTGAATGCTCCCGAGTTGAACATTGGCGAGTAGACTCTAAGGTCGTGTGCACTTCCGAGACCATCGAGCTGTTCCCGAAAATGGCGAAGTGCTTGCTTCGTTTCACCGAGCACTAGCGCTGGGCGGTCAACACCGGGCTTGGCTTTGGCCTTATTGGGTCGACCATATCCGTGACTTGTGAACAGGCAGACGATGGATATCTCTGGCGCGCCAGCGGCTATATCCGCGTCTTGTGGAGGGATGATGTAGCAGTGGCCTACCAGGTCTCGTGAGGCGTAGCGCGCCTCCGCACTGGTCTTGAAGTCGTCGCAGTATGTGCGGTATTGAAGATACGCGCCGGGGAAGATGCCGCGCAGCTCGAGGGCGAATCCCGCACCCCATTCGCCCAGGCAGTTTGTTGCGTGGACAAGATATGATCCTGTTGGTAGCGAGCGCAGGGTCGCAGATGCGGACTCTAGGTGGAAGGCCGCGACCGGCATGGTGCTGTTGGCTGACCCGAGATTGCAGTGGCTGCCTAGGCCGGCGCAACAGAACGAGCCGTGAGCTTGTTAATAATCAGCGTGCGGTCTTCTCTGCATGAGTGGGTGAGACGTTGTTGGAATTTGCCCATGTGAATGACATCGTTCATGGCGATATCCCCCTCCAGTTGTTTGGGGGCCATACCTTTACCGTGCAACCTAGCGTTGCACACTGTACGAAGCACGGTTTTGTTCACGCCCATCATCGACTACGATCAAGTCCCAGTTGTGGCCACGTAGACTGTCTGAAAAATTAAGCTATCATTCGAGAAACTCATATCTATCAAAATAAAACTAGTGACAAAAGAGAGTTGGCCAAATTCGCCGTCCGTGCCATAGTCCTCTAAGCAGGAAATAGTGATTCGTTCGAGGACTGGCTCGATAGTACCCTGTCACCCGAACACAGGAGTATCTTTGCCAGTCCTTGCCCCAGCTCGCTCCACACGAGACTCTACTGGACCCAGTCGCCAGCAAAGGTCTTGCACTGGCCATTGTCGCGAACGTTGGAGTTCGTGTTCAGACAATCCTGGTACTGCATCTTGCACGAGTTCTGAGCATCTCCATAGCTCTGACTGAATTGGTTGGTGGAACGCTTGATCATGGCCACCTCTTCGGCATGGGACGACCGAGGACGAGGACGCCCGCCAGGACCGCCAGGACCACCAGGGCCTCCAGGGCCGCCGGGACCGCCAGGACGGGTTCCTTGGCTCGGATCATAGTTGCCTCCGTACCACTGGTTGCCAACTTTGCCGTTAGTCTTGCAACCTTGAGCATAGACGCCAAGGCACTGGTTGTACTGCCATTTGCAGGCATCCGCACAGGCGCCCTTGCAGTCCTGGCGACGGTATGAGGGACACCTGGAGCTGTCATTATCAGTGTACAGCTTGTAAGGATTGCCGCTCAGGAAGTCGCGCCGGAGGTTGTTGCAGGTCACCAATGGCAGCTCAATTCCGCCAACAGGGTTGCCGGGACCGTATCCGTACTTGCTGGAGCTTGGTTGCTTGCAAATACCAGTTGGCGAAGGGATGTTGCAGGTCGACGTGGTGGTAGTGGCGGAGCTAGTTGTCGTGGTTGCCGGAGCCGAAGTCGAGCAAGGATAAACAGAGGTGGTAGTCGTTGGCTGACCGCCATTGATCGGGGGGTATTTGTTGAAACAGCCGTTCTTACCACCACGGCCACCGTCCGAGTAACAGTAATCCTTGACGCTCGCGCACCAACCAGCGTACTTGAAGCAGTCCATGGCATTGGGCCAGCCAGCCTTGAGGAAGCACGAAGCGATCTGCACCTTGCAAGCGGACCACGCCAAAAGGCACTTGGACTGGTCAGTGAAGTCTGGAAGAGGCGAAGCACACCAGTTTCCGCAGCCAAACTCGCACTTGGGAGGAATAACGACGGTGGAAGTGCATTGGGCCGGGCCAGTGGTCGTGCTGATGCTTGAGGAGGAGGTGATGGTGCTCGTCGAGGAAGTAACCGATGAGGTTGAAGTGCTTGAGCTGGAAGACATGGAAGTCGACGTGGAAGATGCAATGGAACTAGTCGTGCTGCTGCTTGGCAGAACGGGCACGAGGCCGCAAGTATCCTTCGAGAACAGCTTCTTCGCAACATAGAGGTTCAACAAGGCGGGTCCGCCGCAGGTTTGGCTGCTGTCTCCCGCGCAGGGCATGTTGCAGGTGGTTTGGTCCTGGGCCAGTGCTGTGCCATCGCCAACGACGACACCACAGTAGCATTCGCGTGAGTACTCGGTGCCGGCATATGGGAAACCCTTGGCAAGACAGGCCTGCAAGCACACGTTCGTCGTCATGCTGTCGCCGTCGAGCTGGTCCTGTCTGAAGAAAAGAGCCTTGCCAAGAGGGGCCTGGGCGTCGTCGGTCCAGCAGCCGACAGAGGCATAGTCGGAGGTTGACACCGAGGAAATGGGGTCGAACGACGGATCTGTGTAGATGCTGACAGCATTGTTGCCCCCACAGATTTCATTCTTGTTGCCGTTGCATGGCAGGTTGCAGGTGCTCTCGCTGACCGCGGACCTCGAAATGGTCTGGCCGCAGTAGCATTCGCCATAGTAGCCAAGGCCTGCGAGACGGAAACCGTTGCCTGGAAACGGGTCGTGAGCAATTGGAACTTCGTAATGGATGACCCGATCTCGACTCACCTTTGCAGACAGCCATGCACTTCTCGACGGTTCCAGTGCTCGAGTCCATGTCCGACTTCATATCAAGGGCGTAAGGCTCGCCAGGAAGGCCGTTGTCGTAGCAGCCAGTGTAGGTGAACGGCGTGAACACCTGGGTGCATGGCGGTTCCTCCACGTACCAGGCAAGGGCCGTGGGAAGGGCCGCCAGGGCGGCAAGCGCGCCGAAGGAGTGAAAGGCCTTCATGATGGGCAGTGTCGCTTGTAGCCAAGGATAGCGCGAGGGAGTCGGGAACTTGTCAAAAGACTATGAGTAGTAAAGATGGAAGCCCTTGAGTGTGTTCAGGAGCTGAAGCCTGGTGATGGACGAAATCTGGGAGGTACAGGCTGGCGACTGACGCAGCCTTATATCATGACGAGACCGAGCCCGCAATAGGCACAGAAGCAAAGTGTTCATCTTCGCCTGAGGCCGAGCCTGGGTCTGGCGGAACCAGAAGCACGGCTCTGGATCCCACCTGCAGCTAGGACAATGTGGATAGCAAGTTTGTGCAGGTGTGAGCGGTCCAGAGCGGGCTAGCTAGCAGGCGTGCTGCATGGCGCGGAGGAGCGGGAGAGGCGGGACCTAGGTCTGGAGTCATGCAGGAACACGGCCGGGCAGCCGCCATCTGTGCATGGAAGCCTGGACATCTCGACTTGCAATCTGGTGGCATGAAGCCGTATCGCGGCCCGGCCAAGAGAGACGAGGTGGACGGTGGAGAGTTGTGCCACCAATGGACCCGTCTGGTGCGCCGGCAACTGCGCCCTGGGCTGTCAGGGGAGCCGCTCCTAGCGTGTCCGACCCTTGCCCTGCCCGACCAATCAACAGGGCCCATTCCGCCCTGGTGCAACCCGTTCAGGGCAGGCGCGCTCAAAGGCGGTGCTACGCCCTGGGGCCCAGCGCAACCCCGGCCTAGCCCCTCCACTGTGGCCCCATGAGTGCAGCACGTACATGGGCGGTACGGTGGTCTGCTGCAACAACATGTCACGATCTAGGCCATCCATATATGACCCGCGTGGGGAGTCTCCATACTGGCGTGACAATCGCGGCTTATCGAGATCCGATCTGACCGGCGGCATGCATCTGTCTCCAGGAGGGAGGGTCATCTTCTGCTTTACTCGAAGAGGGGTCGGCAGCCATTGAAAGCAGCTTGCAGGTGGGGAACCTCACTGCCGTGACAGATGCGTGTTTGAAGCATATACGATCATGTTTGGAGCACATGTGGTAGCCATTAATTACGCTTACACTTAGGGTTTGCAAATACCAAAGCATACAGGAGCGCATCGATTGTGCTGTTCACAGACAGACAATACCGCTAATGTCAGACAAAACAGACGCTGGGGAGCTGGCAACATACGCTCTTGTGAGCCTATTACCGTCTGCCTCACGCCACAGCAGGATGAGCAAACCTTACAGCAGCCCCTTCAAACCAAGAAGGCGCCGCTTCATTTCTGCAGAACTTTCACCTAGTCACACAACCGCGTCTGGGTCACAAGGTGGTGCCGGTCGGCGGCACTAGGTTCTCCGCATCTTGGCCCGGCCTTGCCAGCTAGGCTTGACTTGGCCAGAGCAGCGGCTCAATTGGGCTGGAGTTCGGCCATTACCACGCACTACGGTGCGCTTGATGCCAGATCGAGACGCCTGTGGCCAGTCTGCCGCTCTGGTCCCTGCGCTAGCTCAGGTACGTAACGGTTGGTAGCATGCCTTGCGGTATCCAGACTGCCATTCATGGAAAGGCGTCCCTGAACCCGTGGGCGATCACTGGGCCAGATTGCCTTCGCCTCGAGTGCTGTGCCCCCGAAGCACCCGATCTCTCTGGAGTGGCCGAATGGCCTTGCGAGTACCGATGCTATTTCTAATTTGTCCGCGACCTGAGCCAGCCACCTGTAACGGCCTCACGATGCACCCACCATTCCAGTAAACGCCACGAACTGATGCCCGGTGTAGTGGCCGCACGCTGGAAGTGGCCGTGGCACACTTGAGGCTTACCCATAGAAGGGCCCGAGCATGAAATCGCGAGCGGGAGGGGCCGCCAAGCATAGACATTTGCATTGGCTGGTGATTTGACTCGCATGGTGCAGCCTCCACAAGTCGATTCGCACCGCCAGGCCAACTACCTTAAGGTATCTCGGGACTGTGCAGATTCAGCCCACATGCCAGCCTTTCTCGCTTTGGGTCCCTTGCTTTAGCAGCACTGCAAGTGATTGTGTCAGACACGGGTCGGCATAATTTCCTTCTGTCACCTGCATCAGGACCTCAAGCCCACCGGCCCATCTGATTACATGCAGCTTGGCTGAAGCCGGCGACGGTGAGGCACGCCAAAGGGCTGAGGCAGGTGCGGGAAGCCCAAGCCGCACTAGGTCGGGACCTGCGCCTGCCTAGCCCGCAGGCGCGGAACTCGGGCGCTGCCGACTCGGCCGCCTCTCCTGCAGAGCGTTGCATTCGAGCTCGGCACCATTTTAGAATACGAGATCTCATTTCGGGGTATCCCAAGACTCGGTACAGCCAAAACTCCCAGAAGCTTAGAGAGTAAGTGGATAGCGAATCTATGGTGCTGCTCAAAAGTGCCGTTGGCTAAGCGTAGCACCTCTGTCTTGATGGGGCTCTGCGGCCAGCCAGAGCAGAGACCCCGGCACAGGCTGAATATTGCAAGGAGCTTCCTGCCTGGTCTGTCGATCACCCGCCGCTCCAGAAATCCACCCTCGGCCTTTTTCGTCCGGGCCACCACCACAATGCCAGATCGACCATCAGACATTCATCCGTCACAATATTCCGCTCGGTATTCCCACTGAGCAGCATAATCATTATGCCACAGCTCAGACTCATCTCGGCAGTTTCGCCTCGGCAGTCTGCTCTTTCTTCGTACATGAACCCCTCGACCTTGCCTTGCGAGTATCCGTTCAAGCAATGATGCGCAACTTAAGCACCTTGCAGAACAGGCTGGTGTCGTCAAGGCAAGGCTGCAGGTCACGATGTTGCAATCCACGGCCCTCCAATGTTGCTTCCTAGAAAGATCGGCGGTCACCGAGTGATCCTCAATTCAAGCTCAGAGGTGGGCGGACCGCTTGGTAGGTACCGGAAGAGGCGCCCGCGTGTCTTCCCCCGCAAAACTTTACACGATGCCCAAAATGTCTTGCAACCCTACAACTGAATCGTTGTTGACGAAACTGTATTGCACAACGCACATGCTCATGGTGGATTGTGGGGGTGAAACCTTCTGGTGTCGTCAAAGGCGAGGCTTCACCCCATTGCGAAAGTGGATCCACTCCGACCATGTTAGTGATTCAACAGTGACGCCATGACTACGGGACCAGAACTACGCACGAACAGCAGTGACGCACGGGATTGTCCCATGTTGTGAGGCGCCCTTGCATCATGATTGCCCAGGGGGTTCAGTAGGTATTGTTTTCGAGGCAGCATTGCTGCTTTGCTTTCCTCCCACGCAACGCTGAGCAAGTACACCGTCACAGAAAACACCCCCGTGACAACAAGTCGTTGAACCAAGCAGGAAGCCGACGCCACAGTCAAGCACCCTTTTCACAAGTTATCACTCTCAGCGCTATAATTCTCACGAAAACAATCGTCATGTCTGTCGCGAGAACCTATGTGTCACGGTTGAGCACTCGGTGCCCACCGACTCTGAGCCGCTCCACCACAGCCGTCGCCTCGCTTGCAGCACGCCGGACATTCGCCTCGTCGCAGCCTCCGCGATCGCAGAGTCCACCGGCACATCCCAAAGAGAACAGCGAGTAAGTAGTATTTCTCCTCAGAACAAATGCAGCGGTAGTCTTCTGCGAGCCTCCGCCAAGGGTGTAGCTACCTGGCCGCAGCACGTGTACGCCTGGCTGGAGAAACCACCACCCTGTCCATGGGAAGAAGAAGAACAAGAATACTGACCACGGGCCATCCACCAACAGCAAGCAGATGTATGCATATGTCGCCATTGGCCTTGGAATTGGCGGTGCCTTTGCTTTCCTGCTCGGCCGCCCGGGAAAGGCTGCCGCGGTCGCGCACGAAACGTCTTCGGTTCCAGGCAGGCAGTCGCTCAAGGGTGGTGATGAGAAGAAGTAAGGACAAGATGAGGCAGCAGAAGGGTTTCAAGCCTTTTTTTTTTCCGAAGTGGAAAAGCAATAGGATAAATAAATATTAACTTGATCATGCGTCCGGTGCTAGAGGTTCAAGTCCTTTTCTGCGCTGCACTGCTGGTGCGTATTCATTCGTGGTCCTCGTGGCGGCTGACCACCAGTGACGCTATCACTACGAGTTTGAAGATACTACGAGCATTGCATCAGTATGTAACATTTCCTAGAATACTACCAGACGTTTCTTACATCATGATTACTTACCCAGCTATACAGGCTTTATAAGGTGTTGTTTTCATAAAACTGAAGCGCCGGGTTCACGACTTGAGTTTGCTCTGTTTCAAAGCACCTGCAGGACTGCAACTCACAACCAAGCCGCAGAAACAGAACGACGCGACATTGATCCGAACTCGAAGCTGGGTCGATAACACAGAGAACACCTCGACCAATCGCGATTTCTGCCCTCCAAACTTAGTCACGATCGGCATGGCCGTCATGAGAACATCTGTGTTGAGACTTGGAAGCCGTGCCAGGGCCGTGACACTGGGCCGCTTGGCGGCTGCTCCCATTGCACGGCGAGCCTATGCCTCGTCGGACGACCACCACCACTCGGACCCCCCGCGGTCGCAGAGCCCGCCAGCGCAACCGGGGAAATGCAACTCGTAAGTGACATATCTTGGTGGGAACGATGCACGTGTGGGTTGTCTGCGAGCGAGCGGTCTGTCTGTCAGGCGGACTGGCGACCAGCAAGCTCGTGCTCTGTCATTGACCCCCCCCCCTTTCCCCTTCCATTGCCGCAGCCAGAAATGCTGATATTGGGACTTGGCAAAAACTCCCATGGGCAGCCAAGAGATGTACATTTATGCCGGGATCGGCTTGAGTATCGGCCTTGTGTTTTTTTTCCTGATGGGTCGCCCGACCGAGGCTGCCGCTGCCGCAGCGGCGGAGAGGGCGACGCCCGTGAAGGCACCGGGGGAGACGTCGATCAAGGATCCTCACAAGTAGGACTTGTCGCTGCGAGACTGGAAGTCAAAATGTGTATTCGCGGTAGAGCTAGGAATGGCTGTATTTTAACCAACACGGTCGACGATGAATATGCGGATGAATTGCTAGAGCGTGAAATGAGGTTGAACAAACCCAACATTGTAATAGTGCCTGACCATTTGCTCAATCGGCAAACCCCAGCATCCTTGTCTCAGTGACACGAAGTGGCCCCACATGCACTTTTGCACTTTAGCGGTGCTCCATCATCCACGCTGGCAACCCTTGGGAAGCTCAAGGCAGCGAGCGACGTCACACTTTTTTGCAATATCGCGGATCACACCAAATCTTCCTCCGTGTCGCGCGGCACCTCAACTCAAGCCCCCCCAAAGACGAGCCCAGCGCTCAACATCACACAACGGCAATGGGCCTCGTCGAGTACTCGGACTCCGAGTCCGACTCGGAAACCGTCGTCGCCCAGCCTCCTCAGAAGCCCACGGCCGCCGCTCAAGCATCGAGTACCACCACCACCGCCACCACGAAAAAGCCATTCCAGCGGATCGTAGACAGGTCGAAGCCCGGCAAGATCGTAGTCAGCCTTCCCGGCGCGGCGGCGACAAGATCCACGCATTCCGACGCGAAGAACGATGAACAACCACCGCCGCCGAAACGCGCACGGGTCGGCGGCGGCGGCGGCGCATTCAGCGGCTTCAACGCGCTGCTGCCACCACCGAAAAACGCCGGCGGCAACAAGCCTGCCGCGAGCTCCACCAGTAGCGGCAAGCCAGCACCCAGGCCGGGCGTGAACCTCAAGACGGGCGCGACACCGGGATTCAGGCGAGACAATGATGGCGACTTTGATGATGATGACGGCGGCGGCGACCGCGGGAGGGCGCCAGGACCGGCGGAACCCTCGATACCCGAGGGACAAAAGCCGGCAGACGAGGTCAAGCTCGTGGGGAAGCCCATGATGTTCAAGCCGCTCTCGGTTTCGAGGAAGCCGGCAAAGGGCAAAGGGGCAGCGCTGGGCGGCGTGAGAGCAGCAGCTGCGGCCGCCGTCGCGGGCACGACAAAGTCTACTCCAGCCGCCGCCGTTGTTGTCCCGCCAGTTGACGGCGCGACGCCGCCGTCAGCGGCGGCAGCGGTGGAAGCAGGAGATCTCGGGCCTCCAAAAAAGAAGAAAAAGATGTCGTTATTTTCCATATCACACGAGGGCGACGCCGACGGTCCGACGGCCAGCAATGCTGGTGGCGTGTACGAGCCCGTGTTTGCGAGCGACGACAACGTGTCCACGCAGGAGGCCTTCGCGCAGTACGACGCGCAGTTTGCATCCCACCAACACTCCGAGGTAGCCGCATCGGCCGACCAAACCAGCTATCATCAGCAACCCCTAGTCAACACGAGCAACGACCTAGACTCGATAGCGTCAGACCTAAACCTCTCGGCGGCAGCCCGGCGCGAGCTGTTCGGCCGGCGCGGCGTCCCCGACCCGACCCAGTCGGCGAGCCGGGTCATCAACTTCAACACGGACCGCGAGTACGCGGCCAACGAGGAGCTGCGCGCCAGCGGCGAGGCACAGCCTACGTTCAACCCGGTCAGGGCCATTGCTCCCGGCAAGCACAACCTGCGCCAGCTCGTCAACCAGGTCCAGAACCAGCGAGAGGCGCTCGAGGAGAGCTTTGCCAAGGGCCACAGGAACAGAAGCGAGGCCAGTGCCAAGTACGGGTGGAGGTGATGAGCGGCGCCTGCAGTTACAAGGAAAGGGGTCTGGCGAGTTTTATTCAAACAGCCATGGTCATAATTTCGTCAAGAAAAAGGAGAAACAAAACTATGTACAAGAACAACCTCAGCAGGGTCTACGAGGCAGAGATACCAACTATATACATCGATCCAGGCTCGCGCCACCGATTTCAATCAGCCCCGTCTATCTATCACCAAGTTTCGACCGGCGCGGTCCTGTTCTCGTTCCACGTCCCCTCGCGGGAAAAGAGAAACCCCCACTCCCCGCGCGTGATGGGCGAAATGTCATCATACCCGTTCGGCGTCATCGGCCCGAGCTTGTCGGACTTGCGCCTCTCTCCCTTGCCGTCTACCGGCGACAAGAGCTCGTCAATGTTGCTCCAGAACGGCATGCCGTGGAACGGTCTGGCAGTGCGGTCTCCGTGCTCGCTTTCGTCGTCGCCGTCCTTGGCCTCATCCTCCCCCTCGGTCTTTACTTTTTCAATCTTGATCTCGATCGCCGCGGCGGTCTGGAGTGTAAGCTTCGGAGTCTTGCCGTTCAGTCTCCGCGGAGAGAGTTGTGGCTGCCGCTGCCGCTGCTCCTGCTCTGGAGACTCGTGTACTGGAGATATGCTGGCTGGGCTGTCTCGCTGCTGTGGCGACTGCGCAGTCATGATCGACAACGGTGGGCTCGACACAGGCGTCGGGCGGATCAAGGTGGGCTTCAGCAGAGTGTTATTGCCGAGGTCGACCGTGCTGATCTTCAGCGGCGGGCTGGTCGTCCGGCCTGCCATTGGCGTCGCCCTGCCTGCTACTGGCGTTGCCCTGCCTGGCGGAGGCGTGCCAATCTTGACCATTCTCCTCCTCATGAGCGCCTCCTGGTGCTCACGTCGGTCTTGCTCCTCCTGCTCCCGCTCCCGCCTCTCCCGCTCGCGCTCTTCCTCCTCCGCCGGCGAGGGCTCAAACGCGCCCACCTGTGCAGGCCCGCCATACGCGCGCTTATACATACGCTCGACGGCAGCCAGGGCGCTCGGGCTGACGCGGATCCAGTCGTAGCTGCGGTGCAGGTCCGACCTCGGCACCTGGCGCTGTCGGCCCGGGCTGAAGCCGAAATATCCTCCGGCACTTCCGCTGCCGCTGCTGCCGTCGCCGCCGAGAACGAGGCGCCGCAGCTCGTCGACCGTCTCCTCAATGCGGGTCTGCGCTGCCGCCTTTAGCGCTGCACTGCCATCACCCCCAACACCACCACCGCCTCCCATGGAAGCAGCAGAAACAGCACGGGCGTAGCAAGCTAGTGCAGACTTGAACGTGTAGAGCCTGTCCAGGCCAAGCAGCGTCAGCCCTTCCGAGCAGAACAGGACCTCGTTCTGGATGATGCTGCGGCGGATCAGGTCCGCGTTGAGCCCACATGCCGCAGCCGTCATGGCCGCAAGTGGAAGCGCGCCTGGTGTGCCGCCGCCACCACCATTACCATTAGCATCAAGATGGAACTTGCGGCTGGCCTTCTCGAGAACAGTCCGGACAAGCTTGTCGTCCTTGTATGACAAGGGCGTGGTATAGACGAGGCGTATGCCAAACTCGCCGGTGGGTCTCAATCCCGGGCCCCCTGCTGTTGTTGCGCCGTTGTTATTGTTCGAGGCCGCCAAGGCCCTGATCGACGCAGGATCTGTCGCCGAGGACATGCTGCTGATCATGCTACCTGGGGTATGCGGCGTCATGGGTGGCGATGCCGTGCCATTGTGGAAGTACGACATGGAAAGCATGCTTCCTGGTGTCGGGGGCCAGACACCGCGGCGCCCGGGGCTGAGTGGTGTGTCATACGAGGCCTCGCTGCGGGGCGAGAACATTGGCGATGACACCGCGCTCGCGAGGTATCCATCCTGCAAGGCGTCGGTGGCGGTGGCGGAGGTAGAGGAGGTGGTGGAGTACAGGGATGCGAGAGAGGCGTGCGTGCCCTTTCTCACGAGCGACCTGAGCCCCGCGATCGGCGAGCGTAGAGGGGATGCCAGCGATCCTGCTGACGACGGTGGCGACGTTGGCGTTGGTGGCACCGAGGCCGAGGAGAGCGAGGAAGGATAGTGCTGGTTCTGAGGCAGCTGGTAGTCCTTGCGGACGACGACGAGGGTGAGATGGAGTGCCTTGCGAGCCAGGCGTTTTGATGCGTACTCGAGGGCGTCTGTGAGGTGGGCTGGCAGGCTGTGTTGCGTGTCGAGGATGGAGGTGCCAGCCTCGAGAGGCGAGGAGATGCGCAGCCTCAGGGCTGACGACGATGGGGCCATTGTTGCTGATGAATGGCTCTGGATGGGCGGTCTATCTTTGGTGCTGGTTGTGGCTTTTTGTGGTCGAGTCGGATGCCAAGGAGGCTCGCTTCTCCCTCACTGTAGAAAGACAATAAGATAAGAAGGGATTGTGACTGAGACGCGGGACTTTGAGAGGACCAGTCGACTAGTGAAAGTGACCACTGCCCGTACTGATGTAAAGAAGGAACGTGTGAGGGACAGTGTGTGCAAGTGATGGGTGTCAGTCCGGTCCTCGAGCGCAACGACAATGACGGTGACGAGGTCAGTCTGGCTGGATCTTGGAATGGGAGGCTGGGAGTGTATATAAGTCTGGTGTTCCTGCAGATTGATCCCCGCTCGGCACTGGAAGGGACTTATCACAGTGCAGGGGGAGCAAGCAAGGTCAAGCTCCGAGAGAGTGAGCCCCTGGCAGTAGGAGAACACAACCCATGTATGACGATCTGGGGTAGAGAATGTGCCGATGAGGATGGACTCGTTTCATTTCTAAAAACAGCCCTGAAACAGGGACGGGACGGCACAGAAGACGAGAAAGAGGGTCGTTTTTTTCAGCAAGAGGGACATCTGTTCGGCCTGCATGGACAACTTTGTTCAACTTAGCTCGAGGCGGGACGAGTCCTGTGGACAGGCAGGCGAATGGGGTGCGTCCCGGGTCGGGCAATGGGAAACGGCGGGTCGGCGAGTGTGATGGGCGGCCGGGGAGAGATATGGGACCCTGGACAGGCGCGGGGTCGTGATTGGTGTGATTTGGCAGCATGTATGCCGGTGATATGCACACTTGCGGGGCTGGCGTGCATTGCATGGATGCGCGCGGTTGTAGCGCCTGGGCTGTCTGTCTGTTGTCTGCACTTGTTAGCATGGGCAGGAGATGGGAAATGTGCTGCGTGACGAGATGGCGGGACCAAGGAAACCTGGTGTGCGGTGGGTGGCAGTCGCTGTACGGCACAGTACGTTAGAGTAGTGGTGCATGGCCTGCTGCGTCAATCCCACGCTGCAGGATGAGCTTGACCTGGGCGGTGTGTCAAAGGTCAACTACCACCGGAACCTTTGCTCTGTCCGTCAAGTCCTGGGCAGAGACGCCGGCCAGGCTGGCTCTGCTCGTGTCGACCTCATTCTTAACACGTGGCCGTGCTTTCTTCCAACCCAGGACAACCAGAGTCGAGGGTGTCGTGAGTCGTGCCTGCCGCCACAAGGTGGACAGTCTCCCGCCGTGGATGGACACCAACCAGATCCCTGCTGCTGCCCTTCCAAGGTTGCTAGCCGCCGACCACACAGCACGTCCACCTCCCCCTGGCCCCAGCCAATCACCATCCCCCACAACGATGGGCGGCTAACCCGCAGCACTAGACAACTTAAAGGCTGATTTGATGGTGGATGATGGCAGAGCCAAGAATAGGTCGTTCGCTGGCCCTCGTCACAGGGCCTCAATCGACGCAGTTGCGGGGCTCTCTCAGCTGAAGTTCTTGGTGAGTGCAGATTGGCAGAGACATGAAACCAGGGCGACATCTCGGGACAGGGGCCAACAAGCAGACCGTTATTTCGGCTCCGGTCTTGGGTCGCAGCGGTAGTGCTCTTTCAGCTAAGCTTAAAAATATCCAGCGGTATCAAGGTTTCGTCCCGCAGACGTGGGCGGCATATGGCGTCGGAAGTGGCTTCATTGGCCAGTTTGTTGTTTGTAATTGGCGGGTACATACCACCACAAAGAATTACCCAAAACCCCAAGCCGTAACAACAAGAGGGACGAACTCGATCATAGGCAAGTCTGTCCCATGCAGAAGCTGTGCACGACTTCTAACAACAAACACAAAGCCGCCCGCCCTGTTCCTTGCTCTCCGCAGGTGTGACACATTCGGCGTGCGCCTTCAACAGCACCCGTGAATGAATGGGCAGAACCAAGCATCATCTTGCTTCTGCACCACCAAGCCGACCTTCTCAACGTGACCTTGATGCTATGTATCTGCTTTGTTTGTTTCTAGCTATGTAGGAGAGTACATTTCTAGCCATGTAAGAGGGTCCTTTTCGGTGGCCCATAAACCTAGACCAATCACCCCCTTGGGTGACCTCTTTTCTTTCTCGCACACAAGCCATCAATCACTCACCAACCGGCTGGGTCACTTGGCAGAAGCCGGCGCGCCGCCGCCGCCGCCGGCCAGCCACTTACTGCTCTCGGCGACCTTTATCGCCAGGTCCGCGATGCTCGGGCTGCCGAGGATGCTGAACAGGCTGATGTCACACCTGGCCTCCTTGACCAGCCAGTTGCGGATCTCGACGGCCGTGAGCGAGTCGACGCCGTACGCGTGCAGCGCCTTGCCGGCCTCGATGTTGGCCGCCGACGTGTCCATCATGCGCGCCAGCCTGTTCCGGATGGCCTCGGTGACGGCGTCGGCGGCCTTGGACAGAGATGACTCCCCAGCTGCTGCAGCCTCCAATGCCGTTCTGAGAGAGTCACCGCTGCCAGGACCACCGCCGGCGGTGGAGGCTTTGTCGGCTCCGTCGGCGCCGAGGTCTAGTTCTGCACCGGCGAGCTGGCGGAAGCGCGGGTCCGAGAAGGCCGGCGGTTCCGCGGGGTTCTTCATTGCTCGGACGGCGCCGCCGGTCGGGAGCCCGGTGATGATTTGGGACGGCAGAGTGTAGTGTTCTGGTGCAATGTTGTTGTTATCATTATTGTTGACGCCGTCAGTGCCGGCGGCAGCGCTGTCGAGTATCTCGCCACGCATAGCGGCGTTCATGAGCAACAGGAACTCGCGCTCGCGGAGCCCCGACGACGCCCACTTGTCCAGGTTGCTGTCGCCCTCGCGGCTCTCGGCCACGACGCCGACGTCGAGCATCAGGCCCAGGTCGAGGCTGAGCCCGGCCTGGCCGCGCCCGCGGCGGAACGAGGCGAGGCTGTCCATGAAGGTGTTTCCCGCGGCGTAGTTTGCCTGGCCGGGGTTGCCCGACACGCCCGAGATGGAGGAGAGCAGGATGAAGAAGTCGAGGTTGGGGGGAAGCTGTTCGTGCAGGTTCCATGAGCCCTGGACTTTGGGGCGGACTGATGTCACTACATCGTCAAAGGGCATGGTTTCGAAGATGCTACAAGAGATCATGGGACAGCCTTGTTAGAACCTAGGACCAGAAAACAACAGAAAAACCAAAGAAACTGGGGAGAAATGCAAAAGAGAAAGACGAAAGACAGGAATAAAGGATAGAAGCAGGAACTTACCCGTCGCGCAACACCATGGCACCTTGCACGCAACCCGCGATCCGTGGCTGAGTGCTCCGGCACGTCTCCAGCACCTGGCGCAGGGCCTCTGCGTCGGCGACATCGCAGCTATACACTGCGGCCTGCGTACCGCGGCGGCGAAGCTGCTCCACCAGTGCAGCAGCATTGGGATCAGATGGCCCTGACCTCGAGACCAGAGCGAGATGCCGCGCTCCGCAACTCGCCATGTGCAGCGCCAGACTCCGCCCGAGCCCCCGCAGCCCGCCGACAACGAGATACGTCACGTCGGGCCGGAGCCGCAGCACCGAGCGCGCGGTAGGGTGCACCGAGACAGTGTCCGCCGGGTCGAGATTGATGACGATCTTGCCGACGTGCTTGCCGGCCTGCATGAAGCGCAGGGCCGCCTCGATGCGTGTCAGGGGGTACTCGTTGATGGTGGTCACAGGCCGCAGGACGCCTTGCTCCAGGAGCTGCGTGACGTCGCGCAGGAGGACGTTGAAGCGGTCGTGGAAGCGAGTGAGCATGAGATCGAGGTTGAAGAACGCAAAGGACGCGCTGCGGGCAAAGGGGCTCATGTCGAGCCCTGCGTGCGCGTTGATGTCCTTGATGCCGAGCTCGACGAACCGCCCAAACGGCGCGATGCAGTGCCACGTCTGCCGCAGGAGCTCCCCGGCCAGCGAGTTGATGACGACGTCGACCCCCTTGCCTCCCGTCACCCGCCGGACGCCGGCGACCAGCGAGGCCCCGTCGCGGCTGCTGAAGATGTGGTCGGCCGGGATGCCATACGTCTCAGTCAGGAGTCGTGCCTTCTCTGCAGACCCAACACTGGCCAGGATGGTGGCGCCGTAGTGCTGAGCCAGCTGAATCGCCGCCTGACCAACACCGCCAGCGGCGGCGTTGATGAGGATCGTCTCGCCAGGCTGGATATTAGCCACGTCCCGAAGCGCACCAAGAGCCGTGGTGAAGACGATGGGGATCGAGGCAGCCTCGGCGAAGCTCATCCCCGACGGCACAGGCTGACACAAGGCCTCCTTGGTGCGGAGTATGGTCTTGAACGATCCCGCGGAGGCCTGGAAGACGGCGTCGCCGGGCCTGAACCTCGTCACGCCGCTGCCGACACGCAGGACCACTCCGCTGGCTTCACGGCCTAGGTGGACGTCGGCGAGTTGACCCAGAAGAGTCATGACGTCTCGGAAACTGTGCACGGGATTGTTCTTTGTGTTAGTCACGAATTTCTGACGTCTTGCATGCATAAAAGGGTTGTTGCATCAGTGACCTACTTGACACCAAAAGCGCGGGATTCCATCTCAATCTCGTCGGCCGCCAGCTCTCTCTGGCCCGTCTTGTCAAGCCTGAAGTACAAGGTATCGAGCAGCCCCGTGTTTCCAATATCCAGCTGCAGCCCTGCCTGGATTTGGCCGAGCACGGCCGTCTCTCGCGCGGACTTGTCTTGATGGGTCGCCGTATAGCGATTGAGTGCGGGACTGGTGATATATCGCTCGACAAACACGGCGCTGTCGTGGACACTGAGCTCGCGATCCTCGACATTGCTTGCTGTCAACGTCATGGCGATGATCCGAGCGGCCGTCGCTGGATCCTTGAGGGACGAGGCATCAAACTCGAGCGTCTTCATGTCGAGCTGTGGGTTCTCGTTACGGACACTTCGCATCATGCCCTTTGTGGCGGAGAAATGCGGTGACCATGTCCTTGATACCCAGATTAAGCGGCGAGTGTGCAGAAGGGTGTGTCTCAAGAGCTCAAACTGTTTCTGGCTTGAGTCCAGGGCCAAAGCGTCATCTGCCTCTATTAGCGATATGCAAAGGCTGTCCTTCAGGAGGTCTGGCGAGCCCGATCCCCACTGAAAATGAGATGTTGAGAGGTTATGGTCTTCCTGCAATGCTTTAGACAAGCTGTCGGCAAGCTGAAGAGATCTGGATGATACATTTTCCGGCAAGAGGATGAGAATCGGCTTCTGTGCATCGACATTGTTGTCTGCAATAGGCTGCTGCTTCTTGGCATACACCTGAACTAGGCCAAGCCCGCCGAATGCCGCATTTCCAGACATTTCGAAAGACTTCTCGAGCCCGTTTCCACCGAGGACCTCTTCTAATGCAATTCGAGCTTGGACTTGCTTTTCGGAGCGATCTAAGAGCAGTAGGTATCCTGTGGGCTTCAGCATTGATAGTAGTTGTGCCAGAGTTTCAGCCTCGAATGCGGTCGCATGGGAGGAATCGAGGATGATAGCGTCATGTTCACTGCCAGACTTGCTGTCAAGGCGTGCCTCAACGTTGACGCTTACGCCCAAGGCGGTTTCTTGGTCCTTGCTGTCCTGGTTTGAAGTGGTGGCAGTCCATTTCAACCTGCTGGTGAACTGCCGGCGTCTGTGCAGTGGAATCGAAGCAAGTGCCTCGAGAACTGCCAGGCGAGCCTCTTCAGTGCCGTCACAGACTTCGAGGACACTGCCGTATGGCTGCGCATGTCCAACCAGTACTAATACCTATCGATGGATCCAAGGAGTCAGCCAGCCAGTCATTGTTTAAACCCAGACAACAATCCTCCACCCTCCCGGGGCCGAGTTTCTGGCTGTCTAGCTTACCTCGCCCAATATCTCGTTTAGGGCCAGCGGCTGCCCACGAGCGCCATTCTTTTGCCAGTATCTTTGCAGAGCCTGCTGAGAAGAAAGCTCCAGCAAAGGAGCGCTCTGCATCACACCATAGCGTTCCTTGGCCGCTGCACCGCTGCCCGAACTGGCGCCCGCCTCGTCGAGCAACTCGGATCCAATGACTCGGCACTTGACACCCTTGACCTGGATCGCGGGACTCGCCGACCCTGCCCTGCCGACAGCCATGTCTGAAGACTGCGCGCCAACGTCGGCATAGCCAGCGAGCTCCTCGCCGGCAGCGCTGGGACAGTCGGCCGCCACTCTGACGCTCTCGATGAACACGGGCACGGCAGCACCCGTGCTGTTCCCATGCCAGTCCTTGTCGACGGCATAATGGAGTTGTAGGAGACAGTCGAGCGTCGAAGGGTGGACGAGATGCGCATCCTCGTATCCGCCATGGGGCATCATGCCGCTCCTGTCCCCAATGCGTATCGTGGCGCAGGCAGACTTGCGCTGATCTCCTCTGCTGCCATGGCCGCCGCTGCCGATTTCTTCGTCGTCGCTGCTGCCCTGGCTGATCTCGGTGACACACTGGAAGCTGGGGCCGTAGAAGAAGCCCATGTCGCGGCCGGTGGCGTAGAACTTGTCCACGGCAGCGGGGATCGTGCATTCTTGTCGTCGGGCGGCCAGCGTCCTGGCGAACTCCGTCTCTGTCTCCGTCTCCGGGCCGGACGAGCCGACGACGACGACCTGGGGTGCCTGAGTCTTGTACGTGACCCGCACGAAGCCGAAGCAGTTTGTGTCCAGCTCGACCGCGGTGCCGTTGGCCACGGGTGCGCTCGAGATGCGGAACTCGTGCCAGTCCTGGGCCAGGCTGTTCGTCTTTGGCGTCAGAAGCTGGATCCTCGTCTCGACGCCGCCGTCGTCGTCGGGCACAATGATGGGCCGCTCGACACGCACGTCGCGCACCTCGACGGCCTCGACCTCGCTGCTGCCCGCCATCTGCCTTGCCGCCTCGATGGCCATGCACACCATGCCGGCGACCGGGTACAGGATGACCGACTGGATCGTGTGGTCGCGCACCCACGGCATGTCGGCGACACGCACAATCTGCCGCCAGGCCGGGTCCCCGGCCACCGCGTCGGTCACGGGCGCCCCGAGCAGGTCGACGCGGTTCTTCTTGCGGAAGCGCAAGGCCCGGCTCTGTCTGCTCTCGGCCCAGTACGCCTTGTCGTGGTTCCACGGGTACGTCGGCAGGTCCGGCATTGGGCCCAGTCTGCCGTGAGGTGCGCCCTTGGGGGACCTGTTGACTAGATCGACGATGCTGCCGCCGCCACTGCCCCCTTCTAGTCCGGCGGCGACGAGCGTGCCGACGGAGTCGAGGGTTGTCTTGTCGGCGGGCTTGCCGCGCGCAAGACACGAAGTGTACATGACGTCCTTGTAGCCACCGGCCTTGAGTATCTGCTTGATCGGGCCTTGCAGAGCCGCGTGGGGCCCGACTTCAACCAGAATGTCGAGTGCTGCCTGGCCGGCTCTTCTCTGCTGGCGGAGCCCCGGGGCAGATCCGCTCAGGAGGACGGCGAGAGCCTTGGAGAACTGGACGGGGGATGTCAGGTTGTCGACCCAGTACGCAGGCTGGATCCTGGTGTTGGCCAGGTCGAGGGCCTCTCCCGTGACGCTCGACGCCATGGCAGCAGCAGCCGTGGCCTTTGCCGGTGCGGTCGATGCCGGTGCTGCTCCCGCAGCAGCCTCGGATATGCTGGCCAGATAGTCCCCGGCAATCCTGGCCATGTGGAAGGAGTGATATGCGTTCTCGACGCGCAGCTTCCTCGCAAACAGGCCGGCCGTCTTGAGCAAGGCCTCGACCTCGTCCACGGCGGCGTCGTCGCCAGACAGCGTCACCGACTCGGGCGAGTTGATGCAGGCAACCTGCACCGTCCCGCTCGTCACTTTTGCAATGTACGGCGCCACCGTCTCCGGCGAGGCCCCCGCGGCCAGCATGGCCCCGTTGAATGTGCCCTCGGTGGCGAGCGCCGAGCACAGGTGTCCTCGCCAGTATGCCACCGTGTACGCAGCCTCGCGGGTGAGTGCCCCGGCGCAGAACGCGGCCGCAATCTCGCCGCTCGAGTGCCCGACCACCGCGGCGGGCTGGATGCCCCACGAGCGCAGGAGGTCGACGAGGGCAATCTGCAGCGCGGTGCAGAGCGGTTGGGAGAACTTGGCCAGCCCGAGCTGCGAGGTATCTGCCGGGCGGTTGAGCTCCTCCAGGACGGACCACGTGCAGCCGAGCGAGCGGAAGTGCTCGTCGGCCAGGGCCAGCGACCTGCTGAACACGGGGTACTCGCCGAGTTCTCGGCCCATGCCGGCCCACTGCGCGCCCTGGCCGGTGAAGACGAAGCCGATCCGCGGGCCGGCCGTGCTTGCGGTGGACCGGACCGCCCGCGGGAGGAGGGAGGACAGGCCGTCAATCAAGCTGGGCACGTCGCTCGCGGTGATGACCGACTTCCACGCAAGGCGAGACCGGCGGGAGGACAGTGTCGAAGCGAGCCGGTCCAGGTGGAACTGCTCGTTCCACCGCGACAGCTCCTTCTGCTTCTCCGATTCGAGATGGTCGACCAGTCGCCGCTTCATGGCGAGCAGCACCGACTCCTCGTGCGCGGAAAGGACAAAGAGCCGCTGGCGACTCCGCTGGTCAAGCGGCCCAGCACTGTCCAGGCCGTCATCGCTCTCCTCGGAGCCAACGCCCGAGTCTGACGTGCGAGGACTCGTCGCGGGGCTGGCAGTGTTGTGCACGGCTCGCAGCCCGCGCAGGCGGAGGTAGCTCGCCGCGTCGTCGACGACGGCGTGCGCGTTGGTCCCGCCGTACCCGAACGAGTTGATGCTGGCCCTGCGGAGGCCCATGCCGTTGTCCGGCCAGGGAATGAGCTCGGACGGCACGCGGATGTTGGACGCCGCAAAGGGGATCTTGGGGTTCAGCTGGTGCAGGTGCACCTGGGGAGCGATGACTCCCTTCTCGAGCATCAGCACCGCCTTCACCAGACCGGCAAGGCCGGCAGCGCCTTCAGTATGTCCGATCTAGTCCGTGGGAAAAGGAATGGTTAGTTATTTAAGCCCTTTCGCTTGCTCTTTAGCACAACTGTACTCACGTTTGACTTGATTGATCCTATGTAGAGCGGGTTGCTTGGGTCGCGATTCCGCGCCAAAGTGCTGGCAACAGCCTTGCTCTCGGTAGTATCACCAGCGACAGTCCCCGTTCCCTAGAAGTATTCCAAGCATTGCCGGTCAGCGGTCGACCCAGTGCAAGCTTCAACATCTGCACACGCAAGGAGCGAGAAAGGGGTGGATTGTATACGAACATGAGCTTCCAGGAACTGGGTGCTATCAAAGTCCAGCCCAGCCTTCTTGTAAACCTTTGTGATGAGCGCAGCTTGAGCCTGCGCGCTGGGCAGAGTGATGCCCGAGGTGTGACCGTCCTGGTTGATAGCAGTAGCCCGGATGACGGCCCGGATGCAGTCACCGTCCCTTACCGCATCGTCAAGGGGCTTGAGGATCACCGACACTACACCCTCCCCACGACCGTACCCGTCGCCCGAGGCGTCAAAGGACTTAGACTTGCCGTCCGCGGATAAGAAGTTCATGCTCGACATGAAAATGAAAAGCTCAGGTCCGAGCATGATGTTGATGCCTGCAGCAACAGCCACGCTGGCATCGCCGCATCGGATCGCCTCGCAGGCCTGATGGAGCGCCACGAGCCCCGACGAGCAGGCAGTGTCTAGCGTGAAGCTGGGCCCGCGCCAGTCGTAGAACCATGAGACGCGGTTCGCGAGCATGGAGAAGCCCTTTCCAGTGGCGCTATACTTGGGTCCAACCTCTGGGTCTTTGACCAGGATTTCGTTGTAATCCTGGCTGAACGACCCGACATGGCAGCTCGTGTTGGTGCCTGCTAGGTCCTCCATCCGCAGGCCGGCGTTCTCCAGACCCTCGTAGATTACCTCGAGGAGTAGCCGCTGCTGCGGATCCATTGCTGATGCTTCGGACGGGGATATGCTGAAGAACTGGGCATCGAATTCGCCGACATTTCTGTCCATAAAATGGGCCTCGCTCGGGCGGATAGTGCCGGGTCTTTGAGACGGGTGCTGAAAGGCGTCGACATTGAAACGACTTGCGGGTATCTTGGACAGGCAGCCTGTAGTTTGCGGGGCACGAATAATGCAATGGTCAGCCTCTAAACCTGAATGCAGCAACAAGTTGATAACACTCGATGTGCCCGCCTTCGGGAGACGCCAACAGAACTTACTCTTCCGATCACGCAGAATCTGCCACAGCTTTTCGGCGCTCGTGCTGTCCCCCGGAAGGCGACAGCTCATGCCGACAATCGCTATAGGCATAGCCGAGTCATCTGGCGCCATACTCCCCATTTTCGAATATCGATATCAGCTTGTCCGAGGCGAATGGTGTTCAATTGTCTGTCTTCGTGCCTGTCGGAATAAATCGCGAAGCCCCGAAAACTTCTAACTTTGCACTTTACGGTTCTGTTTTATCGTCTCCTGTGCTGCTCTTGCGATAGTCAGCCGCAAAAGTGATAAGTTCTTATGAGTTAGAGGAAATACTGAGTGGCTTGGAGCTCAGCGAGTTTCAAATGTTGCATTCCTCTGGATTGATCCCGAGGGTAAACAGGACACTCGGGCACAGGGTTTCTGATCGTGGTGTAGCAGCATATCCCTCCCATGTGCACTTCTCAATCTCTCTGATAGTCCTTTACGATCATCATTAAGTCTTTGGTGTAGGAAACCCTCATACCCGCACCAAAGCCCACAGAAGTCTGTCATGCAGAGTTGCGAACTATGATGGCTGGCCAATTGGCCAATGACAAACAACTATCAAGAAGGTCGGCAGGGGCAAGGGCCCCTGTCCCATGCACGGTAAGCTGACCCTGGCCCACTCAGGACCCTGCCTCGCCGAATATCCTTGTCCATGGCCGAAAAAGTCAAATGGCAAAGGACTATGCACAGATGGGAATGTATAGAATCCCATGCTGACATGCAAAGTAATGATCTGCTCACCACGCCAAGCTGACGTGATCATCAGCCCTGTCCCAGACGGGTAGCGGAATGTGTCAACGGCATTGCACCTATGTGCATTGCTTTCTCATACTGAGACTGGGCTTCTAAATGGGGAACTAGGGCAACAGACACGTGGTTTCCCGATATCGGCCACCGAACCAGGGACTTGGCTTACACTGAGTATTTGCATCTGACATTTGCCGTCATTGTGGGTGGTGGTGGTGGTGGTGGTCAACCACGAGAACTTGCTCTGCTCAAAACTGACGATAATAAATTCATTTTGTGTGCGACCGACAACACGGACAGATTGATGTCTTGCAATCCTGTGTTGGGATGGGAGGTTTATCCTTGCTGTCTTGAACTCAATCCATGGACACCAACAGTGTCAATAGCTACCATAATACGGGATGAGGCACTCGCGCATACGTGCTTTCCCTTTAAGATGCGGAAGCGGGCAAAATTGATCGACATGCACTCTGTCTGGATTGTGATTGACGGGTGACAGAAAAATTGTGGTGGCTGTATTTGAGCCCGTTTATAAAGGAGAATCTTTAAAGGCACGACAGAGTTATGCAAAAGTTGACACGAAGGAGCCAACGTCTACCACTGCCCCTAGAGAATTTCAGCAGATCTCACAGGGCAATAATAGCGGCACAGCTTCGCATAATTCAAGGGATTATTTATAACAGTCCTAGTATGATGACTAACTAAACTTTCATACTGATTGACTGAAGGGATCTTAACGCATCGTCTTTGGAAAATTCAAATATGCCCCTTAAAGTAGAGGATACCCTTGAGTTCATTGTGGGCCCAGGGGATTTCCTTCCTTATATTTGTTTTCTTTGTTTTCCTTGTCTAATAGACGGTTTGGTGCTATGGTAAGGCCGTCTTGACTCTATAAAGATTGAACCTTCTGTACCAGCAAGAAGATAATACTCACAATAGATCATCTTGCACTTTTCATCTCTGAGTTGACCGTGTCCCACCTCTGAACTGCTACTCGGATTAGTACCATTATCTTATGGCGTGCATAATCCCGAATTTCATCGTGCCTTTAGATATTCCTTGAATAAGCACACTAGTACTAAAATACTCTTTACTAGGTTACCTAACCGACTTCAGTATACTCTAGGTCCCCACTTTGACCTCCAAATTTCTAAGGACGAATACTACCAACCCCCACGTGACCTGCTTCCCAAGTACCTTAGTTACTCTACTTCCGTCTAAAAAGCAAATCGTGTGAACGCAGGTAACAGTTGAGACAAGCTCTCTTCTCAGACGAAGTGGTTTTTCTCTACGCCCCTCGACCTGTCGTTTCATGAGAGTAGGGCCCGCCAGTGCTCGGCGTTGAAACAGACAAAGCTACTTCAGAACACAATCGCCGTGGTCCTTTTTGCTCCAATTTGACGCAAGGGGAATGAGAGGCCTGTTGCCGAGCAGGTTCTCGGGTTTTCTGGGACGACGACACCAAATGCCTCGGACCCACTGCATTTTTCTTTTTTGCTCTCTCTCTCCATTGCAAGAGCTTTCTTCATTCTGATACACTTTTTGATCACTGGGGGCACCATGGTGCGGAGTATATAATCGAACACAATGGAATCCCCTGCAACGAGTCTCTTATATAGAAGCAAGATTGTGTTATTGCATAATGCATGGTACCTATGCGGAAAAGGTACATCTCTATCATGAAATGAAAACAAACGTCGCGAGTGAGGGGCTCCAAGCGCCACCTCCATGGTACCCAGACCGCATGGCCTTTGGTTCTATGCCGCCACTGTCTGGCCAGCGCTGCTGCTGTCATGAGCGCGGTGTATGCCCGCCTTCTCCATCCCGCCCGTCAGGATGACATTGTTGGCCTGTTCTGCGTGGGACGCGCGGAAGTGGTCAAACTTGAGGTTGTGCCACTCCCTCGCGGTGATCTTGGCGCCGCGCGAGTCGGTGTACTCGGCGTCGTCGGCGGGGCGGAGGAAGAACGCGATCGAGTGGCGGTGCTGCAGCTGGCGGCCCTCGTGCGGCAGGACGCAGTGCACGGCCGAGAAGAGCTGCTGGTCCGAGAGGTAGCGGAGGGAGTCGCCGACGTTGATGATTGCGTGGCCCGGCCTGGGCTCGACGTCGAGCCACTTGTTGAGCTGCGGCGAGAGGACCTGCAGGCCGGGCTGCTGGCACAGGAGGAAGGTGAGCGTGCCAATGTCGGTGTGCTGGTTGTGCCCGCCGGCGTTCCGGGCCTCCTCCTCGGTCTGCGCCGGGTACCGGAACATGGACATTGTGCTTGTCGACGCCCGGGAGGTGTCGTGGGCAGCCTCGATCTTGTTCACGCCCGGGGGCAGGCCCATTGCGAGAGCGAGGCATGAGAGCATGGATAAAGTCAGCTCATGAGCTCCCTGGACGAAAGACGTGAAGAGCTCCTTGTTCTTGGCAATAGCGGCTGGCAAGTTGGCCTCAACGCCCGAAAGACACTGCTCGAGAGAGACCTGACATACTGCCCGTGTCAGTACGAACAAAGATTCTGCATTGTGGCTACACAGAAACCGACCTTGAGACTTTCGTAATGATCGACATGCCCAGGCTTAGCACCGGTGGAAGTTCCGCACGGTTCGTAACTTAGAGGGTTTTGCTCAATTAGTTACGCATTCGAGGGATTGTGGACACTAGACATGATTGCAGACTCACCCAGTTATGTCTGAGTCATGAGCATCTAGCATCTTGGTCGCATCCGGCAAGTCGAAGTAATCGTCCATGAACGACAAGACATCGCGCCAAGCCTTGACCATAAAGCCCGTTGGTGGAGTTTCCAAATTGAGGTAGAAGAACCCATACACCTTGCAAGCTTGCAGGAGGCGTTGAGATTCGTCCGCGTCTCGTGACAGGAGCTTTGCAGCGTTCAGTGTTGGCATTGGAGCCAGCCCCCGGCTGGGCGATTCAGCAAGACCAACGGCCATGGCGAGTAACGTGTCACGATTGAAGACGTTATTCAGAGTCCTTGCCCATTTCACATAGCGCGTGTGAGCCTTGCTCCTAGTTTTCTCTTTTATCTGTTCGCGAAAGCCCTATACGTCTAGCTGTTCATGACTGACGGGCGATAGATGATACCCGTGAAGCCCACATCCACTCTCGAAATGCTTCTTGTCGTACGAGCATGGTTTCAGAATGTGGGGATCAGATTAACGGTGACATGCCGACTAGGCCATCTCGATCAGCTGACCCTGCAGATATGCGACCGGGGTTTGTCGATGGGAAGACTCCGCTGCAGAATATGCACCGTCAGCTTATGGGTCATACACGGGTCGGGGATGCATGTGCACCTCGGCCGTGGCTGTCCATCCATGTCGCTTCGGTTGATGCCGGTGCCGACTTCACCCCTAACTAATTGAAACCCCTTGGCGGTCTATGATAGCCCACTAATCAGGAAAGAAGCAAAAAAGGAAAAAGGTAGAGAAACACACATGGCTCCTCAGCCTTATCAGCCCTGTGTAACTAGCCTGAGGCATCATCCATGGATCCGCCCTCGTAAGGAAGCGATCGCTCGACATACCTAGTATTCACAAGTCTTCGACCAAAGTTGGGCTTCGACAGCAAGCTATGGACCCTGTGGACCAAACCGATCCACCCCTGATCTCTTGCCCTTCTTCCTCTTCTTCTTGTCCTTCTCCCTGGCCATTTGCCATTCTCTGTGAGCACCAAGATGAGGATCCTGTGCTTGCACGGGCGCGGCACCAACGCCGCCATATTTGAACAACAGCTTCGTGAGTAATGGCGATCAGCAGCCAGCCCAATCTCAAAATCCGCTGGCCAGCACAAAAAGTCAAAAAGTCGTGTCACCAGACACGTACCTATCATTCTCGTTGCCAAACCGGTTTCCCGCCCTGGACGTGTGTGTGCTTGGCTTACACGTGTTTATTCTTTTTTTGCCGCTCGCTACTTAGAACCCCTGATCCGGCGACTCCCGGCACACTACCAATACGACTTTGTCGACGGACCCGTACCGGTGAACCCGGCCCCAGGGATCGCCGACCACAGCGCAGGGCCATACCTGGCCTGGCACCGGCGGAGCTTCTCTGACGAGGTCGAGGAGGCCCACGGCTTCCTGTCCAGCATTGTCAGCGAGGACGGGCCGTACGATGGGGTAATCGGCTTCTCCCAGGGCGCCGGCATGGCGGCGGGGCTTCTGATTGCAGCGAGCACTTGGGGTGGTGAGGCGGCAGCGGCGGCACAGGGGGCGGCCCCGCCATTTCGATTTGCCATATTCCTTTGCAGCCAGCTGCCCCTGGCAACCTCTTGGGCAGCCGCAGCGGTGGGATCGTCGGCGTTCCTGGCCGACCTGACAGACGAGGCCCTGGAGTACGAGCGCCGCCCGGCCATGGCCGAGTTCTTGGGCCTCACGGACAGCGAGCGCGCGGTCGGGCGTGACACACCGCCCGGATGCGGCAACGGCGGAGGCCGCAAGATCTACAGATATGGTCTCGGGCCCCTGGAAGCCCCGGCGGAGAGCCAGACGGGGCACGCGGGACGGACTGGTGGTGGTGATGGTGGAGGTGGGCCGCTCGTCGGCGTGCCTACTCTCCATCTTGTGTCGCCCGCCGACGGGTTCGAGCCGTTCGGGCGCCAGGTCGCGTCCCTGTGCGATCCGGCCAGGGCGCGCCTCGTGTCCAGCCCCAGCGGCCACATGGTCCCACACGACCCCGAGTTGCTGGACAAGCTCGCTGCAGAGATTCAGGACTTGGTCGTCGAGGCTGAATTGGTCGATTGCCTGTCCTAAGCTGCGTAAATAAAGGTACCCACTCTGCAGATGCTAGGTAGCGCAGCGTACTTTGAGCACCTACGTTCTGTTTGTGCGGTTGCATTGATACGCTACCAAATCACTCATGTGCACTCCGCGACTCTTTGTAGACCTTGAACAAATCAATAGCGTTTTCAGGGGAGAGCACAAAGGCGACGACGCTTGCGGTTCAATGACCATCATTCAATCTCACATGTTACAAGATATTTCTAGAGTCCCGAGATCCCTCACAGGGACAACGGCCAGCTAGGCCAGGCCCCACCAGGATGACTAATGCTTTGGGATGGCCCCACTATCCTCCCGAACCCCGGCCCAACCCCACTTAGCGTACGCTTACATACATGTGCTTAGCGTATTTTGGCGTACTCAAGCTTCGCGAGCCGCCCCGTGTCAATCCCGCGGATCATCGAAGCCGGCATCTCTGTGGGGACGGCCATGTAGTCCCAGGTCATCCCTCTCGGCATCTTCCTCGTCCATCAGCGCAACGAAGCGGCTCTGCATGTGTCTCATGTCCGGGAGGAAGCACGGGTCCGACCGCAGCAGGCCCACGTCGACCGAGTACGTGTACAGCTGCGCCAGGTCGCCAAACGCACCCCGCGCCTTGTCGTGCAGGCGTCTCTTGTATGACGGGATGTTGGTGGACGAGGAGGACGAGGACGAGGACCCTGCGGAGCGATGTTCTGGTGGGTGCCAGTAGCTGCAGTCAGCCACGCTAGATGATCGGCTAATCCGACGAGTGCGAGCCGGGCTGACGAGAGCGGCGTGTCCTCGTGTCTTGTCTGGCACAGAAATGTCGCCTGGCAAGGCCATATGTGGCGAGGCCAGCATCAGGTGTAGTTGATGCTGTGCTTCTTGTTGCGGTGCTGGCGGGGTCGGCAGTGACTGCCCTGGCTGTCGTGACTGAGGTAATGATCGTTGGCGGGTCGGCGGCATGTCGTGGTACCTGTTTTGGACCTGCTGTTCTATACCGAATGCAAACAAGGCGCGGTGATCGTCGAGGTTGTTACCAAAGTCATGGTCGCCAAGCATCTCGGAGGGGTCGCTAAATAGCTCGGCGTGGTCTAAGCCGCCGAAGAAGTCGCCTAGCTCGCTCGTGTCTGTCTTGTCGAGCGACGCTCCGGCATCATAGGCTGCAGGCGCGTTCTGCTGTTTCAGCTTCTCTCCTGGGTTATTCACGAGGACAGGACAAAGTCAGGAACAAGAGCTCTGCGGTGCTGGGATTTGGACGGTGTTCCGACTTGTGGGCCACTTACGATAGCGGCGCTGCGCCAGTCTGTTCTGCAACTTGCGGCGGTCCTCATAATTCGCGTTGCTGATGCCGTCCATCATTGCAGCGCGGCATGTCGCAGTCAGTCGAGCTGGGGGAGACGGGCTTGAGAGCAGTCGAATTCAGAAAGTATTCCATTATCGGGTTATATTCGATCGGCGTCGATGTTGCAGTTGTCACGTCGCACACATGAAGCGGCCGCGTCCTTGGCTGGCAGCAGGGGAGTATGCGAAGCCACAGGGTGGTATACGAAGCAGAAGGATCGAGAGGCCTGCAGCACGCTGTCCGCCTGGGCCCTGACGCGACGCGGATTTACTGATGGGAGGAGGGGGTGAGTCTGCTCCAAAAATTCCTGAGCTCGTTGTGAATTGTCCCGTTCGGTCAGTATATCTCCACTACGCGCAAAAATGCAGTCAATGAGGTGATTGCCGCGGCAGGGCTGCCGTCATAAAACCCCAGGCGGGCTGGCGTCAGTCAAGTCTGGGCAGGCCGCGCAGGGACCAGATGCAGATAAGACCGGGAAAGTGCGGAGACTACCTACAGTACGTTAGCGTAGCGTATGTGAGTGCCTCGAGGCACCCCCTAGGCATTGCACCTTCGTCCTTCCTTATTATGTGTGTAGGGCGTATGGATGTCTGGTGCGCCTGGCTAGGGGCCTCTGCGGATGTGTACAGGTGCAGATACGCGGCCAGGGTCGAAGCAGCTGAACATTGGGGCTGGCGTAGGGGAGCTGCTCCGGCAAAGAGTGGAGGGTGGCTCGGGCTCAGTCTCCAATCAAGGGACGTACTTAGTGTAAGGTAGTGGATGCAGTTGCAACAAGGCTTTGTTTCTCACTAGTAGAATACCTGGAGGACCAGGACTGCACCTGTGCCTTGTCGGAGACCCGTTCCTTCCACAGACCCCTCCAGGGGGGTGCCCAGGTGGCTTTTCAGGGTCCTAACCGTTGAGGCGGGGCAGCACCTGCCTTGGGGGACCCTGGGCAGCCACCCTTCCCTGGTCCAGCACCACGACCTCATCCATGTCCTCCTCGATGCCGCTCGTGTTATGCACCACCGACAACACAGTGTAGTCTGCAAACTCGGTCTTTATATTCTGTCGCATCAGTTCGGCCGTGTCGGTATCAACGCTGTAAACGGATGGGCAATCGATTCCACGTTAGCGATGCGGCCTGACGCGAGATCATTGTGGGGGAGGGGGTTCTATGTTATGATAAGGACGCGTCGCACACTTACCTGCTCGCGATCTCGTCGAGGATCAATATCTTCCACCCAGACTGCGGCTTCCGTCTGAGCAAGCGGCCCTTGACAACTGCCCGCGCCAGGCTCAAGAGCTGCATTTGGCCCTTGGACCAATTCGTCGGCACCAGTTCCGCATCGAGCCCCCCGCGCTCTTCGAGTGCCTTGCTGAGACCAACACTCGCCAACACTTCGTTCAGCATGGGCACATCAGAGCTTCCCTCGGCCGTGGCAGGGTCAAGCAGGTCGGGCCCAGAGCTGGAGAGGAGATTCTCTCTGATGGTCCGGGCCGGCAGGAAGAATGCCATCTGCGTCACCGCATTTAGCCGGCGCTGGACGAGGTCCGGATCCATGGTGGACAGGTCAGAGTCGCCGATGGTGATGGTTCCAGAGGAGATGGGGACGATACGGAACAGTGCCGAGAGCAGAGTAGACTTGCCGCTGCCGGATCTGCCCATGATCGCCGTCTTGGAGCCAGGACGGAATGTCAGTGTCACAGACGACAAGACTCTCGCGTGGCTGCTTGCTGAATGCCCGTCACTAGGCCCGCTATGGCTGATAATCCCCGCGCCAGTACTTTGATTCGCGTCCTTGGCCTCGACGGCATAGGCATCTTGCCCTGCCTCCCATGTCGCGGATACACTCTGAAAACGAATCTCGTCAGACTGGCGATGATGAGCTCCGCCTTCGAGCTCCAGGCTATCTGTGGGACCTTGTTGCCAGGCACTTGTCCGAGACGCAACCGAGTCCACGCCGCTTGCCACAGGAGTGTTTATTGAGAAGTCTCGAATTCTTGCCACCGCACCCAAAGACGTCTCCAGGGATGCCCAGTACCGGACAAGCGCAGTCAGGGATTGATTAAACGAAGTGAGGTTGACCAGAGCCACACCCATTGCGGCGCCAGAAATAGTCGTGTCGGGGGCCTCGGTGGCGACGACTATCAAAATTGTTGCGAGCAGGGCCACCAGCAGGTCCATTGTTAGAGCCAACCATCGCTGCACCGTGTAGAGAAGGTAGATCGGCCGCTGGGACATGTCCAGCCTGTGAAGGTGTTCGGCCTTGAGAAAGTCTCCAAATCCACGACCGAATGCGCGCATCGTCGGCATACCATGAACGGTGTCCTTGAAGTTGCTGTACAAGGGGGCCTTGGCTTCTATGTCTAGCAGACGAAGCTGCCGCGAAGTCCTCAGGTAGAACTTCTGCACGACATAGATGACAGCCAACACGAGAGGAATTGTGACGGCCATCAAGCGGATCGATACGGAGATGATGATGGCCTGCAAGGCGCACAGTGCCGCGAATATGACGGTGTTGAAGCCGGCAAGGGGCAGTGAGTAGTCAAGCATCTGCAGGTCCTGGTTGAAGCGGTTGAGCGTGACACCACTGTCCAAAGTCTTGAAGAATGCTGCCGGCGCGGCAAACACTGTCTGCACCAGAAGGGAGTGCAGACGCGTGCCCGAAGCGGTCGTCATGGTCACGAGCAGCAAGTGGGCGGCGACTCCCATACCCGCAAGACCCAGGATGCTCAACATAGCGTATATCCCAATGTAGTACCCGGTCGAGTGGACAGGGCTGTCCGCACGCGCTTCTGACCACCACTGGACCCAGATAGTGGAAAACTGGAAGCAGAAGGCACAAGCCAGACAGACGACCAGGAAGCTCACCGTGTTCAAGAGGCCGGCTGCTCTCGTGTAGAACGAGTAGATGCGCCAGTCTCCAGTCTTTCTCTTGAGGTCGGCCTTTGCTTCGAGTAGGCGAAGGTCTGCGTTTGTGGAGTCGTCGGTTCTGCCCTGCTCCTCCCTGACCGTGGTCGTGACAGGCAGCACAGTCATAGCCATGATCTTGTCGTCACTGGTCGTGACGGTCAGGCCACCGTGAGCATCCATCACGAAGACTTGATCCGCGACAGCGATGACGCTCGCTTTGGAGTTCATAATCAGCTTGAGTCTCCAAGACTAGCTTTAGAGCAGTGGGGATCTCACCAGAGTTTGAGGCGATCACGACAGTGGTTGAATTGCGCCGGAAGAGTCCGAGAGGACCCATGAGCTTTTGTACCACATGCTGCGCGGTAGCCGGATCAAGACCACTGAAAGGGTTGTCGAGCACCGCGATCTTTCTTCTTGCGAAAACCAAGCGAGCCAGAGCCTAAAGCACGAAAAGTTTAGTCGTCTTGGTGTTGTCACGAAATCACGTGGGTGCAGGCGCACTCACCACACGTTGACGTTGACCTCCACTCAGGTTCCCACCTTCGTTGCCGACTTCATGCATATCGCCGTCGGGCCAGATCTCCAAATCATGCTCGAGGCCACAGGCTGCCACGACCTCGCGATACCAGGAGTCCACGAGAGTGGCACCGCAGAGAATATTACGGCGCACAGTCCCCGAAAAGAGCCAGGGTGACTCAGCACAGAAGCCAACTTCTCCTCCCATTACCCAGCTATCACCGGCCGTGCGTTGGACCTCGCCCAGAAGACCGAGGAGAAGCGTGCTTTTCCCAGACGCAATGGGGCCTGTGACAGCGACGATCGAGCCTTGTGCGACACTGAAGCTCGCACCTCTGACTGCATCCTCCTGGGAAGGCCATGCATATGATGCTGACTTCGCGACAATGGCCATGCCGACCTTTTCATTCTCGGTGATTTCGTGCGCGTCTCTGCTGATCGGGTCAAAAGCATGTAGGCTTTGAGCAGGCTCTTTGCTTGATTCATCGGCTGTGGAGCATCGCGCCGACATCGATTTCTTCTCGTCTGTACTCCTGTCTCCTTTCGATGACGGGGCCTCAGGAACTTTCGCAAGCGCATCGAGCCGGTCGAGGGAAGACAGCCCTGCAGCAATGCTCGGTAGAGCTTGTACCACGACACCGAAGGGGCCAGCAATCAGGTTTACCAATGTAAGAGCAGTGAACGCTTCGGCCGCCAAAACCTGAGAGGAGCCCTGGGTGCTGACTACCACGGCGTAGAGACCTAGAGTTGCGAGTGGTCCAAGAACTAAGTAGAGTGTAAGCCAGATTTCCCCAAATTCGCTGATACTAGGCACAAGACTCTTACCTAGGGTTGCTTGGGCTGCAGAGGACAAGAGAGACGGTGAGCACGCTGATTAGTCCTTGCGCGCACGAGTTGAAAGTGTGACAGGATCTTACATATCACAAGTACCGCCATCATCAGCAGTCGAAACCAATGGGATTTGCGAATCTCTTGTGCCCGGAGATCCTTCATCGCTTGAGATGCTGCCAGTCCGATGCCGAGGCTGCGTACATCGCTCAGGCGATCCAGGACCGCTGTCGTGAACGAGATCCGGTCTTGGACTGCTTGGTTCCAATTTTTCTGAGCAGCACCGATCTTGCCCAGGAATGGAACAGTGATTAACAAGCAGACTTGCGAGATGAACGGTAAGCTACTCCGCCCGGAAATTCTCTTGTTCACATGGGGGCAGTTTGGAATCAATCTTACGCGTAGCCACGGTGATGGGTGATGCAGATGCCCAAGAGATCTGCGAAGCGAGAATGTATATCGCAATGGCGATCTGTACAAGGTTTGCCCAAACCTCATGGACGTCCTCGAGTCCGACCATTGCCTTTTCCACGTCGACTGTCATCAAGGTCAGGGGCGCCATGGCGTCGACGCGAGCTGCTCCGCCGGCACTTCTGGTCGTGCAAGAATAGATATAGCTGATCAACCTGGCGCGGATCTTGATCATGTAGCGATTGACCAGATGCCAATACAACGCGGACGATAACTACGGCGGTTCAAATGAGCAACAAGAATCAAGTGGCATGATTTCTCTTGGTGGTGCAATCATACCGCATAACCCACAAAGGTCAAGATGTATGCTGGAATCAGGAATTGACCGTGGACTTTGTTTCGCTCGTCACGGGGGATATTGGTGTAATTGATGGTCGTATGGACCAACCATGGCTGCGAAACGGTGAACCCAATCAGAGCGAGTCGAGGTATAATGGGAACGAGGAATGCTGCGCGCAAGTTGGCAAACAGTTGCCAGAGGAGCTTTGTATTCATCCTGGGACCGCCAAAGGCTTTGTCTGCAAGATCGACGTTAGCATCACACTGTGCGACGGAGCGGCAAGGGGTGGATCGCTCGACCTTGAAATCTCCCGATGCTCGAGCTCTGCAAATCGGCAGCGATGGGCATGAGCGTGTCGAGCGCAAGGAATGACCTGTGACCCTCGACGAAAAGTGTGGACAGCCATCCGAAGAAAATGCGACTCAGAGGCCCCGCGTATTCTTCCTTGCTGTAAGTTGCATCGGCATCGAGCACTTGGCGTTTCTCGATATTCTCCAGCACGAGAACGATGCATTTCAGGCTCAAATGGACGAGGTAAGCAATCGGTAAGGCCGCGGCCCCGAAAATCAGCCATAGCGTTCGCGCTGTTGCAAGGTTCAACAAGATGTGGATGGAAAGGAAGAGGGTGATCTGGTAGGAGGGTCGCGGCGATGAGGCATGTTGATGCCAAGATAATGCTCCGATGGTGCCAGCGGCGACGACGTCGAGGCTGGCAGCTGCGATTGCGAGCTCATAGCAGGAGATGAGACTTGTCGACAGCAGGACAAGGACGACGATCGCACAGGCGAAGAGCAATGCCGATGCCCCCTGAGGTTGAGTCAGAAACAAAATTCCGACACGTACACTCCCAGCTCGAATGACAAACTGCTCCAAACTTACAAGCTTCCACAGGCGGGACGAGCTAGGACGCTTCGCAATGACAGGACATCCTCTCAGGACAACGACTCGGTACAGAGCTGACGGGACAAACACGCAGAGCGGTAGGATCGAAAAGAAGACCAGTTCGAACAATAGAGTAAAGTCAACACCGCCCCGACATTGCGGGCCGGCCCATGGGCCCAACGAAGCGTCGACTGATGGCGGACACATCATGGCTGATGGCATTGCGAAAATGGGAGATGCAGAGGGCACGAAATCGCAGCGGCGCGGGTGACGATGGTTGCAAGGTCTCTAGAGCGAACCTCTCTGGACAACCAACAGAGCCGACAACCCACAGAGTCAACCACCAAGAGACTCAACGACCAACAGATCCAAGGGTGGACTGCAGAAGGGCAGGAGACCACGTCTGGCGAACATTGGCCGTGCCCAAAGGCAACCCCTGCGCAGGGTGAAGTTGCCGGGGGTCTGGTCTCCACAATAACGCACTGTAAGCTGACAATGCAGCCGTTTACAGTATGTACAGGGTTGCACGCGCTTGCTTGATACATACCCTTTTCATCGAAGGCCTGGTCCTGGTTCTACTGTCCCCGCTGCCAGGGGCCACCAGAGTAACGTCTGTTCGTGTGGTGCACAAAGGCACGCTCTGTACATGTTGTTTTCCATCTCGACACCCCCGCCGGCATATGCATCATCAGCTGATGGCGTAGACGTACGCAGGCCCCGTATGCTGCTTGCAATGTAGGACCTATTCGCCCACAGGTAGACAGGGTACCCTGATCACTACCTGCAAGGCATGATTATTCACCACCCGAATGCACTGTCCTGGGCTGGAGGGAGGACCCTGAATCTGCAGGGGTCCGATTTGGCATGCACAATGATGCTGGTTGGCGATCTCGCATTGCCCGAAACCGCACTTCGTAAGTTGAGCACTGTTTAGGACTCTGTCGAAGTCGATCGTCTTTGCAAAATCGTTCCAAGCAGGCATCGCGCTGCAACTTACCTTTGAGAGCCTGAGAACTTCTCACATGCCCAAACCTGTTTACAGCGTAGTCAAGAAATCTTCGAAACTGGTGAGTTGTGACTTCCCCGTAGATGATACTGATCTGTGATTGAGGAGCAGAAAAAACACCATTACGTCATGTCCGCGCACTCTGAATCTGCCAGCGGCCACTGGACTCGGCACGCCGTTGGCTCGGGAGCATGTTATTTTCCCCTTCGAAACGATGGAGTGCCAGGCGACGGGAGGCTTGAGGCCCTTTCGCTGCGCCTGGAGAAATTTCAGGATGGTGAGAAGAGCCAAAATCTGGAGTTTTCGCAGATTTGTTCTGCGTGGGCGCTTGTCCTTCCCCTCTTCGTGGGCCATGATAGTGCTGCCTTCATTGCTCTTCAAAGAGATGGCAATGGCAGGACCATGTCCCACATCGTTGTCAATACCTGTGATGCAGTCACAGTACAGGCTCTAGTCGCTTTGGTCGAAGACCAAAGACTCCAACACGCTCGCCAGATTACGACGGAGGAGGACGACGCTACACCCACCATCACCAGACTCCCCAGCAATACCCTTGTTTACACGAGCACCGCAGAGCTGGATTCGGCCGAGATCGAAAAGCTGAAGTCACAAGTAAGAGTTCGGGCAGAGGAAAGTATTATAGGAGATTTCTGACACCTCTGATAGTTTCAAATCGTTATTGGAGTGAGCAGCCTGGGCACTACAAGCGCTCAGGTAACCATATTCTACAACAACCACCACCTTTCCGCAGGTCAAGCAAGCTACCTGGCTCAGACTATGGAGTCATCATTGGAGATTGTCGTCAACCAAGCTTCGACGAAGACAAGAGAAGTCATTCTCTTGACCCGGCCGCAAAAACAGCAGCTCGAACTCTGGAACACGACGCCTCCGGAGCGAGTGCCTGCCTGTTTTCACGACCAATTCCTCAAGGCGGTCAAATCACACCCTAACAACTCCGCGGTCGACGCTTGGGACGGCCACTTCACCTATCTAGAGCTAGAGAGAGCGTCGAGGGCACTGGCTATGCACCTTCAGGCTGCGGGCGTGGGACTTGGAGCTCGTGTTCTGGTCTGCGCAGAAAAGTCCAAGATGACCCCTGTCGCCTGGCTCGCAGTCCTGAGAGCTGGCGCCACCTTGATTCCCGTCGAGATGCTTCTGCCACTAGCCCGGCTGAAGCAGATTGTGCAGGCCGCGGGTGTTGTCGCGGTGCTTTCCACCCCGAAGTACTTGCCGACTGCACAGGAACTCAGTGCGAATGTCTGTGTGGTCGATAACGAGCATATTGATTTGGACCACGCCCCGTCACCATCTGTCGAGTTTCCCACGGCTGGTCCAGATGATACGGCATTCATTATGTTCACGTCCGGCTCCACAGGTGTACCCAAGGGCATCGCCACTACCCACGGGGCATTTTGCTCATCGCTGTTGAAATTGACCAGTTTGCTTACCGCCACTAGGGTACTGCAGTTCACGTCGTACAGCTTCACTCCCGCCTTGTACGAGATCTTGCTGCCTCTCATACCACACTACGTCGCCTGCATCTGCATTCCATCAGACCACTCGCGAATGAACGATTTGGAGAGGTACATTCGCGATTCAGAGGTCGACATGGCCATCATGGTGCCGTCTCTGCTACGAGCTCTCAGGCCAGAAGAAATGGATTGCCTCAAGCTTCTTGTCCTCGTTGGCGAACCAATGGGCCCCTCCGAAGTCGCTCGGTGGACGCCTCACGTCAAGTTACTCTATAGCTACGCCAGTTCTGAAAACGGACTGGTCACTGCCAACGGCCGCCTAGCAGAGTTGAGCGACGTCCGCAACATTGGCTACGGATTCGGCGACTGCTGGATTGTCGATCCCCAGGATCACAACGTACTCCTCCCTATTGGAGCTGTGGGCGAGCTGCTCGTCTACAGCCCTTGCACTGCCTCCGAGTACATCAACCAGCCAGAAAGGACAAGGGAGACATGGCCCAGAAGTGCTTCCTGGATGACGAGCCCCCGAGCGGACTGCCGATTTTGCCGCACGGGCGACCTCATGTACTTCAACTCCGATGGCAGTCTGAGCTACGTGGGTCGCAAAGACACGATGATCAAGATCCGTGGTCAACGGATCGAGGTGTCTGAGATATCCAGAGCCATTATCGCACAGGAGGGAATCGAGGCAGCGGTGGTAATCTCGCCAGGCCGAGGGCGTTGTGCAGGCACGGTCACGGCTGTGTTGAAGCTCAGCGGCGACCTGCCCTGTGGAGAAGACGAGCTCTTGCAGATGGATAAATTGCGAGCCGTGTCTGGTGCTCTTTGTACCGCGACAGTGGCAAGACTGACTGAGAGTCTGGCCAGTTCTCTCCCGGAGTACATGGTCCCTACAAGGTGGATTACAGTCGATAAAATTCCTCTCACAATCACTGGAAAGCCGGACCGTATGACGATCACGGCATGTGTGGACGACATCAACGACAGCATCTTTGAGCGACTTTTCCAGTCTGCCGAGACTTCAGCCGCCACGAGTGAGGACCAGCGTTCGCTGACTCCGACGGAGAAACAACTTGTCGCGATCTGGGCCGAAACCCTCCGGCGCAGTGAGCTTGATATCAAGCCGCACGACTCATTTATAGCCAATGGTGGAGACTCGATATCTGCAATCACGGTCACCAAGCTTTGTCGAGCACAGAATCTGCTCCTGACAGTCCGCGATGTACTTGGCAGCAAGTCTCTGTTCGAAATGGTTGAGCTTGTCAAGGAGGTTGGCGTACAGGCCGCCGCATCAGAACAGGTCTCAACCTCAGCCATACTGTCTCCCCATAGATTTGCACCGGCTGAAGACCAGCAAGACTACAACACGGTCAGCGTGGCGCCCTGTTCCCCGATGCAGGAGTCGATTCTGCTCAGTCAGTCGCAGCTGCACGATAGCTACCAGTGCTCTTTCATCTTCAAGGTGTCTGCGAAGTTCGCAGTGGACCTTGAACAATTCAAAAGCTCCTGGCAAATGGTCGTGGACCGCCATTCGATCCTGCGCACCGTCTTCATTGAGAGCAAGACTAGGATAGGCACTATGGATCAAGCAATACTGCGTCATCACAAAGCCAACATCTCTACATTCAACCTGCTGCGGTCACGTGTGGATCCTCTGACAATCCTGCACAGCCATCAGGTTATTTACAATGAGAGCGAGCCACCACACGCCATGACGTTTTGCCAGACTGGCAAGAAAGAAGTCGTCCTTAAGCTCGACATATCGCATCTCATCTTTGATGGCTTTTCCCTGCAAATCATTGTGCGCGACCTCGTTCTGGCACTGGGCGGCCACCTCGAGGTCCAAGGCGCTCCAGACTTTATCGACTATGTGGACCTGGTAGCAAAGATTGACACTGCCGAGTCAACTACATTCTGGCGCAATGCCCTCTCGGACTTCGAGCCTTGCCGGATTGGGCGTCTGAACTTCGCACCCAACGACGCTGAGGATGAGTGGGATGAAGACAATTGCCTCCTTCAGATATCAGAAGGGATCCCACAAGTCGCTGAAATAGGTCAGTTTGCCAGAGAGCGGGGAGTGACCGTCTCTGGTGTGCTTCAGCTCGCGTGGGCGGTTGTCCTGCGGCAGCTTATGAACCGCGATGACGTGGCTTTTGGCCTGCTCATGTCTGGCAGAGATGCTCCATTGCCAGGTGTTGAGGACATGGTTGGCCCTCTGATCAACACCATCACCTGCCGAGCGAACCTAGCCGGAGACAACCTGACAGTGTTGGAGGCGCTTAAAAGCCAGCAGACAGCGCTCCTGGACAACTTGGACCACCAATATGTGTCCCTCGGTCGGGTGCAGAACGCACTCGGAGTTAAAGAGAACCTCTTCACGACGTCCATGTCGGTCCTCACCGTACCTGACGCTTTCACGTCTGCTGCAGCGGCGATTGGATTCAACGCGGAGCTCATTCAACATCGCCAGCCGACCGAGTTTGAAATCACAATCAACCTGCAAGTGTCTGAGAGCAAGATCAATGTACAAATGGACTACTGGAGCAGCCATATTCCCACCGAGAATGCGGAGAGCATCATGGCCAGCTACTTGAAGACGATCCAGTCCATCGTGTGCAGTTCGCCATCGACCACCATCAGAAACCTAGACATCATTGGCGACAAGGATCTCGAGCAAATAACTCAGTGGACCCAGGCGACGATGAGGCCACCCATCGAAGGGACTGTGCACGAATTGTTTCGTACACGGGCACGGCAGCAGCCGACCTCAGAGGCCCTGTGCTCTGACCAAGGGTCTTTCACGTACCAGGAGCTCGACGCAATGACAGATCTGGTCGCGACTCGAATCCTCCAGCAGTTGTCCAAAGTCGATGGAGATAGCAAGTACGTCCTGGTCTGCGCAGAGAAGTCCGTCTGGACTGTCGTTGCGCTACTCGCTGTGCTCAAAGCTGGCTGCGCCTGTGTTCCTTTGGATCCTTCGCATCCAGTCCAGAGACTCCAGCACATCAAAAGCCAGTGCGATGCCAAGCTGCTGCTGGTTTCAGATGCGACCAGCCACTTGGGTAACGTACTGGCTCTCGAGACCCTACCGGTTGATCAGAGGCTCGTTGAGGACTCACAGGGCGAAAAGAACTCTGGCGTCCTTCGGCCAGGAAGTCCCGAAGACGATGCATACGTGATATTCACGTCTGGATCGACCGGAGTTCCCAAGGGCATCATGCTCCAGCACAGAGCTCTGAGGTCTAGCATCGAGCGCCACATAGGGCCGATGGGCTTCGAGCCGGGCTGCCGAGTGCTGCAGTTTGCTGCATACGTCTTTGACCTGAGCGTTGCCGAGATCTTCACCACCTTGTGTGTTGGAGGGACCGTGTGCGTGCCGTCGGACGAGCAGCGGATGGACGGCCTCGTCGACTTTATCAACAAGTACGATGTCAGCTGGGTGTGGTTCACACCGTCGTTTGTGCGGACTCTCCAGCCCAGCCAAGTTCCGTCGATCAAGACCATGGTCGTCGGCGGTGAGCGTATGACGGAGGACGTGATACGCACATGGGCGCCCAGTCTCCAGCTCCTGCAGGGTTACGGTCCTGCAGAGACGGCTGTCTTCATGTCCAGGGCGGCGTACTCGAGAAGCCCGAGCTTCGAGAACCTGGACAAGTCGAACGTCGACCGCGCATACGGCTCGGCTATGATCATCGCCGACGTCCACAATCCCAACAAGCCCGTGCCGATCGGAGGTGTTGGCGAGATCATCATCACCGGCCCAATCCTGGCGAGGGGTTACATCGGTAACAAAGAAATGTCTTCGTACTCGTTTGTAAAGGGCCTGAAGCTCCCTGGTGGCACGCCGGACCAGCAGTACTACCGATCTGGAGATCTTGGCCGTCTCAATGCTGACGGGACCGTTTCTTTCGTCGGCCGCAAGGATGCACAGGTCAAACTGCGCGGCCTGCGTATTGAGCTCGGCGAGATCGAATCTGTCCTCGGCGTCACTGCTGCAGTATTGCTACCCTCAGAGGGACCTGGCAAGAACCAGATCGTTGCCGTGCTCGCCCTTGACGATGTGCTTTCGGCCACGGCCGGGCTAGTTCTTGCTAATGGGGATGTCTCCCAACGAGCGGCACAGAAGATTGAGGAGCTGAGGGACAGCATTGCCACCAAGCTCGCCTCATACATGATGCCTTCAGTGTGGATCGTGCTCAAAGCCCTCCCGATAATGAGTTCGGGAAAACTGGATCGTGGTCGCCTGAGTCGCTGGCTCTCGACAATGGACGAGAGCACGTACACAGATATTGTGCAGGGCTCGGAGAAGTCAGAGGGCTTCCGAGAACAGTACTCTGTCGCCAGCCCCCAGGAGCTGATCCTCCTTCAAGCTGTAGCAGACACGCTGAACAAGCCTCTAGAGGGTGGCCGCATCAGTCTCCGGGCGTCCTTTCTTGCTGCTGGGGGTGATTCTATATCGTCCATGCAGCTTTCGGCACGTTGCCTTGGTCTAGGCTATCGTCTCAGATCTCGTGATATCCTCCAAGCCAAATCCCTGACAGCGCTCGCGGGTCTGATGAAACCGTTGGCGCCAGCCATCGCCCCCGTGGAGGATCTGCTTGAGCAGAACCACGATCTCCCATTCACTCTTGGCCCCATTCAGCAGAAACACTTTCTTTCGAACCCAGACGGCCATCAACACTTCAACCAGCCCTGCATTTTTGAGATTACCAGGGACTGCAGCCCACAGTCGATGGAGGAAGCTCTCCGAGGAGTAGTCAAGCACCACGGCATGCTGCGCACGACATACCAGAAGATCGGGAAGACATGGCATCAACGAACTGCACCAAAGGAGCAGGCCGACAAGTTCCTCATATTCGAACAGCATCGCAAAACCACATTCGATGAGGTTCTGGACGTCCTCAAGATGGATCAGCTGAGGACTGATTTCTTGGGTGGGCCACTGCTCGTTGCCTCCATGGTCACTACCACTGACTCTGGGACAATGCTTGTGCTGACTTGCCATCACCTGGTGGTCGATATCGTCAGCTGGAGCATCATCATGCACGACATGGGAGATCTACTGGAGGGTCGGCAGTTGTTGCCAGCCACCATGCCTTTTCCACAGTTCATCAAGTGGCAGCAGGATCACGCTCAATCAGTTCCTGAGTCGAGATCGGCGACACCCGAGAGGTCCAAGGACGACTCTGAGAAAGCCAGAAAGTACTGGAACTTCACTGAACAGAGTAATGTCTACCGTGACGAGGAGCATTCGACTTTCCAGCTATCTGCACAATCCACCGAGAGTCTGATGAGCATCGCATCCGGCGGCACAAGATATGAGCCAATGGATGCCATCTTGGCAGCCCTGCTACACTCTTTTTGCAGTGTGTTCCCTGACCGAGCTGCGCCTTCAGTTCATCTTGAAAGTCACGGACGCCAGACTGGGGACGAGGAAGATGCAGACGTTTCCAGGACTGTGGGGTGGTTTACAACAATAGCCAACATGGCTGCCAATGTGTCACCAGGAACCGGCTTACTGGACGCGCTCAAGTCTGTGAAGACAGCTCGGCATGCCATGGCCGAGAACGGATCAACTGGGTTTATCCAGACATACGGTTGCCATGATGGCGAGGACTGCCCGGTGGCCGCTGATGACACCATAGAGCTGCTCTTCAATTTCCTCGGAGAGCAGCAGAACTCTGGACATGGCAATGCATTATTCAGATCCGTCCACTACGAGGGCGCTGCCATGGTGGGTTTTGGGCCAGACTTGGCCCGGACAGCACTCATCGAGATCAATGCGCTGGTCCACGACGGATCTCTGCTGGTTAGCACGGGGTTCCATAAGGCACTCAGGGCGACAATGGGTTCGATACCACAATGGATGGACTCGTTTCAACAGAGTCTCAGCAACCTCGCCGGACTGGTCGCCAACATCTCTCCGTTCTTTACAACTTCAGACTTCCCTCTATCGAGCTTGTCACAGGCCGACCTGGACATATTGATGGCAGACTGCATCGCATCAGGTGTCAAGCTCCACGAAATCGAGGACGTGTACCCATGCACCCCAATGCAACAGGGGCTTCTCATCAGCCAGCAGAAGTCTCCCGAGCAATATGTCGTCGAGGCCATTACCAAGCTGTCCAGCCGCAACGGTGAACACATCGACATCAACCGACTCGCGGCTGCATGGGATCTCGTGGTACAGCGCCATCCCATCTTACGAACCATCTTCGTGCAGACTGCGAGCGCAGAATTGTTTTGCCAGGTTGTGCTCAAAAAGGTACCGTCTGCTGTCAACTTGTTGCGGGATGTTCCCACGGACACGGCACATGATGGTCGCAGCCCTGCGGCGCTCTGGGCAGGGACTCGGTACCATTCTTTCACGTCGCCTTGGGTCATGACACTGGCGAGGAGCGAGTCCGGACAGGAGGTTGATTTCTGCCTCAAGATCAACCACGCCATCAACGACGCTCACTCGATGTCTCAGGTCACGCGTGAGCTTGTCCAGATCTACCATGGGGAAAAGGCCGGCCACTCTCTTGCACCAGTTTCTGGGTACGCCGAGTATGTCCGTTTCCTCCAGCAGCAAGACGTGCACGCCACCCTCGATCACTGGTCCAAGTACCTGGACGGCATCACCCCTTGCCACTTCCCCGTCCTCGAGCACAGCAGCAGCAACGCCGAGCTCGATCGGACACAACATGGCTCGCGAACCATTATCCGGTCTCTCCAAGAACATCGTGAACAAGCCCAGCGGTTCTGCACCGAAAACGAGACGACCTTGTCGACCATCTTCCAGGTCGTTTGGTCGGTCGTCCTGGCTCAGTTCACGGGCACAGACGCCGTCTGCTTCGGCTATCTGAATTCTGGGCGCGACATTGAGCTCCGAGATGCTCAAGACCCCCACGACATATGCGGGCCTCTGATCAATACACTGGTCTTCAGGGCCAATGTAGACCCCAGCCAGACAGTCGCGGCTGCGATAGAGCAAGCGCAGCGTGATCACTTTGACAACTTGCCGCACCAGCACGCCTCGCTGGCGATGCTGCAGCAGCGGCTGGGTCTTTCTGGCCGTGCGCTGTTCAACACGGCTGTCTCCTTTGCGCGTTTCAAGGACGACAGTTACGGACTGGACCCCTCGTCGGTCCTCGTGCCCAGCTTGAAATTCATGTACGACCCGACTGAATACCTGTGCTCGTTGAACGTGGAGTCGAGCGACACGACACTCGGATTCGCATTCAACTATCAGTACGAGTCGATGCCGTCGTCTCTGGCAGAGCATGTTGCAGAAGCCGTCGAGACCATCTTCTCGTCCATCATTTCTGGCAGCCCGAGCGGCCTCTCTGCCGAAGACCAGGGCGGACAGACTCTGGGCGAGATCAGCCTCGTGGGCGCCTCGAGCATGCAGCAGCTCAACAAGTGGAACTCGCCAGAGCTTCCTCCAGCCGTCGAACGCTGCGTGCACGATATTGTGGAGGACATGGTCGCCTCGCAGCCCGACCACCCTGCGGTCTGCTCGTGGGATCTGGAGCTGACTTACAAGCAGCTGGACGACCTGGCCAACGACCTGGCACGCCGCCTGCGAGCATGCGGCGTGGGACCCGAGGTTCTGGTGCCCTTGTGTTTTGACAAGAGCGGCTGGCACGCGGTCGCCATGCTGGCCATCATCAAGGCGGGTGGTGCTTGCGTCCCGATGGACCCGTCACACCCTGCAAGCCGACTGACCGAGGTTGTGACCACTGTCGAGGCCAGAGTGATGCTCGTCTCCCATCAGCATGCCGCACTCTTCCGGCCTCTCGTGGACGTGCTTGTGGTCACGGGCCCAGCTGGCGGCTTTGAGATCACGGGAGCAGCAGCTGGGCCGTCTCGAGCTGCGGTTGGCACTCGCCCTGTCGAGCCGCACCATCTGGCCTCTGTCGTCTTCACATCTGGAAGCACGGGCAAGCCAAAGGGGATCATGTTGCACCACTCTGCGCTGGCGTCGGCCGCGGTGGCCTACGGGGAGATGGACAAGATCGGCCAGCACTCGCGCGTGCTCCAGTTTGCGGCCTACATGTTCGACATGAGCGTCGGCGACCACTTTACGACGTTGATGCGCGGCGGCACCATCTGCGTGCCCTCGGAGCACGAGCGTGTCAACGACCTCGCCGGCGCGATCGCAAAGTACCGCGCCAACTGGGCCTTCCTCACCCCGAGCGTCGCCAGCGTCCTCGAGCCCCGCGATATTGCCGGCATGCACTTCATCGCCCTCGGCGGCGAGCGTGTCCCGAGCGAGACAGTCCGGCGCCTGGCCGCACACACCTGCCTGTCCGTCACGTACGGCCCGGCCGAGACGTCGATGACCATGGCCGGCAACATTGGCATCGACGCAGACGCCAACCCGGCAAACTTTGGCCACCAGGTCGGCACCTACATGTGGCTCGTCGACCCCCATGACTACAACCGCCTCGTCCCCGTCGGCGCCGTTGGCGAGATCCTCATCGAGGGGCCCCCCGTCGCCAGGGGCTATCTCAACGACTCAGACAAGACCGCCGCCGCCTTCGTCACGGACCCTGCCTTCCTCTCTCGGGCCACACCCCAAGGCCATGCTGGTGGTGCGCCGCGCAGGATGTACCTCTCCGGCGACCTCGGCCGGTACAACGCGGACGGCTCCGTGTCCTTTGTCGCCCGCAAGGACAACCAGGTCAAGGTCCGAGGCAACCGGACCGAACTCGGCGAGGTCGAAGCACACCTGTGGAACCACCCTGCCGTCCGCCACGGCCTGGCTGTCATGCCGACCTCGGGGCCTCTGGCAAATCGCATCGTGGCAGTCTTGTCCATGCGTAGTTCTCAGACTGCCTCGGCAACGAAGCGGCCTCTGTCGGGGCTGGACCTGCTCTCGCGGGAGATGAGGGCAGATGTCCAGGCCGAGATCGAGCAGGTCAAGAACGTGGTCATGAACAAACTCCCCTCCTACATGGTCCCCGCACGCTGGCTGGTGGTCCAGAAGGTGCCGCTCAACACCTCTGGCAAGATAGATCGCAACAGAATTCGCGACTGGGTGGAGGCATTGGAGGAGTCCGCCCTGGAAGAGCATCTGGCGCTGGACACTGCTCCAGCCGTGTCCGAGGGCGATCTCACGGACATGGAAAAACGCATTCGCGACACAGTTGCCCATGTGCTGAACAAAGAAGGCGACGTGTCCATCTCCAGGTCCTTTGTGAGTCTTGGTGGCGATTCCCTGACTGCGATGCAGGCAGTCTCGTACATCCGGAGGCACGGAATCTCCATCTCCGTACAGGACATCCTGCAAAGCCCAAGTCTCTCAGAGCTCGCAAGGTCGGCGAAGACACTAGCCAGCTTGGACAGTGCCAAGATCGGTATCCCAGAGGAGGTCGAGGACCAATACTTTGATCTCTCCCCCATCCAGCAACAGTTCTTCCGCTTGATGCCAAATGGCACACAACGATACAACCAGAGCTTCGTGGTTCAGGTGACAAAACAAGTGGCTGAGTCCAGCTTGTCAGAAGCCCTGGAAGCAATAGCCAAACGACACTCCATGCTTCGGGCAGTGTTCCAGCAGGAAGCTGGAGGCCAATGGCGGCAAAAGGTCCGCCGTATGGCTGGCTCAGCTCGCGATCGTTTCTTCCACATCCGCACACACCATCGCGAAGCCGGCGCCTCGTCGCTCTCGTCCTTTGTTGCCGACATCCTCGCCAGATCCGACTTTGACATCTCCAATGGTCCACTGTTCAGTGCACACCTGATCGACACCCGTGCCCGGGACGGTACTGCGGAAAACGACCAGCACATCGTCCTCGTCGCGTCACATCTCATAGTTGACTTGGTGTCCTGGAGAGTGATTCTCGGGGATCTTGAGGACTTGCTGTTGAAGAGAAACTTCAATGGTCGTGAGGCTGGACCGCTATCCTTCCAATCATGGCTCAATCTCCAAAGCAAATACAGCGCCCTTAATCACCTTCCCTCCAAGGCGCTGGGCGTGGCTGCGGCGCCTGGCCTGCCAGACTATTCATTCTGGGGAATGCAAAACACCGACAATCGGATAGGGGATTCGACGACGCTGTCCTTCAAGCTGGATGCTTCGACCACCACTGCCGTCCTCGGGGATGCTAATGACGCTTTCGCTTCTGAGGCGGTCGACCTGATGATCGCTGCAGTGCACCATGCCTTTTCCAGCATTTTCCCGGAACGCGAGTCCGCAACTACTTACATTGAGGGTCACGGGAGGGAGAGCTGGGATTCATCCATCGACCTCACCAACACCGTCGGCTGGTTCACCACCATCGCGCCAGTCAGCGCAGCCAACAGCAAGGACGGTGCAGCTGACCCTTTGTCCACGATCGTAGACATCAAGGACTCGAGGCGCTCGCTCGACAGCAACGGCTGGGCGTTCTTCTGTTCGCAATATCTCAACGAAGAGGGCCGCAAGCAGTTTGACAAGCTGCGTTGGCCCGAGATTCTCTTCAACTACACGGGCAAGTATCAGCAGCTCGAGAGACAAGACGCTCTGTTCCGCAGGCCCAGTGGGGTCGACGTGGCGGATCTGGAGCAGCACAACTATTCCGGGGACGCCGTCCGGACTGGACTGATTGATGTCCTCGTCGTTGCCGACGCGCACTGCCTTGAATTCACGTTCATATGGAACAAGAACATGAAGCACCAAACTCGCATTCAAGCCTTTGTCGCGCAGTGTCAACGCGTATTGGAGCAGATGGCCAGGGTCCTGCCTTCGCTCCCAAGACGTCTAACACGGTCGGACATGCCACTGATGGCGCCACCGCTCACTCAAGAGGACCTCTCCCGAGTCGAGAGCCAGCTGGCGCGCAGAGGCGTGCACGACGTCGGCGTGGCACAAGAGGTCTATCCGCTCTCCAAGGTGCAAGAGGGCATGCTGCTATCGCAACAAAAGGGCCAAGACGCGTACATGTTCTTCACCGTCATCCAGATCACGACCGCTTCGTCCGCACAGGCGCATCAGGGTGCGAGGCTGCTCCAAGCCTGGCGCAGCGTGGTCCAGCACCATCCCATGTTGAGGACTGTTTTCCTGGACGGCGAGACTGTTGGTGGCGGTTACAACCAGGTCACACTCAAGACTACCGATATTGAGACTGAACATGTCCACGTCGCCAGTGTGTCCCAAGCGATTGCGAAGCTAGACTCTGCCGGAAGCTCGATAGACTTCCGCGCGGCACTGCCCCCTCATCGCTTCACGCTCTGCACGACCGACGAAGACGCCATGTTTCTCAAACTCGAGATGGACCACAAAATCATCGATGGGTTCAGCTTCGGCGTCCTGCTCCAAGACCTCTCCCTTGCATATGATGGTCGGCTCGCTGGTGATGGCCGCCCTGCTCCGGCCTACAGTAACTACGTCTCGTTTGTCAACCAGCAACACGCCGAGAGCAGCGCGCACATCCGGCACTGGCAGGAGTACCTCCAGGGTGCTGCTCCTTGCTATTTCCCCGCGCTCCTGGATGGCAAGCCGGACCCGGCAGCTAAGGGACAGTCCACGGCCCATGTAGATGTCGACCTCGGCTTCTCCGAGCTCGAAGAGTTCTGCATGAAGCGGGGAATCACCGTCTTCACGCTTCTTCAGGTCAGCTGGGCTCTCGTCTTGCGTGAATTCACAGGTTCCGACCAGGTCTGCTTTGGCTTCCTCGCTGCTGGCCGCGACGCCCCGGTCGAGGGCATCGAAAGGCTCATTGGTCCCGTCATAAACATGATGACTTGCTACCTAGACTTCTCCGGCGCCGAGCAAGTCGACGCGCTGCTCCAGACGACACAGAAGCAGTGGCTGGCCAACATGGAGCACCGCCACGTCGCACTAGCCGACATCCATCACGCCCTGGGCCTTTCCAGCGAGACCGCACTGTTCAACACGATCTTGTCACTGCAGAAGGCGAAGGACTCTAGCCTAGTGACCGCCCTGGGCGGCTCGAGCGGCTCCATCCTCGAGACCGCGCGCCGTGTTGCGGGGACGGATCCCACGGAGTACGCCATTGCCGTGGACATTACAACATCGGCGTCGGCGATAGAGATTGAGCTCTCCACGCAGAACAGCCTCGTCTCCCCTGCCATGGCGGAGAACGTTGCGTCCAACTTTGCCGAGGCCATTAGGGCCGTGATACGGGCCGAGAGCAGCACGCGCCCTGGCGACTTGGCCGTGCTCTCGCCACGCAATATCGAAGCCATCCACGGATGGAACAAGGTTGCCGGCGACAACGGCCGCTCAGGCTTGGGCACCATTATTGTGGATGCCTGCATCCACGACCTCGTCAGTGCTCGGGCAGCGCTCACGCCGAACAAGGAGGCTGTCGTGGGATGGGACGGCAGTTTCACTTACGCCGAGCTGGACGAGATGGCCGATCAGCTTGCAGCGCATCTCATCAGTCAAGCTGAGCGCGTGGCCGACACAAACACCGTGGCCCTTGAAGCGGGCTCGATCATTCCGTTCTGTTTCGAGAAGTCGGTGTGGACTGTCGTCGCGCTGCTGGCTGTACTAAAGACGGGCCGGGCCTGCGCAGCCCTCAACCCGGAGTACCCCGACGACCGACTGCGGAGCATCGTCGATGCCACCCGATCCAACCTGATCATCTCCTCGCCCACTCAGGCGGGCCGTATGAAGAGGCTTGCCGGACAGGTTGTCGCAGTCTCTCCTGCGACACTAGGCCAGCTGCCGAAACGTTCTCGCGAGGAGGTCGCAGCGGCGCTGGAGACGGAAAGGAGCAGACCTCACAGAACATTGTCTCCCGCCTTCATCATGTTTACGTCGGGAAGCACGGGAACTCCCAAGGGCGTCATCATCGAGCACAAGGCCCTGGCGACTTCTTCCCGAGCCCACGGCCGCGCTCAGCACGTTCACGAGTCAACCAGGGCGATCCAGTTTGCGTCGTACACATACGACGTCAGCGTCGAGGAGATCTTCACTACTCTTCAGCGCGGCGGCACCGTCTGTGTGCCTTCTGACGCCGAGCGTGCGGACAACATCGGGGGAGCCATTGCTCGGTATGGGGCGACCTGGGGCGACCTCACGCCGACGGTCGTTTCTCTGATCCAGCCTGACACGGTGCCATCGCTCAAGACGATCTGCCTTGGCGGCGAGCCGGTGCGGCAGGACGTGGTCGACACCTGGGCTGGACGGGTCGAGCTCATCAACGGGTACGGGCCGGCAGAGGCCAGTGTGGCCTGCGTCGTCTCCGTCGAGGACCTGGGCAAGCCCGGTGTAGATCCCGCCGACATTGGAGTCGGTGTCGGATGTAGCACCTGGGTGGCCGATCCCAGAGACCACAACAAGCTGGCCCCTGTTGGTGTTATTGGGGAGCTTCTCATCGAGGGTCCCGTCCTGTCCCGTGGCTATCTGGGCGACGCGGACAAGACTGCCGCGTCCTTTGTCACCGACCCGAGCTGGGCTCCGAGAGCGATGCGGGCGTACCGTACTGGAGACCTCGTGCGCTATACGTCTCGTGGCACCTTGGTGTTCGTCGGCCGCAAGGATTCGCAGATCAAGATCCGCGGGCAGCGTGTCGAGCTGGGCGATGTCGAGTGGAACCTGTCTTCGTGCCCGTCCTTGAATGGCGTTCTGGTATCGTTCCCAAAGAAGGGCAGCTGTGCTGGGCAGCTTGTTGCCGTGGTGGCGCTGCAGAAGGCCACTGCGGACTCGCCATCCGAGAGTCCAGACGCTGTGACCGGCTGTGCCAACGCAGTGACACTGGTACCGCCATCTGATCGAACGTCCTCCGCGCTCGCCAAGGCAACCGACTGGCTCTCGAGCCGCCTCCCGGACCACATGATCCCCCGCGTGTGGGCGTTTGTCGAAAACTTGCCGACCACAATGTCTGGAAAGCTGGACCGCAAGGCTGTCGACACATGGCTCAACGCCAGTGACGAAGCACTCCTCCGGCAGCTCAAGGACTTTGACAACCACAGCATCGGCACGGCACCAGTGGCAAACGCAGCAGAGCGAAAACTTCAGGCCATGTGCGCCGAGGTCCTCAACCAGCCCATCAGCGAAATGCATCTCGCACGGTCCTTTACCAGGCTCGGCGGCGACTCAATCTCCGCCATGCGTCTCGCGTCCCACGCCCGAGCCAACGGGCTCGTCATCTCTGTTCAGAGCATTCTTCGCGCGAAGACGCTGGCTGCCATTGCCGCGAGCGCTCATGCCGCCACGTCCACATCACAGAACAAACAGCTATCGCAGTTTGTGGACCAGGCGGACGTGGCTTTCCCGCTTACACCGATGCAAGAACTACACTTTCGTCTCTATCCAGGCGGCGAGAATCATTATAACCAGAGCTTCGCCGTCTCCCTCGAAGCTCCAGTCTCCGAAAATGAGTTGTACAATGCTCTGCGCGTGCTCGTGCAGAAGCATTCCATGTTGAGGGCTCGATTTCAGAAGAAGACCGGCGAAAACATGTGGCAGCAATACATCACCAGCAATGTGACGGAGTCTTTCCGCCTCGAGACACACACAGTGGACACGATGGCCTCCATGGGGCCATTCTGCCAGAGGGCTCAGGAATCTCTGGACCTGCAGACGGGGCCCCTATTCTGCGGCGTGCTGTTCAACGCCGCGAACGACGGGAGCCAGTGCCTGTTCTTGGTTGCCCATCATCTTGTCACGGATCTCGTGTCGTGGCGAGTACTATTGCACGACCTGGAACTGACTCTGTACAAGAACGAAGGGGTGCCTGGAGGAAGCGTGTTATCTTTCCAGGCCTGGAGCCGTCTTTCCCTGGCTCATCGGCAACCAAAGCAGGCTGTGCAGACCAAACAGCCGTCGTTGCCGGTCTTCGACTACGGGACCTTCTGGGACTTGGTGCCGGAGGGGCACACTTTCACAAACTGCAAGATTTCTGGATTCTCCCTGGCCGAAGACCGGACAGCGGCTTTCCTCAGATTTGCTGACAATTCCTTCGGAGTTGAAGCAATTGATATCCTGCTCGGGAGCTTGATATTTTCTTTCAGGGAGACATTTGCAGATCGCCCCAGCCCGATCGTGTTCAGCGAAGGTCACGGACGTGAAAGCTGGGACGATAATGTCGATCCGTCAGAGACTGTTGGATGGTTCACCATTCTCGTTGCGGTATGCGTGGATTCGGAGGGTGCCAACCTTAGTCTCGTCAAGACAATCCTGCGAGCAAAGGACGTCCGCAAGAGAATCGAACCGCAACGGCTGCGCCATTTCTCGACTTTGCTTGACACTCAACTCGCCGAGAGGCCCATCGTCGAGGTTCTTTTCAACTACCTCGGCCGATTCCAGGAACTGGAACGTGGGGAGTCCATGCTCAAACCGCTAGCCCGCGCACAGCAGGCCTGGACAGACGTGAATCTGCAAGCGAAGCGGGACTCAATCTTCGACATCGAAGCCAGCGTTGCCGACGACTGTTTGAGCGTACGATTCACCTACGACAAGGACCTGCCACGGCAAAACCTTGTGGCTAAGTGGATCGAGCAATATGAAGCGAATCTTGAGCGCGTCATTGTCGAGCTCGAGCAGCAATCCGCGTCACCAACTCTGAGCGACTTCCTGTTGCTCAAGATGAATCACGCCGAGTTTGACAATCTTGTTGAGCAGGTCTTGCCACGTCTGGGTGTAACTGATGTGGCGAATATCGAGAACATCTTCCCCTGCAGTCCGGTTCAAGAGGGAATGCTTCTCTCGCAGGGACGCTCGCCAGACTTGTACGAAGCACATGTGATCTTTGAGGTCAAGGACTCTGCGGCTATATCTGTCGACATCGCCAGGCTGCGGAAAGCCTGGAGCGATGTCGTTGCCCGCCACCAGGTTCTAAGGAGCATGTTGGTAGAGTGCCCAGCAGATGGAAGCATGTTCCACCAAGTCGTCTTGCGTTCTGTTCAAGATTCAACAGAGGTGTATCAGTGCGAGGCAGACGACCCCAGATTTTGTGCACCGAAATCAATCGAGGCAAACCGGACCGAGCAGGAACTTCTGCACCTTACCAAGCTCTACCGCCTTCGGATCTGCCAGACGAGCCGTGGGCAAGTCTTCCTCAACCTTGAGACGAATCATGCCATCACGGATGCTGCCACCATGGCAATCATCTTTGGTGACCTGAAGGCCGCATACGCAGGCACTCTGCCAGCGAGTGGCCCGCAGTACAGTGACTACGTCGAGTATATTGGCGAGATCGACAAGCACGCTGCACTGGCCTACTGGGACGGATACCTTGCCCGCGTGGCGCCTACAACCATCATCTCAACGTCCTCGCTGGCAGACACCACTACGAAGCAGCTTAGCACAGTCCGAGTTCCCATCGACCTTGATGGGCCACGACTCGCCGCTTTCTGTTCGGAGCATAATGCAACGGTTGCCAACATCCTCCAGCTGGCGTGGGCTCTTGTGCTGAGGACCTTCACCAGCTCGAACCAGGTCTGCTTTGGATATCTCACTTCTGGACGCGACGTGCCTGTCGAGGGCGTCACACGGATTGCCGGGCCAATGATCAATCTACTTGCCTGCAATCTCGACTTGGGAGATTCAACCACACCGCGCGAAGGCCTAGAGGCCGTTCGTGATGACTACCTCGCGGCACTGCCGTACCAGCACGTATCCCTAGCCTCCATCATGCACGCGCTTGGCCCCAAGCTCCAGGGCAACCAGTTGTTCAACACGATCATCACGATCAGCTCCGGGACGTCCAGCCCGGCCCAGAAGGATCAGCCTGCCGGTGGCCTTGAAATCCTTGCCCTCGGCGGCAATGACCCGACCGAGTACGATTGTGTGGTTTCCGCAGAGGTCTCGGTAGCTGGTGTGTCCGTGTCAATCTCGCATTGGACAGACAAGATTTCGCACAGGCATGCCGGTTCCTTGGCAACAACGTTGGCGCAGGTGCTGCGGAGCATTGTCGAGACGCCTGCTGTATCGTACGCCGACCTTGCCGTTCTTGCACCTGGACAGGCCATGGAGCTCGCTGAGTGGAACAACTACGACCAGGAGCTCGACTACGTCAACACCTGTGTGCACACCATTTTCGAGAGACGGGCTGCCAGTAGTCCAGACAGCCCTGCCGTCTGTTGGAAAGGTGGATCGTTCTCGTACAGACAGCTCGACGGCTTGGCCCAGAAGTTGGCCCTGTACCTGCGAGACAAGCACAATGTCAAGCCTGAGACCCTCGTGCCAGTAAGCTTTGAGAAGTCGCCGTGGATGGTGGTTGCTGTGGCTGCTGTGCTCAAAGCCGGCGGTGCCGCCGTTCCGATCGACCCGGCACACCCGCGCAGTCGCAAGCAGGATATCCTCGAGGATGTGGGAAGCGGCTTTGTCATCACCTCTGCCCAGGGCGCGGCTCAGTTTGATGGGCTAGCCGAGGCGCTCGTCCTTGATCAGGGCCTAGTGGACGACCTGGATAGCCGTAGGAAGCGGTTGAGTGCTGCTAATGTCTCGGACCAGGTGGTGTGTGCAGAGGTCCGTCCAGAGAACGCGGCGTTTGTTGTCTTCACCTCTGGGTCCACGGGCAAGCCCAAGGGCGTGGTGCTGGAGCACCGGAACGTGAGCACGTCGTGTGCAGCCCAGGCAGTGACGCTGGGCGTGGGACCAGAGACACGCGTGCTGCAGTTTGCGTCGTATGCCTTTGACATCAGCATTGGTGATACGTGGACGACGCTGATGCACGGCGGCTGCGTCTGCATCCCGACCGAGGAGGAGCGACTCAACGACATTGCGGGCGCGGTGAACCGGATGCAGGCAAACTGGATGTCGCTCACGGCGACCGTCGCCGCCCTCGTCGACCCAGAGAGCGTCCCATCGCTGAGGACGCTGGTGCTGGCTGGTGAGCGTGTAACGGAGGAGAATGTCCGGCGCTGGGCTCCGCGCGTGCGCACCCACGTCTGCTGGGCCCCGGCCGAGTGTACAATCTACTGCTCCGCAACAGCTCCCCTCGATGCTGCCCACAACATCCCAGCCAGTGTCGGCAGGCCACTAGCCAGCAGGATCTGGCTGACCCAGCCTGGCAATCCCCATGCTCTGGTGCCGCCGGGCTGTCTGGGCGAGGCCTGTGTTCAAGGCCCGTTGCTGGCCCGGGGCTATCTCAACAAGCCAGACCGCACCCGCGAGAGCTTCATCGACAACCCGCGGTTCCTACTCGCCACTGGGGCCTCGCCACCGGTACCGTACTGCGATGCTGCCGGCAATAAGACCGCCAATGGCGCCGGTCCGCTGCTGCGTGTCTACAGGACCGGAGATCTCATGCGCCAGGAGGCCGATGGGACTCTGACTTTTGTTGGGCGCAAGGACAACCAGATCAAACGTCACGGCCAGCGTCTCGAGCTTGAGGAGATTGAGCACCACCTGCGGGGCCAGCATGTGGTCGGTGACGCTGTCGTCTGCGTGCCAGCACGGGGGGCTGCCAGAGACCATCTCGTGGCCATCGTCTCCTCTTCGTCTACAGCGATGAACGGCGTCACAAGCACCAGCCACCTCGAGATCCTGGACAGACATGAGCTTGACATCATCCAATATGATGCCGCAGGCCTGCGGCTTCATATCGCAGAAAGAGTCCCCTCGTACATGATTCCCACCATGTGGATCATGGTGAACAGCATCCCCCTCGGAGCTACAGGCAAACTGTCCAGACAGCTAGCGCTCGCGTGGTTGGAGGCCATGACCGAGACCGACTATCGCCGTGTTCTCGCCCAGGCCTCAGGAAACCCCAGAGGTGATGTCGAGCCTGCCTTGAGTCCCATCGAGACCTCCATCCGAGCCACCATTGCCCAGGCGCTCAACCTCGAGGCAGACCAGGTCTCGCTGGATTCAACGTTCCTGAGTCTTGGCGGCGATTCCATTTCAGCAATGCAGATCGCTTCGCAATGCCGGGCTGCCGGCATCAACTTCAGCGTTCGGGATCTGCTTCGGAACAACACGCTGAGAAAGCTTGCGATTCTTGCCAATCCGACTAGCAACGAAACGATCCAGAAGGGGTCTTCCGCAGCCACCAGGTCTGCCCTTGATTCGCGTAACAGGCTCCCAGTGGTGCCGGAAGACTTTACCCTGCTGGCGCTCAACAACGAAACCCTCGATGCACTGCGGTCAGCCGTTGCGAGATGCACGGGCAGGCAGCATGCCACCATTGAAGCGGCATACCCATGCACGGCGGTCCAAGAGGGCATTCTGTTGAGTCAGAGCAAAGACGGGTCGCACTACAACATTGAGCTTTCATGGAAGATGTCGTGGAAAGAGCAAGGGCGTCCACCCTTGACTCCGGACTCGGTAGCTGATGCCTGGCAGGAGCTGGTGCAGCGGCACTCGATCTTGCGGACTGTCTTCGTGCCCAGCTTCCGGGATGCGAGTGCATATGATCAAGTTGTCGTTTCGGACATGGGATCAGCCTCAGAGATCAGAGTTGATGGGGTGCGCCGTGGATTCACCAGTGTCCTTGCAAAGGACCAGCAAGCTTTACCAACGCATCTCTTCAGTGTCAGCTCGTCCAGCCACCATGGGGAGGTCCTGTGTCATCTCCAGATCTCTCATGCGCTTCTCGACGGTTCCAGCATGAACCCGTTGCTGGAGGAGCTGGGAGCCATCCTTGCTGGTACTCTTGCTTCAACTCCACCATTACAGTTTGGGCAGTACGTCGAGCACCTCGACAGCAAGGAGTCTGCCGAGACCACCTCACTCGAGTACTGGCAGCACTATCTGTCTGGCTCCACGCCGACGCATGTGCAATTCAGTTCTGTCAGCGAGCAACAACGACAGCCCGAGCCGCAGCCGCGAAGCGTTGCAGTGTCGCTGGATGCCGAAACCTGTCGGAGTCTGTTCGCCCTCTGCCGACAGCGGCAAGTCACGCCGGCCAGCGTCCTCCATGCGGCATGGGCTCTAGTCCTGAGTGTCTATGCTGGCTCTCGAGATGTTTCCTTCGGCTATCCTTCTTCTTGGCGTGATGTGCCCCTGCCTGGGATCGAGCAAGCCATCGGGCCGTATCTTTCCATGCTCGTGTGCAGGGTTGACATGACACAACACACAACCCTGGCGCATCTCATCACTACCATATCGCGCCAATCTATGCAGGACAAAGAGCATCAGAATGTGTCTTTGGCTAGAATCCAGCATGCTCTGGGTCTCGCGTCTGAGCAGCCGCTCTTCAACACGACGATGTCGATTACGCGAGAAGACTCGCCCTCGAACACGGCACCAGCGATGCCGTCAGCCTTGACACTTCGCAATGATCTAGACGATCTTTTCAGCTGGGAGGTCCTTGATGGCAACAGCCCCAGCGAGTACGCCTGCGTAGTCCAAGTGGCTCTCGACAGATCGTCCAGCATCACCTCCAACATATTCTACTGGGCTCACCAAATCTCGCCAGACCTCGCCAGCAGCATTTCAAGATCCTTTGCGGCTGCCATAACCACCATCACCAACGCACCCAATCAGGAAATTTCCAGAGTTTCACTCTGCAGCGAGTTTGACAAGAACCGGATTCAGCAGTGGAATCATGCCAACCTTGCGCCTCTCGCGGGCTGCATCCACGAGCCCTTCGAGCAGCAGGCTCTGCTGCGGCCAGAGCAGGACGCAGTCATCGCAAGCGACGCCACGCTGACATATCGCCAACTGGAAGATCTTTCTACCAGGCTTGCGGTCCATCTTCAATCTCTCGGCGTCGGTCCTGAAGTCCTCGTCCCGTTCTGCATCGAAAATACAGCTTTGGCTGTGGTGGTCATGTTTGCCATCGCCAAGGCTGGGGGTGCCTACGTGCCTCTGGAGCCCTCTGACCCTCTCGAACAGATTGAGAGTATCCTCGAAAGTATCTCTGCGCCCGTGGTTGTCGCCTCAGTTCCTCAATCATCGCAATTGAGAAAGGATAGCCGCACAAGGGTAGTAGTCCCTGTCAGTCTTGCCTTCATCGCGCAACTTCCAGCAGCAGCCACCGGCGACTTGGATTCGGCACGAACATCGCAGCCCACCAACAGCGCCGCCGTGTTCTTCGCACCTGATAGCACTGGCGGTACACCTAAGGGCGTCGTATTTGAACACCGGGCGTTGCACACCAGCATGAATGCCTACGGCGAGTTGCTTGGCATCAGCCCTTCGACACGCACTCTTCAGTTCTGCGCTTACTGGGACAACCAAGTTGTCCACGACATCTTCACCACCCTGGCGCAAGGCGGTACAATCTGTGTCCCCTCGGCAACAGAACGGTTGGATGACCTGGCTGGTGCCATCAGTCGGATGCAAGTCAACTACGCATACCTCCCAACAACCGTGTGCCTCAGCCTTGCCACCCTGGACCCCGTGCCGAGTCTCAAGCAGCTCGTGCACGGCGGAGGCCCTATCACTCGCGAGTTCCTGGATGCATGGGCAGGCAGAGAAGGCATCCGAGTTTTCCATTGCTACACACCAAACTCCGATTCTCTCTTGCCCACAGCACAAGCCGTCTCGGGTGATATGTCGACATCTACAATCTGCAGACCCACAGGCGGACATGCCTGGATCGCGAATCCACACAATCACCATGACCTGATGCCTCTGGGCACCGTGGGGGAGCTTGTCCTTCAAGGCTCGACTTTGGCACGCGAGTATTTTGGAGACTCCCAAAGGACCCGTGAGTCATTTGTCGAGGCACCGGACTACTGTCGCACCGACTCGATTGGTAGCGACGATGCCGCTGATGTTGGCGGGACCAAGGGCCACATCCATCTCCGCTGCTACAAGACGGGCCGCTTGGCATTCTTTGGACCCGATGGGACTATCCATGACGCGGGACCGAAGGACAGTCAGATCAAGGTCAACGGACAAAGGATCGAACTGGGCGAAGCCGAATACCATCTGCGACAGGCTCTAGGGCCGGAGGTACAAGTTGTTGTAGATCAGATCAAAGTCGGTGAGGCGAAGGTGCTTGCGGCATTCCTTTGTCGCACAAACGAAAGGGTCAGCATGGGCACCGAGACCACTACTGCAGAAAGTGTTATCCGACCGGTGACCGAACTCCTTCCTGACCTCGAGGAGCTGGAGGCTACCCTTGGCCGAGCCTTGGGCGAGGTCGAGGAGCATATCATGGCGTACATGGTGCCCCAGATATTCCTGCCTATCACGCACATTCCTATCAACACCACGGGTGAAGTTGATCGCGCAGCTCTGCGGGAAGCCGCTCATGTCTTGAGCATCACGGAGCTTCCTCGTTACTCTCTCTTGCGATCGGCATCTGGACTGTACGAGGCCGGCGGGCGTGATACCGACGAAGCATGGCCGACAACGGCGCAAGAGGAAATACTCGTTCAGCTCGCAGCCGAGATACTCAACGTCGGCGTCGATAGCTTGGGAGCACGAAGCAACTTCTTCCGCCTGGGGGGAGACTCGATCTCCGCGATTAAACTTGCAGGCGCGGCACGCAAACAAGGAGTGTTCCTGACCGTGGCGGACATCTTCCAGAATCCTACAATAAAGAGCTTTGCAGCCTGTGCAGCTGCAAAGTCGCAGACGGACTCTCAGAGCGACGCACTTCCGGTAGTGAAGCCAGTGTATGAGCCCTTCAGCGCCTTGCCAGATGATCTGCCGCTCGACGACATGCTGGCACAATCTGCTAGATATGCTGGGCATTCTTACAGCTCGGCCATGAGCGCACTTGACCATCTGGTCGACGTCGCCGATGTATTGCCCGCAACGGAATACCAGGAGTGGGCGCTCGCCTGCAGCAGCATGCACGATCACGGTTACAACAACTGCTTCAGCCTGGATCTAGGGCGACATGAGGCGTTGAGTGACCCTAGCGCGGTGGCAGCAGCTCTGCAACGACTGTCTGACCACCATCCTGTCCTCCGCACGTCTTTCGCGATGTGCAGAGATATCCTGTACCAGGTTGTCCACAAAGGACCAATCATCCGGTTCGAGCACCATGACCTCCTACATCCACAGCAGAACCAGGAGCAGGATAGGGTCGCTCCTCCGCGGAGTCGTGATGAGATCGCGCAGTCTCTCGTACAAGACCATATGCCCCTAGGACAGCTGGCCGTTCGATTTGCCCTGGTTCGCGAGCATGACGCAAGAAACTCCCTCTTGGTGAGACTACCGCATTGTCTGTACGACGGCATCTCGCTGCCCCTGATGATGCGCGATCTTCGAGCAGTGTTGGACGACGTTGCGGGACAATCAGTCACCCCGCTGCGCCCCGTGGTGCCGTTTGCGAACTTTATTAACACCACGCACCTGGCCGACAAGTCACCCTCGGTGGCTTTCTGGGCCGAAGCCCTGGGTGGCTCGACCATGACAAGCCTGGTAGACCATGCAAGTCCATCGGTAGGAAACGTCCTCAACCAGCGGCTCGACCGCACCATCTCCGTGCCTGAGTGGTCTTCTCACGGCTCGGACATCACTTTTGCCACCGTTCTGAAGGTCGCCTGGGCTCGGACCCTATCTTTGGTGACGGGGCTCGACGATGTCGTGTTCGGCCACGTCACTGCCGGCAGGAGCGCGGCCAGCGTAGACGACATCGAGTCCATCGTGGGGCCATGCGTCAACATTGTCCCCGTGCGAGTCAAGACATCTTGCTCCACTCCTCTTCATGTCAATGGCGAAGGAGACGACGACAACCGCAACCACAACAACACCGAGAGTGGCGGCGTCGGCGAACTGCTCCGAGAAACACAATCACACGCCGTACGCGCACTGGCTCACGAGGCCCTGGGTTTCCGCACCATCGTCGACCAGTGCACGCAGTGGCCCAAGTGGACGAGGTTCAGCTCGGTCGTGCAGCACCAGAACCTGGAGGAACAAATCGTTTCGTCCTCCACGGCCGCGGCGACGCTGGCGAAGGAGGAAGAGGAGGAGGATGGCTTGCTTGAAGAGAACAGCCCGGCCACTCCAAGTATGCTGGACGCGTACCTGCCTCCCAACGACGCGGCCGATGTCTGGGTGTGGACCTTGCCCCAGCCTGGCAGCGACAAGATGCGCGTCGAGCTCGAGTTCAGCGACTTGACCATCACGCCAGTAGCCGCGCGAGCATTGATGGATATCCTCTGCGACCAACTCGTCGCTCTTACAGCTGGCACGGGCGGCGATTTCAGTGGCCCCAAGCTAGACCTGGAAGCGCAGAGGGCTCTGGCGTGGACCCCAGGAGGTTGGCAGAAGATCCGCGCGACCCAGCAGTCCCGGTGCGCCAATGTGAAAGTGTGCCGGTCTGGCAAATCAGGGGTGGCGGAACAGCCCGCGCTCAGCCCCGAGGAGGTTGTCTCTGTGGCTTGGAACACGGTGCTGGGCATTGGCGGCAGACCTGACGATGTCGGCGCGGCCTTGGACCGTGATGACTTCTCCGAGTCCACTACCAGTTCCGATGGTGCACAAGAAGAAACCGACAACCCGAGTGTCCAGAACGAGATGAAGAGCACCCCAACCAACGTCGAAGTCGCCATCCAAGGTCTGGACCGCCTCGAAAAGCACGACATGGTCACTTCTGTCATTTCTGTCTCCTCGAGCGACAGCAGAGGAAGCGTCAGCAGCAACGAGAATCGACTCGCCGAGAGACTCAGCCCGGAGGAGTCTTCCACACCTCGGTCCCAACATTCATCAGACATTGGCTTCGACAAGGCCTCCCTGGAGAATGCAATCATGACACATCTGGGGCGTTCTCGCCGAGACCTGCAGCTGTCGGACAAGATTGAAATACCGTACTACGAGCTTTCGGGCAAATGCATGGTCCCTGTGCACATCGCAGCCGTGTACCGGGCAAGTGGCTACGAGGTGGCGGTCGAGGATGTCATGCTGAAGCCCACCATGCGGGAGCAGATTGACATGCTCACTGAGAGTCTTCAGGGTGTTTCTGAGACACGCGTGCTCTAGGAATGTTTTTTTGGAGATTTTTGGCGCCTTTTCGATAATGCTTCTCCTTTTCTTCTTTTTGCGCATCTTCTTTTGATTCTTATATGCTTTCAGCAGTCTTTCGTGTTAATTTAGACTAATTTCACTCTCCATTTCAATGGCTTCCTTAAATCACCGCACAGTATAACTCGATTGAACTTGCAAAGGGCATTACGCTTCGATGAGATAATGAACTCATGGCAATGGTCCGAAATTCTGGCTACACTGTGTAGAAAAAGGCACCGTTGGCTAAAAATGTAGATTGTTGAGCTAAAGTCCCCCTCTCCATGCTAGATACCAGAGTTGTCCTGATGGTAAGGCGACGTTGGATACCACGCCTTCCAGTCCGCGCAGGTATCGTCCATGGCAGCGAGCTGCACCGCGTCGCCGCCAATCTGCTGCGAGAGCTCTCCAGCACGCGCGAGGAGCTGCAACGACAAGCCCTGGCTGGCGTGCCAGGCGATATGGCAGTGCATGAGCCAGGCTCTATTTGGGAAAAACCATTTATCAGTAATGCTATGCCATCAAGATGGGACGCACAAAGACAGGCCCAAGAGGAATTCCTAAAGGGGGAGGAAACAACACAACAAGGGGAAAGAAAGACCAGCCTTACCCCGGATTATCCGTCTTGAACGTAATGACCGTGTACCCCGTGCCATACAGACTCACGGTGTCCCTCCTGGGCGGGTTCTTGGTGTTGAGCCTCACGAGCCCCGGCACGAAGGGGCCGCGCCCCTGCGCGAGCACATAAAAGTCATGCCCGTGGAGGTGCATTGGGTACCACACGTTGACGAGCGTGCGGTCCTCAATGACCCACTACACCGACTCGTTCTTGAGGTCCACGCTCACGACGTTCGAGTTCCGAGGGAATTTCAACGGCAGCGGCGGCTGCTGCTGGCCCGCACCTGCGCGGTGCACGTCGAGCACGGTCGGGTCGGACCAGTTGACGATGAGCGTCTTGGTGTTGATGGTCCAGTGGTACACGAGGTCGAGCTCGTAGTACCACGCGACGCGCAGCCTGTCGCTCACCTTGGCCGGGCCGACGTCGTGCTGGAGCCAGGGCGTCAGGCTCTCATAGGGCTCGTCCTCGCACGAGTTGGTAATGGTGCGGGCCTTGGCCGTCGTGGGGACGGCGGCAGGGCTCGTGTCCGCGCCGGCGTACCGGACGATGCCCAGGATGTTGCCCTTGCTGTCGTTGTCGTTGAAGTTGCAAGCCGTCTGGTAGATTGCCCGCATCCAGTAGCGGCCTCTGGAGTTGGCGGTCGTGGGCTTGGCCTCGACAATGACGTCGTAGCGCTGTCCGCTACCAAGCACGACGGCGTCGGTCTGGTACGGCACGATAGGGACGAAGTCGTTGGCAATGACGGGAGCTTGTGGCCGTCAATGGCAGGCTTGAAGTAGCCGTCGGTCTGCGAGCCGATCAGGCGGATCAGGTATTTTTTGCCGGGCTCAAAGGGCTGGTCGAACTCGAAGCGCTCGCCGGTGCCCTTACACCTGGGGTCAGTCGAGCGAGCACACTGGTCTCAGGTGTTCTTGTCGTTGATGAGGCCGTTCTCGGCACTGGGCTGGTGGAGGGCGACGACGCGCTGGGTCGTCTCCCAGATGTGGAAGACGGAGCCGTGGAACCAGTCCATGAGGACGAGGGGCCCGAGGTCGACGTCGTAGTTTGCCGTGGCCGGGCCGTGGATGACGAGGGGCCCGAGCACCATGGCGAGCTGGAGGCTGAAGTGCGAGTGGTACCACGAGGTGCCGTACTGCGTGGCCCTGAAGCGGTAGGTGGTCGTTTTGCCCGGCGCTGTCGGGCACTGCGTCACGCCCGGCACGCCGTCGTGCGCGTTTGTGTTGCGCTGATGGATGCCGTGCCAGTGGATGGCGGTCCTGTCCGGGGGGAGAAAGACGCATGCCAAGTAAGCACATGCTGTTACCTGAGTGCTTTCCGTTTGTCGAGGTGGCGAGGGATAGATGCCTAAGGTGCCTACGCGTACTTACCCGTTTGTCTCGATGTTGTTGGTGACGTGGACGACCACTTCGTCGCCCCAGTCGGCCTCAATCAGCGGACCCGGCATGCTTCCGTTCAAGGCAAGCACCGCAACCTCGTAGCCGTCTGGGGCCAGCTTGATCAGCTCAGCATTGAGCCAGTACTGGGAGTGTCTCGTCAGACGTCAAGCCATGCCAACCCAATAGAAGCCAGCCAGTCACTCACCTCCCTCGTTGCTCCAGTCTCCGGCACAACCTCATACCAGTCCGTGTTGATCGAGTGCTGGCCCCAGCACTGCCTCGAAGTCGGCGAGTTCTCACATGGTCCTTCTGTAGCCTGTCGAGTCTCCAGGACACCTGCTGCTCTCAAGGTCGACGCCCAGGCTCGGACTTGTCCAAGCCAGAGCCCAAGCCAGAGTAGTCTGCTCACGATGACGTCGAGATCCCTCGGTTTCTTCCACATTGTAAACATACTCCAGACCATCTCAGTTTTCCAACGTGAAAGGGATGGTGAAACTATGGTCGGAGCGGTTCAACAAGAAGAACGCCAAATTGGCAACAATTTCAAACAAAAGTCCATACATATACATCAGTCCATGCTTTTTCCGCATGCGGTACTTCGGTTCCAAGGCACCAAGCAAGGACATCATTCCTGGCACTGAAGACGAGATCATGCTTCTGATCCAGGGTCCCAGGGAAGGCAGACACCACACCATGCGAGTGTCATTTCTCAGGCAACGCCACGATCTTGCTTGGCCAGGCAGGGGGGATATTCCAAGAGCAATGCACAGGCTCGTGATAAGTGACCAGTTGGAGCCATAATCCCTGAAGTTAGAGGCACAGGACTCGTGTGTCTAGCCCACTTCCTCGCTCGTAAAATCATAAGATGCTAATGCGGAGAACACCCTGGCTGGTCCAGGGGTGCGAGTGTACGTCCGTTTCTCCGCCGGTATGCAACCCTGCCCAGGCCGAGGCGGCGAGATAACGACGCCATTCATTGATGACTTGGCGGGCTCGCGCACTTCTTCCATGATAAGCCCGACGGTATCGGACAAAGCCACAGCGCAGCGCGTGCCACGTTCAAAAAGAATGCTTGGGCGGGCCACTCACATTATCAAGTGGCAATCCAGAGACGGCCGCTTCTCGTGTAAGCCGTAGCGCATTCACTGTATTTAACGTGCCGCGCAAAGAAGCGTGTTTGTTTTCCCCTAGATTCAAGACAGTAGTACGTGACAATGAGCTGAAGTGTCGAAAGGATGCTCCCTCGCCATGGCTCTCAGCCTCGGCTCAACCATTTCTCGCGCGACTCTTGCTTGTTCTCCAACTGCGGAGTACAGCAACACCCATGTAAACCAAGCTTAAATCCCAGCACTGCAGGAAAGGAAACAAAATGGTCTGCTAAAACAGCACTGCAATGGGGCCCCCCTTCCAGCTTCCAAGGCGGGCCTTTCGCCGTGGCAGGTCGGTCCCCTAGGCTGCAGTGTCCCTCACAACAGTTGGCTCGATGCTTGGACAAGAATCAGAGAGGGGATATGCACTACTGCCTCTGCATCCAACCACGTGAGGCTGGGAGCTCATCTTGCCGACATTTTGTCATGTATTTCTAATATTGTTCAGGTACGTCGCAATACTCTCCATGCTTTAGGTTTTAATCAAGCCGGATGAAGACACTCGCTGAGGCGGTGCACACCTGCGCCGCAGAAACAATACGCACACCAAAGACATCCGTGAGAACAGAGTGCTGCCCTCCAAACTCCTTCTACCCACCAACGCCGTGCTATTCCGAGGCTATGCAAGGTCAAGATCGTGTCTCTCGTGTCCTTCGTAAGAATAAACAGGTAGCTCAAGCTCAGCTTCCTTCCTGAGCGCCGTTGGAAACTTGCATGCTGAGCTCGTCCAGGTCGTTCAGATGCTCTGATGAACCTACTGAATTCTCCCAGTCTTAAACCTCTGTTAGTGAACCGAAGTATCTCTCAATAACAAACATGGGCACTTACCAGAGCCTTCATCCTCAATCTCATCAACCGTTAGTGTAGTCATGGGCCCAAGAACAGCTATACCTGCGTCAGCACGTCTCGTCCCTCACGAATCAAAATGCCGTGAGAACACCTACCTCGACACAGTTGGTGATACTGCACGTCGGCGACGTCCTTCGCCTCGTCCTCTGGAGAAAAGTATGACTCGCAGTCGCTGATGACCTGGAGCAGTGGATAAACCGTGTCTCTAGCTGCTGGCACACCACGCTCCACATGGTTGTCGCGCAGATAAATCAGGCACATTAAACAGAGTCGCCTCGCCCCGGCGACCACGGCTTTGGCTTTCGCCAACCCGTCGTGGTCCTCGCTGAAGTCTGGCGCTGGACCATATCTAAGAAGTGTGTCTTGGATAAAGTGGCACACGTCTCGGCTAACGGTATGGTCGATGTGGCCGAGAAGGCCTGGCGCCCACTTATGGAAGCTCGCCATAGTCCTCACCTGCTCATCAAAGTCTTCGGCACTTGTATACACGTAGCGCTGGAACTCAAAGAAGCTGCGGGCTTCGGCGTTCTGCACATTGCCACAATGCCCATTGATGTGTGTCCGGAGCCGTTCGATATTCTCGTCGTTCTGGCTGAAGCGACAGTACACGCGCGCCGCCCTCAGGTAGGGAGCGACACTGTAGTGGACGAACTGCCCAGTGATTGCGGTTTTCAAGGTCATGAAGATACAGTCGTCCATGATCGTGCTAAGATTCATGAGTCTTCGGATAATGGAGTTCGTGGCAGGTAAGTTCTGGCCGATCTGGATCAATTTGTCGACAAAGACGTTACCCCGCGTGCGATCCCACTGCTGATGGAGAAGGTTAATTTCCATGCTCGAGAATGGTATCTTTTCTTCTTCGTAGGCAATGACGAGGCGGTTCTCGTCAGCCTCAACGATGCGATCCTCCTCGATCTCTTCATCCATGGCAGCCAAAAGAACATCAATCAGCGAAATGATGTTCTCATAGCTTGGCGATCTCGTAGCCATTCTACGCGACAGCGTCGTGGCCAGCCGAGCATACTGCGCGTTCAGATCAGAAGCTGCATCAACGGTAATGATGGACAATGACTGATGTAAGAAGTTGCCTTGGATAAGAGCTGCGGCTTCCAGCTTTCCGAGTCGTGCAAACTCAAACATGGTGCCAAATAACTCAGGCCATGACCGCAAGGAGACGTGGAATTGTTCCCAGAGGCGGGAAAACATTTCCACGGCCTGAGTAATGATGTTGTTTGGCCCGTCAATCTCTTCGCCCTCCAGAAGCTCTGAGCCATAAGGTTCTGGGAAATTCTTTTTCAGACTTCGTAGAGTGATCAGCAGCGTCCTGCTGATTTCGTGCCGAACTGTTGGGCTGGGATTCTTCTGCAGAAGCATGACTAGTGCCTCTGAGCGTCTCATCATGTACTCGAAGAACGCAAAGCAGCACTGTGGGCACCTTTGACAGCTCCGCTGCAGAAGCCCCATGAGATCGTGAAAATCCGACAAGTCCTTCGCTCGTGACGCGACTTGGTCGAGGTGGCTGATGCCAACCTGCATAGCCAAGTTTTCCAGGGTGTGGTTTGGAGATGAGCAAATACCATTCCAAACCTTGTTGAGTACGCGAATGACAAAAGGGATATGGCTGGGATCATGCAGACAGTGTCTGTGGACGATCTGACTATTTTCTGCTCGGATTGTTGGGATCAGGTCTGGAGGCAGCGGAATCTGAGATGGTGTTGTCTCCTTCTCTCTGACGAGAGGTGAGGCTCCAGCATTGATTGTTGATGCGCGCTGGTAAAAGAGCATATAGGCACTGTAGACCTTCTCGTGTGGCCCTCCGTCAAAGGGCTGACGTTGATCCTGGCCGCCGAAACAGGCATCTTCCATCATGGAAGGATCCCAATCCGTGACCAGGTCATCATTGAACTCTACCCACTTCTGTGCAGATCCAGCATTGGATCTCTCGCGGATGAATGAGTAATAGTGCCCCGACTCGGCACTCCCAGAATGAACCAGAACGCCAACGAGTTCGAAATGGTCAGGCTCAGAAGCATCAGGCATATTTGCGAGGTGGCGAACAGTGAAGGGTGTCATGTCGATGCGTGCGGGGAACCGAAAGTGGTCATTGATCTTTGCGCGGGTCATCGTTCGCAAGTTAAAATCAAACCTCTTCAAATGGAAGATGAGGTTGTTCGGCAAAGTTTTGAAGCATGCCCTATATTGGTCAGCCAGGCTCAGGATGAAGCATTTCTCGTTTCGCAAACTTACCGCTTGACTGCATCCACGAACTTGTCGCAGGAACTGCATTTGTACTTGTTGTCTGCCAAAGTTAGTATGGGCACGACTCTGGATCTAACGCTGCTATACGTACCGCCTTGCATCATCTCCCCGTCGACATACGCCTGCAAACTTTCCTCTAGTGTTGCTTTGCCTTTAATGTCGCACTGTATGGCGGAGAAGTCCTCAAATCTCTCAGAGATATGATCGCATTCTTTGGACTTCACTTGCTGCACAAGCTGGCCTCCGAATATGGACCTCAGATGCTTCTTGTCCGCCTCAAACGGCAATTGAGCTTCCCACCTGTCGAACAGGAGATTGTAAAATTCGTCGACGTCCATCTGATTGTGAATGTCGATTGGAGTCTCATCATATGTCGAGATCTGGCCCACGCAAGATTGAGGGTCCACAAAACGGCGCCTGCTACCTTGAAGCGCGGCAAATAGTTGTCGAGTCTCGCAAATCAGTCGTTGACGTTGCGGATCTGACACGCGTGCTGACAAGATGAAATGGCGGAACTCTTCGTTCATGAACAGTTGTGTGACCAACGAGTTTAGATAACACGTGTTCGACAAGTTTCGCAAGCCGGCATAGCCACAAGGAGCTCTGACAGCTCTGTGTCGATCGAAGGCGTGGGGTAATTCGTAAAAGTATGGAGACTCATGACCCTCTTCGAAAGGCGTCAGGCCGTCAAGATCGTTCAAAAGGCTTGCTGGTGTTGAATCTCTGCTCAAGTCGAAAAGAATGTCGTAAAGTGTAGCACGTGTGTTAGGGTTGACTACCGCCTGTGGGATGATTGGCTGAGAATCTTCCATGAATGACACCGAAGGGAAGAGATGATGATGGAGTAGCCTGCGGCTGAAATCATGGCCTAGCGGTGGCACCAAACCTGTAGCACGAGCATGCTTGAGTGCAAGGGACAAGACTGTCGCGAGGCCATGCGCTAGTGAGTCGTGTACGTTGGGCAGAGTGATATCTTCGGTACAAGTATGAGCGAGGAGCAGAGCTCCACATCTTTTGAGGCAAGCAGAAAGGTCGAGAGCCGGGGACTCTGTCTCCGCGAGTTTTGTGAGAAGTTGACTCGCTAGGTTGAAGACTTCGTCACACTTTTGCGGCTCTGCAGATGCAGCTGGAAGCATCTCAAAAACAATGGACCAGAAAAAGGCTGCAAAGTCGGCTCCTTCAATCGCATTTCTAGCGCCAAGGCTTCTGCTCGCGATCAGACTCGAGATGCCATGTCGTACAGCTTTCCTATCGTCGTCTAGAACCAGCTTTTGAAGGATGCTGCCTACTTTAGGGAGTCCGCAAAATGTGTCCCAGAAGTCTGTGCTTTTTTCCGACGATGCAAGAATGGCGTCGAAAGCTTGTTCCGTGAGCTTTGAGCTAGCTTGGTTCTGTGTAGCATTAGTCGCCTCGTGCAGGATCTGCACAAGAACATTGGCCAAGTCGGAAGAAACGAGCGAATGCGCTGGCGATATGTCTATCCCGTCTGTCACGTATTAGCAAATCCTCACATGGTGTTCATCATTACCAGACTTGCCTTTCAAGATCTGCACGTAGCTATCTACCAGATGAGAGCGCAGAAGGATAGTCAGATCCTCACTGAGATTTTGCCGGATGAAGTCGTCGTCGCAAAGGGCAGCCGCGAGCAGGTTGAAGACCTTGATTAAGGCCTGCTTATGATCAGACGCGGACTGGACAAGATGGCTGGCGTCATGGCTTGACGATTGGACTACGCTGTTACGGAGGCGATTTGTCTGGACGTGTTCTCGCAGCGCATGGACGGCATACAGCGACTTGAAAGGTTGACCAATCGGAAATACATCTCGATGGGTTGTCTCCGGATCCTCGAGAATGACCAGTATCGATTCATCAGCTGGAAGCTTGATGAGAAAGTGGTATATCTAAATGCGTGATTAGTATTGCAGTGGGAATGGAGGAGACCAGCTTGATGGGATCATTACCTCGGAAGCGAGGGTCTCATCCATGCTCAGATATTCCCATAGCTCCTTGAAATACCGAAGCACTTCGATTTCAAGCGCGGATGCTCCTGGCCGAATGCGAGATGGTTTCTCTGACGTGTCCGATTGCCTCCGTACCAGAATTAAGCCATTCACAATATCGAGTTCTCGTAAAGATTTGCAGATGTCGTCGCTAGACGGAGCTAGAAGTTGTCCACGATAGTAAAGCCTATAGTTGTCAAAGCCTGTGGCTTCCTTCAGATTTGCAAGTAAAGAGGCACCGGTATTATGCAATCCGATCTCGAGAGGCATTATCGTAGTTTGTTCCTCGCCGTCGAATGCTTGGTACTTGAGGTCTGCGAGGTCCCCGTCCACAGCACTCGGTGCTTGAAGCATGAGAGAACGAAGGTCCGGAGCTGAAAATCGCGTTTGCGTACTGAGCGACCTCAAAAGATCCTTGATGACTTTGAGGGATCTGGTGAAACGCAGCTCGTGCTTTTTCACTGTCGCCAAAGGATTCTGCCCCTTGACAACGGCAACCTCATCATTTTGCCGTAAAGCTTTTGCAGCAGTTTCGAGCTGACGCAGACAGCGACGTGCTAGCGAGAAGTGTACCTCACGTGCGCGGTCCGGGGGAAGGCTTTTCATCGCGGCACTGTTGACATAGACTTCGCTCACCAAGGTGTGAATCGCCTCGTCCTCTATGGTCTGGGGAGTAGCCTGAAGGATAATCTTCCACAACAGCTCGAGGCTGTTCACACTTGTGATGGGTTGATCGTCAAATATTGTGGTGTTCGGATTGTTTGTTTCCATTGAAAGAAGCTCTCGCACAAATTCAAGAGTGCCACCACAGAAGTACTCGGGTGATAGGCTGGGTAAGTATTCCTCTAAGCAAGCCAACAGAAATTTGTTCTGCAGTCGTGTGCGTCTGAGGGCATTGTTCAGGTCGTCCCAGCCTGCTTTGACATCATCGGGACACAGCGCTCCCGGTCCAACCATGAGGTCCCAAAGCTTGGCACCCAGGTCTCTTGGAATAGAAGACCCATGGAGTGTGATCAGGCTGGAAATGAATTTGCGTCGTGCTGGTCCGAAAGCCGATGCATATACCGGTGAGAAGCCCACCTTGCGGGCATTGGAGATTGAGCACTCAAGTTCGTCGACGATAAGCGCTACGAAGTCATGCTCTGCAATCAAGGTCTGCAACGAGGTGCCTGTCGTGGTCAGCAGAAAAAGAACCTGAAGGCTCCCGTGAGTCGTTGTTGATTTGGCCACGATGTCCTTTTGGCAGCTTGAAAGAAGTTCCTGGCGGCCTGGAGCTGGGCAGGCTTGCAATATGATGTCCTTCATTTTGCCATAGGCCCACGTGAAGATTTCGGGATTTGACAATGTGGATCGTTCCGCAAATATGGACGCTTCTTGAATGAGTCGCAGGCAGATATGTCGAGGCTCGGCCAGCAGCACATCCTGGGAGTTTCTGTAGACCTGCTGAACCAGCGCGGTAAACAGTTCACGCATCCCTGCGTTGAAAGCATCAATTTCTAGAGACTTCATCTTCTGGAATAAGCTGCTGACGGTATCGAGTTCGAAAAGCTGTGCTATTTTCAGTAACATGCGGACGAGAGCATCAGCAATGCGGGGATCGCGGCTTGTGTTGATTGTGCGCCACAGCAAGTCTGTCTGATTCTGGGCGTAAGTCTTCGTCACCATGAGGAATCCGATGATATTCGCACTCTCGGCTGTGATCTCGGGATGGCATGAGGGACTCAGGAAGTAGTCAATGGTGCCGTGCCGCACCAAGAAGCCGGCGAAGCATCGCAAAAAGGTGAGATGGGCTTCGTCATCAACCCCGGCTGATAACTTGTCCTGATAACGTTTCCACTGTCCGATGAGATCGTTACACATCACGCTGACAGCGGACATTCGAAGCTGCATTTGTTGCGAACGAACCAGGGTCTCCAAAGCTTTGAATTTGCGCTCCAGAGCGATGGCATCTGGTAGGAACCGATGCGGGACTTCCGGGTTGTTTGCACAGTAAGTTCGCAAAGTCTCTTCGACTTCAGGAATCGCGCTTGCCAATATCGTCTTGTGTATTTCCGACAGCCATGAGAGTAGCGTCGATGGGCTGTCACCTGACAAATGGCTGGCGAATTTCTCGGAAGCCTTCGTCATCATATCCCAGGCAATAGTCAAGAAGCGGAAAGCTGCTGTCATGTGGCCCTGCAGAGTCTGCGTTGGCTCGCATGCGTTGCCACCCTGCATCTGTTGGCTCTGTGAGAGATTGCGAACCAATGCCTCCACCAAAGCGCTTATCTTTGCGAGATGTTCCATTGTCCTCTTAGGATTTTTGGGCAGTGTGACGGCGAGCACCTCGGAAAGCTGCACGACGCCAGACAATCCAGAGTTTCCACCTGTTTGATGCAGAAAATCCGTGAGGATCGCAGACGTGTCTGGCTCACGCCCGTCATTGCCCAATTGCTCGTCTTTATGCGCTACCAGGGCCAATCGGTGAAGAAAGTTTGGCGCGTATAATTCAGATGCGTCGGTGTCCGCAGCGCCATTGGACAGGTTGAGCGTATAGTAGTCTACCGTGAGCGTGAATGCTGTAAGTCTGGCATAAGAATGCATCAAGTCAAGGACGAGGCTGAAGGTATGTTTGCTTTCAGTTGTGCTGTATCTAAAATACCTTGTTAGACAAGCAGAGAGACCATGCAAACGGGAATGCAAGACTCACTTCCTCCAAATCAAGGGGAACAGCTCCGGCAGGTTGAGCCAAAAAGCTTGGTTTTGCTGACAGGCCGAAGCGAAGACGTCGGCGGTCTCCGCGCTGGTCCAAAGCAAGACATTGTTCAGCCAGGAAACCAAGGACTGAAGGACCTCATCAGGGTCTTGTACACCTAGGCGTCATAACATGTTAATTCAAGAACCTGACAGTCTCGTTACACTGTTTGGCAAGAACATGAGTCCCTACCTTGATACAAATATTGGTGCAAGCGCTGAAAGGTATCAAAGCATGTATCGTCAGGAGGAGAGAAGTAAGGGAATTCCGACAGTGCAGCGCTGAGTCGAGTTCTGCGATCTCTCGGGGAAAGTCCTGTCAAAGCTTCCGTGCCCGCCATCTCCTCAACATCATCGTCGGGTATGATGACCGGGTCTTGTGGACTTCCATCTACTGAAGTCATCACTGAAGCTACTTCTTGCACCGCAAGATCGAGGGTACTTGCACCATCAGACCCGCCCATTTGGACCCTGATTGGCGAAGGAGATGGAGGAGAGCTTGCGCGCCCATCACGCACCGAGCCATTTCTAAGATTGATTGTAACCCTGCTGGAGACTGGCTCAGGACGAGGACTCGGTGACTCCGGCGGGGTGCTAGGCATCGCAGCTTCTGATGAGTCGACCTTCGCTGCCGACCTGCCAATGGCGGCAATCTGGTCGCTATCCGTGGCTTGTACCTGCTTGGGAAGGCTGCCTGATTTGGTGCTTGTGGCCGACAGCGAGGTCCGTCGGCGCTTCCTGGCTGACAGCTCACTCTCATTGAATGGGTTTGGGCGTATCGAACAAGGCTCAGAAGAGACCGCGCGTTCTCGGGCGTCTGGACTGTGACTCGGCTCCATGGAGCCCTCGCCTATGACAGCAACAGGTGGAGAAGCTGCTGCGCCAGCCACGGCGGCGGATGTTGGCATCTGCACGAGGACGCTCGCGGACTTGGTAAGCTGAGTATCAGCATGTGGGTGGGTGGCCAGCAGGCTGAGGTAGATCGCAAGTCCTGCACGGTTTGGTCGACGAAGTTGAGAATCGTGGTTGAGGAATGCGTCCAATGGCTCAAAGAAGACGGCCCGCCAAGAACAAGGCGGATGACGGAAGACCTCCACACTTGCTGAACCGGCTGGCAGATTGAATGTGATTGCCTGCTCCCTTGCAGCCAACGCTTGCACTGATGATCCGTCGATATGGGTGCCCTGGCGACTGGAACCGCAGAAGGCGACGTGCTACTGTAAAGTAATGGCTTTGAAAGCTGGCTTGGAGTCTGTGAAGAATGACACGAACTCCCGAGGGCGAAATGATGTACAAAGAGCTCTGGGCGTGAAGTGTGTAATCGCAACGGTTTGTGATGTGACGGGGTCCCTGGCCGCTGCGGGGGAGGGGGGGGGGGGTGCAAGCAAAAGTGACAGCCCCACCGCGCCGTGCTAGGCTGCTATTCCTGCCACCAAACTTGCCAATTGTGCTGTGGGGCCTGACGTGCAAACCCAGGCATTCTCCGCGCAGAAACATTTGTGCACGTTTGCTGGCCCAAACGATGTCCGTAGTCGGGCAAGATGAGGCTGGACGCATATGAAATAGGAGAATCCAATAGCGTTGGCGCGCAGGCTAGCATGGAGCGAGAATGTACATGGTTGAAATGGAAAGATCTGGTGACGTCATCATGAGATTCCCTAATCACAGTCAGGCATCGACACGGACACTCGGGATAAGAGACGAACATTGTGGTCCTTAGTGCAGCTGCTCCACTGGACGGCGCGACCAGACGCGGACGCGTTTCTCCTGTTTGGAGGTGCAACTTTTGCTTTCTCAAGCCGATCAGGCCCTAGGAGATTTACACCCAAGGGGAAATTTTCACTACTGCTCGTGTCTCATACAGGAGCCTTGGCTCGGTGGGCGACCACCACAACGACCACGTCCCCGAACTGACGCCAATGGTCAACTCGGTCTGTTCGGTGCTAACTTTAAGAACACGTCGTCACCTAAGGCGGGAACGCTCGGCGCTGGGCTTGTGGTTGTGCTGCTCTACAGCGGCATGCAATCCAAACATGTTAACACCCAATATATGTATACACACGAAGGGTACTCCCGAATTTGCAAAGGCAAGACAGGAGGAGGATCATTTCTTAAGCGCTTCGAGGCCATGCTCAAGTTGTGTCAAGCCGGGCTGATTACATTCAACAGCTTGAGTGCCGGACCCTCCGCAAGTGGCTCCCGGGTAGTGGTCGGCAGTGCGGTGGACCCCAACCTTGGGACTCAAGCAGTGCTGCTTTGGCTCAATCAGGGTCTTGGGGGCTGGACTTAATCCACCACATACTTGCACGGAGTGGCATACAGCACGTATCGCATCCATCGGTTTTGTCAGGCAAATATCTCAAAGGGTTCGAACCTCTCGCTGACATTTAGTGTTCTGCTTTGCCAGGGAAGTTGTCTGCACACTCGCCGGTCATCCGCAGGCGTTATGGATAAGAAGAAAATTGTGCATCAACTTGATACGCCATATTCTACGGCGAAATGGTAGGCGCCCGGGTGTTGCATCCTCCCACAGTGAATTGCCATTTAACATGTAATCATAGGCCAGAAATCGCGCTCGACGATCAAGACACCGTCTTGGAACTCCTTTGCACGTAAGTTGTGTTGATCTTCAGCCAGTGCCCCTTTCCAACCTCAGGGCCACAGCACGACACAAAGTTTGACAGCTCAGCACGGCATCGATGAGAAACAAGCTAATAGCATGCAAGTCTGCTGTCACCAATTGGAGAACACAGGGCACAGCACGTTCAGCGCTCAAAAGGCAAGAGGGATACAAAGCGGAAACGCACAGAGAAGAGTCCCGGAACGATCAAGGCCCCCTCGCCTCCACCTGCGCCAGAGCTGTTGTCTCATATAGATGTCGGACTGGTAGCTGTGACCCGGCGATTGCAGAACCTCAGCAAGGACACGAGGGCAGATCCTCCCAAGATCCAACTCCTAGCAACTGGAGAGGATAAAGCTGTCCAACGGCCTTGTGCGGCAGTATTTGTCGCCCGCGCATCCCAGCCTAGCATCCTTAACAGCCATCTACCACAGCTGATTGCCGTTGCCTCCCAAGCACTTCCGGACGAAGAGCCAATTCGCCTGTTTGGTATCTCCAAGTCGTGCGAAGCACGGCTTTCGGACGCTCTGGGTATCCCGCGCGTGTCGTGCATTGCGATGGACGCCGACGCCCCTGGTGCGAAGACCATTCTGTCGTTTGTTCGTGAACGTGTTCCGCCCGTTACGCTTGAGTGGCTCGCGGTGGCTCGGAGCGGCGAATATCAGACCACAAACATCAAACACGTCGCGACGACGATCGGAGCACGGAAGCAAGTAGCGAAAACGTAAATGATCCTTGCCCATGGCAGAAGCAGAAACCAGAAAATGCGCAATTTGGTGGTCATGGACATATAACCGGTGGTCGAGCGAGCGTCTTGCTGGTTAGCTACGTAGGTATTGTTCGCCCTAGGAGGCAAATATAGTGGTGCTGCCCTCAGTAGGTTGCCACGGCTTTCTTGATGGCAGCCGGAACACAGATTGCCAAAGGTAACTCGAGCTGGACCTGGAAGATATGTCGCCGGGCTGCTCTGCACATGCACCGGGGGCACAAGTCTCTGCTGGGGCCTACGCTGTACATGTGTGAGGTTGTTCGCAATATCCAGGGCAACGGCGCACTCAAGACGCCGTGCCTTCCCGTCCACCCTCCCGCCAACCGTCGACCATCAACTGGAATCGCGGGACAACAGAACCTGAGGCATACACACACACACACACACAACGTCGACGTTCGTGCAGTATCCAGTCCGGAGGCTAGCTACAAACCTCTAACCCTGCCTAAACGACTTTCGACCTGGAGCGGCGCAGATGGTGACAACGCCACTTCTTGAGCTGTTCTGGGATCAAAGAAGGGCTTGCATAATCAAACTCGCGGGTCTCTCATCCACGCACTTCATCACGACCTACCGTTTAATCCTTCTCGGCGAGGCCTACCTCGAAGTCACGAAACGTGCATATTCTCTCGAGCACTCACAGTCAACTCACGAATACATCACCTGTCTTACAGATCCTGTGCAAGACATGCTCAGTCTTCGTGAGACAACCTGAACACTGCAAAACACCAAACACGACGACGCGATGCCGCCCGCAGGTGATATGAACATGGCGAGGGAGCTGCAGGCCGAATTTTCTCGCAAAGGCGGCGGCGGTCGACCCAGCCGGCCTAGTAGGCCACGACAGCCGATCAACGAGACACGAATCCCGTTGCAGCCTGTCTGGGCTCCTCAATCTCCTGCTGCCCGTCAGCCTGTCCGCTCATCAGCATGGGCAGGACCACTGCTCACTACCGCAGACCAAGCAAGACGCCAAGAACCTGTGCACTCAGCAACGACTACCTCTTCGGCAGGCTACACGACAAGGGGTTCAGGTCCGGCAGTAGCCACGAACAACGCGAAACCTGCCACGCAAACTGGATCCAGCACGGACTTTCAAGCACACCCACAGACACTCTTCTCCTACAACGACCCATCTTTTATGTCCGCCAATACAACAGCATGGGGTATCCCGGGCCCTGGCAAGGAAGCCGAGCATCACACGTCGCGACCACCTCTACGTGCTACAACCAATCTGACCCCTACAGCACCTGTCTTCAAGCCGCAAACGGTGGACAGCAGCGCCATGTCTGTTGATTCAGACTATCCTACCTTAGCAAACAGCCTCACCGTAACCTCGGGCATATCGGGCTACCCCATGGTTCAGGCTACTGATAAGCAGAAAAAACAAGCTGGCACCGCTCCCAAGATTGTTCAGAGTGGACTGCTGAGCGGGCCAGGTCTCAGCAGCTCGAGATGGGCCTGATATAGCATTCGACCGGTTCACTGGAAATATCAAGACCGTGCACACGTTGTAGATGCTACCAAGCTGTCTCGCCTAGGTGGCTGGCCCGTTCGCCGGTTCAGTTTCTGACTTGATCGGGCAAAGTCACATTGTAGGATTGCATGGCCAGGGCAGATCGCATGGCTAGGGCAGGTTCCTAGAAGAGTCCCAGCCGCAAGAAAACGGAACCTCATTACAGGACCATGCGGAATAATTTGCCATTGTAAATAGACAAGACACAGCCCTTGTAGTTAAGAAAGAAAGAGCTCTTGCCCACTCAGGAATCCTGCGCAGTTTAAAAAGCGATGACATCTCTGGGAGAGCTCCGACCTCCATCTTTTGACAGACAATCATGAAACCCCACAGTCTTTCGTATCTCAGACCTCCCGATCGTTGTGATTTCCAAGAAACCGGGAAGCGTGCGGCATACAGGCTACTTCGCTCAAGGTCTCCAGACGACAGCACCTTCGCGCTCGAGAAGTATTCAATTGCTGTCTGTTTGAAGCTATTACTCTTCATTAACCCATTTTTTACTTCTGCACAAGACTCTTCTCCACCAACTTGACCCCCTCTCTCACCTTGGGGCAGTAATGCCTCCGCAAAATCTCTCCCTCCCAGACAGTCGCGGCATACGGGTTGCTCCCCTCAACGCTGTCACTCAGCGGGTTGAAAGTGCCATCGCCCTTCCTCTCCTCCGTGTTCCACAGGCTGGCAATCTTGCGCCCGTGGGAACCGCCGACGTCAGTGAGCAGCGCGAGGATGGCCTGTGTCGACTTCTCGGGCGTGTGTAGCGCCGTGGTCATGAGCTGCTTTGTAAATGCCGCGAGTCGCAAGGGTGGCACACTCCGGATGTTCCATGGCGGCAGGAGCACCGCGGTCAGACACCGAATCAGCAGCACTGTCGTGGTTTGCAGGTTGATCTTGTTCTTGTTCCGGCTCGCTGCAGCTGCGGACGACTGCGGAGCATCCGGGTCGGGCAGGTGTAGCGACTTGGCGCCGAGCTCGAGGTCCGCGTTGATGGACAGCGGGAAAAGGGTTTGGTAGAGATGTGTGGTGAAGAAGGACAGGTCAAGGTGCAAGTCCGATCGGGCGTTGTGGGCATCCTGGCCGGCGAGCAGGGCGAAGGCTGTGACGGTGCACAGCAGGGCTTCTCGGGACGGGTTGCGCACAGGTGCGTCCACGCCATCTTCACGATCCTCTGCGTCTTCCTCGATCTCGTCGTCCGCGTCGGCGAGCGCATCGCTGTAGCGGATTAGGTCCTTGAGGGCCTCGAGCAGGTCGCCAAAGAAGTCCTGGTTGATCAAGTGCGAGTACTTTGCCAGACCTTCGAGTACAGCGCCCATCAGCTGCGGTGTGCGCTGCTTGAGGATGCGGAAGTAAGTGGCGAACACGAGCTTCAGAGTCTCCGACTGCATGCGATCCCTCTCCTCGTGGCTGACGAGCGCATCAGCATTTGCCATGTCCTTCTCGAGCGCTTTCTGCTCTTTCATCTCCTTGCGTGCTCGTTTCGTGCGGAACTCCTTCTTGAACTTCTTCCTGCTCGGTCCCTCGCCGCCGTCCCGCTCAACCGTGTCCGTCGATCCTTTGCCGGAGAATTCCGAAAGCACACGCAGATGCAGGAACAAGTTGATGACGCTCTCGTCGATTTGATAGTTCCGCGCCTTGATCATCTTTGAGAGCAATGACACTGCCTCCATGGATGGACGGCCCTCCTCGTCATCTTGGAAGAATGTCTCGAGCGCTCGTAGACACTTGTTGAAGTCATCGTCGACCCTCCTTGTGCTGATCTTGCCAACAAGGATCTTGACGACCTCGTTGCGAAAGTTGAAGTGCGGCACGCTGGTCAGCAGGGTGCAGGCACAGGTGATGGCGATACTTCCCAGGCTCTGCCCCTTGGCGGGTTTGGCGCCTGGCTGTGGCGCTTTCCGACCAGCCTTTGCGTGCTTCGCGAGTTCCTTGATGTAATTCTGATATCCCAGTACGAGAGCCTGCTCGTAGCTGCGCAGAGACCGCACGTCTTTGGAAAGCTTCTCCTGAGGCCCTTCTTCTGATTGAGGGCGGATTCGATATCCCGGGATGACATCCTTGTACACGGCCAGCTGCGTGGCGAGGGCGATCTTTTGGATCGCCAGAATCTTGGACTGGCCGATCTTGGCGAGAGCCTTGAAGGCACCTGCGTTCTCCTCGGGGGTTTCGTTGAGCATAAGAGCTATCTTGGCGAGCTCCTCCTTGGCCTCCCGGATCTGTATGTGCTCGGGCACAACGGGCACGTCCTCCTCGGGCTCCTCGTCCTCTTCCTCTGGATCCGACTCTTCATGACCACCCTCAAGCCATTCCTCGTCGCTTTCGACGATGAGGTCGTCACGGACTGCCGGGGCGTGGTGCACGGCGTCTGCACGCTTGATGGGTAGCCGGGTGCTGGTCTCCCGCTCCTTCTTCTTGGCCTTCTTGGCAGCTTTGGACTCGTAGGTATGTTCAAGATCCCAGTTGGCGGCATTCTTGAAGAACGACTTCTGGTTCTGGCGATCATCAGCCTCGGGCTCCGGCGTGATCCTCCTCTTCTTTGAGGGCCGCGAAGCCATGATCATGACGGGCGAGGACCTAGGTTCCGGAAATTCGATATGGCTGCCTCAAGCAATTTTCCAGCGCAATGTCTCAGAGTCGTGAGCAGGTGCTGTCAGGCTGTCTCGAATGGCTGTTGGTACACGTAGGCAAGGACTTGATCAAGCAGTCGTCTCATAGCAAGGTCAGTGAGAGACGAAAGTGAACCCTGGATCTTTTACAGGTGGCCCCACTTCCACGAACCTATGCAGCCAACCACAGAGCTTCATGCGCTACGGACTGCTCCACTCTTGCAATACACCGCCAAAAAGTTACAACCGGCAGAATTCTTCGGCCTGTCATTTTGCGTTGCGACTCGAGCTTGCGACAGCACACAGCGAAGAGACCCCACGCCAGCCAAGCCGACTGACGACAACCTCGACTTTGGACGATTTAAAGCCACGAAGACGATCGCCGAGTATCAAACCGCGCGGAATATCCCTGAATCACTACATACCACTTGATAATCTCGTTCCGCGACGCATACCGGCATCATGAGACCTCTTACCGAGACCGAGACGAAGACGCTCTTCGACAAGCTCGCAAACTACACGGGTGCCTCCCTGAAGCAACTCATCGCCCCGAGGGAAGATGGCGATCGTTATGTCTTCCGCTTGCACCGGGATCGCGTCTATTATGTGCTCCTGAGCATTGCCAACCTCGCCACCTCGATTGCCCGCGACAATCTGCAGTCTCTCGGCATCTGCCTCGGTATGCGGCAACCTTTTCTGAGCTCGGCCAGAGTCCTGAAACGTCAATGAAAATTGGCCATCCAAAATTTAGGCGTGTTATTCTGACTGTGGTACTGTTTCTAGGCAAATTCACCAAGTCTGGAAAGTTCAGATTGCACATCACAGCCCGTAAGCCCCCCTCCCCCCGGTCAAGCTCCGCACCATCGCATAAGTCGTTCCTCCCTCACTAACCCTATCATCCTTTTCCTCTGTTGTAGTTCCCATTCTTGCCGAGCACGCTCGCTACAAGATCTACGTCAAACCCAACGGCGAGATGCCCTTCCTGTACGGCGGCAACATTGTCAAGGCCCACGTGGGCCGGTGGACCGAGGACTGCCCGGAGCACCAGGGCGTCGTGGTCGTCTCGATGAACGACACGCCGATCGGCTTTGGCGTGACCGCGCGCAGCACCGCAGAGGCCAGGAGACTCGACCCCACAGGAGTCACCTGCTTCCGGCAGGCCGACTGCGGCGAGTACCTGCGTGACGAGGACACGCTTTTCGCTGGGCAGTAAACACTTTCCGGTTTAGGCGGCTGGGGCTGAGCCATTTGGATGGCCTAGGGGTAGGAAACACAAAGAGATGGCAGGCTCGAGGGGCACAGAAGAAAAAAAGCACCCAGTGCATATGGGCGACTTGCTGCTTGTCATAATAGCACAGAACGGAGTAATGGCGTTCCTGGGAAATTACTTGCATATAGCACAACACATTCGGCATGTTAAAGGCTGTGCTCAGATGCACGCAATGAGATGGTGAAACGCGGTGCACGCGAGGTTGGTTAATCGCAAGCCAAGAGTTTGAGCGTCCTTGACCCTCAGTATGATTTGTCTATGTTCGACTTATGAATCCTCTCCTTCACATCCGGACGTTTCTCTATAAAATCGGACCGTTCTCGTATGCAGCCACACCTCCCACAGCAACTTCCGCAACGACAGCCTCTAGTGGTGCTGGAGAAACGGGCCTGCTCTCTCGCCGCATCAAGCTCACATTGTCCCTGTCGGCAATGTACTCGCTGTCCGCGTAGCCGAGCAGCGACTTGATCTCTCGACTCCGTTTGCCCTTGACCCGGAGAACCTCGGGGGCCGCATAATTCACCACCGCCCGCCCGACTTCGACTGGCTGACCCTCCCACAACCTACCGTCCGGTCCTGGCGCGGCCCTCCGCTCAACGACGACCAGTCTCACGGCTTCCTGCTGACCGAAAGGGCCTTCGACGTCCACAACACCGACGGGAAGGAGGCCGGCCTTTTCCGACAATGCTCTATGCGCGCCGGCATCGATATATATTGTGCCGTGCGGCGCGAGGCCATGCAGGATCCAGATGTATCTATCTCGCAGGGGGTGCTCGAGGGGTGTGAATCTGGTATGTAGTGGCGGCTTCTCAAGAGAATCAATGGCGAGGGATGCAGTCGATCGTGACAGCAGGTCGTCTGCGGCGTCCCCCTCGACAGGTTCCTGTGGTGGTGTGCTGGACGGCTTCTGCGCTTGCACGTATCGCACGATCTTGACGATGTTCCCGGGGAGCGAGGATTTCGTGATGACGGTTGTCACGCCAGCTGAAGTCGCGAGCCTAGCAGCGATGATCTTGGTTCCCATGCCGCCGGTGCCGAGTGACGACCCAGCACTCGATACTGTATCAACAGTGTTAGTCACAGTGACCAGAAGTCGCGTGGCAAGAGACGCATCAGAGGTACGCACCATCAGCTTGTATGGACCCTATGTCCTCAACCACTTCTATTGGTTGGGCATCCGGGTACGCCCGAGGGTTCTTGTCGTACAGGCAGTCGACATCGGTCATCAGAAACAGGAAGTCGGCATGGACCATGGCCGCCGTGATGGCAGATAGCGTGTCGTTGTCGCCAAACTTGATCTCGGCCACAGCCAGTGTGTCGTTCTCGTTGACGATGGGGATGACGCCCATGTCGAGCAGTTCGTTCATTGTGCTCTGGGCATTGAGGTACCTCGTCCGCTAGTTATTTGTCAGAGGCGTTTCTACAAACCTCAAGATACAGCGACTTCACTTACATCAGCGATGTCGCTTCGCGTCAGCAGGATCTGGGATACTGGTTGTCTCATGTGGCCGAAAAGGCTATCCCACAGACTTATGAGCCGACATTGCCCAATGGCGGCCAGGGCCTGGAGTTTTGAGAGGTGTTTCGGCCGCCTCTGAACGTCCATACGGCGAAGACCGACGCCGATGGCGCCAGAAGAGACAATGACTACCCTGTGTCCATCTTTACGGAGCTTGACGGCGGTATCTACGATCAGACTGAGGATGGGAAGTAGAGGTTCATGTGTCTTCTCGTCTACAATTGAGCTCGTGCCTGGATACAGAGTTGGCGGTCAGTCGAAAAGCTTCATGATCTTGCTAAACCGTGCCCCACTCCACGTCTTGCCATTGCAGGTCTTTGAGCAAAGGGCTTCTTGGTAAGATAAAGGTTTAGCTTACCCAGTTTGATTACAACCGTCAATGGCTTTGGGGCTTTCATGTCTGCGTCCTTTGTCAGCGTTTGTGATCTGCCAATCGGGCTTCACGCAAGAAGGTGTCGGGCACACTGAATTTCCAAGGTTGAATGTTAAAGGCTCCAGGGGCTTTCCAAATTGGTGGAACATACGTGAAGCCATAACGGCAGAGACCTGTTATGTACGAAGTGGACAATATTCGAACACTTCCTCCGCAGCGACAACGCGAGACTCCAAGGCGTGAATTCAAGTGCCGGCTCGCCCTGCCGAGTACAAGCACGCCCTTGTATGCGGTGTCATACCGTGGTGCAGGTGGGTTTGTAGAACTCATCCTGGACGGGCAGCGGCCATGGTGGGACCGACATCGGCGGGGCCCGGCAGAATAGAAATGTTGTCGATGGGAGCTGGAGGAGATGTCTGACCGCCTGCCGGATTGTGGCGAGCTAGCACTGACCCTGGGTGCGTGGGCCCGGAAAGCAAGCTTGAACTCCACCTGGGCATCTCGAATTCGAGATCCAGGATTTGACAGTGTATCACCATTAACACCAGCACTTTGCGCCAAACACATATCCAGCTGCCAGAGCAGGGGAAAGAGACCAGGGAGCCCATATCCGAGTCCGGCGTGGTCTCAGCTACTCAATTTAAGCGGCCACGTACCCGTTACCCCACCGCACCTACGAGAAAGCACAACCTCAAGAACCGCAATGTCTTCATCAACGTCAACGTCAGTGCCGCCGGTAAGCACAAGCACAACAGACTCAACAACACAACAGCAACAACAACAACCAGCCTTCCCCAAGATCCTCAAGAACGACCCGGCGCGGACAGGCTTCGACCCCAAAACCAGCTGGTGGATAAACTACTTCAAGATCCTGACCGGCTCCGTGACACCCGAGGGGCAATTCCACTACCGCGAGTCGCGCTACCGCGCCAACGAGGAGAAGGACTGCAAGCGGTGCGACGAGTTCCGCGACTGGGCCTTCAACTACTCCCCGACCGTCATCTTCCTGCGCGACAAGATTGAGAAGCTCAACGGCCGGCTCGACGAGAACAACGTCGTCTGCAGGCGCTGCCCCGCGCGGCTCACCGAGGACGGCGAGGTGCACAGGCAGGCCGGCGGGTTCAGTCCCGAGCACGGGATTCTCATCTGCGCCAACGAGGTGCGCGACCGGAAACATCTCGAGGACACGCTGAGCCATGAGATGGTGCACGCATGGGATCACTTGAGGTACAAGGTCGACTGGCTGGGCCAGAAGGATCTCAAGCACGCGGCGTGCGCAGAGGTGAGTGCCCGTCCGCATTTTGTAGGCACAGTCTGTGGATCTGGCAAACTGACTGGGAAGCACAGATCCGGGCAAGCATGCTCAGCGGCGAATGCAGATGGACACGTGAGACGTTCACGAGAGGCAACTTTACCCTTACCGAGCAGTTCCAGGACTGCGTGCGCAAGCGGGCAGTCCAGTCTGTCCTAGCGCGGCCTAGCTGCAAAAACGATGTCGAGGCTGTCAAGGTCGTCAACCAGGTCTGGGACTCGTGCTTCTCGGACACGCGGCCATTTGATGAGGTGTATCGTTGAACAAAGGTCTAAAAGCTCTGACAAGTGTCGCCAAGCGTTGACAGCATCGGGGCTCGTTGCGAGAGGGACGACAAACCAGGTCAATCCCAGTGTAAAACAGTGTTCTCACGAGTGTATATACTTTTGGCAATCTCCTGCAATCGGACGACAGGCGTGCGGCGTTTAGCTTTCTTTCTCTTCATACAGCGCTCTCATTGCAGGCTCAAAATCTGTAAGACTGTATCTGCTGGTGTATGCTGATGTATCAGATATTTGAATAAGGAATGCCCATAGGACATTCATGATTGTCATTCCATTATGCAAAACTCCCTGTGCTGGTGCCATTTACCCAATAACGCCTCTCCCAGAACAAAACGCCGTTTTCCTACCACGAGGAACTTCGATCACACCAATACGCTACAGAAATAACGATCAAAGCAATAAAACCACACAAGCGTACTCGCTGGAACGCCACACTCCCTTGCAGCACATCATCATGAACGCGCCAGCGGCAGCCATTATGCATCCTCACTACGATTTCTCACGATTCGCCGCACGCTCGCCCTTGACGCAGTGCTTGACGATCCATGGGTGTGTCTGGATCTGGTCAAGGGGTATTCTCTTCTCAGGGTCAAGAACAAGAAGCTGTGGTTGCTGTGTCAGCTTGCTACACTTTCAAGAAGCACTGATTCGATCGTCTTTGGTCAAACTTACGCGCTTGATCAGATCCCGGGCCTCGGGGCTGACAAAGGACGGGATGCTCATATCCGCCTTCGCTATCCTCCGTTGCGTCATGACAGGAGTGTCCTCGAAGGGCGCCTCGCCAACCAAGAACTCATATGTCAGAACGCCCAGACTCCACAAGTCGACCTTTTCGTTGTAGTAGTTGTCGGTGCTACCAGGCTTGATCATCTCCGGAGGCAGGTAGTCCAGCGTTCCGCACATGGTCTGCCGCCTGCTGTTGGGCGCGTGTACACTCCAGCCAAAGTCGGATAACTTGATCTCGCCATGGACACCGACGAGAATGTTCTCGGGCTTGATATCCCGGTGGATGACGTGCTTCCTGTGGAGATACTTCAGGGCACTGGCCATCTGCGCGATGTACTGGGATGCCTTCCATTCGGGGAAGCGGTTCTCGCGACGAAGGTGCTTGTAGAGTTCGCCCTTGCCGGCGAACTCCAGGATCAGGAAGATGCGCTTGCTGTCGTGGAAGTGGCCGAACAGCTGAAGGATATTGGGGTGCCTCAGATTACTCTGAATCTCGATCTCGCGACGGACTTGCTTCTCAACGCGACCCTGCTGCAACTCGTTCTTGTGGAGGACTTTGAGAGCGCAAATAAAGCCACTCATCCGCTCGCGGACCAGGTATACCCGGCCAAACTTGCCCTTACCCAGTGGCCGGCCAATCTCGAACATGCCGAGGTGGAATTGCTTCGGTACCGAAGGCTGCTCGACGAGGGTGATTGACGCCCGCTCGGCGTGAGCTACCTCCTCGGACGCTCTCGAAGACGATGGCAGCGGTTTCCTGATCGGCGATGGTGGCTGGGGTGCCTTTCGTTGCGCGGCTTGCGAGGGGAGTGTGACAGAGGCTACGGCATTGCCGTTCTGCGTCTGAAGGGCGACCTTGTACAGGCCCGGGCGGCTGTTGCCATGCGGCAGCTGTGTTGTTGTTGTCACGACCTGGGACACAAACCATCATCGTTAGTCGGAGAATGAAGAGTGGCAAGGCAGGGGACACTTGAGCGCACCTTTGACTTGTACAGCCTCGAGCTCTCGCCAGAGTCATTCTCGTCGTTGACGGTCAGGTGCTCAAAGCGAGCCTCGAGCGTACGGGCAGCCATCCTGTTGGGGCAAGACACGGCTTTGCTGCAGCTGCAGATGAGCTATGAAGAAGGCGCAAGATGGCAGAGGTGTTGGTGGGCGTGTAGGATGTGCGATGAGACTAAGTTGAAGTCAGAGTCGAGGTTGGACAAAAGAAGTCGCAAGGTCTAGATAGCTGTGCTGGGGAACCAGCTTGCTGCTCAGCGGGTACCGGTTGGCCGTGCTGGGGCAGCTCAGCTGTGTGGGCTGTGCCCTTGTTTTGCTGCGGGTGGTTGATTGATTTCTCAGGTGGTGGTCGCGTTGCTCAGGGCAACCACGGGCCTTGGCATCCCTGCCGTGCGCCTGCCGCCGTCATGTGGCTGCTGAACTGCTAGTGCCCCACTCCTCAGAATCTGGGGATCTGGACAGGCCCAGCTCGACTTTGGAATGTCCGAAACACAGCATAATGAGTTAATCGGAAACACTTACGATTATTGATGCGTTCACATTCTAGAACTTTTCTGTAGTAATCGTCGAGCCTTGATTTGATCTTTTCCCTTTTTTCCTTTTTCGACAAGAAGACCAATCTGTGCTTATGTCACACGTTTTGTCAACCAGCAGTGCTTGAATGCACGAAATGCACACCAAGTCTCGACTCTCCCAGCCTTGAAAACCACCGTTGGAAGCCCGGGAAAAAATTGATAAAATCCAGATAGCTCGGCAGTGGCCTACATCTTTGGCTGGAATATGCGCGAGTGGAAGCTCATGTGCTACCCTCCCAGCACTAACCAGAAAGACGATTCCGTGCATGCCACTACAGCCCTGACTCCAGCCTTATTTAGTCCATCTGACCGTCCATGTGCCAATAACGCCGTGCAACTCCATAAGTGCAGCTTGATTGACTCTGCGTTCCTCCACCGTTGACTCATAGATGTCTGTCGCAATTTGAGCAGCAGTATGCAATGCCAGACCTATCCTTCCGACAAGATTCCCCAGGCCTACATGACTTGACTGTGGCCAGCCTGCCACGCTCGTTGCACCAGGTGATCGTCGTTCCGTTCGGATAGAAAAAGGCACACTCGAATTCGCCGACATTGCTGCAAGGCTGGTTCGTCTCCCCACGCTGGTGCAAAGAGTAGTGCGGTGATAGAGCCGTCGCACCGGCACCGAAGAAAACGGCCACTGACAAGAAGGTGTGTAGAAGCATAATTCTAGTGCCGCTCAGGATGCTCGAATTCGCCAGTGTGTTTTTGAATGGTACTAGTCCGGATGTGAGGTGGACGAGCAATATTGAGGCGAGTAGTTGTCAGTCTTATTCTTCTTTGGAGGAATATGGAAGAAAATGCTCAGGAACGACTATGCGTGAAAATTCAGATGCCCGGACTTGCTGGAACCCCCAGACTGGCCAGCAGGAATATGGTCACATTTATGCCAAAAGCCTCTCCGAGCTGAATATAAAACCAACAATAATCTGGGGTTCTGATCAGCATGGGCTATATTGGCTGACGTAGGAGAACATGTCCTTGCCAATCGTATCATCGTCGTGGTAGCAGATAAGATTGCGATTTGCGTGAGGCGGATGTTTGGGTGTAAGTGACAATGGGGGGTGTGCACGTTTTATGGCTAAGGTAGTCTGACGCTACCGTGCGCAGACGAGCATCACAATTACAACGGCACGGACCCATGCCTAAACGTCTCTGAGACTTCGTGATCGACTCTGAGCGATGACGACATATCTCAATCTGAGCATGAGTCTTCTTGAGGACGAGCAAGGGCAAGAAATATGTAAATATGAGCGACAGAAGTGCAATGTATGCCCCAGGCCCTGCTGAAAGTCTCTGGGTGCGATGTGCTTGTTCCTATGTGCATCCTAAACAGGTTGCTGTATAATAAACACCAGCCAAAGTTCTCACTAAAGACATGGCCTCATGTCTAATTACCCACAAGAACATTCCGTACTGGGGAATCAATTGTTCAGGTTGTATGCTCTTGTACCATGGAGGTTGTCATGTGCTTGCACTGAAAAATGGGCGGATGAGTAAGGCACCCTAATCAGCGTCATAACTGCCTGAGGCCCCCCACAATGCACGGAAGTGGCATGCGGTCCGGGGCAGTCGTTGCATCAGGATCCGATAAAGCTTCAGACTTTTTATCGATTGTGCCAACGTCGAGAAGCGCATCGACAACCACACCAACACCACCACTCTGCACCAGATTTGCTTCGTAGCCAGCAGATCGCTAGTCCAGCACCTACTCAAATCCATCGTTCTCGCCCGAAGCAACGGTCATCCCACGCAGCTCTCACCGAAACCGCCACCATGGACTCGGAAACCGTCAAGCTCGAGGTCATCAAGCAGGTGCGGACGCAGTATGCCATGGAGAATGCGCGCCAGCTGATTGACGTGAGTTGACTGTTCTGTTTGATCTCATTCTATCCCCAAGCCGTCCCATGAGCAAAGCCACTGACAGTTGCCTCGTGTTCCGCTCCTGTAGAAAATCAACGACCACTGCTTTGCCAAGTGCGTTCCCAAGCCCAGCACATCCCTCTCGAGCGGCGAATCGACATGCTTTACGCAGTGCATGGAGAAGTACATGTCGGCGTGGAACCAGGTCAGCAACACGTACATCACCCGGTTACAGAAGGAGGCGTAGACAGATCACCGTACGGTCACCATATTCAGTTCTCGACTGTTCAAAATGGGACGGGCTCGGTGGAGAACAAGTTGCGATTCGAAACCTACAACGGGCGGCGAAGCAGCAGCAACGGATGGCCGCTCGTCATATCTTCTGTACGATATGTAGAGGGAAAGGTAACGGCACGCGAGCCAACGGAATGAGCTTGTACACCATGTATAGTATAGACAGAAATCTATCGCCATAACGAATTAAAGCCGTTGGAGGGGTTGCTTCTCTTCCCGAGCCTTTCTTGGCCTTGGCTATTCTTCTTCTGGGTGATGGCAATGGACTCGAAGGGGTATCATATTGTATCTCAGTGCTGCTATTCAAGCCTGGCCCTGCTTCTTGGCCTCCTCCGCCGCCCGCTTGCGCGCCAGGTATCTCTCCTTTGCGCTCGAGATCTCCGAGTCCGTCTTACGGCTCTTCGCGGCGCGCTCGACCTTCTCCCGCTCCTCCGCTTCCTCTTGCATGGAGCGCTTCAGAGACTGCTCCAGCTGCGCCTCGAGCATGCGCGTCTGCCGCTCACGCATGGCCTGCTTGCCACCCGGCGCGAATTGGCCCTTGGAGGAAAACCTGTCGTCTCGCGAGTCGCGACTCTTGTCGGTGTCCCGCTTGACCTCGGGCTTCTTGGCAGCGCCCAGGTTCAGACCACCCTTAAGCAACTCGCGCTGGTCAACGACCTGCCCGTCCTCGTTAATGGCAATACCAGCGCCCTTCCGGTTCATTTCCCTCGCGAGATCCGCCTCCGTCTTGACCTTGTCCTCCTCCTCGCCCTCTGCTCCATTCGCCGCTTCTCTGGGACCCTCCTTGGCCCTCTCGGCCGCGGCCTGCACAGTCTCCGCATGCCTCCGGTCATTCCTCTCCAACAAATCCTTGTAAAACGCCGTCATCCCCCCGCCTTTATTCTTCTCGGCCTCGGCCTCCTCGCGCTTCTTCTCCTCCTCCTCCAACCGCCGGTTCTCCTCCTGCTGCTTCTTGTACGCCTCGGTGACAAACTTGTCCTTGTCCGCAAACTCGTCCCCCTCGAGCTCCCGCTCCCTCGCGATCTTCTTCTCCTCGGCGATCAGCGCGTCGCGCTTGCGCACCGCCGCCGAGGCGAGCAGGCTCTTCATGTACTTGGGCCGTCGCTCCGCGTCCTCGGGTGTGATCTTCTTCTCGGGCTTCAGCGAGTCGTACACGCCGTCGTAGTCATACACGGACGGGTCAAGCTCCTCCGCGGCCTCCTGGTACTTGCGCGACTCGAGCGCGCTCGAGAGGTCGCCGTACATGGACATTTGGGGCTTCTTGTTCTTGCTGCCGCCGCCGCCTGGCGGTTGTAATGAAGGGGCTTTCGCATTCTTGGATTTTGAGGTTGCTGTTGAGGAGGTCTTCGAGGTTGCTGAGCCGAAGCCGAAGCTGTCGTCGTCTAGCTCGGTGATCGCCGTCCCTTTTGATTTGTTGTTGTTGTTGTTGTCGTCGTCGTCATCGGAGTCGTCGTCGCCGCCAAACATTGGCTTCCGTTTGGGGGGCGCGGGTTTTGTCGGCGCTGACTTCTTGGTCAGGTTCAGACCAAACGAGAGACCTGGTTTGCTCATTCTGCCCGCCAGATGTGTCAAAGCTTGGATGTTTGCGAATGTGTGATTGTGTTGCAGAGAGTGCAGTTCACAGTCGCAACACAATGTTCAAAGTGCATTGCGCGCGCCCCCCCTGTTATCGATACTGTGCACTGAACAAAACGTCATTCCACGATCCACTTACACGTCGGCAACCCGTAGTTATGCTTAATTACCCATAACTAAGAACATTCGCGTTTCTACCATTTGCTATTGTACTGGACTTCTGCCTTTTACTCACAACGCGTGGCCACCATCATTGACGGTCGGTGCCTCCTCGTATACGTGTTGTAGTGAGCCCTAATCTCCCTTGTACTCCTCCACCCTCTCTATGTACCTCCACCACCCAAAACTTAAACTTGGCTCCACGTACCTTTGCGCCGGCGGAGGCTGCCTTGAATCTTGTGGACCGGCGTCAAGCTTCTCTGCTAGGAGGTTCGCGATGAGCCTGGCTCTTCGATCGTTTGCGAGTTGAAGGATATCGGCGCAAGCTCCCCAGTCGACGGTGACAACTCCTTCCAGGAGGGGTTTCAGCACCTTCGCATGACATGGTTCGTTGCGACACATGTATGTCGCAGCGTCGACTATAGTGTAGACAATATCAAAAGTCAGGGGATCTTTGTAAGCGCCGAGAAGCGCTTCCCACATCGGATCCCCACTTGTGTGATCCCGGTGGATTAAACCCACAGCATGTCGAATGTCCTCTCCTTTGACTGTCAGTCCATACCGCAAAAGGAGATGAACAAGCTCGATGCGCCGGGTCGCGAAAGCTTCCAGAAAGGCCGTGTTTGGAGTATCCATGTAAATCTGTTTTCTGCGTTTTGTGCGTTGCAGAATTGTTTCCGGCATTTCCGAGCTTTGTGACTGGATGGCGAGATCCAGAAGCTGGCGCGCCTGTAGTCCTTTCCACGGAGGCCTAGGGACAGGTTTCCCCGGACTTTTCGGTTGCTCGGGTATGTGGCTACAGAGCATTTTCAAGACTTGAACGTCGCCTTGGAACGTGGCGATCGCTATGCCGTCCGCCAACTCGGGGGAACTGAGACACCCTGTCGATTTGTTGTGGTTGAGAATAGTCTGTACCACTTCTCCACGGCCGCCATGACAGTCAGCTGAAAGGTCGAGAAAGTATGCGACTTCCGGTGGCGTTTTGCAAGTGGCGTTCCGTGCTTGAGAAGGGTTTCGACGACCCCAGCGTGGCCGCGCACAGCAGCACAAGTCATTGCCGTCACATACTCCGAATAGTCCCCGCTGTCATGTGCTTCGTCGGAGAAAGAGACCGTCCAGGACAGTCGCCCAAACCTTAAGGTCCAGCGGCGTTTTGCGTTTGTTCCGAGCTCCAGCAGCCTGCGGACGACATCTGCATGGCCCATACGTGCAGAATGGAACATCAACCATTCCCCCAGGGACAGCTCGGCGAGTCCGCTAGGACTTTTTCCAGTGGACTGAACTTTCTTCAGGTGCGTTTGTGCACTTGGGTGGCTCAATAGCAGTACAATGAGTCGTCCAGACGACTTGGGATTTTCGATTGCGGAATAAAGCACTCGCAAGTCGATTGTCCCCTTGTCGCCATCGCTTGCGAGCAGCACCTCAAGGTTGACGGTGTCGTCCGCAGCAATGACCCACTCCAAGACGGTATTGTACAAATTCTCGATACAAGGCAGGAATTGGCTCAACTCAGTCCATGCTCGAGGAGCGATGAGTGTAGTTTCGCAACCGCAGAAATACGTGATCATGTCGAGGACAAGTAAGGCCTCGCTTTTTCCATAGTCTGGTTTGAGCGCTGTCTTGGCTTCGAGGTCGGAACACAAGTCCAAAAGCGCCCAGACTTTGTCCCGAGCATCACTCGCCTGCGATGCCGCCAGACGTTGCAGCAAAGAGAAGAGAGGTTGTCGATCAGCCGTCCTATTCTGACCCGGCAGCATGTCGAGGATCTGTTGGCAGTGCGGAGGTGGTGTCACGTTGAAGAAACGAAGGCCCGCGAGGAACACGTCGGTAGCCAGGGATGGAGAGCCACAATGGATTCGTCCCTGGCCGGCATTCGCGACTTCCTGTACGATCCAGACCCTGTAAAACCATGACTGCTGGAATATGATATCAAAGCCTTGTTGCACTCTTGGCATGAGCGCATAGTGTCGCTTTTGGAGGATTCGCAGAACGTCCGTGCTCCTGGCCTCTGCCGTGCTCCTTGAGTCTGTTGGCTCATGGTCGCCATCCACCAGACAAGTATGCAGCTCGCGTAACACCGCGAAGAGCAGATCCGTCATCTCCGTGGGTCTTCCAACGCAGAACAAGACCTGCCGAGCGAACCGAAAGATGTCACCCATTCGCTGTACTTGATGACTTCTCTCTGGGATGTTGCCCTGGTCAATGCAGATGGCATCTATCCACAAGACGCGATCTTCATTGACAAGTCGGAGGTCGCGAAGGATCAGGCTGAGATTGAGCCCGATGCCCAGTCGTTCTTCATTGATGACCACGAAGTCCGCATCCTTGTCTGTGCCCCAGGTGTAAGAGACTGCTTCATAGTCTGTTCCGTCTCCAATCTGCGCGTCGACAAGATCACAATCGATCTCAGCGCCGCGTTCCTTGGCAGCTTTGAGTCGTGCAACCCTGAAGAAATTACCACCATGGTCGAGTTGGCTATATTTGTATGGCGTCGGGTTGCCATCCATGCCGCTAGTTCCCTCGTGATGCCTCGCCACGGCAGGGTCCGTTCGAGTTGCTGTGGTTGGTACTAATTGTGGTGCTGGAGTCTTGAATCGTGCCGGTCTGCTGGTTTGCTCAAGTTGTCGTTCTACCACAATCGTTCGCAGAGTTCTCGGGCCTTGCCAGAGTTCATGGTCAATCAATTCTCACCAGGCCGGACTGGGCTGGGCTGGGCTGTGCCGAGCAGGTCTGTCTGCCCCGTGACTGTTGGTCGTGGCGAAGCTGCATGTCGCATGCAGGCCTGGCTCCAGCGAGTACCGTACACTGGACTGGTGCCAATCATTTCTGAACCCTGGTCAAGGCCCTTCCATCAACAGTTCTTCCCTCTTACAAGACCATCCAGATCCGGTTTTCTGGATATTAAGCCGCATGTTACACAACTCATATGCACCAACACTTTGTATAGTGGCTGAATGCAACGGAATTTCAGGAAGTGCTTCGCTTCTCGTTGGGCTGTTCCCGATGCCAGATGCGTAGGCTCGCCCAAGAACCTCTTGTCGACTTTCGTCTGATTCAAACACTTAAGTAGCACCACGGTGCCTCATAATTATATGTCAGTTCTATAGCAAGGGGAACTATTTGAGAGCATCACCCGGCATTGATATAACTCTTTCCGTGCCACACTCGCGGCGGCAAAATCTATGATCTAGAGTCGTTGTCAGTTCTGATCACCCAGCAACAACTACATCATGCTCTTCTAGAATGTGTCATGCAAGTGCAGCTGATCATACGCAGGTTGTTAAACGCCTTTATCATTATAATGATAGAAGCGGTAAAGGCCTCGGGGCAGTTCACATCTTCATTATGTCGAACCGGTCTGAAATCTGCACGAACCATCATTCTTGAAGGAGATAATTCGAAGAAAGGATTGGATTACGCATTGAAACAAGCAATTGAAAACAGAAAAGGAAACCATTGAAACCAAGAATGACGCCACTTCACTCCGAACTGGGCCCATAACAAGTCGTCAAGCCGAAATTCATAAATGCCAATTGCCTCGCAGAGGGTCACTTCCACGCCAAGCACAGCCACAGCCATGAGAGGTGAGAGTGGCGGCGAGGAATGTCTGTCCGAGATGCTGCTGCTATAACTCAGGGTGATCGCTTCTGTAGCCCACATGGAGTTCTGGATCGTATTTGCCTTGAGCATATTGGACGAAGTCCACTGCAGGTTTTCTGCAGTCGAGAAGAATGAACGTGTTGACCAGCTTTCCCGCACCCTTGCGACTTTTTCCAGCTCCCATGTATATGTGATGCCTAGCAAGCTTTCTCGACATTGGCTACCTGTGTGATGCCCATTCCTCGCAGGTTTGACACACAGGATCAACTTTGAAACTTCTGAGCTGAGGGACCATGATGTCAACGCTTGATATCCGAGAATTGCATGGCGTCATCTATATTGCACAAAAGGAAGGGAGCTGAGGCTGACATGGACACAGTCATCGTCACAAATATGATCCAGGTTTTCAAGTGGAAATTTTCGGGCAAGCGCTCCTGGCAAAATGTCGGCCATAACGAGTTGACAAAACTGGATCATGAAGCATATATCGGCACATTGCTCTGCGCAAGCTTAATCCGGTATCACAAGTAGTGATTTTGACCTCCACCTTAGGTCCACATCTTCATCAGACCTTGCGGGAATCCCGAAATTCGAACCTAAGTTGTGCATAATCAAAGCCCTAGCCATGTTTGTAGTGAGAGCAGATTGTTCTGGGTTTCGGTAGTATTTCTGACCCCCTGACGTGAGCCAGATTACATGTAAGCCTTGATTGGGTCGGAGCATGCAGGTTCTTGCGTGGCCGAACAAAAGCACAGGGATGGATCGCGTCAGAGCCTAGAACGAGTAGCTCAGCGCTGAAGAATTTTGGTTGGTCACGAGCTGCTGCATTATGCAGGCGAGTCCGAAGACGCGAACCCGAGGCGGCTGCCATAGGACCCTGGATTCGATTGAGAACCCCTGGACAAGGGCCATGATATAACGGAGGAGCTCGCCATGTCAGGAACATTGCGAGATCTGACCCGATCTCTAAAGGCAGGGACGCCGCCAAAGCCTGAAGCGGAAGAAGCCAAACCAAGTATGGACGGGTACACAGCCACTTATGAAGACCGACGTAAGCTGCAGAACAGATTGGCCCAGCGCCGCTACCGTAAGTCCTGATGCCTCAACAACCAAGCAATAGCCAAGGCTGCGCATGGAGCCATATGCTCACGAGGGTGTCGCCATGGCAGGGTCCAAACTGAGGCAAGGACAAGAGCCTGCTCTCGCCTACGATGCCAGCTCCTCTCCAGCCCATACAGGGTCGAACGGGTCGAACGGAACGCAGGAACACAACGAAGCAATGTTCCTCGACTATCTGGACACGCTAGACCACAACATGGACGGCCAAAGCAATTGCGAAATTACCGACACTGGTCCCAACCTTTCGTATCACATGTACAACAACAGCGGTGGCGGGGTTGCTCCGGAGGAGCAGCCAGACTTGGCACACCTCTATGCCGCGCCAGGGCAGCAACAATCAGCAGCGTTTCAGACTGGGCTGCAAGCGATGCGGGCGACATGTGTTGCAGAGACGCAATCGTATCGTGGCCCACTCGCAGAGCCGGTGGCGACAAGAGCCGAAGAGTGCCTGTCCATACGACGCAGGCCGCACGCGGAGGTGATGGTGGCGCCCGGCAGTGGCGGACCGACGAGGGTATGCAGAACCGAGGAGAGACCAGGGCACGGCGTAGCGGGCACGACCATGTATCAGGCGCGTCTGCACGACAAGGCAAGCAGCGCATTTTGGGAGCTGGAGAAGCTGTACAGATATTCTGTGGACGTGGGCTTGCTGCGGGCAGACCCTGAGTTTGTCCAAGGCATGAGGAGCATGCAGGACCGATTCAGGGCCCTAATGACTGTAGATTGCGAGGGGGGCCATGGGAACTGACTGAATACGTACGTAGAGTGATATGTAGGCAGCTTTGTCAGACCGTGTTGACAAGTATTTCTGTCGATGGGGTTGCCGGCAGGGAGTGGGCCGGGGCGCCGGAGGGATGGGGCCGGCCGGCCCTGGCCGCTTGGCTCCGCTCCTTCCTCATCCAGCAGGCGCAGCTGCCAGAAGGCGCGGCTGCTCAGCAGTCAGCTACGCTACCTATGCGGCAGACGACAGCACGGAATCTCATAATCATGAGCCATTCTGTGCGGCCAAGCAGCAACCTGGACCAGATGAAGGGGGAAAACGCCCATGTGTCCTGCGAATAGCGGCCTGCTCATGGCACTGTTCGTTGACAGCCACGTGGCCGCGTTCAGGCAACTAAGCTGTCAGTCGAGGGGACACGCTTACGGGTGGGAACTTGAACCGAGATACGCTGTGAACACCGGCGTGGTCATTCAACACGTGGAAAGCAAAAAGCTCGAACATTGTGCTCCAGGCTCGGTATGGAAATGACGGCTGCTTGTGCAGGCATGCATGAATGCGCCTGTCGGGCCGATGTGGTGCCCAAAGCGCGGATGGGAGCGTACATGGATGATACTCAGTTCAAGAGTATGGATATCAGGTCATTAGCCCAAGCAAGTGCCAGAAGCTGCATGACAAGGTTGAGGATGCAGGGCGCGGGAAAGTGCCTTGGCGTGTCCGATCAGCGTTTGATTACGTGACACAGATAGACCCTCCTCACAAGGTGCAAGACAAGGGTGGACGTCATTTTCGCGCCAGCAGCTTTTCCCATTGAACCTCCACCTCCAAGCCGCAACCAGGACAACAGTGAAGCACAGGGACAACCCGTCCCAGACTCGCACAGCAGATTGCCGAAATGCCACAATGACCACGCGGTCCATGTCGCCTCGGCGGCGGCATATCCTCTCCTCAATCAACCCAGACTTTGCACCTCTGCAATCCCCGCCACCACCGCCGGCAGGCAGCACTGTCAAGCAGCGCCATGATTCCAAGGCACGGTCGTCGTCGCCGTCGTGCGACAGAGATCGGCCTGCCTCGGCGGCGGCGCCCGCGAACGAGCACGCAGAGAATAGCAGCCATCAACACAGCAGCAGCGAACACCCCGTAGGCCCCCCCGACGACGAGCAGCGCCGGCACAAGAGGCCCTCCAAGTTCCGCTTCAAGTCCAAGTCGTCAAAGCACTCGAGCTCGTCGCGGCACTCGTCACACCGACACCGTGACCGTGACCGCGACCGCGACGAGCGCTATGCAGCCGAGGATGGGCTGGAGGTCAACCTAGGCCGCTACCGCGAGAGGGAGGGCTCCGACCATGGTACCAGGAATGGCAAGGACGACAACAACGACGATGAAGACAAAGACTCGACAGCGTCCTCCTGGCGCCGCCGGCATCGCTCTTCCCACCGCAGCCACCGCCAACGCGAGGGCGACAGCGACAGCGCCGATCGCAACGAGAACGGCGAACGCACAGGTCACCGCCACCACCACCACAGACACAAGCGGCGCCGCCATGGCCACCGTCGAAGCGAGCAGCCGCGCTCCCCAACGCCCCCAAACCCGCACGACCCACCGCCCCTCGACCCCGAAGCCGCCTTCCGCGAGTCCCTCTTCGACGCGATGGCCGACGACGAGGGCGCCGCGTACTGGGAGGCCGTGTATGGGCAGCCGATCCACATCTACAACAACCACAAACAGCGGTCTGACCCGAACGGCGGCGAGCTCGAGGAGATGGACGACGAGGAGTACGCGGCACACGTGCGGCAGAAGATGTGGGAGAAGACGCACGAGGGGCTGGTCGAGGAGCGCAGGCGGCGCGAGGAGGCCCGGCGGCGCAAGGACCAGGAGCAGACCGAGGCGGCACGGCTGACGGAGGAGATGGAGCGCAGCCTGCGCCGTGGAGAGGAGCGGCGCAAGAGGAGGGCCTGGCTAGACCGGTGGACGAGCTATCTCGAGGCGTGGGAGCGCTGGGATGGCAGTGTCGAAGGGATCGCCTGGCCTGTCGCTGACGTTGCGGCTGCGGCTGCCGGGGGGAGCCTAAAGGGCGAGGCTAATGTCCCCGTGGTAGATCCCGCCGCCGTGCGCGAGTTCTTCGCCACAAGCATCAACCCCCACGACATCGGGGAGACCGAGTTCCTAGCCCGTCTCAAGAACGAGCGCGTCCGTTGGCATCCAGACAAGATCCAGCAGCGGCTTGGCGGCAAGGTCGACGACGTTGTCATGAGGAATGTCACGGCTGTATTTCAGGTCGTGGATAAGCTGTGGTCGGACGCACGGTCGTCTAGAACTGGCTGAGTGCGTCGTCAGACTGGGTTGGAGAAGAAGACTAGATACCCCAAGAAGCATCAAAATGAAGGGCAGATGCACATACGCATACTTTTTTTTTCTCTTAAGATTTCTTGTTTACTCGTCCGTGATGTGATGTAAAGAAAGAAGAAATGCATCGGAAGTGGTATTGATATTGGCTCATCGGCATCGATGCTGATATCCAGGGGGGCACTAGGTGAATCATGGGAAAATACCGTACTATATAGTACAAACAACAACAATAGCAACAGATAATAAAGTGCCCCTGCATGACTACTTGGGTGCATGCACAACAATAAAGACCACCTTCCAAACGCCCTTTCCCGCCCCTAACTCTGAAGCTTGCGCCTGTTATCGATCTACTGGCTCGCCTGTAGCAGCCTTTGCATACTCTCAATATCATTGATCGTCTCGTTGAAAATCCTTGTCACCGAGTTGAGGACCTTCATGCGGTTGTGCTCGCCCCTCGTCCTCCAGATCTCGGACATAAGCTCGCGAGAGATCTGCTCGAGCTGCTCAATCGTGCAGCCCGACGTTCGCGAAGTGAGCTGCATTTGGAAGACATCGGCAGATGCGTCATCCACCTCCACGTGCTGAGACGCAGCGGAGTTAGAGTGCAGCTGTGACTGAGAAGCGTCATCGGGGAGTGGACTGTTGAGCAGATTTGCAACACTCGCAACCTGGGAAGACTTTGCGCCAACGGGTGAAGTATTGTGCGCAGAGCCCTGGGAATAATTGGGATACCCTCGCGCCACAGCGTGAGCCTGTGAGTGCATCCAGTGCTCGTCGCTGGAGGTGTGTTGAGTCAAGGGCTGTGTGTCAGGGATTTGCTCGCCAGGGCTCGAGTGCTCGCCATGCGCTGCGCCATTCGTCAGTTGAGTGCTGAAGTTGGAAGAGCGATTCGACGGATCGGAAGTCTTTGTGGTTGAAGCATCATTGGCAAGTGCCGAGGGCGATACACCAGGCGGGAGCGCTTGTACTGCCGATACCTGAGAAAGCTGCGTGTCGGCCCCAGCAGTCGCCCGTGCGGATAAGTCCACAGGACGCTGTTCGATACGTGGCCACTGCGATGGTGGTTGCATCGCAGGATTCCGTTGGGGAATCACAGAATCCGCATCAGTCATCTGGGTGTCTTCGCCAGCCATTGGCGGTGCTCCAGCTAGATCACTCGATACGGCCGCTGGGGCGGGTGATGGGGAGTCCTCGTCCATGCCATTAGCAAGGTCCCCGATTACCTGGAAGTGCGCAGTGGTCGTGTTGAGCCTTGGTGGTTGGCCATTTTGCGAAGTGTTCTGTGCACCTGTGCCATTCGCCTGCGCCGAGTCGACAACAGATTGCATCGCTGCCTTTTTCCGCCGCCGCTCCATCCGAATCTCTCGGCGTTCTTGCTCCTTCCGGAACTCGCCCTCCCAGTCAGTCGTCACATTGTCATTGTTGAACTTTGTGTTGACGTCCTGAATGTCAACCTCCACATTGGAAAGCAATTCGGAGGCTTTCAGAATCCTCTGCTTGTCCACCCCATGTGCCTTTGCGTCGTGGTCGAGAGCATAAATGTCTCGCAGGAACGCAAACGGGCTGATGTAGTAGCCATTGGCTAGGCGCTCCTCGATGACTACGATATCCATGTTGTAAAAGAACTTGCCTGTCGCCGTTTCTCGTAGAACATTGGTTCCTTTGCTGTCCTGGTCAATTTCGTAGGGACGCGGCTGTCCGGCAATGTCGGGTGACACAAAATTGGGGTCTTGCTCGGCAAAGAGGTAGTCATACTGTGCAGGGACCAAAACAGGGTTCCTGAACAGCCTGTACTTTCGATTGATCTGATCCATGATGGGCTGGAGGTTGACTTTCAAGAGATTCAGGAGACGGCGGTAGTCCAAGCTGGCCTTTCGCATCTCCTCCTTGGTCTGCTTTTTTGGCGGGGGAGGTGGCGCGACGGGAAGCGTTTCGAGAACACGCTTCTTCCGGTCCACAGGGTTAGGAAAGTCCTTTGGCGACCGACGAATATGATCAATGATCCTTGCAAAGTATTCTTGACGATTTTCCTGAGCGCGAAGTCAGCATACTGCTTTACTGCAAGGAAACGATTTGTCTCACCTTGAAAGGTCGCGCGATTTCTATGCAATTCCGACTTGAGAAGCCAAAGAGGTCTCTCTTGAGCTCAGGGTCCAGATACTTCGCCTCTTTATCTGCGGTGGCGAGCAGTAGGACAGGATCAGCGGGCTGCAGCGACCGCAGGAGGGTGAGGAAGGTCTCGAGTCCCTCCCCGGTCCTCGACAATCCATGGTACCAGGCGTCAACATTCGGAATAAAGATGACACTCGGCTGGTGTCGCTTGACCTCCTTGAAGAGGGTGAGAAGCTTCTCTTCCACTTTCTGTCAAATCTGTTAGCTCGGCCACTTACTTCATGCGAGATGATCCATGACTTACCCCTACGTCGCCAACCACAGTCGCCAGGTCGAAACTTTGCACGTGCACGCCCTCGAGGTGGTGCAGTAAAGCGGGACCAATGTAGGATTGGCCCATGCCTGGGGAACCACAAATGAGGAGTCGGGGACGGTACGTTCGTGACCGCTCAAACTCCTCGAACAGAGCCTCGCGGCCATGACCAAAGTCTTCGTCATCATAGGGTTCCAGCATTGCCTCCTCGAGCGCAGTTGCTTTCTTGGTCCGAGGCAGCACGGCATCGAGTGCCCCCTTCATCATAGCAACCTGGTCTCGTAATAGAGGCTGAATGACCTTGGGCAGAGGCGCTGCCGCACTCGTAGATGACCTTTGAGACGAGGCAATGATCTTCCTCTTTGCGATGACAAAGTCTGACATCTGCACGTGGATCTTGCTTGGGTCTACCAACAACTGCTCGCTCGTCATGTAGATTTGAGGATATGTCCTTTGAATGGCATTCAGGCCGGCCTCAGTACACAGCGAGCGCAGATCGGCACCACCGTAGCCTTTGGTCTCCTTTGCGAGAGACTGCTTGAAGTCTTGGGATAAACCCCAGTCCTTTGTGTGGATGTCAAGGATGGACTTCCGGGCGTCAACATCAGGCAGGGGAAAGTAGAACTCTCGGTCAAATCGCCCGGGCCGTCGCAGTGCTGGGTCGATGTTGTCGGGTCGGTTCGTGGCGCCAATGACGATGACTTGTCCACGCCCGTCCATGCCATCCATGAGCGCCAACAATGTGGAGACGATCGAGGCATGGATCTGTTCCTGCTTGCTAGACCGAACTGGCGCCAGGCCATCGATCTCGTCAAAGAAGATGATGCTGGGCTGCGTCTTTCTCGCTTCCTCAAACAGAAGTCGCAGCTGCTTTTCGGCCTCACCAACCCACTTGCTCAAGGCATCTGCACCCTTTCGCATGTAGAAGGAGATCTTCTTGCCACCGAAACCAATAGAATTGGCAAGGGCACGGGCAAGCAACGTCTTACCCGTTCCTGGGGGTCCATGGAACAAGACGCCTCTGGGAGGGGTGATCTTCAGGTTGAGGAAAAGCTGTGGATACAGTAGCGGCAGCTGCACCATCTCCTTGAGCTGATCAATATGGTTTTGCATGCCGCCAACTTGGCTGAAGTCCACAGACATGTCCACTCCAAGCGGATCGGCATCTGCCAACGCCTTGCGGTCCTTGATCTTGCCAACATTGGGGCCAGCGGCACCTGCGGTATTTAGAATCGCCGGATGTGTTGCTGCTGTTGGGGTCACCCCGACACCCATATTGGCTCCACCACGTTCAGCACCTTCGTCATCACTGCTGTCGGGATCGGCACCACCAGCAGCCTCATAAGCTCCGGTGCCCCATGGCCCGTTGAACAGTGCTCCCTTGGAGAGGTCAACACCGCCAAACGGTCCAGCCAGGGAGAGCAAGCTGTGGTCCCAACCACTTGCAGCGGTGGCACGTCCGCGGCGTCTGGCTGGAGTTGGCACGTTGTTCTCTTCATCCTCGAGTAGGTTGATCTGGTTGAGCGCTGGAATCGTGTAATTGACGGGGGCTCGTACGCGCTTGCTGGGAACCGTGAGGTGGGGTTCCGGCGTTCGTTGCCGTCGTCTTCTAGGTCGATCAGCTTTGAGTTCTTCAAGTTCGTCTGCCAGCTCATCGGGATCGAGCTCCACGTCAGACTCCTCGCGCATTCGAGACCTTCGAGAGCCCCGACTCTTCGCGCGTGAGCTCTTGCGCCCTCGTGTCGGTGTTGATGACTCGTCCTCATCGTCTCCGTTGTCTTTTGCAAGCTCATCATCAGAGCCATCGTCGTTGTCATCGGCAACTTCGTTGGGATCGAAATCGCTGCTTGGCTCGGCCATCGACTTCCGGGCCCGTGAGCCGCGGGTGAGACGACCTCTGGTGGCCGGCTTCTCTGGTGAGTCTGCGTTTGCATCTTCCGCCGCCGCCGCGCCTGCGGCGCCACTCCTGGAGCCCCGAGTCCGGCGCTGGATAGGCATTTCATCGTCCTCATCTGCATCAGCGTCTTCTTCGACCGTCTCCATTGGCTGGTCCTCAATCTCAACAGTAGCATCAGCCACATTGCCAGACTCCTCGCCTTTGTCATCGGGGACATTCAGGACGGTGTCGTCTTGCATTGCGTCGGCATCGTTGTCCTCTTCTTGACGACTGCCTTCTTGCGTTGCCTCCTCGATGACGGATGGAGCTTTGATGCCTTTACCGCCACGGGTAAGTCGAGTAGCTCGCCCTAATGCTTCAGGGCTTCTGCTCCTCGACGACTTTGCGGGCAATGCATGCTTTCCTGAGTTGGACAACTCCACCATCTCGTCATCCCGGTCCACTGTATTTGACCGCGTCGCCCGTTTGATCGGATTCAACGCTTCTCGTGATGCGCCGCGAGTTGTTCTGGTGTTCCGCATGGCGGCTGGCGTAAGCTTAAGCTTGATGATCTTGGTGGGTCGGCCCTTGATCTTCTTAGGAGTGTCATCCAGTTCGTCTTTGTCTGTCTCTTCTACAGCAGCAGCATCATCGTCATCCTCTGAGCTTTCCTTGTAGGTCTGACGTCGTGTTGCCGTCTTTCTCTGGCGACGGCCTGTTGTGGCATTGACGGCTTCCTCATCCTCGTCATCCTCATCATCGTTTTCAATGAAAGAACCCTCGTCGCTGTCCTCGAGTATATCGTCGTCGTCATCGTCAATATCTGAACCTCGATATCTGCCACCACCTCTCTCCCCACGTGACGATTTCTTCACGTTTCGTGACTGGCGCGACCGTTTTCTATTGGGCGGGCTGGGACGGTTGGCACTGGGGTCAAAGTTCTCGTCCTCCGAGTCAGATTTGTTTGGATCGAAGTCGAGAATGTTATCGCGCTTGCGCTTGGACGGCATTTTGTCGGCTTGACGTCGAGACGACGGGGCTCTACACTCTCGCCTGTGCTGATGCGAGTCGGAGGGGTGGTCTTGATGCAAGGGTCGGTCTATCTCGCTAGTAATGGGACGACGAAAGTGCTAACACTGTCGATGTCTGGCGGGCACAGGTCAGCACAAGAATATCACGCACAGTCAAGCTTGGTGGTGTATGATGACTGCCAAGTGCAAGCAACCTGGGCGGCCAATGTTGACACGAATGGCGTGATCCAGGCAATCGAGGAATACTCAGACGTTCGTGCCGGCTCTCCGTTCAAGATTCACCCGGGGCGGAATTCCGTGGCTGGACTTACAAAAAGATGCCTTTCCACAGCAGAACCTGAAGGGATCACTCCATGGGCTGCGGATTTGAGCGCAACAGAACCCGCAGAAACTTTTGGCAGATGCAGCGAAGCGATAGGCGCAAGTTGGTATCGGACTGCGATCAAGTGAAGACGGCTGCTTGGCGAAACGGATGTCGTGAAGTCGAGAAGAAATGCCAATGGGGAAAGTGAGGGCGATGCAGTGGTGCAGAAGATGGGCTGGCACGATGCGACGCGGAACGTGTGAACTGGCAGTGAGCGACGGAGGCAGCGGTTTGCCTGGTGAAGGGAGAGAGTCGGCCAGGGAAAGAAGTGAAACGACGCGATGGACAAGATGTGCAATCCTGAGCAGAGGCGTCTTGCGGTTGGGAGCATGCGAGCGTGAATGTGTGGTGATGGCCCGGAGCTGCCCAGGTGGACGACGTGAGCGAGGCTCGAGGGCACACGCAGGCTGGCGCGCGTCGGGTCCTGGCTGCGCCTGCCCCAGGCACTGAGGCAGAGCTGCGACTGCCTGCAGCGACGTGAAATTGAACGACCCCAGCAGCCAATGAGCATGCAGGCGAGGCCGGATATGTGGGTCGGCTGGGGGGCCACACGCCGGTGGACGCCCCGCCCGCAGTCAATTGTCCACCGCCATGCTCATCATTTCCCACGCAACTCCGGCACCCTTCGCGGCCAGCAGCACGTTGCCGATTGAAACACAATTCCGACACTCTGGAGCTCACAACCTGACCTCTTTTATCTGCCGCTCGTCACTTTCCATGGAACGCTCACGTGTCATTCAGTCTCGCTGCTGGTTGTCCCAACTCGTCGCAGCGCCTCCCAGTGACCCAGCAAAGTCGTAGACGGCATCACGATTGCTCGCAATTCTGTAGCTCCGGGCCCGGCGCCCGACATCTCGTCATTGCCGGCACCGCCGTCGCGGCGCTCGACCGTGGATCAGCCCTACCATGCCGAGTTGTCCACGGTGCCGGGCGGGGAGCGTCCGGGGCTGCCAAGTCGCGCGCCGTCCGTGTGCGCTACGATGCAAACAACGGGGTATGCATCTAAGCGTGCCAGGGAACCTCAGCAGTGTGGAGCAAGTCGGGCCCACTCAAGTGCTCCGTGTCTCCTTCACAGGGGAGTCTGCGCGCGCATGATCAACACCAGCCCATGAAACCCATGCAAAGCACGCAAGTCAAATTCCTAAGCATTGAGTTCCTTGTCAGATCGTGACAGGCTCCTATCTACGTGAAACTTTACCATGGACAAGTGCCTGGCGCGGCCTCTTCAAAATACACACAATCAAGAGTGTCGATCTCTCCTGGCGACCCAGATTGTGGTCGAATGGTGCACACACACTTAGGCTCCCAAACAGCATTGTGAAGAGCAACCGAGTATGCCTGCTCTCTTCTCGGCGTTCTCTCGACTACGAGGAGTCCAGCGTGTCAGTAACACGACTGCCTCGGTTCGCGGATCAGGTTGTCTGCACAGCCAGCCCGCAGCATGAGACAAGTTGGGCATGCATATGGCTGGACGCTGCAGGACAGCCATGGAACGCTCGCTCTTGACCGTCATCACACAGATACGGGGTCGCCTTGCAGATGCGCTCCGTGGATTTCTCGCAGTGCTCTTCTGGTGGCAGAGACAAAAATCAAGATTACGTTGCTGTTCAAGAAGCCTCCTGCAGCTTCCGCAGTAAGTCGGGTACACCATGGCTGGGCTTCGGCAACCATTTGCGTCATGGGCAATCTTTTAACTCCGTCAGCTTTTCATGGCGGCAAATCCCGATATCATCTGTCATGGAGAATGGTTTGCCAAGGTTTCTGTGCTGTGCTTTAGACCTCTTTCGATTTAGACATCCTGTCATGCCGACAATATGCCGTGCCTCCTTCTGAAGACCGTGCTGTCGAGTGGGGGATAAAGCGTCCACAGGACCCTCTGATGGTCTACCTTTGAATTTCGCTTCCTGCTGAGGCCTCTTGCCTTGTATCATTTCAACCTGTCCACTCTTATGACTTGAGTCAATTCTTGGTCTCAGCTTTGATTCTTCTGCTCACTACACCATCGCCAAGAAGGACTTGATAATCATTTTGTGCAATCCACCGCCAGAAATCGTTTTGGATTCCACGTTACGTCCGGAAATGCCAACCTTACAGATTACAAGTTCAATTTTGGCCGCACAGCAGGTATGCAGCTGATCTATGGTGGTTTTCAACTGCTGTAGACTTGTTCTTCCTCAGTCAACAAACTCCCTGGTACGGATATGAGCTTTGTGTAATCGTCGCAGCAACCCCTGGCCCCGCCCAGCCCTCCAAGTCTGGAAATCTGGTCTTGCAAATCTTTGAAAGTTGTGACCAGCAGTCGTAACTCTTCTTTCCAATCGAATCGCAAGTCGTCATCGTCATGGTTCTCTGGGTCGAGGTCATCAAAGGCGTCATCCGTCTTCTCCTCTCATGCCCAATCCATGAGGACTCTTAAATTCCCGACTTCTCTACCGAGTGTCTCATCTCCCACGGCGAATCTGTATACATATTGCGGCCGACATACGAACCAGCTCCTGTTTGGTGGGAGGTCAATATCTACTTTTTGTATGGCTGAGTTTGGTCGTCATGGGAGTTGCAAGGGGCGGGTAGAGAGGTTGGGGCAGGCGTCTCAACGAGAAGAACTTTTGGTCGCTAACAGCAGGAAGAGCCACAGGAATTGAAACCGGCAGAGCCTCGGCGACTATGTCTTGCACTCTCTTCTCATGTTATTTGTTGCCTGGGCTCGAGTATGGCATTTCATCGACGTTGACAGCGTCCATGTGAGTGTGTCAGTGTCTCGAGAACCATCGCTCCCAAAGCCCTGCGCAGCGTTCCTACCCAGCAGTATGGCCTGCTCGCAGCAGTGCCCCAACAGTCGCGACTTTGCATGTGGTCTCCCGGGTCAGCCTCTGGACTCTCACCAGAAGCTCTCTGGCATAGATCATGGACGTATCCATTGATTTCCGAAGAAATAAAATCTGTCTGCTGCACGGTTTTGAAGTAATAGGCGCTTGTGAATTCAGTAGACCACTCTGTAGGTGTTTGAGGAGCGCCTCTCTTTTTTTTGGTGGTTTCTATAACACCCATCGCCGCTTACATATTTCGATTGAGATTACCATTTACAAATGTTCGGCCTATTTCTCTTCACATTATTTTTCATCTACATCCTGTCATGCTGGAGCACCCTTTACCGGGGAAACAGCATAAAGTCACAGGCGGAGCAGTGGGCACTAGCTTTCTTTGAGATTCGCACTGCCAACACTCTCTACCGTGTGTGCCATGAAACTCCACAAAGTTCAAGCATTATCACAAGAGACAGTATTGAGCAGTTGCTGGCGAGCCACAAAGCATTTGGGTTTGTAAAAACCTTAACTCTTTAATCACCTCTGAAGACTCGGACTTATGTAAAGTTCTGTTGCTTCCGGCTGCATTTGAAATAGCTAACGGGTACAGGGCTGAGAGCTAGGTTCGGCGGTGCGCACGTCGAAACAAGACATGTCAGGCACTCATTCTTGCTACAACTTGAGCTCACATTCACGAACATGCACGTCACAGGCCATTGTGCACTATGATCTATGCCCATTTTTAACAGCAGTAGAGACTTACCAAAGCAGTGCAAATGGGTTCTCAAGAAGACATACCTACAGAATATATTTCCTGCCAGCACCACTTGTTGAAATCGTAGAATAGCGCTCGCCACAAGACGATAGCAGGACCTGGCGAAAAGATGCGCTACTAACCGAGCTTCCGGGGGGCGTTTGCCCACGATCAAGTTAACACATTCGCAGCGAGTCAGGCGAGGATTCCGGAACGCCAGGAGTATATTCCGGGGCCGCGCCCAGCACGGCACATCTGACTCATCCCACAACTCCAAAGGAAAAACCTACTACCAAAAACCAAGAAAACGGACATAGATGGGGAAAAGGTCTGACCCGACTGTGCCGCCGTCTCCCTCAGAAAAACGCAACTCGACCAATGAAAACTCCCCGATGCCCGCGTCCCGAACCTTGTGGTATCGGAAAGTTTAGTTTGGGAGCGAGTCCGGACAAAGGATCAAGGGGAAAACTCGCGCGGCTAGCGGATAGGCACCCAGCAATCATTTAGTCTAGTTCCTAACGGGGTTGTGGTGGGGAGAAGGCTTTGTTGAACGGCTGCACTAATGCGCGTCATTTGGGACTAGATACGAGGGTGCCAGAGGTTAGGTCCCAGGTTACTGTATTGTCAGCTTGCCAGTCAGCTTAAAGTTGGCCGATGCGTATGTCCATTCACATGCCGAAGCGATGATTGTGGAGTGCATTTTGTACCTTTTCTTTTTTCCGTGTGTATCAGTGTGGTCTACCACCGAGTTTGTCTCTCTCTCCGAGCGCGCCTTGGAATCGTGGCTCCACCAACAGTCTGAAACAGCCCGGGCAGAAGCCATAAAACTTTACTCGACATGACTACTGTCCCTTCGATGTTCTAGACTCTACAAGTTATCGTCAAGTTCTATCATCGCCACGTAACATTTACGCTACTAGCCTTTCTCAGACGGGGTGCCTTGCCGTCAATTCAATTCAATTCACCCGAGATGACGTGGAGCGCTTGCCGAACGAGACAAACTAGTCAACAATATCAGGTACCAGACAGCGTGGCCACCACGCTACTCCAAGCGCTCCGAACCTTGATCGGGGAGCGGGGATCTGACGATCATCTTCAGCAGTTACCCAATATTGCCCTACACGTGTTTGTGCCTGCGAATGCGGGTCCGTGACACTTTGCGAACCTGAGCAGTATCCCTGTTGGAGGCTCATGCGAGTTTAGACCTTGTATCACACAAAGGAATCCCGATGACGTGGTTCGTTCGCAAGGGCTTGATGACTGAGCATAGATACAGTTTCCCCCGTCCTCCGGATCTCTACGTGGCGAGTTTCAGGGCAGGTCTTATTGTCTGTAGCAGGCGCTTGGCCATGCTATCTCCATTGAATTTCGACAAGGCCATCATTCTTGGAAATAACCTGTTATCAAACCCGAGCTCTACTTTCAAAGAATGAAGAGATACTAGCGTTCCGGGGACCGACCATAGGAACTCTCTTTGTCCAAGATCCATATGTCTCGCAATTCGGAATCAAGTGTGGCACCCGAGTCGTCCGACGGCCGACTGCAGAACTTTGTGTTTCTTGCAATGTGGGGCGATGTGGTTGATGCAAGAGGACTTGGCTCTCGGGATAGCGACGTCGAATGATGCAGTTCGGGGCCGGGTAGCTGCAAAGGCGTACAGTGCTCGTCGTCCCACACCCGACAGCCCGAGTGGTTGGCCATGTTGTATGATCAAGCCGTCGGGATTCGACCCAGGGACTTGGTTCCGTGATGGTCATCTGCTAGATACTGCCACAACTATCAGGAACGAGACGTGTTTGCTCCTGCGAATGTCTAGATTGTATCGTTTGTTCTGTTTTCAAGCGTCCCATGAGTGCTTCAAAGTCCGGTACATCACCATTTCACGGATCCCTGGCCTCCGAGTAACATCCTGACACGGCACAACTGAAGCTCTGGTGTGCGGAAACGTGGTTGGAAAGGCGTTCATTCCCTTTTTGCGCCGTGGTTACACGGCATCCGGCCGACTCGTCCGTAGGTCGGTGCTTGGCCTTGAGATAGTGAACACTAGGCAAACGTAAATGAGCATGTGTCCATCTTCCTTCAGCTCTCCGACGCCGGCACGAGACCAAGTTCGCTATCACCAACAACGGCCACGTAGAGCTGGGCATCTGGCCATTCCTCCAGCCACTTGTTTCGTCAGTGACGAGCCTTGCACTTCGAAGATCACCACCACTTGCCCGAATAAGAACCGGGTAACATGGCAGGATTCTGGACAAGTCAGGACGAGCGCTGTATGCTTGGAGATGGATGTAAGACCTTGAGGGCGAGCAAGTCCTACTATAGCCCGGGATCAAGCCTTGTGCATCGCCATGTCACCATCGGCTGATACCCGGAAGAGGCAACAACGGAGTGCCGGGTGCAGTACATGTGGATACGCCAGCCGCCAAAATCAAGATTTGATCCTTGAGTTATTCCCCGAGTGCTAAGGCTGATAGAGGGACCGCATTGATCGATGGGAAATGCACCATGAGATGGTGACTGTGTTGTGCCTGCCAGGATCACATATGCCGTGACTGGATCTTGGATCTCAATGGCGACGTGCATCTATCTCAGCGGCTGAATTCGCAGCAGCCTGATGCTAGACTGTGTGACGGTGCAATGATCGTCAGCAGGGGTTGATGAGGCCGGCCACTCTCATCGTCTGGGGCAACAATACCAATGTTCAAAGCTGTATGTTGACAACGTTCGATATTGGTCAGCAGTCCAGTTGGCCCTTGCCAGCGTTGGACAACTTGGAAGGGGTGGCATGGTTCCTTGCCTTTTCTACCACTCCGGACTTCCAACACCTGCATGTCGTTACAACAGGACACTAAGGTAGCATTGATCCGATGAGACTATCTAGTCCCCCGATCTGTTCCCAGGCCAATCCACTCGGACAAGCATGATTCGGGCAGTAAAGGGAGCCACCAGCCCCCGGTCAGCGCCATTCACACGGCTGGCCGCAGAGCTAGAGGAGGTACATATATGTACTGACGAAGACGGCCAAGCAAACCAACATTGTTCGCAGACAATCCAGTCCAGCCACCATGGATATTTGTGGCAGTCCGTCCCCACGAATCCATGTCTTTGGCGGCGGCCTAGGACGCTCGGCATCAGTGCCCTGTCGTCTCCCGCAACACAATCTCGGGCTGGTCGACTCGGGATCGCGGTGGGCTTGGCCGGGAAGCGAGCATGGCGCCGACGGGCGGCTGAGCACTGCTCAGGGCTAGTGCTTCAAGGAGCTGGCGGCAGCCCTCTAGCTGTCACACTTGGTGGACGCGCTGGCCACAGTCTCCATTTATGCCGCCACTGGAGAGGTCATGGCGTGGCTACAGGACATTCGCAGATCCGGACTAGTGGGAACCCTGCCTAGAGCTATGTGCGGATGCTCAGTTGCGAATCTCCCAGCACCAGGCCGGAAGTGGTTCCTCACTGAGGAGAAGAACGAGGAGGATGTTGATGATGTTTTGGGCCCCTGTGCTTGGCAACGAGGGTTGGAACGGGCGACGTCCAAAAAACACCAAAGACATTGCAGACACGACCCGAAGCCACCAAAGCGCGCGCCAGTGAGACATGCATAATCACGCTCGCCGCGCCATTCTCTCCGGGTCCTGTGAAGTTCGGCCCAGTCCTCCCAGCATGCTCAAGTCATCATCATATTCGCCGTCAATGCTGCCCCTGGTTCAGTGCAGGTGGCCCGTCCTGGACACACACCAATCACAACGTCACGACGAGCCTCCACGTCCTTCGTGCTCGGGCAACCTTGCAGGTCCGCGGCTCGAACAGGCCTAGTTCCGACCAGGATCCTCCTTTAAAGCTGACTGGCGATGGGGCCTTGCGGGCCATTTGTGCCTGGATTGAGCCCCTATTTTGACAAATGATACCCTGGGCGCTGTCGACCGTTGCCGAAACTTCAGGCAAGCGCCAAGTTCGCCAAGTCGTCAGCCTAGCGGCGCTCCTGGCTGTTTCTCCGACCAAAACATCGAGGCTGTTTGTTCTCCAGGAAGACAAATCTGTGACCGTGACGGCCGGGCACGTTTTTGGTGCACTGACGTGGCATAGACAGTTTTGGGACAGCAACCGGCAGTCTTACGCGCGACAAGATGCTCCAGGCTCTTGCAACGTCTGGATGGGCGGCGTGAAGTTCACGGCAAGGGCATTAACATGCTGCCGCCCCCTGCGACTCTCCAGTATTCCATGCAACTCTACCCTTCCAATCCCTGACGCTCTTTCCATCTGCTGTTTCTCGCACCCATTGCGCCTCTGCGGCTATTCGAATACCGTGTCTGAGACGGAGCGGGCATCCTGCGAATATGATGGCATGGGCTGTGCTGGCCTTTCGAGCTGGGGGCCAAAGGCGTCTTTAGTTGTCAGCCAGCGACTGAAGATTAGCGTGCGGATGGCGGCTCCGGTTGCATGACGCGCAGGCGCAACCTCTCAGTGCTCCAGGGCTGGAGTGGATGCCAGGACGCCTCCATCAGAGCCCGCCCTCTGCAGTATTGTGCCTACGCCAGGCAATTAACATAAGTGAAGCAGGTGGCTGCGAGCTGGAGGAGCCTTCATTTGCTGCACAATGAGACAAGAAGCGGCACTAGTTAATTAACCGTCCTGTCGCGATTAGCTGGCTCTGGCCAAGTAGTCTGAACAACGCGGGCCCGTGCCAGCCAAGGCTGGAGTAAATGATGGCCATGCCAGCCAGGAGGAGAACAAATGAGCCCTGCGGCGCCCGTGGCAAGGCAGGCCTGTCGTGTCAGATTGCCATCAACGACATCCGAGGCCACAACTGATAACAAGCTGTTGCCGGGCCACATGGGCAGGATACAGTGCAGGATCGCCTTTGGATGAACACCTCCCCAAGCAAGGGCACACGATCGGGTGCCAACCAACCTTGGCCTCTGAACCACGGAGCCCCAGGCATGTGACATGACGAGGACCTCGATCTTCAACAATGCTCAGAGGTGCATGCCTCGAGCCCGAGAGACACGGCAAGGGATCGACCGACCCAGGCACCTAGCTCTCGCGCGTACAGTACCGGCAACGATGGCATGACTGATTGTTCCCTTACACACGCATCCCGCTGCCAGGCTCAGCCCAGCGCTCGTCGCATGACGCAACAACACCGTGTCTGCTTCGAGGGTTCTAGCACTGCATGTTTGGTGAAGCAGGAGATCGGGAATATTTCGTGCATCGATGAGCTGCGTCCTTGGGCAATTGCTGGAAGTGCGTGGAAGCCTCTGCGAGCAAGAGAGAGAGAGCGAGAGCGGGTGCACTGCAGTCGACCACCCCCCGCAGCACGCCAATGGCACCCCCAACCGACCCCTGTGCATGCTTGAGGTGCCCCCAATTGTGCCCCCCCGTATAAACACAGCAGGCCACTGTTCAGTGGGGCCCACCGTCGGTGGGCTCGCCCGCTTTGCTGATCAGGGCTGCGAGTGCTCCAGTGGGCGAGCAGGCTTGCGTCTCCCTGTCCTGCCCCAAGGTGGGTGAGCACGCATGTCTCCGCCCAGTCGTGCGTGCGCGAGTTGCTTGGCCGCTGCCTCTCCTCGCCGCCCGAACCCTTTCTCGCGGCGCTGCTCTGCTCCCAAGACGCATCACCACCTGCATCAATTCGCCCTTGCCCGTTTCCCCTTCCCCCTTCAACCCACTTCCCCGTCCTGCCTGCCTGCCTGTCTCTCGCTTCCGCTTCCTCAGCGGGCATCTCCTCCAGTGCAGCTCCTTCCCCGTCATCACACATTTTCCATTTCTTTTCTGCATCTTAGCTTGTCTTGCACATATTCCTCGGTTGCCCCCTTTTCCATCGTCTTCTGCCCGCGGCTATTCCCGCCCGGCCACGTCTTCTCAACGCACATCGCCAGTCTCCTTCATCGTCCTTGCTTATTTTCCGCACTTGACTTCCCCGCCGTGCCTGCGACACATTCACCAGGTCGTGGGCCTTTCGACAGTCGCTGTCCACCACTCCGATCTGTTTTCAGGACGCCCCAATTACCACGCACCAGCGAACTTCTTCGAAAACCCCCCCGCGAGACGAGCACTGCCTCGCTCGTTCAATCGACCAGCACACACACGCACACAAGCGCGGGATCACGTCTCCGACAACAACTCAAGCAGTTCATTTGGACTTGTTGGCTGGCGAAGACTTTGAGCCTTGAGCAATCTCGGTGTCAGTAGTGCATACGCTACTTGGGCCCTGTTACGTCGACCTCATTCCCAGGCTCGTAATACTACCACGGGGCTGCCAATTCACACCGAATCTACAAGGACAGAATTGGCCGAGTACGTGTCGATCACAGCCTCGGGCAACAGCGTGGACCATCCCTCTCGACTACGATTCTACTCGCGTTTTCCTCGATCGCTGGCGGTCCGATTCTCCCATAACCTTGTCGAAGGTTAACGGGCATCTGCTTCGACGTTCGTGTAGATCTCACCGTACACACCTGCTAGTCTACACGGACAAGTCAACAAGGAGGTCAGTCAAATTTGTTTGTTGGGTAGCTCTGTCGATATTGGCAGGCAAACTTGAAACTAGTCGTTGTTGTACTGCTGAAGGCCCAAGCTCCATCATTTACGAGACAAGCTGACGATTTCTCGAATGTAGTGTCACCCGCATTACACTTGACTGTGTAGTGTAACAAGCCTGACACGATAATCGTCTAACTCAGAACCTGCTCACGCATCGAGCAAGCCTCTTGGTCGTTTCGTGCATCGGGGAGTACCCAAACTATGGCCGCTGTGGTCCAAACCATTTCCCAGCAGCCCAACCCCGTCGTGATCCTTCAAACAAGGCCAAACGCAAACAAGATGCCGAGCTCATCTCAATCTTCAGCTACCCTCTCGTATGGGTCAAGCTCGCAACGACCTGGCCCACAAGTGACAGCCCCTGGCCAATCTTCCTACCGTGGCACTTCGACCCCAATTCAGCCGTATGCCTTCACCTCAACACCAACTGCGGCAACTGCGACACAGTGGCAGCAACAGCAACAGCAGTATGGGGTCTACAGAGCACCAGCTGCTTCACCACCTGCAGTAAGCCAGCAACAGCCGATGAGCCAGAATGTTGGATCCTCGGAACAACAACCGACCTTTGCTCAAGTCGCTTCTTCCAAAGCATCGCCGGAGCGATACAGGCGACCTGTAGCACGATACACCGACTCGTCGCCCAGCGTACTGCAGACAAACCTTGTGCCGAGCCTTCCCACTACATCGACTCCCACCAATGCTACTGTTGTGCATCTTTACAACCCACGAGTTGTCGCAGACCGAGCTGGGGCAAGTTTTGGCCAGCCTCGACCGCACAGTGCATATGGCTCCGTCATGCCAGGGGCATCGTTTGATGACATGCAGCTCGACCGACAGCGCAGTGATGAGGCACAGAAGCGATTCCGCCGCCGAAGCATGCACACTATTGATTTCTCTGGCTACCCTAGTCCAATGACGCCTCAACAGCTCATGCAAGCCGAAGAGATGAGACGTGCAAGTGCTAGCAAGAGGCTGAGCTTCAGTGGTAGCAGCAACCTGGAAAATCAGCATAAGAATATCTCCCGAGTTCTGTCAGTTCCAGCTGTCGAGAAGACCAGTGCGCAAGCTCGCAACGCCAGTGCAGAAAGTCTTGTATCCAGCCGCAGCAGCAACTCGCGACCATCCTCCGTAAGTAATTTTGCCTTATCTTGTCCACTCACCGACCCTTCGTGGCCATTTAAGCACGCAAAGTCGGGGTACTTGCCCGATTCGGAGCGGATCGACCCAATCACACCCAGTCCTTGCTCTTTGGCACAGTCGTGCACTCACCCGACCATGACTGACAATGTACCTTGCTCTGCTGCAGTCTACCAACCGACACTCCAACGGAACAGCCCCCACAATGAGCCCCGCCTCAACTTCATCAAACTCGTCTGGAGATTCGTCGACAAACCACGATCACGCTCCCAAAATCGTCAATGTTCCCGCTCGCAGCTCGTCGTCGGATGTTGGCAAACGTATCGCAACCCCCTCACCACTCTCTAAGCCGGTCAACATGGCTCCAGAGCCAGCCCCGGCGGCGACAGTGACGGACACCCCCGCCAAAACAGCCACTGCCTCTGCCGCAACACCTGCTCCTAGCCCAGCCGCTCAGCAGTTGGCCGCGATCAACGAGAAAGGTGGCAAGTCTAAGAATAAGACATCTCGCCTGCGACGCGCATTCTCGTTTGGAAGCGCTGCTGAATTGAGGAAGGCGACAGGACAAGACGTCACGCCAGATGACAGCAAGGAGACAGGCGCCCAAGTGCCTGGGAAGGCACAGAATGAGCCGGTGACAGATGATCCATACGAGGCCGAGCAGGCCCGAATTGCCCAGAAGCAGGAAGAGGGCGGCATCGGAAGCAGTATCTATTCGGGCACCAAACTGTTCTCCAACTCAACCGATAACCTTTCGATTTCATCAACGGCGTCTTCCGCGTCGATAATGTTGCGCAAGATGGGTCGTGGCATGAAGAAGGGTGGTCGATCGCTCAAGGGACTGTTCAGACCAAAGTCTGTCATTGGGGTCCCCAGTAGTGACGCTGTGGTCAATGATGCCAGCCGGCCAGCAGTCACCATGGTAACAGTAGAGGCTGAAAGAGACCGGCCTGACACTTCTGGTGGCACTCACATTCAGTACAACGGCTCGTCGTTGCGCCCACGAAACGACAAGAACCTCCTCGACGTTGGAAAACCTGATGAGCGCCTTGGGAGTTCTGGTACTGATACTTCCGCCCCACGGAAGAGCATTGTCGGTGGAGAAAAGGAACGCGCCGAGGTCCTTGCCACAATTCGAAAGGGCATCCTCAAATGTAAGTGATATATTTGGTCGACGTTCTCGACTCCACGTTCCCAAGCTAATATCTCGATAGCACGCGGCGATTCGCCGAGCCCCTCGCCGAGCACCCGAGACGTTAAAGGGCCAACTTTCAACCTTCCAGCCATCCCGAACGTGAGCGACTCCCCCAACTCCAGTGCCCCCAGCACTCCCACCGAGGATGGCCACAAACGGGCCGGCTCGATCGCCATCGGCAGCGAGGACTACTTTGTGTCCGCCTTGCGCCTCCGGCAGGACACCAAGAGCGCCCCTGTAACCCCGGCTGGCACTTATCCGAAGCGCAATGCCACTTTCAGCCCGCGCATTGTCTTCTACGACACCTTCCCTCCAGCAGAGTATGACCGCCGCGGTGAGATAGCCACGTGCAACCGCTTGACGCCTTTGTTGGCGCAGCAGATCAGGGAGGAACTCAACAGCTTCAAGATGGTGTGTATCCTGCCTCCACATTATCTGTCAATAAATCATGCTAACCTACTAAATAGGAAATGGAGGTGCATGAGACATCCAAGATATACACGCATTTCTTTTAATGACAGCAACAAGGTTCCGACGACTGTTTGGCCGCACGCGTTATTCTCAATCTATGGTTGTTCCTCCTCTGAATCATAGACCTGTGGTCAGCGCCCCGGAGGATTTGTTTCAGTCTCCCTCACGGCGTTACAAATGGACAGCATAGTACGGTGTCATGGCGTTTTCTATCTTCAATTTCCTATATTCATTTTTTAGCAAGGGAGCCACAGCTTCTCACCCAACGATTCTAATCACCATCGAGCGACCGGCCACAAAAGCTTTCAGACTCAACAAGACCTTATACTGCGATATTGATCACAAGCCCTCACGGTATCCAGATCCTGGATTGTGGTGCAAAGCAGATGCAATGCACTAGGGGGGCCTGTCCTGGCAAAAGAAGTGGTACAAAAAGCAAGACTGTATCTGGAAGACCACGCTATCGCGGCGGCGGCCTTGCCTGGAGGATTTCTGTGTTTATGATGTCATTTCCTTGAGCGTTCTGTTCAGAGTACACAAAATTATACTACATTTGGCCACGGCTTTCTCTTCCCAGTTGACTCTGCAGCAGGGGTTAGTGTATGTCACCGGACAAAGACGTGGAGACGCGGGACGGGCCCAGCCAGATACGGTGACGAGATGGTGGTCAGATCCTTGTCACCGAAATGGAACACGAAGAACTAGGTGGCCCACCTGTCACATGGGGAGCTTCGGCGGAAACACGCTTAGCTCAGGCGGTGCTTACAACAAACCATGCCTCCACTCCGCTCAAATTTAGGAAACCGATAAAGGATAGCTGTGATTCCTTGCAATCAGACCTGAGCAGAGTGTGCATTCAAAACCTGAGGACCTGAGTTGAGCAGGTGAGACAGGAAAGGAATCTGGAAATATGCGGGAGGCACGGGGAGATGCGAGGGATGAGACCAGACCCGCTCCTTCTGCCAGTTGCTGCTTGCCGCCTGAATACGAGAGGAGGGCACGCGCGTCCGCTCTCGTCCCTTTGCTGCGCTATCTTTACGTCTCTGGTTTCCGTGGGGGTCTGCCGAGTTTGCACAGTGTGTCATTGTTCCTCAGCCGGCGTGCTGGTTGTTCTCTATGGCTCGCCAACCCTTCTCGAACCTTTGGCTTGCTGCAAGCGCGATCAAGATGGACAACACAAGTGGACGGACGAATGGGCGATGATTCCAGCCGTTGCTGATCACTGCTAAGGTGACCTCATCTGCTGCGGAATCTTGCGGTCCCGAGCAGCAAAGGCGCTGGTCACGTGTGATTGGACGATATGTTTCCTGAGAGCCATGGTCTTGTGGGAAATTTATCCTTTGGCTTATGATTTTGTCGAGGGATGATGTTCATTACCACTGCCCAGGAACTGGCCGCGATACCTGTGTTTGTGGAATGTAGAGGCATGTACACACGCCCTATGGTTCGGGTCAAGAGCGGCCCTGAGGAACCTGTCCAGTCAAGTCCACCCTGGAAACCCCCGCGTGCATGCTTGGAGAGACGTACCTGATTGGTTCTTGCAGGAATAGAACCCACAAAAAAGTCCATCGCCTCCAAATGGATGCCCGCGATTCATCGTCTGCAGGGTCTACTTTCTGACCATCCATGTTGACTATTGCCACGTGCCACCGACACAGCCAGACTGTTGCACGCTTTTGAAGGGCACGAAGCAGCAAGCGGCACCACGAGAGGGACGCTGCCGGCCTGATCGACTTCCGCGCCCCATCCTGGAGTGTGTCCGACGACTCGGCCTCCGTTGGAGAGCCCCTCCTCCCGCCGCTCGCTGGGCCGTTCCGTTCCGCCGTTTCGCGACAATGACGTCCGCAGCCGACTCGCTGGCCTCGGCGCCCGCAAAGGCCTTCCTCCGAGGGCGCGCGTTCTACGAGAGCATAGGAAGTCCAAAGTTTGTGGTTGCGCCCATGGTCGACCAGTCCGAGTTCGTACGTCGCCTCGCATCTCCACGGCAGTGACGGTGGTGACTGCTCAATGAAACGACTTGCTGACGTTCTTGTGTTCTCGTCCCAGGCCTGGCGCATGCTTACACGATCCTTCCTAACCCCAGAGGAGAACTCGAAGATGCTCGCGTACACGCCAATGTTCCACGCGCGACTGTTTGGCGACACGGCAAAGTACCGAGACCAGCACCTGCAGACGTCCATCACCAAGGAAGCAGAGCCCGTCCTGCCGACGACGCCCGAGACCGCTGCGGACACGTCCCTCTACCTCGACGGCAACCCGGCGTTTGACCGTCCGCTCTTTGTCCAGTTCTGCGCCAACGACCCGAACCACCTGCTGTCCGCCGCCAGGCTGGCCGCCCCATACTGCGACGCCGTCGACCTGAACCTCGGCTGCCCGCAGGGCATCGCGCGCAAGGGCCACTACGGCTCCTTCCTGCAGGAAGACCAGGAGCTTATCCACAAGCTCATCAGCACGCTGCACCAGAACCTCGACGTGCCCGTGACCGCCAAGATCCGCATCCTCGACACCAAGGAGAACACGCTCAAGTACGCGCAGAACGTGCTGTCGGCGGGCGCGAGCATCATCACCGTCCACGGCCGCCGGCGCGAGCAGAAGGGCCACCTCACGGGGCTCGCGGACTGGGAGTACATACGCTTCCTGCGCGACAGCCTGCCGCCCGAGACGGTCATCTTTGCCAACGGCAACATCCTCGAGCACGGCGACATTGAGCGGTGCCTGGCCGCCACGGGCGCGGACGCCGTCATGAGCGCAGAGGGCAATCTCAGCGACCCGGCCATCTTTGCCACGCCGCCGCCCGTCGGGCAGGAAGGGCGCGAGTACTGGCGCGGCGCGTGCGGCGGGGACGACGGGAGGCAGGTCGTCGGCGGGTACCGCGTGGACGCCGTGTTCCGGCGGTACATGGACATCATGCACAAGTATGTCCTCGGGCAGGAGCCGCCGGCGCGCCGGCCGCTGTTTGTCGTGGGTGACGACGAGAGGTGGCTGAAGGAGGCCGATGCCGCTGATGCCGCCGCCGCAGCAGAAGCAGCAGCAGCAGCGGAACACGAGCAAGAAGGCCCCGCGAAGAAGAAGCGCAAGACGGACAACAATAAGAACAACAACAGCAACGACAAGGCCGCTAACCAACACCACCACAACAACAACAACAAAAAGGCCAACACCTCGCCCAACCTCGGCGCCATGCGGCCACACCTATTCCACCTCCTGCGGCACTTCATCGCCCTGCACACCGACATCCGGGACAGCCTCGCACGGTGCCGGGCCGGCGACGTCGACGCGGTCGAGGCCGTGCTGGAGCAGGTCGAGCGCCGCGTCGCAGGCGGCCTGATCGAGTACCACCGGACCTCGGGCGAGAGCGTGCGCGAGTACATGCTCTCGACGGCGAAGCCGGCCAGGGCCGGTGCCGGGGCCGGGACTGGGGCCGAGACAAACGGCGCCAACGGCAGCGACAGTGCCACTAACCCCGCTGCCGACGGGAACTCAACAGCAACAGCAAGCGCCGCCAGAGAGAGCGGATCACAACAGCAACAACAACAACAACAACAGCTGCCAGCGGAGAGCTCCCTCGAGACAGTCAAGGCCTGCAAGCGGCCCTGGTGGGTATGCCAGCCCATCGTGCGGCCCCTGCCCGCCGAGGCCCTCGCAAAGGGCAGCATCCAGCTGAGCAAGAAGCAGCAGAAGGCACTTTCTGAGAAAGCCGCCGCTGTTCCTGCTGCTGCTGCTGCTGGTACTGATGCTGCTGCGACTCCCTCAAGTGCGACCTTGAGCGCCAATGTCAGCGAGGACGGTAGCAGTGGTGGTGATGGTGGTGGTCCGCTAGCCAACGGCGATGCGGTGGATGGGATTAGGGAGCCCAAGATGGATCCGAAGCAGCCGGGGCTGGTCAGCGATGATTTGGTCCACGGCTGAAAGGTGTGCGTTAAACAGTAATGTAGTCCCGGTGTGAAAGGAGGAGGAGGAGGGGGGGGGGTTGTGTATAGCGAATCGAGGCAGTTTGGGCAGTTCGAAGCATGCTGCGCAGGTGGTTGGTCGCCGTCGAGGGAGGGCACAAACGTGTACAAAGGTGCATATTACAGGGGCGTTTTAGAGTGACATTTAGCATGAGGAAGGACGGCATGGGGTGGTTGGGAGCGCCTGGCAAGATTTTCACTTGATATATAGAGACAAAAGAGCTTGAAAAGATTCATGTTAGACGATGGACACAAGTCCAACCACTGTTATTCAACTCGACATTGCTGAACCGCTAAGGCCAGATAGTTCATTTCACTACTATACAACAGTTTGGGTTTGGCTACACCTCCCTCGCAAGACACGCCTAGATACAGCTCATGTCCCGACACGATTTGCTGTTGCCATTCGCCCAGTTCGAGCGCCGGCGCAGATTCTCTTTCATGTATTTAGCCCAAGCCCAAGCCTAGCTCTCGCCGAGCAGGATCCGACTATAGGTTGCCACCAGACGTATACACCTTGGCTTATTTGGTCTTGGCTTCGTAGGACTTGTTGTCGCCCTCAAGGACAACATTGTCACGCTCCTTCAGCAGAGCAGCCACTGCGCAGAGCGGACCACCAAGGACAAACCACTTTGCAGTGAGGGCAAGGGCACCAGGCAAGCTAGGGTTCTTGACGGTGCGCTGGTGAAGGTACAGGGCCCAAAGAACAAAGGGGATGCTGCCGACGTAGACGTCCCACTGCAGGAAGTTCTTGGCGGGGACAGCAAGGTCGCCCGATACGTAGCCGGTAGGGTTGATCTTCGGGATGTTTGTGATCCAGTAGGGCACAAAGACTTTCGAGAAAGTGGCCGAGTTGATGAAGGCGGCATACCTGGGAATGTACCCGGCGATGAGCGAGCGAGCAGAATCAGGCAGGACGCTGAGAATGACAACAGGCAAGTGCGTCATGGTTGTCACAGTGGTGACGAATTCGTAAACGCCCGAGACCGCAACGGTGTAGCCCTTGCCGAGAGTAGTCGGCTTGTCCTCCTCATCACGGGGGAGAAGAGAGCCGATGGCAGTGTAGAGAACGGCATGCAGGGCATAGAGCACGAGAACAGTCCAGAGTGGGAACAACTGCCAGGCGGCGATCCACTTGTAGTGCGCGCTGGCACTCATGCTGGCAAGACTTGGCATGTTCATGACAGTGGACGGGACCAAGTAAGTGATGGTGATGGCAGCGGGCAGCAGGGCCATGTCCCACAACAGGACAAAGAGGGACTTGCGAGCAGCCTCGCCGTCGCCGTTGCGGAGCTTGGCAACGGGCGAAATGAGAAGATGCAGACTGAGCCAGATGGGCGCAATGAAGGTGTAGGTCAGGAGCTGCATGGCGAGACCGGCAGGGCCAACCCAGCCAAGGAGGCCGTAGCGGTTGCCATTGCGTCGGGCCTCGAGCACGAGCAAGGTCCAGGCGCTGCCGAATTGGGCGAGACCCCAGATGGAGAAGGCGACGGTGGACTGGTCGACGTCGCCGTCGATCAAGGTGCTGAAGAAGGCGACCAGACCGACGAGCTTGCGGTCGAGGGGACCAATGCCCGCGTACTCCCTGAGAAACGGCTGAGGGGCGCCCGGGAGGAAAGCAATGTTGCCGGCGGCAAGGTCCTTGACGACCTTGCCGAAGCCAGTGCCGAGGATGGTGCCGATGGAGGCGCGGAAGCCAAAGAGGGAGCAGGCGATGAAGACGGGGATGAGTATGTATTTCGTGTCGAAAGCCTGGACGAGGGAAGCACCATTGCGGGGTTAGCAAGCTTCCGGCGCATGGTGACGCAAGGGGAGGGGACGGCTAGAGATGGCGAGGCGACATACCATGGTGGAGAGCGGGTGCTGCGCTGGCGCGCAGACTCGAGGCGGAAAAATTGAGCTACGGGCTTGACGCGCGCGAGACAGAGACAGAGACAGGCAATGGAGACGACTTGCGTCGGCCTGGGAGGTTTGGGAGGAAGAGCTGCAGAGAAAGATTTTGAGCGTGCTCGAGGGGGAACGGGAAGCGGGCAGACAGATAAGTGTTTTGTGCCAAATGTGCATCAGCTGGAGCAGGGCTTGGCGCGGCCGGTCCGGTCGTACCTTCCCAATGCGTGCAGGGGTCCATGGCGGCCCCTTCACAGTCCCGCAGGCTCCGGCCCAGTTTGCTCTGCTCCCTTATGTATGCGAATGCGAAATGGAGACAGATGGGGACGATTCGTGCTCCAGATTCCACAGTCCTCACGGCGTGGATGGATCTTTCACCACGCACCGACCAGCAGCCCCGAGGACAGCGCCGGAGCGACGGGCTCGTGCAGTAAAGAACAGCTCACAGTACACAGCTTTGAGACCCACCGGGCAGGGCGAGCTGGACTGAGCCGAGGCAACTCGCAAGCGTGGACTTTTCCAAAATAGGGCTGCCAGCCAACCCCCGGTCGGTCGATTCCTGAACACAGAACCCATGCTGGACAATGATTGAGCAGGCACTCATCGCCTGGGAGGAGGGAGGAACGACGACTGTCGGCGGATCGGTCAGACAGACATGTTGCCCCGGCCCTGAACAGGGAGGCTTGGGTCCTCGTTTTTGACAGTTGAGGTCGTTGAGGCGGGCAATGTTCCCCGTCTTGGGCGTCTTCGGCTCCGACTCTGTGGGGCTCGAGTCGGTGGTGCCGTGCCCTGACTCGGGCACTGAGGAACCAGGGACGTTGGGGTGGCGTCGAATATGCACGCGATGGCTTGCAGTGTCGCTGCAGCCAAGCACGACACGGCGGCTGCCGCCATCAGCCAGCTCCGCGCGGGTTGGTGATGGCCTCACTCCCAGAGTAGTCGTCCAGCTATGCGGCGCATGCACTTGCGCTGCTACGCGCTTTAAGTACGCTATGTAGGGCCAGCAGCACTCGCTACATACTAAGTACCCGGTGCCCATGCTGTGCCGCGTCGTGCCAAGTCCAGGTTTGCTGCCTGCACAATCCTGCAATCTCTGGTCCATACGAGGCCCGCCCCGTCATACTTAACCAGTCGTCCCAGCCCTATTGACTCCCAGCGTTCTGCTTGCAGCGATCCTTCAGAAAAGAAGAACTTGTTTCTGGACACAGCCCGGCCAGCACTGCGAACCCACTGCACACCATCACAACCACTTTCGCAACAATGAAGACCACCTTCTCCACCACCGTGGCATCTTTCACCACCCTGCTCGCCGCGTCCCAGGCCGCTGCCTCGGGTATGGGCGGCATTACCGCCCTCGTGGCCCGCCAGACGGTGGAACCCACGGGGCCCTGTGCGACCAGCGCGGCCTCAATCATCGTCCACGCACTACCTGCTATGGATCCCGTTCTCTTCGAGTACTTGAGCGAATACTTCGCCACGGCGGCCACCACCGGCCCGCCCAACTGCGCAATCACCGATACACCATCGTCCGTGTCGAGTGCCTACGCCTCCTTCACAAACCAAATGAGCAGCTGGTCGTCTGCCGAGTACGACGCTGCGCTGAGCTTCGTCGAGGGTCCTTGCTTCGTTTCTGACAACGACGCGGCGGGAGAGGTTGCCCAGCTGCTCACGGCGGTCGACGCTTACCTGGGCAAGGGGTGCAGTAGCAGTGGCGGCGCGGTGCCAACACCGACTCCAGCATCGTCAACCACGGGCGGCAGCAGCAGCAGTGGCGGTGCCGCGGGCGCCACGGGGCCTACCACGTCTACGTCGACAACTGCGCAGCCAGGTGCCGGAGCACAGGTTACCCAGGCGCCTGTCATTGCGCTCGCGGCGGGTATGGTCGCGGCGGCTGCTGCTTTGGTGTAGACGCGTAGACTGGTGAGACTTGGGGATTGTATGTGCGCGCATGTATATTCGTGAAAGACAAAAAGTTGTATAATAATCTTAATAGACAGTTCTTAGACACACCGCGTCGAGCTGTGCATGGGATATGGCATCATTTTCAATGCACCGACAGACCTGCCGACATGATGACAAGCACGAGTCCAGCAAGTAAGGAAGCACGCCCCTACGACTGCGCATCTTTGTCTTGTCTCTTGCGCGATACGTGCCGTGGCATAGCATGCGGAGATTGGCCAGATGATCCGGCGCTGCAGGCAGGCACAGCCGGGGCGAAAGCGATACCGAGACCAGTTGACAGCAGCAGCAGGTGGGGCCGATCGGCGTCGACGCCTTTGCTGTGCCGGAGCGGTGCCGATCCCCGGGCACTGCAAACCTTCCTGCCTAACTCCCCGATATCCCACAACAACAAAGTGTCCATCCTGGTGGTGATTGCGACCTCGGGATCGCACAGCCATGCATGCCTCCTACTGTGCCTCGCTCGTCCGCGCGGCGAGACCGACCAGCCGCGTCGCTGCTGATGACGAACAAGGGTCCGAGTCCGCTGCCACTGTCCTTTGGGCTTGGTGTATATATCAGCAAGAGTCAGCTTGTTTTGTCCAAGACGAATCACTACATCAGCCTGTCAGTGAAACCCAGTCGATCCTCTGGGCTCCAACAACCACATCTGTCCCAGGCAGCACATCTCGCAACCTACAATGTGTGCCAGCGACTACGCCCAGCATTACCCCGTCATGGCCGTCGAGCCTGACCACAAGGGCGATTCATATACTCGCGACCTCAAGATCCCAGGCATCACAGCATCAGCAACACCTGCCGACGGGCCTATCACACCAATCTCGCCGCTTTCAACAACGGATAATGCTCCCACCGCAGCACCAGCAACGACCGGCACCACCCTGGCCGGCATATCCCCTTCCCTCAAGGAAGACAGAGATGTCATGAGGGGCTTCATCGGCGACCTCAGCCCGTGTGTCGTCAAGACCGCCCCTGGTCCCATGAACCCCTCCGGGGTGGCATGGAATAATGACGCATACGCCTTCCTCTCGCAGCCGTGCCCGACAGACGGCACCGCCAACCCCAAGCTCTGGGAGCAGTCCCGGCGTTCGGCTGCTCAGGGCCTCTTTGAGGTCGTGCCCAACGCCGTCTATCAGGTCCGCGGCCTGGACCTGAGCAACATGACCCTCATCGAGGGCGAGACGGGCGTCATCGTGGTCGACCCGCTCATCACGCACGAGTGCGCCGCCGCCGCGTTGGAGCTGTACTACAAGCACCGCGGGAACCACCGTCCCGTGGTGGCAGTCATGTACTCGCACTCCCATGCCGACCACTATGGCGGCGCCGCCGGGATCCTGCCGGCCGCCCACCTGGACGGAACCCAGACGATCCCCGTCATCGCCCCCGAGCACTTCATGCGGGAAGTCCTGTCCGAGAACGTCTTTGCTGGACCGGCCATGATGCGCAGGGGTGTCTCCATGTACGGCGCGCGCCTGCCCAAGGGGCCCCGGGGCCAGATCGGTTGCGGGCTGGGCATGACGACGTCCCTGGGCACTACGACGATCGAGGCCCCCAACACCATCATCCGCAGCACGGGCGAGGAGCTCACCATCGACGGGGTCCGGTTCGTGTTCCAGATGGTGCCCGACACGGAGGCGCCCGCCGAGCTCAACTTCCACCTGCCGCAGCACCGGGCGCTGTATATTGCCGAGTGTGCGACGTACGGCCTGCACAACATTGTCACGCTGCGCGGGGCGCTCGTGCGGGATGCCAAGGCGTGGGCGCGGTATCTTGATGAGAGCATGGTTTTGTTTTGTGGTGGTGATGGTAAAGACGACGAAGGCATGGACAAGAGCGACGACGCTGTAGCTGCCGCCGCCGCCGCTGGTGACATCAACAAAAGCAACAGTAACGACATGACCAATGACAACGAGCCCAAGGAGGCCAAGACTGACGTCCTCTTCGCGGGCCACCTCTGGCCGACCTTTGGCGCTGCCGCCATCACCCGCCACCTCTCGGAGCAGCGCGACCTGTACACCTTCCTGCACGACCAGACCCTGCGGCTCATGAATCAGGGCCTGACGGGCGCCGAGATTGCCGAGGTGATGACGCTGCCGCCGGGGCTCGAGGACCGCATCCACGCGCAGGGCTACTACGGCTCCGTCAGCCACAACGTCAAGGGCATCTACCAGCGGTACATGGGCTGGTTCGACGGCAACCCGGCCAAGCTGTGGCAGCTGCCACCGCGCAAGGAGGCGCTCCGGTACGCCGAGTGTCTGGGCGGCGTGGACGCGGTGCTGCGCAAGGCGGGCGAGTACATTCAGCGGTACAGCGAGTTGGGTGACGTAGACGACCTGCGGTTCGCGGCGACCCTGCTGGACCACGCGGTCGCCGCCTCGGACCCAGGCAACAACCGCGAAGCCCGGCTGGCGCTGGCGGGCGTGTATGACACGCTGGGCTTCGGCGCGGAGAACGCGACCTGGCGCAACTTCTACCTCACCGGGGCGATGATCCTGCGCGCCCCGCCGGCCATCGTGCAGCAGCAGCGGCAGGCGATGCTGTCGCGGCCTCGGTTCGCCCCCAAGGCGAGCGTCGAGCAGTGGCTCGACGTCTTGTCGGTGCAGCTGGACGGGTTCGCGGCGGGCAAGGAGGAGACTTGTGTCGTGCGCATCCGGGTGACGGACCGCAAGGAGGCGTGGAGGGTGAATGTGAGCCACGGGGCGCTGACGAGGCGCGAGGTTACCTTTGCCTTGGAGGAGGAGGAGAAGCAGGAGCAGGAGCGAGGTGAGCTGGTGCTGAGCCTCGAGCACCGCGAGCTGTTTGCCGTGCTGGCGACGGCTGATGTCCCCATCGTCCAGGCGCGGGCCAACAAGCAGGACTGCAGCGCCATGTTGAGGATATTGGAGTTATGCGGCGTGCTGCCGAAGCGTGCTTAGACCTTTGTGTCTGCCTGGCATTGTCATCCAGGAGAAGGGTCGACTGTGCTGGCGTGGTTGTGTGGACCTGCTCCTTGAAAGCTCGTAATTTTCCTTCCTACTTAGAGATATCCCAGAAAACAAGTTTCGTCGTTGCCATACAGCATGATATCCTTGACAGAAGAATGGACATTCCCCAAATGTGAACTCCCAACAACAACAACAACGATTCCTTCACTATACAGTTGTCCCGGTATACCTGCCGGGTCACACACAGGAAGAAGTTGGAGCCCAAGCAATCTAGGAACCGTATGCACCTTTCACAGCTCCCCCCTGGCAGCCAAATACGCAGCAGCCGGATCCGCCCAGATCTCCAACCTCAGCACCTTCCAACCCCGCCGCCCTTCCTCCTCCCCTCCCCCTTCAAAGACATAGCCCAGCTTGTAGATGAAGCTCTCGTCCCACTCCTGCCCCGTCTCCTTGCTCTGGAACCTCGCCCTGCCCTTGACGCACACCTGCCTGCCCTCGACGTCGACGACGAACGGGCTGAGCCCACCACACCCCTCCTCGACCTCGTCCCCGGGACGGACATGGAACCGCATGTCCCGGTAGTCCAGCACCCGGCCCACCGCCTCAAAGTACCTCCTCACCCCGTCGTGCCCGCGGAACGGCCTCCCCAGGAACGGCAGGAGCTGCTTGGCCCGGCTGTTGGCGGGGAGGTTGACGAGGCCGTGCTCCAGGACGAGAATCTCTGCTGCTGCTCTATTCTTCGTGGTGGTGGTGCTGGTGGTGCTGGTGGTGTCAGGGGAAGAAGCAAAGAACTTTGACACGAGCTCCGCGGGCGGCGTGGCTTTCTGGGCAAACGCGTCGCAAAAGGACTGTGCTGCCGCGAGGAGGGCGCCGCGCGATGTCGCCTCCAGGTGGGATGAGGAGCCTTTGGTGTTGGTGTTGTTGCCGCTGCTGGTCGCCATTGTGTCTGGTTTTCCTGTTTTTATTTCTTCTTCTTCACTTCCTTCCTTTTTTCTGTGTGTGTATCGTCTGACAGAGGTAAAGAACCAGGTGTGTTGGCTGGTTTTGTGTGTGCTGTGCGTTGGTGGCTCCTTGGTTATTCGGTTCGCTGCTCTATTGCTTTAGCATGCGCTTTCAAACGTTGCGGGCTGCGGTTCACGGAAGGCCGGGCCAAAGTGGTACAAGGTTTCCACGGAAGGTATCACTCAGGCTTGGAAGCTCGAGATCAGGGGCGTTTATTTTGTTGACGATATGCGTTGCAAGTGATGGATGTCTCCTCTAAGCTCGTGGAAGCACGGGCACAAATACGTGCTGGTTATGGTTTCTATCATCAAACGGCCCCTCTAGAAGAAAGAAAAGACAAGGTCGGCTTTGGACCTCGGGTATGTCCTCGGGGGAAAAAAAAGAACTGACGGAACTCAAACGTCATTTGCATGTCCCCCCAAAACCCTCTATCCCCTACCTACACCCGGAGCTAGAACCGACGTAACCGGGCCGCGACCGTCCCCACTGCCGGCAACGTCTTCCTTCCCCACATCCGCCCAACTTTAATTCAGCACTATGGTTGGGTCAAGGAGAAGCTGGAACTTGCCATTCTACATGGTCTCACAAGGACAAGCTAGGTTAGTCGTCGGATGTTGGTCACTGCCAAGCTGACGTGATACTACTATTTCTCGGTAATTCGCTATGCTTTCATTCTGCAAAGATGCTTATGGTTCGTCCGCCTCTCTTCCAACGAGTGTCCCCTCATATCGGCACGGTGGCTGCACTGGCCACGCCTCCCACTCCCAATCATACACCACGAGAATTAATAAACTTGTACACAATCTTTGCTTTAACCCCTGCGGTCGCGCTTCTGCGGCGGGGGGGAAGGCGAGCGGCTGTCGCTGCCGTACCTCTTTCGCTTGTTGCCAGCCGGGCTTGGCGAGCGGCTCTGATACGCCGGGGCAGCCCTCCTGCGTGACCCGGTGCTGCTCACAGAGCTAGTGTTGCGCCTCCTTCCCTTGCCGGCGCCCGCAGGGGGTGACAATGATCGGTTCGCCATGCGGCCGCGAGCAGGCGGTGGAGACCTCGAACGAGACGCGCTGTCACCGCGGGCCCTGCCTCCTCCTCGAGGTGGGCTGACAGATCGTGAGCCACCGCGAGCCGCTCCGGCTTTTCGAGGCGCCGGGCTCCGGCTTCGCGACGGCGTATAGGAGCGCGAGCGCGATCGTGAAGAATAGCTGCCACGGCTGTATGAGCGGCCGCGCGTAGCAGGCCCTCCGCGGTCAGCGCCACGGCCTGCGGTTCGAAGCGGACTGGCCGAATGCGAAGCTTGTCTGGCACCTCCACGACGAGGCGCGGGGCTGCGGCTCCTGCTGTACGACCGAGAGCGAGACCGCGAGTATGACCGGCTTCTGCTGTCGGAATAAGATCGCGACCGACTTCTGCGGGGGCTCCGCGAGAGACTGCGTCCCCGGTCACCAGACCTGCGCGGCGGTGTTCGCGAGCGTGAGCGAGAAGAATAGGAAGAGCCAGTGTAGGAAGAGTAGCTTGACACGGAATCGGAGTCTGAGTGGTCGGCAGGAGCAGGCGCAGGTAGCGCCGGCTTCGGCATATTCGCCAAGAACTCTCTCATGTCCTCGGTCAGCGCGCCCATGCCAATACTCGTGAAGTAATTGATAGAGAAGCGCACGTTGCGCGGATTGTCTCGGGGAAACAGTCCAGTAAGGTCTGCTTGCAAGTCAGGCTCTCTCATGCGGGCCTGGAGCTTCTTCATGCCTAGCTCCTCCGAGATCTCCTGAAACAAAATCTTGATGAAGATTCTGCTCGCAGACGTCGTCTCGTCCTCGTTCAGGTGGATCACAGACATGGCGTGCCACCCAATGGCGTCCGAGCCAAAGAGATGGCCAAAGAACCTAGCAATGTTGCGAAGCCGGTTCGTCTCATAACGGTGGATTGTCTCGTAGTACTTGCGGAACGAGTCCTCAAAGAGCTCAGTCCAAAGCCGGTTGATCTTGGCGAAGCGCTCGCCAATCAGACCAAAAAACTTGGTGTACGTCTTCTCCTGACTGCAGCACTCCACCACCATGGAAGGGAGCTCGGGCTCCTGGCCGGCCGGAAGCTGGATCTTCATGAGCTTGTGCACGGCTTCTTCTGGGTCCATCGCACTTTGAATCGTCAAATAGATCGTCTTGCGCAGGTTGACGAGATCCGTGTTACTCTGGTCCTTGATTTCCATCGCCTTGACGCCCTCGTCTTCCTCTTCGGAGCTCTCGTCATCGTCGTCATCGTCGTCGTCTTCGTAGTCGCTGCCCTCTCCCAAGATCGCGGCCCTCAGCTTCTTGTAGCTGGCCTCGTTCTCCTCCCACTCAGAGTCAAACTTGAAAATGTTGAGACCATCCTCCACATCGATGGGTGCCGTCAGATCGATTCGGTGGGTGATCTGGTCCTCCTCCTCAATCAAGTCCAGCTCCTCTTTGATCGCCGGATTGTCCTTGAACTTGTCCTTGCGGATCTGGAACAGGACCTCGATCATGTATTGCACGCGCTTGTCGATGTCGGCCTCGTGCAGGATATTTCGGAATTGGTCAAATATGATCCGGGCCATGGGCGGGCTCATCTCTTCCAGGTGCTGGGCGACCTCTTTGGTCAAGCCCACGGCAATCTCCACGCTGTCATCGGTCGGCTTCTCCAAGAGCAGCATGAGCATCTGCGCCGCCAGCATCTCGTGCACAACTTGCTGGTTGACAAGATGCGCAATGAAAGTGGTTGAGGACAGGCAAACAGCCTTGTCATTCCGCTTGAAGCCCTTGCGGAACTGCATCACCAGCCGCTTGACCAGTAGCTCGCCGACCTGGGGCAGCTTCGTGTTGACGATGGCGGCCATGGCAGCATAGATGGGCGTGAACGGCAGCGAGGCGGCCTGGGCCTTCATGATGCTGCGGCAGAACAAGCCGCGACCGCGCATCAGGTTCTCGTTGAACAGCTCGGGGACGATGTGCTTGATGTTTGAGACGTTGACCTTGTTGATGAGACCGTTGATGGACTTTTTGAGCGCCTCCCAGGCCATGCGCTGGTATTCCTTGCTTGTCTTGTCGGTGATTTGGGCCTGCAGGGCCCGCAGGCGCGCTGGGGGGATGTAGGTTCCGCCGGAGCGCATCGTCAAGAGCTTCTCGTACTCGGCTTTGGCGGCGGCCTGCTTCTCTTCCTCGGTGGGCATCTTTGGGGGCGTGCGCTGGCGCTGTGGCGATCGCTGGCGGGAGGCGAGCGCCGAGTGCTTGTGGTTGTTGTGGGCGCCATCGCCGCCGCGACGGCCCGGCCGGTAGTTGTCGCCGCCGTCACGGGGCCGGCCACGGTCGCCACGGTCGCGGTCATCGCGGCGAGGAGAGCGAGGCTGCTGGACGGGTGAGCGGTCGCCCAGGTGCGACGAGGGTCTGCTGTCGACGGTTGCCATGGCGCGCGATCTAGCAAAGTGCGAGGAGGCAGGAGGCTAGAGGTGTCGTCGTTTGCATCGAGCGAAACAATCCGTCCGCCGGTGCTAGTGCACCCAAGGTTGATTGAGCGACTGGTTGAGCTGGCTGGTGGTTATGAAGGATTGGTGTGTGTGAGTGTGTGTGGGTGTTGGGATCGGAGGTTGTCTCAGACGACCACGCACGTTGCTGGACAAGCAGGCAGGCAGGCACATGAGAAACAGACTTTTGGAGGAGGCTGAACGCTGGTCCAGCGACTGACTGAATAACTGACTGGGGTGCAGGGTGGGTCTGCCACAGTCGCGCCTTGCCCACCACAGCCAAGAGACGCGCGCTGCCGCAGGGTGAGGAAGCACCCCTGGCACCCACCCGTGGTGGATCGCATTTGCGGAGTACGGACACGATACGTGGTGCTTGTGCTTGTCAACCTTTGGAAGCCAGTCAACCGCCGCCCCTCGCCAGCGACTTGAACAAACAACCACGACAGCGTCTTCCTTCCTGCACACCTTCACGACACTCCTTTCCCGCGAGCACGCACGCCTCTCTTAGTATTTCTACGGCCCTTCTAATCAACAATGGTGCGTACACCTCTTTTTCTCAACGCCACAGTCCGTGAGCCTGCAGCGTGCGGCCATCTGCAAGGATCCCCCTTTCCCTGCCCCAGTCTTCAAGACGACAAGACTCGACAGCCATCGCGAGAACGAACGACTTGCCTCTGCCGACCCGGTCATGATGACACCCCGCCATAGTCTTGAACAGTCATGAATAATGGCAGAACTGACATCCCACACACAACTACAGCTTGACAAACTCGTCGGCCTCACCATGCTGGTGGCCGCCTCCGTCGTCTTCCTCTACTACTCCATCTGGACGTTGGCCATGGTACGTCTTCTCCCACCACACACACACACACACACACACACACACACACACACCCCAATGGGAGCCCCCCCGATTGCTAGAGCCAAAAGACAAACCAATAAAAGAAATAAAAAGACTGACCAAAATAAAAACAGCCCTTCGTAGATGCCGACCACCCTCTCCACGCAATCTTCCCCCCGCGCGTCTGGGCGATCCGCATACCCGTCATCCTCATCCTGCTCGGCTCCGCCGTCGTCGGCTCGTTCCTCTCCATCGTCATGATCCGCAGCAACAAGAAGAAGGCCGCCAAGGCCAAGGCCGCGGCTGCCAAGAAGAAGGCGTAAAGACAGCCCAGCGCTCGCCACCAGACTCTCTCTCTCTGTCTCTCTTCTTTCCTTTTTTTTGCGCCGAGGGAGAGGAGAGGAGGGAGAGAGGGAAAAAAGAGAGAGAGCAAGTGCGGTGGGCAAGGAATCTGGTCCCTGTGCAGTCAACCCGAGAGAGGCATTTGGGGATCAGGTGCTTCGCGCGGGAGCTAAAGAGGAGGCGGAGGAGGAAGGAAATGTAACGACGCTGGCCAGCACCTTGCAGATATGTGTGGTAACATCTCAAAGGCCAGATTGGCGGTACGATTGGCCACAGACACATCAATCCCTATAAACAGAGGAGGACGAGCTGAAGAACTAGACCAAAAATATACCACCCATCTTCGGCCTTTCTGAGCTTAAGGAACCAGACCACTCGCCATGATCGCAGAGTGTCAGCCAAGTTGAGCCAAGGGCCGCACTGTCGTGAAAGCACAAATGACATGGCACAGCACGTGGCAGGGGGGATTGCAGGTTCTGTTGAGTTCCTTGTACGTTGACTACCTAACCTAGATACACAACGCCAGACGCCGTCCCTCTGGCACAGGCAGGATGATTTCGTGTTTCAGTATTGACCAGAGTGTAACGCCTATACCCTTTGATCCGCAAAATCAATAACCTCCAGCTCGTCCTCAAAGAACTCATCCTCGTCCTCTGCGTCCGCCGACGCCCGATTTCCATGTCGGCGTCTGCGAGTCGTCACGACGATCTGCTCGTCGTTTTCGCCGACCTGCATGACACGCTCCATGGCGTACGCCGGCAGAGCCCGGTGGTCCTCAATGCTACCGCTCACCGACTCGTCGTCCACAGGCACCGGCAGACGCATGCTGGCTTTGACGCCACTGATCGGCTGTCCGAACGCCCAGGCCCCTGCAGCGTTCGGCTGCGCCTTCCGGTCCTTCTTCGACCTCTCCGGCCCAGACTGCTTGACGCCAATTCCAGACACCTTGCAGTCGTACTCGAAGAGACCAACACGCCTGTCAGTGTGGAACGGCTGGTATGGGGCGCTTGATTCTATCTCTGCCTGAGGTATCGAGGACTCGGGTCCGAGCACAGATGCGCTCAGATCGGTTCGGTGCGGCAGAACCAAAGTATGCCCTCCGTCCTGTGGTTCCGGTAGTGCAACCTCCAGCTCGCTCTCTGGCTCGATCGACTTCTTGACCAACGGCGCAAGAACATCATCAGGGACATTCCTCAGCTTGAAGTCTTTGTACGTGCGACTAGGTGGTAGTCGACCCGCTCCGACTGACGTTTTCCGACTCTTGCCGGTGAACGTCCTGACCATGCCATCGCCAACCACAAACAGAGACGAGTACTTTCTGCCACTTAGCCAAGTTGCGCAGGCTAGGCCGGGCAGCATGTTTTCAAGTGGCAAAGCGACACGATTCTCTCCCGTGTGTCGTAGTTGGCTGATAGCGGTGCCTGCGTTCCCCAGTGAGTGACTAATGCCGGCAGCCAGTACTTTGCCGCCATAGCTCGCGTGTTCCATGATTGTGGCGTTGCTCTGACCCTGCGTGCTGCTTCGTCGCTGACCACTAATGAGGGGCTTCGCAGCACCGTAAGCTGAGCTTAGGGCGGTCGATGCAATGGACACTGCCGACGGGGCATTCTCAGCTCCTTTCTGGTCAGTCTTCTGTCCTGGCACCCTACGGCGCGGTGGCGGCCACGTATACGCAGAGTTCGGCATGTCCAGAAGATGCACAGTGCCTTTCTCTGTCACCATGGCGATGCGATCGCCATTCGGGTGCGACCACGCCACATCGACGATGCGAGCCACAGTCATGCGCGAAAATTGGGCAACTTGTCGTACGCGCGTTGCGTGCCCAGTGTGAGGCTGTACGTTCTGCAGAGCAGACGACTTTGTGTGCTGGATACGCATGAGATCCCACACGGTCTGCACATCTCCCTTGCTGCTGGCTGTGAACAGCAAGAGCCCGGTCGGGGCAAAAGCCACGAAGCTGCAGCCCAAGGGGGCCTTGAAAGTCGTTACATGATGGATCACGGTCGAATTCGCCAGTGTTGATAGGTCGAGTACAGAGACCAGGCCTGGGTCCTTGGTTGGTGCATGACCAGAAATGCCATATGTTGGCGGAAATTGGGCGGCGTCGGGGCGCGAGCCGTAGGAGTTGCTCCATGGCGGCGAGCCTACAGTAGTCGGTCTGGCTTGTGGTTGCTGCCCGGGTTTCCAGTAATTGTTCCATAGCTGCATGCCGTGCTTGCCTACCCACTTCGCACCCTGAATGAACTCTTGTGTCGTCTCGCGCATGATGCGATTCATCATGCCGTCGGAAATGGGCGAATCCACATCAGAGCTTTCATTAGGCAGAACTGGGGATGCCAACGAAGCTATGCCAGGAACTTTGCCTTCGAGCGGCACCGGCACGAGAGCGTTGAGAGTGGACTGTGAAGCAGGTGCCGGTGGGCAATAAGCCAGCCATCGGCCATTCAGAGAAATGATAGGCGCGGGCGGCAGTCTTCGAGCCGGGAGCGGGCTTCGGCTTCGCTCCTCGTCTGGCGTCAAGTCGCCCTTGTGCCCTTGCTGAATACTGGTCCAGATCTTGCCCACACACCTGAATTCCACACCCGGTGCTTGTTCGATCTGTGCTTGTCTGTAGATCCAACTTTCTCCTGTCTCACCCGAAGATACCACGATGTGACCTTCATCTGCCCGGATCTGAAGTGCTCCCGAAGGCGGGGGACTACGGAAGACGGGATTGGAGAGTGAAGACTTGATCGGAATCTTGGGCAGCTCGAGCAAGACTCCCACCAACTTGCTCGTCTTCAGCGAATAGACCTCGACGGAAGTCTGGTACGCATCAATCGTGGCTGTTGGTTTGACAGCCGGACTTGGTTTCTGGTTATCTGACTGAGGGGTCCGGATACCGTCTAATTTGGGGCTCCCCATATCCGCGCTAGATATTTCTGTGGCCACTTCTGTGTTGGCAGTCGGTAGAGCTGGGCCATGGACTACGACAGCCACCAACGGGAATACGTTGCTGGCATCGGGACCACCGGTCCAGTTCAGTATCTTTGCCTGGCAGACTGCTCCCCGCAGCCCTTTCAGAGTTGAGACAGGGTCGACTCCACGCTTGTTGACGTTGTACACATCCAAGCCGCCCTCGTAGCCGGCGAGAACAACGTTGCTGCTTCCAGCCTTGTGCGCCACTGTTGTGCTTGGGAGAACATCAAAGCCCAAGTGGTATCCCCGCTCGCCTGCCTTGATACCACCCTGTTGACCAGAGCCAAAGTCGAGCTCGGGTGCACCATAAAAGTGCGCCTGAGGCTGGTGTGGCAGCGGCGGGTTGTGAAGCGGGCGGTTTCCACCAAAGGGCGAATGCATCGAGCTTCGGCGGATCGATGGGGGCGAGGAGGCTTGAGACCGAAAGTCGTGGACAGGGAAGTGGCCCTCTGCTTGGAAGCTCAAGGGACGTCGTATGCTCTCTGGTGGCGAGACAGAGGTTGCATATTGTTGTGCGCGAGCTCGCTGTTGAGGGGTCCACGCATAGCTGATTCCGCGAGAGTCCTCGTATGACGATGGCTGAGTCGGTGGTGATTCACCCATCAAGCTGATCAGATTGGGCGAGCCTCCCAAATGACTCATGGTCTTTGGCCATTCGCTAACCACGCTCGGTGCCGTGCTTGCAGATGCAGGTATCGCGGTTGCGGCACCCAGCATAGGGGATGCTACCACCGAAGGCTTGGAGGGAATGGCTGCCGGTTCAGTCGGCGCCAGCTCCGGTGACGGTGTCGGAGGCGCTTCTGAGAGTGTCTCTACATCTTGCACCACGGGGATGGTGCTCCTTGATTTCACGTGTTAGAACTACTTCATTGAGTCGGTCGAGATGCATCGTTGCGGGCTTCCAAAGGGCAGGAAGAGGGGAGAGGACAAAACATACGAGAACTTGGCCCCATGCCTTGTCACCGCTGCCACAACCCCTCCACTTTCTCTCGCGTGTTTGTCCTTCTTCTTTGAGCCTAGGCGAGCAGAGCACAGCATGTTAGTGGTGTACGCGAGATTCTCGGCCGAGTTGCCGGACAACGTCATCTTGACTTACCTCCCATAGAGAGTGCTTTGGAGCACACTGAGGCTTCGGCAGAAGCCTCCTGTGCTTTGTCGGCGTGCTATCTGCAAAGACAGCGCCGTCTTCGAGATCTGCAGCAAGTCTGTGCAGTCGACCTTCGTGCGGAGCTGCAAGCAGTACGATGACGTCCTCTGTGCTACAAGGCTGGGGATGTGGCAGTTGGCGGGACGTGATACCAAGTGAGCTTCGGGACTAGTCAATGTACGTATGACCAGCGCCGTGAGAGGTATGGGTGATTCGAGGTGGTGTCTAAAGGTGTGGGAATGCTCCGGGCACGATGTCTAAGCGCGTATGGATAAGGAGTCGAGTGTGTACCGAGCCACCTGTTCAGCACAGCTGCAGGGGTGGTGATGATGTTCTTGAACGGAATTAAGCGTATATAAGATGCGTTGTATGTACGTAGGACCCGCGGAGAAGTGCAGGCTCGTCGAATGAGCTGAGCAAGGTCAAGATATGTACGGGTAGGAAAAGAACGCGACGGGTTGTCTATGCTGGGAGAGATCGTGAAGGTGACGATGAACGAGCAGAAGCAAGCGGCAGGGAATGGAAAGCTGTAGCAGTTGGGGAGTCGTCGATGTCGTTGCGGTCGTGGTCGGATCTAGAGTAGTTTGTTATGCAGTTGGTAGAGAGAGTAAGGCTTGTTGTTGTTCTTCTTGTTCTTGGTGTTCTTGTTGAGGATGAGAGGCAAGAGAGCGAGTCCGGGTCGGAGGGACGAGGCAGCAAGCGCCAAGGGTGCTGGGGGGGAGCTAGGCTAGCTCCAGGCTGGTATCGGCGAAGCTTAGGCGCACGAGCACGGCGCGCCAGGCAAGCAGGGCAGGGCAGTGTGACTGAGTCTCGAGGCCGAGGGGGGCGGGGCAGGGCCGCACATGCAACGCAACACGCGACGGCGCGTGGGCAGCGAGCCAGGCTAGGACGGGGTCAGCGATGGCACATGGGCCATTTGATTGCCCACCAGGGTGCTGCGCTGCCCCCAGCGAGAGCTTATTAGCGCTTCACGTCCCCAACGCGGCCGCAGAGGCTGATGTTGTTGGACCCGAGCTTGGTGTCTGTTTGATGCCTCAGGTCCCTGGCCGGCCTGCCTCATCCCTATCGACACGCGGTTTAGACGTCACCACCGCCGTCTCGATGGCTCATCCGCCGGGCGGCCAGGAGTCACTCTCCCAGGCTGGAGCTCAGACCAGCCGCGGCCAGCCGGACCGGAGAGCAGCAGAGCAGGCGTGACACTTTCCCCTCGCTGGATGCGGGGGAGACCGGGTGCGGCACGGTGCAGCGCTGGGGAGTACCCCTGGAATGCAGGGATCGCAGTGGGATGGCGGCTGGGTGATTACAGTACAACATCACAACGGCACCCGCAACAACCGCAGCATGGGAATGCCTTATCGCTGCAGCTCTGCCCAGGGCGGGGGGCCTCACTACGGGCTGGCGAGGCTGGTGCAGCCAACGCTCCAGCGCAATAAGGCTGGCTGGCGTGCTCTGCTGTGCGTGGTGGGGGATCGGCCTGTCCCAGGAGATCCACGAATGACGTGGTGCAGTGGGTGGGCGTTGGGGTTGCGGGCGCCGGCCGATGCGGGCACACCCCTCACCTCACTCATCACCGGATCCTGCTTGGCCGCGCTCTGGGACCTTGCATCCTGTTTATGCATCTCTTGTCCATGCTTCCCTGCTGGTACTCAGGTCCAGCCGCCCATGCGCAAAAGCATAATTGCGTGCAGCCGAGCTTCGTGTCGACTGACGAGTCCCAGCAACGTCCAGTTAAGCCGTGCGCCGCCCGCCCGGCCCACGTGAGCCCATCGACGGGTCACTGCTTGAAGATCAGGGTCACTTGCTCACCTCTGCCCACACATGTTGCTGCCTTCCGTACCCGTCATCGCCATCCCCCCGCGGGGTAACTGGGAAGAGGACGTCGTCACCTTACGACACTCAAGCCACATAAGACCAAGTCTCAAGTCATGAAGAGCCTTGTCTCGTCCACAGTCGCAGTTTCTGGCATGGTGTCCTTTGGCCTCGCCTATCAGCTAGAACCAGGTCCTCCCACCACATCGGTCCCAGCCGGACCGACTGCATATTCCATGCATCCGGCTCCAGCTCTCTCTCCTAGTGCCAAAACGCGATACCTGACATGCCCTAGTCAACCAGCCTTCCCCGATCCTGGCAGAAGCCATCTCATCTCTCCTCCTTCACCTCTAAAGATATACAAGCCAACCTGCAGCACTACTATCAAACCCGTCCCCATAAAAATAGACGACCCGTGACCTCTTCCAATCTTGATCATCATCATCATCATCACGGCGAGGAAGGTGGGTGCTCGTGGGGGCACTCGTGCCAGAAGTTGCTGCTTACCATGGCACCGAGACCACCCAAGACAAAGCTGACAAGGCGCGCCCAGTTGCCCAAGGGGCGTGTCAGCTGACTGGGTTCATGTCATTCATTTAACCCAGGTGCAAAGCGAAAGCTAGCCTCACCTGCTGCTGCTGCTGCTGCAGCCACTCCCACCCCTCCTACTCCTCCTCCTCCTCCTCCTCCTCCTCCTCCTTTTGCGTCTTCTCGTACCTTTGCTTTCGGCCCCTTTGTTCCGCATTCCTGGAAGCGGAAAGTTTAAAGGGCAAATGAAAGCTCATAGAACAGAGGTGGGTTGTGCATTTCCCAGCCGCTGCTGCCCGGATGGGGGCTGACTACACTAAGTACTACACTTAAGAGAGCTGAGCCAGCCAGCCAGCTGGCCATACTGTTCCAGACAGTGCTGATCGTGCACTCCCCTTTAAAGCACCGTAAGGTATCCTGTATACTTGGTGTTGAACCGCGGCATGCTCCCACGCGGGCCTGTCAAACGGACCGAGATATCCCAGAACCATCACCTACACCATTTACACCACACCACGCTACAACTAACCAATACCTGTATTTTAAGTAAACAGACCTTGAAAGCCATCAAATATCATGCTGCGCGTCTCCCGTGTGCTTGTAGAAAATCAGCAACTTGCTGCCACCTTGCACATGCCACATATCATCATCATCAATAATCAGGAAGCGTGGAGCACCCTGTAAAGTACGCTTAACCAACCATATCCCTCCACCCAAGTATACCTCCAGTCCGCTACGACCAAACTTGAGCATGCGAATGCGTGGTGCTCAGGATGAGGAGGAGAAAGTCCCCTAAACCAAAAGGCCACAGAGCTCCCGGCAGGCAATGAAAGAAGCCCAAGCATTTCAAGCGTGTCTGCTGCCTTCTCAATCTGATAAGACCAGAGCTCTCATCATCGCAAAGTGAACAAAGGGACACAGTCGACACTCATAAAAGAATCTAGGCGTGAAATAGGACTCGAGAACAGTAGAACCTCGTTCATAAGGGTATCATCACCACGACCTATATCTCTTCCTTGCCGTGTCCACAGCAGGAAAAAGCGTGCAAGAAAAGCACAGAAAGAGCCCGATCACGAAAAACAGCAAGAAAATTCCACGACCACCAACCAGGTCGCTCTTGAAACAAGGGTAAAACCTCCATCGCCCCAGCACGCCACCATAAAAGCCCAGGAAAAAAACCCATCGCTTCAAATCTTAAGTCTCCCCAAGCCCCCCATTATCAAGTCCTCACTCCACGAGACGTGACCTCCCCTTTTCCACCAATATTTAGCGCGACCCGACAGTCGGGACAGTACCATTTCGTGGTGCGGGCAGGTATCTCGGTGAGTCCAACGCACTCGAGGTGAAACCATTCTTGCTTGCAGTTCTGTACGCGGGCCGGAGCGGTTAGGGCAGTAGAGGTTAGCTTCTTGTTCTTGTTCTGATTCTTAACCTCGTCCTCTTTCTCCTTCTTGATCTTTTGCTCGTGCAGAATAATGCGTTTGCTCTTTCTGCTGCCTTGTAGCAGCTGTGAGGAGGGGCTCGTGGTAGTAGTGGATGTAGATTTCTTGGTGCCTGTATCCTCCAACTTTGGAGCTACTGCTGCCGGCGCTGTCGCGTGGCCATGCTCGCGAGCATGGGACTCCACGAGAGTAGAGAAGGCATCCAAGTGGAAACTATGGGAGGAATAAGAAGAGTACGAAGTAGATTTCTGGTTGCTCACATCGACATTGTCGCACTGTATCATCGTGCCAAAGCTCACGCGGTTGCACAGGCAGTACCGTGGCTCGTTCGGGTCCACCACGTTGCCGTCGTCGTCAATCTCCACGTCGGCCTCGGCGCCATCGGATCCGAGGCCGGCACTGGCGCCGTTAGAACCCCTGTCACGCTTCGCGGCACTGCCGCCACGGGCCTTCTTTCGTGGTGCGGCTTTTCGCTTGCCTACTGCGCTCGTGCCGCCCGGGTTGGTAGTAACAACGCCTGGGGCTGGCCTCTTGGTGCGCTTGCTGGCTTGCCGCAGCTCGGGCGCTGGCGTGTTGCGGGCAGTGCTGGTTCGCCGCGGACGATCCACAAGTGTATTCGGTGGCTCCTGGCTCGAGCCCTTGCCACGTGAGTTCGGCCTACGTGCAATTGTAGTAGTAGTGAGATTTTCAGACGCAGCAGACACGGCCCCGGCGTTGCTGGGAACAATCGAGGCAGGCGGAGCAGGTACTGGCGTCACCTGCCTTGAAGTAGTCTGTCTTATGTTAGTTGTAGGTTGTAGATTATTCTGCCTCGTTTCCCGCTTTGGCATATCGCGCACAGGCGGCAGTATCGGTGTCGTTGAAGGCTTAGCAGTAGAGGCCACGGGTGACTCCGCCGCGGGCTTCGTTGGCACCGTAGTAGTGAACGATGGCGGCGGCACGGGACTTGTCACGCTTCGAACGGAGTTTACTGGCTTGATGGCAGAAGCAGCACCGTCTCCAGTAGTCTTTGTAGAAGAAACCGTCGCCGCGGGCTTGCCAAAGTGCGGCACGGGTATTGGTGTCTGAGTGGCTGGCGGTACCGAAGTCGGTCTCGCCGATAGTTGTGGGGGCGGTATAGGCGTCTCGGTCTTGGTGCGCTTCATCTGCGGTCTCGACTGCTGCGTCTCGGGCGTCTCGACGGCCTTCTCCACGGTCGGAGCCTCTGAGGTCGAATCGCGCTTCCGCTTCTTGGTTGCCAGAGCCTTGTCGCCGGCTGCATTGGCGGCGGCAGCAACAGACGGTGATCCCTCTGGGCCAAGGAACATGCGTGCTGCTTCATTCATCTTTCTCGCGGACTCCTCTGCTTCTTCTGCTGCCATCTTCGCCAAAGCCTCACGTTTCAGCTTCTTGGCCTCGTTAAGCTTCATACCCCGGTTGCTCAACTGGATCTCATCCGCAGTGAGCGTCTCGGCGCTGATAGCACCTGCAGCGGGATGTTGCGTGCCAGACTCGGCATCCGTAACGGTCGCAGGGACGGCGTCCTCAAATGGCAGGCCGTTGTCCTCTGCGTGTTTTTGCGCGGCCTTGTACGCCTCCACGCCGCGCCCCAGTAGCTTGAGTTCTCGGGCAATCATCGTATCCGATGGGTTCCAGACTGCATTCTTCTTCATACGTTTTCGCAGCTTGGCGAGCTCGTACGGCGTCAATTGCAGCCATGGGGCATACTCTCCTCCCACAACGGCGTCTGGTGGCGGCGGCTCTAGAGCGGCGAGCGCACTGCTCGTGGACATTGGAGCGACCTGTCCTGGTGCCAGAGGCGTCCGTGGTGGCCTTGGTGGCTTTGGTACTTTGAGCTTGGGCACTTTTGGTGTCTTGACCAGCTTTATCCGAGGACCCCCCATCATCTTGTTGCCCGGCGACATGTCATCGTCGCTGCTGTCGTCTCCACTGTCGCTGTACACATTGAAGTCGATCTCATACGGAGCTAGAACTTCTCCAGGCACTGTGATGCGCGGCGGCCCGCGAACTTTCTGGCCGTTGCTGTCCACCCGGAAAGTAAGCTTTGGCGCGCGAGTCGCCTGGGGTGATCTCGTCAGGACCGGGCTCTTGATGTCCTCCGCAGTCGGATAATTTTCGCGCATCGTCTGAAGTTTCGCCAGGATCGTCTTGGCCCGGTTGTAGTGCCGGTTGACATTGTCGCGCATGCGACATGCCTCGGCATGGGAGAAGACGCGCGAATCCACGGCCCGCTGCGCATTCTCGGAGATATCCGCGCGCAGCTTGACCGGCGCAGGCCGCTGATCCGCAGGTAGTGTCGGCAGGGAACCCCACGTCTTGGTGAGCTCGTGAAGTGCGAGAGAGGCTTCTGTATATGTCTCGTCGAGCTTGCCAATGAGCGTCAGAGACCGCATCATGTCGGAAGGCAGGTACTCGGTGAAGTCAAGGTAGTCGGTTACCGTCGCCTGCGCATCCGGATCGGCGCGCATACCGAGGGACGGCATCCGACGCGTGTCTGTCGGGCTTATCACGGGAGACTGAGGTCCGTCTGGCTGACTCGTCTTGGTGGTTGGCGAGACGGCCTGCTCGTCGAGCTGCGTCACGCCTTCGTCAACCTCCATTGACGTTGAGGTCATGTTCGCTGTGCTTGTCGGGTTGTCCCTCAGATGGCTAGCTACACCTATGCCACCGGCTTGTCGGTTTCATGGCGGGGCGATGTTGCCGTGTGGACGTTGATGGCCAGCGCGCGCTCGGGGGTTGGCCGTCGAAGGATCGCGTTTTGCGGCAGCTTCCGAGGGTCTTGCCACGCTCGGGAGAGGATAGGCAGAGGTTGACGGGGTTGCGATGCAGACTTGTCGGACTGTGCAGCTACTCAGTTGTAGGCGCTGCAATCTTGGGTGCTGTACCGTGGTCGTAGTTCGTGGTGGTGGCCTAGGTACGATGCCGTCGCGGTTGGTGGCCGTGCCTCAGGCATATGATGCGCGGCGCCGCGGGATGTGGTACCACAAGGCGCGTCGCTGCAGGTCGGCAGGTGGGGCTTTCATGGTAGCAGCAATAGTGGGTCCAACCCGCATTCAAGTCAGGCACCCAGGCCGCTAGCGACTTCTTGATGGGCTAAGATCTGGCATTCAAACAATGGCAGCTAGGGGACATCGCGCTTCGCTGCAGAGGCATGACTCAGTACTCCAGGCTGGGCGTAGAATCAGTATGCAGTTGTATTATTTGTTATACAGTTACGCGCCAGACTCCAATGGAGTGACCTCTCCCGCTCCTGTCCCAAAGCCGTTTAGATCAGAGACCCAAAGGCTCGAAACACGGCCTCCATACTTATCTAACATTAGCATCGATTGAGCGTGATGCATCGTCTTCGCCGCCTTTTATCCAAGATGGTCTTTCCTGGGGACTTGGTTCCTGCCCCTTCATCCTTCAGTACACTCCTCGTCTAGCCTCCACGGTGCGTATAGCTAGACTGAGCAATGTCAGTCCTCAAACGTGGCGGCCTCCTCATCGCCAGCTAGGTCTTGCTAGTCTTAAGTACTGCCAACAGCACCAAGGCCCAATCCTGTCACTCCGGCGGCCAAAACCCACACGGTGCCCCAAGCGACAGCGCCGGCAGTCTCAACGCCCAACACTTCATAGCGGGCCTTGAGAGCAGAGCTGACACCGCTCACGAGCATGAGTACAAGAGTCCGGCCCATTGCGACCTTGGTGCGGGTGCTCCAGCCCCAGACATTCCACCAAACGGTGGCGCCCAGCCCAGCCTCGACAGGGTTGAAGCTGTCGTTAATCTCGTCCTGGGTGGTCCGCGGAACGGTAGTGATAGGGGCAAAAATGAAGGTCTGCGCCGCAAGGCCAAGGGCCAAGGTCACTGGGAGGAACGAAATGTAGCTTGCTTCGTGTGCTGGAGCGATGGAAGCAAGGTTGGTGAAGTAGACAACCAGGTAGGTAGGCAGGTAAGTGGCGTAGGCAAAGAGCAAAGCCACGCTGTAGATGGCGGCAGCGAGGAGTGTGGTCAGCAGCGCAATCGGCCTATCAGCGACAATGTCACCGTTGGGGGCGTCGTTGGGGTCTGCATGAACAACGTTCAAGGGTCGCAGCAGGTGGAAAGGCAGAGTCGCAGAGAGCACCTCGATAGCCAGAGAGGAGACCAAAGGAACGGCAGGCGTGCTGTAGAACGTAGAGAGCAGATATAGCTAGAAATACACAGGTCAATACTACGGCTCCCTTGTAGCTTGTACAGGTTGGACTTACAGAAGGGCCTTGAGACAGCACAGTCAAAGCAGCCAGGTCAATACTGTCAAAGTTGCCATACCAGCCGAGACCCAGTTGGAATCTGCCATTTACAAGGAAATGTCAGCAAAAGCACGCCAGGAATATGTGCCAACAGCAGACGGGGCAATCACTTACACCTTCCAGCCAGTAAGCAGTGCCACCTCGGTCCAGTTCTCGAGCACTCTCTCGTTGATGGCCAGCGGGGCGCGGGTAAACTGGTACGTGAGAGAGTACAGCAGGGCCGAGATGGACAGGCTGAGGATCGCGATGAGGGGGAACTGGACGGCCGCCGGCAGCTTCGGGGTCGGCACGAGCGAGTATCGCTTCTCTGCGGGTCTGACAGTGGGGCCCTCGACCTTGGTGATCGTCACCACCTTGCGGCTCCCAGAGGAGGGGGAGGCCGGCATGGTGGTGGTGGTGGTGGTGTCGTGCTCGTTCTCTCCCTCGGGCACATCCGTGCGCTTCGTGCGGGTACGCAAGTTTTTAGTGCAAGGTGGCCAGCTGTTTTGTATCGACACGTTTCCGAAGTCGCGACTAGCTAGATGGCTATGCGCGTATCGAGATACCAGCAGCGCCGTGTTGCGGGAGCAGCTGGTGCGGATGAGTGTAACGCGCGGGACAAGTTGTAGACCAAGCAATCGTGATCCGTGGTCACCCTGTGCGATGACTGCGTCGTCTGGAACCGGTGTCGCCCTCGAAAAGGGAAATTGCTGCCCTTGCTGCTCAAGGATTCGTGGGCCACGTGATTGCTGATCGCTGATACGCGTCTTTGTAGCAAACCTGGCGAATGAGAACGAAATGAATGGACAGACGGCGTCGTTGCGGGGAGGGTACGTCAGGCCCAACGGAGCAGATGCGCTTTTGTCGAGCAGCTTGGGTGCGAAGAGGCCCTTGTAGCGACGATCTCGGGTCGATGCGTGATCTGAGACGAGCAATGGAGGCGCTGCTGGGACTTGTTGTATGTACTGGCGAGGTGGTCGCGTTAGGAAGGAGGCCGGAGGTTGGTGTTGATCAGCGCGGCGCGGGGAGCTCGAGCTGTATTCACTCGCACACGCAAGGCTGGGGGCACACGGCTCCGTCTGGAGGCCAAGATGGGGAGCTGTGACGTCGCAGCCGCCGCCCCGGCCGCCCACCCACCGACAGGGTTCGTGCTCCGTGACTGGGGTCGAGCTCCATCCGTCAGCGGCCACGCTCCAACCGCAGAGAAAAAACCACATCGACTTGGAACCGATCTTCTCTGCAGCCCTCCTCACGGCAATGCGCGGTGCTGCGCTTCTTCGGCTGATCGTCCCGTGGCCTGCCTCTATGGACGACGCTGGTCCTTCCGCCGGGGAAGCCTCTCGAACACCGCGCAGCCTTAATAGGGTGCGTCATCCTGCACGGTCATCTCGACTGCCGTCTTCTTTTACTCTTTCTCTTCTTCCCGCATGCCACCCGTTCTCTCCTCGGGATATTGCCGCCCCGCGCCTTCGGGAACATCGTGGTCGAATGTGACCGCATCCCCCACGGGCATCAGGCCTCATGACTCAAGGTATTTCCTTTTCACTCGAACCTGGTCACGAATTCGTCGCCATTTCAGGTCGGTCAACATACACCAAGGTTGAATGGATGAAGGATTTTGGTTGTCGCAAAACACAGGACAAGCGAGTGTGTCGAATTCCTAACTATTAGGTATTATATACACCATCTCCACTTCCTCGGGTTTGTATTCTGTGTTTTCTTATGTCAACCTCCTCAATCGTGCTCGGCGTTGCTCGACGCACTCTCTCCGGTCCTCACTTTAACCTCGTGGGAGTTCGGCCCAACATGACGCGCATTGTGCCAGCCAGGTCAACACAACCACCCACTCTTCGGTGCTAAGGACTCGGCGGCGGAGCGAACCACCAACTTGCTGGCCATTCATATCGTGCCAGTCTTCCTATGAACTGATACTCCAGAAAGAAAGAAAGAAAAATACACTGCCATACGCCTCATATCACGTTGCCTGTCAGCCTTCGGTTCGCCATCTTCGGGGGGTTTCGGAATCAGATATCCATGCGACCAAACATGAGATCATCATCCTCGCTGCCATTCGCCCTCATCCGGCGATCATGGTCGTCGTCTTCGTCCATGATACTATCTTCCCTGTCGTCGACCTTCATGTTCTCGGCATGGTGGCGGTGGTCTCCACGCGTGAAGCTTTCTGGCATCTGGCGTGACGAGAAGCTGTTGAAGAATGGGGTGCTCGAGAAAGCTGCCTGATCAAGATACTGCATGGGCAACGGCGGCACCGGAGGGGCATCCGAAGGCAGCCTTGCGTCTCGGGAGCCACCGTTACTGCCAAAGCTGCAGCTGAGGAGTTCGACGGCCGCGGCGAGATCGCGATCTTCTTGGTTCGTGTTATTGCGGCCTTGTGAAGGGGGTCTGCGTTCAAAGCTTGGCTGGCGGTGGTGCCCACCAAAGTTTGGTGTGCTCGAGATGCTCCCGGCGCGGAAGGAGCTCGACACTCCGGATTGGTACGATTGGGAGATGGCATTGCTGCCGCTACTGTAGCGCTTGCCCATACCCAGGTATGACGGCACGTTGTTGTGAAGGTAAGGGTCTGTTTGTGGGGGTGGCGTGGTGTCAGCCGAGCTTCGGCCGTCGTGCACATCGGAGTAGCCCGAGGCCGCTGGCGATGCCGCGGATTCGGGCTCGCTAGCAAAGTCCTTGGCCGAGTCTGGTGGTGTAGTCGGATTCCCGTCAGTGTCGACGTTCATGCCGACAAGGACGGAGGCAGCCTCCAACAGCTGGACCTGCTGGTGCTTGGAGATGAGGAGCTTGGACGTGAAGTTCCACTCAGGGGTATGCTCCCACCTATTCATGGAGATATGTTAACAAAGCGTCCAATCAAAGCCAAAGTGTCGACTTGCTCCTATGCAAAATGGCCAGGCAATTATGCAGTCCCACGTCATCTCAAGAGACGCATGTCACACACGAAGGTAGGAATTGAAGGAACTGCAATATCAGGCAAAGGGTGGGACACCAACAAATGCTTGGTCAAGCAGCTGCCATGCTTGTACACCTTGCCGCATGTCTCGCAGCGGACCTCGACACGGTTGCTCTTCTTGCCGTCTTTCGAGAGATGCTGGCCGTCACTGGCCCTCCGCGCCCGAGCCTGATCAGCGCCGAGCTGCGACTCTTCGGGCGACATCTCGGCCGAATCGTCGATTGCGCTCTCGGGGTTTTTGGCAACGAACTTGTGCGATGGCAAGCTGGCAGGAGGAGAAAGAGGACTGCCGGCCAAGTTGGACTTGCTGACCCCAGACTTGGACACACGACGCGCCGCTCCCGAGATGGGAAGTGACGACACCTTGCTACCCGGATTCTGTTCATTCTGCATGGCCGCAGCCAGGGCAGCGGCCACGTTGGTGCCGGTCGCTGTGTTCATGCTCTTGCGGCGAGAGACTCGATTGGCGTTGAGGGCGCTTGAGAGCACCGAGTGCGAGTGTGAGCCATTTCGAGAGTGAGCCGTAGGTCGGTGCGTTGGCAGCGAGGACGGGGAGCCGGACGTGATCGATTGGCGGTGCTGGATCAATGGCCTCGAGGAAGTCTGGATATCCTAGAGGGGCGAGCGAAGGACCAGAGTCAGCTGTGCCCCCGTAGCCGTCATGCGTCTCGTACACGCCACGAAGGGAAAACGTGACTGCGACCAAGAGAATGAACAAAGGGGTTCCTGTACCTTTGAGGAGGCCATTGCCACACAGTCAGGAGTGTGGAGCGTTGATAATATGGGCCGTCAACGGGTAGATGGATGGGGTAGAGGTGATTCTAGCTTGCGGTTTGAGGGACCCCGTGGAGAGCGGCGGGGAGAGCGGCGAAGCAAGTGGTTCGAGCAGAAAAAGCGTCGTGAGGAAGGGGAGCACTCGCGTCACAAAAGAGACGCAGCCAAAAAAAAGTGGTTGGATTGTGTGTTGTGTGCTATGTTGGCGTGTTTGTGGAGGGACGAGGCCGAGCCAAATGTTGGAGTGGTGCGGGCTAGTGCACGCAGGTGAACTCGCAGAGCATGGGGCGCCGGCGGGAACCGACCAGGGCGGGCTGGGATTGTCGGGGCCAGCACAGGCAGGCGGGCTCGCTGGAGGTTAGGCCGTCACCTTGGAGCTAGCGGGCAGGTGGGCACTGAGGGCCGGGCCCGAGAGCGACAGCGGACGTGACTGTTTGAAGCGTGGAGTCGGGGAGAATGGCGTCGAAGCGGTGCGTGGGCGTTGCTCGACAAGGGAGGAGGGGGAAAGAGGGAGGAGAGGATGAGGAGCAGACGCCGCTTCGTGAGATGCAGCCGGGCAGCTGATGGGCCGCTCAATTGGGAATCTTCAACAAGGCAGGCAGGCACGGGAATTATTTTTTTTGTGTCTTTGTCCTGGTTGCGTGTCGTTGGCGCCCGCCCGCCGGGAGAGCGAGAGACAGAGATCAACAGAACACGAGGGAAACATTTCATAGGCCGGCCAGGCAGGCAGGCACACCACCCTCACTCATGCTCACTCCCATGGTTGCTTGCAACGGCGACGGTCGTGTCCAGCAGCGGTGGGGTGTCGCTAGGACAAGCACGCCTGGGAGAGCCATGATTGACGAAGGGCAAAGGGCGTGCGCGCAGTAGGTACCAGACGCCAGGGGGCCGAGACCCGGGCAAGCGTGTCGACCCTCTCGTTCGTCCTCAGAGTGCTCCCCGTTCATGTCCCTCCATGTACCTTACTTGCCCACGCACCCACGAGACGCTCTCAGTGGTTGGCGTTGTGCCCAGCATCGCCATCCCGGGTCGGCCTGATGCTGCTGATGGGCTGCCTGCACCGCCCACCCCCACCCCCCTGCCCCCTTTCGGCCACTCAATCAGGCTTACACACGCCAGACCACGCGCCCACCCCCTCCCCTCTCTCTCTGCGCCGGGGGGGGGGAGGCTTGTGGGTGTCTGCTGGTCCATCGCCGTAATGGGATGGTGAGCGCAAGCCATCAGGTGAGCTCACGACCCCGTGGTCTCTTTGGCTGGTCGCTCGAGCCTGGTCAATGTCGAGTTGCAGCGGGCCACACGTTCCCATTTGTCAGTGGCTGTAGAGGAGATAATAGCTCGAGCTCGGTTTGTCATCTGCCGGGAGACACGGATCAGAGACATGCTGTCGACAATGTCCACAAATTGTAATCACCGAAGTAGCGTACACCTAGGCGGAGGCCACGGATAGGAAGGGAGGGCTATTGCGGTACATATCTCCATGATAGTAGAGTCCAAGATGGACCTGCTGACACCCCATCTGATCTCCACAGCCAAGGCGTAGCTCCTGGTCTATCGCTTACTGCCTTGCCGGGCTGCGAGACTTGGGGCTACCTCCATTACGCAAGCACTCTCTTTTGCTTTTGGTCTCCTTGGCGCTTCGGAGCACGCGAGACCAAGCTTTATTGTGTAGTATGGCGGTGCTCAGTAGCAGCCTGGCACGGCTTCTGGAATTGGCGCGCAATGACCGTGACTGTTCAGATTCGGACGCAGCATACGTTGCAGCCACGCGTATCCGAGCCCTCGCACTGCCGAAATTCAGTGCATGGTAGTATGTATCTCGATGGGCGCTTTGGCACCTGGGAAATCCATGGTTGTGGGCGGGGCGGGCTGAGCAGGAGGCGTCGAATGACCTGCTGAACGGCAAAGTGGCCATGTCCATCAAGGCCTGGGTCCATTTCCGGCCACCCCAGCGCAGTCAGCAGAGCCAAAAATAAGAAGCTCGGGACGGCGATGTGCAGGCACCGAGGAACGAATGCCCGTTTGGCAAGGCTAATCAGGTAAGCGTAACTTGGTACCTCAGTTTTGGTACGAGTTACATACAGGGCCATCTGACCTGTTGTTCATCAACCCCAGCCATGGGAGCAGCCACTTGGCCTGGAATGTGCACATAGTGCAGTCATGACTGTGTTCGGCGCGAGGCGGACGGGTAATAGCCACCCCGACTTGCACAGTTGAGCAAACAATTCCTTCCATTATGATCACGTGAATCATATCTGCTAAGAATATTGCTCCATAAGCTCCTTGCCTTGTAGCGTCTCAGGCCGGGTCAATCGGATGGTTGTGACCTGGCCATCTTGTAATCAATGCCAAACGCGGACAGCCAGACTACGGCCTTGCCTGCCGGCGGCGCCAGTGTTTCGGTGGCCGGATGCCAAAGTATCGAGGTCCTCCTTGAGAAAGTTGGTGGAAGCGCTGGCCCGGCTGAGCCAGGAGCCGCTGGATACGCACAGTCCAAGCTGAGTTATTAAGGAGGTTTCTAATATCCCTCGTCCTTGGTAAGCCAGCTTCGGAATACACACTTTCGGGCGGCCTGGCGTCGGCCGTAGGCGCACTTGGTCGATCGTTGCGTGGCAGAATGTGGGGGGATCTCAAGAATTAGCCGCGTCGTGGGACGAAACCAAGGCAAGAATAGTCCGCGTGAAGACGCGTGTGCTTAATTAACGGACAGCCTGTTCTGGGCAGATGCGGCCTAGCACAAGTGCAATGGCATCCCCACCAAACCCAATTTCCGGGGCCCAGCCCTGAGATGACTTGCGCACGGCTGTATGCTGCAGGATTTGAATACGTGGCAAGGTTGCGAGCTCGATCTCGATTGACTGCCTCCTTTCTTGGCCAGGCCAAGAACATCCGGCGTTGAAGCGCTGCAAAAAGTATGCGTAGCTTGGATTGTACTCAGCCACGAGTGTGAACGAGGCACGCCACACTTCGACAAGACAGCCACCAGTACTTCGATGGCGGTGCAAGCACTCAGAACTTATACCTTTGGAGAGGCAAGCAACACATCAGACATGGCTTCGCTTCTGCCCGGACCCATCATCGCATTCACGCCTCATGACGAACGCTCACTGCTTGCACCACCGATCCAACCTGGGCGGCCGCTTCGGCAATTCTTGTGCCCGCACGCCTGGCTCGCAAGCACAGTTGCGGCTGCCCCTCAATCGCCGCCCCCAAAAGGAACCTGATGCATGAGCATTCACACCTGCCCAGCTGAGTTGTTGGTGCTCTCCAACAGAATCCACCACGATGTGTGCCTGGAGGGTTGCAGTCTAGCGGCGGTCCGAACCCCGCGCGCAAGCTCGTGGGCCCTTGCCCTACCCTGCCCTAACCTGCCCTAATCGTCAACGAGCCTAGACAGCTACGTACTGATAACATCGCAGCGACAGTACACTGGGGTACCACCTCCCCATCGGACAGGACGGCTGGGGAGCACTGTGGGAGCACCCCAGGCGCATATACACTCGAGTTCGGCAAGAGAGGAAAGAACAGACTGTTGCTACAATGAGAGCTCACTACGGGCTTCAAAGTCCCAAGTCTCCGCCAACAAGTGAACCTCTACGTGTCCGCGTAGATTCTGCCTCCAGCTCTTGGACAGGTTGGCCTGACGCCTGAAGCCCTTGTTCGAACGACAAGCGATCGCCAGGTCATTTGACCACATACGGCATGCAGGTACTCCTAGGTTGTGGCACAACGTGCCTTGGTGAGGTCTGGCTGGGACTGGAGTCGGACCAGCAATCTTGCGGACTTATTCACACGCCCTCGTCCAAGCAGATGGTGGCGCGCGCATGGCTTGCATATGGTCCTCCTGCCCCATGATTGACCCTTGTAACCGAGAACCCCGGCTTTCCGGGGCTTGGCAGATTTACTTGCTTCCTGGCACGAACAACCAACTCAATCCGCCCGACGGCTCAACTTGTTGTAGTTGTTCAATGTGAATCACAGGTTTTAAAGTCTACTAGCAATTGGCTGGCTGGCGAGCTGCCTGGAGAATGGCGAGGACGAGCATGATATCGCACCAGGTTCCTCAAAACTCACGAACCAATCGGTTGGAGATGGACTGAGGACTTGGGCCCTCCTGACATTTGACGGAACCGCCCATCTTTTACCTTACCCCATCGTGACCGAACCATCGCGACCGCATCATCCCGCAGACTAACAGGTCAGAATACATGTCGACCCCCCTCATAAAAGACGTAGTGAACTCTCTTGCTGTTTACAACTCTTCTATACCCTTTGGGACTCTGGCCATCAGCCGACTCAACCTGGGGTAGCCGACTCAACCTGGGGTAGCCTACTCGAGCCGATGTGCCTGGGTCTCCAACCCGATTTTGAACGTGGTTCAGCCCCCCAATAGAGTCAACCTCCTCACCCCAGACTAATGGGCAGCCGAGCTGACCTCAGGTGCAGAAACAGCCGTGGCACGACAAGGATACGGAAGCTCTTGGTCCGCGCCAGTAAACTCCTGCTGAACCCACCATGGTTCTGTGCGAATCATGAGCAGCTGCACAAAATGGCACTGACGGCAGTGTTGTGCGCCGGTATGCAGGCTTTGACGAGGTCGACCGCGAGCCTATTTCACTTCTCGGCCTGGACCTGTGGCTCCTTGGCCAACAAATAGAGTTTCTTCCTCCAACGTCCACCCAAGATCCTCGCTCTCGTGAGCGCGTCCCTCCCATCACTTTGGTGTTCGACACTTGCCAGTCGCGGGGCAAGAAAATCGCACCAACAACAGTGTTCAAGAAACAAGTACAGCTCGTATGTAACGAAGCCGTCATTCCTGCCATTCTCCCTCAGGTGCCACAAACATGGGCCGCCCGACCCCACTCGAGGTTCCGTCCAATGTAGGGCGGACACAGGGTGGATTATCACGAGGCTGAATGACGTCATTCGCCATGGGAACTCTGGCCGTCACATAATAACCTCCGGTGCCCGCCCGCCGCACGCCAGGTCCAGGCTGCGGCTCAAAGAGGAACCGGGGCCGAATGAGGTCATGATGACTTGTCGCTCAACATTCCACCCTCACGAGGCGCAGCACGAATGCCCATAGAAACTGCGATCCGAGAATGCAGTGTAGCCGCAAGGTCCACCAACCTGGCTCTCGAGACTTCGAAGCGGTGAGCCCGCAACTTTCTTTACTCGGTCATGTCGCTCCCGGCCAGTGCTTGTGCGAGGGCAAACGTTGCAGCCCTGTGGTGCGCATGCGGAAAGTATAACTCTATTTCTAGGGCTCGAGCCTCGCTTTGTCCGGCAAGAGTACGACTCAAGCCAGGGGCCGGCCCTTTTTTTTTCTTGGTTCGTGTGAGCGTGACAGCCTGGATCTGATTGTACCTGCAGTGGATCGTAGCAGATCGTCATCGGGATTTTTAATGTGCACCATGACCAATCCATCGTTCTTCGCCCTGTGCAGCAGTTTGGCATTCGGCTCAAATTGAGACACCGCCCACACGAAGGCGAATTCGGACCAAGTGCATGTGCATCACACGCAAGACTGGCACTCGGGTGTTTCTTTTCGCATTGTATGGTACCACCAGAGCCCATCAATCAAAATTCCGTTGCCCACCAGATCTGGCCCGACTCCGCCGATCACCTATTTAAGTTGCCGCCAGGGCAGCCCAGAACACGGCCAAACCTGCAGGGCCAGAGAAACAGGTTCTCGGTATTTCTCTGGCGGCTGCTCATAGGCCAGATGTCCCCCGCTCTTCGTGTCACGATCAGCAATACAATAATTTACACCTTGGCAATCGGGCATACGAAAGACTCGGGCATCTTCTGAGAGCGCGACAGATTGCAAGTTCCTGGGCTATTGAGCTTGTCTGTGCCCACTTCAATTTGTCCAGATTTAATTCCTGGTGGACATGTTGGATTGATTGGTGGGCCGCAAAAAGGAAAGAAGGGAAGGGAGGGGTGCCGCCAGCAATAGATGCCGCACAAATTGCCATTCGGTGCTCGCCCAATCTGGCTAATTTGAGCGAAAGGATACGCTCTAGGCGGCAGGCTTGTGTGTGGGGAGGCGATTCTCGGCCCCGCCTCGCCCACCCGCGAGATAACACCTCCCCCTTGAGGCCATCGTGGTCAAGGTACGAGATACCCGAGCCGATGTCTCAGCGATATCGGCTCCGGATATGCCCCCCCCCACCCCCCGCTTATGACCAACTACACTCCGCACCAGGTCGCGGTTGACATTTCACGACCTCACACAATGTGCCGGTCTGGGCGCAGCGTTTGCTTGTCTTTAGGGCCTGCCCGTAGCGTCTTGGTTCCGCTCCACTATGCTGGAGAATGAGGGGACAAACTTGTGGGATATTGGCGCATTTGGTGGTGGGCAAAGCCTAGACCAACAGTACACTTCGACTTAGACCTCGTTATATCGGTTTAGAAAGGTCCAACAAGCGGTGCTTTGGCAACCAAGATCAGGACTCGACATTGCCACTCTACTGCCGGGAAACCGTATACAGCATGACCTAGGCTTGCCTCGACCACCAGACAGAACAGTTGAAGCCAAAATCCCTATTCCAATGAGAGATGTACATGATCCTTCATCCCATGTGCTAGTTAATAACCGTGGTTGGTTCTCTCAAGATGCAATGTGCGCGACGACCTGATTACACTACTCTAAGCAGATCGGTCTTCGTGATCCCACGCGGACTAATTAATATATTTGGGCGACGCGACTCTAGGCTCTATTTGGGCCTGTGGAGAGCACCCAAGCAAGTTGCCCCCTAAAACGGAGCAGTTTATGGACTTGCCTATCTCCATCTATTCCGTGGACAAGTAAGTGGAACCTGACCTGCCAATGAGCAGTCCTTCATAGTAGCTACTATAGCTAAGCTTGGGTCACATTTATACTCGATCTGTGGCATTTCCAGTAGATTGAGAAGTCTTACGAATGATACTATCGAGGGTGTTTATCTTGTATTGCAAACTCATCCCCTGTAGACAACAGCATTGTCCTAACTATCAGGAGGAGGCCTGATATCCATCCAGCCTCAAGTATAGTTATACGCTCCCACTTGCAGCCAAGTACTATCCAAGCAGTGCAGGGCCATCTTTGATCCTGGGCAGCCTTATTGTACCGAAAAGCTTGGGGCAGCTTGAACCCATTTAGTAGCAGCGCCACTGCTAGGCTCTGATATTAATCCTAGCCATTGACGCCACCACGGCGCTTGAATGCAGGAGACATCGCCAACCCCAGCAGCAGAGCCTCACGCCATGCATAATAAGCATGATATCCTGCGGTCCAGCTTCATGGGTGCTCGCCCTATATGCTCTTCGCTCGCGACGACATTGCTTGTCGTTTTTTTCACCTGGGCAAAGCCAAGCAGTGAGCGATGACGCACTGCTGGCCTAGGTCTCATTGCCTTCTTCCCCCAAATAGCTTTCGTCGATGATCCTACTCGACGAAGGATTGGGCACGTCGAAGGAACTGAGCTGTTGTACGGGCACTAATAATTCGCTGTTGCGTTTTTTGTGGAGTTCGGAGATATAGTCTAAGGTACGTAGGCTTACTACGCTGATCGTGGATTATCTCGTATGGGAGGACCAGGGATGCTCCCAGGGGGGCGGCCGGGGAGGCACATAGCTGCTCCTTGGTTCCACGTGTAAAACCGAAGCGAGCGCAAGAGCATTTCCCAAGAATTTTTTGTATGTAAAAAAAAGGTATGCGAGGCATGCAAGAAAATGCCAAGTGACTAGCCAGCGTCGTAAGGAGTCTTGCACCAACTTCAGCACTCGCAGCCTTGTCACGTCCCCGCGGGATATAGGCATGATCGGCCGTTCGCATACGACAGGAGAAGCCTCGCAGGGAGTCGGAGCCACCGCAATATGACGTCGCGCAACGGGGCTAAGGATTAGAATCCCTGATGATCTGTTGCTTGTCGATCGCTTGATTGGAGTTAGGAAGTGGTGCCTGAGCCGCATTCTCGGCCCATGCATTTCAAGACGAATACACGAAGTTGCGCGAAGCGGGTTGGCGAAAAAAGTGCGCTCACCCACAAGGGGACATACGCGCTGTTCTTCCCCATCAGTGAGCCAACCTTTTTCTGGCAGCCCTTGTCCGGCACGAAGGGACGAAGAAGCATGAAGCCATGCTATATTTACACATTCACGACACAGGACCTTATAATCAGCCAACCCGCGTGGTATCCAAGACTGTCGATTTCATCATCGCCAAGCGCCAAGTCCCAGACCAAGTACCTCGAATGCTCCGCCTTGAGCGCGGCTATTGTCCACGCCGGATCTACACCGGCTCTACCTTATCGTATGGTAGCAAATGCTCAACGAAACTAACATCCATCGTGATCTCCAACGACCGCCAAGAGCAATAGTGGGCATTGAAGAACGAGACGAGTTGTTCATCGCCCTTACGAGAGTGGGACACTACTGCCGATCCCCAACAACGTCTCATGATGATGAGAAGAACCATATCGCAGAGAGTTTCGTGTGACCAGATCCTTTGTTGGAAACGGGTATAAAGAGGCAGCCACTTGTTGCTTCGCTTCGGGCATCTTGGATTCAGAACAACAGCAGCAACAACAGCGTAGCAAAGAAACCAACGAGCCAGTGAATACCGTGAACTCACCACACACCACACACAAAAACGTTTTCAACCGAAAAAGTACCAACGCTCAATCAATTCATCATGAAGACCACCTCCATCCTCGCCTTTTTCCCCATCTCGATGGCTCTCGCGGCCCCTTCGCCTCTTTCCCAGCGCCAGACAAACGGCTGTGTGGTCCTTTCCGGAGGACCCAACGACGAGGCCAGGGCAGCCGTCGTTGAAGCGATGAAATCCCATCTTCCTCTTGATGTCGGCGGTGATGACGGCTGGTGTGAGTCCTTTCCTCCCTATGTGCCAGCCTGGCCCTTGTCCCATACTCTGGGCAAGCGTCAGAGTTGTGGCAAGAAAAGAAGAAGAAAAAAAAGCACCGGCAACTAACAAAGAGACTTTCTTTGGCAGCCGGCTCCGGCGGTCCTACTTTCTGCATGACTTGCCAGAGCGCCAAAATCTGGATCCAACACGCTGGCTGGGAAGGTGCCGGCCGGAGCATCACTGCCGAGCAGCTCGACGCCGTGATGGATACTTTCAACTCGGGAGGCAGGGAGTGCGGGAACTCAGTCGATGGGAGCGGCGGATATCTTTCTGTCCTGTATGGCAACGACTACGACTACTCCGGCACTTGCGACTTTGAGTGGACTTGCTGAGCGCTTGCGAGCAGCCTATAGTCCGTGACTCGAGTCTCCATTTATGGGGACCAGATTCGGTACTAGCTGAAGCCAAGGCTTTTGATATTGGATATTCGTGTATACTTACCTTAGTCATAGCCGGCACAACCCAGGCGTATAGTGAATGAAATGTGGAGAAGACAATAGCCGGTTTGGGTCACATGTTAGGAAGCCCAACTTGGCTCATCTGAGCGAATGATTGACGGTACGCTCATTACAGGGAGTCCATTCTCGAGCCCTAGTGTCCCTGCTCACCGAGGCTCGCTTAGCCTTTGGAGACATCATTGTCTAACGTACGCAGCGTATGAGATACCCAGGCCCTTGTCTCAGCGATATCGGCCCCGGATATGCCCCACTTATGACCAACGACAGACAAGTCCGCAATCAGGTCTCGGTCGGCATTCACGACCTCCCACGATGTGCCTGGGCCCCCAGCGTTTCGGCCTCTTCCCACACGGAGCCTCATCGAGAGGGGCCGGAATGGCGGGGAGAGCGGCAACGGGGCCGGCGAGAGAGAAGGGGGGCGGGGTGAAGCAATTTATCTGAAATCGCATTGCGTGGAAGTCCAGTCAATGGAACCCGCTCCTAGTTCCCCTCTTCTGCTGCCACGTACCTACGCCGGCGGAAGTGCTCCTGGGCTAATTACCCCTGGGATGGGCCGGTTCCCCGTCGGGTGACTCTTGGAGCAGTGGAACTGGTCTCGCTGGTCTCTGTAGTCGCACTAATATTGGGCGTGTGATTTACACCCACAACCAAGTCCCAATTAAAGTCAAAGTCGAGGGCGTTTTGATGCCAGGAAGACGAAGACGAAATCGAGCTGCAAGGACAAAAGAAGAAGAAAAAGTAGTCAGGGTCCTGCGACAGGACCCTGACGCCCTGTTGATCAATGACTCGCTCTCCCGATGCTGCTGTGCCGTTGGAGATCTCGACGGGCCCAACGTTGAAGCGTTGCAGGGCGCGAGTCAAGCCGGTGATTTACCGTTGCCGGCCCCGATCTAGAGGCGGGGAGACGGGAGACCGGCGACGGGAGCGAGGACGGGACATTGGAGCCACCCAAACCGGCCTGGCTGTGCCTGGCCCGGTTCTGTAAAACAGCGAGCCAGCCATGGGGCCTGCCAAGTCGCGGGGACAGCTGGAACTAGTGTGGCTGGTCCTCAAGGCTTGGAGAGAGGGCTTTGGGACGGGGCGGCCTCGGCAGCAGCAACTTTATTGCGTGAGAGAGAGGCAGAAACTCGAGGACTGGGCAGCCTGGGTGTGCCGAGCAGTGTTGTGGTCATGGCGACAGCGTGTCCAGCCAGTCGACCTATCTCTCTCACACTACCGATATGAGATTTCCACCCACCAGTGAGTTAAAATCGAGAGGCTTTACGGCTACATGACAGCACAATGGCTGCAGGCCCCAATGCCATGCCTGGGTCAACCCCACTGCAGGCTGTGACATACTGCGATGCCACGGTGTTGCAGCACTGGGCCTGCCTTGCAGGCTGACATCACTGTGAACCTGTAGCCAGCAAGGCAGTTTCCGAACATCCTTTGGTATCGATCTCGAGGGTTGTTCTCCCGAGAGCGTATTGCTTCTTGCACCTCGCGCAACTTCTCGCCGTCAAATTGCACGCCGCCTTGCCACCTCAGGCCACACGTCAAGGCAGGCGCCTACTTAGTGGAGGCTGGCTGCTTCCCCCGCCACCAAGCTCTCCCCCACAATCTTCCAACGTGCCTTGTCCAGCCCTTGAAAGGCCAATGCGTAATAGACTCCCCGCATCCCCAGCTTCAGGAGCAGAGCTCACACGACGCAAGCCACCCAGCCAGCCAAGCATGAGCGACGACGTGTACCGCCGAGCCGGCCGCGGCGGGGCCGGCAACTACTACTCGAAGCAGGACATTGCAGAGGTCGACAAGAGACTCAGGGAGCAGGTAAGCCTGGCACCCTCGCAACTGGACTGACTCCATCCAAGTCTCATGAAAGGAAGCAGGCTGACTGAGAACCCCCTCTGTGTAAGGACCCCGAGGCACAGAGGCCGATCCCGGCAGATCCGCTGCCGACGGACCCGGCCGATCCTCCCGCCCCGGCATCCTCTGCGACAGCAGCGTCGTCGTCCTCTGCCTACGCACGTTCTGGCCGCGGCGGCGCCGGCAACTTTGTCGATCCGGCGGAGGCTTCTTCAGCAGCCGCTGCTGCTCCTGCCAGTACCGGGACTCCCGCTGCGGCTCCAGCGACAGCATCGTCGTCGTCAACGGCGGCGGCACCGCGATACTCGGGCCGTGGCGGCGCCGGCAACTACTCGCACTTTAACCCGTCCGCAGCGCCCGTAGTAGACGAGGAGCAGGAGCGCAAGCGCAAGGAGATGGTCGACTCGGGCATCCTCAAGGAGATCCAGGAGTCGCTGCCGAAGCCGCCGAGGATATACCACATGCACGACGGCGGGGCGAAGAATAGCAAGACTAGGGCAAGCGAGCCAGAGATATGATGAAGCAGGAGTCAACAGACTATCGCAAGAGGAGTTGACAGTTGCAGAAGGAAAGACCTCAGAATCCAAAGATACCCGTTGGCATGCTTTCAAACACCATTCCGAGACCTGCCCTCGTCTTCATGTGCATAAACTGCATCATCGTAAAAAGCGCACAACCATACAGGACGGGCTCGAGCCTCCCTTAACAAGTCTGGCACAGTCGCTCTGGGCTGCCGAGTACTGTGGCAAGTCCCAACAAGAGCGGCCATCGTCGGGCACCTGATGAGATCGCAGGGTGGAACCAGGCTGTGCAGTCCTGTGCGACAGCCACAAAGTTTGGTGATGACTTAATATTTACGGCATGCGAGCCCACCCTGGCGAACGGGGTGTGTACCAACCTCACACGTGTGCTTTGTAGTGTAAATACGGTACCGTTCACAAACAGGGTTCAGGCCTCCGGCGTGAACAAGAACCTGTTCCTGACAATCGGCGGTATTGTCTCTGGTGTTCCTTGCTTACGTTCTTACCCACGTATCCAAACGTCTGTAGTGTAGGCACTTTCTATTGGCTCAAGAAGTATTACTTGCGTTGCCCACGAGGACACGCAAGCAACGTGACCGGTGCCTCTAATGCGGCCATTTGATAACAATGATGCAACACAAACACGGCCAGTGGACCGACCGATCAACCGACCAGCCGGCCCAGATCAGGAGGCGCACACGGTCCACGCCAGCCCTCATAAAGATGATACCAACGTCCATGGGGGCGACCACGCCATTCTGGAGCAGCTTTGCCTTGCTGGGTGGGTGCAGAAGCTTCTGGGTCGCCTGATCACGACTTTGGCGCCTTGTCTCGTCTCGGCACTGGATCAGGGTGTACCTTCCCGACTTGCCCACATCACACGCGCTTCATGTGTCGCCGCCTTTGCTTGTTTCCACAATTGGTATGGGTGGTGGTCATGAATTACCTAACGTGACGCTTCGTGACTGTCCAGCGTTGATGCCATGGCCCAGACTGTCCCGTCGGCTGGCCTCGCCATTACGTTTTCGTCGTACAGTCTGGCCTCACTGTCATGGCCACGTTGCCGACTTGTGACACAGACCGCCATGTCTCTCGTCGTGGCTCATAGCAGACTGCTTCGTCTTGCGGCTTGGTTCCTATGGCTCCAAAAAAACCCAACTTCACATAAAACACCCGCGCTCGTCGATGATGAAACTCTTGCTATGAGTGTCGTCATCTGTTGACAATCACAATACATATCAGATATCTCTGCCTCTTATTCACCTGCCCTCAGCCTTTCCCACGAACGCGGCTGGCCATCAAACTCAACTACACTCTGTAACCCTACACCCCAAGCCCTGTCCATTAGTACAAAAAGAATACACAGTTCCCTTCGCTCACCATGACCGGCCTGCTCTTTGTCACTGCCCAGTCCACCGACGTCAGGGACCTGAATCGCATCCTCCTGTACCTCCGAGACTGGGACATCACCTCTGCTGCTTCCTCTCTTTCCCTGGCAGCGACTACTACTACTACTACTGCTGTTACGCACACAAGTAACAACAACAGCAACAAGATAAACAACAACATTAACACCACCACAGTAAGACAAGCCAAAACAACCCATGCCGCCAGCCGCCGCACAGCAACAGTCCAGGACCACCAGTTCCTCGACCGCTTCCGCTTCGTGACGAGGCACAGCGCAGAGACCTTGGTTTCCCAACCAGCTTCGGCGGCAGCAGCAGCAGCGGCGGCGGCGGCGGGAACGGGTGTCACTACTGCACAACGACACCATGTCCACGGCACGTTCCCACCCGTCCCGCCGAGCGCGACACTGGTCAACTCGTGGGTCGGCAGCGGCGTCGACGAGATTGAGGCGTTCATGGACACGCTGGCAGACGAGGTGTACAGCCGCGACAAGGAGCTGTATCATGCCGCCGCTAGCAATGGACTTGACGGCAGCAGCAGCAACAGCAACAACAACAACAACAACAATAAAAATAACAACAAGTACATCGGGCGGCGTGACAGTGGGTACTCGTCGTCAGACTCGACCGGCGGCAGCGATAGCGATAGCTCCCAGGCGTCGTGCTACAACACAGACATGTACCTGGTTGTCGACGAGGTCGGACTAGCGACCGGCACGGCGATCCTGGGCTGCCGCCGCAGAGGTTCTGTTGCCGGTAAAGGTGGCTCCTCCTCCTCCTCCTCCTCCTCCTCCTCCTGGGACCGCGTCCGAGGCGTGCCCTGGGCTGAGGTCTGCTCCGTGTGGAAGGTTGTAGAGAAGAACAAGGCAGTGGATTCTCTAGTTGCAACACAGCAGCAACAACAGAAGGAGCAGAAGCAGATACGGAGCCAACCTGACAGTCATGGCTCCAAGTGGCTGGAATACTCGAAACCAATCGAGAACGGCCTGCTCGCGCCGCCGAGGGATTGTCGGCGACGGGATCTCGAGGTCAGCATGTGGCACGAGTGCGGGCTCGTTTAGGTTCAGCATAACATTGCTGGAAGTTCAAAGTGTTAAAAAGAAAATAGTAAATGAAACTGGTCCAAGAGTACGTTGTTTCTGGCATGCCATAAGATCTTCACGAGGATCCTTGGTTTGAACGAACACATTTTACACCAGGACAATGAAATAACCATGTGGACTACCGTCGCTTCCCAATGAGGGTCGTGGTTCCAAGCAAAGTCCACGTCCCAAATCGGCTCATCTCAAAAGTTATGGACCAAGCCTGACAGGCGGTGGGGCTTCAGACACCTGAACTGATTCAAGAAAACCATGGAATCCATTCTTTTGATTGCAGAATAAGTTGATGCCCAGTCTAACGCCGCCTAACGCCCAGTGAAGAAGGTAGTAGGTATGCTGTGCCCCTGATTTCATCATGATAGTGGTATGTACCGAGAGATTTTCCTTTCGAAGAGATGGCCGCTTATCCATGTTGGTGTTTCGTGTCGTCGTCGAAGCCGGTCTGGCACTGGCGGTGGGTGCATTGTTGCTTGCCCAGCCCTACGAGGCGGCTTTGCTTTTGGGCCAAATTGTGTCTCGACCTCTCTCCTCGACCTAGTCGAGAGAGCTGATGACGACGCTCGTGCCCCAGATGAGACAAGGAGCAGCCAACAAATACACAGATTGAAGGACGGAATAAAGCCAGGGATTCATCCCTTCAGGCCAAGAAAACCAGCAACAACAACGACGACGACGCCGACGCCATCCAACAACGACCGCGGCCGAAACCCACACTACCCAATCTACTCGTCGTCCGAGTCCATGTCCATGGTATCGTCGCCGACGCCCTCGAACTCGACGCCCCCGTCGACGCGCACCTTCTGGCGCATCTTCTCCTTTCCAAACACCTTGGCCTTCTTGTCCTCGACGACGGGCATCGCGGCAATCTCCTCCTCCGTGAGCCCCTGCTCGAGCTGGAGGCGGCGCTTCTCGGAGCCGCGCATGACGGGCAGCAGGTGGCTGTGCGTGGACACGAGCTTGCGGTCCTCGGCGAGCTGGCGCGCGCGCTTGCCGGCCATGCGCTTCTTGTAGAAGACGCGCTCGCGCTTGGCGCGGATCTCGGAGATGCGCTCCATCGCGGCGAGCGTGCGGTTCATCAGGTCTCTGTTGTAGCGGACGGGGACCTGCAAAAAGAGAAAGAAAAAAGTTCCGCGTTAGTCTGGGGGGACTCTGTACCATGGGAAGAAGAATGCGAGTAGAGAGCAAGAACTCAGGGAGAGGGGACGGGAAAAGGGGAGGGGGGCAAGTAAACGTACGTTGCGCCGGGCAGCGAACTGGAGCGTGCTGTCGACCGTCATCTCCTTGCCTGCGGCCTTGCGGAAGGCCTTTGTCCACTTGAGCTTGCGCGGGTTACGCTTCATCTTGAAGTTCTTGTGGCACTTTGACCGGCAGAACCGGAACTGCTTCGCATCGTTGCGGATAAACTACAAAAGAGCAGGAGCGAGCCATCGTCAGTGACATGTTCCTCGTGTCATTTAATGCACGAGCTTGAGAGCCCCCCTGGCCTCCAGGAATACTTGTGAGCTGGAGCGTGATCGGACTAGAACATGACAGGACCAAACGTCTTGGCTTGGAGAAAAGCCGAAGAACGCTGATGTGTGTCTGATCGCGAGCCACCTCCTGCTGCTGCGTGCGATCCTGAAGCCAGGGAGCCTAGCCCCTCCTCGCGTAATGATTCCTCGTGGAATGTACTGACTGTGATGCCTTTGCTGGGATACGCCGGCCTGCTGCAGAAATAGCACGTCTCGATTCTCATCTTGCCGTTGGGCTTTGCGCCGCTCCGTGACGCTCGAAAGGGAAAATGTTGCTGCTGTGCTCGGGTTACAAAGGATCGTCGGTATATGGGCGACGACAGAGAGAACGGTGTGGCGGCGAGATAAAGAGAGCAGAGGTCTTGTCACCGGGTCGGAAGGTCGGTGTCGTGTGTGTCGACCGTGAAGGTGCCCAGGAGTTGTAGTCTTGAAATGCCTAGATGGGTTCCCCCGGGCTGGCAGGCAAAAGACCCTCCAAAAATTCACACCGGTCCTCGTCCCGCCATCGAGCATTTTTCAGTGGGGCCGAGCTGCTTATCGTCCGCCGATAGGCCATAGCAGACCCATTTATCTGTGCCTGTATGAGACTCTTGATTGGCTAAAAGAGGAGAATACTTCAAGAGAGTCGGGGATTGCGCTCCTTTCGGGCCGCATCAAAAGTCCCGGCAAGTACCGCGCTACCCAGGCGTCCAACCGCATCCACAGCTGAGATGCGCTGCGGATGACTCCGGCCCCAAGAAAGTGCTCGACCGACCTCATCAACCACCATCGCCCTCGCGACAGCGGCAACGACGACAGCAACCCTCGAGGACAACCTGCTCGACTCCGCTTAGACCTACCATCGCTTTCCTTCAGCCGATCAATCAACGCAGACTCTGTCGGCACCATGGCCTCGGCACTCGCGATAGGCGGCGGCGTCGCCGTCGCTGCTTTCCTCGTACGTCAGCCCCCTCCTTCCTCCTTTTCCTCTGCCACGGTCGTCACATTTCGATATCGGTCACCGCGCTTCTCACCACCTCGCACACCCTCGCGCGATGAGCACGTCATATACGTTCATGCCGAACTCGTGCAACACCCCGCCTGGCAGTCATTCAGCTCCGCCGTCAAACCCCGACAAGACCAGACGAGCAGCACACGCACCGCTAACACAAACTTTTGCCAACGATACAGGGTCGCGCAGGTCTCGTTGCCTGGCGGAGATCCCGCGGCGGTGTCGGTGCCATGGGCAAGGCCTTCTACAAGGGCGGCTTCGAGCCAAAGATGAACAAGCGCGAGGCCACACTTATCCTGTCTCTCAAGTACGTCGAAGTCTAGAACAAAACCCCCCACCGAAACCACAGTTCATGCTATCCGGGGAAAGTTTCACTTGCTGACTCTGGACTCCCATAAAGCGAGCGCAGCGTGACCAAGGATAAGATCCGCAAGGCCCACCGGACGTTGATGCTTCTCAACCACCCCGATCGCGGTGGAAGCCCATACCTTGCGACGAAAGTCAACGAGGCCAAGGAGTTTCTCGAGAAGAACGGTTGAGGAGATCATCTTCAGAAGAGAAGCAAATTTTTTCCCGCTGCCATCCTGAAATGGGGTTGTGTAAGACCAGTAGCGGAGTGTGGAGATACGAATCGGGTGTACAACTATTATCGACATGTACGGAGCATCTCATGTACATAAGCGCTGGCGTTTTGTTTTGGTCATGAGTTCCCACGACGAGAGCGTCGAGCTAGCATAAGTGGCAGACGCTCTATCGTCCCACCTACTTCACCTTGTATGTCTCATGTAACAATATCACGACTCATCGGAAACAGTCATTCCGTCATGTCAGTTGATTTGACCTGGCCGAGCGGAGTAGGCCATGCATTGCAAAACGTGCGGCAAAGTCAAAGGAATCCACCCAACGCACCAACGTCTCGTTTCTCAAGCTCCCTGCAAGCACTCCTGTCATCAAATGGCAACATGCGCCAGAGTTTCCGCTCACCATGGACTCTTCTTCTTCTGTGGTCTCTGATTGTCTTGGTCTGCATTTCCTGTCAGCTGAAGGCAGCTCAAGATCACCAGTGGGACTTACTGGCTGGCTCCTGGGCCTTCTCGACCGGTTCAGCTGATCTTTGGCCAATACCTCCATCGTCCAATTCCCCATCGCTCCATTCGGCTTCTTCACTATTACCGTTATCAGCATACACTAGCTGCAGCTAAGTAGGATATGAACACTTACACCATCTGCCAGGGCTTTAGAGACTGACATGGCTGAGCCCTCTGCTTAACCGCCATGGCGATCATGGCAGCCAGAGTGTACCATGCATCATTGCCGGCGTTGTGTAGATCCTTGGTCTCAATATTTACTGCCTCGCATGCAGTAATAAGCGAGCGGCCGTTGGGACTTCTCTGGAGCCGTCGAAACATGACCTGGGTGTCGACCTCGTCGATGACGTGGCCGGTGTTCCAGACATTATAGCCAATTTGGCGAAGATATCTGAGATCACCGACGATGTCGTGGCCAACAAGGACAAGTGGTCGCACATTGGAGGCGTCGGGATCGCCAAAGATCCGGGCTGCGATCTTTGGCATATCCCGAAGCCAGGCGAAGCCGGAGCGTCTAAAAAGTCTACAGTCAACTATGTCCTCATAGAAGTGTGACGAGCAGCTTACCCAAAGTTGAACTTCTCGGGACATCCCTTGACGAATCTCTTGTTCTTCAGGTGAGAGTATTCGTTGATGATAAAGTGGTGTCCTTTAACAGCAGATATCCAGTTTGAGCCGTTTTCACCTGGAGCGATTCCGGAAATATCCTCGGTATCCAGAACGGCAAAGCCAAACTCGGTGAGGAGTTTGGTGTTAAACTCGAATGCTTCCACATCTATGCAGACAAACCGGACATTGTCCTTTGGATGGAACGGGGCAACCATGTCAGGCGTCCACGCAGTGGTTGAGGCACCTGTGCTTGGTGTTAGCTGCCCTGGAGTGTTCTTTTGGGATTCTTTCCTCACCAGATCCATCTACGTGTGAATGACTGCCGCGAAGGCCTAGGTATCTCTGCACACGCTTCACAACCCTGCCGTTGCGCTTCTGCTTTTCGAGCTTCTCCATTCTCAGCATGGCAAGGTTCTCCTTGCCAGAAGATCCTTTTCCGGCGTTGTGCAAGATCTCCATCTTCCACTTGTACGCCTTGTAGGCTTCTATAGTGAGGTGATCATAGTTGTCAGCAGGGTATTCTTGTACCAGTTTGATGGCAGGTTTCAAGGCTTGAGCGTTCTTGACTCTGCCTAAAAAGCGAGGGCGCGGCCAGTCCGGCGACATTGTGGCTGTGTCGAGCATCCTGTCCTGTCTGATTTGCGAAAGTATGCGGAATGAGCCTAGCTCGGTAGATGCAGCACCGAGAAAGCTCTGCAGTTGTGGAAGAGGCACAAGCAGCAGAGTGTCCCGGCTCGTGGAGCCAGGTTGTAGCATGAAATAGCTACGAAACGTCATATTCAGTGAGAAACTTGACTGACACAAGTGGTGAGGATGATATTGGCTTACAAGTCCCACGCCCGGTTTCTCTGCAGATTGGTCGTGAAATATGCTCGCACCTTGAAGAAGTTAGTATGGAAAGGTCACACTGAGGATCAAATGGCAGACTTACTTCCTCGCGGTCAACATCAGGGACGTACAGCGTCGGATAGTTCGTGACGAGCTTCCATGGTACGAGGACAATGTCGTGCTCGCATCGTTGTCCAGGTGTCATGCTCTTGGATTGGGCGTCATCACCCGACTGTTGAACGTCCAGGTTCTGCATAGGCTTGGACAAATCGTCATCTCTGTCAGCCGGAGGTTGCGCAGAGACTCGAGTGATCGCACCCATGACAATGGGATAGTGCTGCTGTACCTGAGCAGGAACTGGCGGATTAGAGCCTGGTAGTATGGCACCCATGACGATTGGGAATGCACGAGGCCCAGAAGTAGCCTCAGGAGCTTGCGGGTGGTCAATGCCGTTGTTGCTCGGTCCTGGAGGTTGGCTTTGCACAGGAACGTTGCCGTTTCTTGGCCCGCGTCGTCTACCTGGGCGCGCACCGGCAGCACCAGGAGGAGGTTTGTTATGAGGTGCTTGTGAGTTATTCGTGGCAGATTGTCTGTTGGTGGAAGGGTTCTTGGACGACTTATCGTCAACCTGGGCAGATTGGCCTCCACGGCGGCGATATCGCTGCCTTGGTCGAGATGCCTGTGGCTGGGGGACGTCTGCCATTGCGATCGTTGCAGTCTCTGCCGCTCGGGTTAATCAGGCAGGAATGGTGTGGAAGGAGTGACCTTGTCGTGTTTGTGTCACTTGTGCAGACTGATTTGTTGCGAACCGCTCAGGCAGAATTATACCCGCCGCCCGCACAATTGATTCCACAGAACAATGTCCTGCACGCAGAGCGCTATCGTCGCCGCTTGGAAAAAATGCAATCGTGATTGATGGTATTTGAGTAATCGTGGCTTGAGGTTGGGAGTCAGGTTCACGAAAGTGGATCGATGGCCGCTGTTGGTGCAGCCGCAGCAGGCGGGTTGCGTGCCGTGCCGAGACAGGTTTCAGGCGTCGGGCGTTTGTGGCATGCTTTCTTACAAGAGCAACAATGATGCCCAAAGCAATCTGTACTCGGCTCCAACTATAGTGACTTCGGTCACTCGGGCGAAAACAGCACGGAGAAGGGAAAACCCGTAGATTGATGACAGGTGCATTGAATGGCTCTGGACTCGTCTAATGCTGAATCATCTATCGCTCTGCCATTTACGAAACGAACCCTTTGATGCAACTCTTGACATGCCTGTAACAGTGACAGGTGAACTGAACCAAATCGTGAGAATAACCTGAGCTCATAACCATCAAGATTTGACTGAGTTACAGATGGCTAATCCTTCAGCTACGATCCTCCTGCACTCAGTTCCTCCTCCCCGTTTACTTGTAAAACTAGATTTCAAAGGTGGTTAGCCATGCACAAGACCTGCGAAAGTCATTCTGTGTCACGCTTACCTCTATCGCTTCTGCAGTCGTCACCTTCGATTGTTCGGATTGCGTCTCATCAATGAGGCCCAGCTTGGCACCCTTCATCTGCCACCAGAGCTCTCTCCGGTCTCCCCCAAGCTCGCCAGCCAGCAGACGCTTTTTGAGGTCCATGACGAAGGAGTTGTAGAACTCTGGCTCTTCCATCTCAATCATCTGGGCCCGGAAGACACCAAGATCTTCCATGGCCTGATCGTAACCACTGTTACCGAGACTGTCCGAAACCAGGTCTCGAATAACGCCGCCCATCTGCTTCGCTGCATCCTCTACTTGGCTCATGCTTTCCGACACCTCAATCATCTGCTTGAATTGAGGAACAGCATTGCTGGGGTCAAGCTTCTTCCGTGAGGGATCTTGCTTGAGCAGCGCAGCCACGTCCAATCCCGATATAGGCTTGACACCTCTGTCCGCCCTGTCGCGCTTGCCTCTTGCTTTCGGTGGCACTACCAGAAGACGAAGTCAGCCACAATGTTTCAAATTGCCTATCACTTGGCATGTCGGAGAGACCGTACCTTTCTTGACGCATGCCGTTTCTATCAGATCGTCCAGTCTTAATCGGGCTTTCTCCACAAGATCTGCGGGAGGCTGAGAATACTTGAGTAATATCTCGGGCACAGGCGGCACTGGCTGATCTGTGTGAATGGCGCGATGCCGGACTACTTGGTTGATGCGATGCAGCGGCGGGCAGAAGACATCTTCTACCGGCGCATACTCTTGTGTCCGCTCACTTCAAGCTGATTAGCCAAAATTTTAAACAGAAATTGTGTGAGCTCTCAATGTACTTACCCGTCATCATCTGGCTCCCATGTGGAGATGTCCATGGAATCCACATAATCGTCCATGACCTCCTGTAGCTCGGTTGAGGGCAGCAGCTGTTTGTGTTCTGACAGTGTTTGACCTGTCAAGGTGACAACCTTGTCAAGCGGTGGAAACTTGTAATGTCTCACATCCTCTGCAAAAGGCAGTGGAACGTCGTACAAACACTCAAAATCGACATCGATATGGGGCGCTAGAAGAACAAGCACTGGCTCCTTTCCGTCCTTGGTTACAAGCCGGGCGACAGCGTAGGATTCGAGCTCATGTAAGGCATGGATGAAAGACGAGAGCTTGAGAGCTGCTGCATCATTGAACTTTTGCGCTACCGTCAGACCGGCTTCGCCCATATTGAGAAATGGCTCGAACTATGGTTTCGTTAGTGTTGGCCATGTAGTCTCCCGACGGAAGTCACACACCTTGTCTTGTTGGATGAAACCAACGATAGAAAATCCTCTTGTCGTCTCGATCTTTGTAATGTTGAACTCCGCCTCGCTTATGTGCACAGCTGTGCTGCCATACTGGTAGCCCTTGGCTAGTGACTCGAATTCGACGTCGCGCTTGCCCCCAGGCGCGCTTGGGTCGTTGACTTTGTATGTGCGGGCATTCTTGACCGCCGCAAACTCTGTGGTCGATTCAATGCCTTCCATGGCATCGCCCTCGCCGCTGGGCTCGTCCTTGACAACGACCCTGCTGGCTGGTGGTATCGTTGCTTTGTGAACTTTGAAGTATCTTTCAACACTGATGCTCATGGCGTCTGGATGCACCTCGGGATCTCCCAGTGTGAGTGGTCCATCGTATGTCTTGTAAGGTCGGGTGACCTTGAGACGCGGCACGTCCAAGAAGGAAACGGCCTCCTCCACTGTGCCGAACTGGCCATCACACTTGTCTGCCAACTCCCGGAGAAGCTTCTCGTTCTGTGCTTTGTGATGAGATTTGTCCTCTTCCTTCACGCCGAAGTCGGCATCATCAAAATCCACACCCCTGCAAAATTCCTGTTAGTGTAAAGTAAGGGAAGGGCAACGAGCATCTGCACATACAGGATTGTAAGCTCGATACCGGTGTCTTTGATTTTAGCTGCAATGTCGTCAAAGTCATCACCGTCCACAGGTGCCTCGCCATCCGTGACAAGATAGATCTTGCGCTTATACTTGAGCTTCTTTGTCAACTTTGCTATCATGTCGACCGCCACCACAATGGCCGAGATGGAGTCGCCTTCGGTGGTCGAGCTCGGCTTGATCTTTGACCGCAAGGTCTGGAGATCCGTCATGTTCATTGGCCCGAGATCCTGCAGGACCGATATGTTTTCGTAGCCATCGTCGCCCTGCAGGGGGTTGTTGGTCTCGTCTGTCCGCAGGCCCAGGACGCCAACGTTCCAGGTCTTGCGGGAGGCGGCCACGGTCGTTGAGATCTTGTCCCAGACAAACCTCATGCTCCAATCGAGATCCGACTCGACCCTGCCGTTGTGACAGTCGCCCATGGACTCGCCAAGGTCGACAATGTACACGACCGCTTCCTTGTCCGCCATGATTGATGGGCCCAAGAAACGCAATTGCCTGGACGATCGAGAGACTGGTGGAGTGGGAGGTTGTGGCAGTATTGCTTGAGACCTCAATTTTCAAGCGGCATGACAGTGAAAGGGCAACACGATCTGGAACTCTTATATTCTGTCGCCAATGGTGACAAAACGAGGTACCTCGAATTAGGCAGATGTCGCGTAGTGGAGCGCGTTTGCAAGGCCGTGCAGGGTTGTGCACCAGGCAGCACACGCGCACTCAGCTGATCTCGCTCCACCTCGCTCACAGCACAGCACTACTGCGTACTTTACAGTACTGGACCTCCAGTGCCCGCCAGCACTAACTTAAAGTGCTCCACCCCCGCCAAATACGTCCTTTGAAGCTCGACGTATGGCCTGCTTCACTGCCTCTTTGGAAGCAAGCCAGCGAACAAGGATGGAATTATCAGGTGGCCCATAGATAGCCAGCGGGTCGGGAGCTGGTCTGGCACATGCCAGATTTTCCCCTCCTCTCAATTAAAAGAGCTCCAGGTTAACGGTCCTGGCCATCCCCCCCATGAGTGCGGCAAGGTTTCCAAGGTTTAGTTAAACCGGCCGGACCCGCATGGAGCCATTGCCAATCCACACCCCTGGTCGATCAGCTGCGTCATTCCGAGGTCTCTGAACAGTGTTTCAGCAAGCTCGTCAACGTCTTCGACTTTTCGTCTTTTAAGACGCAATTGCACCACTCCAACTCTCTTTCTCGAACTCCAAGCTACTACGGCGCAACGCGCAATCTCACCACCATACTCTTCGTCTGTCGAACGCAGAAGCTGCAGCTTTTTCTGTCATCATGGCCTCGACCTCGCTAGTGTGGTCGCCCGCACCATACCACCTCATCACGTACGTCTACATACCCAATTGCTGTCAGCATCCACGACTCTTTGTCCCAATATGTATTTGTTCCATGCTGACTCCGACAAAATAGATACTCCACACTCTTGGGAACACAGGTTTTCCACGTAAGTTCAATCCATATCCCTTGTTCAACTCAATCCACATCTCCGATCCTGCTTAAGCCCAACCCACTAACTCTTCCCTCCCCCGGGGGGAATGAACCAGTCCTTCTACAATGCGACAGTAGCCTACAAGACCCTCGAGCGCCCACAGTTCGCTGTCCTCCAGCGCGCCCTGTTCCCGGGGTACTTTGGCCTGCAGGCTGCCGCACCCATCCTCCTCGCCCTGACCTACCCGGCCCGGAAGCTCTTTGACGCCAAGCTCTCGTCCTCGGGCATCTTTGGCGTGCTCGAGCGCGAGAACCGCTGGACCGTCCTCGCCCCCTTGGCGACCGCCTTCGTCACGGGCCTGGTCAACCTGGTGTACTTGCTGCCGGAGACGAACAAGATTACTGCCAAGCGGAGGGCGCAGGGTGAGTTTTCTTTCTATGTCTTTTCCTTATCTCTCAAACGGGATTGACTGATCCACCACGTGTTCCTAATCGCGGGAAAACGAATGCTAATCAATGATGCCTGGTATGAATACAGAGACCAAGGACGGCAAGCGCAGCTGGGATACGCCTCCGCACTCGGAGGAGATGGCGACTCTCAACCGACAGTTTGGTCAGATCCACGGCATCTCGTCGCTGCTCAACCTCATCACTCTCGGCGCCACGCTCGTCTACGGCTTCGGTCTATCCAAGCGCATCGAATAGACGGGGCGCCGCGTTAGTGATGCTTGCCAGAAGCACGCCTAGTAATTCGATGTTGAGAACTGCAAGGAGCACGATCCGTGTGTAGGAGAATGGGTATAATTAAGTATCTTCAATAAGCTCCAATAAAGCTATATATTCCAGCAGACTGCGCATTCTAGTGCCTAATTAGGGCGATCGTTACGTCATGAAGACAACGCCATGATTCAAAGAGCAAGCAAATTCAACTCCAGTAGAAGGCTTCCGCCAACTGATACAAACTCCATTTTGAAGCGCCGTGTCACAGCGACTACGGTCACACCTGTTTGATCGCAATGAAACGCGACGGACCGCCACGCGTTGCCGTCCTCACGCCGCCCAGCTCGCCCATTCCTTCTTGGCCTCCGCAAGCCGCTGCGCCTTCGTCTCAGGGTCGTCACCGACCAGTTTCCTCCGCTCCGATGCGGCCGCCGCCCTGAGCGAGCTGTGCAGGGATCTCGGCAAGGGCGGCTTGGCGAGCTGCTTCTCGAGGTCGAGTTCCTCTTCGGGAAGTGCGTGGTGGCGATCGAGCGCCGACAGCGGGTACGGCCCGACGCCCGAGGACGTCTGTTTCACGGGTGGTGGTCGGGGGCCGACTGTGGAGGATGAAGCGGAGGAGTATCCTGGCGTGCTAGTGGCTGTGGAGTTCGCGCTCGTGCTGCTGCTGCTGTTGGCTGCTGTGGCGGAAGAAGGGAAATAGCTGTCGCTGGTCTCCATCTCGATGCGCGGACTGGGAGCGCCATCATACGAAGACGTGGGTGTGCTCGTGCCCGTCGTCATCTTGGCGGTTTGCACAATACTGCAGGACGGCAGTCTTGGGGTAGATGATGTGCGGTAGAGGAGAGGATGACTGGTCTCGGAGAGAAATAAAGGAGACTTCTAGCTCTGTCGATCGTCGGACGTCCGATCGTGAGGAGATGATGGCGGAGTGGACTGGTGTCACCCAATGGATTTTGGTAAGACGATGGAGAACAAACCCTACTCGACTCGGGACGGAGGACGGCCTCGTCTTTAATGTAGGCCGCTCTCACTCAGGCGGCTGGGATGGACGGGAACCCCCATGTCGTTGAGGCGCGACGGGGGCTCCACCGCACCGCACACGAGGGAAGGAGCCCACGAGACCCGCGCTCGCCGCGGTCAAGACATCGTGGTGGCGGTAAGTGCGCCGCAGCACCGACTCATGCAGTGTCAGCGCGCGAGGAAGGCACAGACAAGGAGGACCCTTATTTTGCTGTGGGGCTCTTTCAGGGAGGCACACACACCACATCTCAGGGCTGCAGGACGGGCGGGGCTCCGGCGGCGGGCAGGGGCACGCAAACTGCATGCTGCAGATCCAGATGCAACACCACGCTGTCAGACCGGCCCCAGTGGCTGTTGTCCTTCCGAGGGCCGGAGCGCCACTCTCTTGCTTGCATGTCGAAAAGAGATAAAATTCTTGGTCTGAGACGGATGATATCAACGGAAGTGGTCAACTCGCATATCGTGAGTCCCACCGCAGACCGTCCGTTTGCAGCGTACTAAGACATGCCAACTGCTGATTGCAGCACCTCGAGCAGATCACCAGCAAGCGGTCAACGGGATCGACGACGAGTCCCTCACGCGATCAGCAAGGAAGAGGCTCAAGGAAACCCCGGGAGCTGTGCAGCCCTCTCACCATCCAGAGCCTATCGGATCCCTTCGCCTGCTGCACACCATCACCATCACGACCCTGAAGTGCCCTGGTCGGACGAAACACCTTGAGACAGGGTGGCGCCCGCACCATGAACAAAGCCCAGGCCCGTCTGTAAGTGCAATCAAACAAAGGCGAATCTTGAGGGAACATCAACATCGCTACAAATTGGCTATACAGGCGGCGCTTAAAGATCACTCGAGATCGTGAGGGCGCAGTGGGAGTGCTATTATGCAGCGCGACATATAACGTCTCTGCTCATCGCGGCGCGAGACTTCGGTGCCTTGGCGACATTTATAGACTAGCTTGTGCAGCTAACGCATGTGTCCGATGCCACTAAGTGCAGCTAGCCTTCGTTGTTTCACGCAAACCCGGGCAGGTGCCGAAGAGGATGCGTCGTGCAAAGAAAACTCGTTCATGTGCGGAGTCGCAAGCGCATGCCCCCTCTGCTGACTCGCCCGTTACCACTCCCGATGATGCGTGCTCTGGGGCGCAACAACGGCCTTCGAACGGTCTTCTCTCTCCCCATCACCTGTGCCTCTTCGTCCTGCAACCCTCTTAGTCACGACAGCTGCATGCCCCAAAGCATGGCGATAATGAAGGGTGCAAGCCAGTCTGGCATGGGTTGTCAAGCTGAAGACCAGGAGGATCGTGATCTATAGTCAGCCAGCACGACAGGACAGGACTGCACTCCCTACTGGAAGACTCCGGGAGACCTTGTGAAGCAGCAGTGTGTGTGCTGAGCTCTGGATGCTGGCAGGAGGGGCTTGTCGATCTGTGACGTCATTGCTCCAGTGGTGGGCGGTTGTTCTGTTCTGTGGGCTGCGGGGAGGGCGGGGAGATGAGCTGTTTAGCGCACCATATTCACATGCTCTAGGTTCGGTAGTTGTAATATCGTCCTTAAGATTGAGACAGTCTTGATCGATACATTTGGCTATGGCTTACAGGCGTTCATGCTTTCCTGGCGTTATTTGATGGGTGGCTCTGAGAGAAGTGGCTTAACAGCTGGCAACTCCGAACGACTTGACACCGAGTTGGTGCAATGCTAAACTATCGTTCATCGATATTCTCAACGTATCAGGTAGACCTGCTCTTGACTGAGTATGTGCATTGGCAGCATTCATTTTCAGACACTGTATTAAACAATTCTACATGAATCTCATCTCTAGATCATGTTTGGTGCTTTTGAGTAATACAAGGCGTGGTATTTCTCCACGATGTGTGTTCTAGTTGGTTTCCATAACACGCAAGCGCTTGGACGCACCAGATGTGATCAAACACACGGAGTGCCCGCTTCAACGAGAAGGAGCAGGCTCCCCAGGACTCTTCCGCTGTCAAGTCTATTTCCGCCCAAATCTTTTTCTGCCCAAATCTTTTTCCGCCCAAATCTATACGAGGCCCAGTGAATCCATGCGAGGCCTCTCGGCCCGAGAACTGCATCATGGGCACAGGTACATAGCACCAATAACAATTGCTGCTTGTGGTGTGGTCTATGCTGTGCCACAATACACAGTGTTGCCATGATCAAGGCGGAGTCGCTACTTCGTCCCCCATCCAAGAAACAAATCACCATGGTCTCCCTCTGGGGCAGGCTAGCTTTGCTCGCCCAGCTATATTCGCTACCCCGAACATGCTGGCCAAGAGAGCATTTGGCCTCACGACAGTGCTCAGAGCTTCTTGGACTTCTTCGCGGCCTTCTGCGTCTTGGCTGCCAGGCCGGTGGTCTCGTGAACCTTGGTGGGCTTGACGGCAGGGGGCTTGTAGGCGCGTTTGGTCGGGAGGAAGGCGTTGATCTGCTTCTTGTACTCCTGGTACTCTGGGTACTTGCCGCCGCTGATGAGCTCGGTGAGCCAGGTCGAGCCCTGGAAGATCATCACGAGGACACCCGCACCGCCGGCGGACCAGTTGTAGAGCGAGTTGCTGGCGAAGCAGCTCCACTGGTACAGCAGGATCCAAATGGTCTGCTCAGCTGCAAAGTTGGGGTGGCGCGAGTACGCCCAGAGACCCGAGGTGATGAAGCCGCGCTCCAGGTCGTCCTGGGTGAAGCCGTGGGGAACCGTGCCAGTCTTCTTGTACTCTTGCTTGGCGTGTTGGTAGTCTGGTGCATCTCGGTTAGTGATGAGCAGTGGGAGAGGGAAGCGCGGATACTCAAAATCGACATACCCCACTGTTGCTGGTCGCTGAACCACTCCGAGGCAATGAGGGCAATCTCTGTGCCCAAGAAGAACAAGTCGCTGAGGCCAACCTTGGGCTGCACCAGTGAGCTGAGCATGATGATGTACGTTGGCGCCGCCAGCGCGAAGAGCAGTATGCTCTGGATGAAGGAGATGAAGGTCACATTCAAGAGGAAGAAGGCGAAGGCAGGAATTTGAGCCTTGATGATTTCCCTGGGATCATTGTTAGCATCATCGGGCCTTCAAACAAATGGGAGGACAGAAGCTAAGCTCACCACCGATAGTCTTCAGATCCGATGTTGTAGCCGCCTTTACGCGCGTAGTTGAAGGTGAGGCGCGTGCTCCAGAGGATGCTCCAGGCAAGGACGAGATCGACTCGGTCACTGGGGAGCCCGTGGAGGTGTGTCCAGGTGGCGAAATGAGCATTGTAGATGGTCGGTAGCAGACTCCACATGCGATCGACCTGGGAGTAGTTGCGATTGATCTCGGACACGATGAGAAACACGAAGCCCAGTGCGACAGAAAAGGCAAAGCCAGAGATTAGCGGGTTCGTCGCCTTGTACAGCTCGACGAGGGCGGCAGGGCTCGTGGCCGCGCCGAGGACTTTGCCTGGGAGGTCAAAGAGCTGCGGGATGTACGGCTCGACGACACGACTCCATTCCGAGCATTGCTCAAGCGTCTTGACGGTGGGGATCGCCATGGGAAGAGAGGATTGCCAATGGCTCAGAATGATGCTAGGCAATGCAGGCGCGGACAGTCCAGGCAAAGGAAACAGAGCTGAATGGCACTCTTGCAGGCAGCGCGACTGTGGTGTAGGAAGAAGTGTTTGTAGTAGCAAATGTCGCTCGAGACGACCCCTGCAGGTCATCATAGAGCCAGCAGCGAGACCTCCAGGGCTGTCAAAAACGTCACCATTCCCCGATGGTCCCTGGGGTCTTCCCCATGGTCCATTGGGCCACGGGGATCTTGCCGCCCCTGCATAACTAATTGCACAGAACAGGCCCGGGCTAACCAGGCACTAAATCAGCGCACCCGCTGGCTCGCTTTATGCAAGATCCGGTTGACGCTCTGTGATTGGAACGCAAAATTGTGCACAACTGGTGCCAGTTTGGGTGTGCCTGAGTGGACCTCCAGCGGACGTGCCTGCCCTCTCAACAACTTCGGTGCAGCTTGCCAGAGTACAACCCATAGGCTGAATCAGACCGGTGCGAGACTCGCATGATATCTATGGTTGTTCTCTTCTGTTCCTGGCTCACTTCCGGTGGTTTGTGAGCTTTTGATCGGAGTAGATACTGCTCCCCACTGGCAAGAACGGGGTGGTGGCCTGGGGGACAACACTCACTCCCCACTCGTTCTGGATATGCTCTAGGAGGTAGGTGCCCCATCGCGTCAGGCCGAGTCCACCAAGCAGCTCTGCCAACCAGATATGCTTCGGCTGGCCCGCTGGCGACAACACGCACCGTATGGCTCGGGACTTCACTGCCGTTTCCACTCCAAGATGCGAGTGCTCTGCGTGGCTGAGAAGCCGTCCATTGCCAAAGCCGTCGCGGGGCATCTCTCTGGAGGATCCTTCCAGACAGTACGTGGTCTGCACCTGAACCGAACTCCTTGACCCATCGCTCACCATGTTACGACAGCGAAACACGGATGAGAAGTACATCAAGAATTATGTATTCGACTACGACTTTGGCGGCCGCTGGGGGAAATGCGAGGTGACCATGACCTCAGTGCTGGGCCACATCACCTCGGCAGACTTTCCTCCCGACTACAAGCGCTGGGAGTCGCCACCGCCAGAAGCTCTCTTTAGTGCCCCAATCAATATCACAACTCCTGATGTATGCCCTCCGTGTGCTAAGAAAAATGCGGTTCGCACGCAAGTGCTGATGCCATGCTTCGTAGGATAAGAAAAAGGTGGCCGCAAACATAACCAAGCAGGCACAATACTCACGCGCTCTTTGCATCTGGACCGATTGTGACAGAGAGGGCGAACACATCGGCGGCGAAATCTGCGATGCTGCCAAGAAAGGCAACAACTCTCTCGAAATCAAACGTGCCCGGTTCAGCAATATCGAAAAGGCGTAAGTGCTGCTCTCTGATCAACACAAGACACCGGCAGCTAATGGCGATAGACACGTCTTGAATGCTGCTCGCAATCTGATCAACCTCGATCAGAAACAAGTCAATGCCGTGACATCACGGATTGAACTTGACCTCAGAACAGGTTACGCCTTCACGAGATTCCTTACTCTAAACTTGCGGCTTCTCGGGGGTCCTTTCTCCAAATTGACGCTAAGTTATGGTAATGTCCCTACTTTCCTCTTGATCAAGGAATGACCACTCTGATACCATCTGCAGGCTCCTGCCAGTTTCCAACGCTCGGCTTCGTCGTAGATCGATACTTTCGTGTCCGCAACTTCAAACCGGAGCAGTTCTGGGCCATAAAAGTCATGCACAAGCGTGAGGGCATCAATGTCAACTTCAGCTGGGGCAGACATCGACTCTTTGACCGAGCTTCGACCGTCATTCTGTACGAAAGGTGCCTCGCCGCGAAAACCGCCAAGGTGACCAAGGTCCAAGAAAAGCCCACCAAGAAATGGAAGCCTTTGCCCTTGACGACGGTAGAGATGCAGAAAATGGCGACCCGGTTTCTGCGCATGACGGGTCAGCAGGCCATGGACGCTGCCGAATCACTCTACAACAAGGGATTCATCAGTTATCCACGAACAGAGACCGACCGCTTTGACACGGGAATGAATCTCCGCGCTCTTGTACAAAAGCAGACACAGGACAACAACTGGGGAACATTCGCGCAGAACCTAGTTGATGGAGGCTTTAACCAGCCTCGCCAGGGCCGCAATGATGACAAAGCTCATCCACCGATCCATCCCATCACTTATGTTGCACCATCAGCACTCAACGACAATGAACGACGGATATACGAGTTCGTGGTCCGGCGGTTCCTCGCCTGTTGTTCCGAGGACGCCAAGGGCATGGCCACCGACGTAGACATTCTATTTGGCGAAGAGAGCTTCCATGCGCACGGCCTTGTTGTGCTGGAAAGGAACTACCTGGACGTCTACGTGTATGAAAAGTGGACTGGCAGCGCCCAGCTGCCGAAGTTCACCGTGGGGGAGTCCTTCGAGCCAAGTGAGGCACTCATGACTGAAGGCAAGACTGCCGCACCCAGCTATTTGACAGAGGCGGATCTTATCGCGCTCATGGACGCGAACGGCATCGGCACTGATGCTACCATGGCCGAGCATATCCAAAAGATCCAAGAACGAGACTATGTGCGCACGGTGCCCCGATCAGGCCGCAATGCTGAAGAGGACGGCCAAGAGGACAGCGAAAGCGTTTCAACAAGGGGTGGTCGAGGAGGTGGACGCGGAGGCCGTGCCAGCAGGGGTGGCCGTGGCGGTGGTGCTGGAGGTCGTGGTGGAGCGGGTAGTGGTGTGAAGGAGTTTATACCCACGTCGCTCGGAGTTGCTCTGATCGAAGGCTTCGACAGGATGAATTTCGAGACGAGCTTGGGCAAACCTTTCCTGCGGAAGGAGTTTGAGCTGAAGATGAAGGCAATATGCGAAGGCCGGACGACCAAGGAAGCTGTCCTGCAAGAGACTATCGGTCAATATCGGAGAGTTTTTGAGCAGTCACAGGACAAGCTTCACATCTTGAAAGCGGTAGGTCTCAGTGATTGCCATGCTTTGCTCAGTCAGTCACTAATGGTGGGATGCTGTAGGCCTGTCGACAGTACGTCTTCGAGAACGGCGAATGAAAATGCTGCTTGCCTTCTATGTATCCCTAATCGGTCAACGATGGCCAAATATTAGAGCCTCGTGTTTCGCAGAAGCATGAAAGCCGTGCGTGCAAGCAGTTTGAGCCACTGAACATCGATACAGTGCTGTCTCTGCGCGGTTGTGATACCAGCTTTGGCTCCCGTACCAAGGGACCTCGTGCCCACGTGGCCTGTCTGGTGGCTGCCAGGATGATAGAACTCATCGACGTCTACTCAAGGCAACAGCTCGCAAGCGGATGCTAAATAGCTGGCATCACAGTTCTCAGTCTTGTCTTGTCGCATTCGACTTCAGTTCCAATGCAAATTTTCGCTGCCACGGCCAGATTCGCCGCCACATAAACAGGTAATCCAAGCCACGATTTCGCAGTTACCAGGCGACACAGCCGCTTGACCTGGCACAGTCAAAAGGAAATGGGGAAAGAAAGGCGGACGAACATAACAAACGGCTGTCCGCCAGCTTGCGTGCCGTGAGTCTATTCTCCGGAACTGTATAAGTGTATATCTTACTATGTGTATTTTATGTTTGCGGCTGGTATTCTAAACTATGGCCACCACCTCAACGTTCTCACCATATGCTCCAAATGGGAGATGACTTGACCGTCATTCACGCGAAGCCTGTGCCCTGTTGAGCTTACAGGCAGACAACCGACCAGCCCCGACGACATCGCTACTAGCTGGGGACCAGGTTGCAGTATTGGACTTTTGCTTGAAACTGCTCGCATGGAGAACGGGATGTCTGCCTCCCTCCATATAGTCATTAGGCGGTTTCAATGACCACACCTCTCTCAGAGCAACAACCGGACAGCTTGATAGTCATCGGTTGACCGGCCGTGGACTTGCGGGTGGCCCAGGAGGGCCGAATTAGAAACATGCGGGGACCGCAGCCTCGGCCTATCCGGCATTCAAGCAAAGCGGCTGCTATCTGCTATCGGAAACCAAACAAGACCATGAATTAAACCTGGCCACGCTAAAGAACCACCACCCCCGCGGGACGATCCGCACCGTATGCGCACAAAAAAGGCCGCCCCAGAAGAAAACACTGAGATATATATCAAAAGCCATGATGGAAACAAAATTCGGACGCGTTTTTATCTGGGCCGGGCTCTTGTGGGCTTTTCTTTTTTTTTTTGTTCCCGATGTCGAAAACTGGAATAAAGGGCATGACATGGGAAGCACCCCAGGAAACAAACCGCTTTTGCAGCAGTTGCGCGAGGGCAGGGGAGCTGGAGAAAACACATGTACCATTGATATATATTGTCATTCCTCCTCGTGCTATTAGTTGAAAGAAACAACAACCACCATCATCATCATCAGGAGGGAGCACACACTTTTGCCCTAGAACCTGCTGAACGATGAGGCACGCGTCGCGGCGCCAGTACAAGGAACTACAATCCCACAGAAAGAGGACACCCCGGACGAAAACCACGTTGCCAAAAACAAAAATTACAATTACAGTGTTTGCCGTACCGTGATGTCTCTCCTTTTTTCGGTTCATCCCGGCAAGGCACAAAAATGGAAGGTTTTGAAGTCCCCGAATTCGCGCAGGAAGATAATGATGGGCCGGGATCGGGACCCAGGCTTGGTACCAGGGATCGGGGATCGGGGATCTTACACTTCTGATCAAAAGTATTTTGATGGTTGGAGAAAAACGTGGGGCAGGAACCTTGCACGGGAGGGTCGTTGTTGTTGCAGCATCGTGGGCATAATCGTTTTTTGAGTGCCGACGCGATGATGTACCATGTATGTGTGGGTGGGTGGTGAGTGGGTGTGCGAGTATCATCACGAAAAGCAGCGCCGACATCGCCGACGGCTGCTGCCACCCAAGAGGTAGAAGCAAGGGTTAAGCTCTTCTCCCGGGATAAGGATACGGTAGATACAGCACATGGAGAGATCGTTCAAGGTGAGGCGGCTGAGCGGTGTCGTGACGAAGCGTGGGGTCGGTGGAACGGGAACAGTGGAGTCAATAGAGCGACAAAGACAGATAACTGCATAGGTCAAGAAGCCGATGAGCAAGTGATGTCGCAGAGCAGGCACACGAGAAAGCCCCGCGCGCCACGCCGATGTAGGTCAAGGGAAGGATGCGGGGCAGGGCAGGACAGGGCAGGTAGGGGCGCGGGTCGGTTCATTGCCATGCCACGCCCATGCCATGCCACTCGGGCAAACAAGGACGACGACGACGAGAATTGCCGCGTGGGATGATGGACATGGATGATGGATGGTGAGTGGTGAGTGGTGAGTGGTGAGTGGTGAGTGGTGAGTGGTGAGTGGTGAGTGGTGAGTGGTGAGTGGTGAGTGGGAGGGAGGGGCCGCTTGCATCCCGGATCCCACCCACGAAGCTGCCCGAGATCGTGGGGCAGGGCATGGCGGGCGGGGCACCACCAGGGACACAGACGGGACCCTGTGGGAGCCAATTAGCACAACGGCTCGAGTCAACGTGACGGCGTGTCTGGACCATTTGCCGTCGCCAAACGTCAACCTGAGAGGCCTGTGACGCTCGAGTCACAAAAAGGTCAAAAAGAAGCCACAGAGAACCCCTCGGCAGAGTGCTAGAGAGTCCGTGACTTCAGCCCAGGCCACGATGCGCCTGGCGCCTGGCGTCATCGTGTTGTCGTCAGGGCCCTTTGGGGCTGTGATCTGTTGAAATCAAAGCAATTATTACTGTAATCGCCCCCCTCCGATGTGAGGCACAAGCTGAATGTGCTTAAGGTTTCGCGGGCTGGCCTCGCCCGGGCTGATACGCACAGAAGGTACTCGGTCTCGACTACTGTAGCAGCAAGGGGTCCTATCTTGCCTAGAGTTCAGGAAGCCTCGATCGCCTCGACCATGTACGTGCTGGGCGTGGGCCTAGGATGAGTTCACATTGCCGGCTCGCCAACAAAAGTTGCTAGCAACTGGCCCCCAACGGTGCTGAGGAATCCATGTCTCTGGTGTCAAGTACCAGTCCAGACGCAGTTGAGCCACTCCAGATTACGGAGCGTGGGGGGCTGCAAGAGGGAGCATACCTTCGCATTAGGTACTTCACTCGCTTCCAAGTGCAAAGTCGTCAAGCTCGCCGCAAACAGGTGGGCGTCGGTACGACGAGATACACAATTCAGCGCTCGAGCTGCAAACACCCACAAGTCTCTCTTGCCATGCTGCTGATGACCCTAGACCCAGTCCCTTGTTAGGACCGAGACGACAATACAACCTTGAAGTCAAGCTGATGCGATACCGCTCAATGAGCACTGGCCGAGCATGGCGAAATAGTCTCCGCTGTGGCTAGTCAAAAGCAGCAAAGCCCGCGGCGGCCGGTCTTGCAGAGCTCTCTGTCCAGTTGAGGAACTGCTCTAGTGTGCTCTGGACCGGCATCTTCCGAGAAGCTCCCGCATCGGAATGCCGCCAGGCTGGAGGCGCTGTTCGAGCTAAGCGTTGACTGTTGTTGCGTCAACAAATCCCCATGAATGCGGGTAATTCGGTACGTGTTGGCTGATCCTTCTGATGCACGTCAGGACATGCTGTCTGATGCAACCCGCCTCACTCCGATCGCCACAGGGAAGACACTCCATGGCGCTTTCTGGCCCGTATTCCATGCTGACGAACTCTGGAAACGACCACGTTTGCCATCCCTGAGACATGCAGAACACGGCAATCCCCCCCTGGCCGCTCTCATTGCCGATGAAAATTCTGTCGAAGTTTCTGCTGCGTCCATGGTATTTGCATGTTGCGCTGAACCTGATGGTGATCCATGCTGTCCATGCTGATGGAGCACGAGGTCTCACGAGTAGATGGACAGTTGCGGACACTGTGCTCTTCCTTGCCAGTAGGCTAATTCCGGGAGCCGGGGACGCGGGGCCGGGCCATGGAGAGGAGAGCGCGCGGACGATTTCAATGGGGCAACATTGGCAAACACTGTGCGCCCCCCCAATGTTTATTCATGGAATTCGCAGAACAAAGATGCTGGCAACATCGTTAATCTCCGAAGACCCCTTGCAGACTGAGAAAAAAGGATGAAAAAATGAAGCACGGGACAACTGGATGTTGTGACAACAACAAAGAGACGAGAAAAAAACACAACTGTGATCAATAGACTGTTGATGCCGCCAGTGCCTTGCTCACCCGTGACTGCTCAGCCAGGTTCGGGTCCACAGCTTCCAAGAGTGAAAGGGTGTCAGCCGATGGCTGGTCACTGGCGCCACCCCTCCCAGGCTCGCCCTGTCATCGAGCTCGTTCCGAAACAGGCAATTGTCACTGGAGCAGGCTTTCGCAGTGGGCGTGCAGGCGTCACGGTCACCAGAGCGACGTCATCGGCGTGGGCGAAGAGTCACCATTCTGTGCTGTCAGACACTGCCCACAAGGCGCCGCAACAGAAGACCACAGCGCGGCCCAACGCCCTGGTAGTCATCGATATGTCTGAGACGGCACCCGGACCTGCCGAGGTCAGTCAGAGTGATGCGTGTGGAAGGGCGCCGAACTCGGTCGGGATCGCGGAAACGGCTGAGTCTTCTGTAGCTAAGCAGCGCAGCACAGGGCGCTGACACCTGCGTAAAGGTACTGTGCAGATTACTGTGCCGACTGTCTCCTTGCTTTTGGAGAGGCTGCATGGGCCATGCCCACGGGTTAAGTTGGTGGAGAGTGACCAATCTCGCGGGAGTGCTTCCCTGCAAACTAGTTGCGCGATTCGCGTGGGAGCCAGGGTCGCGCGGACCAGCTGCTGATCACCTCGAGCATTCGCGACGGGAGCTGCCTCCTGGCTCCACGGGGGAGGGGGGGGGACGAATTTCGGGCGCGGGCGTGTTATTTTGGCCAAATTGCTGGCGTGTGTGTGTGCGCGCGCGTTGGTGGGCGAGGCGGACGGACGGAGGGACGCGAATGCGTGCGCGGCGGTGCTAAAGCAGCCGATGCGCATCAGCGATAGGTGGTGGGAGAGGGTCTGCTGACCTGCGTTTAAGCGTTATCTTTGGACGCCGCCCAAGAGTTGAGGGGGAATGCGAACGCTCACCCGAAGTGACATTGGCAGATTGGGGGAAGGGGGTGGGAGTATGTGTGAGGCACGAGAGGAGAGGGCAGCGCAGCCTGACGCTAACACGCCTCAACCTGCGGCCGGGGCAGGGTGAATCATCAACTACAGAGAGCGCACCACGCAACGTAACAATTAATAGCAGTGAGGCGAAAGGAGAGTGAGCAAGCAGCACGGACAGCTCTGAGTTCTTTGCGCTGACCTCCTGCCGGCGTCATCTTGTTCGCAGGCCAACACGGGCAGCGGATGTGTCGCAGCAACGACGGCGGGTGGGAGACGAGATGTGAGCGGGCGCAGGGTGCGGCCCAAGCCAACCAGGAGGGCTCGTCCAGGCCACCTGCTCCTGCTCCAGGGGCGACTGGATGGACGGACGGCGGGCTGCTGGCCCAGCCCAGGCACCTGCGATCGCCGCTATCGGCACACCTCCGGGCTGCCCTGCCAATCACCAGCTGTGTCCGCGGGCGTGTGCCACTGCGCTGGCCCGGGTGCGCTGAAGCGTGTGCTCTGCCCGGTGTTGCTAGGCGCGCCCCTTGCGCTGGGTCGACCACGACGGGCGACTGCTGCCACCACACCTCCCCATCGCTGTCACTGTCGCTGTCTGTTGCTTGTTGCCGTGGCCGTTGTCGCAGGCCAGCTGATGCGACGGCCACACGTAGTACAGAGTACTTACATGATGCCGTCTGCCCCCCTTGGCCCTGCCCGGCCTCCCCTTCTCAGCATCAACAACACCAACCGACCATTCCAACCAGCTTTCGAGATCGCGAAGAGCGGTTCTTAGCAAAGAACCTCTTTTCCCTTCTTCCCCGTGCGCCACCTTGCCTTTGAGCATATCGCGTCCAGCCAGCCCCGTCCTGCCGCTCGCTCCTTCTAGGAACGTCATCCTGCGCCTGCAAGTCGTTGCCCTGCTTCGGACCTCCCGTGCCCTGTAAGTGACTCAACCTCGCCCCTCCGCCTCGTTCACCACAGGCCTGGCCAGACAGCGAAGCCGCCTCTTCTACATAGCATCGCTGCCCTTCAACTCGTCCTCTTCCTCCTCATCTCATATCTGAAACGAGGCTTGCTGTTCTATTCCCCTGTCGCGATCGCATCTGCAAGCACATAACCTCTGGAGAGAGCAACCACAACACAACAACAACTACAGATGGTACTAACACCAAGGCCTCTCGTTACACTATAGACACGCGTCCCTGACAAACTCGACTTTTTGCAACACCTGCCCAGCATGGCGACCATGGCATCTGCTGCTTCCGCTGCTCGCGATAGCTCCACGACCTCTGCCGGCCGAGACAACTTGACTGTTGTAGCGGCCCGGAGCGTCCCTGTGGCTCGGACCAAACCCCTTCCGACTCCTCCCAATTCCATCTCGCCGGCCTTGCCTCCCCATGGGCTCAAGGCCCAGTTCCGCAAGGCCGACAAGCTCGAGCCCATCGACTCGGACCTCGATCTCCACGACAGCACCGAGTCTGACTCGGTCGCATCGGCAACCTTCGAGTCGGCTGGTGCCATCACGGCGAGCATGCTCGCCAAGTACCACCTGCCAGAGATCCTAGTCAACCACGGCCCTCTGGCCATCCGGCACATCATGGGCTACCTGACCACCTCAGTCCCTGGATTCGCAGGCATCCCGCCGCCCAAAGCCCGCCGCCTTGTCGTCGCTGCTCTGGAGGGCCGTGGACAGGGCCACCACAGCGAGAGTGGCAGTCCAGAGATGAGCGTCATCTATGAAAAGGTCGGATGGGGCAGATGGGACGCCAAGCGTCGACGACAAGCATCGCCCGGAGCCTCTGCTCGTCAAGTAGCAGGCTCCTATCCCACCAGTATTCCCATCTCCAGCGGTGATCGCTGGCCAGGTCGTCGCCCCCGCCTAAACGTACGTGGTGGTAGCACCGACAATATGGCTTTTTCTCACGATGATCGCGATCTCACGATGATGGAGAACGAGGCGGACAAGATGTCTCTCGATTCTCTTGACGGCCCCGCCTCCGCATCATGCTCGGAAGCCGAAGATGATGAGATGGAGATGAACGATGACCCCGAGGATGCGACTGATGACGAAGACTGGGGCGCAGTCGGTGCTGCCGCTTTGCGCGCTGCCTCGTACTCAAGCCCCGTCGAGTCGCGCATGGAGTCCAACTACCTCGCTTCCCAACCATTTGTCGCGCGAGGGTTCCGCTCGATCTCCCACGGCTCCGGCATGCTCCGGGAGCCACGACTTGATAACATCGACTTGGAGGCGCTAGCCGCATCTTCGGATGCCCAGGAACGTGACGCCATCCAAGCCCTCCTCCAGCTTGGATCTGTATAATTGCTTATTGCATGGCCGGCGTTCATTTTGCTCTTGACGAACCCGGCCCTTCTGGTTCAGCACGGTTGCACGACACGAGTTGCGCCTCCAGTCAGAACCACACTCTCCCATTTTCGTGCGAGTTGATCTTGCGTGATTCTTTCAGGCTCATCATTTCATCACCCCCCACTGCTCGACACCAGAGGCGTCACACGGCCTCCCTCGTGGCTGGCCACGTTTCACACATACCATTTTTATTTGACGACGTTACGAAACTTGCCGGCTGTCTGCAGTACGACATTCTGGACAATGACGACAGCGACCTGGGACACATTCCGACGACCTTGAGCCTGCGGACTCGACCGTGTGCGCTCGGTCTTGGGATGCAATCCTGCTCCAGTGGCGAGACACGCTTCTTCACGACATACTTATACCCCTTTGCGTACATATACAATCACCTTATAACACTTATAATTGGCTTTATGCCTACAACACAACTCGAGATACCCGCTTCAACACCTTTGCGGGGCATACCGGTGGAGGAAAGAAATACCTGTTGAGGTTAGCTGGCTGAGCTTGGTCCCTAGATCAAGCAACCAAATTATGGGCGCGCGCATGGCTGGAGAAGCAGCATGTGCTGGCAAGGAAGAAGATAGTCCAGAGGACGAGATTGTGGATACCCCACAAGAAACACGAGGTTGCCTTGGTTGGACTCGGACGTCAACCAGAGAAATTATCGTCATTATTGACGGTTGACCCGTGCTTAGTAAAGAGACGAGGTGAGAGGAAGATTCAGGAGAGGGAACAGTCTTATAGTTGTCTTATTTGGTGACGTTCGCGCTCTGAAACGGGGTGTTGTTCACGCAGTCAATGAGAATAAAACAACATGATTTTTCCTTACCGCAACCAGCAGTCCATATGGCGTTACAGTGACTTTACAAAGTGATATTGCCCTCTCATTTTCACGAAGACTCGCCATGGCTTTCGCTGTGTACTGCCTCCGCTTCCGCTGAACGCATGCTCTGTCGGGAAGTGGGCACCCATCGCTTGCTGTTGACCACCAGGACGCGTGCCAGAGGAAGGAGGACCCACCAATTTAACCACGTCGCGAGAAGCACGCGCTTGTCACCGTCGCCATGCAGGTGCTCTCTGATCAGGGCATGATAGCGTACCTTACAGTACCTACGCTACTCAATTTAGAATGCCTCATTCCAGCACACAGCACGACAGATAAGACCCGAGCAGTAGTGACAGGCCAGGTTAAATTACAAATCAATCTTGTGGCTACGGCCACCTGGGCCTGCCCTATAGATCGAGGGGGGTTGTTGACTGCTTGTGGGGAGCACGTATCAGTTCTCCATACAGCGACCATTGGAAGAGGCACAGCATCAAGTGTATTAGGTAGTTCCATCAAGACCATCAAGACCATCAACGGGTCCAAAACGCGATAGGGCTCCCGGGGGAGACTACCGGCGCTCGGAGATTCATCCCCCCCTCGATGTCGATGACATTGGAGTTGGACAGGTGGTCGGTGGGCCTGATCTCTTGACTTGGGACTTGGTGTGTTTGCAGAGACTGACGACGAACTCTGGAAAGGCTCTCGCGCGGTATCAGGCAACAATACATCGCTACGACAGCAGCCGAGCAAGGGTGTGAGGATGAGTAAACAGCCAGAGAGACCTCGGTGACCAAGACCAGCTAGCTGGTCAGCTTGGCACATGAGAGACCGACAGCCATGTGCTCAGCAGAGAACCAGTCACAAGGTCTCGCCATGGTTTCTGACGCGGAAGCCTCCATGTCCTTTGCCTGTTCCTTGCTTGCGGCGGGTAAGCTCAAGAGCTGTCAGCCGTGACCATCCTTGGCCAGAACACCAGGAGCGGCGCCCAAAGATTCCACATATCTCGCACTCAGACGAATCAAGGTACAGAGCACAATACTGGACGAGACGATGATCACACGAAAGCATTGTCAAGCAAGGCCGGACAGAAGACTCAATGGGACGGGTTCCCGCCCTCGGCCAGGTGGCTAGAATCTTCATATCAACGTCGGTTGTGGCAGCAGTGGGTGCCCCGGAGTGGACAAAGTGTAACGCCTACGGCACCAGTGGCCAGATGCGATAGACCCAAGCCCTGAGCATGCAACAAGGGAACTAGCGAGACTTGTCCTGTGCAACCAGAACCGACTTATCCAGGTGGGTTTTGTGAAACCGGACTGTCTGGCCTTGGTGATGCAGTCGAACCTAGACCGTGGCAAATGGCTGTGCCTCGTGCTGCACCAGTCATATGATTTACCACAGCACCACCACGAGACAGCAGAGGCAGGCAGGGTCATGTCGGCCGAACGGACGGGGCTGCTGGACTGGTGAACGAATGCGCTTGGCTAAGAAGGTGGCGATGAGGGCACGGGGGAATTAGCTCGTGCTGGTGAAAGTATGGGGAAAGGGGAGTCTTTGGGCTAGCGCAGTGCCGCCTGAGTGGCCAGGGGAAATGATGGCACTGGGCCAAGAGCCTGGGCAGAAGCACTTGGCGAAGCGGAGGGGATGGAGTTGCTTGGCAGCGGAAATCCTTGGCCCTCCATCGCCGCCTTTCTTGGCCTCACCTGGCGCGCTGGACCAGGACTGATAGTCTCTTGGCGGCTCTCTCCGACGCTCTTGGCGGCCTCGCTGCGCCACGATGGACAGTCTCGGAAGCTGCCCTCTGTGGTAGGTTCGGCTAGGCTCACCCTGTGACCGAAGCCTCTGAGGTGGATGATGCGGTGGTGATGCCGCAAGGGGATCCCAAGAGTCCAAGGCTCTCCCAGGAGTCCAAGACATCCCAAGACCATTCCGCTGCCGTTCCCAAAGGGGCGGAGACCCGGAGGCTGGGCATTTCTCCAGAGATTACTCGTGGAGTCGCCGCCTTGGGAGATGCTTGTTCGTCCCTTGTGATCAGGACATGCTGAGCCAAGTCAACGAAAAGAGGCCGAGCCTGCGCGCGTTCGACGCAGCCCGAGCTGTTCTTATGCTTGACGGGAAAACGGCTCGAGGTGCGACCGACTCAATCCACAGAATTCGATGCGGGCATCGTGCTGGGCTCCCAACCGGGGAGAGAAATCGTGCCGAGTGCCGTGCGATGCGACGAAGAGTGTTAAGGACACACAGCCAGCAATGGCTTTCGCTCGTGGCCACGATTGCCTTGAGAAGGGTGGGCACCGGGCGGATGAAGGTTCCGACAATGATCAGCTGCCTGCTGCATGTTTGGCAGTCTGGATCTGGCGTGATTAGTATTCTGGGAGGCGCGCGACTTGCGTCCAGCGCCTGACGCCTGCCAAGTGGCGCATCATGCGGGTGTGGACACGGCAGGCAGCGAGCCATTTATTGAGGGAGAGGTGGGGGGTGAGAGGTCCGGAAGCGAGGGGGACACGCTGATTGCACCACGATGCCAAGCCGCGCCAAGGCCTTGGCATTGGTCATGGCTCGGCGGAGAGTGACCACGAGCCGCCGCACAAAATGTATGGGATGAGCAGGTATCTGCCGTGGATGCTCCAACAGGCGTGCCGCGTGCCAAGACGCCAAGCGGACTCCGCCCCGAGTGCCAAGAGCGAGTGGGCTTGGCACGGCGCTGACTTGGCCTGCGGTGGCAGCGACGTCCTCCCAATACAAGGCTTGGCCCGCCCACGCCCGCGGGTCCTGGTTCTTGTCCCCCCGATCGACCTCTGTTTGCTGAAAAGACACGCTCCTTCCCCTTCACTGCTCCTGTCCTCACTCTCCTGCTGCTGTCCTTCTTGTCGAGTTGCAGCACACGGTTGTGAGATCTCACGAACATCGCAAACAAACCCTTTTACGCTCACAGACGCTAGCCACCTTGTCCCGGATTTGGAGAAAGGCAGCAACCCCCCCCCCCCCCCACTCTGGTATAAGTCGATATAAGTGCCAAGAGCCCGACCAACATCTCCCAGCCAGCACCGCGCGACACGGCTACAGACGTAGAGAAACAGCAGAGTCTACTGTCATCTGGCCACCTCGCATCACATTGTCAAGCAATGGCGACGACAGCAACCACCCAGCCCGACGCGGCTGCCGTGCCCCCGGCCCCGGCCAGCACCGGCGCCGGCACCGACACGAGCTCCAACTCTGGCGAGAACACCCCGGCCCCGTCGTCGTCGACGGCCGCGACTTCGCAGTCTGGCAACACGCCCGTCATCCCCGCCGCGACCGTCCCGGCGACGCCCTCGGCCGACGACACCCTCACCTGCCGCTGGGGCACCTGCTCGGACAAGTTCTCGACGGCCGAGCTGCTCTACGAGCACATCTGCGAGAAGCACGTCGGCCGCAAGTCGACCAACAACCTCAGCCTCCAGTGCTTCTGGGCCACCTGCCGCACTACCACTGTCAAGCGCGACCACATCACCTCGCACATCCGCGTCCACGTGCCCCTCAAGCCGCACAAGTGCGACTTCTGCGGCAAGAGCTTCAAGCGGCCCCAGGATCTCAAGAAGCACGTCAAGACGCACGCCGACGACTCGGTCCTCGTCCGCTCCCCCGACCAGCACGGCACCGGCCTCAACGGCGGCTACCGCAGCCAGCCCAAGGCCCCCTCGAGCTACTACGACCACAATGGCCAGATGCGCACAAACGCTGCCGCCTTTGGCCAGGCTCCTCACCACCCGGGCCATGGCGCCAGCTACTACCAACACCATGCGCCTCCCCCCGCCTTCGGCGCCGGCCCCATGTACTACCAGGCCATGGGCAGCCGTGAGCAGCACCTCAGCTACCAGGCCGCCGCCGACTACGAGACGCGCAAGCGTGCGTACGACGTCCTCAACGAGTTCTTTGGCGAGGCCAAGCGTCGCCAGCTCGATCCTGCCTCGTACGCCCAGGTTGGCCAGCGCCTCATGCCCCTGCACGGCGCCTTTGGCCACGGTGGCTCCCTCGCTGCCGAGTACTTGCCTGCTCCGGTCCCCGTCGGTGGTGTTGAGGGCCCCGGCAGCCACGGCCCGTATCACCAGACCTATGCTCTGCCTCCCATGCCCAACATCCGCACCAAGAACGACCTCATCCAGATCGACCAGATCCTCGAGCAGATGCAGAGCACCGTCTACGAGAACTCCAACACGGCCGCTGCCGCCGGCATGCACCAGCCCGGCTCTCACTACATGCCTCTCGGCATCCGCCACAGCCAGTCCCCGCCGCACTCGGCCCACCACGGCCACGCGGCTGCCGCCTACGCTGCCGCCCACGCTGCTTCGCCCATGACCTCTACTCAGTCCAATGGCACGCCCGCTGTCAGCCCGCCCTCAAGCGCTCTCTCTTACACTTCTGGTCACTCGCCCAGTGCCTCGTCCTCTGGACTCTCCCCCACGAGCCGCCACGGCTCGACTGCCTCCGGCCTCTACCCTACGCTCCCTGCCGTGACCTCTGGGTACCCCGGCCAGTCCGCGACGTCCACTCTGGGCCCATCGTTTGATAACGATCCCCGCCGTCGCTACTCTGGCGGCATGCTCCAGCGTGCCAGCTCCGGCACTACCCGTCCCATCATTGAGCGGGATGGCTCGTCTACGCCCAAGGCTTCCGAGTCTGCCGTCTCGTCCGTCAGTTCGCCGTCCGTCGACTCGGACAACGGCGGCGAGTCGCGCGACGAGAGGGAGTACGAGGCCTGGCTCGAGAACATCCGTGTCATCGAGGCTCTGAGAGAATACGTCATTGATCGCCTCAAGCGCGGTGAGTACGAGGCCGGCAGCCCTGCCTCGCCGGCTCACAGTTCTCACAGCGACTCGATGGATGTCGACTCCCCCACTGCCAGGCAATCATCGCAACCGGCTTATCCCACCTTGCCAGTGGCGTAGTTGTGTAGGGAGTGTGAAGCGTCTGTCTAATTGTTTGATAAGGAGATCGAGGAGTCAAAGGAGTCAAAAGGCGTACATGTGCATGTCTGTTGTTTCCATCTATTGGGATGAACTGGATGAACTGGTTGAGCAAAGTTTCTTCGTGGTCACTGTTGTACGCTGCGGTTTCCCACACAAAATTGGGCCTTGACGATGGGGGTTTATGTTTGGAGTTCCACTTTATGTAGTTTCTTCCTTTTACTTACTGCCAATCATTACTCTTCTCACTTTCTGAGATGGGACATTTCTTGAAGCTAAAACGTTTGTTGCCACGTGTTCTATATAGACAACGCGTGGGAGGCTCGATGCCGTATACGTGCGTCACAAGCCGACACCAAGGAACTAGCAGACTCGTCTCGGGACCTTGCTATCACCATTGTATTGTCATCTCACCCTCGGCGGCGGCCCTTCCAATAATGTCCGGTGATCGATAATGTGTGACCCACGATGTTCCCCAGCAAATCCCCTCGTTGATGAGCCACAAGTGTGGGACTTGTCGCCGGGGTAGGAGGTCCGTAAGTTATATCAAACACGTCGGCTCCTGCACTCATTGCCCACCAAGATCAGTCCAGGCAAAAGAGATATACGTGAGCCCGTCCTAGCTCCCTAGTACCCCGTTTCCGCTCATGCCCCCCACGCCAGGGCCAACATGCACCACACCAACCCAACCCGCGAGCGTGCCCTGGCAAAGGGGTAAAGCCATTACCTTACTCAAGGGCGGTGGATATAAGAACAAAACCTGCCGCACACCGGTGATATCCAACTCACTCACCCCAAAGTCAGGAAGAAAGGAAACACCGCGCCCGATGATTCCTCTCTCTCGTTTACTCACTCGCTCACTCTTAACTACATTTGCGGTGGGCTGACTGGGGGAAGCTAAACGGCATGCCGAGGGCGCAACGAAGAGTGAGATCAGAACCAGGGCTAAGATACTTTCCTGTAGACTTATGACGTTCTTTGTTATATACTTATTCGAAACGAAAACCACCCAGTCATTGAGACAGACAGACAGACAGACAGACATACAGATAGATCGTAAAAAGGGGGTGAACAGCACTATAGGTCGTGCGGCGTCGTCGCCATCGTCCCACGGACCGCAGGGGCCCTTACGCTTCCCCTGTGTTACCCCGAGGCCAATAGGCGGTGGGAAGTTCGGATCATGTATCTTTTGCCACCACCAGGCCTTGCCTTTCTTTCTTTCTTTCTTTCCATCTCCTGCTCCTCATTCTCTTTGGCCCCCTTTCTTTTGTGGTCTTACTGTAGGGAGGGTCTGGACTGTGTCGCCACATGTGTGACTGTTTCTGCTCCACGGCTAGGTAACGGTACTTTTCTCTGCTGCAGCTGGGATGCGGTGGTGGTCGTTTTGACTTAGAAGAAGGAACATCTCCCCATCGTTAGGTCTTCGTCTGATTCTAGTGCAGAAGTGTTCCACAACGAGCTCGAAAACAAGACCGTACTTCGCGCCGAATGGGAAGTAGCAGATCCCATCCCCGAAGCCACTAGGATTGGGACAATTGTCTTGTTTTGACAGGAGACGAGCTAGGAGACTGGCGTGTATTTTGTTTTATTTGTTTTCTTCGTGTTTTCTTTCTAATTTGGTATAGCCTACAAAGGTGAGACGAGTGGAAATGGAGCTGGAATCTCTGGCATGTCGACGTCGAACCAGCCCAAAAAAGAAATCCAGAATTTCCAACAACTTCTCCCTCTCTGGGGGTTCGGGAGAAAGCAAAAGCGCTAAGCAGACGGAATGAGAAACATTCCGACAAATAGGTATCGTGTACGTAAGGAAACTGAATATGAGAAAGAAACAAAGAGTGCTGGAACGGTCAGCGGAATTTGGTGGCTCAGAGCGTCGTAGCATGCTAGAGAGGTTGTGTGGTGTATGTTGGTGTTTTGTGTTAAGGTTAGTGGTACAGGTATGCTGGATGGCGAACACTCCGAGCATGAAAGAATCGATGCGTGGAGCTAGACTTGATCTGTAGCTGTGCGTCATGTTTTTCGGTACCGCAAAGCCCGTACGGCGTGCTCCGGCGAGCAAGCCATCTCGTAAAAGTCTTCCTTTCACTCCTCCATCTTATAAACCCCGTTCACCGTCCCCGCAACCAGCGCTTCCGTGCGACATCGCTGACACATGCACCAGCCGCCCAGGCTGCCGCTCGCCCATTCCCGTCGCTGTTGAACCGGCAGGGTGATGTCGCAGTAGTGGTTGAGCACTTCCTCGCCCGCTTCGATACCCCCAGGCCGGTTCCCGACGGCGCGTTCCTCCCGCGCCCGAAGAACCATGCGCCCGCCCCAGTCCCACGATACATTTGGGTCGCAATCATGGTTAGCGAGACACCAGAATGGGTGAACCGCAGCGACATCCGGGCGGCCATCTCGCAGACTCTTCCGGGCGGATGCGGTCCCACGTGTCTTGGCATAGATGGTGTTGAAGACCCAGGTGTCGTGTTCAGCAAGGGTGGCGTAAATGTCAATGTCCATCTTCTCAAGGATGTGCAGAGGTGCTTCGATATTCTTCGAGAACGAGAAGGGTAGTGTCCACTCTGGTGGAGGCCCAGCGTTGAGCAGCAAGCTGATCTGATTCGAGGTGGAGGAGACGAAGTCGCCCCAGATGTACTTGATCTGAGTAATGTCCAGAGGGTGTTTCTCCTGATGCGCTCCCAGTGCCAATACACGTGCAAGGAGAAGCAGATGTAGCGATTCATCGGCATCCCGGGCTTCCGTGTCCTTCGCGATCGAGTCAACATCCTTCTCGCACACAGCGGGATGATAGAGCTCCTGTGCCAGGTCGTGACAGAACTGGCTGCAAAAGACAGTATCGTAGCATTCGCTGCAATTGATAGCTGCCGAGTCGGGCCCCAGGGGCGGCAGTTCCTCACTGCAGGCGTCGCAGACCGAGTCCTTGAGTCGGTTATTCGCCGTTAGGAGCGAATATTCTTCCAGCACCACCTCGCCCGGTGCGATATCCTCCTTCGCAAACACGCCGAGCTGATTGCATGTCGGGATGATATCGTCGCTGTCATGGTGGTCCGCTGCTTCGAGGAGGACAGGGAGTTTGGAGACCTGGACTGCACATTTCGGCGCGATCTTTACAAGCTCCTTGTTCAAAAAGTCTAGCGACTCGTCCGAAAAGCGGTCCGGCTCGTGCGTGTTCCAGGGGTACACCTCGCGCCGGACGACACCCCACTCGGGCAGACTGTTGACATCAAGATCCCAGCTGCGCAAACGCCGATCCGCAACGGTCTGAATGTACTGCCGCGTCTCGAGCAGCTCTTTATTCCCTGGCACGATGGCTAGGCCCCGATCGCAAAACGTGCATGCGCTCTTGAGACAGCCACAGAGCAGTAGGCTGAGCGCGAGGATCTGGTAGCTCCGGATGGCAGCTAGTTGCGCTAACGAGGAAATATCATCGGCTGGGTTGACTGGGTCCACGGGGTCCAATGAGGCCGTTGAGATCTTGGCCGACGCGAGTGCACCGTGTACGAGTACAGCTGGCAGCGCGCTGCCCAAGTAGTGTGATAATGCCTCGCAGGCCTGTTCGTGATACTCGAAGCTATCGTCACTGACCTCGTCCGTCAACAGGAGTGCTTTGTAGGCATCGCCGGCGGCCAAGTCGGGATATCCCAGGTTTGTATACACGACCGCACGTCGCAAGTAGAGAATGGCATCGTAGGGCGACTCGAGGAGCTTCGCTGTCAGCTGGTCTCGCTCCTGCAGAAGATCCTCGATGCGAGAGTCTTGCTCGTCGTCGGACTCGTAAGAAGGATCCATTGGTCCGAGTCTCGTGGCCGAGCGTGAACAAAAGAGAGAGAGTTGTCAGGTGCGGAGACGCAGTCGGTTGAAGTTCGTATGGTTTAGGAACGAATATCTCGGGAAACTCAAACCAACACCATCCGACGACGTTCTCCTTGCATGCTCAACGATATCTTGTTTGCGCCGGAAGGGGGCAGCTCCAGGCGGTGCCCAGCTATTGGAATGGCGTCGACTCCGTCCCCAGGTGACGAGACCACGCGCGACGGCAACGACTTGGGCACCGCGTCGTACACCAAGGACTTCCGCTTGAAGCCCGGAAGTAGGTGCGATTCAGCTAATTTTCGACGACGAGCGTGGCCAAATGGCGATGTCGTAACCTAGTCGTGCTAGTGAAGGCACGAAAGGCGGAGAGGTCGTGTTGTCGAGTTCGGGAGCTGTATGAAGTCTAGATCGTTGTGGTGATTATCCTGGGACGACTGCACAAGGTGTCGGCAGCGCCGTGCTTCGACGAGGCTCAAAGAAACAGCCTTTCTTGGGAAGACAAGGCGCCGAGGGCCGCTCTTCTTGTTTGGTCTCAAGATGTTCAAGAAAAGAGAAGCAATTTTCAGGGGTCGTGGTTTGCTCTCACGGGGGAAGATTCTTGGTTGCTGGTCGTCGATCACTGTCCCTTGTGGGAATGGCGGCGACTCGTACCGAATCAGGGTCTCGTCACAAAGACAGGGTGTGTGGTCGGAGGCGAAGCCGAAGCTCTCTTGTGGTGTGTTGCGTTGGAAGCTGCGCGTAAATGCCCCGCCTCTGCGAGAGCAACAAGGCAAGCCGTGGAAGATCAGATGCGGATCTTGACCAGCACGAAAGGTTGTTCTTGTAGGAGTGGAAACTGCAGCAGGCCCTAGCAAGGGTCACAGCCAAGCCAAGTCGAGAGACTTGCAAGAAGCTGCGGGCGGCGGGTCACACGAGTATGAACAGGGTGCGGAGCAGGGAAGTGCTATCGCGGTCGGGACCTGGGCAGAGGACAGGCGCTGGCGAGCAGAGATGTGACGCAGTCGTCGCCCGCGGGGTGGTACAGCGGCGCACGACGAGGAGGGAAAAGCCAGAGGTGGTGACCAGGTCGCTGGATTGCCGGGGGTTGCGCCAGGGTCAGGTGTCGAGTTGCTGGCAGGGCGGAGAGCGAGAACGGGGCCCGGAGCAGGACCAGCGGCGGCTCTCGAGGGGACTCTTTGCAACGGAGCAGGCACAAAATGCAGGCAGCTGCTGTCGGGCGTCTGGGGTTGGACGGGGCAAGCAGAGAGAGGAGGGAAAGCCAGAGCGGAGCTGCCGCCCAGGTGGAAGCAGGAAGTAGGCGATGGACCTGCGCAAGCGTAACTTGCCGCTATGTGACAGAGGCTGGACAAGTTAAGGCAAGCCCGGCAGTCAGGCATGACGAGCAAGGACCGACAATAGCAACGGCGGGCGGCAGCACAAACGGCCCAGTCGCTTCCAGCACATTTGCAACTGCTGCCACCACACCACCACCGCCACCACCACCAACAACAACAAAGGTCGATAAGCCGGGCTCGGGAGCGGCGGGCGGGTGAGGTGGCGGGGCATTGTGTCCGCCCGCCCCTGCGCTTGCGCCCGATGCAGCAGCGAGTGTCTTGGTGGGAGAGCTGGATGCGTGGAAAGTGGGATGATGGCAAATGCCCGTCAGCGCCAGGAGCCTCTCAGAAGCTGCCGGAAACCCCTCCTTGGACCCTTGGGGACCCAATCAAGGGTCTCGGCAGGGTTTTGCAGCGCCAGAGTTAGAGCCAGAAAAAAACCAAAAACCGGCCCCCATTTTGAGGGGTCCAGGCCAAGAGCTCATGCGGGGACCTGCAGGGGCCCTGCCCACCACTTCTTCGTACGACCCTGACCGAGCATTGCCCCGCCATGCCTTGATTTCACAGCACAAGAAAACCCCTCCGAGCGCTCCGACTGATCGACCCTGCTGCGCCACGCGGTCATGGTTACGTGTTGATAATATGGGCTTCTACACAGGCTGCCCGAGGTGGGGTACATCAGCAGCTGCCAGGCAGGCGGCCGCTTGTCGTGGTTGGCTTTTTGGTCTCTCGGCTGGGCCACCTTGCGCTGTAACCCATAACATGGCCAGGGGGCCAGGATAGGAGACCGCAAAAAGAGGTCGTAATGGGAATCGCAAATCCCGTCTGCAAAGTGTCGACACCCGGCCCACTTGACTCGTGCGTCGCCGATCCTAAGACGGCTCGACTCGCGGCTGCCAGGCCAAGACCAGGGGCTTCTGGCGAACCACATCACGGACTAAATGCCGAAACCACACGCATTCCGGCATGCAGGCCGCCAGGCACGCATTACTGGGACCCCGTCTACTGATCATCAGACACTTGCGCAGCAGCTCCAGTAGTAACCCCATGCTTGACGAAGGGTACGGCCTTGACGTCATCCAGCTCTGGGTGATGTTGGAGTATCACGTACGCTGGTCGGGTCAGGTTTCGTGCTTGTCCGGGCCAGAAACAGTGACTTGTTCTTTTATTTCTGTCCTACTTGTCCTTGTCCCCAGGAACAAGAGTGGTTTTGTGTATATAGAGAAACAGATAAGCTTTGACGGCTTCGTAGACCTCTTTGTCGTAAATATGATAAGCATTAGGGCACCCGTGTTTGTAGGTGTCGCCAAGAACAATAAGTGGTGGTTTCGTGTATCTAGTGTTGCTTAGAAGCGCAGCTTCCTTGTTGTCCCGTTCTGTTTTCCGAGTCACAGAGGCCAGCTTCCCCGTGCGTGTGTTGCAATGGCTGTCTCTTTTTTCATTTTGAGGTTTCATTTCTCAAGACGGGCTCCACACATGGCCAGATCCGTTTGCTGAATCAGCTGGCGACCCTTCGACATAATCCCGGTTAGTCGCTTGCATATGTGCTCCGTCGTCCATTGACTCGTCACCACCACCATCATCATCGTCGTCGCCGTCGTGTTCGTCGTCTGACTCGATATGGATGTTCATGTAGCGCTCCACGAGGCTGTGGAGTCGCTGACCCTCTGGGTCTTCCGTGATGCTGGCCATGCTCGGTGGCCAGCGGCTGCTTACATGGCGGATCTGGAGTTGCTCGGCAGCATTGCGCTGCTCCTTGAAGTCGACCTCGCGGTCGAGTAGACGCACCTCCACCTGGTGCGGGTCGGCCTGCTGCAAAGTTTCTCGCAGCAAAGACAGCGTCGTGCGCGCGACGTAGAAGTTTTGCCCTTGGTCCCAGAGGCCCTTGGCCGCGAGAATTAGCGATGAGCGGGCAGCTTCAGACCTCGGTCCATAAGGGTCCATTTTGAGTTTCTGCACATTCTCAAACCCCATTAGGCTGAGAGGCTGGATCACGTATGCGTCGGCACACTCAAATCCGTGCCGAAGAAAGTATATGCGGAGTAAGGTCTCAAGACGCATCAAGGCGGCTTCTCTGCTCGAGTGCGGGTCGTACCCGTCTGCGAACGGCCCAGCTCGCAAGAACGGCCCATGAATGTTGATCATGACATTTTGGTAGTTTATGCTATTAGCGATCTTGTCAGTGAACGGTCACGTGGTGCGTGGAAAGTGACAATGAACTCACTGTAGGAGCAAATGACTCGGTAATACCGACTTCTTGGCATTGAGGACTCTCGGCAAGTTGTTATACCAAGCCTCGAGCCGCTGGGTGAACACGCTCGCCTCTTCAATTGACAAATGAGGGACTTGGGCCGAATCTCCATAACACCTCAATAGGATATCATTTGTAATGACTCGCATCTGCGACTTTGCATAAAACAAGTGGGCGAAGCTGGCTGGGCATAGCCGGTTTCTGGTCGGGTATCGGTACCAAACTTCACTGTACCATTCCGGGTTCGTTGTGGGATCTGGCAATGGAATGTCTGGTGGTCGAAGCATGATAGGAGCTTCAAACAACAACAAACAATGGAGACTGTGTTGAAGCTGATCAGCAAAAAAATACGAGACATGACTGGCTTGAAAATCAACATACCTCTGAAAGTCGAAAATACACCAAGCTGTGAAGTCTCGAGCCGCTTGTTCTTGACTACTGAACTGGCCCGGCGCTGGCGAGAAGATACCCAGTCTGTGACCCATGGTTACTGCTTGCATGGTATATGCCCAGCCGAGCTTGTCCTGACAGCACATATTGTGTATGATGTTGAGAAGAGGGCCGGCTTGGACAGTCGCGAGCTTTGGTCTATGCGCCTCGAGTTCCCACAAACGTTTAGCCTCGCTCAAGAATTGATAACCCAGACTCTGGGGGTTCCAAAACTCGTAACGCTTCGGGATGACATTGTAGCAGAACTGCGATCCCAACGATTAGCACAAATGACTTGAGACACGCGACGCATTTGGTACTGGACCACATACACAGCCCATGGCCAACACCGCATGAACCAAGAGTTTCGAGCAAAATCGGCGACGGCCGTCTGCCATGTCCCTAAGGAAGTAGTCTTTCTGAAAAACAGTCAGGCTTTGGTACTCGTGCGAGAAGTACGAAGCCAACAACTTGCGCATCAGCGCGTCGTCTTTACTGATGCTGGTCCATTTGGAGGGCTGAACTGCTTCAAGCAGCTCGTCAACAACTGTAGCGGCATGGACCGGCTTGAGATAGAGGTCCCGGTACGCCTCGAATGCGACATCAATGGTGTCAAAGGGGTCATGAGTGGCCGAGTTGCGGAGCGAGCATTCGTAGACCAGGGAGTTGAGGTACGGATTGTCAAACTCCATGACGGTGAATGGCATCTCGCGCCGGTAGGGGAACTCGTATCGGGAGCGTGACTCTGGGCTGAGCTTGAGCTGCAACAAGAGGTCGCCATCCTTGAAGAGCCGCAGGAGGGATTCTGCTCCATCGCCTCGGCGAAGGCGTCCGAGGAGAGTATAGGCCTCTGCTTCAGGCAGCTTGACGAGTAGCTCGCAGAGCTGGTCCGCTGTCTGCGGCTCGTTCAGCTCGCCGAGCTTGCGCTTGAGCGCTTGCGTTCGGGTCTCAAGCTTCGAGGCCGTGTCATAGACGCAGTCGACGTTGCGAGCCTGGCAGGAGCCGCACTTTGGGCGACCTCCGCTGCACTGAGGCCCGGTAGTAACAGCATGTTAGCAAAACACGCTGACCTGGGAGACCAGGAGAGAACACGGGCACACACCCGAGATTTGCGGCGGCGGCAGGCATGGCAAGCGGCACGCGCAGGGATGCCGGAGCGGCGTGTCATGGCTCTTGGTGCTGGAGAGCTTTGGACCGGATCTGGGCTGAGAGCCGGGAGGAGCGGGCGCAGCGGTGTGCGGCCGTGGGCGTCGAAGGCTGCGATGGCGATGGCGATGGCGCCGGCAGCCAGGGAGGCACCACTGGTGCTGCTGCTTCTGCTGCTGCCGGCCTCCATGGCGCGGGTTGTCAGACACAGGGGCTGGTCAGCAGCGACATGTTTCGACGACTTTTTGGCGGAGAGACAAGAGAGTGCTGTCGACGACAATGTCGGGGACAAGAGCACGTGTCAGAATTAGGGCCAGGCAGGGGCCCCAAGCTAGAGGCTTAGGCTCAGAAGTCGGGCGGGGTTAAGAGCTGTGGCTGATTGGGAGAGAGAGGGAGAGAGACAGAGAGAGACAGAGAGAAACAGAGAGAGAGAGAGAGAGAGAGAGAGAGAAAGAGAGAAAGGGCAAGGCGAGGCAAGGCGAGGCGGGACGTAGAACAGCAACAGCGACAGAATGGCGACAGTGACAGCGACGACTGTCTGAGAAGGTGAAGCCCAGACGGGGAGGGAGAGGGGCAGAGGCGGTGGTGGAAGGATTTCCGCGCAGGGCGGAGCGATTGTTGGACAGAGGAAACTGAGGATGGCGCACGCTCAACCTTAAATCGAGGCCGGAGTGCGCTCCGGCGAGCACGAGGTATCATCTGCCGCGATGGGTGCTTGCGAGATCTGGGCTGGTCGAAATCCTGGGCCAACGCGCCGATGGCACACGGGCAGCGGCTGCTCATTGGCTGCGAGGGGCCGGGGGGGGGTTGACTCGGCGCTGATGTTCCGTGATGGCGCCCCAGTCCTTGTCACAATTGCCCGAGCAGACAGGAGTGTCTCCTCTCTGGAAGCGCCAGGCAGGGAGCTGCACGCTGTCTCCTCGCTGGTGGGCAGGTTTGCTGGCAACGCACTCCCCAGTCGTGCTGGTGGGCGGCGGCCCCCATGGCCCCCCTAGCCTAGCCTAGCCTCGACCGGGGCTGAGGCCGACCCTCTTCGGCCCGCTTGCATTGGTGGGATCGCCTCTCGCTGGAACTGTCCACAATCTCGCAGCAGGTGGTGGTTGCGTTCCGTCCCGCTGGAGAGTGACAGTGACAGTAATGGACAGTGATGACGGGACATGGGCCCGGCGAGCTGTGTGCATGCGCACGTGCATATATGCTGGTCCCCGTCGACGAATTGAGGGTGTCGCGACACCTGCCTTGGTACGCTCAGACAGTCAAGATCGGAAGACGCCCTACAAACAATTACCTAATTCGTGGATGGCAAAAGATTATTCCACGGGGCCATGTTACTGCGCGACGCCCCGCCCTGGCAGGTGAACGCTGTTCCACTCGACGATGCGCCAGATCGGAACAGACTCGAGAGTCATGATGCATTTGCTCAGACGCCCATGTCTCCCCAAGTCATCTTCGGGCTTTGAACGAAGAGGAAAACACAAAGTACCAAAGAAAACCGTTTATTGACACCTTATGAACTGAGAGTACGCTGAGTGGTTCCTTGTGCCCTCGCTTTGAGGCTGGCGATGGCTGGTTGGCTAACCTTTTGTGTCAAACTGGCCGAGCCGTCGGCCCCGCCAGGCGTTCCCACTTGCGCCCGCCTGTGCAGGGTGCTGCTTCGACGGTTGTTGGTTGGCTATGGGGCCTGGCCGGCTTGTTCATTCGGGTTTCTTACTGGCCGCGCCCTCCTTCTCCATGCCCTCGCAGCCTGTAACCTCGCCCAGTTTCTGCTCGACCTTGCCGTAGCCCTGTGTCGAGGCGTCGCGGGCTTCGCCAGCCGCCTTCATCGTGCCGACCGCGTGGGCCTTGGCCTGCTCCCCCGACGACTTCCACGCGTGGGAGCCAGAGATGTCGCCAATGGCAGCCTGTGGGGGTTGGAAATGTTGGTTAGCAGTGGGGACCTCCTGACTTGTGACGAGCGACAGCGTGGGAGTGAGCGGGGACAATGCTTGGCTGGGCTGGCTGACCTCTGCAGCGCCCTTGACGTACTCGGCGTGGCCGCCGATGAGGGAGGGCTGTTGTGATGAGTTGTTGCTGGACATTTTGGTGGATTTGGCTTGGGTTTCGAATGCTTTCAGTGCGGAGCTGAGGAATATGAAGTTGCGAAGGAGATGGATTGGAGGCAGGAGGCTGCTCCTTCTATTCACAATGTTTGTGATGCTCGGCCAACTGGTGGTGGTGCTGATGGGCGACAGCGGTCGTGACGTAATGACTGTGGGCGACATTGCACCAGGTGCTTGACGTCACTCTGTTTCATCCACCAACGAAGACGCCTGGGTCAGCCGCGAGGTCGAGTCGACAACGCGTCGAGGGTATCGATGATGAACATGACGTGCCGTAGAATTACCGGAGACTAGCAATTGAAGCCATATGTGATTTCGCACTGCCTGATGCTGATTATGATTGAAGCTGTGGCTGGTTCGAGGTGCGGTTGAGGACAAACCACCAGCCCCATGCCGACGCGTGACAACGGCGGCTTGGTCTGCTAGCAGACGCACTATGTGCTCAATTGCAAGGGATCGTACCAGTCATGCAGGGTGCTTCCTGTATCAGGGGGCAAGGTCCCTAGCATTTGTGCATTAGCAGACTGTCGACAAATTATCTATTACTTCTACCTCTTTCTCCATCACGTATTGCTGCCTCACGACTGCCCCCAGAACGCCCTCACGCCAAAACTGCGAGCCCCCCTCTACCATTATATCACTGTCTACCAGATAATTCGCCAACATGGCATCCGGCGCAATGGGCATTTATACTACGCAATTCCTTGCACCACTGCTGCGTAAGTGCTGCAGCCCCGGCAACGTTGATCGATGCTGCGAGCGACCTAGAGGACTGACCATGATTCTTCCATGAACAGCCGTCACGGGAGCGTTCGCCCTCCCCTTTACAGCCTACTTCTCCTTCCTCAGCCTGCGCATCGTGGGCCGGAGACTCCATGAGAAGCACTACGTCGGAGACACGCTTCCCTCATCGTCCTCGTCCACATCGTCCAAGTCAGACAGCAAGCATAGCAAGAGCAAGAGCAGTAGCAGCAGCAGCAGTGCGAACAAGCTTGCCGACAACGATTTGTACACGGACGTCCGGTCGCACATGAGCTTCATCGAGAACGTGCCATTCGCCTTCTCCATCGCCGCCATCGCCGAGCTCAACGGTGCGCATCCGACGTACCTCTCAGCCGCGTTGGGGAGCCTGCTCTTCTTCCGCGTCCTGCACGCCGAGTTTGGACTCAAGGGCAAGGATGCCATGGGTAACGGCCGACCCGTCGGGTACTTTGGCACCATTGGCACCATCATGGGTCTGGCGGCGTACGCGGCTGGCCTCACCAGGGAGTTCTGGATGAAGCAGCTCAAGTGAGTCGAGAGGAGGACTGCAGAGGAGCTCATTGCCACGAGCGAAAACAAAACAATAGGGAGTCTCAGGCATGTCTTTAAATGTAGGATGCGGCGCAACAATTGCCTGGTAGCGGCAGATGTATCCCCTGGGTTGTATACCTTAAGGCATATACATATATAATAGAGCAGAAACACAACCAGTCGCTTTACAGTACGACTTGCAGTTGAGCGACGGAAGACCCCGAAGTGTGGACCACAAAAGACACAGCTTGAAACGTGTGAGGTGGACAGGACGCGTGCAGAGCCGATGATGATGGTCTGCGCGTGTGCATGGCGGGTAAGCTAGCCGGTGCTGGCTGCATGGTGAGACAGCGCTAAAGCCCCTGGGCACCGCGGTTGCAAAACCCGCTGCTTGGGGGGTCCCCAGGCCAGGCAGGCCCCGGGCCGCGCGCCGCGCAGTGGTCGTGCGTTGCCTTGCTTGCCTTCGCACCTCTGCAAGTGTCAGGGTAGCATGTCATCGCATGTCACGCTCCGTCCCGACAGCTCGGACAGCTCACACAGCCTGCAGTCAACCTCGTCGTCTCGCCGTCCACCCTCCCATCTTCTCCTTCCCAACACCACTGGGATTCCCTCAGCCCTCCGCGCACGGCTGTTTTTGAAAGGATGTAGCCCCAGTGCCGCCCACCACCTCCCCCCAAACTCTCGTTTAAGACAACCCATACCGTCGCCAACAGGCGCCCACCCCGGCCGGTATCGCTGCTGCTGTCGCCGTGTCGCAGCCATGGCGTCACCCGCCGGCTCCCTCCAGTCACCCCATTCTGGCCGTTCTTCCGCGTCGCCGCACCATCAACACCAGCAGCCCCAGCATCACGACTTTGCTGCAGACTCGATACCTGTCGAAACGCTCGTCCAGTACCTCCTCGATGCCAAGCGGTCCCTGTCTTCCATCGGCCTCGTGCTCCGTGCAAACGAGCTCGTCCACAATGCCCGGGTCGCGCACGAGGAGTCTGTCATCCTGGCGGCGCAATCGAGCTTTCTTCGCCGCGGCATCAGCGACCAGGTCCGCATTCTCCTGCGGATCCGCAAGTCCATGATGCGCACCTACGACACCGGCAAGAGAGAGTTCAAGCTCGTCATCAAGTCCCTCGATGCATCAAACTCCAGGCTCGAGGACACCATGGCCGTCCTCCGCAAGCGCATCGTCGACAAGGCCTTCAGACCCCCGGGTGAGGAACCTCGTGATTTGCTGGATTTTGTGGACGAGGCGCAGGTTGATGCGATGAGGGATGCCCTCAAGGAGAACATTGCAGCCTTGCAGGTAGGTCGTTGTCGCCCACATGCGTATCCCGAAGTGCACAGCTGACAAAGTTGCTCCGTTGGTAGAACACGCAAACCTCGTTCGATGGCGACCTCCTGCGACTCGAGACCGATTTACGAAGTTTGAGCAAAGCGCTGTCCCCGATCCCATTACCAACTTCTCCATCCGCGTCCGCCGACCAACAGTCACTCTTACACCTGCTCGAATCAATGGTAAACAACTCGCATGCCATGGCTGAACTGCTCGCGTCCCTCACCAAGCATTTTGACCTGTGCGTCACTGCCGTGCGAACCACTGATGGGGGCACGGATCTAGCTCGCATCAAAGCTGCCGAGGCATCCGCTTCGCAAGAAGGAACCAGCGATGTCTCGATTTCCGGGGTGATTGCCGACCAAGAGAGCCATATGCCGAATCCCCTTGAGAATATCTCACACGAAGACCGGGCGCAGATGCTTGAAGTGCTCAGCCAAGATGCCTCGGAGGTTGAGGATGTTTTGCAGGAGTTGACAGAGAGGATGCAGGAGATGGAAACCGAGGCCACCCAGCTAAACGAGGAGACAGACCGGGTCAAGGCAACATACATGGCAACCTTGGACGGCTTTCGGGTTCTTGAAGACATCGGCTCCAGGCTGAGCAGCTACGTGGCTGCAGAGTCTGAATTCCGGCATCGCTGGGTCCAAGAGCATAACACCATCGAAGATAAGATGGAGGAGATGGAGCAGCTGAGGGTCTTCTACGAGACCTATGCCAGCTCGTACGACGGCCTTATCCTGGAAGTCGAGCGGCGCAAGACTCTTGAGGACAAGGTGCTGTCCATATGGAAGAAGGCCAAGGACAGCATCGACAAGATTGTTGCAGAGGATGCCCACCAGCGAGATTACTTCCGACACGAGGTGGCGGAATACATCCCAACAGACTTATGGCCTGGTATGGACGAGCCCATGCGTGCGTGGAGACTAGTCCCCGTCACCAGGGGTAACGAGCCGCCGGCGTCACAGATGCTGTCTGGCAGCACTCCAAGTGTCGATCAGGGTCAAATACAGGCTGCTGCGATGAGACTTGGCCGCACCACGAGGTGAAGCGCAGATGGGGAATCATCGAGGATGCATCGAGGGCGCTCGGAGTTTCTTGTTTGGTTATCTGGCCGGCGCACCCTTCTCGCTTTCATCTCCTCTCTCTCTCTGTCCAGGACGGATTTACCGGGTAATTCAAAGGTCGGCGCCAGGAGTTTGTTGGTCTGTTTGATCTGCTCTCTTTTGCTTATGGATAAACACATTTTCCAATTACATGAACGCTAGCTGAAGAACACCAGTCATGGCTGCCGCTGGTTCACGTTTGTCGCCTCTGTTGAAGCCATAGGTCTCCTGATCGAGGCAGCGCTGCTTCACTGTCATGCTCACAATAGCAATACGACAGAGATCGCCAGGTCTCTGAATCAACATGGCGCCCGATAAGCAGACTTTTCGTGGGCGATGGAAGCCCACTGCCACGTTTTTACTCGTGCCCCAATTGACTCATTGATCCTTCCGGCCAGGCAAGTTTGATCTAGCCCGCCTCGGAAGAACAGTGCCTTTGCCCGTGTAGGGCTTTGACAGCTCTGGTTGACGTACAAACAGCATGAGCGGTGTGTCAGAAACAGCCAGCGGGAAGATGATGATGAACCATGAAAGAGATTGTCAGGGCGCTGCCGGACGTCGCCCACGTGCGGCGCATCTTCCACTCTTCTGGCGGACCATATTCATGTTCCCAAGTCATCACGGCCATGCGACTGCGGGCCCGCTCGGCTCGTGGCCGTGTCCATATACAAGTAGTATGGGCGGGCGGCAGGTGCTGGGAGCTAAGTAATGTCGTCCCTGCTGAAGAGGGGCTTCCTGAGGGCGGTTTTTTAGCGACAGCCAGTGAAAACTAGACTGGAGTACGGGTGACGAACAAGGGCCAATCGTTCCATGCCGAATTGGAAGCACAAACCGCGCAACCGAAGTCGAACCCACGTGCCATGCTTCTGCACGAAGTCTTTGATCGCGTCTGCGCCATTGGGAGCGGATGGGAAGGAGGATCAAGGAGCAGGACAACGGACGTGGTCAAGGCGAGGAAAGACAAAATCGGCTTCGACGCAGGATACTTGCCAACAGACACGACAATCTGGTGATTGATACAGAGTCGATGGAAATCTGGAGGTCGGGCTCGCCAGCAGGCAAGCGTGATCTCCCGACGAAGGACGCCAAATCAAGCTCAAGCAGCGCAACTTAGGCGACGGGAAATCTCGTCTCTCTCTCTACTGCCACGTCTCGCCGAACACTTCATCACCGCGGAGTGACATGAACAGAACTGAACTATGCCTCAAATTGCAGATAACATGAATGCTGGACTTTGTACACCTCGGGACAGTCCACTAAGGAGAAAGACCCCGAGCCTTGTGCGCATATACACAAACCGACGCACCATGTCATGTTGTGATCGTATTTCCGAGCACACATATCTGTACAACCTCCAGCTGAGAAAGTGTGATAAATATCCAACTGTAGGTTCGGGCAAGGATATTCACCGGGTTGGATTTCATCGCATGGTGGGCCCCAATAATGAGTCAACGCAGTCGAGAAGCAAGTAGACCAAGCACGGCCTTGCAAGCCTCCCACGGTGGAAGCCTTCTTGATGTGCTGTCTCATACTAATGTGCGAACACGTACGTCTATTCGAAGGAAGTCTCGCCTGGAGGTGGAGAAGACGCTATTTACTGTCATGTGAGTATATTTGAATCAAAGCCGTCTCCACCGAACCGCATATTGCCATGTCCTTTGCGCTTCCTCCAAGGCCGACAATAGTGATACCGACGAGTGTCGGCGTCATCATGATCCATCATTTCTGTTTGAAAGCGCTCTTCGCTTAGTAGAAGCCAGCAGCCTTGATAACAATGCTGTCCTTGGCGAGCTCGGGCGCATCCCTCTTGTAGTTGCCGGCGGACTTGATGATGATGCTGTCCTTAGCAAGCTCAGGGGCGTCTCGCTTGTAGTTGCCAGCCGACTTGATGATAATGCTGTCCTTGGCAAGCTCGGGAGCGTCCCGCTTGTAAGTGCCAGCAGACTTGATGATAATGCTATCCTTAGCAAGCTCGGGAGCATCACGCTTGTAGTTACCAGCAGACTTGATAATGATGCTGTCCTTGGCGAGCTCGGGAGCGTCACGCTTGTAGTTCCCAGCAGACTTGATGATGATGCTGTCCTTGGCGAGGTTGGTGTACTCCTCGGAGGCAGGGGCGGCAGTGACGCCGATGGCGCTAAGGGCCAGAACCGTGATGGCAGAGACCTTCATTGCGTGCGAAGTAATGCTGAGGTGTGTGGGTTTTGTTGGGTCGCGGATGTTGTACCTGACGGGAGTGGGAGTTGAGCGTGGGCTGACTGTGAATGGGAAGGCAGCAGAACCGACAGCAGCGATCAAATATATGACCGCATCTCACCTCCAAAAGCGCATGCAAGCCCCGCTCAGTATGGTCACTTGACTGGCCCGAGCCGTGGTTGCCGACGCAAGGATGGCGTCTGCGGGACGGGGAGGCTCACCGTACCATTTTACCAGTCGTTGCCCTTGGATAAAGCCCAGTAACGCACACGAGGGGCAAGTCAAGGGGTGCCCAAGTCCGAGAATAGCTGAGGCGGCCAGGGTGGGTTATCCAAGAAGTCTCGGAGCCGGGCAGGAGCCTGCTTGTCCAAGTTCACTCCGCATGTCATGTAGATGGGCACCGGAGAAAGCCACGCGTTACCACTTCCAGATCAGGCAGGTGCCTCATGCACAGCTAGCTGTACGGAGGCATTACTGATCGTCTTGCTCCCCCGTGGCTTCGGGAAGAGTATTCAGGCGTGTTCTGAAGGGCTCGATATAGGCTTTGAGGACGATGGCAACTACGTTGTTAAGCGTGCTCCTCATCAACTATTCCTCTTGACAACGACTGCTGAATTCTGCTGCCACATTCGATAATTTCGTGGCTACGAGGCAGAGCCGTATGATACGAATAAGACGAGGCGGAGATAGAGCACGCGGACCGGGCGCCGTTGTCAAGCTTGGTCAAGCTTTAGCCCCAGCAAGCTAGGCCGGAAACCACAACGGCGTGCAGGGATCGACAGAGCCTCGGGGACCTGGCACGCTTCGGGGACCGCTCTGGAGAACCTTTAACCAAAAAAGGGAGGTGCTTATGTGTACGATGTGAATGGGTGGTCCAATCTTTGCCCCCCGGTGCTGACGCCATCCCTGGAATTTGGACTTGATAGGAGTGTAACCAGGCATATACCTATTCAAGTATTCCTGCGCTGGTGGAGGACATACCCCTGTCAACCATCTCGTATTGGTTTAGACTTGACTATTATCTTGCAGGGGTTGGTACGTAGAGAGAGTCAGCTTTTCCGAGTCTCCTTGTTCCACCGTAGGCCCGCGTGGCAAGACCGGGAGGGCAGGATCGTGCAATTATTCTTGACTGAACTTGCCGGACCATCCCGACCTTTGGCCCTCCGAGGCCACAGACCTCCCGTTCGTTCGCCGTCTCAAGGTTTTGCCTGCATAAGATTCTTGTGAGTAGCGATTCAGCATAATTATCTTCATGTTGGCCTAGCTCATATAGGAGAAGCAACCGTGGCCAAATTTGGTTCTTCGACACCACAGGAGTTTTCTGGTGTTTCGACTCGAGAACTGAACAAGATGTGGCTCAAATCAGTGGCCTACGAGAGTCTGCCTCAGTCAGAAACTTCCATGACGAAGACGCACACATCAAGGTCTATCTTGTCCAGTTTTACTATACGACGAGTGTCATCATGGTCCCCAACCACAATAGTGCTTACGGCGACCAACATATTGACGCTGCTGGCACTCGGAGCCAGTTTGAGGTCAGCTCATGTCACTTCGAATGATGTCTGCGTGCAGAAGCTTTCAACGCCTTGTAAGTACAGTTTCATGGTTGTCCAAGGCCGTCCTGCCCAAATGACGCTGTGTGACCGAGACCCTAACAAACGTGATTGTGCCACAGCCCCGGCTCTAGAGGCTATTCAATATCTCCCTCCGGCTCACTACAAGGCCGAGTTCAGGCAGACGAACCCTTGGCGTGATGGTCCAGGGGAGCACTCCGACCATGTCGACGTTGCGTGGCACAAGATTGAGCTTGGTGCAGGCGGCATCCGGCTAACCGAGGAGGAAGTCCTCGCGTTGAACTACACACATGAGACAATTAATGACCCCGCGCGGCCACTTCATAAAGTGCCTGACGAACACGGTGGAGGGTACCTAGCCATGCTCGAGGTATTCCATCTGCTACACTGCCTAGTGAGTAATCCGGAAGAACTATTTGGCTTAGAAATCAGCAAGCAACAAAACCTCGTGCTGACGGGCAACGAAATCTACTGTATAGAACACTTTGAGAATGGGTCTGTTTTATAACTACGACCATTACAAGAACCTGGACGAAGGCGTCCCTGATGAAAACATCTACACACATTTCGGTACGTCACTTTAACATTTCACAGAGGCAACATCTGACTCTATCCCCATCCACCCGCTCGATCTTGCAAGTAAGCCACGGGATCACTCCACTAACCTTGTGCTCGGCTCGTCCCAAATCCCGACAGACCACTGCATTGACATGCTTCGCCTGCAACTCATGTGCACCGCCGACGTCACACCGGCCCTCTTCTACGATCCCCTCGACAACCCACTGCGAAGGGATGCTCTCCCTGACTGGTCCTCTCAGCATACTTGTCGCAACTTTGACGCTATCTTGGATTGGAACAAGAACGGACCTCGTGCGGTACGGTGGCGCGACGCCGGGGCGAACCCGACCTGGGATCCAACCCTTGAGGGGGCAGACCCGCCGTTCCCACCGGAGAGTCAAGAGGGTGAGGCGGGTGAGGGTCATCATGCCGGTGGTCATCACCATGGCTGAAGGCTCAGATAATGGAAAATTGCGTGAAGGACAGACACATATCTGACCTCGCCTGTAGGCTGTTCTGCTGACAGTGGCAGCACAGTTCCAAAATGAGTTCAAAATACCTTATGCACCGCAGCTTGACGAGACAACAAGCGCCACGGAGAATTAGCTTATCTGAAGAGTCTAAACGTGCAGCCTCACTCATCGTGACTGTGTTGCGGTGGTCACCGTTCCTGGCCTTTCAGCCATATCTGCCAAGATATCCACGGTAACATCGTATCTAGCGCTTTTTGCAAACTCTACCAGGGACCTTTAATCATCCTCATTCGTGGTGCCCGTTTGTCCTACGCTGGGTGTGATGCTAGTGCCGGCATCGGCGCTGTGCTCAAGCAGCCATTCCACGCGCTTAGGCTGATGTTGTGAAATGGCGCTTCGCAGGAGATATTCGAGCGGCGGCGCTGGCAGGGTGCCGTTGGCCACAGGCGCCTGCCAGCGCTCTCGGACGTGTGCCCCTGCGTCCTCCATACCATCAGTGTCCATCGTCTTGTCCGTATCCCCGGACCGGTCCGCCATGTACCGCGCCTTGCACTCCTCCCACAAGAAGTTAAGCCAGAAAACTTCGTCGTCTCTTGTGCCAGCCGCTTGGTCAATTCCACCGCTCGCGGTATCGTCCCCGGTTCTATATGGCCTCCTGTGAACCAAAGACGTGTTGTACAGTGCCTGTCCGTCCAACGGCTCCGCACCATATTGGATCAGCAATCTTGCGAGAGCCTCGGCATGTGGGTGCGATGGCTGGTCAGCCTCCCCTCCACCAATGACACCCGTCAGGGCCGTGAATCCCTTTGCATCGCCTCTGAGTGGGCCGCCGCTGGGGTCCGCGCCTGCCTCTAGGAGAAGCTTTGCAATGACCAATGCCGGCGACGAGTATGTTCCTGCTGATGCTGTGCTGGTCGTCGTGGACAGGGCTGACCCCATGGAGATAGTAGGAGCAGGCTGCCCACTAGGCGACAGGATATTGAGACCAGGCAGTCGCGTGTACGCGAGCCTCATCAGTGGCTGCCATCCATCGAAGGCATGGGACGTGGTTGGTGAGGCTGCGTCGGCCGCGAGAAACTCGCGTACGAGCTCTACATTGTGGGCGACGACAGCAGTGTGGATGCTGTCGCGTGCGATGCTAGGGTCTTCAGCCAGCAGGCGTGCCGCTCTTGCCCAGCGCTCAGGCGAGTCGTGGGGGTGGCCTTCCTGGTCGCTCCATTCTGCGGTCCTCGGGTCGATGCTATAGCGCAGGACGGAAAGGTCGAGAAAGAGCTCGACTTTCTCGGCACGAGTGGTATGTTCAGCAGCAGGGGAAGTCATTGTGCTTTGAAGATGAATGATCTCGGCAACCTGAACTTGCTCAGGGTGATTGCTCATAGTGATACACGGGCGAACGGCTTAAAAGGCCCAAGGACGGAGAACGAACTTAGCGGCTGAATGGAGACCGTGAACGTTTAGGCAGCAGAGCCGTTCGCACTAAATAGATGCACCGCTGATCATTCGTCCTGGAAGGCCACCAGAGTTTATTACGTATTCTCAACGCAAGCATAAGTTCTTTTCCGATGGTCTTAATGAGAAGATGGCATCTCATGCCGTTTTCGTTGGGTCGCTAGCTGCTGAGCGATTTCGAACTGCCTGGCATGCTCTGAAGCATGAGTTATCACAGCACATTTCCCTTAGCGATGAAAGGCTCCCTGTGCACCAGCAAAATTATGAGATCGAGAAATTGGGGTCGGGCCTGTAGGGCGAAAATATTTGCTTCAATTTCTCTGAGTCACCATGTGCATGAAGCTTCAGAGAGATGTGAGACACTTCCAATATTCTGGTTCTATAATCCTGTACTATAGTCAAGGGTTACTGTGGGATAAGTTATGGTTGATTATCGACAAAATAAGTATCTGAACCTCGGCAATCATGTAGGCCCTCCTCAGACCTTGCCGTTAATTGACGAGACCTTGCGCGCATCGACTATTCCTCTGAGCATAGCCGCCGACCTCTTCGGGGTGCGCTCGAGAGTATCATAGTCAGTATACGTCACACCAAATCGAGGGCCATAGCCATCAGACCACTCCAGGTTATCCATCAGAGACCAGGCAAAATAGCCAGCCACAACAGCGCCATCCTGTTGCACAGCATCATTGATGGCCCCGATGTGATCAAGGAAATATTGTTGCCTGTACACATCCTGAACTGACTGTTCTCGGGTCATCTTGTCCTCGCCGGGGCATGGACAGCCATTCTCTGTGACGTAGATTGGCTTGCCATATAGACGGTACACTCGTGCAAGGTGCTTACGGAACAGATCTGGGCAGGACCGTAGCCAGGCCAGGCCGCTCTCCGAGCCGACTGCGTTGCCAGCCTTGTCGGTTTGCAGCTCATCCACGTTGCCGACAAAATCGGTTTCGGGGGCCAGTGTGCTGCGGTGGCGTGCGAACTGCGAGGTGTAGTAGTTCATGCCGTAGAAGTCACACTCGGCTGCCCGCAGCAAGGACATGTCAGCCTCCGAGAATTGCGGGAGGCGTTCTCCCAGCTGGTCTCGCATGCATTGTGGATAGTCTCGCCGCAGACTGTAGAAAACGTCAGCTTGCACTTGATCACGAACTTGTGTTAGAATGAGAACAAGCCAGGAAGATAGTACTGACAAGATCGGATCAGCGAACCAGCCAATGTGAAACTGCATCCGCCTCTCCGCGGCTTTCAAGTCCTTGGGCTCTTTCGGGTCCCAAGGTTCATAGTAGTCGCCGTTCAAGGATATTCCAATCTGCCCTCCCTGAGCTTGTCGGAAGTCGCGGTTATATGCTGCGACTGCACGTGCGTGGCTCATGATGAGCGCCTTGCCGACTGTCCAGGGCTCTGTCGCCGAGTCGCCTTCGCTCGCCTGTGGGTTAACGCCCTGCGATGCCCGACCCGGTGCGTTGATGCCGGTGGCATATCCCTAGAGCGGCCGCCGGAGTTGTCAGATTGGCTCGGAATCGTATTTCGCTATAGGGAACTTACAAATATAGAAACAATCCATGGCTCATTTAGTGTGATCCAGTTCTTGACTCTATCTCCGAAGCGCTCGAAGCACAATCGCGCGTATCCTTCAAAGTCCAGCTGCGACTCCTCTACATCAAGCCAACCTCCATATCTGTCGTGCAAAGCCTGCGGCAGGTCCCAGTGATATAGGGTTGCCCACGGAGTGATGTTTCTCTCCAGGCAGCCATCGATCAGTCTGTTGTAGAAGTCGATGCCAGCCTCGTTCACGGGATCCTGGCGGCCACCCAGCGGGATAATGCGGGACCACGATATGGAGAATCGGTACGCATCAGCGCCGTACTGCTTGAGGAGGTCAAGGTCTTCGTCTAGGCGGTTGTAATGATCGCACGCAATGTCGCCATTGGAATTCTTCGTCCGCGTGGGCGTCTGGTGGCAGAACTCGTCCCAAATAGAGGGACCTCGGCCGTCAGTGGCGACGGCTCCTTCAATCTGGTAGGAGGCTGTTGCGAAGCCCAGCTGGAAGTTCGGTGGCAGTGAGCGAGACATGGTTAAACACTGACCTCTGATCCTGGCACAATACCTTGGACGACGGAAGATGCAATGCAGTTGGAGGTACCAAAGTCGTTGGGAAAAAGGAAATGGTCATACCAAAATGGTCCTGGCTAAGCGAGTCGCTGAACGGGCAAATTGACCATGGACGCCGACGGGCAAACTTGACCACTTTCTTCGGCGAAATGACTGAAGAACTATGCCAGGGGACATGTGGGGGGGATGTCCGCCTCTTTCGTCAGATCGACAGCAGAGGTTTCTCCCATTGGCTACATTTCGCCGAATGTTCCCAGATCCTTGTCGTCTGCCGGTGGACAAGGTTCGCCCGTGGGGTAAGGTTGTGGGGAAGGCAACAAAGGCGGCCAAGTCTGGGGAAGGTTGCAATGTGTGACTTCAGTGAAACCTAGTATATAGATCCGCGTCGATCCTCCGCGGGTTGCAATGACTTACCACGCAAACATCGCAATCACCACTTAATTCGGCTTCCTACTTTCCACCCCTTTCACGTTGACGATTTCGCGCCCACCATGGCTCCACGAGCCGCAGAAGCCACGGCAGACTTGCACTCTGCCATTGACGTCAATTCCATTGCTCCTTTCTGGAGAAGAAAGAATGGAGTCCTCCTGTATTTCTTGCTTACGTCCTCACTCTTTGCCAGCATGGCACTGGGGATCGATGGGTGAGTCGTGCTACCCTGCGGCAGTGACGATGCCAAGTATAGCGAGATGCGTGCGGACTTACTGACCTATTTACCGTTCAACAGGAGTATGACAAATGCACTCCAAACACTACAGAGCTGGCAGGTCGAGTTTGGGCACCCGACAGGCTCAATGCTGGGCCTCTTTGGCGCGTCCAACGCCATTGGAGGAGTCATCCCCTTCATCTTCCTCAGCTGGATCAGTGACGTTGCTGGACGTCGTGTTCCTACTGCCCTCGGCTCCATTGTCATCATAGCCGGTGTTATGGTCCAATTCTTTGCGACATCGCTGAATATGTTCATTGGGGGCAAGATTGTGCTCGGAATCGGCTCCTCACTCATCCAGATGGGCGCGCCGGTGCTTGTTACTGAACTCTCGCACCCCAAGGAACGCGTGCAGGTCACAACGTTCTACAACACTAGTATTGTGCTGGGCTACGTGGTAGGGGCATGGGCTACCTATGGCACAGCCCGAATACCCAACGAGTGGAGTTGGAAGCTTCCTACACTGATCCAGATCGTCCCGAGCGCCTACCAGCTCACCCTCGTTTTCTTCTGCCCCGAGTCGCCTCGATGGCTCATGGCCAAGGGCAAGTCTGAAGAAGCACGGGCCATTCTTGTCAAGTACCACGGCGAGGGCGATATCGACAGCGAGCTTGTCAAGTACGAGTGCGTCGAGATTCAGCAGGCTATCGATAAGGAGGCCGAGGAGAACATGACTTGGAAAGCCTTCTTCTCGTCCAAGGCTAACCTCAAGCGCATCGGCCTGTGCTTCGCTACTGCTCTCTTTAGCCAGAGCTCTGGAAACCTGCTCGTATCCAACTACCTCACTCAGATCCTCAAGGACACGGGCATTACGGAGCAGAAGGACGTCACCCTTGTCAACGGCATGGTGACGCTGTGGCAGTACATCATCGCCATCACGGTGACCGTGCTGATTGACCGCTTCAAGCGCCGCACCTTCTTCCTCGTCGGGTCCGGCGGCGTGCTCGTCGTCTTCATCATGTGGACCATCTCGGCCAAGACGTACCTGGACGGCTCTCTGGCGGCCGGGCGCGCCGTGCTGGTGTGCATCTTCCTCTTCCAGGCCTTCTACACGTGCGCCTGGACGAACCTGGTCGTCACGTACCCGCTCGAGATTGTCACGCTGCAGATGCGCGCCAAGGCGTGGGCCTTCGTCCTGCTGACCATCCAGGTAGCGTCCATCTTTGGCGGGTACGTCAACCCCGTCGCGCTCGAGGCCATCTCGTGGCGGTTCTACATCTACTACTGCGTCTGGGTGGCCTTTATCTTTGTGGTCGTGTACTTCTTCTTCGTCGAGACGGCCGGGCCCAGCCTGGAGGAGCTCACTTACCTGTTCGAGGGTCATGAGGTGAAGCAGAAGATGGCAAAGGAGATCGAGGTGAAAAAGGCAGAGCAGGAGCACGCCTTCCACATCGAGGAAAAGACAGTATGAAACTTGACTATGTTCTACACACGGTTAGTAACACAGTAACATCAAGAGATGGCGGAGGATTGCTTCATAGAAGTATTTGTGCCAGCAGATATGGCAGACATCGCAAGATAGGACAATATTGTGCGCACTTTGGTTGCACGTCACTTTACTATACATTGTCTACACAAGTTCTACACTGCCCAGCCAGAATCGTTCCGCAAGGAATCCGATGCACATGAGTCCAGCCTGGTAAGTAGGTCTAGCAGCACTATGAAGTCCGCCCGCGCACGGGCGGCGATCGGCGAAGACCCGTTGCGATGGATGATCTCGAGAAGGCTGGCGCCAATCAGACGGATCTTTTCGACCTATACATCATACAGGACATCAGTGAGTCGACAGAACACATGGTTCCAGACTTCGCAATCCACGATGGCAAGGCTTTGACACTTGGTCTCGAAAAACTCACATATGGTTCGCCATTGACCTGCAAGGACCAGAATGGCGCTTCCTGGATCACACGAAGCATGTCCCGAGCAATCTCGGTCTTGTGTAGATCAGAGTGGCCCAATTCAGTGACGCCGTATAGTGACGGCAGCATCTCGAGCTTCTGGGCGAGGATCATCCTCAAACAGTGGACCGAGACCTGGAGATTGGCACACTGCACGACGCACTGGTTCGTACGAAGGAAATCGGTCGGGCTTGGAGGCGTGCCGTTCGCGCCACCGCCGGCGGGACCGCTGTCAGTATTCAGTAACGCCAGTGTATATGATTGGAGAGAGGGTGGGATCGTGTCGAGGCAGGTGGCGAAGCGGATGTATAGAGTGTTGAGACGTGCACGCTCTTGATCTGATAACTGCTGCGCCTGTACGTCGAGGGGGAGCTGGATAGGAGCCGGGCTCACGGCGGCTCCGAGGGGCCCATTAAAGCCGGTGTGATTGTTCTTGTCCAGCAGCTGTCGATCTCTGATGAGCCTCAGCTCTAGCAGAATATCAGATGATGTCTGCCACAGACGCAGGTTGGCATTGAAGCCCTCGATAATGGTCTGAGCGTGCCTGTCGGTTGCCGAATCTACCGCGCGAGTTCCGCTGGCAGGCGACAACGCATCGGTCGAAAGGCCGTGATAGGGCTTGGGATAGGCGGTCGTGATACCAGATTCAAAGGAGAACTTGTGGATAGTGATGGGGCGGCTGTTGAGGATTGCCGCGGACTTGTCTCCCATGTAGAGAATCCAGAATGCTCTCCTTCGTAGTTCTGCTTCCAACCCCTCCAAGCCTGTGTATGCGCTTTCTTCATGTAGCTGCATCGCCTGAGCCAGTCTGGCCGCTTCCCCAAAGACCAGCCACGACTGTCCTGGTCTTCCAGCGGCGTGGAGGCAATTCGAGTGGAAGTACCGAATGGCCAGTGAGCTAGCGTTGGGATTGGCCAGGTCCGCTTCCACGTAGTTGTTCAAAGATGCCCGCGAATTGTTGAGAAGAATGTCGCTGACAATGTGGCCTTCGGCAAAGATGTCTTTCGGCAGGAAGAACGCGGCGGCAGCGGAAACAGCGAGAAGCAATGTGAGAGAGGACTCTTGCCAAGGCTCACTGGGACTTGTTGATTGAACCCCAAGACTCGCTGGATCCATGGACGTGAAGGAAGCTAGAGACTGGCGTAGAGTAGCCTCGTGGACGAGTGGTGTCAGGGGATACAGATACTCGAAGAACAAATCAAGTGCCCTCGGGAGCAGCACTGTAACATCTTGGCCGGCATATTGCAGAGCGTTGACCACTAGTTTCCACCGATCCAGCGCCGCTGAAGTTCCCAGCTGGTTCGTGAGGCCGATGCTGACACCGCTCCTTGAGGATGGTGAGTTGACATCGACGATTGGCAACTCTGGGGAGATTTCATGTCTGAATCCAGGAACAATGTTTCTGTCCTGCTGATCTTGCTCGATTGTGTCTGATGGTCCTGGAGCTCTCCAGGCAAGCGACCGCAACGCTGCGGCGGCAGCGGCATCGGCTGAGGGTGATGCTTGACTCACGGCTCCCGGAGAGTTTGCCTGCACGGAAACATGAGAGTCTGAAGGCATGGAAGGGCGAGCCAGTGGTCGCCAGCGAGTGTCAGGTTCATGCTGCGTGCCGCCCAAGCTTGCTCGAGTCCTTCGAGCCTTGGGCCCTCGACGGGCGATGGGCATGTCAAATCGGCATGGCTCATTCGCCTGCAGACAGCCATCACATCGGTCATGGCTAGTTGACAGAGTGAACCTGCACTGTTGACGCGGCCGGTTGGAGTCAGTTACGATTTCATGGGCCATGCACCCCACGAAACGGATGTGGGACTGACCTTGCTCTTGCGGTGACGGCATCGGTCACAAGCTCGGAATGGGCCGCTCGAGTCGGCTGCTGGCGACTGAGCCGACAGACGATGCAGGCGAGTATCCTGGGCGTCTGTCAGTGCTGCCGTGGTCGAGGCCATTGCAGCTGCAGTGACACGGTCCGTCCGACCGCGTGAATGTCCAGAGAGACGGAGAAACTGTTGCTGGCCGCATGATGCGGGCCCGCCTTAGCCGAGTTTCTCCTCCCTCCCCAGCGGGGGCGTCAAGTTGGAGAGTTCAAGGTTTTCGCCGGTCTATTTCGCCGATTCTCCGGGCCCTGTTTAGCTCATCTACTGGCTGACCCTGGATTGGCGGGTCATTGTGCTGCGGAGGCACCCCCAGGCCAAGAAAATCTGGGGAAATGGGAACCAGGGACACGCCCCAAAGCTTGTTGATCATTGCCAGTCCGGGGAAAGAAATGTGTGCATATGAGCTACTCCAATATATATATATATACAGCGCTTGTGATCGTAGCTCTGGCAGTCTCCTTCACTCATGCTCCCCAATTCCTCCTTTTCTGAGAGCCTTGGACAATGTCGCGACTCACGAGTCTCTCCTTCGGCCTCCTGCTAGCTGCGGGCTCTCTGGTTGGCGCTGCCCCAAAGCCAGGGCCCCAGCCATCAAAGCCCCCGCCGACATGTCGCTTCGCACTGAAGACGACACAAGAGCAAGTCCTCAAGGCCACGGATGACTTCATCTGGGACATGCTGTATTGGGAGGGCAAGTTCCACCAAAACAGCGTGGCATACAACTCACTCAATGGAATGACATACGATGGCACCTTGCTTGACTGGACTACGGGGGAGCCGACACAGCTACACACCTTCAGCGCTGCAAGCAAAGAGGTGAGTGTGCGAAAAAGATGGCGGAGTCTTCCCATTCTGAATCTTGCTAACCAGCTGAGTGCAGGCACTAGCTTTCATGCTGTACGCACAGGTCATAAAAGGCTCGAAGGAAGCAGCCCGCTTCCTCTCGCCAGATGACCTGAAAGCTGCCCCGGGCATTGCCAGGTCGATTCTCTCGACAAAGCTGCAGACATATCAGAACTTCAACCAGACATATCCAGGCTTTGGGGGGCATCTTCCCTGGTTCACTTCCGACCAGCAGGATATCGCGCCTACGTATGACTGGGTCAACCGGGTGCCTGGACTCGACAACGGGTAAGTCTCCAGATCAACAAAGGTAATCATATAGATCGCTCTGAACTTGTTGAGCTCACACTACAGCAGTGAACTTCTCTGGGCAATCTACGCGTGCATACAAGCGCTGGAGAAAGCTCCCGGATCCGACAAGACTTCCAAGGAACTTGCTGCTCATTGGCAACTGTGGCTCGACTACGCTGCAAAGACCGCGCCCAAGGTCTTCTACCAGGGCGACGGCAAGGTGTGCGCCGTGGTGGCCATCAAGGACCAGAGCCTGCCCCTCGACCACCCGGACCAGTCGTACTCTTGCGAAAGCCCGACGTCTTTGCTGGACGACCCGTACGAGGGAGAGACTCTGGCCTACTTCCTGCAGCTGTATACTGATCTGCCGGCCAAGGAGAAGGATGCGATCTGGACGTATAAGCGGTCCGCCGGCAAACTCGCCAAGGTCGAGTATTCCCAGGGTGGTGTTGGCCCAATCACTGTCCGGAAAGGTGCGTATGGCTAATTGCATCCATTTTGAACGGGTCAAATCTGGTCTAAGATTCGCGGATGGATGATATGCTAACATCCTTCAGGATTTTGGTTCTCCTCTCACGAGGTTTGGAACCAGCTCGAGCTGCCTTATTTCGATGTAGACATAGTGAAGTATGCACACCTGGTTGAGAGGACAGTACGAGTGAAATAGCTGACACGGCTGCTCAGGAGAGTCTTCATGAACGGCGAGCGCGTGCGTACGTGCAACAGTGTCGTCACCAACACTCCCGGCCTCTACGCCTCGGTCAACAACTCGACTGATCCCGCCACGGGCGAGATCCAGGGGTACATCTCGCCGGCTGGCATACCGTCCATCTCGTGGCAGACCGACTCATACCTGGACGTCGTAACGCCGTACGGGGCCTTCCCTGTCATGATGTTTGACAAGGCCGTTGGACTTGCTTGGTGGCGAAACATGGTCGTGGCTAAGAAAATGCAGAGTGCGTCAACGCGGGAGGTGGATCCCAGTCAGTCCGAGCTCTGAAAAACTGACATGTTCTTACAGACAAGTACGGCAGCACGGAAGGTGCTCGCATTGATGGCACGGGAGTTTCGGCAATCGTGACCTGGGACAGCAAGGTGCTCACGGTCGTCTCCCTTCTTGGCGGAGTGACTGATCTTGTCCGTGACAAGATGAAGGCCGAGAACGTGTATCAAGACTTTTTGAGGATCACCAAGGTAAGTCTCAATACACCCCAATCACATGCACTTGTTGACGTGCTTCTTGCTTCATTTCATTCCTGCTGACAAGTGGCAGGAAGACCGAGTACGGGAGGATCTTTGACGGGCCGCTGGAAGGCGAAAATGTCAAGCTGTGCTTGCCGAAAATCAGCATACCGGATGCCGAGCTGGAGGATTTCACGAGCTGTTCTGCATAAAAGTGTAAGCAGGGAGACGCCGCAAACCTTTCGTCGTTTAGAGTCAGAACATGTAGAGTACAGATAGCCCGACCTTGTCCAGACGGTGGGGGCTGTGCGCTGCACCACACAGTGCTTTTCAACCTCCAAAGATAAACCTGTCATTCTAGAGAAACGCGAAGCCGTGTAAACGCTGGTCTGATAGCAAACATGGTAGTTATAGTGGCAAGCAAAGATACCAGTCGAGAAAGCAAAAATAAACGTGGTAAAAGTACAGATATAGCAATCCGAGCTGTGGTTGCGCTTGTCCTATCTCGGAAGTGGTACCATGGCTGTCAGACTTTGGTCATGCTCGGGCGCGGCCCGTGTTTTGCAAGGGCCCATCAGCATGCAGCAGTACTGTTCAAGTCCACGGTACACTCCCCGGCTTGCAAGGTCAAGCATCATCCCGCGCAGAGTCTGGTTATTGTCAGTCGGCTTTGAGTTGATGTGTCCAGACTTCCGATGCTAAATGTCTCAGAGGTTGTTGTGTTCGATGCCTGGTGTCCAATATGAGACGGTACAGTGTGTTGCGGGGTGAGACGAAACCCACGGGGCGCTGTGCAGAGCGAGCCATTTTGCGGCGCGAGCACAGGTTTGTGGTGCACACCACTTCTCTGGGAGCCAAGCCGGGCTTATCTTACTGACAGGCAGAGGCACTCCGGTCAGCGGTTAAAGGCCTGACGGAAACACCCACGCATATTCATATGTCAGCCGCACCACCCACAAGTGCAGTGCAAGGACGACTCCCCTCGCTCTATTATCTCTAGCGTGGGCTGCTGTTTCCGTCGGGTTCGCAAAGCCTGTAAGATCTGATGTTACGGCAGGCCATGTACCCCGGCACAAGTCCCGTGTTCTCGAAGCGAGGGTAAGTAAGTGATCGTCGCAGCGAAGAATTTGGATTCCGGACGGACGCACAGGGCCTCGGGAACCCGACGATCCGGGTGCTAGGCGAGCTAGGCACTCGGGAATGCACCTGCTCTTGCGCGATCTGGGTTCCCTGTCCGGCCTAGAACAAGCTTGGCAAGGGACCCATGGGCTTATCCATCTCGCTTTTGGCTCCACTCACAACGGTGCAGAGCCAGGGCCGAGCAACCGAATCCGAGGTCCGATGGCGCGGCCCGCCCAATGCGAGCCCACCGGCCAATGAGCAAAGGCCCAGGCCGAGATGGCTCGTTCCGAAGGCCCCAGTGTTGTTCCCGCCAAGGGTCGAATTGCGAAGTCAACCCATTATGCCCTGGGCTGCCCCCGTCGTGGTGGCAGCACCATGGGCCAGGTTGCTGACTTATTGTGCCAAAGATGGCAACCAAGGCCCATTTTACCCGTTTCCCGACACCCATGATGGCTTTCTCTCCTCTCCAGAACCGCCTACCTCCAGCAACTCGCGACGACAAGTAGGAAGCACCGCCCAGCCGCCGTCTCTGTGCCCTCCCTCTCCCGTCAAACACTTCGAAGTTGTCAACCTTGACCAACAGACGAGACGCCCGGACGACACTTTGACAACCCCGTCGTCACGATGAGCTGCACGGAAGTCAGCATCTATTGCCCCGTCGAGCGGACAGTGTTGGGCTACTACCCGAACCTCGGAGCCAATGCCTTCCTCGCCGCAGGCTTTGGTGCTTGCATCATCGGCCTCGTTGCCACATGTGTGATGAAGAGGACTTGGGGCTACTCTTCCGCCCTCACAGCTGGCTGTATTCTTGAGTTTGCAGGTTAGTCAGTCCCGGTGATGTCCTGAGCCTCGGATCTGCGTATGCTGACGCTGCCATGCAGGATATGTCGCCCGCACACAACTGCACTACAACCCTTGGAACCAGGATGCCTTCAAGACACAGATCTGCGCCATTGTGCTGGGCCCGACTCTCATCTGCGTCTCCATATACCTGACGCTCAAGCACGTCGTGCTGTCCGTCAACCCCGAGCTGTCCCGGATCAAGCCTCGCCTGTACCCGCTCATCTTCGTCCCCGCCGACGTCTCGTGCCTTATCCTGCAGGCCATCGGCGGCGGTCTCGCTGCGGCTGCCGGTCGCAACACGCCCAAGCTTCTCAACGCCGGCAACAACGTCATCATTACCGGCATCGCCCTCCAGGCCGCGCTTCTCGGCGTCTTTGGCGTCCTCTGCACGGACTACTTCCTGCGGTGCCGCAAGTGGATTGCCGCCCACGAGAACGACACGAGCGAGGAGGCTCTTGCTATGCTGGCGGGGTGGAAGGACAAGAAGTTCCGGATGTTTGTGTACGCGGTGTCTGGCGCGTACTTTGCCATCCTCATCCGTTGCATCTACCGGTGAGTACTATATCCTTTTCTCCAAGTAACGGATTATGCCAGGAAGAGGATGGACGGCTAATTTGTGTGTGTGTGTGCTGGTTAGTATTGCCGAGATGGCCGGCGGCTGGGGCAACCATATCATGCAGGACGAGCCATCGTTTATTGTGCTCGAGGGATGGTAAGTGCTTCGACTGTTTTGAACAACCTTTGATAAGTTTTGCCGGCGTGGAAGACTGACACGGAACTCACACCACAGCTGCATCCTCGTCGCTGTCGCCCTTCTGACTGTTTTCCCCCCGGGTTTCCTGTTCCCGGCCATGGCTGAGCGCGAGCGGGCCCGGTTCCAGAAGAAGTCGAAGCAGAGCAAGGCTGCCACCGGCGAGGCCACCACGTCTGGTGACGAGTCTGCGTCGACCAAGGACGAGAAGGCTGCCAATGCTGCCGTCTAGAACAGAGACATGCATGCAGTGGACAGATTGTGGGATCAGGAAAATTCCACGTGGATAGATGCATAGATTCGGTAGTGTCGGACTCTTGCTTTCCAGCGTAGCATGCTGCGGCACAGACAGGACTGGTGGCCACATCACATCTCTTACAGATTTCATATTAGCAACAGCCAGACTTTGAGCACATACTTTAGACAGGAAGGCGCCATTGCGCGTCCTTGCCATTTCCCCATTCGGAGCGCGGCGGCCGTTGTGTCAGTTTGTGTCTTTGATGCGACGAGATCCATCGCCTGCTTTTGAGATCTAGCACTTGCGCCATGCAGTCAGATCTCTCCAGATGGGCTATGTCATCATCTGACTGACGTGATGTCGGAAGTTGCGGAAAGCTTGACCTGGCAAAAAGTGCCGGTCGAGGCGGAGATCTCCAATTGCATTTGTCCGCCTTTCGCGTCCTGAGGCACCAACGTCAGTGGCCCGGCCCACACCCACTGAACAACCGCCTGAGCCGTGCGCCACCTCCTTATCATGACCTCCAGACAGTCCCAACGACATCCCTGTGTGCCAGGCCAGACATATGAAATTGAGTCCTTGGCACGGCGATTCAACACACGATGCCCCAGAATTCCTTCTTCGCGACTGACCTCGCATCACACCAAAACATGTCAACTTGGCTGTGGGCGTCGGCTCCGAGGCGCAAACGACAGTTGTAAAGGCCATGGACGACCACCACCGTCAGTTTGACCGTCTCGCCATCCGCCGCCGCCCGGTCGGGGCCACTACGCCACAGCAGCGGCCGGCACCCCCTAGACCCGGTGAGGATGCCGTTGAGGACTTGCTCGACGACTACTTTGCACTGCCCGTAGCCGCGCCGGTAGCGGTACACACCGCCAGGCATGAAAAGACAGCAGATCCCCGGGGCCAACTGAGCGTGGACACGCATGTTTACCCTCCGGTGCTCAGGCCGGCACGGTCCCCCGTTGTCATCGACAGCCCGGCTGAGCTCTCATCGCCGACGCCTCCTCTGGGACCACCACCAGCCTACTCTCCTGGGCTGACACCAGAGACTCCCAGGCACCTTGCGCCGGTGACCCCAGACACCCCTGCCCTGGATGCTTCCTCGCCATCGCAGCTGGCCAAGCCTTTCTGGAAAACCGCTATTGATGAGACAATCTACTTTGCCGGCGGCCTCATCTCACATCCAGCCGAGTCGACGCGGCACTACACTGTCCTTCGTCACTCGCCAGGCCTCGTCTACTACAAAGGACCCTCGACCAGAGTCGCAATCACCATCTTCTCCGATGACGGACCTCTACCTCCTGGACGGACCCTGTGGCTGCAGCGTAAGGGCTTTTCCGGCAACATGGGGATGGACGCCAGCACCTTCTTCCGTACCGACTCAAGCTGGATAGACGTCACACCGACGGCTCAGGTGCTCCCCTCCGAGATACCACCCGAGGACGAGAGGGCCTGGCAGCGCGACATCAACAAGTTCCTCAAGAAGGCTGCCAACCACAAGCGGCTATCCAAGCACAGGCCCAGCGAGACCTGCGTGATTCGCGTGCCGGCCTCGGCTGCCGATGGGTACATGCGCATCGTGGTGTGCGGCGGCGGCGGCGGCGGCGGCGGCGGGACCGGCAGCAGCACCAAGAAGAAGAAGTCCCTGTGCCCCTCGCCCGTCTTCCGCGTGGCCAGCACATCTCGCGACATGAGCGTCATGCGAGGCGCGAGCCTGCGCACGCTGCCGCTCGAGCTGGGCATGCGGGCTGCCACGGCCATCGGGGAGAAGTACATCACGACCGTGGCCGCGCCCGTGGTTGGCGTGGTGCAGACGGGCGTGAAGCGGGTCGAGCCGATGGTCATGAGCCAGAACCCGCGCGCCATGGCCGCGATCAGAGCCGGTGCGTCAGAGGGGCTCGTGATGGCGGAAGATCGATATGCCCCCATCCGACACGCGACGTGGGACTCTCTGTACGAGACGAGCATTACAGACTCGCCTCCGGAGATGGTGGGCAGTGACGACGGGCCCGAGCACCCCTTCCCGATACACATGCATGGGAAAGTGGCCAAAGGCACGGGGCGAAGCCGCGCCGATACAGGCTTCCCCACGGCGAACCTGGTTGGGGTGCCTGGCAATCTGCTGCTTCGACTCGGGGGGGTGTATGTCGGCTGGGCTGCAGTGTCAGACCAAGGACGATCCTACAGCGAGCGTCGTGACTTGCACAAAGCTATCGTCGTCGTCGGCCCGCCCATGTACGGGCCGGTGCAGGTTGCCGCGAAGAACACGGCAGTCGCCCACCTGATCCAAGAGTCGGGCGATCCGATGCCTGACATGCTGGATGCGAGGATAGACATCATCATCATGGCCCACCTCCGCCCTCTGCTCCCTCGCGACCCGCCGCCCCCGCCGACACGCATCACCGCCGTCATGCGCGAGAACATTTCTGTGGCGATAGCGAGCCTCAGCCGCGACACCTGGCACCACCGCCACCAGAAGCATCTGCTCGAGGCTGCGTCGGTGCGGAACCCGCTGGTCAAGGCGCTCAAGACGCACAAGAGCCTTGGCGACTTTGCGGCGCATGCGAGTGCCGGGCTGCAGAGGAGGGTGGACAGCGTGCCGCTGCACTGGGCGGGGATCCGGACGGAGGGGAGCGAGTTGAAGGACCATACCTATGGGACTGGTGGGTTCTACATCAAGCGTTGAGGTTCTCGGATTGTGGTGGAAGCTTAAGTTCTTGACCTCCGCCCTATCTTGGCGTGATGAATGAATGCTTTGAGGGGCATGTGCGAGCCGGAGCAGTGCAGATTGGTATTAATACAGAAGAGATACATGCATGCCTGCGAGAGATATAATACTCATGGCTCTGCATAGCTCCACGACTGGAGCCCAGAGTCTGGGTGCTTGACACATGATTTGACTCGGTTGAGGAGTTGAGGACCCTAGCATTTCCGGGGTGGGGCGGCCCCGGACCCCAGGGGATCGCTCAGACCCGCGTGCGGAACGCCCCGCTCAGGCGCCGCATGGATGCATGGACGACCCTCCAGGGCTCTGGCTTGGCTTGGGACAACGTACTTGCGTAGCTGACAGCTCTTGGAGGGCTTGATCTTTCTTCTGTGCAACCTCAGTATTTCCGACTTCGACACAGATACAGCTCAACCAAGAGACTGGCTTGCTCAGTTGCCGTCAAGACTCGAGCCAAGAATCCTCAGCCGATCCTTCCTGTACCTATCGCCAATCCTCGCTGTCAACCAACACAAATTCAATCGCGGCGACACTGCGGCTCAGCGACTCCAGGCAGTCGTGTGTGTTGTGCAGCCAAGCACGACGGCAAACAAAGGACGAAAGCGAATAGAGGCACTACCACTTCTAGAAAAGTCTCATCAAAACGAGAGAAGTGACAGGCAGCTTTCTCCGTGACAATGCCCCTCCACCACAACCCAATGGCCCGAGCCACCATCGCGGCAACCCTGCTCGGCACGACGTCAAACATCATCGCGCAGCTGCTCCAGGCACACAACAACAGCAGGGAATCCTCATCCTCTTCATCGACATCGACAACGTCGTCTTCGGCCAAGTACAGCCTCGACGTCATCCAGATCGTCCGCTTCGCGTTCGTCGTCTTCCTCACCACCCCACCAAACTATCTCTGGCAGGCCCTCCTCGAGCGCCTGTTCCCCGCGTACGGGCCCAGCCCGGGCGGCAGCAGTAGCCACGCGGAAAAGCGAGGTGGCGGCGGCGGCGGCGACACAGGACTGCCATCGTCAAAGCTCCACAACAAGAAGAGGACGAGCTCCAACGCAGGGATGCAGCTGCTCGACCTCGAGAAGCAGGTTCACTCCATGACCCCGCCTCAATCATCATCATCATCATCACTATCGCCCTCGCCATCCCCACCCAGCTCGCCGACCGCAAGAGATGGCGGCGCACGCGGACACCAGGGCAGGACGAGGACGAGGAGCAGAAAACTAAACTGGACCAACACCCTAACCAAATGGTTCATCGACTGCATCACCCTCGGCGCGCTCTTCAACACCCTCGCCTTCTTCATCCTCACGGGCCTGCTCAAGAACCAGCCCCTGAGCCAGATCGCCCACACCGTCCGCACCGAGACCATGCCCCTCATCGTGGCGGGTTATCGGGTCTGGCCGTTTGCCTCGATCATCAGCTTCACCGTCGTGCCCGTCGAGAAGAGGGTCGTGTTTCTCAATTTTGTGGGCCTGCTCTGGGGGGTTTACATGTCGTTTGTCGCCGCGAGGGTCTGATTGAGAGAGTGTTTGGGGTTGTGACTTTGTTTGCGAAACGGGCCCTCTGTAGGTTCGGGCAATATGTAGTAACCAATATGGCGCACCCGGATAAGATATATATGCAAAACCTCTAGGCTAGGAAACGCACATCAATTTGAAACACGAGCGGTACATCGCGTCCAACCTCTTTCTCTGGGTAAGCACTCAATCTGCGTGATGGCATGGACTTATTTTAGCATTCTCCAGGCCATTGCCAAGTTTTGAGTCGGCTTGCTCCTCGACCAGCTGCCATCATGTCCTACTTCAGTGCCTTGCAATGAGCAGCTTTACTGGAAGCAGCCATGGCCACTACAATATCTGCCTGGACTCCTCCACAACGGGCTCATACATGACCCTCAGCTAACCATTCCAGTAACTCGGCCGGCTCCACCAGGGCATTTGTGTTTCTGGTTGGTGGAACGATCGGCCCATGTCTTGTACAGTCGCAATTCCAACAATACACCGCTCATCCGAGGGGTGTTGTGACTCTTCTCTGGACGACGACAAAGCTGGATGGCTTCTGGAACGCCTGAGAAGCCAGTAATTTGCTCTGTGTCCTTGAAGTACAAATGAGGCCCGACACTGACGATCCCACTTTCACAGGCTCCCCCTGGCGGTCCCCTTGGTCCGAAGGAGGTCTTCGTGGAAGCCATGTCGAGACTCTTTACCGACTGAGGTAAGTCCTTTTTGGCCATTGGCATGCCAGAAGTATCTTCGTAGCAAGGTGCTTCAAAATCTGCCGAGAAGACCGGAGCAGGCTTGCGAGCTGTATGCTGTTCGCAGCGAGGAAATCTCGAGGAGGCTGAGCTGGGCGCGGTCAATGTGCGCGCCAAACCATATGCTCGACTGCCTAGCATCTGCCACTTCGCTCAGCAGCGCAGCCGTGTTCGATATCTGGATCCGCTTAGGACGGTGAGTCGTGCGAGCCAAAGTGCGTCAATGTCACCATCGATGGACTGTGGTCGTGAAGTCGGGCTGGCAGTGTGCCTGATTGGGGCTGATGAGTTTTCTCCGTCCTGACACGAAGAACCTTGCTCCCACCAGACAAGCCCATGGCAGAACCCGCGATAAGCGGGATAAAGCCCTCGTCCAGCACAGCAAAGCGCCAGCTCAGAACAGAGATTTTGTTGCCCTCACCCCCTCCCCGCAAGCCTCGCTCTCCTCGCCTCGTCCTCGCGGTTCGCCTCAACACGGCTGAGGAAGTCCTGGCGGTGCGCATACGACTCCTTGGACCGGCCCGCGAGCTCCAGCTCGTCCTTGATGCCCTCCTTGTCGACGAAGCCGGCCCAGTCCATACGGCTCTTCTCCACGACGTTGAGCTTCTTGGCCTTGCCCTGGCGGAACGCGGCCTCGCGGAGCTGCAGCGTCGCGCTGAGGCCCAGGTTCAGGTCGGACCTCTGCAAGCTTGACGGGTCCGCGATGACGGGCTCAAAGATGGAGCGGAACGCCTTGCGCGGTCTTCGCAGCGAGGCCTCCTCGTCCGCATTGGCCGCGGCGCCATTGTCTCCATCAGAGGCAGAAGTGCTCGTCGTGAGGGCTATGTACTCGGCCGACTTTGGGTCCAGCGAGGCAATGTACAGCTTGGCCTCGGCCGAGTCGCGCGCCACGAGCTTCTCCTCGGTGTGCACCTTGCCGGCAAAGTTGTATGTGCGCTTGATCTTGATCATGGCGAGCGCGTCGCTCCCACCGCCAGCGCTCGTCTGCATTTTGCTCTTCGTCTTGTCTCCCGTGGTCATGTCCACGTCTCCGTCCGCGGACCCCGTGCCAGGCTCCTGGTTCTCCTTATCAGCTCCTGCCGCACTGCTGCTGCTGTCCGCCGCCACAGCCCCAGAGACGCGATCATGCCCGCTCTCCTTGCCCGGCAGCACCGACCCGGCGCTCATCTGCGCCCACAGATCGTCGACGTTGATCGTGACGGGTCCCGACGGGACGACTCCGCGGTCCCGGCGCTCCGCCTTTTCCGCGGCGCGCATGCTGCGCGTCTTGATCAGCCCGCCCTCCACTCCTCCCTCATCTTCGTCTTCGTCGTCTTCGTCCCCCTGGTCCCCGCCGCGCTGGGTCTTATTCTTCTTCTTCTTGTTCCTGCTCAGCTTCTTCTGGCCCTTTTGTATGATCGCCTCGTCGCCAGAGTTCTCAAAGCCGTCGTCATTGTCTTGACCGTGCTCGCGCTTTCGACCCTTCGCTGCTGCTGCTCCTGCTGATGAGCTTGTGGTCGCGGCCGCTGCGGCGGCGGCCGCGGTAGCAGCAGTGTCTTGCAAGCTCCCAAGGGCGGGTTTTGAGTCACTGCCCGTGCCATTACCATCGCCATCATTGCTGTCGTCGCTGTCGTCGTCGTCGTCGCTCGAACCACCATCCTGATCGGCACCGCCGCCGTGCGCAGCATCATCACCGTCGTCCGGCGCAAAGTCCGAGTCCTGGTCGGACGCGTAGTCCTCGTCGTCGTCGAGGAGCATTGAGTCGCCGGCCATCGTTTCTGCTGGGGAAGGGGAAGGAGAATGTCTGTCGCGATGCTGGTGTGTTGCGGTAGGAGTGTGTGTGTGTGTGTGTGTGTGTGTGTGTGTGTGTGTGTGTGTGTGTGTGGTTGGGTGGGTGTGATGACGACGGTGCGCAGGCGCGCGCTCTTCCCTACTCGGGAACGTCGCTCTGGGTGTATGCTGTCGTCGCGTTGCCGGGCCTCGATGTGTGGCTTCTCTCTTCTGCCTCGTGGCTCATATAGAACGAGACGGGAGTTTCTTTTCGGGTTGGTTCGTAGAATTGACGTGCTGAGCGCAGTTAGAGCAAGACGACGATGTTGACGTCGCGGAATTGGGAAAAAAAGATGACATGCATGGATGGGCCGCTCGTTGCCTGGGGGGGGAAACGTGGTGGAGCTGCACCTCCCTTCGCAGGGGTGTGCTGGCCTGGCCCCGGCACGTAAAGCGTAACTGTGGTACCCGTACCTGGCGGCGGCTCGCAGCCTAGCGCATGCTGGGCCCGCTCTGGGGGTTGCTGGTACGCAGGAGGGCATGGTAGGCTACAGTGGCGCATGACACCGCCTGGAAGCCTGCGCGCCAAGAGTTGTCTAATGGTGATCACGAGTTGAGGCAGCCTAGCGCTGGGCGAGGGCCTGGTGGCAACGTACGGCTGCATGGCTAGCTGCGGCACTTGTCGATTCTTCACTTGATATTACTAACGGACGGATGGACTGGTCACTTCAAGCCTCGTGAGGGAACAATTTGAGGCAAGTAGACCCCGGGAGAGTCTGGATGGTAGTGTAGTTCTTTCATTCCGACGCCTTCGCAACTCTACAAGATCGTACATGATACACGATGACGACACTGTGGTGTTCGCAGATCCACCGCTTATTGTCGATGTTTCCACATGAGAAACCTTTCTAGTATCGCGGCACCGCGCGAATGGAGGGGGAAAGGGGGGACAGTGGACAGTTTAAATATGTGAATGGAGGTGAACCCCATGATATACACCGAAGCGCTGAAATAAGCAAGAAGACGCTATGCAATGGGAAAAATGGTACAGGATCCATGGATATCTTGCAAGTACAGGAGTATGAAAAGTAAGAGTAGCTACGTAGCAACGAAAGGAAATAAAAGCAACGAATTTAAAAACAATAAAGAAAAATGCCCGGAAACCCGCTGTTCGAAATTGCCGTGAGGATGAAAGCTAGCGCCGGTGGGATGGCACGTTGCGGCTTATGAAGTGACAGAGTCGAGTTGGATTTGCTGGAATGATACGCCGTTAACTTTTGGTGTTGCCAGGGCCTGCGGGAGCAGTGTAGTGAAGGCCAATCCACACAGTCTCCGAGGTATTCGACGGGTAATACCAAAACTGTGCTTGCGTCTGTTGAAGACTGAGGTTTGTGTGAGAAACCCCGACCTTGCAACAAATGCGGATCTGCTACGAGCCGTCCTGCCCGCGCCCAAGTACAACCCAGGTCTCATTGATAGCGACGCCACCTGGCCATCCTCCAATCTTCTTGCCGTCCGCGCCACTTAGGCTCATGCCTTCCTCCTCCTCAATCGGGGTCCATCCATCCTCCATGAGGCTGAACCACTCGGCGTCGTCGGAGCCGATGTCCTCATCGTCGGAGACCAGCTCGGGAGTCTGCGTAATTGGTGTACCTGGACGCCTCGCACGTGCGATCTCTTCCTCACGTAGCTCCTCGGCGTGGTTGTCGTCATGATCGTAATCTTCGTGAAGTTCGTATATGATATGCTGCATCGGCTGCGACGAGGAAGAGACGTAATGTATCCTGTCCCCGGCAGACCCTTCCACATGCATGTCGTGGTTGTACAGGTCATCCTGGATGCCCTCATCCTGGCACCCACGACGGGGCCAGGCTTGGTGGACATTGTCGGCAAACGCCGTGAATGATAGATCCAGGGTCAAATTCGGTGGGGCGCGGAGACGGGGCTCGCTCTTGTGGTATTGTCCGTCCTCATCGCTCTCGCGATCGCTCATGTCCTCGTCGTCATTTTCCGTGGCGCCATGGGCGTCGAAGCGGTATCCGGAACGCCTCCTCCTCCTGCTGCCATGTGAGCCAGAGTTGGACACCACGCGTACGGTATACGCGGGCTCGCCGTGGCGAATGGCATCCAGAGTGAAACGGGCGCTGTGTATCTCGTTCTGTGCAGCAGCTCGAGAAGGGCTCCTGCTCAGAACGGGGCGATGGTCGCGCGACTCGTCGTAGAGCAGTCCGAGACGGTACAGCTCGTCATCGTCGTCGATGTAGTCCAGGCTGCGCCAATCTCGCGAAGTGCTCGACAGACAAAAGGCTTCTTGACGGACAAGACGCGGGGTCCGCCGGCTGATGTCGTCGATGTACTGGTCGGCGGGAGCTGAAGCACGGCGGCTATCGCTGGGAAGCACGACATTGCTGTCGGCCGCCAACGATCTGCCGTCATCCTCCCACCGCCGTGATTGATTTTGGTGGTTGTGTTGCGCTCTCCGCCGTCGTTGTCTCGAGAGACCACCGCCGGCCTTTTGAGGCGCTCTAGTGCCTAGTATCCTCCGGACAGCCGGTAGTTCTCGACAGGCCATGGAACGCTGGTGCTCATAGCTGAGACAGCCTCCACCAAAGATGGAGAGCGGAGGATCGTCGCTGAGACCTATTGAAGAAGAGAGCGGACTTTGGACCTGCATGTTGGGCGGTCGAGAGTGGTGCGGCTGGCGAGAAGTGGTGAAGGTGGAAAGCAGGGCTCTGCTGGTAAAACGTGAGCAGTTGTCGAGTGCAAAAGTGTGGAAGCGTGGAAGTGGACGTCAGTCAATTGCTCATTATGAAGGAAGCGGCCTGAAAGACGAGGCGTCATTAGGTTTGGCCAGCTGGGGCTTATAACAAAGGCAAAGCAATGCAGAGTTGGCGCCACCGGCCGCCTGGAGCCGCGCAACATCCAAGGGCAAGGCAGACGTGGGCCCTGCCTGCCCAACAGCAGACGTCTCACGTTGGCACTGGGGGCCCCCCCGGTCGGCTCGAGCCGGCTGTGTGCCCAAACAGCCAACAAACAGCCTGGAGACCACCTGGAGAGAGGGCCTGGAAGTGCAAGTGCGTTGCGTCGTTGGGGGAAGAGCGACCTGGGCGCAAGGTGGGAAAAGGTCAGGTGCTCGTGGGCCCCGATTATGCCGTGTAAGATGATTGGTGCGGGGCAGCCTGGCAGCTGAGGGTGTGGCAAGGCAACGCTACCGCGCGATGAGTCACTTGACAGGGCCCGGCTGGTTGGCTCGTTGCATCGCTCTCTGGTCCTTCTCTCGCCTTCTCGCCTTGGTGGGTGGTGACGAACCCCCCTGCAATGGATCCCCCGGATTTGGGCACGTAGGGTACCACGGCGTAGGCTGCCGTCGCTTTCCATTCCAGTTCCATGGCACTGCCATACGGCAAACTCTCTCCGTCAGGCACCGTAATCGCCGCAGTGCCTCTGCATCACCGCATGCGCTGTCATGACGATTCTCGACTCCGCCGCCCCGGCTCCGGCCTTACGGGGCTTGCCTTCTGCCCGTCCATGTCGTCCCATGCACGTCCTGCAGCTGCATGCGCGCGCGCAGTCTGGAGCAGGCCAAGGCGGACTAGTCCTGCGACTTGACTGACTGACTGACTGACAGTTTGTGCCTCGCCGTCAATCTGAATCATCGATTCCCCACGTGGGACAAGTGTCGATTTTCTGCGTCGCCCTTTTTTGTCATCATGTCCTTGTCAGCAGAAATACGATGACAAGCCCAAGAATCCCATACCATCACCATCGCCGACTTGCTCGCTTATCCCCGGATCTCTCAAGCCGCTCCAATCACCTCAGATGAGACAGGCAATGCGTCATTCCAAGCCATTGTCATCATCCGATGCAATTGTTTGGGGTTTGCTGACATGTGAAGCAGCCAACACACGCTAGAGCCAGCCCAGCAGCACGAGGGCTGCGCAGCAATTGTCAACCAAACAACAAACCAACTCGGTCTGCCTCGCCACCCGTGGCGGATATGCCTATCAAACGCTGATGTGCGCATCTGATCCCCCTATTGCACAGCAAAGTTTTTGAATGGCATGCTTGCATGCATGCAGCATGCCGCGTGGTTGTGGTGTGGTTGCGGTGTGTTGTAGAAACAACAACGTGTAAAACATGCAGGAAAATCCACATCAAGTGACCTTCCCGCCCCGGCGAGGGATGACCTTCCCGCGACACACACCCACTTGCGAACCCCTTCTGACCGCTGAGCATTTTTCTTAGTGTCAATGGCTCGAGGCTGGAAATATTTTTCTTTAATGTCACGCACTTGGTCATTTTGTTCACGCTCGAGAATAATTTCTGGTCGTGCACATGGTCTGTAGTCATCCATAGCGCAAATCAAGGTCTAATGCGCCTCAAAGGTGTTAATTGACCTGCAGAGACGTAGATTGGTCCCTCAATCACCGGACGCATGGTCGAGAATAACATGATATACTAAGAATCAAGACGGAACGCTCATCGATAAGCAATCTAAACTGCTGTCTGCATAGAGAATATGTATGCGAGTGTATCTCAAGATCTATCCTGACCAATCCTCCTTCGCACTTGGTCACCTTACGGCAACGTGCCACAAAGGGCATGAAACAATCCTTTTGACATGACTTGCAGACCAACATCTCACCACCCGAACTTCTCTACCGACAGCCGCACCCGTCTCCCATCTCTCACCGCGGCACTGCAGGCGTTCCGGACCGATCGATTCAGCCCGCCCGGCCCGGAGACGACCACGCCGACAACATCCTCGCCGTCTTGAGCCACGACGTCGGCCGCCGCCGCCGCGGTCATCTCCTCAACGTACCGCGGCACGTCAGGCCTGCCCGCAACCGCCGTCGGCTCGGGCAGCGCGATGTCCACTCCGAGCGCCCGCAGCTCGTCCAGGCGCTCTCTGGGGATCCAGGACCGCTGCGACTCGGAGTGGACAATCCACAGGAGGTGGATGTTCCTCTTGCGCCTGTTGTTGTTGTTGTTCTTCCTCCGCCCGCCCGCGGCCATGGCGGAGCTGGTCTTTTGGTTTGTGCCGTCAGTAGCGAGACTCCATGCCAGCGGGAAGATGACTGCGATGCCAGACCCGCCGGCCACGAGGATGTTGGTCTTGCAGGCGCGCAGCATGTGTAGCGGTCCTTGAGACCCGTAGGGCCCGTCGACGCGGACGTTTACCGTCTGATGGTTTTGGGCGTGGTGCAGCAGGGCCGACGTGAATCCCGTTTGCGCACGGATGAGCAGGCTGAACCAGGCGTGGCGAGCTGAGTTCGCGTCTGGTGGCTCGGAAGACTCGGGTGTCACCACGGCAGCCTGTTCGCCGGGCGCGGCGGATGCGACCGTGAATGGGTGGGCTTGAAGTGCAGGCGTCAGCCCTAGCTCGTCGACACTGATGAATACGTGGTCCGCTGGTTTCCAGCCTCGGAGGATGTTGTTCTGGTGCAGCTTCTGCGTCCATGATGCGGGCTGGCTGGTCGGAGAACCGACAATGTCCCAGTCAGCCGACAAGAGCACGGTCTCTTGGTCGTCGAGGACTGTGAGAACCGCTTTGAGCGTCGCGGACTTCAGGATGGACCGCCAGACCAATCGGTCGAGGACAAATATGGCCAAGGCAGCACCGACAAATGGTCTCGTGTTGTGCTGATGGAGCCACAGTGCAGCGAGAGCTACAATCTGCAAGACGACGTGCGACGCGAGGAAGAGCTCGTACCAGCGCTGCCGGAAACTGCCCAGCGAGGTGAAGAACAAGAGCTCGTAGGCACCGAGCGCTACGAGTCCCAGAAGGACCAGCCAGGTGTTGAAGAAGTTAGAGAAACGCTCCTGAAGCCAGCCAGGTGCTGTCCAGAGGATCCAGATGATCATGCAGCCTCCGTGAACCAAAGCCTCGAAACATAACAGCTCTCCCACGCGGCGATGTAGAATGTTGAGAGATTCGTATGAGTAGCCTGTCAGTCGTCTCAGAGGCTGGTTCTTGGCCGCAAGCAAGTACAGCAGGGGCAAGTTGGCGACAAAGACGAGACCCGCCCGGTCGGCCACGATGAAGAGAAACCCCGGGTCCAAGGGCATGTGGTAGCACTGGTAGAAGACGTTGAGACCGAGGTATGCGAGCACGAGTGTGGTTGTGCTATTCGACGGGAGCGCCCTGTTGATGAGAGGGATAGGCTGAGGCTGGTACATGAGCCACGCGTTGCAGAGCTGCACTGGTCGATAGATTGGTTTCGTGCGCAGCCTCGGGCCCAGGAGAGGCTGCCGCTCGATGTCTGATTGTGGTTTCTGGATAGACCCTGAGGGGCTTGCTGAACCCTCGAGGGTGCTGCTGGACGACGACGAACGGTCATCTTCGCTGTCGTCCGCTGTGCTTGCGACTTCGAGGCGTGCCTGCTGCCTTCGGTTGCGGACCACGCCGGTGAGGTGAGATGCCGTGAAGATTGCCAAAACCACAAGCAGCACGGCGTTGTATGTCTGAATCAGCGCGCGTCCCTCGAGGAGATAGACTACAAGGCGCCGGATGAAGGCCAGCTGTTCCGGACTGGGGCGGCCTCCAGGACCGCTACCGGGAAGCTCGGCTGGCGGTGCCAACTGGGACATGACGCTGCCGATAGAAGTGCCGGGCTGTGAGGCTCTCGAGACCTGCCCGACGACGCCCAGAAGCCAGCTGCTTTCGTTCTGCTCCATGGTTGATGGCGAGATGGCCTGTAGATGAACGCGACCTGCGTTTGAGCAGGACTTGCTACATCTGGCCGAGATGGATGTTGTAGGGAGGATGGCACGCCGGCAGTCAGGCTCCACACGGCAGGACAGGCATCGTGGTGGTGTGACGCAGTAGAGTTGTAGCGCTAGCCAAGGGGATCTTATCTCGCCCCGGCTGCTCCGGCCACACGCGCAGACGGCCGACCTCGCTTGGTGCCTGGTCCAATTACAGTGGGTCATCCTCGAGTTATCAGATCCCCCACTGTCACCATCTTCGCAGCCACGCCCACGCATTCACATAGACAAACACCCCGTAATGAATAATGGCGCGGTATCAGTTCTTCAGCCGAGAGAGGGAGAGGCAAGAGTGTACTGGATCCGTGCAATTCGCACCTAGTGTGTAAGATAAGATGGGCGCTCAAAATACCTTGGCATCAAAGGTCCTTTTACTGAGGGCAAGAGCTCGACGGCCACGCGACAAGTAAAGATGGCAAATAGCCAGTGTCGGGGAGTCTTACCAAGGTCATGATAATTTCTTTTCAATATATGAAAAGATAAATCTTTCTTTTCAAGTATCCTTAGCTGGTGGTATGGCCCATACTCTAACATACTTATGTCGCAGCTTTTCCATACCGGATCTTCCGGTCTTCAGCCTCCTTCACTTCCTCTATGGCTGGAAGAACGTGCATGGGCATTGTTCACCTGCTGGAAGAAACAAGGGCTGTCTGTCTCTAAACAGTCCCGGGCTTTGTTGTCGACCTGTCGGTGACTCGTGACACTTGTGTATGATTTTGAGATACATTGCTGTCTCAATGGCTGCCCGATCACAAGCAACTATTCTATGCCGACACAGACGTAGTAGTCCAGCCAGAGCCCAGAGCAGTCGTCTTTTACCTGGGGGTTCCACTGGTAAAAGTCCGACAATTGAATACCATATTGCTGGCCGATTGCCCAGCATCCGTCTCCGCTCACGACTTTGTGCCATTTCGTGCAACTCTCTGTCGCTCCCGGTTGAGTGGGGCCAGGTAGAGCCGACGTGGTGCGCTTAGTTGTCATGGGTGGCGTTGTCGTGATATTGCGTATGCGGTAATCACTGCAATCACTTGGTCAGTCTTGTGAGCGTTTCTTGCCTTCTTCCAATTGCTTACCATCATTGCCTTTTATGCGGACGCAGTAGCTAAAGCCTTTCTGAAGACTATCCGTCGTCACGGGAGCCACATGCAAATTCCTGCCAGAAGTCTTCCTATATTAGAGGAGCTCTGTTTTGTCCCGTCTATATTGCCTCTAGTCACTGGTCACATATGAACCATTCAGCGCTCACACCGGGTAGACCGAACCATGGCTGCTCCAAGCGAAGAACCCGGATCGTTGCCGCTTCCGGCTCTATAGACCGCTCGAGAGCCAATTGCTGGCTAATCAACCCGGAGTATCTCATGTCCGCTGAGACTCGAGCGGGCAGAAGGAGATCAGCACAGTTAAAGCGAAGCGATGTGAGCGCACAGACTCTCCACTCCATGGTATACGTCGGCTACTCATCCAATCAGGCTGGTCGAAACTCAGACTTAGCGGGAAATCTGGTCAGTTCCGAAGAGCTCGCGGACCTTTCTACAGGAGACATACCCGCTTTTCCTCGACATCAAGGCGAACTTTTTTGCAACCCGCCTAGGCTGGTGTTCCTCAATTTCTTGGAGCTCAGGGTACCTTGCAAGCTGCATTGAGATCTTTGCCTCAGGTTTGCGCCATGAGGATGATCTCAAGCGTCAACACCAAATCCTCTCCCTACAAACTGCTGGACTTCATCCTTCTCTGCGCCGGGCTCCTTCATCCACAATCACACGTCACACACCCCACCAACCTTCACCATGTCTGCTCCAGAGAACCGTCCTTTGGCCTTGGAGAACCAGGCGTGTTTGGAAGCTCTGCAGGCCGAGGGGCAAGTCATTGGGCGGCACGGTGAGAGGATGCGCGACGCTAAATTTTGGACTATCGGATTAGTTGTCTACCGATGCGACTACTCAGATGATGCATTATGGGAACGCTACTTGGCCAACTTGCGCAAAGAAGCGGACGAGTGGTTCAAGCGGCACAAACAGGATCGTACAACGGCGCTCTATTATAAGTGGACAATCTTTGAGGATCGCGAGGCCCTCCATGGCGCGAGCAAGCTGCTCGTCCGAGACAAACATGCTGCCTGGCGAGATGAGATGTCCGTCGAACGAGACGGGCCGGGAGCGGATAGGCTCTACGCCAAGGCCATGCCGCGGTTCACTTTTGCTCTGCATGTCGGCAGAGACAGTCTCGACACACTCGTTGCTTACGAGGTGGCTACTTGGCAGAACCTGGTGCCGAATCCCTTGTGGGTCACGGTTGCCCTCGTCCATGTACCGTTCACATCCTGGCCGCCGACGAACGACTCTGACGAAGAGTACGAAGAGGACATGGACAATACAGAGGACGAGGACGATCCTGATCGCCCGGGATCTGGGCTGGCAGTGGATCCCCGTCTTCGCTCTGTTCAGCGAGTACGAAAACATGGTCATTCCCGATTACTGGCTGCGAAGATACGCGAGACCACCACATATTCAGGGGAAAGGAGCGAGTTTGGTTGCAGCGATGATGGCTGTGGACACACTCCCAAAACCTGTCCCAAAATGACTTCATGAACAGCTATGAACATCTTTCAAAATCCCTTGGTGTTAGCCAACAGACAACGAGTCTGGTCGTATGAGCCGCGAAGAACAAAAGTCGGCATGATATCATCGGTACAAAGCGTAGTTCAGACGGCACGTTTTCGAGCTTTGGCATATCGTCCCAGGTATTGGCGGAACTAGCTATTATATGTCTGCAATTCTTCCGTCTGATTCACCATACTCCTTCACCATGCCATCGAGATGATCCGTGTCTGTCCCAAGATGGGATATAGTACCAGAACTGCCAGAGTTACTCCGGAAAAGATTCTCGATCAGCCATGCATGTTGTACTATACAAACCACGAAAATCCATAGAAAACCTTCATATTGAGTGCTGTTGGCTTGTACCCCCCCCCCCCCAACTGGTCTCCAGCAACATCTCGTAACTACACGCCCGCATCTGTCCCTCCTGCGGTATGGCAAGAAACACCTGTCAAAGATGGATAGGTCACTGCATTTGTTCAGACCATATCGTGCATATCATGACTCCGACACGACCATCATTATTTGCGGCACAATCTTTAGTCCGCAGTCTCCTCGACTGCCTGCCTTTCTCTGTGGGAGGAGCGGCCCAAGGCAACACGAGCAGCCCGAGACCTAGCCCCCGGGACCCCTGACCCCGGGTTGCCTAAGCAGCCTTTGCCCTTAGCAAAACGTCACATGTCTACCAAGATGTCGTACTCTCGCCCGCTCCAGCCAGGATACAAAGTTGTTTGGTTGTTCATACGGACCTCCCAAGCATGGAGATCACGAAGGGAAGGCCGCCCTGTACTGTCTCTTCTACTTCACCTAAATGACGCTCGTCACGTTGATCTGGAAACCGGAGTCGTTAGGCGAGCGCAAATGATGCTGCCAACTAGGCGGAACACCAAGGATATGCGAACTCAATCAGCGATATGAAGTAACTATATTTCACAGGTGTCGAGCCAGGGAAGTATCATATTGATGTTCATTACTTCCAGGATAGGTCGGAAAATCGCCAGACATTCCTTATGGCGTAGCGTGGCTGGTCTCTTGAGCTCCGGCTGTTGATGTTGGCTCTGGCGTCTACAGTCTAGTAGAACAGTACAAATCCACGAGCTGCTTGCGCTTGAATGTACCCATGGATGTTGTCAAGGTAGGTGAGTATCATACCCAACAGCCACAAGCCTCTGCCCAGCTTCCCACACCTTATCGGGAATTTCTTGCTCGATCTGGAATCCTTTTGCCGGATACTCCCTGATCCTGATCAGATCGCCTACCGCAATACTGACAACGAGATCCCGTGGGTTCTCCGCGTCTGGGTACTCTTCCCACTCGAGCTGTGGCGACGTGACTGCAATGTCGGCGCCCAGATCCGGCCATTGCTTCTTGAAAGTTGCGTACGTCCGGCGCTCCATGTACGGCTTCTGCACCAGCACCAGCGACTTGACCTGGATCTCCCTATCCTGCAGCAGGGCCCACGTGAAGCGCACATTCTCGCCCGTGTTGGTGGATCGTGGCTCGACGATGATCTTGTCGTCCGACACGCCCATCTTACGCGCGATATCGGCAAACACCTCTGCCTCGGGCTTATCGAAGCGCGATTCAGTCAGCTTGCCCGAGCCGCCAGAGAAGATGAGATATTTGACTTTGTCGTCGTCGCCGCCATCCTGGTCCCCCTTCGATGAGGAAGATTGTTCCGAGAGGAAGAGCTCTGCAGCGCGGCGAGCCACGCGCGTGTCGAGGCTGCACAGACAGAATATGGCGTCGGCGTGGCTGGGCAATGGCATGGACATACGGTGGTAGTTGTATACCAATTGGGCATCGGCGTCGACCGGCCTGTGCGTCGCCATGTCGAGGTGTGTTAAATGTCTCAACGGTTCAGAGGTTACAAAAGCGCATCGACCGCATGCTTGGAGCCAGAATAACGATTGAAGAAAAGGCAGGAAATGCCTAGAGATGTATTTGGGGATGCCGGCCAGAGTGAAGCAGCAAAACCTCGGGAGTTTGGTGACGCGTCGAGGTAGTCAACTATTTCCCAGGTGGCGGTGTCCTGAGAGGCGCCAGATTGCACATTCAGTGCGATCTGATTGGTCGTACTAGCACTAGGGGAACTTTTGGCACGGTTGCCAGTCAATCTAATCGAGCATCAGTGGACTTGAAAATCTCAAACTTGTGCTGCAAACTTCACATGTGACTAAGCTACACTACACCGGCATACTAACAGTTTCCAGGCTCAGGAAATGCTGGTCTCCATGGGTCTGGTTCTACTTCCAATGCTGGTTGCAGTCCTGGCTGTTCGGATTCTGGCTCTGGTTCGCATTCAATGCCGTACTCGCCCTTGGTGGATAGAAGCCAGACGTCGAGCTCTCTGAGTCTAGCCTTGTCCCTCTTCAGTAATCTACCCTTTTTCTCCTTCCTTTTCAATAATTGTGCTCGCTCAGCACGCAAGTCGTCGATCAGTCCCTGCTGTTCCGCCGGATTCGCTTCCAGTTCTGGTTCTATGGCGTCCAGTACTGCTTCTGCAGCCATCCGTTCTGCTTCTGCAGCCATCCGTTCTGCTTCTACAGCCATCCGTTCTGCTTCTACAGCCATCCGTTCTGCTTCTACAGCTTCTGCAGCTTCTGCGGCCTTCCGTCTTGCTTCTGCAGCTTCTGCGGCTTCCCGTACCTGTCTCTCCAGCTCGTGCTTTTCGTTGGTCGAACTGATCATGGTACGCAGAAGCATCTCCGTGATCGAGATAGTCCTCTCGCAGTTCTCAGGGGCCATGATGTCCGACGCAAGGAAGGCCTCGATGCTAGTATAAGCGATATCAAGCAGGGTCCTCATATAACCCCGCAGCCAGACATCACTTGTATCTGGTAGTGGGCAAGCCTGTTTGAGGACCGCCAGGACTTCGGAGGGTTCGAGGTCGCCGGTGCGACCTTCTATATCAATTGTCGCCTCTTTTGCAAGATCATGGATCTGGTACTTCCTGGCAGCCTCGTATACCTCGAAGCTGCACTGTAGCATGTTGATGCGTCGCTCTGCCGTGGTGCGATCATACTCAAGCAAGGGAAGCATCTCATACAATCCTTTGTATAAGTAGTTGATAAGGATGTGGCCTGCCGCACCCGAGATGTCGGAGATTCGGTGTTGAGTCCGGGTGGACACCATATCATGTAGCTTTGGCGCCTTTTCGAGGACGAATCTATGAACAACTAGGACCTGATCTGCGAAGTAGAGGGTAACGACGTCGGAGTAGGGCCTGAGGTAAACATTTATTGTCAGGTAATTCTAATAATCGATGGTTAGGTTCGTCAAGCTTACGACATCTTGACAGGAGAAGGTGCTTCCCCCGTTGTGGAAGGAAGCTTGTGTTCAGAGCTGGATGAACCATCCATAGCGACTTGGATCATCCTCAAATTCGTTTGGACGAGTGGTGGCTAGCAAAAAGTGAACAGTAACGGCCCTGAAAAAGCGCAGGCCTAGATGGCAGCACGTGACTGAAATGTATGCGACCGAAGATGTTTCGGTGTGCCAAGGCGCACAACGTCACGAATAGGAGCAGAAAGTAGGGAACACTTTTTCGTCCTTCCAAGGAGATTGCTATGCTGATATACCCCTCTCCTCCCACTCCTTAGTGAACAGATGTGCCTGCACTCGATTGATACTTGGCTGATAGAACTTTGTCATACACAGCGGCGGCAACACCCGCACACAAGTCACGGGGACCTTTGCTTTCAGGTTGCTACACACACTTCAGGTGCCGATCTGAAATGTGCGATGTCTTCTTCACACAAGTGTGCTCTTAGGTGATAGCGATACTTTCTTTGTGGTCAGCCTCCCACATCTGCATTGCGGTCTAACAGGTAGTGGTTGGCCTCCCGCATATGCATGGCCGCCCAAGGCGTGGTTGAACACCGCCCCCCACCTCGAACTGGAGGAGTAACTGTGATCCAAACGGCGTACACTTCTTCGATACATGGCACAGGCTGTTCACTCGCCTAGGCCAAGAGCTGCGCGTACATATTTGCCAATTGCAGAGCGGAAGCTTCCTAATGTTCTCAAGCCCCAAAGAGGTTGCGCCGAGGTGACCGCTCGAGTCTGTGGAGCACTGGGAGGGTCAGCAACACTCTGTTCATTATCTACAGGTGCCACACAATCAGCTCAGAGAGGGCTGAAACCTTGGCATGTCGATCGACCAACTGCATGAGCACATTCGCCATTCCTTTGGCAGACAGGATGCTGCTCTGCCCCGCACAGATGCTGGCGCTGTCAAGCCATCCAAGTTGGTCAAAGTTTACGGCCCCCTTGGCCGCCCCATCAGCTGTTGGCGTTGAGCGTAAGTATGCAGAATGCCAAATCAGCATACGAGACCCCCTCTTGTACCACTCAAGTCCTTGCAGTACGAGCTGCCCCTCTGTCGATGTCGTCCACAAGCCCAATCTGCTTCAGCAGTTGTGCCTGTGTGGTGCTCGACACGTTCCGCAAGACTGTTTGGGCCCAGTCATGGCTTTCATGTTTAGGCAGCCTCAGACTTCCAAATCGCGAGGTATTCCTTATATTTGGCCGCAAGCTGGCGATGGTCTCCAAAAGACCGACTGCAGAGGACAAACCCCAAATGTGTCAACACAACAAGGAATGATTGGCCCATGGCATCACCCGTAATAATCCTAAAATTACAGCCGACAATTGATCCTGGTCAACTTGTTTGGCTTACTTTGATTATGGCCTGATCTTCTGGACAGTCACCTCGCAGGACTAAAGCCTTCTTGACGCCCGTGGCCCACACAAAGTGCGGGCTTGTGTTATTCTATGTGGCAATCTGCGCGAGTTGCCGGAGGCAGGACTTACTCAAACAAAGGGTAACAACACCACGACAACTCGACTTGCTCTAAATTATGAGGGCAACCGCACAAGAGGCAGATGTTGACCACTGCGTAGCATTAACTCGAGAGTACGGGCCTTGGAAACGATAGACATGGGTGATAGGAAGAAATGAGAAACGTGAAGGGGCTTTGGCTGAGGACGTCATTGACAGGCTGCAGCAGAAAATTTGGTCTACCACAGAACCAGACTTTGGGCCAATTCGACAACCCAGTTGACTAGTCCTACAGAATTTGTGCTTGCCTCTACGTTTGTTTTCTTAGCCTGTTGAATTTCTATAGGCAGTGCGAGGGGTAGGCTCATTTTTGGGGACGGCCTTCGGCATACGTGTGAGGACTAGTAATTGTAGCTCACGTGGACATGATCCCTATTTGTCGACCCAGAATGTCAATACCACAAACGACTGAACTTTTTACCGAAAGCTCGCCTGCTGAGGTCGTCTGCGAGCCATGGCTGTGAAGTAGGGACTGACCAGTGATTAGCAGTAATGTCGCCTCGGTCCTCCATCCCACGCCACTTGCTCCAGCTGGCCACCGCCTCGTAAGACTCCCAGATGCGCTGCCCGAAAATAATGTACTTGACGTTCTGGGAGGCCGCGTTGTTCATGACCCACTCGGCAATCTCAATGCCGGAGAGCGTGGCGTCCTAATATCGACAATGTAGGATTCAGCGAGTTGTTCTCAGTCCTCGATTGGAGCCTGCGGATACCCAGATACTTACGCCACCATCGTCAGAGCACATAAAGTCTATAGCGCCGCCGCAGCAGTGATCAGACGTCTCGCAGCTGCAGTTCTCGCGGATGCAGTACACGGTTTTGACCCGGCCGGGCCATCTGGCAAGAACCGTGTCGGAGCCTTGAATCGCCACGTCAAGACACCCGTACTTGCCCAGCGTGGGCTTCGCGTAGCCACCGAACCCAGTGGCGGCCGAGTTGCAGCACTGCATGGCGCTGGGCCCAGGACACTGGCCCGTGACGCTGGAGCCGGCGCAGTCACTTGTCCATCTGCAATTGCCGGCGGAGCCGTTGCTGCAGGCCGGCTTTGTGCAGCAGCGGATATTGTCTGGGTCTTTGGGGCAGGCACCGACGATCGAGGTGCCGCCAGCTCTTGTGCACGCTGCCGCGTCGACACACACGCCTACCGTCGTAAGCAGAGGTTAGTGGGCTAAAATCACCTTTCAGCAGACTTCGGCCGCTTTGACGGAGAGTGACTTGCCTGCCACACCACTGGCACCCAGACAGGGCTCGTTCACTGCGGCACGAACGCTGAAACTCAGCGTGGCTGGTAGCAATGCGAGCAGGCTTGGACGTAAGTGCATGATTGCGATGTAGTGCAAGGTGGATTCTAAGGGGTGTGAAGTAAGACGATACGGAGAGTTCAAGCTGATGAGTCCCAGGAAGAGGAAGCGCGGGATTGTTACGAGCCACGGCGACGATCTTATGTAGTGTCCCAGAAGAAGCAAAATCAAATGCTCGGCTGACTTGTCTATCCAGCAATGTTCGACTTCCGCGTGTGTATGACGACCAGCTTCCTGGCAAGTCGAGCATCTTTCTTCTGTTTGCGAATCAAGAAGCTGCAAGATGATGTAGTAGCGGGTAGATCCGATGCTCCGCCAGCCAAAAAGTGCAGGTCTTGGCAGGCGGCTGACCCCAGATCGGCGCGGCAGCTGAACATTGAGTTGCTCCGTGATGACGAGCTCTTACTTGTCCTAGCAAGCTGAACTTACGAACCCCCTTGTTCGGCTTCTCCCGCTGCCAGGGCAATCGTGCGGCAGCAGATCGCACTTCGTAGCATTTAGAAAAGGTGTCCACAGCGGCCTGGTAAGGTCTTTATTGCGATGTCTACGCCTTTCATGACTTGGATAGCATCGCTATCGTCCCTGGAGTCTGAGGACAGGTATTTCCTTGCCTCGAACATGGACTTCGTTGCCAATGAGTGGTCAAGTCAGCACTCGCTAAGAATATGCACCGCAAATAAAATTACAGTGAGCTCGCACTTGGCTTTGACTTGAAGCAAGGCTACGCTCTTGGGTGCCTGGTCACAACTGGCGATGACCAGGCGCATGTAAAGTATAGTCAACGGCTAGTATATTGATCCCAACTTATGGGGCTTAGCAACGCGCGCGGTTCTCAGAAGGTTCGGCACCCCACATGGGACTTCTCATTGCCTGCCCGAGTTGATGCCGTGATGAAAAGATAAAATGCCTGTCGGTACCCGGCAGTCTGCTAGAGGACAATAGATCTGCACTCGTCGCCAAGAATACAGCTCTCATCCTTCGGGCAGTTTTTTCCACAATCTGGGTAGCAGCCAGTAATACGCGCATTCCACGCTGCTCCTGAAACCCCAATCGCCCCTGGATTAGACGCTGTCAGACGGAACCCTGTCTTGTGCTCGGCCCATTTCCCTATAATGGAAGTGTCAGATCGTTGAGTCGCTAGTGTCGGGTACTCCTACCATGTCATGAAGTATTTTTGTCGATGTCGTGCCCGAGAGTCTCTCTGTTCACAAGTGTGCCTCTGCTCTCTGTCTCTACAAATTTGCGCAGAGCCAGCAACACGGCGAGTATTGCTCGAAGACAATACAAGGCAGCCACAAAACTCACGGCCATGTTGAGAAAATGGGGCTGGCTCGCTCTTGGCGGCGTAGCACTCCTCCAAACAAGCTGCAACGCCATGGCAACCACGCATTTTGACCAGTTCTTGCCAGACTGGAATCCGTAAGGATCATCGTGGGCAGCTCGCGATAATATGACAGCTGACCCAGACTATCACGCAGCATGCTCCAGGGAATGCTGAGTAACAACTGTTCGAGCGAGCTTGCCACATACAAGACCGGGGAACGACCACCCAACACCAAGTTCTCAGTTCTCATCACGCCCGTAATCGACTGCATCCTCGAGAACCTGCCGGAGCACCGGAAGATGGAAATCGGCGCTAGTGCCGTGGTGCTGGGTCTCCTGCCGACTATACTGTCCGCGCTGGGCAGCACGCCCGCCGAGACGGCCTTGGTACACCTCCGCCGGCCGTTGCTGGCAATGCTCCTCGCGATAGGCAGCCCATCAGTCATCATCATGAAGACGAGTGACTACAAACGCTTCACTGATGATCTCGTCAAGGAGTTCGCCAAGGAGTTACACCCCGATCCGCGCGATTCTGCAACCGCGGCCGCCGTAGCACCCCTCATCGCGTGGAAACATATGGCCAGCCGTCCTCGCCGCATCGCGTTGAGCATAGTGCAGTACCTTGTCGTCCTCGCCGCCGTAGGGAACGTCATGTCGCTGTGGTATCAGCTAGGCTTCCACGCCATCGTCTCCTGGGCACCCGAGACCATATTCATGGTGCCTCTGTGGTCGTCCATCTGCGTTGTCCTGCACTTTGGCGCGGTATGGATCCAGTCCTTGCGTCTTCGCATGTGGTCGGTCGGTGATGGCCACGAGACCTCGAAAGGCACGAGCGCTTCACAGCAGCTGCGTCGCTTTTTCGGCCGCTGCGCAGAGGAGTACACGCCATCGGCTTTTCAAGAGCAAAGGAAGATTCGCTGGCGCGGCGACTCGGCATTTGTCAACTTCTTGATCTGGCTGCTCTGCATCGGCGCCGTGATCAACCTCATTTTCGGCAGCATGATCTTTTCTAGTCTGCTGTTCTTCAGCGTGCAGGACGTCCTGCTCATCGCGACGAGGTACCTGGTCAGCACAATTGTATGTCGAGGTGTCAGCAGGATGGAGCTGATTGGGGCAAAGGAGTGCACGACGTTCCATGAAGGCAGTTCAGTCGTTAAGCAAGGGGGAGGACAGGATGTAGATCTGGAGGAGGCTAGGCATGAAGGCCCGGCTTCCGCAAGCCACGATTCCCATCGCGACGTGTTGCTCCAGGACATGTCGCTCAGGAGATAGTGTAGAGCCGTCCATTTTTGATGCTCTCGATCTCTGTCTAGGAGCTTCACCAACTGCAAACAGCGCAGTAAATCAAGCCATGAACCTGTTGTAGTCCAATTCCAGTGATGCTGCTGTAGGCATTCTCTGAATTCAAGTCGTTCAGGTTTGGCTTCCAGAATCCCTCATGATCTCTCACGACGAAAACCCCCGACTGATCCCAAGCATGGCCTGATACGGAAACCTGCCCGGCCGTGGAGAGCTGGCTATACGACGCAAGGGCGACTCGGCTGCCGCCGGGTGCCGATTGGCTGGCTGTCGATCACTTCCGGTACCGCAGACTGGATCGGCTTTTAGTACTTGGCAGGGGGAGGCTATTTTATTACCCCGCGACCTCGGAAGAAATTATGGACATGTTTTTTAGACAACCTTGATTGCCGCGGCAGCGCTCCCACAACATCAAACTTCCTTTATTTACAGGAGAGCTTCCCGTACCTTCTGGGCTCCGAGCTTTATAACCTTTCTCCTGGTTGCCGTAAAAAGGCGTTGCTGGTCGCACACCATGACCAACGCGGCCACCCAATTCTCGTCTGACTCGCGCATAGACCCTTCCATCGGTAAGTTTCGCGATATACACAGTTTCCGCTATAAACAAAAGCTAGAGCCCTCCATTTCCTTTAGACGTTTGACAATTGACCAGGAGACTTTATAGAACTGCCACCTGTCGAGGGAAATGTCCCACCTCCTACGACAACCGTGATTGACCATGATGACTACCCCGAGGGCGGCCTTCAAGCCTGGGTCGTTGTGCTCGGCGCCTGGTGCGCCATGGTCCCGCCCATGGGCCTCATCAACAGCATGAACATTTTCCAGGCGTGGTTCTCGGAAAACCAGCTCAAGGGTATGCCCGAGAGCAACATTGGATGGATCATATCAACATATGCGTTCCTCGTGACTGCGCTAGGAGCACAGGTTGGTGAGTCATGTTTCCTCCAACAACACCAGACAGGAAGACACTGACGTGGTTTCACTGAGCAGGTCCCATCTTTGATGCTTATGATACTTGGAAGTTGGTTGTGCCTGGGTCCATCGGACTCGTTCTATCCATGGTCTTCCTCAGCCTCTCGACTGGTAGGTCTGGCTCGCCTTCCCTCCCTCTAGTGCTCAATGCTGACACGACACTGCATGTCAGAGTTCTATCAGATCTTCCTCTCCTTTGGTATCTGCGGCGGTCTGGGTGCCTCGCTGCTCTTCAACCCAGCCGTCTCCGCCATTGGACACTGGTTCTGCAAACGGCGCGCCTTTGCGACGGGCATCGCGTGCACGGCTGGCGGCATCAGCGGCATCGCCTTCTCGCTCATCATTCAGTACCTGGCTCCGCGGATCGGCTTTCCGTGGGCGATGCGCATCATTGCGCTCATCTCTGCGGCCCTGCTGGGTGTTGCCAGCCTCACCCTGCGGAAGCGCCTGCCTGCGGAACCGCGCGCACGCTTGCTCATGGACTTTAGCCTGTTCAGGCAGAAAGACTTTGCTGTGACGGTGTGCGCCGTCTTCTTTGTCGAGTTCGCCGTCTTCATCCCCTACGCGTTCATCTCGTCGTACGCGCTGTACCAGGGCTGGTCTCTCCAGGACTCGTTCCTGCTCAACACGGTGCTCAACGCCGGCGCGATCCCCGGCCGCATGCTACCGGGCTACGTGGCCGACCGTATCGGCGCGTTCAACACCATGTGTGTGACGTCGATGGCGTGCGCGGTTCTCGTGCTGGGCATGTGGCAGACCGCGGGCGACAGCAGGGCCGCGATCATGGCGTTCACGGCGCTGTTTGGGTTCTGGTCCGGCGCGGCCATCAGCCTGGCCCCCGTCTGCATATCACGGGTCTGCAAGATCGAGGACTACGGCAAGGCGAACGGCATGGCGTACTTCATTGCGAGCTTTGGCGCGCTCATTGGCATCCCCATTGCGGGGGCGCTGCTGGGAGCTGGACATGATCATTATCAGAACCTCATCATTTTCGGGGGCAGTGCGTATTTGCTGGCGTTTGTGTGGTTTGTGATTGCCAGGGGAGTGGCTGGTGGATGGTCGTTTGGATGGTTTTAGGAGTCGGTTTCAACATTGTCTAGAACTTTGTGCTTGCGGTGTGACTGTGGCTGTGCTGCCACACACGAGTTTGTGCCGCCAGTGGCATTTCCAAGTCCGTTTATGAAGTGGCGATGTGACAAAAGGACGGTCGCGGAATAGATGGCTGGACTGGCACGATCAAAATGTGTTGCATCAAGCTATGCGGGGCTGGTGGGTTACGCGCTAGTCAGACTAAACCTTGGAAGGCATTGCAGAAAGTCGCAGAAATGCGCCTGCAGCGTTTATGTTACGGCCTCGCGTGAACGGTGCATGCAGCTCATGCAGGAACTTGGTTCGAAGGTGAAGATTGCAGATACCAGAAGTGTCATCCAGCTGGCATCGTCAGGTTCGTCAAGACCCTGACGGGGTGTCCCGCAACGTTGCAAAAGAGACGGACTGTTCAAGGTATGTAACAACACGAACTGCCCGGCTGGCATGAGCAGTGAACACGAGATTGGTGCGGGTCTCGAAAATCTCGCATGCCTGAGATCTGCCACTACGGAACCCCCGTGCGATGCTTAGCTCAGCAACCAGGCACATCCCAACGCAGCAGAGGCAGGCGCGCTAAGGCCCAAACGGGCCGGTGCGGCTGGGCGTGGCCCGCCGCATCCATGCGCGTGCCTTCCCTGCTGCCCTGGCTGGCCCCAGCCGCTCCCCTTTCCCTGTTTCGTTTCCGTATGCCTCACCACGACCAACACCCATAGCAACCACGGGGCACCGCTGCTACATTCTCTCCCACACTCACTCACTCCCTCGCCTCGCTCGCTCCATCACCCACGCTCGCTTTGCCTGTCCGACGTCGTCACCCCCGCGGTTGGTGCTGTCTCACCTGCCACGCCCTAGTCGAGCCATCCACTGGAATCTCGTCCACCATCTCTTGTTTATCGCCTTCTCATCGTCGTCGTCGTCGGTTCCGTCGTCAATTGGCCTCCAGGAGAACAACCCTGTGACGCCCCCAACATCTTTTGTCCGGAGCAGTCCAGACTCTGCCAGCATTCTGTCTGTCGTCAACCTCGTTCATATCTCTCCCGCGAGCCTCGAACAACGGTCTCCAAGGGCTATCGTCAAAGTTTGTCGCCTGGGCGAAACACCACACTTGCCCTCTCCTAGGTGCCGAAGGCTTCGGCAACTTCCTGAAACGGACCCAAACCGCTCCTCAGTCTCCTCCTCGGCCTCAACAACATGCCTGGATTTGGAGACTTCTCGACAATCTGCCGGATGGCGCCTCTGCCACTCTGTGCGTCTGTTGGGCCCATCACCTCGGTTTCAAATGGTGTCGGTGTTGCGACCGACTGCTTTGCCCGCAACATTGAGCTAGCAAACACCATCATCTTTCAGGGCGCTTCGAGCGTCATCCACATCATCGCGCTTGCCATGACCGTCATTATGATCTTGCATATTCGCGGCAAGTTCACTGCTGTCGGTAAGAAGAAATCTCTGTCACCTTCAGTCTTGCCGCAAGTCAAAGCGCTAACCAGATCTTTCACACAACAGGCCGCAAGGAGATTCTCGCCGTATTCTACCTGTACATGCTGCTGTCATTCTTCTCTCTACTCGTCGATGCCGGTGTTGTGCCACCTGGCCACGCCGCCTACCCCTTCTTCGTCTCGATACAAAACGGATTTACCTCAGCGCTCGTCACCTGCCTCCTGATCAACGGCTTTGTAGGCTTCCAGTTGTACGAGGACGGCACACCTCTGTCCGTCTGGATGCTCAGGCTGTGCTCTTTCGTCGCCTTCGTCATCTCCTTCCTCGTCTCACTCGCCACCTTCAAGGACTTTGCCGGCATGGGCCCCACCAACACTATTGGTCTCTTCGTGGTTCTCTATCTCCTGAACGCCGTGCAGCTTGTTGTCTATGTCATTCTGCAGACTCTGCTTGTCCTTCGCACGCTTCAGGACCGCTGGCCCATTGCCACCGTCATTTTCGGCGCGTTCTTCTTCATCGTCGGCCAGGTCATTCTCTATGTCTTCAGCAACGGCATCTGCGAATCGGCCCAGCACTACCTCGATGGATTGGCCATTGCGACGACCTGCAACCTCCTCGCCATCATGATGGTGTATAAGTACTGGGACTCTATCACCAAGGAGGATCTGGAGTTCTCTGTGGGCACGCGGATGAACAACTGGGAGATTAAGGAGCTCCTGCCCGAAGACGACCGTCGCAACACAATGTACACAAACGACGACCCATACGCCCACTCCAGTGGTTACGATCAGTCCTTCTCTCCCACGGCCACGCATCACCAGCACGGTAGCTCTCGTCTGTCTCGCTACTAGTTGGACGGGATCGCCGAGTGATGGGCACACGGACATTGTCAACAGCCTAGGAATGCGTTACAACTTGAGCGTATTTCAATACCATATTTTGTTCCTTTTCTTGCATATTTGCGGTATGGCGTTACGAGCTCGGGTCTGAGCCTGGGATCGACGGACAAAGGGTCCTGCTTTCAAAGCGTCGACTGTGGACCAGAAGCTGTCTACGGTCTTTATGACACAATTGGGATTAAGTCACAGGAGCGGGTGCGTGTCTGGTTTATATGGGTACAGGTGAACGACCAAAAATATCGTCAATCGATCATAGCATTAGCATCAATAATAATAATTGTCAAAAGCTATCGTTTCATTGACGTCCCTTTAATGTGAATGGCTGTGCAGTTGCAAGGTCTGTCTCAGCACCTGCGGAGACTCTCGTCTCTGGATCAGAACCCCCATAATCGGATCTGAATAGATGCTCGGCAGTTGAAATACTTGCATCGCCGGCAACAGTGCAGTTGTCGTTGAGGTTCGTGAACGCCCTCGTGCCGTGTAGCAGCTCAGCTCAGCTCAATGTTGCTGAAGCCAGCAAGGGCTGACCATAGCTGGCCCCATCGGTCCTGCCAAAGCGTTTTTGTCTCTTTTCTGCACGAATCAAGCACAGCCGGTTCCGAGAAACTGGGTGCCATGAGACCCGACGTTTTCGCCCAGCACCGCTTCCTCCATGGGGGCCTTGAGTGGCAACGTAACCTGACGCCTTGCCAATGATTTTCCCTATGATCCAGTGGGTGGTCCTGAGGGGCTTTGACACAGTTCATGCTCATTATTGTTCAAATGAGCAATCAGGCGCTCCTACACGATCGCCGCTGGCCTCGAGTGGCAGTTAGGGGCTCGTGCCTCTTGCGCGGTGTACAGCAGCAATATTTCAGTTTTGGAATGGTCTGACGGACAGACTCCCGCGTTCAGCCGGCCTCTTCGTCGTCGCCGAAACTCAGCTTGATCTTCTTGGCCTTCTTCTTGGGCTTTGTGCTGGCGCTGGCGCTCGGTCCTGTCGCTGTCGTGGGCGCTGTCTTGCCGGTATTACCGTTGCTTCCACCAGCGGTCGACTCCCCCTTTGCCTGTTTCGTGGGTTTTGTCCTGAGCGGTGTTCGTCCTTCCTCCTCTTTGTGCCCGTCGTCTTCGTCATCGCCAGTAACCACGCGACCGACTTTGCGCTTCTTGACCACCCCGCCTATCCCGGCAACTTTCTCCCGCTTGCCCAGCTCGCCGGCCGCCGACCCTTGGCTGTCTTTGGATCCCTTGTCCTTCCCCCCCTCCTCCGCACCTTCGCCCTCACCGCTCCCCCCCTTCCTGCCAGCGCCATCCTCGCCTTCCACGTCACTCGCCTCGCCGCCGTCAGCATCAGCAGCAGAAACCCCCGCGAGGCTGACGACGTTGCCATGCTCGTCCACCACGACCGGCGCGTCCTCGGCCTCCTCGCTCGCGCTGCGCTTCTTGACGCCCGGCCGCCGGCGCGCCGCGAGCATCGGGTCCGCCCCGCCCTCGCGCTGGGACGACGCGTGCTGGCCGTGCAGCCGCGCCAGGAACGGCGGGAGCGTGCCGTCGTAGGTGAGGTTCCGCGCGTTGATTTTCGGCTCGGGCATTGTTGTTGTTATTATGGTCAGTCGGTCCTCCTTTTCGGTTCTTCTCTGTCTTTGGGGGTTTCGTTCTTCGTTTGGGGCCCCCCCCTTTTTTTATATAGACTTTCCACGTTTCGAGCGGCGGCGGCGACGGCGGCGGTGGTGGGCGCACGTTGGAGGGGACTGGTAGGCCGGGACGAGGGACGGAACGGCTGTATGATCCTCGGGGGTTATATGATCGTCGCCGGAGGGGGGCGCCGGGGCCAGAAAAGGGTGGGCTTCGGATTCGCGCTTGAGGAGAGGGGAGGGTTCGTTCCTGAGTTTGTGAGGACTGGTCGAGTTGCGGCCCAGTAGATAGTTTGGAGGGTTGTGGAAAGTGTGTCCAGGGTTCGCTGTGACGTCGCGCGGCGGGTTATTTTTTGGGCCCCTGCAGGTGAGACCTCCACGGGGTTTTGGGTTCAACCAAAAGGAGCACCCGCACGGGGAAACAAACACTGGTGGATAGATCGCAAACGTGCACAACAAGACCGCACGCAACAAGCCCGGAAAACTATCAAGTCGCGACAAAACATAAAGCATGACGGCATCGCCAAGATGGCAAAAAGAACTCCGAATCGGGGAATCGAACCCCGGGCTTGACGGGCCAGAAACTCCTCGAGAATCGAGAAGAAAGTGAGAGCGTCAAATGTTAGCCACTACACCAATTCGGATGTGATTGGATGACAGACACGCTTCTTAGCACACTACTCATACGTGGAACGCTTGTGTGGTCTGGACCCTTCCAAGAGATTGGATGAAGCAAGTGGCTTTAGCACCAGGCCCGTCAGGACTGGATGCATGCTGGCGATATATACTTAGACTAGAGAAAGAGGTCGCGCTGCGGTTGCAGAACGCATAGACGAGAAAGCTGTGCGAGAAAATCGAAATGATGGCTTCCAGAGTTCAGTTCTCCTTGTCCATGCCCTCTCTAAGAATCTCAATCTGCTTCTTGATCTCGACCCACAGCTCGAGCTCGTCGAGGTCCTGGTCAGCGTCGCTCGCGCAGACACTCATCCAGCCCTCGTCATCACCGGCCTCGTCCACAACACCACCCGCACGCGCCTTGGCGGCTACTCGTGGCGCGAGGCGGGCTCTGCGGAGCCGCGACTCCAGTTCTGTAACCCCTTCGCCGTCGCCGTCGCCGTTGCCGTCGGAGGGCGGCGACGGCGGGTTGTCCGCCCGCTTGCGCGCGAGCGCGAGCAGCGCCGCCACAAAGGCCTCCTGCATGTACGCGAAGCTGAAGTCGTCGGTGATCTCGGCGATGGCGTCGCACAGCTTGTCCGGGAAGGCGATGTCCTTGTTCTCATGCAGCTTGCGCTGCCAGAACTTGCAGTAGGCCACACGCTGCTCGAGGCTAGGGTCCGGGAAGAGGTACTTCCTGTCAAAGCGGGAGGGTCGTTTCTGGTATGGCAGTCAGTAGTGTTACCCTGGGAAACGGCCCTTGGAGATCTCATGTCACGGCGCTCACAGAAATGCCTGGGTCCAGCCGATCCAGATGGTTGGTGCTGCCAATCATGAAGATGCCGTCGTTGTTCTTCAGCCCGTCGACCTCGTTCAGGAAGTAGCTGCGGATGGCCGGGGTAATGATGGTGTCCAGGTCCTCGAGGACCAGGTAGCAGGGCGCGAACTCGCGCGCCTTGGCAAAGACCTGTTGGATAGAGAACTCAGGTCCCCGGTACTAGAAGACGACAGAGGGAGACACGCAAACAGATCAGCCCAAACAGTGTTCAGACAACCACACAAGACATACCGCTCTGATGGCACCTACAGAGACCAGGCTCCTCACGTAGAGGGTGTTGACGATGGGCTTGCGCTCGTAGAGCATGCGCATGGTCGCCTTGACCGAGATGGTCTTGCCGTTGCCCGGCGGGCCGTAGTAGATGATGCCGCGCTTCCAGGGCACCATGAGTTTGGCGTAGGTCTCGCGGGAGTCGAAGAAGGAGTTGTGGTCGTCGATGATGGCCTTCTTCATGGCGGGATCGAGGATGACGTCGTCCCACGACGCCTTGATGAAGCTCCGGAACAGCTCGCTGTCCTTCTCCCAGTAGCCCTGGTCAAATACCCACACCTGCTCGTGGATATCGCTCATCCACCGACCAGCGGCTAGGACGAGGAGGTTGGCCTGGTTGCGGTCTGGGCTGAGAATGAAGGCGTTGCGGTTCGACGGAGGGTATGCTGAGTCGCTGCCCGTGCTGAAGTACATGATGAACTCTGTGTTGTTCCACGTGTACACAAACTTGCCAAAGGCGAGACGGTCGACCAGACCGCCAGTGTTGCCGTCCATGCGACGCGCCGGCGGCATGTAGTGTGTGAATGAGATGGTGGACGGCAGATTCTCATCGCCATTCTCTTCGGCGACGGCAGTGCAGCTCGCATGACCAGCAGCCGCAAAGGCCAGTAGGTCCACGGACCACTGGTCCGAGATGAGGAGCTCGAGGTTGGGGTACTGCTTCCCGAGAACACGGATCATGACATCATCCGTGTTGACACGCTTCGCCTCGGAATGGTCAAAGAAGGCGGCGGTTGCATTGGGCGTTGCCGCCGCTGGCGCGAAACGAGGGATTGGCGCCATGATGGGATGATGAAGTGAGGAGCGATGGTGCTGAAAGGCACCGGCGAATGAGCTCAAGCACGCGCTAAGTCAAGCAACCTGTGATAGTTGGTGGTGTACGAGCTCGGCTTGCTGGCAGAAAGGGTCCTGCTGGGCTAACCAGTACCAGAGATTGGATCGCGGGCGATGATGAAATGATACGGCCGCGCCCTGTCCGAGTCTCAATGTGCTGTAGTTGATGAGGAATTGTTGAGGACGGGTAGCGACACCTACAATATGGTAGGTAGATGCATGCTCCTCCCTTAAACAGCTGCCTGGAGGATCAGCTCCTACACGGGCCACGGCCCCTGCCGCCGTCGGCCTGAACTCCACACTCCAGTCCCCGCCAATGCGGAGAAGCTGCTCCACCATAGTGGTGGCGCGGTTGTAAACATCAAATGGGGTGTCATATGTGAAATCTGCAAGTCCTGGTGTCAATTGTGAAGTTTCTCATGATTTGGTAGGAGTTTGTCCGGCGCCCAAAGTGTTCACCAGATGGCCGACGTTCTGTTTGACCCGTCTGCTAACATTCGCTGTGTCAGTGCGCCTGGCTCCTCTGAATTTCGGACACAGTTTGGGACAGTGCGTGGCTCCAAGCTCATTCCGGACACGATTCGGACACAAATTGGGGACAGGCAGCGTGAAATTGGGACAGTCCAATCCCACGCTGACGTGAGATTGCGCCTGGGAATCTCTTCAGCTTTGTGGGAACATCGCACAGAACAAATCTGGTTCCTCTCCGACCACATGTTGTGCTATGCAGACAGCTCTCAGCCACGATATAGCATCTCGGCCGCATCGCAGATAGATCCACCCCCATACAGCTTCCACGCATCTCCACCATCCACCATGGCCACGCCACCACCCACAACCACGACATACATCACGCACCTTCACCCCATATACCGCATCTGGTTCCTCTGGGCCGACCCAATCATCACCTGGGCCACTGTCGGCGCGGCCTTTCTGTCCCCAGGCCTCCTTTATGATGCCCTCATGCCCCCCCACCTCTCGGCGGCCCGTGACCCAACTCACGACTTCCTGATCAGGCAGATGGGCGCACTGTACATCCCCATCGCTCTTGCAGCTACCGTGCTTCTGCGCGCGACCCGGGACTTTGCGGTCTGGAAGATCGTCCAGGGCTCCATTCTGGTGGTGGACGCCATACTCGTTGCCCTCATCTTTTCGTCCTTGAAGGACAGGGAGGTGCTGTACCGCCCAGCGGAGTGGATTGCAAACGACTGGCAGAACTTGGGATTGACGGTATGGGTGGCAGTGTTGAGGGCATTATTCGCCGCTGGTTTTGGAGTCAAGACGGAGTCTGTGAAGAGCAAGTCTATTTGAGGTTCACACGCTGCTATAGGCAGTGCCCGGAAGAAGCGCAAAATTGCCAATGTTATTGCAAACATGTGTATTCAGGGAGACTTAAGCAGCAGAAGCCTTGGGATACACCAGCTCGAACCTCTCGCACAGCACGATACTCTCCTCAGAGAAATCGGCCTCGCCCTGGTTGTCCTTCCAGAACCAAATGTGCGACTTACGCCACGTGTCGTAATCACCCTCCGCCTCAGACAGGGCAAAGTCCTCCGTGACATCTTTGAAGGGACACCTGGCGAACGAGACGGTGCGGATGACAGCCCGCGGTCGGCCCTTGCTGTCGACGACTACTGCGTAGTCGCCGGGCCCCCAGTGGAGAGGCTCGGGGATGGGAAAGGTGGCGGTGCCTGTCTTCTTGCCGTCCAGGACGAGCGCGAGCAGGGAATCGTTGAGTCTGGCGTCGTCGTCGCCAAAGCTGAAGACGTCCTTTGGCGATGGGAGATGCCGATTTAGCGTGGCGGAGGCTTCTGCCATGAATGCCACGACGTCTGGGCGTTGCGGATCTATTGAGGACATGGTTATGTGTCGTGCATCGAGTGTAGTCTCAAGAAGACTTCGTGACGCGAGGGTTCGTATATTGGCTGATGCATGAGCTGGTGTGACTTGAGTAGTTCCGCAAGTCAAATCTTGGTCGTGAAGGACTGGTCCTCAACTGTCTGATAGTTATAACCGCGAGTTCAAGGCATGTTCCTCCTCAGCTGTCGTGCGGAACCCAACCGCCTACTGCCCCGCTGCCGAGCCATCCACAATGCCGAGTGACTCAATCGGCTGGCGGCGAAAACGCGGCTGAAGTGCCGTCGTTGTGGTGAAACACGGCTCCACCACAATCATCCGTCCCGAGCACGAGTATTCAACGTTTTACCGCGAGAGATTCTGACATCTATGGGATAAGCCAGATAGTGAGGTATGTGCCAAAGCTGCATACCACACTCAAAACAGGCAGCACCGGCAGGAGGGACATATCCCAGTCGAGTAGTTATATGACTTCTCCCGCTCTGCAAAAGCGCAATGTTTTTTTGTTTTTTTTCATTACTAATTCGAAGCCCGTGACTATTCTTTGTATACCTCTGGGAAGGCTGGCTGAGGCTTCGTCCCATACGGAATCATCCTCACCATATGCCTCCGCTCTCCATCCCGAAAGTCCGGCACCGCGGTGTGGGCAGTGCACCGCTGATCCCAGACCACGACAGTCCTGGGCTCCCACTTGACACGACAGCTAAAGTCCAGACTCCGAATATGCTCGTGCAGGAACCTGAGTAGCGAGTCAGACTCTTCGGGCAGGAAGCCCTCGACCCGCCTCGCGATGGTCGGGTTGACAAAGAGCGCCGGCTCCTGCGTGACTGGGTGTCGGATGACAAGGGGGTGCGTCGCGTTGACGGCTTCTCGCAAGGCCCGCTCAGCCCCGACGCGTGCTACCTCCCCGACGGATGCGGATGTATGTGCGAGTTTCAAGGGCGACAGAATGTTCCGGAATGCAGGCGAGAGGGCGGCGTATGCGTGTGTCAGTGAGGTGAAGGCCGTGTCTCCACCACCCGACTTGGGCTTCTCGAGCACCCAGAAGAATGTGGTCGAGGGCGTGTTGGGCGTGAATGTCTGGTCAATGTGCCAGAGGTCGTAGTTGGTGCGTGGCCCAAGCAGAGTCCTTAGGTTGCCACTATACCGAGCGACCCCAACGTGGGCAATGTCAGTATAGTCCGGAACGAACAGGTGCATTTGCACGAGACGTAAGAAATGCATGTGCTCACGCTTTTTCGTCCGCATATACCACGTGGAACTCGGGGCCAGTGCCTGCTGGATACCCCATGGTTGGATGCTAATGTCCTCGCCATTGCAGTTCAGCTGTGTGTATCTTTGTGGCCAGAGGTCACAACGATATGCAGGTGTATAGAGTGAAAGCACTCTCACGAACCTGGTGAAGTGGCCCATAGTGCTCAACGATCTCCCGCTGCCTGTCGAACCCGACATCGGCAAAGTCCTGGTCTCTCTGCAAGATCCGCAAAGGTTAAAAAGCTGTTTTTTACTCTATATGATGTTGTCCGGACCCAGGTAGCATGCTCTGGGATTGGAGGAAGCGAAGGACGTACGAAAACGAGAACACCCCTTTCTGCTGCTAGCAGGGCGACTTCATCCAACCCATCCTTGCCCAAGGAGCTCAGCTGCACACCGGACACCTCGGTTCCTATGCGTGGTGTTATGTCATCGACAACGGCGCCAGCTTTGCTCAGATGGGGCTTGGCTGGATCAGCACGCAGCCCGGGCTCCCCGGCCTCGAAGTAAGGTACGTCAATGGTGGCAGTAAAGCCTTCCGGCCGGGTGGGCAAATACGTTGGGTAGAGTGGTTCTGACATTTCGAACAGTCGCCAGTCGTGGTACCCCGCCCGCCAATATCTGCTGGCTTGCGATGTAGATAAGTTGGAAGAGTGTTGGTTGAACAAAGTCTTTCGCAACGAATCTTGTCGTATGCACGAGTTATCTGCGGCGATTCAGTGGCTTACCTCCGCCAAGAGCTTGAATTGTTGGACCACAGTCGAGCAGTATGCTGGCATAACCTGAAGACGTTATCCACGATGGTGTGATAAGTGGCGTCCGGTGAATAGCCGACTCGTAGACGACGAGATATACTCTTGCAGCAGTTGTGCAGTCGCAGCCAAGCCCGATGCGCGATAAGGTGGGTTACCCTACCTTCTGCTAGGCCTTGCCTTAGTTGAAAGAATGAAAGGCTTGGCTTAGATCTGAGATGCCCTTCCGTCACCGGGGTTCAGCAGAAAACCATGACCAAAGCACCATTCAACGGCCCACAGCCAAGGGCAGACGACTCCATACCAAGACCTCTGCCCACCAATGTCCACTCGCCGCGATGGTGTCACACCCCCCGCCAATGTCGAGTTGCATCTTGTTGGCTAAGAGCTCTGCATTGCCCCTGCTTTACTGGCCGTGACTCGTAATTCTCGTCGGGACTCACCCCGCCCTGGTCAAAAAACATGCATGTCTGCCGTTGTTGGTTACAGACTTACGGTAGTCTGTGTCGGACACACCCCCGACAAATTACGGCGATGAGGTTGCAGTTGCACACGCCGGACCCATATCACCATCACGACATTCAAGGCTGAGGCGCATCATGCTTTACGAATCACAACACCCTGGGGAAAGAATTTTGGTACTTCCCGTGAGGATGCCAGAACTATTAAGATCATCACAATCCACCACAGCAGACCATATTCGCAGCGCCATGGATAGACTCACGGTATAGCCTCTGAAGCAGTTGGTTCTCTACACTATCTCCCTCCTGCTCATTTTTTCATTGTCTCCCACATAGCCAACTGCATCATCATGGCTCACAGTACCTCGTCGCTCGAGGCTGCAACTCCAACACAGACCTCCCAGCCGCCTGCCGAAGCCTCATGGCCATGGCTCGGCAAGGCGATCCCGTACGTCCGTGACCCTGAGCGGGTACTGGTCCTGAAGCTCGACGTGCTTCTCCTGAGCTGGGCTTTCATTGCCGGTCTGCTCAAGGACATGGACCAGTCGGCCACGACCGCAGCTTATGTCTCTGGGATGAAGGAGTCGCTCTCGCTTTACGGCAACGAGCTGGTCGAGTTCACAACGTACTTCTCTATCGGATATGCACTGGCTATTGTGCCATCCCAGATGATCCAGACCAAGGTCCGGCCTTCGCTATGGTTGCCCCTTTGTGAGACCATCTGGGGCGCCTTCACACTGGCCATATACAAAGCGCCCGACGCAAAGACAATCTTCATCCTGCGGTTCTTCCTGGGCGTCTTCGAGGCAACATCGTGGCCTGGCATTGTCAACCTCATTTTCAACTGGTACAAGCCTTCTGAGCTAGGCGTCCGGCTCGCCGTCTTTGGTGTCAGCGGTGTCGCGGGAAACATGTTTCTGGGCACGCTGCAGGCGGCGCTATACCGCAACATGAACGGCGTCAACGGCCTCGAAGGCTGGCAGTGGCTGTTCATCATCTCTGGGATAATCACCATTGTCTGGGGCTTCTACGGCTTGCTCATCATCCCGGACTCGCCCGGCCACACCCGGGCTCTGTACCTCACCGAGTCTGAGCGCGCGCTGGCCCGCGACAGGATGTCGGACGCGGGGACCAAGACGTCCGAGATGATCTCGGCCAAGACCTTGTTCCAGCGCATCCGCTACACGTTCCAGAACCCGCTCTCGTACCTCTTCCTCGCGGCGTACCTGCAGTTCGCGTGGGCCCAGCGCGCAAACTCGTACTTCCTGCTCTACCTCAAGGACGTCAAGGACAGCACGACTGGCCAGCCCCTATACTCGGTGTACAACGTCAACCTGATCCCCCTCGGCGGCTACGCGCTGTCCATCGTGTGCAACATTGGCCTCAACGCGCTCAGCGACCGCAAGAACTGGCGCTGGCAGGTCTCGTGCGGCGCCGCCGCGCTGCACCTCGTCGCGACGGCCGTGCTGGCCGCCTGGCCGGGCCACTCGCACGCGACCATCATGACCTTCTACTTCCTCACCTTCGCCACCGCGGCCTGGGGCTACGCCCTGCTCGCCTGGCTCGCCGAGGTCCTGCGCAAGGAACCCGAGGCCAGGTCGATCCTCGTCGGCACCGCCGTCACGCTCGTCTACGTCGGCCATGCCACGATCCCCCTGCGCGCGTGGAGGGTCAGCGACTCGCCGCGGTATCCTGTCGGGTTCCCCCTCGCGGCGGCGTTCTGTGTGGGCAGTATCGTGGCCATGCTGGGGATCAAGTTCTACGTCGAGCGCAGGCCGGAGATCATGGCTGTCGGGTTTGGCGCGAGAGACGGCGAGACGGTTGCGGTTACTGTTCAGGATGGCGGGGAGAGCGATTTGAATAATCTGCACAAAGTTGTCAGTGAGGAGGAGCCAAGTGAGGCGCCCCAGAAGAAGTAATTGTGTATACATCTAGTGGTTTGGTTCGATTTTGGTAGGGCAGGGACAGGAGCGTGCCAGAACATATAAGCAATACCACCACGATTGATGGTATACTATCTGTGGGCTCCCGTCTTGACACCACATCAGCACCGCAACTTGCACTTTACTCTGATCTACGATGTCCACTCTACGCCCAGTCTGAAGCGTCCCGGATCGACCAAGCGAATATCGAGGTTGGCTGAATATCGCATAACCAAAAAGAAATTCAGCCAATCAGAGGACTTGTGGTTTGTTGGTATGCAACTCCCTAACATTAGGAACTCGCCGCGTCCGGGTGCATACATTTCCCGATGAGTGTCACGCGGCCACTCGAGGGAGTTTGAGAGAGGGAGAAAGACTACTTGCTTTTCTCCCGGAGAAACAGGCCATCGCCACTTGTGACGCTTGCTTCGCAAAGCCTGTAAGTGTGGTTTTCGTTGAGTGCGTTGCGATATACTGGGACGAAGCAACAGATCCCCCTCGTGAGTGATCCTCCGCAGTGCGTCTAGAATGAAGCGAGGCGCGGGAAGCACAATAGAGTTGAGTCCTCCAACATGCCATATCTGCAATATGCATCTTGTGCGGCACATTCAGTTCATTGGACGACGCCAGGCCTTAAAAAACGACTCGAAAGCACCTCGGCGATGGGAACTGGACGTCCAACCGCCGCCCCAGATCTGATACAAACCAAAAGGGGACACTGGCCCGAAACATTCATGTGCTAACACGGTCATCAGCGTACATGACTTCCCAGAGTGGCTTTACACCATGGGTTGAAGAGTAATTCTTTTGATATTCCTCCGGTGAGTGAAAACGCAGCAAGGCTATATATATAGACATGAAGAAAACAAAAAAAGGCTGAAACCAAAGATAGCCATTCAAGAAACAAATGTCTACTCTCAGCTCTTCAACGAGCCACTGATACAGCCGTCACAACCAAAGCCGCTTGCCCCCGTGCCGTTCTTGAGCCAGCAGTTGGCGCTCTTGAAGCTGTTGTACGAGCCCGCCATGCCCGTGCGGAAGGTGAAGCTCCGGCAGCGGCTCGGGCTGTTCACGAGCTTGGAAAAGTCGGAAAAGCTGGCGCAGGCGTCCATGCAGTCGCGGTAGCTGTACGCGACGATGCCGGCAATGTCTGCAATGTAGACGGTCGCTCCGGAGGCGTCCTTGCGCTCTCCGGAGCCCATGTCGATGCTGCACAGCACGCTGAATTTGTCGTTATAGGACGTGCTCGCCACGTTGGCTCCTACACTCGAGCAGGTGTCGGCGACCTCGCCGACCTGGTCGGGGCGGGTGGGCGCATAGTCGACGACCAGCCCGTCCGAGTTTGTGGGCTGCGTCGAGCCGGCAGTGACGGTCCTCGTGACGGTCGCTGTGGCGCTAGTGACGGGATTGCTGGATGCGGCAGCACTGTCTCCGGCCGCCGTCCCACCAGATGATAGTCTTGCGAGTCTGTGTGTTTGCTTGTTAGTCTACCCAGTTGCTGGCCATTGCGAATCGATCCCTTGCTCAAGTTTGGCGAAGGCAATGCTTACTCTAAATTGCTCTCGCAACTCTTCAGCGAAGCACCAAGGCCGCCTCCCACGGCCGCTCCGACCAGGACGGCGACGGCAAGACCAACGGCAGCAGGCAAGATCCAGCCCCTCCTCCTCTTGGGTTGATACACTTCTGGCGAGTCCGGGTAGTACTGGCTGGGAGGTGCTGGCGGCAGCTGGCCATTGCCTGCGGCGCCATCGTACGTGACTGAGGACTGCGTGCCTGCCTTGTAGTACGGGTCATATGGCACCTGATGTTGCCCATGCGGGCTCTGCTGTAACGGCGGGGGCGTCGTCGACGTTGCCGAGTACTGTGTGGCTGACTGAGGAGGCCGCTCGTAGACTTCGAGACCTGGATGGTGCTGAACGACCTCCATGGTTCCGGGCTGTGGTTGTGGTCCGTGTAGACTATGGGATGTTTGAGCTTCCGTGCTTCCCGTATCCCGGATGGAATGGATGACCTCCCGAGGACGTAGACCGGAGGTCGAAGCAGAAAAGACTGAATGGAAGAGATTGACGGATCGCGAGTGAAAGACTTGATCAAAATGATTACAAAGAATTAACAGATCGTAGCTGTTAGTGGCCGCCCAGGTGAAATAGAACAGGGCGAAAGGATCACCAAAGGGTCTATTCGCAAGATGGGTGTGTGGAGAGAAAGAAAGGAAGAGGGGAACGAAAAGCGAAGCAGAGAGCCAGGTGCAGACTGCTGGGACAGGGCTGAAGGGCTTGTGTGCCTACAGGACTACTCCATACCTAGTCCATCGATTTGCGCAAGTTGGCCCCTGGTTTCAATGACACGCCAGGGGGGATGCTGGCCGTCGAATTTGCAGACCCCAATAGTGAGCATCGGGGAGACGAGTGGACCAGCCAGTGCAGACGGCCACGCAGGCAGGCTCTGCTCATCTCGCTATTAGCCCATCGGCCACACGACAGGACATGGGCCCACGATCTTGACTAGAGGACTCCGTAAGGTCGGTCTTGGCCGCCAGATACCCCTGGTCTGTTGCCTGGCGGGCAAAGGAGCAAGGAGCCTCGCGAATTAGGTTTAAACTAGCAGCCAGGGGTTTCCCTGGGCGGGTGAGCTGAGGTCCACGAAGGCTGCAGGTCAACTGCTTACCTGGACATGTGTAACAAAGGTACGTATAGTTGCCAGATCTGGAATAATTGCCCCATTCGGCGGTACCACAGGAACAAGCCACTGCCGAGGACCACAACACGAACAACGCCCAAGCTGTGGGTTCCCACACTCGCCTTGGCGTCCACCTCGCACCAGACCACTGCCGACAATATTTGTCGTGTGAGATGGTTCGGACTGGCTTGATGGAAAGTGCAGGGAGCAGATCCGGACGGGTTTGAAGCGGCTCTCATTCCCATGCCTCCAACGACTATTTGGCTTCTTCGGAGTATGGGCGATAAGCTCGGCCCCCAAGCGTCCGCCGGCCACCGGGGCTTATAACGGCGCGTAACTGTCAGCCCAGCGAGCGGATGGAGTCTTTCTAATGGAGCACGTCCCGACAACAGGCGCGTTCTGCATCGTGGTTGGGTGGGCTGGTCCAGCCCACACCGGACTGTCAGACAGCCGTGACATGGGGTCCCCTAGCGCTTTCATGCCCCAAACCCTGCTTCTCCAAGCGGGCAGGTCTCGCACTCGGCGGGACCATAGTGGAGCGCTCGTCTTGATTTCCTTTATCCCATTGCCAGAGCCGGCTCTTCAGCAGGTCGGCCCCGGCGAGGTGGTCCGGTTGTGCTAAGGCTGCTGACAGCTTTGAAATCAGAGCTGAACAGGAGTGGTATGACATCTTAGACTTTGGAGAGCGGCGGAGTACGAAACAATGTTCCACACACGGGGTTCTGGCTAGACACACCGGCCGAGCCGGGCTGCTACGACCTCGCCACTGCGTCTGCCAGCCATGCTTCCGAAGCAGCGACAATGGTCACTTATTACTTGCCCTTCACGACTGGCTGTGGCCTCTTTGACTCAGATCCCGATGGTTGGGCCAGTGTCTTCCGCCAGCCGCCAGTGGCTGAGCGTGGACTACAGCCATAGCCGCGAGCGCTTAGTAGCGCGGGCGCCGCTTAGCCTCCCATGACGGCGGCGGCTTTCTGCGCCAGTGCCAGCCAAACAGCTGTCGTCCACTGTTATTGTTGCTGACCGCACTGCGGTGTTCGCTTTTGCTTTGATTGCTCTGTGCCCAGATTCGCGATATTGAACCTTACAACGAGAATGGGCCGCGCGGTCTCGACTTCCTGGAGAATGGCAATCCAAAGCCAAGGAAATGCCCGGCCTGCTTCTTAACCGACCTTCTTGCTTGCGCTGCTGCCTGTCAACTTGGAAGCTCAACAAGGTGACATGAGGTGGGTTTCTCAATGCTGACGCGCCGGCGCGGCATCGACTCTCACATCATAGTAAGACACCCAAACCGTCCCACCAACAAGACTGACCTGCCCAGACCCTGCCAGTTGAGCTCGAACTCTCCGGTGCAGCCCAACAGCAGAATTTTTGCTCTCATTGTAGTTGTTACTGCCATATTGAACAGTATCTGATGCAAATCATTTTAGCTCTTGTGAAGAGCTTGGCGGCTCTATGTCGAACCATAGGCGCAATCATCCGCATGAAAGCTCCGATGAGCAGCTGTCTTTGGTAGCATCCGGGTTGCTTGCAGAACAATGGTATTGTCCTTTCAAGTCGGACTGTGCCTGCGCTAGCTTGCACTAGTTTTCGGGCTTGTCACATCGATTTTGCTTGTCGTCTTTGCTGGATCTGCACGGCTCATTTCACTCCAGCGAGCATTCGAAACCGCTCAACTTGATAGCTCTTTAGGCTTTGGGTCGTTTCGTTACTATTGCCCGCTATTGAGCTCACATCATGGAACAATCGTGCCCCGTGTTGAGCTCCAGGATGAACTTCTCAGCTTACAGCCATTCCATTCCCTTGCTGATGACTTCTGCAGGGGGCCTTGAGGGCTTTACAGTGGTGCATAGCGCTCTTCGTCTACGCGAGTCACGTTTTTCCAGCAGTCTTCTACCCATTGCTTTGTGACCACCCGGGGAAGTGGCGACCGTGTGCTAATGGTTGATCGAGCCGAAGTAGCCAGTCGTGCCTCCTCAACCTCATCCTGCGCCAAAATCACAACCTGTGTGATCGTTTCATCGTTAATATCGGCAACAAGATGGCCGCCACCGAAAGTGATCCAATTCCGAAGCCTGAGACTCGCGATTTCGGGGAAGCCATGCTCCTCTTCGAGATAGACGTTCAGGCCTCGGAAAATCTGGCCTTTGGTCGCGCCGCTATCATGACCATGCTCAGAGAGTTGGCGCAAGAAGAGCTCCTTGTCAAATGCGTGTTGAGAGTTGGCAATCTCTTTCTTTGGCATGTCCTTGAGCAAGGTCTTCAGCTCCTCCATATCCAGCTCCCGAGCATAGCTATCACCGAACTCGTCGATGTTGTCCTCTGCCATAGCTTTTACGCCATCTGTCGCATGGAACAGGTGCGATGGTTCGTACGGCAGAAGAAAGTCTGTATCGCTCTGAGCAAGGCAGTCAAGTATCCACTTGGGTCGAATAATGTCAACCTCACCAGCCTTGATCAGGCTGGCAACTTTGACAACTTTCTTGTCTGCAATCAGGATCTGCCCGTTGTCAGCATTAGCGCGTTGAGACACCTTTCCACCATTGGTTTTGACTAGCGTCTCGAGCTGGGTCTTAGTCTTCTTGACAGGTCCTACGCCTTCAGTCAAAATACACATTTCCAGCCCAGCGAAGATCTTGGTTGCCAGGCCCTTGAACTCGGGTGGTACATCGTCTTGGCCCGCAATGGCCACGTCCTTTTTGACGCGCTTGACAGCACGTCTTTTCTTCTCAATCGTCATGGCTGCCTCCTTGAGTTGCTCTTCTGCACCTTTTTTTAGATCGAGAAACTCCTGCCAATTCAAGGCTGCGTCCCATGACTTGTCGAGTTTGAGCGAACGGAATCGAGGGAAGCGTAACGTTATCTGCTTCGCAAACTGATCCGAGTAGCCTGCGCTGGCTGCCTTGACTGAGATCACAACAGACTGGCTCGGACGAATCCACATGTCGGGCTTTTCGCACTGCTGGCCTTGTGCTTGTCCTCCGAGCTCGATGTATTCGGTCGGTGGCTTCTTCGAGTCCCATTTCTGCCATTTGCCATCCGTCTCATGACGAAGCGCAGCGTAGTCCTCGGCGCGAAATCCACCTCCCACTTTGCAGAAGCTGTAATGCTTCTCGGGGTTTGCACCAGCCTCAATATCATTCTCCGTGGCTCGGAGTCCACAGAGAAATGACGAGAGGTTGCCACCACGGTGACCAGAGCCATAGAATCCGCCGATAACCACGACGTCTACGGACTCGCCGAACTCATCCATGTACTCCGGCTTGACCTTGACCCAGTCGTCGTTTCGCGAGTTGAGCCTGTACATAGACCGGGGGTTCTTGAGCACCAAGCCCTCAGACGAGTCCGCCACTACTCTGCGAAGCAGTGGCTCGATCTCATCAGCGGAGGTCGCCTTCGTGTACGGGTGAACCTCTAGCCGACGATGGGCACCAGGCACAGCTTGTTCGAGTGCATTATGTCTGTCTCGCAATGTGTATCGCGCAAGCGGCCGGTCGTTCAGATAAAGAATATCGAAAACTCGAAAGACAGGCCGTGGTCCCTCCGCGTCAGGGTTGCGTCCTTCTGCGAGCGCTGCGGTCTTTAAGGTGCCGAAGGGCATGATCTTGTCCATGGTCGGATCCCATGTGATCATCTCTCCGTCCAGGATAATATTTCTCACCCCATCAGCAAACGCGGACTTGAGATGACGTGTAAGTGCGCAGTTTTCGTCATAGAGTCCTTCACCATACAGGTAAGTGTAATCTTTTGCCTTTCGCGACCAGAAACAGAATCTCTTGCCTCCTCGAATCGAATCGTCTTCGATCATATGAAGCTGCATGCGTTCGCCGTCGAGTTTCTCCTCGATCCAAAACTCTGTGTCGTCCTCGACGGGGCTCGATCTGTTGAGTCGCTCTACCATCTTTTGAAAGGAAGTCGAGACCTGAAACTGAGCGAGCTGAGGCTGGAAGCACTGCATAATGGTGACGTCCTGGCTCTCTTTGTTGAGACTAAAGGCTGGATCATGAAGCTCCCAGCAGACACGTCGCAGGCTTGACGACACGCTGAATAGTGTCTCGCCTTCTGGATGCCACAGATCAAGGAAAGTACGCTCAGTAGCGCCGACTTTCATCTGCTTGAGGATGATGCGGACCAGCCACATGAGTTCTTCCGGGTTCATCCGTTGGTAGAAGGTCTCGAAGATAGGCAACTGCTCAGCCTCACCCAAGGCCACGGCAAGTTTATCCAGTAGCTCGTTGACGTCGGCGATGGTCATGTCGCCAGGGTCGATGCGCATTGGCCGTTTTGAGAGGACCTCGAAGCAACGCCCGGCGAAGTCACCAGCCATACGACTGGCAGCCGACTGGCCAGGTAATTTCCAGTGGAGGATGTTGTAGCCATCTTCGGAATTCTTGTCAATTTTCATCAGCTTGACGAGGAGTTTGCCAATATTGCTTTCTTTGAGACCGTAATTGCCGCGGTCACGATCCGATGCTGGCAGGATGAGACGGAGAGCAGGGTAAAAATCGTTGCCGACTTCTTTGCGCCAGCGGGATATAAAGCGCTCGATGATGGCACGTCGCTGCTCCTGTGGAGAGTGTTTGCTGGGGCCATGCGGGCCGACCTTGGATCTTGGCGGCCCCGAGGGCTGCTTTTTGTTCTCGTTCAGGGGGTTGAAGAGATTCAGGTAGAGCTCCGAGAAGAGCAGCGTCTTGGAGTGGTTTTTTGGGCGGTTGGGATATCTGGCAAATATCAGTACGTTGATATTCCTGATCCGCGAGATGACGGCCATACTTTTCATCCAACTCCTGCAGCGTTTGTCCCCCTACGACGTATTGGCGTTCTTCTTCATCCTCAGCCTCCGCAGTGGTGGCTGTTGGCTTGACCGGCATTCTGATGATGCAGCTGTACGAACTCAAGCCGTCAGGGCAACGAGAGTCCAGGAAACAGAGAGCATGTCAAATTGTGCACAGTCGCATGAGCCTCCCCAGTGGCTTTTGGGGGTCTCAAGCTGTGGGATTTTGTAGCTTTTGTACTGTTGTCGTGAAGACCGGGGTCCGTGGTGGCACTAGGAGGTGCAGTGCTGCCTGGGACTTCTGCCTGCGCTGGCCGTTCTTGGGCCACTCAATGCTGCCAATTGCTGCTGCAAACACTTGACGATGCGATTGGACCAGTCCTTCAGGATAACAAGGGAGCGTATCGTACAGCTACGCCCGGAGCTTGTGGTTACTGCATGGTGGAGGCCAGAGGACCAAAGTGATGGCCACGTCCAGTATTGTATGCTTCGCATGACGTGAACCAGACTTGCCAAGGAGACTGCCCCGCAGCGCGTCCAGCATGCTTTGGTGGGGACAGGCAGGACCTCCAGTGCTAACATGGCCCTGGCCAGAGGGGGCAGAGCACTGACCGGCCCACCAACACGCTGCGACGCGCTCCAGCTGCCGCACGCAGGATCGCGCCCACCCCCAATCAATTAAGCCGATATCGATTGCCCTTGCAGCTGCCGTTGTTTTCATGCAGCCGCATCCTCGCCTGCCGTCGCCACCACGAGGCACACGGTCCGCCCTCACAAAGCTCAAGTGTCGACTCGGCATGGATGCGAGTCGGTCGCGACGCCCCTCTTTGGACAGCAGCAAGACCGTCACCTCTCCATTCTCTGGATGAACACCAGAACAGGCATTCTCAGGCTGTCTTTGAGTCCCTCGCTCCGCTCACCACCGCCAACCAGGCCGACGCTCAGCCGTGTCCCACTACCAGGGCCCTGGAGACAGTCTTTCTTCTGCCGGCATTCTGCCACCATGTTCAAGGAGGCAAACGCCAGATTCAAGTCCTCGGCACTCTCAGAGGCTCCAGGCAAGACCAATGCTTCAAGGTCCGCGACTGCCCAGATTTCATCCCTCCATAACGGCACAATCACGGATCTTTCCTGGAAAGGCCAACGGTCCATAGGCTCGAGCACTGCGACCTCAAAGGCAGCCACCAACTCCTCGTCTTGGCCGACACACAACAAGCCGCCGGTTCCAAGTTCTTCCACCCGGGGAATGACAACGAACAGCCTGGCCAATCTCTGCCACCGCGCCGACTCCTTCACCCACGCTGCTGCTCCAACCATGGCGTCTCAGTCAAGAACCGTCGCATCCGTGCTCATTAATGATGACGACTTCAGCGACGATGACCACCTCGATCTCGAGTACAAGTGCCCAGCCGCATTGCCTTCCCTGCCAGCAGCGAGCAAGCCGTCGAGCAACACTACAGCCGAACTTCCTACCAGCGAAATACCATGGTCCTCATCGCCACAGTCCCACATGTTTCCTCCATTGGCATCCTCAAGCAACAGCAGAGCTGTCAAACGGGACTCCTCCGGCTTAGCTGGTACAATCGCCGAGCCACCCAGACCCAAAAAGAGGACGTTGCCAAGCAGTTTTAAGCGTACTGAGACACAGTCCTCTACCCAGCCTGGGAGCGAGTGGAAACCCTCTGTAGTGCCGCCGAGCAACGCCACAAAGGCGGTGGCAACTCCTGCCAAACCACGCCAAAATGTTCCGTGGGACTTGACGTATAGCGCGACCAAGGAGCAAAAGAAACAGCTCAAGAACCAGGCATCCAAGTCGAAACAAGGTCCCGAGACAACCAAGGACGAGGCGTTGGAGGCCGCTATGGGTCGTTCTAGGCAGGCACGTAATACTGCAATCTCCCTCAGCTCTGAACAACAGCAAGTTCTCAACCTGGTTGTGGAGCAGAGGAAGAGCGTGTTCTTCACAGGCCCTGCAGGAACGGGCAAGTCTGTTCTTCTGCGTGCAATCATTGCCGAGCTGAAGAAGAAGTGGGCAAGAGACCCTGAGCGCCTCAGCGTGACCGCGTCAACCGGCCTGGCTGCATGCAATATTGGTGGTCAGACTTTGCACAGCTTCGCTGGCATTGGCCTTGGCAAGGAAGATGTGCCCACATTGGTAAAGAAGATCCGGCGAACTCCGCGCGCCAAGAACCGCTGGCTACGGACCAAGACTCTCATCATCGATGAAGTCTCCATGGTTGATGGCGAGCTCTTCGATAAGCTTGACCACGTCGCGCGCCTGATCCGCAACAATGGGCGTCCTTGGGGTGGCATTCAGGTCATCATCACGGGCGATTTCTTTCAACTGCCGCCTGTTCCGGACGGCGACAAGAAAAAGGATGTAAAGTTCGCCTTCGAAGCTGAGACCTGGAACACTTCTATTGATCACACCATTGGTCTAACGCAAGTCTTCCGGCAAAGAGACCCCGGTAAGTGACCCCGACTACTTGCCTTCTTGACACCCCTATTGACCTCGTCCTGGCAGAGTTCGCCGGAATGTTAAATGAGATGCGCTTGGGTCGAATGAGTGACAGTACTGTCAAGATCTTCAAAGACTTGTCGCGTCCGCTGGAATTTAACGACAACGTAGGAGTGACCGAATTGTAAGTTTCAGCCGTTACCCATGCTTAGACCGCAGCCATTGCTGACTTGATCAGGTTTCCGACCAAATTTGAGGTCGAGAGGTCTAATGAAGTACGTCTTCGGCAGCTTCCTGGTGAAGTGCACAATTACGACTCGGCGGATTCGGGCGAACAGACGATACGGGACAAGCTCTTGCAACACATGATGGCACCTAAAGTCTTGGCCCTCAAGAAAGGCGCGCAAGTGATGCTCATCAAAAACCTTGATGACACACTGGTCAATGGATCACTCGGCAAGGTCATTGCCTTTATGAACGAGGCAACCTTCAGCGTCTGGTCTGATCGTGAGAACGCGGGCGAGCAGAATGGAGACGATCCCATCACCGACGGTGCGAAGAAGATCCGTGGTTTCACCATAGATGCCGGATCCATGAAAGATGTCAAGGAGTACCCGGTGGTCAGATTCAATGCCACGGATGGAACGCACCGCAGCCTGTTGTGTACTCCTGAGGAGTGGAAAGTCGAGCTGCCGACTGGCGAAGTCCAGGCATCACGAAAACAGCTGCCTCTGATTCTCGCATGGGCTCTGTCCATCCATAAAGCCCAAGGCCAAACCCTCGAGAGAGTCAAAGTTGATCTCGGCAAAGCATTTGAAAAGGGTCAGGCTTACGTTGCCCTCTCTCGCGCTGTAAGCAAAGCGGGCCTGCAAGTTTTACGGTTCGAAAAGAGCAAGGTGATGGCCCATCCTCGTGTCATTGCTTTCTACAACCGGTTGTACAGCGTCGACATGGCTCTTGCAGCTCCGAAGAAACCCAACACAATCAAGGATTTTACCAACAAGACCTCCGGCTTCCCGATGAATGGCCGAGGCGTAGAGGTCATTGATCTGGATGAAGAAGAGGCAATGGCTGCAGCATATGCTTAGACACGTTGGTAATTCGAGTATACTCCTCGTTTCCCTTGTTTACATGTTTGGCGCCCGGTATGCACTTCACCCTTTGCTTAGCAAACTCCGGGGCAACAGTGCCAGATCTAGGGCCCAGAAGAGGAGTTCCTGGCGCAACGGCGATAGAAGTACATGATACCACTACATCTTTGTCAATGATTCAAAGCAGATTTTAGCAAGAGACTACTTAGCTAATTCCATTGTCCACGCGTGCAGCCTAGTGATTGTCCAGAAAAATAGAAGCGCAGTCCACTTCTGCATACATTGTTCTATGCCGTAATACAATCAGAAGAACAAGACTTGACCGCTCAGTAAAGGCACCGCTTTTGAGATGCTGTCCTGGTTCAAGGCAAGCCAGCGAGGCATGAGCGAGCTGACTGGGTGGGTGGTTGTGACTTATCGATAAAGAAAGCTTAATCTGGAGGGCATGCGGGCTCGCCCTTGCCGTGCGAAACACCACCACATGCCACTTCCCCCGTGCCAAAGAAAGTGCCGGCGAGACCAAATAGGCAATCTCCCACCCCCGACCCCAAATACAGCGCCAGACACATCCTCGCGACACCAGCACCGACCGCACCGACGAAGGCTGCGACGCCACCAGCCACGAAGCCGCCATCGCAACGGTCGCGAGGACACAACTCGCATCGCAGCGCATCGTTCCTCCGTGCTCGTCAGCTTCGGGCTGCGTGTCCAGTCGTGCCTGCAGGTACCCTCTGCGGACCCAAGCAGCAGCTCAGGCCGCTGCGCCCGACGACCCTGCGCCCGACCGCCCTCGCTCGCATCCGTCCAGGTGGCACTCATCCCGTTCGCGCCAAAAGCTTTCTAGGGCGACTTTGCCCCGTCACTCGGGCTCGACAGGCAGGCAGCCGTCACCTCAATCATCGTGGTCGTGCGCGACTGTCTTTGGGCAAGCTCTTGTCAAGCAGAACTCCCTACCGACACCAACAACACAGACGTTCGGTCCCAGAGACCCGCCCATCCCTCACGACAACAAACATGGCTGCATCCTATATCGCGCCATGGACGGGCAAGCAAGTCATAGTTGAGCTCGCTGCTCCCCCGCACGAGCGGATACAGGGCACAATAGCGGATCTCGTTCCTCAGAGTCACCTGGGATTAGAGAATGGTAAGCGCAAACTCTTCTGGCATGGTCCATTGATGGAGGAGGTGGTTGACAAGACTCTCAGCATATTATCTCAGCTCAGGACAGATGCTCTTGCATCTCACCATTGCCTCAAGCAACATCCGCGACCTCCAGATCATCTCCTCAGCCGCCACCGAGGCACCACATAGTCGCCAGAACTCCGCCTACACGATCCCATCTTACGCATCTCCAGCCACGCTCCAGCAGCCAAGCGCCCCGCTACCATTTCATGATCCTGCCATCATCAGCATGAACGAACGGCCGGAGAAGATAGTGGCGCAAGACGAGAATATCCAGCCAGCAGCATACGGAAATACAGCAAGGCAGAGAAACAGTGTCGTGATTATGAATCCAGCAGATCGCATGACGTTCTCGTCTCCGGATCAGACTGACACGACCACCACACCCGGCCCAGTAGCCGAACTCCAGGCCCCTGTCAACGAACCTGGAAGGCTGGATACGACCGACGACGACGAAGTCCTTGGTACACCAACAGCAGAGACTCCGCAAGCGGCTGCTTTGAAAGGCAAATCGAATCGCAGTCGTAACAGGAAGAAGGGTCGAAATGGCCAGCAGGAGGTAAATGGTGCACAAGATTCGCGGACGAAAGCCACAACGCAAGGGAAAGGATGGAGGCAGACGCCGATACTTGAGTCGACGAATTCATTCCAGCCCTTTGCATCCCTACGAAAGAGCCAGAACAGGCGTGGTCTGGCGGGACCGAACGGAGAAAATGGCTGGGCTTCGGAGGATGTTACGGACGTCCAGGAAGCTGGAGATTTTGACTTCGAGGGTGGGCTTGCTAAGTTCGACAAGCGCACGATCTTTAATGAGATGCAGAAACAGGATGAGGTCGATGAGTCACTACGGTTAGTCGGGCACAACCGGCTGCCGAGACCGAAACCCGGCACTGCGGGGGGCAAGAACCTTCACTATTCCGAGAACGTGTTGGATCTGCCGTCTGGCTCTGGGCAAAGAATGAAGGAAACGCCAGACGATTTCTGGAAAAGTGAGGCTGATGATGGCATCCTGAGACACGATGGGGAACGGCTAAGCGGGCGAGAGGGCGGTAGCGGCCGTACGTCTCGCCTCCGGGGAGATTCTCGAATGTCAACCTCCCGCCGCTCTCAATCTCGCAAGGCTAGTGGCACAGCGACGATCGGTGGTGCGGGGAGCCTTCCGATTCGAGTCAACTCCAGCGTGAGTGCACTCTTTTCCATATCCATTGCCGATTATCGATGCTAACCATTCTCCAGCTCGCCACACACTCTGCCGGCCAAGGTCTTTACGCTGTTCCTTCGAATCGCAAAGTCGAGACCGTCACACATCTCCAAATGCTCGTAGTGGAGAACGTTGCGCAGAACGACTTTGAGCTCACTGATGAGCTCATGGCCGAAAATGCAGGACGGAGCATTGCAGAGGTTGCCATGAAGGCGCTGCAGGATCCCGCGATGAAGCTACGGAAGGATTCTGTCTCGAACTCACAAGTGCCCACAATAGCAGTCTTGGCTGGCAACAACAAGTCAGGCATACGGGCGGTCGCTGCCGGACGCCATCTTCGCAATCGGGGCATCAATGTCTTGATAACCGTGGTCGGCATCGAACGCGAAAAGGATCTCCTTGACGATCTTCGGAAGCAGATCCGCCTCTTTCGTAATTTTGGCGGCTCGGTCACGACAAGTGCAGGTTTGTACGAGCAGTTGACGAAACCCACGGACAGCCTCAGCTCGTCGCCTCAAGCCTCAGTCACGCTGATCATCGATGCGCTTCTTGGACTCACCATCTCATTTGAGGAGCTACGCAAATCAGAGCAAGCCACAACATACGAACTAATGCAATGGGCGAACCGCAATGAAGCGTTTGTCATGGCGGTCGATATTCCGAGCGGCATTGAGCCTTCCAGCGGCAAGGTCAATGTCATTGACGGAGCAAAGCTGTACGTGCACCCGCGTTATGTCGTCGCTTTAGGTGTACCGAAGCAGGGGCTGCTCAGGGCCATTGAGATGGGCGATGAGTCGGGAGACGTCTTCATGGTCGATGAATGGAAGCTGTACCTGGCGGACATTGGTCTGGGCGCTCTCGTCTGGCGCAAAGCGGGCACCAAGATCCGCAAGGGCGTCGACTTTGATGGCAACGGGGTTCTCGAGCTTCGCTATCAGCCACCAGTGCTGGCATGAGCTCCTTGCAGGTGTTCTTCGGGCCGGCCATATGACTCTGCACTGCCTAAAAGTTCCGTCCTGTGAAGCCACAGTACCCTTTCCTCTCATTTTGAATTCCTTCTGAACGCCACTTCGGCTCCTCTCTCGAGAGAAGGGCCGACGGGGGTTTTAGCGAGCATGCCTGGCATTAACCATACCCTTTCTATGCATTTACATTGGGCGTTATTATATATTTCCCTTCGCGCGATGTCGGCGTGGTGTAGTCCCTATCCAGACTGCTGGGCAGGGCAGCATGTCGTAGATAGAATGCTGCGTAGCCTGCAGAGCAGGTAATCAAGTTACTCATTGCATTCTTCAGTTAAAGCCCTGCCGGGATAACACCAGCTGTTTCTGACTGTTTTGATTGCATCCCTCCCGCCTTCGTGGCCATGGAAACAAGGACTCCGGGAGTACGGAGTGAACAGGAACGAGTGTTGCATCGTGCTACACACTGAGAAAAATTAAGAAGGTTCCTACTGCAGTGTCTCCCGGATCGTGCCGTGCCACGCTGCTATCAATGGATGCTCGGTATGCTCTTTCCTGAATGACCTAGTGCTATGTGCTCTTCAGCAAAAAGCGCTCGACATTTGGTTGGCAGAGAAAACATCCGCAATCGACGATCTACTCCTATCTGCAGTGCAATTTGACAGCTCGAGCGCTCGCAAAGCCTCGCTATCACTCAGTTTGCCCGGTGCCCTTGAAACTGCCACGGAAACCCAGTCCTTGTTATCTCGCATCCTCCGCCTTCTCGCGTCCTGGGAGACACCGCCAACACTTCGTGCTGTTCCTGTGCGACCTCAGCCCACATGATGGAGCGCCAAGCTGTCGCGGTGCGCAAGCGAGATGTTAAACGCACCCAATGTACTTAATGACACACCGTACACATCTACGGACGTTCACTACTGGCATGTGAGCCCGTGTAACACTTGTCTTGGGATCCGGCCGGGATCGCTGTCCAAGAACTGACTGCTCACATCCGCGATGCCGTAGCCCGCTTGGTTCTACAACTTGAGGATCGCACGGCTTCTGGGCTTATTCTGGCTCGTCCGCTGCTCTTTCGTGCCACTGGTCACACGCCTTGAGTTCTGTGTGTGCCAAATCGCTCGCCGTGAGGGGTCGTCTGCAATAGGTACCATGGAAATATTTGCTCTTTTGAAGTTCATCTCTTGTACGATTTGAGGACGGCGGACAGCACGATTCGCTTGCCGCCGCAGGCGGGTTTCCACTTACCCAGTCGATTCGACACTCTTTACTAGCCGGACATTGTGTACTTGGACGCGAGATGCACTGCTCGGCGATCACTCTTTGTTGTGGCGGCGTCGTCTGGCTCCTCTCTGCCTTTGTTTTGGCCGACGTCCCGCATCTCTGGGCCAACGACACCGCCAGTGTGATGCTGTGGGAGTCTGGCGCGTTGGGCCCCCTCCCAAACCAGACCTTCCTGTCCTCGGACGTCAGGGCGCCGATATTCATGATACATACGTTCGACAGGGACCGCGTGTCGTCGTCGGCGGGCTCCCACATCTTCCTCTCGGCGGCAGTCGGCCGGCAGCGCCAGAGCCCGATGATCCTCAGCGCTCGCGATCTCAGCGTCGTCTACATCGACCCGACGTGGAACGGCGGGGGTACGGCCAACTACCAGAGGCACCGGGGCCAAGACTCTTACCTCACGTTCTGGACGGGCAAGGGCCACGTCGGCTGGGGCGCGGGGGGTTGCATCCTGCTCGACGAGCGCTACCACATTGTCCGAAATATTACGACGACGAGGACGACGGGATATCTGGGGTTTGAGGGCGCCGATAATCACGAGTGCGAGCTTACGCACGACGGTGGCGCGCTCATCACCGTCTACTACAAGAGGAACTTCCATCTCGACGTGACGAGTCCCGCAGCAGGTGGTGGCGACGGCAGTGGTGATGGTGTTAGTGGTAGCGACGAACTCGGACTCGGACCCGGCGCGCTCATCCGCGAAAGCGCGTTCCAAGAGATTGACATCGAGACCGGGGAGGCGCGGTTCACGTGGACCGCCACGGACCACTTTGCCTTCGACGAGTCGCTCAACCCGTACGCCGCCGCGAACGATGCTAATGCTTCTGCTGCTGCTGCTGTCCCTGTCTCCAGGGAGGAAGCAAGAGAAGAAGAAGAAGAAGAAGAAGGAGGAGGTTGGGACTGGTTCCACCTGAACTCGGTCCAGAAGACGCCCGCGGGGGACTACCTCGTCTCGGCGCGGCACCTGTGCGTGCTGGCCCTGGTCAGCGGCCGGGACGGCAGCGTGGTCTGGCGGCTCGGCGGGAAGCACAGCGACTTTGCGGACCTGGCTGGCGGGGATGCCGCGGATTTCTGCTTCCAGCACCACGCGCGCTTTGTCTTCTCTGGCGATGACGATGATGATGATGATGATGAGGGCAACGAGGGCGAGAACGGGAAGAGGACAGAGGAGATTGAACTCACACTGTTCGACAACCACGCGATGCACGCCACGTCCCTGACGCCAGGGTGCAAGCGCGACTGCTCGCGCGCCCTGCGGCTGCGCCTCGACCTGGCCGCCATGACGGTGGACATTGTGCACAGCTGGACGCATCCCCAGAGCGTGCAGGCCTGGGCGCAGGGCGGCGTCCAGGCTCTGCCCGGAAAAGCAAGACGAGGACGACGAGGACGAGGACGAGGCGGCGCAATGATTGGCTGGGGCACGGTGCCGTCGTTCTCAGAGGTCGATGGCGAGGGAACTACGGTGCTCGAGGTGCAGCTCAGCCCGTGGGAGACTGCTGCCGGTGGGAGGCACAACGGGGCGAGCGTGTATCGCGTGTACAAGAAGCATGGGTTCAGGGCTTTCCCATCCTGGGGCCCGAGTGTTGCGGTGAAGCACGGGAGGGCACATGTCAGTTGGAACGGGGCGACAGAGGTGAGCTCGTGGGAAGTGGTGAGTTCTCGTGAGAGCAGGCTGCTTTCCCAGCCAGCCAAGCATCGTCTCGGATCCGGCCACGACAGAAACTGACGGGTATTTGGGTGGTTCTAGCTGGGAGGGCGTGATCCAAGAGTCCTCACGTCCCTGGGTGTCCGCGCTCCACGAGCGGGCTTCGAGACGGAGATACAGATCCCCGAGTCAGATGACGTGACGGTCGTCCAGATTGCCGCCCTTGATGTAGACGGCAATGAGCTCGGCTTCACGGATGTCGTCGATGCCCGGGGCGGAACCAAGCTGACGCCTGATATACAGCTCTAACTTGGTCCCCACGGACAGCTGTGGTCGTGCCTCTGCACGGCAGGCCATTGGACTGGAAGAGCATAGACGTGGACAGAGTCCAGCCAGTTTGATCTAGAGAATTGGGAGTTTGGAGATGCGCTTGCCTGACTGCCCCTGTAAGAGTGGTAGGGCACTCTGGGCAGCCATCCGAGCATCTGAGGAAGAAAAGAGAAAGAGGGAAAAAAAAGAGGGAGAGAGAAAAACAGTCATCGGCGCGGAATGCGGACAGGGCAGCAGATTGCCTGATTCGTCTGCCGTGCCGCCCTGGGATTGGCTGCCCAACTGTGGCACCCGGTTCCCTTGACGGTACGAAATGTGGAGATGGCCCTGGTCCGGCACCAATCTTCGCCGTCTTACAATGGTTGCCTACGGCATGTATCCTCGTCGTCCTCGTCGTCGTTCGTGGTTTTGTCGTCACGTCATTCGCGTGTGTGTCATGCATTGGGCGCAGATGGATGACGCCGTCCATTCACCTTTCCACAGAGCTTTACGACAGGCGCCGCAAAGACATCGGCATGGACATGCTTGACAAATTGCCATGCAGATCGCCAGGCATCAATGCCGGCACAAGCTTGCAATGACACAATTGCCCCGAATTCTGAAAAGTCAATGTCATTGGGAATGGTATGGCGGTCGAGTTTCCCAGCTGGAAATGCAGGCCGAAGCCGAGTGATGCACCACGCCGATTGGGCAGGGTTCCAGACTGTGGACCCAAACCAGCCGATCGGAGTTCGGAGCCGGGGGCCCCAGGGGAGAAGTGGGGCAGGGCAGCCCCAGGCATCCAGGGCGGTGCGTTGTTGTCAAACACTCCACACAACACGGAGTCAGAAAATATCTTTCTGCAAGGCACGGAATATGCGTAATCAAGGGCTTGGCTGCCACAAGTCACTGGCCAGCACATCTGCCGAGCAGGGGCCAGACTGCACTGCCCCCCGTGATGCATGTCTCGTCACCTTTGACATGTCGGAGTTGGGGAATCGCATCCAAAAGTGAGCGCCGAAGCTGGCAAGGCTCAGCCACGACGTCTGCGGTTGAGTCATTCGTTGAGATGAGTCCGGAGCTCTTGACAGCGGGCCAAGACCCGACATGTCTGGCTTGCCGGGTCCAGAGCCGCGTGGTGGGTGGAGCCTTCAGCCCTGGCGGTTTGGCGTCAGGCCTAAGCAAGCCACGCGTGCTGGGCATCATGGTGAGCCATCATGGCGAGGGAGCCATCACACTAGTAACCTGCACGGCGTACCTCGACTCTGCTGTTCGTTCAAGTTGGATCGGGATACTTAAGTGACGCCTCGTCCCGTCCTCTTGGGTTGGAAATGCAATCATCACTCGCAGCAAACACATCACCGTCACACACACAACACAAACAAAGACTTCAAACACTTCTCACCAAAGACAATCTCAGAACTCCAAAATTCTTCATCCACAGTTGCAACCCAAGGAAACCATACCACAACTCAATATGCCTTCCATCTTCTCCCGCAAGAGCAGCCGCATGGCCAGCATGGACAGCAGCAACTATGCCGACAGCACCTACGCCGACTTTGAGTCCGTCTACTCGTACGACATCAAGGAGGACGCGAGGCAACACTTTACTACCACGACTATGGACAGCAAGTCCAAGTCGTCATCCTCGTCCAGTGGACGCATCACACCAGAAGAGCTGGCCAAGTACCAGAAGAGTAAGCCTTGGCAGACGCTCGTAGTAACAACGCCCCACTAATCTATTCCAGTGGCTATGCGACACTCCATGAGAATGTGTTAGAAAGCATTTTGGTGGGAGTGTTTCTGTATTTGGGAACCAATGATTATACGAACAAGTCGGTTGTTCGTACGATAGGCGTTGGGGCGTTTTTATCTCATTCATTTACTCGTCATCCATTGGCTTTCGTTGAGGACTGCACTTCCTTTTTTCCTTGCATCCTTACATTCTGCTGTGGGGCTAATCCCACGGCGAAGTACCCGTCACGCTTTAGATACCATTGAATACACACAATCTCATAAACCACTGAACTCAGAGATTCCCCGCTGGCTCGTGTTTGCTTCATCCTTTGGCAACCTGCATCTTATCCACTCCCGTACCGCAACAGCTCAGATCAGCTCAGCTCAGCTCGGCTCCGGCCCGGAAACCAACAACCCCTCTTTCCTCAAGCCGGATTCGGGCAAAAAGCTAGCGTCACAAGACTGACTGGCTAGCCTGACAGGTCCTCAAACACACACGGAAGCTCAGCTCCCCAGCCGGGCTCTAAACCGTCCCCCAGTATCCACACACATACACACACATTACAGCCGCACGTGGTGGAATGTCTCGCCCATGTGGCGCCGCCACGAGAGTGTGATAACTCTCTAATATAGTACAGAGAACCAGCGTCCAAGCCCGAGCCCCGGCCCAGGCCTCAGCTGCCAAGGCTGCCCAGAGTCGAGGCGCGACGCGCCCGCCAGAACAAAAAAGTCAAGACAGGGAACGACATCGGGGACGGGGAAGAAGAATGGCCTACCAAGGCCATTGGCGTCCCCGCTCCTCTCGATTCACTGGAGGGCTGATGTGCGGGGAGACGGCGTGAATCTTTGCTTGATCGCACCGGATGGTGAATGCCCGCACTCCGAAGCCGAGAGCTTGGTAGGGAATGGCTCGGGGTCGGATTGAGGAGTCAGCCATGATTATTTGGGGAGATAAGCTTAAGACTAAGCGAAACTCAAGGAGTGTAGTGCCGCGTGGTGCACACGCTCTTTTGGTTGGGCCCGGTGCGTTTGCTCCAGGCATCAGCTTTTGGTGTTCTCGTAGAATGCAGACAGGATGTGATTCACATGTACTTTTGGGGGGACATTGGACAATTTCACAGGAGCATCATGGAGTGGGCACTCTGATGCGATGTGCTTGAAATACATTGCTGTGCCAAACATGAACCCGAAATCGCACTGGCAGTTGCCCATATCAAGGGGTTGAGTAGGCTCTGTAGCATGCACCTCGATCATTATCTCTGCTTCCCATCATGTGGACTTTTCGACGGCAGGCACAGTTTGTCGCACATCTTTCCACATGGGAGACCCGCGTCATTGCTAGTGATAGGCTATAGGGACGTACTGTGATTGCGTATACTGTATATATAGCGTACCTTAGGTGCCTAGTGTAGGTACCATTAATTATATGCTGCCACTGCTTCTCAAAAGGGGAGGTGCTCAAGGTCCCCCAGATGCTTGTTTCGACCACGCGTCTCGCGCCTGCCTCTCGCCGTCGCCCGTCTGTGGAGCCGGCATGCACCACCGTTCCCCACAAGTAAGTCAACTGTCAAGCAAGGTCGCTGCCTAAGGCAGGCCTCGTCATCTGAACAATGCCTTTGCATGCGAATTTTGAGAACCTCTCTGCGGTGATGTTTCGTCGCTGGCGGAGGGCGCCAAGGTCCCTCCCTGGCCGGCCTTGCGGTGTAAATGCCGCTCAAGGTCTCCCCCCCCCCTTGATCACTCCTCTTTCGTCGTAGAGGACGGCAAATGACTCAGACCGGGCCAATGGTATCGTCCAGTCGCCGCTTCGTCGATGTTTTTCATGTTAGAAAAGCGCGCGTTTGGAGGGGAGCCTATAGCGGAGAAAGCCCATTCGCTGGGATGGGATGAGTTAGGCAGCCTCGCGAGCCTCGCGGTCTCTCGCGGGCCTCGACAACGGGATGTGGTGGAATGCCTATGGATCCCTTCGTCTGTCGTCCCCACCGCTGGTGCAGAGGCATCGTCATTTCAAGGCGCCGCTGACCTACGGAGTCGCACGATCTCCATGGCCGTATGCTTGTAGCTAGCACGCTTGCAGGGAACGCTCTACAACTCTCGAGAAGCAAGGCCCTTGAGGGACATCTGTCATGGCATTAAAAGGCTCAGGCAAGCCAGCAAAGAAAGTACATAAAGAACATCTGCCGAACATATCGTCTCTGGATCACAAGAGCAATAGCAACGAATTTCTTCATAGTCATCGACAAGAACACATACACCTCATTACACATATCCCGCTCTACATCCTTGTTGACCTACAAGACGAAATGCCTTCCGACCACGCCACCACCACGCCCAGCAACGCCGATTGCGCCGGCAGCACCTATACCGACACTGACTCTGTGTGGTCATACGACGCAAAGACCGAGAAGGCCTCTGGTTCGGCCACCACCAGAAAGCAGTCCGCTGCTGCCACGGACAGCAAGCTGACGCCCGAGCAAGTCGCCAAGTTCAAGAAGAGTCAGTCACAGTCTTTCCTCCCCGGGATGTACTGTGAGAAGGGGCAGGCAAACTGGGCACCTTGGGGCTTTTTGCTAACTAGGGAACACCGGGCTCAGCGAGCATGGAGAACGTCTTCCGGATCATTGGTTAGAACGCTGCAAGGAAACATGACGATCTTTCCCTCGGCAGTCTTTCATACTGGGGCATGGCGATGCGCCCCAGCTCCAGATCTGGCGCGCGGAATGACTCCTTGGGGAGAGACACTTCTGGTTGTTTATGTTTCATTGTTGAGAGGTAAATGCTGATTTAAGTCAAGAATTCTGATGCATAGCAGAACATGGTCTGCCTCCCATGAGGATCTGTAATGGCAGCCAGATGCGGAGTCAAGCATTATTGTGATGAGGTTGACATGAAGGAGGGCTAGGAGGTTAGGTGAGAAAGCAAGGGGGACGGATAACGAAAACTTAAATTGAGAGAAAAGAGTAGAAAAAAAAGTATAAAACACAATAAATCGTATACTTTCTCCGCGGAATACCTGCGGAGAATGGAAGAAACTATGCCGAACGCCATCGTGTACCTCATGAACTTCAAGCAAACCAACCACGTATGACGATACTTACGGATAGATTGACAGAAGGTAAGTTGTACTTTCATTGCTGGCGTGGATGCGCCAATGTTAATGGTAGCATGAATCCTGACTGGGGTTTTGATGATGGGCGTAGCCGTTGCCAGTTACCGAACACGGAGGTCCAACGCCTGACGGGACCCGTCAAGGGTGTCGGAGGCATCGGAGTTCGGCCGGAGGCTGAAAAGGACTCAGAGCGTGCGGCAGTACCGACTGCGGTATTACCTACGGTCAGAGCCCACTAAGAACAGCCCACGACGTGGACACGACCGTTCCCGTGTCAGACAAGAAGATTGTGGGAATGGATATAAGCGCGGACTGTATCTGTGACCGAGCCGCGCGTTCTTTATTCCCCTCCTATGTCAACCAAGTGACAATTAGGGCAATTCAGGTCGGCAGCCACAGGCGAAACCAGGCTGGTGAATGGGCCGGCCGTGTTGTCGTGGTGATGTAGTAGCCCGTGCCTGGGTCCCAAGCCACCAAAGCGGCTTAATAGGACGGGGGGACCCTCTTGCGGTGCCGGTGCCTTGGGACCGGGAGCAATGCGCTGTTTTCGGGTGCGCATGGTTGCCTAAGGCCAGCGTCGTCATCACAAGACGTTGCTTCCCTCCCATTCCAGACGCACTGTTGCACTTTTGGTGCTGGCGGCAAGGAAGCAGTCAGTCAGTCCCCTGCAGCCCTAAACCCTTGGCAGCGTGGTTTATGCAAGGGTGCGGTAGAGGCAATTTCGACCGCTCGCCAGCGAGGTCGCGTGCTCGTGGATGTCTGGTGCAGCACCCTCCCATTCGTAAATGACTTTCCTAAAAATGACCACATTGAGGGGTTTCCGCCATTCGTCGTGAGCGCAAAGATGGCGGCGGGACTGCCCCGGAATCAAACTCGAGTCCGGCTGGGAAGTCGGCGTCAGAGGCAATTCATGGACGTGCTAATGAGAGAGATTTTAGTGAGTAACAATGTTGCTGCAGAGCCGCAAGACTACAAAAGGCCACACCCTTTCGCAAATCACTACGCCGAAAAGAGGGTTTGGCCACCACTTGATCATATCCAACAACAACAACAACACTTTGCCGCTACCTCGAAGCAGACCTTTTACACATTATACAAGTACTTCTTCAATACAAGATGCCTTCCAACGTCACCACCACCATCACCACCAAAGGTAGCGCTGATGCCGCCAGCACTTACACCGACACCGAGTCCGTGTGGTCTTATGAGGCCAAAGATGATGCCAAAACGACTTCTCAGACGTCTGGCAGCAAGCAGTCTTCTACAAAGACAGCTGGTCAGATGACAGCTGAAGATCTCGCCAAGCTCAAGAAGAGTAAGCTATCTCTCCCACTGGAAACTCATGTGATCAACGATTATAGAGCAGCTTGGTTGATACAACTCTATCCTAGTGAGCATGGAAAACGCCGTTCGAAACAGCTGCTAGATGTAAAAGACGGGCCACCCAGGCAAAAGGCACACGGGGGCAGGATCTCACTTGTCCAGCATGTGACCGAGACCCCGGGAGGATCCCCTTTTACAACAGCCAGTCAACCATAAGCATGAAGGGTGTAGAGTAGTCCAGACACAATCAGATCAAATGCCAAGCAAGGTCAAGACAGTACATGAGAACAACAAGTGCTCTACCCACACGGCTTGTAGTATATTGTGGTACCAGTCTACGTCTAGAGTTTTGCCCTGATAGGCTTCTCCTCAAACACCCTCGTCCCACGCGCTCTACTCACATCCCTCTCGCGGGCCTTGAGCACTCTCCGCAGGAGCTTGCCCGTGGGGTTCTTGGGCAGCTCTTCCACAAACTCGACCTCGGCGAGCCACTTGTACTTGACTTTGGTGTTTTTGACCAGGTCCATCAGCTTCCTGCCCATTGCTTCTTCTTCCTCCTTGCTCTTGCCACCAACCACAGCCACTTTCCCAGTTCTCTTCTTCAACACCACAAAAGCCTTTGGCCTCTCTCCCGAATAGTCCTCTGGGACGCCGACCACGGCCACATCCTCGACTCCCTCATGGCCCAGCAGCACGGCCTCGAGCTCCGCAGGCGCAACCTGCTGGCCCTTGACCTTGATCATCTCCTTGATCCGGTCCTCGATATGAATCAGCCCTTCGTCATCGATGTAACCAACATCCCCCGTATGCAGGAACCCTTCGTCATCAAACGTCTCCCTTGTGGCAGCCTCGTTGCCCAGATACCCCATGGCGATCTGCGGCCCGCGCGCGCAGATCTCGCCCGTCTGCCCCGGGCCCAGCATGACGCCCGGGGGATCGTCGAGGGAGACTACCTTTGCCTCGGTGTTGGCGACCAGTAATCCCCCCGTGGCCGCGTACTTGTAGTCAAAGTGCGTGCTCGGGTGCGCGGATATGCACGCCGTCGACTCGGTGGCGCCGTAGCCCTGGCGGAACCCGGTGCCGGGGAACTTGCGGCCGAGCTGCTGGACGACCTCGTCGCTGACGGGCGCGGAGCCCGAGGAGAAGCGCTTGACGATGCTACGGATCTGCGACAGATACTTCTTTCCGTCACTCCTGTTTTTCTTGTTGTTTTCCTTGTCGTCGTCGTCGTCGAGGTTGTCCTCGTCCAGCAGCGGATCCCGCACGAACCGCGTGATGATGGGCGGGACGAGAATGAGGTCTTCGACCCGGTACTCGACGATGGCCTCGAGCATCGCCTCCATGGTGAACCGGGGCAGCATGATCGAGTAGCCGTTCATGAGCACCGGGTACGTGCAGAACCGGACCAGGCCCGTGATGTGGAAGAGCGGCATGACGGCGAGGATCTTGTACCGCCCGCCCTCTGCCACTGGCAGAACCTGCAGCTGCCGCAGCTGGTGGCACTGCGCGATGATGTTGTGGTGCGAGAGCATGACCGCCTTGGGCAGGCCGGTCGTGCCAGAGGAGAAGTTGAGGAATCCACAGACCTGCTTGTTCGTCTTGCCTTGGGGGATGCGGTAGTAGTCCACCATCCCGGCCTCTGGGCCCTCCTCCTCCGCCTCCTCTTTCTCCTCGTTGATCCTTGCCTTTGGCGACGACGACGACGACGATGACGACGAACAAGAAACCTCCCTAATCAGACTCTGCACACTTACAAACCCGTCCTGCTCGCCCTCAAGCAGCAACACCTTCTCCCTCGGTATCCCCACCTGATCCGCCGCCTGCAGCGCCACGTCCAGGGTCGCGCCGGGCAGCGTGATGAGCACCTTTGTGCCCGCCACCGCGAGCGCGTGCGCCATCTCGTCGGCCGTGTACGCCGGGCTGGCGCCGTTGACGCGCCCGCCCACGCGGACCGTCGCCCACATGGCCACGGGGTACCAGATCGAGTTTGTGCTGAAGAGCGAGACCGTCTCGCCGGCCCGCAGGCCGTACCTGCGGGCCAGCGCCGTGCTGAGCCGCGCCGCGGCGCTCTTGACCTCGCCGAAGTCGAGCGTTTGCTTGGTGAACGCGTCCGTGTAGTGGCCTAGCGATGGCAGGGTGCTCCTCCCTGCTGCTTGGTGTTGTTGGTCTCCCAGGCCCTGCTGCTGCTGCTGCTGCTGCTGTAGTTCCGCCCGGGCCACTGGGGAGTAGGCCGGATGCTCAAAAGCCCATTCCCATGTTGTGATGTCCGTGGGGACTGTTGTGTGACGGAATCCAAAGGTTAGAAAAGAGAGACAATGAACAAAGAGAGTGAATTGATGTCGTCACTCAAGGGGTTCGAATTACTGGTTGCAACAGTCGTGTAAGTAAATCAGAAATGTAAACTTACTCTCCAAGGTCGGATGGACAGACTTCCACAGCGTCATCTCGGCCAATTTCTAATAGTCTTCACTATTTTTCAGCTTTCCCTTTGTATTTTTCTTGGCAGAACGACTCCAATATGCAGTCAACTACCAGGCCAGCTTTTGTATGTGCTCCTGTGGCAGCACGGCATAGCCTACAATTCAGTCGCTCCAAAAGTGCGGGGAACGTGGAGACACACCTCGGCGCGCTTTTCTGGGGAACTGGGGTAACGACTCTCCAATTGGGCGGCAGCTATCTAAACGGGGCTTCAGCAAAATCTCCAGATCGGAGCGTTTGGTCCAGCATATAGAATTTGTCATGATTCTTGTTCTATGTGCAGCCAATGCGACGGTCCCTTTCCCTCTGCAGCAGAAAAACCGCGAAAAGTTTGTGTCCCAATTTCAAGCCGCTGACAGACTTCTGGAATATCGCCCCCCCTCTGTCCATAGCAACACAATGTTCTAGTAAGTCCTCGCGCGACTTCTGTTAAATGTTTCCGAGTCACAGACTAGGCCAGGCCGATGCACTCCCAGATTACAGACGAGCACTGAGAATGAAAGCAACCCCAGAAATAGGATACGTCTTTGCCGCTACGATCCTCGAGCAAGTGCCCAGATTTCCCCCAGGGTGGTACCTATCTAAAGCACCTTGGTCGATATTCACTTTCTTGTTGAGGACTCGAAGTAGCTTCAGCTCATGCCCTTGGCACAGGAGAAATATCTCATAAGCATGACTGTTCACCCCCTTCCTGAGGTTCATGTTTTAGCACGTTCTCCCAGGAAGCTGTCCTTGGGGCAGAAGCGAAGAACCGGCCGAGATTGCTCGCGCGCGGATGAAATACCCCGACTCAGGATAGGAAGGAAGGCGATCACTTGCTGGTGGCATATCCGCGCGTACAGAGACGCCCCGGTCTCCATTCTCCCGTGCTTCTATAGCTTCTACCGAAGTCTATTTATATTCATAACCCTGGTTGTTGTCGGTTTTTCTGTCGCTTTCACGCTAGCCGTCCCAGCACACCCTCCCATGGCCTCAGCGGCACCATGCTTCGTGCAGGCTTGCCCGGCCTGCCCGCGATATACGTGCCCCTCTCCCACTGCCTGATCTCCATGCCCTCGGGCACATACCACTCGACCTGCCGGGCCGAGAAGTTGAGCAGGACGAGCCACTTCTCGGCGCCGTCGGCGCTGCTCCGCGTGTACGCAAACACCTGGGGGTGCTCGTGGTCGAGCTCCTGGAAGCCGCCGTACACGAGGGCCGCGGCGTGCTCCTTGCGGTCGGCCAGCGCGCGCTGCCAGAACCTCCAGACCGAGAGCGGCCGCTCGTCGTCGCCGGCGGTGCCGATGGCGGTGGCGGCAGGCGACGACAAGTCGTGCTTCTTCTGCTGCTGCTGGGCCTCGACGTTGACCTCGCGAAAGTCGTCCATGACGCGCATCCACGGCTTGACGCCGGCGTCGCAGAACCCGGCATTGTCTGCGGCGGACCACTGCATGGGCGTGCGCGAGTGGTCGCGCGCTTTCGCGTCGATGACGGCCCTCGCGTGCTGCAGCATCTCCTTGTCGCCCTTGTAGATCTCGCAGCACTTGCTCCAGTAATTGATGGTCTCGATGTCCTTGTACTCACTCACGTCCCACTCGAGCGGGGCGTTGCGCATGCCAATCTCCTCGCCCTGGTACACGAAGAGCGTGCCGCCGAGGGTGGTCTGCATGAGCGCGAGCAGGCGGGCGCCGTGGTGCCGCCACTTGTCGCTGTCGTCGGCGTAGCGCGAGACGGAGCGCGGGTTGTCGTGGTTCTCGATGAAGATGGCGTTCCAGCCGTTGTTGTTGATCATGACGTTCTGCCACTTTGCCACGATGGTCTTGACGTCCTGCAGCCCCCACGGCTTGAGCCCCATGCGGACGTGGCCCTTGTCCACGTCGACCAGGTCGAAGATGAAGATCATGCGCAGCTCGCCCGCGTCGGCGCCCACCGTGCGCAGGATCTCGCGCTCGTCGCTAACCCCCGGCATCTCCCCGACCGTGATGGTGTCGTACTTGCTCAGCACCTCGCGGTGCATCTCGCCCAGGTAGTCGTGCAGCTTCGGCCCGTTGACAAAGTACTTGAAGGCCGGCTGGTACTTGTGGCCGGCAGAGAGGACGACCTCTGCGTCGGGGAGGCCGGGCACCTTGGAGATGAGGTTGATGACGTCCATGCGGAAGCCCGCGGCGCCGCGCTTCATCCAGAAGTGCATCACGTCCCAGACCGCGGCGCGCACGTCGGGGTTCTCCCAGTTGAGGTCGGGCTGCTCGGGCGTGAAGATGCTCAGGTAGTACTCGCCAGTCTTGTCGTCAAAGGTCCACGCCGAGTTGCCCTCGCCGAGGATCTGGGCCCAGTTGTTGGGAGGGCCGCCGGTCTTTGGGTGCGGCTTGCGCCAGATGTACCAGTCGCGCTTGGGGTTTTTGGCGCGGTCGCTGGACGAGCGGCTCTCGAGGAACCACGGGTGCTCGTTGCTCGTGTGGTTGACGACGAGGTCCATCATGAGCTTCATGTCCCGCTTGCCCAGCTCGCGGATGAGCTCGTCGACGTCATCGAGGGTGCCGTATATGGGGTCGATCTGCTTGTAGTCGGCAATGTCGTAGCCCATGTCTGCCTGCGGGCTCTTGAGGATGGGCGAGGACCACAGCACGTCGACACCCAGGCTCTTGAGGTAGTCGAGCCGCGAGGTGATGCCCTTGATCGAGCCCCAGCCCGAGGTCGCGCCCGCGTGCGACTGGAACGAGGCCGGGTAGATCTGATACACAACCGCCTCCTTCCACCATTGCGGCGTGGCGTACGAGCCCGCCGGCGCAGAGGAACCCATTGTGGAAATGCTGCGGAACTGAAAAGTGGTGTCGCAGTGGTCAATACGTATCGCCTGCCAGATGACAGAGCCGGGGTGTGGGGGAGGGGCGACTCCGGGTGTATCCTTCCGTAATCGGAAGCACACCTTTGTCCGCTGCTTAATCTTTTGTTTCGAGGGGATGAAATTCAGTGTAGGGAAAGACGAGCAAGATTAGGAAAAAGATGAGAAAGTAAGAAGAAAAGAAAAGAAAAAAAAGGGAGGGAGTAGCACTTCAGTCGCGTCCTGGGAAACGCACCTTAGTAGATGAGAACCAGCCGTGTCTCTGGCTAGCCAGGCCGGACCAGAGCCCCGTCCAAGCGTGCTCCGGAGCGGAGAATGAGGGGAACAGGCCCACTCGCCGCCGCAACAAGCGGAGCATCGTCGACTCCACGCCCCAAAGATTGCTCCGAGATATACTCCGCCCAGTGCTTCGCTCCGCAAATGGCAAGCCCGTGGAACCTCGCAGAGCCGTCGAAAAGTGCCAGTGCAGACTGGGAGAAGCGTCTTCAGATGCCGCTCGAATGCTCGTCAAATATCCAAACAGCCAGCAGTAAGTGCACTGCGCGGTGACGAGCTCAACAAAAACACAAGCATGGCGTCACATGTAGAGGTGCTGCGAGACATGATGACGTTCCTAGTCCACCAGAGGCAGACATGCTTAAACCACACACTCAACGACATGCTGTCACGCATGGATGTGAAGCCATGGCACAATGACGCTGGAAGCTCACCCAGGCAAACGTGTGCAACGACGCGATCGAACCGCTCAGTCACTCGTGGATGTGCCGCCTGAAATGATGACGCTGTAAGCCCACTTGAGGCAACGTCATGGTGGGATGTCTATTGATCTTTTCTCGTTGCGATGGTGTTCCCACCATTTCTTTTGGTTGCAAGCCTGCAGGCCTTGTTCGCTCAAAAGCAAGGGATATCATGGCTTTTCCTGCTCCAAACTCCTGTCGCTCGTCCCTCAATGCGACCGCCGCTCCTAAGCGCAGCGACCAGCAAGTGCCTTGCTCGACTCACGACTGCTTGATCACCTTCGAGACATGAAGGCACTTTCAATCTTGTCCAACTGTCCTCCGGGAACACACCGCTCAATACCAACTAGAAACCTGCGCCGTTCATTGTCGTGTCAAAAGGTATCGGGTCCATCGTCATGTAATCCAACAGGTCAACACCGCCAATGTTAACGCCTTGATCAGTCATGGTGACATTACTGTTCTCGCCGACGTTCTGAAAGAGTCCCGGGCCAGGAGGGAGATACCACAGTTCATCGTCGACGGTCCATTCATTCTGCGCCTCAAACGTGTTGTTTTCAGCCAGGTTACTTGTCGGCTCTAGAGAATTGCCGTTCACTGTCTGCGGAGCAAACGCCGTGCCAAAGATGGAGGTCGCTCCAGGCGGGTATGGAATGCCATCGACAGGCATGTCAAACGGTGTGGCTGATATGGCCGGTGTAGAGACACGTTCTGCAATCACGTCAGTCCTTGTATACTCGAAATGCGAAGCCAGTATGCTGAGAACGTACCAGGTACTGCCAAGCCAGGCCGCAGCTGGGCTGGCTCGACTTTGACATCGCCGTTCGCCCCTTCACGGGCTTCCCCATTGGTCGCATTGGCTTTGCCATCTGCATCGTTCGTCTTCGTTGGCGCATACTTGAAACGGTCCCGCAGCCGGTCAGTGAGAGATTCGAGGAGATCACCAAAGCGAGTACCCAAGTGAATGTCATCGACAATGCATGTGCGGAAAGCATCCACAGTCTGGTCGAGGAGATTGATGCTGAACTCGACGTCTGACTTGGGCGCTCCAAGAGCAAACGTCTTCAACAAGAACATCGCGCCACTGATGATTCTGAAGTACGTGCGGACCGGCGCGTGCTGGAGGTAGCCTGAAGGCCGGAGACCTTCTACGACTGACCGCAGCAGACTTCGAGAGCCCTCAACGACCTCTTTGATATATTCCTGGTCCGCCGCGCCAAATCCACCCAGATGACCTAGTGGTAGGTTACCAAGGTAATTCTGCGCGCGTGGCGAGTATCCATTTGAAGCATTGCCGCCAACTGCATTACTCGTGCTCCTCTCCACTACGGCTTGAAGCGCCAAAGAGTTGACGTAAATCCGCACATACTCGTACTCGATCGTAAGGATGTGTCGGTGGACTTGAGGGAGGTTGAAGCGTTCGAATTCGGCCCACCAGTTGCGCAGCAGTGGTCCGAACTCTTTGAGAAGCTCCACGTACTTGCCGCTCTGGATAATTGCGGTTGTATGCTTCCGTGATTTGAAGAGGCGCTCATTGCCAAGATGCATGGCATTGCTCACTCCGACCCAGCATTGGATAACCTGATCGTCGAGCTCAACATTCGGGACGTAGCTGAAGCCAGTGGAGAGGTGCGTCTGCGGGGTGGTCCCTTCATGGGACGTTGGGCGCCGGATTGATTTGGAGAAGACCGGATCAGTTTTGCGGATGCTTTCGGGCACCATATTAGTCCATCCAAGACGTCCGGCCAACTGCGTGGCGTAGACAAGGAGGAGACGCTTGATCCTAGTGGCTCTGAGACGGTACACTTCGTCCTCATACTCTGGTCTGTCGATGAGGTCGTTCTCTAGTAGCACCTCGATGTCGTCGAAGACGCCGAGCTCATACGCAAGGCCCATAGCATTGCTAAGTAGCATCCAGCACATGCGATCGCTTCTCCACGCAGGCTCAAGCCAGCTCTCGATTCTCCGGCCACCGCCAAGTCGTTGGGCACTGTCGTCGTCGGGGGTGGCAGAAGAGACATCTCGAGCTGGCAGCATAAGCTCATCAATGGCCTCACCAGGTGGGAAGTGAAGCGCGCGGGGGTGCCACTCAGTCAGAATCATGAGCGACTCGACCGTGCCCAGCGTTCGCAGGCTGCCTTTCCGCAGGCCTCGCCAGGGCGCAGTGCTCGACGTCTCCGACTCATCGGCGCCAGACCCGCAGAAACCACCGCCAAAGGCCTCCTGGCCCCAGAGAATGCGCTCGATCATCTTCCTCAGGTATCTCCACAGCTCTTCATGTATCGCATGCGAGCGACAATGGCCGCCTGACGTCTTGATAGAGTAGTACCGAGAAGCGATGGTAAGCAGTGTGACCGAGAGTACCGGCTCTTCTGTCAAGAGCGTGCTGTGAGATCCTGGGTTACGGAATGTCGGAGGCGATATTGGCGTCAATGGGGAGAGGAACTCATAGTAGCTTGGAGCAAAGGGCTCGTCAGTTCAGTGACCAGTAGGATGAAAACAATGTTGGGCCGGGACAGCTCACTAAACGATATACTTGATTGCCTCCTCCTTGGTAAACCAGCCAGCCCGCACAAAGCGGAAGCGCGACCAAGCCTGCAGGGCTTCGGCATAGCCTTCTTCATGCTCGACGCTAGCAAGCTTCCTCTCGATCTCTTGCTTGTCCTTCCCGGCAACCTTTGGGATTCGAGGGTCGACCGGAGCGGCGGGGCGTGGGTACTGACGAGGTGGTCTGCGGTCGGAGGAAAACGAGACACTCTGTTCTCGGGAGGGCCGTATTGGCGGACGGCCTGTTGGCAAGGGCTGGGGTGCTGTGGAGGAAACACTATCCTGGGGTGTCTGTAACACATGAGGACTATACCGGAAACGAGTCAGCTATACAGGTTCGTGGATGTTCGCGGCAGCTTGCACATAGCCGTTTCCAAGGTGAACGGGGGGACTGACCTGTCTGTGGCCGCCTTGTAGAGAAGATCGAGAGCGTCATGCGGGCCGTAGACCTCCTTCCGCATGACACTTTGCGCCTCGATATTTTCAACGTGGGCATTCGAGTCCTCGTGGCTGTTGGACATGCCCTCATGCCGCCCCGGGCCCTCACTCGGTCTTTTCAGCGGCAAAGTCCTACCGGAGCTGCCGCCGGGCGTCAAGGGCGCACTGCTGTATGACCTCCGCTCCGGCACGGGAGGAGTGTCGTCGAGATAGTGCCGCTTGCGCCCATTGCGAATGATGTACTCGTCGTCGTACTCCTCGAGAGCCTCGTCACCTTTTCTCTTGCGCCGCGTGGCACTGAAGAAGCACTCCTTGCTCTCGCGGCGACAGCGGACGCATGGCGGGTCGTGAGGGTTGTCGACACTGCCGAGGTCGCATCGGACCTTCCTCCGGCGGCAGGGAATGCATGCCTGGTAGACACGCTTGTGCTGGGGATCGCCCGCGACGGACGAGGCAGAACCAGCCGCACCAGTAGGTGCTCCTGGACCAGCAGTCTGTGGTTGCTCTGAAGGTTGCTTGGTGAAGGCGGCGGACATGGCCACTGAAGGCACGGCAGGCAGCGACCGCGATCAGGCGGCGAGGGGCGGGAATGCCAGGCTGGGGGTCCAGAGGGCCGGGTGAACCCGCGGGGGGGTCAAGGCGTGTCGCAGCGGGGAGAGATTGCCTGACACGGCGCTGCTTTGGGGGTCTGCAGAGACCTGTCGGCGTGGTATGATGGTTGTGCGTGGCGGTACGCAGTGGTGCGGAGGAGCTTGCTCGGTGCGAGGCAGAGCGCGGTTTAAGACGGGTTTTGGGGGCTTTTGTTGTCAGGTGGAGAGCCTGATTGTCCGTGGATGGGCCCCCCAAAGAAACAACTCCGGGGACGACTTGTGAAGGACCTCGGGAGCAACCACAGGGCAAAACACGCTGAGGGGGCCCGTTAGCTCCACCTGGACATCCAGCTAGGCTAGCCCGTGGCGGGGGGTTCAATTGATGCGCTGCGATTGTGGGGAAGGGAGCTGGGTTAGAAAGCTCGTATCTTAGTAAGGTACGTGTACTGGACCTCCTCAAGACGTAGGCGAGCGAGGTACCAAGACTGTATCGCCCTCAGCCCATAAAAACTGGAGTCCAGAGGGGATGGATCGTGGTCACCAGAGTTTTCATGGTGCGACCCCAAACAATCTCTGGCTGCGCCGGCTGGCCAAGCTTGGACTCACTCACTGGCTTGGGCCTGGCGACGTGAATCACCTGCAGACTTTGACAAGCCTCGAGCCGCAAAGGGCGCCTGGATGATAATTGCGCGCTTCCACCATCACCGCCAACTTGCTGCCCGTACCCGCACTCCACAAATCCCCAGCGCGAATGGCAGCCCGCCCGCCTGCCTGCCCCCCTTGACTGATCGAGGCAGGGCTGGGGGGAGGGATCCAGGACGAGAAACCCCGCTCCGTCGAGAAAATAACGATCCATGCGGTCCGAGTCTCGTCTCGAAGCAGTGGATGTGCATCATCGCCTAGACTCGATCCAGCAAGTCGATTGGTATCCTGGCTGCTCGTTTCGCGTATCTATCTCTGCATCCCATGTGACACGCCAGGACGCCCAGGAATGTTCTCAATGTCTCTTGCTGAGGATCTTTGTCGATCTGACTGCACAACAACACCGCAGTTGTGCTCGTCGCGCTTCTCCGGCCGTCCCGGGGCCGGGGTCATCTGACAGCAGAAACCCTTTTCTGGGCACGGCATTGCATGCCAGGAAACTAAAGCAGGCTCCAGGACACGGCATCGCAATGGCAACAATGAGCCGCGTAATTGTGCCAGACGCACCAGCCAGCCCTCATTACGCAACTCTTACGTCGCAGCCGTCCGGTGCCTCGCCTAGTGCCAGCCCGCCGTCTACTCCCACGTCCAGAGAGGCTGGCCGTGGGGTGCTGTTGAATTTGGGGCAGGTCTGTTTTACCCTGCCATGCCCTGAGGTCTTAGAGGTTGGTTGCCTTGCATTGCATGTGGCAGAGTTCCCACCATCATGGAACATGCCCAACTGCCACACGCCCTATTGGCCCGGAAAGCCCTCCAGCTGCGTCCGGCGACTTATCTTCGCAGCCAGATACCCGGACCCGGACCAGGGTGCATTTCTGGATGATGCGAGCCCAGGCCAAGCATACTGGGAGGCTGATGGCCGCTGTGATGTGGTGTTCCGATTGGTGTCTGGAGCCTAACAATGTCACCGCCGCTGCCCCTCAGTGCAGCACAACGCGATCATCTGACCTAGCAGACAGCAGACAAGAGATCAAGTTTGTTGAGAGAAAATCTCTTTAATGCGCGTGAGGAAATGCCATCAGGGTGTTAGCTTGCATGCTTCGTTTGTCCCCGCTGCCCATACTCGAGCCTATTTTGTCCCTTCGGACTGAATGCTCCAAAGATCTGGCTGAGCATGACAGGAAATGAGCAACCAATAAGACGGTGAGACGAAGAAGCCTGCCAAAGAGATACCACCATGATTTTCAATGCGGCAAGATGCCAAAGATTCCACACACATACACTCACACACACACACACATATATATGAAGAATGTATACCCACACATGCGTTGTGAGGTAAACGCCGCTACCTTCTTGGTGAATTGCCTGATCTGCCGGATCATTTGGCAGTCTAGTTGGTGGCCCAAAGCTGCCTTTTTGGGCAGGAAGCACCCGCGGACGGCACTGGCCAGCCAGCCCTGCACATGTTTGCAGTAATCCTGCGTGGTTGGCAAATTCGACGCCAAATCACGCCGAGCACATGGCCATTCCTGTCCATAGGTGGACAATCTTGTCGATATGCCGGCAAGTTCTCAGCAGAATACTAAGTGGTAAGGACAGATCTCAATGGTGGCCATGTCCGCCCCGAATGCACAATAAACGTGGTGGACTTCCCTCACGAGGCAGCAGCAAAACTATTGTGGTGTTTCTTCTCATTTTTTGCCAATGCCTAGATTTTGGGCTGTGAAGTAAAGCAGAAACGCCAAAGAACCAAGCTTCCTCTGGGTGCGACCACACAGCACACATGGTAGCGATTGCGGACTGCAGCATCTGCGCGCAAGTAGCCATTAACATGCTCGCCGCCCGGCGTAGATCTTCTCATGATATGCGGTGCTCAGCAATGATGAATTTCCCAATGTCTATCCGAAATCTCATTGGCACGTCTCTGCCTTGGTGTACCTGCCGTGTAGGATCCTGCTGTGCCGGCTTGGACTATACGAGCTTTTGCTCGGCCTTGGAACAGGGTATGTGCATGTTAGTCACGTCAAATGCCTGAGAAACACGCCCGTCACTTAATGCATATCCGGTGGCGCAACTCACCAGGAAATCCCAAAGCATCTTGGCCAGGCTGTCAGACAACGTGTACAGATCGACCGAGAACTCACCCGCCTCCATGTCGTTCTTGGTGTACGTGTCCTCGGTCTTGTGGTCATGGATCATCTGGATGACATGCAGCAGGTCGTCCTCGTCGAGCTTGGTGAGGGCGTCGCCCATCTTCTCAAAGTCGTAGGCCGACTTCTTCTTGCTCCCGCTCTTGTCGCCGGCCTTGCGCGGCTTGTCCTCAGAGATGGGGCCCGTCTCGCGCAGAATAGCCTGGAGCGCCTGAGAAGGGTTCTTGAACGTGTACGTGTGCACGTTCTCATACTCGTTGGCCGCAAAGTTGAGGTCGTGGAAGATGGTCTGCTTAGCCTTTTCCGTCGTGTAAATGTCGATGGACATTTCAAACTCGCCCCATCCTTCGTTCTGGCATGTGAACGGCGGTTCGTGGAAGGCTAAAGATCATGCGGTGTCAGCTGTGTTCGTTGCTGATATCCGGTAACACAGCACGCGCGTAGGCTCGGCCCAAATGGGTTCTAACGTACTCTGATTTGGGTTCTCAAAGGAAGGGTGGAGGTTATAGGTGACCTTGTTGAAGCAGGTCGCGGGCTTCGAATTACCGGCCTCGTCGAGGACGTAGATCTTGACATTCCACTCGCGCATGGGGAAGCCCTCCATCCCCGAGTCCTTGGGGCTGTTATTGATAAACCCATGGTTAGTATCTGAGCACGACTGGGCAGCCGTGGGGAATCATGTGCCAGTCGCTCGAGGGATGACGCGGAGCAGCTCTTCCCTGCGACTCGTGCGGGTGGCGGGGACTAGCGGAGGACGTACATGGTGCGCTGTTGCGTCACGAACTTGATTTTGCGCTGTAGTGAAGGCATGCCGAGTCAGATGCTGAGCTTCTGTCTAGAGGTCGTTGTGATGCAACAGAGAGTGGGCATGCGGAGGCTGTGGTCTGCGAGTGGGACAGTCCGTTGTTTGCCAGGCAAGCGGGAGCGCCGAGCCGTTGGGCGGACGGCGCACAAACGCGTCGTAGCCTCGTCGTCGTACAAGAAGCAGGCGATCAAGCCTGCAAGCTGCCCGGGAAGGCGCGACAGCATGCACGACGTCTGAGTGCCTGCCCTCCGAGCTGTACTTGTCCATGCGCATCCTAGGCATAACGAGCCAGACCAGGCGCATTCGCAATGGCTTCACGGCGTGACGCGCTTTTCTCCATGGCCCATCGGCGATCCGAACTCACCTCGATGATCATGGCTGTGGTGTGTTGCGGAATTGTCTGCGAGGTGGTACGAGGTGGATGAGCTCGCGCGGTGCGAGTGTCGTCGTCACAGTGGCTCCGGAGATCGCCAGTCGGAGTCGTATGCGCGGTAGGTCGCCTGGTCGCAGTCAGCTCGGCGGAGGCTGCCGGTTCGAAGCGTGTGAGGCCTAAGGCGCGCAGAGTCGGAGCGGACAGTCGTCGATGCCGTGCTTCGTTTGGAACAGCTAGGTGGTGAGTTGCTCGTCGTCTGGCTTAGACTGTCTGGAGTGGCGCGCGTGTCTGGATTGGCTCCAGGCAATTAAGCTTGCTTCCAGTGCTTCGCGCCTCGCACGCGCTCCAAAGTTGTCCACCTAGGCAGACCAGGTCCGCATCCAGGGCTGTTTGTGGGGCACTGGGTACGTACCACATCTCCGCCGTCTCAAGCTCTCAGGGCTGACCTGGACACCTTAGCACGCCCAATTTGACTCTCTCCCCACGAGGGTGAGATAGCAAGAGGTTAGCAAGGTGTAGACATGTATTGTTCTTGCACGCTGACACTCTTCTGGCTCTGCGTAACGTAGTCCACATGTGAACGGGTCACACGGGTGAACGGGTCATTTCTTATCGCTGCTTATATAGGGATTTTTAAACCTTTATAACTTCTTTATATTAAGAGATATAGATATGTAGTTAAGCCTACTTATAAACGATAAGAATAATCTATCTAAATCTAAAATATTTAATTCTTGAAATAACTATATTACCCTTAAACTAAGAATCTTACGTAGTGTGACGACCCGACCAACAGGGGAACTGCTTGGGGCTGAGGTAACAAACAAGCCCAGCACAAACAAGGCCGCAGGATCAGGCCAGGGACAAGGGCGGACCAGCGAAAGGCTGGCGGGGAACACATTATGTAAGCACCCACCTTACGTCAGCAGCCGACGATGAACGGTCGCACGGCGACCATCATCCGTCGGTCTTGCGACAACAAACTGTCGGCATGCGACCCAACGGTGTCGCAGGACGACGGGCACGATGAAGGACAAAGGGATATATAGAGCCAGAAGGATCTCCTAGATAGACAGTCATTACCTTTGTACTTCAGCGATCAATCTAAGTATCAGTTTCACCCACACTTGAACTAGTCACTCAATTGCCGAGACTGGTATCTCTTCCAAGAGACACGAACGACAACCCAGAGAGAGAACGACAGCAGAGTGTTAGTTGTTATTGTACAGGCTTTACCTATCTTGCAGAACAGCAACCCCAGCGCCCTGCCAGACGGCTGACCCCGGAGGCAGGATCGTGACACGTAGCTCGGTCTCCACTTTTCCTGTTTTACTACCTAAACTAGTATATATACCTTTATTTATAATTTTCCTAGCTTAACTATTCTTATCGTTTACGAATAGACTTAACTAGGCCTTTATATCTCTTAAGATAAAGAAGTTATAAGAGTATGAAAATCCTTACATAAGCAGCGATAAGAAATGACCCGTTCACCCGTGTGACCCGTTCACATGTGGACTACGTTATATCCGACATCATTTACATACAAAGACGATTGATTTTTGTACAACTATCTCCAAGTCTTGCACGACATGTCAGCCGCGAAAGCCTCTGCGGCCTACATTAGACAAATTGCTTTTCAAAAGGCGCCTGCGCAGGCTACACCTGAACAAAACTTATATGCTTTGTGCCCCGAAGGGTCTCCTCAAAAAACCTCATCATCATGACGGGAATCACGGCTAGCTCAAGTCTTCACTGGTTGGCTCCATCGCAATGCCAACGGCTGCCACTCATGGAATCCGCAGGGCCAAGCTAGCAGAGCTGTATGCACACAGCTCCAGGGTAGTGCAGACTTCGGGGCTCGATATGGCGTCGGAAGCACATTTCGTGTTCACCTCGCTCAACTGCTCGACAAGAATGAGCCTGACAAGACCGATTCTGTGGTCACAGTTGCGAGTCCGACTTGGTCAAGCCGGATTTTGCGTACTGTTGATCCAACTTTCGACGACTGCCGCGTCCTTTCCTGGGACCTTGTGAACCCAGCTACCTGGTCAGGATCTGCACCTGTGTTGGCTCTGTTCAACAGTCCTACTCTGGTGCTGATGACGATGTCGCCTGGTGCTGCAAAGCCATCGAGTTGCCCAGAATAGGCAAGATACTGCCATGCTCTGGACATATGGAGGTGTTTGCCCTCAGAGTGGATTGTGCTTGTTGGCCCGTTCATATGATTCCACCTGGCGGGTCGTAAGACATGCCACGACCCCCAGAACTCAAGCCAGCGCTTCCGGGCACGTCACCATCACCTGCGGCTGGTGCTGTTTTCCTCAGCATGAACATGGGCTTCTTGCCCTCCTTGTCAAGCTGTTTAAACAGAATGAGAGGCTTCTCGTGCATCCCCAAGCAGCGCTCTTGGTCGCCGTACACGATATACAGTGCATACTGGTCTGGTGGAGCGTTGATGTTGTACTTCTTCAGAGCCGCCGGAAGGACCTTGTAGCATGGGTCATCCATGCTGACTCGGAACGACTTGAAGATTTCGACAGATGCTGAGCTGGACCCAGGTGTCTCGGGTGCGGGCGTTTGCATTCGTCTCGGAGCCTGGGCGCTTTTTGGGTCGTAGGGATCGTTTGTCGGGAAGGTTGATCGCGTCGAGGGCGTGGGCTGGTCCGTCCGGTATGACTTGGATGCAAACGTGCCACTGCCCAGTGTCGGTGGAGAAGTTGGCGAGGGAATATTTGGAGAGTAGCCAGGAGATGTTGCCTGTCCGTTCATGGCCGCAAGGTGAGAGGAGGAAAGAACAGCGCGCTCTGCCGCGCTTGCTGGGTCTAAGGTCTGCTCGACAAGAGGCCTTTCATGCGTGACCTGCAGGTGCGTCGGTGATGAACTAGCCTTTGGTGCTGACCCTCCGAGCATAATCTTCTTGGTCGACCACGTTCTCTTGATTCCGCCGCTGGAGCCCTGCGAAGACTGCACTGAAGAAGGCGTCGGGGCAGGTGGCGAAAGGATTGAGGGCTCATAATTTCCATAGCCCTGAGGCATGTTATTGGAGCCGCTCGACACGTTCGGGAGGGGCTGCTGAGCATTCTTGGCCAGTCGCAGGGCCGGCAGCATGTCTTCACGCAGCCTTCTGAAGTCCTCGGCCATTCGTCGCAGATCCTGCTCGAAGAGGTTCATTCTCTCGTCTCGCAGGCGCAGCTGGTCGACCAGTTGTTTGATATCTTTGAGGGTAGCCGTCGCATACTGTGCCTCGGCATCCGCGGCTAGTGAGGCAGGCAACGATTGTTAACAATAGGTCATGAGTTTTGCGGCTGCTGCCCACAAAGAAAGGTGGCTTACTCAGAGGGACATAGTGATCACTCTCCACGGGCACATCTTGGGCCTTCTTGACGTCGTACACACTCTTGAGTATGGTCAATCGATGCCCAACACTGTTGATGCCCATGGATTTCAGATCGTCGTGGAGCAGAGCCACCAAGGCCTCACCGACAATGTCGTTTTCTATACAGAGCATTAGTGCCTGACCGTAATCCGTCGTACATGTGCGCAGTCCGTATTAGGGCGACTTACCGACGAAGAGGTCACCGTACTGCGGGAGCCCTATTGTATCGATAAAGTCGGCACATTCGTCTGCTGTCCACTCAGAAATGATGGTCTCTGGCAGGCGGTCTGGGCTGCTTCGGCGGCCGTACGTCGTGGGGGTGTGTTCGGTGGAATTGCCGCCCTCAGAGTCTGTCATGTCGGCATCGTTGGCATGGATGGGAGAGCTTGTGTGTACGCTTCTCTCGTACTCGTCGTCAGCATCGGACTCTGCATAAGCAGTGCCCGTGTCGAAGTTCATGATGCCTTCCCAAGCGCGGCACAAGACCGCAGAAAAGTGATAAGCTTGCGCTCGTGCGTGTTGAGGGGTATATCGTAACGGTCAGCCTGGAGGCAAATGGTTGTGATGCTCGTCAGCCAAAGGCGGTGGTTGGATCAAAATAAGGCTGTTGTGATCTGGATCGGCGCCGCCCCGGGTCCAAGCAACGGCAGAGGTTCGAGGATGGTCCTGCAGAGAGTCGCTCTCGAGAGCGGCGGTGGTCTCGCCAGGAATGCAGCTCGGAGTGGGAGAGTGGTGGGTGCAAAGTCGATGCTCGGGGCTGGCAGCAGATTGCGAGCGTCTGTCGACTAGGGCGTGTCGTGAGGCAAGCTGCAAAAGGAAGGACGCTCGAGCAAGCAAAGGGCAGTCAGCTGTGGAAGCGCGGAGAGGAGAAGGGGCGAGCAGGCAGGAGGAGGAGTGTGGATGCTTGCTCCTCTCACGGCTGGCCGAGTGGTTGGTGGTGCGGTACAGGTGGAGAGGGCGACCAGGAGGGCCGGCGGCTGGACAGGGCCACGGCGGGTGCAGCATTCAATGTGAGCGCGGGAGAGCAACACCTGCAAGACCAGGATGCCTGCAACCACCACCATCCACCATCCACCACTTGCACCAATCCACACTCACTCTGCTCCCCTCCTCCTGCTGGCTCACGACCGAGTAAGTACCGCCTGTCGATGGTGGCGCCCCCCAGCGCCTGCCAGCGGGGACCTGGCATAAGCAAGGCATAGCCTCCCTAGTCATTGTTGTCATTCTTCTTCGTCCAGCTGGTGGTAGGCCTTCTCGACCAGCGAAGGCGTCCTCAGGCTTCGTTGTCGATGATCGTCAGCAGACTGGCCCAGGCCCGTCTCCTTGCTCAGCTGCGACAGTGGGATCTCCAACAGCCATGGCATGGGCCATTTCACGCACCTCCTTCCCGTCGCCAGCGGCTGCGACCATCTTGACCATGGTGAACTCCTTGGCAGCCAGCTTCGCGAACCTGAATTCTTCTGGCCTGGATTTTCTCTCCCGGCCTGGCGTTGCGCCTGACGAATTCGCGACGCTCGCCTCGATCTCGGAGAAAGGCGGCACACTATTTTCGGACACGGGTACCGAGTCCTCAACGGGTGCTTGGCCCTTGCGCCCCCACCAAAGGTGTTCAAGGATGAGGAGCACCCCTCGAGCCCCAATGTGAGTCTATAATCTCAAGAGACCCTCTCTCTCATCATCGTGACCCCCGACTCCGTGCCGGCCCGCCTGGGCTTCTCCGTGGCAGCCTCAATCTGCTCCAGCCGCTCGACACGGACCGCACAGCTTTGGAATAACCAGCCAACTTGTTCGAGGGACTGCCCGACGCCTTGGGAACTGCATGCCTGTCGGTGCAGAAGGCAGTAGTGCCAAGGTGGTGCGCCGGCCTGCCGTAGCGTGCCATTGGCGGCCAAAGCTCGCTGCCTCATCCTTGGCTCCCGCAAGCGCGCTCTTCGGATTCCAAGGGGTCTTGATGTGGGGCCTGCCTCATATCCTGTCCCTCTTTGTCCTGGCCTATCCTGATTGGAATCGCATCAACCACTAGCTTTATGCCCAACGCGTGCCTCCTTCATGAATTACAGCCTACTCCCAGAACCGCGCAAGACACATCCGAGCTCTTCAGCTGCCTCACTAGTCGAGCCTGACCCTTTTTTGACAGCTCGATTTCCGGCAAACTAGTCGTAACCAGAAGGTCTCAGCCGAAGGACTGCGTGTTGTAAGCAGAGAAGCTTTGCAAACGACCAAATCGGCCGTGAACAACTGGTATTTGCTTGCTTTGGGTGCTCATGAATAGTCATTTGGCGATATCTATCACTTGAGATACTCGACTTCAGGGCGTGATAATGGATACGACACAAGACTTCCCCAACACTATCTCGATGTTACGTCAACGCAGATCCCGCTTCGCCACGGGAAACAAGGTACGACGGCACTATCCGCGGTCTCAGGGGACATGCCTGGCACTTTTGTCTTTGCCGACTGACACATTCTGGGCTCACCAACATGTCCTGAAGAAAGTCTGTGTCTCAGCACAGCACATGGCACCTGAAAAGGCACCGCACGCCGGCATGGCGTCCTCGTGTTGACCCTCCAGGGCTGCATATCTAGCGCCACCACTGCTGCATAGCCGCGTCGCCACGAGCCATCACCTGTTTCACCAGAATGACTGAGCACGGCCTGGGCTTTTGGCTTTTGAAGAACAACCAGTCTTGCTCGGACAAGTCACAGACCTGCCAGCTGTGGGCTCGTGACGTAAATCCTTAGCGCGGATCTGTCTCCGGTGAGCTTCCTGGTCCGTTGTTTCAGGCTGCGATCCATGCAACCAGGCCCCAGAGCCATCTCTTCGACGCTGTCGCAGCTGCTATAGCACCAAGAGTAATCCCATACAGACCACCAGCTCATGATCGACCCATGCATTCGTCAAGCTCGAACGATTACTCGTGTGCCATTGGAGGCCGCCCTATGCCATTGCACGTCATCTGCCCATGGGCGTCCTCTGCCAAGTCGAGAGGGATCAGCACGATTCGGATGTTGCACTTGGCTGTTGTTTCACGGTATGCTCGTTCTGCAATGGCAAACTTGTGTATGTGTGTGTGTGTTGGAAGATTTGATTCTCCAATTATAAGCAAAAACCCTTTTTCGAAAACCGATAACGCCAAACCCGCCCGATGGTATCGCCATGTATGCACATAATGACAAACTTCCCGCAAGTCGCAGTCCTTGCCGAGCTCAAGAAGTACCCACGGTCCACCCGTCTCAAACTTGTCCACATGCGTTCTCCTGCTGAACTCTTCTCTGCGCAGTCCAGCACTACAACAGCCTGAGAGCGTTCTAGTCAGACCCGTCGGCCTCAACGCCATCCATGTCTTCGGGCTTGTTCAGCTCCGTGACCTCGGCGGTAGCCGCACTCCAGTACGCGAGGATCTTGACCTTGAACTCGCTAATGCACACGGAGAAGAGCTTGAGTAGGCGGGTCTGTCTCGAGTCGAGGACGTCGCCTTCACGGCAGACCACGTAGCCACCATCCTCGTTGCCGCCCTCGGGGCCCTCCTCCAGCACCACGCGACCCTTGACCATGCGCGTGGGGACTCCCAGTCGCCGCAGCTCGGGCTCAAGGGTGTGGCCAAGGGGCACGTCGTGCTCGGCGGGGACCTCGCCGCCCGTGCTGTAGAGCGTGCCGTAGGGAATGACGAAGTCGCGAGGGCTGGTGGCACCCGCGCGAGCAAAGTCGACCTGGCTGAGGGAGTCAAAGTACGAGAGGACGGACTCGGGCTCGCGGTTGGTAAGCAGCAGGCCGACGGTGCCCTTGAGGTACGACGTCAGCTTGTAGATGTTGTCGGCGTGGCTGTCCTCTGGGTTGTGGCCCAGCGCGCGGGCCATGAGCTTGGTCTTGCCGAAGAAGATGCTGCGCAAGTGACAAGACGTGACATGTTAGAAACTCTTGGTATTTGCACAACACGGGATGGGTCCAGAGAACCGGGAGGGGAGGCCTTACCGGCTGTCCGAGAGCTCCTGGCGGACCGTCTTGAGATATGTGTTGCGCATGTTGTCGATGCTGAAGACGAAGCAGTGCTGGTACTCGCCGAGAGCCTCGCGGATGTTCTCAAAGAGCTTCTCCTTCTGCTCGCGGTTCTTCTTGACCACGTTGGTCAGGTGGACCACCTTGTTCCTCCTTGACTTGGGCATGTTGGCTGTGGGTTTAGGCTGCTGGCCTGCGATTGACTGTTGATGCTCCTAGATCGGCTCGTCCTCGAAGATCGAAAGGGAGGCAGCGTCGTCGTGTGGTGCGGTGACGGGACGTGCAGTGCAGTGCAGTTCAGTGCAGGCTGGCGGGCGGGTGTAGATGCTGGTGCAGACGCTCTCGTCCCCAGGGTCTGTCCGACCATATTTTTTTCTTTATCGCAGGCGTGATAAGAGCCGCCTGGCCAGCGTGGGTCAATTGGAAGGAGCCGGGCATGCCCCGCCCCGCGTGCGCGCAAGACGGCGGCGGCCACAGCAGTTTTAATGCAGCTTATGCACTCTGCATAACCAGTTCCAGAGGCCAGTTGTGCAGCAATCCAGAGGCGCCAATCGCCCAGCGCAAAGCAATTTCATCAACACAGCAGCAACTCCACTACCGACGCTGTAGGAGCGACCAGTGACGAACACCCGTCAAACCTCCAACCTCAAAAGTCAGCTTCCAGACAACAATTTGCGACCACGACGCAAGCAACACCTCGAATTCACCGGCCACGTCTCTAGCTGCGATAATCTCAAAACAATCATCAACATGGATGGGTATGTCATTTTAATCTCTCTTGACCCATTGGTGCAAGCCCACAAGGCGGCGAAGCTATCCGCGATACCGCAGTACATGACTGACCAGATGATGCGCCCGGCGGAATAGCCTCAGCCAAAGCGAGATGCGCGAGCTCGAGCAGCGCATGCAGAAACGCCAGGTGAAGGAGTTTATGAACGTATGAGATCTCTCTTTCTCTTCTCTCCAATCTACCATATTCAATGAGACAGACACAACCACAATACAACACATCATCCCGAGTCCCCGATTCATTGACCCCCCCCCCGGGCCTCTCCCATCAAAACAATTTCTTACACAAAAATCAATTCAACAGGTCTTTGGCAACCTCGTCGACCACTGCTTCATGTCGTGCGTCGACGACTTCACGACCAAGACGCTCAACAGCCGCGAGGGCGGGTGCGTGTCGCGCTGCGTGCAGAAGCAGATGGCCCTGACGCAGCGCCTGAGCGAGCGCTTCCAGGAGCAGAACCAGGCCATGATGGGTGCCGCGCAGCAGCGATAGAGAGAGAGAAAAGACAAGGAGGAAAATAACAAACACCTCAGAGGAGAGGACGAGCGGATGGGGGGGGGGGGGGGGGGGGGGAAACCCAATGTATAGGGAGACGATATGTTGAAGGGGCCTGGGATCAGACGAGCCGAACCCCCCAGCGGCGGACATGGCTGACCACAAAGGAGAAAGAAAAGCTTGAGCGGCAACTCAAGGATTCACGGGGGGAGCTTCTTGCCCATGCTATCCGTTGCAGACCGCATCAGCTGGGAACCGGTGTTGGGCTGGCCAACGCGGCTAGCAGAGATTGTTGGGAATGGCACCCGCGATCTTGCTCGCCCGGATGAAATCATGCATGAAAATCTCGAAGGGGGAGGACAAAGGGATGTCCCCCGCCTCAATTGTACTATATTCACGTTGATAAGTCATCTATCCATCAGATACTCGGATAGGTCACTCTGTACAGATATGGATACCATGAAGAAAGTGGTTGCTGAACAGCGGTTTGAAAACTGCAACATAAACGCTGTTGTATCCCGTGTATCGCACTTACTCTCTATTCATAGTGCACTGTAATCCAGGTTGATTCTGCCTTTGCATGGCAGGACTTGTCCTCTATGCTCACAATTTGCGCCTCCAACTCCAAAGCCTTATATAAACACATTGCTGTCTCATGAATATGCCATGGCTACAGGCCACATCTCAGAGATCCTATTCTTCAAACTCCTCTGATAGTACAAGCTGGATGCCTTTCAGCTGGTTCAGGACCTTTTCTTCTAGAACGTTTGCCGGGAACTTTTCGGATTCTGGGCCGGGCGGCGGCGGGCGTCTGGGTGGCATCAATTTCCACTCCGCTTCTCTCGTTCCCAGGGCTACAAGCCTCTGTTTCAGCAGTGCAGGGCTGCTGAGCCAGAACTCGACGTTCTCTTGAGCGCCTGCAGCATCCCACTCGATGGCGGGTATGTCCCTCGAGTTGTTAGCCCGGTATATGCCGAGCACGCGAGCCATCAATGCCAAAGAGTGAACCTCTGAGACACCAATCAGCGTGATATGGACATGTGGGCTGTTCGACCCCTGAGTGCGATTTCCAACTGGGACCTCGAAACGATCAACGCTCGCTTTCATGAGGTTCGGGAACTGGTTGAGAACATATGCAACCTCCGGAGCGATGGTAGCCCCGAGTGAGGTGAGCAGATTCAGCAGAAGAGGCACCATGCCCTTGGCCCACATCCCGTAGCACCGTTGCGGGCCAATGCTATCCGCAAAGGGCGACACATTGGGTCGACGGAGGTAGCTGGCCATGTTCGCAGACGTCAAGTGGTTGAGAAGCCCATCACATGCAAGCTGCTCCGCAACTCTGGGCAACGCAGAGAGCTCAAGCAAAAACAGCAACGACAGCTCTCCGTACACTGGATCCCCGTCCTTGCCCAGTCGATCTGACCAGGAGTACAGAGAGACAGCAACGTGGACGGCATCATGAGCAGCCAAAATGTTGAGAATCTCAGTCTGAGATTGCTCGACGCCGGGAACACAGAGGCAAGCCTGCAGAATGGCCGTCAATAGCGCAACGTCGTCAGGTAGTATCGAGGTGTCGGAGTCATGAATAAAGGTAACCAGCGTTCTGAAACCCTTGGCGACAACGTTATCGATGATGCTCAGAATGGTTTGGACAATCATCGTGGCTGTTGCGTTTGCTTTCACTTTGCCGTTCGTCGAGGACTGCAGATCTGCTTTCAAGATCGAGTTCACTTGTGCTCGTAGAGTGACGTAGAGCAGCTTCAGCAACGTACGATAGGAAGTGATGTTGTCGCGGGCGTACGGCTCTTCCACGCTGCTTATCGTGCCCCAGAGCGTCGTGAGAAGCTGCGCAACATCGCCGGCCGATGGAGCAGTGTCAACAACTCGCTGCACCAGCATCAACGCAAGATTGACACGTGATTCAGCCAGTTGCTCAAAAAGTCCATCGTGGCTCTGGTTTTCCATGTTCGCCTCCAGGCACTGCTCTGCGACTTGAAGAGACTGCTTCTTCAGCGTGTTGTTACCGGGCAAGCAAGTGCTCAGCTCAAGTAGTAAGAATTCCCATGCGTGGTATAGAGACTAAATCGACATTAGAAGCTGTGTTTTAAAATCCATGAGTCTGCACTCAATGCGATCAACTTACGATTTGAGCGTCAACCAGAGACAGGTTTAAGTTGGCTTTGATCATCTCACTTCTAAATCCATTGTTGCGTGGTCCGACCCAGCCAGGATCAAACTTGAGCATACTATCGGCAAACTCGGTGGCATAGTAGAAGCTGTCGCCCAAGCGACGTGGTTCAAGCATAGTACGTTTGAAGCTTTCGAGCGTGGTTCCGGGGTATTGGATGTTGAAGTTCTTGGCAAACGTCGCTTGCAGAGACCTATTGTACCCCGACACCGCGACGCCATCTCTCAGATAGTAATCCAGGTCGTTAGTCAGTTGGGCGGCAAACTTTTCTGCGCCCCCGAGCTGGCGCAAATGGAAGAGTTGCATGGCGAAGATTTCCGCAGCATAGGCAGCAATCCGGGCCTCGTTGCATGCCTGCAGTGTGTTTGTTTTCGAGACCAGAACCGACGGCTTCAAGTCATGGACATATTGACGCAGCGCTGACAGGAAGTCATTATTCTCCTGTAAGGTAAAGATCGTGCGCGGCCAGAAGTTCTGCGCAGATGTGATGAAGTCGAGTATCGCGAGGGCCTCCTTGTTGTCAATCTTGGACACCATGGTGAGCCGTTTCAGTGCCGAATTAAGAACAGACCAAGAGCTCTGATTCATTGACTTTCCATCTCCATTGCGGGCCTCTCTGGGGGTCTTGCCTGTAAGCAAGCAATTGGCCATCCAGGGCTGTCTATTTCGGATGATTGTGGAGAAGAATTGCCAGATGGGTTGCACCTCCTCCACTTGGTCAAAAGGTCGGTCGAGCTCCGCTAGGAGTTGAAGAAATGCCTTGGAAGTGTGTGGCCCAAGATAACCTAGCAATGAGGGTGGCTCTCCGGAAGATTTGCCAGCGCTGACCACCAGAGATTCAAGAAGGGCAATGGCTTGCTGACGGAATCTGTCATGGACCGCGCAGACTCTCGCCACGAGCGGTGTCAAATTGAACAACTGGCTCTCGATCGTGGAGGCACGATCGAAGTAGTTCGAGACGCGGACGAGATTCGTCATGAGCTCCAGAACCGCGGACGTCTGTTTCTGATAAACCTCGGTGCGACTGAGATGGATGGTACCTTGTGCCGTCGAAGATGCCCCCACCAGCGTCGCGACCAGTGGCTGCAGTCTCAGACTGCCTGCCGAAGGGGTCAAGAAGCTGTCGATGATGTACCGAGCTGACTTTACCAGAGCTGCCGTGGTTGTTTTCTTGCTAGCCACATCGCCCATGCTGAACGTATATAGAACAGATTTGTTCATGATGGGGACGAGATCAGCCAGCAGCTCAGATCGGCCCATTTCAGTGGGGAATCTCCAGGTTGAAGAGCTTTCCAGGATGTCGACAGTAGCTTGCGCAATGGCCACAGAGACCTGTTCGATAATCCTGTCGGACACTCCGATCCAAACATCTTCACTGGATTTCTGGCGGGGCTTTGACTTCGGTATTGTTTTCCGGCGAACCGAGCTTGTCATGGCCACATCCGAGAGGCTGCTAAACAGTCGTGTAGCAGAGGTCAGCAGCTCGAATTGAGCGTCTGACAGGTCCAGGTTCCCGACGAGACGCGAAAGCCGCCCGCCACGAGACTCATTGCTCAACAGCTGGCATTTGGCCATGTAAGACCACGTACGGCCTGGGCAGAGTGGCAGGACTGCGTGAGTGAACTGGACGCTAGCTGCAATGATGGCAACAGTCTCAGGCGTAGGTTCATCTTCCAAATAAGTGTCCATCATGTTCCAAACGATGGAGATCAGATCTTTGTTGTGCGGAAGCGCCTGACCAGCCTCGTCGAGGATGTGGAGCGCTTCGTCAAAGCGCTCAGCCTGGGGATCGGCCTTCAGCACAGCACTTCTGATGAATGTGGCAAAGAATGAAATGACCTCGGCGATCTCGCCAAGATCTAGGTTGGCCAACACTGCCTTGTATGAAGCATTTGACTTCGCCTCCAGCCTTTTCGCCAGTAAGGCTAGAGTCGAGTGCTCGTAGTTCATGCGCACGATGCGGCCTTCGTCCACGACGAAGCATCCAAAAGTTCCAGCGGGGATGATGAACAGCTCTTCACCATTGCCAATGAGTTTGCGGTTCACATTTGGAGTGAAAAGAGGCAAGTCATCCAGGAACTCCAGCGAGTTGGTGTTTTCGTCCTCATTGGCAAGTTGATAGTCGACGAAAGAAGGCGGGAGCGTAAAAGTGATCGTTGGCGTTTTGAACAACAATTTTGTAAGCTCCTCAAATCTCGGGTCGGCGCCTGACGAGGGTAAAGAGAACAAGGCCCGCGAGAAGCTGAGAAACGGCGTGAATTCATATGGAAACCGCCCCAGAGCGGGGAAGAAGTATTGGCCGAGAAATTCGTCATCAGCAAGGGCTAACCGGGCGACATCTTGCTGCGGCAGCACGCTACCTGGTTCCAGAAGGTCCCAGTAACCAGAGCCGCCTGAGAGCACACTAATAGCGGCTTCGACCGAGTCTGACTGGTAACCGACATAGTCGTACGTTCTCTTCAACAACTCCATGAAGACTGCTCGAATCCGGGCGCCTACAGACACCGGAAGTATGGTCGACCTTCGCACGCTAAGGTGCGAGGACATAGCCGAGATGACGCCAAAGACTCCCATTCCATCGATTGCGACGGCTGCGAGGTTCTGCAGCTCGTTAGAATCGCGGTCAAGCCTATGACCAGCGAGGAAGTCATCGTAACTTCGTTTGTCGATCGTTGTGATGCTGCCTGCCGAGTTTCTGCGGCCACCACTGGGTATCATCTGTGTGTTCGAATCGTAGTTCTCAACGGCCTTCTGGTTCTGGATCGCATCCCGTTTCTCGACCCGCTCTTGGTAGGACGAAAACATTTTGTGCAGTATTGCCACCCAAGCGAACAATACTGGTGCAATATGAAGTGACCCTGGCTGCCCAGCACAGGCAAGGATGGCATCATGCGCGTCGCCAAGCGCGTTGGACGAGCCGATGAATTCCTGGTCAACGAGGATGTCCGCGTCGCCTTCGAATGCGGCCGACATTCTTGGGAGATTCAGGATTGCCACAGAGATGGCAGCAAGGAGGCATTGCAGTGGCAATATCAGATCAGTGATTGCATCAGCAAGCTGTGTTCAAGTCAGTCTCAGACAGCGATACAAGTACGAGGTATTGACGGAGTTGCAAAACTTACACCATTCACTTGATCCAGGACGCTAAACTGCCTGAGGCTCGAAAACCAAGCCTGAGCAAGCTCTGCGGGCACCAGGATCTCGCTGGATAGGTCTAGCAGTTGGAAGATGACAACCATGCGGTGCAGGGCTTCAGCCAAGGTGACGCTAATCCGTTGTATCGATACGTCATCTGACCAAAGCAGCTTGTCGTCAATGATTCTGTTGGCTGGTGTATCAACAAGGCTGGCGATATCGGGCAGCAAGTTGATGTATCGCAGCGCCAAAGCATGATAGGGTTTCGTGGGCGTATCAGCTGTGCCTTTCAACGAAGACTTGGGAGCCATTCCGTGGGCCTCCAACAAGCTCCTCCGCAATATCGTGGACGAAGGCGTCTCAATCGACGTTGGTAATCGTTGCTGAAGCATCAGCGTCAGGAGATAATCATTGACCGCGGCATAGTATCGCCGTTCGCTGAGATATGTGTCGTATATGCGCAGTCGTCTGTTGTCGGGCTTCTCGAAGATTGATTGAATCTCTGTCGCGCCCAGAGTGCTGGACACAGCGAACCCTGGAAGCACATTCGAAGGCTGGGCACCTAATGCTTCTTGAAGGTTTGCGACATCCTGCGTCGACAGAGGGCCGGTGAGCTGGCTTCTTGGACGCTGCTGGAATTCAACGACGACGATGCGCAGAGCAGCGACCTCGTTGATCTTGGCATTTTTGCTGAGCCAGAGCGCATCCTCCTTTATCGTGTCGATGTCGTACCGGCTGTTGGGGGTTGGGGGCACTTGGATGGCGGCAGTCTTCTTGACAAAGACGGCATTTTGCGACGTGGAGTCGAAAGCCGAGCCAGGCTTGGTAAAGAGAGAGAGGATGTAGGGGTCCGTGAGGAATCTGACGATGGCGCGACTCGACTGTCGGTGGCCGGTAGTATCGACCAGAGCTGAAGCGACAAGCTTCCACGAGCTATAGACGGGGGAAGTCGGCAATGGTTAGCTTGGCTCTGGCATCGTTGGACGACACAAGCTTTCATCTTGGGACAAGGACGTACAGAACGACTTGCTCGCCATTCAGGCACGGCTGGAGCGGTGGAAGATAGACGTCGTCCGACAGCGGCTCTGCCATGGCTGCTGTTGGGAAGGACCAACGGCGATGCGCATCAGACGGGCGACGCTAGACGGGCAGATGCGTGGGCGCGGCACCAGCGCAAGAATGCAGCGACGGTTTGCAGTGTGCGCGAAGCGACGAGCAAAAGGCGATTGGTGAATGAGGGCGCGCCTCAGAGCTCTCGAGCGAGGGTGAGGCCACTCGACGGCGTGAGCGTGTGGTTGTTTATTGAGGAGGGCTGGTCGTGTATTTACTTTCGAGAGATGGTCGCATCAGGTATTTTCTGCCTCCAAGCTAGGCGCGTTCAAGCTCCCCAGCCAGCGCACCCACCCCTGGCAGCTATTTGAGCTTGGCAAGCTGGGGCGCACCCGGTCAGCTCAGGGCTAACCTTAGAAGGTACCGGTAGCGGCACCTGCACGTACTAGGTCACTTGAGGTACCCTTCGAATTGGGGATAGGATTCAAGGCCACGAGGAACCCTTTCAATGTCTTGAGTTTGTTCTCAATCGATGCTTGCAACGTTCTCTGCGCCCAATACTTCGACGGGACACACGAGAATGACATGCCTACACGCACAAGTAGCATTGTACTCCGCTCCCCGTTGCTCGCGCGACTTGAAGACAGAGGTGCCTTCACCGCCTAATTTTTGGAGGATTCTGCCGGTCAAGCTTGCCTGCCGCCCCTCCGATTTCTGGAGGATCCCAAGCATGTGTCATCTGTCAGGCCGGCAGTGACGGAATATATCATTCATTTGAATGCCACATAGACCTCTCTGATCGCCCTGCCCAGAGCTGGCACCACTGTCTCTGCTCGACACAAAACACCGCCTCTTCTAGTTTGTCGAGTCGCCGCATTCCATTGGCCCTCTGCTGCAGCCCGCTAGAGAATTTCGCCATGGCGACTGAGAATCTGGTTGATCATTCCCCCCACCACCCGGACCCTGCACCCCCGGTGGCCACGGCATCCAACCTTGTCCTCATTGACAACTACGACTCCTTCACCTGGAACGTCTACCAGTATCTTGTCCTCGAGGGTGCCAAGGTCACCGTCTTTCGCAATGATCAGATCTCCCTCGAGGAGCTGATTGCGAAACAGCCTACCCAGCTGGTCATCAGCCCCGGTCCTGGCCATCCCGGCACCGACTCCGGCATCAGCAGAGATGCCATTAGGCATTTCGCCGGCAAGATCCCCATATTTGGGGTCTGCATGGGCCAGCAGTGTATCCTCGACGTCTACGGGGGCGACGTCTCCTTTGCCGGAGAAATCCTCCACGGCAAGACCTCGCCACTCACCCACGACTCCCGAGGTGTCTATGCAAACATGGCCCAGGGTCTCCCGGTAACGAGATATCACTCCCTGGCTGGCACGCACGTCACACTCCCCCAATCTCTCGAGGTGACGTCCTGGATTCCCAAGGCCGATGGCACCAAGGGTGTCATCATGGGCGTCCGTCACAAGGAATTCGTCATCGAGGGTGTCCAATTTCATCCCGAGAGCATCTTGTCCAAAGACGGCCGCATCATGATCAAGAACTTCCTGCACATGCAAGGCGGAACCTGGGCTGAGAACGAGCGCATCCAGAAGCTGTCTGCAGCCAAAGCACACAGAGATCCGGCTCAAGCTACCATACCCGTGCCTTCGAAGAAGCAAGGCAACATTCTTCAGCAAATTTACGACAGGAGGAAAGAGCTTGTCGCCGCGCAAAAACGGCTTCCGTCACAGCGCCCCGGAGACCTGCAAGCGGCATATGACCTGAACGCCGCGCCGCCCCAGATCTCATTCGTTGAGCGGCTGCGGCAAACACCTTTCAACTTGTCCCTGATGGCTGAGATCAAGCGCGGATCACCGTCAAAGGGCGTCTTCGCCCTCGACATTGACGCCCCAACGCAGGCAAAGAAATATGCTCTTGCTGGGGCTAGTGTCATTTCCGTCTTGACGGAGCCAGATTGGTTCAAGGGAAGCATTGAGGACCTCAAGGCAGTGCGCCAAGTCCTCCATGCCATGCCCAATAGACCAGCGATCCTGCGCAAGGAGTTCATCTTTGAGGAGTATCAGATCCTTGAGGCACGTCTTGCCGGTGCTGATAGCGTCCTCCTGATTGTGAAGATGCTCGATTTTGAGCTACTCACGCGATTGTACAAGTACTCCCAGTCGCTGGGAATGGAGCCCCTGGTGGAGGTGCAGAACGCCGAGGAGATGGATATCGCAGTCAAGCTAGGGTCCAAAGCCATTGGCGTCAACAACCGCAACCTTGAGACTTTCGACGTGGACCTCAACACGACGAGCAGGCTACGCAGCCTTGTGCCCAAGGAGACCGTCATTTGTGCTCTCAGCGGAATCAACACCCATGAGGATGTGATGGCGAACCACAAGGATGGCGTCAACGCCGTGCTCGTCGGCGAGGCCATTATGCGCGCGCCCGATGCGTCCGAGTTCATCCAGCAGCTATGTAGCGGCAAGGTGACCAAGGAAAAGTCGCCAGTCGATTCGCTCCTCGTCAAGATCTGCGGCACACGGACGCCCGAGGCCGCCCTCGTCGCGGCTGAAGCCGGCGCCGACCTTGTCGGCATCATCCTCGCTCCCGGCAGAAAGCGCACGGTTAGTGACGAGGCCGCGCAGGCCATTTCCAAGGCTGTCCACAGTTTCTCGCGGCCCGCGTCCGCAAACGGCAACCGCTTCCCGGCCAACAACATTGCGCGAGACTTCTTCGCCTCCGCGACGCAGAAGATCACGGCAGTCGGGCGCACGAGACCTCTGCTTGTCGGCGTGTTCCTGAACCAGCCCCTATCAGAGGTCCTCGAGCTGCAGCGCAAGTACAATCTCGACATTGTGCAGCTCCACGGCAGTGAGCCCATCGAGTGGGCCAGCCTGATCCCCGTCCCCGTCATCCGGCGCTTCACGGCAGGCGCGCCGGGAGTCGGCGCCAGAGGCTACCACGTTGTGCCGCTCTTCGACCCCGGTGCCGGGTCCGGGCAGCTACTGGACGCAGTGGATGTCAAAGCTACTCTTGCCAAGGATCCGGAGCTGCGTCTGTTGCTTGCAGGCGGCTTAGACCCCGCCAACCTGTCCGAAGTTGTCAAGAACGTGGGTGCTGACGCGGAGCGGGTCATCGGCGTAGATGTTAGCAGCGGTGTTGAGGATAGCAACGGCGAGCAGAGCCTGGACAGGATACGGGAGTTCGTTTCCGTCGCGAAGGGCCTGCGGTAATCATTCCTAGCTGTTGACAATAAGAAACTTTATGTGGGAGTAACGACGGATGATTGCGAGGGTGACGTTTGATGTGGTTATGAGAGTTCAACGACTGCTTTCAGGTGCTCGCCTGTATCTATCTGCAATGCTTTGAAGAAAGTACTGTCATCGAGAATCCGATGTCCTCATCTCGCAGGTAGTGATTGTTATACAGTACAAGGCCTCAAAGTTGGCAGTCTCGTATCACATAGTCATATTGCGAGGGACTTTAAAACATTTTTGGTCAATTGAGTGCAACGCGCAGGTTAAAATCCCTTTCAAAGGTGGTATCTCAGAAATCGTGACAAAAAGCACACCGTCGTGGGCAATTAAGCTGCCCCATGGACTCGAGACTGCTGAGATGGCCGAGGTGAGCCAGCCAGAACTTCAGCCTCATAGAGTGGAAGCCTACCGCCACCCTCTCCCGCCGCCACGGCTTCCTGTAGTAGCTTTGTTCCTTGCGTCCTCAAGGGTCTTCTTGAATCCGTTGTATAGCGTACCGATAATTTTGCGTTCCTGCCAGTCGTCCACGATGCTATTGGCCAGCTTACGCCGCTTTTTAGACTTCATCTTTTCGCGCTCTGCCAGCTTCTTGGGCTTGTTCCAACCCTCGTCGTCGAGCCTCTCCTCGACGTCTCTCTTGAGCTGATGCTTCCAGTGCATTAGCTCGTGGGCTGATTCGGCGTTGCTACAGCATACGGCGCCAACATGCCACTGTTTTGTGATCGGCGCCAAAGGCATGCCCTGAGAATCGACGGAACGCTTGTCTTCGTCCTCGTCTTCGCCATCGCCTTCGTCGTCGTTGCTCTCAGAGTCCTCAGAATCTGAGTCGGATTCGATATCATCGAGCGTCTCTTTGTTATAGGGACTGCCGTCAAAGACGATCTTCCATGTGGCGGGGTGGCCACTCCGGCCGCAGGCTTCGCAGTTGTCATACAGAGCACCGCTCATCCCCACTTCGTATGCCTCCATCTTGGGGCGTCCCCTGAGGGATCTGTAGAATTCGGACTTCCAGGCTGACGAGGCGAACTTTGAATTCGCGAGGCCACGGAATTCGTCATTTAGCTTACGCCAGGCGTTGACATAGACGGCGTCCTGCCGGCGCTTGAAGGCTGGGTCGATCTTGTTATGAACCAGCCACTCTACCACAAAGGGGAATTGGTCCTTGAGAGGCAAATGTGCGGCGGAGGTGAATTCGAGGGGAATCTCGACAGGCGCACCAAGAGGCGTATCGTCGTCGTCCTCGACAACAAAGTCGTCCAAATCCTCGCTCCCTTCTGAATCACGCGCCTTTTGGCTCTTTCGCGGGGAGCTCTTCGACTTTGACTTCTTCCGGGAGCGCTTCGTATTTTCCACCTGTGGCTCTTCTTCGTCTTCCTCCACATCGTCATCGAATTCCTTGAGCACCTGTAGGTCATCGTCCGAGTCGGTATCGTACATGCCGCGCTTAGCTTCGTCGTCGCCGTCGTCGGACTCCGAGTCGGTCAGCTGCGTGATCTTCTCTCCTGCCCTACGCCGCCGAAGAAGCTCTATTTTTTTCTGCTTCTCGGTCCTATGTCCTCTGACGCGTTTCGTAGGTGAGGATGGAAGCTGAGATGATCTGACTAGTCTCCCCTTTGGAGGTTTACGGCCCGTAGAGTCTACGTCTTGCTCGTCGTTGTCGTCGTCGTCGTCATCGTCGTCGTTATCCTCGCTTTCAATGATTGTGACGACGCGTGGCGTGGATGCTGGCCCAAGCCTCCTCCGTTTGGCCGGCGAGACGTCCTCGTCGTCCTCGGAATCATCCAGGTCGGCCATGACTGGTCGTCGACGTCTGACGACCGAGCTCGGCGGCAGCACGGGCTCATCGTCGTCGTCCCCGTCGTCGAGAACGGTCCTTCCCAATCGCGTAGTTACTGATTGCGAAGACCGAGGAGCTTTAGACGCCGACGTCGGCAGAGGCCTGTTGTCACTATCATCATCATCATCGTCGTCGTCGTCGTCGTCGTCGACAATGATCTGGGGCTTTTGCTGACTTCCCAAGGCTGTGGCGGGTGGGAGCCCATCCTCGCTTACAGAATCGTCATTGGACTCGCCATCGCCAGCAGGGATGATGGCGACTTCCTCAACAGCAAACTCGTCTGACGAGTCCGACATGATGGCTCGTGACCTCCTGGGCGTGCCCGAAAGAGGTTTCGGTCTGGTCATTGTCTGAATTTGAGATTGCTCTGAGGAGGACAAAGTCAGCACTTTTTTTTTTTGAATGTACAGAGTGAAATCGCGCCAGCCCTATTATGCCGGTGACGGCGGGAAGGGTGACATACCTAGCCGCCGCTCCTTCTTCCGCTCCTTCTCCTTGACCAGCAGGCGGGGTTTTGTTCGTACACGCACCGCGCGTTGGCTGTACCGGACGTTTGCCGGAGAAAAGTTGCCCTTGCGCTCATTTGGTGCTGCTGATGCTGCTGCTGCCTGGCGCTCGTCCTCGTCGCCGTCGTGATGCTTCCCACTGCTGTTGCTGGGGGCAACCACCGGCTCAAAGGTCAGGTGCGTCTGCCGTTTCCTCTTCCCCATGTTGAGAGGTGAGCTCCTGGTGATCAGAACTGATCCCTGGACTGACACTCGTGGAGCCCGACTTGGTGACCTCTCGTCGCAGCTCGACCCTCTCTTCAGAGACCTGCTACGAGGCGACAAACAAATAACCCGGCAAGGACCGAGAATTACGCCGCTCTTTAGAATGCAACGCCCCCGTCGCTCAATATGAAATATCTCCTCGTCTCCGCCAAAATGTGCAAGCGCTGGGGCCAGCCTTTGTCTTCACACCTGCCGAGATTCGGGCGACCCGAGAGGCTTTTTCTCTCCCTTGCCTGGCTTGGTGTTCGTTCCGTTTGGTGCAAAAACCCTCAGGCGAACAGGAAGAAGAAGAGGAAAAACAATAGTCCGCACAAAGGGCGAGAAATCTTGCTTTCGCCACGCAGAGGAACAAGAAACTCGGCGAATCTGCGACTGTACGCCAACCTGCACAAGGTCACAACTGCCGTTTCTTGCTTTCCCTGTGTCGTAACTTGCCAAAAAAATCGTCATGTGCTGCCTAAGCGCAAGATCTCGGGGCTGCTGCCAACGCGTCGCCGTGACGTGCAGGGCTCCGCATTGCGCTCAAAGGGTCGGACACGCTGTCACGTGACACCACTTAAATCCTAGATTTGCCAACTTTGCACGCAGCACAAGCACTGGGCTGGATTATTTGATAAATTTGGAATGTCATAAAATTGCTGATACTTGTCTAATGTGTTATAACCACATCCATTTAATATGCTGTTTGTTGCTTGTGGACCTCAGTTCGCTGAATTCAAGCTCGGAATGGCTTGGCCGTCGATCAATGTCCAGCTCACTCACATAGCTCCGCTCATCGTTGCATAAAACCAAATTAGCAGATGGGGGGGGAAGACTTTTGTATTTACTTATTTCTCGTTGTGTAGTGGCTAGTGGCGTGGGAAGGGCCAGGTGACATGTGATGCGAGGACGTCTTTGCAGAATTAAAGGGGGGGAATCTCGATGCATCGGATACTATCTAAAGGTGTGTGGGTGTGGGTGTCGTACTTTGTACCGTCTTTTCCTCCTCCGAGCTTCTGTAGCTCATCCTTGTCATGCTCGTCCTATTCCTTCCATCGTCCCCGGGGAGAAAAGATATGCTACGTAAGAGGATAGGTGCCTTGGAACACCAAACTCTTGTTCAATCGCGCAGGTGCACTCAAGAGATGAATGCACCCGTGTGATTGCACCAGCAAATGCAGGTAATACCCCGGTATTAGAACTGGGTTCACCAGCTAAGCCAGAGAAGCAGCATGCTCCAGTCCACTTCTGCTCATATGTTGGCATCACATTCTGGCTGTAATGCACAACAAGATGTGAAGTATTGGCCACGCTCAATCTACGAGGAGGCAGCAGGCTCTTCAGCCTTGGTCTCCTCCTCCTTCTTCTCCTCGGTAGCCTCAGTGCTGGTAGCGGCGCTCTCCTTGTTGAAGAGAACCTCGTTGTCCCTCTGGGCCTGGATGAAGGCATCCTTGAAGAGGTTGGCGTCTAGGGGGAAAAGAAGTCAGTGGAAGGGTTCCAAACATCATGCCGTTCGGGACTACAGTGACATACTCTCAGGGTTGGCGAAGCGAATGGCAAAGGTGACAGCCTCGGGCTCACCCTCGCTGACATCAGCGGCAGCGTTCCAGACCCAGCTGCGGTCGGAGCCGACGTTGGGGGACAGCTTCATGTCGGGCACGACTAGCAGGAAGAAAAGGGGCAAACTGTCAGCAAGTTTCATTCTCACATTGACAAGAGACATGCAGGGAGGCTACACATACTGTAGTGGTTGGCGCAGACCTTGAGGGTCTTGTCGCGGCGCATGACAAGACGGGTCTTGCCGTTCTCCTTGTGCTTCAGCAGCCGGACGTCACCGGTGCCGCGCTCCTTCCACTCGCTCGACTCGCGGACAAACTTGAAGAGCTTGGCGCGCATCTTGAAGAGCTGCTCCTCGGACTCTTCGTTGGTCTTGGTCTCGACCTTCTCGGTGAGCTTGATGACGGGCTCGAAGTGGACATCCTCGGACTCGGGCGCCTCATCCTGCAGTTGCGCAAGAGGAAAATGTCAGTTGACTTGTGTCCTTTCAAAAGCCAGTGGTCACAGACAGCTTCTGGCGGGGAATTATCCGTGGAAACGGTAAACGGTTGATGCTGACCTCGTCGTCGCCCTTGGCGGCGGCAGCAGCATCACGCTGAGCCTTGGCGCTGCCAGAGTTGTCGCCACGGTCCTCCTCCTCGTCCTTCTTCTCCTTCTTGGCGCCGCCTCCGAACATGGAGAAGACGGAGGACGAAGTGACGGGCTTCTCCTCACCCTCGGCGGGCTTGACGGTCGCGTCGACCTTGGGCTCGGTGGTGTCGGTCATGATGGGCGGTTGTGTATGGTGTATTCTAGTGGTAAGGCGCTTTGGCTAGGATGCTGTTTACCAAGACTTGGATGTCAGTCTTCTGGGCTTGAAAGTGGTATAGGTGGTGTGAAGCTGGTGCAAAATGGTTCATAGACACTCCAAGCAGGGGGAAGCAAACAAAAGCTCGACAAAGAGAGGGGGCCGAGCGGACGGGTAGCGGTGCGTAGTGGCCTCAGCTAGTGAGGCCGAAAATCATCACCGCCCAAAGCTGCCCCACCTGGTGGGAAATTTGGGCGGCGGTTTTGGGGCGGCGGCGGGCGCATGAAGCGAGCGCGCAACGGGCGAGCGTGGTGGGTAGGGAGCTGAGGCAAAACCTACCTAGACTGCGTATGTGTGGTTGTGCTGTGTGTGTGGTTCACCAAGAACTCCAAAGGCAAATTGCGTGGAAGGTCTGGGATGTATCTGCAGCGGCGTTGGAGGGGAAAAGCTCGAACTGGTTTGCCCCTCTTCTGTGCCAGTTTGGGGCGGGCGGCCATCCCAAGCAGTCATCACATGTGCCACAGTGGAGCTGGTGGGCTGAACCCCTGGATGCTCCTGCCCGCCTGTTCGCAATAGGCACTTGCAGCGTCACTCGTCAAAGTCACCAGGCACCTTCTGGGCAGCCTGAAGAGTTCGCGACGTCTTCCCTGCGTGATATGACGGCTCTGACGACAACAACAACAACAACAACAAACATCTTTAGAGCAACTTGGCATGCAGCATGTGTTTTGTTCCTGTTACAATATTCCATTATGGCTGTCAATACTTGCAATCCCTGCCCTTGATGGCTGATGTTCTTCTCAGAATAGTCATATCACTCCTTGCGCCGTACCGAAACATAATATTGGGAGAGCTCAGTGTGACAAGCTATGACCTGACACAAAAAACGAAAGCTCCTCAGAACCCTGCCCAAGAACCATGGAGATCAACCAGTCATCCTTCCCCACCGCCAGAACTTTCCAAATGGGCGCGGCTCGTTCCCACGGCGGTCTCGCATCTCCCGCTTCACTTCAGCGCCACGCATGGCTTTGGCCCTTGCTGCCTCTGTGTCCTTGCTCTTGTAGTATGCCTCTGCTTTGCTGAGATATCGCTGGTATTCTTCCGTCCTGCCTTGAATCTTGAGCCACCACAACTTCGAGCTCAACTGTGCGGTCAGAAGCGTGAGCGAGAGTTCATCTCGCATGTCCAACGTTGCTCTTTTCAACTCAACTTGAATCTGGTGTCCACGCCGGATAAGCTCCTCCTTGCTGATCGAGTTCTCTAGAAGTCCTGTTGTTTCCTTGACGAGCTGGTTGCGCAGACTCGCAAGTCGCTGCATCATCGTTTGGGTAAAGAACGCCCCCTCGTCGACAGCTGGGGCAGACACCTCGTGTACCCACGTTGTCGTCTCGTTGACGGCGTTTGCGACATACAACGCAAGATCTCTCACCAGCTGTTTGCTGACGTCTAGGACGTCGGTCATGGTATGCTGGCCAAAATCGATCTTGAAGACCTCGTGAATTTTGGGCTTCCGCTCAGTCAAAATGGAAACCTCGAAAGCTCCATGGGCCTCGTTGACCGGTACCTCGATGAGAAACCCCGCAGTGATCGTTGTTACGTTCGTGGGCATATCTCGTCCGTCTCGGCTGACTGCGAGCTTGATCGCGTCCTTGGCGAGCCAGGAAGCCTTTATAGCCAGCGGAATCTTGAGCAATATCTCGTTGCGGCTGTAGATTTCGGCAGCGCAGACGAGTGCATCGGGTTGGCTTGTTTCTTTGAGGGGAACGGGTGTATCCAATACGACTGGCATCAGGCTTTTGCCGCAAATTGAAGTCGGTGCTGCTTGCAATGATGTCTGAGTCTTGGTGGTGCTTGAGATGGTGGTCGAGATCACTGTAGGAAGGGATACGCCTTCAGTAGAGACGGACGCCACAGGGACAGTCGATAGCGTCTTGGGGGCATCCTGAGAAGGATGAACAAGCAAGAGTGACCCCCAAGTCAAGCCGAGCCCGAGGCCAAGGAGGCAGATCTTGTGCAAGAACGAGCCACGCTGGGAATCGTAATATTTTTTGTACCAGGCCTCTTGCAGTCGCTTGGATTTGCCTGAGAACGCAGCCGAACCAGACTTGCTAGAGACTTGTTCCGGTAGGGTTTCCGGCTTCGTCTTATCCTCATCGTAGACCGACGGCTGCGGTTTGAGAGTCGATGTCCTAGTGCGAGCTGCGAGCTCCGGAAATGAATCGCTATGGTGCAGCAGATTGGTTGGATTCTCGAGGCTCTGGACTGAGAAAGCTTCAGCATCGTCCTCCTCTTGAACCTCACGTCCTGCTATCTCTGCATAGGTGTAAGCCCGACCGGCATCGTCAAGAATGATCTCTTCTTCATCGTCGGACGAGTCAGTGTCGGCATCATTGGTGTCGAGATCCGTGCCTGTATCTGTTCCGCCAAGGCTCTGCACATCATCTGGCCTCTGATAGTCGAAAGAACTGGCAACAGATTCTGCCTGACTCTCGCCATCAGCCCCGATCACATCATAACCTAGATCTGCAAGGATCTGATCCTCCTCTAGTGGGTTGCTGGGCTGCATGATGTCGGGTGAACTCGAGCTGACCCAGTTAGTGAGCTGTCGATTTCCTAGCGGACGCGGAAAGCGGAGGGTTGGGATGGAACTGGTCGAGCTTGCAAGCTTCGTGACGTCGGGTCGCTGCGGCGAAGTCGATGTTGGACGTGGCTCGCTTTGGGTCAGAGCGGACAGTTGCTGGCGTGCGTTATGATGTCCTGATGGTCTCGCTTGTATTGATCCGCCAGTCGGAATAGCTGTGTGTCCAAAGCCTTCAGACTCTTCCATTACGCGGTGCACAGATCTGGCCTAGGCGGCAAGACTCATATCATCTCTCTCCCACCGTTATTCAGATTCGCCCGGGAACACGATCGAGCTTGGGAATGGATCGGCTCGACAGGATCTTTCTATAAGTCGACTCGGATGGACGAGCAGTGCGTCAGTCTACGATCAAAGGGGAAGCCGTGATCCAAGGTCGCGCTTCAAGACGACCAATACTGCGCCGCTGGACTGGTGCGAGATCAGAAAACCCGAGCCAAGCTGCGCACCTATTTCGAGGAAGTGATATGCTTCACTTCCGGCTTGTGGCGAGAATGTCAACGACAGCCAGCTCGATCAGATTCGTTGAACGTGGAGGGGGACAACAAAAGAGGTCTGGTGCTCTCTTGAAAAGGGACGTTCAGAGTTGCGGCGTGGTTGTCTAGGATGAACCACACGTCTAAGCGGGCGCTCAAGCTCGGCTCGACTCGGAAAGGTGCGAAATGATGCGGCGAAGTCGAACTCGACAGTCCTCGTGAGGGGTCCTGAGATGCTCAGTGTTCCCGTATGCGCGGCTGCATCAAGTCGTACAATAGTGAGTGAGGTGCGAGCTCAAGGACATTCACGGACGAGGGGTAGTGGCACAGAGGGGAACAGGCAGGTAATCAATGCGCGAGGCAGTCAGGCAGCAGGCGGGCAGGCAGGCAAGAACGTCGGGCAGGAGCTCAGACCAGATGGACGTACAAGACGGTACCAAAGGCTTCTCTGCAACGGATAACGTCCGTCTTCTCAGACCTTGTCCCCGCCTAGTTGGGGATACTTGACACGTCGTCACAAGGCCACCCAGAGATGCCCCCTCTTCGATGCGAAGATAGGCAGCAGGTGGTTGCGGGGTATGGATCGTAGAGTTGGGGCACGTCCGAGGCCTCGGCCGTTGTTGGGTTCTCGCGGTCCGAGCTCGTCTTGCCCGCAGCGCACGGGCAGGTGCTTGTAGGAGATGGCTCGCGGCGGTCAGCACGAGTATGATTCTGGTCGACTACGGCAAGACGTGATCTCGAACAGAAAGAGAGGTCCAGAGATGATGAGCTCTCGTCAGCTAGGCTTGGTTGGGGATGATGAAGATGTAATCGAAATTCGGCATGGGCATGAAGCAGGACCCGCTGGAAGCCTGGCAGCACCTGAGGAGCGGGCCACGCTGATTGGCAGCCGGGCGCCACTCAGGCCCCCACCCCACGCTTGAACACCAAGATGCCCGCTAGAGGCGCCCGATAAGGACCCTGAGGGTGGTCATGCGACCGACTCCGCCAGGCACTTAGCATGCAACAACCCCTCGTTGGGCGGTGATTCTCGATGGTTTCCGAGCCAAACACGGTCGACAGTCGAGGAGGGGCATTAGATCTCTGGTCTTTGGTCGACCTCGAGGTAGCATTGACCGCATCCTTTCGTCTTTGTGCCGAATCCGAGTCCCTAGGGGACTGGGTCGAGCGCCCAGCGTACATCCGACCACAATAACCAACACTTACTGCCACCACATTCTCGTCCTCTGCTATGTCCGTACGGGTTGAGTGGCCTGCTGTTGTATCGAATGGAATCTTATTGGGCGCCTGGCAGATCGCTCCTGCGTCCTTTGTCCGCTAAACCTTGTTGGCTTCCGGATGTGACCGCAAGCAAACGAGGACAAGTACCTCCTGTGGGCAAGGTGCGAGCTGTAGAGTACCCGTGGATGATATTGGCCGTCGTGCGTGCATATATGCACAGGGGAACAAGCTCATGCGACATCTCAAATCACCCGATGTGTAGCCTGCCAACATTCTTGAACAGCATTTTTAGTTTCTTTATATTTTCTTTCGCAGAGGAAAGGCAGCGAGGCCATTAAGCAAGCGTGCGAATCGTTACAAGTACTATGGCTGCTCTGCCATGCAATGCAGGTAAACAAAGAAAAAAAGCCCCGGCCCTGTTTGGTCTATTCCTCACGCCAGAGTAAGACTGTGCCAATTTTAACAGTATTATAAAATACAAAGCCGTGTACTCCAGGAAATGCCAATCGTCGCCGTGAACCTCTCGTAGCGCAAGAGGCTGAGGAGGAGTAGTCTATATATAAGAACAAGAAAAGTCATGACAGGCGTTCCAAGAACGTGAGGTGGTGCCGTTCGAGCAGCATGCTGTGGTGAACAGTGACAAAACAAATGGGTATCTGTGCGTTTGACAGCCACTTCATGGTGACCGCGAGATGGAACTCAGCTCGACGCTGTCGAGTGATTATTGAAGTCGAAGGGGTTGCCTGATGAAGAAGCAGAAACGCTGGCGGCTTCTATATGGTCGATGCAGCGATGGTAGAAAGGCATTTATAGGACGTTGTGCTTCTCCAGGACCCTCTTCAGAGCATCGGTATCGAAGTCCTCGTCGTCTGGGATCATGTCGATCAAGCCGGTCATGTTAGCAAAGAGGTCGCCCTGGTTGCGGTATGCGAGCAGTGTCGGCACCGCCGCATTGTCGAACTCAATGTCCTCGTAGTGGACCTTGACGAAATGAACCTCTGGGTGAGCCGTGATCAGAGGGCGCATTGCCTGCTCAATGAGTTTTGATACTTGGCACTTTTGTCGAGTTAGCGATATGCTCGGTAATCGGCTGGGGTATTGTGAAGCAAACTTACCTCGTGGTCATAGACGAAAACGAGGACGGTGGTTTCCCTTCCGACTCTCTCGATGGCATCAAGGTAGCCCAGGGCATCGACGGTGTCGAGGCGGCCGAACATGCGGAGGCTGGGGCTTGTCCTCCGGCTCCGCGGGTTCGCTCTGGATTCCGCCTCGAGTTGTGCCCGTCTGTTCTCCCTCCACTGGTTGAGGAACTCGGCCTCGTCCTTGTCCAACTCTTCGTCGCTGCCGCTGCTTTGGGTGTCTGTGGCCTTGGGTACGTCGCCGAGGCCAAAGACGGAGCGACGGGCAGTGCGGACACGGTCACGCCATTTTGATGAGCGGGCTTGCTCATAGGCGCGAGCATCGGCAATGACACCCTTGACACCAGTGCTGTGGCCGGCGTCGAAGGAGTTGGGAGGCAAGTTGACCTCGGGTCTCAAGGCTGGCATCCTCATGGCTGCGTCGATCTGTGCGTTGCGGAACTCTTCGTCCTCGTCGAGGTCGCTGTAGTCCGAGTCTTCGTCTCTGTCCTCGGGGTGTAGTCGCGAGCCAGTATCTGTGTTCTTGGCTATGAGATCCTGGAACTCTTGCTGTGCCGGAGTGGGGTCGCTGTTATTGGTGTTGGAGATTGAAGACATGGTGGACGACGGGATCGCGGGGCGGAGAGAGACGGGAGAGGATGGTTTTATGTTCCCGAGAGTCTTGGATGGTCGAGGAGGTGTCTGGTTGAGGAAAGAGAGAAGGGGGCGTGGCTCTAGCTGTGATGGGATGTGCTCAGCCTTGAGGTCGGAGCGTCAATGCGGAATGAGAGGCGGGTTGCGGTTGGTTGCGGGCAGCGTAATGAGAGAGCCAAAGGAGGGAAGCGTGGTCGGTCGAGGGTGGTGGTTGAGATTGTGGTGTGTGCAGACGACGTTGACCCTGGTCTGGCGGATGGATGGGTAGAATGGGGATGGGGGGGAACACGAACGCAGCAGAGGGGCAGCGCACTGGAATGCCCTGGTGGGGGGTCAGCAGTGCAGTGACACCCCTGGGCTGCGTCAGAGTGTTTCAGGAGCTGAATAAAACGTGGCTCGGTGGGCCTGTCAGGGACCAGGGCCTGAGGCTCGACTGGGGCCGGGATCTGGCAAACCAAGGCAGTCAGCATCAGCCTGGCCAAGGACGAGGACAGGGGATCACATTCAACAAAGCCATCGAGGGTACGCGCCCCAGACAGTGCCGGCCCTGGGATACCAAGCAGTGGCTGCGGACGACTGCCCTCAGTTCTGAGTTGGGCTTTTTCACAACGGTGATTTTTGCAGCTTTGAATAACCTGTGCCTCGTGCTGCGAAGAGCCGGCACGACGGGAGTGACGAGATGAGCAAGGAGTGAGTAAAGGTTATGCGCCAGCACGAATATTATTAGACAAGAGCGACGTAGGGCATGACCCAGTCTTGGACGGTGTCCCAAGAAAACGGTCGCCGTGCGCGCCCATTGCTAGTCAGAGAGGTGGGCGTGCTTAGTCGCCGCCAACGCTGCAGCCTGCCTGCGCGTCAACAACGGTTTTCGATTTAATTTTATCTCGGCCACGCCTAAGCCGGCACGCGCTAGACACGCCATAGCCGCTACGGTGCCTGGCTGTGCCGAACATGGCCATCTGGACGGTGATTGCCGAAGGGGTCGCGATATGGCAGTTCGCAAAGCGCTCAAAGCACGATCATGGCAGCCTTATTTGTTGTCGTAATCGACGTATTCGTCCGCAGGGCTGTCCATTGGCGCAGATATCCTACTTGCCGTAAGGTACTCTTATGCTATTAGCAGAAAGCGCAGGCCATGTTCAGGAATGTTCACGTGTGTGAATTCCTCAAACAGGAACTTCGGCCCCCGTGGGCCGTCGCTGCCGCCTGCACTTCCAGCAGCACGCAGGGGTGTGGAAAACGTGGCCTCCACGCAGATACTACACACCATCTTCCCTCTCTCGACTCTGGTTGGAGGCGAATTGTGATAATGGCAAGCATGGCAGCATTCGATCAGTCACATTGCTAATGCCGCGTCGTGAGACGCAAAAAGCCGAGTGCTCGAGCGAGCTGCTCACGCTGTCCTAATTAGCGCCTTGGTCATCATGTCCCAGCACATGAAAGCCAAGCCGCTGCATGAAGCTTCAACAGCACCCCATCGCCAGCCGAACCATGCACAAGTCCCGAGGTCATGCTCCAGCATATTCTCGCGCCACCTGCCGACTGACACAAGGTGCCTTTGGCTCTGGTGCTGCAACATCAGCCCTAGAGGTATAGCATGGAGGCAGTTTTCCTGTCGAGCTGCCAATTTCATCGCCATCGTGCGCCAAACCTCACAGATCGTAAGCCACGCGCCAGGGGTCGTGTCAAGCCACCCGAAGATTGCAGCGTGCCACCCTGGGGAAGGGCCACCAACGGCAGTCGCTTCGCTTATGCGCCTTCGAGTCTCGACACGAGGCTCTCTTGCTGCCCAAGTCTTGTTACCACGGAGGTAGTAAGAACGCTTGCCCCGCGTCACAAAACCCATTCTGACTCACTGGCGAGCGCTCTGTGACGTCTGGACGGGAGCCGGCCCCAACGATGCATGGGACCCGAAGAGCTAGAAGAGCTAGAATGCCACCAGAACACGCCACATGTGCCTCGTCGTCGCGCGTCCGTGTCAGTGCTCATGCCCAATGCCGCTTTCAGACACTGACACACGAACAACGCTTGTGGCAAACCGTCACTCGGTGCATGAGCGAGCCAATTTCCCTGTCGACATCCTCGAGGCCCTGTCCCATAACATCGCACAGGCAGGCATAACCATGCGTTAGACACTGCCTAGCCGCCTATCAGGGTCCTTTTGATGCGGTCAACCGCCTCGCGGTTTACCCTGGGAGGGAACAGGCTCAGGATGTTGACGAACGTGACCCAGCGGTCTAGTGTACATACGTGTTGCAACGTTCTGGGCCTCGGCCAAGCCGTTGAACATTTGAGGGTCCGGCAGCTCGAGATCCGGGGTGAAAATTGTGATCTGCGAACGTGGCGCCAGGGTTTCGACAATGTCCAGTCTAGGCAAACTCAAGCAAGCAACTGCCGAGCTCACAGAGGAAGCATCGTCATGCCTGCTGCCGCTGGGTCATCATCACAAGAAAACAGCACGCATAACCAGCCTCCACCAGCTTTGCTCACCTTCATTTCATTGCCGACCTCGACAAAGGCATCGTCGAATTCCTGCAGGCTCGACCATCCCGCCACAGCCGCCAGGGCTTGCAGAGACCCCCAGCCAGACAGGCCAGGGTACCCAGGCACTGATGGGCTCACGAGATCAATAAATCCCGAAGTTTTCATACCCTGCCTGGACATCGGCGCAATTCCCTGGTCAAGTTGTGGCGGAGACGCCTTGTCATGCACACGGCAACCGTACGAGCCGTGGAACTGAGTTCCGAGAACAAGCCGATCTTGGAGGGCTTAACTGGGCGTCCCCTATTGTTGTTAATCAGGATTGGCTGCTACTGTGACTGCCAATCAGAGACGCTGGGCTGACCAGTTCTTTTTGGACGAATAGCTGCACATGGTGACATTGGGCATGGGTGATGAAACAGGAAGCCTTCTGGAACGAATACCAGGTGGGGACGTGACGCCTGCGTGGGCAGGGCAGGGCAGGGACCCCGTGCTAGCGGTCTCATCTGCCTGCCTCCTGTCACGGCAGTGATCGTCGGTCATGCCCGGCCACGATCGAGTCCGTCAGTGCGGTGCGGAGAGGGCGCAAAGGGGTAGGCCTAGTGAGACATTGCCCAGGCGCCGCCCATGTTGGACCAGGGCTTCCAAAAGACGGTCAGTTTCCATGCACTTCACCGTGATTCAACAACCGAGGTACGGATATGCCTAACGATTCGCGTCGAGAGCTCCCAATGAACAGTTGTACCGCATGTACTGCTCCTAACCCCAGAGCGGCGAGCGGATATGGCTGCCAAGTACTGCCAATCACGGGCAGCACAGTAATCCCACGACGATGAGAAAGGAGCGTCCAGCGCATAGTCGGTCGACCTTCCTTCCCTTCCTACCCGTGTAACAGCACGTGATTGGGGCCAGCCTGGGCTCGATTCTCGATATTCAGTGGTCAACCATGCTGCAGGGAGGAAGGCAGAGCTAATTTTGGACGCAGCTGGTGCCGGGAGCCTTGGAAATGTTTCCCGTTTGGCGTTGGCCACTGGGACTGCCGTTGCCCATCATCCAGGTGCTGGAGTGAAGCACGCTAAACCTTAAGTCACGGCGAGAGCGAGTCCTGGTGAGACAAGACCGTTTGGTGGCCTTGGACACTCGGACAAAGGTGGGTGTGGGCCGGCGTTCAGCGCATGCATGATGTACGGAAGCGTAAATGCAACGGTTTAAACATAGCAGCAATGATGTCGCTGGCCGAGCAGGCTCCTTTGAAGTGGCAGGAGTCATGTTTGGCAATCAGGCCAGGAGGGCGGCTGCAATGTTGGGCCAACTCGACGAATGACGGGGGTTCTGGAGAGGTTGATCGCTGCGGCTGAGGATGTGGCGAGCAGAGAGTGGTGCCTCGTGCACTTTCAATAGGTCGGAAACATCACGGGTCATGGCTGTGGTAGAGGCGGGCCACGTCCTATTGCCGAGAGGCTTGATTTGACAACTAGAGTTGCGTCACGCGGAGACAGATGAAACCAAAGGTTCCCATTGAGCAGCATCCAGAGCCTAGACGCGCTGTCCGTGGTGTGAAGAGGCACAGCTGGAGGACAGATCAAGGCTGAATCACGAGGAGCCCGAGCTGAAGCGTTGGCGTGCTCGAGCCTCGTTACATCATCACACGGCACTGGACGGGCCCCCCCGCCACGGAGAATGATTGCTGTCAAGTGGCATCGGCCCTGGGGTTTTCCGCCATACGGGGCACGGGTATGACGTCCTTGTCGTCAATGCTGGCGGGTTCTTGTTTGTATTTTTGTCCCTCTCTGAGGATTCCCTCATCGTGCTTCTGACGTGACTGGGGAGGTGCTCGGCTCTGATCACGATCGGTGTAGCATAATAGATCAACAGAAGACATGCCACAGTCTGAGCGGCGTCTCGGGACCGAAGTGAGCCGGCAACACCAACCTCGTCTTGCCGCATGCCGCCCACATTCCCCCGCAGCACACCATACTCTTTCGCACGTGGTTTGGTCGCCGGCGACATGTCCAATACCGTGACTACATGCATGCATCCTTGGGACCAGCCTTACCTGGCAGGACGGAGTTGTGATTGGCCATCCTGTCGAACAGGTGTTAGGTCTGTTTCCAAGTTTAGCTCCCACCAGTCAGAGATCTGCAGTCGCTCCTCCCGCCTCTTCCCGGAAACAGGCCAACACCCACAAACGGCGACGGGTCCCTTCACTACACGGATCATACGAGACATACGTGCCCCAAATCCTTGACCAGAGTCCCCTCACAGTCCACGTGGACTTGCGCGCGTTCTCGCCGTTTCAGAAGGACACGTTCTGCCTTCTCCATCTTGGCGTTTCTCTTTCCTCCCCAGCCAGGGGGGTATGGTATGGCAGCCTGCAGATGGCCAACTTTATTGCGATTGGCCGAAAAACACGCGGAGCCCAGCGACCGACTTTTGCTCCTTTTGTGAACCTGGACTGTTTTGAAACTTTTCCCCCCACTAAACAAGAAACATGAGCGCACGCGGCCTCGTAGGCATTCAGAGGAGGCACGTCCACAAAACAACCGCAGCAGACCTGAGAATCGCGCGTTTCTCCCCCACATGCGAAACGGAGGACGATGTAACTGTGCTTCGTAGTCCCCATATGCTTGGGGGGCGCGTTGGTGGACTCCGCATCTTTTGGGATGGAAACCAGCTTCCCAACCCCCCCTGGCTCTCTCTGCAGGCAGGCAGTGCAGTCTTGCACTTTCCACCTTTTGACACGGAATATGTGGGCTTGTGAGGATTCTCGCGTCCAGGCCGCGCATGCAGGTCCCAGCTGCGGAGACCTTCTTTCCGAGGTGCAGCTTGTTTCGCCCGCTTTCTCGCTTGTATGTCTGTAGCATGCCGCGCTTGGAGGCAGTTATGCCTTTCTTCCGTTCACGGTTCCTGGCCTTCCGTGGGGGACGACTTACTGGGTCCCTTGCACAGGGTGGCGCAGGTCCAGGTCGCCGCGAGGCGAACTATATTCCAATAATCCACTTGCCAAGCACACCGTACGGTGAACAGCTTCCTCTCTCTGGCGCGGATAGGCAATCGATCAACCACATGCCTGTGGGGGAACCGGTGCGGTGATGGGGAGATGTCCTTTGCAACGGTGTCGTCGTGAGCGGAGACCATACGGCATCCCCCACGGAGCAGCAGGTGCCGGTGGGGACGGGGAGATCCAGCCGTAGACCGCAATGGCGAGCAATATATCTGATGCAGAAAGACGCTCCCGCGGGATAGGCTTGACGCGCTGCAACCTGGGTGTGGGCCGTGAAAGGTCGTCGCTCGCTTGCTTGTTCACCTTCCCGTGGCGGCAATTGTCGGACCTGGGTTGTATCAAGGTTGACGGTGTGAGTAATGGCTACTCGGAAAGAGAGGTCCGGGCTGCAGTGTCAGCTTGTTGTCCTTTCGAGCTGTCTGTATCCATCTAGAGTTGATGAGGTCTCTGATACCTAGATCCTGGCCTCGTTCCAGACTACCTAATAGCCTGTACCTGCCTGATCAAGGAGGTCTATCACGCGGGCACTGCACTTTGGGTTTTGGTAACCAAAGATGTTATAGGCAGGCACATGGAGTATTGGAGGGCTCACTGTCGTCGTCATCATTACAGACTCTGAACAACAAATGAAACACCTGCGTGTTAGCGAGAGCAGCACAAATCATCCGTGTCGAGCAGGATCCAACTCATGCATGTAACCCCAGGAGAGGGAATACTTAAGTCGACACAACCACCAGACATGTAGGGCACAAGTCATAGTTTTCACAGGCTATGGTTTTAGCCAATCGAATCGCGAAATGTGCCCCCATTTTCTGGTGTCAGGGGAATCCTGCTTAATCTTGTATTAAGTGTTTACGGTATGGTGAGATCAAGTACCAGGTCCGGGCTCGAGCACGCGGAAAGTGTAGTGACTATGTGTGTGGTCATTGGGGTTTTCATGTTCAGATAGGTATCGTAAGAAATACCACTTTCATTAAGTGGCTCCAGCGGCTCTGCTGTTAGTCGGTGTTAAATTCCTAGATAACCGAAACCGGAAGCATAGAATCTTGAATCTGCGCTTGACTGGGTGCGAATGGGGTCCTTCAGGGGGGAAGAAGAGTACACGGCCTGCTCTTCCGCGTGTACCACACGGTCTTATTGTTTTTGGTCCAAACACACATGCAGCCTGCATCATCAAGAGGAATCTTGTTGCACAGCTCAATGCAGAGGTGGCCCCTTGATGAGTATCCTGGGGCGACAATTTGGCTTAACCTCTATGACATTACCATTTCACACATCTGGGCACGAGCTTGTGCGCTAGGCATGCTTGCAAACTGCATTGCTTATGAGCACTTGGGTTCTGGATCTCAATGGCAACCGACAACGCCAACCCGTAACGATTGGAACATTCCAGGCAAATGCTGCAAGCACCAGTTCGGTCACCCCTCGCTCGACAAGTGCAGCCACGAGATTCACGATGAGCTTCGACGCAGCTGCGAGTACTAAGTAGCCCGGATCTATTCAAGGCTCTTAACTGTGGCGTAATTGGATAATACTCCTGAATAATCCGATTAGGCCGGATCGTGGCTATATATTCGGAGGACTCAATGTGCACTTTGTTGAGTAACTTTTCACATTGGTCTTTCGCCGGGCGGAAACCATGACGACTCTGGGCGCCCAAGGTTATGATCGAATAAGCCAATACCCCGGCCCTTCTCCCTAGATAAGACTGCAATTTAATAAAAAATAAAAACCCCTAAAAAATAATTGGATGGTGATTTACTCCATCGCCGAGGCTTTGCAGTTTTGACTTCGTCACTCTTCACGGTAGTCGCCGCCATCGGTAGCAAAGCTCCGAATCTTGAACACAACACTGCATGTCAGGTATCAAGCAATATAAAATTCTGCTCTGGCGACAGTTGGATATGGGCTTCATGGCAGGTAGAAGCTTACCTGTCAACGACAAATACAAGTCCCACAGGCCCTCTCTGTGCTCCGACACACCACAAACGATCATCCCGCGCCAGTTCGTCCGGTGAGCCCGCGCAAATCGATCTTAGGGTCACATCAACATTGCCCGAATGCTACTGTGACCTTGAACGATCTCATCTCAAATAACCGTGACCCTCGGATGGAAGTAATGACCAAGGCAGCGTGTTGTGACTCGACCGAGACAACTCTTGCCGCTAAGTGGGAGCTTGATATATGCTTGTCCCATACTTCAGTGTTTCGGCATTTTTCACTACGACGACTATCTACCTGGAAGGACGGAAAAGACAGACTCACAGCTTCAACGCAATAGGCATCTCAAACGCCTCTTCAGACATCCTCTTCTGTGAATGACGAGATGCCAACACGACGAATAGCATTCCGCGGGCTAGAGATTGCTGCCATTGTGCTTTGTTTACCTTGTCAGAGTCGATAAATACTTCTGACCCCGTCATGTATAGCCGGATGCGATCGAGCTCAATGTCGGACCACGGCTCCTCAGGGATGTGCTACATCACCTGCTTCCTAACCGGCTGATAGCAAAAGGAATTCTAACTCAAGCTCTTCTTCAATGTCCGCGAGAGCCAGCAATCATTCTCGCAAGTTCTGGCTGCTCTACTCACCTCACAATAAGAACATTAGGAGCTCATGGTTGATTGCCCAGCTCGCGACGACTTGTTTCACAAAGATAACAATGTCCCACCATCTCAAATGGCCTTCTCTGAAGGACTGGGTTCATGCACACGTCCATTTTCAATCGTCCACACAGATTTGTCGGGTCTACCCAGCGCCATCAGACATTGCCATCGCGCATGCAATTACTTGTTGGCAGAGCTACGCCGTTGACTTCTTCATATGGGCATTTCTCCACGGCGTAGAGTCGCCGCGAGCCTATTCATGCCATTTCCTGTCAACGACCATGACACCTACTGAGAGAAAGGCTGAAGACTGAACGTCGATACCAGCGCCCGGTACAAATCCGGGCAGCCGTACCAAATCTGCGTCAGATATATGTTTCGAGCCGTCAAATGGTATAGAAGTTGGAGACAAGTGTAGTGTCATATTGAGCTCGCCACCAACAACGACAAAATTACCATTGCGGATCTCGCAGAGCTGGGTTGACATGAGGGCGGAAGTTCAAGTTGGTGCAATCTCCAAACTGTCGGACGGTGGGGCCGAATGCAACATGGCCTGGTGTAGAATGCGACGCTGTGCCGCCTGATCGAATAGGGAATGACGTGCCAGCCCCTTTCCCCAGGGATCCAGGAACAACACATTGCCGTGGCGTCGGAGTGCTGAATGCTGCTCCAGATCCTCATGCACAGAAAGGGACCCTGAGTTCTGCGCGACTGTTGGGCCGCTTTGTGTCTCGGTGGACAGTATGACTGGCTCGTGAAGCAAGCAGCGAATGTATGTCCCTGTGCGGAGTGTCTGATTGATTGGAGAGCTGGCCATCCTGAGAAATGGCCGACAGGTGCCCTCGAGCCCGTCGGCGGTGCAGCTCATCTCTGGCGAGGGCCGGCTCGAGGCGCGAATTCCTAAGCAGACAATTAAGACTGTTCAAGGGACAAAGTCAGGACGGCCTGTGCTGCTAGGCGCCCGAGTAGGAAGGTGCCGAGGATACCGAGGTGGTGAATTGCAGAATTGACACGGAGCAATCTGCTTTTGACGGGGCGGCCAAGTGGGCTACGTCGCTTGCATGGGTTCGCGACTACTTCTCCTCCTCCGTCTCGGGCGAACTGGGTCTTTGACGCCCGGGGCTTGGAGAATAAAGGCTCTCTGTGCTGAGCGGAGAGCCAATCATTCAGACTGGAGGACGATAGTCTCGGAGGTCTTTCTCACTCTGAGCTAGGGTTGCCATATTCGGGTTTCAAGACGATCGCCCGGGCGGGAGATGCCTCGCCACGGTCATCGACCAGGGTTCGTGTTCCGTGATTTGATCCTGGCGGTCGTCGGGGCTTCTGGAAGTCGAGAACTTCTCATGAAGCACCAGGCTGTCTTCACACCGTGACGCGAAGCTGTACCGTTTGCATCACCCAACGTCAAACCAGTCTCGATTGAGATGCTCGATAATGCGAAGCCGTGGTATCTTGGCCAGCTGCAGTTGGGTCTTGGAACGTAGCAGCAGGAAAAGTATTGTGTTCAACCAAGTCGAGCACATGACATGGCCCGCAAGGATTAGGGAAAGTGCCAGATGCCCTAAGGTACTTATCTGCACTACTCAAGGAACGCCCTTGTTGTAGGCAAGAACGTGCAAGCTATCCAGAGCTTTGGCTAGGGGCGCACGAAACATGACCAAACGTTAATGGCCAGCCATCGCTGGTTATATGGCACTGCTTTCCCAGCAGCATTTGTCGACTCAGCCGACATCTGGATACAACGCTCCTGCACCGGTGTCGAGAGACATTTGATGAGTCCCGCCCACTTGCGACGATTCCGATAGATAATCTCGGTTGTGCCCCTCCCAGAGGCGCCAGACTTGGAGCCCTTGGCGACCGCTCGTGGGGCCATTCAATGCCATGGGCCCGAGATGCCCTCACTATTTGCACGACGGCAAGTCCTAGCAGGATCGCCCCCTGGGCAACGGGCTCCACCCCCGTTCGTCTCAATTTCCAAGGCGTCTGGGGTCCACCATCCAACAACAAAGTCAGGGGGGCCACCCCATCCCATCCCAGCTCACCTCACCCCTGGACCATGTCCTGAACGATCAACGCGGCGACAACTTCACAGAAAGCTGCAGAGTGTGTCGTGCCGGGCCCGCATGAGTCGACATCCAAGCCTGAGCGAGTTGGCTGCGTCGCTCCGGAATACTTGTTCAAAGGTCCTCACAACCGCCCGCCGTCTCAAGGCCAATGCTCATGGGTACAGTGAGTGCCTGCCGCGTGTTGCAGCCCTCGGTGCTGAGATGAATGACTCGAGGCCCAATATTTGTGCCTGTGGCTTTGGACAGGTCAAAAGGGCACGCTACATCCATAGCACTCACCGACCAAGCGTCCGCACCCACTCCACTTGGCTGCGTACGCTACCTAGATCGGCAATGTCGCGAACGGGCGGCAGCGACGAGTGCCTCGCCAGGCGGTTTGCCCATGATGACAGTCGCGGCTCAGAGACGAATGCGGGCGACTGAGTGGTCTTTGATGTCATGAGGAGGCCGTGCTGCAAAGGACGATGCAGCCTTGAGTCCCGCTTCGAGACACGGCTTCTAGATAGAGTTTACGTTCTCCATTCCAGCAGACGAATGGCCCCCCAATAGATGCGGGATACTGACGCCACAGTCAAGATCTGGACCCCCAGATGCCGAGCCCTGCTCTGCACGGCGCAAGAGGAGCGGCAGTGCAAGTGCTGACCTTCAATTCTGTAGTAAGCAGAATCTAATGTCGAGGAATGGACAATGACATCCTTGCCGTGTGGTCTTGGTCGGCACTTGATGGCAGGAGGCCCGACACGACCAGCTGTGGGCGCGAGCTCGAGCCCATCCAATTACGAGATCTGAGCACACGGGCATCGGAGGCTAATGGCTGTCTCTGCCACAGTTCTCCACCGTTTCCAGCGAGATTCGACACTACTCCCTAAGTGGGTGATGGCACCACCATGCTCAGAGAACCTGGCTGATGCCCAGACCACCCCCCCAGAGTGCAGATCCGGAAGCTCACCAGCTGGACTGCAAGCTGGCGCAAGCGCAGCCAACTAGCGTGCCAACTGTCAACAGCATCTCGAGATGTGCATGCCCGACCATGAGGCTGTCGTTGACGGGGCTCCTGATATGTCCGCCTTTCACTAGCCGTGCAGCCTAGTGGGCGCCGCCCGGTGCGAGGAGCTTCGGACGAGCCTGGCACCAGCAGGTCGAATAACCGATAGGCAGATATGGCCATTATGAGAGGCAATTGCTGAGTATTGCGCGGCGCTGCGGTTGGGATCCAGTGGAAATCGAGCATTAACAGAACCAGCCAGCATTGCTTTTGTTGCCGCAAATGATTGTGCGGAGACAAGACATGCTCCTCAGACTCGACGTGGTGATGCCCTCGTTGTGGATGGAGATTTGTGCGGTGCTGCTTTGCCTGGGACGAGGAGCTGCACAGGCCGGTCCATTGGCCATTGTGCGACGGGCGACAGGGTCGCTATGGGATGGGACTTAGTAAGTCGGTGGCCTGGGTGGTCCAGAGATGGCATCACGATGCTCATGTGTTGTAAAAGTTGATGCTGGGCAGGGTCACGAGAAGCTGTCGGGCTGGCTTTCGAGTCGCCGCAGAGGGCGCGGCCCCTGGACACCCCGGTCGGATCCCCCTGGAGAGGAGAGGCCAGGGGCTCCCTGCGTGCGCTCTGCCCTCTCGACTACCCTGCATCCCGGCCTTGCCTGGGAGGTCAAGGGCCTCTGCGGTACTAGCTACAGTAGCACCGCTTCTCTTGTGTGCTGGGCTGGGAGCTCTGCCCTGCTCTGCTCTGCTCTGGTGTGTGCTGTGCCTGAGCGAGAGAGAGAGCTTACCTGCCGGCTGCTGCTGCTCTCCACCCACCCCCGTCGGCTGCGCTCCAGCTAACCTCTGCTGGCCCGTCCCTTTTCCCTCCCTCCTCCCTTCCCTCGCCTCAGTCCGTCCTCTCCACACTCTGGTCAAGCAGCAGCCCGTCCAGTCTCAACTGCCAATCCAGCCTGCCCGGCTTCCTCTGGCAAGCGACGAGAGCACGACTCCCACGACGACGACTCCGCCAACGACGACTACGAGGCCACGCCTGCCCAGTCGCTTCTTCTCCTAGTCTCTCACTCTCCTTTTTCCATCCACGTCCGCCCTCGTCTCGACTCGCCAGAGACGCACCTCGTCGTCGCGCCCCCTTTTCTTCTTCCCCAGACGCGAATCTTCCAGTCCACGCCGTCCAGCCGTCAGCCATGGACTCCTCAAGGCAGAACGAGGTGTCGCCCGAGGCGATGCAGGCGCGCATCCAGCAGGCGCGTCGCGAGGCAGAGACCCTCAAGGACCGGATCAAGCGCAAGAAGGATGAGCTTGCCGACACGACTCGTGAGTTTCCCCAGGCCATTGACAGCTAACCACCCTGCGTCAATTGGCGTCGCATGTCTCCTCATCATCGCTTGCATCAATGCCGTGCTTTTTGCGCCTGCACGCTGCATTGACCAAGTGCGTTGTTGGGACGCATCGACTCGCGTTGCGAGCATTCGCTACTCCATTGCGAAAACCACTTGCCCTCCCCGACCAAGCACCAGTAAACTGACCTGTTTGCCTTCTCTGCAGTGCGCAATGTGGCATCGCAGTCCCATGAGCCCATACCCAAGAATCAGTTGATGAAGACCAAGAGAACCCTCAAGGGCCATCTCGCCAAGATTTACGCCATGCACTGGTCGACCGACCGGAGGCATCTGGTTTCCGCCTCGCAAGATGGCAAGCTTATCATCTGGGACGCGTACACGACAAACAAGGTGCACGCCATTCCTCTGCGGTCGTCCTGGGTCATGACCTGTGCGTATGCCCCGAGCGGCAACTACGTCGCGTGCGGTGGTCTCGACAACATCTGCTCCATCTACAACCTCAACCAGAACAGAGAAGGCCCCACCCGTGTCGCTCGTGAGCTTTCTGGCCACGCCGGCTACCTCTCCTGCTGTCGCTTCATCAACGACCGGAGCATCCTGACCTCGTCCGGCGATATGACCTGTATGAAGTGGGATATCGAGACCGGCACCAAGGTCATGGAGTTTGCCGACCACCTCGGCGATGTCATGAGCATTAGCCTGAACCCGACCAACCAGAACACCTTCATCTCGGGCGCCTGCGATGCCTTCGCCAAGCTTTGGGATATCCGTGCCGGCAAGGCCGTCCAGACCTTCGCTGGCCACGAGTCCGACATCAACGCCATCCAGTTCTTCCCCGACGGCCACTCTTTTGTTACTGGCTCGGATGATGCTACCTGCCGTCTCTTCGATATCCGTGCTGATCGCGAGCTCAACCTTTACGGCGTAAGTTTTTTTCCCCCCCTGCCTTCCAGTCGCCATCTTGGGCCGTGCATACAAGGGTGCTAACCAGTATTTACAGTCCGAGTCCATTCTCTGCGGTATCACTTCCGTCGCCACCTCCGTCTCAGGACGTCTCTTGTTTGCCGGCTACGACGACTTTGAGTGCAAGGTATGTGGAAACAGCTATCACCATTACGAGTCTCGTTAGTTGCCGTACGACTAACCCGAGTATCTAGGTCTGGGATATCACACGGGGAGAGAAGGTCGGCGCTCTCGTTGGCCACGAGAACAGGGTCAGCTGCTTGGGTGTGAGCAACGACGGCATCAGCTTGTGCACGGGTTCTTGGGATTCAGTGGTAAGTCTTCGCTGCGCAACCACAATCGCCCTTGTTGAAGGCTATTGCTAACGATGTCCTAGCTGAAAATCTGGGCGTACTAACCTGCCCACTGGGACGATACGCCATGGCCATTTGCGCAATGACCATTTCCGGACACTCGAGCTTGACCCCAGACCTTAATCATCATGTGGACTGGGCTTGCTGCCCTGTACTCGACGGGACGTTATTACAAGCACCACCAAGCAACGCGCGATGTCTGTTTTCAATACCATAAGCAGCCATGTCCGCACGGCCCGACTACGACACGACGACACCATCCGCTGCCGATGGACTATACCCAAATATTTGACCCGTTCTAATAATGGACCCACAACCGGCGGCTTTTGCCCTCTATTTTATTTTCTTATTTAGTTTTGGAGACCAGCCTCAGCTTTGTTGTAGATCTCTGCGCAGTCGCCAACGCGGGTCTTTGCACCGGCGAGGCTGGTAAGGTGGTTGTAGGAGCGGCCTGCCAGGACACGACCCTTGGCGTCAGGATGTGTTATATAGATGGAAGCTCAGAGATTGTGGCGAAGGGGTCGTGTCTGGCAGGAGATGTTGGTTTTTCTACACATGCAGAGCCGCGGGCATGGGAGGGATCAAAAGTCGTAGGTCGGGGCGATGAGGGGGCAGGGCAAATGTAGCGTGCACTTATTCCTGCTGGGGGGGCATTCCAGGCTTTGTTCATTACTACCTCTTTTCTTTTATCCAGTCAATGTCTTTCCCGTTGCGTCGAAAAGAGAAAAATATATGTCTTGATGTCGATTGGGCTCTATTGTCAGACTTCCCCAAAGAATGCTTATTGGAGGCACTTTCGTGGTGATAACCCGAGGGTTCTGCATATGGCACCGTTCAAGCACTGTCTAGTGCACTGTCCGATCCTCATCTCCCAATCGCCCGTCGGAACGGAAGTCCGCGCCGGCACCGGCCGCCAGCCCGTCCGCTTGCGAGCTTCTCGCTTTGTGTCACCAAAGGGAACAGAATCGGAAAGCTACAACAACACAAATCATCTCCTTTTACGACCGTGGCGACAAATCTTGAGAAAGTCAAGATATCAGCCCTCAGCACATGACAGACGACGGGTGCGAGCAGTTTCCTATCCGAGTCTTTTAGTAACACTGCCGCCGGGCACAATTCTGCCTGGAGGAAGCAAGGACCGTGAGGGGGAAGGAAAGGAGGAGGAGCCATGGCGACGACGACGACAGGAGACGACGTGCTGGACTTTCGGGCGATGCCCAAAATCGAGGTATGTTCCCGGTCAGCAGTATCTCGGATTGTACACGTTCCGTTTCTGTCTGGTCAAAGCACCTACCAGCGTGTAGAGAAACAGTCTGGCGAACGTGTGCGCACGATAGCAGGAGTGCCGAGTTTTAGACTAATTGTCGATGGCGTATGTTTCCTGCGGGTTTCAAAAACAGCTCCACGCTCATCTCACTGGTAGCATTACGCGGCGGTGCCTGCACGAGATATGGCGCGACAAGAGGGCTAAGGGAGAGGCAGAGGACCTGGAGGATCCGCTGGTGGTTATGCCTGAAGGGAGGCACGATCATGATCTGACGAGGTAAGCCGTTTGTTATCCTTGCTTACCCTTTCTTTTCTATTTCTGTTTCGGGCTTGGTCCCCCCCCCCCCGTTTGTTGTCTTTTCTATTGAACACTGAGAGGTGAGCTCGGTGGGTTTGGGTGGTTGTTTGCGCAACCTTTGTTTGCCCTTGTCCAGTGACTTGCGGCGTCGCCTTTATCTTTTGCGACTCGCGAGTTCTGCCCGACGGAGAATAACGAGAAGAGCTCAACCAAAAAAAAACACCCCATTGTTCCTCCCCTCATCTTGCCCCCAAATCACAACCAAGGGGTTGTAAGATTTTGGGATTTCTCAAGGCCAAAGTACAAGTAGCTGACGACGGCTCCCTTTTTTCTCCCCCACCTCAAAGCTTCTTCCCTCTCTTCTCATCCTACATATACCGCCTGATCAACGACTTGCCGTCCCTGCGGCGCTCGACTAAACAGGTCGTCCACGACTTCGCCGCCGACGGCGTCGTGTACCTCGAGCTGCGGACCACCCCGCGCGGCATACCCGCCGCGGGGCTGGACAAGGCGGGCTATGTGCGCGCGGTGCTGGAGGCGATTGCCGAGGCGGAGAGCGAGGGTGCCGCTGCTGCTTCTGCCGGCGGAGATGGAGGAGGAGGGGAGGGAGGAGCCACCACCACCACCACCACCACCAGAGGCAGTGGAATTCGAGTCAGGCTGATTTTGTCCGTCGACCGGCGGAACTCTGTCGACGAGGCGTGGGAGGTGCTGAACCTGGCGAGGACGTTCATGGCAGGAGGAGAAGGAGCAGGTGGTGAAAAAGCAGGTGGTGTCGTAGGTCTCGATCTCTGCGGCGACACGGCCGCGCGGTGCGGGCAGATCGCCATGTTCACCCCCGTCATGCACGCGGCCCGCGAGGCCGGGCTGCAGCTCACCATCCACTTTGCCGAGGCGGCGAGCACGGGCACCGACGAGGAGCTGCAGACCATCCTGGACTGGCGGCCCTCGAGGCTGGGCCACGTCATCCACGTGCCGGACCGGATCAAGGAGCAGCTAATCGCGTATGGCAGAGGTGGCGGCGAGGGCGAGGGCGAGGGCGAGGGCGGCCGACGGGGCCAGCCTATCGGTCTGGAGCTTTGCCTCAGCTCGAACGTCCAGCTCAAGATGATTGTCGGCAGCTTTGACGTGCATCACTTTGGGGAGTGGTGGAGGGTCCAGAATGGCCCGGTCATTATGCCATGCGTGAGTTCTTGTCCTTTCCCCCCCTTTTGCTCCGGTCTACTGTGTTCCAAGTGAGAGCCTTCTTACTGACAGCCCTTCTTTTTGTTCTTGGAATATTGTGTAGACCGACGATGTGGGCGTCTTTGAAAGTCCCCTCTCCAACGAGTGGCGTCTTGTCCAGCAGTACTTTGAACTCACCCGGGATGACATTACCCTCCTTGGGCGCAAGACCATCGACGTCATCTTTGGCGGAGAGGCGGACAAGGAGCGGCTGAGAGAGATCATGTGGTGACCGGTTTTGCGTCTGTGTTTTCGTTCAGGTGCATTAACGAGGCATTCGGATACCCATTGCACCTCCCAAGGACATTTGTAGTAGGGGTAGCAAGGTGGATGAGCAATAGGAATAGACATAGACCACTCACACGAATTACTGGCCGTCCGCCTTTGGATGGGAATGAGTATGATTATCGACGGCAGATCGTGCAGAGGCCTCATGCAGCGAATGACACGGCGCCAGCGGGCAGTGATTACCGCCAGCCTCGGAATTCAACCACTCACAGGAGTTGCAATACGTTGTCTATTAACTTGGCCTAAACCGAGCCATCTATCATTTTGTCTCCCAGACCATGCAGAAAAGAATGAACCCTCGCACAATAGGGTCTATGGCTGTCCCGGTTCCCTTGCAAATGCTTAAGACTGTGAGGCGGCCCAAGATTCGAACCACGCCAGTGCTTCTGGGTTCGCCACACTGGCATTTGTCTTGATCTTGATGCCTGAGATGATCTGCTTCACGGCGACCTCGATCCTATTACGAACCCAAGTTAGCGTTTCGAAACAAAAGCACTGTGTATAGCACGTGCGCGCTAATCGTGCCTACTCCTTCATCGACAGGTGGGGGCGACTTACTTCTTGCCATTCCCCGTCTTGGGGATTCCAGCTGGACCACACTCCTCAACAACTCCAGGGACGTGACGTGGACTGAGTTCCTTCCTGATGACGGTCTTGAGGCGGGTGCGCAGGTCATCCGAGAATTGGACATCTTCACGCATCACTACAAAGAGACATACTGTCTCGTCCCGATCGGTCTCCCGCCGCCTGCCGACGCACACCGCATCCTCGACTTCACTAGCAAAGAAACGCGTGAGGATGTTGTAGATCTCCGCACTGCCGAACCTGACACCCGAGGGCTTCAGCACGCCGTCGCTGCGCCCGAGCATAGTCAGGCCGCCCGTCTGTGGGTCAATGCGGACGAAATCGCCGTGATGCCAAATCCCCTCAAACCTGTCAAAGTAGCTCGACTTGTACTTCTCGTCGCCATTTGCGCCCCAGAATGTCAGGGGCTGGCAGGGGAAGGGCTTTGTGCAGACCAGCTCGCCGTCCTCTCCAGGCGTGGGCTCGCCTGTAATGGCATCGGCCACACCAATTGCCATGCCCAGGCCGGCGCACTGGATCTCGCCCACACGGACAGGCAGCAGGGGGCAAGGGGCGCCGAACAGAGAAATTATGTCGGTGCCTCCAGTGATGGATCCCAAGTTGATGTGTGATGGGAATGCCTCGTAGATGTACGAGAATGTAGACGGCGGAAGTGGTGAGGCGGTTGAGTATATAGCTTGTAGATGTGACAGATCATAGTTCTCCATCGGTTTGACATTGTTTGCCTCGAGCGTCGTCAAGTAGGCTGCCGATGTTCCGAAATGGGTGATCTTGAGCTGCTCGATGAGCTTGGGCATTGACAGGAACCCGTTGGGCCTGAAAGGGCTGCCAGAATAGAGCACAAGGGACGAGCCGCAGGCCAATGCAGAAGCGGCAAAGTGCCACATCATCCAACTAACGGTGCTGAAGTATAGCATTCGCGAGCTTGAGTCCATATCGCAGTGGAGGTGGTGCTCTTTCTTGTGCTGGAGCAGGGTGCCGGCAACGGTATGCACAATGGCCTTGGGCAGGCCAGTCGTGCCACTCGAGTACAGTACATAGAGAGGATGCGAAGGTGGCAGCTGCTCGAACTGCAGCTTCTCGGGCCCGGAACTGGAAGATCAATCAGTCCATCCGCATGACGATGGCGGGTACGGTATTTTTCAAGGATGCTGCCGTACCTCTTCAGAAAAGCCTCGTACTCGACTGCCTTGACGCCTTTGCTCTCCAGTACGTCCAAATCCAAGGGCACCGAAATGTTGTTTATGACCACAACCGTCTTGAGCCCTTTCGTGACAAGCACATCCACAATCTCTGCTGTCTTTGCTGTACTCGACCACTCCTTGCCGTTATACACCATGCCATTGTCCGCAAAGAGCACCTTGGGCTCGATCTGGGCGAGCCGGTCCAGAACCGCACTCACTCCCGTGTCTGGGCTGATGCCTGTCCAGATGGCACCAATGGACGTGGCTGCAAGCATGGCAACCATGGCTTCGACGTGGTTTGAGACAAAGCAGGCCACGACGTCCTTGGGCTTCAGACCGGACGCTCTCAGCACGTTTGAGCACTGCCGAACGGCCTCTCTGAGCTCGGCCCAGGTCGTTTCCCGCGGACGATCCTCCAGTTCGGTCGCAGTGATGACAGCCACGCCAGAGTCGGAAACTTCTGCCTTTGCTGGAAAGAGCAGGTTCTCAGCAAAGTTGAGCCGGGCCCCGGCAAAGAAATCTGGCCGTGGATACATTGCCGCATTGGCAGGTAGAACCTATAGACTCATCAGCATACTGAACCGAGACAGAGATGACGGCCTACGGAAGCGATATATCGGGGCACGTGTGGCTTATTGTGTGCAAGTCAGGAGGATGGTCCGGGACACTACATATACTGACTTCCGTGTAAGGTTGAGAGGCTTTGATGCCGCAGAAGTGCCACACCTGGTCCCAAAAGTCTGCAATGTTGTCGACAGACCATTTGTAAAGGCCCGGATAGTCGTTGATATCGAGTGTGTACTTGTCCCTGACGGATTCGAGGAACTTGTACATGTGTGTCGAGGTCGGGTCTGGATGTCTCCAGAGCTCGGCCGCCGGGGCCTTGACAGTAGCAGCCATGATGTCTTTACAGCGATCAGAGCCGAAGCCTGCAGTGTTGGGAATTTTGGGGAAATGTCGCGTGGACGAAGATTCAAGAGGGGTGCATGCGGGGGAGGAGACATGGAATAAGGGGTCTGGGGAAGACGGTGCCGGTCGGCTCCAACTGGGCGGCGATTGCTGCCGTCGAGGCGACCATCGGCGGGTCGTCGCTGCCACAACGGCGTGTTGGGACGTCTTTTGTGGGCATCGGCGCAGCGGAGGGCCGTCGTGGTCCCGAGTTGCCCTGCCGAGACCTCTGGACCTGCTGCCCCGAAGTAAGCCGCCTCTGCCCACCCAGCAACCCTTCCTTCGCACATCCAGACCGCCGGCCCGGGGACAATCGAGTCTCGGTCAGAGGAGCATGTCGCCTCAAGGTGCGGGATGCCACTCGCTCTGGCGTGAGCAGGCAATTGCCAGCTTCTCCCAACACTCCCTCCATACACCACGACACGATCTACGCCGGCTATTCCTTCTGGAAGATAATTATGACGGATTCAATAGACCTCCAGGCAAGCGTCACATCAGCCTCGGTGCGGCTCAAGTCCGCCCCGCTCCATACAGGAATGGTAGCTTAGGGAAAGAAAACTCGATGCGCGGAAGTTGGGCCGAACCGAGCCGTCGCAACCCCAGCTGAGCAGAACTGGTTGGGCTGTTGAAGTCATTACGATAGTCCTAAGAAGCACTAGAATATGTCAAATCAGATGTGAGACCGGTTCCAAGAAAAGAGGTGAGCCAATTCAACCCCGCCAGGATGATGGACGATTTGTACTGTGTAATGCACGTCTATTTCATGCTTGTTGTTCAAGGATCTTATCCTCCGCCCACCAGGCAGCCATTTAGGTCAGCATGGTCCAACCCATCTGCCAAGCCACAATGAAGCCCAGGGCAGTGCTGCCGACAGGTCAGGTCTCCCCCACCTTGCTCCAATGGCAGGGTGGGGGATTTGATATCGCTCAAGTCTCGTTGAGCTTGAACACCACGATGTACGGCGAATACGTTCATAGTCAAAGTGTTTTGGTGCAGCATATCAAAAACCTTGGAAGCTGACTGGCCAGATAGGAGTGGTAGCACCACGAAAAGCGAGGGAGCACAGCATAATAGCTGTCGGGCGTGGGACGATTACCTCGCGCTAAAGTTATCGGGCGAGACACAAACTGTGCCGCGCTCATTTCGGGGAGCTGTGGCGGGCGGATACCAACATCGTGACTTTGCTGCTAGACGAGACGGATGGGCCAAGGCCCAGGGTTTGATACTGCCGCAGCGGTTTCTGCAGGGACCCTTGCATGGAGCTGTCCAGCCAGGCCTGTCGGGACCGGAGGACAAGTGCTGTATGACCCCTGCTTGAAGTGGCAATGAAGCGAACCCTCCGGACGATCTCCAGTCTTCTTCTGCTTCTTGGGAGCGTTTCTCTTGGCTGAAGAGTAATCCGGCCTCGCCAGTGCTGTGGAGTGCGCCAGGTCGATCAGGCTCCGACGCGAGAAAGGGAACTTGGTGCACGGATGAACAGAGGAGCTCGAAGCATACGAGATTAAATGAGGCGGCATAAATGCTTGGGCGCCAATTAGCAACTACTGGCAGACCAGGCTCAGGGGCTTTAGGGGGCAGGTGGAGCCATCACCAGAGCCTTGCAGTCCAAGCCCTCGGCAATTAGCAGGGCTTCTGCAGCCTCGCCTGCTCGGACTGGCGGGCAAGAGGGTTTTCGCCAGTTTGTCGCCTGGTTTTGGCTTTTGCCCGATTCTCGGATGGGCCGGGAGTGCTGGAGCACGCCTGCGGGCTGCTGGCAAAACCCGAAAGCTGGAGAGCGGCCTTTTCGAGCACCCTCGGCGACCAATCAAGAGTGGTATTCGGGCACATTGCGCGGATGGGCCGGCGTGGGCATGCAGTCGTTCGTGGACTTAATCAGTGCATCGTGCATCTGGGGCATGCCGGTGGTGACGCACTGCATGTGGACGCAGCCAAGCAGGCAGGAATGGTCCTGGGGAAGTGTAGTCGAGTGCAGGAGTAGCAGCAGCAGTAGTGTCCAGCTAGATACCTGAGCCATGACGGCGTCGAGGGCATAATCGGCAGGGCAACCGCCGGCGCGAGTGTGGTCGTAAAGTGCCACTGGCATCATCATCGTCACCACAATCATTGTCGATGGCGCCCATTGTCCTTGGCGGTGCCTTGGGCTGAGCCCAGGGGAGAGGCAGCTAGCGCCAGATGGCGGGAGCCATGGCGGGCCAGCTAGGCTGCAAGCGGGAGCGTGCCAGGGCCTGTCGTCACCCTGCACACTTGACCTCAGTTAGAGGTATCTACAGCAGCTTGTCAGCAAGGCCCATGCTCTGCCACGCCCGCCGTACCTTGCACCAGCCAGCCCAGCCCAGCCCGGGGCCCTGGCCGGTGCCACTCCACGGCCTCCCTTTCCCATCCCGCCGATCCCATCATTTCCCACTGCGCGCCGGCAAGCTCCATCCATCGACCCATATCACGGCGGCCTCTGGCTCCAGTCCTCCCCACTCTTCCCTCTCCTGCTCCGACTTTTATCTCTGCTCCCCTTCTTCGCCGCTGCTCCTCTTCCTCCTTTCTGCTCCTGTCTGGTCCGTCCGTCCCTGCTTGGCCCCCTCTTCGCAAGGTCTTCGACAAGTATCCGGCGTCGTGTGCTCCTTCCTGCATCCCCTGAGCTGTGCCTTTGCGTGGCAGTCTCGTCCACTCCTTAGCACGTAAGTTTTGGGTCTGTTCTTCGTGTCCTGTCTTGGGTCTCGGGTCACTACTTGGTGCTGGCTTCGCACTTGCGCCCCAAGCCACGCCTCTCTGGCGTCGTGTGGTGCGCCGTGGAGCAGCGCCTCGTAGGGACGCGACGCCCGTCCCTGCACTCCCCTTTCAGAACAATGCGTTGCACCAAATACCCCCCAACACGCTCGAGATACTCAGAGCCGCTCTCACCGCTTCTGGCCACATCCATATGCAGTGGCATTCATTCAAGCCGGCTTAGCGTAGAGCGGACCTGCTACCGTCACCAACAACCCGCTCATGTACCCCCAGACTGACATCCAGCTCCATTGATAGACAAGCGCCTACATACAGCCAGCTTGGAAGTATTCACCAGCAACGTCGAGCATCTCCTGCTCGATCAACTCGCTGCTAGACCACCTAATTCGCCCTAATTGCCGACGTCCTGCCTCGAAGACATGCCCCGAAGCATCAAGAATCCTTTCACCAACGTCGCTTCCCCCCTGCAGTCTGAAAAGCCTGCTGCTGAACAGAGACGGCCATCACAATCCAAAGGCAACCGTCTCAGCCAATTCTTCTCCTCCTCGCCAAAGTCAAAGGAGCAGCAGTACGCCCCGATGCCTGCTCAAACCGAGGGCCAAAAGGCTTCCGCCTTTGGTCTCCCCAGCATCTCCCTCTCCTCCGACGCAAATGCCGACGAGTCCTCCATGACTCTGTTCCAGCCCCTCTCATCCGAGGATGTGTCTCGCCAGAAGGTCCTCGACGCCCAGTTCGCCCCTCTTCTGAGCCAGAAGCACAGATACGTCAGCAAGCACCACGGAGAGCCTCTCACCGCTCCCGTCATTGACGAGCCTCCCTACTACTACGTTCTCACCACCTACATCAGCTACCTGCTCCTGATTGCTCTCGGCCACATTAGAGACTTCTTTGGAAAGCGCTTCAGCAAGAAATCGCTCTACCAGACCATCAAGGCCGTCAATGGCTATGCTCCGCTCACCGATGACTTCGACAGCTTCTACACCCGCCGTCTGAAGATGAGAATCGATGATGTATTCGGAAGGGCTACGACCGGAGTCCCCGGCCGCTTCATCAATTTGATGGACCGTGTCTCTGATGACTTCAACAGCTCTTACCGCTACCTTGGTACCACCACTGAGACCCTCAACATGAGCTCGTACAACTATCTTGGTTTTGCTCAGTCTGAAGGTCCCTGCGCCGATGCCGTTGAGGATTGCGTCCGCCGTTACGGTCTTAGTGCCTGCAGTCCTGCTGCCGATGGCGGCAACTCTGATCTCCTGGTCGAGGTTGAGCGCGAGATTGCCGCTTTTGTCGGCAAGCCTGCTGCCATGGTCTTCTCCATGGGTTTCGTCACGAACGCCGGTGCTTTCCCTGCTCTCGTGTCCAAAGGCTGCCTCATTCTGTCCGACGAGCTGAACCATGCCTCGATCCGTCGCGGTGCCCGTCTTTCTGGTGCTGTTATTCGCTCATTCAAGCACAACGACATGATCGACCTGGAGAAGAAGCTGCGCGAGGCCATTGCTCAGGGCCAGCCCCGCACGCACCGTCCCTGGAAGAAGATTCTCGTTGCTGTCGAGGGATTGTACTCCATGGAGGGTACCATGGTCGACCTGCCAGGCGTGCTGAACCTCAAGGATACCTACAAGTTCTACCTCTACCTCGATGAGGCTCACAGTGTCGGTGCTCTTGGCCCCAAGGGCCGTGGCGTGTGTGACTACTTCGGCATTGATCCCAGCCGCGTTGATATCCTCATGGGCACTCTCACCAAATCCTTCGGTGCCAACGGTGGCTACCTTGCTGCCGAGCAGGCCATCATCGACAAGGTTCGCAGCACCAACGCCGCGACTCTTCTTGGTGAGACTCCTACTCCCGCTGTGCTCATGCAGATCTCTTCGTCCCTGAGAGTCATCACCGGCGAGCTTTGCCCTGGCCAGGGCGAGGAGCGCCTGCAGCGTATCGCCTTCAACTCGCGGTATCTCCGTCTTGGGCTCAAGCGTCTTGGACTTATTGTCTACGGACACGACGACTCTCCGATTATCCCCGTTACTCTGTACAACCCTGCCAAGATCCCCGCTTTCAGCCACGAGATGCTCAAGCGCAAGATCTCTGTTGTAGTCGTTGGCTACCCTGCGACACCACTCATCAGCTCTCGTGCCCGCTTCTGCGTCTCCTCGGCCCACAACAAGGAGGACATGGACCGTCTCCTTGCGGCTTGCGACGAGGTTGGTGACATCCTACAGCTCAAGTTCTCTACTGGCATTGCTGGCGGGCTCAAGCCTGCGGCCAGCGAGAAGGAGAGGCAGCAGCGCCGGGAGGGCATCATGGAGCCGCCGAGATGGACTCTGGAGGAAGTCCTCGCCAGTGGCGAGGATGACGCCAATGTCAAGCTCCAATAGACGACAAGTTCTCACTGCTCGCGCACATCATTGAACTCATTGCATAGACGGCGTTTTCAGTCAAATCGATTTTGGTACTATTATTAGAAACATGTCAACTAGGGCGCCTCGGAGTTGGTAATCATGACGACGAAGTGGTCGGCTAATGTGTATGGGACATGAGGGAGGGTCCAATGAGGTCTTAGCCCGCACTCGCTTCAGCATATCTGCAACATTATTCAATTCTTCAAGGCGGCTGGCACTGGAACCACAGTGCTTCGGAGCTGGACAAGACAATTTCTCCATCTTGCATGGTCAAAGGACCTCAAGATTAGCCATAGATATACCCCTTAGACACTAGGTCAAACCAAGCGCCGTCCGTATGATCGGCTTTTGAAGAATTCTGTACCACGACGTGGATGTTCACTCTGCGATTTCCGTGCTTGTTCTCAAGGCGGCCTGCATTGCAAGCCAAGCGCTGTGCTAGTCATAAGTTCAAGGTCGCGCGACAGACGGCCGCGCTGACCTCTGTCTCAACAAAGAACGTGTCACTTTTCCCGCGCAGCAAGTGCCTGAAAACCAATCACACAAACGAAATTATTTGAGATTACCAGACGGCCTATGCAAGAGGATGGCTGAACACGCGATTAAAATAATCTCGCTGTATGCAACTACGGATACTTCTTTTTTTTGTTCTCTCTCTCTCGTGCTTGGGGCTTTAAAAAGGAACATTTTTACACGCGCGACTGCTCTGGCTTTAGTACAAAAAGATGACTTTTGTCCCCTTCTTACCTCCAGCCTTACCTCTCCACAAAGGGAGCAACAAGAATGACAGGAGCTAGAAAGTGAGTTTTCTCCCCCAGTGGGTCGACACCGGAAGACAAATACGTTTTTTTGGGGGGGCGGGCATGGACCTGGAGCGCTCATATATGAGATACGAGGGCAAAGTCTTTTGTCGTGGTGTTTTGCACGGATGAGGAACCGTACTAGGTAGGATTCTATTTATACACAGGCGGGCGAGCGCGTGCGCGGATGCTGGAAACGTGGATCTCGAACTCCGCGCAAAGTCAGGTTTGCTGGTATGGGCAGGCGCGATGTATTTTGAAAGAGTTGATGGCGGGGTGGCGGTGATCGTGATCAAAGAAAGGTCTGGCGTGTGTGACTGTTCCTGCAAGATATGTGTTGACACATCGCTTACCATGACATACATCATCGTTCGTTGCAGGAAGTCTGATCGATGAGAGTCATCTGGCCGATCTCTTCATGTTTCGTGAGGCCCTTACCCATGCTTACCCTTGTGGTAATTAGGGAGGAAATGGCGACCTGGAACAACGCGTAGAATGGTGTAATGTGGAAGACGAAAGTATACCAGATACCCACCAGTGCGAGCGCGAAATCCATGAAGAGAATCCGATCACAGGCTTGATCAGTAACGACGCAGTTTACGTGGGTCTTCGTACCCTCCGTCGTAGCCGCGCTTCCGGTTGTCGTCTTCCCGTGATCGGTCTTGGTCGCGGTAGTCTCGTCCACCTCTGTCGCCACGCTCTCTGACTGGTTCGTTGTTGGCACCGCTGCGCTGGCGGTCACGGTCACCGAACCTACCGCCATCACGGTAACCACCACCCGATCTGTCGTCATATGAGCGGCTACCACCACGAGAATCGTACCCACCACCGCCGCCGCCGCCGCCACCACCGTAACGGTCGCGCTCACGGTCACGATCTCCGTAGCCACCACCACGAGCACCGGACCCGGGTCCTGACGGCGCGTTCGGAGGCGCGAAGCCATTAGAGCCACCGAAACCACGATCGCGACCCATGCCACCACCACCGCCACCACGGAAACCACGATCACCTCCACGGAAGCCGCCTCCACGGCCACGGCCGCCACCAAAGCCGCCCCGGAAACCATCGCGACCGCCGCCAAAGCCACCACCAAAGCCGCCAGGGCCGGTGGGACGAGCAGCAGCAGCCTTGGTGTAGCCGCGGCCGCCAAGGCCGCCTCCGAAACGACGTGGCTTCCAGCCTTTCACAGTCCGGCCACGCTCAACGTCGACCTTGATGCGTCTGTCCTTGATGCGAATTCCGTCACAACCATCTAGAGCAGCTGAATCAGATGCGCGGCAATGCGCTAGTGTCAGTACTTTGCTTACCCAGTTGCATACCTTGAACCATGACCGGGAAGAGGATGGGAGGGGATGAGAGAGGCAAGCTTGAGGGCCAGATCTCGGTGAGGGACATGGTGTATAACGAAAGCACTCGGGCGTGCCGGGAGCACGGCGGACGGTTTTGGAACTAAATCACTGGCGGCTTTACCTCTCATGTCTTTCTCACGCTCGAACACGACGAATGCGTATCCGCGGTGCGGCTTCTTCTTCTTGTTGGGCTTCTCATTTGCGTGGGTATCGGTTACGATCCGGATCTGCTCAATGGCGTCAGTAGCGTGCATGACAATGAGTGGGAGTTGATCAAGTTGCTACTGACACGCTCAATGGGGCCGAATCGGCCAAACTCGCGCTCCAAGTCGTGCTCGTTGGCGTCGTAGCTCAGACGCGCGACAATCAGCGTCTTGAAAGCGTCACCACGAATATTAGGGTCATCGCTCGGGTTGTCTAAAACGCAGCGCACAGATATTAGTAACATTCGGGGTTGAGATTGAGGGGAGAGAGAGAAAGAAAGGAGGAGTTCGTTCTGTTCATCTTCGCTCCACCACCACGTCGGGGAGGAGACTCACGCTTCATGGAGCCCTCCTTGATGTCCGTCTCGTGCTTCTCGACCTTTTCGCGCTTCTTGCGGTCGCGAGCCTGCAGCCAGCTCTCAGTGGGGGTGTAGTTGTCGGTCTCCTTGTACGCGGTGAGCGCAGGCAGGAACTCGGCGAGGCCCGTGATCTTGGCTGTCTTGCGCTGCGCTGGCGCGACATCGATCGGCTGGACCCATCGTAGGGGCGGGCGCGGCGCGAAGAGCGCGAGGAGGTTGGGAGGGAGCTTGTCCGTCATGACCGGAGGACAGAGAGCCGAGACCGCGTGCGAGGTTGTTGATCAGCCGTGATTGATGATGCGAGCCGTGGTTGTCGCGACGAGTTGTTCCAGGGACGCGGGACAGCTGGCAGCCTTGATGGACCGGAGATCAAAGGGTTGAAAGGAACGAAACGAAGGGAAGGGAATGCAGGACTACAGATTCAACGCAGGCGCGGCGGCGAGCGATGGGTTGTGCTCTGTGGTGGTGCCCGTGCTCGTGTTGATCTGGTGCGAACAGACTTGAGAGAGAGAGAGCTTCCTGAATTCTGCCTGCTCCAACTTGCGCGACGGCAGCCTGCGCACGCTGCACCTGTGGAGTGCAGGGGTCAAATTGGCTCCTTACTGCGTAACTGAGCTGCTGCTAATGAGCGTGCATGTGCTGTTAGTACTGTGCCCGGGGCTGGCCACTTTGGAGGAGCCAATGAAACACACTTTCTGTGCTTCGTATATACTACCTGCCCTTGTGCCCCAGCTTCTGAGCACTCAGAAGTAGCAGTACCTAGCAGAGACCACCCTGTGCTCCGCAACGACCTCTGGGAAAAGTTCGTGATATCTGCCAGCTCGACCCCGTCAAGTCGACTCCGAGCCGTCCAGCGCCGATAAGCCGGCAAGCCTCATCAGCAACCCAGGAACCCCGACGCCAACTCGCGACGGGAAGGAGAGTCAACCATCGCCCTCCTCCAACACAGCCCGCCACAATGACGATCCGGGCGCTCGAGAAGGTCTCCGTCGGCCAGGTACGCCCAAGCTTCCCCTGCTTTGCGCGCCCCGCGATAGACCGGAACTTGACAGTCGTGATCGCTAACAAGAACGGCACAACGCGCAGAACGGCCTCGGCGCCTTCATCCTCCAGTGCAAGCGTATCGATGTGCACTTCTGTGACCACGCCGGTAGTTCGAGGGGCATGAAGTGAGTCTTGTTCTTCTCCAGCAGACCTCGGAGAAGGTCGTCTGCCTCGAACGCAGCCCGGCCAATTCTCGCTAACAACGCTTGTTTCCGAATCGTTACAGCGCCTTCATAAAATCACAACTCCCCAAGTTCGCCACCGCCCACCCTCAGATCGAGTTCGCCGTCTCGCCGCGGCCGCGCAAGCACCCCGTCCTGGTCGGACACTATGTCAACGGCAACTCAAAGTCCATTTGCGTCAAGAACATGGACAGCCTGCAGATCCTCAACAAGGTCGCCCTCCTCCGCGACGCGAGCGGCGACAAGGTCAAGAAGACCAACAAGGCCGTCACGAGCATCAACGAGTCCGTCAGAGGCGTGTGGTCGCCATACCACGGCACCGGTATGCGGGTGTAAGCTGGGAGGTCGGGGCGGGAACGAAGCAGAAAGACAGGGAGGGAGAGGGAAAGAGAAACAAATATTCGGAGAGTGGATTTGCATATTATCCAGGGAAGAATCCGATGAGCACAGCAGATATGTCACTTGTCACGATGCCTGGGCATAACCCCCAGCAATCCCAATATGCGGTTGGTGAGCAGTGGAGGACGCTCGAAGCCGACGAAAGACCCGCCTCGAGAAATTCATGGGCCAAAGAAGGTCCCCAGAGTATCGGAAACGAATTTGGCCGGGACGGGAAGGCATGCTCTTCGAAGCACTGTACACCATAGACTGAGGGCCGGGGCAATCTGCCGGTCGCGAACTCATTGTACCATAGATGTGCCTGTAGCATTGAAATCAGGATCAAAATCCAAACAACCTCAGCACGTACTAATGAAACAAAAGTCATGATAATGTCCTTTTGCAGCAAAAAGAGCCTAGTTTTACTTCTTTCAATTTTTGTACCTGCATCTCCGCTCTAAGGACAGTTATAATGGGCGAAGACACGTAGTAGTGTGACACGAGAATCCAGTCTCTCTGCATGTCCGCCGCGTTCCGACCCTTCACCCTTTTACAGCTTCTCTTGTGGCCTACAAGGTTTAGTCACGAAGGACGGGGACTCAAGTTGCACTGGCGTGATGTAAATCGCTTACAACTTGCAGTTAATGATGTCGACGACTAAATCACAACAAAGTTAGCCATCATTGCCGCAATATCGCACTTATCATCAGCGCGTGTGTAATGACGCAAACTTACAGGCAGGCTTCAAGCTAGCACCACCGACAAGGAAACCGTCAATGTCCTGCTGCTTGCTGAGCTCGGTGCAGTTCTTCTCGCTGACACTGCCGCCGTAGAGAATGCGAGTCTCGTCGGCAACCTTGTCCGAGACGTTCTCCTTGAGCCACTTGCGGATGGAGGCGTGGACCTCCTGAGCCTGCTCGGTGGTGGCGACCTTGCCGGTGCCGATGGCCCAGATGGGCTCGTAGGCGATGACAATCTTGGACCAGTCCGAGACCTCGGCCTTGAGGGCGGCGAGCTGAGCGGTGATGACAGAGAGGGTGCTGCCGGACTCGCGCTGCTCGAGAGACTCGCCGCAGCACCAGATGACGCTGACGCCATTGTCGGTGGCGAACTTGGTCTTGGAGGCAACGGTCTGGTCGCTCTCGCCGAGAATGGTGCGGCGCTCCGAGTGACCAAGGATGGCCCAATCGATGTTGCTGTCGAGCAGCTGGGAGACGGAGATCTCGCCGGTAAAGGCGCCGTTGGGCTTGTTGAAGACGTTCTGCGCAGCGACACCAATCTCCTTGCGGAGTTGCTCGCGGACGAGGAGGAGATAGAGAGCGGGTGGGGAGACGACAACCTCTATAAGAGGGGAGGAGGAGGGGAGGGTTAGCACGTTTCTGAAACTGCTGTATTGTGTTGAGGGACATGTTCTTGGAGAGCTACGCACCAACGTTGCTGTCGAGCTGGGCCTTGTTGAGGTTGTCGACAATCTCCTTGATGGACGAGATGGTCCCGTTCCTGGATAGGGCAAAGAGGGAGTGTCAGCAAGATGTCGACTGCCGGAGACGCGAGAGCGAAGCACTGGAAAGGCCCGGATGGAGTGGCATACATACATCTTGAAGTTGCCGCCGACGAAGAACTTGCGAGCCATGTTGGTGGATTTGTCTTGAGTCGATTGTGTAGGAGTGGTCTGGGACTTTGCAGGATGCTGATTGCTGCGATACAAGAGTGCAGAGTGATCAATTGATGTAGAAGAGAAGAGGAGGGTTCCTGACTGGGAGGTCGTCCGAGAGAAGCTTCGGCAATGGACCGCGAGAAAGCGGAATGATGTGCCCCAAGGGTTGCTGCTGGTACAAAAAAAAAAAAAAAAAAAGTTGGGGCCCAGAATAATCCGGCCCAACCACCCCACCGACGCGAACGCGTCGCGCCACCTGCAAACCCTCCCTTCTTCAAAACCACCATTTCGAGCGCATTTTGAGGTTATCATGGATGATTTTGTTGCTGGAGTGTGCGCCGATAGGCTGCCGAAGCAGGATTTCACTCCTAAGAAGAAAGCAGCTATCTGCGCCGCCCATTTCGCAGGTGTAACGCACCGCCGCATTGCCGAGCTTACGCGGGCCTCCAAGTCAACAATCACCCGCATTATCTCGGACTGGAAAAACAACGGCAACCTAGCCAAATCGCCTCGGAATGGTCGCAATGGATTCACAAATGCCCAGAGAAGGCGCGTACTAACTATCGTCAAACGCAAGCGAAAAGCGACGTGGCCAGAGATCATACAAGCCATGCCCTTCCAGATCTCCAAGACATCTATAAAGCGCATCATTCACGAAGCTAAGCTACGTAAGTGGAAAGCTCAGAAGAGGATTCCGCTATCTAAAGAAGCACGAAGAGCTAGGCTTGCATTTGCAAGAGAGTGGCTACCAAAAGTCGACGAATTGCAGGAGGTACGTGTAAGTGAAGTTGGTGGGATTATCCTGACTTGATCTAGGTGATTTTCACGGATGAGTCGTCCTGCCAGAACTCCACGAACGCACCCGCGCAATGGGTATTCCGCTTCCCAAGCGAGAAATGGGACGACCAGTTCGTTAACCTTAAATCGCACGTTAAGGCGAACCTATCCATTATGGTTTGGGGTGCCATATACCTGAAGAACGGCGTGGGGTGCCGGTCAGAGTTGGTGATAATGCAGCGCGAACCGCAGCCAGATCCTAACAAGCGAAAGAAGGGCTATACGGCCTGGAGTTATCAGAAGGCATTACGCGATGGCTTCATCCCAATATACGACGATTGGCAGGTATTTCAGCAGGATAATGCAGCAATTCATTGCGCAGAGAGTACTATGGATTGGCTCGCCGTCAGGGGCATTGCGGTACTACCAGACTGGCCAGCACACTCGCCAGATCTCAACCCAATTGAGCACATTTGGGCCTCAATGAAGCGCCAGCTAGTAAAACTGTTTCCAAACATTATGGCCCTCAAAAGAAACGACGGTGATACCTCCCAATTTGAGGAGTGTTTGAAGTCGGCGTGGGCAGCAGTGCCGGAACGGCTGATCACAAAGGTCCTCACTACAATGGACCGTCGCCTTCGCGCAGTGGCCCGTGCGCGCGGAGGATACACCAAATATTGAAGCCGCCATCGCCAGCTTCAAAATGCAATAATTACTACTCGATTCTGACCTCGTTTGACGGTTCTGTGGCCTTTTGTCGTGTGCAAGTACTGTGCAGCCAATTTTGGTGGGGGGGCTTGGGCCGGATTAATTTGGACCTGATCAGTAGACGCAAGGCATCGCCAGGGCCCGGAAGCTCCCAGCTGCCCCTCGGCCAGTCGTGCCTGCCGCCAGTGCTGCTGCGGGGTCTTGCCTGTCCCGTCGCGTCAGGATTCTTTCCTAGCATGCAGTTAGGTGGGGAAGACGCAGCCTCTCGAGCCCCAGCTTACTTTTCATCGCATCAACGTCCAAGGCGGGAGAAAAAGTGTTGAGGCGGATGTCTTGGGGGCTGCTTGAGGCAATTTTAGCATGCTGCGTTGTGGTTGGGCACCTTTGAACAAACCACTTGTAGCATCTTCCATTGTTCATCAAGAACTCTCTTGAGCCGCTTCTTGCTCTCGTCGGGTCTGCAGTAACCAGTCCAGTTTCCACACCCGAGTCAGACCCAGAATTGTGACGTGACCGCTGGAGGGACCATGATCCGAGCGGCTCTCCAGTTTGACGTAATATGGGCCTTGCTCGCCACTATGTCGGCCAGTTAACATGCTGGTCGAGATCTCCAATAACCAAATGTCGAGGCATTACACGAACAGCTTTCACACGAGCGCAGGTGGGTGCCGGACGAGACTGAGTGTTTGATTGAGGTAAATAAACCGGATTAAAAGAGAAGAAGGACCAGCCCGCTTGTTTGGTACTCCTGCCAACATCCACTGCCTAATCACAAGTAAAGACCCCTTTTCATGGACAAACACACCAACTTCACAACAAAACATCTAGTGGGCATTGTCAACTCCTGTTAATTTATGCCTCACTCATGCAAAGAATGTGACCGGTGTTTGCCGAGGTGCAAACAAGTTGCGACGTTCTTCGTACCTGGGACGCTCGTCTGTTGTCTCAATGATGTGTCGACGCAACGCGGGGCTTCTAGACCTCCCACGACCACCTGTGTGTCGTGAAGCAAATGGATCATCACTGAACACAGAATCGCGCGTCCCGGTCGGCGACGAAGCAGGGGTGTACCTGGGTCCTTCTCGGGCACAATATCGTCGACCATCACCACGTCTCAAGTCATCATCCAGGGAAAGACGAGCCATCCCGTAATCATCTGATTCCTCGTCAGAGTAATCGTAGTCGCCAACAACGTATTGCCGTGCATGTGAAATATTCTGAGCGCGCAGTGGGTAGGCAACCTTGACATGTCTGGCGATTCTGGAATTGGCGGGATGCGAGGTGACGGCGGGCCGGATTTCTGCTCGGTGCATGCGATTGATTTCTTCGTTGACCAGCTTTTCATCTTCTCGCCCCGCCAGATATGCCTGATCCTTGATCTGCTCCAAGGATGCCAAGCTTGGCGCCATTGTCCGAAGGGTTTGGCCATGGTTATAATTTCGTGACCGCACCTTCTGGTGTACCTGCGGTCGCAGTGGTGGAGGGGTTGGGCCGTAGTGCCTGGCTCTGGAAGTGGCACGAGCGCCTGACATATAAGGCCCGATCTTGAAGCTATGGGAGAAAGCATGTGATGATGGAGTCGTGATGCTGGTGTCTGACGATTGACTTGAGTACGATGATTCAGAATCCGAATACGTGGCTTTTGGTCGCGTGTCTATACGGCGCTTGTGATCACGATAGCGCTTCTGCTGATGACTTTGGGTCTTTTGTTGCTGGGTCTGTGTTGCCAGCGGCTGTTTGGTTTGTTGGCCCGCCCTGGCATCCTGGCTCCTCACTCCATGTTGAGACGAGATGGGTTGTGGCTGTTGCTGTTTTGAGGCTTGCGCAGCGGGATGATTTCCCAGTGGACGATTTCCCTGTGATAGATGTTGGGCTTGATTCCAATGGACATGGTTGACGGAGGGCTGCTGAGCGTTCTGAGGCTTGTACATTGCGTAGAGCATTTTAATATCAGCATTTTCGACAGGCTCGCGCTTAAAATAAGCAGTCAGGGACACTCGCTCAAACCTCCGTCTAGGTTGAGCATGAGCAACGTGATATGCCGTTCGGCGTGACTTAGTGCTGTCGAGATGCCTCCCAACGACCCTATTATGAGACTTGGATCTTCGTCGCGATGAGGTACTGTAACCAGGACTGGACTCGTACCGACCATCGCTCACAGCCGGGAGCTCGCGCAGCTGGTGATCAATCTGAGCCAAGTGCCAACGAAAATTATTCCTGTCCGGATCGCTAAGCATCAGTTGCTCCTGTGCTGTCGTTATCTGTCGCTGGGCAGCTGGATCAAGATCCTTCTTCTTGTCGAGGTAGTGCTTTGTGGTGCGGTCGAGATGTCTGATCTGCTTTATGATGTCCTTTTCGGATATGTGGCGCTCCTGCGTCCTAATTGCTCGTTCCCAGCGGCTCTTCCGAGATACATTTGAGCTAGTCTCGTCCTTGTTGGGAATCTTCTCCCACTGGAAAGCCGTGTATGAAGTGAGAGCTTTCCGCCTGTCCTCGTCTGTCATCAGCCCCTGGCTCACATCGCTAATCACGCTCGGCCCGGAATAAATAGGATTCATCTGAGCATGATTCCACATGGGTTGCTGAGTGTTGTGAGGGTACGCCTGTTGTGCAGCGTTGGGCCTTGCAGCAGTTTGTTGCTGTACTGCTGGCTGCGCCTGTCTCTGTGCTGGTTGTGCTTGACCCGGCTGCTTGCCATTGGCTTGGTGAAGGACGAAGAACCCGTTTTCCGCCATGATACGTAGCTTTAGTATGATCCCAGGCTAAAGGCGATTGATGGAATGCGTCTCGCACTCTGATAGGTAATCCCGTGCTTGACCAGAGCTTTTAGAATGCACCCCACGACAAACTTGGAGAGCCTTCTTGTCAAAATGAAGGAAGGCCTTGCCACTTGCCACTGAGAACAGGACATGGCGGAAGCCATCACTTGACACGAGTGGGGGTCAGGGGGTGTCTTATAGACGATATGGCAACAGAGCCTCGCCCAGGTCATGGCTAAGGGACCCGCCTGGACCTTTCATGCTTTTGCTGGAGCCTGATGAATCTCATGCCTCAGGTACTTCCCGGAGGATCTGTCCCTGTCCCTGAGGGTGTCGTGCCGTTGGAGGCGAGACCCGGGAGGGTGTTGCCGAGTCGTCATCATTAAATTCACCGACTCTTGATCAGGTCTACAACCATAGTTGTTTGGTGTGTGGTCGCAGTTGTTGCAGTCCTCTGAGGGTCGCAGACTCTCTACAAGGCTGCAGGTTTTGGTTCAAGTGCCCTACTTCTTGACAGGGACGAGACTAGGCTGCGGAGGGACTCGGTCAGGGTCCTCCACCAGGCACAAGCCTTTTCAGACGCCGGTGAAGATGTCTGCAAGAGCTGGACAATATCTGGGAGGCAGACGTAGAGACTAGTGTCGTGTTACGTGACTCGCCGCCCGAGTCGAGACATCTGAAGCCAGCCACGAGGATGTAAAACCATGCTCGAGCCAGATGCCTTCTTTGGACATTCGTGGGCAATCTTGCGAGCCGCTTTGCGGACCATCATGCTTTGGCCAACACGTCTGCCGGGGCGAGGCCGGCAGGGATGGGAAAGAGCAAGCACACAACAAGCTGGGCGAACGAGGCAGCCAAGGCGGTTGCTGCCTAGAGATTGGCAGCGCGGACGATGGTTGACGAGGTCAGATGCTCTTGTAGCCGGGCGGCGTGGCGCGCATGGACAATGCATTGGCAATGCATGGTGCATGGAAACGGCAGCCTCGACATGTTGTTGGACGGAACGTCGATTGGCTCCTTTGTGGAGGAGGGTGCTCCATCATCAAGTCGCAGCCGTCAAGAACGCCCCGATTGCTCCTTCCCGCCTTTCTCATCGCAGCCTCCCTCCCCTCCTTTGCAGCAAGAAATCTCTGCGATTGGCACGCTCGGTGCTGCATACCGCCATGCATGTAATTTTCTTATGCTCTCCAACTTCTATCCATACAAGCCGGGCGAAACTCCCAGCCTGCTTGACCGAACACGACCCTGCACCACGGCCGGAGAGCGACCCCAAGGACCTCATCGGCGGTCAAGCCCACAATGCTCTGGACAACAAGACGTCTGTTGCTACTGGTGACACGTGAGGCTGCGCGTGGGCTCGCGGAGATCTCTGAACTCATGTGCGCTTTTGACACATCCGGTCCGATATGGTAAGAGTCCAATACTTGGAGCTCTGCAGCAGGCTCTGCGGAGGCCCTGGGTCAGGGCACAGCCTGATCGAGCTCCTCCATCAGCCTACCACACTACCACACACCACGACGTTATCGGCCGAATGCACCTCGTTCCTGCCCAGGGTCATCGAGTCGCGATCCTTGGGTAGCCTTGCTGAGGAATGCCTTTCTCATGCTGTTCAGCAAGACCTGTTAGCCGGAGACGCTAGCGGCCGAGGCCAGCTCGGTGCAGCAAACACATTGCGAACCCCTTCGATATATTACGTCTCAAGAAGCAGAATCTACTACGTAATAATGCATAGCGTCTATGCACAAATATGTAAGTGGTCCCTGTCATTGTTTGGTCTTTCTGGATTATCCGCATCTCGTCCGAATCCTTCCCTTGTTCGCAGTCTGCACAGCAGTCCACTCCCATAAGATCAATTTCCCGAACATGAAATTATTCGTAACGATAACAGTACATCCCAGACATCGGGTTTGCCCCTTCTTTAAGCGTCATGGGTGGTGCAAGGATACCAAAGTCGAAGATCGTCGAATTGTCAACCTCCGGTGTCACTCCCACGGGGTTGAAGATGGTGCTCGTCCCATTGTAGGCATACCGCCGCGTGGCCGGGTCCATGTCTTGCCAGGTTGTCCACATGCGGTCAACCCCCGCGTGGTGTAAGTAAAAGACGACATCTTGCGGGCTGGCGAAGAAGTCGGACATGGGATCACCAATCGCGCAGTGCCCTGCGCGATGCAGGCCGAGAAAGTCGAGCCCAAAGTTTGGTGGCGTGAGCAGCACCTGGATTTGCGAGATGTTGTTCGCGGCCAGCAGCTGGGTAGTGAAGGTCGAGTTGAGCGAGTTGGTGGCGACGATGGGGTTAAGATCACGAGTAAAGCACCTCTCCTTCAGCTCCTTCCAATCCTCTGGGAGAAATCCCTGGGCAAGAACACTACCAGGGAACGGCCCGAAGCGGATCGTCTCGTTAGCGAACGGCCCCTTGGTGACACACCCCCCTCCCGTGCCTCGAGGGAGGTAACCATTCTTGCCCAACGCGATAGCCTGGGCAGTGGGATCCCAGTCGCCATTTCCACCCAGGGACTCATCACTGCCGTCAAACATGGCCACCTTGTCGATGTCCGGCGTCCTCGTCCAGTCCCAGTACGGCGTGCCTAGATTCCGCGGATATCCGCACTCATACAGCTGCTCTTCAAAGATGTGGACGAACCGGCGGTGCCACGAGAGGAAGATGCCCGAGAAGTGAATAACGAAGGAGCCGTTGATGTGTGTCGTCGTGAGATCATCATAGAGGGAAATCGCTGCGGGGACTACGCCCTTGGGATACCGTGATGGTTTGGACTTCATGCACTTGACCGCGGCGATAAAGGCGAGGCGGCTGTCGCGCGTCATGTCGTCCCACTCTCGCCGCACGATGGCGTTCTCGCGTGTGCATTGCTGGCCTGGATGCCATATCCCGGGGTGGTGGTGGTCGCTATCAACGCCACCACCTACGCCTCCGTGACCGCCAGGCGGACCATGCGGCCATGGCCCGTCCTCGAAGACGATGTCATGACTGTTGGCTGTAGGGAGTGCTGATGTGCGTGTGAAAGTCGGCAGCAGGAGGTATGACAATGCGCATAAGCCCCGGACTGTTGTAGAGAACGGCATTATGATCCCGTGGTGTATGTGTATAAAGCAACGTCAAGTTGGCTTCGCTGCATTGAAAATCCGGTGTGAAATCTATGATCACGGCAGCGGTGTGCTGTCGCTGCTGCCGTGCCGGAGATTGTATCTGTGATGATGCGCGCACCCTGTCCTCGCCTGCAACTTGGTATTGGCAGCAAGTATAACCCCCAGGAAAAAGAAAAAAGAACCAAATGAGAGACGCAGAGATGTTATATCGAGGAAGCTCGGCACATTCCAAACCCCGGGATCCGGGTCCGTTCCATCGTGTCTTCCCCCTTCCACGTACGTCGCCCCCCGGTCCTCCCCCACGATTCCCGGTTGCCAAAAGTGTGTAAGTGCAAAAGCTTGGCGATCGAGGAACCCGTCCCAAGCGAGCCCCAGTCCGTTGGCCCAATTGGGAAGAAGTGCGGCTAGCAACATGGAGTCGAAAACGGCAATGATGCGCCGTTACCTCGAGAGGGAAAAAGAAAACAGGGTGAGGCATGGAATTCCAGGAGAACACGAATAAGGCAAGGAGCTGTGTGTGCGTGTGGGTGTGTGTGTGTGTGTGTGTCGGTCCTCCCGAAACGTGCATAAGTATCACCGCCTTTGCATGCTCGCGGTGCTTACGCGCACGCATGGCCACTTTCGTATTAAATCGCAAATCACTGCCATCCCATCTGCAACACATGTTCTAAGTATGGCATGACGTGCATTGCATGTCTGTGCCCCCCCCCCCCGGCTGCTGCAACGTCCGGCAATCAGGCGATAGGGGACCCTACCAGGAGTCCCGAAATGGATGACCATGTCGGTGCCGAGTCTCCCGATCTTCGAGATGATCTTCGAGCTGCGGAAGCTTGTGTGGTTTGCTCGATAGGGAAAAGGGGGGTTAAGAAACGAGATTCTCTCCTCCCTTCGGACTGTGTTCGTGGGTACTTGCCCACGGCACTATTCGTCTATCAAGGCGAGCAGCTCCATCGTCCATCTTGCAGGCCATGGTTCCTCCCCTCAGCACCCGGGGACATCACTCAAACGATCAGAGGGAATGTTGCGATCACTCCACTAGATTCTGCACTGATACGCCCCCAGCCCACCGGGGGGGGGGGGGGGGGATCGCAAGATGAGTTCCCGTGGGGAACTATAGCCCTTCATCGAGGTTTCGGGACGCGTGACAGAAAAGAGCCGCGGTATCGGGACTGGCGGCGCGCTCGAAAAGACCATGCGGAATCGAAATCGTTCTTCCTCTGGTCCTTGTTCGCGCGTGGCCATGCAAGTTAAACTCACCTTCCCCCAACCCAATTGTCCCAGAACGGCATAGCCCAAACGCGATCGTCGGCCCGTGTTGCAGCTCCTCTGATGCCTCCGATGGGGACGTCAAAAGGCGGCATCGCTTCTACTCCTTTGCCCCGATTTAGGTTTTGGTCGTGGTGGGACAAAGGGTCAGCTGAGTCCTCACCGCTCGATCGCTAGGTCTCTCTGGCTGTCTCTAGCGTGCTGATATTCCGGCAAGGTAGATCGCATCGCTGCGGACGTCCGGACTTCCATCAGGGCATGCAAGTCACTCATTTCGATCCCATTTGCTGGGGTTGGCAAGGCATTTCGCTTCTTTTATCCTAATATATGGTGACTGCATAGAACGGCTCTGAATTGTCACCTGTGACAATATATACAAACAGGCGACCCCGCTGCCTGCTAGGCTGTCGAGCATAGGCTTCGCCTCTGCGGCTCACGGGCAGAGGCACACGAACATGTTGTGTCAGGCGAAGTGACTGCATGGTGCGCTGTAGCTGGTGGCAAGTATACGACGTGGCGGCAAGCAGTAACGTTGCTGTATGACCTGCGTTCACCGGCCTTTGGCAGCCCCACGACAGGCGGCGTTTCGCTTTCGGATTGTCCGATTCGCCGAAGATTGGCGCCGATGCTCCGTGCTCTATACTAGAGAGTTTCTGCGGTCTCTCCCATCATCCATCTCCAAAATGGTGCTCCTCGATCCGGCTCGAAGGAAGTACCCTCGGCGTGATTCCTGTCACGCATAATACTACAAAGGCAGGAGAAATGAAAATGCTAGATCGCATATTCCGGAGAATGAGATCTCGATATGAGTGGTGCCGGTGCTGCCCTGAGTTGCGCACGATCGGGTCATGACCGCGAATGCAAGCAGATAACAGTCGGATCACCTATGGTGAAAGAAAAATGTGTGGCTGGAGATGAAGCGTGCGTCAATGGTGTACGCATAACTGTCCAGCGCTTGAAACAGTGCGCCACCCAGAATGTGAAGGTTCTATAACCAAGAAAACCAAGGGAATCAAGTGAATGTGAAGTGGAAGGTATCCTAGGCGTTTTGGGGTATTTCAAAGGACACCGGTCATGAAAAGTCGTCAATATACAAAGAACCAAAATAGTGTGGTCGGACGCCCGTCGGGCAATGGGCATTCGTGCAGGAGGGCTGGCAAGCAGCCTTTCTCTTAAACAGTCCCGCGAATGCGTTGTTTTCTGGCGAGCCAATCACCGAGCATGTTGTCGAGTTGCTGAGACGACTGGTTAGCTGCATTCCGGGATCCAAGTCTTATCAGTATTGTACTTACTGTTGTGATTTCTGCCAGTTTGGCGTTTTGTTCTCTGAACAATCCAGAGACCATAGGATGGTCTGGCCCGGCGGGAGGCACATCGGTTGTGTCGTTGACAACAACGAGCATGTCCCTAATGTCTGACCCTGAATCAAAGAAGGCACGGAGATTTGCATCGTTCCACGTCGAGTTCGTCGCAGTAGACGCCGTCGTGGCCGTGGAGTCCTGGTTTCGGTGCGTGAGGGCATCAATGTCATCCAGTTCTGGCGATGGCGACGAGATGGGGGAAGAGCGGTCTTCTTGGCTCGATGTATCCCCAAGCAGCGCAGGTGGATTGTTGACTGGCGATACCCCAGCGGAGTCCGCGTGATATTGGTTAGCAGCGCTGCGTTGCTGCGTGTCCAGCGGGTCGGAGCGCTGAGCTTGGGGTGTCTCAATGTAGCTGTCCGGGAAGGAACCTGGCAGCGTAGGACGGATCTTTGCCTCATCCGGTGTTGGTGCTTGCCGTGCCGGAGCAGGCGGCGCGGTCGAGGGTTCGGCGACATCGTCTTCCTCCGGTGAGGAATCAAAATCGTCGAGCTCGACCCGCGCTTTGGCCTTGGTAACCTTCGGCGGCTTGGGCTCGTTATTTGTATGCAGCATCTTGGAAATGGCAGACTTCGACTTGTCGTCCTTGGTATCGTTGATCTCGGCAGGTTCCACGGGCTCCGGCTCGACCATCCGTAAAGAAGTTGGAGGCGCATTTGCAACATTGTTGGGCTGCTTACGCGTCGGCGAGACCTCTGTCCTCGGCTGCTGCTTCTGAAGCTTGCTGGGGTTCCGCTGAGGCCCGCCCTTCTCGGGAGACTCGATATCCTGGGGTTCCTCTTCGGCATATTCAGCACCACCCACATCCATGGAGCGTTTTCCAAAGGACTCGTCGTCGTCGTCCGTCGCCGTCTTCTTCTTATCCTTCCTGGAGAAGAAACTGCGTATCGCACTCGGCTTCTTGTCTTTCCTCTTCTTGTCGTCCTTGCTCTTGTCCTTGTCGGATACGAGCTCCTTCTCGAACCTATCCAGGCTTGGTCTTTGCCGGATTTCTTTAGAGTCGCTGGAGCTTGATCCACGAGGTTCCGTGTCATCTCGGAGAAGGCCTGGAGTAAGTGTGATCTTCTTGGTCTCGATTGTCTCATCACGGAAGAACGAATCTGTGTTCCGGACGGTTCCGTTTTTGGTGACCCTTTCTGTCCTGCCCTCGAAAATATCCTCGCTTCCGCGAGGCTCGTCAGGGGTAGCTGCCGTTACGGAGGCCGCGCCAGCATCAGAGGTTGCCGAATCGACCTTTGCTTGTTTTTGCTGCGCCTTAGGCTTAAGAGGCTCGACCTTAGCGGATTCGTCCTCTTCCATATCGTCCTCCGCCATTTGCTGCGACGACGCCTGTGCCTGCTTAGCCTGAGCTTGCTGTCGTGCGCCTTGCTGCTGTCCGTCTTCTCCTTCCTCGCCCTCATCAGACGAGACATCGTGATCCGAGTAGTCGACATATGTGGGTGCAGCGAACGCAACAGTCTTGGCCTTCCGACGGCGCATCGCGGTCTTGAGAGGATTCTTGGTCTTCTCTGCGGTATCGCCCAGCATCGAGGCCGACAACTGTATTCTAGAGGTTAGCAAGTGGTCCAGACAGTCAGCCGCCGACAACTTGAGATGCGTACGTCAATGTTCCTGTGCTTGTTCAAACGTGCAAGTCTTTCTGTGGGGGTCTCGATATGTTCGGCTGGAAGATAGCCTGCAGCAGTGTTGTTAGTCGGCGAGTACGTCGCGTGGCAGTGGCTCCGAACTTACCGATGCTGCTATCTTTCACCACGCGTACTAGCCACCAGTAGCTGTTGCTGTCGTCAAGAAGAACCATTGTGTCTCCCTTAGTAGCGTTGGCTTGGCCCTCAACTGTCGCAACAAACGTGTGCAGAGCGTAGACAAACTCGAAATCGATATCCTCTGGTAATTGTAAGCATTTGTCACCCCAGCCTGAATCAATGAACTGTAAATCATCATAGAAGGGATCATCGCTGCCATCGTCAACCGTATCATCATCATCGTCCTGGTAGTTCCCTGGGCCATCATAGGGAGTGGCTTGTTGTACTTTCGAAGGCACCGTATCCAGGCAGGTGGTAAGACACTCGTCGTCAGTCCCATCTGTAGATTGCGGTGATGCAGTGATGTCGTGCTCAGTAAGCCTCGCGGTAGTACCGCGACTCAAGATGTCGCCTGGCTCAATTTTCTTCGAGAGGATGCGGAATTCATGAGCCTCAGGTCTCCCATCCAGTAATCCACGCAGATTGTCCGGCTGCGGGGCCAAGCGGTTGTTTCCATGCTTTGCGATGGAGCTCAATGGCTCGAGCGAAGCCTCTTGTCGCAGAACCTCGTCGTTTCCGTCGCGTTTCGTCCCAGGATACTAACCAGTAGGATGGTGGAGGTCGAAAGAGCTGTGATGCACGAAAGCCTTGCTTTTGTGCCGTGCTTCTGCAAGTGTAACATGCTCGAGCGCGTCGGTCGAGATGTCCACTTCGTTTTTTTGGGCAGGGGAAAGAGACAAGCGCGGGTACAAGGAAGAACACAAGGAATCAGAGCGCGCAGGCCAAACCTGCTGCCGAGGGCACCCACCATCTTCAATGGACGGAGAACTCGAGATCTTGTCCATCATGTCATCGTCCATGTCGTCGTCGTCATCGTCGTCGCCATGATCGCCGTGACCATCATCTGCATCCATCACGATTCCCCCGTTCTGCGCAACGGCTAGTGCATCCTCACGTTGCGCCTTGCCATTGGTGACTGTCGGGCCATCCATTTCGGGATCTTCTGCATATTGGGACAGGTCGCCTATGTCGTTGTGAGGTGCATAAGAGCCCCGAGGGCTGCGCATCTCCTCGCCGGCACGCTCCTCTGCGACCTCGCGCAGCGTTTCGGCCTGGTGGGCAGCGAGGTGTCCGTTGATGTCGGGTTTTGAGGGCGCATGCGAGTGGTCTTTTGCTGAAGGCGCATCGTGGTCTTGCAGATCAATAGTATCTGGATCGGAGAGCCGCAGGGTCAGCAGTTATACGCACAAAAAGCAATCGCAGGGGGTCGTGTATGCCAGGGGGGAGGGCAGCGGACAGCGACTGGATTGGCGTGGGTTACATACCAGCTCTGACGATGTGTGGCCGGGTCATTGTGAATGCGGCCGTTGCGCTCGGCGCTGGCCCTGGAGTATCGGAGGAAGCAGCAGTGTTGTCGGGAGAAGCGCGAGGCATGAACGAGTTGATGCGCCTATTGCTCTAGACCAGGAAGGCCAGCCAGAAACCTGGTGTCGAGAAGAGAGAGTCACAGATGTTGGAATTCGCCCATAAAGTTCTGGAAGAGGGAGGGCCTGCGGGCAGCCACGACGGTCGAGAAAGAGGGTGGAGCTGGTGAGAGCGAAACCCGGGTGTTGGCGGTCCAGTATCACCGTGGTCGAGGTCGTGGTCGAGGTCGTCGAGGAAGTCGCAAGAGTGTCGCCGTGGTCGGATTGTCGACCGAGCCAAAAAGCAGGCGGGTTGGTAGGCAGGCTGGGCCGGGCTGTCGTTCTCGCAAGGGGCTGGGGGGGTGGGCAGGCGCAAGGGAAGAGCGCCGCCGTCCGTGTGCTGCACGATGGCGCAGATAACGAGCGGGCGGCGGGCCACGGGCCACTTTTGGGCCGCCTGGCAAGAAGAGCCTCCCACCCTCTCGGCTTTTTTTTGGTGCTTGGCCGCGCGCATTGGGCTGCGTCCCCGCCACCAGGTCCCCTGCTCGAAATAGAAATTGTCCAACTTAATTGTGACAGTCTAGAGCTCGGGATCTGGACGCGGCCTTCCAGTGCAAAGAGCTTAGTATGGCCCCCATGTGGTGGCATTTTGCGAGGTCGATTACTGGTGGTCGGCGCACCGTCAGCCTCGCTTGAGACCGATCCTTCTGTAGTCATTGTCGAGGTCATCGTTACAACCGGACCTGTCCATCATCTACGTATCTCTACTTACCCAGATGCTCCCGTCAACCAGGTCCTGTCAAGCTCGAAAAAGGAGGTGGGCCGCCTGCCGGGGTCGGCTCCTGGTTCCTGAAGGTGAAACGCACCTACGCAGGGGGTACCCCCTGATCGCAACATTGTACCTCGCAGGAGGAGCGGCAGTGGCAGCATGCGTCGGTACCTAAGGTACCAACCTTGAAGGTAGCCCTGGAGGTTGTTGGCCATGCATTCATCGTGCGATGCAGCAATGCAGCCTCAGCTGGAAACCACCACCACACATCGAGAGTTCAGCATCGAGGTCACCTGGACATCTCTTAGCTGCACGCCTCTTCGCCTCGCCCATGCTGCCAGGCAAACTTTACAAGCCGACGGCTCCAGGCCACAAATAAGGCGGTGGAAATGACCCAAGCGCGGGTGTTTGTTTCCGGTCGCGGCATCATGTTGGCGGCTGCATTGCCGTCACGTTGGCGACGTGCCTGGGAAATTAGCATCGTCGTCACGACCAACCACATCGTGTGTGCACAACTGCCAGAGATGGCGCGACACGGTCGTCGCGGGCCCGTCGACCACGTGACGACGACTCGAAAGGGGACCACCACAGCGTGGAGCTCTGCGGTGTCCCCGCGAGATTGAGCCATGTCCAGCCAGGATCTTCTTATGCAAATCATCCCGACTCGCTGCGACGCTCCTACATATATAATGGAATGGACACATGCTCTCTTGCCAGGCAGCACGGACCCCAGAGCAATCCTCACTCAGGACGTGGGCATCGGTAATTGCGTAGTACGCAGATAACAGTGTAGTATGCTTTGCGTAGACCGAGAAAAAAACGTACGTACTCAAAAGGCCAGAACAACGCCCCCCCAGAGCTACTATCACGGCTGGTATTGATCAATGCGAATGCCCACAATGCCCACGCAGGCCCAGTGCGCACAACCTTGGAACCATTTGAGGCCGCATGGGAGGCGTACCCAGCATTTGGTGCCACACAAAGGCTGCAAGCGACTTTAGAGTTTCCCCAGAGTGCCATGCACATGCACGCTCTTACACTTACTGATGCTGCCGACAACCCTTTTCAGTCGGGGATTTTAGACTTTCCGACCCGGCAATTGGTCTGGCCTGCCCGGTCGTGCATGTGTGAAGTGTACCTGCAATTCTTACAGTGCCGCAGACTGCTGGCCGTCGCTGGGCAAAGCAAAAGTCCTGACATCATGCATTTCCCCATCCGTGCTTCAACGTGCTCACCAACGACTGCTGTCCTCTAACATGCATTATCCCTACAATTGCAAGGCTGCATACAGCGATTGTTTGTTTGCTTTTTTGTTATTCTTGCACATGAGTGCCCCGCCGTTGATAAGTTCGTCAGAAACCCGTCGTCCAGCAAAGAGAATCGTCACAATTACCTCATTCATGAGACCCTGATCCCCCAACCCACCTACCCCAGTTCTACAGCAAGGACTGCCACACACTTGCAGTCGCCAATGATGGGCAAACCACGTGTGATATACTGGTTCCGAACTGACCTCCGCCTGCATGACTCCCCGGCACTCCAGGCAGCGCTCGACCTGTCGCCTGACGTCCTCTGGCCAATCTTCACCTGGGACCCCCACTATGTATACAAGGCCAAGGGAGGCGTTAATCGGTGGCAGTATCTGTAAGTCGAGCCTAGGCTCTAGAGTTGTTCTTTGCATCGAGAAAAAATTGTGCTGATATGTCTGTTTTAGCCTGGACTGCCAAAATGATCTGTCCAAATCGATAACGAAGTTGAACCCCAAATCCAAGCTTTTCGTGCTTCGGGAGGGACCGCAGACCTTATTCCCAAAACTGTTCAAGGCTTGGGGCGTCACGCACTTAGTCTTCGAGCGTGACACCGATACTTACGCCAAGCAGCGTGACCAGCTTGTGGCTGAATTGGCACGTAAGGCTGGTGTCGAAGTCATTACTCGTTATGGCCGTACACTGTGGGATAGCGACGAGATCGTGGCCAAGAATGGAAACAAGCCGACCATGTCCATCGTCCAACTTCAACATGCCGGGCAGAAAGTCGGACAAATCCCAAAGCCGATACCGGCACCCAAGTCGTTGCCTGATCCTGGAGGGACGCCTGTGGATTTTGAGCCAGAAGAGCCAGATAGAGATCCCGATCTCAACGCTGACTTCCGCAAGCACAAGGACAAAACATATTCAACCATCGCTGGGCCTAAAGGCGACTTTGCCGTGGAAACGTTGGAGGAGCTTGGGTTCCCGCCAGCCACAACACCTCATCGGGGAGGAGAGACCATTGCACTGACAGTGCTCGGCGAGATTATCGCCAACAAAAAGTACACTGCGACATTCCAGAAGCCGAAGACTAGCCCGGCTGCCTTTGAGCCGCAGGCCACGACCTTGCTCTCGCCCCATATGCACTTTGGTTCACTATCTGTGCGCCTCATCTACTGGAAAGTCCAAGAAGTGGTTGATGGCTATGGCAAAGGAGCTTCGACGCCGCCTGAGTCGCTGACTGGGCAGCTTCTCTTCCGCGACATGTACTTTGCTGCTCAGGCTGGTATAGGGGCACCGTTCGGGCAGACACTCAACAACGCATATGTGCGCTTCATTCCGTGGCATCTGCCTTCCAATACAATGGAAGATACAGACATTGGCGAAGGACCCATCGCTGTCAGCGGGTCGTACCGCGTCGACTCGCCAGTGGCCGAAAAGTGGTTCCAGCGGTGGAAGTACGGCGTGACAGGTTTCCCTTTCGTCGATGCTTTGATGCGGCAGCTTCGCCAGGAAGGTTGGATACATCACCTTGGACGTCACCTTGTGGCCTGTTTCCTCACACGGGGTGGCTGTTACATCCACTGGGAGCGTGGGTGCGAGGTCTTTGAGGAGTGGCTCATCGACCACGAGCCCGCTTGCAATGCTGGCAACTGGCAGTGGTTGAGCTGCACCGCGTTCTTCTCGCAGTTTTTCCGCTGCTACAGCCCAATCGCCTTTGGCAAGAAGTGGGACAAGAGCGGTGCCCTCATTCGCAAATATGTCCCAGAGCTTAAAGACCTCGACGAGAAGTATATATACGAGCCGTGGAAAGCCCCACCGCAAGCATTGGCTGCTGCGAAAGTCAAAATCCATGGCGATGGTCTGCATGAGCCAAGAGAAGGGGTGTATCCAGAGCCCATGCTGGACTTCAATGAGCGCAGAACCGTGTGCCTGAATGCCATGAAAGTGGCATATAAGATTGGCTTGCATGGAAATGATGAGAAGGTCAAAGATGGGTCGTGGAAGAAGCTTTTTGAGGACGCGGGAGAGAAGGAGATGGAGGGTGCCGAGATTCCCAGCGATGACAACGGATCTGAAGCTGACGACGCGGAGCACGAGAACCACAAGCGGAAACGGGGCACAGGGGGACGACGGAAGAGTGATGCAGTAAAACAGGGACCAATGGATCGGCATGTCAAAAAGACGAAGGCCGCTGCGTAGACCACTGATGCTGTACCCTCCATAGACCTCGTAACGGGAAAAGGAGGCGTCATCGCGCCTGCCACCGCCAGGCACTCGAGTGAAGGCCAAGCAGCTTCCACAGATGTATTTGGCACTTTCTCAAGTCATTCTCCTGAACCACCACAAGATTTCATCTGACCACACCCTCTGTATTAGGGCTCCTATAACACCCGCCCGCATGCATTTATAGACAAATCGTCATTCAAAGTGCCAACATATTTTTGCACCGCTGAATAACCTACACGGACCTACCGAACTCTACACCTCCCGGGCGGCTTTTGATATTCAGCAGACAAGATCACCGAGCAATCACCATCCTTCCGGGCATAGTGTCCATCAAGACACGCCAAAATATGACTGCTTCTCCATTCAACACGGCAGGTGACTTTACTCCCGCCGACAACGTCCCAGTCGATGTACCGAAGGGTATGCCTAGCACCACCCAACCTCCACCCTTGAGCACTCTCAACCTCGGTATCCTCAGCGCCTTGCTCGCCGCTCTATCCTTTCTCTTGGCCAAGATCATACACATGCTAGTCCGTGACTATATGACGGCTCGACAGCTTCCACCACGGGAGGTTGCCGCAACACACCTGCACAATTCCCAACTGTCAGACATCAGACACAAAGGGGCTTGCCGCCATGACTTCTCAATACAGAGCTCTTCAGTCCACACGGAAGAAGATCAAGGTTGTCATATGCACAATGATTTGGTGGCTGCTGCTGGAGCGATCGCCTCGGATGCTTTCGAGATCGCTGGAGAGACTGCGCGACGTAGTGTTGAGATGATGAAGGCGATTGGCAACAATGCGCCAGATCTAGGCGCGACATGGTCCGCCGAGCTCACCAAAGTCCAGGACGAAGAGGCTGGATATAACAGTTGTGACAGCAGCGGAAGTGATACCGAAGTCGAGAAGATGTGCCGGCACCGAGTCGTGAAGCTCCAAGATCTGGGCACTTCCCGTTCCGGCGACCAATAAAATGGACCTTAAACTTCCTTATACTAGATACTCCCATGGTCGCAAGGCTTTTGAGTAAGGTAGCATAGAGCCCTTAAGCAGAAGCTATGACATTGGCACGGAATACAGCAGCGTCGGCAAAATCCACATCAAAACGATCAAGATCAGATGAAGCTCGCACTGTCAATGATACCAAGGAAATCATGTGGTCCTCGTATGAGGCGTCTATCGATTCTGCAGCAGCTGTTGTACAGGAAAGCACCCGAAGTACCGCCTTTCCGACCAGTCACAGCCGTCCATTAGCACTTGGCCATTTCGTGGTCTCTCAGTTGATATTTATCCTCTTAATCCTTCGAGCGAGCATCAGGCGTCGAGCTTGCGAGCAGTGCCGGATTAGTTCATTGACACACCCGCCACCCTTGGGCGTCCCTTCGAGGTACCTCTCCATTCCGCTTTTATGCCTGCTTCTTGAGGTCCCTCGAAGCTTGCTTCAGACTAAAGTTGCACTCCTCGTAGGCACGGCCAGCTCCGAAGCCAACGCCGACGAAGGCGGGCCACGCCCTCCGGCGGAAGAGGAGGACGGAGAAGACAACGCCGAAACCAAGGCCAAGACCGGACTTGATGAGCATGTTGGACAGGCAGCGATCCCACTGTTCAGGCGGAAGCCATATCTTGTCAGCAATTCAGGCTCTCCATCGACGTTACAGAATGAAGCGGCGCAGCGAGCCTCCCCCCAAGCTGCTTCCTACGACGCCTGTGACAGTCCGCCGGGTGCCGTGCGCATTGTCTAGAAGTCGATCGTGTGACCATGGCGCCTCTGGTGTATGCGCGTGGGCCCAGGCGAGTGATCGTCGGCTCGGGGGACGTTGTTGTGCAAAAATCGGAACGTCGACTGCACAGGAAGCCTTGTCGGAAAGCTATTGGGATTCAACCAACCTTCTCGTTGAGCAGGGCTTCGCTGACGGGCCTGGAAACCGCGCTCGGCGCAGCGGGATATGTGGGCTTCTCGGACATGATGGGCGGATCGAACAAGCTCTAGGGGCACGTCATCAGTATCAATTGGCCTCTCGACGATGCCTTGAAGCTTCTCACCTAGATCGGGCAAAGTTCTTGTGTTTGTGATAGCGGGTGTGGGTTGTTGATGATGCTGCCACCGAGAGTGGTGAGGTCAATTGACGTTTTGCGATGCTTGTGACGGTGGTGGGTCGCGCGCGAGGGACGGGATTAAACGGCAGCTCGCCGGAGCTTGGCTTGGCGCAATGGGTGCCGTCACTGCCTGGCACGCTCTGGGGCGGTGATTGGACCTGCGCCCCAATCGAGAGCCGCCCCGGCGCGATTGGCAGTATTTTTGCGAGGCGCCTTCCGAAGCCCACGGCCAAAGTACCGCTGCCGCGAAAATTGGCCGACACGATACAAACAACCCACGGAGCGCCCCACTTAAAAAGTTGAAGCTCCTCCAAGATCCCAAAGTCGCTGTCTCGGCTTGAACAAGTCAATCCGTCCGTTGTCGCTAGCAGAAGTGCAACGGTCATGAGTGTGAAACCATGGCTGTTCCTATGGACGTGGACGAGGATTTCAGCGTAAGCCCCGGATGACTCCCCCCAATAAACTTCTACTCGCAACTAACTCGTTCCCATCCAACAGTCGCATCGAGTCAATCTAATCCGTGCCGTACGAACGATCGACGAGGACGCCTCCACGACCCTTCCGGCTAAAATACACAGGTTATGGCTCCTCCTATCAGCCTCCAGGAGCAGCAGGCTCCATGGTGTGGAGGAAACCATCCTGCGCTGGCTCTGCAAGCACATGGCTGGAACGACCGAAGATGCTGAACTCGCTCGACGATATCCGCTGTCCTGGGAAGTGCTGGCGCATGCCTTTCAGAAGATCCCTCCCCAGGCTCTCGGAAAGTCTCTTGCCGACCGAAAGTTTGTCACCATCCTGCGAAAGACCCTTGACGAGGTCTCGAAGCCAACCGACGACGACGGGACGAACAACACCGAGGAGGGCACGAATAAACGGAAGCGCGCAAGTGCAATGCCTGACAATCTGGTCCAGCTTCGATCCAGGCAAGGATGCATTCGCTCCAGTGCCAGCATTTTCGCCGCATTGAGTACGCTCCTCGGTCATGGCAGTCAGACTGATGGTTTGACCTCGCCTCAGGACAGAGTCGGAGTGGAGCATATCAAATCCCTATTCTCGTCGTCAAGTGAAGAAACCCGCGGCATCACTTCTCGTCTCCTGCAATGCTGCTATCATGCAGTTCAGGAATCAGATGGATCGCTCAGTAAGGCACAGGAAGCTTGGGTTGAAATTTCCACGGCGCTCTGGGACCTGCGGCTGCATAGCAAGGAGGACACGTTCGAGTTCGCCCGTCATCTATACCCGCCAGTGTGTTCAATATTGGGTATTCTACGTGGCCGCGTGAGCCCCTCCAACGTCGAATTGAGATGGACACGGCAACTAGAGCAGCTGCTTGGCACTTCCTTCATCCGCCCTGCGAGGCAGATTTATGCGCAAGACGGCGGTCTGCAGAATCTAGAAAGTGCCCTCGAGCTTACTGGCAGTGATCCTCTTACATCATCGCAGGTGCTTTGGCACTCTGCGTCACGGACACCAAGGGACCAGAAAAATCCGTTATCCAAGAGCGAACACGCATCATGGGCAAAGGCTGTCTTCTCCGTGGTGCTGAAGGCATTAGAACCTGTCCCACGTAACGCCCAGAACAAAGTGCTCGCAAAGCTTCTTGCTATCGCCATTGAGACGCGCTCAATACCCGACACTGAGTTTCTTCGTACTCTGACTCTGAAGAATGCGCTGCAAACTGGATATGCCGACTGGGAACTTCTTGGTCAAATCATAGGTTGCGATCCGGATGTTTTCCTCATGGACCAGGATGCGAGGGACATGCTATTTGCACTAGCCACTAGCGATGGCTCTCAAGGCCAAGCTCAGAAAGATCTCATCATCACGAAGGTGATGAGCCCGCTCATGGAAGCATCCGCCAAGGCGCGCGACCTCTCTGGCTTCATTAGACAGTGGTACGAAAGCTTGTGCAAGGTCACGGAATTGCAAGAGAAGAAATATTGGGGTGCTTCACTATGGGCGGACGTGCGGCTTCGACAACAACTCGCCGACCTCCTCCAGGCATCATTGTCTGTCACGCAAATTCTCAGGCTTTTTGAGTTCCTGGATACTCCCGAGTCGAACCCGACTGCCCTACTCGTCATTCTTGATGGAATGTGCGCCGGAATTACCCAGGAGGAATATGTCACGGCATTAGACCCGAGGCTATTCGCCGCGGCGTTCCAAGACAAAAAGTACAAAAAGATTCCATCCGACATTGCGGCCCTTCGATGGCGCATAGCTGGCTATATGGCAGCCTGGGAAAATTCGGAAGAGGTTGCTCGGTTATGGGAGGAAGTCAAGTCCGGTCTCAAGAAGACACTCAAATCCGGCGAATTGACTGATATCGACACATTCGAGGCATTCCGGTGCTGTCACGAGATGTGGCTGACCCACTACCACGGCGGCAAGTTCGAGGTTGACGCAGCCAAGCTGAGCTGCACATTCGTAGCACGGTTGCTACCAGAGTTCGCGACAGCAGAATTCTCGGAAATGGAAGACCGGTATTTAGACCTGGTATTTGGAAGCCTCCCGCGATTTGTCGAGCTTGGTGGAGCTGTCGCCACCGAACTGCTTCAAATGTTGAAATCGTCATTTTTGCAGCTATGCAAGCAGTGGAAAGTAACTAGTTCGACAAGTCCGAAGCTGCTGGTACACATTCGTACCATCTTGGAAAGCGATGCTGAGGATCAGGAGACTGTCATCGATGCTCTTTTAGGCCAAGTTCTCGACCTTCTGGATAACCCAGACGGCGAGGGTAGTGATGTGGAGACCTGGAGCCTGCCCGTGGTGCTCATCTTGGAACAGTTTCCTACGGAGTCTTGGACGCGGGTACGGCGGAAAAGACTGTTAGGGTCGTGGAAGAACAGACAAGCTCTGCACGCAGATCGGGCCACGGGCGACGCATTATACAGCATGGGCATGCTGCGACTTCTGGTCAAAGTGCTGCAGCAACCAACGTTCTACGAAGTGAGTTCTCGATTCCAACCTCATTTGATATTGCAGGCCACTAACACCAATTTTACCAGGGCATGGAATTCCAGGACCTGTCGTTCGTCGCGTCTTTGCCCAGCCACGGCCAAGAAACGGTGGCGGCTCTTGCCGGGAAGTTTATCGACTTGATGTTAAGGTATGATGCACAGCTCGAACATGATCGAGCCTAAGCTAACTTTGGCAGACATGTTGTGGAAAGTACCGAGCAGGCCTCCGCAGATTATCTCAAAGCCGCTTCCAGCTATGTCGAGGCTCTCGACACAAAGCACCCTGCACCACGAGACTTTCTTCTCCTCAAAGGCCTTTCAGCAGCGCTGAAGCCCAATCACGTCAAGTCACGTAATGCTGTAGTCGATGCCGACCAGTTCAAACAGAAGCTTCGGGAGAGTATCAAGTATGGTCTGACCGACTTCAGCAAGAGAGCCGGGTTGACGGCCTCGTCACCTGTCGAGCAACCACAACTCGAAAGTAGCGACCAATATCTTCTGACGGCTATCCTCGGAGCTGCCGATGCCGTTCCGGATCCCCTCGAGTCGATCAAGCTGCCGAAGGGCGAAGTGCTGCAGAACCTTTGTTCCCACCTGGTGCAAAGCGGCAACCCGTTAGGCTGGAACTTGAGGAAGTTCCTGTTCAGGAATGACCCCAGTGCATTCGACAACTCTGCCGTTTCGGCCCAGTTAAGAGAGTCGTCAAACGACAATATAGAAGCGCTTGTGAACGACTACATGGACGCTTTCACAAAACTCCGGAACGAAGAGGACCAGGCTGTGCTCGTCAACTCATGTTTACCGCACGCAGGGAGAAGGTCCAGCCTTGGCCCACTCCTGGCCGTTCGCTACATCCTTGAGCATATACCAGGTGTGTTTGCAGTGCTTAGATGTTGCTTTCAGTCAGAGTTGAAATCTAACACCGCCACAGCATTGCACGGGACAGCGGCGACCGACGAGCGAGTGTTCGATGCGCCCCGGATCCTCAACGACGTTAGGGTCTTACTGACAAGGGCAACCACGCTCAAACAACTCAAGCTCTTGACTGAAATCATGACGATCCTGCTCGATAAACACTCTGCATCAATGACGCAGTTCAGTATCGAGTCTATACTGAACGTCGTGGCAGAAGTCGCGTCATCAAGTGGGCCTCTCATCCAAGATGCCAAGGGCGAGGGCGAGATCTTTGAATGTCTTTACAAACTGGTTGCCACAATCATTCGCCGGCACCGGAAACGTCTGGAAGGCCATTTCCCGGTGCTCGTCGCGACGCTCCAGGGGCTTCTGCGCGTCATTCTTGCCGACCCGCTCGCCCGCGCATCGACCTCGACGTCCACGGCGACCTCTGCGACACCACCCTGGCTCAGCTCACGCCTGCGGGCTCGCCACGGCGCCCGCTTTGCGCGGCTGCTGACTCTGATCTGCGAGCCCAGCGCAGCGGCTGTCGCTCGGTCCCGGCGAGCCGCGACGGCCAGCGCGGCGACCACGATGCTCGACTCGGCCACGGACGCGGCGAAGCGGTCGGCAGGGCAGGACATGTTCCACGTGGTCGAGCTGTACGTCAAGCTGCAGCTCGAGGTCGTGGTGCCGCAGGACATGAGGAAGGCGCTGGAGCCGGGGATATACTCTGTGCTCAACATCACGCCGGAAGGGTGCCGGAGGGTCATGAACGAGTCACTCGATGTGAACGGGCGGGCGGTGTTTAGGGAGCTTTTTGCTGCATACAAGAAGTTTGGCAGATGGAGCGGTGTGTAAACTGGGATTAAGCTGGCTCACGACCTACACCCAAATACAAGATTTAGCAAAGGACGTTGCGTGTAGTGCTGACCAAGGCTGTGCCTTTGATAGCCCATGATGAAGATGTGCATGACTAGCGATGTCTCTCATGCCTGAAAGCTTTCTCGAGAGCTAGACGGGGGGAGCATCCATCCGTGACGAATGCACTGCCCTCAACAAAGGGTCCGCTCGGGCTTGCCTGTCTGGGTGACCGAGTGTGCGCAAGTCAGCTGCCCGCGCACCAAGACTCTTGTTCCAGCCGCAAAAGTCTTGGCGGGGACGGGGTACAGAGTCGACCGCAAAGAGGTCATGAGAGCAAGCTACTTATTTAGTTGGGGCGAGGAAAAGAGATAACAGGTGAAGGAACCGACCATGGTATATGTCTAGCAAGAATTATCGTCTTGAGTTCAAAGCTTCCATCTGTCCGTTGGGAAAAAGAGAAAGAAGTGGCAACGCTCTCGCGCCTGGGGTTTTTATCCTGCGAATTTCGAAAAAGAACATCTTCTCGCAACGAGAACTTTCCCCCACAGCATCCGGAGAATGTGCTTCGGTGTAAGCTCCCCCGTTTTCTTTTCTAGGGGCTGTCTTGTCTGCCTGTCTGTCTTGTCGCAAAGTAATAAACACCGAGCGTGCATACTCACCGTGAACTGCCGTTTTCTTAGATCTCCTCCTCCTTCTCCGAAGAGAAGCACAGCAGGCGGCTGCGACAGCGGCGGCGGGGCCAGCAGCAACCGGACAATGCTGATGCTGACCTGGTAGCATCGTGGCTTCGCTCGGGAGACGTGCTCGTGGCGGGCCACGGCGCTGCTGGGGCGGACACGGCAGCATTCAACAGCAACCACGACGAAAACCACTACTACAACAACTACTACTACAACAGCAACGCCGGTATGCCGCGACCCCAGCCTCTGCCCGTGCCCATGCCTCCTCACCTCATGAACCCGAACCCAGACCCGGACCCGTACCGCACCGCCGGCTGGTCTTCCACAGCGCCACCGCCGCCGCCGCCGCAGATGCCGTTCGGAGACCTGCCGATCGCCACCGTGCTCGCGGCGTCGGGCCAGTTCAGCGCGCGGGACATTCGCGACCTGCAGCGGCACCTTGAGGAGACCCGGCAGAGGCTGGGAAACACGGGCGGCGGCGGCGGCGGCATCGAGACCATGAACGACGTGATGCGCCTGCAGGGGATGGCGGTCGAGCACGCGCGGCAGTCGGCGCCGCACGTCTACGCGCAGTGGAGGAGGAGAAACGAGGGGGTGCCGGTCGGGACTCCACCGCCACCGCGGCCGCCGTCGCCGTCAGGAGAGGACCAGGCAGCAGCGGCGTCGTCGTCTTCGTGGTGGCAGCGGCGGAAGCAGAGGAGGAGAAGGAGGAAGCGTGGTGATCCGGACGGAGGTACGGGAGGCGGTGGAGGAGGAGGAGGCGGCGGCGGCGGATGTAGCGGGGGTGATGGGGGCGGTGGTGATGGAGGCGGCGGCGGAGGAGGAGGAGAGTGATCTGTCTAGACTTTAGATCATGTCAACTACCTCTGTGATCTTCCGACGCGGTCTGCGGCGAGGACTGAGCTGAGTGGCAAGGGTTGGCTTATTGCTCGTGAAGTATTGAGCCAGGTCGTAGCATTCAAGAACATCCGTGATATCGTCAAGAAGAAAGGCATCTATTCGTCAGAACGGTCCATTATCGGCTTCTATAATTGTTCAGCACCCTTCAGATTATGAGCGACTTCGAGCACACGCCGGAGCGCGAAGTGTAGAACAACAAGGGCCATGTTGCATTTGCACTCCGGAGTAATCTGCACAACTTGGGAATCATCAGCAGTCTTCAGTATTCAGTAAGTCCTTCGAGGAAACGCTAGTGCCCAAAATTAAACGGCCACAATCAGGCCTCCTCCATCTCGCGCCAGGCTCGATACACTGCGTCCCGGATCGCCTCGTGCCCGCGCGTCCTCGGATGGAATGTCTTGCCGTAGTACGTCGGAACATACCACATGGAGTTTCCCGCCAGGACGTCTCCATCCCCAACTTCATCATCTTCGCGGCCCGGCAAGAGGAAGGCATCCCGCGACAACGGTAGCACTACCCTCTCCATGGCTGGCGACGGACGCAATGACGGATCGCGCTGCTTCGCCATGGCCATGTAGCAGAGCGCCTGCGCCCCCCAGTCGCCCGAGCGCTGGGCTGGCTCGAGACAAGTTGCTGGGTCGACAAGCGCCGTTGGCGAATTGCGCTGCCCGCCGCCGCCCGTATTTCTACTTATACCCGTGGACGTGCCATTCGTCCCGTTCCTGGCATTATCGGCCCCGCCGACAAGGAAGAACCAGGTATCTCCGCGCTCATAGTCGGGCTCGACGACACCGGACTCGCAGAAGCGATGGCCGTCCCACAGATCGTCGTGGTCGACAAAGAGCACCTTATCCGTCGAGAACTTGGCGTTGATGAGACCCACCGTGTAGCGGATCTTGTTGTTGACGGCGAGCACGAGGTCGTTCATGCGCGCGCGCAGCTCGCGGGTGAGCCGAGGCCCGTTCCACCAGACGCCGAAGCTCATGTCGTCGCAGGCCTCGGTGGTGGCGTCGAAGAAGCGCGCGTAGCCCGTCATCGTGATGAAGAACCACGGCTTCTTCTCCCAGCGCACGGCGTCGAGGATCTCGGTGATGGTAATCTCGAGTCGCACGGCGAACTCGTCGCTCTCGAGCGCTGCGCGGCTGTGCTCAAGCGCAGTCTCACACGTGCCCGAGTAGAAGCTGTAGAAGCGGAAGACGCACGAGTTCATGACCTCGAAGAAACCCAGGTCGTTGCCCCCGAGGGATAGCAGGGCAAAGTCGGTGGGCAGCGATGTGTTGAGCTTGTCGATCTGGCTGTCCTCGCCGCCCGCAAGGACCTGCTGCGTCGTGGCGCCTGTGCAGGCGAGCAGCTGTGCCGAGGTGATGTTTGGTGAGCCGTGCTGGCTCGCGGCCAGATCGTTGGCGATGAGCTGCGGATAGGCTCCCAGCCCATGCCGGCAGTCGTCCTCCTTTCCGAGAAAGCCAGTGCCTATCCCAGCACTGTACGAGTCGCCCAGGGCGACGAAGCCGGTCTGGAAACCATTGGAGCGGTGCTTGAAGGGCGAGATGGGCTGCTGCGGTGGCCTTTGCTCTTGTACAGTCGACGCTTGGCCAGCCTGGAGCACGTGCTGCTGTCCTTGCCGGTGATTCTGCACAGGCAAGCTGTAGCTGGCTGTTGTGCGGACAAGCAGCGCGCCTAGCGCAAGAAATAGCTGGAGGGCGTGGTGCATGGTTCCGGGAGGCTCACAACGGCCACGGATGCTGTGAAGGCTGCGCCAGACAGGAGAGAGAGCTGTCCATGAGGACGCCCTCCAAGCTCAAGCCGGCATGAAGGGTGGTGGTGTTTGGAGCAGTCAAGAAAGTCGGCGCCGGCGCGAAGCACAACAGAGATATGGGCGATCACGAGACGTCGTGGCGACGTGTAAGCCGTCCGTGTTTGGCCAATAGCTTGCGCACATGGCTGCCTGGCGCGGCTATGAGGTAGGTCCCCGATCCCTGCCCGCATGTGGAGACCCGGCGCGGGGTCCCGGGCACCACCAGCGACCAGCTACTGTCCTCCCTCCCAGCAACGATAACAACTCGAGATTTATACCGTCAAATGATTGGACACGAGCGCCCTTCAGGGGTACTAGGCGATACTCGGAGCCGACCACAGCCACCGTCAGACCCTGGCTCGAGACTATATGGGTAGCCATTCCGTAGGTAACGGTGTCCTCGGGGAAGCAAGTACGGGACGAGCCTCACTGCCGCCCGGCACATATAAAATGGCGGGCGTGTCAGCACGGGAGGCATGAGACCACCTCGTCCCCCCAACCACATTGCATCAAGCACCACCCTAGCCCGCCATTCCCCCCGAGACTTCGTCATGATGCCCATCACGATCCGTACCTGCACGGCTGCCGATGGCCCGGCCGTGGGCGTGACCAACACGGCAGCCTACTGGGAGAACGGCAACTGGAGGCTGATCTGGGGCACCAAGACCCTCGAGTATGTGACGGAGCAGTCCTCGAAGCGCCAGTCTACAAATCTGCTCGGCGACAGGGAGCACAGAAGGGTTGAGGTGGCCATCGACGAGGAGACGGGCAGGCTTGTTGGTTACGCTCGCTGGGCTCTGCCGGACCGCCTGGTGTCTGAATGGCTCGAGTGTCAGGTTCCAGCTGTGAGCAAGGAGGAAGAGAAGCAGTATGCTGCACGCCACGCCGGCGCAGATTGGCAGCATCGCAGGGAGCTCGACGTGCTCGACGTCCCCGTCAGTGCCATGAAAAACAGGCTACAGGGTCAGCATGAGTATATGGGTGAGTGGCGCTGAGATTTACGGTGTCACGCCTGTCCATGGCTACAATTCGCCTGATCGGAACAGTCCAGCTAACCATCGGTGCCACATGTAATGTACGACAGAGCTCGAGTTTCTTGCTGTCCACCCCGAGTTCAAAGGCCAGGGCATCGCATCACGGCTAGTGCAGCGCGGCACCGCCAAGGCCCGGGAGATGAACGTGCGGGTCTTTGTCATGGCGTTCAAAGCAGCAGTCGGGCTGTACCAGCGGGCCGGATTTCAGATGCTGGACCAGATCGTGCAGGATGACTCGAAGTTTGGAGGTCCAGGCGACTACGCAATATATTTTCTCGAGTGGGTGCCGCCGGCGGGAGAGGAATAGACTTGGGATGAATCGGGCCTCTGACTGGTTGAATAATGTCGGATCATGCAAGGCGTGGACAGGACAGGGACAATGCATACCTTAAGGTACAAAAGCATGCGCACGCCAACTAAGGTAGCAACGGAAATATTCCAGAACCCTGGGCCTGCAGCTCAGCTCCCCCGCACATACATGGGGCAGACGACGTCATCCCACGCCCCACGTGCCTGGCTTGCAGCTATGTGACAGCTCGAGAGACACCAAGCAGGCAACGAGTGTTGCGACACGGTCCTAGCCTGTGCTCGTCGTTGCGATAAGACGATTCATGTAAGACCGCAGGTGGGCAGGAGGTACACAAGCCAACGGCTCAGACAGGCGGAGCGTTGTGGGAATACACTTGCGCGACAGTGTGTCGTCACTCCATACACACAGGGCACCAAGCACCAGCACCGAGCAGCAACAACTGCCAAACAATAAGTAGACTGCAGATTTGCACTTGGGCGGAGAGAGAAACGTCGGTGGCCTGGCGCTGTACGCGTTTCGAGGGTCGTGATCTTTGGTCTCGACATGGCTGGAGTTGGGAGGTGTGGTGGCCTGGTCGTTCAGCAAGGTCGTGGAGACTCGGTGGTGGGCCGAACGAGCAGGAATTGAAGCTGTGCTGTCAAGGTAATGGCCTGGGGAGAGGAGACAGTGCACATACATCATTCGCAGTTACCTCATGCTGACAAAGGAGCCGTGCCGTCCCAGGTTTTGTTGGCAAGTGCAAGCGCTGTGACGGATGTCCCTGCCGCGCCATGCACGCCATCGCCAACGACGTCACCGACGAGACCCCCCACCTGCCTCATCCCATGGGATGCCTGCAGACCAGATGGCAGCACTCTCTCCCAGCTTCAGCCTAGGTAGCGTACCTACACTACGTACGCTACGCTACGTAGGTGCACAACCCACAATGACATCCTTGCATCTCAGCTCCCCGGTTCGCCGTCTCCGCACTTGGAGGGCGAAGCTTTCGACCTGCTCCATGCCTTGGCGCTTATCGTCGCCCGCAGCGTGCCCTACCTGCAGTACTTAAGCTCTTCCAAGACCGTCCGCTTTCTTGGCTGACGCTCTCGCTCCTCATCCTGTTCTCCCTGACCTGCCTGTCCGTCAAGTACATACTTTATCTTCCTGCCCTGTCCTGGTCCCCTTCCCGGCCACCGTGACGTTCTCATTACACCACCGTTCCTGCCTGCCAACCAAGAAAGAGCATCTGTGCCCCCCCAAATCAAGCATACACACACAAGATAATACCACCGCGCCATCATGGAGACTGTTAACGCCATGGCTTCTGCTGCCGCGAAGGCCGTCTGGGGAGACAGCAACGCGGCCAGCGAGCCCGTCTCTGGCAAGACCGGCAACACCTCTGCAGGCGAGCCATATGACGCTGGCAACCTTGGTACGTTCCTTGCATTCCCCGACTACCTTCAGAATGCACGGCCCGTCTCCACTATCATCATGAGCCCGCGTCAACCAGTGTCTAAACTGACAGCTTGTGTTTGCTTGTTGCCGCATACACAGACCAGACCGGATCCACCACCGGTACCCCGGCTGCCAAGACCCCCCGCTCCGGCTCCGGCTCCACAGACCCGTCCGGGTCGGCCTCTGGCGATGCCGCCTTTGCGAAGAACACAGGCACTGCCGCCACCGCTGACGACACACCCGAGAATCCCTCTACACAGCAGAAGCTTAAAGACAGCGACGCCTCCAAGGGTCAGCAAGACACTCGCGATCCAGAGAACCCCCTGACGAACCCAAAGTCGGCCCCGACAGAAGTAAATGAGCACGGCAACCAGGAGGATGGTGCCAACGAGGACATCAAGCTTGACGGCCCAGGTCCCAAGCCCCTCGAGGAGGTGGCCCGCGAGCACGGTGGTGACGCCGGCGCGGCCAAGGAGCGCAAGGGCTCCCTCGTCCCTCCCCGTGACCCCAACGACACTAGCGAGGGTCCAAAGACCGACGCGAACAAGAACGAGGATAAGGGTGATGGAACGCAATACGTCAAGAGCAGCGGCCTGAAGGCCGACGGCGGTGACTTTGATGCTACAGCCCCAGGTGCCGGACGTGAAGCCGACCGTGAGTGCCTTTCTTACCAATATCACCTAGCATTGGTTGTGACCATCCTGGCTAACCTTTTCAATTCACGTCCGCAGGCCTCATGGAGGAGAAGGGTATGCACCCAAATGCGGACACAAAGGATAAGTCCAGCGGACCCACGTCCACCAGTCACGATGATGGTGAGACCAAGGAGAAGAAGAAACTCACACAGCGAATCAAGGAGAAGCTCCACTCCCACTAGACTGATTGGGAGGGATTGCCTTTTGTTGGCCAAGTTTTGTGTCCGACCATCCTAGAACATTGATTGGGCTGTAAGACCAAGGAGAACAACCTTGGCACGTATTGTACCACTACGTTGCTCTTATGAACCCTTCCTCTTTTTGACGACTTTGTTTTTTTATCTGCGAGCAATTGTGTTATCACGTCGTCACCTAGCAGCCACGAAATCAAATGAGGTAGCCAGCCAAGTTCAGTCCAGAGTCATATAATCATTTCCAACCGCGGCGAGCTTCTATATGGTGATGTAGAGGAAAGAAGAGTTCAACACGTTTGAGAAAATCCAAGCCCATTGCCAGAACCCACCCGGAAAGAAAAAGCCCAAAAATGAGTATCCTCGCTTCGCCATGTACACACAAATCTGTTGTGATTGATCATTTCCCTCCTCTTCAAATGTCCAGTCGCCCATCTTGTCCTTAGGACCGTTCACTCATCACTATAGCTGCATTCTCTCATCTCCCGCTTGAGCCATGGGGAGGAGAACAGGCGCTTCGTCAGACGTACGTTGGTTATGCCGACCCAGTGTTATGGCTGGCCCCCAGAGGTCCTGAAGATGGCCAGCTCCTTCATAAGATCTTGCAGCGTCAAGACAAATAGTGTGGACATGGCATAGCCTCCTCGTCTATGTCCAGGCTCTGGAGTTTTGCACTTCTTTGTACGCCAGACACGGCCCACTCCTCTCGCCCGCGAAAACCTCCGGTATACACTGCATGAGTCGCAGGATCCCCCTGGAAGTTCCCCGAAAGTATGGCCTGCTCAGGCCCTCACTTTTATCTGATCAAAGGCCGGTCGACGCCAGCTCCATGTTGTACCAGACATTTTTTTTTGGATCGCGTGCAAGTGGAATGTGGTCTACACCTGTGAGGTCGTTGTTGACTCATAGGAAGCCAGATTCAGCCAGCACACTAGAGGGGACTCTTGCGTCAGCATTTGCTAAACATGACGATTGCAATCAGTGAATGTGACCATGATTGACTTACCGAACAATCTTCTCGTCCTCGCGCTCACGAGGCTCAACTACTAGACTCTTGTCGTACATCTCGTGGACGTCGCCTGCAGCCTGCATGTTGCTGAGAATGTAATCCTGCAGCTCGGGCACAGGCTGCAGTGAGTATGGCGCATTCTGATACTGCTGGATGTCGCGGATAACCTCGGCGGTCTTCGCGCGCTTGGCGAAGTTGATGAGATTCGTCTTCTTGATGATGGACGGGATACCATCCTCAATGAAGGTCAAGTCGGTGAGATAGACACCTTTGACGACGCATCAGTCTCAATGTCATGGTAAATGGAACAATGTTGTGCATAATCGTGTGACTTACCAAAGAATGGAATACAGGGCGGGTTAGCCGCGTGGAGCGCCTCTCTGTACTCGCCAAAGTTCTTCGTGCTTGCCATGAGCTTTCTCATGGCTTCCAGCGTGGTGTTCGTGCGCGCGGGGACCTGATCCCACGTGCGCTTGAGGCGTGCAATTGGCGCTGTGCCGAGAGCCGATATTATCGACGTCAAGGTGGAAAAGTTGTTGAGAGTCCGGCATTTCTATTTCACATGTTAACTTCGTCACAGACCAGCGAATACGCAATCCAAGAAGATTACTTACGTCAGCCACAGACACAAAGTGCTTGATGACCACAACACGCTTCTTGACGTCCATCTGTGCCAGAATCATCTCCGCTACCCAGTTCGTCATCTGGTTAGAATGCAAGATGAGAGCCTTGACGTTTGGCGCAGGGTCCGGCTCATTCTCGCCAACTTTCTTGCCCCATGTCTTGTTCAAGCACTCGATAGGCTTGATCTTGCCGTAGAGTTTTGATTCAATAATGGTCAGCTGGCGGGCAAACTCGGTGACGTCAATGTCCAAGAACTTGAGCTTCTTCATGTTCTTTGGCATGATTGGCGCCGGAACGTTGTTGTTAAATGTCTGGATCATGCGTTTTGACGAAATCTCCTTGCCATTGAGGCGCTGGTCCAGAACAGCCATGAGCGGGGCAGAGCCGGGGGTCTCAGTTGACTTGACTGTATCTTTCGCAAATGTGAAAACGTCGCGGATCAGCTGTCTCGACTCATCGCTCGGCTCCTCCATCCAGAAATTGTCAAACCAGGACTTGAGGATGTTCACCACTCGAAAGCGGATCGGCTTCTGCTTGCGGTCTCTCCAAACGTCATAGTCTTGATTGCTCAAGCCCTCCGGGGGTTGAATATTGAATCGGTTGACGAGAAGCTCAAACAGCTCACGTGCGGTTGTGAACGACCGGTACGTCAGCAAGAAAGTGTTGTTGAAGTTCGAGTCGAGCTTGTCATGCCTAGTGAGCTGCTCGACAATAGCAAGCAGTGAGCCGCCCTTGATCGCTGGTGGAGATGTCTTCAGATCCCAAGACAGTTCGTGCTCAAGATCGAGTGACAAGAAAATAGGGGTCTCTTCGGCCTGCTGCAAAGAACCAGCTGGCGTTGGGTCATCACCGAGGATCTTGCGGACCTTGGACAAATCTCCCTTCCTCCAGTTATGCGGCGCACCGTCCATGTCGGAAAAGGACTGCGAGGTCATCAGTGGCGGTCGTCCTCCGAGCGTCCGGGATTCTGTGCGACCATGGGACGATCCGTAAGGCATCGTCTCCCCCCTTCTGAATTGCGGCGGTGTCGGATCATCGTGGAACCTCGTGTCTTGTTGCTGTGTGTTGATCTGCACTTGTTCAGATAGTAGCTGTAAGGAGAAGTTGATGTGTGAGGAATTGGTTTCGAGCGCACGGGCGCATTGCCTGACGTATTCCAATCGACTTTCAAGAGATTCACCGCGAATCTCCGACCATTCATCGCCGAGTGGCCCTGCCACTCTCTGACAGCTCAACACCAGGTCTGAGATATTGTCGTACAAGCTTTGCTTGTTAGTGCTGAAGTCGGCGAGTTGTGGCGTCTGAAACATGTCGCCCAGCGACGACAGATCTATAGATTCGATCATTGCAATCCACGATTTGAACATTTCCAGAACCTTGCCACCCGCAAGACAAACATTGTTGCCGATAATCTCGTGCCGATACGGGGTGAGATTCTTGTCGGTCACGCCCAAGTTCTTTTCCAGCTCCCGGATGCTGGACACAAGCATGCGCTTATATTCGTCCAATCTCTCCAGGAGTTTGCCATCAAGCACAGCTGTTGGCTCGTACGAGCCTTCCTCGTCCTGCAGGAAGTCAGAGGTGATTGGGTCGCGAACCGCCAGCCCATTGTTCTGCCAGCTTCCACCAGCGGTACTGCCAATGACGAAGCCAGGAAATAGCCGCGGAATGTCTTCGCCCCTCTGCTGCCTGGCAACTTCGACGAAGCTGAATACCCCGAAGAGAACACCATCGGCCTCTTGCAGACACTTTTGGACTGACTCCGCATTGGGCCAGTCGGCTGCAGCAATGTGCGAGGAAATCACCAGTTTCGAGAACTTGGACATCATGTCACGGAAGTGAGGATACAGCGCCTTGTTGGTCGAAATAATTGACGGCTGACCTGAGTGGTTGTCTGTCGTGCCTGATCCCGCGGCCAGCAGCAGCCTCAGGTGGTCTGAAATGTCTTCTGCGCGACTGACGTACTCGGCCCGATTGTTGCTGGTGATGGCGTCACGATAGCGATCAATTGCACGCTTCATGTTGCCGACAAGAGTGTTCCACGTGAGGGGTTGTGAAGCCCCATCATCGAAGAACGAGCGAGGAATAGTCGCAGCCTGGGGCAGGTTGAAGCCAGCGCCAGTGAAAGACGTCGCGGATGCGAGCACCGGAGTCTGAGCTATACCGGGGGCCATGGCGAGTGAAGTATTGACAAAAGTGTCATTCCGGCCCCTTGGCGCAGTAGCCATGCCGTTTATCGAGTCCAAGGATGGTGACGGTGAGACACCAATGCCATCGTAGGCTCGCCTCGTTCGAGATGACTGCATTCGACCCGGTTAGTGTAACGCACATCAGATACTGGGGCGGTTCGGCACTTACTATTGATCCCTTCTTTGCATAACCGTCTTCATACTCTGATGCGGAAGCTGCCTCTGAGTCCTCGTCCTCGTCCTGCGTGAGGCCTCGAGCCATCATCTCTGGTGGTGGCCTCGTCTTCTCCGGCATGTTGACATTCATGCGATCACGGGGCCCGCTCTCGCTCGCAGAAGTCGGAGACTCCAGGGGCAGTTCCATGCTGCTCTCTCCAGTCATTGTGTTGTAGTAGAAAAGCCGCCCATCTGAAGTGGCCTGCGGGATCCAGAAGTCGGCCCCAGACTTTCCAGGACCCCCGGCACCTTCGAGTGGCAGACCCGCCTCCTCGAAATCTGATTCACCAGCATCATCAAATTCCTCTTCCACGTACGCAACCGAGTCTTCTTGCTTGTCGTCAAAGTGGTCGAGTGTGTCCACGTTGTGGACTTGGTCTGGAAGCTCCTCGGACCCGGAGATGATCTGACAGTAATTGCTCGGGAACCAGCCACGGACACCATTAATGACGCCATCCCACCAGCCACTCTCGAGCTGGGTGATGACTTGGATGATGTCGCCCTCGTGGAAACTCAGACTTGTCCGGTCGTCTGCATCGTAGTCGTAGAGCGCACGGACGTAGAGGGCGCCCGGCGGGGCAGCACTGAGGATGCCGTTCATGTCGTGGGCGTAGGACTTCTGTGCCTTCACGGCTCTGTCGCGACCAAGCGAGGAGTGCGAGCGAGAGCCGTCGCGGGCCACGTCAAGATGATTGTTGAGAGTGTTTGACCGGGAGCGAGTGCGGCTGCGGGAATTGTAAGAGTAGGCGTGGTGCTGCTCATTTGCCGATGCCGAAACGGGAGGCTGCGTCATGAGCATTGTGATCCGGGACCCGGTGGTCAGTATGCGGCCGGCCTCCTAAGGGATGGCAAGCGAAGCATCAGGGTCCGGCGCGTGGTCGACCGTCGAGGCGAGATGCAGGCGAAGGATCCCAGGGGAAGCCCGCGGGTCTGGTGATGGCGAAGGGGGCGGGACCTGGCAGTGCCGCTGGGGCACGAGTCTGGCTGGCAGACTGCGAGTCGGGAGGGTGAGCTGGTAGAGGCTTGCAGTTGGCGGTGGGCCGCTCTGACGAGAGGATATGGCCGTGGTGGTGAGGCCGTGGACTTGCAAGATCAGGGATGCACCAGAGGGCAACGGTCGTTGTGGCAGAGGGAATGGATGTGTGCGTGTTGCGTGTGCGTGTGTGTGGGTGTGGGCGAATGGCTGCGAGTTCTGCTGGGACTGCTGGAAGGGGGGAGGAGGCAGCGCGCGCCCGCCCAGGCTAGGGGCCCAGGCAAGGACCCGATCCGAATGGACGGACGAGGTGAACAATAACGAAAGGGGTCCTGGCCCAGCCAGCCAGCCAATGGGAGGCGCCCGGCGCGCCGCTGGAGCAGCCCCATGGCGAAAGGGGCCAATCACTCCAGCCACGGCCAACACTGCGACCCCGCCTCGCTCGTGCCCTCCCAGCGACACTAGGTAGGTGCTAGACGCTTGGTATGGGCTGGTAGGGGTGTGGTCGCTCCTGCCCGCGCTTCAGGTGTCTCCAGGTGCTGTCTGGCTCCCCAGGCCTGCCCGCGCCCCTCCCTCCTGTCTGTCTGTCTTATCAGCCTGGCCCTTCGACATATCCTTCTCGAAGCAAACCTCGCGTCGGGCAGGTCCCTATTCCATCGTCGCACGCGACTTGGCAGCAAGGCGTCGCGACAGGTGCCTATCCCAAAGACAGGGAGCCAGGAGACCGGGGCAGACAACCTTGGAAGCTGCATGGTGACGCCTGCCTTATCCCGCGGCAGCCCTGCCAGGCTTGCATCTTTGCCATGTCTACAAGCTTCTATTGCCCGATAATAACGCCTTCGCGCCGACCTGAAAAAGTGAGCACTCCGGAGGGGGCGTCTTGTGCAACGTGGGACGTTGGCAACAGCAACGGCAATAGCACCAGTAAGGCCTTCCAGCCGATGGATGGGCAGCCCGGAATTTCTATTCGATGCGCGCCTGCCGAGCACGAAGTAGCAAGGGCACGCATTGCTGACGAGTACACCTCGCTTCGACGGAGACGCGCATTGGCACATGCTGGCACACGCGGTTTTATGCATGCGCATCGGTTGCCGTAGCCTGTCTACGAGCTAGTTCGCGGGGCCGATCTCCATCCTACCGACAGAAAATGCTCAACGGGACGCAGTCGAGGCTTCATTCAGTCTCGAAGTCGGGGGCAGTCATGGATGCCGTCAAATTCCACGTGGGGTTCCCCTTCAACAGTAGATGTGTTTCGGCGAGCCTGATGGACATTGGACACTTCCTCCGTAGAGCAAGGGCCAAGCGCATCGAGACGACGCTTCCGAGGTCGACAGTGCGGCCTTCTCCGTTCGTCCAAAACTGATGCGACCAAGGCGGCGACGATGAGGCCTTTCTCCTCCCGACACAAACACGACTTGGCCTTACTAGTTCAGGCCGGGGGTCAACGCTTGCCGAAAGCACTGTTCAGCCGGCAAATAATGTTGTAGCCCCTCTGAAGTGCAGATTCGTCCTCAATAGCAACCGACAACGACAGAGGCTTAATTGGCCGCAGCTGAGTGATCTTGAACACTAGTTGCAGATCCAGGTCTCCGATACTTGCAAGGCTCCTCGGCACCAACAACAGTAAGTCCGTAGGTACCTCGCGCCCGCCTTGTGCCTGACATTGTACTCGGCAGAAAGAACCTCTTGACTTCAGCAAAGCCTACTGCAGACTAGCCAGCTGTTATCACAAACCATCCTTCCCATTGTTGGGAGAAAGGCGGAACAGCGTCCGAAGATTCAAGTCCCGCTGACCATTTACCCTGCGGGTGGATAAACTGAACCAACATTGAACCAGTGGGACCGGTGACCAGGGTTGAGTCGTCCAGGATGTTGGTGCCAGTGAATGCCATACTCGTCGAGTTCGACGACGCGAGGCTTGGGCTTTGTCGTCAGAAATGCGTGGTTCGCTTCCAGGTGCTGCCTCAAGCCCGAATCCAAAGTATTCCCTGGGGGAAGGCCCCCAAACTTTACGAACTGATAACGACCACGCCCAGTGGAGCCGTCGTTGGGATGCATGGAAACGGACTTCTTTCAGGGGTCCTTTGACTCCGCACACTCTTTATTGTGCCTGCCACAGTCTCCAACTCTGAAGTGGAAGCTGACCTGCTAAACGAAACCCTTCCCGCAAGGCTAGGCGAAACCCCCACTTTGACGGATCCTCCTCCACGTGTGTGGGCGTTTGGAGTGCTCCGTCGGTGTCCGCTTTTGGAGCTTCCACGGCTCTGCGCCACGCTACAGTCGGTGGTTTCTTGCAACCTTCCCAGGCTGGGACTTATGTCCTCGCAGCTCCACCTGGAAAGATACGTACTCACACCTATCTAGAAGGCCTGCCGGTTTCACTCTGGGTGCGACCTTGTGTTACAGGACTTGGCGTTTTGTGTAGCAGTTCTAGACATGGAATGAGACGGACTTGGACCACTCAAAGTGGAAGCCTGAGGCAAGCGCATCCTCTGTATATCTCTGGAAGCGTGGAGAGCTGACCAGGGCGAATAGGTGTCTATGGTCGAGTGCGCTCGGCCGAAAGCGTCACTGGGCAATGAGGTCAATTGCACGAATCCGCCAATTATGGAATGCTGCAATAAACCCCGCTGCAGTAATGCGGTGCAGACGACGAGGTGGGCTTGCTGTGGACTCCACGGGTTCAGCTGACAGAGGCTCAACAGTAAATCTTCGTGGGTGGCCATGAATAGCTTGCGTCTACACAGGTGCAAGGCCCCCAACTACAACTCAGCTGACCCTCAAGGATTCCGCGCCTTTTGCTTGAAACATTGTAGGAGAACAGGCCAGGGACACAACTATTTGACTTTTAGTGAACTGGCGCTCGTCAAGTACCTCTGTCGCTCTGTTATTAAACCCCGGGACAGAATGACAGAATGACAGTAAAATATTATTATATACCAATCGTCGCTCATCGTGATGTTCGTTCTGGCCCACATGGCCCGTCAGTTAGCTACTGTCAATAAGAAGGAGGCCATTAGTGCTTAGCCGTCTGGAGACCGATGGCGACACGAAGCGATGAGTTGGCTATTAGCTAGCCATATATCACAAACATGCTAGGTCTCTTCCGAGTTTGTTTCTGTACAGATGCGTACCAGTGGTACTTTCTGATGGAGGTGGGTGCTCGGAAACATAGAAAGGGCTTCTGCGGGAGAAGGAACGTGTGCTTGACACATATTGCGACTTTGTCCGATGGTGATAATTGCTTGAAATGGTCATAATGTTTTCTGGCATATTGTCCTGTCATCCACAATAGCACTGATGTCCTCTCACTCAATCGGACTGCGGCTGGGTTTTTGGGAATTTGTTTAAGAGTGATATCGACGGCTCTCTTCTTTCTTGTAGAATTATCGACCTTGTTCAATATTGAGCCTATCTCTCGTTTAAGAAGACTTGCGAGAAGAACAGCTCATTGACAAGAACTTGAAGAGAACCTAACAGCTACTCAACGCCCGAGCCTACCAGTTGGTGGAGAGTCCCGGTTATCATCCAAATGACAGCTTGAGTACACCACTACGACTAGGACGCATCAACATATGCGAGAGCTAAAGACGTCTTTCAGAGATAGCGTGATATCAGAAGGATCGTCCTTTTCCGGAAGCAATTGGTACAGCACTAATGACCGAAGGGGGTGGCGTGGTTTGTGAGCTTACACGCGAGGCATAGTCGATACAAGGCTCTGCTCGTCTGATGGAGGTCTTCTTCCCGAAACCTTGAGTTATCGCCTGAGCAGAGTGATCTCGTCATCATACGACTTGAAATCAGATCGCTATTTCATTCTTCAAATCATGAGCGACAGGACTCACTCCTGAATAAGCCGGGTGGACAAATTTTCATTGGCATTTTATCATGTTTGTCTCAGGGCGCCAGCTGACGGGGTGGCAGCCAGAAGAAAAAAAAAAGGTGAAAGAAGCAAACCCCCAAAAGCAAATAATCTAAAAAAAAAAAACATAACGGATCTTCCTGGGTCTGGGCCATCAGCGCCGGCTGGTAGGTGGACCATGCCGACGATGAATGAGGCCGGCGATATTCTCAATATCTCCCGTAGAGGCTGCGGAATTCGAAGCCTCGCATCTGGTCCAGTGTGCTCTTTTGTCATGTTGTCAAGTCCTGGTTCATCAGGTGACCCCCCTGCCCCCCCTGGGCGCGGTAGTCATCTGCGACGGATTTGTACGCCTCAGTAGTCAGCTAGTCTGGACAAAAGCCACACAGATTCCCTCCAGGCGAAAACCCCTGGGCATTCTCGATGCCATGCATTGGTGCTGACCGCTGTCTCCGTTGAGTTCTCGCCATGTCTCCACAGCGGCTGGACCCGTCACCTTGCCGAACTCATGCGACTGTCAGCCATCGCCCAAGGTCATACCGCTATCTGCTCAGGAAACTGAACCTGCATCCCGCCTCGGAAACAAGAGGCGCAACGATCCCGCGATCCCACGAGAACAAGAGGCGGTGCGCAACACCCAAAATAAAGCCAGCTTGTATTGTCATGGATTCGGTGGGAGCCATAGCCTTGCCCTCCCTGTCGATGCTTGACAGCCGGTCCTGGGTTCATGCATCCCGCGCGGAAAGTCATCCCTGACTATGGGTCC